AAAAAAAAAATTAAATAAAAAAAATTAATACTTATAAAATTATTACTAAAACTAAAAAATAGCTAATTAATAATATTAATATATACTAGTAACTAAAAATTAATAATAGCCTCTAACTTTACCTACTCTAAAGCCTCTAACTCCTTTAAAAACTCTAAGCTACAATAAGTTATCTTATGCCCCTAAGTAAATAAAGACTAATATTAGCGATAAGTATACTCTAGAAGGTCTAGAGATTGGTTAAACTCAGCCTAAGCGGCTTAGAGAGCAGCCTGCTTCTTAAGAAACTCCTCCTCTAACTTTAACTTCTTATTACTAAGATACTTTACCTTAAAAATAACTTAAATTACTACTCTTATTTTAATAAGAAAAATAATAAAATTAAACTTAAAACTTATATAAATAAAGAGGAATATTAATTTTATTATAAGAATAACTCTTATTAGTATAAAAATTATATTTCTTAGAATTATTATTTAGTATTTTATATATATATTTATAGGCAATATAATAAGAATATAATATTATCTTAAAATTAAATTTCTTAATAGTAATAATAAGAATTAATAAATTTATAATAGAAATTAGAATCTTAAATTCTTTTATAAAAATAACTAAAATTAATTTACTTACTATAAACTTAAGAATATTATAGAATTTTAAGGGATATTTTAAAATTTAATTAGATATCCTATTAGTATATTAAAATAATTAAGAAAGTAAGTTAAAAATATATTAATATATATATAAAAAATAATCTTAAATATAGCTATAAAATATAACTAATAAAAGGGGAGATATTATATTACAGCCTAGATTGGAACTAGATAGTTATAATTAGTAGAATTATAATATATCTACTTTTTTATTTAATATCAATTTCAAACTTACCCTATATAAATAAGCCCGGGTATATAACTTACTTCTCTAGGATAAGCTATAAGATTGAACTTACTCTTACTTAATAAGCCTATATAAGTACTACTAGTATATAAATACTTATTTAGTACTTTTATTGATAGATAGCCTTACTAGCTATTAATATATTTAGTTATATTAAATTTACTATTTTACTATTATTAAACTATAACTTATATTACTTACTATAATATTCTAATTTACTTAATTATATACTTTATACCTCGGACCTACTTTATACTCTTAGATTAGACCCAACTGTTATATATATACCTTAAACTTATTTTATACTCTTAGGTTAGATTTAATTATTATATATTAAAACTAAAAATATTTTATTAATTAAAAAAAAGAAAAAATATATACTAATAAATATATTAAAGTTTAATAATAATAAGTTTAACTTACTAGATTAAATACTACTTAAAAGAATAACTAAGCTTTTATTAAAAAAATATACTTTTATTTTTTTTTAAATTTTTTAAAATAGTTTTTATTATTTAACTTAACTTTTTAACTAGCTATTATAGTAGCTTTTATCTATTTTTTATTAATCTTTTTTATCTTATTATATTTAAAAGCACTTAATTAAATGCTTAATATTTCTTTCTTATTAATTTCCCTTAGCTAGTTTTAACTACTAGACTTTTTTTTACTTTAAATTATAAAGTATCTTAGATTCTTACTATTACAGATTCTATCCACACTAAGTACTTCTCCTACTAATACAATACTATAGCTACTATAGCTGCTATAAGCACTATAATTATTATAGCTATTATAATTGCCATAGGCGCTGTAGCTGCTGGAATTCTAGTTGCTTATATAAGGAATCTTATTTGCACCAGACCTAGTGCAGATATTAAACGCACCGGGCCCGGTGCGGGTATAGGCGGCCTCAGAGCCACCACATCTTGCGTAAGCATATAGGCCACTGAAAGCAAAGGCCTAACTGGGGGAAAGGCGAAACCATTTCACCAACAGCACGGATGCTTCACCATGTAAACGTACGAAATATTCTTTGTCTAGTAGAGGGGTGAATGATATAAGGTACAGTGGGTGTAGAGGTCGTGGACAACGTATAATCCCTATCGACCCGCAGCTTGAACAGGAATTAGTGATGACGAGACGGGAGCAATTTTTGTAGCAGGCTAGCATTCAATACAGCACTGCAAAAGACTTTGCGGAGATAGAGCTATAACGCTATACTTCTCTTCGGTTCTAACAATTAATCGAGATCACCTAGAAGCCCTATATTGTTCCTTATCCACCTATTAGCTTTGCGTCGCACTCAAGCTGTATATAAATTTCTATTGTAATATCAGAGAAATATCAACTTATCTTCTAACTAGGTATCGAAATATCTACTTTAAGTTGTTAGTGATAAGTTATATTTGCCTGCATTTATAACCTCTGTTTACACTGCGTCTGGTACATACGACCATAGCTCTTAAAAAATACGGGATCCCGTCCGCTCTCCCTTAGTCAAGCTGAGAAGCGGTGAATTAGTACTCGGGTCGGTGACGACCGGGGAATCCTCACTGTTGTATGTTTTTTTTGGCCGTGGTTCTGTTTTTTTTTTTTGCGGTGTGGTTGATGGACCCATGGCCAGGGGGGATTTCTCGAAACGGAAAGGGGCGGTGGATCAAAGGACATTGGGGGGTTTCCGTGTTGACTTCAAGTCAAACTTGCGTTAGTAATTGAGCTTTCGAACTAATCACTGTAAGTTGAATGAAACTTGTCAATGAGCGGTTATGTTCACGATGGAATTAGAGGAGTACGTTTTGTTTTAGAGTGGCTTTATTATCAGATATAGTAAATTAATGGCTCATGCTGAAGTAGACTTGTTAAACATGACGCCTCGAATGTCGAATTGATCCTCCATTTCCAATTTGCCTGGCTATTGATGTGTCTCAATCTTTAAGCCAGGTTGGTGGGGAGGCTGAGGCTGGCCAGAAGGGCAACAATAGGGGTAAGGACGGGGACAAGAAGGCCGTTGCCGAGACCAGCCAGGAGAGGAGTGAGGGCAGCAATCAGACCAGGAAGAATGGCGGAGACAAGGCCAATGACCAGGACAAGCAAGCTAGACAGGATAGAGAAGACAGAGTGAAGGAGGGAGATCAGCTGAGGTCGGAGGCCGGTGACGGTGACGATGACTTTGACGTTGGCAAGAACAATGGAAACGAGGGCGACAACGAGGTTGAGAACGGTGTCGACATCACCATCAGCGACGTCAAGGCCGGCAGCACCAGTGAGGGAGGTGACGACCTCGGTGAGGGAGTAGTGCATGTCCTGGAATCCGGGGATGGCGGCATCGGCACCCTGGTCTGGAGTGAGCTTGCCAGCATTGACTTGGTCGGCAATATCCTCTAGAAGCAGATGTTAGCACACTTTTGAATGTCATGGAAAATGAGCCTATCGTACTGAAGCCACCAGACTGGCCCTGGAGAGTTTCGAGGAGGGTCTTGAGGGTGGAGGTCAAGCCGGAAAGGCCACCGATGTCGGTCTGGCGCTTGCCGGGAGTGGTAGTGATGGCATCGGTGATCTGCTTGACGCCGAGTCCAGTGGTGATGATCTCATCAGCTGTCTTCACTGCGTCTGAGGCGCCACCGGCCGCTCGAACAGCCTTGTTGTCGGTGACGGGAGCAGCAAAAGCAGACAGGGCCATGGTGGCAATGGTGGTAAAGAAAGCGGCCTTCATGATTAAAGAGTTGATGGTTGAAAGTAAAAAGGTGATAAGGATAGATGGAGAAGAGTCGTAGTGTTGTTATTGAAGCTGGTGATTGTTGGATGTGATGAGGATGAGGATATTGATTGAAGGGGTGGACAACACGGGATACTTATACAACTTTCAGGACATAATCAGCTCTACGGAGGACCGACCATGGTGCTTGGTCGATCGCCCAGGAGCTACTCCGTACAGGAAAGGAGGCTTGCCAGCACCACTGCTGATCGTTCTCTCATAAAGTGGTTTAGTTACCAGAGCTGTCCTTGCAGATCCAACCCGCCCCACAAAGCCATGCCGCCATGTCAAAGCCTCGGGTCGATGGATAGGCTAAGCGGCAGTCGGGCAGGAATCCAGGTAGGCGAGTAGATCATTGACTTGGCGAGCTTAATCGTGCATGAGGCGTCTAAGTGCCATTCTTGCCAGCCATCTGAAGTCATTACCCAATGATCATCTTCTACGTTAAACCACAAGTTTGTTACTAGTTGTACTTTGCCCGTACCACTCTGATGGCATATTCATTCATCTCATAATTGGGCCTCCATTGCCGTACTGGCTTGAAGCCGACCTGCACCCTATTGCGGAATGGTATTAAAAACTACCAGACCCGTGCTCGCGACGCTATTGTTTGAGATTGGCCCTGCCAGCAAATTGTGCAGCATGAGGCTTCAGACGTCATCAGCCACTGACGATGGAGGGCTGGTCTAACAAGCAAGCCGCGGGAAATTTAATGCGGGCTGGGCTGAATTGTGGGAGCTAAGAATGGTCGAGCTCTAAGGCGGTTTATTAGGATAATCCATGCTGGCGCGATTGTGGCTCTGTCGATCACGGCAGGGTTCAAGCCACTGTTTTCCCCAGGACGGAATGGGAATCACCGCTGGGAATTATCCTCGTTGCTGTCTCCCCGCGTGGGGCCACATCGTCAATGGTTGAAGCCAAGTGTCGAAGCCAAGCCTAAATAAACTATGTCGATCGGCATTCGAGAGATTTGGGATCCGACCTTCCGGTTGGTGCTACCTGAAATCGGAAGGAAATTCCCTCCCCGCGGCGTCTCCATTCTGGGGCATGATGATCACAACAGAACCGTATCGGGGGAGCGCCATTGCTGATCTTGAGTCAGCCCTGCCAATCACGCTGTCCAAGGGGAAGGGAAACGGTGTGCGGAGGCAGGCATTCGGGAATGATGTGCAACTCCGCGGCGGGCTATTTCTAGACTTTGTTAATGCCCAGCTGATCATCGCGATGCCAAATGCGTCTCCTTGGAACCGGCATCGTGGTCCAACGTTTCTGTACCGCTCGGCACAGAGATCTCTTGTATCTCCCGATTTCTTTGGCTCGAAGTTTTAGATTATAAACGCAAAACTTCTCCAATTTCCGTCCCACCACCGTTGGCCGAACACTATGCTTTAGCTGCCACGATAGCCACACCGCTCGGCCCGGCCTGTCATTTAGTGGAGGAGACGATACAAATCCGATTGGTGCGTCCCACCTGAATTGAGCAGACACCGGAAAGATATTGTCGATCACCGGCAAGCTTGAACCGGGTTCTGTGCGTCCCAGTGGCTTACGTATTCAAAATATCTCTAAGCGTTGCATTCCAAACTGAAAGCAAGCTACCATCTTCTCAACGTCATATCGGGGAGACTGAAAACTTTTGCCTTGTGGGAGGTGCATTGTAGTGTTGGCGATCATCAGCAGCTCTAAAGCCCTATCGCACGGCGCACGCATCCCGACCTCAGAACTAGAGGCCTCAAAGTTTTGCGTGGCAAAATCATCTGGTATTCCGGCTGAGGATACATCCGAAAGGTTCTTGGCGAAGTTCAAGCCAAGGTATCCGCGGTGGGTCTGGAGTACCGCAGCTTAGCTTGCAACTATCAGGGCAGGTCTCTCCGTGACACCACAGGTAGGCGAGTCTGGATGACCCCGACAGCTTTCTAATCCTCAGATCCTGTCTGACACCCCGAACTAGGATGGCTGTCCTCATTACAATTCCACGTCCATTTACGACTGCCAGCATTTTGCCTTTGGGTTGCAGGAGAGGATCCCGATGCCAACGAGTGTCTTCAGAAGGTCACACAAATGCTCCCATTCGCGGATCTTACTCTTCTCGACAGAATATCTTAGAAAAGTGATGATACTCGAATAACTTCCGTCAAAGTGAGCAGTAGACTAATTTGATAATCGAAATCAACGTGGACGACACACTTGAAGGAAAGGACGGCTCCGGTTTGAGCTGGTCAGCTATTGATCTCGGTCGCAACCCACATTCACAAGATACAAACTTTTAAATTTGCACGACCAAGTCTCCCTTTAGGCTAGATGGGCATATTGAGAAGGTACCTTGGATTTTCTTTAGTAGAGAGTGCCGCACAGTCGGCGAGTGGAGATGCTTAGATGCTTTTGACCTTGCTTATCCATATTCTTTTACAAAGGATCTTTCTTAGTATTTATTTTGATTGATTACGACCATGAAACTCTGAGATTATCCCCAAGGCTTCCAGCTTTCACTTTATGTGCTCAACTGGATAGCTACTTCATGAGCGTGTGAAAAGAGTTGGTCTCGTCCCCACGAACCTCGGTTCCAGCGAGGATTGGAAAGAACTCGAAAGCGGTATTTTTAAGACTCTTGGCAACTAATTAGACAAAGTTTACGTTTAACAACTTTTATCATGAGGAAAAAGCACAGGCAGGAATTTTGTTTTGTAAAATCTCGCAGAATGATGCGAATTTTGATTGTGGGTAGAGATGGGAAATCCAAATCTCTCAATGATCTATATCTAATGCGTTGCGTGTTTTGTACATTTGAAACCCTCAAACCCTTGACTGTTCAGAGGCCAGCTCTCCCGAATAAAGCAATCGGAACTCCAGAGCCTAGTGATTGGGAGACTGAAAGGCCAAATCCTTTCGAATGTCTCCAAGGCTCTCCTTTCTCACCCCATGATTCTATCCTTGTTCTATTGATCCCTGATGTTCGAGTCCAATGGTTGAAGCGTTGGGAGAATTTAGGCCTTGCACTTGCTGCTCTTGGTGGTGGTAGACGCGGCAGAGGTGGAAACACTGCTGGTGAAGCCGGAGGGAGCAGCTCCAGTGGGGGCACTGCCGCTTGCGCCGCTGCCGGGGGTGCCGCTGGGGCCGCTACCGGGAGTGCCGCTGGGGCCGCCGGAGCCGCCGCCCATACCGCCGCCGGAGTTGGAGTTGGCAACACCGCCCTCAGCGTAAAGGTAGGCGGCAGGGGTGATGGACTGGGACAAGGTAGAGTTGATTCCGAAGGCCAACCAGGCGAAGAGGCCGTCGGACACGCTGTCTCCGAGCAGGGTGTACTCCATGACGGGGTCGACTCCCTCAGTGGCAACCTCTTCGCTCAGGATGGAGTCCTCGGCGTTGGTGGTGAGCTCCTGGGTGTTGGTGTTGTAGGGGGCGAGAAGCTCGACCTCGGTGATCAGGTCCTGGTCGAAGAAGGCCTGGCCAACGTGACTAGCATAGTTGTCCATGCCCAGGGTCTGGTTGGCGAGCAGCGTGGCGTTGGTGTGAATCATGATGTGGATGTGGGTGGCACGGCTGGTGTAGTGGCCAGGGAAGACGGACTCGAACTGAGCAACACCATCATCGTCGGTCAGTTGGATACCACGCAGCCAGGTGTTGTCGATGTTGGTCTCGTCGGAGCTGTCACCGTTGCCGCTGGAAACAATACCGGAGTAGACACCGGTAGAATTGCAGTGCCACATCTCGAGGTAGACATCAGGGATAGGCTCGCAAGTGTCGACATCAATGACCTGGTAGTCAAGAACGATATCGAGACCACCCTGGTCCTCGACGATGTTCTCGCGGACATACTCGCCAGCAACGTCTGAAATGAAGTGTCAGTACAGGTTATCGATGAACTTGTTCATGTAAACTTACAGTAAGGTCCCTGGGTGACCTCGGGGGTGAGGACGCAAGAGTTGATTCCGGAGAAGAGAGTAGCGGCGTCGGTGTTGACGGTATATCCCTGATCGGTCTGGTTGTGAGAAGTGGCGAGGACGCTGTCGAGGTCACGCTTCTTCAGGCCGCGCTTCTGGCGGGCCTTCTCGAGCTGGGCAGAGCGACGGGCGACGTTTCGGGCCTCGACACCGCGAGCCTTGAGCTTGTCGGCGCAGTGGGCGAGAGAAGCACGCTTGACGGACTGAAGGAAGTCGCGGCGCTCAGCGGCCTCCTCGGCGACGTTGTGGCCGGGGTGGGCAATGGCAACTCCGCTCAGGAGAGCAAGGCTGGCGATGGCATTGTTGGCGAAACGCATGTTGACTGTGAGAAACCGAAGGTTCTAAGAGACTTGGAAAGGCTGGAAGCAAGGCTGGACAAGTGAGATGAGAGTGCTGAGACCTGCAGCGGATGGTTGCTTGGATGTGAGAGTGTCGAGAGTGTTGTGAGTGTTGTGAGAGTGTGTTGAGGCTGGTGAGGATGAAGAGATATTACAAGATGCGTTCCATTGATGATATATATATTGATCAAGCGGTCTATGTTGTGACGGCATAGACGTGCTCAAATCGTGATCCGTGTATTGAATGTGGGGCTCATCGTGAGAGCCTCGTTGACGAAGCCAAGGCTCCAATTACGCGTTCACACCGACTGCGTAATCGTCCCTCCCTACTCTTGTTTCTTCCCAACGCCGCCAACTTAGTCAGTTTGCGGGGATCCCCACCGCTGCGGAACGTACGCGGAGCGGACGCTGGACTGGTCCTCGTGCGCCGCTGGGGACGAATCCGCATGAATGCCACGGTAGACGGGAGTTGGGAGGATGACGCAGCCCTGTTTGAGAACGGCTGGGCCTATCAGAGGCGGCGCGAAACAAAGCAAGCGGGCTCGTCGTCCACATCCAGAAACCTTGAAACCAAATACCGACGTCGAGTCGCTGGCAATTGGTCAATGGCTGTGGGAGACGCATCAGGGGGCCGGCCGGGACGCGCAAGCCTCGCCCGGCGCAGGGCCAATTGAGGCGGCGCCCGGAGCGTCTCCCACCTCCCGAGATGTGGCTTCGCCTTGACGTGACAGCCTTGGCAGGTCCCGGGACGAGGCAAGATGAAAGTCGAAATGCAACTAGACTGAATGGACGGAAGATTGTCGCACAATGTCGATCTCATGCCGACTACCCGCCCTCTCATTGGTCTTGGCAGATTGGAGCCGCGTGTGAATGCTGCTCGAGGGACAACGAAGCCAGCGTTTTGTTCCCATCTTGCCAGGGTTAGACCCCAGAAACCGACTTTTTTAACTTCATCCAGACTTCTTCTTGCGTTTCCAGGGCGATGAAATTTACGAAAACCAAGGATGCCTGAAATCTAGACTCTAGGACCGTCGAGCGGTGTATAATTATTCACGCTCGGGAGGCTTCCCTGCCTGAATTAGCCAAACAGAGATGCGGCAATGGAGGAAATCAAGGCCAGCAAGTCAAAGCAAAGCATCCGTCTCCTCCATGCCTCGGTCCAGCCGAAAGAACTTTCCATTATGTCTAATTTAGGGGGCTTGCGCTGTGACATCATCTCCACTGTTAACCGGGGCCAGGGCGACAGTGCCGAGGACCAATGCGAAGCCCGCGGTTTCTCATGACGAATGCTCCGGGCCAGAAACAAAAAGACATCGCGACGGGAGGCATGTGGGAGGACGAAGAGGCCCGGGTCAATGGGGCTCCCTGGTTCGCGCAATTGGAGGAATAAATCTTGATTGGGTCTTGTTCAATGCTGCGAGGCCATCACTTCCTCTCTTGGGTGCTGGATCCGCTCGAGCCACGAACGCTCCCACGAGGCAAGGCGGCTAGCAAAGCCGCTACGCCACACCGATGGCAAACACTGACGACGAGGCGCCTTAACGAAACTCGCTAGAAATATCAGGATTTTTTTATGACAGCTCCCATGGCACTCTGTAGACGCCTGGGCAATTTAATGCAGGATTCAGGTCCAAAGCGACCCTACTGTGTGTGTCCTAAACCCGCATCCCGTGATTGGATGAGGGGTAAAAGGTTTTAAGCTTATTGGACGCGTAAGCCTTCCACCCTTTGCAGAGCCCTTCGAAACGGCTTCAAGGGCGCCACCAACGCGACCAGAGGGGGATTTAGCAAGGATCTTGGCTCCCTGAGAAATGCACGGCGGCCTCCTTGTTGTCAATCCTGCATGCAACGTTGATCATTCCGCTCCTTCTGGAATCAGTCATTACCCGGACTTTGTCGTTACGAATAGCCTCAATCGTGTGCATTGCGTCCAAAGGGAGAACGGAATGACGAAAAGTCATAGATTCGAGGTGACAATTGCACTAATTCCCTTAAATCTAGTATGATGGAACCGTAATTAGCTTGTGTTAAATTCTAATTGCACGTTTGCAGTGACCAAACACCATGGAGTTGGTTAGTTCCCGTGTACGCAATCCTACCCTAGAGCCTTTGATTTTGAGACTGGGATTATCATCTTCCTCTTCCATTGATGGATTCCCTACATTGGCTTCATTGAGTATTACCGCAAGGCATAAACTAACACTATAATTGGTTGGTTGAGTGGTACTCGCTTCTTTTCCTTCATCGAGCCGTCAGATCATCGTGCAGAGTCGCGGTGTGACGATTTCGTTGCAGTGCCGCTGCAATAACCTGGTAGCCCACTATAACGCACATATTCTACTCAACTTCCAATAATCGTTGAGACATTTCAAGCTATTTCTCTGGGTGTGATGATACCTCAGTACTATTTTCAGTATACCTGCATATGTTCCTGTTTCATCATCACTGTGCCGCCCACAACCCGTAGGTTGGAAGCCTATGGTCGCTGTTTCTAGAATTCTGCTTTTGACCTGCTAATACTGGCCGAGGGTCTTATCATGATGCTTGAAAACGGATCAAGTCAAATTTTAGTAGCCTTCCATAACGCCATTCTGTTACTATTTCCAAGTGTGAACACAATTGGACATTGGAATAATTCCCGACGAATCCCACATCACATGCCTCGGCACATTTAAAATTGGCCGCGCAACGCATCTAGGACGATGATCAATTACGCCTCAATTGCTCACGAGATAGGCATTATGGATTGTCTAGTCCGTTTTCATTCATTTCCATTGTATGCCAAGACTCCCATCGTGAAAACAAAAGTTCACCAACGTTATGCCGGGATGCTGCCCATAATCTGCCTCTGTTCCGGCCTCTTGGCCCGCACAGACTTTGATGTTACACTGCCACCCTCCGCCCCTGTCAAACTCAAAGCCGGACTCTCCGTTCTGTTGTGGCTGGAGTGGCCCACGTGGCTCCCACATTCCCGGTTCGTATTCTGATTGTCCATTTTGGACTTGGTGCCGAGGAGGCATGTGGCCTATCGGCGAATCCGCCTTGGCTGCAAATCCACGTGCACAGTTCGGCATGATAGCAAGCTCCTCCTAACCCCTTATTTTTATTGAGAGCCGCCTATGCTTTTTTTCTACAAGTTCCAGTAGGCGTCTCCCTGTGCCAGGCATCCTTTGCAGCCAGGTGATAAATGGTAATCTTTTCCACATAGACCTCTCGTTTATCTTCTCTGCCCAAAGTGCCAATCCACGACCTGGATGTTTCCTCCGATCGTGAAGCGAAGTTGCTTGTGCTTGTGAGCAATTGGTTGATATGTGCGACTAGTATTGGCATTTTACCACCTTCGACGAAGAACCCTGCTTGGAGAGTGACATTGTCGGATCTGTGGCCGAGAACCAACGGCCCTTGCCTATTGACCCCCCATTGTATAGGAAAGAAAGCAAGGGTCTTGCTCGGACGTGTAACCGTTACCTTGAGGTTAATTCTAGCCTAAACTCAAGTCCGAATGGAAAATGCCTGTTTGTAACCAACGAACTCCACGTAGAGACTATTGAACACGCACCGAACACGAACATAGTCATGTGACATCTACTTGCTACGACAGGTTTGGAGCAATGGCTTGGTGTTAGAAGAGATACGAATTTGGTAAAAGGTAGGGGGAGAGATATTCTAAGAGTATTATGCTATTCTCGGTGCATTTTCTTGATCCTTGGGACCTCGCCGAATAATATCTCAAAGGGGAAAGTTTGTGGGCAAAGGCCAGCGCGATTCTAGAGTATAAAATCTCATCTCAGATGTCTACAAGATAGTCTTGGAGCTTTGAAGAGTAGATTTTGTTTTTGCAAGGCAAATCTGTTCAATCCTAGGCTGGTGAAGATAAGCTTAAACTTTATTTAAAGTCAACAGCTGCATTTGCAACATTAACAACAAGCTAGAATACTCAATTACAACATATCTATAAATATTTGCCTCAAATTGGGAGCGAATTCATTGATTTGACCGATGAATCCACATTACGGCAATAGAAAATTTCCATGGCGAAGACGTTGTGACATGTGGTATAGGGTAGGGATGCTGAGGTCTGATTCCTGTTGTGTTCACCTCTAGCATTGAATGAAACTAGACAAATATTGTATAGAGAAAACTAGCCTCGTAGCTTAAGTCAACTGCATCTACCAGCAAACTCTCCGTAAAGCGTGCAGAGATCAGATGCTTGCTTGTCGGCCCAACACCTTTGTTAAGTCGGGCTCTTGCCATCACCACTAACAATTAACACTAAATTAGCTGGAGAATATGATCACACAGCAAATACTTGAGATCTTCGAAAAAGTGGGCGAAAAGGAGTGAATAAAAGCTAGGACACTCGCTGGCCAATACGCCTCAAAGACTCAAACCAGAGAAAAAAAAGTGCAGAGTGGACAACTGATACCCCTATCTCTAATCTGTACAAAATTTTGACCTTTATACTCTTCGGCGAATGGTCCGACCATTATTAGTCACATGTAACTAAACAATTGGCGACCATCTCAGTATCAATAGCGCAGATGGATCGGGAGAGAAGACTTGATTTTACTATTTTTATTAAACCTATATTTACTATGTCCTTGTCATGTTGGTATCATACATTAAAATCCATCGGAGGTTCTCGCAACCATATACCCAGCCTCAGTATTGAGGGTCTAGCGAGCTTGAAAAGAAGATGTTCATATGAAGTGTTCAATCCATTCAAATGCGCCATTGCCCTCAACGTAAGCCCCATTCCACCTAGGTCTGCGATGAACCCGAGCCTTCCATGTTGCAAGGAAGCACATTGTGCCGAAAGGAAGAGTCATAGAGCAAGTGCTGACATAAAAAAAAGTTATTACATGATGGTTAAGGGGATGAGGAATCCGATTTGGAGACCTCAACCGTTGTAACAGTGGTCTTGGTGATGCCAGGCGTGTACTGGCCCAAGCGGTCGATACTCTCATCACTGGATTTGGCATCCATTTGCGTGAGAATTGTCGTCTTGTTTGTGATGCCTTGTGGGCTTGCTATCCGGTTCTGAAGCTCGTATTCGTCGAGGCCGGTGGCATTGATTGCCCTCTGACTGCTCGTCTCGTCCGTTTGGTCGTCGGGGGCATCACGTCGACCGCTGCCCAGTGCATGCCAGTTGCTGCCACTTCGCATGGTACCGCGGCCGTAGTTGGTGTTGCCACCAGTCGGCGTCTTTCGGGAGCTCTTGCCGTACGTGCTGCCGAGGATGCGCCTGAAGATTGGTCGCAGGCAAGGCAAGCTACCGGCAATGATTCCGACGTTGAGTTCGACACACGACCAGATGGTGATGTTCTGAGAATCCCAAAGCCAGTCGCCGAGTTTTCCGTAGTTGGTAACGTAGCCGAGCTTGACAACGGCGGCCGCGCAAGCGAAGACACCGAGGCCGAGAATGGCGATGAGACTGACGCGGGTGCGGAAGTGCACGTTGAGGTTCCACAGCATCGGCGTGGGGATAACAATGGCGAAGAGGAGATCGGTAATGATGTTGAGTGCGGAGTTGGTGTACGATAGACCCAGGAGCGTGTTTTTGGTCCAGCAGGTCGCCTTGACTGTTCTGTCCCATTGAATACGGATATCGGTACATTGGAACATGATTGTCTGTTGACTGAAAGTTAGCGAAATGGCTTGATCCAGGTTCGGGTTTCATCAACATACGAAGAAACATCCGACGGTATAGAAGGCCATGAAGCCCATGATTGACAGGATGAGAACGCGATAAAACTTGGTCGAGGCAATCCGAAGCAGGGATGATCCCACCGAAAGCTTAACTATGCAGATGGCAATCAAGAAGATGGGCTGGCTGATAAAGTTAAGCTTCATGCCGATCATGTAGACGGCCGGATCGACGTCGCCAACATGTTGTCCTGCGCCATGAGCAACCTGCCCGAAGATGGTTCCCTGACCGGCCCAAGCCAAGGTCATGGCCATGACCATGAACCAATCCTGCGAAGAAGGCAGTCAGCATTGTGAGCCCACAGTTGACGAACACATAAAAAGCAAAGTGGTGGAGGGGTTTGAACGTACATCCCATCCTGTGTTGCGGATGATGAGGAATCGGACGTAGAGACGGGCAATGACGGTGATGGTCGCCAGACAGACGACGAAGGTGGTGGCCGCCAAGATGCCCGTCGCCCCGTTCTCGTTCGGATTCGAGGGCAGCACAACATCTGCACGCGAATCCATGGTGGAGGCTGGGTGCGTGGAAATGTCCCCGAGGCGTTGGGCGATGGGACAAAGGGAACGGGGCAGGGAACAATAAGAAGACGGGACGGCGGGATAGTTGGGGGCCAGCTTTTTTCCTCCTCCACGTGGAAGAGAGGGAACATGGCCAAGGACCTGGGAGGATTCACAAGCCAGGGGATTCGTCGAGTGTGAGCGTGCGACGTACTACGTAGTAGGTAAGACGCAGGTAAGACATGGCGTCCCACATCGACTTGGCTGCAAGCCACGCAGCATGAATCAGGGACCGCCCCAGCCGCATCCATCCATCCATCACTCCATTTTCGGGTGCTCGTACTCGTACGAAGAGACGCACGCGGGCAGCCAGAGTCCCTTATCGTTATAGTCGGCGACTGTTAGGCCGTTCCGAGCAGCATCAAGGCGGCCGAGGGAGACGGATTCCAACAGCGGAACCGCAGCCCTCGCCGACCGCGCCCGTCGACCAAGGAAGCATCCCGCGCCATAGCACGGAGACGTGCTGGTGTTGCGATGCCATGGCCTCTGGACTGACTCGCATTGACATAATTACTGTTGATATGGCACGCGGAGGGAGACTCTGACGGCGAGATGTGGTACGATGCGGTGGAAGAACATGTATCCCAGGACCTTCAATTTCCAGTAAATGGACGGCCTCGTCATGGGGTGAACATGGTCCAACAAGGGGTTTTCCACTGGATGCAAGCCGGTACCTGGTCTGCATCTCCAACGTCGTTAGTCCTTTTTCGGCCGAGCCATGGCGCCCCGTCTCGTAAGGATGCTCCACCAGCAGGGCAAAAAGCCGCACCGACGGTGGCCCCGCGGCTGGTTAGGGGTGACATCGGTGGCGACAGAGCCAAGAAGGAACTAATAACGATAACGAGGAGGCGGAAATCAGTCGACATTGCCTGGAGCCGGTGACGGGACGGGAGACAGGACTCCCGTGGCACTGACTGGGCCGAGGGGGGTTTGGCACTGAGGGGGGGGCGTTATACTATGTGCTACTCTGTGCTAGAAGTATTAATTAGGGATCCCTCTCGTCCATGCTAAAACGGGAGAAAACCTGGGGTTTGGATCGCGCCGTGGTGGCTTCACGCGCGCCAAAGGGATCAACACGCGGATCTCTCGGGCTTCCAGCGCACAACCTGTTTTCTGCGGCGCCAGATCCGGCTACCGCACGGGTGGCTCGTCAATCAGCGAGATTCAGCCCACATCCCGAACGGAACCCTTCCGGATCAACAGTCGAGCAGCGCTGACGGGCTTCCAAGGATGCGGTGCTGGCCCTGCCAACCTTAGTGTTGACGATTAACGCCTGCAACTCGTCGTCCCTGCTGCGTTCCCTGTCCTGGGGCCGTGTGGTCCTCGCGGATGGAGTCCGTTTTTCCCAGCCCGTCAAGCGCCGGGGATCCGCAGGGGGATCTGCAGGGGATCGAGGCAGGGCACAGCGCCAATTCGTCCAGCAGAAGACGCTGTTGCGTGCCATTGCTCGCCGGGACAGGGGGGGATGGAAGCATGGGGTCGGGCTGGTCGAAGCCTGGAACATGGCCGGTCGAAGCCTGGACTTACAGCGCAATGCTACGTTAGCATGCAATACAATACGTACAGTAGGCCATCTGTGCCTACCGCGTGGGCATCTTCGGAAGCATGCGGGCATTCCCCCTGGCGACTGTTGGCTGTTAGTGTCGGCGCCAGCCCTGCAGCGTAAATGCCGGATCCCTGAGGGTGTGGACATGGCGACGCATCCCAAGGCCCCCTCCGATTTCGAAATCTGATCTAGACGTGAATCTCGTCCGCAGCGAATCCATTGATCCAAGGCTTTTCTTTCAGGGCTCCGCGCAGGGCTGCCCCGGCGACTCGACTCAGCATCCAGGGCGATGGTGGGCCCACGAACGAGTCGGCGCTGTCAGCTGCAGTGGCGGAATGAAGTGCTCTGCGCGATGCCGCATCTTGCCTGCCCAGCTTCATGCCATCGCAGTCGACACAGCCCGCAACGGAGAGTTTTTTCCCTCTGCTCCAAGGCTCCCCCGGCGTGGCCAATTTGCCGCGACGGTGAGGGGCCTCATGCGCGGGCTTTGGGTTCTCATGGGTTCTGTCGATAGTCCGCCGTCCGGAGTCCCCTCGTTCCACTGCTCCCGTAGTTCGACCTCGGGGGGCCCTGCACGTTCCAATGTGTTGGTTGGGATCCTCGCTGTAGTCTCCATTGCCGGCCGAGGACGACTATATAGTTGGTTGTCCGGCTGCGTTGAGGGCGTCTGTCTTGTCACTTCACCTCCATCCAAGCCAACCACCCCAAGGTGTCGAAAACGTGAGCCCCTGCATATCTCGTCTCTCGCTTGTCTCATTCTTCGTTGACTGCCACAATGCGTGCCTCATTCCTCACCGTCCTGGCCCTCAACGCCGCCTCTGGCGTGCTAGCCGCTCCCGCCGGTAGCAGCACTACTGCTGCTGCGCCAGAGATCACCAACCTGGACGAGATCACCAGCCTGGCTCAGGCCGCCTACGACCAGGCCCAAGAACTTGCTCAGAGCGCAGAGAAGCGCGGCAGCACTTGCAGCTGGAGCAACATCCGCATCCGCCGCGAGTGGTAAGTCCCTCTATCCCGCCGCTCCCAATGTCGTGCGTGGCGCTTACCATGGACCCCTGCAGGAACACCTTCACCAAGAAGCAGAAGAAGGCCTACGTCGATGCCGTCAAGTGTATCCAGTCCAAGCCTGCCTTGACACCTTCGTCTGTGGCTCCCGGTGCCAAGACTCGCTTCGATGACTTCGTCGCGACTCACATCAACCAGACCCTGAGCATCCACTACACGGGCAACTTCCTCTCGTGGCACCGGTACTTCACCTGGCTGTACGAGGAGGCGCTTCGTGAGGAGTGCGGTTACACCGGCACTCAACCCGTAAGCCACGTCTCACCCCGCCACCTATCAGACCATCCAACTGACAACCAACCGTAGTACTGGGACTGGGCCATCACCGCCGTCTCCGGCCTGAACACGTCTTCCATGTTCGATGGCAGCGACTACTCCATGGGCAGCGACGGTGCGTACATCCCTGGCCAGGCGGATGTCGTCCTCGGCGCCTCCACGGGCCTGCCGCCCATCTACCTGCCCGCCGGTTCCGGTGGCGGTTGTGTCAAGACTGGTCCCTTCAAGGATATGTCAGTCAACCTGGGCCCTGCGGCCCTCGACCTGCCCGGCGGCACCTCCTTGTCCGCCTCCAACCCCCTTGCGTGGAACCCTCGCTGCTTGAAGCGAGATCTCAGCAATGCCGTCAACACGCGATACTCCAACGCCACCGGCATCCTCAACAACATCCTCAAGCCCAAGAACGTCTACGACTTCCAGATGATGATGCAGGGCGTCCCCGGAGGCGGTGACATTGGCATCCACGGCGGTGGCCACTACTCCCTCGGCGGTGACCCCGGCCGTGATGTCTACACCTCTCCCGGCGACCCTGCCTTCTACCTTCACCACTCCATGATCGACCGTGTCTGGTGGATCTGGCAGATGCTGAGCCCCGCCAAGCGCATGTACAGCGACCTTGCGCTGATGGGCACCAACACCTTCTTGGACATCCCCGCCAGTGCCAACACCACCTTCGACGACTACGTCGAGTACGGCTGGGCTGGCGAGAAGCAGCAGATCAAGGACCTCATGAGCACCCTCGATGGCCCTTTCTGCTACGTCTACTTGTAAATGCGCCCCACGCGGAATACCGTCTCAGTACATATCTAGTACATAGCCTTCCTCTTCTACGGCACCATGTGTCACCTTTTAATTTTAACGACAACCTGTGATGCCAATTAGAGTCGAAATACAAGATTTAACTCAGATAATGCCCCCCCCTCCGCGTGCTCCTCTGTCTTCCGTAGTATGCTGAGTGCCCGCGAGTATCGTTCACGAACCCCTCGCCTCACCCGGTACCTGGAACAGGACTTCTGGCGTCCATCTTCGTCCTCCCACCCCTGTACACTCGCCACTGTTGTCCCAGACTTTGCCTCTTTAAGGTTCGGCCATGTCGCATCGAAGGACACGGGGCAAGTCAACCAGGTTCCACGGCGGCCCCACCCATCTTTGTTCCTAGCACCTTGGAGGCTTGGAGGCTTGGACGGTTCGAGAGGCTGAACAGGGGAAGGTCACAGTGTGACCCTAGCACTGCATCTGACAGGGGGACGGACAGAGCAACCGAGATGGAATGGGTGAGATGCGGCATTGAGACTGACGAGGGATTCAAATCCTGGTAACTGCGGTCGTCGGCTGCAATCCCCTGGCTGATTTCCCCAGGGTCAGCAGGAGAGATCAGGCCAGACTGATGTTTTATCATCTTATTGCTTTTTATCAAGGGTTCGAAGGGGGGCTTTTCTAGATTGAGAGATCTGAGGGAACGCTCGGGGTCTACAATGCCTGCTTGTTTGGGAGCGATGGCCAGGTTCTCCGGAGCATGGCCGGACTTAGGCATTCGGTGCTGCAAACAGATAAAACGTCGTAAATACTAATGCGGACCCTGGCAATCTGTGCTCGGTCCTCGCCCGCGGCTCATCGCCCGAGTTGCTTACCCTCTGCTCGGTTCTGGACGGAGTCCGACATGATGTCGTACGTAGCTACGCCACTCCTACCCAAGGTCCAGTGTGATAGGAGGATTATCTTCCGCCATCATGTTCGTCATGTCCACATGCCACGCGAGGGCAACCAAACTCCGCGTATATTGGAAAGTTCGGATGAAAACCAACTGAAGGTGACATTGTGGATAGCCCACCGTTCGTGTTCGTGCCCGAGATGCATGGGGTTCGGAGGTTTGCAGTCAGCACTTTGTCCGGACAAACCAGACAGACGGGTTGCTGGTACTGCCAAGAGTTATCGCGGAGTGTTTTGTTCCCATTTGGAATGCAGCTCCCCTCGGGACGATATATTGGGAATGGTGAACCTTGGCACCTGGGACATCGCTGAGCTACCGGTAAAAAGCTACGAGAGAACAAGGCGAGAGAACAAGGTCCGACGACTAGTCCCTTTCCTTCGAAACACCGATTCCACCGAGTCCAGAACTGCACAAACTCCCGACGACGCGCATCCAGTAGAAGTCACAGGAATTTCTCTTCTCGGCTGGCTAAATGACTAAGTTAAGTGACTACTCAGTTGTGGAGCACTCAGTCTTGAGCCTTGGTGGAGATGGATGCACCCATCAGCACATCCCAAGGAAGCCATTAGAGCGTTTCAACACGGCGCGTTTCTGATTCCCTCTTAGCGTTCTATTCGCGCCTTGCTAGTGTCCCGTCCCAGGTCGGAGCTGAGGAATCTGTGCCGCCTCTAGGTTCCGCTAATAGCGCCATTCCACTAGGGATGATCATCGTAATTTTCCCCGATTTCCCATCTTGGCCCCCCGGCTTTTAGCTCACGACGATAGCAATTGCCATTCGTCTGTGGATCACTTCACCTGAGCTACTGTCCCGCTCTGCGCTTGTGGTCACTGGCGGCGCAGGAATGTCTCCCCGCCCAACCCTCTTCCACTGTTAGCCTTGATGTGCCCTCTGACTTTTTTTAGTGTGGTGGTTGCCGTGATGAATGTCTTCCATTCCGCGCTCTTCCACTGGTAGCGCTGATGCCTTCTGACTCGGTCTTCTAGTCGGCCCTAACGGATGCCCCCCCGTTCACCCCCTTCCATGGTCAACCTTGATGCGCCTTCTGACTTGTCAGTTTGGTGTTCGGCCCTTTGTAGGCTATTCCGAGACAGTGGCACCATCCGCACTTGCGAAATCCACTTGGAACCTTAGCGGCAATCAGATCAAGTTCTAGACGCCAGACGACCGGCGCTATTTCAGCATCGAATTTATTAATGGCGGCCGACACTAGTGAAGTCGCTTGAGATAATCACACTTGGCACGGAGGACGGCCTTACCGGCATGTGCCGAGAGGCTTATGGCTCTAACTTACGCTAAAAATCCACCAAGGTTGGAAGAACCGGCTTGTTTTGAAATGCCACTTGAATAGCGAGAGACTTATTAGATTAAGTCCGCATAATCGAATCTTCGCTCTCTCCCGCCACCATGATTACTATTTTCTCGACTTTCTCTTGTTGCTAGACTTGGTCCACAATGGCCTTGATGAGATTGCGCTCTGCTGTCTCATCGACTAATTTGTCATCAGCATCGCTTGGGGGACCCTGACGGGAGGTTGCTTGTCAGAGAGGTTGAGGATGCGAACAAGTACTTGTCGTTTTTACGGCATGTTTCGCGCGGCTTTACTTGATTTTGACGGCTTCTCACTTGTCAGACAGGTGATTTGGCAACCTCGTTCAAAACCCCAAAAGCCAATTTGACTCTCTCCATGAGCGTCGCCATCACCGGAATCTCAGCGTCTATGGGCTTTTCATTCGTTCTACAATCAATGGCGGACTCTACCCCGTTGCAAGTTGCGCTGCCGGACTCGCTCTTCGCTTGACCAGCTAGGAACAACCTTTCTCAGACTTGAGATTGGTGGCCTTGCATCCGCACGCCTCGGTGTGGTGCTGACAAGTGCAGTGGTGATATATGATTTCGCCGGCTTGACTATTGCCTAGGTTGTGTTGAATCTTCGCGTTGTTGGTTTTACTGCTGCCATTGCCATCCGACCTGTGATGATTTGGGCTGCATTCGCAACTCTTATTCCCGTCTTCTCCAAGTTTATGCGTTACAAACACACTCAATTTGAAGACTACGGGAGTCGTGCCCGGAATCAACCCTTTCCGCGCTCCTCAAGCTGAGGCAACCCGCTTTCATTATGCATACGCCTTTACTACTTGCATTGCTCTTGGAGGGATTTTGCTGAGACCTCAGGTCCTCTCGCAGTATATATCGCCGGCAGAACCACTGGCTGGTGGGATTTGGATGAGAATTTGTATTCTGCTCCTTCAATCCGGCCAATCGCTCGACCTAGAGGAGCCGAGTGAGCTTTGCGAGCGGAGGTTCCGATGGTGGTCTCTGACGTAGGCGCGCACGAGTGGCTGCTTTTACTATTTCCTAGTGCATAGCCGCATCACTCTACGGGCGACCGAGACGAAAAATTATTCAGAGGTAGAAGGAAGCACGATGAACCCTCCAGCTAAGACCAGGAGCGTGCTCTTGGTAGATCTCCCAGGCACCCGCGACATTCTGTCGCCATGGCCTATTTGCATCATCAATCCTCTAAGAAATTATTACTGGCAGACGATCCAACGATTTGTCTTTTTCACTAACACATCGTCATCACCTATTGCGGGTGATGGGTTGGGAGGTTAACTATGCCGCAGCAGCAAAATGTGGCCGTGCTGTGGGCGCAGTTAGCCTTCATGAGTCATACCGCAAGGTCGACACGCCGAACTTAGTCAAAATTGCTAGTGTTATCTCGACTTCAACATTTCTTCGCCTATTAATTATATATGCTCAAGTTTTCTACCTCTTAAACACAGATGCGACCAAGAAGAAAACATATCAGCGTTCGATCGAACCTACTCCAACCTATCCTTAATCCACGCGCATCTACACCCATTCTGCGCCCGGCCATGTCCAAACCAGCCTTCGCAGTCCCGCTTCCTCAATCCTCCCGGTCCGATGTTCTTGAGTGGCGATTCCCGAAGCCATATAGCAACTATGTCCTGACGGGCAAATCTCGTGCAGCATGGCATACGTCCTTCATAATCCCCCAGCTCAATCTCCTCCTTGACGCCGGCCTCTGTGTCAACAAGATGCGGCCCAAACATATCTTCCTCACCCACGGACACAGCGACCACACTCTCCTGTCGCCCGCATTTGTCAAGCGCGAGGACCCGCCAGATATTTTCTGCCCTGCCGATATGGCCAGCGTCTTTGATAATTTCATTCTCGCCAATACCATGCTTAATCTTGGAGGATTGGTACAGCTTGAAGATGCTCCCCAATCCGGCTCCGAGGCGGAAAGCAGCGTTGATATCAACATGCCCCAGAAAAATGGGTGGCTCAATACGCACATCACTCATGGCGTTCGTCACGGTGATGTTGTCCCCCTAAGACGCATCAAGAACATGACAGCCACTGTGTTTGACTGCGACCACACAGTTCCATGTGTTGGTTATGTTTTCAGCATTACTTCCAATCGATTGAAGCCAGAGTATCGATCTCTCAAAGGACCAGAAATCAAAGCCCTCCGTCAATCAGGCATAGAAATCACCAACGAGCAATCCACCCCCATATTTGCCTTTCTGGGAGATACCACGGCCGCAACCCTGGCTGCCGAGCCGGAATGGCTGCGGAACGGCATTCCAGTGGTCATCACCGAGTGCAGTTTTCTATACGAGGAGCACAGGGCGCAGGCCGACCGGACAAAGCATACCATATGGAGTGATTTGGAGAGGGTAGTTCGCAAATGGCCCTCCACAACGTTTGTCATTACGCACTTTAGCCTTAGATATAATGGTGAGGAAGTCAATCGCTTCTTTAGAGAGATGGATAATCCTCCATGTAATATTGTTGTCTGGGAGGATGGAGGAGACATATAGAACCGGAGCCGTCCTTGCAAAAAAGAGGAAAGTGAATAGACACTTTGTCCGATCATCAGTCTCCACACCCTACTCGTGGTTGTTGTTATGAATTACTATACGTCATTCTCTGGTCTTGTAAAGTCAACCAACTGGTCTCATGGCAACTAGCACAACAGCCGCAGATACAAAGCTCCGTAGATTGGTTGCTTCATCCTCACAGACGGTGTATAGTGTGCGACGTATCGCGCTGACGCGACAACATTATTGGCCTACAGTGAGCAAAATCTCAAGCGCCATTTTTGTCACCACAAATCTTGAAATATTTGCTTGGCACGGCGGGCACATCAGAGTTCATTGTATACCCCTAACTAAGTCGAAGGTGTCATCTCAAATTCAGCCTCTACCCTGACATCTTCACATCCAGCGACCCCATATCCAAGAAGTCGTACACGGCTTGGGCACTAGTGACCATCTCTGTCGCCTCCTTCGCGACTGGCTTGACTCCCCGCGCCCCCAGCACTTCGGCGCGGTGCAGCATGCTGCAAGCTGATGACCACTCGGAGATCTTCTCGCTCATGTAAGGTGGCAGTCCCACAAAGGGATTGGAATCGTCCTTGGTCAGGATGATGTCGCGTACAATTTCAAAATTCGGGTTGGAGTACATGTTGGCTCCAAGCCACGTAAAGAAGCCGTGAATGACGCTCTCAAGTGCGCCCACGACCCACGCGTGGTGAGGACTAGCAGCTTCGCCGGCAATGATGACATCGCCACACGTCTGGATGATCCTGCTCCACATGGACTGGAACTGTTGAGGCCGGAAGAAGGCGAATGCTCCCGCCGTGTTGCAATCCTCGGACCAGTCGTGAGCATGGTGCTCGACCCAATTCCTGCGAATGAGGTCGGCAACCTTGTCCTCAGTAACATCATCATTCTTGTGCAGTCTCGCAAGGTCACGAATGAGGAGCTCCTTCAACTGCGCATCCTCCGAAGGCTTATCGGAGAACAGTGACGCCAGACGCGAGGAGTCCTGCTGCCAGGTGTAAGAGCACAGCAAGACTGCCGTGGAGCCCTCCTTGTCGTAGATATTGTACGAAGGGTACACGCACGTGCGGACTGAGAGGTCAGAATGGCCCAGGCCGCCGTGCTTGATGTTGTGGCCCTTGAGATCGTGGATCCACCACGCCCGCTTGAACTTGATGGCGATCTTGGCGGCCGTGCCGTATCCTAAGGAACGAATGGCCTGCCTGGTGGGATATGTGAGTCCAGCGTCGCGGAGATCCATGTGCTGGAGGCAACCAAGCGTGGTGGTGGATATGACGGCATCGTAGGTGGTCACATCGGGTTCGGGAGTGCCGTTTGGAACCACGATTTCGACTTCTCTGATGTTCTTGACTCGAATTGCAGTCACTCGGGAATTGTATCTGACCTTCCTTTCGAGCTTCTTCTCCATTTTCTTGGCCAGTTGTTGCGCACCGCCGAGAATGCAGTACCATTTGACATTGGGTTCAAAGTCAAAGTCCAGCGACTCGAGGACGGTTTCACTGTGGGCCTGATCATACCAATTGGTTCCGCTGATGCATTTTAGAAGACGTTTTCGATGCGGCTGGTATTTAACTTACCCATTGAATGTCTCCAACCACTCGATAGTGTTGTAGTTGTATGGTGGCGGCGGGAATGGTCCCTGAGTTTTCATGTGTTCGAGTTCAGGGTGTTCACTGTATTGGGTCAGACAAAGAGCTCACTTCTCAGAGATGGTTGAGGTCGACTTACGTTGCCAAGAACTGACGGGTACTGTACTTGTCGTACGACATGAGAAGGTCCCAGCCCTTGTCACCCCCAGTCCTGAGATCCTCCTTGAGTTGCTCTCGAACGACTTCGGTGAGTTTGGTCATGATGTCGTCTGGTGCCTGCGCAAAGAGTCTATCTCTTGTTAATTCACCCGCTAATCTCGCACATTTTAGAGGAACATACTCTTCGGGGATCTCACCCCCCGTATTGATGCAGAAGGGGTCTTTGGACTCCCCTCCTTGCTCCTGGACAACGGCGTAGTCTTTACCCCATACCGTTTTGTTGTTGTAGCACCACGGCTCTTTGGCTTTCTCGGTCCCGCCGTTGTTCATGTAGTAGGGAATGAGAGACCCATTCTTAGCGTCGGGCTTGGACTTGAAATCGACCTTTTCCATGTCGAGGATGCCAAACAAGGCGAACGTCCTAGACTTGTTAATAAATGCATCGGGATAGAGCAATAGAACCGTAGGGAGGGACTCACCGGGCCATGACAAGGTTATCGGGAAACCTCATGGCACCAACGTCGTAATAGTCATGGGTCTCTCGTTGTCTGCTGAAGTTGTGGGTGTACAGGCGACCTCCGACCCGGTCTGGACCCGCTGCTTCGAGGATTTCATACTCGAACCTCAATGGATTCTTGCGAAGCTCAAGCTGCTTGTTAAAGTAGTCCAGCATCATGCCTGTAAACAGACCCGCTGCACCAGCCCCGACAACACCGAACTTGACAACATTGGGGTCTTTACCCTTGGGAGTCTCAATGGCGCCACTACCCTTTCCTTGGAGGGGAATTGTCGGAAGCTCAGACTCAACTGGTTCCTCTGGGATGGGAAGAGACATTTTCTCATGGCCAGATGCATGGCGGAGATACTCATGGACAGTACCCGTGAGGGCATGGTAGCGAGCCCATTGGTACTTGAGCGGAACATCTGATTCGATATCCAGAAACATGACGGAGGTTCTTGCTGGCAAATAGGTCTGGCTGGGTGGAAGTTTGTAGTGTAGCAGTGCCTTGAATCAGTATACAGTCTCGTGGGTTGAATTGGTGCTTTTATTTATCGTCTTCCTGCACTTCAATTCGAACGCCCACAACTACAAACTTTACCTTGCCGATTCAAGATGTAGCGGTGAAGTCAAGACAATACGCCACCCGGTCATTGAGCAGTGTCTACGATGCAAAAGCGTCTGGTGGCGTGGCTGAGTTCAGGTCTATACGCTCAGATAATGCATGTCTAAGGTTAACGAGTGATCTATCTGCAATTTTAGAGGGGTTTCGCTGCAATAGATGCAGTTAGTCTAGCTTTGTCGAGTCATGAGTGGCACACCCGTGACTTGATAAGTGACACATCGGACTTGCCCTACATATATTACATATTTTAGAACCATCTAGAGCGCAAACTCGGATTCTTCCGAGCGGGGTTGCGTACTCCTTACGCTCAGGCAATGCGTGTCTAGGACTACTTCCAACTATTGATCTAAGCCGCTACGCTAGTGACTCGGCTAAATAGTTCCCGCTGGCTCTCAGCCAGCCACAGGCCGTCTCCATTGTTAGTGACCATCATGTTGTAAGACGTGTGCTCACTCTAGGCCGCGCAATAGGTGTGATAGCTTGCTTCGGGCATCAACCTCGGGCTCCGTCAGCATTGGCTTTCCTGGAAGAGTCGAACCTGCATTCCGCCTATAGATTCCGATTGGCAACGCCCTTGAAAATGGCTGGCAGACTGCAGGAGAGAATATCCCTTTCTGAAACAGGTGGGGCTACACTCGCATTTCGTCTCATCATCTATTCGACAGCACTTCCCCTCACTTGAAGGCATTGCACACCGCCATTGTCCCCGGATTTTCCTCATCGTTACTGGAGCTATTACCTGTATCAGCACTCTAGGCAACTTGGCAACCCTGCCAGTACGGCTAGCTACTATGCACCTTTGTCCTAATGCCCAAGACCTCCATGTTATCGTCCCCTAGCTAAGTTGTCACTGCACTTGTGGAGATTTACTGAGATGCAGGTGGTTGACAATATACATATGAGGCTGCTTTAAAAAGCTACATATAGTCAAGTCGAATAGTAAGCTAAATTGTTGAAACAGAATGCGATGTAGAATTTATTAGTCAAGTTAATTCCCTATTAATGGCGAAAACTGTAAGGATAGGAGCGGTGTGCCCCGTGCCGAAGGGGCGAGCGAGCCCTCGGTCTCTTACAGCTGGACGCTATTGCTGGAAGCCTATCCTACTACCTAGACTCATGCAATTATCAAGAGGTTAGGGTGCTCTAGTATACATATACCCAGAGGGGGGACTAGAAGATCAACAGTTAAAAAAAAAACACCAACAATAGTATCAACAATAACCCATGCAATTATAACAGTTAATATTGGGGAGAATACGAAGAATGCAAACAATAAATCTTTCAAATGCAAGATTTCCCAGGGCGATACTGTTAAGCACTACAGAGTTTAGAACAGCCGGCCCTACTCGCCAGCAAAAGTGTTATTAAAGTAATAGCTCTGTCCATAAATTTGGCTGCGTATGTCTTTTTTCGTCTGTAATTGGAAGTACACGTTTGGTCTCGTCTTAGCTACCTCGGCAGTTTTTGTAGCCATTATTCTATTCTTACTGGCAGCTCTCTTCTAAAGCACTGTATCGAGTGTTCACTGAAGTCTGCAAGCACACTCTACCTTGCGATGCAGCGGCACTTCACTTGTGCCTCCTTATCTTGCTGTTGGCAATAATATCGTCTGTCTCTTGGGTGTGTTTGCACTGAGCGCGTCGCCGACTGAAATCTAGTGATCTCTGTACCCATCACTTAGATATTTTATGGACCTATCGTATGACGCAGAGTAACATACGTTATTCTCATGATAGTTGGAAGATTACAGTACGGCGTCTGGCTGTCCCTTTCGAAAACCCGCTGCGATTGCAACCCAGCTAGCAAGCGAGTTTCGATTCTTAAGAAGCACGACTCGAAATCTAGCTCTAGGAATTCAGTGCACGAACTGGACAACAATCACGGATCGAAATTCTGCGACTTGATCACAGACAACCAGAATTCACGAAGATGTATCTGCGAGAACACCGGCAGGTGGAAATGCACAACCAGCTTCTGAGAAATTCGGAATTCGGCTCCAAGTCCTGAACGGCCAAAATCTCTCTATCCAGCGTGCATCGTCGGGTTGGAATGGCAGCTGGTGGTGAGATCAGGTCCTTGGTTGCCGCATTGGCTGAGAGCAAATCCAGCGACTTGGATGATTCTGGACAATTTCAGTCAGCACCGTTATCGGGCCGATCTGTGGGACTCCTGGAAAATGAAAGTCGCCAAGACGGAGTGAAAGGTTCTTGGCGCCTGGGAAGTGAGTTGAACCTTGCACAAAGTGGAACGTCACCGCGTTGGAAAAAGCGCCCTAAAAAATTCGGAGATTTCTTGGGCAAGATTTAAACAAGACTGTAGCTAGATTGGGCTGGCTGCCGGGCCCTTTTCTAGCAGATATTATCTTGGAGGAGCTAATAGGCACTTATTGTCGCAGTAGACCGTCTTTCTACAGCACGTCACAGGTTCACGCTATTGCGTTGTTACTCACCACCCTTGCTAAAGCGATATGTCGTGCCCCGGCCGCTCCCTATCGTCTTATCAAAATGGCTCGTTGACATCGGCTGATCTAGATAGCACAAAAACTATTTAATACTGCGTGAGGCGACTACTTTGACCAAGGGGACAGTTTTCATCTCGCGGAACTCACAATGGACTCCTTCTCGATCCGGTCGCTTATTTCCGGCGCAATTTTGATCGCTGGGCTTTATTTCGCTCTACGAGCCGAACGTCCTCAGCACAATGTCGAACTTTTGACACCGAAGATATTCATTGTTAGCTTGGTACGTAAAAGATCTCTCTGTGCGATGATGACAATCGCTTCACCAGGTGACGTGGCCAAAATCAAATCTAACACCCGCGGTCTTTAGTTCTCCCTAGAGGCTGATGTATGGCATGAACACCTACCTGGCAGCAGCCTGGGGGACATACTGGCGCAGAACATCTCTGTCCCAGGTCTAAGTCCTCAATATCCATATATCCATTGTACTTCCGATGGCAACATCTGCCAAGTCACGACGGGCATGTCTGAGATAAATGCCGCAACTACCATCGCCGCAGTCATTCTGTCAAGACAATTCGATTTAAAGAACACATATTTTCTACTGGCAGGCATTGCTGGAGTTAATCCAAAGCACGGATCCCTCGGGAGTGTCGCCCTCGCTCGATTCGCCATCCAACCCGCTCTACAATATGAGATCGATCCGAGGGAGATGCCGTCAGACTGGAAGACAGGCTACTTCTCTTTCGGAACCCATAGTCCAACCGAGTACCCAACCGAGTTTTATGGTACTGAAGTTTTTGAGTTGAACGAGGCTCTCAGAGACGCCGCATTCGACTTCGCCTCCAAGGCAACGTTGAACGACACTGCCGGCGCTCAAGAGTATCGATCCAAATACGAAGCCGGATGTCCTGACTATGACGCTGCAACGAAATCGCCCTCACTGATAAAATGTGATGCTTTGACGAGCGACGTATTCTTCTCGGGGAATCTCCTTGGTGAAGCGTTTGAGGATGTGACGAGTCTTTGGACAAATGGGATGGGAACGTACTGCATGTCAGCCATGGAAGACAATGCGATCCTCGAAGTCCTAGTTCGGTTTCACGCCCACAAACTAGTCGACTTCAATAGAGCCATCCTTCTACGAACAGGTACTTGAACCGCTGCTCTCTCACATGAATAGTAACGGCTGACTCGGAGACCAGGTTCCAATTTCGACCGTCCGCCACCGGAAGTGGATGCTTTCGCTCATTTACGAGGCAACCATCTAAATGGGGTTGATATTGCCGTGGCCAATATTTACTTGGCTGGAATAGAGATCCTGAAAGGTATTCTTGGTGGTTGGGATGACACATTTCTGAATGGAATCGAGCCTTCTAATTACGTGGGTGATATTCTTGGCACCATTGGAGGAGTGCCGGGATTTAAACCTGTACAGGTGTCAGAGCCTTAACTTAACTAGATGCGGAGATGGCGTTTGGGTCAATAAAGTACAGCGCATCTCAAGACAGCAACGATGATCCCCTCATTGGGCCTGTGAAAGCCTGAACTATGAGCCCACTCTTGTGTGTGATTTTGGCATTTTAGATGAAAGGATGAAGTATACGATTCGAAAGACTAGTGTAGCGACAAATAAACGGGCCGTCATTGGGAAGTTGTAGGCCCGTCATGGAGAATAGCAAAAGGGGGCAGTCAGGCCAGTAGCAAGGACAAGGTCGCCAAAGAATCGAAGCCGAGGCTCACGACACTCCAATTCTCCTCCTGGAGCCACTTCGCACCATCAAGGTAGTTTTCGAAGGAAAATTTTGGACCACACGGTGCAGCAACGATCCAACCGAGAAGTCTGTGGTGCACGTTTTGACCTAGATCCTGAAAGCGAACAGTGATACGACTGCAGATAACCGTTAGACACCCTACACCTGATCACTACATGATGAAAGGCTCCAATAATCCCCTTCCAGTGCTCTGGTGGTCTAGGTCTTGTCCCAGATGGCGCATTGGTACTGCGAGGGGCGAACGACACGATAAAACGACCCGTAAATGTTGAAAAGCTAATGGAGGGTAATTCCATGGTACATGTGTTTTAAGTTTCAACTATCATTGGGCATCATCCACGGGCGAAAAACAAGACGATGTGCCGGCTGGAGAGACACGTGTGTCTGCATGTTCAAAGTCTACCCTTGGGACCGTTATGGACACCAACAGAATCAGCAGAATAAACGGTATGGCCTTCTCTAAGTTTCCTCGCATATATCCTATCTTGCCGAGTTAATTTGGTAAGATTTTTCCCCAACCGCTTATGTCACCTCGATGCTGTCTAACGCTCCCTCCCAGACACTTCTCAAGGTTGACTACAAAATGCTTCTGCTGCCCACTCCCCGCATCATCTGCGTCGACCAAATCTTCGACAGAGCATAGCCGATCTCAATTTTCTTTTCTTCGTGGCCGTGGGGGGAAGCTCACCAACCAGGGCGTCTTGACCAGAAGACCGCCAGACAAAACCTCACTTGACTAGAGGCGTCCAAACCTCGGCCGAACCGTCACCCTTGGAGAGAATTCTCGGTGAAAGGGATCAAAAGCTAAAATGGAGCTCACGACGATTCTCAAGATCGCCTTTTGGATGCCCATTACTGTCGTATCCGCTCACTCACCCGCGCTCCGGAATGGCCCGAAATGGATATCGAGCTGGAAAGACCCAAGGATATTCCCAGCACCGGAACCATGCTTTACACCTTCAAAAGTTCCCGAACATCAGGTACATGAGTTCTTCTCACTGTGTGACACGTGAGAATACAGATGGCGTTATGTATTTGCTAACAACTAGGAAGGAATTTTTCGGCTGCAAGGCGAAGCATGCCGTTAATGAAAAGGGCCATTGCACACCGAACTGGTATCGCCAGGTGAGTAAAGCGATGTATTTCTGGATGAGATACATGAGTGACACTTTATCTAGTGCGAAGAGTACTGCGAGTCGTATGTGGAGTGGTGGTATGGCCCGGAAATGCGTTTCAATCAGACCCGTTGTGGTCCGAATCCTTGCAGACTCAAGCCAGGGCTACCAGTTGAAGTAAAATTGCCAGAGTGGACATCCCAAATCACCAATAGGACCTTTTCGATGGCTAGTAACTTCAATTACTGGACGCCTAATACAACGGCATCGAGTTACGCTTACGAAAAGCCTAATGAGCTGTTATATGAATGCGGTTACTTCGCCTTCATCCCATACATGGTCAAGTGAGTATTGTCCTTACCAAGAACACATCTAGGCAGCCCTAACAAGATTTTGTAGATCTTGTGGAATCACCACGCATGGCAGGGTCGGGCGATTTTGGTTGGCTTCCTGGTGTTCTGGCGTTACACAAGTGGGAGAATGCCGCGAAACTGTCCTCCACAAACCCGGCGGCGAGCCCGATGGAGTCGTCGTATTTGTGGCGACAGATTGCAATTCTCACTTCAAGCTGCGGCCATTCTGCAAACAAGACCCGATCTACTTGAAGGACGGAGTTTCATTTGACCCCCAGCTTCGCAAGGAATATTTGTCGGCTTTCAAAAACGGAGACATGAGCAAAGAGCTTCTCAGAGAAGCTTGGGAAGCATGCCAGGAGTGGTCGCTGGACAAGACCATTGCTAATGCAGAAGATGAGCCCAAGAAAATTGAGCCGGCCCTGATGCGCGAGACGGCATATTAAGAAAAGAATAAGCGACTACTCTAGGCGCTGAATAAGAAAAGAATATTGCTCAGTTTTTGGAGACACTCTTGCTCTATCTCATAGAGTCGACGGCTGCTCTGAATGTGATAATCCGGTGTTTCCAACGCAAGCACGCTTAAGGTCACAGGATAATCTCCCGGCATGGTAAGCAAAGACACAAGTTGGGTATACGGATTGTTATTTGAGTTATGACTCCATCATCCTACGACGCCGTTTGAGCCAACGATCCCGCCAAGTAATCACGGCATCGCTGCAAAGGCTGAATCACCTTCTGGAGCATGTCGTGCCTCCACCTCTCAGGCTGGGAACTCCGGTTTCCTCCCAAACACCACCCTACGGCCTCGGCATAATCCGGCCCTGCCTCCTCGTTTACTTGACACTGCCAATTACGGGCCGCCATGACATCAAACACGGCCTTTTCCCTCGCATCCCCTCCAGCAGGCCAGCTCTTCCTGCACGCTTGCTTCTCGAGAACGTTCCCAAAGCAGAGCTCCAAGAGAAGGATTCCCAGATGGTCTAGAGAATCAGTGACATTGTCTCCGCGTTTTGCAGATTCCGATGTCGTCCCCTCGGGACCCGTTGAAAAGTCTCGATTGATGTGCGGTTGATCTAGAACAAAAACGCCTGATTTGGTGAGATCGCCGAGGAAAAGAATGTCCGTCTTTCTGAAAGGGGTTGTCATCCAAGGAGATTCGAGGAGCTGAAGAAAGGATGAAGCTAGAATCAGCGAGACGTTGTACCGCTGCGTGCGCGTGGGCTGAGAGATAACACGACCGTCCAGAATCTGGTCAAGGGTCACGGATGGAATAACTTGCACACTCTCGCGGCTCACGGTATACACATAGTATCGGCAGTTGTCGTCTGAAAGATAACCGCAACATGATCCTTCAGACTGTTCAAGGGCGGTGCAGAGGTTGGATATTGGCTGGTTAATGCTGTGAACAAGGGTGGTTTCCACACTTGTAAAGGTGATCGAGGGTAGAGGCCTAGCACATAGTTAATCTCAAGTCATACACTACTTGGTTTGATTCACCAACTTTAACAACGAAACAGTGGTTGTACTAGTTGTTGTACTAGTTGTTATATTGCCTTTTGTTCGTAGCGCAGACTTAAGGGGAGTTTTGTGATGATGGCGGTGCGCCGGATGTGGTCGGAGCGGGATGTGCTCCAAAAGGGTCGTGCTCTGATGCATTGTCGCCGATACAATGTCATTGCCCTCGGCGATCTTGGTTTTCTGTATCTCCCATTGCGAAGAAGTGAAGTTTGTAAACGTAACTTGAAATTCGGGCTTTTTGCTCGTCCGGTGCTGGAGAAGCAGCTTCGCTCCATGTTGCTGGCATCGACAGTTCCACGCCGAGGCCAGCGCTTTGAAGACGTCTCTGGCTTGGATCCAGAAGCTGCAAATGGCTGCATCTATAGCAGCACACTGCGTAGCCGTGGTCCTTTGCTGTACCAAGAGCATGTCCTTGTCACTGGAATCCAACAGTTTCTCGAGCTTGTCGTTGTAACTTTGGAGCTCAGCGAAGAGTCGCTTGCGGTTTGTTTCGCCGTTGCTGAATTTTAACCTGTAAATTTGGAACGCCCTTCCTTCTCTTCCGAGAGCAGACTTGAGGCCGGCAGCATTGGTTGGGATTTTCTGCGACGATGTGAGACTTGGGATGGTGTCGGCATCTTTGTGTGAATTGGTTCCCTTACCGGAGTATTGACTTTTGTTTGGACTGACTGGGAGTCAAACGCAAGTTCCTTGTGTATCTCCTTCATAACACAGTCCATTCCTTCAATGTATTCAATGTACAATTCGAAGGAGTCTTGAAGACGCTTCTCCAAAAGGTCGGCAACCAAAGGCTCCTTCCAGCTGTCTCCGCCAGGATCAGCTAGGAGTGCCTCAATCCTGTCATCGTCCACCACCAAGGGCAGCAACAAGTGCCTCAGATTCCGCTTAAACACTAGTCGGTGGAATTCTAAGTCATCCCGGCATTTCTTGTATTGCAGTCGGATGTGACGGAAGAGCCCCAGCCGGGTTGCCACCTCGCGATATTTCTCGAGAGCGGTGATGGCGAGCGGGAAGGCCCCGAGAACGAGTCCGGCTACTTCAAACCCAGACATAGCCAAGGGACTTCAGCGACGAGGGTTTATTGCGGAAGCTCATTTGCTGAAGTGGCTTCAGACGGGAAGAATAAATAATGCCTCTCGAGATGCAGAAGATGTGCTGACATTTCCCAAGCTCAGCCTCGTCGCGTCGCACCCTTGCCCAATTGAGATTCATCCACGTGAGCCCATGTGAGGGGTAATTCGCTCATCCAGTAAAAATGCATCGATAGACATCAAACGCGACCGTCAATCTCACGATCAGACAAACGCTGGCGCAAGCAGCCTTCCCATCAACCATGGCAGACTCGGAGCAGGCGCAAAGCATCTCGAAGAAGAGTCAGCAAGTTAGACGATCCTTCTTGGATCTGATATCATGCATGAAGGAGAAAAAACATGATATAAGCCCGTCGCCCGCAGAAATAATAGACGCCCTGGAAAGATTCACGCTATGGGCTAGGAATTTAGGCGCAATGCATAGCCCGACGGCGAAATTGTCGCTGGATCATCGCCTTTCTGCGGCACACGATATTCGGCAACAAATATGTCTACAATTAGACGAGGTTGCTACCGCACTTGAGGACTGTAAGCTCTCCTATCTATGATATGCTGTTTTATTTTCATGTTCTCACAAAATTGTACAGTGATGAGCATCGTTCAAGGCATCAGTCCAAACCGGGACATGGCTTTCGACATGGATATCGAGGTTGAAGATGTCGACGAAGAGAGCCTTGAAATCGATGGCTTGGAGGACGAAGATGCAACCATCGAACCATTCGACGAGGCCCATATGCTTATCGAAGTCATCTCCGAAAGCATCAGTTACCTTTTCCGAATAGGAATCCTGGTTCGGAAGTCAACTCCCCGTGATAGGTTCAAGCGCGCACTCCAGGCATCAGATCTAGCATTCCCCGCCTCATTCGATGTGGATTATGTTAGACAGAAGCACCCCAAAATCAGAGAGGGCTCTCTGCTAGGACGTCTCGGCGGTGGTATTGCGAAACGAAGGCAGTTTATCAGATACTGCCGAGACCACAGAAATCGACTGGGGGCTGATGATCTTGGAGAAGAAGGAAAGCTTATTGATGCCCGCACTGAACATTCTCAGAGCAAAGCAACCACGTTTTTACCACAAAAGGTGGAAGAAGTAGAGGACGACGCCGTTTCATTCATGAGTGCTTCGACCGCCACCGAGTCGCTATCAAATCTTAAACTCCCCCTCTTAGCCGATCTATCCAACAACAACGAAGCCTTCGAATGCCCCATATGCTTCACCATTCAGTCATTCCAGACTGAAAGGTCCTGGCGGTATGTAATTCGCCCTGAACCCAGTCGGTTTTTTCTTCTTGTCCTAGGCTAACTAATGTGGATTTGCCTTCAGAATCCACGCCTTCCGCGATCTGAAAGCCTACCTATGCACTGTGGGAGACGAAGAATGTGACGCTAGATTCTTCGGAGATCGTGACACCTGGTTCGAACACGAATTAAAGGAGCACCGAGCTCGATACACCTGCAGCTTGTGTGGTCATGGGCCGCTAGGGCCGAAACAGATACGGGCACATATCCAAACAGCTCATGGACCGTTTTCTGACGACCAGTTACAAATGCTTCTGGACGCTGGACGAGAGGCATTGACAAAAATCAGAGCCAAGGATTGCCCGTTTTGTCATGACTGGGAGGATGCCCTCCGCCTTAGAACCAATCCAGGAGGGAAATCAACTCTTCCAGGGGAACCCACACAAGATGTCTTTGTCAGTACGACTCGATTCAAGAGACATGTGGCTGTGCATCAAGAACAACTCGCCATCTTCGCGCTTCCGCGAGCAACCGAGGAAAATGGGACTCGAGAGTCGGCATCAGATGGCCATTCACACTCACATGTCCTCTCCGTGTCCGAAGATGATGAAGCTATCGAAAGGGGAAAGTCATCGCATCTGGATATATTCTCATTGCAGCTTGAACAGGATACAGCGGAGACTCGACGGTCGCTGACTGGTCGCTGGCTGGAGGATCCAGCTACTTCAGCGGTGCCCCCCGAGGAGGTTTCCGGGGAGGATTTCCGAAAGCGAGTTGAAAATGACAGAATAAAAAACGAGGAGCGACTTGAGACCCTTCGCAAGGCTGAGAAGGAACGTGAGCAGACGCACGAGAAAGGCATGAGAGCCGCTGAAGAAACCCGGATGCGTCTCGAAGCAGCCCTCAAGTTGGCCGGGATCGGGGCCAAGCCAGAGGCAACCAAGACAACCCAGGAACAGGTTGTGAAGGAGGTAGTTCCGCAAGAGCCAGTAGAAGGCGACGCGAGAGTCAGGTCCGAGACCGAGCTGGAGGCTGCCGAAGGAGAGGGAGAGAGGGCGACTAAAGGGCAGGCCGAGGTCGACTCCAGGAGAGAGTTAGAAGCGGACCTCAACCCTACGCAGGAAGGGAAGAAGAAGGAAGAAGTTCATGCTCGAGCTAAAGAAATACCCCGGATCTACCCCAGGACGGCCTTCGATGACGAGGACAAGGCTAAGAAGGACCGCGACGAGGAGGCCCAACGTCAGCGATTACGCGAGCGTATGACCGGCATGCCCGCTCCATCTCGTCCCAATGCCAGAAACGCGTATAATTTTGATTGGCCAGGTATACCCATGAGAGACGAGACAGGGCGCCGTGTCAATAGCAAGGAAGCACAGAGGGAGAGCACGCCGCGCCGCACTCCTGAGAAGGTGCTCACAGAGGCTGCCCGCCAGCGGCTGGCAAAGCGCTTTGAACCCAGTAAACAAGACACTGTTAACCCTGAGGGCCGACGGCGCCGTGTACTCTATGACGACGGCACATATCGCTGGGAGGAGCCCAAGGAGGATGAGGTCGACAACCAGCGGCGGGAGAATACGGTTATCATGCCTGAACCTCCACGAGCCAATATTGGTCGCTCACGCGCCTCCGCTTCCAAGCGACCGGAAGAGGTTCCCATCGACGATTATATCCCCGTGCTTGTGCGCCCAACAGAGCGTCTGCGCCGTACCCACGATGAAGAGACCCGGGGCGAGAGGAAGGAGCCTACAGAGGCCACCGACCGCGAGCGACTGGTGGAACGCTTTGAACGTAGACCCGGCGATGTTGATCCGTGGGGTCCAGGACGCCCAGTCCGGAGCCAAGATAAATCACAAGATCCACAAGATCAGACACCCGCTCCTGACGAAGCCTCCAGTCAAACTACATACAAACTTTCCGATCTCCCAGATCAACTCTCCGGCGACGACGCCGACGAGTCAGACCACCCTCAGGGCAATTTCTCAAGAACGAAGAAGAAGCGACCCGCAGTCTATATTAACGGCCAGAGGGTTTTGGACATAACGCGCAGTGAACGTAGCCGCCGCGAGCGCGTCGTGATAGTTGACGGGCCGCCACCCACAACTCGTGGGTTTGACAAAATCCGACCTCCGCCCCCTCCGCCAACTACTCTCAGTTCAAACTCCGGGATGCCCAGGAATTGGCCCGACGGAGACGACAACGATCGAGGAATAGCCTCTCGACGCGCAAGAAACGACGATGAGATTAGTCGTCGTCTAGAGTACCGAGAGGAGCAACGTCAAAGGGAGAAGCGATTCCGGGCTCGCATTGCTGAGGCTAACGCTGTGATTGACAGCCGACCTGCTGTACCCCGAGCCCCTACGCCTAGGCGCAATGCCGAACAGGAGGAAAAGAAGGTCCTCCAAGGTGACGAGTCCGCCCGCTCCAGCAGCGTCACCACGTCGGATCTCCCTATTTCGCGTCCGTCGGCACCTCCACCACCCGATTATCAAGACTATCGCCAACGCTTCCCGTCACTTGCTCCGCCACCGCCTCCCCCTCGAGACAGCGATTCCCTTCGACCTTTACACTTCGAGATGCCGCCTCCTCCACGGCCTCCTACGCCGCCTCCCAGGTCCGGCCCCGGAAAGCCAGAGGGTGAGAACAAGGAAACAGAATGATTCGAAGGCAAGATGAAGATGGCTCAAGAATCAGCCAAGATTGAGAGAGTGTTTTCAATACAGGGCGAACAGTAGCAGAAATACAGCCAAGGGATTGAATAGAGGAAGAAGACAGGCATCCGAGAGCTCCAGGGCGTGAGAAGGAACCTTGTACTTGAGTGAGAGGAGCAGCTGAACAGCGAGGCCAAAAACTCTCGTCGACTAAACAAGTCTAGAGTCGTAAATCCTCTCAAGGTGAAGAGGATAAACCGGTTGACAGTTGGGTAATGGATGGATGCCGTCTCTTGGGTATTTATTTTAGATGGATTATATCAGTTGGCGAGACAGATTCGAAGTGCGCGCGTAGTTTTGCCACTTAGACGAGGGTGGAATAATTGAAGAGAACTATATCGTCATAAGTAAGCCAGAGAAAGATGCAAAGCATCTCATTCAAAACCCTTCCATCCTTTGTATTACAGTTTCGAATCCCTCTCTTCAATCTTCCTCATTTCCCTCACCTCCTTCCTCAAAATCTTCCCCGACGGGCTCCGTGGCACGGCCTCAATGAAGCGAACGCCGCCCCTCAGCCGTTTATGGTCTGATACCTTCGACCGCACAAACTCGACCAAATCATCCTCCGATATCTTTCCTTTGGCTAGCGGGGCGAGGACAACGTATGCTCGGGGAACCTCTGTGCCATTCTGAGCGATGCCGATGACAGCTGCGTCGACAACCGCCGGGTGAGATGCGATGAGGCCTTCGAGCTCGGCGGGAGCGACTTGCAGCCCTTTGTATTTAATTAATTCCTGGCAAGGTCAATGACTGTAGCGGGTTACGTCTCGTTGGAACTCGAAATACCTTCTTCCTGTCGACGACGAAGAGTTCGGTTCCCCTCATTTCCAGGATATCTCCAGTACGAAGCCAGCCATCTGATGTGAATGAACTTTTGTTCGCTTCGGGGTTGTTATGGTAGCCTTGCGTGACGATAGGTCCTTTGATGAATGCCTCGCCAGGCTCACCCGGTTGGACATCTTTCTCGTCGTCGTCTACCAGCCTAATCACCCTTAGCAATTACGACACCAGTTGAGCGAGACAGCTTACCTCATAAGCATATTTGGCAGAAGAGACCCTAGACTGCCCATTGTTACTGGCGTCCCTGGGGGAACAATCGTGGCAGCCCCCGTTGTCTCACTCAATCCCCATGTTTGTACCACTGAAGCACTCATTTTCATCTTTTCCGTTGCTGCCTGCTGCAGCTCCCCCGTCAAAGGAGCCGCACCACTGACCGCACTCCTCATATGACGGAACTGATCTTTCACAGCAGGATGCTTTGCAATAGCCATGTAAATTGGCGGGACAGTGAAGAATCCCGTTATACGCAGCTCGCCACAGTAGCGGAGAAAGTCGTCAAACTTGAAAGTTGGCATCCAGTAGACGATACCGCCTTCATAGAAGGGGTTGATGAAATACCCTTGAACACCGGCGATGTGGGCAGTTGGAAGATGCCCGAGGGTTCGATGGTGGTAGGGATTTCCTTTGCGGGCTTCTTCGTCAAATATGGGGCGACTTACTGCAGCCGGCATCGTGGCTTCGGCGACTATGTTGGTGTGAGAAATGAGCATGCCTAGAGATTGTCAGCTGGAAGATGATTGGTGCCTTCAAGGGAGTAGGCAGCCCACCCTTGGGAAGACCAGTCGTGCCAGATGAGTACAGGATGCAAATTTTGCTCTTCTCCAGCTCTCTAGGATCCGTAATTTTTCTCCAGTCAAGGCTGTGTTTTAAATCGCAAACCAATGTCCCATCAGCACTTTCAAGTTTAATCTCTGGGTGGCTGTCCAACACCAGAACATTCCGCTCGGACAACCCGGCGCTCTTCGCTGAATCAACGGCCAATTGTTTTAAATCCCGACTGCAGACAACCAAATTTCCGGGTCCATCGCGTATCTGTCTCGCCAGGTCCTTTACTGTGCTCGCGGGGGAGGCAGCAGAGTAAATGCCATCGGCGGCAATGACGCCGAAGAACAAGCACGCGAGTGCAGACTGGCCAGTCGACACCGTCACCACGACATCTTTGTCTGGGCCGGTAGCACCAATGCCATATGAGTTTCGGAGAAAGTATGCAAAATTCTTCGTCAGGACTCGGGCTTGGGATTTCGTGATGCATCGCTCGGGGTCTCGAGCTTCGGCGTGGAGTGGAGTATCTTCTTTGGCGCGGCAGTGTTCCGAGTCTGGGGATGGTTAGAATAATTAAAAATGCGAGTAGAATGGCGGGTACCGAATAGGAAGGTGAGGAGGTCCAAATTAGGGACTGGGACCACGTTTTCCTGATTGAATATCATCTTCGTAGCTGATGTTGTCGACTGTGGTAACACTGGGACTGATAGTGTTGACGTCAGGCACTCTCTGTGAGCTGGAAGAACCGAAATTGATCTCAGGGTCGCACTTTTGAACGCCAACAAAGATTGCCCAATTGTACGACGCTTCTCTCACCTACAATTCGTCCTTTCGGTCCAATACTATCGACGTATTGACTTAATACCGAGGCTCGGTCAATTCGCTTACCCCGCAATCCAAGATGGATGTTTCCCCAGATCTACAGTAGTCAAGATGCAGAGAGCTTAAGGTGATCGCCGCACACTAATCCCAATGGAGACAGCAATTCGTGTTGAGAGCTGTTCCTCCTTACCGTTTGCGTGCGGATTTACCGAGGGGTGATGAAATACCCCTGGTTCCTGTCCCATGCTGCTGCAAGCTGACAAGCTCGGCAAAAACCTTTTTAAACTGGCGAGTCGCCATTTCAAGCCAAAGAAATCTATAACGTTCATATTTGCGACCTAATTAGCTGAGAGTAGTATCAACACACCCAAAGTGCCCAGGTAAATTCTTCCATAGCAGTTCAAACCTTGTTGTCGTACATTTTACCTCCATGTCCCTCCGCCAACCTATCCTCACATGTACTATTGCCGCAGATCTCTACATCACTCTCCTATGCCGTAACCTTTTCCCACATTGGTCGCCATCACTCGTCACGTCGTACTCGGGCCTCTCCCGTTTCGTTTCTCCCTTCATGTCCCGCACAAGGCAAACCAGGCCGGGTCAATGATCAAACCCCAAATAAAACAGGCACCGGGCGTGGTATCAGACCCTGGCTCTTCGATCGCGGAGCAGCTCGAAATGGGATGCACGCGGAAGGAAAAATCTTTCGTTCCGAAAGGCAAAGCCCGCTTCCTTGTTCAAAAAGCATCAAATTGGGGAATCCGAAACTTCTCGAGATCTATCTTCTACAATTATCAATAAATGTTCCTAGTCTTCGTTTTCGTATGCTACAGAGAGCATATATATCTAATTGCCGATATAGTTACGGTTTAACCGATTTGAGACGTTGAACGAGTTCAACAAGAGGTCCTATAACGCGAGATACATATTCCTCACGGGAGGTTTTGTCATCCAAAGTTGATGAAGGAAGAAAGGAACCTGGGTATAAACAACTTCTGACAACTGAAATATACTCCGGTACCTCCTGAACTCGCGTTTCCATCTCCTGCAGCATCTGTTCGGCCGCCTCTAACTCCGTCGTGTCTGTCTCGGAGCGGTCTGGAATCCGGAGCTCAAGCGGCGTCCCGGTTGATATCTCGACTAAGGCTAAGCCAAGGGAGAAGATAGTTTCGTTCTTTATGAACTTTCGAGGAGCTCTTCTCTTTGCTTGCGAATGTGATGAGCCCTTGGGGAGAAAAGATTTAGATATGTGCGTCAGATCCGCCGGATTTCGGGAGGCATCCGCGCCGAGGAATACAACATCCTGAGATGTCCACCTCTCTGGCAGCCATGGCGTTGTGTGAAACTGAAGGACTGACATCGCGAGCTGGGCTGCTAGTTGGTATTTCTCATGCTGATGCAGCCGGATCGTGGATCGCTGCTGGCTAAGAATGTCAAAGAGAGAACTGAGACTCGCAGGAGTGTCGTGGAACTCTCTTGATACGCAGTGGACATAGTGGCGGAAGTCACTGGTTGGAACGAAACCCAGGCAAGATCCTTCCTTGCCGAGCTTCAACTCCGCACACAGGCATCTGATCTCCATCTCAGTTCGACTTTTGCTAAGACGATCAGGCGAAGAATTGTTCTTGAATTTGACTCTTGCATTTCCGCCACTGGGAGTTTGTCAGCAACCGCATTGGATGGAAGTCCACGCTGAGCCAGCCTTTGACACACCTCTCATCGAGCTCTAGAGCATCGATTTCCATTGAATGGCATTCGAATTTTCGGACAGCACTGTGTCCAGTTGCGGGATCAAAATCTCTCAAGAAGCTCAGATTGAATGCGTCGACTTGAGCATCGTTCCTCAGTTCTAACCTGAACAAAGCATGGTGGGGATATTGACAGTCGCAGCACCACCTTGTTGCCATTGCGTCGTACAAGCTCAACGACCAGTGACGGAGAGACACCCAAGGGATACCGCTGCAGAGTGACGACTTTGCTCGGACAGGCTCCAGCTCAATGCAGTCCTTCACCAGGGATTTGAGTTTCGTATTTTCGTTGGACAGCGTGTCGAGGAGAGCGATGTGACTCTTGTTTAGAGGCACAGCTTTATGCGTTTCCAGGTCTCCTTTCCCCTGAACGTCTTCTTGTATTCATGGAAAAATGGCTGAATCGGCATGTGTTCAGCACCTGTGGCGGCTACAGAGAAAGGGGTCACTCACCGTTAGATCTGTGCCCTCCATTCCGACAACAAGAGACAGTGTCTGAAGACCTCTCGCAATGGCAAATACTGATTCCTTGAATATATGATTTTCCTCGCCAAGTCGATCAAGCAATTTCTGCTCTAGCCCGTCCTTGAGTACTGCCTGCCAAGTCTTGTCGTGGGGCTCGTCGAGAAGTTTCAACAACTCAACATCGTCAACTAGCCCACCCAGAAGAAATTGCCAGGTCCTTCTGAACTGTGCTCTCTCATACTGAAGGCTCCGAATCAAGTCCTTCATCGCCTCTGAATATCGGAAAAACGGCTTTCCAATCCCCTTATAATACTCAAGGCCGCTTATCAAGATGGGCAAGATCAAGGAGCCCGCCGCACTGTTTACTCGAGAACTATCAGATATACGTGTCTTAGACGAGTATGAGAGATATAAAGTGTGGGCGGGTAATCTTGGGGCGCATCATCCACCACCAAAGCGGATATCGCTAGACTACCGACTTCGAGATGTTGCTTTCCACAAGCAAAGAGTTATTGAGGTTCTAATAGATCTTCAAGATTCGTTGAAGAAAGGTACGCACTCATCGCCTCACTACTGTCGGTGAGATCGTGTCACTTATCAATGGCGTTTAAAGCGTTTGAGCTCGTCGAGGGCATGAGGACGCCATGGGAAGAACTTTCTAGCTCATCATCTGAGGATGACGAAGTCACCAACCTTTGCAACGCCCCTTCTTCTACGACCCCTACGGTCGACTATCCACACAGAACCATTTCCCCCCACGAGCAGGCGGAATTGGGCAAGCCTAATGCCTTGGCGACTTTATAGAAGATGAATTTCTCAACACCGGTGCCCCGTGCAGACTCAGCACCGATGCCCTTGGTTCTACGCTCCCTTACATCACCCGATCTTGATGCACCGAATGAGGCGTCTGAGGTCTACGGCGGGATTCAGAGGATGATCTACCATCTCTACCGCCTTGCGAACATTATCAGAAGCTCCACTCAAATAGACCGTTTCGCAAGAGCGGCGAGCATCGATGTGTCCCCATTTAGGTCGTATGACGAACAGCATGTCAAAACCGTCTTCCCATCCACCGCACTTTATCTAAGGAATCGGCTGCTTGCGGCCAATACTCGCAGGCGACAACTCCTACGCTACAATGCTGAGCATCAGGCAAGATTGGCTGGGGGGCAAGATGCAGAGGTAGACCAAGCCGTATCCACAGAAGAGGAGCCTAGTCTACTACCGCCGAGCACTGAGGCGACCGAATTCAAGATGCGTCCGGGTGATGAGGCAGACTTGGACTCGAGCGATACCCAGTCCGTGGCAAAAACCATATCTTCAATTGCCTTCTCCGAAACGACTAGGGAGACCATTCGCCTGCCGGTTCGTCCCCTCGATCAGGACGGGAACCCTTCGACCGATTTCCAGTGCCCAATTTGCTGTGTTATTGTCCATGTACCCAACAATTCAGCTTGGATGTAAGAAGAACAATCCCGACCATCTCCTCATAAGCTAACTCTAGGCTCCTTCAGAAAACATGTGTTCCGGGACCTGGGAGCATATATCTGCACCTTCGAGAAGTGCCCCATGTCTAGCCAGATGTTTGAGTCGAGAACAAGTTGGTTCAACCATGAAATAGACCTTCACCGCAAGCAGTGGCAATGCAATACCACCGGCCACCTGACATACAGCGATGAGTCTGCCTTCAGACGCCATTTGGCAGAGCAGCACAATGACTGGATATCGGGCTCGCATTCTCAGAGCATCATCAACTCTTGCGAGCAGCGGCGAATTCCCAAGTGCACAGAATGCCCCTTTTGCAGAGTTCCGCGGCAAACCTCGGACAACACAAACAGTCGCGACGACATTGGAGATCCGAAAATGATCCCAGCTGCAAAATTGAAACAACACTTGGCACAGCATATGGAGCGCCTTGCCCTATTCACTCTTCCTCGCACCTGCTTCGACCCAGACGATGAAGAGTCGTGTGCGAGCGCAATGCCCATAGCGGGATCGGATGGGTCTGGAAGTAATCTTAGCGAAATTCTTGGAAGTATTGCTTTCTCATCGGATGGCAATCAAGAAGACGCCAAGGAGACTTCCTCGGACACCGGCGCGAAGAAAGCAGCCACCACCGAAGAGGCTCAGGCTACAACCGAGACCCAATCCAAGGCTGAGACTGGGAGAAGAAACTTACCTATTTTAGTGTCACGCCGTGCTAAATGGCCCGACGCCAAGTCCTCTTGCGGGCATGAAATCCAGACGAAAGAAATTGGATGGGGACGAGCATGGCTGGCGCAAGGTCCCGCTATCGAAAATTTCCATCGAGATATCCAGCCACAGGTCGAGACTATCCTTAGTAATGTCGATCTTCAGAACGCCGATATATTTATTCGTGTATACATGATCGGGAAGAGCGAAGAGACCTCGTCCCCGACACTGTTTGTCTGCTGCACCAACCTGTCAGTGGCCCAGCGGGTCATGGAATCGCTACGCAACAGCCCAGTGATTGGCAACTATGCATTTACCGTCGTATCAAACAAATTCCCGCTGGAACAACCAGAGCCGATCAAGCGCCTCTGAGGCGACGCCTGGAAGTACCCAACGGGCTCGACGCCGGCTCCAACTCAGTTGCTACGATCTACTTTTTCGCCGCGTCGCAGCATCCTATCATTAGGAGGAGCCTCACCATACCTTACACCCAGTGCGGTGACGCTTACCAGTGTTCCAGTAGTAGCGTAGTAGTTATGTCCTTCGGCCGCTATTATCGACTGATGGTTGGCCACCTGTGCGACTTCGAAGGCGATATACGGGTGCCTTCATCCCTAGATCCTGATGCCTGTTCCTATGATGGCCAAAGCGCAGTGACTCAGAAGATGACTGCGTTCTTTGGGCAGAATATGGGCAGAGTTATTTGCGAGCTATCTGATTTAGGGTTGTTGGACGCCGACACAGAGACGTGTGAGTCCGACACCGTTAATTACAAAAGCTCAACATGTACGGATTATCTTGTCAACACGAACCTGCAAACTGGCAGCCTCACGGAACCGTAGAAATAAAATAGCAATGGCAACGATGTATTACTCTGTTGTGTCTTGTGAGGTGTTAGTTATGCTGTTAGCGGCGTTCAGCACTCGTTGCCTAGCCAAATCTACCCTCAGGGTCAGTCTGTTGACAATGGCTCCCAATTCTCAAGACCAACAATAAGCAGAAGCCAAGCAAATATACAGCGTCTACACAAGGTGCTGACACATTGGCACATTTATTTGGCAATGTTAGCTCCAGGTTACCCGGGACCAATGGTGGAGAGATTAACCCAACTAGGACTGGACCTCGAGATACGTCAAACTCCGCATCCGCCGGAACCCCGCGGTTCCGCTTTCCGGAGAGCCACAAGGAGAAGCCGGACAACTTCCCAATCTGAACAATGACGTGATTGTCCATTCTAGGGCTGTGCGAAAAACATCCTGGAGGTTGCTTTGCTTACGGAAAATTCCTGCGTCCCCGTTTGCAATGCGACTGCTGATAGTTACCGCCTAATAGATCGGATACTGAAGCTGCGTGGTTACATGGCTGTGTCGTTATGTGGGCTTGATCGGATTTCTAAGCGGCAGGTTGAACCGACCCATTACCAATCCATCCTGAATACGGATCGGACCCAAAGATGTCCGTCGCCGTGGGCATTCCCCTCTAGCTGTACTCCCCTAGCTAGCTACCTTAGCTATAAAGCTTCCTTCTTCATCCCTCCCACCGCGGCAACCTCCCATGACATCTCGCATCACGCAATTGCGGCACCACATCTCCGCCATGGCTGCCAAGACCAAGACCGACATCACCCTCTACACCGTGGGCACGCCCAATGGCATCAAGGCCTCCATCCTGCTCGAGGAGCTCAACCTCGACTACAAGGTGCGGGGTCCTCTCCTTGCTTCACGCCCCCTCTAGTGAACATGTAACACAACGAGCAGTGGATCAACTAAACCCTCGGAAACACAGGTCTACAACATCAAGATGATGGAAAACGAGCAGAAGGAGCCCTGGTTCCTCGAGATCAACCCCAACGGCCGCATCCCCGCCATCACCGACAAGTTCACCGACGGCGAGCAGATCCGCGTCTTTGAGAGCGGCGCCATCCTTGAGTACCTCGTCGACCGCTACGACACGGAGCACAAGGTCTCGTACCCGCGCGGCTCCCGGGAGTACTGGGAGACGTCGAGTTGGGTAAGTGGCCTTCATTTTGACGTGCAGTTTTGAGCAGCGACTGACTTTGGCTTCAGCTCATGTGGCAGATGGGCGGTCTGGGTCCCATGCAGGGCCAGGCGAACCACTTCAAGCGTATGTCTTGGACTCTGCGATTGCCCATGCAAGAATCTCGTAGTTCCTAACAATTCTTGCGCAGGTTATGCACCGGAGCAGATTCAGTACGGCATCGACCGCTACACCAACGAGACCCGCCGCCTGTACCGCACCATGGAAACCCAACTCGCCAAGTCAACATCCGGCTTCCTCGTCGGTGACAGAGTCACCATTGCTGACATTTCCTGCTGGGGATGGGTCGCCGCCCACAGTACGTCCCTCTTTATTAACTCCCCAAGCCTCTCATCTCCCCTCCATTGTCGCATGCTCACAAACACCCACAGAATGGTGCGGGATCGACCTCGACGACTTCCCTCACCTGGAGAAGTGGCTGTACAAGCTCTTGGAGCGCCCAGGCTTCGAGGCGGGCCGCAACGTTCCCACTCCGCACACCGCGTTTGAGAACAACAAGCTGACTGAGAAGGAGCTCGAGGCCAAGGCGGTTTCATCCAAGGCTTGGATCCAGGCCGGCATGAAGGAAGATGCTAAGAAATAAGCGACGACGCGCAGATGTAAAGCAATGAGATTAATGACATGACGAGTAGTACTTATGAGACCCTTATGATGCTGCTTACTCGGAGATTGATGCAATATGAGCATTCGGTACCTATTCACGGCGATCGTTGTGAAGTTCTATTGTAAATCCAGACTAACCTAATACCTGGTTTAGGCTAACCTAACAGTTTAGACAAGCTGAACAATTTAAACTAACCTGACAGTTTAGGCTGATGCTAAACTGTTAGGTTTATCTATACTAACTCGAGACTATGGATCAACCGAACAATACCTCCCCCACGGTCTACAACTACAATACCGCCATACCAACTACCTCACGATCACGCTCACTTCTTCTTCTTCACAACTCCCAGCTGGCTCCGAACCGGCACATTCACCCTCCCCGCAACCTCGGGCAAACCCTCCAGCTCGACGCCCTTCTGGAACAGCATGCAATACGTCGACCCGCCAAAGTGGAACATGCCCGTCTCGTCTCCCTTCACGACGTGCTGCCCTTCGCGGACCGTGATCTCGCACGTACTCACCTCCTCCATGCCAATCGCGATAAACGCCACCAGCCCGATGTCCGCATTGTCCGCCTCGATCACGATGATGCCCCGCGTCGCCATCGCCGACAGGTACCCCTGGGCGCCCTCAACGCCCGTCTCGGAGACGTCCGGCTCGCCCACCTCCTCGGACAGCAGCACGCTGAAGTACGTGCCCTCCTGCACGAAGGCGCGCCGCACCGTCCCCGACACGGGCGCGTGCCACCGGTGGTACGACAGCGCCGACAGGAAGGCCTGGTACACGGTGCCGCCCTCGAAGGCGGACGCGAGGGGGTCGTGGGCCAGCATGTCTAGGACCGAGTACGGCTGGCCCTTGTTGAAGAACTCGTCGCGGAGCTTGACGCCGTGCTGGGCGTGGAACGTGGTTGACTCGCACGCGTTGGCGATGACGCTGTCGTCGTTGGGATGTGCGACGGGGCGTGCAGAGTCGTGCACTCGTCGGGTGAAGAAATCTGCATCTGAAGTAAGCGGGCTGCGTACACATACGACTTTCGGTGAAACCAACCATCCCAAGACTTGAAGCCGTAGTGTTCCGCAGACGGATCGCAGATGTACATTTCCTCAAACTTGAACGACGACTTGTTCGGCGCGTTCGCGACCTCCATAAGATCGGCCATGCCCGTCTTCCCGAACCAACCCAACCGATCATCGCCCAGCACGGAAGCCGATTCGGGAGTCTGGGATCCACGATGCAGTCAGCAACCTCCGAGTTACCACGGGCACGGAATGTCAAACGGAGCTTGCTCACCTGAAGATACTTTCCCCACTCGTTGAGCAGCTTCTTCATCATGCGGTTCACATCCGGGTCCAAAAAGGCTGCATGCCCGCTGCAACCACATCGCCATCAGCATGAGATACTCTCTCTCCCATTGTGTTACATACCTCGGAGTCCCCATCTCGTAGTCGAAAACCGCACACATCGGAACGCCAATCATGCCCACGCCGGCCTCCGCATCAGACCACTGCGGCGCCTGGCTCAGGATGTGGTTGAGCACCTGCAGCATGTGGTGATGGTCCCGCATCTGGGCGGCCACGTTGGACTCGCGCACGTACGGCTTCCTCCGCGAGGCCTCGTCAAACATCTGCACAAAGTACATGTAGATGCGCGGGGTCGTTTCAATGAGCTGTTGGAACTCCTCGATCACGGGAAGGAGTTGCTGCGGGGTCTCGTCGACGTGGGTTATCACGCGGCGCAGGTATTCTTGATGGATGCGGTGGTCGGCTGGCAGCCAAGCCCCGGGTCTGGAAGAGTGGTTTTGTTAGTGAGGTGCTCATTATTGTGCCAAAGGTGGTGGATAGTGAGGGCATCGTCATACTTGTGAACCCGGTGCTCATCAGGTATCGAATACTCGCCGTGCTGCGTAACCATGATGATCGTGCTTCTCAATCAATCTCGACTTGGTCCAGATCCCTTGTTTCTTGTCTTTCCTCCTCACGGTCGTCTCCAACAGCCATTATATCCACACGTCTGACAGAAGCCGTTTATCCGACTTGAAGCCCATAGCCGTCATCGATGACGTCGACCTACCCACACCGACAACAACTCTCAGATCCTCAAGCCCGTGGAATTAACATTCATTCTCACATTGTTCCTGTTTCCCAAGTGCCGTGAGAGCCGGATCGTCTGCTGATGAGCGAAGCAACCTTGTTGCGTAAATCGGCCATCAAGCCTAGTACACCCATAGAAACTGTATCCGGCAATGGATTGCCGTCAATCATGACCAATAGGTCTCAATATATCCACACTCATACACATCACTTCCAAGGCACAGAATTATAGGTCCAAATGTCTTCCTATTCATCTACACCTGCTCCTTCTCTCCAACACGCTTGCAAACAAAAAACTTCCTTCATCAGATCAGAGGGGTATCGTTACCCACCCAGCTCGCCACGGAAAACGGCCCAGCATCGGGAGGACTCCCTTCCCGGGAAAAAGTCCAAGCAAACTCGCCGTTCACCCATCCCATCCCCTTTTGCTTCTCTCTAATCCTCCTCCTCCCTCCAATTCGCTATAAAGTGTGACTGAAGAAAAAAACACCTTGCAAGAAGAAACAAAAGTCGACTGTTTTAAAACAAAAGTGGCAAGCAGAAGTAAACTCAAAAAGTCCACGATTAAATACATACGATGAGGGGAACCCTGGGTCGAGGCTCTGAAGCCTCGCCTGTAAGACTGGAGAGCCAGCCCACCCATCCACGGTCAGTCTATCCCATCGGGGTTTCCGAATGAGTCCCGTGGACGCCGTATCATGGTTGAAAGAGTTGGCTGGGTAGTATCCAGTTCGAGGGTTCGGTAAAATGACTGCGGGAGAAAAAACAAAGGGAACAGCAGTTGCGTCGCTAAACAGGCGGCTTGGTTGGTATGGTATGGTTTGACTAACACAATGGCTGAATGCAAGAAGTCGACAAGGAAATTCGTAACGTCGTCTAGTGTCGTCGGGACACGTCGGGGTGGGTATGTATAAGGCGAGAAGATGGCCGGTCTGAAATCGATTTGCGTCGGTGCCAGGTGCAAGGTGGCTGGGTTGTATGTTCTGGTCGTCTACATGACAACACAGCAGCCACAGCCGCCCTTGCTGTCATCGATCGGCTCCGGGGGGGTTCGCTCTGGGGTCGGTCTCGGGGTCGGCTTCGGTGGTTCTTCTATCTGGGGTGGCGCTTGGGGTGTGACGGGGGTTCTGGGACTAGCCAGAGGCGTGTGTGGCACTTTGTCTGATATCTTGGGCATGGTGGAGTAGGACGAGCCTTGTCGAGGGCTCTTAGCCGGCTCCTTCAAAGGCCATTCATCCTCTCCTGTACGGTTCTCCTCATCAGCTGGCTCAGTCTTCTCCAAATCAAGTGGCTTGAGCATGACGTTGTCATTGAGCGGCCGGAACTCCTTGTCATAGACATCACCAAACTTGCCCTCCTTCTCCCACTTTTCCTGCTGTAGACGTCTCGCCACAGTCGGCAGGAGCTGTTGGTCGGGGGGTAGTCGAGGATCGGGTTTGTAGGCATTGACCAGCCATGGTGGGTCGCCCTCCGGGGCTTTGGTTCCTCCTTGGTTGAGGTCTCCAGATCTAGTCGAGGGTCGGGTCGAGATGCTCCCGTTGGATTCTTTGTTGGAGCCAGATCGAGTCTTTGGTCGTCCTGTCGGGCCGGTTTTGCTCTGCCCGGACGTCTTGCGAACGCTTGCGGCATTCTTCTTCGGGGACACGTCCGTAACGGACCGCCTTGCTCCGGGAATCGTGCCATTCATCGACACGGAGTCGGATCCCTTCATGCTAGCACTTCGGGACCGTGTCTTCTGGTTCGTCAAAGGCGCGTCCTCCTCGGGGCTCTCAGATGCCTTCCACGAAGCAGATCGCTCAAAATGGTCGGTGAACGGCGCGGGGCTTATCTTGGCAACCGGAATTCGTGAGCCAGTCTTTAGGCTGCTCGGGATGGAAGTAAAGTACGCATTGGCCTCCTCCTCTGCAATCTCCTCGGGGGTTCTCAAGTCCCAAGTGTTCACAAGAGGTTCAACGACTGCTGTCGAGTTCTTCCGAGATCGATTAGTGTGCTCCGAGGCATCGGTGTTGCGACGCATGGCGCTGCGGCTCCGTTCTCTCCGCTGCTTGCTGGTGGCCCGCGCACGGGGAATGTAGATGCCAGCTGCTTGGAGTTCCTCATTCTCTATCCGTGCCAGCTTGTCTCGGTGGATCCACTTGGAGTTTTCGTCCACGGGCTGCGTGTGCTCGGAGACGGCGGCTGAGCCTCGCTTGTGGTCGTCTCCGTTTTGGTGGTGGCCAACAGCCCCCCAGGAGCCTTCGTCGATAATCGGGCTTGGTTTCAACTCTGGGTAGGGCGATGTGACATCGTCGCCGGATGTATCCAGTCTCGGTGTGTCAGTCGAGTTCATCTTGCGAGAGGCCAGCTCGATGCCAGAGTGGTACGACGAGTTGATTGCATTGCCGTTGTGGGGAGCAAAATGGCGCCTGTGAGTATCGTCGTGGTGATTCGCGGCGGTCGTGTTCATATCAACATCCATGCCCTAGAGAAGGGAAATCAGTGATCTGGCCTACATAACAGCTGATACGTCCTGGCAGCTGGTGGCTTCCATATTAGATTGACGGCGAAGGGGACGCGACTGACCTCCTTCTGGTGTTCGGAATAGCCCCAAGAATCGCGGATACCATGGCTGCTACGTGGTGGAGTTATGGTTGCGGTGGTGTTTGGGGCGGGTGCCATTGTGGCCATCTCGATGGCGCCCGCAACCCCCTAAATGACGGACAGGAAAACAAGGAGCCCGACAACGGGGCCGGGCGGACAGGGCGGAGACGCGGACGAGATCGTGGAGGAGGTGAGGAAACGGTCGAGAATGTCGATGAGAAGTCGATGGCCAGTCGTCAGCAGCACCAAAGTCGTGGATCGAGGGATCGAGGGAACGAGAGACGGAGTGAGGAGAGTTGTGGGCGGGTCCTGGAGGGGGCGCGACGCTCGACGGAGGGAGCGAGGCACAAGTGAGAGGCAAGGATGGCCGTCGACGAGAAGGGACGTGGCGATGCCGAGGCGCACAGGACGGAGTGAGCGTGGGCGGAGACGACACAGCAGACGAAGTCGCTGGCGATGCCAATTCGTCAGGGCGAAGCGCGTCGGGAGCGGGAGGCGGAAGGCGGGCACGAGATGGGAGGTGAGGATGGGGATTTTCCGAGGTTCAAGGGGAGTTTGGGGAGGCTGGTTGGCTGGTTGGCTGGATGGCGCGGTTGGGAGTTCTGGCACTGTGCGCCAAGCGTGCGGATGGCCAGGGTACTTGCTGCCGCTACCAGCTCTGTGATGGTAGGGGATCTTAGCTTGTAGGTGAGGCCGAAACCAGTAGCAGGCAGGGTGGGTTCACAAGAGTGCACTGGGGGCAGTCGGTATGGGCCTGGACGGGAACGGGGGGCCCGTTCAGTTCAGAACCTCCTTCAGAAGGCCGCTAGGGGCTGTCGCGGCGTCGGGACCTGGAGCTCCCCCTGTAGGCGCCCCGTTATCCAGGGCGCTGCCAGCCTGCGGTCCAGTGATCCAGCGGGCCAACTCCCCACTAAGCAGCGCAGGGTGCGGCGGCGGGGCGAGGTCCCTCGATGGGGCGCTGACGGGGGCTCGGACGGGAGCGGCGACGGTGGCTTGGGGAGATGGAGGTGATGGGATGGAGAAGTTTCGACGGAGAAATGATGGAGAGACAAGAGGCCTTTTTCGCTCCCGGTGCGGGCTACGGGCTGTTGACGTCTGGACGAGCTAGCGGTTCTTCATGATTAATGACCTGGCCTTAGTCCGCCCGAAAAGCCATGGCACGCGTGCCGCGTTTTTACGCTGGCGTGCGGTCGCGGAGTCGAACAACTCGTCGTGCCGATGAATCCAGCGAGACGAGGAGGTGGCGATGGTTACAGCACAGTCCGGGCGTGCATATCATACAGTACAAAAGCATATCGTGCAGCAGAGCATACGTAGTGCAGCGGCTGCGCGTAAGAGATGCATCATCCACGGCAATGGATCGCTCTCCACTGCCACTATGCAGCGCCCACCGCCCACTGCCGCAGGCCGACCCGCCAATGGGCAGCGCTGTTGCGGTCTGCGTCGAGGGCGCCCCCCAGTCTGTGGTTTCATGCTGATTGCTCAATGGACGGAGCAGCGAAGGAATGGCGCGCAGCCAACACGACGGAGCAGAACGAGTGGGAGCGTAGAAGTGTCCACGGGACGGGGGCGACGCAGAGGCGCAATTGCTACGTCGCAGACACTGGCCGAGAGGAGACGGAATCTACGGTGGCCGTGTGCGGTGGGAGGTCGCATGACAGGGGCTGGATGCACAAATCCAGCAAGCCAACCATACTGCGTACTTTCGTAGGTACCTGGCAGGCCGTTATTCGTATGTGACCGAGACCGAGCGGGACAGGGGACGGGCAGTCAACGTGAGGCGAAGAGGAGAGAGTAGGCCAATGCAGCAAGTTAAAGCAGAGTCTCAAGGATCATCTTTGCTTTTTTTCTCTGCAGGTGACAGCCAGTCGCTGGGGGCTGGTGGATTCGGCCTCGTGCACTCATCCATCTCATCTCCTCTTCTCACACTGAGAAGTCCCGTGTCTCACTCTCTCCATCTTGCATCGTGCTGTCGATATCCCCCTCTGCGAACATTGTCGGCCAGGCCGGCCAGCATGAAGACGACCTTGCAAATGGCCTCACCGCCGTTATCGTCATCTCCTCTCCCTTCATGCAGCAACCGTTGGAGTCACCAGCCGGGCGACACGGGCTATCTATAATGACAATCTCGACATGGGCGGACCGGGGCTCCCAGGCTAGGGATGCCGAAATTAGCTGGTCGTCCAGTCTCCGTCCCGTTGCACTGGGAATGGACCACTCCTTTGTGCACGTCCCTCCAGCCTCATTTTCCCTTGCTCGAGTTAATCAGCTTTAATCAAGTCGAGGGAACACAGAGGAGACAAGAGATGAGAAGCGTCTCGTCTCAGAAATCGTCCAGAAATTCCATCCGACGGGCGTCGAACTGTGAAGAGATCCGGCCCAGCACTAGTAGGAGCCTCCTGTCATCTCAGCCTGCACTATCGTCGCATAGTGAAATCCTCCGTCGCAGTCAGACCAGGACCAACAAAGACTTGGTTGCGAACGGAAGTTTCAAGCTATCCACCACTGAGTCCTCTCCACCACTACGTACCTACCTCGAGACGCTCCCAGGTCTCTACATTCGCACTGTGCCAGCACTGTACTACTTGTTCAGAGCCCGTGAAACGCCCCACAAGCTGTCACGGCACTTGTTTCTCTAGCATCTCGGTTCCAGCCGTCACGTCCCACCCATCATCACCTCCCAGGCGTTGTTTTGTGCTTCGTCAGGCCATCAAACAAGCAACCATTTAGCCCTTGTTATTGTTTCCAACCAGGACATCACCTCCACCACCGCTTCTATACGCCTAGCTCTCAATATTCTGCAGCTACCTCATCGGTCGACATTTCCCTTGTCATCGCTAGGCGCTCTGCAAGACATCTACCTGTAGCACGGTCATCAAGACAATCACATCAAACATTCAACTTTCACGTATTTCTTTCTTCAGCGCCGCCACTCATTTCCCGTGTCGAGATCTTCAAACTGCCTCCGGAGAGGCCCGATCGCCGTGACTCTTTAGCTTCGAAGTTGATGGTGGACCGTCAGACAAGACGGCTAACCGACTCCTCATGGCAGCCTGATCAAGTGAGTCACGTCAGACTCTCCGTCCACAAACATGATCTATCAATATCGCGAGTCGAAATGAACCTTCGTTTCTGGTAGCCAGCCGGATCCGTAGACCACAATTGTCTGAGACATCCCCCACTGTCCCCACGGCCTCGACCACTCCACGACTCACTAGTGTTTACCAAGACACGCGTTTTCATATCGCTCTTATGCAAAGCACCCAGTTTCTGAGACCGTGGCTGAGACATCCATCAGGTGGACACGATGGCGGCCGTCCCCATGCGCAGGAGAACGAGAATTGTCTGCATCTCAGACACTCACAATTGCACAGTGAAACTGCCCAAGGGAGATGTCCTCATCCATGCCGGGGATCTCACGAACCAGGGGAGCCATACTGAGGTACGAGTCCCCATGTATGTTCTCAGTTATTGCCTCGTGAAGAGTCTCTTGAGTCCGTCATTTGTCGAAACCACCAGCTCATGGTTCGTGTCTAGCTTTCCAAGGCTGTCAGATGGCTAGAGCAGGCAGACTTTGAGACCAAGATTGTCATCGCTGGTAAGGTTGCCCTCATAAATATGCTATCCAACCTTAGTTCGAAGTCACTAACACGGATTCAAATCCAGGGAATCATGACATTACTTTGGATAAAGACTTCTTTGCGGAACATGGCCTCTACTTCCACAACAAGAACCCACAGTCTCCCGAAGAATGTCTTTCACTATTCACTTCGTCACCATCAATCACATACCTGAACCACCAGTCGGCCACTATACGTCTGACTTCTCCATCCGGGCCACGCACACAGTTCACCATCTTTGGTTCTCCTTACTCTCCACGCAATGGCCTTTGGGCATTCAACTACGACGCCCCGCAGAATCCCAGCAACTGCGCGGACCTGACGAGTATCTGGGAGCAGATTCCCCTTGAGACAGATATCGTCGTTACGCACACACCTCCGAGGACTCACTGCGATGAGACCAATGACCGTCGAGCTGCCGGTTGCGAGGCTTTGAGGCAGGTCTTGTGGCGGGTGCGGCCTCTACTCGCCGTCTGCGGACATATCCATCCTGGCAGAGGTGCAGAGCGGGTGAAATGGGACTTGAGCTCTCGAAACATCTCATTCAAAGAAGAAAGCGTCCTCTGTTGGCAAGACCCCGGTGAGGGAAACAACAAAATCAGCCTCGTTGATCTTACCGGGAAGAAGGCTCCCACGCTCGCCAACGACGGCTCGCATCCAGGCAGACCCCAGCGGCCGTCGTCGTCAGAGCGCCATGCAGCAATGGCAAGTCCTATTGCCACAACCTCGGCAGACAGCCCGCCATTCACATTCGGTTCCAGTGATGTTGGTGCCCAAGTCTGTCGTAGCAACGTCGGGCTGGGAGGAGATCCTACCTCGCCTCGAAGCGACCAGGCTGCCCTCGCTGGGAGGATGGGCCGGCGAGAGACATGTGTGGTGAACGCAGCCATCATGAAGAAGAATTACCCACATGTGGGGAGCAGGCAGCTCAACAAAGCCATTGTGGTTGACCTGGATCTGCCAATGTGGGAGGAGTGAGGCTTCAGATGTGGTAGTATAGACTTGGTGATGGTGTGGTCGGCTCCTGGTATAGGGTAGGCGCATTCAATGCGCATGTGTAGATGGACAAGTTGATGCCCAACGCAACCTCATGTCAAGTGTGCAAGAACACCTCAATTACAATGCATTTTAACCACACCTATCGGCTCAATTCGTGACTTGGGACAACAGTCTCTGCGGCAAGCCGCATTGAGATCCATTTGGGTTGTGACATTACGTTGCCAACATGTTCAATGGCGAACACCATCTTCCACGTCTCCCACGAACATTGGCGGAATGCGACACGGCTACCCACAAGACGAACAACTGCGAACCGGGGAAAACGGTAGAGCCACGTCAGAGTTCTTTGGTTCGTTCCCCCAGGAGAACCGACACGTTTACAGACTACCGATTAGGGGGGTTGCCCGGTCTGGTCTGGCCTCATTGCGCGAGTGAGCTGGACGACTTCAGCTTATCTACCCTATGGTCCGCTAACGTCATCTCGTGTTCGACCAAAACGGAGATGTGGTTGGCGAGTCTAGCAACTCTGGGAAGGACTTTCGGGTCTACTCTTTTTCGAGGGGATGGGGCCGACCGGTTTGGCCATGTGGCTTGCTGCTAACATGTCTAGGCGTCTCAGCTGAAGCTGTCTGTCCAGAACGGTAGGCCATCACAGCTGACTCTATCCCCTTCTGATTTACCACTCACTGCGTCTCCAAATCCAAGCCATGACCTTCCCCTCATTCCAATTGACCACGAGGCCAAACACCTCGTCTGTCTCTAACCCCCAAAGCTTCCCCCCTGGAGGGCCGATAGATCACCAGGTTGAGAGCAATTGCCCTCAAAAGGGCTACTTCGTCCTCCTTCGTCCCAGCTCGTCCGATCCCTCCCAAGGGCGAAACAATGGCGAATGGGGAGCAATGGGTCCCCCTCAATCAATTGCGGGGGGAGGGGCACACTTGTCGCAGCCAGAGAGCCAACGGCGCTGCTGCTTGGCTGACAAGCTGACCATGGCTGTGTGGGGGAAAGCTCACCGCCACAGAGGATCCGATGATGAGACTCGGCCAGGAATGACGCCCACAACGGACGACGACGAGGCCGGGGTGGCTGAGCGGGCAATTGCTATCTACGGCACTGTGATAAGCATCCTGACTCGGCTTCAGGGGTTTGGGAGTTACGACGGCGTAGGATTTGCTTCAGGGGGGAGGCTGATAGGATGCGTTCAAAGTGTACTCGAAGTGCACGAAGCAACATGGACGGGATAGGACAAAATGCACAACGCCCAGACCAACCCCGCGTTTGGCGCCCACCCACCAGAAGAGACACAAGGCAACGAGGCAACCAGGCCCAGGAACACAACAAGGCACAAGGCAAGGTCCCGCAGGACAGGGCAGGTCACAGGCGGACAGGGAGCTCCACGGCGTTGCCGCAGTGAGGTGAGCGGGCGGTCGTAAGTAAGTCGCACTTGGAGGGGTAAAAACACAGGCGGTCTCCGAAAGAGGGACCATGGCGCGGGGTGGAGAGAGGGGGGGGGGATATGGAACCAGTCCGTTTCTGAGTTGCATCGTCGTAAGTACTTAGCCCGTCCAGTGCAGCATCTGAGGCATTTGAACCATGGGGGGAGAACTTGGCTAGGCTAGGGCCGGGGGGGAGTGGTATGGTGGGAGGACTCCGCGATGTGAGAGGCGCGGGTTGACGCGGGATATTCGTTGCCATGGTGCTCTGCGCGCGTTTATGTAGGACTCAAGGGGTCCAATCGACGGATGGCATCGCCAATCGCGGAATGCTTTAGGGTAAGTTGACTTGGGTAGTTTGGGTTAGCTGGGCGAGAAGTGCAACAGTTCTCCCAGGACGACATACATATTCGTAATAGTACAAGTGCATCCTGTCAGCGGCGTTATGGAGTACAGCAGTTGTGGCCCGCCGCCAGAGCTCCCCTAGGCTTAGATGCCATCCACTGTCCGTCAATTACACAGCTCGTCCCTCTACTCACACCTCACATGTCTCTGTCTAATCGTCATACTATGGGGCACGTGGAACGTCTGCAACACCTGAGAAACAGGATGCTTTGACATCACGCACCAGTCACTGCCCATGCCGGCATAGGAGACAAAACCTCTGGCAGTGAGGGCCCACGTGGTGCCGTTCCCTCCACCGCTCGCTGCACCTAAAAGCCCGCTTGATTGACCAAGGGAGCCCTAAAGGGGAGAGGGGCATGGAGGGGCTTGTTTGGTCCCCATCGCGCGGCCGGAAAGGGTCACGACCTGATTCCACGCAACCGTATGATGGTGGGCTGTCTTGTATGTCATTCGGAGCTGGTGCGACGCTCTGTACGTCGTCACTTTAGCTGCGGCTGCGAGGAGGGAATCAAAGGCAAACCTTCTGATCGGCAGTCTCCGTTTTCCCCTTCCTTTTTGCCCCGGAAGCTTGTTCTTTTCTCCGGACGAAGCATTCTAGAATCCCGTCATCGGAGAGCCGTGTTTCTCGTGTTAGTCAACGCAAGCCAGCGTTGGGCACACCGACTGCCACCAACTGACCAACTCACTACCGGACAATCTAGTCCGAAGACCCTCCGAAGGCCACTGAAGCAGAGGTCCAGTCTACCCTTTGGCCTTTGGGCGGCCAGAGGGCTGAGCAGAACTGGGATGAACCTAGCCCAAGGCCTGTGATCCTCAAGCCACGCTCCGATCAGATCAGTCAGGTCCCGGCGGAGGGCGTGGGACCCCACCTGGCGAAAGCCCTTCACCCCAAGGCATGGCGCGCGCAGGAAGAAAAAAGAGGACTCGATTTGACGGATGCTTGCTCGATCGCGCCTGTTGCTATTCCTATCGCGGCGCACTCTGGCTCGGATCCACTGGCCAGGCCCTAAGTTACCTAGATTGGGAGAAGACAAGAAAGGGCCCCCCTGGCTAACCTGGAGGCTCGTCGAGGTTTTCCTTGCTGGCTTCGGCACCCGGGCTCTTCGACTCCCTGAGTCTCCATCGGCCTGCCTCTGCTTTGGGTTGGGTTTGGGTGTGGCCTCGGCGTCGTGGTGACTCGTTGCGGGTTGCCTTGGCCGGGGATAACATCTCGCCTCCCCCCCGTCTTAGCTGAGTGGCCTGCAGGAGGCTGGCCAGTCACGTCCCGCCCGGCAGCACAATCGTGGCCCGAGAGAAGTCACAGTTTTCACTTCCACACTGGCCTTGGCAGAAGCCGACGTCCTGTCGGCTGCTGGCCGGTTCTTGTCAGGTCTTGATTCGCAGAAAGATGGCTTGGCTGCCGACGACTTAGGGAGGCTGCTGATTCGATGGCGCCCGTCCATTCGCGGGCCGGCCGCGGGGATGGCGCTGTCGAATAACAACCCGCCGCTAAGGCCCGCTTGCTCCCGAATGGAGACGCTATTGCGGGCCGCCCAATCATCGCCAGCTGTTAGAGAGCCCGCCCACGCCGCTACTGACAGTCTAACGGTAGTCTGTCTCGTTCAGCCCAACGGCTTGCGGATGACACTGGTGACAGGGTGTTTTGGTGAATGTGATTGTGAAGAGTGTGGTTGTGAATGTGATGTGTGTGATGAAGACTGAGAGTCCGGCTCTTACTCCAAGTGATCCTCCCCGGTGGCCATCTGACATCTGACATCTGACGCTGGCGCCGCGGCATCACGGAGCGCATCCTTCCTGTCGTCAGCATCCTCTGCCTGACGGGTGATAGTGATAGGTTACCAGAAGTTGCGTAGATCTACCACCCTCCTCTGCCGGCGGAAACAGAGCGAGCAAGCCAGGGCAGAGACACAAGCGCCCTGTGTGACGGCCGATGCAGCTGGCACTGGCACTGCGCCGGGAAGCCATGGGACAGATGGTGTCATGCATCGCTGCCCCTCCCCTCCATCCCGTTTCCGCCATGCCCTAGGTATTTCGCCTTGGAATCCAGCGGGTTGACGGCTGTGAGGAGCTCGTGAGCGAATTCGGCCGTTGCCAGAAACCTGCAGGTCCGTCGGGTGAGGAATGGATGCGGCGACGTAACAGGGCATGACAGAACAGGACATGGCCGCTTCCTCGGGACGAACAGGGCCACTCACAGTCACAACTTGGAGCTTCACTCCACTCCCATCGCCCACCCACAGAGACACAGACAACGGCCATGCTTCCCCCATCGGCGATAGTTGGCCTGTCCGCCCTCCAGACAGACGACCCGAACAACATCCCACGCACGCGGCCTCGTGGGGGCCTGACCATCGATCGACCCAAGCAAGAACCAAGAGGTACGGAGTACTCTGGAGTCGGGCTGCCGTAGAGCAACACCTAGTTGGATGGAGCTCTGCAGTCTCCACGTCCCCGTATGTACTATGCATTCCCACGTCCATCTCGCGTCTCCGTCCGTGCCGCCTTGCATTTTGGATTGTTGTTACCCACGGGCGATATGCGACGGCCACAGCAACGGGCTACAAACCATGGGAAATCGACCTTGCCGGCGGGGACATGGCGGTGGGCCGCAGGTCGCAGGGGCGGCCAGTGGCCGGGGAAGTCGTCGAGCTCTTGGAACTGCTGCAGGGCAGACCCGACGAGAGGCTTGCCCCCCCCCCCCCCTTCGACCCTCGTGATGCCTGGCCGGACTATCGCTGCAACTCGACGCCTCTGGAACCCTGGTTTGCTGGCCTTGATAGGAAGACGGGCACGCAGAGGTGTGAGTGGGCTTTTTCCCACTCGTCGTGACGGACATGCGTACCTGTGCCTTGTCCACCCAGGAGCTGCCTTTGCTATCGTAGCACCAGACGCTGGTAGGACAGGCCAGGTCCGGCTGCATACGACGATGTAGGTATGGCGACAAGAGGCAACCGGCGCGAGGAGAGAGACATCAAAGTCCTAGCTCAGGCGACTGAGGGTTCGCCCACTTTGACAGGGCTCCATCCAAGTGGGCATCTATTTGCCTCCACCCGCGGTGTCGATAATCTCACAACCCCAGGTCGGCAGCTACCTGGTAGCTCTCCATGTCAAGTACACCGAGTCCTCACTGCTCGGCAACGATGTTGTAGTTTTACGAAAAACATTGCCCCAAGCCCCTCGGAGCTCCAGCTTGGCCTGCCTCGGTCCACCGCAGCGCAGCAGCATGCGAGCGTGCCCCTTTATTTCACGTCATCCTGGGATCCAGACGAGGCACCGAAGGATCGAGAAGGCGAACAGCTAGCTAGTCGGATGCAGATACGTGGGCAGACAGCTGTGCTTCCCATGCTCTCCGTGATCTGAGCAGATCGAGCCAGGGTGCTCTGTGGCCGCTGTGGCGTGGAGGGTGGTCGCAGAGACACGACCAGACCAAGACCCAACTCGACCCAACCCAACCCATTTCCAAGAGAGGCCGCATTGCACCGTCGACCGACTATCGGGGACGGACAGATGGGGGCCAGAAATGATACACAAAAAAACAACGATGCCACAGCCGAATAATGCGAGCCGCACAAGGCTGCTGAAAGTGCAGGAATCTACACATTGGCGCCCTTTTTATGCCTTGCTGATCTTGCCTGGATCTCACAATTGGATCGCACAGCACCCCAGACCGGGCTGTTTCGCCTGCCCACCGACTCTTCTACACGCAGAGGGTACCCTGTCGAGGCTGGCCGTTACTGATCTTGCTATTGCCTCCCCCATGTCCGTCCTTGCATTTGCCTGGGCCACGATACACCATACATGCCGCACATCTGGTCGGCCTCGCCTGGGCAGACCGCACCGCAAGACCCAGGACCAGTGCTAGCCCGGCGAGTTGGGCCAACGAAGCTGCTGCCCGGCTCTGTACCGTGCCAACCATCTCGTCGTTGTGTGGCCGCCAACTAGACTGGCAGACACACCTGCACATTCATCACCGCATTTTGAGTATGCTTGGGTTGTTTGGGTTGCTTGATTTTTGCTAGCACCGGCACGTAGGAATCCCGTGGCCTTGATCTTGTGGTGGTACGCACGCTCTTTGTGCCTTTTACAACCCAGCCGGGTTTCAACGCTTTGTGTATCTTGGCCGCATTATTCGTATTCTTTTTCACAGCCTCAACCTTTGATAGTTAGCGAGGTCCGTTCTATTTCGAGGTCATGGAACCTCGTTCAGCGTCCTTCCCCGCTTACAAGGCCGGACTCTAGTATTACCCAGCTACGCTCGCTCGCTCAGCACCGCCCCAAACCCTCAGCTCTGTTGCTCGTGAGCCCGTTCGGAAAAGTGATCAGCCTCCACACCGCCTTTGGCTCGTCCCAAGCGTCCCGCTCCCGCTCCGCTCCCTCGCTCCCGTTGTCCAGGACGATCGGGCTCGCAGGCGCCTGGAAGCTTAAACCACGCCCGTTGCTGGGCAGCTCTCTGGGCGACGAAGAGGGTACAGAAGAGAAGGGTCCATCAAGGCACATCACGCGCCCGCCGAGTTGCAGCTCGCGATCTCAGTAGCAGGCGCATCGGATTGGATCGAGCAAAGCGGTCGTCTTGCCGGCTCGTTCCTCCACGTCTCCTGCTGCTGCTGCTTTGACGCGACCCTCATCTCATTTTCCCCTTTCGGAGCGAGCGTGACTCTGTTTCGGTCGACTGATGCTTGTCCGCCTGTCCGCTTGTCCGCTTTGTACTCCATGCCCGCTGTACCTTGGGAGTTCCTTGTCGTCGCAGTGGGCTTTGTCCCTTATTTCGGACTGGACTGGGCATTGTCTCACCACCTGGAGCCCTCCATTCACTCCCACGAATGCCCCTCCTGCAGCGCCTGCTCGCTTGTTCCCAATACCAAGCCCGAGCGGGGATCAATCGCCTTCACTGGAAGTCGCAGGCTTTGTCGCCGTGACTCCTTTGTGGACGCTGTTGGGTCGGGCTGCCCCGGAGCGAACGGACGAGTCAAGCAGAAGTTCGCCACCACCAGCTCACCAGCCACCGAACCAGAGAAGGAAGAGTGTGGCACATCTTTGGGGGGGACGCTATTGCTGAGAAAACCATGTTTCCCATTCCTCGCACCTTCCAATTCCTGACTCGGTATCCGCAACTCGTCATCGGTTTCGCGATTATTCTGCTACCTTCAGGAAGGTTTTGGAAGAGTCCGCAGCCGCCGGAGCCCAGGTCTCTCCGATGCCGTCGTCTGCGCCGCCGTGTCCCCGTATCTCCGTATCCCCGTTTTGTGTGAGGCGTCATCGGCCTCGACGCTGGTCGTGGCTCGGGCTCTTCGCTTCGGGCTCCCGTCGGGTTACAGTGGACGCGAGTCCCTGTGGGCGCTTGCTCAGCAGTGCGAGAGCGCTGCACCGAGGGGAGCATCCACTACAAGCCACCCCACCCCCTTGTGTGGTCGAGGCAGTACTTGCGGTCATACCTGACTCACTTCTGACGGTACCTGAATCTCCACCGGAGGAGTCACCTAATCGCCGTACCCCCACGTGTGCCGCCTCGTATCGCCCGCGTACACCTCCTGCGCGGCAACACGCCACCTCCCGCGCTGGCATTTTCGGAACCACGCTGCGCTGCGTCCCGTACAGTACAGTCACTGCTCAGTCAGAACAGTCAGTGGCTTCGCGGGCCGCTGAGTCGCTGACTCTGCAACGCCCTTCAGTGGACCAGGCCCCTGGAGCGTCTAATAGACTGCCCAATCGAGGTGCTGCATCAGCGGGACGACGGGGACTCGGGGGCATTCCACTCAGGTCTGGTTGCTGCAGGCATTCGATGCCCTTCCATTGCAGCTTCCTCAGCGCCGATGCCATTCGCTTGAAGAGGAAGAGTGGAAAAATTCCCTTGTCGTGACCAAGCAACTTGCACCTGGCGCGTCACTTCGCTGCTGCCGGGTGTTAGCCAGTAGTCAGCTCACATCGCCGCCGCCGCCGCCGAAGCCGTTCAAAAAGGACGCCAGAGGCGACTTTCTTGGTTGCTCCAACTGGAAAATTCGGAAACCTCAGGCTCTAGGCACTTGATTCCAGGGGACTCCCATCGCCATCGCCACCTCGTTACGCATCTGGCCTTGCTGCCTCCCATTCCATAGCTTCCGGACGGCCTCGCGTCTGCTAACTGACGACGACATCGCCTTCCTGAAAGAGGTTCCTTTGAGGTACAAGCCAAGGTACAAAGTACTTGAGTGATATCCTTGTCCTCTCGTGCCTCAGGCACCCCCACACCCGGCCTCACGAGTCGCCAAGTACCCAGGTACCTGCAAACATCAGCTACCATCAACACCAACACACCAACCACCCCAGCACTCCTTAACGCCATCGCACACCCTCACGAGTCGCCTTGGACCCTCCGCCCTCCACTGCCCACCCTCCTCCACCCTCCCTCTCGCCTTCGCACCCTGGGCGCCGAAAAGGCCCCTCCAGCCAAGCCGGTCCGGCGAATCAACCCCGTCTCACAGGCCCCATCCCGCTGTCCAGTCGACCAGGTCCGCGTCCTGCGCCAGTCCACGGCTCGGCTCCACCACTGCGAGACCAGACCCATCCGTTGCGGACCTTGCAAAGGCCACTGAGGACTGTCCACGGCCGCTGAGGACCATTGGAGACCATTGGAACCACCGAGGACCGCCAGAGAAGCCGGTAGACACCCCAAAGACGACCCTGGCATCCACCTCACCCACTTCGCCCACTTCACCCACTCAAAGCGTGGCCCCCTCTTGGTGTCTGATCGTCGACCTTTAGTCCTCGTCCCCCGTCCCCCTGCTCCCGGCGAATCAGCTTCCCCGTCCCTCGCAGACTCGCCCGTGACCTCATTCATCGCCCGGTGTTCTTCAACAGCCCCAGGGCCGCTTCTACGGACGTCTCTTTCTCTCGCATTGTTCATCTGCTCCTTGCGGACCGAACAATCGATCAACCGCCCGTACCACCGACCTTCCCTTGTGTTCAGCAGCCGGCTGCAACACGTCAATACATCGCCTCTTTGCCTCCCCACCCCGGCCCTTCGCTTGAACACCTGCCCAGTACTTGCAAGCCAAGTTCTGCCTGGCTTTCCCCTGCCCGCCAGCCCCGAGAGGGAGCATCCACACCTTGCTCTGGAAACGAGACAAAGACACCGCCCCAGTGCCCAGACCACCTACCACCTATCACTACCACCGCTGCTACCGCTCTTGCAACCACTGCTGCTACCACACGGCGCCCCCAAAGACTACAAACAGCCCAGCCCTGCCATCCACGGCGAGAAGTCAGCCTCACATTCACCAGAGCCTCGCCTTTGTTGGTTTGATGCAAAGGTAGCCCCACGATTTTCGACGACATTCCTCCTTATAATCGGCAACGCTCGCAAACGAGGTGCCGACACCAAACCCCACCCCTTTACCCCCAACCATGACTTCGTTGCCGCCCGATCCTTACAAGACCTTGGGAGTTTCCAAGGATGCGCAAATCACAGAAATCCGTTCTGCGCACCGCAAGCTCGTCCTCAAATGCCACCCCGACAAAGTCCAAGACCCTGCCTTGAAGGCACTGAAGCAGGACGAATTCCAAAAGGTCCAGCAAGCCTACGAGCTTCTCAGCGATGAGAAGGAACGACAGCGCTATGATGACCAGGCACGCATTGCCGAGCTGCGAAAGCAGATGCAGTCCAAGGCCAACACGTCAAGTCCCCGCGCGACGCCCACCACCTACAAGTTCGACATCCGAACCGCCGAGCCTCGCCCCAACTCGTACAAGTCGACTTCTGGAACCCCTCCCGGTTCCAAGTTCTACCCGCGGTCATATGAAGATGACCGTGGCCCTCAAATCTTTGATGCCGAGCCTCGCGTGAGACGGGAACAGTCATACTCGGACAAGACAAAGCGGGAATCCGAACGCGAGCGAGAGCGTGAGGCAACCAAGGAGAAGGAACGCGAACGCCAGAAGAAGGCAAGCGACGCCCTTCGCCGCGCTGAGAAAGAGGCCAAGGAGCTCAAGGAAGCTCGACGAGCGGAGAAGAAAAAGGAACGCGAGAAGGAACGCAAGCGGGAGGCTGTGGATAAGAAGCAACGCGACAAGCCGCCTTATTTGGAGCCCTATGAGGACGAGCCTGTCAAAGAGAAGAAGAAGTCGAGCAAGAAGCACGACGAGAAGCGGGATCGATCTTCTCACCGAGAAGAGGCTATGCCCAGGATGAGCGCACCCCCTCCCCCCATGCCGGACCAACCGTGGGCCAGCACTCTTGACTCGGCTGTCTCATACATCGAAGCAAAGAACCGATCCAAGGCCTACCACCCCACCCGTGTTCAGCCTCCTGCTGCACCCACTCCCCCTCCGGCCCCCGGCCTATCGTCCCCCTTCTCGCCCCCTCCTGACGACGATGTTCGTCGCTCTGCGGCCAAATCCCGACGAGGATCCTCTGGTGAGAAGAAGGCGTACAAGAAAGCGTCGCATGAGGTCCTCGAGGACCCCGTCATCGTGGACACATCGCCCTCCGCACACTATGCGCAGAAATCTGCTACGGCTGCTGCTGCCCTGTCTGGTTCACCTCCACGACGTGAACTGCATCGGCAACATACCATGCCCATATCTGCTGAGAGGTTCAGCCGCCCAATCCCCAACATGTCCAGGTCGCAAACATTCACCGCTGGCTCATACCCAGAGATGGTGGACCCTCGTGGCCGCGGCCGCTCAAAGCTGCAGCCTCAAATCGAAGAGAGTGACTCCGAGGATGAGCACGCACAGCGACGCCGAGAGCGTCGAGAGCGCAAGCACAGCAGCAAGAAACATCACTCACCCGAGCCTCACGCTGCCGAGTACGTTCAGCAGTACAAGGTTGAGGGCGGTCGCACGGTGCCGCAGAATTCGTACACGCGCAACATGGATCCCACCGGCGCGGATGCATATGGATACTATCCATCCCATGCCCGTGGCATTCAAGTTCAGGAGACTCGTCCGTCGATGTCAGCACGCGATGCAAGCTATTCGAGTTCTCCTGGGAATTATACAGGCAGCTTCGGTACCAAGGTCAAGACCTCCAAGGCCTACGACTTCGGAGATGTTGCCTATAGCAATACCTACGCGATGTACCACGAGGACTATGCGCAAGCGTACTAGAGTTTTGCTCGGTTTGCTCACTTGTGCTTGTTCCCTACATTGTTTTTTACACTACATTTCACGGCGTCACAACGCATGTATTCCACCATATCGTCTTTTTATTACTGATCTGCGTTTTCTTTTCTTTTCTTCTATTCCTGGTTTCATACATTAACGAAACGAGATGTGTCTTAACGAAATACGAAATTGCCCGGGTTGCAGTGGAACCCGGATCTGGGATGGGATGGGGCGCGTTGGGTTGTTTGGAAAGGGCTTTCACTTTGATTTCTTTGCTTTTACACCATTTAAGCTCCCTGCATCTCGACAAGGACAGGATCACGGTACAAGAGTTGCTCTGGTGTTGGAAACTGCATCCAGTCCTGACTTCACCGAGCACATCCGATGAGGGTTTTTATCTGGAAGCCGCCCAATGTACTTTGCGAGGGCGGCAGATATACAGGTGCATGCATCACACGAAAGGAATATCGGTTCTTTCGTTCGTTTTTGTTTTTATGGCTGGTCATCATCTTTTCCAAGGATTAGGGGCGTTTGAGGAAATACCACACTCGTTTGAACTGGGCGTGTTGGAGGACAAGATATGAGAAGAAGATAGACCTGAAGCAGGAGCTACAGACCGGGCGAGATCCTTGGTTAACGGCCTACATCTAGCTTGAAATAAATACTCGCCTGAATTGTCATGAAGACATTAAACTACACTTATGTTCTAATTCGTATTTGTGAGATGCCGCTTTTCGCAATGCCGTTCTCCCTCAAGTATGATTGCTTTGAGAACATTGCATCAAGGACATTGTATCGTGACTTGCCTGACATGCCCCAAAGTCCACGATATCTATTCTATTAAAATAAACGTGTCTCGCGTTTGAGACCTGGCAAGACAAAGTATACTGTCAGCAGAGGTAAAATATTCCAAAATTTCCAAACCGTTTCCAGATACCCGTTCCTCAGAATTCCTGTGATAGTGATTTCCGTGTGCATTAGTTCACAGCCTTCATTCATTGTGAGATCAAGCCCTGCATAGAAGGTGCCAAACGTGGGTACACCAAACCCAAGTAGGACCCATACTGCGCTATGGGTATTCGTCTCAATCTTGTCAACTCCCCAACAGCAGTGCCAAAGAAACACAAGACCCAAAGAAAGATTCCAAATCCCAGATGATGTTATAATAAGCAATGCTGTACCCCAAAAGGACGCCAAAGCCCATCGATTACGTTGATAAAAGGCCGATGACTCGGGAGCGATACAAGACTGAAGCGGCACGAGCTCGTAGGCTAGGACCACCTTGCAGGCCCAGTTTCCGAAAAGAAGAATGATATTATCGACCATAATTTTCATGCTCAACACCCTGGGCAAGTGTCCAGAGCATTCCAGCCATAAAAGAAGCATCCCGATGATCCTACCAAGCCAGAAGACGAACAAGGCGATACCCGTCTTTATTGACAGAACATTGCCAACCAAGGTTTCACAAGACCCAAGGACTACCCCGGCATATTTATACCTTTTGATGAGAGAAGCAAATGGACTCAATTGCTGAACATCGATCTCAAAGATGGTTTGGTCCAGATGATAACTCCGAGCCACTGTAGTATGCAACATATTGCCTTGAAATTCTATCAGGTTCGGCATCGTATCTAGTTGCAAAGATGATTTGAGAAGAGAGAGTAGAATGTCGTGCGAGGGTGCCCTCACAAAATGACATTTGAGTTTATCATAGTGCTTGAATAGGCTCAGAAAGGAAAGCGAGTCTGGGTCGAAGGCCGCTATAATAATAGCGAACGACTCATGTTTGTCCTTGCTCTCTAGCACCAACGCAGCTCGTGTGGGACCATTCGTATAGACCCTTGAGGTTGACTGGGCTTGTATCATTGTCCCACGTAGCGTACATGCTTCTGTCGAGTAAGCGTGCAACAGCCTTACGGTTTCGGGTAACTTCTTTATCCACAGTTCGCGGTGGAATTCATTGGAAGAGCCGGATCTCAGGGGTACTTTCGTCATGAAGAGCGATCGTTGGTTTGGCCATTGATGCCAGGTTTGATAGCTGACCCACCTGGCCGGGGCGATCGATCTCGAATATACGTTACTTCCGTGGTGCTTCAACGGCACAGCTAAAAAGTTCCACGGATTGTTTCGTAATTGACATGGTATGATGGCGTAGGGTCGTTCGTTTTCGCTTATAGGAAGAGTGATTTCAAGTCCACGGCTTGTTAAATTCCAGTCGAGAACCACTTTGCTGGCTTCAATATTCTTGCAATGAAGAAAGTGTTCGGGCCCTGGAGCTAAATACCCTGTTGGAGGGCTTTGGTTGAGAGGTTGGAAGGATGCAGACCACGGATGTTCCATTGCAGTCAGAAAGTTCAATGCTGAAAGCCACCTGGAGTATGGTTCTGCTTCCTCGGGCAACATGGGCTGGCCGTTGTGTTGCACGTTCCAGGCGAGCAGGGTTGGGTCGAAAGCACTCCGTGCAATCTCTTCCTGCAACCTCAAAAAAGCTCTTGAGCCTCCTCCATAGATGAGTGGCATGCTAACGCCGAAAATCCCGAGCAAACTGTAGGCAATATCTTCCTTTCTGGTTGTCGTTCGTTCAGCAGCCCAGCTCATTTTCTCGGCGATATGGGCCTTCCTTAGCAAATCGTCATTCTGACGAGGAGAAGGACTACCGGTGAGGTACACTTCGTCGATGCCTGTAATGCGGCTGATGCGATTGGCTAAATAATTTCGAGTTGCCATGAACGTCCAGTCTGATGCGAAGAAGTCGAGAGCTTTTGGAGCCAGAAGCTCTTGAAGAGTCCATCCTCTCGTGAACCAGCGAGATTTTTCAAATGAGGTATAGAGCCCGTTCGAAGTTGGCGGCACGTCAACCAAGTAGGTAAAACACACTTCAGCAGCTCCGTACCATCGAAACATGGAGTTGATGGCCTCGGAGAGCTCAGCGCTGCTGGTCTTGTCGATGCAGCAGGTGTCGACCCAGACATATCTAAGCCCGCGCTTTCGCGCTTCCTTACACGTCTGCTCGATTTTCAAGTAGCCGGCTTTGAGTTTGGTGGCGGGCTCTGGCTGGAAGAATTGCTGATGCGTAAGCCAGAAATCTGCTGAAGAGCTCGGCAATTGGTCGTCAACCGGGCGCAGGTAACACTCCGTTCCTTTAGAAACTAGTGCAGCCAGGTGAGGCTTTGCATAAGACGCAGAATGTGCAAGAATATTGCCCGCAATTGCATATCCGGGGGAAGTCAGATTGAAAAGCCTTCTACTCTCTTACTTGTATCAGGTCTCTCATCGCGGCGTATTCTCCCTTGAGGGTGCGCGGCCTAACCCGAAAGCCTAATTCACGGCCCGGGAGAGGCTCGCGGGATGGGCGGTGAGGTGGCAAGAAAGGGAAAAGTTTACGATTTAGGAGGGTTGCCTTGTGTCTTTTCTTTGAGTTTGGTGCCTGGGCTAGGCGGATGGGGAGTGGCTCAGCTGAACAGTCGGGATGGTGGTGTGAGGCTGAGGGGTGAGTACAAAGTACTTGCTCGGAATTCGAGAATCGGGGTTGAATATGAACTTGAAAGGAGACCTGAAGAGTTGCATACCCCAAAATGAGGCTGTACTGATCGAGCATTGCTATTTGCCTGCGTAAGATATTGCTGACGAGGATACTTTATCATTGCTCATATGTTTACTCTAGCGTATACTGATACTCTTGGCGATTGTCGTAATGCCCCAATACCATGTGCATGTGTATGTCCAAGTGAGCTGGCAGTCCATCAAGCCAATGCCAGCACTGCCTCTGCAAAGTGACTTGAAACAAAGCAAACAAGGCGCACCAACAGGCAACAAACGACCTGTGCTTTTGGAATCCGGACCTCTTTTGTGAGCATAATAGGACTTATCCTAGGCATTCTCGATGCATTCGTGTCCACTCGCTCAGCCTCGAAAGGACAGAAGAACGCGTCTCTTGACAGTATCAGCAGGATTGGAGGCCTGGCAATTGCAGGTCGCCTCCCCATACTGGCCAGTGTCATCCAGCGACAGCGAGAGGCGGTGGCTTTGGCGCTGGAGGCGTCTGTGGAGGCAAATGGGGCTGGACGCAGGGGGTTTCAGTGGCCCATACGCTGAACTCGTCAATCCATAGGTGCCTCGCCACCTGGAGAGGAGGCGCGCCAGTGGTCCTAGCGCATGGCCGTTCAGCGGGCTGGGTTAATTAGCGGGGCAGCCTGGCGGTCTGGGGTTCCAGTTTGGTGGGGCGGGCTGAGCCGCGTTTCTTCTGTGGTGCCGGGTTCCGCGGTGCAGCTTCCGTGGATTCGGTTGGTCGCCTGCTCTGCGGCGACTCCAGCTCTTCTTTCTCGTCTCCTCGTCGACCTGCGGGTTGTGACAATGTAACCTTGCAATTCTGCATTCCTACGCCCCTCTGCCTGTGCAATGGGACCGAGTCTGACGTAGCGGTGCCAGACACCGGAGACTAGGGTCACAGCTTGGCCCTGGCTTGTACGCTCGCTGTAAGTACTGCGACCCCGTCTCCTGCTCGGGATCGTCATGGACACGACACACAAGAGGCTAAACGAAGGCATCGTGACACCAGAACGCCGCAACCATTCTCCCTCTCCTTCGCCCGAACTCCCCACGCGTGACGATACCCGCCGTGGAACATGCAATCAATGGACAGACTGGGCCAGCGACACGGACACGGGACCGGGCAATGGATGTCGTCTATGTGCGCTCGACTCCGGCACGACGGCAAGGGCTAGCATCCGAGTCACTGTCTGGTGGCCACCATGTTCCGCCCGCGCAACGCGATGACGACGATGTACAACCCGGCGGGGAACACAGCAACTTCCAACACAATCATACGGCAGAGAGTCGCCGCCAGTGGAGCGTCACCATTGCCGTCAACGACCGCGACGCGGTGCAGGCCACCATCACCGACCCCTTCTCCGAGACAGAGTACGAGAAGATCTTCGAGCACTATCTGCGCGACTCGGACCGGCCGCGATGGAGCGCCGAGAGCATGAGCATGACGCTGCAGGAGTCGGCTGTGGATGGTGTCTCGCATCTTGAGGAGCGGATTCGATGGTACGGCGAGCACCTACTGTCGCAGCTGAAGCTGAGCTTCTCGCCGGACGCCACAGAGTGCCAGATCTACATTATCGAGAGCGACCCGGGTCCAAGTGAGACTGCGAATCGCGGCCCCGGACTCCACTGTCTCGCCTGGGAACTCCTCGAAGCCGACCACATTGTCTGCATGCCCAAGCTGCGCGTCACCCGCATCAGCGACGTGCCCTTGCCTCGGCGAGATCTCCGCCCGATGCGGCCCACCAACCGGTCGCCGCCGCCGTTCGCCGCCGTGCAGGCCAACCCGGCGCTCAACTTCCACGTGCTGCTGGTTGTGGCCCGCGACTTCAGCCGGTCCGGCGCCGAGCGGGACCCGGAGCCGGACTTGGCCCAGTGGCCGCTTATGAGCGTCCAGCGGAAGATGCACAGTCGCCTGCTGCTCGAGGTGGTGCGTCCGGGGAGCCGGGAGGAGCTCGCGGGGCATTTGGATGTGCGGGCTGCGCAGGGCGTGCATTTCCACTTGGTGCACTTCGACCTGCATGGACGCATCATGTGTGACGAGTACGTCATCAATCCGTTCCCGATCCTTAGGCTGTGCTGACTGGTGTGACAGACATGGAAACGAAGTCCCCTGGCTGCTCTTTGCTAAGCAAAACCACGTCCCTCGCACCCACGGCTACCAGGTCCCCCAGACACACCTTGCAAAGGCCGCTGACATAGCTGCCGTCTTGGCCCGTCACGACATCGAGAACGTGGTCCTCAACGCCTGTCTATCGGCCTACAACCGCACCGGATCCGCCACCAGCCTCGCCCACATCTTCCTCGAGCATGGCATCTGCAATGTCTCAGCCATGTGGTTCTTCGTCCACTGGCAAACAGTGTCGACATATCTCGATACCTTCTACGACGAACTGCTGTATCACTGTAAGCCCTTCCACATCGCGGCGCAGCGAGGGCGGGAAGCTATCCGCCAGAAACCCACGAGCCGCATAGGGCGCGAGTACCAGGACTTTTTCCTGTGCGTAAACTACTCGCGCAGGAGGCCGACGGCACAGGTAGTCAGCCCCATCGCACGCGATCCCAGCCCGGCGCCGTCGGCCCGGTCGCAGGGCTCGACAACATCCGACACATCGGCCAAGAGCTTTATGAGCGGCATGTGGAAGCCGTCAACGCCACGGCTCGCGGACTCGTTCATCCTCGGCGGCGAGCCAGTGATGCGAATGCAGCTACACCTTCTGGAGCTCGAGTACAAGCTCATGACGTTCCGCGTCGTGTACGCAAGTGATCTCCGGCGGCCTGGTTCCAAGCTCAATAGCACCATCGATCAGATGGTACACATGTGGCTGAACACCAACCTGGTAGACGAGGTGCTCTACTACAAGGCCAAGGACTTTGCTCGGTCCACCCTGTCGCGCATGTTTCCCGGCGGCGTCAAGCACCGGGAGCGACGAACGCGAGCCACCAACGGAGGCTACCTCCAGCTGCTCTTCCCGCGACCCGTCCGGGCGCTCCGGCAAACGCTGCACGTGGTGCGCGATGTAGACGGCGTCGTGGCGCCGGGGTTCCTGGCCGACGCCGGGCGCAACGCGCAGCTCGAGCACCAGCGGTCCATGGCGCAGGCCGGACTGCGGCGGTTCGCGGCGCAGCTACATGAGAATGGGCATAGCTACCTGCTGTTCCTGGGCAGCGAGGACGCCCAGTGGTGGCGGACGTATCTGCAGCATCTACAGGGCGAGTGGTGGGTGCATTTACCCTGGAGCTATACCGTGCATAGTCGGTATATTCGCGAGGTGAGGCTGCCGACGGAGGAGAGAAAGCCCAAGTTGGGGATTCAGGGGTGAGCCAAGCACAGAAGAGGAGGAATAGAGACGGTCGTGATATATATCAGCATAGAAAGGACGACATGGCAAGGAGCATTAAACGATAACAGGGAGCGAGTCTTGTCATATAGATAAACTGTATAACAGTGCGTCGTACCATCTAGAAATCTAGCATCAGGGAGCGGAGGCGTTACCGGAAAGGCTTAGTACACTGTCACATTAATAGTACAGAGAGATAACATTTCAATCATCAAAATTGGGGGGCGCCGCTATAAGTCAAGTTTGAATCATCTCTTCAAGCCACGGAGGATTGATTTCGGTGTGGTGGCATAGGGCCTAGCTATTTAGGGGCCGCGGTGGCTTGATGACCGCATTTTAACACCCCTGTCGTATTCTGTACGGAGTACGTCCCTCACAAGATCCCTGTCGTACTTCGTATGCGATGTTTGTAGGCTCATGGCTACCATTCACGGCGTTGTTGTGGAGGTGAAAGAGAAGGGTAAAAGCCATCTTCGCTGCTCATCAAGTACGCACCTTCAACTGCAACTTGTTTCTCTTGCTATCGTCGAACTGCGAAATGTCAATCCGACACGGCTTGCGCCGTCTCACCCCGTCAGCAAACCGCACAATGGCGACTGTTGCCCGTGAAAACCAGACCTTTACCCTCCCCGACGGCCGCGTGCTGGGCTTCGCCGAGTACGGCGACCCGGACGGCACGCCGCTGCTCTACTTCCACGGCTTCCCGTCGTCGCGCATCGAGGCCAGCGCGGTGCTCGAGGTGGCCAACCGGCGCGGCCTCCGGTGCATCGCGCTGGACCGCCCGGGCTTCGGCCTGTCGTCGCCGCAGCCCCGCCGCCGCATCCTCGACTGGCCGGCCGACGTCCGGGACTTTGCGCGCGGCATGAACCTGCCCCGCTTCGCCGTCCTCGGGCTCTCCGGCGGCGGGCCCTTTGCCCTCGCGTGTGCGCGCGCGCTGCCGCCGGAGATGCTCTCGGGCGTCGGCCTCTTCGCCAGCGGGCCGCCGTGGTTCGCCGGCGCCCACCACATGTCGCTGTACCGCAGGCTGCTCAGCAGCGCCGCGACGTACTGCCCCGGGGCGCTGAGGATCGCGACCGACGCCCTGGTGAGCACCGCGCGCTGGCTCGCGACCACCGGCCCGGTCGTGCGGCGCATCGACGGCTGGCTGCTCGGGCTTCGGCAGGCCGCGGACCAGGTCGCCCAGCTGGCCGTGGCGGAGAGCGGCGGCGCGGCCAAGGACGCGAGGCCGAATACGACGCCCAAGCGGACGATCCCGGAGGTGCGCTCTGAGCTGCTGCGCGTGCTGCTCGACGAGCCGTTCGCGCAGGGGGCCGCTGCGGCCGTCGACGAAGCGAAATTGTTGTCGTCGCAGGATTGGGGCTTTAAGCTCGAGGACGTCGACTACGCCACGGTCCGGCTGTGGCACGGCGCGCGGGATACGAACGCCCCGGCAGTCATGATCCGGTACATGGCCGACAAACTGCCGCACGCCGTCCTGCGCGAGTTCGAGGGAGACACGCACTACACCATGTTTAAGCATCTGGAGGGCGCCCTGGCCGAGCTCGTCCCGCAGGAGGCGCCGAAGCTTGCGACCAAGGGGGTTTAGGGGGCGCATACGCATCTCGCTCATCTCATCTCTTGTACTTTTGTGTATGATTAGTTGGTTCTATTATAGCTGTATGAGTAGCAATGCCCTGGATCTTGCGCGGAAACATGCGTCTAGTCGGGCACTGACGTGCAAGAGATCCAGGCGTTTGCAAATTGCTCTTCTTCTTCTTCTTCTTCTTCTTCTTCCTCTTCCTTCCAACGACGTCTCAGCCCTAGCGTGGTGATCTGATCGCCGCCCCAAAGATTTACCACGAATTAGGGATCCGAGTGCGACAGAGCGACTTCCGACGACAGCAATCAGGAGATTGAACAGCAGCAATCAAACTCTCCTTTCCCGTCCAATCCTCCCAACTGAACCTTAACCACGCGGCCCAGCACCAGAGATCCTTTGCCAATGCCGAGATCCACCGCTCGACTTTTGCTTTGTCGGGACTCGCACTACAACTCCAGTAATACTACGCAGTAATAACCCGGGCGTTTCGGTCTCGCGGAATGCCCGGTTTATTAGTGCCAAACTCAACCACAGCGCGACCGGCTCCGCGGAAATTGCAAGGGAGACGCTCTAAACTTTAATCCTCTCCAGCGTCCCAAGAACTTCCCCACGAATCTGTCACGTTCGCTGCCCCTCATGCATAGAAGCCGCCATGTTCCTTGCAGGCTTCTAGTCTTTATCCGCATGGGGCAGGATTTCCAATGCCCCGGCGCAACGTCGCTTGACTGAGTTTGGGCATCATCTTGGCAGTTAATGGCTCGGACGGCACGTCAGTGCTAAGCTTGCTGGGATAGCAGCTTGCTGGGATGTTTGTATGTTTGTCACTGCGGGCGGTAGCGGGAGGGGCACGTCCAAGCGGCCACCATCACAGACGTGCGAGTCCTTTATCTAGAACCGCACGCCGCCTGAATAATAACGCTCCCCTCTCTTCTTCAGTCCATCTCAGAGCAATCCAACTGCTTACCGTCACTCCTTATTCACTCTTTGATTGATTTCAACTACACTCACTATGCGATCCTTTTTTATGCTTGGCGCTGCCGCCGTGGCCGCCGCCGCCGCTGCTCAGCCCAAATATGTCCTGTACTACGACCAGTACGTTCATCACAACGAATGCCGGCAGATTTTGTTTCATGAACTAACGGTGCCTCAAAAGGTACCACACCACCGACTTGCCCGACAAGGCCACCGCTGCTGGCATCAACTATGTCATCACCGCCTTCGCCAACTCGTCGCTCTTCACCACCGAGCCGTCCGGCGTTTACACTCCCTTCCAGCCCCTCGACGAGATCCGCGCCCTCTTCGACGAAGGTACCAAGGTCTGCATGGCTATTGGCGGCTGGTCAGACACCGCCGGATTCAGCGAGGGTGCCAAGACCCCCAAGTCCCGCAAGCTGTTCGCCAAGAACGTCGCGAAGACTCTTGACCGACTCGGATACGACTGCGTTGGTACGTACACGGCATTCGACTTGCCTCTCGGTACTCTGCTGACCAGGATTGTGTAGACATCGATTGGGAGTACCCCGGTGGCAATGGTGCCGATTACAAGACCACCCCCAACTCGGCGAAGACGTCTGAGATCCAGACCTACCCCAAGCTGCTGGCCGCCATCAAGGCCGAGATCGGAAAGAAGGAGCTCTCCATTGCTGTCCCCGGCCTTGAGCGCGATATGATCGCCTACACCGCTAAGCAAGTCCGCAAGATGAACCTGGTCGTCGACTTTGTCAATGTGAGTTCCCCAATGAACCCCGGCGTGGTTGTGAATATGGCGACTAACAGCGACAAAATAGGTCATGACCTACGACCTGATGAACCGACGTGATAGTGTCACCGCTTACCAGGTTTCTGTTGAGGGAACTCTCAAGACCATCAACACCTACATCAACCGCGGCTTCAACCCCAGCAAGCTCGTCGGCGGCATTCCCTTTTACGCCAAGTGGTTCACCACCAAGAAGGGAGTCGCCTGCACCACCTCCACCGGCTGCGCTACCGAGTCTCTCGAGGCTGCCGACGGCTCTGACACCGGCAATTCTGGCTCCGTCACCTTTGAGAAGGGCAACTTCGCTAGCGCCCCGGCCAACCTCACTTCCTCTCCTGATGGCTCTTGCGGCGTGGGCTCTTCGTTCAAGTGTGGCGAGGGTACCTGCTGCAGCCAGTACGGATACTGGTGAGTTGTCCCCTCTTGACTCAATGATCAAAACTAACCCGAGATGCAGTGGAAACACCACCGCTCACTGCGAAACTGGATGCCAGACCGGCTACGGCAGATGCGAGGGACTCAACGTCCTCGCCTCTTTCCAGAAGGCTCTCGCCGAGGGCAAGACCGACACTGCGGCCGGCGCCCAGTGGTACTGGGACTCCGAGACCAGCCTGTACTGGAGCTGGGACACCCCCGAGCTGATCAAGCAGAAGATCTCCACCCTCCTGGGCCAGGGCATCGGCGGCTTCATGGCTTGGAGTCTCGGTGAGGATGGCTACGACTGGAGCCACCTGAAGGCCATGCAGGAGGGTATCAAGTCCTTCAAGCCCACCTCCTACGGACGACATGCCAAGGCCCACATCGGCTACCGTCGCTAATGCCTCTCGGCTTTTTCTTTTTAAGTATTTTCAGGAGTACGCCATGGTGCATGCTTCTACTTTTCTAGAACTAGGCCAGCGTGGTGGCATTGAACCCGAGGAACTGTTCAAGATCAATGTATATAGACGCCCTACCGCTTATGGCCATGGTACCCTATAGAATCCTATTTAATCCAGCCCTGAAACTACAGAAGCTGTGCCATTGACTTGTGATGGGGTTCTCTGACGGATCTCATTTAAGACAAAATATAGTCTAACACCTTCGCTCATATGTTGCTTTCAGCAGTGCGTCAAACGCCCTTGTGTCTCCTTCCCCTGTCAACTTCTCACGATCCATCTCATCTATGTACCGACACGCATTTTCTTCGTCTGGGCCAATCCGCCGCCACCTGCTTCTATTATGATTACCAAAACTCAACGCGCCGGTGTCGTAGTTCGGCTCAATCCACCTGGAAGGACAAAGACCAATGTCGAAGACGATGTACCGACCCAGAGACAGCTTGGTCGGCAAAGGACGGGGGTTGTCAAAGCAAACAGGACCCGAACGGCTGATGTGGAACTGGAAATCGACAAGATTGGGAAGACCGGTGCGTATCTTGTCGAACACGGACTCCCACGTCCCTGGGAAGCGATAGACTGCATCGTCGCTGAAATCAAACCCGAAGGCACCATGTGGGAGTCTTTCCCAATCGTAAGTCGGCACATTCCATTCCACAATCTTGGAGGCCTCGGTGCGTATGAAGGAGACAATGAAGCACCAGTCTAATCGCAGAGACTTTAGTGAAGGCTGAGATACAACCCAGTCTAAATGGTCGTGATGCGAAATCGCATAAGAACCGAGCGTGAGCGTCTTTAGCTGTGGAAAGACCAGGCCACGGCCGTTAAAGTTCCCTGGTAACGTGCCCCAACACTCGCCAAAATTCAGCGTCAACGAGGTGAGCTGGTCGGCCAAGGGGGAAAGCCAGTGACGCTGCATGTAAGGCTCGAATTGCACAAGCTCGATGCAGTAAATGTCGTGGTCTGGTCCGTGCTTATTGTATTCTTCCGCGACTTCGAGGTGAAGTTGGTCAAGATCCTTGGCGACCGACTTGAAGAGCTCGGATGACGTGAAATCTGGTAGTGGAACATTCTGCAGGTGTTTGATAGTAAGGGAACGGATTTTGGCCGCGTTTGGTTGTCCGGCACGCTCCCTTATGGCTTCGAATAACGCCTTCAGGGTATTTTCCCGGGTTGATATTTCTTCAACATCGTTGCCCCAAAAAAAATCGGGATCAGCCGCTACTCCTACACATTTCGATGTGAAGCGCAAACAAATCTGGTCAACCAGGTCAAGATCCCTGATCCGAGACATGGCGTCCGTAAACTCGGAGAATGTGTCGTCTTTCCACCCCTCCCATTCATAATAGTCCTCATCCTGGGCAGAGAACGACGAGCTGTAGATGACGACACGGCGCGCGGCGGATATGACCGGATTGCTGCTGAGAAGCCCTGCCCAGGCCTTGAGACCCTTTTCCGTTGGGGCCAGGAAAATGGTGCGAAAGGCGTGCTTTGTCGCCAGGCTGTTCCACTTGCGACACACGAGACGTGCGTTCAAAAGATCGCCTATTTTGCCGGGGTTGTCATCGAGTGGACGCAGAGACCGTTTATCTAGACGAAGACAGTCAAGGATTTGGCTCAGCAACTCGTCAGGCAATTTGTTGAGTTCCATGGTAAAGACAAGCGTCTATGGGGTTGACGCAAGACTGGAAATTGTTGATGATGTTGGTTTTAAGGGGGATGATCATGAATGAATGAGGAAGCAATTCGTGAATAATATAAGCGGTCTCGAGAAGTGGGGCCAGCCAGGCAGAAGCACGGTCAGTCGTTCACTCTCCACTAATAGCGGATGCTTTGATATCGCTTCTGCCTCGTTTAGGGTAACGATGTAATCCCACTCCTTACCTCTCGAGGTCTCGAATTCCACGCATCTTACATTGAGACCACATATAATTTTGGATTAAGCTCGGTTATTCGACGTTGGGTTTAGCAATATACGATCCAAGGATGGCGTGACCTGCCACGTAGCGGCAGACTGTCGTTAGGTATCCCCGCAGGTTGATACAGGGGTCTTGTGGGGAGACCGCAAGATTGCAGAGAGATATCATATTGGACTCCAATGGCGCTGTGAGGAACTGTGGCTGGCAGGTATCAGACCTGATACCCGAGGTGTAATAGATTGGTTTTTGAGTGGGTTAGTAGAAGCGTATCGATTATTACGTCTTTCCATATTTTCTTGTCTTGAGTTTCGGGACCTACAGTGCGCTCGCTGCTACAGCAGTCAGTTCGCTTCTTGTGTTCAAGTAACAGACCTTTCGCTCAGCCAGGCCGACCAGTTAAACCAAGGAAATCATGGCCCATGTAGGCCTAGAATGTTGGCCATTCTTCATTCAGTAATTGGATCTTTGCGGATGAGGTAGATCCCCGAACTGAACTTATTACGGTGACCGATGCGAATGATGATCAATCATATCTTTGATAAGTAAAGCTCAAATACCTCCCCGACAGTAGTAGTCATGTGGTATAATATTCCGCCTCGCTTGCAGTTGAAGAACTCACAAACATAACTTGATGCCATTTTTGTTGCAGTTGTTGGCCCGAGCTAGGAAATATCGACGAGGTCTTAGTAATGATTGTGAGCTCAATCTCATCTTATTGGTTTCGACTTGCACGGCAATAGTTTATCAGCCGTTTCCCAAGTCTTTTAGCTTGGTTTTCGTAAAGCTGAGCGAACTTAGTATCGCCAAGGCGATGACCATCTGCAAGAACTGAAATCTTGCACTTGCGTCTTGCCTGTAGAGACAGGCGCTGTTTCTCCTCCAGGAGGCGAAAATAAGAAGCGGAAGACACTATTAGGGTAGGATTTAGTGTGCGGATCGGAAGGTCTTAAAAGATGACCATGTGTGGCTGCCCGAGTCAATTCTTTGGACCTCATCTGTCCAACTTCTTTGCATTTCTTCTTAATCTCCTTTAGCATCCAATTTTCCAATTCAATTAAAGAGAGTCTATCGTTGTACGTACGTCGGACACTGTGAAGTACACAGGAAACCCCGTTGGCGATTCAATTCAGAACTAACAGTGAAACCCAGCTCCGAACTGTGAGACCATAGGATGCTGTCAAACTGGAGTATATGCTTCGACAATGGCGACTGCCCCGCTTCACACTCAACTTAGTGCGACGGAAAATATTACAATGCCGAAGTAGAGAGCTGTTGCGAATACATGTTAGTATTTCAAGGCGTTACCAGTGCTTTGGTGATATATCCCAAACGTGATAGCGGCCAAAAAAGCAGAGGACACTGTCTACTTGGTTGAGACTTGTGCTGGTAGTCTGTCGCTAGCTAGGGCGGCTACGATGGGCAATGCTCCGGGAGAGAGTGATGCTGAAATTGCCGAGGGCTCAGATACTCATAATTCTGCGGGTAATCTTTCCAACACGGCTTCGTTAGCACTGACTCGTGTTTTCATATATGTCGTTGGTTTTCATGCATGAGTTCAATGACTGGATTGTCAGGCTCAAGCTTGGGGGTGACAAGGCCTTGACTCGGGGCTCGTTTTCAAGCATCGAACTGAACAGTATGTTCTTAGGATAATTCTTCGTTCATCCTGCTAGCGAGTGTTGAGATAAGTGCTGATTAAAGTACTCACGATGACGGTACATAACAGACGGGGCAGCTTTCCCGGGTCCAAGGATTGAACTGCTATTTTCTCTCATCAGCATTGATTAACCCCAGTTTCCACAATTAGTTTGCCTTTAGAGTTAGTTTATTACTGGTGGAGCATGTATTTGTGCAGGGGTAACGCTGCTGGAGGTCTGACAGCCCATGTCAGCGGCCTCACCATGCATGCTCAGGGAAACGCTGGAGCGATGCTGGTGAGATGATCAGCACAGGATGTTTTCCCCCATCGGCTGTGTCATTTCCAAGAATTTCGGAATGGAATTTCGTAGTGCATTTCAATGTGACTGACGAGCAGTCGGAGCCTCTGTATTCTTCCCATTCTTCAACTACCTGAATGACAGCCCCAGCCCGAACAGCCCGACCATAGCATTTAAAAAGATGGCATGCCTTAACAGAGGCGGCTATTCGCACGTCCACGCGCAGTAAGATCTTGTCTAAATCTGCAGTCATTAATTGCCGCTCAGCCCCCTTGATTCTTCGGGAGAGCCAGTTCCCGAGCTGTTATTCCAGAACCGCAAGGTCCCCGACGCTGCAAGGCGCAGCCAGAACCCCTGCAGCGATGCAAGCCCACTATGGGCCCTATGGCTCCGGATGCACAGCGTCCGTTGGGCTATTTCCGGCTCTATTTGTTCCCTGGAGCACTAACCGCGGGCCCGCCGGCTTCTTGACCGGTGCAGGATTGACTGCCCTTGCCCTTCACCCTCTGTCTTCTGTTTTCTGCTTCAGGGCAATCCTGGCAGTCGGCGATCAGTATCGCCTCTGAAGCCAATGGTGAACCGTCAGCAACGCGCTTAGCGGGTCTGCTTACCGGGTGGCTGCTGACGGCAGACGGATTAGCCCAGCCGGTCACCATCCGATTCTGCTTCCAGCCTCAATTGGTCTCGCCCCCAGTAATCATGGGAATGATGCCCTAGCTAGCATCATTTGTGCTGATTTAGACACAAATGCAGGGTTGTCCATGCGTGCTAGTCAAACGTAGCGTCGCCGACATGGAGTTGAGCATTGCCTCTTAGTAGAGTCGCCGCTTACGAGAAGCGCCCGACAAGAGGGACCGTATAAAGGCACCCAGCGCCCTCGACTTACCGTACAGTATCCGTTTAATGATTCCTTGTCTACGCTGGATCACCGTCACTCCTCCACTACTCCTCTGATCCTCCGGTCTCCATGTCTTTGATCAAGGTTATTGCTGCCGTCGCGGCCCTGGGCCTCGCGGGAGTCGAAGCTGGCGCTGCTCCTATCTGCAGCGAGATCTTTCCCCGACCGAAAGCATACACTTGCAACACCGAAGGCTACGTCAAACATGTTTCCGCCAGACTGAACGAACCGATATTCAAGGCCACCGCCGAAGCCTGCGCCGATCACTGTGCCGAGACCGATCAATGCACATCCTTTCTGTTCCGCGAAGGCCTCTGCCAGCCCTACAAAGGATCATTCTCGAAATTGGGCTTTTCCGAACACAAGTCGTTCTCGTATTGGTACGAGATGGAGTGCTTCAAGTGCAACGATGGTGAGTCCCGGATGGCCACCCTGCCGACCTGACCTCGACTAACAATCCATGTCTAGGCGGAGTCGTTATCAGTGTTGATTTTGAAGACGGCAACAATGGCAAATGGAATCTTCTTGGTGGCACCAAGGAGGGTTTCTCCTTCGATACCAAGGCGAAAGGGTTCGATGGCTCATCAACGGCGCTCAGAGTCGTCGAACGCACAACCAATGGAAAGGGTCGAATTGAATGGGCGGATGTAATTCCCCTCAAGGAAGGAGCTACCTATGCGATAGGTTTCACCATGAAGAACAGCAAACAGGGCACCTCCTCCAACTGGGCGCTCCTATCATCCGAGCTCCTAACAATCAGCATCACCAGCGGCCACAAAAAGATTCTATACACCCAACCCGAGCACCCTAAGGTCCTTGCCGAGGGCTGGACCCAGTTTCATTCCACATTCAAGGTTCCGGCTGGGCTAGACGAAGAGGCTATCTTTTCGATCGGCATTAAGTCGAGTGGGAAAAAGATGAATTGGTACTTCGACAACGTCTACATCAAGGATGTCTCTAAATAATTGAGATGCGGACACGAGAATAGCCTAGAAAATCCCCTGGTCAACGCAGGGCGAAACGGTCGCTTTTCCTTGTACTATATAGACATTTTGGTAGAATATCACCCGATAATCGGTGGGAGTTTATTGTTTAAATGTAGCGTTCTCCTCAACTAGGTCTACCAATCTACTTGGTCCCCTTGACAGCGGCCATTGAATAGGAGCTAGGATTTGGATTTCAGGCTTGAACAAACCGTTCCTTTAACACCAAGTTCAATTCTGAACAACTGGTATAAGGAATTTGCTGAAGAATTCCGAGACGGTGTCAAAATCCTCCAACGAAGCCACCATCGCGACATCTGCATCTTGTTAACAAAATTGCCTTGAAAACCCCCAAAGCGGAAGAAATTCGCGTCTTCAATCACTTACATTGGTCGGGTCTGACGACGACCAAGCAGCCTTGCTTGGGATCAATTCCATAGGCTTTGTATGCGTGTCCATGCCCAGAGTTGTAGCTTTCGTCGTCGACAAAGACCTTTGTGAGACCTGCATCCAACAGTTAGACCAATATGCCCTTGATCCTTCGGAATTGAAGGTCGGTAGGAAACTCACATTTGGATTGCCATTTGCCAGCGATTGGTGTAAATATCTCTGGGATTTGCTCCTGTTCCACTTCTGTACGCTTTGAAGCCAGGACAAGCAGTGCCTGGATTATGGCATCTGCGTCTTTGTCCTTTGGTGTAAACCTTTGAACGAGGTTGGCCAGATTTTTGGAGAGCTGGGGGTCATTAGCACTGAATACTGGATCAATAGAGTGTGGCCCCCTCAACGCGTTGAGGAGACAGAGTGATGGGTATGCCACTCAGACAAAAGTCCACTGACCTTGTCAAGCCTAATTGCTGCCTCCTGACCAAGAATGTCTCCGGAAAACACGACAATGTGCCATTTAGAATCGGCAGGAAGTGCTCGGACTAACTGCATGGCGCGGGCATCGCAGAAACGCACTACCTGTGCGCTCGGAAAGCGCATGCCGACGACCAGGCCAGTAGCAACACTCTGTCCATCGTTTGATGACATCAAGAGTGATTCGTTGTACTGAACTCCCTGTCCGGCGGTGTATCGGCCAGCTTTGACAAACTGGTCCTTGAAGTGCTCCGGCGTGATGCCGTTCTGCTGGCGATATGCCGAAGAGAACAATTTGGTAAAGAATCGGTCGAATTCGACTAGTTCGGTTGCAGTCTTTTGTCGTTCCGAAACGTAGGTTTTTAGAATATCTGGTAGGGTCTGCTTTCTCAAGACGGCGGCTAGTTTCCACCCGATATTGTACCCATCTTGCAAGCTGACATTCATGCCTTGTCCAGCTTTGGGGGAGTGAGTGTGACAAGCATCTCCAGTCAAAAAGACGCGGTGGTCCTTGGTGAAGGAGTCAGCCAGTCGCTGACCGATCGAGTATGCCGACCACCAGACTGTCTCGACTATCTCCATCGAATATGGGCTGAAAATAAGGCGTGCCTTTTCTTGCAGTTGAGATAGACTGACGTCTTTTACCACGACGTCGCCTAGCTCGATGTAGAAGCGAACCATGGAATCGCCCTCTCGCGGGATGATCATGAGATTTCCTGCATCTGAGTGCAGGATTGCTTTCTTCCGGATATCGGGAAAACTTGTCCGAACGTGAACATCCATGACACCCCAGATGGCGTCAGTGGTGTCTCCAATCATTTTGAAGCCCAGGGATCTTCGCACGGCGCTGTGAGCTCCATCACAAGCCTATTTTAGCATTAGCAGAGCACCAGATGAAGGTTGGGACAATCATTCATACCAAGACATATTTTGAGCGGAATACCTGCTCTGTTCCATTACTGATGGCTGTGGTTGTAACACAGTAAGCCTCGGGGTCGTGTGAAGACGCGCTGTCAACCTCGACGCTTTTGACGTCGACGCCATAGCTGACTGCGGCGCTTCCGGAGGACTTGACAATATCCTCAACCATGAGACCGTTGATTCTTGCTTGGTTGAGAATGACGTGGGGCTGGTGGCTCAGGCCTGGTTCCAAGTCCGGCGCATAATGCGTGCGTCGGACTCCCCCGCTGCCGTCTGAAGCCCAAAAGGCGATCTCGAGAACGTGGTATGCCTCCTTCAGCAAATCCTCCGAGAGTCCGAAGCTCTCGAAGACCTCAACGGTTCGACATTGGACGCCATCAGCCTGTCCGTTCTCGAGAGGACCCGGTCGGCGTTCCAGGATCCGGTAGTTGATTCCGCAGCGCGCGAGCCAGACGGCTGCGCAAAGCCCAGCGGAGCCGCTGCCGCAGATGAGAACATCTACTTTTTCGGCCATTTTCAGCACTTGAAGTAAAGAATTTCGGGTTTCAGAAGGGTGGTGAGTCAGTTGTCACTCAATCGACAGAGTTCGTTACGTTGAGAACATCACGACGGGTGGGCTTTATATAACCGTGGGCGATGAATGCTTCCCCAGTGTCCAATGAGGATCTGGATTTATTTCGGTCTCGGAGCTCGGAGTCCTCCACGGGACGGCTTTCAATCGCGGTAATTACTCTCGCGCTATCAGTCCAGTTCAATTGGTGATTTACAGGGCATTTGTGGCGAGCCGGTGGACAACAACATGTTGCTCCTCAAAGCTGATGCGGGGAAACGAAGTTGTCGCGGGGCGCTAGCGGAACAGCATCCGCCTTGGAACAGCATCCGGCGGATCCGCATCCGCAAGCCATTCCTTTCATAACGGAGCCTGAATGCATAACGAGAGATTTCAGTTAACATGACAATATTTTCAACGGCAGCAGGAATAATTGGTCATCCATTATTCATCATTGGCAAGTAAGGTCGAGATCTTCCCTCGCACCACTGTCTGTTGCATCTAGTGATGGGACCCATGACACCAGATCTTGACTTCTTCCTCTTCAATAACAGTCCGGGGGTAAATCGAATGAAAAATGGTTTGGCGACTACCAGAGCTGTTAGTCAAGGGACTGAGGCTGCAGCTAAATAACGATAAAGAAGACTGCTAAAAGAGTCCGGGTTCGGTGTACCTGTCACTGTCATGTCACATTTGGAGCTTATCCCAAGACGCATTCCAAGAGCTAGGAATCGCCGCTACAAGATCTCATGTTGCATCTAGCAGATGGATAGGATCATGTGCGCGAGAAGCTCCTGCTATTCTTCCTATCTAATAGAGGTCTGCTAGGTCAGTCTTATAGATGAAGATGACCTCGGATGACCTCGGACGGCCGAGAGGCTCCGGATGGTCCGGAGTCTTTGGCTTCAGCTAGCTATTGATAAAATCAAGGAAAAGCTAGGACTATCATGAGACCGGTGACGAGGCCGATGACGAGGCAGGTGGCGATGGACGCCTATGATGAAGGAAGAAAGCTTCAATAGCATGATACATCCGGAATCCGATATCCCGATATATGTGACATCTCACGCCTAGGATCACTCTAGAAACACCGCAAATACGGTATAATATGATGAAAATCAAGCGACTTTAACAGAGATCCTTATCACCAGATACGACACACGACGAACTCTAAAGGCGACATGTTACATTTGGTCTTACCTTGGCTAGATTATGAGCTCTCTCCCCATAGGGCCTCAGCAAACAAGTTAGTATTAACCTTTTTGTCCTTGAGCTTGGCCACTCGCTGCCGGAGCCACATCTCCCTCTAAAAATGGAGGCCGTTTGCTACATTCAGCGCTGGAAGTGATCATGCAAGTAGCGTTTCGAGGGGCCATCTTAAAACACCGGAGCGTAACCCTTCCGAACAAGAATCATTGGAACCTGCGACTTCTAAAACCGCCGTCATCATCATCTAGGACTGACGTTTAGGTCATTATTCAATTAAGAGCTTTCGTGGGTTGGATTCAAATCACTGCGGGTGGCAGCTAGGATTTGCCTTTTTCTTGTTACGCCACATGGAACAGTGAAGAGGGAGAACGAATGCTGGGGTGTCGTCACACTGAAGTATCCCCTAGAATCTCCTAAATATCCCCGCTCCCGTCGCTCTCAATCGAATGACCACTTTCTTCTGTCATCACCAATGCACGCTTCAAATTGGGCATTCACCAACACACTTACACCTCAGCGATTACAGCACGACTGAGCCATCAGGGACGCTACACGGGAAAGGGCTTCCACGACACAGTCGAGGAAAATGTCGCCAAAAAAGACAAGAGAGCCGTCTTGGCCTCCCCGTCTGGACCGCAAACCAGACTGGAGACGTTGGTCTGACTATGTCGCATGGGGATTTCAAATGCGAAATGTATGGGAATATGTCGACCCAGATTCAGATGTCATTCTGCCTAAACCCACGCACCCAGGACCACCCCCATCAATGCCCGAAGGCTGGAGGGACTTCCCCAGATCGGCCAAGATGGATCTCATTCATTGCAGCCTAAGGGAGCAAAGCGATTTCGACCATGATTTTGAATCCGAGTGCGAATACGTCAATCCAGATTTAGACATCATTCTGAGTGAGGCTGAATTTCTGGAGCAATCTTTCAAGCAATCTCCAACGCCCGAAGACTCGAAAAGCTCCCTAGAATCCGTCGAAAAGACTATATCGGAGTGGAAGAGGGAACACCAGATTTGGTCCCATTACATGTTTTTATACAGCCGGGACTACCGTCATTGCAAAGATGACCAAGAAATTATCGAAAATCTGACAAAGGAGGTGGAGGAGTCGATATCGGAACCATATCGCCAGTACATCTCATCAACCCATGATATGCGAGAAACACTACGCGTCTTGAAGCAAAAATTGATGCTACCACCACACGAAGAGACTAAGAGAGCCAGAGCGAAATTCTTCCAGCTTGCACATCGACGCGGTTCAAGGAATTGGATTACATGGGCATTGGAATTTGAATCAGCCTATCGACAGGCTGTTCGCTTCAAAGCCAGCGGTATCAACGAGCCATTCGCAGTAGATGCATTCCTCAGTGCATCTCGCAAGCAAAAGTCAATAATTACAAACGACTGGTATCACAGTAAAATGGCAGAAAGGTTTTTTGAGGAAAAGGAGTTTCAGTTATCTGACCTCGTCACTTCTTTCTGCCAATGTCAGCACACCTTAGCGATGTTAGGTTATTGAATATTGGGTGTGGAGATGCGGCAGCAGTTCTGTTTATGGAGTCTATTACACCATGAGAGTATTGACGGATCCAATCTTCATTTGACTAGGAATTAAGAGACGTTATCATCAGATCCCAATCACAAGATGTGACACAGTCAGATCACAGAAATTAAGGATGCTGAGGAACAACAAAATGCCTTAGATGGCCAGGATGAGCCAGATGAGTCGGATTCTAATCATCATCATTGAGCGAAGCTAGAGGAATCTTATTGCTGGAATTCTCACATTTTGGGCCAACGCTTTTTTCCACCCTAAATTTCCACTCTCTGATGTGACAAGATATGTTCGACCTGTGGCAATGCTCCCAAGCTATGTTTGAATTGTAACATGGACCAATTTATCCTTATGGATCATCGTACACATGGCTTAAATAGCAAATGAGCACATGCAATATTCGTCTCGCTATCAGGTAGAATAGTTCGTGTCCAGTTCCCTGTTCTCGAAAAAGTCGGCCAAATGGTTCGTCGAGTTTTTGTTGAGTCAACTGGAAGGAAGAACCAACCAGGAGACTCTTAAGCCTCATCGACACCCTTGTGGTCCTTAATTTGAATGATGCGGGCAAGTGTCATTCAGCACTTGCGCCAAGCTTACACGTCTGGAATGTCGTAGGAAGAAACAAACGTGTCGGTGAGGATTACGGAAATCACCTAGACCCTTGCCCTGGTCCATGTGTTGCGTATTTGCAAGGTAATTAGACTCGGAACTCGTGGCAGTCCTCATATGGATATACTTGGGAGTAGACCTTGCCCACCTATTTCGGTCTGATCATCCCCCTCTTTCAGATATTGATGCTATTCTGGTGGGCTAATAAAAAAACGCACTAGAATCTTCTCATTAAAATGGCTGGGTGTAGTGTTGATCGGCTAGCCAAGTTTGAGTCCCCTTGTGTGGTCTTAGTAGAGGCTAAGAGGAAGCTTCTCATGGGCAAGGTCCAAGGTAGCATGTTCCTTACGCCACCTACTGTGATTGTGATGGAGGGTGGGATGGAGAGGACAGTCTGTGTGATGACACTACCAATGCAGAGTTAGGCCACCAATATCCTCCCTCTGATGAAGATACGGCCGGGATGGTCGCTGAGTTGTGCAGCGGGGGAGGCAACCACAAATTTACACTACGAGTTCTTATAGGCTCCAAGAAAGAGCGTTTCAAGATTTTGATAGGGTGTGGAGTCGCCTGCAGATACGACTAACACGAGGAGGGGGATCAGCGTTACTCACCTCACGCTCGCACTCTATTCCTGGCTACTTCTTGCATATCTTTCAGTCATTCGTCATTCTCAAGGAACCTTTTAAATGAGCTGAACTCGGGGATCTGACCATTGTTTGGGGCACGTTGCAGTGCATGCCGCAGTAGCACAGGCTTCGGGTACAGTACCGTCAAGATCCTATTCGCCAGACGACGTTGAGCTAGAGCACCATCCCGGAACAAAATCAAGCTGGGGAGTAGTATTAGGGTGGGCTGCTAAACGTGAAGTCAACAGTGCGGTCCAGTCAGGGTCGAGAGCTAATATCTGATTGAGAAGAAGAGAGCCCCGTGCCTTGCTTGGCAGGGACGAGGTTCCTGAGAGGAGCAATTTGAGTTCACCTGACGTCAAAATCCGGCCCTGTTCGTCTTCGTAAGGCAAGTTTCGCTACTAGGAACTTCTTAGTGCCTGTAAAAGGAGCGGTTTATCCGCCAAATTAGCAATCCATCGATCGAAAGTCGTCCGATGGCTGGCATTTGATCGAGTGAAGGCATTAGAGCTGGCATACCTTGTAACATGAGTTGGCAAAAAGCAGTGTCATGAATCATATGTTGCAACTAAGCGAACTTGTATACTTTCTTGTATTGTTGAACCGAGACTCGAGCGCATCCCCGTTGTTGACTTTGCCCTCTTTGTCGGAAATTGCGCAGGCTTTCCAGCATGCTATAGCAATGCCTGCCATCGCTCTAGATCTGGTGATAACCAGCGTTCGAAATTTCACCATTATCCGAAGTTTGGAGTTGATTGTGCTTGCCAAGGTTGGACGTCATTGATCCCAACAATGTGAGCTACAAAGCAACCATCATCTAAATAAAACAGGGGTATAACCCCAGTGCTTACCCGGAAATCGGGGTCAAATTCGTCCACCCGATCCTCCGTTGGCCGATAGAGTGTTACATGCAGTAGCTCGACAGGGGTTATGGAAACTTACTAAATGCCTTGTTATCCGAAGGCAATTCAGCTGTATTTAGTCTAGAATCCGTAGGCTGCCAGTCCGGTACAATTCAGATTGCCGATGCGTGCTCCCTACTTAAAGCTCCGACCGTCCCTACGATGATTTGATGTCAACTACCCTCGTCTATCTTGATTGAAAGATTTTACATTCTACATTCCTGCCCTTGTATAATCAGCATGCGGCTGATCATCACCCTCAGCTATGTTGGCGTAGCCTGCGCCTCCGTTGCCCAGTTTGTTGGCCGAGTCTCGCCAGGCATAGTATTTGGTGGGCTAGAAGAGCGCCAGGTCCATATCTGCAACCCCGTCCCCCCTCCTTACACCTGCGAGAGGTCATGTGGTCCAGGATATGCCAATTGTTTCGGATTATGCTACAACGCGGGAGCGGGAGATGTGTGTTGCTCAGACGGCAGTATGTCTTGACCCTAACAACCTTCTCAGTAAAAGAGAATTAACGTGTTGCAGGTTCATGCCCGGCAGGCACTCGCTGTACTGACACGGCTTGCTGCCCTGATGACGTCTCTCTTGAGGAATGCGGCGCACACTATACCCTAACGATCGTCCCACCTGATGCGACAACAAGCATTCCGGAGCCAACCACCGTGGAGGAAACAACTTCTGAAGAAACAACCTTTGTTGAAACTACAACTTCAGTTGAGGCTATAACCTCCGAAGAACCCACCACTTCGGAGGAACCGACATCTGAGGCAGCTACCTCTGTCCCCGAGCCGACTGCGGATACTTCAACGACAGACCTCTTGGTTCCTACCACATCAGAGCTTGTGTCAACTCCGACTACCCCTACCAATGGCTCTGCTACGACTTCTGTCGTCGTGGTACCGACCAATGATGCCGGCCGAAATGCAGGATATGATTTGATGCTCGTTTTTGGATGCTTTGGTGCTGCTTTAGTTGTTTTCTAATCCAATATTGTCGATGGTAACATTAATATCTTATTTGAGATGCATGATGCGGTATTAGGGAGCCGTTATATTGAATCCTTGACGTTGTATAGCTTTTAGGTTTCTTTTTAGCAACCTCAGCCACGACTCTGTCGCTTGTCCTAGTTAGACCAAGTCAATTATGGGTAATTGATAAGAGTCTACGCGCATTTCAGTGAACCCAGCTGATTTTGGGGTGTTATCGTGTCTTTTTGTTATTTACATGAGTTTAAGGGGTTGCTTTTTAAAACTAACTGCTTTTCGCGATAGCATTGAGTGAGTATTGGGCATCCATGTATCACCCATGACTCCTCTATACATCTAAAAAGATAGGTGGAATCTGAAACTCATGATCCAAGTAGACATTTCGTACGAGACAGGAGAGAGTGCAACTTTTATTCTCATTAAGATGACCTCATTCACCAAAGTCTTCCATGCTGTCAAGAAAAGGAGCAAGCGAAAGCCAGGTCACCCCTGATGAATCATTCATCAAAGGATTATATACCTGATCAAGTCCAAAAGAGTCGTCTTGAAAGAGGTGCAAGGAGGGAAATTCGTCGCCGTGTGAGGAATGTTCGGCATTTAGATTCCCCCCAGACACATTCTCATGATTCAAATCTTCTCCAGTCTGGATAATGGCTCGGTTGCCAAACTGACTATCACCTATGAGAACACAATTAGCTGGTTATATCATCAAGCTACATGGATCGAGCACGTACCGTTTCGGTAGCTAAAAACCTCTCGCTCGACTGATTCGAGTATCTTGCTGCACTGACGTGCCGACCGACTCCTAGGGCTATACTCCCGTAGGAAATCTAAACAACGATTCCAGCTACTTGTGAGTGAGCTTTCGTCGACAGATTTGATATATTCTGGTGAGCAAAGTAGCCCGAGGATGAGGACAAGGGCGCAACTATGTATATCTATGCGCACCAGGGAAAGCATTAGCAACATGAAAGGAACAGCAAGGACGCGGACAAAACGCACAGAATACGTTATACCAAGGTGCTGGTAGCAAGTCGCATTCCGCGTTCAGGTTGACAGTGATGAGGTTGACAAGCTCTTGGGCAACGGATACACACAAGTTGGCCGCCTTGACGAGCATGCCTTGTCGCATGTTCGTATTGAATGACTCATTGTCTTGCAATGCCTTACTAGAGTCGCTGGCCAGACCGCTGAGTACGGACAAAACTGGCCTGAGCATAACAAGTCGAACGTGTAGATATCTGGAAACATGAGGTCAGTTTCTTCCTCTCTCCCTTCCATAAAATGGCGTCAGATACCTTGCTTCAAGTACTATCCCTTGTCTGCGAAACATTAAATGACCCTCGAGTATGGTTGGATTGGGAGCGACAGGTTCGTCTTTGTACATCTCCACTCTCAAGTGTACTGGAAGCTCATTGCGCCATGTAGTGAGTAGGCCATCTACATTTAGGATTGCCTGGAGATCATCGTCTTTAATAGACCTCACTTTTGGCGAGGCCGGTCTGCAGTGACTCCCAATACCGGCGTCCGCAGGATCCTCTTGCTCAGTGTCTGAGCCACCATTGTAGACCGTGGTAAGGACCTGACCCAGGATTTCCTTCAGTTTTACGGCCTGAACATAGCAGTCTATTTTGCTAGGGGGATACTCTGGCTGTGATCCAGGTGCCTCGGGAAATCGGGTGAGAAATTCATCATCTATTGCGGAGGGGAGGGGGAGTTGATTCTGTGACTTCGTCAGATGAATCATCAATGGGCGTCCGTATGCCAGAGAGAGAACCCTTTCAGAAATCAGTGACCCTTCACGGAAAATTAGAATATCTGCCAGGGGTAGGGACTCACCGATCGAGAAAAACACATCCAGTCCATGCTCTCTTCCGCATTTCAGTGTCAACTTGGTCAACCCGCTGTTGGCGGCCGCCCTGGACATATCCCCGCTTTTCGTGATGCAAGCCAATGCCTTGTGCTACACGAATTGCTAGTCCGACAATGTTCCAACACGAGCTCGACATATCGGTGCTTTGGAGATACTGGCCCATCAACAGCAGCGTTTGGACGAGAGGCAAGCTACCTTGTGCCAACAGGTCGAAGTCAAGGAGGGCCTTTGAGCGCTCAAAAAAGGGTCTGCTCAACCGATCGCGGTCATGTGGATCAATTTTTGGATTGAAAAGAGCCCCCAAAGCGAAAACAATATTAAGCAGGCAGTAAAATAACTTGTCGTCAAGAGTGTCGTAACACCCAAGTCTCTGGGAGGCACTGCGATATCGACTTTCCGATTCGTTTTGTGGGTTCCAGACTGTGAGATAGCGTTTCTCAAAGGATGGCTGATGCAGGAATGGATACAGTGAGTGAACCCAGCCCCAATAACTGGCAATGAGACTATCAGCCTCTGGACGTGGTGGAACACTAAACCCGAACATGGCATTACGCCCACCACTACCGGACCCAGCGAAGGAGGTGGCTTCTTTTAGGCAAATGGTACAGGGGTCCGACCCGTCCGATATTAGAGGCTCGTGACCACAAGGCCTTCGACACATGGCAGTACGAGCCTCGCCTAGAAGATTGACGGTGCTTGAGGGTCCAAAGTAGGCGGATGGTGGTCGAGCATGCGGATCAGTAATGCCATTGATCGAGCTAACGATGCCCATAGCGTCCACTCCCGATTCAGTGCTTTCCGAGTCAAAGGTGTTTCTCCTAACATGCTGAAAAGCTGTACCGGGTGACCCATGTCCTCTATGCTCATTCATTGAGAACGGAGCATGTGATGCTGACTGAGTACCATCACGGGCCGTTGTAAGACTTCTGATTGAAATGCGGTCGGTCCGCAGGTTTTTATGCGGGGTTTCCACGTTCTGAACACTCGGTCTTGACTGGGATTCCCAATTTGCCGGCTGTGGAGGAGATGTTGTCAGTGTGTCATTGTTGTTCAACGCATTCGTCCCCGCGGCCCGTGCCTGCGCCTCTTCCAGTTCCCTGATGCGGATCTTCAACCCGTCGACATAGCTACGAAGAATTCAGAATTATCCAATGTACTTCTGGTCAAATCACCAGCGCAGATGTTGTTCAGCCTACCTGTCCCTGTACCACCCCTTGCTGTTGCGCTCCTCCCTCCAGATACAGCGCCGGGAAAGCCGGCTGGTGCATGTGCCACATGTTGGCTTAACACCGTCACACTTGCGCTTCTTCTCACGACATTCCTCGCAGGCTACTGCCGTGCGGCGACGTTTCCCTGGTCTCCCGGATTCGTGTGGCCCTTGTGGAGATCTCTGCAACATGAAATCCATTGGAAAGGCGGATGTTAGGGAGAATTGGGGGGAAGAGTTGACTAATAATCCTGGGGCTTGGTAGTCTCATCCAGTCTTAATCATCACCCATGCCGTTCAAGAGGGCTTGCCAAGCCAAGAAGACCACTTCAAGTTTGTCCCAGAAGAAAGACGAGAAAACAGATTCATGACGATGCCACGTCAGGTGACCACCCCGCATCCCCGCGTTTTCGTTCAGACCCATGCAAAATGGCGAACTTCTCCGCAGACCCTTAGCAAAGGATAAGTACAGTCATATATCTACGAAGGCTGGGGAGGAAGTTTGACTATTTAAAGGCCACTTGGCAACCCCCCACACAGGTAACAGCTATAGCTACATAAGAAGACCAGAAAATTACTTCTCAAGGATAAGCACTAAGCCCTGGTACCCTATCTACCCTAATTCCTATAATAATCTACTAAGCAATAGAGATATTATAAGGACTTTACCCCTAAAGAATAATAATAAAAAGCCATATAGTATGCACTGGAGTGTGCTTTATACCTATTGTAGTTAATGCATCACTATCAGTGAGCTTATACTGAGCGTTAGTTCAGAGCTTGCTAATATCCCATGCATTTGCCTGCCAAATAACAGGGACTTTATAGAGGTTTCCTTCTGAAATATAGTTACATACTGTAACTATCGCACTGTGCGTGCTGCGTAGTACTGTGCCCGTCAGCGCTCATAGGTAGTGTACACCGATGCTAACATGTAGAGTACCCAGACTTGTTCCAACCCAGGATGAATCTATCGTGCAGTTCATTCGAGGTAGAAATAGCCTTTGGCTGCCCAAAGCTTTACAATAGGCACCCAGGAAAGGGACCATCCATGTTATCATCTCTTGGTGCTGGGAGGATTATTGTACCATGCAGTCATGCATCGCGTGGAGATGATAACCACTCTATCAGTGGATAATTTTCACATTATGTATTCTACTTGATAATTAGTTGATCAAGGATATACTTAGGAAGCACCGTAGCTAGAAGTTTATCTTTGGTCACCCAATCTGCATCACCATCGCGTGGATAAGATTGTGTTGGTTGGAGTGAGGAGGTTTGCCCTGTTGGGTACTCCCGGGTAAGTTCTTAGTTATTCGTGCCTCCATCGACACTAACGATAAGACCCTAAATATTATCTCCATTTGCAGAATTCCTTAGAATAAGCTCAAAAACAACTTTAGGACAGATTTATAAATAGGAACTGACCCTCACCGCACACAGGGATTACACAAGGACGGCTTGCAATATTCCGGTGAACCTGTTCCCACCAACAACCACCAATCAATGGCACCCGATGGCACCCTAAATCTCCGAGACGAAATAACAGACCTCAAAAGCAAACGCCCAATACGGTGCATGTGTCGAAACCCGCGTATCCGGCGTACGTCGTATTCTCGGATTCGGCGGACGACTGCCGGGGCCGGTTCAGCCCGCACGTCGTAATGCGGCGCAGTTTGCAGTTGAGCGCGATGGGGCGCAGGGCTTTGAAGCGGGACGAACCCGCATGACGATGCCTACCGAGGTACCTCAAATAGATGCCTTACGTCATTCGAGGGCCAGCCAAACCAGGGGTGTTAGGCAGGTAATTAGTACCTTGTGGCAGTTCTGGAGCTCCTTCCCAGATGTTCCGAGACAGCGGGAAGGTACCTGCTTATCTACGTAGGTAAGGTAGTAATGCCACTCAGACGGTAGGTGCGCACACAGACTCGCGCCTCCCACTTTAAACGTCCAGGTACCGGACCTCTCCCACCAATCTGCCCTTTGCGACAAAAGTTGGGGCGACGTTTCTTTGCATCTTCCTTCTTGCAACGTCGTTGACGACTGACACAGCTCGGGGGACCAATCCTTTCCCTTTTTCGTTCCACAGATCACGACAGGATTCTCTCCTTGCATAGTTTTGCTACTTCTGGCTCGCTGCTTTTTTTTTTTTTTCCTTTTTTGTATTCGCTCCTTGCTTTGCTCTCGCCCTGTTCCGAGCCGGCCGAGACATCACCACCACGCACCAAGATCGAGATTTCTGTACTCACAACGACTGGGAGCACACGCGACACACGCAACACCGCCAGAATGAGCCCGTCGGCTGACGTCACGGCCACTGGCCACGCCAACGAGTATGACCATGTCCTCCGCCCGCGCCCGCGCAAGCCGCAACATTCGCAGGTCTCACAGTTCCGCATCTCCTCTGCCAGCGACGGTGATGGCCACCTCACCTTGACACAACCGGATGGCCTCAGTGCCACTACTAGTGGAATGACGAGGTATACTCTCACCACCCGCAGCTTCGCATCGTATCGCTAACCGTCGGTGTCTCCAGCGGCCGTTCCACACCCATCCCCGATAACGCTCCTCCCTCCGTCAAGTCTCTCTCCACCGTCCGCAAACAACTCCGTGCCGAGCAGCGCCGTCGCATCTTCCCAACGATCGAATTCGCTTCGCGAGTTAGCCACTTCGACCCGACTAGCGACTACCGAGACTTCCATGGCTTCTTCAATCTCTTCTGGATTGGCCTTGCCATCATGGGCATCACGTCGATGCTGCGCAACATGAAGGACACTGGTTTCCCGCTCCGCTTTCAGATCTGGAGCCTCTTCACTGTCAAGCTCTGGCACCTTGCCGTCGCCGACTTCCTTATGGTCGCTACTACGGCTATCAGCTTGCCCCTACACCGAGCTGCCCGCGCCGCACCCGAGGGGGGTGCTATGGGCTGGAGCCGTGGTGGCATGGCGCTCCAGAGCATCTTCCAGGTCGGCTGGTTGTCCCTATGGATCGCCGTCCCCTTTCTCCTCGAGTGGACATGGACCGCACAAGTCTTCTTCCTCTTACACACCATGGTCCTCCTCATGAAGATGCACTCATATGCCTTCTATAATGGACATTTGTCAGAGACGGAAAAGCGACTCCACGCTCTGGACAACCCCACTGCCGCTGACCGTCGCCCGGCCTATCTCTATCCTACTGCGGATGGTGCGGTAGGTTCCGAAGGTGCCTCCGGCGGAAGCTCCGGCTCTAGGTCCCGTAGTAAGAAGCGCCGTCGCCAAGCAAGTCGACGAAGACAGCAGCAGAACCAGCGACCTCGTCCGGAGAGCGACAGCAACAAGAGCAACGATGACGACGAGATCAGCGGCCTCACGAGCATCCACCCCCAGCCGCCCTCCAGCCCTGGCGCCGGCGCCAGTGCCAACACCAGCGGCGACGAAGTTGAAACTCTGCGGGAAGAACTCGCCCGCGAGCTCACCAGTCCCATGGGTAATGTCACATACCCTCGTAACCTTACCTGGTCGAACTACTGCGATTACATCTTTTGCCCGACTTTGTGCTACGAGATCGAGTACCCCCGCACTTCCTCTATCAACTGGACATCGCTTATCGCTAAGATCGCAGCCACGTTTGGCTGCATCTTCCTCCTCACCATCATTTCCGAAGAATTTATCCTGCCTGTCCTCGTCGAAGCCTCAACACGTCTCGATGCCGTTCCCGCCGTCTCCTCCGTGTCCGAGTCAGCTCTCATCCTCGCCGAGACCATCTCGTGGCTCCTCTTTCCCTTTATGCTCACCTTCCTCCTCGTGTTCCTCGTCATTTTTGAGTACATCCTCGGCGCCTTCGCTGAGATCACCTATTTCGCTGACCGCCACTTCTACTCGGACTGGTGGAATTCCACCGACTGGATGGAGTTTTCTCGCGAGTGGAATATACCCGTTTACAGCTTTCTTCGCCGCCATGTCTACGGCGCTTCCCGCCCCCGCGTCGGCAAGAGCGGCGCCACGGTCATCACATTCCTCATCTCTGCTGTTGGCCACGAGATTGTCATGGCATGCATTACTAAGAAACTCCGTGGATATGGCTTCGTCTGCCAGATGCTCCAGTTGCCCATTGTGGTGCTTCAGCGTACCCGATGGGTCCGCGGCCGCGAGACCCTTAACAACGTCTGCTTCTGGTGTTCTATGATTCTTGGGCTTAGCTTGGTACGTCCTGACTTTCTCCAACAAGTCCTTCCGTGAACAGTCCGCTAACAGGCCAATAGATCTGCGCCCTTTACGTCCTCGTTTAGTCTTGACACACGACACCACGCTTTATAGAATGCACCCATCCCCTCCGATTACGCGAGGGGGCATGTACAATACCTAAACTCTCAGGGGACATATCTCTCATTTGGATTTTCCTACTCGGCTCTCTGATTCAGGCATACACCGTTGCCTTGGAACCCACATGTACAATAATACGAAACGGACTTTGGAAGAAGGCATGGCGGAAGGAATGGAAGGACGGAAGGAAGGAAGGAAGGAAGGAAGGAAAGAAAGAAGGAAGGGCTGCAAGATCAGTGCGCTGGCCATCTGGCTTAGATATATACCCGCTTCGGCCTTGTTAATTTTGACAATCAAGTAGTTTTGCTGCTGAATTCAAAGACTGCTCTTTGCATCGTGAGATCTAACGTCAGGTCCTCCTGTCTCAAGACAGGAGATGTGCGAAGCAATGCGCCCGGCGGAAGCTTACGGACCAGGTCGGGTAAGCAGTTGAACTAGGACATGTTTCACGGTTTCACAAGCCAAAATTGTTTGAGCGGGCACGCAGATTTGTTCTATACCATTCCATTTCTTGCATCTACCTCATCTTGTCTCATGATCATAGTGCTAGCTAGAATTACACTCTGTCCCCTTCCAATGGATTGGGGAATTATGGTAAAAGCGGCTGCGCATCATTCAACGTTGCCGCGTCAGAAAAACCAGGAAGACGTAAAGACCATGTGCTCTCAAAAAACCGAAATCCTTCAACTCCGTAGACTTTTTGTGGTATCCCGTGTCTCATGCGCTGGTCATTTAGTCAACCTCCTCCATGGAGCTGTCACCAGTGGCGGCAGCGGGGGCGTCGGCGACGACCTCCTCAGCGGGGGCGGAGTCGTCCTCCTCGATGTTGAGGCCGAGCTGGACAAGCTTGTGGATGCGCTCAGCGAAGCCAGCGGGCTCGTCAATGGTGAATCCAGAGACAAGGAGAGAGGTCTCGAAGAGGAGCTGGACGATGGACTTGACGGTGCGGTCGTTCTCACCGTCGGCCTCGATCTTGTTCTTGAGCTCCTGGACGATGGGAGACTTGGGGGAGATCTCGAAGGTCTTCTTGGAGGACATGTAGCTGGACATGGAGGTGTCACGGAGGGCCTGGGCCTTCATGATACGCTCCATGTTGGCGGACCAACCGAACTGGCCAGTTCGGATGGCGCAAGGGGAGAGGCCAAGCTTGTGGCTGACGACGACCTTCTCGACCTTCTCGCCGAGAACGTTCTTGAGAGCCTTGGCGAGACCCTCGTACTCCTTCTCCTCAGCCTCGCGGGCAGCCTTCTCCTCATCGGTCTCCTCAAGCTCGAAGTCCTTGGTGATGTCGACGAGCTTCTTGCCCTCGAACTCCTTGAGCTGAGTCATGGCGTACTCATCAATGGGGTCGACGAGGAACAGGACCTCGAAGCCCTTCTCCTTGAGGGTGTCGAGGAAGGGCGACTTGGAGACAGCCTTGATCGACTCACCAGTGATGTAGTACATGTTGCTCTGGTGCTCGGGCATGCGAGTGACGTAGTCGGAGAGAGAGGTGAGCTCATCGCCAGACTTGGTGGAGTTGAAGCGGAGGAGCTTGGCCAGGATGGAGCGGTTCTGGGAGTCCTCGTGGATACCAAGCTTGAGGTTCTTGGAGAAGGCAGTGTAGAACTTGTCGAACTGCTCCTTGTCCTCGGCGATCTCCTGGAAGAGCTCAAGAGCCTTCTTGACGATGTTCTTCTTGATGACCTTCATGATCTTGTTCTGCTGGAGAGTCTCACGAGACAGGTTGAGAGGGAGATCCTCAGAGTCGACAACACCCTTGACGAAGCCGAGCCACTCAGGGATGAGATCGGTGGCATCGTCGGTGATGAAAACACGGCGAACGTAGAGCTTGATGTTGTTCTTGGTCTTCTTGGTCTCGAAGAGATCGAAGGGAGCGCGCTTGGGCACGAAGAGGATGGCACGGAACTCGAGCTGACCCTCGACGGAGAAGTGCTTGACACCGAGGTGGTCCTCCCAGTCGTTGGAGAGGGACTTGTAGAAGGAAGCATACTCCTCCTGGGTGATGTCCTGGGGGTTGCGAGTCCAGATGGGCTTCTGCTTGTTGAGCTCCTCCTCCTCGATCTTGGTCTCCTTGATCTTCTTGGTCTTGGGCTTCTTCTCCTTGCTCTCCTCCTCGTCATCGACCTCCTCGATCTTGGGCTTCTTGTCGTCATCACCCTCCTCGGTGACCTCCTCAACCTCGGCCTCCTCATCGGGGACCTCGATCTCGGTCTCCTTCTCGACGTGGAGGTAGATGGGGTAGGAGATGAACTCGGAGTGCTTCTTGATGACCTCCTTGATCTTGCTCTCGTTCAGGAAGTCGAGCTGCTCCTCCTTGAGGTGGAGGATGATGGAGGTACCGCGGCCGAGCTGATCGGCCTCGGAGGTATCGGCAACAATGTTGAAAGTGCCACCAGCGGAGGACTCCCAGACGTACTGCTCGTCATCGTTGTTCTTGGAGATGACGCGGACCTGGTCGGCGACGAGGTAGGCAGAGTAGAAACCGACACCGAACTGGCCGATCATGGAAACATCAGCGCCAGCAGTGAGGGCCTCCATGAACTGCTTGGTGCCGGAGCGGGCAATCGTACCAAGGTTGTTGACAAGGTCCTGAACAGAAAAGCGTTAGCGGCTGGTGGGGGTGGATATTGGCGGGGGAGCGCCTGGTGCAACTTACAGCCTTGGTCATACCAATACCGGTATCACGGATGGTCAGGGTCTTGTTGACCTTGTCGGGGATGATGTCGACACGCAGGTCCTTGCCAGAGTCGAGCTGGCTAGGGTCCGACAGGGCCTTGTATCGGATCTTGTCGAGAGCATCGGAGGCATTGGAGACGATTTCTCGGAGGAAAATCTCCTTGTTGGAGTAGACGGTGTTGATGATGAGAGAGAGGAGCTGAGAGATCTCAGCCTGGAACTCGAAAGTCTCAGACATGGTGGCGGGTATCAAAAGGAATCGTGACTGTGAGGGCAAGCGTTAGCAGGGTTGGTCGAGTTGGAGTTGTTAAAGACGAAGCGGGCGCTCGGGCAAAGTGGCGGTGGTGGAACCTCATGGAGGGGTGAAGAAGCGGTTGGAAGACAAGAAGCTCGCCCACCCGCAACCTCTTGAAGCAGTGCGGGGGAACTTGATGTGGAAGATTGGCGAGTCCAACTGATAGGAGCTCTAAGATGATGCCATCTTAAAGCTTGGCCAGTTGTTGAAGCGCCGACAATCCATCCCAAGCGCCGAGGCTGGGGGGTGAGGGGAGGCAGGGCCAAATGGCGGGGTGAAGGGCAGCGCAGTGCAGCGGCAACGTACCTTGGGGTTATCGTGACAAGAAAAGGGAAAAGAAAGAGAAGATTGACTCCTGTGATGAAGAGGGTCTAATGATCTCGAGCGGCAGCGGAGAGGAGGATGTTTGGGAAGAAGGAGAGGAAAGAAAACGGCGAGAGCTGGTGGTGAAGTAGAAAAAAAGGGCCGGCAGCTGGCGGGCAGCCGGCCTGGCCCCTCCTTGCCTCCTCCCCTGCGGTGAGGCTTCCATGGGATTCTACGGCCAAAAAGCGCCCACCCAGGCAACCAAGTCGCTGGTTGCTGGGGGAAGGCAGCACCTGGGCCGCACCTTGCCCCGGACCACTGCCCTTAGGTACCTCTATGCCTGCCTGCCTGCCGCCTGCCGCCCGCTGCCCACTGCTGCCCGTCCACTAGGTACCTCGCTCGCCCACCCCGTCGCACATCACATCCACTGCCAGTTCAGTGCGCACTGCCGCCCTGCAAACGCACGGCACGCCGCGCGGCCCCACTGATTGGTCGGATCTTGCTAGAGCCTTCTACGGGGTCAGTGCACCCGATCAGCATCAGCCCAGCCCAGGCCTAGGCCCGCCATCTCAGTGCGCTGTCGAGTTCATCTGCACAGGGGAGAGCTCGGCCGGCCAAGCGATTCACTGCATTGTCCGCTGGCTGCTGCAATAGCCTGGATGCATTGTATCTTGCTGCACCGAGATGCTCTCGAACTCTCGAGATACACTCGAGATTCGGGGCTCCCGCCCTCCATTGTCCTCCCCCACCTCTCCCTTCTTGGATCCCCCTGCATCTGTTCTTGTCTCGTCGCAGGTGGCCATACCAGAAGCTGAAAGGGTTGGGGGGCAACTCGCTCATTCTAGTTTGTTCTGTCCAGCTGGGTCCCTCTCCCCGTACCGACCAGGTACCCTCTAACGCCCCCGCCATCGAACGGTCGGTGCTTGGAGCGGCGTAGTGGGACTGCAACTCGGCGAAATAGTGTCGAAGCTTCTAGCCATCTGTGTTGGACAGGACTGAAATTCCAACACAGCCATTGAGGCCATCCAGCCCAACTGCAATTTGCAAGCCGCCGTGTTTGGGGCGCCCAATTAGACACGTAGGTGGCTGGCATAAACAAGCCATGTGCCTTGACTACAGGTGCCTGCACCGGCCTGCATCAACGAAAACGCCCAAGCAAGGCGGCCAATGCAATGCAAACTGGCCGCACATTTTAGAGTGGCGAGGCTGAGCACAGTGACATCCGAGGTACCTTCAACAAAGAAAAAAAGAAAAGTGAGGCGGTCCGGCCCCCAGACTTCCCCGGCCGAGTGCCTTGCCTGATTCGACAAGGGTCTTCAGTGGCCTTTGCTTTGCTCACTCTGCGCCGCTGCGGACCACCGTGATGATAAGCCTGCAATACTGACGATTCATGAATAGTTTGATTCCGCGTCGTAGAACCAAGGCTAGTTTGTGATGACACGGCACACGATTCAGGAGTCTCACGCCTGCTTGGGTCACAACCATGCTGGATGTGAAACAGCTGTGTAGCATAGAGCCCAGCCCGTATTGTGTGCGCCAAGGGAAAACAAAGCCATCCCGAAGTTGGATAGGAACGAAACAAGGCTGTGTGGACAATGTAACTTGCAACTTTCCCAGCAAACCTTCATGTTTGTCGACATCGACTCCCTTGAAGCTTGCATGGGGCTTTCATTGAAACAAACAATGCTGCGAAACCAACTTGAGTGGGGAGATTGGAGGGAGATGCCCGGCACTACCCATGCGGACGTTAGAGGCAAAACAGACGGTATCAAGAACTTACAACAGGTTTTTGACTATTCAGTCTAAACCACCGAAATATTGCTTGCTGTGAGCGGACTGTATTGACATCGTTCTTGCACCTTGGTGTAGAGAAACCCACTACTTTCAGAACCTTCGTATCCAATAGTACTTGTTCTAATCCAGCCCCAAGGCTCCCAGTCTTTTGAGATTTATCCTATGTCTACTAATTATACACTCTATACGGTATCAAACATGCAATGCATCACGTCACATCAGCCTCAGACACTCATTCCTTCTCCAATACCTCCCCAACCTGCCGATACTTCCGATCCGCATACACAAGCCCAAAGCCCTTCTCGCCCGTCACCGGCACCATGGCCACCACCTCGCCCACGACAATGACATGATCACGCACCCTCACCAGCCCCCCCTCGGCCGCATCCGCCAGCACGCGGCACCGCAGCGCGAACAGCACGCCCTCGCCGCGCAGCACCGGCGCCGCGCCGTCCGCGTCGCACGTCACGTCCTCCAGGCCCTCGAGCACATGGCCCCCCAGGTTCCCGCGTGTAAAGTGCGACGCAACAGCGGCGCCGTTGGCGTCGCCCGCGAGGATGTGCACCGCGAAGGCGCCGCTCGCGCGGATGGCGTCGAGGGTGCGGCTCGGCGTTGCGACGTTGAATGTGACGAGCGGGGTCGGGGAGAGCGTCAGGGATGTAAACGACGACATCGTCATGGCGCGGGGGCCGCCGTCGGGACCGGGCTGGGTTGCGGTGCACACGACGACCGAGTGTGGGAGCAGCCGCATGATGGAGCGAAGCTGTTCGGGCAGAGGCTCAGAGGTGGTCGGGTGGGTGGTCGGGGGTTTCGCGGGCGCGGTGTGCCATGGGTTTGGAGCAGAAGATGAGTAGGCTCTTCGAGACGAGGGTTCTGAAGAGGAGGTGGTTAGCATTCCGCCCGTTAGTAGAGCAGGATTGGTGATGCTCACTATGTTGGTGTTTTGCGGTGCCGGCTCCGCGGTTTTGCAGAGAGGACGGCGGCGATGCCCTGGTGGCCATCCCACGCGTTCTTCCACACCCCTCGCACTTTATACGCCTTGTCTGGTTGTGCTGGATGCCCTGCACCGCCCTCATCGAGCTCAATGCCCTCCTCTCCCCTCCCATCATGGCCCCTCGCACGCCCATATCCCACGCAGTCCCAGCCGCATTGCGCAGCGCCGGAGATCCCTTCATAGCCGTCCAAAGACCATTATTTTCTCCCAGAAGTATAGAGTTCGTCCGTCTTCTCGTTTGCAAACGCAGCCGTCGTAAAAAGCAGAAGCGAGCAGAATTGGCGAGACTCGCTCTTCCGACGCTGGCTTTCCTGGGGTGGAAACGACGAGGTTCTGTGCTTATCGATAAGGATCCCGGCCTTTCACTCCACGCCGACTGGCGAGCATCCACTCCCGGGGCCAGCTGGAGCCGCCCCAAATTTTACCCGGTGATAGTTGCGCGAGACCGACGTCGAAAACGATTGAACCACCACATCGTCACCGACAATAACCCGCAACCACCGCCGCCCGTGGACCCAATTCCTCTCCGAGCCGACGCCTGTGCCCTCACAAGGCTCGACACTCCCCCTCCCGCCGCAGCCACCGCCGCCGGCCCATCTCCAGAACCATGGCAAGCCTCCGCGCCATGCCCGTGGGGCTCGCTCCCACGAGGACGACCACTCTCCTCTGCTCCTCGACGACCTCCAAGACCTCCTCCGCCATCCTCAGCCTCTCCCGCACGCAAGTCCGCCACGCCACCTTCATCCCCCGGCCGCGCCGCCCCTATACCTTCACCCAGCTCGTCACCCTCTCCGACGGCTCCGCCTACACCATGCGCACCACCTCGCCGCAGCCCATTTACCGGGCCTCCAAGGACACCCGCAACACGTTATTGTGGCAGCCCAGCGAGAAGTCGCTCAAGAACGTCGAGCTGGATGAGGCCGGTAAGCTCGCTGCTTTCCGTGAGCGTTACGGCCGTGCCTACGACTCTGGAACCGCCGCCGAGGACGACGGTGCTGCTGAGGACGATGTTGGTTATGCGGACCTTATCACTGGATATGCGCCTGCCCAGGACGCAGGCTCTTTGAAGGATTCCGGTCCCAAGAAGCAGGCCAAGAAGAGAAAGTAAACTGGTTCCTCCATGGGTGTTGGACTGGGACAATGATATCACGGACAATTGATCAAGACGCCAAAAACGACAATGGAGTAACAATGTACTATGTCTAGAATATTACTTGTACTGGCAAGATTTGGAGAGGCTGGGGCGTGGATGGATGGGGTAGTTCAATATGTACAACAGCGTGAGGCCTCGAGGCTTGTATGATATAAAAAGACACGCGTCTCCAGACTCGGAAATTCAACAGTCAAACAGTTCTCCATCAATTGGAAACCCCCATCATTCTCCGCTGTGAATAACCCCCATTTTGTGCTCCGAAATGGGTAATCATGAAATAAATCAAGGGGAATGTCCCCCTAGTCCGAATCCTCATGTATCCTTGCCCGGGCTCTGTCAATAGCAGTATCGCCGGCGGGCTTGGCCTGCTGCTGGTTCACAGGCGGTCGGTAAAAGACGGCCTCGTCATCCTCTGCATCCAGCTGCATCAGGAACGTCTCCCACTTCTCAATGAGCTGCCTCGGTTGTTAGCATGATCTGGTCTGTCCATGTCAGGGGTAACGCTCACCTCCTTCTGCGCCTCAACCGCGCCCTCCAAGAATGTCTCAACACCACTCTTGAAATCTTCCACCTTCTCTCGCTCGAATCGATCCAATTCGCTGCGCATCAGCCGGCCCATATCGTCAAACAGAAGCCTAGCCTGATGCACTTTGCGTTCCGACTCGCTGACCTCGGCACCCATCTGATTAAGACGGTCCTGCTGGCTCTTTCCCTGTCGAAGCAGCTTGTCCTGCGTGGATTTCTTCTTCTGAAGCTCTGACTCCGCCGAGTGCCACGAGTAAAAGGCCTTCTGGCGCTGGGTAAAGGCCATTTTAACCGAGCCGATGAGCCGGATGTACTCCTCGATGATGATGCCAAAAGTCAGGACGTCCTGTTGAGCCTGGCGTTCATAGACGTCGCGGATGGTAAGCTGAAGCTCGGAGAGGGCATCGAGAGGTCCAGAGAGAGAGGGCGACAGCTCAACCGTGGACAGGGCATGTAGCGACGCTGAGAAGTCGCCAGCCGCCTCGGCCATCATCTTGCGTTGGCCAATCATGGTCTCCATGGCCTTGAGTAGGGATTTGAGCTGATTTTCAAGCGCATCGAGATAGACCTTCCGATCGTGGAACCAATCGTCCTGTTCCACAAACTTGTTGCCACCGCCCACGCTGAGACCCAAAGACCCGAACATGCCCTTGCTTTCAGTGGGAATAGGCTCCCTTCGCTCCTTGTGCTTCACATCGACATTGAACGACTCGCTCTCGAGGAACAGCTTGAGGTCGGCGTCGTGCTGCAGGGTCGGGTGGATCGCAGTCTTGTTGAGCATCTTCTCCAGAGCAGCTCGGCGGCTCTCGACAAAGTTGCTGTCGAAGCGGCCGACAGCCTGCTTATCGGGGGGAGGCGGCACAACAATGCCAGGGTTGTTGCCGTGGAGAGTGGTGTAGAGCCAGAGGAAGTCACGGTACCGGCGCTTGACCTCGAACTCGGGCTGCTTGTACCCCTTGGAGGTGGTCTATATAGGCGGTTAGCTAAGTTACGAATAACGACATGATCAGAAGCCCCCGGCGTAGACTTGCCTTGGTTCGCACAGAGTAGACGATGTGAGAGCTAGTCAAATCGCCAACCTTGTGCGGGTCTCCAACACTGATCTGGAACATGGGCTTGGCGGCCTGCTCAACGCTGACGCTGGGCTGGGTGCTGCTGCGGACGCTGCTGGGCGTCGCCACCTCGACGGGAGGCGGCGGGCGCGGTCCACGAGGCCCGTCAAACTCATCCTCGTCGATGCGATGGGGGTCCGCGGGTCGTCGAGCCGGCTGCTGTTGCTGCTGCGGCGGCATGGTGGTGCGGATCACCATCTGCTCCTTCTGCGGAGGCACCGGAGGAGCGTCCTGGGCGGGGGCATTGTCGTCGGAGACGGCGCCGAGAGGGCCGAGGGGATCGTCGACGGCTTCGAGGCGGGTGGGCTGGGCGACGAGGCGACGCGGGCCGCGCGAGGGCCGGGGAGTGGACGAAGAAGAGGCGGCTGGAGGAGCGGGCGAGGCAGTCGATTGCGCAGCGGATGCGGCATCGGGTTGGGACGCCTGCTTGGCGGCCTGAGACGAGTCGGCCCAGGGTGACTCTTCGACGTCCATGGCTGCTGCGGGAAGGAAGAGTCGGGCGGGCGAGTGCGGGTGATGGCGGAAGGGGCTCTCCTCGGGGGCGACGAGAGGTGGTGGAGATGGAATAAGTGCGAGGTGAGGCGGTGGTGAGAGGTGGTGATGCGATGGCCTGGCGTGGGAAGCTTGGGGCTCTTGGGGAATGGGGTGGATAACGGCCTGCCTTAGTTAGACGACAATAGGCAGCACCCAGTAAAGCGGTCGACTACTTAGCGGAGCAACCACTGAAGCAGCCACTACAGCGCCAAGCAGAAGCATGTGGACGTCAGCGCAGGCGCCGCACTCGGCCGTGGCCCCACTGAGAAGTACGTTGCCCTGTACCTAAGCTCCCCTAGCTCCCTCCATCTCAACACCAGGCTACAGGTGACAAATGAAGAAATTTGATCCTCGGAAGGGTGCTATTTTAGAGACCTCCCCATTTGTGGCCTGTTAATATACAACTTATTTGGTATGCAGCTCCCCGTAAACTAAACCCAGGCGTCAACTAGCAAAACGAACATGGCACCTCTTGAGCTCCCCTATCACCCATTCCATTGGGGCCCCAGCGTGTGGGTGTGCTCTCCGTTTCAGCCCGCAACTCCTGTAATTGCATCCAATGCTGGCTTTTCTCTGCTAGCTTTGAGTCACAGGCAGACAGGCAATGGCATTTGTCAGTCATGCCCGTTGACCACTGCTTTTGCTCGCGACTTCTTAGCTCGCCCGATTTTGCTGAGCATCTCTTTTGTAAAGCTCTCCTTTTCGGGGCCTGGCATGCTGTTTGAACCGGCCTCCTAACGCTCGGGATCATAGCAGCCTCCGACTATCACCAGGTTCATTCGGGTAAACTTGACCTTCATCACCGGCGTCTTCTTGGTCGGGAATGCGCTGATCTGGTCGGGTGTGATCATCACCTCTTTGTTCTTCTTCTTGTGCGTTCCGCTACTGGCCCCAGCGGCCCCAGCCTGTCCAGGCGCACTACCCGTAGCCCGCGATGCATCACCCGCTGTAGTGCCAGGGTTTGCTCCATCAGTTCCAGCCATGGCCGCATCGAGCCCAGCTTGCTGTTGAGTAGCCTTCTGGGGATCAGCAGGTAGCTCGACATCCCATAGTCGCACTGTTCCGTCTTGACCTCCAGACGCGAGCACGTTGGACTCAACGCTGAAGCTCAGGGACCAGATGCCACCCTTTCCATGGCCGCGGGACCGCTTGATCCTGGTTCCCTTGGTGAGATCCCAGAAGAAGATGTTGCCCGCGCAGTCAGCACTGGCCAGGATCTTTCCGTTGGGTGCGCACTCCATAGCGCTGATGTAGTCGTTGTGGCCAGTGAAGACTCGCACGCAGGAACCAGACACCACAGACCACATCCGGATCGACTTGTCGGTTTCGTCAGAGGCAGAGAAGACATACATGCCGTTAGGGTGCCACGCGAGTGCCGAAATAGCCGTGTCGTGTCCGACCAGTAGTCGCTGCGGCGAGGCGTGGTCCTGCATCCAGACTCGGACGGCCTTGTCGTAGCCGCCGCTGATAAAGTAGTGTCCATGAGGGCCCCAGGCCGATCTGAAGGCGGGTCCGTCGTGGGACTTGTAGAGGCAGAGACAGCTCCAGGACTCCAGAGACCAGAGGCGAATCTGGCCATCGGCGGAAGATGAGAGGAGAAGTTTGGGCTTCGTATCAATCGCCGGGTTGGGCTTGCCTTCGTCTCCAAACAGTTTCTGAGGGGGACCAGACACGGCATCCGAGAATGACACATCATAGACTGGTGCTGAATGTCCAATTAGTTTGCGGCTGTTGAACTTGGAATCTTTCTCATGCGCATTCATCGTAGGGAGGGCCTTGCCGTCAAGAGACCAGACCCGAATGTATGATTCCGTCGTACCGGCCGCCACCATCTGGCCGTCGTTGGAGAAATCCATGCAAGAAATACTGCTCTTGATTAGCGTCCTGCAGTTAACCTCGAAAAGGGGAGGTAGCTCACCTTCCAAGACTGTTGTGGAACGTAAACATGCATGCGCTAATGGGAAGTCCCACGCCTCCAGTTTGGCCATCAATCTTGAACCGATCACGGTTTTCTCGCACCTTCTGCATCTCCAGCATAATATCTCGAGGTCGCGAGGGAGGCAGCGGAAGCTCGGCCCTGTTGGGCACGTCGGCGCTGTCCTCGCGCTTGATCTTCTGGTCGAACTCATCAAGCATGCTATTCTTGCCTGCAGGTGGCGGCTTTCGACGCTCCTCGTCCTCAATCTCGGCTCGCACATCTTCCCGAAGGTCCATATCCATGGGCAGAGGACCAAGCTTAAGTGGCGCGGCTGGGTCTAGAATATCCTTATTGGACAAGCCAATGTTCACGCCAGGGATACCCTCGTTGGTGTCAACCTCCTCAATCTCCATGTTCCTCGACTTCCTATAGACGGCCTCGAAGCTGAAAGGGGTAATGGGCCCTCTAGCCGTTGAGTCAACTTGGCAGTAGTTGACCAAAAGCTGCCGGATAACGGAACCACCCTGCTCGGACTCCCTCTCCAGGAAGTTGAAGAGATCGCCAGTGGCATGTTGGTTCAGGGGAATACGATACTTGTTCTCTCTATAGAGCTTCGTAATGGAGTTCTCAGCAATGTGCTGGGGAAGAGTAACCGTCGCAAACGTCTTCAGGTCGTCCGCGTGGACTGGCTGGAAATGGACACCGATGTCCCGAAGGAAGGTCTTGGCATCCTCTGCGTATGCTTGGCTGACGAGTTCCAAGAACGAATAAACGAACATGGGCCAGAGAAGTTTTGAGAGTTCAAACTGAGACTGTCAGTGCCAGAAAGAAGGGAGAACACAAGATGTATTACCTTGTATAGATCCAAGTTGTTGCCCACCCATTCCCGTAAGAGGTTGAACGCCTTGGCGTACTTCTTGGGACCCATATTGGCGAGTTGCTGGATGGGCTTACCATCGGGTCCAAGGTGTTTCGACTCCTGGCGGAAAACCTCCTCTGTTCGGTTGAAACCTCTCTTGAGAAGGTAATCGGTAACCTACACGAGTAACCGTTAGCATTTACCCTTGTTCCCAATCTCGCCCATGGTTTCGAAGATGATGCGCCAGGTGAGGAAGCTTGATCTGAAAACTACACGTCCACTTGGTAGTGCAGCAATGAAGATAACTCAACGCCCAGGCTTGCCTTTTCGGGGGCGCTCTTGGTGGTCATCTTGGCTGAGGATGGCTCCAGGCCTGGGCCATGCGCGGTGGTGTCAAGCAATGGGGTTGCCTGGGTAAGGTGGGAGAGCAAGTCAAGGTGTACTAGTACTCAACCGAAGATCGGTGCTTCCAAGAGAAAGATGTAAAGAGAAGGTCTCGCTCTCGCTTGATTTTCGGAACGACTAGGCCGCACTTTATAGAAGCCTCACGCGACCTTCATCCAGTTCCCCAGGTGCAGCGGTGAAGTGCGGTGGCGCACAACAGCAGACGATGCAAACGCATAATGAATGAACAAGCGAAATCAACTTACTATTTGATTCAAGTTCTGGTTCGACATAGCTGAACCCGTTGTGCTCGTTTGCCCCGTGGTTGCGGTTGTTGTGGCATGGGTAGCAGTTGGTGGAGCGGCGGTTTGGCCAGTGTAACCACCAGGCGGCGCAGCGCCTGGTGTAGGAACTGGGGCGGACATGATGCCGGCTTAGGAAACGACGATGGCCAACAAGTGATTAAAGATACACGATGGTACAGTTGGCGTTTATCGGTAAAGGGGGGTCGTTCAGTGAAGGCTCATATCATGAATGGCGCTTGCACCGTTTTAAGAGCGTGCCCACAGGCCCCACGAGGGTTGGCTGGGGATGCGATGCAGTGTTTAGACTTGGGCGCAAGTGCCTGGAACGTCGTGGTCGGTAGCTAGGAGCCCAAGATATAGCTTTAGTAGCTGGTAAGTGAGATTGAGAGTCGCGTGGATGGAGATAGCGGCCGTATGGGCGTCAGAGAGGTGAGAGCTGGCGAGGCTGATGGATGAGTTTGTGGTGAGGCTCGAGGTTGAGCAGGCTACGGGAGTCGCGTCTCCAACCTTGAGGAACTACAGTTGTGGTTAGCCGGAGATTAAGCGGACATCCCTCAAAGCCGCTCGTCTACAACACGAAGGAGTCTGTCCAAACTAGAACAGGCTCTCCTAGAGATGAGTTAATATCCTAAGCCAAATAATGGCGAGTTTCATATTTACTTAAGGACAAAACATCGATCGGTTTTGCTGGACTTCTCACACTTTTGGTCTGATGCTATCGCGACAACGACCATGGCATGAGCCAAGCGCACAGACCTAAACTGCATACCAGTACGTACCTCTTCACTTCCCTCAAGGTCCGTGATGAGCATGCACGATCCCTTTCAACTTCTGAGCATCAATCGCCCAAAGTCCCAAGCAAAATCGGACCCACGACTATCTCTTAATCTTGACCACAACCATCAAAATACGACGTCGGTCCTTGTAGCGCATTGTTGATCGCGGCACTGTGTTTGCTTCACCGCCTACAACGAGCCACTCATTCACGGGACCAGCTTTCAACTATACGCCTGCACAAGTCACAAAACCTAGGAGAGATTGCCTGAATTGCAAACACCCAAGTCACGGCCCTTGCATCATGGCGTCTTTGTCACAAGACGCCATCATGGAGGATGGTAGCAACGCCCGCGCGCACGAGGCCTTCACTGTCGAAGAGAACATCCACCAGCTCAACGACATCGACAAGTGTATTGTCCAGCTCATGAGCCACACCACCACCGCGCTCAACGCCCTCACCATCCCCTCAAACCCATCTGGCGCCACCGGAAACCCCCCCGCCGAGGGCACCAAGCCGCTGCTGAATCCCCCAGCCCAGAAGGAAGCCTTCCGTTCTTCTACCGATTCATTCCTCACTACCCTTCACGCCATCGACGTGAGGATGAAGCGCCAGATCATGGCGCTTGAGGAGGCCGGCATTGTGAATCTATCCAGCAGTCAGCGCCAGGACCACAGTGGCCCCGTCAAGGCGTCATTGAAGCCGAATGGTGTCGGCGCGGTGGGCAACTTGGACGTGGGATGGCTGAACAGCCGCGGGACGAGGGTGGAGCGAGACATGGAGGGGGAGCTTTGGGGAAAGGCAAAGGTTCTCTTGGAGAAAGAGGGCGAGACGATGAAGATGGACTGAATAGCGAGAACTAAAGGTATCGGGATGGTGAATATGGTGCGGCGTTTGGGACATGGTAAGCTCTAGGCCAGAGTTTCGGTTGGATCATATGTTGCTTTCGTACTGGAGTTTCTAAGGTTGAAGGCGGTGAAATAGAAAGGGTCACAAACTCCCAAAGTTGTTCAATGTACGTGTGATATGGAGAGCCCACAACTCTTACGACAGTGTTCAAATCATTGGCATCTATCCAGCAACATCCGGTATCGGCTTCGTCACAAGTTGACCGGCAGTTCCATTTTCGAACAGATGAGAACTGCGATCATACCCTTACCCAAGAACACTAATCAGGTCCGACCCTACCTACCGCGTGCTATCAGTTGACGAAAGCTGGCGTGCATTTGTTGACATCCGGGAGAACAGCAAGTAGACCAGTTTCTCCACATCGTCCTCAAAATATGGCCGCCAACTCATGCCGCATTCCAGCTCTGACAACAGTTTGTGATGGCGCTGCCCGTAGAGCCAGTAGGTCAGCGCCAGACCAGAAAAGATAGTGCTGACGCAGAGGTAATGGCATTGCTACCGGTAACATGTAGCATTCAATGCGACTCATGGTGTGAATGATGTCCACTCTCCATATTTACATCACAGGGGGTGGGCTTAATGAAGTTTGAAGACAAAAAGGATGCAGGTCAAGTCCATGCAAGCAACCAAGCAAGCCGTCGCTGAGATGTGCGATACAATCAGCTTTGTAAGTGGATCCACGGAGAACAAGCTTAATAGTAAACTTGAGATGATGCGGGAAATATTTCGAGTATTGTAATTCGTACACGGGTATAAGCTCCTTCGCCAAAGCCTCAGCTGGACTCAGACACCTACTGTAAATCAGCGGGTGTATTGTGAGTCTAAAGTATTGCCTTTCTTATTAAATTGGGCATGAGAATTTTATAAAAGAAATCATTATAAGGGATAAATGCTGAGAATTCATCCTCACACACATTTATTCACCCAACTCCTCTATTGGGATAGTATCATTTTGGATTGAGGCATGTAGTTCCACGTGCAAATAGCAATACTCAAGGGTATCACCGCAGCGCACACGAAATTACGGCACTGTGCTTGTATCCCCCGCCTTAATAAAAGAGCCCCTGCCCCTAACTCGCGCCTGTCCTTCCATTGTCGCGTCAATCTTGCCCTCCGCGATGAGTGTAGTCGCGTACTTCACTATGTTGCGAGCCTCGATATCAGAATCATACGAGCTCCAGCTAATCAGTCGTTTCCATGTCACCTTGTGAGTCTGACTGAGGCGCCACAGTCGCCCAGTCGTCCGGATCTCTGTCGAGATGTTCGATGCGCTCTAGGCGATGAGGCCGCGATGATAGGCCTCGTGAAATGCATGGGAAGGGCCTGGCTCTTGGGACAGTATGGGCGGATCACCTCGCACTATACCTACGTGTTCTCGGATGTACCAATCAAGGCATTTCGTCCCAGGTGACACAAAGCAATTCTTATGTTAAACCACGGCGTGGATATTGGGACAGCCGGATATACCGGACGCATATTTGCTATCAGGACTGCTGCCCCACTCCATACCCCAACCCCTCCGTTTGCCCTCGCCTGGATCTTGCCTGGATCTTGCCCAGTTCTGTCTTGGATTGCTTGCGTGCCCACCTTGTTGACGTGCGCCGGGGTGGGTTAGATGGGCACGTATCTTGGCCCCAGCCCGCGCCACACGGCCAATCAGCGTCCGATTCAGTGTAATCGGGAGACCGCCGTGGCTGCTTTCGCTGCCGACTGCTCCGGCGCTTGGCAGGGACAGACCCCCCACTGTCGTCAATGTACTTGCCTCCGAACTTCCGTGCAGGCCAATTCGTGGGTTCCGCCGTATTGACCGGCAGGTCTTATCCATAGATGCAGCCTCTGGCAGCTTCCGTGCCTACCTACCTATGGCTGGGTCCCTTTTGGGGGAGCTCTTCCCCTTCCCTCCTTCGTGTTTACCCTCACCTCCACCAACCTTCATCGCGTCACCCTCACCAACCTACACACTCTTCCACTCGTGGTGCTTCCATCCAGCAAACACTGCCAATTCGCTTGCTGCTTCAAACCCCAGCGCTCGCTAATCGAACCCTTCTCGGCATCGAAACTTGTCGCAGTCCAATCGCTATATCTCCACTAATAACGCCTGGGACGATCCCCCCACCCCCCGAAGCGAAGCCTACGACACGGCGTTTGAGACGCTCCCAGGTAGCATCGGACGTTCATCGAGCCATTTTGAAGATCCCGAAACACAATTTCGAAACGCGACCTCGAAACCGGCGTAATGGCGATAGAATATAGGGCGAGGGCATTCGCTGTGCCCTCGTTCTCGGCAATTGTAGCACTCAGCTTCTTCGGCACCATGGCGGAAGCCCACGATCACGACGGTGGCCACATCCCCGAGGGTCAAACCGTCTCCCTCAAGCCTCTGGTGGGTGCCAATTGATCTACGATACGGTAGTTTGGAGCTGACGATGGATTAGGACACGATCCTATGGATTCACATCTTCACACAGATGCTCGCCTACGGCGTCATTTTCCCAATTGGCATGGTCCTGGGTGTATGTTATCTCGATTTCCGGAACCCCCGGACAGCATCGCTAACCCTCAGTAGATGACCAAAAACCGATGGCATGTCCCGACGCAGGCCGTTGGTACAATCCTCGCGATACTGGGCTTCTTCTTGGGCCACGCACACAAGGGCCGTGAATTCATCCCCAATCACGTCCACCGAACATTCGCCCACATCCTCCAGCTGCTCCTCGCCGCGCAGGTATTTCTGGGCATCTACCTTAGGGGCCACTGGGAGAAGGGCATCCATGGCAAGATTCGGAAAATCGTCCGGCCATTTCACTCCATATTTGGAAAGCTTATGCCGCTCCTGGCATGGACGCAGATGGTCTTTGGTGGCATCACAGCCCTCGGCTTCTGCCAGGGAGACCACCTCGGCCAATGTGCGGCTCACTTCATTATGGGCGGTGCCTTCATCGGCTACGGAATTATCCTCACTCTCATCCTCATGGTCGGCCAGATTTGGATCCGAAACCGGGGACGATCCCAGGAATTCTATGACAGCGCCTTCATTGCCGCCTGGGGTTGTGTCAACACGTTTACGGAACACCGCTGGGGAACTGATTGGGTCAAGAATGATTGGCAACACACCACCATGGGAATCATATGGTGGGCTGCCGGTTTAGTTGGCGTCTGGCTCAGTAGAGATCGTGACGGAAACCCGAAGCGCAACTTCATTCCTGGCTTCGTCATCTTGATCACTGGCTGGGGCATGTCCGCACACCCACAACAGCTGATGGTCAGTGCTGCGACACACACCATGTTTGGCTACACTCTCATGGGTGTTGGTATTACTCGGATTATCGAGATTGCTTTTGTGCTCAAGGATGCGCATTCCATTGCCGATGACGGACGCTCAATCAACAGCTTCCAGTATATTCCTGTTTTCGTAAGTCACACATCCACATCCACATTTACTTATTCTTACTGACACAAACAGCTGTTGTACGCCTCTGGATTCTTGTTCATGGGTGCCACTGAGGAGCAGATGGCCCTTGTGGATGGCTCCCGCATGGACCATGTCTCTTACATTCTGATCCTCTTCTCCATGGCCTCCCTCGTCTTCCTCTTCGCCAACATGCTCATCCATCTCTGGGATCGTCTCGCGAACCCAATTATGAATGGAAAGGATTTCAGTCACGAATACACCCACATTAACGGCCATCCCGTGGAGGATGGACAGGCTCAGGATGCTCAGGAATTTGAGCTGGACGGATTGGTGAGCGATGATGAAGATGACGGTCGGAGAATGCAGGGCCGGAGGAGCATGGATAGCACAAGCCCCGACACGCCAAGCACATTGGGTAAGAACAACGAGACACGAGTTCGGTGAGATGTTCTGCAATGGGAACGAGGGGACGAATTTTGGATAACGGTTTCAAGAGGAAGCATTTTGCTCCCGGGCGTCTTGGCGTGGATTTGGATATCCACTGCGATTTGTTGGCCGTTCTCATAATACTACCACATTTTGAACATACATAGATTGTATTATAAGGGAAAAGTTATGAAATGCAAGTCCAGAGTCGCATGTGAGGAGCATACGTAGAGTTCCCGTTTGTGTGGGTATGCGCTACTGCAGCCCCCAGTAGCTCAAGCGGCGGGGTCTAGCGCCAGTCCCTCACCGAGTTCTGACCGGAAAACGAACTTTGCCCGCCGCAATTCTTCTTCCCGCTGCAAATCTACGATTTTCGAATTCGACACCCTCGCCGCACCTCAGACCGTCCCGCCCCCCGCGCGCGACTAGAAGAATCGCAAAAATGCCTTCCGACGGAAACCTCAACGGCCCGTCCAAAAACCGCCTGGCCGCGCGCCGGTCCAAGGGCAAGGCGGACCGTCGCAAGCGCGCCCAGATGCCAAAGGACAAGATCGCCAAAGCCGATACCACTCGCGGAGCCCGACCGGGCATGATGCCGACCAGCGGACCTCGGGCGAAGTTGAGCTCCAAGAAGGCCAAGAAGTTGGAGAAGAAGATGGGCTATGCGCTGAAGAGGAAGATGGAGGCCGACGGAGAGGCCGAGATGAAGGGTACGTTTGCCGAGACACATAATTGGGATTATGAGGGTTTGGTGCTAATTTTGTGCGTCTAGATGCGCCTGCAGAGGATGGAGAGAAGGTCGAGGAGGTTGTTATGGAGATCCAGTGAGCGGCATTGTTGGGCGATACGGATATGGTGCAGAGATTGCACCGTAGGTCTATGGACTGCACGGATTTTCGACGTCCACGGGCTTTGATGATACCACGCGAGGTTGGCCAAGCTGCAAGCAGAAGGACGGGATCAAGTACTGACGTACAATAAGGCTATACTTTGAACGACACTTGCTTTACGAAGACGCTACATGGGACGGAATTAGCCGGCATATCATAAGGATAGACAAAATGAATTTTGAGTTTCTACACTAAGGAAGGGCCTTGGTCTTCTATCTCTTGTTCGTCCGGGAGTTTGAACCTGTCAAGGCATTCCATATCATTCCCCAACTCCTCGGTTGTGAGGGACTGTTAGGTAGCCTCTGACGTAGACTGATATTGCACTCCATTTTGCATTGTAACGTCGTCCGCCTCTCGCGTAGGAATAGGCCTGACTGGAGGCGAGGGTGCGGGCTCTCGCTGGTATCTTCTTGGGGGGGCGCGGGGGGGTGCGTAAGTGGCTCGGCCGGCGTGTCTGAAGTTGCTCCTCGAGGAGGTGCCGCTGGATGATAAGCTGAAGATGCTGGGTGACTCTTTGCTCGTTGCGTCCGTGTCGGGACAGTGACGGTCGCAGATGTCTGGGTTTTGGTCAGACCAGGTGCAGCAGAACATGGTGAAGAACATGGTGAGCGGACAGGATTCTTTGACAGGAGCTTGGGGTTCGATATCTTATGGAGAGGAAGCTGGATTGAAGGAAGGGTATAAGTAGGTCTCCAGATGACTGGTCGTGCTGCTTGAGATGAGTTGGCTGTGATTGCTGTAGCTCGGACAGTGGACGCACAGTCATGAGTTCATGACGATGCTGTCAGGTGAAGAGAATCGGTACGGCCAATATTTGATGAACTGTGATTTAATGAGCAATTCAAGGGACGCCATCGCATTGTTTGTTGCTGCTCTTCACAAGCAAAATGTGGTGAGTGGGGCGGTGATACTCTGCAGAGGACCGACGAGGAGTCACAGAGGGATGATTAGGACGCGTAACGACAGATAAATTTGCAGTATTGCGCAATTTGGCAGGAATTGCATCCTATTCAGATACGAGGTATGTGTAATGTGCTGTTCGCTCGGGTCAACCCATCGATCTGTATGCCTCAGTTATGGCAATATGTGTGACGTTGGACACGTGGGTATCCTGAAACCGAAAAGACAGGTTTCCCTCTTGTCTGTTACTGAGCTTCCATCCATAAGCGCTACATAGTATATGAAATGACACAGAGCTGATAACTAGGCGGGTTGTTGAGAAGTATAAAGCGGCGGACCGAAGTGATGCTCTCGCGAGATTGTGAGAAAATGTGGCGCTGGTAAAAGGTATAGCAAAGAGGTTATAGCTACTTATTGTTCTCCTTATAGTGCCTAATTAGTCAGACGAACTTTTACTCAATAGGTAGGTACATATACCAGAATTGAGAGACGAGTGCAATTGTCAGTCCTATACAGCTGGCAGAGAAAAGTGGAAGTGGAGCCGACAATTGACATTCAGAATAGTGGTGACAGTGACGGAGACTCGGAGCTCGGGGCGCTGAAACCGGATAAGGATTGTGGAAAAGAGAATACAATTTGTGCATAATTCCCATTGAGGATTTTTGGTGGTGGCGTCAATAGGTGCATGCGCCGCGGCCATGAATCAGAGATGGCGGCATTCAACCTGACACACAAATGCTGCAGAGGAGGGCATTGTCTTCACGATATCACCCTTTGAGAGTATTTATTTGCCTTCATACTTTCCCTCTTTCCTCCATATTCTTTTATTTCATCCATTTCCGAATCTCCTCATATTCCTCGTGGAAAAGATTGCATCTCTCGACTTGGTTCCTTCTCTCTTCTTCCACCTCCCCCCACCCCGGTGGCCAGCTGTCACCAGGTCTCTCCCAACTAGGATTCTTACAACGCGTGCCCCCGCTCCTTCCCGCGTTTGACTCTCCCAATTCCGTTCCCAATTCCGTTTAATTCTTCCATCAAAGTCATCAATTCTGTTTTTACGATGAATACCACCAAGCGATGCGCCGAGGAGATCTCCTCCATTGACAACGACGGCCCCGATGAGGACGTTAACTTTCCTCTCCACAAAGCACCTCGCCGGTACGAATCCCCTTCTTCTCAATCGACCAGTAAGTCTTCATACTTTCAATATTTGTGGAAGTCTATCTCTAACGCAGCTAGTACAAGATGGCACTGACGGTCTTCGCGAGAAATCCTTCGCAGAGTTCCTCGCCAACGCCCTGCCAGTCGCCCTCATCGATCCCGAAGTCCTGCAGTTTTTGGTGTTCCAATCTAACCTCCGCCTTGATTTCGCCAAGCGAGAGGGAGTTGACATCAGCGAACTTTCCATTGGGGACGATTGTCTGCCTGTCTGGCCCGGCTTCAGCTGGGATCCTTCTGTCGAGTCACTTCATTCTACTATCCAGCGTCGTCTCGCGAATCTTGAATTGGCTCAAGACCTTGGAAATCTCGTTCAAAACGACATCATCGCCAAAGGGAACCGGAAGCTTGACGAGGCTCGCCTATTGGGGGTTCAGTTGGAAAGTCTCGTCATCGGCAATGGCCTTCTGCCTGTTTGGGGAGACGACGCATTCAAGGATGTGGGTTCCGAGCATCAAGACAACGAAGAGGAAGAACTTTCACAGATGACCAGCCGCCTCTGGTTGAGCAATTCATCCACTTGTGTCGGAAGCTCGTCCGATGCTGCCACAATGAGTACACTAATTGGCTCTGAGACAAGCCCCAGCCCCATTGTCCTCACATCGCCTGTCAGTTTCTGCTCCGACAGCTCCGACTCCGACTCGTGCCCAGATTCTGACGCCGAGAATGTTGCACCTTGCCCCGAGGACGACAGTCTTTTCGCCATCACCCTCAAGAACCTTGTTGATGATCAAGCCTACTACTCTGAAGATGATGACGCCCAGAATGTTGTTCACGACGTTGAAGTCGCCGGCGCCCCTCGAAGCCACTCTCATGTCGATCTTGAGGTCTACGTTGCCAATAATGACGACGAGGTTTACGACTTGCCAGAGATGGAATTCGCCGTTGATCGAGATGCTTTCGAATACTGGCACCAGACAGACGAAGCAATCGACGTTGAGGTTCCAGGCACCGAGTTGCGCTGCACTGGAAAGATCATCTTGATTGAGGAGGTCGACGATGAAGAGGCGGCCCGCGTTATTGCTGCGAATGCGAAGGCCAATATCATTTTTGATCCCATCCCGGTCATTGAGGAACCTGATGAGGCTGATGACCTCCCCTTCGATACCAGGCAAGCACAGCGCACACGATCTCCAAGCCTCGCCAGTGAGGAGACGACATCGTGTTCAGCTTCTCCCTAAGATCATTAAGGAAACAGAAGACGGTTCACATACTGAATCGTTTCATCTTCGTCCTCTATGCCACTTCCATCCGCCATTGGCGTGTATGAGACGATTTGGAGGATCAGGGAGACCCATTCTTATTTGCTTGTTGATCGGGACGAGGATAGCCATTTACTTATCAGTTGCTTCATTGTTATTTGGTCGTGCGATGGTATCGCATTGGGGTTTCGACATTTTCCGCGTTTCTATGGAAGGATCTGAGAGGGATATGGATTTGGGCCTACTTTCGGAACGGGTAGGATCTTTACGGGCGCAGTATATGAGGCTTCATGCAGTGGACATGGAACAAATATCGCCAAGAGTAGTGAGATGAAAGGTCGAGATCGTTTTATCCGTCTCAATTTTACTCTACTTTATGACAAACATCTTGGGCACATTGCTCAACGAGCTCTTCTAACTTGACTTGATCGTTCGGTGACCTTCTTGTGGCATGCTCCCCTGATGCCGTTGAGCTCACTCTTTCCATCCATACGAGATCCACGGACGTTTCGATCATCTCTCGCTCAGCTCGAGGTGTGTACCCTGAATACAGAAACACAATCACTCAAGAGACATGTCGCCGACTTTGTCCAGCACATGGCGGACTTTCTCAAACTCCTCTTCCAATCGCTTCACCCGTCCTTCGAGCTCGGCGTTTCTCTTCTCCAACTCCTCTTCGCGCTTCTTAGCAGAGGTACTTGTCAGGCGCAGCTTTGTCTTGCCAGGGGTCTTTCGAGGCACGCTGGGGCCACGGCCAGTCGAGGGGCTGCTTGGGCTCATCGGGCTCGGCATCGATGTGAGATCAATCGGAGAAAAGGAAGATGTCGTATAGTTCCCGGTCGGCGTGGTGAAGGGGCTTGCTGGCTTGGGACCCCCGTTCTTCTCGGATGCCGCCTGGTGTGGTGTCGAGCTGTTGTGCAACTTAAATCCGACACTGGATAGGAAATGCCGTCCGTATTTAGGACACCCGACTTGCATGCACCGGAGATTGGTCTCGTCGCCCACGTCCTTCTTCGAGTTCTCGGCATCTGCAGAGCCGTCAACGGCAGACTGGTGCTCAGGCTTCTTCAAGTGGTTGAAGAACCCCGTGGTGGACGCAAACGTATGCTCGTACTGCGGGCAGTCGGCCGAGTTGCATCGAAGGCTTCGGATCGCTTCCTGTTCTGCGTCGAGGGCAACGCCAAAGGACAGACGGTCGCGGAGGGCCTGGCCGATAGCTAAGGCGGAGATGTGTGATACAGCGCTGGCGTGTCGACTCCACTCCGACTTGCAGCCGTAGTCAGTCTTGTAGAAGAAGCAGCAAGGCTCCTTGCATATGTACTCTCCCGGTTGGGGTCTATTCGCAGGCGTCTTTGTAGCGCGTTTGGTGGTGCTACTCGGCGGGTTATCAACGATGAAGCATTCCGGCAAATCGTCCACGGGTATTTCATGCTTGTGAGGTGCCGAGCCCAACGCGTGCTTCAGATACATGGCCCTAGACGCGAACTCGGTCCCGAGCTTGTCGCATTCTGCTTCGCGGCACTGCCACTCGATCTTGTGCTTGCTGTCACGAGCGTGGCGCTTGAGGGCCGGGGCAGCAGCAAACTTGGTGTTGCATTCTGCGCACTGGTACGGTCCAGTGTGCCAGTCTAGCTCGTGCTCAATGCATCGTTCGGCGAAGGGGAAGACGAAGCCGTCACAGCCTTCGTGCGGGCAGGAGAAGGTGAGATCCTCACAGGCGTTCGGTGAAGTGAGGATCAAGTACCCAGGAGGTACGACCATGGGCTGGTCGTCATCTTCTGGTACAGCCATTTGGACTGAATCTCGAGCGAAAAGGGAGGTTTTGGACTTGGTCGTCGAGTTCGATTGTGTTTTGAAGCCGAGCACTCTTGATTCTGGACACAACGTCAGTAGAGAGTCAGGGATACAGACTCCTTATCCCTTGGAGAATGCTCACCTCTATCGCATGTGTTCTTTCCTTCTGCGACTGTGCTGAACAAATTCAAAACAGTTCGGATCAAAACATCCGTGGTCTTCTAGTCAACGAGTGAATGATTCTGCTGTTACCTCTCACCCGGAAGTTCTTAACGAGAGCTGCCTCCGAGGCGAGGTAAATAGCTAAGGACAAGAAAGAGAATAGTCCTGGGGAGAAATCTGGAAACGAGACTTCATCCTCGAATTTAGGGGGGGGGGGTGTTGGGTCCAGGTGATGTTTCTGGCTTTATTGTGTGTTGTGGTAGTGTTTGGGCTACGGTGGACGCCTGGTAGCCAGTTGCCAGCTACTAACTGGCCGTGTGACAACACACCTTTGTTCAGCAACAGTGATTCAGCGGTTTGGAGCATCAGTCATCGTTGCTTTATTCCACCATTTACACATCTGGTCTTTCAATTCACGACGGAAGATGTTTGCATTTTTATTTGGTGATTGTGCAATAAGGAACCCTGGAGTGTTTGGCGCCCATCTGCTGCTTGACAGCGCCTTTGCGTCAAACAGGCCTTCTTGCATGATTAGACCGGATTGGAAGGAGCACAATTATCAGGAGCGACAGAGAAGCTCAATTGGGGGGGGGGGGAGGGAACGTTATTTAACATGGACTGTTTCTTTTAATAGCCTCCATTTATACATGTGTTTACAACTGTGCTGAGTTGAGGACTTCGCGTTTCTTCTGATACAATCCAGAGGAATCCAGGGGAGCATAACGGGTAGCCACAGCGCCATGATGGCTCCATACCTAGAAATAAAATCTCTCTTCCCAGCAATAAGCCACCATATCCGGTATGGTGTAATGGCTAACATTTCGCGCTCTCATTACTGAGAGATTCATCTTGATCCGCGGAGCTCAGGGTTCGATTCCCTGTACCGGAGTTTCTTTTTGTCGTTCCCGTGCTTGTTGTACCATACTTGCTTGTCCTATCGTTTTTGGTGATTGGGAAGACAGTTCTCTGTATTGCTAGCAGACCGCGGAGAAGAGATCTAATGGAGATGATGGCCTTGACTGAGCTGCTGGTTTCTACTCATCCCTCCCACAGATGCTGGAGATAAATGAAGTCCTCGTTGAAAAGCAGGTCCAGGTAGTAGTAGACTGCCTACCCACTGTTACTGGAATACGGCTTAGTGTCCCTATTTATGCTAATTTAACATCCAACCAAAAAGCCATGCCTAAGAACCCGGCCCTTGCCATCTCGAAAGGATTTCTGATAACCTCCTGGTGTCTGGATGATCAGGCCCTATGACACGCTCATATATCCGAACGCAATCCTGCAGAAGAACCATCCCGTCATGACACCGGCCGGACTCGTACCAAGTACCAGCCAGGTTGCTCATGCAAGAAAGTGTGTCCGGGTGCTCCTCACCAACTAGCCGCTTCAGGCTCTCGAATACCTGCAACTCTAGCTTCTCAGCCTGGTCCCAGCGTCCCTGATTACGGTATGTCGATGCTAGGTTGCCTATGATGGCAAGTGTATCCCGGTGCTCCTCCCCTGATATCCGCTTTTGACACTCTAATACCTGCAAGCCTAGCTCCTCAGCCTGATCCCAGCGTCCTTGACTTCGGTATGTTATCAACAGGTTATTCATGCTGGCAAGTGTGTTCGGGTGCTCCTCGCCTAAAATCCGCTTTTGAGTCTCGAATACTTGCAAGCCTAGCTCCTCAGCCTGGTCCCAGCGTCCTTGACTTTGGTATATCAATGATAGGATGTCTATGCTGGTAAGTGTGTTCGGGTGCTCCTCGCCTAATATCCGCTTTTGAGTTTCTATAACCTGCAAGCCTAGCTCCTCGGCCTGGTCCCAGCGTCCTTGACTTTGGTATATCAATGATAGGTTGCCTATGCTGATAAGTGTGTTCGGGTGCTCCTCGCCTAAAATCCGCTTTTGAGTCTCGAATACCTGCAGGCCTAGCTTCTCAGCCTGGCCCCAGCGTCCTTGATTTCGGTATGTCCATGCTAGGTTGCCCATGCTAGCAAGTGTTTCGGGGGTTTCCTCGCCTAGCACTTGTTTCAGAATATCCACTGCTTGCTCGCCCAGCTTTTCTGCATCTTTCCATTTTCCTTCCACCATCATGTATGCAGCCATGCGATGGAGGAGGTAGCCCCTAGCCTCTGCCTCCTCTCTTGATTCACTAGCAGAACCCTTCAAGACTGCATTGGCATGTGGCAGATACGCACTACAACTGGTACGGTTCTCAAAATTGCCATCTGGGTATAGGTACGACATAGTTAGCATTGCCTGCCCCTCATATCGACTGATGGTTTTCTTTGTAATGAGCCACTTGCGCGTTACTAACTGCACAAGTCGGTGCATGTTGAGATTGCCGCCGCTCTCTTCAGAGACGAGAGAGAATGCTTTTAGAATGCCTATAGCTTGTTCAAGCTCTTTGAGGCTTTCGAAGCTGTTGTTGCGCTCTCCATAGTTTGACAGGAATGCCCTTGGGATCGCTTGTCGATCGAACAGGCTCATCAGTGATAGCAGCTCACTGGCGAAGACATTCTGTCCCTGGATCTTTTGAAACGAGAACATCCAAGTCTTTGCGACGGCTTTGGGTGTGTCTGAGTCTCTTCCCACAGTTTCAAAGTCCTCGCTGAGCAACTCCACCAGTCTCTGATCGCCATCTAACAGTTGAAGGTATCGAACCACCGACATACTGTTCTCCTGGATGAAAGCGGCAGCCTGAGCAAGGGCAAGGGGGAGGTGGTCCAGTTTTGATGAAAGCTCTGGTAGATCTTTTGAGTTGAAGTGTTCGCCTTCCAGCTTTCCCTGAAGTAGGCTGGTTGACTCCTTCTCATCCATACCATTCACCTCAATCAGATTCAGTCCCTTAGTGAGTCTGGCCCCCACCTGCTTGTTTCTTGTTGTGACGACGATGGCTCCATATTTGCTGCTTGGAATATAGTCCGCGAAATCACCATTGCTTGCGATTGTGTTGATGGCGTGTCCAGGGCTAGGTGAATTAAAGGAAAGATCCATGTCGTCAGCATTGTCGATCACCATGAGCCACTGCTCACGGGTATCGCTTTCCAGCCATCTCTTCACCAGGATTAGTACATCTACCTTTGGGTCATCATAGCCTGGAATCTTGCATTCCCGCGCTATCGTTCTGAATGACTGGCGGAATCGCTCAGCGCTGCTTGCGTAGACCCAAAACACTGAGACCTCTGGGTGTTTCTCGTGGAGCCAATGGACATATGCGAGTGCAATTTGTGTTTTCCTTTTCTAGTTAGCCATGGGTCAATACCGCCATCTGGGTTACTCACCCAATACCGCCCAGGCCGAAGAGCGTGGCCATTCTGTGTGACGTGCCCAGGGCTTGTTGCAACTTCTGAATTGTAGAGGTCCGGCCAACAAAAGCGTCATTCTTCACGAATGGAATGAGAACTGTAAATTTGTAAGACTACTTTGCGAGATTCTGGAAGGAAAGATCATCTACATACACCAAGGGCCGGTAGATTGATCCGGAACGTGCTCTATCCAAGGAAGAAAGAATGTCAGTAAATCCTCTCCAACGATTACGAATTGGCCACTGTTACGCACCGGCAGTGACAGAAGGCACCCAGTGACTCAAGAACGCCTTTGCGCATACTGCCACCGTCGCAGCAGCATAATTCTGCCATGCCTTCGTCTTGTGGCTGTCGGCATAATCGCAAGCACCCTTGATCACCACACACGGGAAGCTATCCCACACTCCAGCACCCTCCATCTCAAAACCAATGACACCCTCCTGTCGCGCAAGATCGTCACGCTCTTTTCCCGCCTTCATCACTGTATCTCCGGATGCAATCATGCCGACATGGACTTCGGGTTGTGGTTGTGGCGAGTCCTGGTTGAGACGAGCTCGAGAAATCAGTTGGCCATTACAGCCGCACGCTTCACATGTCGCCCCGTCGCTAACATGACGGTAGGCCGCATTAAACAGCCTATCGTACTGGATACCTGGGTACTCTGCTTTCAACTTTGGCTCTTTCCGGAGCTCACCAAGGTACCTAGCCATCTGGTCTTTGAGTTCCTTCTGGTGGCGGATACCCTTGAGCTTCGCCAACAGTGAGCGGATCTCTGTGGGAGGCCTCCCTAGAGAGTCCGAAAGAGTATCCTTGCGCACGAAGCGTTCAGGAAGACGTCGTCCGAGGTCATACTGGACGACGCTGTCGCTAATGATAACATCGCCGAGCACAATCTCATCCTTGTTGCCGTACACAAAGGGCGCCACGCCGCAGACACCTACAACAAGAGCGAGTCTGATGTTGGGGAAGCTTGAGCGGCAGTTAGCCGCAACAGCTGCGCCGTTAGCCTTGCCCATGCCAGGCATGTAAGCAAGTACGACATTGTGACGGCCGACAGAACCGGTAGAGTAGGCGTTAGGATCGCCGTAGGCTTTATCGTAAGGGGGACCATTATCATCCCAGTAGCAGTCGAAGAGAGCTTCAACTGCATTGGCCTCAATTGTAAGGGCGCAGATGATGGCGATCTCAAAGCCAAGGCGGCTGGTTGGGCGTGAGGGTTTCATGCCATGAACACTGGTTGATTGCGGCCGGAGAAGAGGAGCTTGTGTTGAGTAAACAGATGTTGGGTTAACATCCGGTGGTCGTTGGGATACGTTCCCCTTCCGCACCGCCCGTTGGGCCAGGCCTAGGATCCTCTCACGTGGATTATCATAGCCAGGATCGTTAGGCCCAAACTTGATCATCTCCAAGTGAGTCCGAGCAACGGCACAGGTGTGCTGCGGGCCATCTTCCCATGGGCGGCAATGTGTCGCCGAGGACTTGGTGACTAGCACTGTCGGCTTGCCTGTCATAGTCCAGTTGCCGTTCTCATCCTGTTAGAGTCAGTTAGACAATTTGAGGTGAGAGAAAAACAAGCCGGATACTGACTTCTTGTGCCGTGGGCGATGCCATCGTCTCGTAGAAGCAGACAACTTCTGAGTTTCCCTCAGGCCCAAGCGCCTTGACGAACTCCCGCTGCTGAATGGTGAGAATCTGCGAATTGATATGGCTGATCGATTCAACGATAAATCGGTTCAATCCATCTCCAACCATCGGTATGAGAGACCTAATGTCCATTCCGTCGTGAGGGACACCGAAGAAAACAACCCCGTAAACTGCCTGAATCACCTTCTTGTCATCTTCGTCTTCAGACTTTGCCAAAGAGATCAGGGCCTGTGGAATGCGTCAGTCTACCAACACGACTCAAGCGGACCATTCCAACTAGTTAGACCTACCTGTTTAACAATGAGTCCTCCCAAGCTATGGGCGACGAAAATGATCGGTCGACTCGTTTGGCTGGTGGCCAACGAACGCAGGCTTGTCATCAACGAAGTAGCTAGGTCCTCTATATTCTGTGTGTTTTGGCTCCCCGCGAGTATCGATTCGTATCCGTATATCATGACACGTGCCATCGGTCGGTCGTCGGCCTCGCTTGTGAGATCGTAATGCAGGGCATCTCGCAGCCACATATAATCTCCGTCTGTCTCTTGAAACGATTCGAACGCATGACCGCTAAATCCGGGAAGTGCAATGATACTATGGCGGTTAGCCCGTGCCGTTGTGACCAGGACGACCGACTTCTCTTACTCAACTCTGTGGTCCTCACCAACAGGTGTGAACAGTGTCGTCATGCCGAGGAAATCAACGTCCAGACTAAGGTATGCAGGACGCGCGGTTCGATCCTTCGGCAGAAAGATGTTGAAAGTCTTTCCAGGGTTGAGTCTCTGAAGGACGGCTGGGGTCTCTTGGAAGATGACGGTCCCAGTTAACGAGCGGCGATGGGTCTCGAGTGCAACCGATCTAGCCGTAGGGACTGACGAGGGGAACATCACTTGCAGGTACGACTCTAGACGCTCATCATTCCAGTCGAGGGGAATCCCTCGAACGCGAAACGTCCTGCCCTCCATGTCCATTGTTTGTATATGTTCGAGAAGGACGATCGTTGTGGGGCTGCGCAAGCATATCGATAGGAGAGGAGAAAAGTCAAGACTGAATGTTGCCGGAGTTTTGTGTCAAACTCCGACTTGATTTCGATGCGATGGAATACCAACCCCGCAGTTGGACGAAGGGATCACCAGGAAAATCCACGGAAGCCAAGGCGAGCAAATTATTGAACCAACAAGTTGGGGGCCAAACCGGCCTCATTGGTGGCCTGATTGATATTGGAATTTCGGGGCTTAGTCGTGGCTTATTTGGTTATACCAGCTCCCAGTTTCAGTCAACACTCAATTAGGTGATTTAAATACCTATCACTAGGTATTCTAACACGTTGGTCTGATATAAACCTCTGCCAGACAGCGGCTTTATTCCCGCCGTTTGCGAAGTTGTATGCCTGGCGAGCCGACGACACGACAGCTTATTTGCTTGGGGCTAATGCCACATCGGAACATGCTGCTAAATACAAGAAACCAATTTCTAAGATATATATCTATAACAGAATATTAATCTGACATATTTTAGATGCTTTTCTCTTGTTTCCGGTCCTCCTTTTCCATTATCAGTCAACCGAAGAGAACCCACCATTACACTCCGCCCATCCACACCACACCCGCCGACGCTCCACATCTCCACTACATGCGCCATTTCTTAGCTGGCAATAACGACGCACCCAACAACAACCACCATCATCCGGTATGGTGTAATGGCTAACATTTCGCGCTCTCATTACTGAGAGATCATCTTGATCCGCGGAGCTCAGGGTTCGATTCCCTGTACCGGAGTTTCCTTTTTGCCCTTCTCTGGACAGAGTCTCTTTTTGTTAGGATTTGCGAATTATCCAGTCACACGGGACCTCTCGCATCAGCCAACGTGTTTACACACCAATGCAGAGGCTGGTATATCCAACCCCATTCTTTTTCTTCATCTAAAACATAGCCTTTGTATATTTCACATTTAGACATCTCTGTATACGCTATTATCAGCTTCTCCGACTGGAGTGTGCACTTCACGTTTGGTCTGATCAGTTGCCGTATATCAAAATGTGACAAAATGAGACCAGGATGGCGGTTCGCCCCGGTTCTCCATGAGCCAAGCACCACATCTTGATAACAGTAGATTGCCACGAACCTGTTATTATAGCGTCCTTAATTGCTCAAATACATACACCATATGCGCCAAGGATCGCGGGATTGGGTACCACGGATATTGTGCCTCACTTTGGTTGTTGATGTCTTGCTACTTTCTTCGGTGCCACACTTAGGCACTGATCATCGATCAGATAGATACCCAACACGTTCATCAGAGCCAGGAGGTTCCTTTTGACCCCCAGATTCTGGGGGTAGCATCGGCGATGCCGATAATGCCGAGTTATTGTGCGAGGTACTGCCAATTAGATAGGTGCACCTGGTGTCTTTGGACGATAGTGACAGTAATAGATACAAACGATATCCTCATGAATCGTGAGTCCCGAGATGAAAGACTAAGGATGCATGACATGTTAATTCAGTTCCTTTTTGGGTAATAACGCTCCATTTTCCCCACCACCCAGCCTCGGCCTTTCTAGCGGCGGGGACTAACAAAGTGTGACGGTTGCCACCAGATATCACATTCATCGCCTTGGACAAACTGCCATCTCATCTGACCATCCTGATTAGCTCAAGTGCATATCAGACTTGGGTGGTTCGTCTCGAACTAGGGTGCGAGGAAATGAATACCCCTTCGCGTAGGGTGGGTGGGCAATGTGCATATTGGTTCACGATGGTGTCCACCACAAACGCCTCCACTAACCATAGATAAGCGGGTGGTGAATTGCGTGGCATCCGTATATTCTCTCCGAATATGGAAATGGAAGCAAGATCATACCCGGGTCCCGCATGCAGACTGCTAACCTACCCCGCGCTTTTGTGATGAAGAGGATTAACTATATAGTTGTGCGAAGGGTACTGGAATCCTTCTAGGTCTCAGTCTCTATACCATTGCTCATCTTGCCAATTCCGAACGAAAGCATTGCTACCCGCAGAGGTGAAGCATTGTCCATCTCTCCAAAACATGTGTCCCACATCCAATAAGCCAGTTATCATTGACACCTTGTCTCCAAAGAATCCTCCCGAATCATTTCCCGAGTCATCCTTTGGAAATACAACATGGCACACTCTCTTGTCTTCACCGGCCACTCCCACCGACTCCATGAGCGCAGGAGTCGCAGTCTGCCCTCCAAACGGCACACTGGCCCTCCATCGACATAAACAATCGGAAATCTACTACGTCTTGGCGGGAACTGGGGAAATTGAAATTGACGGAAACCGAACTCGAGTATCGCAGGGCATGGTGCTGTGGATACCAGGAGATGCAGAACACGGGGTGTTTTGCAACGAAGATGACGAGTTAAAATGGCTCTATGTGTTTCCCGAGGGTAATTTTGAGCATGTCATTTACAGGTTTAGCCACGAAACAGGGGAGTCTAAAAATCAAGCTTTAGCGAAGCTTTAAGGCGCAGGCGCAGTTATTTCACCTACATATTTAATATTTTTACCACTTTGTATTCTTCATGCATTATTTTTTTAATTTTTTATACTCATTTGAACCTGCACCTTAGCTAGGCTGTGTAGCGATAGCTTGCTCCTTGGAATTCTAAGGATCATGCATTGATCTACTGGGCTAGAGGAAGCACACAGATAAACACTCGGGTGCGCAGGATAAAGTCATTGTGGGGAACTAGGGTCACAGTATGTCCTAAAATAACACAAAGGCGGTTTTCAAGTAGTTACAAGTACTGCCGCACGTTTGTACATCGCGTTTCAGGGTAGATCGAGCCCCCTGCAAGTGTGGTCAATTGATACGCGCTTAGACGTTCTGTGGTGATTCAAACGCGGTAAGCTGCGGTGGTGTATCACGATCGACGATCGCCAAGGACCAAACACATAAGATCAAGACCTTCCATCCTCCGTTGTAGAAAATTGACGTTCTTTTCTTTTCAAACACATCGCTCTCGGGCTTCCAAACAAAACTTTCCACACATCTTGGCGCCGTTTATCCAGAAATGCACTCCAAAATGCAAGGGTTTACAGCCCTCCTCGTCAGCCTCTTACTGCCCCAGGTGACATACGGGCAGCGGGTGGAAGAATTCCCTGTAGAGGAAGAGTTTGCGGTCGGATTCGATCTCGGGCAATCGTATGGGTGAGTAATATTACCAGCACTCTTTCTTCGGTCCCCACGCTCATTCTACCCAGCGCATCTGCCGTCTTCTTCAACAATGGAACGACTCGCAACCTGGCCAAAGTAGTCGGAGGGCAGCCATACATCGACCTGATGGGACGTCTTCTTGACCAGCAATATCGCCCACAAGAGTCGGCTGGCATCCTTGAGGAAACTTGGCGGTCCTGGAAACGCGCATTCGGCTTCGCTCCCACTGACGACGCTGCCACCTTGGCAGAGCTCATCTCCAGGCTTAAAAGTGAAACGGAGGCAATCCTCAAGGAAAGCATTTCACGGGTTTCCATCACAGCGCCATTGATAGCGTCTTGGAGCGATCGGGAGCTATTCGACAATGATCTCAACGACGCGCAGGTCTTCGCAGGCCTAGAACCGTGGACACACGACATATCGGAGCCGATGTATCTCGCGGAGAGTCGGGCGGCTCTAGTTGGTAGCAAAAGTGAGGTCTGTCAATTGTCTGCCGATGGAAAAATGCAGGACTTTCAGGGTCAAGACCGTGGTGTCTTCTTCATCAGGTGAGTTCTTTCCAACGCCCCCATCTGTGACGGTTTGCGATCGTCGTGATTCGTGAATTCAGCAACTGACCTTCGTCCACGTTTAGCTTTACAAAAGATTCATTACACACTGAGTTCACTCATACCGGATGCCACCACAGCGGTGATTCAAGGGAGAGGAGTGTTTCGACAGAGACTGAATTCGGGCTCGGCGATCTGCTACGGCAAGATCAACAGTCATTTTCCTGGCTGGAACTAAAACTACATCTGTATTTCCTTACATCGGAGTACCTCAAATGGGTCCAGAGGATTGGCATCAGCCCTGACGATTTGGGTATTATCCTCGCCACCGGAGAAGCCAGCGCCACGCTGGAATTCCGCACCATCCTGCACGACATCGCCAACATGCTGCCGTGCATGGCGCGCTACCCGGACCTGGCTCACCATTGCACATACCCCAGCTCGTGGGAAGCCGACGGACTCCAGAAGCGAGTTGAGCTTATCCACTCGGCCGAGTATTCGCTAGATCCAGCGTTCGCAGCCGCAGGAGGCGCGGCGAACTGGTCATGGCTGAGACGGGAGGCTGAAGATGGAGAGGAGCGTGGACACAGTGGTGAAGAACACTGGAGGAAGGACTTACGATAGAACACGGCGAGACAGCTTTTTGTTTATCTTATATTAATGCGAAATTATACCCATCTACGCCTCTGCTCTTTCCTCAAGACTGCCCCGGATGAGAACTTGCTCCTGAATTCATAGCGACTTATTGCTATAGACTCACGGTCAGTCCGTTTTCGTGAAAGCTGGGACCCCAGTTGCGTGTTTGTCCACAGTTGTATGGCTAATCTGCTTCAGTATATATGCCAGGCAGTCCTCCGGGCTATCAGTCGAATTCACGACGATGGTATCGCCAGATGGACGGCAAGGATTTTCAATCCAATTCTTAAAGAGCGCGTGGTGATCTTGGTCGTGACGGATAGCACTGGCATCTGGCGGGGGACAGCTCACGGCTGTCCGCTGGCTTCGCAGCGGAACTCGGTCGCGCAGTCGTTGATCCAGAAGGTCGATATCGTCGACTCGGCACTCGATGTACCGGTAGTCGTAGCCGTACTTACGAGCAAGCGCGGTTCCTCGATCCAGCACCTCGTTGTAGTTGCAGGTACTGTCGATGATGACGCTTCGCCCCTGTTTTATCATGTCCTCGGCGAGTACCCAATCGAAATTATACGTGAGCTTCGCGGACTGGTCAAACGAGATGTCGTTTTCGAGAAAGAAGGCTTTGATGAGGTCATGGTTGATGACCACCGCGTCGATCGACTGCGCCAGAAGGTTCGCCATTGTACTCTTCCCGGAACCTGGAGCACCCGACATCTGGATGAGCTGCTTGCGTGGCGGATGCATGGCTGTGAGGTGCTGATCCTTCCATCAGAATAATCGGACCAGCGGGATTTGATGCTCATAATTCTCACTTTGATATTGATCACCTTGCTGTACCACTGTAACACAGATATCCAGCTCCGGATAGTTTTCACTTCCGGTTCGTAGTCTCTTTGTGTGTTTTGAACGTTGGGGGGATGGTGGCTAGTCATTGTGTCTCTTCCTCGTCGCAGACGCGACTCCGAGACCGGGTACGTTCGGGATTCTACCAAGCGGTCAATGTAACACCTCACAAGTTTAGGGTTGCAGCCGACAGCACTTTATTGGCTGAAGGTGAGCGGCTCTGCGCGATGGATTATGCACCAGGTACTAGAAAAGCGTATTGACTTCACATTTCGAATTCCGGTAATGTGTGGTAAGGGCTGTGTGTCAATTGCCGTATGTTCTCTATATATGTTGCGCTGCTTCAAACTATCCCATATATAGTAAATGAGTCTAAGATATCTCGTAATACCGGGCTTTTCCATCGCTAAATGTCATCAAATCTAATTTATCATTATGCTCACGGCTTCTTCTCTGCTGCGATGGCGCGGCCCCATGAATCTTGGATAGCTTTCCAATACTTTTCCGGGAACACGCGCATGTGGCCAACATGGCCGGTGCCCTCAAACATCTCGGCGTCAGTCTGGTAGCCCTTCTGCGTTGCCACAGCACGGTAGGCCTCGATGTCGTGCCAGAAGATCAAGTCGTCCTCCTTGCTGTAGAGGAACAGCCGCCTGGCGTCCTTGGTCTCGAACGTTTCGTCGTCAATTGCCCTGATGCTGAACACCGCCGGCGCTTCCCTACCTGTTGCCCATCCAAAGGCAATGTTCAGGCACAGGACGAGGCCCCAGATGGACTGCGTTACGGCAAATGGCCAGGGGAAATACGCAGCGGTGCCCAGAGTCATGGCCTTGGACCACCGCTTCAGGTTCTCCCAGTTCATATAGGGACTTCCCGGTGTCGAGTCCAGAACCAGGAGCTGGTGGGGGAGCGGCTCTTCGTACGTTTGCTTAAACGCATTGAGGGTAGATGCGTAGTTGGTGCCGCCGGTGTTGGACATGGCGTGGGCCAAAACGGTGGGCGTCCTGCCGGTTGAAGCCTTGAGCGAGTCGAGAACCTTCAGGACGGGCATCATGCTGTCGGAGCGCTGTTGCAGGTCGGTGAAGAAGGCCTTGGAGATGGGCGCCAGGATGACAACCTGTGTTGAGTGGGGGAACAGCTCTGCGTAGCCGTCGGCGTATTTAGCGACGTGCTTGGGCAAGCAATCTCCCCATCCGAAGATGAGGATAGCATCCGGATGGTCTGCGGGCCGCTCAGCATCGTTCTGTGTTTCTTGGACAAGGATCTGGTCCGAGACGGCGACGAAGCCGGGGATTGAGGGTGCTTTCTTGGCCATTGTGGGTGGTGATGTCCGGCGTCGGCGGTCAAAAAAACAGCAAAAGACTGGAGAAGATGCGACGGGTCGCCATGATAAATATAAATAAATCCGCGAATTAATCTGGCAGTGGGGCCTTTATACGCTTATCAATGCTAAAGCTTGATGGAGGCTTCAGCGCCGAGCCGCACGTCCGTTGTATGGACAATCGACGCTGACGTATCCGTTCCTCGTGGGAAGTCCGCAGAGGTTGAGATCCCAACATTATCGGCTCCATCAGTTGCGCCGAATCCTTGCTCCAGTGGAGAAATGGCACGCCACGCCGAGGCACAGCGCTGGAAGCACAGCGTCTAGCGCAGTAATTGGGCGGCCTTGAAAAGTCCAACGGACTTTTCAGCATTGACAGCACCAACGCCAGCGCTGCCTAGACTCTTGGCTCAGGCGCTGGTCCCCTGAACAGACCCAAGTGCTTACGGTGCGCCCGTTGACGTTCCCTGCCAACCACACTGCTAATCCATGTCGGCACTCAGACTCAGATTGACGACACCCGGAGCTCGGAGTTCGGACGGAGTGAGAATGGGAATGACGAATTATTTCCGTCTTAATACCACGGCTTATACTTAATATGAACTGCATGTATTCCGGCCTGTGTCGATCACTCGGATCCGGCTCATGGCCATTAGCCCGAACCCCGACAAGGGACATCAGCTCTATTCACTTATTCCCAACCTAATTCAGCGGATCCAGGATACTGACACTTCCGGTACTCACATGGGCCCGGGAATCCGATGAACTCAAAGCCGTATCCGCGTATCGATGCCAAAGGAGATGCCATATCAATCCCGCTGGTCAATTTACGGCTGCTGCTACCTTCCTCAGCATTCAAGGGTAATGTGTCCAGGATTTGCCAGAAGAATGATGGTCTTTTAATCTTTGCTCTACTTGCAAACATTTGAAAGAAATAAGTGTGTTCATCGGCTCATGAAAGAGGTTTTATCGGTCACATTACAAGATCGAAGATGAATATACTTCTTCCATATTTTCGTAACATGCCTGCCAAAGCAGCGTCTACGGATATATTTCCTGTTGAAATAAGTAGGGTCAGGATTTCATCCAGGGAACTAATTGTCATTGATTAAAGTGACATGATATTTGAGTCAAATCTCAGGTTCAGAGAAGCGGTGTCGCCAAAACCATGGCAAAGATCTTGTGTGCCAAACGGCACAATATTTACTCCACCCAATTGGACGTGTATCCCACCAGGCACAGCATACGGAGGACTACCAGACTTCAGAGGAATTACATAAACAGACATGAAATGAACCAGTGTATATTTGACAACTCCAAAAGCGGAAGAAGATACAGAAGGCCGGATTAAAATTTGAACAGAAGCCTGGGACTGTATCTATCCCAATATCTTCCCGACTTCCATCAAAGCGTAATTGGTTTAGTGGTAAAATTCTCCGTTGCCATTCGAGCAGCGTCGGGGAGCCCTGGGTTCGATTCCCAGATTACGCACTCAATTTTCCTTTTTTGCGGTTATTTTGCTCTATTTTTGCCCATCTTCCGCTCCTCGCTCACCCCTTGAGGAGATTCAGCATCCCACCCGTCCATCAAATGGTGACAACCTCCAATACAGCGTGATTGGTTTAGTGGTAAAATTCTCCGTTGCCATTCGAGCAACGTCGGGGAGCCCTGGGTTCGATTCCCAGATCACGCAATATACTCAATGAGAAACGAGATTCAAGAGGTCGTTACTTTTTGGTCTTCTTTTGCCCTGTGCTGGCGTTTCCCCGTCCGCCTTGAGGCGACTCAGCATCCCGTCCGTCCATCAAGTGGGGATAACCTCACAACTACCACACAGCGTAATTGGTTTAGTGGTAAAATTCTCCGTTGCCATCTGAGCAGCGTCGGGGAGCCCTGGGTTCGATTCCCAGATTACGCAATGAACCTCTCTTTTTGTTCCTCTGTCTCCCGGGGAGAGAATATGGAGAACTCTCTTTTTGTCCTGTCGTCCGATGGCTGGATGAATCGCTTCGCTAAAGGGAAAGTGTAATACGAAGCAATAATTAAAAGAGATACTGCTTATTGCTACTTGTAGCAGTATGTATTAAAGGCAGTTGGGAAGAGACTTTATTAGAAGCATGCAACAAAAGAAGCTATTACTGCTATGGGGAAGACACGGATTCGTTTCCTTTTTCTGTAAAGATGCTGAAGAATGGTGCTGCCTTGGTGGATTAATGTCAGATGAAATCATTACTCCTTTAGCAGCGGAAAGTGTCGTTGACTAACACCCGAATCGACAACCTCCTCTAAGCTGCATACGTGAAATTGCGACTCGTGGAATTCAAGCAATATCGGCCAGAGGCTTAGTTAGATAATACAATTGGGATCGCCCCGTCTCGAGGGTTGGCTCAATTGATAGGAAAGTATTTCATTAGGTACTCCAACAGGCAGGCTGCGGAGAATAATGTCGGCAAAATATGGATAGTGTCTGTAACAGCTTATGGAATGCTGGTGTGGAGGACTGGGAATGGAAATGTTACAGAAGGCAATAATGAAGTGACTGCAGGGTAATAACTGACAAGCTGAATCTAAGACTAGCTTCTAAAGGTCTCTCTAAAGAGAAAGAAATCGAAATATGTATACCTGTGCCTTCTTCCCTCTATGCTATACCCTGTCTCTTCTAGCTGCGTACCAGCTCGTATAATAATGTCCTTTGTCCTACACCACCGCTTCCAGAAGGGTTGGGAGTATGGGCTCTGGACGTTTGGGATGGATTGACTTCCACTCCCTAGTTGATCTTAACCTTCCTATTAAACTTGCGTTAGCCATAACCTTTGCCGAGATGGAGAAGCAAGGCTATTTAACCCAGCTTAACAGCTCATTCATTTAGGCCATGTCACCATAATCCACGGCCTTTGAATTCAACCTTGTGCCCTCAATCGATCGAAAGATGTAATCCCAAAATAGAGTAAACATATTAGTTCCGCGTAAATAGTGCACGCAACTAAGGAAGATCTACCCAAGGTGAGACCTTACCTCTTGTACACTTCGTAATGGGACGGTAGACACTCGGGTTGTGTAATACTCAGTTAACGTACTCGCTGTCTGGTTTGGCATACCTCGCTCGGACTTGAATAATCGACGCAACCGACAAAAAGGAACCGTCCACTGGAGGACCTGGTCGTACTGCGTAATCTGGGAATCGAACCCAGGGCTCCCCGACGTTGCTCGAATGGCAACGGAGAATTTTACCACTAAACCAATTACGCTGATTTGTTGTTGAAAATTTGGATCGTGATGAGGGATATCTACGTTTTCACGGCGGTGTGGGGCTGGAGGGTGTGATGAAGCGGGGCGTGAAGCAGAAACTGCTGGTGTAAAACAAGCGAGCCGATACTGAAACGGGACAAAGTAGTTGTTAAGCTAGCTAGTCTGCAGCTAGCAGGGATGTAGTAGGCAATAAAGAGAATAAATAAGACACACGGAGGAAGGAATGGAGCACAGAGACAGAATTCTTTTTGTTTCCCCTGGAGCTACTAAGAGTTATTGCCAGGGTCGGATTGTCAATTATTTCCAAGAACACATTTCTGTTCTATTCAGTTGCAATCGATTAATTGTCTATTTCCGGTCCTCTGTCCTCAGGCTGTTACAGACAATATCGCCGCCCTGCTAATACCATCCTCGGCAACCTACCCTGTAATATACCCAACACGATATGTATTAATTTATCGTAACCGATTACTCCTCAACTAATAAAATCCTCTATTCTACCCACATACACTAACTGTGGAACAGGCCCAGGCTCGTGACTTGATCCGGGCGCGTGGCTGTACTCTGTTGGTCGGACATGTAAATGGCAAAGTCAACAAGAAGGGCAAAAAGAACACCGAGCAACCAACCGCCAAAAGAAAGAGTCATTGCGTAATCTGGGAATCGAACCCAGGGCTCCCCGACGCTGCTCGAATGGCAACGGAGAATTTTACCACTAAACCAATTACGCTTGTTGATGGAAAACGAGTCGAAATAATCCCTCAACTAGCCCAGACGCCAAGTCGGTTGTGCGACACTGTGTAAGACGTGTTGACTATCTAGCTTACCTCTTGACCGGGTGCTCTAAAAGTTCGCAAGGCGATCAGAGATAAGGTTCCCATTGAATAAATTATTCCATCACAGTACTATATCTATGCTCTGTATTAATTATCCGTCCCTCCCAGTTCCTGTCTATAGATCGAACTCGCGTTGTGTATTGTCGTGTGTTCCATCAACTCTAATTGTAGTCTCTGATGGTGCCATGGATGACTAGAGTCAAGTTTCTTCTATCCTCGTAGAAACGACGTTCTAATTCTTGGATCCAATATGGTTCAGCCAAGTCTCAAGGCCAGCAATCGCCCCTTCTCCGAGACTGGCATCGACGATTTCATTCTGCCAGCTGACCCCAATCATCAATGGGCCATTCTTCACAGCCAAAGGACTGATGGTAAGGGTCGTTCCCATAGTATTAGCGCCGAGAGCGAAGTACGCCCTCTCCACAGTCCAATCGTGTTGCTTGTCCAGGCTCGCGGCGCTGGGCAGTCCTCCGTCGATGACGCCCAAATTCGAGACAAGCCAGGAAGCATGTCTCGGCTTCGTCATCTGGCCCTTGAAATAGTCTCGGTAGTCTCCCACCAACTTCATCAAGCCACAAAGCTCATTCTTCAAATTCAAATCCAACTTTCCTTGGAGTTCTTCTCGCACAGTTGTGGAAACGGACCACATCACATCCTCGAGAGCAGCAATCTGCTCGGATTCAGTAGAGCCGCCTCGAGCCAAGTCTCGAACTTTTGTTACCAGTACTTGGTCATATACGTGGTCCATCTTGGAGACGTAGTTTCCTATCGTCTTACTGGGCTCAAACTCAGGATAACCTGGCGGACCTGAGGGAATGAACCGGCGCAGGTTGAGGGGCGTCTCGCTATAGAGTGTTGCCGGTGTTTCATCTTTGAGCAGACTGACGAGCGAAACTAGACATATTCCATGGAGTAAACCAGTCAATGTGGTTTTGTGCGCGCGGCAGGCAACAAGCACGTTCTGCAGAGTGGCGTTGTCAATGCATAACCTCCTCGACTGGGTTCCTGTCGGAGTCAAGTGAATTGGCGCCCGAAGTTTGTGAGGAGCCAATGCCGGAGTAAACATTTTGGGCTTGAATTGGTTCCAGAGCAGGAATACTGCATAGATCGGAGAAATGGTGAAGTTGCAAATGGTGTCCTGGGGCGGAGGGAGGTTCTGCGGGGTTGCGGTTGGCTTGACCAGGTGGTTGACACATGTCGATTCGCTAGTCTCATCTCTTACTGTTTTGAGAGATTGGAATAGAGTTTCGTGAAAGATCTTGCCGCCCGTACCGTCTGTGATAAGATGGCTCCAAACAAACATCACCTCCAGCAACTCGGCATCCAGTCTGGAGACGATGATTCGCCAGCTAGGTCGAGTTTCGGGACTCTCGTACTTGGTATCGAGCTGTTCTTGTAGAGTTTTCTCGAAAATGGCGTCATATTTTTCTGACTCGTCGACAACTCTCCACTGAATGTGCTTGCTTAGATCGATGTGATCAAGTTGAACCCAGGCTGGTTGTTTCGTGTCCCGGTCGGTGAGTCCAACTTGAAGAAGAGGGTGCTGAAGAATGGTATCTGCAACCGCATTTTCGAAGAATTCCACTAGCTTTTTGTGGAGGCTACGGTCTCTGAGGTTTTCAGGAATGCCATAACGGCATATCACAGAAGTGCCACAGTACAGGTCCAGTGTGAACATTGCTGATTGAAAGCATTCGCTACACGGGCCACGATCAGCTAAATATTTCGATCGAAGGAAAGTGGGATGCTTACAATGGGCCCAATCGTCGAATGATCTGTGCCTTTGGGCTGGGGGTTGATGCTTGCTTTGCCATTGAGACTACCTGTGGCGGGCTCTTCAACACAGTGTGTGAAAAAAAGGAGTTTGCAAAGTTGCAAAGGTACAATTAATCAAGTGAATAATCAAGTTGATATTAAACTGCTGTATTGTGTATCCGCGGACAGATGGATCTATATACTGAGCTCCCGCCTCGGCGCCTGCGGGTGTCCGCGGCGCCCGCGGGTGTCCGAATCGACAGGCCCACCCCTGCGACTACTGCGTAATGAGGGGCGCAGCCACGAGGTGATCCAACTTCAAACTGTCCAATTTAAGTCAAAAACAGCCTTATTGGCGGGCATACGACGTATTGACACAGAAACTAGACCTCTTAGAGAGACGCCATCTGCTCAACATTGCACTACCTATCAATTTCGTATGTAAGCGAGCTCTGCTCATCAGGCCAGGGCCCACTAATACATGCCCGAGAATCCTTCAGAGGCCAATACCCAAGCCAACTCGGGCTTGGGAACATATCAAAGCCTGAGTCGTGTCAGAGCATTACCGAGAGGGCAGGGGGCAAGATCCATCTGCGCGGGATGACGAATATTTTACACCTCCCGAGTAGCTCAACGTCACTGCTTGACTATATTCGGGACACTAACGTCAACACCTAACTTAGGCAGCAGGCAACAATGTCTCAAGGACACGTATGATGGCGTTAATGGGGAGAAAGTTTATTCTGCCAAGTCAAGCAGTAAACATGCTTGGGGCTGGAGGAGACTTGGGTTAGTGTAGCTGGCACTATTCTAGTTACGAAGCCAACTACCATCACGATCACACACTAAGACTTGCCCCAACCGGATAATCCCTTCAACATTCACCTTCGGTAAGACTTATTCGTTGGCCACCTCTACAAGCATTTTCGTAGAGCTACTCTTCCTAATGACTCCGTGAGTTGGCGCCATCAATCCCGTCGCTGAAGCACCCCTGGCGACTCGTTTTTCGTATTAGTCTTCGTATCCTCCGTATCGGTACAAACCCACGTCGTTATCAGTAAGTAACAGGTCACACATATGTACGCCACGCGTATTATATTTTGGACAAATTCTCGGGCATCTCTTCTTCGGGTTAGAGGCAGGCCATCGTAATGACACTGCCTTACTATGTGTCGCGGTGCCGTCCAAGAAGCATGTAGTCGTCATGTATTTTTGCCACTTCTTTGATGGTATCAGGCCGCCAAGTCTATTAGTGAGCGAGACCTGTCAGCTCTACGTGGCAATTCCGCCGAAACCTGTCGAGACAGCCAGCAAAATGGAACGCTCCCCAATGCAGAGCCGATAATGTACCTTGTGTACCTTGCCTTGACAAAACCCTCCGCCATTGGTGTCGTTGAGGACGATGCGAGCGGTAGGTGGAGTCGAGGCACCCACGCATACTTGCGCCGACTCGTGGAGGGCACCCTCAGACGCACACCGCGGGCTCAAGTATGATAGTTTGTTACATGAGCAGTCGCAAATGGTCAGACCCTGACGTAACTCTCCCAACAAAATCGAAATTGGTTGCGACGCGATCCCCGACGAGGTGTTCAGAGAGAGTATTCCTGGCGGGCGACGATCTGCAGAGTACGGACCGCGCTGCCCAATAGGTAGTAATCCGAACTCGTGAGAGCAACCAGATATCCACAGCACGAGTTAAGCCACTAGCCAGAACTGACAGTCTTTGTGTAGAGGCAGTTAGATTCTGGCATAGGTCTAGGGGAAAGTCTAAGGAGAAGAAGAAAGAGTCACAGCCTAGGAACCACTTGAAACGAGATCGATCAGTCCCAGAGTCCCGCTCTGTTCCTTTGGCACGAGGTGCCGTATAGAGCAGCGAGTGATTCCCCATACTTATCCAAATAATTGTCCGGCAAGACAAAACTAACATTCTCAGATCGCGGCCGCCCGTCTAGTCGACGCCTCTGCAGTCAACATACCGTCTGCATGCAATGCCACCAGCAATGCAACCAGCATCCCCCTCGTCGCTCGCTGAACACTACAACTATCAACCCAGCAACGGTGTTATCTAACAAAGTGACGGGAATTCCCACCGTTGGCAACAGCCCTTCCGAGAGCAAAACTCCACCAACCCTCACAGAGAAGATCATAACGCCATGCTGTTAGTCTACCCGACAGTACGCTCGCTCGAACTGGCGACTACGTTCAAATACAACCTCATAGGTGTCTCAGCCACGATAACACTTGGGCGATTTCCCAGAAGTTCATGCGTGACTCCGAATCAGTTGTTTTTACGACTATTTGATTGGCTATTCCAGCTCGATGAACGCTACACGAATCAAGGACCCAGCACAGCTCGTATACGCCTTCGATCACCAAGTTCAATCCAAGAACGAATCCAATTTCCGTAAATACGAGTTGATCAAAGCATTTGCCAAGGAACACGGTGTAGCTTTTTTCCCCGCCGGTTATGCGATCGGTCACCAAGCCATGGCAAGCGCCCCTATAAATCCCGCGTTCGGCTTGTGCAAATCTCATTAGATTGAAGAGCTGTTCGTTGGGCCAGGAACATTGCGCGTTGGCTGAGATAGCCATAGCAATATGTATGGAGCCATAGGGTCGGGTTGCCCTGGTGAGATCGGATGCTTCTGCCGTTTCGGCGACTGGTAAGAGTTGGTTCCAGGTTCCTCCTGCTGCACAAGTTACGCTTACAGGGACGTTGCCGCCCGGTGTAACTGGGGAGGACTTTATTTTAGCGCTCTGCGGACACTTCCCTGCAGATATACTAAACTATGGTGTTGGGTTCGTTGGCTCTGAGGAGACAATGGCTAGGATCTCTATTGATCATCGGCTTACTATCAGTAATATGTCGGCCGAGTGGTCTGCGACTTCCGCAATGGCATGTATACATTATATCACTGGCTTCAAGAACTCCCTGCCGCAGCTGTAAACCGCTGCGAGGCCAAACCCCCTCCATCAACAAGAATATCAGTGCCATCTATGAAGCATGCGTCAGGGCTTGCGAGAAAAGCCACAACGTTGGCAACATCATCTGAAGTTCCTGCCCTCGGAATGAGAGATGATTCAACCATGGCCCGGATCGTAGCTCCCGCTTGCGTCTGCAACTCGTGGCGGATCATTGCCGTGGCGGTGACACCTGAACTAACTGAGTTGACTCTGATTCCGTTCGTCTTGCCAGCGACGGCCGCGGCCTGAACTCGAACTATATTTCCCTTTTTGGCGATACCGTATGCCAGGCCTGAGTCCCCGTCAAGCTTGATATCTGGGTGGCTCAGCAGTTTGTCTGTTGGGGCGGTTGCCAAGTGCATTTCCAAGTCTGGAGACACAGCTGGGCCAGCCATGTGCCCCGCCAAACTAGAGATGGTTATGAGCGAAGAGCCTGGAGCCATGACTTCGATAAAAGCGTCGAGGACATTGGCCGTTCCCAGTAAATCGATTTCATAGACCCGCTTGGCGGTACCCATATTAAGAGAGATACCAGCAGCGTTGACGACCGTGTTGAGCTGGCCAGTGGCAGCGGCGAATTTGGCCAACTCAGTGACTGATTCATAGCTTGACACATCGACAATTCGGGTCTCAACCTCGTGGCCATGATCTCGCAGCGACTCTGCAGCCGTATCGAGTGCCTTTTGCGAGTAGTCAGCTAGCACCACACGCTGGCCGGGGCCGAGGCGCCTAGCAATGGCAAGTCCTAAGCCGCCTGCCCCGATGACGGCGAGAGCGTTGCGGTAGACTGACATGGCGATAGATGTGTGGGTATGTACTTCAAATATGTAGATTAAGGCAACTAATTGATGTGGAGTTCGGGGAAGGTGTGCGAGGAAACACGTCGGAGCGAAACACGTCAAGGCGGATAACAATATGACGGACACTTGCTGATCTAATGCTAAAGAATTCCAGCTGCTAACTTTCAGGGAATTTCTTCTACACTTATAGACGGTAACTCGGCCCGTCGGCAAGAATGAGAGGTTCAAATCAGGGAATATCATATCATAGTTCGTCCCATGACCGGTGTGAACTTGCATTGCGGGGTAACCGGGGTCTCGAGGAGGAAAAGGATCCAAACCTACAGAACCCGCTCTCAATGGGTTGCCTCGATCCAAAGGGTTGAGCTTAGAGCTCTGTGGTCCTATCCATGTTCGCATCAATCTCGGGGCCGGCATGGCCAGAGCAGAGAGGCGTCACTCCCACTGTTCCGAGGTAATGGAACAAGAGCATTCTCGGAGTACATTGATCTACGTTCTGATCATGATGTTTAAGCCACTGAATCCCGATATCCCCTTTCGTCCCAAACTGTCCATTCAACGTCAACTCGATGAGCAGTAACCGAAGGTTACAGCCGGCAACAGTCGAGTTCGTCCAAGTCACCGCAATTCAGACGAAGTTCATGTGTGTCCTGGGAGGGTGAACTAGGCCAAAGGTTGTCAAGTCCGGGTTTGGCTTGCAGCACTTTCACATTCACCACTGAATCAGCGCTCCGAAACGTTGCAATGATTCAGCGGTCTTCTTGACTTGGTTTCCAAATTGAGTTTCCATCAACAGCCAATCACAATCCGGTATGGTGTAATGGCTAACATTTCGCGCTCTCACCACTGAGAGATCAATTTGATCCGCGGAGCTCAGGGTTCGATTCCCTGTACCGGAGTGAATCTTTCTTTTTGCCCCTCTATTCTTCTCGACAGAAGCCAACCTGTCTTTTGCATAGAGGCCAGTCACCCGTAGGCAGCCAGTCGTCATAACATCAGCAGTGCCGAGATGGCGACTCTGCGACCGAACAACGACACGCCCTTTGAAGATTAGAGGAGTCAACCGTTACCTTTTTGCTGTATCTTTTCCCGTTCCTTTGAGAACTCCTCGACGACGCAGACGACTTCCTGGTACGTGGCCAGCACCTCCGTCCTGGCTCCCTCAGAGCTCCGAACCTGCGAGCTTGACCTCACCGCCAGCCGCCCGAGAAACTCGCGCGCAAGTAAAACACTCTTAAATAGGCTCAATTAGGTGCTCTACAGCTCCAAGACTCGGTAAATCTGCCCAAAGCGCATTCCCGGCGTGTTCAGTTGCCCTTCATTCAGCGCAGCGCCCCAGCGCACCCGCGGCTCGAACCCCGCGCGCCCTGGCGACTGCCCACCAAAACCGCGCTGTCCCATTTGCTTAGGCATCTTTAGCAGCGCCGGACTTCAACAACCACCATTATCCGGTATGGTGTAATGGCTAACATTTCGCGCTCTCATAACTTGAGAGATCATCTTGATCCGCGGAGCTCAGGGTTCGATTCCCTGTACCGGAGTTGCCTTTCTTTTTGATGTTTCTCGCGATTTCACTATTTTTGTTTCTTCTTGGTGGTGACGCCGCGGTGTTCGTAGACACCCAGCAGACGGGAAAGTGAGCCTAAGAGGTCTACGCAACATTGATCAGGTATTCTTTTTTTGCAGTTATTTGTCCTAAAACCTAAATGAGAACTCGGCGTGCTAACATAATGTCAGGTATGTCCATCGTGTCGATTAAGTTGTTCACAGGAATTCCCCTGTGAACAACACCCAAACTCAACCCGCCGCCAGAAACCGAGATTACATTATATTAATCCAGGGCACAACCCCCAACTCCGATTCCTTTTTTCACACGCTTCTCCGGCTAATCGCCCTTCCCTCAGCATCCAGGCATATCGCCACCCGCGCCGTGCCCCGCCAGTTCCCCAGTATTCCCGATGCGCCATTTTCTTAGCCCCCGATAACAAATCGACTCTTCAACAAATACCATCCCATCCGGTATGGTGTAATGGCTAACATTTCGCGCTCTCATCACTGAGAGATTCATCTGATCCGCGGAGCTCAGGGTTCGATTCCCTGTACCGGAGTTTCTTTTTGATCTTCAACTCTATCTTTTTGCCGGTTGTTGTAGAGGTTTTCACGACGAGTGTTGTGAGAAGAGGTTGCACACCAGCCGATATTGGTTTGAGTTTTTCTAGTGGGGCAGCCTACAAGTACCGACTTGTTGGGGGGCAGGTGAATTACAGAGGCCTTTGAAGCGCAGTCTCTTCCTGTTGAATGAGATCGATACAAGACGCTTAGAGACTTGCTTTAAGTGAAGCATCCGCTATACTCCCGGTGTCCTAATGCCGCCGCCTACGCTACTGCATCAGCGCGTACACAAGGCGATGAGCCAGTTGGTCATTGCATGACATCTTCAACTTGCAAGTGCAAAAGAAGGCGGATGGTTTCTAAACGCATGCTGCCGCGTCGTTTCTGACTTCCCTCATCCGCATTACCCTGGACTACTTCGGTGGAAACAAGCCTGCGGTCTCGACTGGACACGAGCGGCTCTTTATTCTTCGACTCATTCTCCCTACTCAAATAAATAAAGCACTACCACCCCACTCAACTCCATCGCCCTTCCCCTTCAACCACAAACAACACATCCATCATACACGCACACTCGTACCCACTACACAGCACAAGAATCGCCAAACAAAAAGAAATCACCTCCCAGTGTCCAAGAGGGACAAAAAGGAAGATTTACTCCGGTACAGGGAATCGAACCCTGAGCTCCGCGGATCAGATGAATCTCTCAAGTTATGAGAGCGCGAAATGTTAGCCATTACACCATACCGGATTGTGATTGGCCAGTTGCTTGTCGTGGGAGCTCAAGATTGCCACTATTAGAGTCGGGATTGAAGATGATCCATTCAGTGGGGGGTAAGAGAGTGAAGGGTCATGGGGTGTAGTGGTGTTAAACTGCAATTCCAGTGGTTTATCATGGATGCTTCAGTATCTATACACGCAGTCCGAGTATTATCCAGGCAGCTTAATTAATCAGCCAAGAAAAAGACAAAAGTAGGAATACACATACATGCGTCACTAAAACCCTTCCATCCATCCATTTCCTCCTCCCTCTCTCTCTTCTCTCCCCCTTCCTCTCGTCTCGTTACCCTTCGCCTTCTCGACCCGCACGGCCCACCTCGCCCACCAACCCACAACACCACGAAAAATCTACCGAAAGAATCCACTATTCAGACCAACAAACGGCAAAAAGGGAAGTAATGGCAACTCCGGTACAGGGAATCGAACCCTGAGCTCCGCGGATCAAGTTGAATCTCTCAGTAATGAGAGCGCGAAATGTTAGCCATTACACCATACCGGATTGACGAAAAGCGAGCAGACTTGACACTATGGAGGGCTCGCCGCTCTCAAGGCTGATCAGGATGTCGTCCACGGTCAACAAAGAGAACTGTGATGGTCCTTGTCTCAGTCTCGCAGATGAACAGTCAATGCGTCAAATGATAGTCATGTAATGCGATATAATCATCGTTTGTCTATCAATATAAGTACACTCCCATCAAAACCATGGAATGCCGGTTCCCTTCGGTCTTCTTTTTGGCTTTTAAGATGTCCTTGTCTAGCAACTCCCGTCCAAGGCTGCAGCATAGAGCCCAGACCAGACCCTCCAATACGTCAAAACACATCAAGTTACAAATGATATCCTTCACTCCGCTGATTATCCCGTGCAGCCCCATCCTTGTGTTTGTTATTACACGCGCCCTGCGACTCGGCGCTAATTGCGAGTCCATGTCTACACCATGCCATCAGCAATGGCGAGTCGTTGCTTGGCCGTTTTGGCCCTCTTGCTTGACCCCTTTCCTCTGCCCTTCTTGCCCTTGGTGTCACTCTCAGCCGGCGTGGCAGGTGTGGCCGTTCCTGAAAGCGCTTGCTTGGAGCCATCGTCAAAGTTGCCCTCTCCTGTCGATTCGTTAGCACATGTCTCGGGAATCGAGCATGTTCTCTGCTTACCTTCATGATACATCTCGTCCAAACTAGCCGGGTTCTCGGCCTTCTTACGCTTGCCACCCTTCTTCTTTGCTTGCTTCTCGAATTCGCCCGACTCGAGCATCTCCTTCTCTCGCTGCTCAATCATGGCAGCCTGATCATCATCCGCCAACCACATGGCAATATCGCGGTTGCGGTTTTCAGGAGCCCGACGGCCAGAGAAGTCAACGCTCGAACCGCCACCAGTAATGACGACACGCTGCACCTCCTCCTTCTGCAAGGCTCGCTTCCGGATACGCTCCTCAATCGTGCCGCGAGTGATGAGACGATACACTGTAACCTGCCTGGTCTGACCCAGTCGATGGGCTCGGTCCATGGCCTGGGAATCAATAGTCGGGTTCCAATCCGAGTCGTAGAAGATGACGGTGTCGGCGGACGTCAAATTGATACCGAGACCACCAGCACGAGTCGACAACAAGAAAATAAAAATCTCAGGGCGGGTCTGGAAGTCGTGGACCGTGTCACGTCGATCCTCCAGCTTGGTAGATCCATCCAGACGGCAGTACTTGTAGTTGCGGTACGTCAGGTACTCCTCCATCATGTCAATCATGCGAGTCATCTGGAAGTACAACAGAACACGATGGCCCTCGTTCTTGAGCTTGAAGAGCAAGCCATCCAGTTCAGCCAGTTTGCCGCTGTCAGTAACAAATCGGCGCATAGAGGGAACAGCGATGTTTGTAAAGCGCTTCTTCTCGTGATCGGGCTTAGGCAGCAACTTTCTCGTGGGGTACAGCTCCAGGGGAATCTTCTTCTCGACCAGAGCCTTCTCATCCCAGATCGTTGGGCCATAGAGCATCCGGCGAATGGGGACGTTGAACAGGATCTCTTCGCGCTCGATTCCGGAACTTCGACTGTTGCACAAAATATCGATTGGAGGGGCAGAAGCACGAGGCCTGCCAGCTGGCTCCAAACGGCCGATGCCCGAGTCGTCATACTGTGCCTCGGCAACATTCATCAGCCGCTTCAGGATGCCCTCGCTGGTCATGTTGGCGACTGGCACCCGGTTCTGTCGAGCTCGGATCTGGAAGAGAGCATGCGCCGGCGTAAAGTTCTTGTCCTCGGGTTCGCTGTATGCCACGTTCAGGTAGCCAAGTCGGTCAGTCCTCTGCAGCTCCTTCGCTGCCCGAACAATGAGACTCTGGTGCGTGGCCTCGTAGACCTCGCCAGGCGTTGTGTCCGCGAATCGAAGCCAGGAGAATGCCTTGGAGCCTTCGGTGCCATCCTTGACATTTTCCGGTGTCCAAATGTTCATCATGTGGTTCAGCGCCTTATTTCGCCACCCGGCCTTTTGGTTATCGCGGCTTGCCTTCCATAAACGGCCACCCTCCCTCCACACAAGACGGGGCAGCTCATATTCGATAAGGCTACGGCTTGAGTAGCCCACGGGAATGTTGGAGCCCTCACGGGCGAACGAGGCCGTCTCGGCAAAGTAGGTGAAGGCAAATGGCGAGGTCACCTCGGCGCGCTCGAATAGGTCGGGATGGTTGCACACCTTTCGGAATTGCATCACCAGGTTCATCAAAGTACCCGAATCCTGTTCGTCTCCCATAGTCGCCTTCTCGACGAGATCCATGATGTTAATCTGGTTCCGCAAGTTGCTGTAGTAGGCCCTCTGTCGGTATGTGAGATCGCAGAAGATGTCCTTCTCAATCTTGTCACCCAGCTCCTTCTGCACATGCTTCTTCACACGACGAAGCATGAAGGGCTTGAGAATCATGTGGAGACGCTTCAGCTGATCTTCGTTGAGCTTGGTATTACTCTGCGCGTGTGACTCAATGTCCTTGGAGAACCATTCGCTGAACTCGTCGTGAGAGTCGAACAGGGACGGCATAATGAAATGGAGCAATGCCCAAAGTTCCTGCATGTTGTTTTGGATGGGCGTACCAGTGAGCAGCAGCCTGTTTCGGCAGTGGAAGCCGAGCAGGCACTTCCAACGAGAACTCTGCGAGCTCTTGATGGCTTGCGCCTCGTCCAGAATCATGTACTGCCACCTCATCTTCTGGAAGTAGGCAACGTCTGAGACGACGAGCTGGTATGAGGTTACGCAGACGTGAAAAGCAGCATCCTTTCGGTACGTGGTGTGTTTGCGGTCCCAAAACTTTCGGAGAACCTTACGGTCTCCAGCACTGCCCCAGTACGGAAGGATCTTGAACTCGGGGACGAACTTGGCGATTTCCTGCTGCCAGTTGTGCAAAGTGGAAGCTGGGGCAACGACCAGGAAAGGACCCCAGATATCGTGCTTCTCAGCAAGGTAAGCCATGACTGAGATGGACTGAACCGTCTTTCCGAGACCCATTTCGTCGGCCAGAATACCGTTGATGCCCTGTTCGTACAAGTTGACGAGCCAGTTGAGACCCTTGAGCTGGTACTCCTTGAGTTGGGTGTTGATCAGCTTAGGCTGTTCAACCTCGACGTCGCCCAGACCGGTCGGGTTCTGGAAGTTCATCTCGCCCTCCTCATCCATGTCGTCATCCTCATTGTTGAATTTACGGGCCTTCTTGCGGGCGTCGGCGATGGCGTTCTGAGCATTGGCGATGGCAGCGGCCTGCAAATTCTCCTCGTCCTCTTCTTCAAAGGTGAGGTTTTCAAAGTTGGTGACCTTGCTGCCGACTGCGGTGGGTTCTTGAACATCCAGCTTCTGTTGGTTGATCTGGTGGGGATCCTTGGCGACATCGGGGTTATCGGTACTTCGCTCCACCTCGTCTGTCTTGATTTTCTTGCCAATGAAATGGGAGTAGAGCTCGGTCTGGGAGATGAGGAAGTTGAGCTTTCTCTTCTGGCGAGCGGCTTCACGGTCAGCCTCCTCCTTTCGAGCATTCTCAATCTCCTGCTTCTCGGCCGCCTTTCGGAGGTCGCGTTCCTCACGCTCGTTGCGCTTCCAGAAGCCCATCATATCACGCATGACTCGCTTGGCACGAGCCTGAAGATCCTTGGTGCCCTTGTTGGTACGCAGCTGCCACCGCTTGGCCTCCTTGGATGCCAGGATAGCGGTTTTCTTGAGGTTGGAAGACTTGGTGGCGTACGAGTCGACAGCCAGCTTGAACGTCTTGTTAACATCCTTGCGGGCCATGTCTCGCCAAATCTGGTCGTAGATCTGGTTGTAACCCTTGGACAAGAATCTCTTCTCGTTCTCCGGGATATCATCGACCTTTTCTTTCTGCTTGTCCTTGTCCTTTTCCTTGGGCTCCTTGGGTTCCTTGTCCTTTTCGGTGTCGGGGTCGCCACCCTTGGACTTCTTGATCTTGATGCGTACGCGGGTCTCTTCCTTGCTGGGAAGCTCCTCGCCAGCGTCGAGAGCAGCTTGGGCGGCTTCCGCGGAGTCCTTCTCGGCCTGTTTCTGCTCCTTTGACTTCTTAGGACGTGGTCCACCGCGGCCCTTACCCTTGCGACCAGTCCCAGTACCGCCAGTAGCGCTGCCAGCGCCGCCGCCGCCACCACCACCGCCACCGGCGCCAGACTCGATGTCGGAAGCCTGGAAGGAAGACATCATACCACCCTCCAGGTTGAGCTCCAAATTTCGCGCAGGGCCTTTGATGCCCTTTTGCAGGATGAGCTTGGTCTGTTGAGCCTTCTTGCTGGCCCGTTCGGCGTCACGGAGATGCTTCTGGCGTTCAGTCTCATCCTCGGCAGCCTCTGCCCGGGCGAGAGCGGCCTCCTTCTGCTCCATGGTGACGGCCATGGACTTCTCGCGACGACGCTTGCGCTGCATGTCCTTCTTGCGTTCCTTCTCGGCATATAGCTCCTGCTCGCGGACCTCATGGAGAGCCTCGTCGTAAAAGACGTCATCGTATCGCCGCTTGCCGAGTTCCGAGTGCGTCACAAGCTTCTTACTAGCCGTGGTGGCATAGGTGTCTCGACGAACACGACCCTGCTCCTTGTCCAAGTCGGCCATGACGCGTCGGCGCTTCTGGGCTCGTTCCATGTACTGTTGCTCGTCAAACTCGTCCGCGTCAAGTGAGGTGGCATTGCTATCAATTTGCGCCTCGGCATTCTGGATCTTCTTTTCCATTTCGGTGGACCATGTCTTCTGCTTCGGCTGGCCGTTTGCCTGTCGCTTAGCAGGAAGGCGTGGGGTGGGAGACTCCTTCTTGATTGATGACCTTCGTCCGCTCTTGGGGGTGGCAGCGTCCCGAATGTCAGATGCGCGCCCCTTGGTGGACTTGCGACCGCCCCTCTTCTTAGTGACGGGTTGTCGGCCTCTGACGGGAATGGGCTCAGGCTCCGTCTCTACATCTCTCTCGACTTCGGTATCATTATCGCGATCAAGCTCCTTCTCAGAAGGCTTTTCGGAGTCTCGCTTAGGCTCCCGTTTGAGTTCTCGCTTGAGCTCACGCTTATGCTCGCGCTTAGGCTCTCGTTTAGGTTCTCGCTCGGGTTCTCGCTCGGGCACCTTTGCAGGCTCGGGTTCGCGTTCCTCGGCCACTGGGGTAGGTTCCCGAGGCTTAGGGGCGGGTTCAGAGCTGGAGAGGATGTTGGAAAATGACATGGGGTCGGCTCGGCTAGGAGTCTTGCAGGATGTTAGCTTGGATGCATCATCAAAGGGGTATTGGAGATGGCGTACGCTCGTTGATGCAGGAGCCGGCTTGGGGGGCGAGGGAGCGGCCAGGTCAGACTTGGCCAGAGGCGGAAGGGCGGATGCCCCGTTGGTATTTGAGGTCATGCTGGGCGGTGCACCATGTCTCAAGCTCGGAGAGGCCATGCGAGGCTGTCGCCCCGGGGGGCTGTTGGATCCAGCGGACGGGTTGGGATGCGGATGGGCCAGCGGGCTACGGGGCCGATTGAATGAGGACGGTGCACGAGGCGACGTGTAGGCGCCGTTGTAGTAAGGGGGGGCGTGCTGGTCAGCCGGCTGGGAATAGTTGTAAGGCTCACGGGCCTGGTGGTGCAGAAAAAAATTCAGGTCAGCAATCGGGCGAGGTGATGGTTAGTTGGGGAGGAGGATGCAAGGAGACGGAGATGGGCTCGGAGATGAGGAAGAGAGGATGGGGGTGGTGGTGATGAAGAATGGAACGGGAAGAAAAAATGGGGTGCGGGATGGTGCAGCCATTGATTGAGTTGGGAGCAGGAAGGAGGCGATGGGGAACGTGATGGGGGAGTTGAGGCCAGCACAAGCAAATCTGGCGTTTGGCGTTTTGGCGTCTGGCTCCTGGCTAGGGCGAGGCAATGTGCAGTGAATGAATGAATGGGCCAAGGGTCTCGAGCCAAGACCAACCGAGACCAGGCGCAACGGGTCATGGCCGACGGAGCCGCACGCAGAAATGAGAGTCAAAATAGCACGCAGCGATGAACAAAGAAGAAGAAAAAGTGAATTGCTTTCCCCTTTACGTACCTTGGGGGTTCCGGCTGGGGGCGCGTTGTGCCACGAAGAGGCGCCGGCCGCGTCAGAAACCCGGCGTTCCTTGGTGGTGTCGGTTGTAGGATCGTAGAAGCCGCGCGAGGCAGGCTTTTCGCGCGCGTGATGGGCGTCGGCCGTCGCGGGAGAGTAGTAGCCGACCGGCGGGTGCAGCGGAGATGCTGGGAGAGGCGGAGCAGCGGCGGCCGGATGGTGGTGATGATGATGCGATTGATGATGGTGATGGTGATGGCTCGGGGTTCCAGCAGTCGACGGGCCGCTCAGGGCCGCGGGGGGCGGCAGGGAAGGAGGAGCGATGGGGCCGCCAGCTGAGCCCGTGGTGGACGAGGGCATGTAGGGATTTGGCAAGGCCGGGCGAGGCGGGGATTGATGGGCGTGGCTGCTCGGGTTGCTGCTGTTGTGGTTGTGGTTGTGGTTGTGGCTATGGTTGGGGGAGGAAAAGGGAGGCGGCCGGAACTCGGACTGCTGTTGCTTGGGGGAGCGCAGGCTGAAGGTGGAGTGCCGGTGCGCATTCGCGGTCGCAGTCCCAGACCCCGTCGCAGTCGCAGTCGCAGTCGCATGCGCAGCGACCGACGATCTCGACGGCGACGTCGCACCACCCGCAGCGACAGCTTCGGAGCGAGACGCCTCTACGCCGCCCATCGCATCGCGCCCGTTGCGATGGTGGTGGTGGTGGTGGTGGCTGTGGCTACGACCGCGAGGGTCTCGGTCGTCATCGCCGCCATCGTCTCCTCTGTGCGGCCGCTGCAGCACCGAGGAGCGGTAGCCGTTGTTGTCCATGCTGAATACCTAGCGCTTGAGGCAGACTGGGCAGCCAGAAACTCTAGACAAGAGCAGGGAGGGGAGGAAGGGGATGTGTCGGCGACAGAGGTATTAGGACTGAGGACCCATGTGCACGAGTGCGACGACGCGGCGAGGGTATTCGGAGGTGGGGGGAAGAAAACGATGCGCGCGGCGTCGGGAGTCGCGATGCGCACGCGAGTCGAATCGAGTGTCGGTCGATTCACAGCCAAGGTCGCAGGAGGTCGTGTGCGAGGATGCAGCGAGCGGCGGCGGCAGCGGATCGATGGGGATCTGTCGACGCGAGCGACGAGGACTGATCTATGGCGTTGTGGGGTCGCGCTGCGGCGATTTGACCAGAGAGCTCGGGCAGTTTCGATGGGTAGAGAGAGTGAGTGGGTCAAAAGAGTCAATGGAAACGTTGAGTTGAGGGGGAGTTGAGGGGGAGAAGAGAACGGTTATGGGGATGGTTTGGAGTGGTCCAGCGGAAGCGTGGCTCGGAATTGGAGGTAGGGAATTGGCGGTTGAGAGCCGGGGATTGCGGGTTGCAGGTTGCGGGTTGAGGGTTGAGTGAGTGTTGGTGAGACACGTCAACGATGTCTAGTTAGTGGAGGAGCGAGGCACGGGGAGGAGGATTAGAGGATGGTGACGGGGGGGCAATAGAGGTGGAAACCCCGGTTTGAGAATCCGGGATGTGACTTGTGATGGTGATGCGCCGCGTGTATGCGTGGAGGCGTTGGGGAGAAGGAGAAGGAAGAAGCGGCACGCGGATGGGAAACGGGGGACGGACGGCGGGCGGAGGGGGCAGTTCTGGTGATGATGGCTGGGGCCCAGCGGAATCGGGGCGGGAGATGGTTCCAGCGATTCTAGGAATTGGAGGATTGGAGGATTGGGTCCCGTTCGGGTCCTGCCTCGGGGCCCTGGATATGGTGGATGGTTTGTGAAGAGCCAGCCCAGGCACGAGGTGTGCGCCAACTTGCAAACAGCCGGCCGGGTCAGTCCCTCACTCCAGCCGCGAGCGAGGACGAGTGTGTGTGCGCCCACTCTTGACGCTGTCTACAGACCCAGCCCTGCGATGGATGGATCGATTGGGAGGACAAAGTACCGACGGCCGGACGCGGGCCAGGTACAGTACCTCCCTCACACCAATCGAGTACAGGTACGTACGCTACCTGGCACGGAGCGAGGTACAATACCCCGGGGGCGTCTTGCCGCTATCCGTCTCCACGCTTCCACGCTTCCACGCCACTCGACGGCTCCACGCGGACGGGGCTGGCTGGCTGGCGTGCCGTGGCCCAGGTTTCAGTGAGCTGTGACGGGGGCACTTCCATTCCCACAGCGGGAGTCGGGACGTCCCCCCCTACTTACAGCCTACGCCCACTACAACCATCCATTGCGAGAACGGATCGACCCAGTAGGTAGACCACCGCAGGCAGACCACACACGACGCGCACACAACGCACGACACCCTCCCGAACCCGCGTCTTGTCTGTCCTGTTCTCTGCTCTCGTTCGTCTCCGGACCCCATGTGGGTCGGGAATTAACGAATCATCTTAGCCCGATTGGGAAGTCCGTCACCCGGGCACCGCGGGAGTGGGCGGGCAGATCTGATAGCCCTTGGAAGTATAGGGTAGATCTCCTTGCAGGCCTGTGGACAGGATGACAGGCAGGATGACAGACAGGATGACAAGGTGACAAGATCTGTGATGACTTCACCACTCATTCTAAAAACATTTCATACCAATCATTACGAGGACAACCCCCGATGCTCCTCTGGATCAGCCGCAAATTTTAGCAGTAAATAACACACCCCATATGAGGAGCTTTTTATCCGAATGCTTCCCCAATATTAGCCAACATGCAACAAGGATTCCTTGACTTTTGGTGCAACCAATTCATCACCACCACCTCGCGTGGCGGTGAAACCCTCAGCCCAATTCAATCTCACATCGACGCCTTCACCGCCCTGTCTCTCAATAGCCACCATTCCCGCCATCACTAGTTTCTGGCTCAGAGTCAATCACGTCTTCCTTCTGCTCGACACTCAACTGCCGGTCTCGGTACCCTGGCCACGGTCCAATAGAACGCCCCACATCACCCATGGGCCTCGACTCCTTGCTTCAAGGGGCGTGCTTTGTGTGGGGGTTGCTCGGTCTCGCCCAGCCTGGTCCTGCAACACCACAACGAGCTGAATAGATCCCTCACACCGTGTTCCCCTCTTTCAAGAGATTCTAGAATCTCGCAGTCGAGTACCACAGCATTCGCGACACGTTCTGTCGGGTTCCCCCCTCCGCCCCCCAACGACAGTATATACAATATGGAACGAAAGCGCGTCGGACAATCTGCCGGGACGCGAGTCGCGAAATACACCATCTCGATCGCCAAATTATCGTCTGTCGTGCTATTCGCCGACCGAATCCAGTCGGAAAAACCTCTCTTTCGCCTGACACGTCTCATGCACGTCCCACTTTGGCGAATTACACGGCCAGTTCGCCTAATTGCAATATCGTATTACAGGGCTGTCCCGACCAACTTGACAACTCCTGCCAAGTGCTTCTCGCCTCACCATTCACAATCAAAAAGCAAACGTCTCAAATGGGAGGTTAAACCCAATACAATTCGTACTAATCAAAGCCTCTAGGCAGTCCAACCCAAAGAAAGCAACAATTCTATCCCGTAAACATAACCATATCTTCATGGACGCTTTATGCCTCTCTATATCAAGGCCATGCCCATGCGTCGGCTTTATGGTAGCGTCGTCTCACGTCATCATCCGGATGACTCGCCATCCGCCGCTGCTTTCCCATGAAAATATCCACGATGTCAACGCAACTTTTGTGGTGGACGGAATCCTCTATATAATTCAATTTCACTCATCACACCCTTCCGGCGCCGCTTAGACGGCACCGGCAGAGATCATCTTCTTGCGCAGGTAGTCCTTGTAACCGGCGATGGGACCGTCCCAGAGACGAATAGTCTGGTTCTCGCACACCAGAATTTGCTTGGCAATCTTGTCGAGCAATCTATTTTACTTGTTAGCATCATGTCTAGATATTAATAAACTAGAGGGAGAACTTACCGGAAGTCGTGAGACACGACAACGACACCTCCGCTAAAGGCGTTGATGGCATCCGCTAGACTGTCGATGGTGGGGATATCGAGACCGTTGGTAGGCTCGTCCAGCAACAGCATGTTGGGGCTCTCAATAGCCAACAAGGCAAATACAATACGCGACTTCTGGCCCTCAGACAGGGTACCCATCAGGGCAGTCTGGGAGTCACCACTGAGACCGTACTTGCCAAGCTGTTGGCGCCAGTACTGGTAGTCTTGGGACTTGGAGGAGTACTTGTCACGGACGAAGTCCAGGGCGGACTTGGTCAGGTCAAGCTGCTCAGCACTGTGCTGAGAGTAAAGACCAAGCTTCAAGTGAGTGTGGCGGGTGACGGAACCGCCAGTGGGAGACAGCTTGCCAGTCATGAGGCGGAGCAGGGTGGACTTGCCGACACCGTTGGGGCCGACCAGGGCTGTTCGGGAGTCCATGTCGAAACCGAGGTCCAGGTTGCGGTACAGGTCTTCCTCAGTCTTGCCAGAGTAAGAGAAGGTGACGTTGTCGAATGACAACACGGGCGGGGGCAGCTTGTCGACGTCGGCGAATCGGAAGGAAAAGACTCGGTCCTCAACGACGGGCTGGATGAAGCCATCGGCCTCCATCTTGTCGAGAATCTTCTGACGGGACTTGGCCTGTCGGACAAGATTGGCGTAGGTACCGGCGCTGGCAATGAACTTCTTGATGTGCACGATTTCATCTTGCTGCTTCTGGTAGGCCTTCATCTGGTTGGTCTCCTGCTCGGAGCGAGTCTTGTGGTAAGAGTCGTAGTTTCCTCCGTAGTACAGGAGCTGCTTTCCACGCATGTCAATCATGCTGTTGCACACACCGTTGAGGAAATCCATGGAGTGAGAGACGAGGACGAGGGTTCGATCCCACTTCTTCATGTACTCCTCGAGCCACACACAGGCCTCGAGGTCCAAATGGGCAGTAGGGTCATCAAGGAGGAGAAGCGAAGGCTTGACGAAGAGGGCCTTGGCGAGAGCAACTCGCATTCTCCATCCACCGGACATGTCCTTGGTCTTCTTGTGAATAGTCTTCTTGTTGAAGCCGAGACCCGTCAGGATCAGCGAGGCACGGGTAGCGAAGGTGGAAGGGTCCATCTTGTCCATGTGCTAGAGGGGGGAATACGTTAGCAACGGATTTGTAGTTTATAGTATCGAGGTTAGACTCACATCGTAAAGGTCCATGAGGACAGGGCTCTCAGGGCCCTCATCCTCAAGCAGCTTCTCGGCCAAGGCGTCGAGACGCTTCAACTCCGTCTCAGCCTCCTTGACAACCCACTCAAGGGCACCGAGGTCGCTGGGAGGGGCACCCTCGTTGAGAAGGTAGATGTCGAGATGTTCGGGGATGGGGTACTCGCGGGCAGCAATGGCCTTGAGGAAGGTACTCTTTCCGCAACCGTTCTCACCGAGCAGACCGTATCGCTTGCCGTAGGACAGCTCGAGGGTGGAGTCGGTGATGAGGACACGGCCGTGGAAGACCAAGCTGGTGCTGGTGATCTTGACGTCCTTGCTGGTGAAGGTGGAGGACAGGACACCGGTGGTGACGCGGTCGGAAATGCCGTGCTTGTCCATCTGGTCGGTCAGACGCTTGACCTCGTCCAGCTTTTCGCCAGAGGTGGCCGGGGCATCGTCGACGATGGGGTTGCCGTGGGCATCGAGTTCGACTTCCTCGGTCTTCTTAAGAAGCTTGCTGGCCTTGGGACCCTTGATCTTGCCCTCGGCGGCCTTCTTGGCGAGACGCTTCTCCTTGGAGCTGGAAGGGGCCATGTTGAGCGAGGTGTGATGGATGGAGACGGGAAGGGGAGGATGAAGGGTGAAGGAAGATAAAGGGTCCGCGGGGTCGCACGAACGGGCTTTATCGGTGGTGGGGGCGCGAAAGAGTGTCTTGCCGTGCCGAGTCCGAGCCAGAGGGGAGGGGGGAGGAAAAAGGGCCTGGAAATCACCGGTCGATGACTGGAGAGAGAGGGATGGGGAAGGGAAAAAAAAGTTGGACGGTCCTGAAAAAAAAGCCCAGCAACGACAAAGAGTGGCGGTTCCAGTCCTACCCAGGCGCTCTGTGGTGGTGTTCGGAGGCGAAGGCGGGGTGAATTTTCGTTGGTGGGGCATATTTTCAAAATTTTGGCTTGATACGGGCAATCAGGCAGCAATCTAAGGCATCAAGTGTGAGAAGCCGCCGATGCCTCAGAAAAATAATCCATGGCAGCGAGTCACTATTTGCCTCTTTGCGCCGTCTGGCTTCTATTTTTTTCCTTTTCAAGTTCATGGCGATTTTGGTACCTGCGGTGTCTCCGTTCCCATGTTGCAGTGTTAATACCACCCCAAAATTGGATGTGTTCCCTGTCTATTCTGATTCCACCACCACAATCTACCTTGGGAGATGTGCATCTCCATGTCTCATCAGTGTCAGTAAAAAATGGATCCCAGACACTGTGGCTCCCTGACCTTGGCCCTTGACGTCATGTTTCCCTGGCCCCTGATTGGCTGATATCATTTCAGTTTTTTCACGCACCCATTCATTTGTGTTTGGTGACCTTGTTGGCGCTCCTCGTTCTGCGTGCTCCCCCAGTAAGCCGGAGACCTCCGCGAGATTCAACAGACCTAATTTGCTTCGGGAACGAAGCTAAATTATCCACAGCGTACTGTTCTCTGCGTCGCTACCTGCGGTGTCTCCTTGTGCTGAACTCGCAGTAAAAACTACTTGTAAGCACTGCCTCTCCCAGAACAATCCTTCCCGGTCAAGTTGCGTTGAGCTTCCACCCCCATGACTCATTCGCCGTTTGTTGGCGAATGGCGATAGGTAGAGGATTTGCCCCTTGTCATTCACTGTGAAGCTGAGTCTGTGTACTCCCTCGGTGGGCGACAACTTGGTCAGACTGACTTTATGAACATATTGCGGAAAGTAATTAGATGCGCTTCTGCTGGTAGAAAACTTTAACCAAATGATGTTAATTATTGCTAGGTGGGCGCTGTTGATCGCGCCCACCATCAACGGGTTAGATACACTGCCAAATCCCAGAATTGTATGGCAGTAAATGATACCCTGCTCGTCACCTTTGCATTTTTGTTTTTGTTTCAGTACATGCACATTTGTTACTTACGAAGGAACCTCCGATTCAAGAGCATCATACACCGTCTTGTCCTCCACGTCTACCTGCCTGGACTCGGCATGCCGCCCTGCCGCCTGCTTCAATTGAAATTGGCGTTCTGCCAACCGGCTCGGGTCATCCATGCTTCCAGGCTCAGCGTTGAATGCCTTTTGGATGCCATCCTCTGCTTTCGACTCGTCCCAGCCACCCTCGTGTAAGTTCTTCCCATGGGGACCATTTGGATCACGGCGATGTTGGCTGCTGACGTGGGTTGGTGCAATATCTTCGGAAGATTTGAGAGCGCCCTCGGAGTGAGATCTGCGGCGCGTCGCGGATGATTTATTGTCGGAACTGGGTACGTTCTCACTGCGGATACCTCGGTTTGATGAGAATTCACCTCCTTCGCGTTTGGACTCAGCGGCAAGGGAGTCGGAGGGAACTAGACCGGCGCCCTCGAGGGTGACCGGGGCATCTTCACCAAGGGTGACCTTTTGACTGGATTAGCTTTCCTCAAAGACGCTGATGTCGACATGCTGGACGCCTACCTTGGTGCCAACGCCAGGGTTTTTGTTGGGAGACATAATGCTGCGTGTGTATGAACGGACGATTGTAGAGATTACGGTCCAGAATGAATCGACATTGAACCATTTCAAGATTAGAAGTCCCTACCTGCTTCTTATACATACGAGTTGACGGACTTGATATTAAGTTGCGGGAGTGTGGTTTCATGACATCATGTTCATCACTCTGACGTTTGACACAGCACTTGTCGGGTTAGTGGTCCTCGACAACAAGATGCGTTACATACTTACATCATGATATCTGGTCAAAGCATGCATAATGGCGTAATGAAAGCATAATTTACGGTAAATACATGCTCGACTACCGAAGAGTGAATGGGATATTTGGAAAATCGCCGAGGTCAGAAAGTCACAGTGCGCAAACCAGATCATAGTATCTATTGGCGCTTCACCGAGACTCGCCATCTTTCACCATCCTTCCCGATGCTTGCGTGCACATCAGGGGGCCATTATAATGTCCATCGGGTTAGTTCTACCTCTAAATTGCTCGTGATAAACATATGAATTGCCCGGTAGGTATTGGATGAGGCCTGTAAGCAGAGACGCTGAACGCATGGATGCCCGCTGCTGCCTGGGCATCAAGTCCCACAAAGCGTTCTTGGCGCTTCCAATTATCCCAATACCCGGCCTGTCGCTGGAAAGATGACAATTAATTAGGCGCCCATAAGTAGCCCCTGGGATTTATTCGCATCCTCGATCTTGTTCTTTTGTTAGAAATTTAAAAGCGAAAAGCGATCTCTAGTGTGCAATGGCGGTGCAAGGGCGTAGCAGGCTTGTTCAACTCTTGGCAAAGGAGTCTGCATATTTCTCGCTCACCGATCAGACGATGGATTCTTGGTGAACCAATCTTGGTCAATGTTTAGGTGGAAGTGAGAACCTCGTTTCTGGTTCTCGATGCATGCCAAGTCGCGGGTGCATACACTCAAACAACACAGCCCCGAACCGGCAACTGAAGCTGAACGCTGCCATCCCAACTCAAGCGCGACCAACAATGTCAAAACGAGAGAACTGATTCAAATGCCTCTGTGCCTAAGCCTTCCCAAGGCCTGCAGTTTTAATGTACTTCGTACACCCGGTTGGTGCGTCGGGAAGCATTCTGACAGAGTCTTCATCATGGTGCTTGGCAGGCTTGGCAGAACAGTTGTCATGAATGCTACCTATCTGCCTAGACAAGAAGGGTGACAGTTTATGACCAGTAGTTCCCCAGACCAGCTGAAAATTCTACGACAGCGAATTGCGCTTCGTCATCGACCCCGGATTGTGTGGTGAATTGGTGCTTGGGCCGTCTAGTAGTCCACCCACCACATGTGTTGGCAAACACAGCCATTGCTGCCCCCATCACCTAACGTCCCATTCCCGACAAAGCACACTCTTGGCTCCGAGAGAGTGGTGCCGATGTTGCCAAAGATGTTCAATGACTGCAGCCATGTTTGGACATTTTGGAGAGGCGCCACATTCGACTGGGCCTAGCATGATCACAGGGCTGATATGAGTGGTAATTTGGACCGGGGTTACTCGTGGATGCCTGCGCGGCTGAATACGATGATGCAAAGATTTTCATAAAAGAACGTGAGCGCTGTGCTCGGGTGGCCCTGATCGATTCATGACCCTACCCTTTATCGGTACGATCTGCTGTCAAGACTCAAACATGCCAACAGAAAAGGAGTCAATACCATGTAAACCACGGCCATGGACGACACTGTATCAATCATGCAATATCAGATGGATCAAAGAAGTAATTGCATTGACGTTGATCCTTAGCTCGTTGCACGTGGTTTCACTTGTCAAAACACACCGGAAAGCGTTGGTCGACAAGTTCACACCAACAACATTCGACCATCTGACTGCACAAGAAGAAACGAACCTGGAGGGAGCACGCTGGAAATGGGAAAACTACCCCAAGCGAGAAATCGATAGCGCTCTTTATTCTAGAGATGACGTCTGGGCTCATCGACATGAGTGGAAGAGGCTGGGAGCTGGCTCCGAGGGTGTGGCCTTCACCTATAATGGTACTGTGATCAAGGTGTACAAGAAAGCTCACCATCCCCTCCGAAACTGTGTTCCAGGAGCTTCACCAGAGATGAGATGGCCAACTGAGATTGCCGTGTCCCTGGTTCTTGGAGGGATGGCGGATTCGCAACCGTCCCAACAAGATATGGAGTTCCTCCCTGTGACGGACTACTTTGTGTCACCGGCGGAACAGGGAGAACTTCCGAGGTGGCATTTTCTGACGCAACTTCTCCCCTGTGGAAACCTCGTGAAGCTCGCTACGCATCTGCGCAATTCTGAGCATACGTACACTGCGCATGAACTTGACCTAGCATTTCGACCGTCGTTGGAACGACTGCTACAGGCGTTGACTCGGATGCACTCGCAATACAACCTCTGTCACGACGACATCAAGCCCGACAATATCTGGGTGTCAGGCGCAAAAGATTTGGGACCTGTAGGAGGTGATTTGGAGGGGGCAAAGCACTGGATCCTCGCCGACTTGGGGAATGTGCGGGAGCCAAGCCACCCATACCACTCTTCCATACTTTGGTCAAGACTGAACAACAACTTGCCGGACTGCCGTATGAACGATGTCCTGCGACTTCTCAAGTCATATCTACTGTTTTTACGGGCATCCGTTGACGATGCGGCCGAATTTGATACGCAGTTCTATGAAGCCCATGCCTCATGGGCTCAACTCTACTGGAGTACTTTGGACGCAGTCCAAGCTCATCAGCTTGTCTCAGCCTCATCGGTTCAAACGCTATCAAATGACCTTGACCCAGCTACTAGGCAGCTACAAGATCCGTCGGCAAGCGGGCGTGACCTTCCCGGTTTATGGAACCCTCTATACAAGTTATTTCTGAGCAGGGAGCACCTCTTCGACCGGGCTGCGAGAGATGAGCTGAAGATGGGTGCGGTAGATAGTGTTGCGCGGACATGGGGGATGACTTTGATATTGGGTGTTCCGGTTGGAAAATGCAGGGCTTGAAGGCCGATAGTGATGGAGTGGTTGGGACATACTTTTTGTTGATGAGTGATGAACTAAGGATACCCGCTCTTGACAAGGGAATGAGCACACGTTACGATCATGTTAGATAGTACTGACTAGTTTCAACAATGATGATCATGTGGAAAACATCTTAAGACTTGGTGGACAGACTGCAGGTAGTAAACATGTGCTCTCTGCGGTATCCTGATTCCTTTGCCACTGAGTGACCTTTTCGTTGGCACTGCGCATGACGCCGTGGCTTCCATCATGACTTCCTTTGAGGAGACTCGACTGTCCCGATGATCTTTAGGCAAGCTGCCATAATATTTAGTGGCATCTGAATTTATTTCTTCATATATGTTTTGCTAATACACGGCCGCAGGCTCTGTGGCGATGTCACAAATGCATTGGATCCTGGTGGCTGAATTCCCTGGTCAGCCATCACCTAGCAATCCTTGCACATCGATCTAGGCCTCCACTGAATACAGTTGCCAAGCAGTTAGCGACAAGAAGTAAGCAGTAACCATTGCTGACAACCATAGCAGCGGAGCTTAAACGTGTGCCATCCCAGTTCCACGGTCCCTGTTCCATGGCAAGGCATGCTGCTTTGTGACGGAATAATGAAACCGCCTCGGCGTCGGGCGGCTGTTTTGCCACCTGCTGTGCCGGACTATCACGGGGCTCAGGCGTATGATCGGCGGGCGGTGGAGTCATCAGACCGGCAGCGGTTTGAGTTTGCAGCGCCGCGAGGGCCCGGAGGCGCAGTGGAGGGCCTCCATAAGGTGGGTGCGCCAATAACGTTGTTATGAAGGTTGTCGGGTAGTTTATGGAGGGTAGGTCACGGTAGAGTCATCCGTCACCTGCGCCCGCTGGTGTATGTAGGGCCGCGAGGGCAGTGCAGATACGATATAATATAAGTTCAACGTGTGTGGGATGTCTACGACGACAGGAAGCATTGTCTGGCCAGAACAGAACACCAACATTACTCACACGAACAAACCTTGGCGAACACTATGCCGGAGCTCGTATACCACAACGGCCATTACCACCGCGCTCACGCGAGACACGCACGCGAGCATCTCCACCACCGAGGAGGCTTGTGGCAGAAGACGTATGAAGTCTGGGACCAAGTCCTGTACGGCATCGGCAGCGTCTATTACAAGATTCTCGGTCGATAAACAAGTCGGACACCTGAATCCCAGACGTGGTTAAGCATCATCCGGAATGCGGCTTTCAGCTCAGCCCCGGTTCTCGAACGCGACCGGAACAATCGGATGAAAGCTGGAGTTTGGCAAAGCGAAAGCGGGACAGCGGCACATCCGCCAAACGGCAACAGAACCGCGGGCCATCGTCCACCATGCAAATCGAGGGTGCCGACGTACCCCCGACGCGGATTGAAAGGGAACACTCAGCAGAGAGAAGCACACAACTTGGTTTGGACGTGTTTCGTCAGTGGAGGAAGCGAGAGATGACGACCAACAGCTGCTGATGTTGATCGGCAGGACGGTGGCCACCAGCGCGACGAGGAATTCCCCCAAGGCCAAAAGTGGACCACAATGACATAGACGCCCCAGTGATGCGCAGGCCGGTGCATTGATTTGCATCGTCGCAACCCATTCGGCACGGTTTCAGAGGGCGTGTGTACCTAGCAGATGTGCGGGCAAACCATCAAAGACGCGTTTGAGATACAGTGGAACAGCAGCAGCAAATCAACCAGCGCCAGTGACGGCGACGAAGCGGAAGAAGACGCCGGGATGATTGACCCGCTTGTTGGATTGCGCCGGATGAAGTACCTGGGACGACGGAATTAGGGGTGGGCTGACCCAGAATTATCATCAACAGATAATCTTGATGCAATGGGGATACACGTCAGCTGCTGGCGAGCTCGCCTTGGCTCTACGCGGACATTGTACCACGTTACCTGCAGAAGGGTCCGCGTACGTACGCACGTATAAAAATTCCGAGATTATACTTTAAATCTTTAATATCTTTATAATACGGTTAATATTGCAGGCTAAAGGTTCCCTCCACTACAGCAGAGACGAGAGATGAAAATGCTTGGCTACGCGCAGCTCCCATGGCTGGGCCATTCTCTAGATGCGAAGGTCCCGCGACTTACCACACAGCAATCTCGATTCTCAAAGCTCGCGTTCCGCGGGGCTCGCATGCGAAATGCCACCCAAGGATGCAAGCCAGGATGCAAAATACGGGTTCCCGTCCTCGTATCCACCAGAACCGCCTCTCACCGACGCTGGCGCTGGAAGCGTTCCAGGTCAATCTCCCAGGAAATCGTCGCTGCTCCGAGTCTCTGTGCCCTGTCTCTGCATGCTGCCAAGGGTGGCTCTATAGCGTCGTCATCTGAGAGGCCCCAATCCCCTGGATGTTGCTCGCCAAGGACCGAGATTCGGTGGAGATTATCCCCTATTCCAGAGGAGCATCACGGCAGCGGTGACCTTACAGTGCGAGGCCGTGAATTGCGGTGTTGTGGGGAAGTGTCGATTGCGGATTGGTCTAACCTCCCAATAACGGGCCGCCGGGAAATGAAGGTTGGGAAATGATAGTGCTGCAGCACAAGCCTGGTAGTCATCTTCCGGTACCACGGTAAGAGCTTTGCTTGGATGCACAGTGCCACCGCCACCTCCGAGATGAATGCGCGGATTGCCTGGCGTTGATTGGCCGCTATTGTCGCTCGCGCGGACCCAAACAAGCTTCTTTGAGTCTGCTGCGCCCCGGAAGGCGACCAGGGCCTAAAAACGGCCCCTTTGCAGGGAACGGCGCACTAACTGAGCACCCGGTGGTACGTACCGGAAGCCGTGAAGGGGGCGCTACAGGGGGCCAGCGGTGCCTTGGCTGCTCTGGGCGACCAGGCCACTACAGGGCCTATTGGGTGGCAGCTGTCCCCTGAGGATGTGAGTGTGTCTCTGGTTCCCGCTAGTGGATGCCGTTCTCCTGGCGGTTGGCGGTTGGCGGTTGGGCCCTGTTCCTTCAGCGGCCTGGTTTGGTCCCATTGACTCCATTGACTCCATTCTTCTGGGGGGCGTCTCTATTGGGAAGGAAGGGGGAAGGAAGGAGGAAGGGGGTGTGCCCACACAAAGCCCGTGCCGCCCCGGTACGCTCGTCCGTTTCTTCGACCTTTTGTCTTCCTCAAACCTCGGGACGCCGCTCTTCCTCCTTCCATCCTTCGTACCCTCTTTAATTCGCCCGTTTCTTCATTGTAATTGACCTCCCCAGGCCGATTGCTCCCTTTCCCGACACTCTTTTGCAGCTACAAGTACTGCCAGAATTTCCGACGACCCAAGCAAAGGGGGTTAGCATTCCAGCTCGTCGACAACCGCGTTGAACAACTTGCGACCCGCCAGTTCTTCGTCCGTCGCTCGATTTCTATCTCCCACGCTCTCTTGTTTGTTCGACTTCAAAAAGACACAATGAAGACTTCCGCCGCCCTCGTCGCCGTCGCGGCCACTGCCGCCCAGGCCGCTCTTCAGCCCATCGTTATGAAGGTACGTGCCGCATGTTGGATCCGGACTACCCGGCGCAAACATCACCAGCTGGGAACATGCAACTAATTCATTTCGCGAATAGGGCAGCAAGCTCTTCTACGAGAACGGAACCCAGTTCTTCATGAAGGGTGTCGCCTACCAGCAGGACACTGCCGCCGCTGGTGAGAGTACTGGAAGCAGCACCTACGTCGACCCCCTTGCCGACTCGGCCGCCTGCAAGCGTGATGTTCCTCTTCTGCAGAAGCTGGGCACTAACATCATCCGAACCTACGCCATCGACCCCACGAAGGATCACTCCGCCTGCATGAAGCTGCTCGACGCCGCTGGCATCTACGTCATCTCCGATTTGTCCGAGCCCAGCCTGTCCATTAACCGTGATGATGCTGCCTGGGATGTTGAGCTCTACGAGCGGTACACTGCCGTCGTTGATGAGCTCGCTCAGTACGACAACGTCGTCGGCTTCTTCGCCGGTAACGAGGTCACCAACAACGTCTCCAACACTGATGCTTCCGCCTACGTCAAGGCCGCCGTCCGTGACACCAAGAAGTACATCTCCGACAAGAACTACCGCTGGCTGGGTGTTGGTTATGCCTCCAACGATGATGTTGATATTCGTGACGAGATCACCAACTACTTCAACTGCGGCGATTCCAGCGACAGCATCGATTTCTGGGGCTACAACATCTACTCGTGGTGCGGTGAGAGCACTATGGAGAAGTCCAGCTACTCCGAGCACGTTCAGTACTTCAAGAACTACTCTGTTCCTGTCTTCTTCGCCGAGTACGGCTGCAACGAGCCCAACGGTGCCGCTGGCCGTATCTTCCAGGAGACTACTGCCCTGTACAACTCTGAGATGACTGATGTCTTCAGCGGTGGTATTGTGTACATGTACTTCCAGGAGGCCAACGACTACGGTCTGGTCAAGATTGACTCCAACGATGATGCTACCAAGCTCAAGGACTACGCCAGCCTGTCCAGCCGTGTCGCTGCCGCCACCCCCTCTGGTGTTGAGTCCGACTCCTACAAGTCTTCCAACACCGCCGCCGCGTGCCCCGACATCGGTGAGAACTGGATCGCCAGCAGCGAGCTTCCCCCCACCCCCGACGCCGACCTTTGCACCTGCCTGCTCAAGTCCGCCTCTTGCATCCCCGCCTCTAGCTTGAAGGTCAAGGCCTACAGCGACATCTTCGACTACATCTGCGGTGAGAACGAGTCGCTCTGCGTTGGCATCAATGGCAACGCTACCACTGGTATCTACGGTGCCTACAGCATGTGCCCCGCTAAGGCCAAGCTCGCCTACGTCCTCGACGCCTACTACAAGGACCAGAACTCCGCCTCCACTGCCTGTGACTTTGACGGCCAGGCCACCACCCAGACCCCCTCCACTGCCTCATCTTGCGAGGACTCTCTGGCTGCCGCCAGCTCTGCCAACGCCATTGCTGCTACTGCTACTGCTGGTAGCTCCACCAACAGCAGCTCGGACTCCTCCAGCACCGACGACAGTTTCGGTAACCCTTCCGCCGCCATCGTCCGCCTCTTCTCCCTGGGCGACTTCGCCGTCGGCGCCTACCTGGTCGCCGCCGGTGCTGTTGGTGCTGGCATGGTCCTTCTGTAAGCTAAATGCCATGGCTGAAATGGGTTGGATGTAGATGGACATGGATCGACGGGGTGATACCCCACTGCTTTGATACTTGCTTTGCATTTGGATCTTGCGTTTTGGTTTCTTGTATCAAGCATTGCAGGTGTTGCATGGCTTATTGTGTGATTAGAACAAGGTAGTTTCCGATGTTTTAATGCCACTATGTCGGTGGACACATGCCGTCTTTTTTGAACATTTCTTTTTTATACGGATTCTGGTGATTGGAAGTGAGACGCATGAATTCCCCTGGGTAAAAGAGGCTCATTTGTTGGTATAGTTCATATACATATTGCGCAGTAGAAATTTAACTATCACTGTACTTTGCCCTCTTTGATTGCAACTGGTTATTGTATGCCTTTGATTTAGAGTATTGTTATCCGCACACATACAGATTTGGTGCTCCCGCATTAATAAATTATTTAGAAGACTAATTTTTAGTATTTATTTCTTAATAACCTTTTAGTTCTTTATTTTATGTATTCTTTATTGTATTAAATTTATATATAAAAATAAGCTTTACATCCTTTTGAGTCGTCCAATTCCCCTTGTACCACGCCTTTTCTCCACTCTTCGACCATCTCATCATCAGCTGAGAGTTCATCGTCAAGTCCCCGGAGAAGTTCAGGAGTTCCCGCAGCACCCGACATCGCCGCTGTGCAGATGAGCGCCCATTGAAGGTCAATCATCGATTTGAATTCATCCACATACTTGGCCTCACGCCTGACCTTGATGATGTCGCCCGAACAAATGCGATGATTCGTTTCGAAATTGGTGACGCCAACGAGGGAGGTGCGATAACAGTCGGTACATCCTTCAGTGTCGCCGCACGCAGTCGAGACTCCATCGCCATAGTGGTGACTGAGTTGAGCAAGCAAGCCCTTCCTGGGGTCTCTTTGATCTTCAAGCTTGACGATGTGGATTCCGTTTTGGACTGAACTTCGAGGCATCCATCGAAACTGAAGCGTGATCACAGCCAGACTAGAGGGGGCTTCGGCGGGGGCAGATCCGAGGTACTTGAAGGCAAAATAATACCCTTTGGACCACCAAGAGTGAAGCAGCGGGCTCAGAGCCACCATGTTCCAAACTTTGCCCGGGCCCCTACCCCTAGACAAAGGTGATAAAGACAGTGATCCAGCGTAACAAAGTAATCAAGGAGGATAGAGAGCGTCGAGGCCTCGTCACGCCTGGCAGCAGTATTATTCCAGGCGAAGGGGATAATGTGACAAACATGAGGGTTTGCCGCCCCTGTAACGATGTAGCGCTCGTTGTCTTGGATGTAACACTTCTCTTTTTCGTCGACAGAGCGCTCCACGTCGCCTGACTTAGCATGACCTTCGGATGAAGCCACAAGGGTTACAAGAGTCAAAAGAACCCAATCTCACTTTTTTTTTCCAGCTGTTGCCTTAGATGTTTGCTCCTACCATTCTGTCTCCGAACCTTACTAGCTGGAAGTAACAACCGTGCAGGGTGTAGAGGATAACCTTGCTACAAGCCCTGAATCTTCGAGGCAAAAGAACAGGCCTCTAATACAAATGCTTGATACGGTGTTCGTACTTGTTTTGTGATTCTTGTCTTAGATTTGCGTCCGGGTGGAGACGGGGTAGAACATTTGCCGCATGGATTTTGCCCTTTGAAGCTGCTGATTTGTAGCTGGCTACTTCTTCAAGTACATCATCTTATCTCTCCACTAAATTCCCGCTGATGCCCTATACTTAGGTAATCGTGACTGCTTTCCTTCCACCTTGACTGTCGAAGAGCATTGGAATATGTTGCCAGAGGTGAGGCCGTTCTTGGGAATCTGATTGACGTTGACAGCGGTGATGTTTGCGTGTTTGGCACTGAGTTGGCGAGAGTTGCGGTTGGAGTGGCCTGGAACCCCATTGAAGAAGATTTGCCGTGCAATGAAGCCTTTTTCCCTTCGGATTCTCATATCCTTTTGTCCCCTTGTGTCCCCTTGTGTCCTCACTTGGACGGTGAGCTTCATATATTCCCGAGGATCTGTTATCATCTAACTCGTGCATCGTGGTTGGCGCATGTGTGCAGCCTTTTGTGAAAGCCGTTAAGCTGCTGGGTTTCAAGACCCTTCCGGGCATTATTGATGGTGTGCTATTGTATATCTTTTCAGGTCAAACTCAGGACCTCTGCGTAGAGAGCCATCTGATGCACGTTTTGACATCCCGATGGGGATGCGCCGCCCATCTTCAAGAGACATGATGACCATGGTCTCCCATGCATTGCACTGCTGATTCGGCATGGCCCTACGTCGAGCCTTCGGACTTTGAGTTCGTAAATTACCTTGAGAAATTGCTTATCCCTCTTCCTGACTAATAGCTCGTGGGATTCCTGGCCTCGGCGATGGCATGTGTGGATGTCGTTTTTGCATACATCGAGGTTCCCCGTATCTGCCTCTTCATCTCGCGCATGAGCTGGTCATAAAGAGCAAAAGGATCAGACCCGATGAGACGGACTTGTGCGCCAGAAAGGATTCGCTTGGCGCGGAGAGTGCGTTTTCCGAGAAGCAGGCGGGGACGAGGGAGGAGGAACTGGATGTTTGAGGCAAGGATGTGTCAAAGTACCTTTCTTGGCTGTTTAGGACGATGGGGCATCCGCGATTACGAAGGAACTACAACGGTGAGAAATGGGGCCTCGGATGCTTCTTCACGTTCCTTGCCCTGGTAATGTTCTACGGTGGCCACCATATACACGGAGCTCACCATCACATGTAGCTTCACGCTTCCATTACGAGAACCCAACGAGAGGACCAAGCGCGAAGAAGACCAGGGAGCGAATCTTTCTCATCCTAAATTAATTAGTAAAGCCTCCCGCAAGGGCGCTCGTCATGCTTCCCCAGAGTCTCGCCAGCCGCGATTTACTGGTAGGGCCGTCACTGCTGGTGAGAGAGTGTTGGGAAATACCACCCATTCTTGGAATTGGTGGTACTCTAGAATCACGCGTTATATTGCCCATCAAGTAGAGTGGGTTTGGAAGGGGAGGCTGGGAAACATCTGCACGATGACAGAAATGCAGACGTGGATGGTAAGTCTGAGGCTGGTCTCTGCACACCAGACGCGGAGAGCTCTTGTGAGGCTTGGAATGGTACCTTTAAGAAGACTGGTAGAATTAATACCCGTTAAGTCGGAGAATCGAGAGCTCGAACTGAGATATGTATTTCTTTAACGATAGAAACTGGAGCATGATTGAGAACCTGCGGTCGAGGATAGATGGATGAATACAGGGGTATCCTCCAGCCACCTAGCGGGCGATGTTAGTGCTTCATCCGAACTCGGCAAACCGTCTGATGGATTGATCATCAATGGCTGGGATACAGCTTCTACCATGACGTCCCGCTTTGTTTGTTGTCAGACTGTAAGCCCTAGGTCCCAAAGAAGGGGCTCTAAAAGCCGGGCTGTTTCGGCCGATGCACATGTCGATAGATGCGTGGGTAAAATTGCATGGTAATGGCGGTGATCTCTACGAAAACTGGGGCCGCCTCTGGGCTGTGTCACGGTGAGATTCAATCCTCCCGGATGCTCCGTAGTTTTTTTGTCTTGATTCTATGTGCATGTGAATAAATGTGCTTCAACCACGTCCCGAGGACCTGGATTCCGTGGCCCGATTCTCCCTGTGCCTGACGATGCAGATCACGCGTGGAAGGGAGTGTAAGACCGGATCTCGGGCGAGGTAGAGAGATCTGAACGCTGCAAGCCGAGACATACAGGTCGTGCAGCATCACCAAACCAAAGTACCAAGAGAGCTTTGCTGGCTGACGGCCCCCAAATTGAGAGGCGGGAATGCTGAAGTCAGCAATAGAGATGAGACTCAACACTGCGGAGCCCATGGTCACTGGGATGGTCACTGGGATGGGCCCTGGATGGGCCGCTAGAGACCCCGCCCCAGGAGGATCTAGGACCAACAAAAGACCAAAAGCCCTTTTTACCTCTGATTTTACCTTGAGATTCGGAACGAAATGAGAGGGGCGGGTCAGGGAGCAGGGATACCGCTGCCTCCTCGCGGGCTACGGCTAAGCACATTAGCACCTTAGCACAGCACCGCAGCTGACCGGACCCGTCGTTGGCAGGTAAAAATAGCTGCTGGACTAATCAGCAGAGTCAAATCTTTAGGCCGAGAGGCCCTCTTCCAGCGGCCTGGGCTCTCGGCGGGGCCTGGAACAGTCTGAGGGTGCCCTGGGGGACGCCAGTATGAAAGGTGGCGGGTTAGCACGTGGAGTCATTGGCGAGAATCTGCATCTTTCCGAGTCAACACGGATGAGTTTCGTCAATCCAGCTCTGATCCTTCCAGGCGGTCTGATTGAAGAGTGTGTTTGTATTGTTTATTCCGGAGGCCGGGGCGAGCGGACCTGCAGCATCACCTTGCCGGCTGCGTGCTGGACCTGGCGACAAGTAAGCCGTAGGTAACATTGGCCAACAGGGCTGAACGTGGAGATGTTCCAGGGCCCCAGACGGACGTAATTGGGCCGTCATTACTGACAACAAACCGCACGACGCCGGTTGGAAGAAGATCCCTGAGGCGTCCAGGAAGCGCCCTTGATCGTCCTTGATGCTCGTCCTGATGTTCGTCCTGCAGGATCCAGACACAACAGACAGAGCCAGCCAACCCCAAGTCCCAAGCCAAGCCTAGCCTCTGCCTCCATCTCCGCGTAGCTCATTAGCGGAGCTCAGCCCTGCTGGGGAGCCTTCACGGGCCCCTCTGCGGCGATCCCTTGCTCGGGTGTGGAACCGACGCTGCGCCTCGGAGCTGGGCTGGACGACGACGACGGCGTAGGCTCTCCAGCTCCAGCCTCGAGCTGCCGCGTGAGGCTGCTGCTGCTGCTCTCCCTGCTAGCTTCTCTCTCACTAGCTTGGCCTGCGGACGCTTGGGGCGGGCTGGGCTGAGTGCGTTGGACAAAGCACCATGGCTGGATATAAGAACGCCGGCTGGCTCCCGGAGTGGCCTGCGTCCTCCTCTCAGCCCTACTGCTCATACTGACCTTGGACAGCTTGATTGTCCTTCTATTTCTTGTTGTTTGGGACTTGGTTCATCTCATCTCGCCAGAGTCTTCGCCATGATTCCCGGACTCAGCCTGCTGGCCCTCGCGGGGCTGGCCACCGCCGCCTTGGAGCCGCGCCAGGTCATGCACCAAGTGCGACACCAGCCGACCTTCAACTACGTGCGAGACATCCAGGACCGCGACTCGGAGCCCTGCAAGGTCCTCGCCCAGGCGTACAAGGCCTCGGGTGCCAAGGCGGGCGATGCCCCCATCGTCGACGTGCCGCCCTCCGTCGGCATCGCCTGTCTCAAGTCGGTGCCGCTCGCCAAGGAGCGCGATCTTGCCTTGATCGACTACCTCCTGCCCTTTGTTCAGTTCCAGAGCACCCTCGAGGTCCTTGCCAACCCCCCGGAGGAGTATCTATTCCCGGGCGTGGACGTCCTGGGCGGCATCGAGGCCGTTAGGAGCAAGCTCAGCAAGGGCGGATATGATTCTCAGTATGACTTCATGACGGATCTGCGAGCCATTGTAAGACCGACCCTTGAAGCCAACAATTCCTACTTGGACCTCCACTAACACCGTGCTCAACAGTTCACCGCCGCCAACGACAACCACTTCAACTACCCCCCGGCTCTGCTCAACGCCTTCATGTTCGTCCGCCGAGGCCTCAACCTGATGCCGCTCTCCAGCTCCGGCACCCACCTGCCCGAGTTCTTCATGACGGTGGACGTCATGCACGGCAACAACAAGGAGCTCGACTACTACCCGTCGGCCATCGCCAGGATCGACGGCATCCCCGTCGCCAAGTGGCTCGAGAAGGCCGCGACCCTCAACACGGCCAACTACCAGGACCCCGATGCCCAGTTTAACAACATGTTCTCGACCATCCAGCGCACCGCCATGGGCTCTGTCGGCGCCTCGCTGCTCACCCAGTTCGAGATTCCCGACTCGCACACCGTCAAGTTCCGAAACGGCAGCTCGCTCGAGATCACCAACAGCATCATCTTCATGCCCACCACCGACTTCAACGGCATCAACTCGGGAGAAGACTTCCAGGCCGCCTTTGAGATCCCCTCCAACAAGTCCAAGAGATTCGAGGACGTCAAGATGCGCCGCGCCACCGACGACTCGGAGGACTCTGCTGTTGTCCCCGGGTTCCCCTACCCCGTCGTGAAGCACTCGATGAACTCTGTCGCCGGATACTTTCTCAACGACACCGACTACCAGGACACCGCCGTCCTCTCCATCCTGAGCTTCCTCCCCGTCGGCTTTGATCTGGGTGACCTCGACAACTTCAACATTACCGAATACGTCCTCGAGGGCCGCAATGTCATTGTCGACTTCTTCAAGAAGGCCCAGAAGGAAAAACGCGACAAGCTCATCATCGACCTGTCCGCCAACGGTGGTGGCTCCGTCACCCTCGCCACCGAGATCTACCGCCTCTTGTTCCCCGAGGGCAAGTTCAGCGGCTGGGATCGGTACCGTGCCAACGATCTCCTCGAGGTCACCTCCGAGGCCGACTACGACACCCTCGTCAACGTCATGATCACCTCCAGCACGTACTACCCCGTCGACCCCGACAACATGCCCATCAAGACTGGCAAGGAGTGGTTCGGCCCTCACACTGCTGCCGGCCACCAGAACGTCACTTCTGCCTTCCAGATCGACAAGGACGTCCCCTGGGACCCTTCTGGCCCCTACTACTACAACGGCGTCAACCCCAATTACACCGTGATCAGCGAGCCCGTCTTCAAGCCCGAGAACATCCTCATCGTCACCGACGGCACTTGTGCCTCAGCCTGCAACATCCTGACCGGCCTCCTCACCCGCAACCACGGCATCCGCACTCTGGCTCTGGGTGGCCGACCTTTCCACCTGGCTATGCAGGCTATGGGTGGTGTCAAGGGTACGCTGCTCTACCGCAACGCCGACATCCTCTCGGCCACCTCGCAGTTCCTCACCGGCATCAAGAAGGATAAGAAGGCCATCCAGATCGTCCAGGACGCCGCCAACGCTTTCCCAAGCCTCAAGAACGCGCCCCTGATGCCCTTTGTCGCGGGAGCCAACGGCGGCCAGGTCAACGCGCTCAACGGATACACCGACGACGACCTCGATGGTTACCCCGTGCACTTCCGCTACGAGGCTGCCAACTGCCGCCTCTTCTACACCCAGCTGATGACCAAGGACGTGACCGAGCAATGGCGACACGCTGCGGCCATCGCCTGGAACGGCGCCAAGTGCGTCTCTGGGTCGACGAGCAACAAGGACTGGACTATTGGTGATGCACTCGGCTACGACAACCGCGTGCGCAGCCGAGCTCCTCCCATAGCAAACCCGGGCTCGCTCGCCTCAAAGAAATAACCGAATCCATCTTTCTTGTATATATAGATACTCTGGCGCTCAGATTTCGCGACCGGACGGGATAGCATGGCCATGAATGACTTCACATGAGCAGGCATGGCACGGCGTTTTATGATATGATTTGATCTATGATGGCAATCTAGTAGAATAGTTTACCAGACCAAAATGAACGTCTTGAATACAGCAGTAGATTTAATGAACTCAAGTCCAGTTTATTGTTGAATGTGTTGCTCTCTTAGACAGGCAAGTCAGTCTTTACCGTGTTCTGCCAGTTGTGACCGCCCGGTCTTGTCCTGAGTTGCGACATTCCGCATTAAATCAGTACAAGTGCAGCTCAGCCTGTTCTTGCGCAGCTGCGCAATGAAATTTACATTATAAATTGCTGCCCATCTTCCTTGAATTTTTGACATCACTGATTTTCATTAATTTCTACACTATCACTTTCCAGCTTCGAGGATGGACGAAGCTATCTCCTCTGATTCCACCCGCCCTCCTCTACAGGGCGGCACTTTACAGTCGTCCGATAGCGTCGGACTCCACGATGTCTTTGCCTGGGTGGAGGACTACCATGCGCAGAGGAGTCGCTCTACCGCGTATTACCAGCTTTCGAGTGAGATGCCTACTTATTATGCTCCCAGGTTGATGTCAGAGACGTCCGACAACGTTGACAGCGTCAACCGCGCCAACAGCGTCCACAGCATCGACAGCATCGACAGCGATGATAGTGTTGACTCTGCCGACAGTATCGACAGCTTAGACAGCTTCGACCGCGCCCCAGAGCCAACAGCGCGAACAGCGCGAAACAACGTCTTTGGCGAGTCTTTTCATTTTTCGAACGAGACCTAGTTATCCTGGTCTTTGGCGTGTACAAAGAGTGACCAAGCGCCGTGCACTAATCGACCGTTAATTAGCCAGCGATGAGGACGCCTCTCCAAGACTCCTCTGCGAGTGGATTGAATATGGCCCTTGCAGGGTGACGTTCAATATAAACGACGAAGAGGGTTGGATTTCGCATATTATACAGTCCCATTTGGGCAACAACTTCCCTGAGCACTGCGTGTGTTGGTTCTGCGACGAAGAGTATATTGCACAATCCAACTCAGCTGCAGACCGTTGGGCATCCTACCAGGCGCGGATGTACCACATCGCAGACCATTTCCGGACTCAAGGCCTCAGGGCTAATCAAATGCGTCCCGACCACTTCTTCCTAGACCATATCCATCGCCACGGACTCATTCGCGATGAAGAATACCGTTACGCAATAAATTCGCATGAGTTGGAACAAATTCCTGGCCTTCATGAGGCAGGCTGGCGACCTACAAGGAATGATCCGAGCAATCGGGTGGTCGAGACCAACCGACGCCATCGCAGGCGTGGGCATAGGTCATCCAGACGTCTCGACAACGAATCGTCTGTCTCTTCTCCATCTCTACGAGGTTACCGACGCCCAGTTGTTTCTCAAGAGATATCTCTACATCTAGGTGCACACCTCGAGGGGACCAAACAACCTCAACCCGAATTGTGCATCGAGCCAATCGGACGGCAACCCGAACCACCGTCACAACCTTTCCAAAGTCTTGGTTTTGACGTTCGCGTTCCTAATATTAGTTCAGAGTCCGGAACAGAAGGCCTTGACCAAATCACAGAGGATGAGCTTTCAAACAGACTTATGCCCTTAAATCTGGAAGCAGAACACAACACCCCGATGCCCGGAGGGACACAACCAAACCAGGAGCGCAGCGAGTCTACTGGAGACGCGAACGCAGACGCAGAAGAAACATCCAGTCACAGCACCGATTCCTCTTCCAGAGAAAGTGCCGAAGACTCTTCATCAGCAGGCGATAGTACATGCTTGGAAACGACTCGCTGCATGTCCCCAGGCGAAATTGCATCGATGAGAAGGGACGTTCTAATCGATCGCTTGATGATCTGGCTCCAAAATCTTCTAGCTCAAAGGTTTGCAGAGTGGACATGTGGCGAAGCAGATCAATCTTCTGGACACCAACACTATTCTGCGCCACCTAGTGATACACTGAATCGAACAGAGTCTAGAGGTCAGAGAGCAGGCAAACGCCGAAAAGATACGGAGGACAAAGACGACGACCATCGAGAGGATGAGAATGGTGATGACACTGTCCAGAAGAAACGAAGGAAGGGTGATGCAGACGCATCCTTGTTACTTGCTTGTCCATTCTTCAAGCATAACAGGGAAAGTTGTAGAGGTACGAAGTGGGCGTGGTGCTGGCATGGATGGTCAACCGTCCATAGAGTCAAGTATGTTATACTCTCGCCTTAGGGACCATGCATTAACAACTACAACCTATAGGGAGCATTTATATCGACGCCATCTACTGCCAAGATATCAGTGTAACCGTTGCTTTCAGGATCTCAAGTCGCTTGCGGGGCTCACCGAACATCAGAGGCTTCCAACGCCATGTCAGCTTGAGGACCCAGAGCCCCAAGAGGGTATAAATGAGGACCAGGAGAGGAGATTGCGATCGAAAAAAAGAAACAAGGAAATGGTATCAGAGGAGGACAAATGGGTTGAAGTATACAGGCTTCTCTTTCCAGGCGATGAGTTGATTCCCTCCCCGTGTATGGTTCCCCTCCGATTTCATCTACTGATGCTAATAACCATACAGACCAAGGGTTTTTTGGTACAGAACTAAGCTCTGGTCAACAAGATGAGGGAACGCTTCTTCGGAGATTTGAGACATTCTCTCAAAATGAGTTCCCAAGGCGAATGCGCCCCCACATTGAGGACCTAGTTGATCGCGCGGTCGAGCAGACTCTGACGCCTGAAGCACTCACGCGTGTTTTTGGGACTGTTCTTCAGAGTATTTTTAGCGCCTTCAGAGAGAGGAATGGTTTTCACGAGAGTATCTCGCGTACTGACGCTCCTCCTGAGATATCTGAAGAGGCCGGCATTGAACCTGGTGCTCCTGGGCGGATCAATGAGTTATCGGATGATGCAGCGCCTACTCTGTATATCAATAGGCGGGATGATTTTTCGGTATCAGATATACAATCACTTGGTAATCTTGTGGAACAAGCACCAGGTCAAGAGGTGGAGTTTGATTTTGTTAAATTTCTAAAATCTTTTGAGGAAGAAGATAGATTAAGCTGAGTAAACAGTTTCTATTCATATGATAGCTTTTGAGTTCATTCAAAGAGGAAACCTAATGTTTGCATCTACTGTGTTTTCGTCGTGTATGTCTAGTTGCCATGGCCTACATTGGTTATAAGTTCATCTTATTGATTTGTCTAAGTCTTTACTAACCTTTTCGCCTTGCAGCTATTTTTTATCACCTATAAGTAATAAAAATGAAAAGTCCAGCAGTCTGTTCCAGCTCACAGAGAACGAGGAGCTGTCTACCCCAGTGATCAATACTGTCCAACTGTTACGAATTCGAGTATTGGGGTGATCAATTGAGTGTTCTCTTAAGCCGAATACAGCTAGTGATAGATTGATGCTTCTCTAGTCGTTGAATAGTTCAAGCCGCTGCGCTTGGTCATAGAAGAAGGTCATGACGTCATGTATCCCGCGTTGAGCACGCGACATGTAACCGGAACTAGAAGCTTGCCCTGTGACCAGAAACTCAATGAAATACATTTAATTGGCATCCTCCCACTTTCTTGAAGGATTGCCACCATCGACATATACTTTACTTCGTCTTCTTTGATTGGTCGTGTTGCCGAGCGCCATCTGCAGTCACACCATGCCATCCCGCCCTCAGCCCAATCGGCGCCATACGACAACCATACAGAAGTTCAAGACATTTGCGATAGAATGGATCAAACTATCCTGGCTTGACCTCTTGTGCATGGCCGTTGTGGGTGGTGTTACTACTGCCGTACGGTTCCCATACCCAACGTTTCGTGCTTTGTGTCACTAACGTCTCCAGCTCTACCACGCCCCGATCCCAACCCTCGTCACGCGGACGTTTCCCATCACCTTCGACTCCTCTGGAGACATCATTTACCCTCAATGGGCGTACCCCTACCGCGGTTGGATCATACCGTCGTGGCTCGCGGGCCTCATCTCCATCGCCATCCCGATTGCCACCTACCTCCTCGCCCAGATACGCATCAAGTCTGCTTGGGATGCCAGTAACGCAATCATCGGTACGGTGTGGGCCGTCACTCTCGCGTCCGTCTTTCAGGTCGCTCTCAAACAGCTCGTGGGAGGCTTTCGGCCGTACTTTCTCGATGTCTGCATGCCGGACATCTCCCTTGCGGGATCGCACAATGAGTCTGGTCTCAATGGCGTTGGGTTCCAACAGATCATGTACACCATAGGTATCTGCACTCAACCTGACCGCGCGAAGCTCAAGAACGCCGTTACGTCGTTTCCCAGCGGCCACTCATCCGCCGCTCTTTCTGCTTTCGGGTTCCTCTTCCTGTGGCTCAATGCTAAGCTCAAGGTCTGGGCCGATCACAAGCCTGCCTTCTGGAAGCTCACACTCACATTTCTGCCCCTGCTGGGTGCCGTGCTCATCTGCGGCTCACTGACTATTGATGCTGCACACAACTGGTACGACATCGTCGCAGGGTCGTGCATCGGGGTTGTCATGGCCTTTGCTGCATACCGCACCTCGTACGCTGCGGTATGGGACTGGCGGTTTAACCATCTCCCGCTGCAATCGAAGGAGGCTTTCCGGTACGGTTTCGATGGCGATGTCAACTACGCGGGACAGACGCTGTCTGGGAGTGTCGGATGGGGAGCGAAGCGAGAGTGGCCTCATGGCGGTCTGGACAGTGCGGCCAGCAGCACCATGTTCGCACGCAGTACGAGTGGTATCCAGGATATTGCAGGCGTAGATGGGGATGCTTCGGGACGGGCAAGAGCAAAGAGACGAGCACCGGTAGGAGATGAGGCGGTGTAAGCGGAATAGGCTCGGATGGTGCATTGCGGACTTGTAGAACATGAGTCGCTCAATGACTTATCGTATATCTAATGTAATTGCCTACAATGAATGAACCATTTGGCCTTTGACAAAAACCTGGGTCAAGTTCCTGTCATCTCCCGTCATCAGGAACTTGTTAAACACTGTCCTCAGCTCGTCGTCATCCTCCACTGGCGCATTCACTCCGCCACGAGCTGAGTTCATATCGACCACGACAGCATCAAACTCCTTGCCCACTTTGAAGTCTCCAATCTTGTCATCCATCCCCATGACCCTCGCGCCTCCCATGGTCGAGAGGTAAAACACTTCCTCCAGCGTCAAACCCTTTTCACGACCTTCGGATGCCGCCTCTCGTGAGAATGATGCAATAAGAGCATGGCGCATCGAATCAAGGATAGATGACGAGAAACCGCCGCCAGAGTCGGTTCCCAGCCCGACCTTCATGCCGCGATTCAAGAAGTCTCGCACAGGTGCGGCCATGAACCCGCCGCCGACGGTCATGTTGGAAGTCGGGCAGTGGGCAATGCCGCAGTCGAGGTCAGCCAGGCTCTGCGTCTCGGCATCAGTCATGATGGTGCAGTGAGCAAGGATGCTTCTCGGGTTGAGGAGATTGTAGTGAGAATACAGGTCAACTTCGTTAGAGAACTGTGGGAATAGGGAGAGCGTGGCCTTGACCTCCTGCTGAGCTTCGTTGAAGTGCGTTTGGATCGGGAGGTCTGGGTTGCGAGAGGCGATATCTCCCAGACCGGCGAGGAGATCTGCTTCACACGAGATGGCAAAGCGAGGGGTGATGACGTATTTGAGGAGCTTGTTGGAGGGATCAATGGTTTGGATGTGACTGATACATCGCTCCGTCTCCGCTAGCGACTCCTCAACGCTTGCGTCGCGGTAGAAATCAGGCGAGCTCCGGTTCATATTGCACTTCCCAACAAATGCTCTCTGGCCCTTTTTGAGACAGGTATCTGCCAAGATGCATGTTGCCTCGCCGTGCAACGAACCGTAGTAACTCGCCGTGGTGACGCCCTGCCGCAGCATTCCGGCGACCATCTCAGCGTAAACACGGCGCGCATACTCAGGATCGCGGAAGCGCGCCTCGTTGGGAAAAGTCACACCGGAAAGCCAGTCGAGAATGTGCATGCCCTGCCCGAGGCCGCGCTGCATCCACTGCGGCGCATGGTTGTGGGTGTCGACGAAGCCGGGGATGAGAAACTGGCCTTGGAGGAGATGCGTGGTGCGGCTGGGCGCGACTCCAAGGGCTGTGAGCGTCTTCTGGACTTGATCCTTGGGGATATTGGCTTGCAGGGCGAGAATGCAGCCGGTGGACGCGCTCACGACTAAGATGGCTTGCTCTAGGATCTCGATGCTTTGGATGCTGGGTGTGTGGATAAGGGTGCCGTAGAAGGCGAATGAGGGGTCCTCTGTGGTCGCCATGTTGGAGAGGTCGCTACTCGACTAACTTTGGGAATCTTGCCACTGGAAAAGGGATCTTGATGTTGTTGAAGAAGATGGGTGCTGGGGATGGTTGTTGGAATCTTATGGTGTACCGCATGCCGCATGCCGCATGCGGGACTGCATGTTCCCGGAAAGCGGAGGAGCTCGGCCGAGCTTATCAAGATACGTATCGTGACTGTCTTAGTTGGACAGCACATTTTGGAAATAAAATCCAGGCCTGTGACCTGACAACTGATTGAATCATGACAACATCCAGTATTTGTAAGACCAGCCGTAATTCCACCCCGAATAGCTCCTGTGTGGTGCTTCTATTTGAGCCCATGCGATCGATGGTCGTGAACATAACTGTGAGCTGAAAGGTACCTGTTTTGTGGCTAGCGAGCCGTTCACTCGCTCATAGAAGGCTTGATGCATTCTATATACAGGTAACAGCTGATTCCCTCGTCTCAATTCTTTCCATTGTTTTCTTCTCGAACCTGTCCGACGACGGTAGCACTTACACGGGGCGCTGAAAGTACCTCAGACAGCGGGGTACCAATGAACCCCGCTACACACTACGATGGCAGGGGATTCAGATGTATTGATCGATGAATGGTACCCACATTGGACAATTCGCCTTGAAAGGGGCATGAATGCAAGATGGAAAGCGTACATGTCAAGATATTTAGACACAGAAGAGTGGAAATTGATGGAAGTGGTGAAATAAAAAGCTGTTGATGGTATACCGATCTATGATACCGAACCCAAGGAAAGAATGACATAGCCATTAATCCAAACCGACCACTCATGAACAAAGGAAAAAGAATGAAGATGTGAGAACCCAGTCAATGTATGCAACCCAATTTCTTCCGAAAACGCCAAACAATCAACCCCTAGCACCTAGTATCCTGACTTGGCAAGTCTCTCCTTCTCGTCGGCAACCATGTCATAGTCCTCGTCGTCCTTGTCATCGGGCTTGCCGGCATCCTTGTTGTACTGTGGCTTGTCGTCGTCCTTGTACTCCGGCGCAGGCTCATCCCTGTAGGCAGTCTTCTCGTCGTAGTTGACGATGTTGACCACCTCGGACTGGCGTCGGGGCTCTGAAACAAAAGACGCCGACGATCGCTTGTCGGACAGGATGGCTTCGCTCGGGGGAGGAACCATGCCGACCTCCTGGACGATGGTGCGGTCATAGTCCTGGCGGCCCTCAAGAGCCTTGAGGACCTCGAACAGGGGCTTGGCGCCCATGGGCCAGGCGACGTCACCGCAGAGGATCTTCTGGGCAGTGATCCCGCGCTCGTTGTAGAAGAGGCCATTCGCGTCGGATCGGCTCAGGATGATGGTGCCGTCGATCTGGACACCAGCCCACAGGCCGCGGCTCTTCATGTAGCTCCACATAGGCTTGGCCGTCTTGCTGACAGCAGACTCGACATGGCCACCGGAGCCAATGGGGCCCATGGTGATGGATCCCTCGGCGCCGAGAGACACGCGGGGCTTGGTGAAGGCGGCAACCTGCTCCTGGGTGTTGAGGACGCAGACGCAGTCGTAGACGTCGAGGCCGAACATGAAGCCGGCGCCGAGGGTGGTGACGATGAAGGCCGAGGGAGGAGACCAGGTGCCGTCGGAGCGGCGGGCGACGATGACACCGGAGCCGCCGGCGAGAGAGCTGTGGCAAGCGCCGGCGCGGAGGACGTTGAAGATGGCCAGGCCGGCGCAGTTGCGGAGGACGGCCGGGGGGATCTTGACCATGGACTTGCGGGTCAGGCCAGTCGGGTGCATGGGGCCGCTGGCCTTGGGCGGCGGGGCGGAGGCGTCGAGCTCTGAGGAGGGAGTTAGCGATGAGGGTTGACTTATACCAGGACGATTTGTATACGTACGGGTGAAGGAGTGGAGGATGCGAGCAGCCTTGTTGCACTCCTTATTCATGCTCGTCGGCCACCATCCCTCAGCGCCGATGACATTAGCCGCCTTGTTCAAGGGCCATCCGGCCTTGGAGCTGATCTTGTGGAAGCGCTCGCCGATGGTGGGCTTGGTGCTGGCGGGGGCAGACTGCTGCTGTTCCTGGGACATGCGAGGAGACTGGCGATACTCGGGGGTCTCAGACTGGGGCGTGTAGACGGGAGGGGTCTGGGGTGTCTGGGCCTGCTTGAGGGGGTCGATGGACTCGATGGAGCGGTTGGAGGCGGAGTAGATGGTCATGTTGGATGTTGGGCGGTGATGATGGGTTTTGTGGTGTTGTGGACTCGAGCTGGGTATTGGTATTATACAGAAGAGCAATGTAATGGATTAAGAGACGAAAAGGTTAACGGTTATGCTTAAGAAACCTGGAAGACTGTTGTAATCTGCTCTGTTCTGAGTGTTGATGCTTCCCTCCCTCCATCTCGAGGCATTCAGTTCATCTTATATCCCACCACGACCACCACAACCACCGCGCACCAGGCACATGCCAAAACGCCAACACGCCCGCATTCGCAATCCTTCCACGATCCACGTCTCCGGCGGTGCAGGCAGCCATAATCGGGGGCCCCGAAACAGCAAGGAGCGGACGCCACCGCGCGCGGAGAGGTCATCCTGCCGCCCGGAAGCCCGCTGTGGTTGCAGCGTGCTACAGTGGGCTGCGTGGGCGCGTCGTGGACGGCGTGGCGCAGCTGAGGCGGCTTCGCCCCGCGAGGAGAAGTTGGCGGGCGATGGGCGAGAGCGCGCGAGCGCGAAGGGCCGAGGACGCGGGACGATAGCGTGGTACTTCATAGGCAGACAGAATAACACCTTAAATAGCCCCTGGACAGCCCACAAGTAAAGTCCCTGAATAACTCTCGCCACTCGCCTTCGCCTCAGCCCCCACCTCCACCAAACCCGCAACAGGCGCAAATCCTTTCCCCCACAACTCCGTCCATCTTCTTAATGTGGCATTTGACTGGCTCCTCCAACAACAACCACAACTTGTCGGTGTGGCTCAGTTGGTTAGAGCGTTGGTCTCATATAACATATGACTTGACCAAAGGTCAGGGACATCCAAAGGTCGAGAGTTCGAGCCTCTCCACCGACAGTTCTTTTTGCTTCTCGGTTGTGTTGTTGAGATCAATTCAATGCTTCACTTTTTGGCAATATGCCTCCCTCGTCATCTATTGTTTCCCTAATTTTTTTTATTGGATTGGATAATCCTGCTTGGACACCACTCACAGCGAAGCAGCAGCTCATCCTACCTTACGCCAAGCGCCGACAGCATTCACGTACATCTCCGTTGCACAGCGGAACGCCTGAATCTCACCAAGGGGCACACACACAGCCTCCACGCTATGCATCATTGAGCTCTTTGTCAGAACTTCAAACCTCGTTCGTATTCACTAAACAAATCCTGTGCGCTTAAATGTGTTCTATCTTAAACTTGAACCCGGTCTCCTCAGTCTTGACCAACAGATCCTCCCTCACACCGGGCCCGCACGCCGCAGTGCCAACACCAGCAACCTTGGCATCCACCCGCAAGTACGTCGCATCTCCCTCGACGAGATCCGGCGGGTGCTCGGCCGCCTGCACGTTGTCGACGCTGTTGCGGCTGGCCACGAAGCTGAACTCGGCGTCGTCTCCGCCGTCCAGCCGACTGACGCGGATCCCGGTGCCCTCGGATCGCGGGTCCGTCAGGCTCACCCACCGCGTCTCGAGGCGGTTTCCGTTTTCTTGCGGCACGTCGTACGGGACTTGCAGCTCGGAGACGGAGCCGACTTCCCACACGCCGACCCGCTGCGAGGACTTCTTGTCCGGGTAGCTCTCGCCGGGGCCCAGGCCCAGCCAGCGGACCTGGTCGAGGGCCTTGCTGGCGTGGACGTTGAGGCCGATTCTGGGAACGTGCCATGGGAACGATCCCGTTGGTGCGAGGCGGCTGGCGTTGACGATCAGGGCGCCAACTGCCGTCACTGTGTATTCAATCTCGCAGTCCCATCCCCAACCAAGGACGGGCGGGGTGATGAAGGTGTGTGCCTTCAGCACAGTCTTGTCGGGACTGGACGTATCAATATTCCATGAGCGGAGCTGCGACGTCAGGTCATCGACTCCGAATCTTCGCCAGTACGGCAATGACTGAGGGACATCGTTGTCAGTTCCAGGCCTCCAGAACGCCGGCGCAATTGCAACGCCGCTCTTCGGGTCAGCGTCGAGGAGCGTCCGGCCATTGGCAGTCCAGCTCTTCAACGCGCCACGGGCTCGGTCGAAGGTGAAGACGAACTCATCGCCAGCCACCACGACCGACGCTCCCTTGGTCACGACTTGGAGCTTCGATGACGGCTTATGCAAGATGGGGAGCGCTGGTGATGCGGCCTTTGCGCTTTGGAGGCGGTGCTGCGACCAGGCGACTTCGTGGCCGATCTCTGCCCAGGAAGTTTGGTGGTTGAGCGTCAGCGACACAGTCAGGTGCACCTCGCCGTCGCTCTTGTAGTTGAGCACTTCGGCGGGGATGGCGATGGTGCCCTTCTCTCCCGCCTTCACGGCTGGGAGGTCCAAGGCGCCTGCGGTGAGGAGGCGTGTCCTGTAAACTTGTTAGTTGTGAACTTGCCCACAAGTTTGATGCGATGCTCACTTGTTTCCAAACTCCTCCAGTTTAAACGTTGCCGCGAGGTGGCTCAGGTCGGAAAAGTTGTACGTGTTCTCTACGGTGATGGTTCCGTCGTTGAACTCGAACCGGACAGGCTGGATCACCTTCTTGTACTCGGTCAATCCGGGCGTAGGCTGGTGGGCACTGTTGACCATGCCGTCCATGACAAAGGTCTTGTCATTGGGAAAGTCACCAAAGTCACCGCCGTAGGCATAGTAGCCGGCGCCTCCCTCGACGTCCTTCCACAATCCATGGTTGGCCCACTCCCAGATGAAGCCGCCCTGGAGACGAGGGTAGTCGCGGAAGGCCTGCTCGTAGTCTTCCAGCAGACCAGGGCCGTTGCCCATGGCGTGGGCGTATTCGCAGAGGACAATGGGCTTCTCGAACTTGCCGTCAACTACGCCCTCTTCCTGGGCGTGTTTGATGAGGCGGTCGACCGATGGGTACATGTAGCTGTACATCTGCGTCGACACGGCGTGCTCATCGCCCTCGTAGTGGATGAGACGGCCGGGGTCAAACTTCTGACCGTACTCAGACATGGCCTGGTGGTTGGCGCCGTAGAAAGCCTCGTTGCCAAGACTCCACACGATGACGCTGGTGTGGTTCTTGTCGCGCTGCACCATCGACTCCATGCGGTCGAGGTACGCCGCCTTCCAGGCCGGGTTGTCCGAGGTGAACTTGGCGGCCTGGGGGAACGTCAGCTTCTTGCGCTCGCCGTAGTCCATCTCCTCGGGGATGTCCAGCGGGCGCGCAATGGCGTCGTAGAAGCCGTGGCACTCGAGGTCGGCCTCGTCCATGACCCACAGGCCCAGCTCGTCGCACAGGTCCAGCACCTTGGGGTTGTTGGGCTGGTGCGAGCAGCGCAGCGCGTTGATGTTGTGCGTCTTCATCAGCAGCAGGTCCTTCTTGGCGAAGTCCATCGGCACCGCGCGCCCGAACAGCGGGTGGTGCTCGTGGCGGTTGACGCCGCGGAGGCGGATGCGCTGGCCGTTGACCGTCATGAGGCCGTCCTTGAGCTCGACCTTGCGGAAGCCGATGCGCTGCTGGATTGTGTACGGGGCGGTCGAGCTGCCCGTCTTGAGAGAGAGCTCGACATTGTACAGGTATGGCGTCTCTGCAGTCCATTTCTCGGGGTTAGAGACGTCGAGCTTGATGTCCACGCGAGCGGCGTTTTGGTCAACAGGAACTGATGTAGATGCAACGACGCGGCCGCTGTTCCGCTCTGAGAGTGTAAGCTCCAGGTCGCCCTTCTCGTGGGCCAGGATATCCACGGTGGCCAGGAGCGTGGCATTCTCGTACTTTTCGTCGAGTTCAGTGCGGAAGAACCAGTCCTCAATCCTGGTGTCAGTGGGAAACGCAATGAGATGCACGTCACGGAAGATACCTGTCATCATTCAGCAAGGCACTTTTTGAGGTGACGACGTACTTACCAGACAGCCACCATTGATCTTGGTCTTCAATATAAGTACCATCGGACCATTGATACACTCTCACGAACACCTCGTTTGCAGCATCGCGGTTGACGTATTCAGTCACGTCAAACTCAGACGGGTTCCTGGAGCCCTGGGCGTACCCCACCAGGACGCCGTTGACCCAGATATGGTACGCGCTGTCCACGCCATCGAACCGCAGTCTCAGCTGCGACTTTGCGTCCCACGTAGACGGGACACGGAAAGTGCGTCGATACGAACCGGTGGGATTCTCAGTAGGCACGTCCGGGGGGCAGACGGGGATGGGGAATTGCACGTTGGTGTACCAAGGCTTGCCGTGGCCCTGGAGCTGCCAATGGCCCGGGACGTTCAGCTTGCCCCAGGCCACGTCGTCCTTGGGCTCAGGGGCCTCGAGCGGCGTGGAAGCAATGTGGAAGTCCCAGGAGCCATTGAGCAGCACCGACGTCTCGGGGATGTAATAGGTACGGGTTGGGAGGCAGTTCCGGCGGAAGACGGCCTCGTTGCAGTAGTCTGGGCGGGACTCGTCCTCTTGGGGAGAGATGCCTCGCTGGTCGACTCTCATGTTGCAAGTATTGACCAACTGGAGATGTCCCGGGTCAAGAATCAAGAATCAAGAATCAAGATTCCGGGTTTATTCAAGAAGCAGGATATGAACGAGACGCGGATTACACGCGCGCGTTGAACCTCCCTTTTAACCTCCCACCCGCCGCCAAGTCACCTGTAGCGTTCCACAACGGCCGCCGCAGCCCCAACGTAAAGCGCAGGCGTTGCGCTCGCGATCGTCACCGGAATGGGTACGAATGGGCCGACCCCGCCGACCTCGTGAGGTTGGATGGCTCTCATTTTCCGCCGTCCCCGAGGCCGGTGGCCATGTTCCATCATTCGCCGAGCGATGCGGGGAGGCGCGTGCTGTTCCTGGGTTGCAAATCGTCATGCGAGCCAATGGGCTGCGTCGCCGGATCAGCCGTGTTCGCTGCCGCGGGGAAGACGGAGCCGAGCTTGGCCAGTTACCACAATTCATATTATGGAGGGATGTCATTGGTCTGCTGTATGCGCATTCGATAATGGCTTATTGGGGCCTGTTGGACTCTCAAAGCCGGCACTGCTAATACAGGGAAGCCGAGTTTCTGCCGTCTGGATGAGCTTGGAACACTTGATGGATGGGTTTCCTGGAGTTATAGCCTCTCCCAAATATCCAATACAACATCGACTTGACTTTGCAGTCACAGTCAGCTTCCCCATGGCCCATTCTTCAACTCTAATTGAACACGAGACGTCGTTGCAAAGACACCGGCCCATGCAAAAGCTGCCTACCCTATATCTCGATATGGCAAGCAAGGCATTCGTCGCTCTTATGAGCACCTCGAACTAACATCGGTTTCACATGCAATATTTGATTGAACGTACACGAATTGAAATGACATTACACAATTAGGTCTAATGAACTCGATTGAATGAATGAAGGGAATTGGGAAACCCCACTCATACATCGTCTGGGTTGAGACGTTAGTGGAGTGTCACTGCAATTTTAGCGCTTCTAGGGAAGTTCGAGTGCCGTAATCATGCGACCTGGTTGAGGCACCATTTAACACCTCTGGCACCTTTGAAGAGCCTAAATTGCACCAAAGTTAAGCTGACGAGTCAAGTTTAATATGACTTCTGTTAGGTTAACCAGGTGAGCCAAACGTATCGGATACCCCTAATATTACCACCCCAGTGCTAGTCAGGTCCAGACTCCAACAACTTCCCAACTCCCTTCTAGGAGCTAAAATTGCAGTGTAATGCAATGCGTCCCTTAACTCCCCAACTCCCCAACTCCCTGCTAAGCACTAAAATTGCAGTGAAAGACAAGTCAATTTACTTTCCAACTCCCTTTCCAGCGCTAAAATTGCAGTGAAGAAATGGATGAACTGGCCGAACCGCCTAGAGGACCAGGCACTTGGAAAACGACCCATTCTAACTCCCTTCCAAGCTCTGAGGTTGCAGTACAGACTGTCCAATGTGCAACCTCGAAAGCTAGGCCCATCATCTACACGACTCTCATTAAGACAAGCCCCATTACTAAAATTGGAGTCAGCATACTGAATTTGTCAAAGTTGGGATACTTCCTAGACCTCCCCTCTTCTTTCAGTAGCAATGTCTCGAAACCGAACCAGTATACAAGCTGATAGATCGATTAAGTGAATCTAGTATTATAGGGAAGCTAAAATTTCTCGACATGGAGAACGAGGCCATGTCTTCTACTGTGTAAAACAGGAAAAAATTTAGTCATTCTTGCAGTTCGTGTGCGTGGGATACACTGATTGCATAAAATCAAATCATGCTGAAGAACCTCTTACTCGCACAGTTAGCTCGCTTGGGTCCGGTGTCGTTTCCGCTCATTTGTTAGTGGCATATTTCTGCTTGGAGAACTGTTGCAACCCGACATCTGGTTCATAGCGTTCCCATACGATTTCCAATCACCACAGTGTAGGCCTTCATCCATCTTTACAGCATACAGAAACCGTTGAGATTGTTTGACGAATCCCATCACACAGTTCAAGCGGGGGACCATGCCAAAAAGCGAAGCCAAGCTGCGCTCAGCCATTCCAAACGAAATTGCAAGGTCCTGGTGAAGTAACGTGTGCGATAATGTAATCCTCTGAGCTGCTCTATGCTCTTTGGAGGCAGTCGATGCGTACCTATTCGGCGAGATGAAAACGGACTTTGTTTAGAGGATATCCAAGCATCACTTGGTGGCTGTGGTAACGATGCACGAGCGATAACTTGAAACGCTGCTTTAAAGGCTCTGGAGCCATGATGTACTATCTATTTACCACAGGTAACCCTCTAGTTAGATGGCAAGGCCGGGCTTTGTAAATTGCCCGACTGACCCAAGACAGCAACAAAATTGCAACGGACATCTATCATGGAAATTCTTCGCTGGAGGCAGAATCCGTCACATACTCATCTGAAACAACTTTCAGCTTCTCCTCACCGTCCTTTTTCCCAAACTCTCTCTTTTGCTCCCCTTGATATACCTGGAGCTCCTCCAGCGTGGCCACGAAGTCGGTTGCATTCACATGTCCCGCCCTGACTAAACCACGACAGACGTCGATAACATAGGTCTGGCAATTGTAGTCACCCTGGGGTTTCGGAATGGAGATGTCCTTGATAGTTTGAGTAACGGCGTCGAAATAGGTTGCGGAAATTCTGCTCAGAAAGCACAATGGGAGACACTGGGATGATCGTTGAGGGTCGCATTGCATGTAATTTGTTGTGAAGGGACCCTTGGGGTAAGTACGGGTAGCCTCATAGGTATGCCATTGGTTTCTGGATTCGTCGCAGATGGAAATGGCCCAGTGGAAGTATCTTCCGTCCTCGGGTTTGTAGACGGCGACCCAGACGGTGAGCCATTGACGAGCTGCTTGGTGGTTGTGTTGTATGCTTATGGGTTTCCCGAGTCCAGCTCGGGTGTCACTGCTATGGGCATGTGTTAGCTTCCCACGTAATAAGGGCACATGGCTATACACCTACATTATCCCTGGCATTATTAAGCATGGAACTGCCTTGGAAAGCATGGTGAGAGGTGACTCCTACTGGGAGATTCATTGGATTTATAGCAAGTTCGAGCCCAGGCCAACAGAGTAAGTGTGAAAGTGATACAGGGCCGGGGGGAAACGTGGTTCACAGAAAACGATACAAAATTCGACAAGGGAACATCCTGCGCTACAGGTCATATTTGATGATATTGGTGACTCTTTTCAATGCTATCTATAGCCTTGTTTTCGCCCAGCTAGGAGCCCGGCTCCCCGATGATGAACAAAGACGGCTGACAAGAACCACCGAGCTGTCTACTGGCCCCAATGACGGACAAGACAGAGGACGCCGGTGTGGACGGTGAGCAGGGTTGCTGAGAATAGATTGTTTCATTCTTTGTTAGTTTTGACGGCACCAACCTGGAGAGCAGGGGTTCGTTTGTCACGGGGGTCCTGAACGCGATGACCGGAAACCGCCTCCGGTGAGCAAACGGTGGCAATGTCGCAGACTGAGTCAAACCAAGAGTTGAGTTATGATAAATGCCAGAACCCAAGAAGACTTTAGGTGTGCGAAAGTTGGGCGCTTCAAGCCTACGTATCATCATTTTCGACCATCTACCTCGACACAACGTGTGTATCTCGTCACCGTTTTTGGATGGCGGGAGAATAACATGGTAATAAAACAAGCCCAAGAATACAGCACTGCATATTAAATATTTATTTCAGCAGCGACCCTTCGTACAGCGCTTCGTGTTGGGTCGCGACTAATTGCGCCCCGCTGTACTCCGTAGTTGCTCGCCAATCTCGCCACACCAGCGGAATGCGAGATCAGATCTGGAATCCACTCGAGAGCGAAAAAGAAGCGAGGGTACGCACAGCAAGTTCAAGCAACTGATAGTATGTTAGCTCGGAGGTATGGGTGCGGGTTGGCTCTTCCTTACTAGCTTCTGCTGCTTCCAATTGAGGCCATTGAAGATTGCCTGATGCAAGTAGACGAGTCCTCTTGGTGCTGACTTGAAGCCAAACTCAACTCTCATCATTTCGAGAGAAATTAGCTGAAATCATCTGCGAGTCCTCCATGATTCATCGTAGCCAACAAGGAGAAATGAGAAAATGAGAAATGCCGCCGACACTCCGGGTGATGGATAGAATCCGACCATGATTGACTTATACGTACCAGTGTAGGGCGGGGAATGTCGCTGTAAATACCCTGTAATCCGCTGCGACAGGCATGTGGGTGCGACGCGTCACGTCATTGACCCACGAGCAGCTTCCCTCTACGGAACGGCATCATGGCATCCCTCCGGCCGTCAGCACAAGCACTCACTGCCTGCAAGCTCCCTCAACCACCGCCAGCAACCCGTCCGAAGCTGTCGCGCATCATCCCGCCGATCGAATCCTCCCACAGCATCTAACCGCCCGCTAACTTACGCCCTGGAAGGACATTGCCCGTAAGCATCTAGACCTAGATAGCTTCAGTCCCGAGAGCTCCGCTACAGCTCCATCCCACCACCGATCGCAATGGCCACCACGACTACAAACAATGTCGGCGACAAGTCCTCCGGCCTGTTCTCGTACGCCCAGAGCTCTCTCGACCGCGTCGTGTCTCCGTCGTCTCGCCAGCGCGCCTACGACAGTACCGCCGAGTTCGCGTCGGCCCGACCCATTCTCTTCGTACGCCCTCCCTTCGATTCCATCGCACACATCGACACCAAAGCTAACATCGTCTCCAGTCCTTCATCGTAGCCCAGCTGCTATTCTCGTTCCTCCCCGTCCTCCTCTTCGCCACCTTCTCCCTCTCCACCGTCGCCTTTTCGCTCGGCGCCGCGCTCGTCTTCGCCCTTTTCTGGATCGGCGTGGCCTTCATGGTGCTCATGCCCGCCCTGCTCCTGACCTCCTCCGTCGCCGTCCTCATCTGGGGCTGGGCCGTCGGAAGCTTTCTCGTCGCCCGATGGCTGTATAACCACGCGCCCATTGGGAACTACGAGGACAAGAGTGTGGGCGTTGCGAAGAAGTAGGGGACTTTGGGTGTCGCAAACGGATGGTGTGCGCATCATGAGCGTCAAGAAATGTCGGAATTGTTGGGTGGGATGGCGTAGGAGGATATGGATGGAATGGCTTTGCTTGGACGATTACGACTGCCGGTTATGGTATGGGATACCCAGGGAGTCTTGACGGGTTTCGTCCAACCTGGTTTGGCTGGCTACTTTACGGATTGATCAAAAGGGATGGGATCCTGGGAACGTGCTTGACGATTCTCTTCTGGAACGATGGATGACTGCGAATAATTACGACTCAAGGTTCTCTTCATCATTGTGCTGTCTCCCGTTGCGCTCAACTGCTGCCATGTAATTTGGACCCGTCTTAACTCGTATGAAAATCCGAGCGTGTTGCTTGGCATTGTCATCACGGAGGAAACGAAAATAAGTGAATACCAACCAGTCATCGCAGTATTCTATTCCTCATTATGAGGCCGACCCTCCCTCGTCTATCCGCCAACCCGTACGGTGATACATTACAAATACAGACCCTCCGGCTCGCCCTCCTGTTTCGTGCGGAGCACTCTCTCACGCGCTGACCGGAAATCCGCCATCTGTACCCGCATGCGGCGTTCTCGGAGCGCCAACAGACCGGCCTCAGAGCAGATGGCCTTGATGTCGGCACCCGAGAGGTCGTCCTTCTGCGAGATGAACTCCTCCAGGTCGACGTCTTCGTTGAGGCTCATCTTGGATGTGTGCAGAGTAAAGATCTTTCGCTTCGTCATCTGGTCGGGGTTCTCGAACAGGATCTTTCGGTCGATACGTCCGGGTCGGATCAGGGCAGGGTCTAGACTCTCGATCTTGTTGGTAGCCATAATGACCTTAACGTCGCCTCGGTCGTCGAAACCGTCGAGCTGGTTCAGAAGCTCCAGCATGGTTCGCTGGACTTCTCGCTCACCGCCCGAGGTGGACTCGTATCGCTTCGTACCAATGGCATCGATTTCGTCGATGAAGACGATGGAAGGCGCGTTTTCACCCGCAACCTAGGCCGTTAGTACAGTTGTGAGGGGTATGACGGAATGGCTTACCTGGAAGAGCTGTCGCACAAGTCGAGGACCGTCACCGAGGTACTTCTGGATCAACTCACTACCCACAATACGCAGGAAAGTGGCAGAGGTCTGGTTGGCGACGGCCTTGGCAAGCAGCGTCTTTCCGGTTCCGGGAGCACCGTAGAGAATGACACCCTTCGGAGGCTTGATACCCATCTCCTCGTAGAGCTCGGGATGGAGAAGTGGCAACTCTACCGACTCCCTGACTTCTTGAATCTGCTGCTCCAGACCACCAATATCGGCATATGACTCCGTGGGTGCCTTGTCGAGCTTCATCACGCTGACGATGGGATCGGCATCGTCCGTCAACACACCAACGATGCTCACGCTCTTGTGGTGCAACAAGACACTGGCACCGGGCTCGAGGAGATCCTTGTCGACGAAGCTCATGATGCTAACGTAGTACTCAGGCCCTGTCGTGCTACTGACGATGGCATGGTCGTCGTCGATCAACTCCTCCAAAGTTCCAACTCCCATGGGGCTTCCACGCATGTCATCGACACGGCCACGCTCGTCGGCTAACCGGTCGGCGTCGGCCTCGGGGCCAGCCACAGCTCCCTCCTTGGCGGCCTTGGCTTTACGCAGGCGCTCCTGGTTCTCGACGTACTCTTCCTCGAGCAAAAGGTGATCGTGGATTCGCTGCATTCGGAGGAGGCGGAGCTTGCATCGGCTGGTAGGGAAGACGGCGGGAAGCTTGGCGGCGGCGCTGGTACCGCCAGCCTTTCTCTTCTTGCGACCGACTCGGGTCGTAGGTCGTGGCGGAGGCTCGTACTTGGGCTTATCCTTCTGTGGAAGGTGTTAGAGTGCTGGAATAGTGAGTTGCAGGTGCAATTCGCTTGCCTTCTTGTCCTTATCCTCTCTCCCATCTCCCCCCATGCCAGATTGTCCTTGACCCTAAAGCTGGTGTCAACAACTGTAGTACTGCGGATCCAACCTGGGAAGCTTACCATCTTGTCTGGCCAAGCTCTACGAGCTTAGTTTGTGTGAGTTCTGGATGAAGCGATGGCGTGCAGTCGGATAGATTTCGGTGGTGGTGGTGAAGGGTGGCTGGATGTTGATAGAAGGATGTGGTTGAGTGTAGGCGAGCTTAGTGATGGCGAAGGCGAGGCACTCGATCAGGCGCCAGGGAAACACGACAGCTCCCCGGCGGGTCACGTGCTGGGCCTGCCTCTGACTGCACGTGACCTGTCCCTTCGCAGCTTGAAACCCGTCCTTAGGATGACATATAAACCGAAACATGGCCTAGGAAATGATGATTCGCACTAAATCCAACACCAATGATACTCCGTAGCTGGATTGCAAATTGGTGACGACATGGGAGATTGACGTGTTGATGATACCGCAACCTCCCAAGCCACGTCCAACATCAGCCTCGCAACTGAATGCCAAATCCGGAACTACGCTCAGAGCTTGCACCAATACGACCGTGCCACAACCCGGTGAAGAAGAACAAAAGCCACTAATCGGTGAAATGGATACGATCGCGGAGTTTCCTAATCTCCCAAATGTCACTGCCAGGATGGTCAAGGCCGGGCTGTGGAATCAGTGCCAGAGATCGGCATGTGCATCATGTGATCAGGCAATATCATGTACGGTTTCGAGCTCTCAGTCTGCCCTGGCCATCTGGCCTCGGATTCTGCAGCTCCGAAACTGAAGGGCTTTCCCAAGGCATGCGGTGTGATCAGCGCTGAGTGCCCTGCATCACCAGTAAGCACGCCGGTGCTGGCTCCGCCGACGGCCTGGAGCCGATAGATGGCCCGCCAAACCCATTCGTCATCGCCAGCTCATAGTACCGCAGCCTGTTCACTCGGCACACCCTCTATCAACCTGAGCAAAGCCCTCCCCACCGGGCCTGCAGAACGTACGTCGGACCCGACCAAGAACCGTGTGGCGGCTCTGCTCGTTGCAACCTCCTCCGCGGACCGGCCGCTCGCCCATCCCAGGGTGGCAGAGCCCATCCCAGGGTGCCAGGAGAGGACAGCGCCGCGCCGACCAGCTGGACGTCGCCCCCCGCAGCACGCTAGAGGTTAGCGCCCTTCCAGGTGCATCAGCCGCCGGGATGTGCGAGTTGGAGGGTTGCAGCCTGGGCACTTCCCCAGTAAACGGCACTGAAGTGATGGTGTAGGCGGGCGGCGGGCGTCAGGACCCCTCCATCGGTCTCTCGACAGTGAGCGTCAGAGCCTAACGAGCAGCCTGTGCCACCACCAATCATGACCGATTAGTGTCTGGCTGCAGCTAATCCATGCCACCCACGACGCCTCGACACAAACTAAAGCTTACCACCAACCGCGGCCAGGATCCGTTTCTCCTCTCTTCCTTCCTTCATAATCACCACCGCAGCCAGCACGACCCACCAGCTGCTACAGCATTAACTAACCGGCTTCGAACATCGACATATTCCTCTCCTGACCATCCTCAACCTCAAATCACCACCCCGAATCATCACTCCAAACCGCCACCCCGCACCGCTCCCATCGGTCAAAGAACGTCAACATGTCTGCCGCCAGTAGTCGAGTACGCCGTCTGGCGAAAGAGCTCAGCGACATCCAGGCCGACCGTGATAACTCGGGCGTTTATGCGACGACCGTCATGGACGACGATGTGACGCACCTCAAGGGCACCTTTCCTGGCCCTCCCGACACACCCTACGCCGGCGGCACGTTCCAGGTCGACATCCAGATCCCTTCCAACTACCCCTTCAAGTCCCCGACAATCAAATTCGACACCAAGATCTGGCACCCCAACGTCAGCAGCCAGACTGTACGTCACCCTGCCTCCACCTCTGCCTAGAGATGGAGAAAAAGCCTTCTGGGCTGGTGACTGACTGAACTGTGTTACTAGGGCGCCATCTGTCTCGACACCCTCGGCTCCGGTTGGTCTCCCGTCCAGACCATCAAGACTGCCCTTCTCTCGCTCCGCATGCTTCTCGAGTTCCCCAACCCCAAGGACCCGCAAGATGCCGAGGTTGCCAAGATGATGCTCGACAACCCCGAAGGGTTCGCTATCAAAGCCCACGAATGGGCTGTGAAGCACGCCGGTGCCTCGCAGAACCCCGTCGATCTGAGCAAGTGGAAGAACGATGACAAGGCAGGCGGGGTGGCCAACGACGATAATAGGTATGTCTCCTGCGGATGTGGACTTGAGTGTCGTTTCCTTGACCTCTCACAATGCGTTGTGTTGCATTGTACAGTTGGCTGACAGGTGGTGGGGTATCAGATACATGGGATACAACAGAGACCTCGTTGACCGCTTTGTCAACATGGGATTCGACGTCGAGGCTGTCGTCGATGCCTTTGGTTTTGTAGGCATCGACCGGAACGGCGGTCAAGATTACGAGCTTGAGGAAGCCTATATGGGAGACATCACCGCTCGTCTCCTGGGCGAGCAATAAGCACCAGACCCAATATTGACACACAACACAAGCTACGACTTAAGCACGAGCAGCAGGAAATCGCAGCGGGAGAGCAAGGCTTTGAACTTGCTAGGACATGACACCGTATGCATGGGACGGGAGTTTATTTTGCGCATTAGAAGGGGCTTTTAGGAACCTTTAGGAACCTTGGTGGCTACCAACTGTACATCTAGCCTGGTACGCAAGGAGGGAACATGAGGTTAAGGAGGATGGATACTGGATTGGTCTTGCATGAGACCATGAATGGATTCCTTTCTAGGAAGGGGGACATTTTACGACTGGGCGTTTCAATGGATATCCCACATCTTTCAGGTAGAATCGGATAAGCGTTATAGGTCTGCAAAGCGCACACAAACACACCAGGAAGCTCTCGTTGCTCTATGATACTTTTGACGCCTCTCTCTTTCATTCCACTCCGTGGTATGGCCAAACCCGCTCACAGTGGTTTAAATAAGACCTTGTATGGCGTATACGGGGATATACACGCGCCCAAATAAGTTGGCGTTACACAATCCAGCGTCCGCGCCAGCCAGACCAATCCTTGTTCTATCAGGTTACGTACGGAAATCATGGAACAAATGCAACCAGCCCTCCGTGAGCAGTCCTCGGCACCCGACCGGACTATAATAAGCTCACTCGATCCCGAGCATGGCCTCTCTCTCCCCCGCCGGACTGTCCAAGGGACGAGTCATGAAAACAAGGAAACGGATGATTAAGTTACAGAAGATCTCGGCGGACGAACTCCTCGTAGAGAGCCTTTCCGAGGCTGGCGGGGGAGCGCTCGACGATGACGCCGGCGTCCTCGAGAGCCTTGATCTTGGTGTCGGCACCACCCTTGCCGCCGGAGACGATGGCACCGGCGTGGCCCATTCGTCGGCCGGGGGGAGCGGAGATACCGGCGATGAAGCTGACGACGGGCTTGCCGCCACCAACGGTGTTGGCCGACTTGAGGAATTCGGCGGCGTCCTCCTCGGCGGAACCACCAATCTCACCAATCATGATGATACCGTCGGTGTCAGGGTCTTCGGTGAAGACCTTGAGGCAGTCGATGAAGTTGGTGCCGCTGAAGGGGTCACCGCCGATTCCGACGACCAGGGACTGACCGAGACCAGCCTGGGTGGTCTGGTTGACGGCCTCGTAGGTCAGGGTACCGGATCGAGAGACGATACCGATGCGGCCGCGCTTGTGGATGAAGCCAGGCATGATACCGATCTTGCACTGGCCGGGGGCGATGATACCGGGGCAGTTGGGGCCGACGAGGCGGGTCTTGGACTGGGTCTTGAGCATGTCGGTGATGCGAACCATGTCTAAAGAGGGGCTAGATTAGAGGACGAAATCCGTCTGAGCTGGGGAATTCGGAACGTACCATGCTGAGGGATACCCTCAGTAATGCAGACGACGAGAGGAATCTCGGCCTGGAGGGCCTCCTCGATACCGGCAGCAGCCAGAGGAGGACTGGTTAATGTTAGTCGTGCTTCACCCCTGACGGGCATTGGATGTCCGGGACATACGGGACGAAGAGAGCGGTGGCGGTAGCGCCGGTCTCCTGGACGGCGTCGTAGACGTTCTTGAAGACGGGGAGGTCGAGGTGAGTCTGGCCGGCCTTCTTGGGGTTTGTTCCACCGACGACCTTGGTTCCTATCCAACATATCAGCCTCAAATGCCACCCCTGTCACATGCATCATGACATGTGTCGCAACATGGATGCGGTCTGGCTCGTACCGTATTCGATGGCTTGTTGCGCGTGGAAGCTGGGCCCTGGGGTCAGTTTCTGGACGTCGAGAACCCTCCAAGAACGTGGTAAAAACTCACGTTCCCTGCTTTCCAGTGAAACCCTGGAAGATGACCTTGGTATCGCTGTTGATGCGCAGGTTGTTGATGGTCTGCGAGTAGGGCGACGAGCTGTAGGCGCGGCGGGCGACGCTGCGCAGCGACGAGGCGCGAGCGGCGGATCTGGAGACGGACTGCATGATGGCTGTTCGGAGGAGGAAGGGCTAGAGGAGCAGAGAAGGCTTCAGGACCAGGATCGGATCTTGAAGCTCAAAGGGGCGGCGTGGAGTGGAGGTTTTGTTGGGCCAGAGGAGCTTGCAAGCGAAGCGGAAGGGAAAACGTCGATGACACCCAGGAGCTTTGGGAGGTTCGTACCAAGATTGTCCCGTGCCAAGCCTTACCGAAAAGGGATGCCCTGGAAGAGCCCTGCGCTACGGAAGGTCACGGAGAACGTTGTGCCGAGAGTCGGCAGCGCGGGTACTATTGTTCCGACCGTTGCCGCCTGGAGGTTCTGGAGAGGCGCTGGAACCTGCTGCAGCTGCTTGCCCGTCTCGGCGACGCCTCGGCGCCAGAGGGCCACTCAGCGGACCACTCAGCGGACTATTTTAGAGGGTCGTTACGTATTAGAGGGCTTTTAGAGGGTCTTCGAGGGTCTCTGAGGGACACTGCATGTCCGCTGCAGGGCTTCTAGAGGGACAACCGTGGACAACCATGGCCCTGGCCCTCCCTGACTTGCGGCTAATCACGGGTTCTCGGTGAAGATGTGCGTCATGTTCTAAATGCTTTTCCAGCTATCTGGCAGGCCACTGCTGCGCTTAGTGCGTTGCACACTCCTCACCGTTTGACGCTCAATTTCTGCACACATCTGCCCAAAAGTTTTTGTGCCATGAAGTTGAGCTGCGTGGGATTCACCGCATTGCAGAGAACCCTCACACCAACACATCGGCAAAGAAATACCGGCATTCTTTCTTGTCCTGACGGTTCAACCCGATGAATTTTTTTCTTTGCCCCTCGGAGGGGACGGAAGTGATCCTCCACAGCAACAACCAATGCCGTCAAACGTTCCGGACTTTAAGTGCCGGCGAGAACACCATCACGATAATCGGGCTTGATTCACCGGCCCTGACCGAGGCACCGCGGGTTTTGGGGCTTTGCGGCACTGCGCTTTGCCAATGCTCGCCTGCGAAATATCAGGTGCCTCGGTTCGGCCCCTTTCATTGGCTCGCCGAAAAAACGCACCCTTTCCCTTTCGCCAGGGATTGCATTTGCACGGGCTTTATCAACGCCGCCGAAAGGAGTGTTCCGCACAGGGATACTGATAAATATCTGAAGATGCCTTGGCCTGGCTTCTGCAGGCCGGGCAAACATATAACGTGATGTTGGCAGCTAGCTACACCCATTGGCCTCCAGCATCGGTCCATGGCTATCACGGAGTGCTGCCGCTCTCCACTTGGACCACACAAAGGCGGTCCTGTCGTCAATCCTTGCCAATGTGCAAGGGATAACATCGTAGGGTAGGCCTACTATCTCCAGGACCTGACAGAATTCGCGGTGAACGCCAATCCAGTCGTCTCTGTCTTGGGGCATGAGCCTCACGCCATCATCTACAAGCCAGTTGGTGCCGGCCTCGCACACCAAGATCAACGACGTTGACATTCTCCATCGTAGCTCTTGCCAAGCGGTACTTGCTAACATGGCATCTGCCGTTTCGTGCCCTAAATAGCGCTGAGCGTATACAATGGGGTCCAGTCCAGAGCGGTCCGAGATGATCCACTGCTGGTCTCGTAAGGCCGCCCGCTCCGCATCCCGTTGAGTTTCTAAGATGAGCGTCTGCAGCGCTAAGCAGCGGTCAGGCGACGAGGTGATATCGGCCGCTGTAAATTTGTGCACCCTCTGGACAGAACGTGCGACTTCTTCAACAATTGTAGGAGGTGAGATATCTGAAGTGGTCTTGAAAGAGGATCTCAAGGCGTTGACCAGGGTCGTCTTGCCAGTGCACTGAGCACCGATAATGTATACATTTGTTGGCGGCATGGTGTGATGAACTTGAGTTGCCTCTCTCGCGACAAAATCAACAGATAATACCCATGCAATGATGCTCCTTTAAATTGATATGGTTGTTAGCTACGCTTATCTTTCAGGCCTTTGCATATTTTCCTTGTAGTACCGACACAACGTCGTGAGTGACGAGATGTAACAGTGTTCACGAATAATTGCACTGTACAATCAGGCTTGGTGTAAGACCTTAATTCATTGCCTATTCGAACTTCATGTAAGCTATGGCTTGTGCGTTATTCACTCGCTCGCGCAGATAGCGAAGATAAATTTATGATGCACATACGTCAAACATCAATTATTGCTCAACAGAAAGTGTCGAACCATCGACTACTATAATCAGCGCGATTCCTCCTCACCAGGCAATCTCACATAATGGTAAACCTCAAATCATTCGAACATGAACTCAATAACAGGATTTCTGTGAGTGAGAAAGAAAGGATTCGAGGTTTCAGGTCTTCCCAGTTATGAGTCACTGAACAGTGAGCGTTTCATCAAGATGACCATTCTCAGGGCTCTTGCCATCACCTGTTCCTTCGACTAATGCCCGATCAATGTATTCGTGTTATCAATGATTATCTGGACTGATGTTTATAGGCCTGATTCTCATAGTTTGGCCTCCGTCGTGGCTTACGCTGCCGCCCAGTTGCTGATACCAATCGAATCATACAGCCAACCACCGACTGAGAACGCTCTGAGTATATGATTTGACTTCTTCGTGCTGTTGTTATCCCAGGAGTGTACTTCGAGTTCTACGGCCGGTGACAGTCAACTCAAACCTCGGACGTCCTTTTTCTGCGCGGCATTCCAAATTAGATACCCAGGATATAAATCCGCCGTGAGTGCGGAGTTAAATATGAAGAGAGGAAAGCCCTGGCTTAAACTTAAGGAGTCCGTAAAAAAGTTTACTGGTGGGCAAGACTCGTCCTTTGGCGCGGTTGACTACTCTGAAGTATTTCCCCAAGCTGTTCCCTTAACAAGAGGTTAGGGTACCCTAGTACACAGACCCAGAGGGCGGACTAGAAGCTCAGCAGTAAAGAAAACACCAACAATATTATCATAATAACCGTTCCCTATACCAGCAACGAACCGTTCTAGTTAGTGCTCATCAGCAGTTGTGACCGATAGTCAAGCGACTCACAGTCCCGTTGAATTTTGATATCCGGCTATTTGAGAGATTGTATACCTCTGCGGTTACAGGCGCAGGAGTCGCGAAGTTTATTTTGGAGAAACAGTATTGGATGTATTCGCCCATCTGTGGCTTTCCTGCCAGATAATCTTAGGACCAAAGACTGGATTTGAGTATGCAAGCCGAGAACATGCCTGTTCCACTTTCCGGTTTTCCTGGGCCGGATTCGTCGTCTTTTATTTCAACTCATAGCATACAGTCAACAATCCCTCATCAACATTCAAGAGTGGTGTTTATGGGTGCTCCAGGTCAGATGATATTAGCTTCCAGTGGGCGCTCCTGTGCACTGTGGTTTCCACACTCCTTTGCGCAAATCTCACCAACAAAAAGAATTCGAAGGCTACCAATAAGGTGAAGGCCAATCACCGCTAATAGCAGTTCTAACTCTTTACTTACATCCGGCGGAAAGTCTAAAATCTGGTGGTGCTGAGATCGCCAACGTTCAAGTGTCAACAGTTCACGGTTTTCAAGACAGCGCAGCGGACATGACGATCTTTGTGGCGGTCTGACGCAATGAGACCCTTGAAATTGGAATTGGAATAATCTTTGTTCCTATTCACACATCCACACCATTGCTGACTCGAGGAACGCACCCTGACCTGAAGTACAGTGATGGACTGCTGAAATGGCTAGATAAATAGCCCTCGATCTCTTCCCTCTTCTTCCTCTTTCTCCCTCTTTCAATAAAAACCGAGCGACTCCAAAATCGACTACACTAAAAGATCATTGTTCTACCATATCCCTATATCCAAAACGACCATGTCCTCAAAGGAGTCCAAAGACCCGGTGGCAGAGATTTGGGAGCGGCGAGGAGTGCGGGTTGGCACAGCTCAGCAGAAGCTAGATGTTTTGAAAGAAGAGCTGGGAAACTACTCCGGCCGAGAGATGGGAAAAATCTTAGCTGAAATCAATTTGCTAGAATTCGTAATCAAGTCCCTCCTTCGTCCTGAGCCCACCGAGGCCAAAGACTCCAAAGACGTTAAAGACTCCAAAGACCCCAAAGACCTCAAGCGCAAAGACCCCAAGCGCAAAAATAGTTTGGTTGATGATCTACGTGAATGTAATTACTATCCCTTTGAGTACCCGAGGCTCATGCTAAGTTGTAGCAGGGTGGGAGGATAATTGAACAGTAATTGTGGTATGTCTCTTTATATTAAAAGTAGGTGGCTATGGAAGGTAAGTCAAATTTGTTAAGATACGTCACAATATTACCTTGCGAATAGCTTAGAAAATTTTACTGTATTTATACTTAATATTGGTACTGTATGTTTATTATTTGCCAATACTGCACGACTTTAATCTATGTGAAGATATTGAGTATAGCTAATAAAAGAACACCCAAATAATATTATATATCTAATCTATGAGTTTCCAGTAAGCCTCGGAATTTGAAAATAGATGTATCTATTTTTGGGGATTTATCTACTTCCAGTAAGGTATTAAAATAAGACTTACACACGCATATCCAATCTGGGTAGGTTTGAGGAGGCATGAGGCTGCAAAGCTGGCGTGGGGTATATTGTTTATCAAGCTGGGCTTACATAAATGCCATGCACCTAATGGATGCGAACAATAATGTTTTCCTGGGCTTAATTCCAATTAGGATCGTATTAGAGATGAAAAGAGAGTATAAAAATATGAAGTAAGCTCAATGGTAGCTGTAAAAGAGACAATATGTCAGCTTTCTGGGGCGTCATTCCACATGAAAAGCTCAGATGAACCGGGGTTAATGGCTCTGATGCGTTTAATGCGTGGGATTCGATGCGTTTTTGGTTTCATATTCATCACATGGAAGATGTCGTGCTCCAAATGCGGAAATCCTGACATGGCATGACGTTGACGATTTCCATCATGTGAGACCCTCGGATCATTTAGCGCTTCGAGACACTGTAAATCACGAGCCGCGTGCTTATCGCGCCGTCGCAAATAACAATCCCCCTTCACAACCAACGCGCAAACGGCCCGCTCGCCTCTCGTCTGCTCCCAGCCGACCCCTGCAAAGCCTAAATATCCTTAAAAGAACTGTATTCTGAGTCTATCTAAGGGATTACTGGCGGTGGCGACATGGCCGACGCTGGCCACGCTTCAGGCGCCCTTGGCGATGAGGTGGAATCTGATGGCGCTGTCAGCCCGCGACACCGCAGCCCACGTCCAAGGCGGAGAAGTGCCGTAGGCCCTGTCCTTGGCCTGCTGCTTCTTGTCAATCTGTCTATGAGTCTCTACCAGCTTCCCCTCAACCGGGTTATTGAGAGGCGGTTATGTCGGGAATACTACGCCAGTACCGACCCCAAGCTCATCGGACCGGGCGGAAGCGTTGATGAGGACCTATGCAAAGTCGACTCGGTTCAGACGAGCCTAGGCTGGATCCAGGGCGTGATGGACACTATTTGGATTGGTGGAGGTGAGTTCAAGCTATGCGCTTCCTAATATGAACCTCTCTGATGCGATCCAGACTTTGCCATGACCATTCCCCTCAGCTTCCTGGCAGAGAAATGGGGTCGCCGCACAGTTCTCCGCCTCAACCTGGTGTCCCGGGTGTTTATGCTGTCATGGGCCGTCATTGTCGGCTATTTTGATCAGCTGCTACCAACCAAGGCCATTATCGTTGGCCCGACCCTCTCGGTCTTGGGTGGAGATTGCGTCTTCAACTCCATCACGTATGCTCTCGCCTCCGACCTCACCGACGACCACGTCACGCGGGCCATTTACTTTGGCTATATGAGCGCCGTCTCATACGTCGTTGCTTTGCTTGGTCCGGCGTTGGCCTCTGCTACGATGACTGCCTTGCTCTGGCTGCCGTTCTGGCTTGGGCTAATCCTGCTCTTGCTTGCCGTTCCTACCATCCTCATGCTCCCATCATCTACAGAATCCTTGGATAGCGAGCCCATTCCGGACGAGGAGCAAAGAGCACCTCTCTTGTCGTCCCCACTTCTCAAGGCGCAGGATGCCCAGCCATCCCTACTCAACTCCACGGTCCAGCGGTTTCGCACTCTCCATACCATCGTCACAAGCCACCCCAGAAACTTTTCATTACTGCTCATCAGTTTTCTCCTCACGTCGCTCGCCAGCTCCGACACTAAGCTGCTCGTCCAGTACATCTCCAAGAGATATCGTTGGACTTTCGCTTCGGCTGGCTACTTGCTTTCGGGTAAAGCCGTTGTAAACTTCACCCTACTCACCGTCATCATCCCCAAATTCCTGCTGTCAAGACGTGTTACCAGAGGCTCCATCTCGAGGGTCGAAAGTGCGGACAGCGCAAATGTTCGATACGCTAGCGTCTGCCTCATCGTCTCCGTGCTTGGCGCGCTGGGGATCGCCGTCGCTGCGGAGATATGGATGCTAATCCCGTGCCTCTTTCTGTACGCTCTCGGATCTGCCCTTCCAATCTTCACCCTCTCACTGCTCAAATCGCCAGCGGTATCGCCGCCGCATGGCAAGGGCCACGACGACGCGACGAATCCTGACACCCACATCTTCTCCATCGTCATGCTTGTCAAAACTGTTGGGTCTCTTCTTGGAGCACCGACCATGGCGGCGCTGTGGGTGCGTGGCATTGGGATTGGGGGCCTTGCGCTTGGCATGCCGTACTTCGTCAGTTCGGCTTGCTACGCGGTAGCCTTGGGGGTATTTTCAGGTATCAAAGTTGAGTGATTTACTCAGTGGCAAGTATTGTAGTCCAGACGAATATACAAAGTTACCTCTTGCCAGTTGTCTTTTTCGTGAAAAAAAAACGGGTATACTGACAATGAATGTGGACATCGCAGTGGCGGAGCATGTCCTTCAATCTTGTCAGGCAGCACGATTGTGTTTCGGTGTGAGGCCTGCTGACGTGGATTATTCCCGCGCTGCATGTCAGATACTACCACATCCTTACAACATTGATGAGAATATAGGTATTGGTGCAACGGCACATTCCAGCTGCCCTCGCCATATTTCTCTACACTTAGGCTATCGCAATGTCCGCACTCGAGCCTACAGTACTATGCACCACCTGCACTGGCATCTTCACCGGCAGGTGGGACACCCAGCTGAGGGGATGGAAGAGAGACAGCCGCAAGCCGATAACTCCATTCAACCAAGAACCGGCTTTTGGGACAGCTTACGAGCACGGCATGGAGCCGTACGTCCATGCACAGGCTGCCACTGCGACGCTGTCGTATCCCCACCATACCGTCGCTGAGCTGCGGGTGTCTGCGGCCAACTGCCCGCTGTGTAGGATCGTCGAGCTGTTCTTTGACGCACCAGACGGGCTAGACAACGCCCTCACCGACTACATGGACGGCCGAAAGCCGGTGGGAAAGGACCGATGGAATGACGAAGAAATCGAATCAGCCAAGGGATATGTGTTCATGTATACGGAGAGAGGCAAACAGAGCAAGTTGATCTTTCGGTATCATGTACACGAGCACTGGGAAGCCACCAGACACAAGGATGTTAACCGCACCATTGGGGAGCGGGAGGGCAATCTAAAGGACGTGAAGTTGGAAATGTATGGTATGTACTCGACTTGACAGTGATATTGAGTGATTTCTGACAATTCCGACTGGAAAGACCTGGCAGACGACAAGAACAAGTGCCTCGTGGATTGGACCACCAAAGGAACTACGCTTGAGAGAATATCCAAGTGGCTCGAAGAGGATGTCGATTTGGAGAAACATTTACCTCAGCACCATCCAAGGCAACTGCCCACGCGCCTTCTTCATCTGACCAAGGGCGCATCGGATCCGAGCGTGCAGCTGGTTAACTCCAAGGACACTGCCATGGACGTGAATACGCGATATATCGCGCTCAGTCATAGCTGGGGGAAGTCCATGCCTATCACACTGATTGAAAGTCGCCTTGCCGAATTCTCCACCATGGGCATTGCATTTGGGGACCTACCACGGACCTTCCAAGATGCAGCGAAACTTGCTCTTGATCTCGGCTACGAGTATATCTGGATAGACTCACTCTGTATCATCCAGGACTCTCCTTCGGACTGGCTGCACGAGGCTCAGAGGATGGCAACTGTGTACACATTTAGCCACCTCACCATTGCGGCTTCAGCCTCGACCAGCACTACGACTGGGCTTTCCCCTGTCAACCCCAGACCTCGGACAGTAATTGTTCGTCCAACCTGGCTCGGTATGATTAATGGATTCGGAGTGAATCCACAGCAGACACTGAGAATTGACGATGGATTGTTTACTCGGTTCTTCCACGCCATAACCACAGCGCCCCTAAACTCACGAGGCTGGACATACCAGGAATACGCACTATCGCCGCGGGTCCTGCACTGTGCGGAGGGTGAATGGTGGTGGGATAGCATCTCTTCTCCAGGCATTCACCGCGAATCTTCGACGGAGCCACAGCGCTGGTATACTGGCCCTATATCCATTTCCTGGCCAGATAGTCGCAGTTTATACGACGTGAAGCCGCGGACTCATCCGCCTATCCAGGGAGCATTGATTTGGGACCGTTTTGTAAGCCAATACAACCAACGAGCGCTTACCAAGAGGCGAGACAAGATGGTCGCGTTTGGCGCAGTGACAGAGATATTTGGAAGGGTGTACAATCTACCGGTTGGAGAGCAGAATGAGTACGTTGCTGGGTTATGGAAGAGCTATTTGCCGCTTGGTTTGCAATGGACTGTGGCGGAGCGAGCAGAGCGTTACACCATTCAGCCCGGTGAAGAGGACGAGAAATACGTCATTCCCTCATGGTCATGGGCGTCTGTCAATGGGCTTGTTCGTTTTAGCGACAGGAAAGTCTTGAAAAATGAACGAGCAAAGATGATTGAGGGAATGCCAAAAGTCGTGGACGTCGTTGTCACCACCGAAGGCGGCCCGTTTGGTCCAGTCCTGGGAGGCTTCATCGTACTTCACGGCCCCTTGTTCCGGATTCGCGTGAACAAAGAGACGAGAACGATCCAAAATGGCGCTTGGTTCCGTGGCTTTAAGTTTCTGACGACCGACGACTCAGTCGTGGAGACCAGTATGGGGCAGTCGTTGTGCCTAGATAGTTGGGTTGGGGCGGTTGAGACCTGGGCAACTGACCGAAACATGTATTGCGCCATCGTGGATGAGGACTTAGAGAGCGGTTCGGATGTATTTGCGGTCTTGATGGAGAGAGTTGAGGGACAAGAACGGGGTCTCTACAAAAGGATTGGCTCAACCATCGTGGACCGTAGCAGCTCTGGGATTCTTGAAAAAGCTACAGAGGGCGACAGAAAGGTTTTGAAGGAAGAGGAGTATATGGACATGGATGAGAAAACAGGGCATTGCACCTACAAGATTGTTTAGGGCAATGTATAATGGTGTTGTTCTCTCACCCGGTCCAACTCCCAAGACAGGGAAGGGTCCAGTACAATTGAACATCCGCAAAGAGGAAATATAGTGGCTGATTGTGCTTAGATTGTGATTAAATGACTTTGGCCGCCCATTTAAGGTGCAGAATAGCCGGTAGACCAATCGAGACGTAAACATAATATAGGAGGCTATCACCAGTGACATGACATATGACCTCTTGTTATTGACAGCACTTGAATAGCTGGCATGTTTTAGACAGCGAGACAAGGCTGTTGTTACGAAATTGCCGTATGCGGACCGCTTGATAACTCTTGTAAAAGTGCATTCCATTCCACCTGGAATAGGTGGGATGTTGTCTCATAGGAAAACGAGTAGGCCCTCTCCATTGGTGGTGCTCGTGGGGTACATTGACTATTTCTTGGCCGCTACAAGACTCTTGGCGTTGTGATCGGACCTTTCGATATTGTTGGAGCCTTAGTTTGGCACTAGAAGTGAACCCAAGATGTGATCCGCTATGAGAATTCCGAAATAGAAGCAGCGTATAAGGAGGTAAAAGTCTCTTCGGTTTTCTCTTTATAACATGTCTCAATATAATTCTAGCCATAAGGCTCCAGTACACTAGATTATTTCCCATTCTTTTGCCCGCCTCTCTGGCCACTGCTGCTCCAGCTGCAAAAACAGAGAATATGGGCGGAATCAGTCGCATGGACATGTCGTCTATGTTTGATCGCAGCACTTCGATTTCGGCTATTGTTATCCCCGAAGGAACCTACCGAGGCAATGTTACAAAGAAGCCAGCAACGGTCTGTCGTTTTGGACCGGCAATCTGGACCACAAGCTTGGGGAACTTGGGATACGGGACTAGCCTGAATTTAAGTTGCACGGCATTTGGCCAGGCAATTGAGGGCAACCCGTTCGTTAACCTCGCTTCCTTGCATATTTGGTAATCTGCTAACGACCCTACAGGACTTGGTACCAAACCCGATTCGGCGGAAAGATATGCTATGTATTAACAACATACATTACCTACGATGGTAATATGCTATGTTCTCTTTTTGTAGCTGTCTGAACTGAAGCTAACCTTATTGTTCCTAGCTTCAGTTGTGGGGATGATTGGATCTTATTTGAATTGTGCCATTCTCCTCTCATGTATCATCTCTCATCTTTGCCCTGATATTTGAGGTTTCAAGTCAAAATTAGGTCAGTAGGTGATAGTTACACGGGATGCCAACAGCCTTCAAGCTCACAGAGCACTATCTAAAGAGAGAATTTAACAGGTATACGATTCACTTAAGAGTCTGAAATTAGTTTACTACTTTAGTTCGAGTGCATTAGGCACACACCAAGTAAGCTTGAACCTATAAGTTGGGCTTGGGGCTGTTAATGAGTGCGATAAGAATGTCTGATCAAATGAAACAGCACATAGAGATGGGATCAGCTTAGTTCCAAAACATGGGTTTTTATAAAAGCGAAACAGAGGACGACCGCGCTGCCTGCAGGCGTTGCGACCTTCAGCTTCTAACTTCGAGTTCGATTTGGTACGAGTTCCTCACACAATGAGGGCCGCGTTTCCCTTTGTACGTTCCCCGCCTCGACATAAAAGATTTTGGGATACATTGTATGAAGCCTAGAAAGAGGGCATCGATTTTCCGTGTCCCGTGGATAAATCACACAACTCACACAAGTGAGTGAGCGATTCCCATCAGCTTCCGAATCAAAGGCTAGGTGACAGCTGCCAGCGCCAACTCCAGGTACTTGCTTTCATCTCATGGTATCAGTCTGCTCAAGGGCAGTAGTCGTTGTTGCCATCACCACCATCCCGGCATCCATCGCAGTACATCTGGTAAACAATGTCTCCGTTCGAACCTCCAGAGCAGTAGAAGAGACTATCGTTGACGTGTGCTTCGTCGGCGACTTGTCCGCCTTCCTCGAGGGCGTCGTGGATTTGCTGGTAGTAGTTTCCTATAGCATTATTAGAATCCGGTTATTAAACTGCAAGACAGACACTGGAGGGCTGCGGAAGCATGTCTTACCTCGCCTCTGAAGGGTGGAGCCGCAGTACATGACCCCTGTGCGGCAGTTGTCCGCCATAGCTAGGGGAACAATAGCGGCTAGAGTGGCAATGGACAGGGCAATGAAATTAACCATGTTGAAGGAGTGTTGGGGTTTGAGGTGAGGGTATTGAGTCAAGCTGAGTAGTGAGAATCAAGTTGTGATGGTAGAATGAAATGAGATGATAGAATGTGATGTTAAACAATATTCAAGGACGGACTACAGGTTTATATAGATCCTGAGATCTCGATGTTCTGGCAGTTCAGTGAGACGATGACGATGTTCAACCTGTTTGTCAGACGGCATACATCACAAAAGTCCCCTTGTTTCACCTCGCATCGTAACGTTTAAATTAAGGTCAAAGTTATTTAGCCAATAAGCCACTGCTACGAAGGTAGGATCAGCGTGTTGGTCAGATGAACAATATAGAGACAGCTGAGTTGTTTCATTTTGCATATTTCGCCACCATGTGCTACGTTCAGGTCAAATATTGAACAAACATGCACGCAAAACTCCTCACTAACAACAGTTGAGTCCACCCCATGAAATGGGCCAAAGCTCCAGTCCGTGTCTGGCCTCGCAAGATGTTGGTTGGGACTAACTTAGGCTTTGGAACCAGTGACAATTACATATACGGAGATCGCCATAGCACTACGAATAGATGCGAACACATAGTGCTACATATTGTGAGGAGGCTCCAAAGTACTTCTGAGGTATCATTATTAAGTCAGCTAGACATCTTGTTGGTTGTACTGGAGGCTTAGCACATCCAAAGGAATGTTTTGAGTGGGCCATTACGTGGTTGAGCTGATCGCCACCAAATCTGCCCAGACAAGCAGTCGCAAAGCTTACCACCACGGAATCAAAAAGGTGTAACTTCGGGCCCACTGAAAAAGCAGAAGTATCTATATTATGAAGCTAATAATCTAGGCAGGGATTGGTTGAGATAGGATTGTCTGCAATCCTGAAGAAGGATCATCAAAGCCCCGAGCTGTACTGCCCCATGCCTACCTTTCCCCGCTGAAAAACGGGGCAGTATGTCTATCATGATGCATTTTCATACTGGTTTAATGTTCAAATTCTTGGCTCATCCGGTTAGCTCAGTCAAGTGATAGATCAGATGATAGCTACCAGCAGTGTTGGACTTTCGTACGGTGGATTGATTTAGGAGAAAGAAATAATACATTCCAAGGCGATGGTTTCTGTCCCTATTCTAATAATTACTCTTGATTCTCTGGTATATCAGGCTTCAAAGGAAAGATCTATGCAGGAGACTGGAGAGTCTTGTCCCCGCTCCAGATCTGGAGTAGACGTAGCCGTCCAGGGGCGGGCCGCTCTGTGACTTCGCCTGGCTTGGCGACCGACATTGATTGCCGACGGCATTTGAACTTTGGACTTCCTGGTCACCATATCGGCCCGAATCTGTGTGTGCGGGTGTGAGTGCAGTATACATACCAAAGCGGTGAGGGGAAGGAGGCTGGCTAAGTGCCACCGCATATAGAAACATTCAAGTTCTTGAAACAGGTGCATGAATTACACAGTTGACAATATCGAAACTGTTGGCTAGGACAGACTAGATTAGTTGGGGCTGGTTTAGGTACATAGTCAGCATAGCCTTCTGTATGTCATCCTACATCATCTCCTGACCCCGATCCTTTCTCGTAACTTCGCCGACATGCAGTAAGCAGCGGCGAAGCTTGTCTCTTCCGAAAGTGCAAAAAGAAACTTCTGCGGGCGATGAGTCCTAGCCTCTTACGGTGCCTGGAACGGCTTTTGGGGGAAACATGCAATTCGAGGGATCTTGATGGCCACATTTCAGTACCCACTAGGCAATATCTTGCCTGGAAACAGCTATCACGACAGAGTTTCTCACCCCTTATAACACCATTTCCGTCTAGAAACTCGGCAGTTTTCCATCCAAAGATTACTTTCGCGCGAACTGTCGGGACGATTAAGACGCGACGGTTTCGTTTGCAAAGCCAAGCCTGCCTGAGTTATGCCTGTGATGGCGTCTGTGTGTAATTTGAGAATAGTAGGAAGACAAACACACGCTCCTATCAATCCATTATGTAATTTAATCAATAACCTAAAACTATCCTATCAACTGACATATGATATGTCTTCGTGTTGTTCTAGGTGCTCCAGGAACGCTCCCGCCGTGAACTTCCGTCTGCAATGAGTAGAGCATTGATCCAATTTCAAACACTCTCGACATGTTTCGCAGTGAACCCTCCATTCAACATCCCGCAAGATCTTATTTAACCAAGGCACTCGGACAATCGACACAAACCGCAGCGGATTCCCTGACTGTGCGTCAAATGGGTCAGAAATAGGGGCTCGTCGTCTGCATTGGCCAGTACGTCTGTATATTCTATCCTCTTCCACACGTCTCAAATATTTATGGTATTTCTGTGTGTCTCGGACTGCGGCATACTCAACCATCGCCCTCAATGAACCGTGGAACCGGATTCCAATTTCACGAGCAGACCGGTGGTCAATCAAAGTTAACCCACCTTTGACCTTCTTCCCGTCAAATGAATATGTTCCAGCTCGTGTTACCATTCGAGGTACTCCAGACAACATCTTATGACTAATTCCAAATTTCCGACATGCTTGCACCGGGGACAACGGCATGTAGGCCTCCTTTTTCGAGAAGCATAGGAAGCAAACGCGTTTGCAAGTAATCAAGTAAAGGTAGCCACCAAAGTCACCACAGTCTTCGCATTCAGCTGTACAGATTTTCTCATAGAGCTTTGCAAGAGTGATCGAGCTACCTGTGCTGATAGCAGATATACCTTGGAGCGCATTTTGTGCGTGTTGTACAAGAGCTCTGTAGTGGGGGAGGGAGCTCACCAGCTCCGAGGTTCTTCGGTTGACTTGCTGAACCCTCGAAATACTATATAAATCAAGCAGACTTAGTACTATTTGAATTAATTCTAGCGGGAGGGTCTCAAGAACCCCGGCACTGGCGGAAGGTGGGAGCTGGTTGGTACTTAACTTAAATTCGCAAGCGGGAAGGTTTTTATCGAGTGTGTGATCGTTTAGGTATTCGGGGTAGGTGAGACCAGGGAATTGTTCCGTGATAGGCCGAGTGCCAGACATGCCTATTGTGTGCTAGGTTTATAAGGCAGTGTTTTGGTTAGCCGGCTATTTGATGTTCGGAGGCGATGCAAAGGATTCAGTACTGTCGAGTGGATGATAAAAGGTAACGTTGTGAAAATTCGATAAGACTGCCAAAGGCACCTAACTGGTAAAGCGGTTACCACAATACCTACACACCGTATATGTCTGCATCTAAGGTTAAAAATGCAGGTCTGTCTACATTCTGCTTCATTTTCCGGCCCTTACTTATTCTCTAGCGATTAATGAACATCTTCAAGTGATTGCCGCCAAAGCAAAGTCACAAAGGATCTAACAAAGACTTCAATTGATGCACACGTAAGACAAAATGGAAAACGGAAATAAAGCCGTCTATACAAAGAGATCATGGCCTCAAACATATTAGCGGCAAAACGAATCAGCTAGCAACCCCTCGATGTTCACCTAACCATATTTTCCACCCAAGATTCCATCTCCTAGACGACCCGACGGTCCTCCTATCTCAAATCCACCATTAACTGACTCCTTGAGTCAAAGGGACAACCATGCATCACCCATTTGACAACATTGAGATTCCGGTTCTCTTTGTCTATTATTCTCCCTAGCACGAGATGGATCACAGTTACGATCCGGACCGTTGCCTTCGTTTATCGTACAGCCACTCCTTCTAAGACTTCGATTTCTTCGACCAGAACTTTAGCAAGGAAGGTTTCTCTCTTTGGGCAGGCTGCAGTTGCAATTCAGATCTTCGCAGTGGCTGGGCACGCTCCTACTCGTGTCTGGAGACTGTGATTGCTTCAACGATAGCTGTGGCGACGGCGACTCTCCTCTCTTAGGCAAACTTCAATTGCAATCTGGATCGCCACAGTATTTTGCTGTGTCTCTATTTGTCGCTTCAGACTCTGAGATCTCTGGCAAGGGCTGTGACGAGGGCGGCTCCCCTCTCTTAGGCAAACTGCAATATCGCAGCAGCCCTGACAAGCCCCGCACACAGGCTCCAGGCTCTAGGTCTGCGACTCCTGCCTCTTTCGGTCTTCAGAGCCTTATTTTCGTGAAAAGGAGTAATATTTCGTAGACCCCATGATCTCCAGGGTGTGATGTTCAGCCCGCTCGTTCTGCACTGACATGCTCTCCCATGTTCTCTAGACCAATGTTGATCACAACTACTCCAAGGCAGAAACGATGCACTTTTCATACCAAATGAACGGGATCTCATGCAACCGAGGGTGTCATGCAAAAATATCCCCAAATTAAGCGATCCTTCGCAGGAGGTTCGTGGCTTGAGTGACAGGACTTGGCGTGCGGCTGAAGCCTCCCAAAATGACTTTGACGGACTGCTTCCAAGTTCATCACCTCTCAGCCAGCTGAGGGTAACATGGGTGCAGACTGTTGAGCGGTCATATCATGAGAATATCTGGGTAGGTCTTTTACCCTTTCTTCTCCTCTCAATGCCCGCTGGCTACGCCCCCTCATTTGAGCAACAACCTCGATACTGCATCTAGTAATAAACGATTTAATTTGGCCACCTACCCTCAGCTCTTAAACAATCTCCAGCCCTGTGGGCTCCGTGTGTCAACTTTGCAAAGTTGCACATCTATCTTCTCGGCGGCATCATCCATCATCTTTGCAGAAGTCAAACCGCCACTCTTTTGTCTGAGATCCTCATCCAGGCCGTGAAACAAGGGAGCCAAAGGTGAAGTCTTCCAGTCCGTCGGCACTCTAGCCTCCCCGTGCCCTGCCTTGCGGTTGATAGTTAAAAGAACGAATGTGCAGAAGAGAAGCTGCAGGAGGAGCAAGGCAGCCGGGTATGCAATCCATCCCCAGTGCACTCTCACACATGTGTCGACTGCGAATCCCATGCCATTAACAGTGGTCAGGTTGCGATTGATGTCCCAGCGGCGCACCGTCGATACATCCGAAAAGCCTTCCGTGAATGGGTGGTTGCGCATAGCTGCTGTCATTGACGATGCGATGCCCTTTGTCATTTGTTCCGCCATGGTCAAATTGCTCATACCGTCCGCGTACAGAGTCGTCAGCCAGACAGGGCCTATGACCTGATCAAATCCACTCCTGCCATCAGTGCGGACCTCATCACCTAGTAAATCATCCAAGGTGCCGGTGATTGCATAGTACGGCGTCAAATCTATAACCCAAACGCATTCTGGTGGATAATACACCCACTCGGACTTATTGTTCACATACGATTCTGGTTTATCGTTCAGAAGATGCGTTCGGGAATTAACGAGGACACCTCTAGGTATGGGATCGATTGATGAGTTGCATTTCGTCGATAGGCCGTCAACGAGGCTGTAATTCGATATCAGCGAGTACGCCGCCCTCAACCCGTTGATCCAGACATCGTCAATCCAGTTTCTTCGAAGTAGTGGAGGTGAGCCTTGATCCTCTTCAAATTCGATATACTCTTGATTTGTGACCTGCGCACTGTACTTTTTTACGCATGGATCGAGAGTGCATCTAACCGCGAACGCATCCATGTTTTCTCGCATGATACATTCGTACTCGTCCTTCTCGCAACCGGGTGGTAATTTGTGCATCAGCGCCTCGAAGGAGTAGAAAGACGAATTAAAGTCTACCCTTGCCGCACTCAGCGGAGATTGGTTGTATACCTGCAAATTTGATGGCAAACTGAACGTGTTGGTGGCGTTCTTTTTCCCAGGTATGAAGATATCATCAGAAATATCGGTGCATGAATGGCACATGGCCAAGGACGAAAAGTAGCCGCCGTCGCCCTCAGCACCGAATGTACAATTTCCTCTCGCACAGTCAAAATCAATTTGGGATGCTGCGCTTCCAGGGTCTATGAGACCTCTGTACAATGCAGATCGCATTGTCTTGTCCAAGCCAGGGCGTTGGTTCATCTGCGAGTACTTGAAGCCGGGAACTGAAGCGGTGTAATTGTTGGTCCTTGCAGCTCTTGCGACCGAACTCTTCACCTCGCGACGGCAGACAACATGTTCCACCAAGGCCTGCGAGAACGGGTCAATGGCGAGGGCGGCGATGGTGATTAAAGCGCCGAAACTGGCCAAGTATCTATGTCCCAGTTAGTAGACGTACCGTCGAATCCAGTTGCGCCGTCACTCACGCTTTGTCCGATCGAGCAACTTGCTTGAGCAGCAAGCAAAATGAGCCCCATGGACCTCGACTTGCTTCGTCAAATAAAGAAACATCACTCAACTTGTGAGGCTTGGTGAACCAAGTCCACTTCAGCTGCCCAAGCCCTGGTTAATTAAGTAATTAGCCCATGTTTCCTTGGCCTGTCTCGCTTAGATCTTGAGGTGGGTAAATGGAAACTATACCTTCTGCTACAGGCATGATTAACGCCGCCTTGAAGAACGTTGTGAACACCGAAATGAGAGAGTTGATTGAGAGTAGTTCTGGTCGACTCGGAAGCGGGTTGTTTTGGTGTACAGTGAGGACAATGACGATGGCAATAAGACAGCCCAAGGCGAAAAGAATGCTCAGAATTTTGAGGAACCATATTCGCAATGTTGATTGCGAATTCTTGTCAAAATTCCCACCAGCTTTTTTATCGGGTTGGCCCGGCTCCGTATTGTCTGGCTCTGTCATGAGCAATGGTCCTCTGGCGGAAACCTGATCGCCTCGCTCTGACGGAGGATTTAACGTTAGGGTGATACTTGGAGTTAGAGCGAAGTCAGACATTTCCCAGTCATTTTCCGTAATTCTGTGCCGATTGGGTTCGCTGGTATCGTGTTCATCGTTGGCATCCCGGTCATCGCCGCTGTGTCGATGGTCGTTGACTTCTGGGCCGCGGTCGGTTAATGGGATTAGAGACGTCGAAGATTCGTGAGGGCTATGTTCTTCTTCGCCAGGGCGCCTCTGAGGCAGCTCCCAGTAGCTCGATGCTGGACTGATGCTCATGCTTGCGGCGAAGGGCTGTCAAGGTAGAGTGAGAAGGAATATTCGTCGGCCATGCAGGTTCGAGTGCAGCGATGCGGCAATTATTACTCTTGAAGTAACCAGCCTATTTCAGGCAGAAGAAGGCTGAGGGAGGCTAAATAAGTTCAGCTTCCCCCGCCCTCGAATTCATTCTAAGTCTCGTTACACGTGAGATTTCTGCGCCACCGTTCCCTCTACACAGCCTCTGCGACTTGGTATCACTGGTTGAAACCTGTAGCTGGACTATTTCGGAGCTGGTAGCGATCCAATCCAGGTTTGAGTTACGCTGAGCCTCAGTCATACAGCAGTTGGGTTCTTGCTATTCGTTCAGGTGATCTGCGCCAAGCCTCACTTTGGATCGACGCACTTTTATTCGTAGGAGGCGGCGGTTGAGCGGAGACACCAGCCAACAGCCTACGAAAAGATCACGAGATGAAATCTCTGGCAGTATCCGAGATACTTAGAGTTTGAGGTTAAAATAAGGGAGCTTGAGTGAATAAGAAGAAGCTTTTAGGTGCAGAAAAGCTGTCTTCATATCCATTTGCTGCACCCTTCAACCCGGATGTGTCGTGCTGTCGCCACGATCGATATCACGGCTTTTTGCCTATGTGATTCGGCGAACGTCAGTCGATTTAATCACCGATATACAGTTGTTAGTTATTCTGGGTAGGCTAGAAAGATCGACACATTTCGTCACCAATCAGTCCCTCGGGATATAGCTCGACTACTGGGCCTAAGCAGGTCCGGATTGCAATTCAGAAACAAATAATTATAAATTATATAAAATAACATAAGCCACGCTTTCATACAATCCTCAGCACCCACTTCTCTTCGTCTTGCCTCTGCTCCGCCCGACGGCGCCAACTTGAGGGCGACGTCCACTGCCACCTTGTAAAGTCGCTCCGATACAATCCGATTCTTTTGAAGGATTCAGAAGTCGGAGATTCCCTGACCAGTACTAAATACCACTCTTCGTTACCAATTTTAGCGAGCCTTAGGCATATTGCCTTTTCTCCATCCGTAACTTCTTCCGGGTGGTCGAGGAAAAGAGACAACGCAGATTCGTCGTCCTTCCCAAGTGTGCCGTGCGGCCCAAACTCCGTTTCCGCAATGTTCCACCCCATGCCCCACGGCCTAGGCTTAATTCTAATTGTTGTATAAGTGATCCATCCACGGAGAGTCAGAGCTGCTGAAGAGATGCTTCCAGTTTGGTGAGAGCCGGCTAAGGTGCATTCGACTTTAACCACACTGGCGTATATCTCCTGCAGCTCGCCCCGCCTCCCGATTCCCGATATATGTTGATACGAGATTGCACTGGTCATAGAGGCCCATGACCAGCTAGGCGCACGCCATGACTCTGGTGAGTCTCTTATTCGGTACGGCCCTGACCTTTCATCGTTGATGCAATACGCCCACAGCAACCCCTCGACCATGTTTCCACGCCATAAACCAGCGACATAATCATCCCCAAGAAGTCCAGAAATCCGAGATGCAAGGCCGGAAAGGGCAGGGAACGCATCACTCTGCTTTGTGAGATTTCCCATCACACGCGAGTATCGCTGAACGATGTCGTACCATAGCGCCCGTAATTGCGCCGGGGTCACATCCTTCGCCATGATGGATTGACTACTGACCAGCCTTCGGAACTCCAGGTCGCGCGTCTCACTTTCAACATTGGGGGACCGCATGCCGCAATCGCAGAAAATCCCCGTGCGGCACTCCCAAACAAGCTCGTTTTTTCGTAAAGTGAAGCATCCGCGGAGATAGAAGTTGTTCTTGGAAGACCCAGGCCCGGGTGAGGAGCGGCCATTCCTTGTCGGCTTGGCCAGATTTCGAGTTGCCCCAGTGCTGAATCGTACCTTTTGGGTCATGTTCTGATCGCACGTAGATGTCGTCAGAAATACCATGACCTATCTCAGAAGCGGGAATGCATTCCAGGTGGGTGTGCCTCTCTTGATCCGTGTGAAGACCTTCCTCCTGTCCCTTCGCGTGGGTCGCTGCGATGGTGAGAAATGCATTTTCATAAATGGTTGCCATTTTGGAGGACTGTATTTGCCACTCTTGAGTAGAGTCCTGCACAATGCAGAGGGAGTCGATCCAAAAGTAGCGTATATTGAGCCGGCGACAGGCCACAACGGCGTCTCTGAACGTTTTCGGCAGCATGGTCATCGGGATCCCAGCCATAAAAGCCTCCTTGTTCGCAGTAAGAGTTCGTAAAGGCTGGGGTTTGCCCCAATGGTGGCTCAAGCATGCGTAGTATCCCAGTTCATTGTTCGTTTTAGTCAGCCGTATTGGAGAGTCTTGCGACTCCCCAAGATCAAGCACTCGATCTGGCAAGGGCTTGGGCTCATTTTTGTTGCAGTGTTCATGTTCCGTTGTGCATGCCCTGATCCACGAGAATACTCGATGCATGGCGGCCTCGGACCTTGTATCGTTGGCTATTGCTTTCGGGGAGGAAATGAGCGGGATATCCGGACCTTTGTTGTGACAGTAAAATGCTAAACGAAGCCTAGCAGGTCTCGGGCCCTTCAATTCGACTTGAATGGACTTTTTGCTTTTGTCCCAATACAAAACAGTCTCATCTCCTGGACTTGGTCGCTTCAAATGAACGAAGCGCGGACTCAAAGTATCTGTGGGCGAACAAAAACGATGGACGGCAGCTAACAAGATGGCGCAAATAGAACAGCTTCTCTGACTAATCGGAAGATCAGAGTAACGTATCTCAGGACGCCGCGAGAGACCGTCCCAGTAGTCTCGGGTGAGATCATTGCAGACCTGACAACTAGGCTGTGAGGTTTGATGTCGTGATGCTAACCAGAGCCGTGATTGATGGATAAGCCACCCGATGCTTTGAAATAAGATGATAATGCTGACGAAAGACGACTGCAAGTTGCATACAACCTCATTGAGTCGTTTCGAGACCATCCACTCTGGTATCCTCCTTAAATATGCACGGCCCCATAATCGTTCGGCAACGGAGTTCAGAGATTCTACCATCAACGTAAAGAGGCATCTGCTAATGAAAGTAGCGATGAATGCTGGGATCGCCATAACCACCCAGTCAAAGTTGCCCATAATATGCTGCAGGTGTATGTGGTAGAGTAATCTGAGGATGTAAAGGGGGGTGGCATGTACGATGCCAATTAGAATAAAGGCTACTCCGTTGCACATGGAGTTATACAGCCACTGGGCGAAGGCCCAGAGCGATTCCCGGGCAGCCTCAAGTATGATGAACAGTAGAACGTGCCGGTTTCTGGGGGGTCGGGAGCTGGTACGGGTACCCTCTGCATTGTCAAGGCTGCCCATGGCGGAGTTTGAGGATGTAGAGCATGCAAGTGGATCAGAGGGCATCAAGTTGCATTTGTAGTGGAGGGAGATGTAACCATTAAGTCGAAACCGAGGCCTCCAGTGGAAGATGGCTAGATAAGCTGCGCCTGCTTTGAGGCTGAACTCCAAATATTGGATGCGCCAGATTGAATCCAGATCGGGGCTATGCTAGCGGCCCACACACATAGGCTATTTCGACCTTAGGAGAGCCTGAGAAGCCTGAGATAGGACTCTGCATGGGACCACCCCTCAAAGAAAGGACGGATTCGGAAGTTGAACTACTGAACTTGCGAGGAAAAAGAGAAGCTCCATACCTATGACTTGCAAGTATGTATTCAGTATACGCAAATAAAAGAGTGGAAGAAGCCCATCTCACTACCCAAATGGACCGAATTGGGTCCTAAGCGAACCACTCTTGCAAGAGCTTGCTGAAAAATGGACGGTCGGAGGAAGCAGAGGATTCTCTGGTTCGCTATGTCAATCTTCTCTACGAAAACTTTGGTAGGACAGATCCAAAACTCTTGTCATATGAGTCTTGGCTCGCACAAGCGTACAGGAGATCCGGGAGCCATGGAAGGCCATCGACATTCTGCAGCTGGTGATGGTCAAATACGAAAGGAAAATGCCGGAAACCGACGAGGATAGGCCTTGGAGAATGGCAACTCCCAGCCCACCGGAAACTTTTAGGGAATTGCTAAAAAATGATATTAAGGACTCGGAGAAGAAGGTTTGGTAGTGGCGCTGAATCCGTGACGTAGGTGTTAGTGATCAGGGTGTTAGTGATCGGTTGGTCGTCAATTTAAGCAACCGCAGATGATGGTAAATACATCTATTTATTCTACGAGGTTTCATTAAGCTATGTATCGTCTGTTACATAAACATCGCATCGCTCAAAAATGCAGTCAAGATTTTATTTCGAGTTGACTCTACAAGTGGTGGCATGGTCTTCCCGGAGCGAACGCCCTACCCTGCACCATTTGCAAATGCGAGGCCCCGCACTGGGCGCAGAAAAGTCGGCCCCACCAAGACTTTAGCACCTTCATCATTTTGGAGGGGCAGACAAGGATTCATCATTTGCACCCGCATTCTGTGGATTGTCTCTGCCAGCCCGAATATCGAGAGGACCAAGAAACGACATACACCTTTGGGATCGCCAAACAAGACGAACACCGGACCGAACCACCGAGACATTAGAGTCCGGCCGAGGAGCAACCACCAGACACACACATCATGGCGACGGCCACCATGACGGCGATGGCTACGGCCTCGACCAAGAAGAAGGGCGGCGCAGAGCTTGCCCCCGAGAGCGAGCGCTTCCTGCGATGCTGCGCCGACGTTGCGAATGCCCTCATCGAAGACCACGAATCCTCCAAGGCCGGGCGCACCTCGCGGGACATCAACCTCAACGCCCTGCGGAACAAGCTCGCCAAGAAGCACAAGCTTATGAACATCCCGCCACTGACGGCCATCATCGCCTCGATCCCCGAGCACTACAAGAAGTACATTCTGCCTAAGCTCATCGCGAAGCCCATCCGCACTTCTTCGGGCATTGCTGTCGTCGCCGTCATGTGCAAGCCGCATCGCTGCCCGCACATCGCCTACACCGGCAACATCTGCGTCTACTGCCCCGGAGGCCCCGATTCCGACTTCGAATACAGCACCCAGTCGTACACTGGATACGAGCCGACATCCATGCGAGCCATCCGCGCCCGGTATGATCCATTTGAGCAGGCCCGCGGCCGAGTCGACCAGCTCAAGTCTCTCGGCCACTCCGTCGACAAGGTCGAGTACATTATCATGGGCGGTACCTTTATGTCACTGCCTGAGTCATACCGGAATGAGTTCATCGCCCAGCTTCACAACGCTCTGAGCGGATACCAGACATCCAACGTGGACGAGGCGGTGGAGGCGGGAGAGATGAGCAACATCAAGTGCGTCGGCATCACCATTGAGACGCGGCCCGACTACTGTCTCCAACCTCACCTGTCAGACATGCTACGATACGGTTGCACGAGATTGGAGGTTGGAGTTCAGTCGCTTTACGAGGATGTGGCCCGCGACACAAACAGAGGCCACACAGTTGCGTCGGTCGCAGAGACCTTCTGCTTTGCTAAGGACGCGGGTTACAAAGTGGTCAGCCACATGATGCCTGACTTGCCTAACGTCGGCATGGAACGCGACATTGACCAGTTCAGGGAGTATTTTGAGAGCCCGGCCTTCAGGACCGATGGCCTCAAGATCTACCCGACACTAGTTATTAGAGGCACCGGTTTGTACGAGCTCTGGCGGACAGGGCGGTACCAGAACTACACGCCCAACGGCCTAATCGACCTCGTCGCCAGAATCATGGCGCTGATTCCCCCGTGGACGCGTATCTACCGTGTCCAGCGAGATATCCCAATGCCCCTAGTCAGTTCGGGCGTGGAGAACGGAAATCTGCGCGAACTGGCGCTGGCTCGCATGAAGGACTTTGGAACAACCTGCCGAGATGTGCGTACCCGAGAAGTCGGTGTCAACGAAATCAAGAACAAGATCCGACCCAACCAGATCGAGCTGGTGCGGAGAGACTACACGGCCAACGGCGGCTGGGAGACATTCCTGGCCTACGAGGACCCCAAGCAAGATATCCTGGTTGCTCTGCTCCGACTGCGCAAGTGCACCGAGAAATACACATTCCGACCCGAGCTTACCGGCCAGCCGACGAGTATGGTGCGAGAGCTCCACGTCTACGGTACTGCTGTGCCCGTCCACGCCCGCGACCCGCGAAAGTTCCAGCACCAAGGCTTCGGAACGTTGCTGATGGAGGAGGCGGAGAGGATCGCCAGGGATGAGCATGGTAGTGACAAGATCAGTGTTATTTCAGGCGTGGGTGTGAGGAGCTACTACAAGAAGCTCGGATTCTGGCTGGACGGACCATACATGAGCAAGTGGCTCGACGGGCGACCGCAAGAGGCATAATGACGAAAACGCTATGGGATAGTATGGAATGAATGAAACGGGGAGGCATTGCTGGACCTGGAAATACCTCACGGCAAGAAAAATATGGGTTCATAGACAAAGGCGCAATTCGGGTTCTGGGAGCATGAAGTTACAACTTATGGTGGCTTGAATGAAGAAACTCTTAACGATGCAGACATGATGTTGTGACAATCTGATTGTGATTCCCTGCAAGATCATTGCCATGTTCGGAAGGTCAGTCGCGGGGTTGCCTGTCTCATCGGCTCTCGTATCTTGTTGACTCCTCCCCACAACTTCACTATCAGGAGACTTGACGATTGCACACTTCATCTCTCATCATTCCAGTATCGATTAATTCAAAATGACGATTCGAAGAGCTGCCACCTCACAGCTGACCATGAGACATGGCGGCAATGCATCGACCATGCCCGATAAGGTCGTCAAGCCCTGGAAGCTGCCGCCTCAGACGACATACGTCTTCCAAAATGCCAACGTGGTTGACGCGGCTAGCGGTTCAATTCTTAGTAGCATGGCCGTTAAGATCTCGGCTGGACTGATTGAATACGTCGGCCAAGATGCAGCAGAGTCGCCAGACGATGTGGTCATCGACCTCAACGGCAAGTACCTGTGTCCAGGACTCATCGACTGCCACGTCCACATCAGTGCTGTACCAGGCGATGACGGCCTCAATGGAAGCGCTTTTGGCGCCGACGTTGCGGTATCTCATTTTCGACAGCCGTATCTCTGCGGACAGATGCTCTCGAAGGGATTCACAACCATTCGGGACACGGGCGGCGCAACGTTGGCTTTGAAAGAAGCGATTGAGGATGATGTGTTTCCTGGACCCAGGATGTTCATCGCGAACCAGGCACTTTCGCAGACTGGAGGACACGGCGACCGCAGAGGCGCCCACGATCATCAACAATGCTGCGGGAATCAGGGAGGTCTTTCTACAGTTGTCGATGGTGTGTCCGAGTGCATTCGCGCTGCAAGGGAGCAGCTCCGCACTGGCGCTGACTTTATCAAGATCATGGTTGGCGGAGGCGTCGCTTCGCCTACCGATCGCATTGAGAATACGCAGTTTACCGCCGCTGAGGTCAAGGCTATCTGTGAAGTCGCCGAGAGCTATGGGACGTTTGTGACGGCACACGCGTACACGCCCAAAGCGATTAGACACGCGGTTGATAACGGCGTCCGGGGGATCGAGCACGGCAACTTGATCGACCGAGAAACAGCTCTGTACATGGCACAACATGAAGTTTGGCTGACCCCAACGCTGGTCACCTACGCGGCCATGGGATCGGACAAATACGCTGGCTTCCTGCCGCCAGTGAACCTGGAGAAGAACCGCCGAATGCTCGACCAAGGCCTCAATTCGCTGCGCATCGCATCCGAGGCGGGCGTGACCATCTGCCACGGCTCCGACCTCCTCGGTCCTCTCCAGGCCGAGCAGAGCCGGGAGTTTGGCATCCGGGCGCAGGCGTTGAGCAGCAAGACGGTGTTGCAGGGAGCGACTGTCAACGCTGCGAAGATGCTGCGACAGAGTGAATTTCTAGGGCAGGTCAAGGAAGGGTTTGCGGCGGACATGCTCGTCTTGAACGAGAACCCGCTGGAGGATGTTTCCATCTTGGATGAGCCTGAGAAGTGCGTGCTGGCTGTTATCAAGAATGGACGGGTTTATAAGAGTCGATGGACTAAGTTGCCGGAGGATGTGAACGAGGAGGTGGGGATGATTGAATAAAGCCGAGGGGCGCAAAACAGTCACTATTTTAGGTGAGAATCAACGAGTCTCTGTGAATATCGAAACAGCTCATTGACATGAACTGCCTCGTTTCTATGTGGGTGATGCATCCGAAGTCTCGGGATCGTCGCCCGAACCAGGCAGTTGGTGTTGTGAGTCGGAGGACGCTTGTGGTAGAGATTCTCTTAATATCAACGATGATCAACCGAACTCATCTGGAATCAATACTAACTCAACTAGGATTTAGCCAATACTATCCAGTGTCTTTGCGGAGGAGGCCGCCAAACAGGCAGATGACGGGGTCAGCTGGACTACGGCCTAGGACGGAAGATGCACAACTCCCCATTGGCCCAGCGCCGCTTAGTCAGCCGGACCTCGACGCTCGCGGCGGCGCCTTAACATCGCAACCTCGTCCTCCGCACGCCGAGACGGGCTTCCCTTTGTTCCACGATGAGTCGCCAACGCCATGTCCTTACGTCGCAATGACGCCCCGGACTCCCAGACCGGCGTCCTCCCGGTGCTGCCGGCCGACGGGCTCCCGGGCCGCGACCCCCGCAGCAACGCCGCGACCGCCGCCTCGGCCGCCGGCGTCCGCGCCTTGAGCGCCCAGGTCGTCGCCTTCTACTTCCGCGCCCCGGCGAAGGCCTTTTTCCGCACCCGCGTTGATTATCTCGCCTATGCCCGGATTATTCACCAGACGCAGACCAAGATTCTGCTCAGGGCCGTGGCGGCTGATACGTCGGCGTCGAGGCTCAACTTGTTCTTCCGCCAGGCGTGGCTGGTGATGAGAAGCACCACGCCCGGAGTCCTAACATCGGCTATCAAGCATCAGGGATGGGGCATTGTGCCTCACCAAATCCTCCCTCCGCTCATTGCCAACGTCGGCGTCGGCGCAGTCCTGTACACTAGCTACCTCCAGATCCTGGGCCGCCTGCACGAAGAGAGCGGCCAGGCGCGCAAGAGGGTGTACCCGCCGCCGCAGCCCGCGCACACCTTCGCCGCGGGCTTCCTCGCCGGCGGGCTGCAGAGCGTCCTGGCCGCGCCGCTGGATGCCCTCCAGGCGCGCTACGACCACCGGGACCTGATGCCCAACGACGGCAGCGGCAAGCCCCGGAGCATGTGGACCTTTGGCGCCGAGAAGCTCCGCGAGATCGGGCCCCGGGGCATCTTCGCCGGATGGGGCCTGTCGTTCGCCAAGGACAGCCTGGGCAGCGCCGTCTTCTTCACCATCTTCGAGTACGTCAAGGCCCAGGGCTACTACCGCTTCGTGACGTGGTACTACGGCGGCCTGGCCGAGGACATTGTCGACGTGCTCGCCATGAAGCGCCCGGCGCCGCGGGCCCCCGACGCCGAAACCATCCTCATCCGCCCGCACTACGCCCTCGAGCCCGCCTTCCTGCTCGTCGCCGGCATCAGCGCCTCCTTTGCGCAGCAGGTCCTGCTGCACCCGCTGACGCACTTCCAGGTGCAGCACTGGGACCACCTGGAGGAGCTGGACGCCAAGGCGGCCAAGATGCGGGCGTCGGCCGCCGCGAACCCGGACGCGCCGCGCCGCCGCTGGCGCATGATGCGCGCCTACTACCACGCGTACCAGGAATCGCTGGCCGTGTGCTCCACCGCCGCGGCCTCCGAGGGCCTCAGCCTGAGCCGCTGGCTGTACCGCGGCTTCTGGTGGAACGCCATCCGCCAGGTGCCCAGCACGAGCGCGGGGCTCATCATCTTCGAGTTGATACGGCGCAAGTACGGGTTTGGCACCGAGGAGGTGCGCATCAACAAGGATGGGTACGACATCCTACTCCACTGATAGGAAGGACTGGGCTTGGCTGGGCTGCGACAACGGCGTTATGAAATTACCACACCTCTCTTGTGTATGTGATAGACTTTTCCCCTCTTTGGTTATTGGCTCGGACGGCATTAGAAGCATCTCCCATGCATGACATTAGAAATGAAACCTCACTGGCTTCCCTTTTCTTAAATTATGCTTGTCTTGGTGAACCTGATAAGGAGCCTTGAACAAGGTATCCGTCGTTTATATTGCGAATCTTGCCGTTGCCTCGAGTTCGTCATTATACCCACATACACGATGAATCGAAAGACTCCAGAGAGAATACAAGTCACAGTAACATGGCGGGACATATAAATGACGCTGCAAAAACTTGATCGATTCCTACAATTCCTCCCAATCCGCTACCCCATCCCCGCCGTCCTCCCTTCCGTTTACATGCCACAGACACATAAACCCCTTCCCATCCGCCCTACCCCCAAAGAACCGTGCAAGATCCTTAAACTCCAGTTGCAAAACCAAAAACACTACATCCAGATGTACGCGTCAAAGGTCCTCCCACAGTTCAGTTCGTCGTATCGCTGACTGCCCTGTCCTATCGGTGTGTCCTCTAGCCACGCGATGTTCCAGAGCCGCCTCCAAAGTCGGGTTCTGGGTTGTTGTGGTGCTTTTTCTCCTTGCGGCCTTTGATGACGAACTGGGACATGATTTGAATGTGATCGGCTGGGAAGTGCCACGTGGGGAAAGCAGCTACTCGCTTCATGTATTCTGAGTCGGGGGGGCCAAGCAGGTCCACCACCTCGAGAGTGTTGGTTGAGTACCAGATATAATCAATGACATCGGCGAAACCGGGTGTGTAATTCGTAAACGGCAGCTCGTCGGCAGTTTTCTTGGTGTGGGCGTACGAGTCACGGAGGCTGAAGGGATGTTCGATACCGTCTCGAGTGAAGCTACCGTACTGGTACTTGCCGAGCTCAAGATGGTCTGGCGGTACACGACCCATAGCCATCAATTCGTAGACTGACGAGTCTTCGGTCGAGTTGAAATCGCCGCAAACCAGGAGAGGAATTTCCGTGTTCGTTCGGTACTCTTGGCTTGGACCTGGCTCGGCCTGGGGGATAGGGGCCGTCCCGTCGTCCGTCGGCAGCACAATCATCTTCTTGTCCTTGACTGCAGGCCACCTTGCGTACTTCTCAGCTAGCTTGGTGACATGCTCCATCAGGATACCAGTCTGAATGACCTTGACGTCGGCAAGAGCAGCGTCCCAGGTTAAATGCACGTTGACAATGATGATGCGCGCACCAGTCAGGCGAGACTCGAAGAAGCAGATGACGGCGATGTTGTCCTTGGGCATGACACGGTTGAACACATCGTGCTGGTTCTTCATGTCGGGGCGGTTGATGGCGATGGAGGCGAACTCAATAAGCTGCTTGTCGAGCAAGATGAACTTGCTCTGTTTGTAGAAGATGGCACAACCGTCGACACCTAGAGCGTCCTTCTCTGACATGGTCCGGGCACGGGACTTGGGCCAGTGTACACCCTTGTAATCCATTTGGGCGAGTTCGGGGCTGAGGTCCTCCTTGAACGCCTCCGTAGACACCTCCTGTAGGGTTAAGAAATCTGCGTCCCTGATGCGAAGCTCATCCAAGATGCAGTCCTTTCGGTATTCCCAGTTGAGAGCGCCAGAGGGAGTATAACCGTAAGTCTGCTGCGTTGCATATTTATCGCACAGAATATTCCACGAAAAGACTTTGATGGTCTCCAGGTTGGCCGCGACGTCTTCCTGGATGACAATTTCTTTTCGTTGAGCAGGGGGGAGGGGAACTAAACAAGGTCAGCATTAATCTAATGAGAAATTTGAGACCAAACATACTTGGGGCGCCTTCCCTCAGAGCGTTGACCATGCTCTTGGTCCCCTTTTCCATGAGTTCCTGCTTCACGTTCGGTTCCAGTGGGTTACCCTCGATGCCCAACATTTCTAGGAGGTGAAGTGAGCCAAGCTCAAAGGGTAACTCTTGGATATTGTTGTTGAATAGCAACAACTGCTTGAGGTAGGTACACATGCCAAGCTCTGGGGGCAGCTCGGAGATTTGGTTGTAAGAGGCATCGAGGTGGCGCAGTTGTCGAAGCTCGCCAATCTCTTTGGGCAGGCGGGTGAGTTTGTTGGACGCGATGTAGAGCTCGTTCAAGAACTGGTACTTGAATAGCTCCGGGGCTAGGTTCCGCAGACCCTGGCCACTCATATCCATGTTGTGCCAGTCTTGTCGGGTCAAGTCCTTGTCCACGACCCATGGCCGCCTTCTATCAGCCGGGTCGTCCTCGCCGTCAGCCTGGGCTCGGATAGTCGTGGGGGGAGGGCCGCCAATTCCCCTGTTCTCCGACGCCTTAAGCCTAGCATAGTAGTGCGGTTGTTGTTGATCGGTCATGGCAGCATGGGCTCGTTCTGCCTCCTTGTGCATTCGCAATTGCTCCTGCCACATCTCGTTCTGGGGAACTTGTCCACCCCTTCCGTTTGACGAGTGACCGTTCTGAAGGGCGTTTGCATTGAAGGGAGAATTGGAGAGTACACCCGTGGCAAAGGACGAATGATGGGCGAGGCCGTTGGTGTTGGGTAGGCCATGGTCATGTTGAAGACCTTGGTGATGTTGCGTCTGGGCAGGATGCTGGTGTTGGGTGTGTTGATAGTTATAAAGCAAGTTCGGTATTCCTCGCCCAGCACCATTCAGCCGGCCATTATGGGCCTGCTGATGGTTCTGGGAATACATGGTGGCAGAGATTTAGCCACTCACGATATCGCTTCCGAGGGAGGAAGGGGTAAGTCGATGGCGCCAGCAAGCTGCTCAGCGAAAAGGTTTGGACGTCGACAATCTCTGAAGAGGGAGGGAGAAGGGTTTTCGGCGAAGATGACTTGGCGTTTGGTGGTCATCGGCCGCCTTGGTGGTAGTCGTTGGCAAGGCGGGTTAGCGGGGGTTCCGGGTGCGGTAGGTGAGCGCTGAGTGACTCGGCGCCTCACCCAAGGTTGAATAGGAAGGACAGCAGCGGATGCTCGCGTCTACGCATGGGCCCGTTGACCGAGGACGCCCTTCGTGATCCGTTGTGGTGGTTCGGGAGTTCGGGTCGTCGGTTTGCTTGGAGACGTCAAGCTCTAGAGTTCATGGAAAGGCTGGCGGGACACGAGGAGGCTGGGCACGGGTTGAGACCAGGCGGCGGGCGCAGCTCGGGGATTCACTGCTGGTAGGGCTGAGGCAGTGAATACTTGCAGATCGAACAGGCGGGCGCAAGGCGTTTGCGGGAGTCAAGAAAGGCCTGCCAAGGGAGCTGGTTAGTCAAAGCTTTGAGGACAAACACATCCGCGAGGGGGGATCCGAGCTTTCGCGACACGTTGAGGTGTCCTTTCAGCTCTGGCGGGGGGGCACGCACGGAAAAGAGGGAGCGCGACAGGGCGAGATAATCACTGCAGATTCAACTGATACTTGGACAGAACAATAGCGGTCGATATCGAAGAGCATCCGAACGTGGCGACACTGATGCTGGTGACACTGCGACGACAGACGAGCCCCGACGAGCGGCATGGCATCACGTGCAATTGCTCCGCATGGCTCGTGCGGCTGTGAATGTCCAGGTCACGTGTAGCCTCATCGTCGCCCACGCGCTGTGTGCGGTGCGACAGAATCAAAAGACCAGCCTGATTGAGCCGGAATTGCTTCATCAAGGTGGACAGGGTTAATTTGAGATGACGTGCTCCCGACAGCCATGTTTCTGAAGTCTAGGGACTTTGCCCATTGGAGATATCGCATCAAATGCCGTTCTGCGGCTCTTCCCCTCGGCAGTTGTACACCTTGATACCAAGAATACCAATGCCGCATTATTCTGTCGCCTTGCAGAAGCGGGACCATCGACTAGGATTCTCGCAGCATCTCCAGACTCCAGCACTCGGATCTCGATGATATCAACAGAGTGAGATATGGTTCGGGATTGTAACCGCACAGGCCTCCCGGTCCAGATTCGCAACCGTACCACAAAGGCTTGATCGGATCATTAGTTGGGCCTGGAAGTCGTCTGGGGGCGTATCAGTGCCGCCATCAATTTGAGATATCACGAATGTCTTGATTGAGGAGATGGAAATGAGACACGTCATGCGCCCGGCCGAGGTCTAGTTCATGTTCCATTTCTGATTTCCTCTACCGGACGACGCTGCGTCTTTATTTTACACGGCTACTTACTACATACGGCAGTACGAAGTGCATTTGGATGGATACAATGGATCATGTTTGACAAACTCCGGGCGCGTGCTGCGTGGGGACTTGTCGATCCACTGAACCAAATATCGCTCCTCTTCGGATGGTCCTCAGAATCGAGGCAGACAGCCGACACGCCAAGAATACCCCGAGTCAGAAGGTGGTTCGGCCCAGCGATCGTTGTGGATATGCGCCCATGAGATTGTTCGCAGCAGCCAAGCGTCCACGACCACGGCACGCCCGAACCACGAGCGCGCGGGGGCCGAAGTATCCTGGTGCGCGATGCGATCGAAATCACTAGCCTGCAGTCGAAGCAGCCACGCCGCCACGCGATGGGCATGGGCCATTGATAATGCAATGGGCATGGCATGGGCAATGGACGTCGTCGCAAGCACACGCATGAAACTCGAGATTGTTGGGCCATGACTGGCAACGAGGCGGCAAGGGGCAGTCAGTTCCTTGGATCTACCGAAAATAGCACCCCACCGCTAAGAGAAGTGGTGCGTTGAATGGTACGAGGCCTATGGCCGCCGCGCTTCGTTTTGACTCTAGCTACTTCGTACTACGTAGTAGAGCGCTTCGAAAGAAGTTCTGGACGGGCCGCTCGAATTGGGGACTATCATGCTCGTTTCAAGGTTGCCGTCGCCCAAGCTAACGTGCAATGCTGGAGACGGCCGGGCCGTGTGTTGCGGGTTGCGGGTGATGGCCGTCAATCTCGGCTACACGGCGTTGCCGCCTCGCTGGGGAGGTGCAGAGTGCAACTGCGCGCAAACCGATGTGCTGCAGGTCGCTGGCGCAGCAGACAAGGCCCATCCCGGTGGAGAGGGTTGCATCACCAGGCACAAAGGACAAAGGGTGGTGGTGCATTGGTGGTGCAGTTCGATGGCAGACTGGATTGGCGAGGGGCTCGTTAATGAGGGGCCTGTTATTAACGAGGGCAGACGGACGCCGGAAGGATCTCTCCCTCGTTCAGCGTATTCGGCCCAGTTCGCCCATGGCTGGTCGTGACGCCGATCAGGCCTACATACGTAGTATGATAGTATGGTGTCCATATCCAGCCACCGCCTCGCTCTCTCCAACCGGGTTCGCCTGGTAAAATGCAGCCGCCTCGGAGAGCGCCAGCGTGCACCAGGGGCCCGGAAAGTCCACAAATCCGCGGTCTGCGGTATAAACACCACCTCGTTTTTACAGGTTCCTGACGCGTCTCGGCCTTCAACGGACCTTCAGCATATGCGGGGGAAGGCCAGCAGACAACGGCTGCTCCACACCCCGGAACCCAGCCAGGCGCAACAGTCGAATGGGATTGTTCGCCGATGGCTAAATAGAGGTGCCAGTGACGAGTGACGAGTGACCAGTGTGGAAGAAAGATCCCTCGCCGCAGCAGCAGCAGCCATGACACCTTGCAACTTGCCTGCGTACTATGTACTACCGCGTATATAGAATGTGACCCTCTGCCATCCTTTTCCGCCCTGTTTGTGCCCTTGTGCCCTTGTGCCCTCCTCTCCGCGACCTGAAACTCTGGAGTTGGCTTTGTTGTCCGCCCCGCTGCGTCAGAAGCCGCCCAAACTCTATCTCCCACAGCGAGCGCCCGACCCGTTTCATCGCTACCATCCGCTCGTCGCCCAAAGACAGACACCGGGCTCTTGGGAGCCCAAGACAACCTCGTCTAAAGCTGCCCCAAAGTCGCCGGCTTGCGCACTTCCGCCAGCACGAACCACACTGCACGCTGAGCGGCGTCCGCGCCTGTCGCTGTGGCCGGACCTTGAAGAGTGTGTCTCACCATCGCGTCGTAGGCAGCGCCATGGTCAACGCCTTCTTCTCCTCTCCTAGACAACTAAGAACTAGCACCACCGCGGAGGCGCAAAAGATGACAGCCACGCTTCGCCGCAATCACCACCACAAAGGATACCCGACTGTGCGACCTGTGCGACCTGTGCGACCTGTGCAACCCCAAACTGCTCAGCAGACCAGAGCTGGAGCCCACAGGCGCAACGGTTGAGGAGGAGTCGTGAGCAAGCCCGATACGTCACATTTGAACCAAGCATCCAAATCCGCCCCAAATCCGCCCAAAATCCACCACATCCACTCCCCAAGTCCCCATCCTAGAGGCTACGCGTAGCCTACTACGTACTGTACAGTACGGGGACCAACACCACGGCGACGCCGTCTCGTTTCCTCTCGTACCGCCGCTGCATCTATTCGATCCCGTCACAGACCATCACAGACGTGCGAACCCTCTCAGCAGCTAGAGGAATTTCGCACCACGAATCTCGTCTGGCCGTGGCCTGATTCCGTGGTTGCGGTCAGTGTCGGTGGCGATTCACCTTCCTCGTGCATTAATCAACAAAGGAACCCTCCCCTCCCCCAGCATCCCTCCGCGGGTGTCGGTAAACGGGCATCAGGTGCGCGCATCACCTCGGCGTACCACTACGAACAGTGCAAAAGTAAGGGGCCTCATCTTGATCGCCCAGAGGCCTTTTCTCCCCCTTGTCGAGTCAGCGCACCAGGGGAGCCATTCCGGGATACCACCCGGGACAACAGAACCCAGTCCCGCGGCGAGGGAACCATTCTAGAAGGCCGCGACAACAGCGACAACAGCGACTACAGTGGATACACGCCAGGCACAGGACACCTGCCGCTCGCAGCAATTGGTGCCGCGGCTCGCAGTGAGGTCCCGAGCGGCGGTGGCACGCTTCAAGCCACCCCTGCTGGTACGGAGGTAGTCGCCGCCCTTGCTCTCGTCTCCTCTCCGGGACTGGACCGCCTCCCCCCCCCCAAATCGGCCGTCCGCGCCAAACGGGATAGCCCCGGGTCGTAACAATGTCGGAATGGAGCGGATTTATCTACGCCTCTGCCGCCCCTTTACCCACCTACTCTCGACGGCCACAACGTGAAAAGGAGAGGCTGCCCGACGACCCTTCGCGGTCCAATTCGACCACGAGAGACTCAGCTCACTCACGCCTAGCCCTTCGACACACGAGGACGTCCAGTGGCAGCCAGGGCAGCCGCTCGTCTCACGAGTCGACGCTGAATCCGAGCAGCAGCCCCGCCGCGGGGGACCACGAGGCCCAGCACCAGCATCCTCCGCCGCCGACCATCGTCTCGTCTGACTCGCCTGCGTCGTCGATATCGTCTCACTCCATCCCGACATCGCCCAGGCCCATATTGAGCTTCAGCGGAGCCGCCTCGTCTGCCTCCTCCATCTTCTTCAACCGCTCCTTGGGCGGTGAGAAGAGTCGGGCTCGCGAACGTCGCGCCCGTCAGGTCGAAGCCCTCTCCTCTGTGGATCTGAAAAATGTCGCTATGTATTCGGAGTTGGAGGCCAGCAACAAGCCCATGTCGGGCACCACAAAACAAATAAACATCCCCTTTGCTCGCACTGAGTCCATCTCGTCGGCAAGCGGTACCACCCTCTCGACACACACTATGACCTCGACCGACCAGTCCAACTCCTCCGACAACCCTGCAACGAAGCCCTTTATTCTGCGCAACGGACGCACATACTATAACGACCCTACGCTCCAATACCCGCTCCCTCATGATCTCACCGAGCTCCACCGACAATGTCTTCGAACCTTGCTGATGATCCAGGTGTACGGTGGGCCCATCACTTCCCCGTCCCTGATAGCAAACCCGCCGACCCGGGTCCTGGAAGTCGGTTGTGGCACCGGATACTGGAGCATGATGTGCCACAGGTACTACAAGGAACGCGGGCATAGCGGCATCTCCTTCACCGGTGTCGACATTGCCCCGCTTGCCCCTGGAAGCTCCAGTGCCCCGTCAGATTCCAGCAAGCCGGACAAGGACATGAAGTGGAAGTTTGTTCAGCACGATCTCCGACAGTGCCCATGGCCGTTCCCGGACGAGGAGTTCGACCTCATCATGGTCAAGGACACATGCTTGATGATCCCGAATATGATGTACCAGAGCTTCATGGAGGAATATATCCGAATGCTTAAGCCTGGTGGAACCGTGGAGATGTGGGAGAGCGATACGACATTTCGCATGCTCAGGCCGCATGTTCCCACTGCAGCGCCCGGTAGCGACGAGGCTGAGGACCACGAGACCGCGATGAAGCTAGGTGCCTATCTCATGACGCCCAACACGCCACTCTCGGCACCGTTGAACACATTCCTCGTCGAGTATAACCACTGGATATCGCGGGCCCTCGAGCTTCGGACACTGACAGCCGTTCCTTGTACTCTCATCGGGCCCTTCCTCTTGCAAGAATCCGAGACGCTGAAGGAGGTCAAATCGAAGCGCATGGCAATTCCCCTCAGTGAAGTACGATGGGAGCGGGAAGGCGTCGGAGGTGTCGTCACCAAGGATGGCAAGTCGTACGTGGAGATGAAGGGCAAGGGGCCGCACCAGAAGGTGGAAAAGAAATCCTTGACCGCCGGACAAAGCGCCTTGCGTAAGACTGCCATGTTGACGGTGGTGCAGCAGATTCAGGCCCTAGAGCCGATTCTGCGGGATGCGAGCGGAAAGAGCCAGGACGAGTGGGATGTCTGGCTGGGGAAGATGATGGCGGATCTCATGAATGAGAATGGCACAAGTTGGGGTGAATGTCTGGAGGTGGGAGCGTGGTCAGCAAAGAAGCGGGCCAACCCTTAAGCAGAGGTGAGGTGAGGTGAAGGCAAAAGCAAAAGCAATGTCGCCTACGTGGGTTACGACTGGCGAATGGGAAATCCATCTCAAGTTCGAAAAAATCAGAATGCTTCCACGCATTGCACATGGGCGTCTACAGTCTGGGGTTTATCAAATCGATCCTCGCACCATGTTACCCACCCGCGTGTCCGACACCGTTTGCGAGCTCCTCTCGCCCGCGCTCACGCGCCGGGAACATATCGTTTCCTCAAAGTACGATACCTTTTTAAATAATATCTATACCCGGAGTATCAGTACAAGAGCAACGATTTGGCAGGAATGAAGATTCAAAGAAGTAGGGTGAATTGAGCGGCAGGCACAAAGATGGACTTCCACCATGGCAGGTTCCATAAGGATTGGTAGGAATATGGTAGGAAAAGGACGGGACGATTATCGTCAAGGGAACATATCCTCGGGATTGTATATACGATGCAAGGAACTGCAGCTCACATCGTCCTGGTCGGACATTGAGGAATACCAGGTCTCGATTCAAAAACAATTGGCATTGGATGGGAAAGGGTAGGATAGGATGGGTTCGGAGGATAGACGATTAGGAATTGAGACACTTGGTGAAGACTTGATCCAGTCTTATCGATGCAGTGCAATGAAACCGTGAATGTGGGTAAGACAAGGAGCATAAATCCAGAGACTTACAACATCTCAATCTCTAAAAACAGATTAGCAAATGGTGTATAATGTTTCGGCGACCGGGTTGGTAGTACACACCTTTCTTGACGTACTCAGCCTGGGCGATGCCTTTGCGAATATTGTCGTCGTCCCGCTCTGCCGCCTTGGACATGAAAGCCTTATGCAGGCGCGGGCGGAAGAAGCCATATCCAAGAGGGTATTCTCTACCGAGGTATAACAGTTCTGTTATAGAGTGTCAGCCATCTCGGCGTGTCGTGTTGCTATGAGGCTTAAGGAAGAAGCCGAGGCTGAGGTGGAGAGCGAGGTGAGGGAGGGGATGATACCTTTGTAAATGGCAATGACTTGCCGTCTCAGCTCGGGGTTCGGAGTCGTCATTTCAGAAACAGTGACGCATTATCTTATTGACACGGGCCCAGTTGTCGCAGTCGGGCTACGGACGGAGACCTCAGTCAACGAACAGAATGATGCCGATGCTAGTGACGCAAATGATGCCAAGTCGAGAATGTCTACAGTGCTTTTGGTGGCTGCATGCGCTGTAGACGCCCCATGTAACCCCGCATCAGCCACCTGCAAGGCTGAGGTCCGGTAGAAGCTTCAGCCACATGGACTGGAGTGCAACAATGGCGCGACTTGGCCCAGAAACCAAACTTGTCCTCCTCCATCTTCCCGCCATCACAGCCCTCAATTGGACAGTTCATTCAGCGCACTCCGGCTTGCCATCACCATGGCGTTAAGGCTGCTCGATTACAAGATTGCCCCGGCGCTTCGCGTCTTCCCGACCCTCAAGCGCTTCACTCCAGCCCTCCAACCGCGGTGGCTGATAGGCATCCCTCCAGGAGGTCCCCTCCCCGGGGCCATATCTCATGGCTCAATTAGCTCTGTCTATGATGACCTCGGTGTCATCGCCTTCGCAGGTGCCTCTGTCAAGCAGGCCACCCGCATAGGGACCCTCTTGGAAAAGGTTGTCTCCCTTGGCGGCGCCTCGGTGATGCGTACCGCCACCTACCACCCGTCAGACAGATACCATAAGATTGTCAAATACAGGCTTCCTGTAGAGGATGGGCATATTGACCCAATCTTTAAAACCGAGGCTCGTACTGGAAATCTGCATGATTTTATGGTAGTAGGAGTCACTAACATGAATTCCACCACAGGAGGGATATCTCTCCATCGAGGGGCTACTTCGTCTTGGGAAGACGGCTGCCTTTAAATGGGGGACGGGGGCTCTCGAGAGTTCCAATGACCCAGATATCAACACCAAGACGGTCAAATTTAGAGAGCACAATGTTCGCATTCAGCAAGGGCCGCTCACACAAGGAGTTGTCCATGTAAGATACCAAACCAAGTCCAGTGAGATTCGGCGGCGGAGTATTCTGATCCTAACTGCGAGTCAACAGCAAACTATCAACGGACCAAGACGCCTTCCAGTTGATGCCATCCTCCACATCGCCATAAAGCCAGGTGTATGCAGGGTCAGCATGTCAATTTTGTTCTACACGGCCATCAAGGGACACTACCTAGGCACAACAAAGTTACACCTGGACTTCTACTCCGCGGCAAACGGTATGCAGCCGCTGCACGCCGACTACACGTCGACAATCTTCGAGGGAGGACCACACGAGGTCCCGGCCAGGCGTAGCGATCGCGATTTCCTCAACAAATCCGTCTGGAATCTGGAGCGTCAGGTCTGGGCTCACCGCGAACCTCGCTCACAGTCACTTGACCAGCGCCAAACGCCCAAAGGGGAGGCGGCCAACCATGTACAAAATTCTCGACGAGGTTCGGGGGGCTTAGATGATGAGAGTTAGTAGTGGTTCCCCTTGTCGAATTCGGAGACACGTCCCTAGTTCGATGACAACCGAACATCGGTGTTGGATCTGTACAAAGGCAGTTGGGCCATGCAAATAGCATGTTCAATAGCCTATATGACTATGGTCGGGATTAAATAGCAAGCAGGCAAGCAGGCAAGCACGACGGTCAGTTTTATAGTACCTCTGGTAGATGTATATACAACCATGTCGTTTGATTTCGACAGACTCGGTCTAAATCGAGGTTTAGCCAGACAGTATATCAGTGAGCACCATCCGGCATGGCCATTTCTTGACCAAATCATAACATAGAGAACTTGTATCAAATAGTTATCCGGTCCAACTATGACGACAGGTAAACTAGCTGCTATCGGTTCTTTATTTCGCCACCCGACCCAATGATGAGCACGCGACACAAACCGGGAATCCTCACCAATGCGTAGTCGGAACACACGTCCAGTTTAGTCGACCGTTTAACTACAGGGGTCAAACCGTCGGGCGGGCCGGAGATTAGGAAAAAGCAACGACGTGGAGGGAAAACGGTGCGGGCGCAGGCTGCACGGGACGTGTAGGTCGGGTTCTACGGGACTAGGATATGGGCAGCGTGTGTGCGCTTGAGTATCCCGACTGGGCGCGGTGGGAGCTAAGCCTTAGGGGCATTTTCTGCAGCGTGATATCGCGATGTGAGGTGCCGGAACCTTACGATGCGGTGCTCTAGCTTGCCTGTGGCACCTGGTTTAGGAAAAGGACCAGAGTGTTTTGCTGGAGGGCGGGAGAGCGTGGTCGGGGGTGATTGGTGAGGAGGTGGGGGTTGGCAGGGGAGGTGTCATGTGGAGGAGCAATGCGGGTGCGGGTGCATTCCAGGTTGGCAGTGAGGTGATGGACGTTGGGGTTTCGTGATGATGGGGGATTGGGGGCGGACGTGTAGTTTATATGAGACGGGCGATATCGAGTGAGGGTTGGAGTTATCTATGGAATTGCCTGTTTGGGCTGTTGGTGATGGAGGATACGAGACTATCTTCCCCAGACTTACGGAGTACACTCGGACATAGACATGCAGTCACACAAGGGCATGGCAACAAGAGTACTCTAGCCCACAAGTACATGTACAGTACAGGCCTGTATCGATCGGCCAAGGCGGGTGATTAACAGCGCATCTCTACCGACCGCTTCGATCCAGGAAGCAGGAAGCGGCATTTGAAACGACATGGCACGCTGCTCAACACCACCTCCCCCGTCCAGCCTGTCAGGCCTGCAGCAGTGACGATAAGCCAACGGAAGGAGACGACGTGCGAATACAGACTGCATGTGGCGTCCCCTCTTGTGCGGCGCGGCGCATCCCGCGCGTCGAATGAGTGCCGCGTTGTTCACGGCCTCTGAGCCGATCCCCGCTTCAGAGGGCCTCGACCCCGTGAGGGAACGGAGGATCAAGGGCCGACAAAGATCCAATGATGTGATGGTTTGAGGTGGATGGCACGGCGATCATGGCGAGGAAGTGGAAGAGCAATCGCCGCCGAGTATCGCGAAATAGGGTCACACAGAGCGTCAGGCCACCGCGAGCTATGAGGCAAATCACTTCCCAAAGACGCGTTGACGATGGCTAGCTCCCACGCACACCGTCATTTCACCCCGCTCCAGGCTAAACCATTGTCCAGTGCCGTGCGATGCAGCGCCTGTCCAGCTGGGCACTTCACACTGCGGAGAAAAGGTGTGGAGGGCTGTGTGCGAGCGTTGTGCACGTGTGTGTGCTTGGCCGGGGCAATGATGTGCAGGGGCAGGGTTAGGAAGCCGGCCCCCAACCAGGAGCGCAGAACTGCCGACCGAGGGGAGCGCGGCATCCAAAAGGGCCCTCCAAAACGCTGCGAATAATGCAAGACGATAGGCTGGCCGCGGTGGTGGTGGTGACCTGATTTGGGGGGTGGGTGAGGGGGATCGTCGTGTCTTGTCTGTCGCTCGCCTGTATCTTCAGGCGGTTCTGGACGGGAGGCCGGGGGGGATGGGAGGGCAGGAAATTACCCACCAAAGGCAGTGTGACTGTAAAGGTTTAAACCCGGGGACGAGATGGGCAGGGGAGATGGCATCCTGGTCGTGTTTCCTCCATTGGCAGACGGAGAGAAACTCATCGTGAAGCTTGACGAAACTCCAAGATAGTTGGAATAACAGGGTTGTGCTTCGTAGAGCGAGGGAATTCAAGACGGCGAACCAGCGGTCTGAGAGGAGGTTAGCTGGGATGACTCAAAGCCATGTCCTAGCAGTGGCGCCGCAAACGAGCGTAAGCAAGGAATCCGCAGGCTCATGAACAATTGCCATGACGGCAGAGTCTTCACTGTGCCGCAGACTGTGTACAGGACCCAGACCAAAGACCCGATGTTCGAAACGGACCCAATCGAACAAGGATCCGAGTCCCTTCCCCCCTCCTACTTCAAAGTGTGCGCTTGAAGGGTTAAGAAAAATAGGAAGCGGAGACGCAGCCGGGGGGGGAGCCTTTCTTGCAAGTCGATCGGCAACCAGCGACGGCGTTTATCGTCGGGGGCGGCGCTCAAAAAGAGTGCGTGGTTTGGACGGCGTCGTTTCCGATGCGAGATGGTGGGGGATCCACATGCCAGCGGCTACAGGGATTGATGTAGGTTTTTTTTTTTTCAGGGTACGAGAGTACGAGAGTACGAAAGGGACGTTGCATTGGAGAAGGCATGGAGCATCGGAAATGGACAGTGAGGGCAAGAAGTGGTGTAGGTTCCCAGGGCATCGGCGACGATGTTGCTTTTTGATTGCGGTTCGTCGAGTCTTGCTTCAAGTTCTGTTGGCGAGGGCAGAAGTTAGAGACGCTGTATAGTAAACTGCTGCCTGGTTGTTGTTTCTCTCAAGTATACCTACCTACGTACTGTACAAGCTGTACATCCATAATTAGTACTCGTAGGCTTTTGCCGGGAGTGGAGGCTGCTGGTGTGGTCGCTTGGTGGAGAGGCCCGACGGAAAGAGTCAAGTCGAGTCGAGAGGCTGAAATGATCAGGCCAGCAGCCGGCCGAGTGAACTGCCGGGGCCGATTCGTCGTCAGGGCTGCTTCAGCAGATCCTGCAGCTACAGCAGCGCCTGCAGACACACAGCTGTAAATGCACACAGTCTTTGGTTTTCAGAGCTGGTGTTTTGTTTTGGTGTCAATGCTCATTCTGTAAATTAAGCCAAAGCATTGTGTTTTGCTGATCGCGATCCAGGTTCCCCTGTCTCTGGCCTCGGCGGTACTCATGCTAGCAAACAGACATGCTTATTAGTAGCGTCTCAATCCGACCTTGAAATGGCCGGCTCTCTCTCGACTCGCCTCGCCTCGACACGACTCAGACCCAGACCGAGGCATCAACCATCACGGAGTCCACCCCCTTCCTTGCTCGGGGCTCGCCAGCCAAGCCGGGGTCCGTGTCCGTCCGTGTGCAATGGATGGTGCATGTCAACAGTCTGTGTGTCTATAGTCTGTGTGACCATGCTTCGCTTCCATGCCCGCGCAGCCCATTTCCCCTTGATCGACTCAGGGCATGTCCCCAATCGGCAACCCGTGGCGCAACGACGTCAGCACCAATGGAGTAAAAGCAGTGAAAGCAACCCCTACCACAAATGGCATCGCAAGGGCGAGACGCCGGAAAGCTTAACCTCTGGGGGCCGGCGTCCGTGTCAGACGCCTCATTCGCTGTGTCAATTGCGAGACCGTTCCAGGCAGATACCGATTGACATGTGCGAATCGCATGAGTTTGGCGCTTGGAGGGACGTCTGACGGCGGCAATCAGCCATCAGCAGCGAAAGGTGACGATGATGAGGCTGGGCATGTTTCTGGTGGAGGAGCGACGGCAGTTCCGGGATGGTCCTTGCTCGGGAAGGGTGTTGGCAGCTTGTTTGCGCACGCGTCGCGCGTCTTGTCTTTTGTCTTGACTACAATCTACTGCTCGCCTTACGTACCGCAGCCCCAGCTGTCAGTCATGGGAGATGCCGTGCGCCGCTGTCCGCTGTGTAAAGCCGTATGTCCGGCATGAATCAATCCAATACGAGCAAGCACAGGGACCACAGGGACCACAGGGACCCTTTGTGCCCGTGGCGAACAATGCCAATGGCAATCAATGGCAGTCGACGAAATCCACTACGGGCCATTACACGTCGCACTACAAGGCGGTGCTAACCATAACAAAGAAGCTCGCGAATCAGAAACTTGGTGTTACAGTGAGCCGACGTCAATGGATGGTCTTGTGACGGATGTGGATGGGCCTTGTTTTCGTCGTCCATGCTCTCTGCTGCTCTGCTCTGTTGCTTAAAGCTTGCCCAATACGCACACAGTGTTTGCAGACGGTGTCATTGCCATGCTTGGCCGCTCTGGGGGAATCTCGTCCGTTATCTCTCAATACTACGCTGCATCCAATCCATATGTCAAAACAAATATAACAGCAGACTTCAATCCCTCAATGGATGAACGGGAGGGAGCACCGGAACACAGCGGCTTGGTGACGGCTTTTGGAAACGCTGTCAGCTCAGAGTAGCGCCTCGTCCATCCATCCGTCCCGTCCATCTCGTCTCATCTCACCCGATCCTTGCTGCCCACCTCCTGTAGACCCATGCCAGCCAGCACAGCTCCAATCCGCGTATCTACGAAGCACAGCACCCGTATCTCTCCATTCGCGTGCTGGGACAAATCTCTGCCCTCACAGGCCGCATCGTATTGCCCCTCTGGCTCCTTGGTTGGTTCCTTTGGCTGAACCGCCAGACGCGGAAACGACTCAGCAAGGAAGATCCCCCGCCCTGCCGCCACTCAACTCACACGCACGTCGCAAAGCCCCGGCGAGAAAAACTCAGGGACCACTCATCGCCTCATCCTGCGGGCTCGGGATACCCACCAAGTACCTGCCGACCATCCAGATCCCCACCTGCGCAACCACGCGGCTAGCGCCTTCGCCAAGTAGATCCAAGTCACGCCCCTAGCGATTCAAGCTCCAGTGGCGGGCCGGAGTTTTTCTTCAGGCGGCTTGTCTGCCCCCCATGCCGCCCGTAGGCCCAGCTGCCCACTATTCTTCAGTGGCCGCAGTGCACCACGCCAGAAGGTTCAGAAGCCACCACTAGCCCACAGTGCGGATTATGCACCCCTCCTGCCCTCCCTCGCTATTCCCGTTCCCGTCCATCCATTTGCATTTGGTCCATTCCTTTTACTTCTACCATCCATCGCCGGCCGTCACGTCCAAAAATCTCCCACCTCCACCAACCACACACATATCCACCTCCACATCCACCACGACGACCCATGCCGTCTCACCACCACGCACTCGGATTCACATAGGGCCTTCGAGACATTCACCATCGTTCTGCTTCCCCGCGATCCAGCTCCATCGCCGTCGCCTGTCGACCCTCGCTCCTTCCTGCGGCATCCACGGGAACCTCCGTCGAATGCACATGTCATCCCCCAAATCCGCCGTCGCGACGATCCGCCCCGCCACTCTGCCGCCTCCCAAACGTGCCTGTCCTCCCGTCGAGTCCCCCTGAGCGACACTCCCCGACGCCCGCGCCCCTACCGCCAGCCTGTCCCTCCTCGAGAGACTCGCCCCGGCTGCCGGCCCTGCCCTCACACGGTTCCTGGGTCCGTCAGACTGTGGGAGAGGTCAGACGTCGTCGCGCATGCCTCGCGCTTCGAGCTCGGGCAAGCGACAGCAAGGTGCCGCCACTCACCGCGACACCCGCCACGAGAATGGTCTTGTAGGCCCGGCTAGGCGTTCCTCCGATAAGAAGGGCTCCGGGGACGGCCCTGCCCGCCGGTCTGACCATGGCGTCGCCGGTGCCGCAGGGTCGTCGATCCCGGCCAACGGCCTCGCGAATGGCTCCTCGAAACTCCCCCTCGACAACTCCTCGTCCGATTCCCGCGCCAACGATGACTCCATGCGCCGCTCCTCCCTCGCCTCCGAGACGTCGTCCGAGTCGTGCATTTCCAACATGGGCACCAATGGCATTGTCGATGCCGGCCATCGCCAGATCGACGTCAATGCCTTGAAGAATTCCGACGTCCACCGCGACTCCGGTCCCTTCGACCTCGCCACCACCGTTCTCAAGTCCCTTCCCATGCAGGATACCCTCGCCATCCTCATCATTCTCATGCACGTTCCGCCGCTGTCTCTCTCCGCCATCTATACCGTCTTCACCTTCCTCACCTTTGTTCCTCCCGTCACCACCAGCTCAGGCATGAACATCAACCTCGCCGAGATCTTTGACGGAAACTCCACCATGCCCTCCCTTGTGACCATTTTGTGTATGGACTTTTTCTTCCTCCTGATATGGCTATTTCTGTGGGGTCCGATCCAGGATGCTATTCTCGATTTTGCCAAGCCAGTCATTGCCATTACCCTAGGAGGAGGCACCAGTACGAGAGACGGAACCTCGAGGGGTCTCACCACATGCTTCATGTGGGTTATAGGTCACCACCTCCTCCGTGGAACTAGGGTCCATTGGGGTCGTGTGGTTCGCCATATCCCGGAGCACTGGCGCATCCCTTCCGTCTTCAACAACCCTCTCCAGCCGGCCACCTCCACGTACGATAAGAGAAGTGCGTATGGGTGGGTGAAGAGTGTCTTGGCAATCCACATCTTGACCCAGGGCATTGTCCGATATATTCGGGAGTGGTATCTGCGGCGGGAAAAGGCCAACGCCTCCACCGGTGTGAGCGATCCCGAGGTAGGAAAGCCTCCCAGCGTGACTGGCGACATGGCCAACGACGCGGGGTTTGCTACGCCCGACACAGATGTGAGCTTCCAGCCAGCAACCGGTCCATCAACAAACAAGAAACGAAGAAAACAAAGCACCCAGGTTCGCCTGCAGCAGCCGCTGTGGGCAGCCCTCGCGAGCACCAAGATCGTCATGGTAAAAGAGTACGAACTGTCCCATGCTGCGTCCGAGTCAGCTGGGTCCAACGCAACCGACATTCACAACCTAGGAAACGCCCCATTCAATAGTCAACCCGGCCAAATATGGATATCCTACATTGGCAGCGACGAAGTATGCTTCAGCACTAGTCATTTTCCCGAAAGCGACGACAGTTCTCAGTCGCAATCTAACGGCCATGCGCCGCGACCCTCAGGCATCGACACATCCAAGCCGTTCTACGTCCGGGTGAACAATGCATTCTGGCAACCTACGCGCATTTTCTCTGTCCAAGATTCCGCTGAGGACTCGGAGCGAGGGGCTCGCTGGACAGGTGATATTTACGGATTACGCCCTGCATCTAAGTATGTTTGCGAATTTGTAGACACTCGAACAGACGAGGTCATCTTCACCACTAGCATCCGAACGGTTCAGGCAACCCTACGCGAAGCGGATGGCACTTCATCTGCGCTTCCTAACGGCCAGCGCTCCCTCCGACCCGACTCCCCAGCTACTACGCTCAAAACCTCCATTGCTGCCGCCGAGGCCAAACTGGCCGACGAAAAGTCTCGTCTTAAGACTTTGCGCAAGGAGTGGAAGACTAGGATCAATGCTCTGAGGAAGGACAACGAGCTCACCGACAACCAACTTGCCTCTGCTGGCAACCACGACGAAAAGTACAAGCAAAAGATTCGTCAACAAGAGACCCAAAAAGCTCAGGCAGAACGCGATACTGAACAGCTCGCCGATCAGCTTAAGAACTTTGACACTGCCCCGGAACTTGCTGACCGCAAGAAGAAGGTGGAAAAGTTGTACTCCTCTGAAAAGAAGGTCTTTGATGCCGCCCAAAAGGCATTCAAGGAGTACAAATCCGGGCTGGAGAAGGAGGTCAAAGCTAAGGAGGTCGAGAAGTCGAATCTCAACACCCGTCGTAACAAGATTGCCACCCGCATCGCAAAGGTCGAAAATGAGCTTGCGAACATCACCGATGCCAACACCCGAGGATTGGACGAAGCCGAGCGACGGAACCAGGAGCGCCAGGTGTGGCAGGAGCACGTTGCCGGTATCGAGGCCAACTACAACGAGCGTCTCGCTCAAGTCCGTGCTACCAACGCCGCCCGCAGCGAGCACATCAGAAACTCGCAGGTCCAGCTTCAAAGCTTCCATGACTTCATGAACTCTTCTAACGGAATGGCTTATGAGATGGCGTCGCCGGTCGAGGCTGGTCATCCGCCACAGCTGGGACCGCCGTTCCAACCCAACGCGACAGGATCTTGGAATCCCAACCCTGCTGCCATTCCTCATTATCCAACAAGCATGTGGCAAAGCTCCAACGACGTCCTCCCTTCGGTCTCTGCGCCAACGCTCCCGTCCATGTCCATGTGGCAGGCCCCGCCCACAGCGCCTTCGTTTGAGCCTCGAGTGACCCGATCTAGGGGACGCAGCTCCAGCATGCTTAGCAACGTTAGTGGCTTCACCCAGTCGAGCGGCGAGGATTTTGGTTCCCCGCCGATGGACCCGTTCCATATGCGACATATTTGGGAGAACCATCCTAGCAGGATGAGTGGCAGCGGCGGCGGAAGCAGCGGCAGTGGAAGCGGTAGCACCGGCGATCCGACGAGTCCGAGGTGAGGGTGCGGTGATGGCAACATCATGTGAGCGCCTAGAACAGCGGATTGAGTTTTGGTTCAGTTGGCTGGCTATTGAATAGCGTGTGCAAGAATAAAAGTAGTGACTTTGTTATCTGTCTGTTCACTCATGATTGTGATGTATTGTCCCGCAAGTTTGATCTGGTTTCTGAACAATAATCGACTGTCCTCTGACCAGACTTGAGCATCGCTGTGGGTAAAATTTACCTAAGCGCGGTTGCCTGAGGTCAAGACGGGGTTTGCTCATTCTCGACTCAGTCCTCGCTCACTTTGGTGATGCACCACGCGATTGATTGTCAATTTCATCTCACCTCAGCAACAATGGACCTTTGTCCTTGCGCAGATCATTCACTTGGATGCAATGCGGCGTCATGTGGTGTGAGTACAAGTTTGATTTTGGTTTCCGAGCGACACTGGGCCTTTGCCCTTGCTAATACTCCAAGTTCAAAGCCATACGCCATCCATCCTGAGTCGGGTACATATACCAAGACCGAGAAAATTCAAGCCACCATCCTTTGTGTTTGGGTATCTTACATGAAGGTTCGTAATTCGTAATTCGTCAGCTCATCGTGGTCAAACCCCAAGGCCTACATGCCCATGCGCTGCACCCCGTTGGTGGCATCGGCGACCATGCCATCCACATCGCCGTTAGCCTCAGCCTGCTCGTTAGCGTCAACCTGCTCCTCGAAGCGAGCGATGCGGGCCCAGAAGCTACGAAGGCGTTCCTCGTTACCACTGCCCTTCGCCATTTCGACGACGATAGCGTAGGCCTCCATGGTCAAGAGCCTGTTTTCCCGGAAGCACATCTCCACCTTCTCCTTGAAGCGCTCGAACTCCTCTTCGTTGCATCGGACCTGCTCCTGGAGTTGGAACAGATCGTTGCCGCAGGAGTTGATCATACTGTCGTTGTCTTCGAGGAGCTCGGTGTGCTGGGCGACTTTCATGGTTGTCTGCTGGACTTGACCAGCAGTGCGCTCAACTTGCTCGACGGCTTGATCGACGCGCTTGACAGTTCGCTCGAGCTGCTGGGTGGTTTCGACGACCTGCTCACGGATGAGGTTGCTCTCCTCAACCGTAACAGGGCGAGCAATTTCGGTAGTCTGCTATTCACATCCGGTCAGCCAAGGGAACCCCAACTGAGTATGTCTGCCACTCGAGCTGCACTTTGAACCCTCCCAAGGACACAAGATCTGAACTTTGATTCCCAGTCCCAGAACACACAAAGCGACATCTGGACCAGTCCCCACACGGTCTCTCTAAGGGACATCGTCAAGTGCCAAAGACGCATATAGGCAAATGTGGGCTGTGCAACACGGAGCAAACTGGTGTGATCCCGCGGGTTCTTGAAGTCAAATTGGCCCAGAGCTGAGCCTGGAGACACCGTTCTGTCCGGCGGCAAACCACTAGTACAGCCGAGCCCGCCCGATTTACGCCGCCACCGGACCGGGTGCCTCAGCCTGACTTCAAAAACCCTTGAAGCGACCTGAGTGATGAGGCCAAGCTAAGCTTGGAGATGTTCATGGGCAGTGGCTTATCCAACCGTGGGCGGGCAGAGCAGGCTCGGGATTCTGCTGGCCACTGTCCATGAACACCTGGAAACACACTCAGGACCTCAGCATCTAAGAAACCGCATCTGAGGGAAGATGCTGAATCTCAGTCGTCATGCTGAGGGAACTTTCTGCTTCGGGCTCACCAACAAAGAAGAAATGGTCCAAGGGGGAGTGCAGTCGAGGTGGATGAGAAAAAAATGCAGACATACCTTCTTGGGAGACTCGGGGGCAGTCATGTCAATGTCCTGCAAGTTTGGTGGTCAGTCTGGGCAAAGGAAAGAATGTGGCAGTTAGGTTACAAACCTCGTTGCAAGTGGCGTCGAAGGCGGTGGTGCCCTATCTCATGGCCCGGCGCTCACGCAAGCCAGAAGACTCGGCGCAGTGGGGGGAAGACATGGTTGATCGATCTGGGACGAGAGGTTAGAGACAGAAGAGACCAGGAATGAGGGAAGACTGGATGAAGGCAAGGGAGAGGATGACAAGCAACAAGGCTGAGGTGGAGGGAAGAGGGTGGAGGGAAGAAGAGGCCGAGCAAGGAGCAAGGTCAAGAAGACCAAGGACAAAGGCTGAGGTGTGCCAAGAGAAGGAAGAAGGAAGACGGAAGAAAGGGCACGAAGGAGAAACCCACTTGCAGTTTTTTGAGCTGAGTTGTTGTGAAAGTCGAGCAAGTGTGATGATGAAGGAAGAAAGGAGAGAGAGCTAAGGGGGAGAGAGGCGAGGTTTATATAGGCGGCCACGGCTGGTGACTGATTGCGGGCGACCCATTTGGGGCTGCATTTTTCACCTGCAGCTGTCACCAGCGTTTCTATTGTTCTCGTCTGTTTAATAGGCAGAAACCCTTCAGTTGTGGGGCATTTGCGTTGTTTGGCATGAGTTGGTGGTGATTCACGGCCAAGTTGCGCGCAAGGTGAGATGAAAGTGAGATGTGCGCGGCCTCGCCTGCAGCTGCGCAAACTCGGCTTCGAAGAGTGATTTGAAAGAGGTGCCCCGACGAAAAAGCGAAAGTGGGGCCAATGACTAGGCATTAGGGACGTTGAACAACTTCCCTCCTTCATCTTTGTTCTTTGGGGCGGTGTTGGTGATAACTCTTTACGTCGTCTCCCATCATCCTCATCGCCCACACACAACTCGTCCACCATGCCCCAGTGTCGACTCAACTCACGCCGGCGAAAGAAGGCCCGGCGTCTTCGAAATGCTCTCCAGGGCGCATGTATCGACATAGAGGATCAAACTCCTCCGGTATCCAGTGATGCCCTTGAGTCTACGACAACCACCGTGACACCACAAGTCACATCTGCCCCGAAGGAAGACACGGCGAAGCCTGGCGAGAGTGCTACAACTACGGAGCCAAAGCCACCTATTCCAGTGCGGAGACGAAAGCCTTGCAAGCGCCGTCGCCTGCCTGTGAGTTCCTGTCTTCCTTTGCCTGTTGTGGACATCGTCTCTCAAGGAGATCCACTGACACAACATCCAGGACCGCAACTACTACCACCGTGCAGAAGCACTTGACTATCGGTACCTCGCCTTCCAGCGGCGCACCCGACAACTGGTGGACGAAAAGATAGCCGATGGTCACAACCAGATGGCACGGTGGAGACTCTGGGCGGACACGGTGCGCTGGAAGTTTCAGAACTCGCTCGATAACCAGGCGACTATAGTGCGACGGGAGAGCCGTGTGATTACGGAGAAGGTGGAGGACATGGGGAATAAGTTGGAAGGCATGGAGAAGAAACTGATAGATCTGGAGAAGAACGTCACGAAGGTCGTGGGACGGTTTGAGAGGTTGGAGGAGCGGTTGGAGGAGAGGCTGAAGGGGTATGATCGGGAGGTTTACGGCATTTAGGTCAATACGACATGGAGGTGTTCTATCTCTGTTGTTGGTCTCTTGGCTCCATGTTCGTGGAAATGTGTTGTTCACCTGGATACGATGGTGTGTAGTTGTGAACAGTGGTACAATCTGCGAGTGCATGGATGTGAGAACAGTCTGCATGATCTAATATCAGCTAGCAATGCAGCCTCAAACATTGGCGAAACACAACATACTTGGGCAGATAGAGTGAAGATGAGATGACGTTGAAATTCCACCAAGAGTATCACATTCGTTGCACGAATTAATGAGCAATTGATGGGAATCTCTTTGCCATGGTCGCAGTGCATGGTCGATGGTGGTGTCAATTGGGCTACCCTAAAGTCAGCCACACCACCAGCTCAGCCACGGGGGGTCCCTGACAATAGTGGCCGCATTGTGTCGTGGGGCAAGCCACATGCTTGACTCGACAAGGATCATGCTTGGGCTTCCAAGTTCCAGGAGGCTCGCGACGCCAGCAAGTCTGCAACTGCGCTGCACCGCCAACTCGTCCCCACGGAGTAATGGGACAGACGTCACGCCGTATATTGCCCCCGCCGCCCTGGAGATGACTCCAACAGCGCCATGGACTTTGTGAGTCGGCGCATCCAACCTCGACATGACGCCGCCCGCCAGGTCCTCAGCTAACCATCTCTTGACGCAGTGGTCGCGCCTGTTAAGCCCCCTCTCCTCCGGGAGCTCCCGCAAGGACCAGGCAAAGGATCCTGCGAAGCGGCTGCATAGATTCGAGAAGGAGTACGGAAACCTGCTGGTGAGCGTTCCCCACCGCTGCCCTGTGGCGTGCTGCCCTGCGGCGTGCCGTGCCGTCCCGTACGACACAAGAGCATGAACTGACGGCCTCACCACCACAGTCGACATGGAGGAACTCTGGCAATCTGCCCCGGGACAGCGACGCCGCCGAAAACCTCGAGATCCGCCTGCAGGAGCTGACCAACATCCTCAGCGATGAGAGCCGCCGTCCGCTGCCGCACCCGTGCATCCAGTACGCCTCGATCAAGCAAATCTACGTCCCCATCGGCAAGATCGCCACGACATCGTACAACGAGTGGATCATCAAGGAGGCCGTCCTGTTCTTCGCAACCCTCATCGAGAGCGAGGAGGAGGCCTTTGTCGAGAACCCCACCTTCTCCGCCAGCCTGACGAACCTGCTGGTGCGCATCACCGGCGTAAACAGCGTGCGCCTGGGCCTTGATACGGAGTCCCGCGTCGTCGAACTCGCCTTCAACATCACCACCAAGATCCGCCTTGACCCGGCCATCCTCCCCGCCTGGTTCAAGACGCAGCGGGCCGGACCCCACCGAGATGAGAAAGACCGAGATAGCCGTGATACGTTCGTCGGCCGCACCCAGAGGGCCGATTTCCCCCTCTTTTATATCCTGATGGACTATATCCACCATGAGGGTAAGGTGGGCGACTTTGCGAGGACGGGTCTGCTGTACATTATCGAGGCGGCATCCAGCTCGGGGCCGCTGGAGCAGTGGATTGTCGAGAGCGATCTGTCTACTCTGATGGCCACGGGACTGGGTGCGTTGTACAGCCAGCTCAGCCGCAAGCTGGTTATCGATCACCCCGACGAGCTGCCCCCTATCCTCGCCCTTTCCGACTATCAACACCCCATCTCCAACTACGAAGTCATTAGCTCCTGCTCTCCCGAGTTTCAGTCGCACCTTGAAACCTTTTTATCCCATCTCCTGTTCTGGCAGGACGTCTTGAATCACTGTCGGTCGGTGGAAGTCAAGTCTACACTTCTGGAGCACTTCCAAGTTATTTTCCTGCAGCAATTATTGTAAGTTTGTCTCCAACTTTTGCATGCCCATGATTCCTGACACGTTCAGATACCCGTCACTGCTCGAATCCTCTGATATCGACGGAGGGTCGTCCGTGGCTGTTTTAACATATCTCCGCCGCATCCTTGAATCACTAGACCACCCCGACATGATCAATCTTATCCTCCACTATCTCTTAGCACTGCCGGACTCGCTTCCCTCAAACCGGCCTGGCTCAAGGTCATCCGTAAGCCTTGCGCGGAAGCGAAAGTCGATGGATCTCGCCACCATGATGGCAGAGAAATCCGACACCACTGTCACGCCCCTCCTGTTTAACCTGGTGGATCTCATCCTCGCCTGTTTGAGATCACGAAACCAACAGACTATTTATGTGACGCTTCAGTTGGTGTCGGCCATTTTGAAACGGCACCACCGATATGCCATCATCACACTCCTCAGAACCGACATCATCCCTATGAACAACCCCCGCCGAACCGTTGGCGCTCATGAGCAGGAGGTCGAGTACATGATGGCCCTGGCTGGAACCATTGGTGGCCAGGACAACTTTGACGAGGTCTATCAGAGCGTTCTCCGAGATACCATGTCTAGACTGGAGAGTCACCCTTGCTCCATCAAGCTGGTTGCACCGCGAGTGTCTGCGAGCAACCAGAGGCTGCCGGCTGTTGCCGACAGTCTGCCTGGAGCTCCCAGAGACGTTGGAGACCACACCCTCCGACCCGACGATCCTCTCTTGAATGCGTTGTTGGATTTGCTCGAGACCTTCTTCATCAACCCCGTGGAAACAAACCTGTCTGTGACAGAGACCTTGGTGGATCTGGCCATTTGTGGCTACATGAAAATCGAGGGATGGTTGGCACGAAACCCTGGTGCTTACACATATGGAGATGAAGACGACACTCTTGACGGCCCGGCAGACGATGATGGCACGGAAGCCGACGCTGAGCTCGACAGGCCTCGGACGGCAGAGGAGGAGCAAATCAAGGCGATGGAAAGATGTCGACAGCGACCACTGTGGACCCAAACGTCTGTGCCTCGTGTGCTGAATGTCCTCAAGCACTTGGAAGAGCAAGTGGTGTCGTACAGGAAGACGATACCGCGATTTGATGATTTGGTGCAACAACGACGCGAAGCTTTCCAGACTGCGGATGCCATGTCGACCCCCATAGCTGCCACACAAAAGGCAACCCCTGTGCAACAGGAAACACCAGATCGCGGGAGCCTCGATGAAGCGTCACGGAGTGCATCACCTTCGCGACCATCTGCATTGGAAGGTCTAGCTCACCGTCTACTGTCAGAGCTAGGGACGCCGAGTCGTTCAAATACGCCTCGAGGACGCAAGGAGCAGACTCGAAGCTCTCGAAGTGGAAATGCGACTCCCGGCTCCAAGCCAGGACTCGCCCCGCCCAAGGAGATCTACAGCGAACGAGGAAGTAGCGCTTCCCGTCGGAGCAAGTCTCGCAGCCGAGTTCGAGAGGAGACGAGCTCATCTCATGGGACCGGAAGTGACCCTGTCGTCAGTCAAATGGCAGCATTTGCTGCCATTGACCAGACCATTTTGGCTAAGCGGGTTGGGCTCCCAGCTCCCAAGGTCGACCCTATTCCTCTGACATTCGATAAGAAGCCTATGCCAGAGCCCGCCGACGCCGATGAAGAGAACGCAGACGAAGGGGACGAGCCTGTCGAGCCTGTCGAGCCTGTCGAGCCTGTTGCGCTTGTTGAGCCTGTCGCGCCTGTTGAGCCTGTCGCGCCTGTTGAGCCTGTCGCACTAGTTACTACGGAGGCAGTTTCTGCCAAGGCAGTAACTACAGAGGTAGTTGCTACAGAAGCAATTCCCACGGAGGCAGTTCCTACAGAGACAATTCCCACAGAGACAGTTCCTACAGAGACGGTTCCTACAGAACCAGTCACTCCAGAGCGGACTGAAATCACGCCTCAGAGTACTGCGAGTAAAGTGGACCCGGAAGACAGCGACGGCAGGAAGCCAGCAACAGTCTCTGTCTCACACATTGTCACTAACGTCATGATCCTGCAATCCTTCCTGTTCGAACTCGCAAGTTTGGTACAAGTCCGAGCAGGCTTGTTTGACGAGGTTCGGTTTGTTTGAGTCGGTCTGCGAAACGAGCTAGAAAGGGGAGCGATTGAACTGGTAGCTGTTGAGAATACACTGGGAGGACGTCCTTATGATTGATGAGCATTTTTGCAGTAGACGGGTGTTTCGTAGATTGGCGCCTGGGTGGAGACGTTTCAATTCTGAACTTTGGCTCCTTGTTCCTGAACTTCCGCGGCAACGTTTGTTTGGAGCAATGTCATGTTCAGTATGCGACTAGTATCGTGCTCAAATAAATACCCAGTTTGAAGTAGTCGTACCAGCCCGCATATATATACCCTCAAGTCTACTTAAATTACAATCGCAAAAAGTCAGACGACTTTTGACTCATGCCACGACCTATGGTTAAAGAAACACTGGTTGGTTGGAACCCAACTTCGTGCAACGAGCCTAATCTGTAAGAGAGAAGCGGTGAGATGGATTGATCGCCGCCAACTCTGTAGACATCCAACACTATTACCAAGTCTTGTACCCTTAGAAGAGAGCGGGGAAATAGCTGCGCAACTGGCATGATGAGCCCTGTCTGTTCTGTTCTATATCTGCTCTAATCACCCCAAGATGCCCGTCACTTTGCCAGATCATGCCAATCCAACCGTTTTCACCCATTCGCTACACGTCGTCGTTGAGGGCCAAGATGGCCGACTGTATGTCTTCGCTCTACGCAACTAGTTAGTATCTAGGATCGTATGAGGTTGCCTCCACAACTTACCCAGGGAGCAAGACTGAGCGCGATAGTATAATGTTTCAATGCGAGATGTCTCTTTTCTTTTCCCGAGATCGCATATGCCTCTCCAAGAAAGAAATGGACACGAGGCTCGTCGGAGACAAATTGTTCGACTAAATGCAAGGCTTGCAGTGCTTCCGCCGGCTGACCGAGACGTAACTGGATACTGGCCGTTTGCATCCTGATCAAGCTACTGGTAGTTTCTGGCGGGTCAAGACTAAGGCCACGGCGTAAGTAGCCAAGGGCCAATTGATGTTTACCAGCCCTTTCAAGCACCTGACTCAGTTAGCCTTGCGCCTCGGAGTTTGGATCTTCGCTTACCCTTGCAAGATAGGTAAAAATCACTGCATTGTTTGGGTTGATCTGTCGTGCCGCAGCGTAGAATTTGATCGCTTTCTCACCCTGCCCAAGCTTCTCTTGCACGCAGCCCAGGCCAACCCAGGCCAAATAGTGACGAGCGTCAACCTGGAGCGCCTGACGAAAAGCGGTCGTGGCTTCGGCATACTGCTCCGTATCTATGTACTCGTACCCGAGTAGAGAGAATGCCTGGGCAAGTGGGGGATGTAATTGACAAGCACGCCGGAAGGCTTTTATGGCCTCGTTTCGTAACTTTTGTAAGGATAACGAATTGCCGATGGCGCACCATGTTTGTGGTGATAAGAAGTGACTATCTGAGAGCTCATGTGCCAGGAATGCGAGTGCCACATCTTCCTTGAGGTGCCATAAGACAGTCGAATACACCTCAAAGTCTTCTATCCACGCCGGCGCGATTTTCCGAAGTATTCGAAATGTTGACCTCGAGTCCTTGTAGGACATGAGCTCGTACTGGGCTCTGGCAGTCTTTGAGAGAACCCATGGAGTAGCTTGCTGGTCTCCTGGGAGAGTGGAAAATGCTTCGAGGCATTCCTTTGGTTGGAACCGATTGAGGTGGTAATATCCACTTCCTAACTTGGAAAATAAGTCAATGAGAAGCTGAAGTTTCGCACGGCCTGAGGGTGTGGTGGCGGAAGCATGGTGTGGTTCAGTCTTGGTGGGTTCGGAAGACACGAGCTCTGGTATCTTTGCATCTTGGAGGGGAATGGAAACAGAGGGCTTGGCATCATCTGATGGTCGATTGACAGATGATTTCTGTTTGGTTGGGCGAACTGGGATTCGTGGTTTAGCGATGCGTTTAGAAGCCGTTCCGACAGTTTTGGAACTGGGAGCTGGACGATGCGTCAAGGTTGATACTGGCGGATCTTGCTTCAGTAATCGAGCACTCCTCCGCTGAGGTGCATCGGGCAATTTTGAGCTGGACGATGTGACATCAACCATCTCATTCTCATTCCGGGCTGATCTTGAACGAGTGGTTGGCGGTTCGACTAATCGTGCTGCTTTGACCTCGTCCTCAACTGGTGGGCTGACTTCTTGAGCGCTCGATTGGGGGACTTGTGTAGCCAGAGGGGACTTGCGACGAGTCGCAGTGCGCTTGACCATCAGATTGCGAACGTCCTGCCCTTCTGGGATCGACTTTGCCGAAGCTACTTGGGTCGGCTTGATGTCCGATGGAATATTTCGTAGTTGAAAGATGTTCGCTACCTGGAGCGGGGTTTCTGGTCACGGTCAGCTTCTAGACGTCTGAAAAGGAAGCTGGGGATGATGTACCACTGGCACAGAGATCACAGAGGTCGGTGAAAGCATCCCAGAGAAATGCATTTGCCTCCAACGCCGCTTCAAAATGCGTGGCTGCCGTCTTTGCATCTCCGCTCGCCCTGTACAACTTGCCGAGTAGACGGTTGACGGAAGAAGAGTCTGGTATAAATCGATCGGATGGTGACCGCTCACCTGCCGAGAATGTTATTAAGCTTGTAGGTTGACTGTCCGGATGCCGAAACCTACCAAATTGCTCTCGGGTAGCCCATAGCGGTCGAACCTGTTTCAAGGCCTTGATCCCTTCTGGATAATTCTTCTGCTGTAGACATGCCTGCGAAAACACGTAGCAGCAGCCGAGGTGCTCTCCTTTGAGAGCCTCATTGCGGCTGTATTCTGATGCTAAGGCATACTGACCGAGTCGCAGGCAAGCGAGGGACCGGAGATGTGTCCAGGCGGGCTCGGCTGGGTCTAAAACGTGCAGTCGCTCGGTAGCGAAGAGAGCGTTTTCATTCAATTCGTTGTCAAGGTAGTAGTGCACGAGTTGTAGTTGCGCCTCCATCCTGTTCTCGACACGCCGTACTGAGGATCATGTCAACATGGACGCCTAGCGTTGGCCAAGTACCCGGGTGGAGTTAGTCCGCGGGTGGATATTGGTCTGAGGCTGAGAATGTGTACAGTCTGGCGGTAGTGTAATTGCACTGTATTTAGACCTAATTAGGATATGCGCTTCCTGTTTAGGCAAGGCTGTGGTAAATGGAGATGTTTCATTGGCTAGTACCGTAGTTCCCGCGCGGGTGGCTTGGTACCAAATCAACCATGATGTACTCAGACGCCTCTCATCCATATCCCCCCCTCGAGTCCCTAGCAGGGGCCCTTATAGCAGCTCTCAAACGAAAACTCTACTATGGGGAGTAGTATTGAGATTAACTTTTCTCTTATTATTCTGCATTTTCCTCAGGTGCGAGGTGACATCCTTGAGTTGTCTGAATGGCTATGTCTGACTGGCTGTTGAACAGTACCTATACATCCAGTGAAGCGGCACGAGTAAGGGTGCTTTGGCTCGGGAATCACATCGTGATCCCGTGTCTTTTGACACCACAAGCAACCATCACTCATCGGATCGTCGTTGATCAGCCTTGTCGACTCTTGTCTGTGGACCCGTCTCCTGCGTGTTTCATTGCCCCATGCCTGACGTCCTTCGTGACCAAGCCACAAGGGTCCACGGGCACAACCTTTCACTTTCCCCAACATCTCTGCAAACCATTCCTCATGCTTTACCACAGGGGATCGCCATGATCCTGGTCTGGGCGGCGGGTCTCAGGGCAACATCGAGTTCCAGTCAGGTTGGTTCACCGTAGGGAACCTCACGGTTCTGGTCTGGTATCAATGCCTCAGGGAGATGTTGCGTTTCTGGTCAGGTCGTCAATCCACATGGGACTTCACAGTTCCACTGTGGAATTCCAAGATTGTGTCTAGCAGGCTTCGGTTTCTCGAGAAAAGGGTCAGAGGGCCCGATGGTGTAGCGCGAAGCGCAACCCTCACGTAGACCTTAAGACTGTCGTGGTAATTAATCATGGTAACATCGTAAAACCCTTTCTTCGAACCGCCGTCGCTAACCAACTCAAAGGATCACCGACATCAGTTTTAGGCAGAGACAACTAGCTCCCAGGCGTCCAGAACCTGGCACGTTCCAGCGCCATGGCCATGAAAGCAGAGTTGAAGCATGCCGCCGTGCAGGGAACATTGTATGCGGATTGGTGGGCGAACATAGTCCCTCGTGTGTCGATTAGGGGAGATTTTCGGAGTAAGTCTTACTGCTGCCTGCTACGTCGGCTACATTGCAACCGGAATTGACGTGATTTGACTGCTAGGATTCATATGCCGACCTGAGGATCACACGATATCCAGTGAGCCGGTTCCAATCACCCCCGACAGACCATCGATCCGAGACGCTTTCCCACCCCTCGATCTCTTCCAGGCTCTCAACCGGTTCACCTGGGGACCTGGTTCAGTTGTACAAGCCTCCCAGTTCACGACCCAAGATCTAGGGTCATGTACCCAGAAAACAGAGATCAAGCGGGTTGGCACCTGTCGTCTGCAAGACACCAGACCCTAGTCAGGTCTTCCGGAAACACTGGTGGTACCTTGGTGAACTACAAACCGTAGTAAGGGTGCATCCTGCCCTAATTTGTACCATCCCACTCCTTCCCGGCGTCTTCCACAATTGTGTTCCACCCGTTACCAAGGCACCGGGTTGCTGCAACATCCACGGTTAATTCGTGACTTCACGCAGGTGGTGACTCCACAGGGAGGACACTAGACATCACTTAATTGAGGCAAAGTTTGACGATTCTGATAACTGCTAAAGCTGAGCTAGGCCTCATTATTCATGCTCTGGTATTCATCTAAGATCATAACATAAATGCTCCGTGATTGGCATTCATGGTGGTGAGCAAGCTACTCTGTTAGGAAGAATTTGCTTCGTCCCACTCCACCCACCGTCGTATCACCTCGTCCACCTTCCGGACACCATCCCGGGTCGCTTCGACTTCAAACCACTCACGATGGTCTCTTCCACAGGCCTCACAGTTGTCCTTGTTCGCCCGCAACCCCATCCCCGCAAGCTCGATATGAACCAGGCGCTCGACGCGGTGACAGTGGGGCGTCATGTGAGGAACGACGCCGGACGACTCGCTGGCGCCTGGCAGGTACGGATAGTAACGCAGCATCTCAATATCGTAGCCGCACTGGCGCTGCCACTGGTTCATGCGTCGCTGGACGTTGGCCGCGCGGCCGATCTTGAGCACCATGGCCTTGTCCTTGGTGGCGCTGCTCTGGTTGGCGAACCGGGACACGACATCGCTGGGTCGTCGTGAACGGGTGCCACCCGCGGGCGAAGGTGGTGCGAGGAGAGACCGTGCTGCGTCCACGGGCGGAGCAGAGTCGGACACGGGTGTAAGCCAGAACATGTATATGAAGCCTGGTTCTTCCGAGTTGAGAAAGGGCCGCGCGACCTCTGTCATCAAGGCCGAGGCGGTGGGCGTATCCAGCGAGTCCGGGATCAAATCTTTGACCTGCCCAGTTTGAGAGGACTTTTTGGGTTGGTGCGAGTTTCTCCCTGACGATGCCGTTGATCCATCTACGCGCTGACGAGGGGGTTTGGAGGTGGCCTGTGGCATCGAGCTCCGTCTTGAAGCCGGTACCGGGATCGACGTTCGCTGCATCGGCCGCGGTTGTGGTCTTGGGGGGCGATTCTCAGGGATTTCCTCCAGCGGTACCGAGAAGCAGAAGCAGAAATGGAGCTTCTTCGCCGGCTTCGGTCGCGTCGTCTTGGCTGGCTTGTATCCTCCTCCAGCGCTTCCATTTGCCGGCCTCGCCTGGCCGGTCTTCCTCTTGGGCTTGTCCTGTAGGTCCACCAGTCCGAGGCGATCCGCCAGCGTATCGATGCTCGTGCGGCCTTCTAAATTGGGCGTCGCTGTTCCTCTCGGCCCGGGGCTAGAATGCGCAGAGAGGCTCGCCTGTTCCTTGTGCTGCCAGCAGTACAGGTTCTCGTCGCTCGGGTCGGGAGTCAACGGTCGTCGCTTGGATTTGGGGGAAGCTGATTCCGCAGCAGTAATCGGGCGGCGACAGGCCCGACCGTTGGAGGTGATGCCTCGACATGTCGCGTTTGGGTTGAGGGAGTCGGAGCGGCCGATGAAGGATTCGGGCGTGTTGGCGACAAAGGGCATGATGGTGGCGGTGGTGTTTCTTGAAAAGGCGGCGAGGTTGTCGCGTTATCGCAGCATTTCTCGACGGAACCAGACGGCCTGGGCTGCGCCGTAATTTGTAGATGCGATTCTCTTTGACGAAAACCCGATTCCGAGAACTGAGAACAGGCAGGCCCGCTGCTGGGGCCGCCGAGACCTTGCTTCACATTGAGCTGGGCGGTGAATGTTCTCATCATCGTGTGGCTGTGTTCTGTGGCTGAGTGAACAGGCGCCATCAATGTTTCGCCGTCGCCGCTTGACACTCGACGAACAGGAAGAATGGAAACTGGACGGATGAGATATTCAGAATGATTGAAAGGACACTAAAATCGCATGTGTCTGGATTGGAGTTTCATCCTCGTCCAGCTCTCTGTCCTGTTCCACTGATCTGTTCTCAACATTGTTCATCCGATCTATGGCTGATCCAGAGACAGGATTGAAAGTCCAGTTAGCCACACTTGGCTAGACTCATACCACAACCACAATCCCAACTGGTCGATTTCTAATCAAATTCGTCTTGAGGGCCTAATACTATGAATACATTCGTCTGTTCGGAGAACTGTTTGTTTTACACCTGTTACCTCCGGACCCTTGTGGAGAATCTGGAGCGGCGCCGCTAGCGGGCCGTCGCCGACACTAGCGGTCTTGGTGGGTCGGCGCCGACTTCATGAAGTTGGTCGCCGCCACGAGCATGGGGAGCGGCGATGGATTGCTATAAGAGCTGATATATCTTCCAAAAGAGATCAATTTAGAATCCTGATCACATCAATTCGAAATATTCCACCTTTTCAAAATTCTCCATACTCCGCATCTCTCTCGACAGTCTAGACCATGGCTCCCAAGTTCATCAACAAGTTGAACAACCAGCGCGTCCTCGTGCTGGGCGGCTCAACTGGTATTGGCTTCGCCGTGGCAGAAGGCGCCCTTGAACACGGCGCCGATGTCATCATTAGCAGCTCCAATCAGACCAAGCTTGACAATGCCGTGAATCGCCTCAAGAAGCACATGGAGACCGCCAACCTCCCAGAGCGCCGCGTTTCTGGACACACCTGCGATCTCTCAGACCCCAAACTGATTGATGCAAACATTTTGCGCCTTTTGGATTTCGCGACAAAGGACGGGAAGATTGACCACGTCGTCTACACCGCTGGTGACGCCGTCAAGACCTATAATCTTGAGGAGATCGTTGCTGAGAATATTCCAAAACTCGGCATGGTGCGTGTCACTGGTGCCATGATCCTGGCCAAACACCTGGGAAAATACATCAACCAGGAGACCAGCAGCTCATTCACCCTTACCGGCGGGAGCATGTCTTGGCGCCCAAGCCCCGGGTGGTCTGTCCTTTCTAGTATAGGCGGCGGCGTCGAGGCTCTTGCCAGAGGACTAGCCATCGACTTGAAGCCCGTGCGAGTCAATTGCGCCGTTCCTGGAGCTATTCACACCGAGTTGTTTGATACCATTCCAGAGGATATGATTGACGCGGCGCTGGGGTCAATGAAGAGGGACACCATCACGCGCACGGTTGGCACACCGGAGGAGATGGCTGAGGTGTATCTCTACTTTATGAAGAGCACCTTTGCGACTGGCACGAGTGTGGTGGCGGATGGCGGAAGGTTGGTCGGTGATAGCAAAGATGCCAACATCATCTTTTGATCTCGTTGTGATCTGAGTCGAGCCTGCCTTGAAGAATTTGTAGAACCATTACTTAGATCGAAAATACAAGACCCTCATCATCGTCAACCAAGGGCCAATTTGCGCATGATTTAAGCAAGTCGCAAGACCCACCAGCTTTGGATTCGAGAACCTGTGCCTTGTCCTCCCGCAAGCAGAACACCAGACCGTTGCGGAATTTTCTGCCGACGCCTTGGAGGGCTTCCCTCATTCGCTCAAACGTGAGGAGCAGTACTTCGATGTCATCTCGTAATGCGGGGTCTTTTAGACATGCCGAATCGGGTGAGGTTGATGATTTCTTGGTAGAGGGGCATAGATACTCCATCACAATGATGCGTCCACAAGTAAATAGCTTCGAAGATAGGTGCGGGTTGATGAAGATTTCTGTTGATGTCCGAGACGCATCGCGAATCATCGAAACGGAATTCCGGGCTGCGGCGACGCAGTGTGGCCAGTTGGTCGCGAGCTCGCTTTGTCCCTCGTGGGTCTCATTTCCATGGAGAGGCTTGTGGTAGAGGAGAATGGTGCTCGTGTTCAAAACGATGTTGAGCCAAGTAACAAGCGTGAAATCGGAATAGTTTGCAGCGGAGAGATCGGTGGCAGACCGAGGTAGCATAAGGCGTATCCTTAATAGATGCGATGTCAGCGCATCAATGTAAGGCCGCTGCTCGTCGCTGTCGTCGTCAAGTGTATAGATGCGTTCGCACACACGCCCGAGGAACACGTAGGCGAGGACAATAAACTGCATCAATGTCGCAGTCTTCTTTCGAGACTGACCCTGGACCAACGTGATGAGGCGGTCAAGGTTTGAGGTATAGAGGATAGAGTTATTTGTTGACGGCGTGGTCGTAGCTTGGAACTCATCATCGTCCATCGGGAAATTGATCCTCAGCTGTCGATCATCGATCGCGTGTGTCAGTCCAATCGGGAAACACATCCCTCTGTCAAAGATAAAAAGGACCCAGACAGCACGCCGGCATTCCTCCCTCGTGATCAAGTTGGTGGGAGGCTGTGGTGTGCAAAGACTAAGTCTTTTAAGGCCCCTATCCTGTTGTTGTAGGTTGCAGGCTACACATAACCGCCATGCCGATCCGAGAAACATCCAGGCCGTCGAGTACTCTGTCAGAACCATGGCCTGGAAGATGATAAAATTTGCGGATAGAATGGTTTGCAACGGATTATCCGTCGAATGAAGGGCTTTTGAGAAGAGACTCATTGCTTCGTTGTACCAACCGAGCTGTGCTTGTTGGATCTCACGGTTCGGATGAGCACTTGCCGTCACCGCAATGATGGATAAGAGGAGAAGGTGGGAATCGTAGCCAGGGGATTTCAGTTTTGACATCAAGGTCGATCTGTGAAGAATGGGTAGGTATGAATAGAACTTTTCGAAGTAGAGGTCCACTAGTTCCATCAATTCCTTTTGGGGAGGAAGAGTGACAGATGACAGAGGCGTCGTAGAGGAACCAGTAGGATCAGACGATGAACTTTCAAACTGAGATTCTTGTTGTTGAACAGAATCAATTGATGCAATCCATGCTTCAGGCTGTTGGTCTAGCATTTCCGGCTCGATGGATGGCCAGTCTCCGGGTCGAGCGGTGCCACCGCCATGCGGCATGTCCGACATCCAGACACTGCCATCCTGGGGTTCTTCCAAATCTGAAATGGGAAGCCATTCAGCCGGTAAATATGTTGGGACTTGAGATGGAGCCCCGGCATAGAAGCAGACGTCGCCGCGCTTGAGACATGAGGAGCAACTCGGGCGGTCGCCCTAGCAGATGGTCAGCGCTAGTTCCAAGGATTGTGAGCAAGAGTCTTACGTTGCATTTCTTCTTTCTAGACCGACACCCTGTGCAGACGTCCTGCGACTTCGCCACGGTTGTCATGTCGGGTTGTTAGAGACATGTCGAGTATCTGGAAGGTGAAGCATGCAATTGCGCCACATGAGCCGGAGTTAAGCACATGTCCGTAATCTTTACACAAGTCGTGAAAACAGTTCGGTCACGTGACTTTACGGCAGAGAGCCCATGGCCAGACACGCCTGACGATGGAATTCTTTGCAAGTATATTGCATATACTTGCGGTGCAAAGGTTGATAGACTGTTGAAAGTTATGTATCCAGGGTGCTTATCTGGAGGTGCCGGTACCCGATGCCGGAGACGGATCTGGGCCATCAGGGTATTCAACTCGTCGCTTGGCTTATAACAAACCCAACCTCCTGTTTATGCCATCGATGGAATAATTAATTATCATTGAAAAGATAAACTCTTTCTAAAGCCTCGATTTGTCGGCCACCCATTACGCCGTTGTACCCGATACCTGGCTAATGTCTGACTCCTTCTGAAGTCGCCCTCTATACTATGGCTGCAATTCGAAGCTCAATCGCAGACCCTTCCCTGACTAAATCAAGGCTTCCCCTGCCGCCATGATTTCAACGACGCTCGTCTCTTAATTCACAGCCCCGCAATCATGCCCATGATTATAGCCCTTGCAAGTGCATGCCCATGTGCATCGTGGCCAGCGCTGATACGCTTGGCGTGCTCTGGCAACGCGTCTAAGAGTCACTTTGAGACCTTGATGGTCTATCATTATGACGTCAACCCATGGTTGGAATATGCTTCATGGGGATGAAGGCGATGAAGGCGATGCTTGACTCATGAAGTTGAAGCCAACGATGCCTTCCGCCACGACAATATCACGACCAGTCGATGGACGCGAGTAGAGAGATACTCTCCTGCCGATGATGCCTTCGTTTCCAACTTCAAGCGACAACGGCTTGTCAAGGGGGAGTTCAACAAATTCGTCGTCGTAAGTCACTGTGACGGAAGGGAGGGCAAACTGGCGGAAGAGCCCACAGTCCCATGCGCTTCTAGTGAGATCGCCACTCGAGCTTTACACGCGAGTCAGCGCCATCCGGGTGATTTTCTCAGCAGGGGTGTACTCACTGGATCACGACGTAGAGGTCGGAAAGCCCCTTCATGTCACACGCTTCGTTGGGCGTGAGTCTGGCGTGAGTCGCTGTCGCGCTGCCTGGACTGCCAGGTGTATGAAAGGCCAGGTCGCCGCATACGTTGCCTGGGGGGCTCACATTGGCGATGGGAGGGTTGAGGGCCACCAGGGCTCCTCCTCGAGGTCTGTTGGTATTTTCAGGGCCGCACATGTTGATGTTGATGGTGTCTTGGCGAATTGAACGTGGAGTGTAGATGGGTGAACGAGACAAGAAGGAGCAAAGCTTCTGGGAATCTTGTCTTTATAGCACGAGTATCACTGACAAAGGCCACGACCATCATCACGCGCTCCATATTCCTGAATCGCCTGGCGGTTTCATGGCTTCGGGCAAACTTGCGCAACTAGCGTCGCCCAACCATGGCGCTGCATTTCCTCGCGCCCGACCCCAATCGGGAAACATGGATGAGCAAGTTTGAGGTGGAATTATGAAAGGCGCTCGTTGCGACGCGCACTGAGCGCCTCCGGAGTATTATCCCATTAAACGCATAGTTTAATAATAGTAAGCGGGTCTGAGAAGGTAAATCTGTATTATAAACCCTGATAGATTGATATTAACCTTAGTTAGAGGGGGGGCTAGACAACCCCTCTCTAGCCGGCCCGGTTCATCCGGGCTCAAGCATTCATCATCATCGCTTTGAACACTATTGCCCTGATCAATTTGACCGTAACGGATCCGTGAGAACATTTATCTGACGCAGCCACCGACTGAGGACGCTTTACACTTGCGGGATCGGACTCTCGGAAGTTTCCCCGTGCTCCTCACACATATAATGACGATGCTACCCCTCACCTTCCTGCTTCCCATCTTCGCCATTGCTTCGGCATCTGAAGTTCCCTTGATCCCGTCGATTTGTCCCTTGGAAGCCACACTCCCAATCACCATGTCAGTTGGAGCGTACGCCCTCCCGGCGTTGCCGTACGCCTACGATGTAAGTTCGCTGACATGTCGCCACCTTTCCGCGTCTTAACGGCGCTCTGGAATCACGAACTTCAAAGGCTCAGAGCTGACACACTCAGGCTCTGGAGCCTAGCATATCTGGCCAGATCATGGAGCTTCATCACAGTAAGCACCACCAGGCTTATGTTACCAACCTCAACAATGCTCTCAAGACCTACGCCACCGCCATCGCATCCAACGACATCGCCGGTCAGATTGCCCTCCAGAGCGCCATCAAGTTCAACGGAGGCGGCCACATCAACCACTCCCTCTTCTGGGAGAACCTGACCCCTGCTAGCTCAGCCGACGCGAACCCCGAGAGCGCCCCTACCTTGATGGCTGAGGTCGCCAAGACGTGGGGTGGCCTCGAGAGCTTCCAGGCCGCCATGACCAAGACTCTCCTCGGTCTGCAGGGTAGCGGCTGGGGCTGGCTGGTCAAGGACTCCCAAGGCCTGCGCATTGTGACGACCAAGGACCAGGATCCGGTTGTCGGAGGTGAGGTGCCCATCTTCGGCATCGACATGTGGGAACACGCCTACTATCTGCAGGTGAGTACGGGAAGAGACAGATCATTCCGTCTCACACCGCACCGCGGGACGTTGCTGACCGATAAATCACAGTACCTCAACGGCAAGGCCGCTTACATCGATAACATCTGGAAGGTCATCAACTGGAAGACTTGCGAGGCCCGGTTCATTGGCACTCGCGAGGATGCCTTCAAGATCCTCAGGGCTTCCATCTAGGGGTAATGGGATATGTGATGAAATACATGAAGAAATGAGCGATCCATAAATTGATGAGCAAAGTCATTCGGTAGCATGTTGCTCGATCAACGGCCACATTCAATGAAAAGCCCTCAAATTGTGACACTGGCACAGGAGCCACCACCAGCTACTCTAATGTCATTATCACAGTCTGAGACCAGTCTCGGTTAGGTGCCAAGTTGGGGGGGCCAGTGTTTGACTTGCGCAACGGAGATCGTCAGGGCCAGATTGACGGCCGTCACTCGTGTTGCTCCGTCACCGCTCCGTCTATTGATTAAGGCGAGGGTACCACTAGACCACTTTACTATTATTAATTTCTCCTTTCATTTCGTCGTGGTCCAGTTAATCCTCTTGCCGAAGAGTGAAACTCCCCCGCCCTTCCGCCCTCCCGTACCCGCATATCCTCCCGTTCGTATTAAAATCTTCCGACGGGAGCTTAACCGCTTTGTCTACAGCCTTCGGAAATGATAGGTTTTGCGGGATATCAGCCTGCGTGATTGTCCCGAACGGATATCCTCCTAAGCCACTCAGGTGGACGAGGCCTAGCCGGTAGAGCTAAGCCGGCTTGCGGTTAAGCTCTGTGCTCCTCTAATGTGCAGAGAGTTAGGGGATGGACCCTGTGGAACGTTTAATCCTGCCTATCAGAAGTGCTGAGCACTATCTCTGCAACGCGATGGGCTGAGCAATTGTGCTACGTTCCCGCCAGGAGCTGAAAACCTGAGCGGGTGGGTGCATGACTTGACTGCAGGTACAGCAGCCCTTGTAAGCTTATACAGTGTCAGGATCTTCTCAGCTACCACTTGATGCGTGGCCGTGGTCCTTTTGTACACTGTGATCTCGTGGTTGCAAGACTCTATCCCACAACCGCGGTTTGAACCCACTGGAGTCGTGATACAACACACCGTGCCTGAGCTCGAGCTTCGATATTAAAGGACCCATATTTGTCTCGCGGACCAAACAAATTTTGGAAACAAAGGTCCTTTGCGTTGGGCAAACGGCATTTGCGGCGAGACGCAGGCCATGCTCATCACCGACATTTTCTGTAGTCAGCTAACTCCAGACGCCGCACGAAAGCCATGATGATTATTTGGCCGAGATTTGAGTCAGGAGGCTCGAGGTTCAGCGACATAATGCCACAAGAGGCTTGTCACAAAGTTCGAACACCAAACAAGAGATTAGAGGAGGGGCTTCACAGAATGTTTGATCACAACTCGAAATCCAGCACATGCCATAAATAGCCCTATTTACTTTGGATTTCCGCACTAGCGTATACCTGGCTGCAGTTTGCTAGGACTCGTCAGCTTGAACGCGAGTCCCGTTGTGGCGGTATCAAACGAGATTTCGCAGCACCACTTGACGGCCAGATCGACCCTTGAGCAACCTGCAAGCAATCGATTTCGTTTGATATACGAGGCAGACTCCACATCGGCCCATCTTGACCCCGACATCCTCGCCTGCAGCCGTTAGTACGACGGGAGCGTGCAGCATGGGAGAAGCGATACAGAGATACCAGACTGGGTTAAGGTTGTACGACGAGCAGAGGAGGGCCCTTCAATGGTGGTATAAAGAGGACGAGCTGAGCTGGTGGATGAAAGCCATCAGCCAGTGAGACTAGGACACCCGAGAAAGTTGGTTCACTTGTCGCTCGTTTTATTCCTCTAGCTCTTTGTTACATTTCCCACCGTCGCTAAGCTTCCTCCTCGCCGCCATGGCGTGCAATGTCACTCGCTTCGCCCTGCTCGGGCTTGGGTAAGTTCCTGGCTGAAACTGTCTTGGTACAATGGCTGACTATCGATTCAGGGCGGCACTAGTTCGTGCTCAGACTGTCACTGTGACGGAGACAGTTACCGAGTGTGCGTCCTCCTGCTACTCCATCCTCTCGGAGTGTACGTGGACCGAAACGGCTGGGACATCATCTGGGACATCTGTTCAAGTGAGCGGTACTTCCATGACGGCCTCTGACTCCACGATTACCATCTCCGAGGGAGCCAACACTGGCTCCGGAATCTCGACAGCCGAGACTTCCACCTCCGATTATTCGATCTCGACTGGAACCACAGCTCCTTTTGGTAACACCACAACCAGTACGCTGGACCTCTCATCCACACTCTCGAATGGAGCCGAATCCTCTGTGACCACTCGCTTTTCGGCCTCCTTCACTCCGTCGGCAAACTCTAGTGCTTTCCCAAGCACCACGTCTTACCCGATCTCCAACTCCACCTGCACAGGCCCATACGCATGTGTTTCGAGCGGCGTCACCAAGTCTTCCTACACTGTTACGGACATGGAAACAATGCCAACCGTGATCCCGAGCTTCAGCTCTAGTGCTCTCGCTGGAAACACTTCCTCTCCTGCTTCGTCCTATAGCGGCTCGGAGACTACACCATCCGCAGTTCTTAGAACCACCCCTGCCAATACTGCCACCGCTTCCGAGACCACTGGACCATCTTACTCAGATCTCTCTACCTCTACGGCGTTGTTTTCCAACAGCAGCGAATCGTCAACTGCCACGCGAACCACAACCCTGACATCCAATTCAATTCAGACGTCTTTCATAACTGGCTTACAGAATGATACCACCACCTCATCCGGAGCGCCACGATCTACCCCAGCTATCACAAGCAATACTTGGTCCTCTTCTTATACAGATGATCAGGGATACTCAAGCACCACCGGCTCATCTCTCGGTTCAAGTCTTACCAACGAGGTCACCACCTCGGGAAGCAGCTTGACTAGGTTCGCAAATTCTACGTCATCTAGCCCATATACTGGAACTGCGACAACCGAGGGCACTGTTTCGACTCCTCTTACGTTTGCTAGTACCAGTCTGACTCAATTTCTCAACACCTCATCAACTGCTGCAGCTTCGTCGTCTGAGAGCACATCTTACACTCAGCCAGGGATCAGTACCACCGATTGGCTCACGGAGACAGCCTCCACAGCCGGGACTGAGACTGCTAGTTCCATTTACGAGACGAGCTCTGAGGAATTCTCCAGAGGCGTACCATCCAGTACAGGAAGGCTCTCTTCCTCCGCGACCGAGGTGTCGGGGTCTTATAGCACCACCAACACCGACAACTCTCACACATCCGACACTACCACCTCATCTCAGATACCAAACGAGTCTACCTCGTCTCTTTCCAACGAGTCCTCCTCATCTAGACCCAACGAGTCCTCTTCCTCGAGTGGCATCGAGACTTCTTCCTCCGGTAGCAGGGAAACCTCGTCTGGTTTTGTTGGATCGTCCTCATCCAATGGTGCTGGATCTTCTACGCTAGTCACATCTCAAGCCCAGAGTACGGAAACATCTCTGTCAACCAACACACCAATCGTGCCATCATCTGGTTCCCACACCTACAGTTTTTCCAACTCAACTATGACAACCAACACAGCCGTTCAAAGCACAGAGTCTTCGACTGGGCCCGGTACCTTTACACGAACATCATCTTGGAGCACGGGCTACAGTAGTCAGACTGCTTCCACTCCGGTGACAAGCACGGCTGGCCCTACCACTCCCGGATCCTCGACCTACTCTGATACGATCACAACTCCCGTTTCTGGAGGGTCCTTGGGAACAACATCCCAGACAGACTCGGAGCAGCCAACCACGGGCACTGAAATGAGCGAATCTAGTAGCGCCCAATCAACGGACTTCGCTGGTTCATCTTCAAGCGAGCAATACACTGTCTCGAGCTCCACCATCCCCGGCTCGGGTACCCCAACTCCCAGCATCCCAACCTTTAATACCACGGCTTCCTCGGAGGACTCTCAGTCAACAACCTCCAGCGGAGGCGGTTACAACTTCGAAAGCACATCTACGACAACTGGAACAACCACTTCTGGTGTATGGCCTACGTCCTCGCTCGTTTTCTCATCCAGCGCCGCCGCGGCCAGTCCCTCTTCTTCCACCCCTTCCTCCCAGCTCACCACATTTGTGACCACGAGCAGAGGTAGCTCCATCGCAACAAGCTCGACCGCCGTTTCAACCCAAGGGCCACCTTCTTATGAGCCACCATCGTACGGGCCGCCTTCATATGGACGCAAGCGCTGGGGACTCGTTTTCTAATGGATCGTACGGACTAACTAGGCGGACAGAAAAGCGGGTTACAGCACACATCTCTATTCTTCACACTCCTTTGTATTTTAAATATTTCAAGTTGGTTTGAGATGGACGGGGTTAGAACACGGACAGTTACCACGGACAATGCATTCAGCTACCTGCAGCGAATCTTGGGAAAACCAAACTATTCAATTTCTTTGTATCTCATGTGGAATAAGATGCTAGGCGTGTTGAAGATGAAGCCTCGAAACTTGACGATGAACAGACTAAGCCACTTATTCCTTCGCGCACTCCATCACAGAAATGGGCGTGTTCGGCTTCTTGTGAACCTTCAGAATCTTCAGTCCGGCCTCTTTAACCATATTCTCAAACTGTTTCGCATTCCGCTCCTTGCCTCCAAAGGTCAGCATGAGGAAGTCAAAGTGTGTATCCATTGGTGACGGTGGAACAGCAACCACTTGCTCCACGATGAGCAAGCGGCTGTCAGGGCTCATGGCGCCAGCTATGTTGCGAATGATCTTGATGCCGATTTCGTCACCGTAGTCGTGGAGACAGCGACGGAGGTGATAGATCAGTGCGCCTATGTCATATTAGCTTCCATGTGCATGAGAAGATAAGTTCATACCTTTGACGGGTTGCTCAAGATTGAAGTCGTGACCCATCATCTTGACTCCCCGGAGTCCAGGACTGTCCGACAACTTCACCTCTTCAATGACTTCATCTCTGTCCTGAAGCATGCACCTCTCCCTTGGCAGCCAGCTGTTCGCCTCACAAACTGCCTGTAAAGAGTGACCTTTACTCCCACCGACATCGACAAAGAGCATCCTCTCAGTTTGTTTCGCCAGTTCACCTTTGACCCAGTCAAAGTCGTACATGCCTGTAGCAGGCATCTGGGACTCAATTGTCTTCATAGCCTGCATGAAAACCCGCATGCGCTCAGAGTCCTGGTTCATGACATCCCAGCAAGACTTTTCAGGATGACCTTCGGCGAAGGAATACGGGCAGCCAACTGGTCCTTGGGGCTCCCCGGGATACTTGTCGAAGTAGTCCGGCAGGAAGGCACAGGACTTGAGAGTCTCGTCAAAGCTTGATACAATGAGCGCGCGACTGCACTTGGTGTGATAAGGTATATAGATCTTACGACATTTGAGCGAGGAAGCCATGGGGACTCGAGTTTGCATAGACCAAGGACTTGGGCGTGTGAGCGAGGTGATCGTCACCTAGCTGCCGAAGGATTTTCGCAGCCACGAGCATCGCAGCAACCCGTCCTAGTTGGGTCCATCAAAACAAGATAATCTCTGATAGTACTTCATGGGGAAACTTACGAAATAGACTACCATCAACTTTCAGCTTCTCGGCCAGGTGATCGTATCCGATGGCCCCTTTGACAGGAATTCCATCGAATGCTCCCCACTTGAGGAACAGGCGCGAGGCTGTCATAGTGCATAGCGCAGAAACCTCTCCAAGCCATTGTTCTTCAGGCAGGGTGGCTTCGTGAAGGACTTCCTGTGCAAGAGCAACAATGGCCTGACGATTGGCAAGTGCTCCCTCAATGTTGTTGAGAGTGGGAAGAGAGTTGATCGCGGCCGTAAGACGCCCGGCTAGAGTTAGCAGCTGGCCTTTGTTGACTGACATGGCTTTTGTGTCAGAAATCTTTCGTAGGGTGTAGAATGATTGATGAGGTATAGCTATCAAGGCTTGTGATCCTGAGTTCGGAAATAACCCACGGCCATGGCTCATCTTTTATCGAGCATCTAAGCTCGGACACCGAGGGACCCGTCGAGTCGTTATGGTAAGACATGCGATCGGTCAGTGGAACCTGTCACATCACTCGAGTACAATGCAAAACCCCAGACATCAATCTGTCTGGCTATGTTTCAGCTCCGTATAACTATTAGAGAAAACCTGAATATTTCTACTCGGTGATTTCGGTCCAAGCCGATGGCTTCTATAGTTGTCGAGCACAGCTTCGTCATCTATACACGACATATCATGTATAACCAATTCTCACAGTAGTCAACGCACCTCTGGTGAAAGAGGGGACGACACCCTACGGAGAAAAGGAAAACTTCGGACACGGATAAGTTGGAAAGGCCGAAGGGTTCACAGGTGAATCCATCCTCGAATTTTCCACATAGATGATGACGCGTCTTGGCCACAATAGATGTTTGACAGTTTATTTTCCCATGGTAGTGTGTCATATGTTGGGTATCTTTGGTTCGCAATGTCGTCCCTGGGAATCACGAAGCAGCCCCGGCGAAGGTTCCTTGATAGTTTAGCAACACGAAGAACAGCTTGGGTCATGCGTGAGTAACTCACCCGCAACGGTAAAGATGGCCCAAATAACTCCGGACTGAATCAGCTTTGGAGGACAAAACCTAACGACAAGTCAGTATATAAGCCAACTCATTTCGCATAATACTCACAGCACGCCAGGGATCTCCAAGAACCTCGTCCAGTAAGTCCATTGCACCAAGCTCACAAACCCCATCAACACGGTTGACGCTACGGCACTCGCAATTCTCTTTGTCTTGACGCCGTGGGGCTTCTCCTCCTTGACTCGTATGGTTGCCCTTCCATCAGCCGCCACAGTAGCACCCCAGTGCCGGATCGGACCCTGACGGCGGCCCTCGATGGGAAACGCATCGCCATACCGCCTGTTGATGGGCACGAATGCCACAATGCACAGGAGCATCACGGCAGGCGTGCTGTACACGAAGCTGACAATGTCAGACATGTAGTCTCGTGGTAGCGAGGCCTTGGGCATCCGGTGCCACGTCACGCCGGTGAAGATGGCGGCGATGATCAGCAGCAGGATCTCGGAGACGGCCGTGGTGATGTAGGCGTCGGCGTACGGAAACTCGACGCGGTTGTCACGCTTCCTATCGATGATTCTCGTCTTGTCCATGGCTCGGCTCCGCTTCACTCCGACGAGACTCCGCAGCAGCCCCAGGATGGCGAAGTTGAACCGCGGTCGTGCTATGTACACGGTGAAGATGTGTAGCATGTTGAGGCCGCCGTAACCGGGCGTGTTGCCAACCATGCCGGCGATGGCGGCGTTGGCCAGGAGCTGGCACGCGAAAACAGCCGTCCAAGTCAACGCCACGGAACCCTTGACTCGGCGTCCAAGCATGCCTCGGGTGAGGAAATGAACAACCGGGCGGCGGGCAACCAGAGGTGTGAGTAATACAACTACAGCCTCGGCGACGGCGAAAGCCGTGAGGATCTGTGAACTACTCGGACATGTGCCCTTGTTGATCTCGGATGGCGATATCATCCACTCGTAGGGGATCGGCGGGAGCTCTTTCGTCGGGATTTCCCCGTACAGGCCGGTGTTGACGCCGAAATACGGTTCGATTGTGGAGGCGTTGATAGACGCCGTCGAACCGGCGGCATAGGCCCCCGGAGGGAACGAGTCTTTGCCTGGCTGAGAGAAGACGACTCCCATGATGGTGATGGCATCCAGAGGTAGGTGTTTGGAGGCGAATCAGACGGCGCTTGGCCTGCGACATATTTACCATTCCTTTTAAGTACGGGAGATTCATGACATTATTTCCTGATGCCTGCGGGCTGACACGATGTTCCAGATTCAGCTGTATGTCCGCAAATTAGATTGGCCCGTTTTACGAGCTGAACATGGATCTGCATCCAAGTGTGGGGCAAGTCCGAATGCACCAACATGAGTCCGAGCCGGACCAACATGAGTCCGAGATGGACCACCGTGTTTGTTTTAGGCAAAGTGCCTTCTATTCCTTCTAAATGTACCCTTCCGTAGGTGCATGTATATCATGGCTTCTATTCACGCCATCAACCCATATTAAATCATCCATCTTTTGAAAATACTTTTAGTGTCCCTCCGATAGGCAAACCACAGCCCACTTGCCGTGCCAAGCCCATCGTCGCTGTCCGCTATCTCCGCCGCCGCCCTCGAGGGCCCGGAGCTCTTCGTCCTTGCCGGCAGGGAGACCAACGACAACGTCAGCCTTGCAAGTTCGCAGCGACAACACGTTAACACCGGAAGAGGGGCCCATGGGGCCGAGACAGTCAGTGAAGGGGGTAGTGGGATCCCACCATGCCTGTCGCCAGTCAGTATGTGGAACTCTATGATACATTATGAGGAACTTACATCACCAGTGAGCTTTCGGTAGTTCAGGTCGCCCTTGAAAATAACAAGCTCAGCGGGCTTCAGCTCCTCAAGCAGCTCGGGGTTCTCGTGTGGCAGTCGCCAGAAGCTGCCACCAGCAGTCCAGTATCGGTTGGGGCGGAGGATTATCTGGCCCTCAGCGTGGAAACCAGCCCACTCCTGGAACACGAACTGAAGGTCCTCCTCGGCGCTCTTAGACAGAGGCTCAGGCGTCTTGTCCTGGAGCTTCTCATCTTCTGAGGCAGTCTCGTACAAAGCCCGAGGGTTGGCAACGGCGCTTAGGAGGGCGCTAAAGTCACTAGGAAGAACGTCGGAGACGAACCAGGGGATGGACTTGGGTCGTAGGACGATGTGTGTGGCGAGGCCAGAAGAGAGTAGGTAACCTGCCAGAATGAGGTCAACGTAGAGCTCGAAGCCGGCGTTGTCGAGAACAATGTCAACACGACGCTCCTTCTTCCCCTCGGCCTGGGCCTTCTTGAGGATCTGATAGGCGCGGGGAAGATCGTTGACCAGGATGTTCTTCTCGGCTGCCTTTCGGGCCTCGGCACCCTGGAGCTTCTGGATGTCCTCGTAGGTCAGGTTGGTGAGGAGGGACAGGTCGGTTGCGTTGCCCCATAGGCAAATCTCGAACATTTCGGTGAACATGAGCTCTTCAGCTTGCGCATTATGTGTGATTTCCTTGTCCGCGGAAAGCTGCTGGATGAGCTCCTTGTACTTGCTGGCAAGCTCCAGGACAGCCGGTCGCGAGGATCGGAAGGTGTCCATCTTCTGGCGGGCAAACAAGTCGTAGTTCTTCCAGTGCTTGGTGAGTCTGAAAAAGGTACTCAGGCGTCTAGTTTAAAGTATCAGCGACACGTTATCTAGCGAGTATGCTTAGATCCGTACCTGTACATGTAGCACTCTGAGAAGAGCCAGGGAACATCAAACCAGTTGGGAGTGCCAAGGTCCTCAATCTCTTTGTTGTAAGCCTTGATCTCGTCGGAGAAGCCATCGTCGGGGATAGGACTATATAAGTCAGTATATGCTATCACCTAGCTTATGGCTACTCGTACGTGAGCTTGCGATCGTGCTCAATCTCGTACTTGAGGGTAGCGATCTGCTCGATGATCTTCTTGCCTTCAGCCTGCGCCTCGGGGTCGGTAGCAGCAGAGACAGCTCGGTAGACGTCGTCAATAGCACTAGTCTACGGGACAGTTAGTACTTCAGAGAGTATAAATAGCCCAACATTGCCTACCAGAATCACAGGCCAGCGCTTGCGAACGGAGTCGCTGGCGAACGAGTTGGGGTCGCTGGTGACGGACTGGGCTGTGCGCGCACTGTCAGTTTCACGGCTCTTCGAGCTCATCAGGAGCACATACGCGTCTTGGTGTCGTACTCCATCTTGAATTGATTGTAGAGGAACTGGCCTAGGATCAAAACCGTTACTGATCTACCCTTGGGACGTTGAGCGGGATACGCGTTGCTTTAAAGGACCTGGAACATTGATGGAGGGGCATCGCGGGGCAGTTTGCGCGCTTAGTGGGGTACTTGTGGATATAGGCATGACGTCAAGCCCCGTTAGTGTGCTGATCTGGATAGCGACATGTCTTGCCTGGACTGGCTGAAGCAATTCGGATGCTAGAAGGCTCGCCGTCTTGGAGGCATTTTCTGCTATAGTGTTCGTTGTAACGGTGGCCTAGAATCCTTAGTTGAACATGAAAGGGTACAAAACTCCGAAACACCATAATCATTGCGTAACCGCGCAAGACACCATCGACTAGGGAACGGTCTACTGAAAATGAACCATTCACCTGTGCTCGTCCAATCTGACGGCAGTATTAGGACATGCGTCACATGTCAAGTCAAGAACCTGTCATCACAATTACTTCAACGCCTGGGATTGCTAATATCTCGCTCAACAGAAAATCCAACATCATTCGTCCACGGGCTTATGGTGTGACACAGTATTCCGAGCTTCGGCGAAGTTTGCCTGACCGGTCCTAGCTAAGGTCAGGTCACAGTAGCGTTAGTTTCTGTGTTATCATTGCCTAGCTTAGGCTCTCTTCACCAACTCCAGCCCTTCCTAGTCATACATGAACTCCTCAATCGGCGTTTAGAGAGAAACAACCAGCCATTCGCCTGTCTAAGTGTGGATTCAGAGACTCTTCAAGATTCTGGGCGCATCTTTTGTTGATGTCAATTGCTCCGGCGCGTCCTGTTGGCTCTCTATCTCGTCTTCGGAGCTTCGGCCTCGCCTTCCTTCTTCTGTGCACTCTCTGCATCAGGTCGCTTAGTGAGAACCTCATCGATAACACCCAGTTCCAATGCCTCCTCAGGAGTCAAATACTTGTCTCGTTCCATCAAGTCGTTGATCTCTTCCAGACTATATTTGTCGTTTCCTTTTGCCTTGTTGAGGTGGTACCGCATAATCTCGTTGGACTGATCCCGAATCTTCTGGATTTGATTGGCATAAATGAGAATGTCCGATGCCTGACCTCGGGTACCTCCTAGCGGTTGGTGGATCATGATGGAGCTGTGAGGGAGGGAGAATCGCTTTCCAGCCTCGCCACCCGCGAGGAGGATGGCTGCCATGGACGCGGCGCCTCCAACACACACAGTCGACACGGGGGACTTGATATATGTCATCGTATCGTAGATTGCCATTCCTATGGCCAGTGAGTCGGGGATCAACCGAGCGAGTGGGAGAGCGCACCTGAGGTGATTGAACCGCCTGGGGAATTGATGTACATCGTGATGGGCTTATCAGGAGTATCGGATTCGAGCCAGAGCAGCTGGGAGACGATCGAAGCGGACATGTAGTCGTTCACCTCGCCGTTGAGGCAGATGATGCGTTCCTGGTGGTGTCAGCACGCAGCATCGGAGATGGAAGGCGAACGCCATACTTGCAAGAGCTTGGAAAAGATATCCCCTATAGTATATCAGCGCTTCGATTCGAGGACGACGGCAGGGTGTTTCCAACATGTTTTCCGTCCAGCAGCCTGCAATTGTCAGCTACGGCATCGACCGTGAAGTGCGCAAGAAGCTCACCGATGTCTCCTCAATGTACGGCATGGGAATGTTGGCCGTGGGTGGCGCAGCGGAGCTGGAGAAGCCAAACCCTCTCACATGCTGCTGCGACACGCCACGCAATGCGAGAAGCGATCTCGGTCGTAGTCTCATCTTTTCTGGAGAGTGTGATGTTGGAGGAGCAAAGGATCAACGTAATGCGACGGCCGGAAAGGGTGGGGGAAGCTTGCTTGTTCCGCTCCGGAAGCTAGCGAAGCGCGTCACCCCAGAATTTCCAGGCTTCGTGGAGGCAGATCCATCATCCATGCGCCTCAAATTTCGCCCTACGCACCGCAACGAACCCCGGCACACAGCACGCCAACCCGTTCCCCGGACGATGAATCGGCTGCATCTACTCGATTGGCGATGAAGCGATGCACCGCGGTCTGCTCAGGCCGTTCCCGGGTCGCCGGCGTTGCCATTCAGCCCCGACGATGGGTCTCCTACGATAAATCCACCCTCACCAAAGAGGCGCTGCTCCAGCAGGCTGAGTCGCAGCTCGGTCATGATGTCGACGGAAATCCCCTTCGGATCGACGCCGATAAAAAAACAGTCACTACGGCCGTCGGGTCGCTCCCCATATCGCCCATCATGGACCCTGCTTGGATGAAGGCCGGGCGCAGAGAGAAGAAGCGCGATCCTGGCAACATCAGCGGCCAGTTCCGCAAGAAGCTCTCTAACAACCCATTCGGTAGGACAAACAAAAATGCGGCTACTGGCCTCGCTAACACATCAGATAGCAATGGCGCTCATGACTCCCTTACGAAAGTGTATCAACACAGAATCCTACCTCCCGAGATACTTCCTACAAGATTTCGAACTCGTAGAGCATCCCGAAAAGCCGGAGCAAGCCTGGTGGGCACCGGGGCCCTTTGCGTCCGATTCTGTTGTTCCTGTATACAAATCAGGACGTTATTCGCCCACAGGCCAGACAAAACGTCCAAAGAAGACCCCAAACGAAAACGGAGGAGTCGAGACCGAATTTGAGAGTCGCACACAAGCGCCCCTCACAGGATATTGCCTCTCCCGTAAGAGTGTCCTGCAAGCCATCTCTGGAGGAACCGCGCAGGAAATCGCTGGCCGCAAGAAGCCCAACCGTAATTTGATAAATCGACTCTTTGCGCAACGCAACGGCATGGCAGCAAACGGTATCAAGTTTAACAATACCGTATGGCGGTCCGACATGGACGACTTCGTCCTAGAACACCACCGGCGCACAGCTGTAGACGCTCTCATCTACCGTGCGAAACACAACACCGGCCCAGATTTTAAGTTTCTGCAACCAGCTGCCAACTGGGAGGAAGTCAAGACCGTCGAGAAGAGAGGATGTGTGCTCTGGCTGTCCGACAAGGTGGACCCTGTGGCAAACTCGTTCGCGACACTGGACGTGGAGGACGTCAAGTTCTGGAGCAAGATGCCTGTGCACAACCTCACCTGGCTACTGGGAGAGCGAGAAGTCCAGAGGTTAAGGGAGTCGTCGAAAGTATTCCGTGACAACCAATTTATAGTACTGAAGCTCTGGAGAAGCGCGAGCATGAGGAAGCTGCATCTACTCCTGTGGCGCCTGCAAGGATATCAGGCCCAGATGAAGCGAGGAGATAAAGACGAGCTATAAATAAAACAATATCAATTCCGCTCATTCCACCATTGTCCAGTCTCCATACTATCTTGACAGCTCCATATTCTCCACTCCGAAAGTAATTGCCGACGAAATCCGGCCGACCTCCGAGTGTCACACAGAGATGCGGACTTCAGGCGCGGCCGATGTTAACGGTCCGATTGGCTCACGCATACACGGGCCGTTGATTTTCGGCACGATTGAGGGTGGGTCACAGCGGGAGAGTAAACCCTCAACTTCTATCCATGGGGCCTTGACACATCTGTCTACTCGATGAAAGACATTTGTCTCTCTAAAATTAAGTGGTTTCGACGGTAGATTACGGCTTTGCTGTCACATTTAGTACCTCATCATCCCGGGCCGCGGACATTTCCCTGCACTGTCACAATTCAGGCCTCATTTCAGCAACCCTCAGCCTAAGCAAGGGAGCACAAGTTCTCGCGCGCATCTCACACACCACCGGTCTCGGCACCTTAAAACATGGAATCAAACCCGGAAATCATCCAGCCAGAGGACTGGCTCAACCCCAACACAGCGGGTCGCGCGGTACCCGTCTTCCTCATCCACGACGGCGGCGGCACGACCTTTGCCTACCACTGTCTAGAGCCTCTCTCCCGCACGGTATACGGCATCCACAACCCCAACTATCGCAGTGGGGCAGTGTTCGAGGGCGGTATTCCTGAGATGGCAAGTTTGTACTCTGGGTTCATCAAGTCGGCTATTTCTGAGCCCGACTTCCCTTCCACCCGCAACCCAGATGGCAGCGTGGATATCCTCCTCGGCGGATGGAGCTTGGGCGGGCTGTTGAGTCTCGAAATCTCGAGGCAGTTGGCAGAAGATTGCAGCTTGAGGATCATCGGCATCCTCATGATGGACAGTGTTTGCCCCATCAAGAACCCAACAGAACCTCGTATCGCGCCGTCGAATCAATCCGAGGAGGGCAAGTCGAAGAACCAGATCCTCTCGGATCGTGCCATGACCGAGGCACGACGGATGCTTCAGACGTGGGATCTCCCAAGATGGGAGGGCAGCCTAGCCGGCCGCCGGCCGCGGATATCGATGCTGCGTGCCAAGTATCTTGTGCCAACTGAAGGCGAGGGCATCAGCAAAGTCGACGTGCACCGCGCCGCTAGAAGCTTGGGGTGGGATCGATATGAGGAGGACCTGTTCGTCAACGTTGTGGATGTGGAGGGACATCACTTTAACATGTTTTCGTTTGATAGGATTCCGGCGATTACGGAGGAAATCAAGAAGTGCTTGGACGGCTTGGAATTCCTGGCGTCGATTTAATGAATTAGCGGACAGCAAAACGCCAAGTTGATGATGGCGGGGTAGTTGGAGGGAGCATCAGCCGAATGCGTACCCTTGATGGTTATTGATGCCATGATGCCACGGCCTATGAAGAGAGTGTTAGATTTCGCCTGAGAGAAAATAATTCTTAGGTTCTAGATAGATGCAGTTTTAGATAAAAGGCTTTGGTCCTGACATCGTTTCAGATTCCTACCATGAGGAGTTCAGCCGTGAACGAAACCATAGCTATCAACCCTATCGGTTACTTAACACGTAGAAACTGGCCAGATACTGAAACGATACAGTGTCAATCGTTAATCAGCTATTGGACAAGCTAGATTCCCTACATGCAGCCCAGGACACTGGGATGGCGCCAAGGTTGCGTCCGCTCAACTCAATTTATCCTTTCCAGCAAGTCAGAATCCGATACACCATCCCATACCACAGCTTGTCCCAAAACCAAAAGATGCGGAGATTGTGTCCCTCATCTCCTGTGACTCAGGGCCTCACTGGGAATATGCATTTGGGAAAGACCCTCAGGTTAGTAATTGACTGGAGTCGGCAATACACAATCCGCACGATTGCAGCTAATTGCCCATGACCGTTGCTTATTTCCGGGCAGCGTTCGGTGGCTTCTGCGCCTGGGGCCGAAGCTGCAGCCAATGACAGGCGGCGAATTGTCATGCGGGGAGCTCTTCGGCGGGGAGTAGCAACCAGGTCACAGGGAAGATCACAGGGAAGGTGGGAAATTTTGGCTCACGGCTAGCCGACATCGCTGCGACCACCACCAAACATTTTTACAACTTCCAATCCTCCCGCCAAAAGAGTCATCCGACGGGCCCAGCACCGTATCCAAGTCGACCACCGGGCACTGGCCACGAGGCGACTCTTTTCTACTATTTTTCCTCCCTCCCAAGGCCTCAATTGGCTTCGGATTGGCTTCGCTTCTTCCGCCCTTGCTCCTCGTCGATTTCCCCTCCGTCGCCGCCACACCGTCACCATGCTCGCCAGGTCGCTGCAGATGCGGTCAAGGGCCCTCGGCGCCTTGAGCACCGCCAGGCTCTCTCCCGCGAGAAGCCATGCGTAAGTCGGATATTTTTATCATCGCCATCATATTTTATAAATACACAACCGCGACAATGTTCGACGATGCCCGTGCTGACTCCCTCGCTTCCCCACAGTCGCCTTCTCTCCACCTCCGCCGCTCGCGCCGCCGATGATCAGCTCAACAAGATCTCGGCCAACATCACCCAGCCCAAGTCCCAGGGTGCCTCCCAGGCCATGCTCTACGCCACCGGCCTGAGCGAGTCCGACATGAACAAGGCTCAGGTCGGTATCTCGTCCGTCTGGTACGAGGGCAACCCTTGCAATATGCACTTGATGGATCTCTCCAAGGTCGTCAAAGAGTCCGTTGCCAAGGCCGGTCTTATCCCCTACCGCTTCAACACCATTGGTGTTAGTGACGGTATTTCCATGGGTACCACCGGTATGCGATACTCCCTCCAGAGCCGAGAGATCATCGCCGACAGTATTGAGACTGTCATGAACGGCCAATGGTACGACGGCAACATCAGCTTGCCCGGTTGCGACAAGAACATGCCCGGTGTTGCCATTGCAATGGGTCGTGTCAACCGACCAAGCATTATGGTCTACGGTGGTACCATAAAGCCCGGTTGCACCAAGGCCGGCGAGTCCATTGACATTGTCTCCGCTTTCCAGGCTTACGGCCAGTACATCACTGGTGAGATCACCGAAGAGGAGCGCTTCGACGTCATCCGAAATGCCTGCCCCGGTAGTGGTGCTTGCGGTGGCATGTACACCGCCAACACCATGGCCACTGCCATCGAGACTCTTGGTCTTACCCTCCCCGGCAGCAGTAGCAGCCCTGCTGAGGACCCCGCCAAGCTCGCCGAGTGCGAGAATGTTGGCCCCGCCATCCGTAACATCCTCAAGGAGGATATCCGCCCCCGCGATATCATGACTCGCCAGGCTTTTGAGAACGCGATGATCGTCACCACTATCCTCGGTGGCAGCACCAACGCCGTTCTTCACCTTATCGCCATTGCCCACTCCGTCGGCATCAAGCTCGAGATTGAGGACTTCCAGAAGGTTTCCGACCGCATTCCCTTCCTTGCTGACCTGAAGCCCTCTGGAAAGTGGGTCATGGCCGATATGCACAAGATTGGTGGCACTCCTTCCCTGCTCAAGTTCCTCCTCAAGGAGGGTCTCATCGACGGCTCCGGTATGACTGTTACTGGAAAGACCATGAAGGAGAACGTTGAGAACGTCCCCGACTTCCCCTCTGACCAGACCATCATCCGACCATTCAGCAACCCCATCAAGCCTACCGGTCACATCCAGATTATGCGCGGAACCCTGGCTCCCGGTGGTTGCGTTGGTAAGATTACCGGCAAGGAGGGTCTGCGATTCCAGGGCAAGGCCCGCGTGTTCAACGCCGAGAACGACTTCATTGCCAGCCTAGAGGCCGGTGAGATCAAGAAGGGCGAGAAAACTGTCGTCATCATCCGATACGATGGTCCCAAGGGTGGCCCCGGTATGCCCGAGATGCTTAAGCCCTCATCCGCCATCATGGGTGCCGGTCTTGGCAAGGACGTTGCCCTCCTTACTGACGGCCGATTTTCCGGTGGTTCTCACGGTTTCATTATCGGACACATCGTCCCTGAGGCCATGGAGGGTGGTCCCATTGCCCTCGTCGAGGATGGTGACACCATTACCATCGATGCTGAGCAGGCCATCATCGACCTCGAGATCCCCGAGGCAGAGATGAAACGCCGCCGAGACGCATGGACGCCCCCGGCCCCTCGCTACACCAGGGGTACTCTGAAGAAATACGCCTCCCTCGTGAGCAACGCCAGTCAGGGTTGTGTTACCGACGGTGCGCTATAACGGGCGTGCGGCCCATTTCCTTGGCATCTGTAACTATTCCTAGTATTTTACCCGGTTCGGAAAAGGCGATTTTGAATACAATTTTTTCTATATGAAGACACTTCGATGCCACTGTCGTGAATTATTACTCTCTGAAGTACAAGAAATCTATTCAGTTCGCGCTCATGGGCCACGGCCGGAACCAGCAATGAAAGTGGCATTCCAGTGTCAGGACTGGTATAGCTAAGGTGTAGGGTCAGTAGTTGTAGCAGCCCGCGGCAGTTGGTAGGTAGTGGGATTTGCACACAACTTAGAACATCTACACTTCGAATTGTCCTTGGAATAATGTAATACGAAGGCCCCAACCTTGCTACCAAAACTTACAAAAATGTCTAGCTCACCCAGCCACCATAAGAACCAAGAGCTAACGCGGTAAATCCTACCCAGTTCTGCTGAGTTGCGGGGTTGAGCGTTACTTGAGTCATGGTTATGTTTCCTCCGATTCTCAGTCGCCATTCATTATCGCGAGGGCACCAACCAGCACCACACTAGAACTCCCCCCCCCCCCCCCCCCCAGAAGGCTCACATGAACCATTATCTCAAGTATTTAGTGACGTACAGACGAACAAGTTGGTATAAATAACAAATACCCGGTTCCACGAGCGGTCATGGCTATCTCAGGGGTTGTTACAAAAAAGTCCCTCCAAATGGCACCGTGCAATGCAATTCCAATCCAGCCCCAGGGAAACAAACGCGATCCTTTCCTCCTGGAACACAATCTAAACCGGCCGTCACGAAAACATACACATTAAAAGAGTTTTCCATCACTGAACCGACTGACCTTGCAGCAATCAGGCCTTTTTCCCCTTGAGGACATCCACGAAGGTGGCCTTATCCTTCATCGTGAGTCCAACCCGCTTGACTCGGCCAAGCCTAGCAAGGGCTTCGCCTATGCGATCCAGAACCTTCTTCTCGTCTCCTGAAACGGCAGCGCCAGCGTCGTTGCGGTTCCTCAACTCAGAGTGGTCGCTCGTCGAGATCCCATTGGTCTTAGCAGTGGTAGAATTCATCTGGCCCTCTGCGACGCGGACACGGATGCAGGTTGTCGGTCGGGACAGCAAGTTCCAGAAGAACGTGAGCCACCTGCCAGGGACGGGAGTGGTGACATCGGGAGGGGTATACCGGATGCTAACCGGGAAGATGTGGATGTCGGATGGACACTGGAGGACGCTTGGGCTGAAGGGCAGAATAGCCTTGCCGTTGGTGGTACCGCACTCGGGGAAGACAGCAATGACTCGGTTCGGATATTCGGCGAGCAGGTCGTTGACCTCGACGAGCTTGGCGTTGCGCGGGGGAGCGGTGCGCACCGGCGACAGGGCCATGATGACGGCGCTCAGCAGGCCAATGCGCTGGACCTTGCGGGTGTCGGGGTATGAGATGGTGAAGATGGGATCGAAGATGGCGGCCAGGTAGACGGCATCAATGGGGCTCGTGAAGTTGACGGCGATGACGGAGCCTGGATGCGGGAAGCGCTCACGAGGCTGGTCGGCCAGGGTGCCACGCTTGACACCGTCGAGCTGGAGGTCAACCCACCATATGCCCGGGATAGCCATCATGCCCCAGAGGGCGACCTTGCGGAAGATGACTGGCAAGGGTAGGAAGTGGAAAAAGAGGAAGTATCCTAGAGCATAGGTGAGGAAGAAGGGCAGGCGGAAGAGGAAGATGAGCCCGTGGGTGAAGGTCGAGACGATGGAGAGGGGCGTTGCGACGGGGAGGAAGGGCGCAATGCCCGTAGCTGCGGGAAGAAGACAAGGTCAGCGCATTGCGTACAAGACAGAAGGGATTGTATGGTACCTCTGTCGCGGAACTGGCTATACTTTTCCATGGTGGATGGCGGCGGGCGCAAAAGTGTAGCGAGGGGGGAGTGGGAGCTGCAGCAATGGAAGTGGCGGCGGAGAGCTAGCGACAGCTTTTAGTACCGAGACATGGGAAGAGGCCAACGGAAGTGCCGGCTATCAAACACGCTCGCATGCAGCGAAAGTTTCAGTTTGCGCGCGAGAGAAAGATAGCGACGTTCGAGTCTATTCGCGGAGTGCAGGTTGTCATATCATACGCTCGAGCCCTGATGACATGTGAATGTGTGAAGCTGGACGCAAGAACAAGTGCGCCAGTCCAACAAGCGGCCCCCACGTACGTTGACATTGACGTTCTTTTTGGCGGGGACGTGCGGACGGGAGCTGACTCAGCGGCTGACTTGGGTTACAAGCCACAGGCAGGTGGTTACACGCCACACCTCTATCGCCATATTGCCCCGGCAACCATCCACCAGCCCCATCGCCCCGATAAACAAACGCCGTGCATCGCCAATCTCAGCTACCGACTCGTTCCGGGTTAGGCCAGGCTCCGCATCCTACCAACCCGCCGCCCAGAATAATAGTTGCTGGGCCGTGTCCGTGTCAGAGACGCCGTGTGTGCCTCTTCGACCTTCAACACGCATTCACCCACCACAAGTCGTCGAGGCGGAGCGCTGCTCCTTATACTACTTCCCATCGCCCTTGTTCCCGTGTTTTTGCTGCGCGCGCGCATCCGCAACCTCCTCAATATGGATACTGCAGAGAACTCGGTTCGTGGTCCCCGTTTGCCGTCGTCGGAGGGGTTCCTCCACATGTGGTGAAGGCCTGGCTGACCTCTTTTGTTGATCAAGACATTCCGAGCCTCCAAGATGAGCCGACTGCCCGCGCCGTCGACGCAGATAGGGGGAGGACTCTCGGAATGGAGCGAGTCGCAACACAACGCCCGCATCCAATCCTCTGTCCCCGCGCCGACGTCGTGGAAGGGCCTCAAGCGCGAGATTCCTCAGCCCGGTACGTTTTTCTGCAGCGTCCCTCCGGCGTTGTGCCCTCATGCGTCACTCTTGCTGACCGCCAGTCGCATCGTCAACAGCCGCCCAGTCCGAAGCCAAGCGCAAACCACTCGCCGACCGCGCACTCGAATACCCAGTCAAGCCGTCACTCGCAACTGCCGCTCCTGCAGCTCGATCAGCGGTCAAGGGCCAGACTTTAACAGGCATATCCGGTGTAAGTTGACCAGTTCTTTCCTGTGTGTCGATTATCCCATGGCGCCAGCCCGCATCAGCCCATTCTCGCTGTGGTGCCAGTTTCAGCCCTGTCGCAACTAGCCGCCTACATCGGTCGACGCATCCTCAACCACCTCCATTACTTTTCCCTGCCGGCGGTAGTTTGGATCTTTTCTTTTGTACATTACATGTTTGAAGCGACTTGATTTTCTACGCCGGTTGTTGAAGGTGGTTGCTGGACACGATCACACCATGGGATCATTTGGGATCAACACACAACAGACCCCATCACCGTCGGGGTCTCGTTTACGACGAATTAGTTCCGCTTCTGCGTTGCTCAAGACAAATCCATATGGAGATGTCAGACCACTCTTTGGGAGGCTGCACGACTTCCGCTTCGGCTTCCAGAAGCGTGAAGACGACAGCCGCTTCCGACTCCTTTTTGGCAACGGAGTCCCTCCACGAGATCCCCAACGGCACGCGACCATGCCAATCAGGCTGAACGACAACGACGGGCCAATGCTTGTACTTGCTTTAATTTCACGGCTGCGATTCGAACCAGCACTGACTTCATACTCTTGTAGCTCAAACAACCCACATCATTCCAATCACGCCAGCTATCGACCACTTCCACATCCTCGAGCAGCAGCTTCGCTAAAAGCGTTGGCCCCGGCCGACTTCCTCCCGTCGATCGTCCCCAGACCTCGAGACAGAATGGCCGACCCGCTCACGTCAGGTCAAAGAGCCAGGCTCCGAGGCCTCGGACTGCCCACGGCATTCGTGAGCGCGAAGAGGAACGATATGAAGCAGCACCCGCCGGTAATGGTACGACTCTCAAACAACACCTCACCACCCGAGTTTTCGCCCCCCTTCGCAAAATTAGAACGGTTCAGTCAACCTCTACATTGTCGTCCCACAGAGATAGTTCTCTGACCACGAGATTCCACCAACTGAGTCTCGAGGATGACGGCATGCTACTCAATGGGAATCAAGCGATGCCCCAACCACCCACGCGCCAAGCCTCACAATCTTCGGTCGCTTCCCAGCTTTCCAATATTACCGTTACACGCCCTGGCAGAGATAAACCGAACGGGAGGCCTTGCTTGACTGCCCCTCCGGCTGAATCTGAAGAGACCTAGGCGGTCCCTCCAAAGACACCGAGCGGCAAGCAGTTGCGGCGCAAGCTTGACCAGTTTGAGGAGTCTCTGTCATTATCCCCTCTCAAGAGTTTCAAATCTCCTCCAAAATCCGTTTCTCCTTGCAAGCTATATTTGAACAAAGATTCTAACCTCACTTCTTATCTAGCCTGGGATGTTGATGGACGCGTTGGCGACATGGAGTCGCAGTTCAAGGAGCTGAAGGAGATGGTCAACACCACACTCGGTGAGAGGAAAAGCCACGAAGACGCTCTTGGACTAGCCAAGACACGAGGTAAGTATTCCAAAAATTGTGTCGAGGATGTCGACTAATTCTTCACAGTCAAAGAGTTGGAGAACGACAGGGAAAAGCTTGAAATGCGAAATGAATCCCTCAAAGATGACCTCGACACAGCAAGGGAGGAGGGGCGACAAATCAGACACGAAGTGGAAAAGCAAAAGTGGGATCACACTCGGCAGATGGATGATCTCGAACGGAAACACCGGGAAGCGCTGGACGACCTATCTCGACAACACCGATCAGCCGTAGACGGGCTAAGCCGAGAGCTGGAGCGTCTAAAAGAACAGGAAACGAGGGAGCACGAGCAGCGTGTCGAAGGGCTCACTCGCCATTACCAGCAAGAGATTGAAGACGAGCGGCAAAAGAAGGATCGAGAGATCCAGGAATTGCGGACTCGAATGGGCAATGAGCACCAAGACATGGGCGTGTCCATGCAACGGAAGGATCGGGAGCTCCAAGAAGTCAAGTCACATCTCGAAGGCATCCGAGGGGACCTTGAGAGGGAGCGAGCACTCAAGGGGAGTCTGCAAACCAATATTGCCGAGCTTTCTGCCGCCAACACCACCCTGGAGGCCAAGATTAACTCTCTCCGATCACATGTCGAGTTCCTGGAGTCCGACAATAAGGCACAGTCAGATTCGTTTTCCAACATGGAATCCCGACTACAAGAAGCCCTGCGGGCTGCCGAACTAGCGCAAGAGAAGCTCATCAAGGAGGAGACGGAACGACGAGTTCTCTTCAATAAGTACCAGGAGCTCAAGGGCAACATCCGAGTCATGTGCCGAGTACGACCTGCACTAGGCAATGGTGAGGGTGAGGAGGCCAACATGTCTTTCCCCGATGAGAAGACCTCGTCCGAGATTGTTCTTGCTGGACCCGAGGAGAGGAGCAGCTTAGGCAACGTGACGCGGAAGAACTACCCGTTCGAGTTTGACCGCGTGTTTATTCCCGGGACCCAGAACGACGAAATCTTTGGCGAGATCTCACAGTTGGTACAGAGCGCCCTTGACGGGTACAATGTGTGCATCTTCTGCTACGGCCAAACCGGATCTGGAAAGACTCACACCATGTCATCGCCGGATGGAATGATTCCTCGGGCTACCCACATGATCTACGACACCATCACTAAGCTCAAGGAGAAGTCTTGGGAATACACCATGGAGGGCTCATTCGTGGAGGTGTACAATGAGGATCTGAACGACCTCCTCACACCCAATGACCGTACACCAGAGAATCGGTCCAGGAAGCTCGAGATTCGACACGACGAGTCACGCAAGCAGACAGTCATCCTCAACTGTAAGTCGGTACGGCTCGACAGCCCATCTAGTGTGGAAACGATGCTGGAGGAGGCACAGAACAACCGATCCGTTGCAGCCACCAAGGCCAACGAGCGGTCGTCACGATCTCACAGTGTCTTTATCCTCAAGCTAGTGGGTGAGAATTTCGCAACCGGCGAGCGGTGTGAGGGCACTCTCAACTTGGTTGATCTTGCGGGATCCGAGCGCCTCAAGCACTCGCAGGCCGAGGGCGAGCGGATGAAGGAGACACAAAACATCAACAAAAGTCTGAGCTGCCTTGGCGATGTGATTGAGGCCCTGGGCCGAGGATCGGGTCATATTCCGTACCGCAACTCCAAACTTACGCACCTACTGCAGTACAGCTTGGGAGGAAACAGCAAGACTCTGATGTTTGTCATGGTGTCACCGCTAGAGACGCACTTGAAGGAGACGTTGACGAGTCTTCGGTTCGCGACCAAGGTACGTTTGATTCTATGGATTGGATGAAGTAACTACGCTAACGCTGCATGTTGTAGGTGCACAACACGCATATCGGCACGGCCAAGGCCACGAAGAAGATCAAGGGCGACTCTTAGAACGGTGCCGAGGCCCCTGGCAAAATGCCGTCTGCCCAAGGTAAACGGAGATGATGAGAGGGGAGCGATGAGCGGTGATGAAGAATTTCTGGGAGCTGCAACGTCAAGCCGGATTTGGTTGCGGCCGGGATCGAGGGGTGGAAAATTGGGATACCTACCCAGGCTAATGGGCCCAAGGCGGCATGAGGCATGTTTCTCTGGCGGGAGTTGGTATATGTGGCTTGAATGCTGTTGAATGCTGTTGATGCTCGTCACTTTTGCAGGCGAATGGATTGGTTGGTTCTGGACAGGACCAGGGATGGCTGGATTCCATTGGGTTAATAAACCCCATGTTGTTGATTTGCTTTGGAGTTTTGTATATCGATATGGAAATGGCTACGAAGCCATTTCGATGAGATACATTTATGAGTTGATGCATCGACTCCAACATTTGCGCCACTTCTTGACTGAATTACACTTGCAGTGAGTATTGTAGGGATCATGATCTTGGGTTTCCCTCCCTTAAGTGAGTAACATGAAATCGCGTAAATTGATGTGGAGGTTTAGCGCCCGGAGAGACATATGGAACAGCGCTTCAGGCATTCGCTAGGGACCATGGTGCCTGTAGGGGCCTGTCAGCCACTCTAACCCCTGGACCTTGGAGCCGGTTCAGCGCTTGAACTGTGCCGGACATACTGTATGGGATAGGCGAGCCAATGGCGGGGCTTCCTTGCGGGCGACTACGCTAGAGACCCACTTGTCTCCTTTGACGCATTGAAGGGCGGTTTGGCTGAGGCCTGGTGGCTGTTGGTTGTTTGATAGCGATTCTCCAACTTCACATCATTCACATCACATTTACGCATCATCACGTCGGAAGCTCTAGGACGCAAAGAGACAGAACACACGTTGGATTCGGGTTGGGTGCTCTTTCGTGCTCTTGCGTGCTGTTCTGGTATCTTGCCGAGGGCCGGTTCCCTCTACCGACTGCAGCACGAGCGACGCATCATCCGGCATCATCCTCGCCAGCGCGTAACGGAGTATCTCATCCCCTTGATCTCAATCCAGACCACCAGACACTACAGGGGTGCTTGCTTATTACACCCTTGGATTTGCATTCTTCCTTTTCTTGGTTTCCGGCCCATGGCCCCATCCCTACAGCCTTCGGGACGCTGCAGTACTTGACTAAGCCTTCGACTTATCTTGCTACGACATACGCTTCCAAGAGTACCTGGATTGGTGATTAACGCCTTTGCCTATCCTTCTCAGATTCACCCCCACACCCTCAACTTCCTTGCCTCCCTCCACCATGACCAAGGCAACAGGCCTGTCGGACTCTATATGGGCCAAGGGAAGACCCCACGTACCACGACCCTGGCCCGCCTCCTCTTCATCAGTCTCCTTACCAAGCATCGCCTCTGCCCCAACGCCATCATCAGCTTCAGCTTCAGCTTCGGTGACCAACAACTCCAGACCCCCGGTTTCAGCCTCCGCCTCCGCACCAGCACCATCCGGCCACCGCCTGACCCCATCCCAAGCCTTCCACCGCTTCGAGCAGGCCTGCCAGCGTCTACGGTGGAAATTTTTAGATCTGCAGACCTCGTATCAGCGCGCTACTAGCCCGGAGGAGCATGGCTTTACGAAGGTGGATGCTGAGCGGAACTTCAAGGTCGACTTTCATGAGTTTTACGTCTGGATCGAGCAGGCCATTGTGTTGTTGCTCCTCATCTTTGGTGTGTCGATCTCACGTAACGCATATGGGGGACCATCTTTGGCAACCAACTTCGGCCATGCATATCATCACAATGTGCTCAAGGCTCTCGAGGAAGAAGGATGCCCTGTTCATGGTGCCTTAGGCCACGGTGAAGTCAACCAAGCGTTGTGGAAGGCCAAGGAACTGCGGAACCGGTGGAAGGATGCTGCTGAAGGGCGTGAGACACCACCGCTTAAGATGTATGACCTGACGTGGATCGTAACCATGGTCTTATGCGGTCTGGAGGAGGCGTACGCAGTCGCCGCTCGACATGTCGCCCTGGAGCTGCAGATGGAGACGGAACAGACGCAGGCCCAGGGGGCGAGCAGTAATGGGAATGTGGGTAATGACACGGCTAGCGGTGGGGAGATGGATGATGAGTGGGAGTGGATGGTAGAACCCATGGACTGGGAGGCGGCTTGATGGGGGCGCGATGAGCGAACAGGATAAAATAAAAGAGGGACATGGGAGATTTTCCAGGTGTTTTAAGGTGGGACGGGAGACTTTGGATTAGGGTCTGTCTGGTGTTATAGTAGCTTCTGAGTAGCTTCTTAGACGGTATATTGGGTAGTCTATCTGAGATGGACCACCATCATGATGTCGATGTGTCTGTCTGTATTCTCTGAATATGGCGTTCATGATGAAATTAACTAATCACAAAAAAGACCATCTGATAACGAAACCTGTTGCGTCTCGGGCGTTCATTTAGAGACAACTGGGCTAGGTCATGATGACTGGGCGGAGTAAAATGAACAGAGTTCTTTAGGAAGTCCATTAGCATAATACTGGGCTTACGGTGAGTCTGTAGAGTCTCGTAGTGTGTGACATATCGTAGGATGACATAGGATGGCAAGCTGGGTATGGGCCAGAAATGACAGTGTACATGGCGATATGAGTGAGGATGAACTTTCTCTAGTCCAGTTCAGTCCAGATCGGCTTACACAGTTCGGATGAGGTATGGTGAGAATTGGGTTGGCGAGCTTGCCGCACCCCGGAACTCTATTCCCATGACGTAAAACGGAGAAGAAAAACGCTCCGGGTCTGGTTCCAGTGAGAATTAGCTTGTTCCACTATCATCCGTCATTGATGAGGCTGAGCGAGTCTCAACCAGGTTGCAATCTACCGCCGGCCCATGCCAAACCATCCGCGGTTTCCATGCAGCTCCGTTCCCCCGACTTTCCTCCATCTTCATCCCTCAATGGGTCGAATACACTACCGCTGCATCTTCGTACCGGCCTCCAATCGAGGTATCGCCAAGACCCTCCCCAGGCGCACGTCCAAACATCGACAAGGGTCTGCTTGACGGTGGCTTGATGCGGTTCGGAGATCTTGAAGGATCACGGTGTGTCTGATTGGAGCGCGTACAAAGTCCATCCCTCCAGCATTGGCCAACGTCACACTAAACTGTTGGAATGGAATGCTAGGACAGCAAGTTGGACACAATGGAGACGCTGGCATGGACCAGCTTACCACCGAGGCCGGTCTATGAGGATGAGGTCTGCTGATCAGTGTGGATGTTTGTTCCTACGTTACTTATTACGGCGAAACGGGATGAAGTTTACCGGGGTGGAGGACCGAGGTTATCCGAAAACCCGCGCATATTCGGATGGCTCCAGTAATACTGCTTGGCAGCATCGGTTGATGACATCCATCTTTTTTTTTGGCATGTTGATTGCAGTGTCCTGACTGTATTTACTACTGAGGTAGAATTACGGCATTTCTCTGGGATACATATTGACCGAAGTGAAAGAAAAGAGCCATTATGTGAGTTGCAATGCAGTCGGGTGTATACAACAGGAAACCCGATCGTGGGGAACAATCGACTGGTCGACAGGGGAGGTAATAATGGAACGGCAACGACATGGGCCCGGCATATGTTAAACTGCTGCCTAATACCCTTACCCAAATTGTGTTAGCTGGTACACTGTACTCAACGTTACAGCTGGTTTACTCCCATGACGGAGACGGCAGAGCGGCATATGCGTGTGGATTAATATGGGACATGTGAGTGTCGCGGGTGATGAAGGAGACATCTTCGGCGACGCCTCTAGCGATAGTCCAGCCTGCTAGTGGTGGTGGGTATTAATTATCTTGCCCATGTGAGAGGTGATCGCTGTAACTACCAGGGCCTGTTCCTCGCCCATCCAACAAGAGCTGGTTGCAGGTCGCAGTGGAGATGGAGTGAGGTCGGATCAGGTTATGTGAGCGAGCCAGTTACTGGATTGGCAGTTTCGTTTTATCGCGTAGCGTTGTAGCATGCCGGGCCAGGTCATCGGTAAAGGACGATCTTTTTCTGAATTCATCATGACAATGTCTGCAGTGGTGCGCAAGTGTGTCAGTTCGGGAGTGTCAGTGCCGGCATCAAGAACAAGCCTTGGAGCATAGCAATCAGCTCCGATGCCCAAGAACAACGGCGTCGATGACAGTGAGAAACAGTTGGCTTGTGATAAAGGCTGAGTGCTTGAGAAACCCAGTACAGCATTACTAGCACTGCGCTCTGTTTCCAATTCTTTTTCGTATTCTCTACTCGTCTGCTATCTCCTCCACAGCCCTCCTCCATCAGACCCCACTGTTCCCCCATCCCCGGATTCAACACCACACCATACGAGCGTGGTCCCATCCACACCCCAACTCCCTAAACCCGGCCGCCGATGGGGGCCCGCACTCTCCATTCCGCTTCGCTTGCGGGAGAAAGAAAGCCGACCAAGTTGTCCGGAGCCCTCAGAATGCGTGACTAGCCCTTGCGGACCCATTGACTCGGATCACGCCCGTTGGCCAATGTTTCGTGGATGGGATGTAACAATAAAGGACCAGGTTTAAATACGGGCCGATGGAAGGTCTTTTGGCTCTCGATTAACAAAGTAGACTCTTGAATTCTGCATCTCTACCTCCCTTGTTTCTGTCTCTTGTTCTCGGCGTAATATCCGCCCGCCAATCCACCCAACACCTCAATCACCATGAAAAGCTGGCTCGGCCGCGGCAAAGGCGTTCGCTTTGGCATAACTGTTACTTGCCTTATAGCTTTTGTCTTGTTCGGTTACGATCAAGGAGTGTTTGGTGGCATTCTCCAAAATGAAGATTGGCTCAACCAGTTCGGCCACCCTTCTGACTCCAAGACGGGCATCATTGTCTCTTGCTACAACTTGGGTTGTCTAACGGGATGTATCAGTGAGTTTCTCTTCCTTCCTATTGAAACGGATTTTGCTAAATGGTACTTTAGTCAACTTCTTTACCGCTGATGTCCTAGGCCGGCGGAAGACCATTTGGGCCGCCATGGCTTTCGTCACCATTGGTGCTATCCTCCAAGCTTCTGCCTTCAGCATCCCTCACCTTGTCATTGGCCGTGTGATTACGGGCTTTGGTACAGGAATGAAGACCTCGACGGTGCCGATGTATCAATCCGAGCTCTGCGAAGCCAAGTACCGTGGTCGTCTCATCGCCTCCGAGTCATTATTCGTTGGCGTTGGAATTGTCTTCGCATACTGGTTCGACTTCGGCCTCTCTTTTGTCGGCGGCGCTATGGCTTGGCGTCTTCCCCTCGCATTCCAGATCATTTTCGCCCTCATCGTCGTGGTTCTTGTCTTTGGACTCCCAGAGTCCCCCCGTTGGCTGTTTACCAACGGCCAACGTGAGGAGGCCATTAAAGTCATGTGCCACGTCTTCGACAAGAACCCCACGGACCCTTGGGTCATCCAGGAGGTCAATGCCATTGAGCAGGCTATTGAGCTTGAGTTCGAGGCCCAGGTCAGCTTGCTCGACTGCTTTAAGAACGACCGGGTTAAGACAGGACACCGTGTGCTTTTGGCGTATTTTGCGCAATTCATGAATCAAGTGGGGGGCATCAATCTCGTTGTATACTACGTTCCGTCGGTCCTAGTTCAGAACGTTGGACAGACGGCCCAGACGGCTCAGATCTTGGGTGGTTGCATCCAGATCATGTTCATGGTGGGCGCCATCCTCCCCGCCCTCGCCCTCGACCGTATGGGCCGTCGCAAAACCATGATGTGGGGCAGCTTGGGCCTTGGTTTCTGCATGATGATGGTTGCGATCCTGTTGTCACAGGCCAACAACGCTTCCAATGGGGATAAATGTGCTACGGCGGCGGTTGCTTTCTTCTTCCTCTACCAGCTCATCTTCGGCTTCTCTATGAACTCTGTCCCCTGGGTTTATGTCCCTGAGATTCTTCCCCTCAAGGCTCGTACACGGGGTACTGCTGTCGGTATCAGTTCTAACTGGCTATGGAATTTTTTTATCGTCATGATAACTCCTGTTCTCATCAACAGGGCAGGTTGGAAGGCTTACCTGGTTTTCATGATTACGAACTATCTTTTCGTCATCATTATCTGGTTTTACTTTCCCGAAACGAGCAACTTTACTCTAGAAGACATTGACAAGTTCTTCGCCAGTGGCGAGAACCCGGTTGATGTCGCTCGCTGCATGACGAAGGAGATGAAGGAGGGCCGATACAGACATGCGGGGGCCGAATCTCTGGATAACGAAAAGGGAGAGGAGCAACAGGAGGTTGAGCAAAAGGCGCAAGGTCATTGATGCCTTACAATGATAAGATGCCACAAGTGAGTAGTGACAACTGCCAAACTTAGTTGGAGCCAGGGTTTAATCTATCAACTCAACATCAGGATATTGGGAAATTGGCAAATAAATTGAAAATTTCCCTTTGCACTCAAATTTTCCTGAACCCATGTGCCAAACTCATCATGGCTGAGAATAGCACTGCGAGATTGGAGACGCTCGGAAATCCACCATGTCGCTGTTTACTGCCCAATCATGCCTGTGCATGCACCACACCAACCGCCTCTATTGGATACTGAAGCGAAGTTCCAATACGGGCGCAATGTGAAACAAAAGCCTCCTCTTGGCTGACCATCCCAACAGAAATAAATCCTCTCTCTCACCGCACATCCCGATCAGCAATGTGATTTGGCGCACAGTAACGGGCGAGCACAGACGCTGAGCGACACAAACAAGAACAAAGTGCGAATTGCTGAGTCTCTGATTGGACGGCGCAGAGCTGTGGACGGCATTAGCAAGCCCGGTGTGAATCACACCGTGTGATGCTGCACGACGCCAATGCATGTATGTTTGCTTTTCTCAGGCTGTGGAATGCGTACTCACCTTCCTACATAGCGGAATAGGTCGGTCAGCCAGACGCGAGCTAGGCGCGCCTTGTCTTTGAAGTTCAGTGCGGGGGTCAGGACTCAGAACACGTTGAGAAGCCTCTCTTCTTCTACATCTTCGACAACTTGGATGCTCAATCGATGATCCATTATCGTGCGCTCCAGCAGGCTCTATCAAAATGATGAACCTCGGCGACATCATCCCGCTGCGATCGTGGCCAGCGAGCGTCTATGTCATCGTAACGCTGGTATTGGTGCTCGCCTTTGGAGGCATGGTCACCCGCCCGTCCTTCCCCAAGACAGCACCCAAGGTCCATCGCGGGTTTCCGCTCCTCGGCTCGTTGGAGTTTTTCCGTGCCAGAAGCGATTTTATGCGGCAGGGAAAGGCACAGAGCAAGACCGGCCAGTTCAGCTTCCACTATGGACCGCATTCTGTGGTTGGCGTGTCAGGAAAGGCGGGAAAAGCAGCCTTCTATGGAAATAGAGGCCTGGATTTCAATGAAGGGTGAGTGACACTGCCATCACAACGAGCCGAGAATTCTAACACAGCGTAGTTTCAAACACCTGTTCGCTCTTGGTCCAGATATCAGGTTCCTACGGATGACCGAAGACGAGGACTTGATCCCAGACTTCCTTGCCAACCTCAAACGCTTCATGACGAAAGAACGCTTGAAGGCAGGCCTCCCGCTCCTCATAGCCGACACCCACGCAGCCCTGTCGACAATGTCGTCAGCACCACAGGGTATCCTGCGCCCGTTTGACGAGATGTGGCGTCTTGTCTACCAGCTTACCCACCGGACATTGGGCACCAAGGACATTGCGGACGACCCGAAAGAGCTCGCGCGCACCATGGCTATTTACATGACCATGGATGGCAGCTCAGCGCTCGATGTCATGTTCCCGGCTCTCCCGACACCGAAGAAACTGAGGAAGATCTGGGCTGGGGCACAGCTGCATCAGACGTTTAGCCGGATTGTGGAGGACAGGAAGAAGACAGGACGAAGGGAGGAAGACGTGATGCAGGCGTTGATGGATCAGGGGGCCGATAATATGAAGATTTCAGCTGTGAGTTCATATCCTTTCTCCCGGAGTCTGTTTTTAATGACCTTGCAGTTCATCATGGGTAGCCTCTTCGCAGGCGTCCTCAACAGCGGTATCAACGCTGCCTGGATCCTATGCTACCTCGCCCGAGATCGAACCTGGTACGCGCGCATCCAAGAACAAGTCGACGCCGTCATCACAAAGCATCGCAGAGACGATGATGAGCAGCCAGTCGACGTCTTCCAGCGGCTGACAATTGAGGAATGGGAGACTGAGTTCCCGCTGATCGAACTTGGCCTGCGAGACTCGATCCGGCTGAACATGTTGGGCGTGGGAATGAGGAAGAATCTCAGCGGCAAGGACATCCCTCTTGGAGAGACGGGCGAGGTTATCCCGAATAATGCGTTCGCGGTGAGTTTGATGCTCAAGTAGTAGAGGCGGAGGTGCTGATCAGTCTAGGTTTACCTCATGGATCATACTCACTTGGATGAGAACACGTACCCGGATCCTATGAAGTGGGATCCCGGACGGTATTTGCCTGAGCGAGCAGAGGATCAGAAGTCACAACACGCATATCTCGGGTGGGGTGTAGGATTACATCCATGTCGTGAGTCGCTTACTTATAGTCCGTCAGGGACGGATCAATGCTAACATTCGACAGTTGGAATGAGGGTAAGCTTTCGAAACCAGTTATTAATGTACACGAAATAATGAAGAAAAGATTGCTAATGTATAATAGTTTGCCAAATTAGAAATCGCTATCACGACAGCCATGTTCATGGCGCACTTCGACTTTCGACTGTGTGATAAAAATGGCAGCCCGGTTGATACCCTGCCGCTAGTGGATCGGAATGGTCTAGGGATTCCAAAGCCCAAGGAGGACGTTTACATAAAGTGCACTCTCAGGGTCTAGTCGGATATTGGTTTAGTGTGCTTAAATAGACTTACTAAAAGTAGTCAACTGGGTTATGGGTTGCATCAGAGTAAAACGAAGAGGACCCGCCCTTGTTTTCACCCTTGCTTTATTTCCTTGTCCCCTTGGTCCTTCTTCTCCATTTTTCCATCTGCGACTCGCTTTATCTGCGCCTCAATCTCAGCAGCAAGCGAGGACGGCGTTCGTGCCCCAGTACTTCTGACCCGATCCTATTCCCGACGCTATCAGTATCGATCTCTCTAGTGCGTATTGGCTGACTTGCCTGACTCGCCTGAGGCGCTCCGTCATTTGATGGGGCAGCAGGATGGTATGTAGGGTTGTTTGGCCGGGCGGCGAGGTTTTGATGCCTTTCAAGGAGACTCTGGGGCGTAGGGTCCGTGGTGTCCTGAACAGGGCCCAGGCCGGTTGCTTCAGACTCAGACTGAGCGAACTGAGAGAGTACTTCGCCGGTAGGCATTTTTAGGAATAGGTAGGTATAGGTCTTGTAGAGAGCTTAGAAGATATCTTCAAGTTGTCAAATAGGTAGGTGTTTCTGACGGAGCGTTTGTTTGTGGTGTGGATGTGTGAAGTGACGTCGCTCGAGAATATAATTGAGAGACAACGAGTTGAGTATGCAGATAAGGGGGCCCCTAGTATGGAGGGCTACACCGTCCGCCAGTCACTGAGGACACAGTCAGAGTCGGGTGCAAGGTCGGAAACAACAGTGAGGGAAATGAGAAGTCTTTTCCTCTTTCATTACAGTATTCATGCACCCAACGCTGGCAACCTCTTTGCTGCTCTGTCCCGTTACCTATGTCGGCTCATAATGCCTTCGATGTCCTAAGCCGTGACATCATGTGGGGGAGGGACCTGCCTACTGGGAAGTCTAGTCGACTTCTTCATGATGCCTGCCACCATTACGCGAACTGGTGATTGACTGAAGTTGGAAGGTATGACCAAACGTCTTATGACCAAACTGTTATACTATAGCACAAAGAATGAGTCTCTCCCAGTAGACAAAAACACGGCCCAGAATTTCTAATGCAAAGAGATACTGAATGCAAAAATCCAACCTCAATATCGCAACCTACGGCCAAAGACATGATTTTTCCTCGTCGAAGGCATAGAGGGTATAGGGTAGGTTAATTCGGAACTAGAAATTAATTCCCGAGCGGAGATTTGCGGGGAAACTCGGGGTAGGGCCGGATTTGAGTTGGCGGGGAAGGGGGAAATGACAAGAGGAGGAGATCCGTCACGGGCAATAAAGCAAAGTGGCCGTTGATCAAATGTTTTTGGGAAGATTCCAAGAGTAATTATAGCTATTGATATATTCGCAGGCCGCCATCACCTTCTGCAATGGGACATACACCCCGACAGAGCGTTTATCCTGTCAGCTGGAAGCAGCATTGCAATTATTCAAGATCCCTGCTGAAAACAGCTGGGCTAACCCGCTAGCTACAGTGCTAGTGAGTCAAACTCGCGTGGGTGGGCACAGATTTCTGTCGACTTTTACCGGGATGGACCATTTCGAGGCAAGTTGATGCCTGCCCCGCAATCCATCAATCAGGTGACACTCCACGCTCACGGTTCACTCCGTCCCATTAATCGTGAGGCACAACAACAGGGGATGCGTCGGTGCTCGCAAACTTGACGCACTTTCACTCGCTCACTCGTTCGTTCATTTACAGCCCGGAGAGCTGACAGCTCCATATCAAGGCACTTGCGGGCCTTCGACCTTCTCACTTTCCCCGGAGAGACGGCCAGTCGGACGGAGCCAGACTCGGAGCAAACATGTCTTCCCGGGATAGGGACATGTTGGCCAGCGACGCCATCGGCGGACGCCCGCTGATCCCTCGAGCCAGCAGCATCGGCGTCGGCGGCGGCGGCGGCATGAACTCTCACGAGTCTGTGGGTGGTGGGACGCCTGGCCGCCCGACGACATCCGGCCGCAGGTACATCCGCTCGCGGGAGGGTTGTCTGACGTGCAAGTATGTGACAGCACGGAGCGAAGCTATCACTGGACGAGAGCTGACTCAGGAGAAACTCAGGCGTCGAAAGGTCAAGTGTGATGAGCAGAGACCGCGGTGTTCCCACTGCGAGAGGCTCAACATGGAGTGCAAATGGCGGCCCCAGACGCGCTCAGCCGCGCAGAGGAGGCTGCCCACCAACGACATGAATGGGGCGGCCGCTGAGCAGAATCTGTCGCCGGCCACCGAGGCCTCACCTGGAAACTCCGTCTTCCAGCCGGCCCACGCCGTCGACGAGGTCTTCGACTACGCCAGCTTCATGTGGGACTCGGGGGACTTCTGGCAGCAGGTGTCCCCTGACATGAACCAGAATGTGGGACTCGAGGCGCACATGCTGGTGAGTCTTGCCCCCTTCCGCGTTGCATGCGTCGAGTCCATCCCTGGAGACTCCACCGCTGTGCAGCTTGACGTCGCCACGGCACTGGAGGCTGTAGCTTAGCAGACGACATACTGGTCTCGGGGAGGGTGGGAGCAACATTTGATACGCGGATGCCACCAGGAGGACCCCTAACTAACTCGTCACCCGCAGGCTGCACATTCGCAAATCACATTCCCGGACAGGACGGCCTTTGTCAATCCGTTCCCCGCACCCTCACTCACGCAAAGCAACGACAGCCAGGAAAAGCCGCCCCTGCCCCAAGGCGGCGAGAAGTTGATGGAGTTCTTCGTCCACTCCGTCAACCCGCCCATCATCGCCGAGGTGGAAACTCACAAGAAATGGCTTTCTATGCGCCAGGCAGTTGTCGAGATGGCAAACATCTCTTCCATGGTGCGCTACGCTATTCTGGCCTTCTCCAACGTCCTTCTCAGTCGTCAGGATGGGACCTGGGCCATGGGGGAACAAAACTACTACGAGCACGCTGCCGCCGAGGTGGCGAGCCATGACGGCCGGTCGATGATTGATTACAGTCCAAGCCGAGAATACCTCCTGGCAACTCTCTTTTTCCTCAGCTACATCGATATTCTCGACAGTCGACTGGAAGCCGCCCACACCAACCTCAAACGCGCCTACCTCTTGTTCCAAGGAAGCAACAAGAGTAGCCTATCAGCTGCCGAGAAACAACTCCTGCTTTGGATTCGTCTCCTGGACGGTCGTGCAGTCTCTGCTGGTGGCGACGGTCTATTCTTGTCCAAGGATGATGAACTTATGCTCGTGGAAGCATCGCCCGCGAGTTTCGATGGAGAGGCCGACGATGTTTCGAAACTGGATGCCGCCGAGGGCGATATCGAAGATGCCCTATTCCAGGTCCTGTACCAGCCAGGCGTCGTCTTCTACCAAAAAGTCCAGAGCTTCATGGGGCGCATATCCAAGATCGATCCCTGGCATCGTTCACGAGGGACTGTCGAGGACGAGATCGAAGTTATGAATATCGGCGCCGCTATCACAGCCGACCTGCGAACGCTATACGACCAACGACCGCCGTTGATGGATTATGCTGTGGCGGGGAAGCTCACGGAGCCGCACGTCTCGAAGCACCTGGCGTTTGTCATTACCCGCGCATTCCGAACATACCTGTCCAACTATTACGCCAGCAAGATTCATCTGCACCGTGTCGCATACAAGAACCTGCCGCTGACCAAGGAGGTGGTCGAGGCGTTGGATCAGATCCGGAGGCTGGCGCAGCAGATTGTGGCAGATTTGGACCCCGAAGACACGCTCCCGGTCAACATGCTCTGGCCGCTTTTGATGCTGGGCGTCGAGGAGCAGGATGCCAACGAAAAGGTCTGGATCAAGACGCAGATTCTCAGAATGGAAAAGGTCGCCGGCAACGCTCGCATCACGGCGCAGGTGCTGGAGGAGGTCCAGGCCCGGCAAGACGCTGCAAAGGCTCGGATGGATATCCGGGCGGTCATGCACGCCGTCTTCAACTCGTGCTTCGCGATCGTCTAGTTGCGGGAGACATGCACGAGCGCCTCTTGGCGAACCACTGAGACGTCGCGACGAGCATTCAGCCGACACAGGAACGCAGTCATGATGCCATGCGAACTGCAACCCCGGACGCACACAACGAGTCATCCCACAACCTGGTGGCGCCGACGAGTCCACTCGGCTCCTCTTCGAGATCCCACCGGGGTGCATCTGCCATGCGACCGGGCTGGCTTCATCCCTGCTAGGCGTGTGTCGGCTCGACGCCCCACACACACACCCTTCGTGCCGATCGGGTCTCCTCACATGAGCTACGGACATCTCCAACTTTTCCCCGCATGAGGCCAACACCCACAAGAAGTCACCGCACGTTTGACGTCGATGCTGTGGTTCTGAGGCCCAAGGACGTGGCATCACGTCGTTGGGGGTCTGGATGGAGACGCCGATGGAGACCCCGTGGGGGGCGGGTTTTGTGGGCGGCAGGCGAACAATTGAATATCTTTGCCGCTGTTCCCACTTGCATCGGCTTGTCTCGTTCATCCGTCTTCCAATCTTCTCTTTTGCATCTTCTGGAGTTGATTGATTTGTCCGAAACATCACCTTTGTCGCAAACAAAACCGCAAAACCACAAAACCACAGACACAATGGGCTCAATCGCTGTCGCCAAGGGCAAGGCTTACCCGCCTGGAATTCACGTCCCTGCTCTGACTTGGTTCGCCGACGATGCCAATCAGGAGATCGACTGGGACCTCCAGAAGAAGCACATTGAGTTTCTGATCAGCTCTGGCCTTGACGGAAGTAAGTGCGGCGCAATTCCCCCCCACAGACGCAGATGGCTAACCTTTGCGCGCAGTTGTCATTGCTGGAACCAACGGCGAGGCGGTTACCCTTTCTGCGGCCGAGAAGTCACAATTGCTGCGAACGACGCGCGAGATTGCCGTGCAAGTTGGCCGCCCCGACATCACCATCACCCTGGGCACCTCCGGAAGCTGCACCCGCGATGTCATCGCCGAGACTCACCTGGCCAAGGAGGCCGGCGCCGACTTCGTCCTCGTCCTCACCCCCAGCTACTTCCACTTCGCCATGACCCAGGACGCCATCCTGGCCTTCTTCGAGGAGCTTGCCGGCGTCAGCCCCGTCCCCATTGTCATCTACAACTTCCCCGGCGTCGTTGCGGGTCTCGACGTCAACTCCGAGATGCTGGAGCGCCTGGGCCAGCACCCCAACATTGTCGGCGTGAAGCTGACTTGCGGCGGCATCGCCAAGGTTGCTCGCGTGACCGCCCAGTACAAGCCCGAGGACTTTGCTGCCCTGGCCGGTCAGAGCGACTGGCTCGTCCCTGCTCTGTCCGTCGGCAGCACCGGTGTGATTACCGGCGTCGCCAACCTCTACCCCAAGGTCTGCATGCAGATCTACGACCTGTACAAGGCTGGCAAGGTGCAGGCGGCCGAGGCTGCGCAGCTGAAGCTCGCGCAGATGGAATGGGGCTTCGCCAAGGGTGGCATCAACGGCACCAAGTGGGTTGTGGCCAAGATCCGCGGATACCCGCTGGAGAGCTGCCACTGCCGACGTCCCTACCCCGTGTACGGCGACGCTGACAAGCAGGCGTGGATCCTGAAGACGGTGGAGCCTCTGGCCGCTGTCGAGCAGGGTCTCGGCGCGCGGGGGGAGTAGGCGTAGCATTTAGACGTGTGGATGGATGATCTCGAACTTGCTTGTGTACCTATAGACGGCCCCCGGAAGACGGGGAGTGCCCATGGAACGGCGCTACGAACGTATGCGGAATGAATGAAATGCATGCATTATAACTCTACCGGGATGTCGGGTCCAGTGTGTGTGTGATGAGTGAGCGGCTGAAAGGGGATGGGCCGTGAGGCTGCTAGTTGTGACGTCGTTCTCGTGTTGGGCGTGCTGCCGTTGAGATGCCCTCTCTCATGACTAGAGTCGAGTCGGATATTGGCCGAGGCTGAGACAGGCGGTCAGATTGGAAACCCAACTGCTTGCCGAAGTCTGAAGCCGAGTGAGATGCTTCTCACGACCCAATTCTTTCGTCGGATATGTACAAGTCGTCTGATGCCGCACATCATGTGTTGTTTTGAGGATGCGATCCGTACGTCAGGGACCGTGGTGTTGAGGAAATTTCCTATTCGGGCGCGTATACCTAAAATGGAAACCCAGGTCCCGACGCCCAGGTCGAGTGCCACATGATGGACAAATATTTTCATTAAATTTACATCCGACGGATGGACTCACTCCTGGTCGATCTGCATTGGATTTCCCGACGCATTATCAGATTTTAGCAGGGAAACCGCGCGGTGCTAGCATCGTTCGCCACGAGTCGGGTTGAGCTGGTGGCAAGCCCAGAAAGGCCTTCTCGACTGATGGCTCTTGTTCAGGTTGCTCATGTCGACCAATTCCCACCGCTCTTGTGCATATTTCAAGCGTCATGGGATATTAGACGGCTTGGCTCTCCTCTCCGAGCCGGCGTGCATTGTATATCCGTGCTCGCTCATCTGCGTCATCGGTTCTTACGTAGTAGTCCTGTCGTCGGAGGCTCTCCCCCTTCATCCCGGCCCCATCTCCACACCACCACGCCCGTTCCCGGTCTACGGCCGGATCCCTCCAATCGCTGGCCTCGCTCGCATCGGCTCGCGTATCGCGTCGCCTCAACTTGACTCGAACTTCTCCCGGCTGAAGAACTCCCTGGACGCCTCTGGTCCGTCCGTCGGCTTCCCTCGCAACTGGGCGGCCCTGGTTCGATCAGGTGTTGGACCCCATGAACCGAGTGGCGCGTCCCCGTTCTCGTGAGCACTTCTCCCGGGGTCCAGTCTCCCGGGCTGCAGTGCCGTTTGGCCTTCTCCAACTCCTCCACTCCACCAGAACCATCCCCAGATTTCTCCCCACCGTCTCTCCACACCCCTTGACTCGAGCGTGGCCGGTGTGGCAGGCAGGCTGGCCGAAGCGACAGGGCCGTCAAGCGACCACACACACCCCGGATTCCCAGGATTCCCAGGATTCCCAGGATCCCCCAATGCGGAATCCCCGCAGGTTTAGCAGGCGAGGGACCACGGCCCATGGGGTTTGGTCCTGGACTGGACCGTTAGGATAAATATCTGCGCCTCGTCGCGTTCTTCTGGGGTTGTATCAACAAGCAGCTACCAGACCTTGACACATCCAAACCGGCAAGGATCGCCAACGACCAGGGACTCAATCGCTGATTGATCTTGCTTATAAGGTTCCTGATATCCGCTGCGGACTCAGAGAGGTGGATCTTTGATCTTTCACGACAAAAACACTTCACATCAAACCGTCATCATCATGGGTGGCTTCCGCGCTGTCGAGGATCGCCCGACGCCCAAGGAGGTGTACAATTGGCGTCTGTATGGCGAGGCCGCCATCATTGCCACCGGCTCTCTGCTGTAAGTGTTTGCGACACGCCGGGTCGTCGGTATCGGTCGTCTAACTGTGGGTAGCTTCGGTTACGACTCGGCCTTTGTTGGCACCACCATTGCTCGACAGAGCTTCAAGACCGACTTCAACATCAGCCCAGAGCACTCGGCCGACATCTCGTCCAACATCACATCCACCTTCCAGGCCGGTGCCTTCTTCGGCGCCATCATCTGCTTCCTCCGTATGTCTCGCTCATCCCCAGCGCCGCATTGAGACCACACAGCTAACCAACCCCACTTGAACAGTCACTGAAAAGGTCGGTCGCAAGTGGGCTCTCCAGGCCAATGTCGTCCTCTTCCTCGTCGGCGCCATTCTCATGACTGCTGCTACCGGCCAACTCTCCTACATCTGTGAGTAGCACATCTTTTCTTTACAATATCGATTTCTAACCGTCACAGACGCTGGACGTGCCCTAACCGGAATCGCCTGCGGTGCCATCACCGCCACCGTCCCCAGCTACATCGCCGAGCTTTCCATCGTCTCCATCCGTGGCATCCTGACCGGTCTATTCGAAGTTGCTTACCAGATAGGCTCACTGGTTGGCTTCTGGATAAACTATGGAATCAACCAGAACATGGACGTCACCTCGGCTTCCAGCTGGCGCGTGCCCATGGCCGTCCAGATCATCCCCGCTGGTGTTCTCCTCGTCGGCGGCTTCTTCCTGCACGAGAGCCCTCTCTGGCTGATGCGCAAGAACCGCGAGGAGGAGGCGACCGTCGCCCTCGAGTCCCTCCGAAAGATCTCCCGTGACCACACCTGTGAGTGAAAACCTCCAGGCACAATTTCCAGGCCAAGATTGCTGATGCAAAGTTCTAGACCTCCAGGAGGACCTTCAGATGATCCGAAGCCGACTTGCCGACGAGGCTCTCATTGCCGCAAAGTACGGTTCAGGATCTTGGGCATTCTTCCGTGGCTCCCTCACCGAGCTCAGCCGCAAGGGAATGTGGAACCGTGTCGTGCTCGTCTTCTGCTCTTTCGCTTTGCAGAACATGTCCGGTGCTGCTGGTAAGTTTCCATGCCCATGAGCACTACGACACCAAGACTGACTTGTGAAAAGCCATCAACTACTACTCCCCCACCCTTTTCGGCTCTCTCGGTATCAGCGATGTCTCTCTCTACACCGGTATCTACGGTCTCGTCAAGGGTAAGATAATCCGAATATTCTCCTTGGCAAATCACCCTTTGCTCACACTCTCTTAGCTGTTGCCTCCGTCATCTTTTACGGTGCTCTCATTGACATCTGGGGACGACGAAACCCCACCATCATCTCTTCTGCCATGTGCTCCGTATGCCTCTGGATTGTCGGAACCTATGTCAAGATTGGCCACCCCGCCGATATCATTGCGGCTGGTAACGATCTGTCTCCCTCCACTGCCGCTGGTGGTAAGGCTGCCACTGCCATGATCATGATCTACTCTGTCTTGTAAGTCACAACATGTGTTTAATCAAGTACCTTGACTAATTCTTATTCAGCTGGTCTTTCGGTCTTAACGGTATCCCCTGGATCGTCTCCGCTGAGATTTTCCCCGGTGCCCTCCGAACCCTTACCGGTACCTACGCTGCCATGGTCCAGTGGCTCACTCAGTTCGCCATCACCAAGGCTCTCCCCTACATCTTCAAGTCTTTCGCTTTCGGCACTTGGTACTTCTTCGCCTGCTGGATGATGATTGCTGCTATTTGGGCTTTCGTCTTCCTTCCTGAGACCAAGGGCAAGACCCTGGAGGAGATGGATGTCATGTTTGGCTACATTCATGACCGAGCTCCCAGCGACATTGACAACTTCGACAAGGTTGCTGACAAGCACTCTGCTACTGAGCACTCTGAGGAGCGAGTATGAGCTGATGAAAGTGCGTGACGAATGATTGTATAACTTGGGTGGTTGGTAAATACAGAGCGAGGATGAAGGACTACTGGACGTCGTTTGTGACGGTCCGGATATGACACAGAATGTTGGAGATGAAGGAGTGCTAAAAGCTCCGTCGATAATACCCATAGTATCTCCAACAAATTAATTATGTCATCTGAGAAAGTTTGCCACCCCCTGACAGTGATGTGTTTCGTCTATTTCTGGGTTCTTTGAACATGGACGGGAAACGCGCCACCCCTTCCCAGTTACAACAAAGAACTTTTAGCATCCACGAGCGTCTCCAGGAACAGGATATGGTCTTTGACCGAAACAAGCTAATTGTTTTTCGACTGCCATTGTGCACCTTCCATCTGTATCTAATAAAAGAAATGAAAGGAAGGAAGGAAGGAAGGAAAGGAAGGGATGGACTTGCCGTTGCCAGGAATTGTAATACATCTAGATCTGACCTCCGCTTCAACCCAGGAGATGCTGGCTTCTTTACCCCCAAAAGCTGGCATTCATTCAATTTCGTAACCTGTATTACAGTTTGAGTTACAAAATGGTTACCTCAGAGCCTCACCATGCACTATTAGAGGCAGCTCGTCGTCAATCAGCCAATTCTCGACGACTGCTACAGTCGCTGCAACGACGACAACTGCAACGCAAACTACATCCACAGCAACTTCAGAATCGACAATGTCGCGATAAGAAATCACATAGCAAATGTCCAACACGCCACCCCCGCCATCATCCATGCCCGCGCTCACGGCCGCAATTGCAGACGGTCAACCCAAGATTGCTCGTCTACCGATATCCCCGTGTTTCGTCACGCCAACCAGGGCCCCCAATATCTTGGCAAGCCGTCGCAAGTACTCCAAACGAGAAAAAAGGTTCAGCGGCTTCACCATACACAGACCGAGGGCACAGGAACGTATGGATGGGGAGTCAAGGATACCAGGTCTGGTTCGCAAGGCAGCAACTCGGCAGTGGAAAAAAGAACGAGAAACTTCAGCCGTATAAGCCAGAGCCTCTGGAGCCATTGTTCGGCCTGGAAGAGCACTTGGAACCATTGCCACCCCCGGAACCTGAAGTGGAACCAGAACTCGGGGTCAACATGGATTGGATGAAGTATGTGCCTTCAGAGAGCAGAGCACCGATAGCAGGGGTCTTGGGCGGCCAGATGTCGGACGCGTCATGGACGATTATGTCTGGGATGAATGGAACAGATGAGTACTGCAAGGTTGAGAGAATGGTATGGATGCAAGGAAATAACGGCAAGTTCCGGCCGGTGGGCACAGGCAATGCCAGAATGACTTGGACATAGACGGGCCATGTTTCCTATTGCAAGGGTTTGGAGCTGCTGGAGGTTATCAATCGAGCTTAGCGTTCTGTTTCTTTCAATTGAAGAAGATATCGTTCCATACCTGCATGTGGTATACTCTCTTTGGTGATGTCCCTAGACCAACCGGACGTATCTTTCATTTAATACCCATCACGTCGGTCTTAGTCGCGAGATGACTTTATCGCCGCTTCCACTTCAACCGTAGTCGTTTCGTGACTTTCTGCTGAGATTGTTGGCGCAATGTTGTCCGCCCGCGGCTGGTTCTTCCAGTGTCGCGCAGGAATCCCATCGCGAAAGAAGCCATTGATCTCCTCGATGGAACGCCCCGTCACCTCTCCAACGCAGAAATACACATACGCCCAAGTCACAAAACACAAGCCGGTATAGACGAAGCCAGTCTTGGGTCCGAGGCCGGCTGAGTAGTACAGATATGGCAGGGTAAAGACCGTGACCCAGACTGTCACCCAGAATGCGGCCACGGCGACAGCGTATATCTTGTTTCGATTTCGACCGACCGCCATTTCGGAAGCCTAACAGAAGCAGTTAGCAATGTAGATCTCCCTCCCAAACGAGGCAAGGTCTCCTACTATGGTCCAACCCAGCGGACCCCATGCAAAGTTGAAAGCCACAATCTCGATGATAACGAAACTAATAATGACCTTTCCGACAGTTTGGCTAGGGGTCCCACCAGGGATGCCCAAACAGCCCACCACGAAGATGGATACCGTCATGATGCCGGTGGTTATCATGAGCAGGGGTCGCCGCGGCAGTTTGTTAGCTAACATGACGGCCGCTAGCACAACAAATACTTGGATAATGAAGACGATCAGGGTCATAAGGAATGGGTCACTTAGACCAATGGCCTTGGAGAAGACGGTTCCGAAGTAGTAGAACCACTGGATCCCGTTGATTTGCTGCGCGACAAGTGCTCCGGCACTGTACACGACCTTGCGGCGCTCAATCGGGTCCGTCACGAGTTGCATCCATCCGCTGGTGGCCTCGCTCGCCCGCTCTCGGTGGAGATCGTCCTCGATCCTACGCATCACAGGCGCAGGGTCGTACTCCTTGTCTTCGCGGTGGAGCAGACGCAGAGCATGCGTGGCATCCTCAGAGCGATCCTCGCGGATCAGCCAGCGAGGGGACTCCGGCACCCACCATATCCCGAGCAGGATGATAAGCGGGAAGACGAGCTGGAAGCCGATGGGAAAGCGGTACGCGAACGTGGTGTTGTTGGAGACGACGCCACGGTTGATGGCGGCCGCAATGATTTGGGACACGGACAGGGTGAGTTGCCAGCACATCAAGAGAGGGCTGCGAAGCGATTCTGGGGCGATTTCCTGTCAAATGAGGCCGTTAGATGCCAATGCCCGGCCACCGGGCCATGCGGATGTTGCGGAGAGGCTTGCTTACTCCCATGTACAATGGTGAAGTTGCCGAGAAGTTGCCCACGCCGAAGCCCAGAACAGCTCGACCGGCAGTCATGAGAGCCACGCTAGAAGTCGTCACGAGCTGCATAATGACACCCACTATGATGGTGATGGTGCCTATCAAGAAGACCCCCTTGCGGCCAAAGACGTCGTTGAGGGGCGCTGCTGCGAGAGACCCAATCAACTCGCCGAGATTGATCATGGAGGTCATGACGGACAGCGTAGCGGGCGAGATTTCGTACTCGCCATTTTTGTTTCGGTGCCCAAAGTGCCGTACGAATACATCTTTAGCGTCTGTCAGTTTCCTGCTGGCATTGTCGTTGATGGAGGAGGAACAACGGGGGTCCGGAGCCCCTTATCTGCCCCCCCCGTATACATCCGAACGAGCGGCGGACGTACCAAGCGTCGACACGCCATTGAAGTAGACGCCGTCGTAGCCGTACAAGCAGGCTCCCAGGGCAGCGAAGCCGCAGAACAGCCAGACGTAGGGATATTGGATTCGGGACATGGCTCAAGGGGGATCCCAGCGACGGTCGACGTCTCAGGAGGGGCCGCCCAGGCCGTTCGGTTCGTCCGTCTCGCTGGTCGTCGTACAGCGGCCGGGATGGTGCCTGGAGTGACAGGCGCGTTACTTGCCAGGAGGCCAGTAGCGTCTGGATAGTCCCGGCGCGAGTCGACTTAGACTCTTAGACTGACGGGGAGGCGAGGCGAAGCAACGGGGGCGAGTCCACCCAACCCCGGATTTGTCGTTCGTGTTGACTCAGCGGCTCCGGGAGCAAGGCGAGGTTCTAGTTGCGTGGTTTGAGTGGTTCTCATGGTCCTCCCCCTCTCGGTCTATTGTCGTTGTAGCGGGTCTCGTTAATAAGGTTTCCATCCTGGGAGCAATGGGACAAGGCCAGGGGCGACGCCTTGCCGCTTGGGGAACGCCGCGCGCCGAGGCCATCGATATGCGGAAGAGAAGCCGGGGAGTTGACGACGGCCACACGTGAGATGCCGGCGGCGTGGGATTAGTTTGGCATGGGTGGTGCCGAGGGAGCGGACGCCGGCGGAGTGCAAAGGAGATGGGGATAGGCCGGGCGTGGCGGTTGATAAAGCAAACTAGAGTCTTGACACCAGCGATTCGGATCCAGATATAATACGGGAATGCCCAGCAGGACGTGGGCGTAAGTGAATTCTAGTTCGAGATGGATATCGGCGCCTGCTTGGGTTTATTTGTGGCTTGTATATCAAGACCGAGCTGAGCATACGCAAACATGAACAGGCTTGAACAACACCGCGCCGTCGGCGGCGGCTTCTATCACGACAATACCCCTACGAGACAACCAATCCAGCGAGCCCCGACTCCTCCTCCAGACTTCTGTCCGTACCGTCGCCCAGACTCCGACGAGGCGGCCGCCGATGCCATCCCGATCCTCGTCGACAACACCTACCACCTGTTCCACCTGATCACGCCGCCGGCGACGAAGCACCATCCCGAGCGTCTGCGCTCGTCCTGGTCGCGCATACGATCCACGAACCTCGTCGACTGGACGCGGGACATCAAACCCGTCCTCACACCGGGCGACGATGCTGCGGACCCCGACGCCGACGGCGCGTGGACTGGCGCCGCCCTAATCGGCCCGGATGGCAACATGAACATCTTCTACACGGGATACAACCTGTCGCAGGGCGGACGGCAGACGATTCTGCGCACAAAATCAGGGGACCGCCACGGCACCATGTTCGAGAAGCCCGGGACGCCCATCACCATCGTCGGCGACGGCCTCGCCAAGTTCGAGGACATTGACTTCCGCGATCCCTTCGTCTTCTACAACGCCGCCGAGTCGCGGTACTGGATGCTCGTAGCCACCCGCCTCGCGTCCGGTTCCCCCTGGAGCCGCGGATGCATTGCCCTGCTGACGTCCCCGTCTCTCGATGTCTGGACTGTTTCGCCAGAGCCCCTGTACGCTCCCAATGACATGTTCTGCCCCGAGTGCCCAGAGCTCTTCACCCTCCCCAACGGGCGGTGGTATCTCGTATTCTCACGCTTCCACGCGCCGAACGCCGGCACTGTATATCGCATCGCCGACAACCCACGGGGCCCGTTCCGCGTTCCGCGCGACGGCTCTCATGGGCGGTTGGACGGGCGGCGCTGGTACGCTGCCAAGTCGTGCCCAATGGCCGGCGATCCTCGAAAGAGGATTTCCTTTGGTTGGCTGGGCGACTACGCTGATGACGAGAACAAGTGGCTCTGGGGAGGCGATCTAGGGATTCCACGGGAAATGTACGCCGATAATAACGGCCACTTGCGGATTGAAGCTGACCCGGGATTGCGGGACTTCCTCTGGCGAACGTCAAAGACGGTCTGCCAAGGGAGTGCCGCTCCCAGTCTATATCTCTGCTCGCTCGGGTCTACAGCAACGCACTTTCCAGAGCTCGGGTCCCTTGCTCTACGGCACGACCTCTTCATCGACTTCAAAGTCGCCGCCTGTGACGCCCACAGCTTCGGTGTAATGCTACAAACCGACGAGTCTGGAAAAGGACATCGTCTCCAGTTTAGCCCTTCAGGCCACGGCCTATTCTCCGTCGCCCTGTGGACCGATTTCCCACCCCTCGACGACTTTTGGGCCGACCAATACCGACTACACCTACCCCGACCGATCGACGGCCCCGAGCTCGTACGACATGATAATGTTAGTCTGGTGGAAGGGGTGTTCCTCTTCTTGAGGGGACAGGTTATAGAGGCATTCTGCGGAGGGCGGTCGCTGAGCTTCCGCTTGCCAAAACCAGATGCTTCTAGTGGCGAGATACGAAGGTTCGGCTGGTTCGTGGAAGACGGGATGGTTGAGGTCGTCAACATCTCCGTGAGGCACAGAATAGTAGAGGGTGCTCATGATGTGGAAGACGCAATCGGAGATCATGAGTAAAGGTGGATCACCGTCATTTTTATTCATCATCATGGACAGTTTATCATCATCATCCCAGATCATCCCTAGGCGGCATCATGGGATCTGGTTGCAGGGCCAGGCCGCCCAGGAGGTCATACGCCCCGTTGCCCTGTACAGCCAGGTCCCAGTCGCCAAAGTCGGTGTATTCATAGATATCAGACGCATAATTGCCCATCATGGGGCTGACCTTGTCGTTGAGGGGCTCGTTGAGGTTGACAGCCAAGGCGTGCTCCAGGCCGCGGAGGATGGCCCCTTCGAGGCGGTTCACGGCGTACTGCATGGGCTCGTGGCTCTTGCTCATCATACGCAGGTTCCATAGATAGGAGTTGAGCGTCTCCTGCCAGAAATGGCGCTCCTGTGATGATAGTGATGTGACGAGGAGGAGGGTGGTGAAGGAGCCGAGCAAGGAGAAGAGGTAGGGTGAGGTAAAGTACCAGAACGCCTCGAGATGGTCCGGGCGAAGGCTGGTGACGAAGCTAATGGCGCTCTGGGCAGTCTGCAGGGCAATCTGGCGAATGTCGGAGAGGACCCGATCGTCAGTGCAGCGCGGGGGTAGCGCGGTGGACCGGATGAGTCGGCGGAGTAGTGTCATCGCCACACCGTAGTAGGAGAAGTGGAGATAGCCGTGGAAGCATAGCTTGCGCTGATATATGATATTCATCTGAAGTGTGGGGGGGATACTGTGGTACCAATTGGTCAACATGTCGAAGAGTGGTCTCGCCTTGGAGAAGAGGATGACAGTGTCCTGTTCGCGGCATGTCCGCGCCGTATAGAAGTTAGAGTAGACGGCTGAAAGAATCTTCGTCAACCGCACCATCTGAATGTATTGTGCCATGCCTGTGGCAGCGATCGATCTCCCGTCGTCGTCGGGGCTGGGCCCCGGGGTGACTTCTTGATCATCCTCGGCGTCGTAGTCGGAAAAATCCGCTGGGGTGAGGTCTTTGACTGTCCAGTCGTCCTCGTGGATGTGGACCGGGCGGCCATAGGCCAGCGCTGTCCAACGGTCTTGCATGAACAGGGCCCAGCTCAGGCGCTTGCGAACGTTGCGCTCCCACTGAGGGATGGTCCAATTGGTGGCATCGAGATGAAGCCCGAGACACTGGCCTATCGCCAGGGCCTGGCAGGTGAGGCCCCATTGGGAGGTATGGTCTGGGTTGAGGGGATCCTCGGGCTGGCACTGCAGGAAGAGGAGGGCAGCTTGGATGGAGCAGAGCTTGGGGCGGTGATATGAAGATGGGAGAGCGGTCCGCAGCAGCCTGCGGAGGTGAGCTGCGTCGGGGGGGGAGCGGATTGATAGTTCCGGGTCGTAGGTCCACCAGCGAGTGGCGGACAGGTAGACGGCGGCCAGCAGGGCGGCGGGGATGTTGCGGTAGGACTGGCTGTAGATGAGGATGAAGGCATCCTTGGACACGATGGGATAGCAGGGTTGGACGTGACGCCAGAAGAGCACGAGGAGGCTCGGGCCGTGAGGGTGGACGCAGGCCTCGATGGAGTCGATGAGGGTGTGTGTCGTGGGATCAGCCTCGAGGGCCTTTTCATCAGCGGCCAAGTGGAAGGTGACGGGATACTCCTGACCCTCGTCTTGCTCGAGAACACGGCGGATAGCATGGGTCTCGAGGCTGAACTCGTGGGTGCGGACGTCGTAGGGGCGGTGGCGCATCAGGATGGGCTCCATATCGCTGCCCAAGCCGTACAGCTCGGCGAAGCGCGACAGCGAGCAGCCCAAGGTCCGGTCTAGGGGGCCCGGCTCGATCAGCTCCGGCACGATGACGGACGGCGCTTGGTGATGGCGGCTGCTGCTGTCGGCGGAGGCGCGAGTCTCGGCGGGCGAGAGAAACGACTGGACCGACTGGACCGACTGGACCGACTGGACCGACTGCGTCTCGGATACTAGCGTTCGGGACTCATCTCGCGACTCCTTGCGGCTCCGGCTGAGGCTCCGGATCGAGCTGGGGCCCTGGTGATGGCCCGACCCAGACGCCGGCTGTTCGTCGAGCCCAGCCCGCTCGTCGCCGCTGTACGCACCGCCCCCGTTGCTGCTCGCGCCCGTCGTGGCCTGGCGCTCCGGCGGATCGTGCTGGAAGGTGCAGGCGGTTGCGCGGAGCTGGCAGTGGACGCAGTCGCCGTCGCCGTCCTTGGTCACGCAGCGCGTCTTGCGCTTGCGGCAGGCGTCGCAGGGCCGGAGACTGCGGCGCTGGCGCTTCCGGGCGTTGTTCTGGTAGTCCTGGGGCGTGATGATTTCCATTTGTGGGCGTGGGTTTCGGGTTGGGGGGTGGTGACTCTGGAGAGGGCGAGGGCCGGGCAGGCCATGTCCACCATCCGGATTGGGGCTCCAGAGCGTTGAGGGAGAGGGAGAGGAGGAGGCGACCAGTTTTCGTTTTCTCCGAGCAAGAAGATGACTGGATATCGGGACGTCACCGGGAGTCTGGTGGTGGTGGTTGTTGAGGTGGTGATGGTGTCCGATGGTGCTCTCCTGCTCTGGCTCTGGCTGTGGTTGTAGCTCTGGCTGTAGCTCTAGTTGTAGCTCTGGTTGTAGCTTTGGTTGTAGCTCTGGCTCTAACCCTCTGGGTTGTTGTTGATGATGTTGTTGTTGTTGCTGCTGTTGTATGTCCGTGTGTGTGGCAGGTAGTAGTAATAACAAACGGTTCCTCTCTGATGAAAACTCGGACTCGTTGGACTTCCACACTCGTCCAGCGTCAGCAGCGGAATCCATCGATGGATATGGATAAGAGGACGGGGTCTCCGAGTCTCGGGCCATTTAAGTCTCCTGACAAGGCGCCGTCGCCCGCGCCCGCGTGTGTGCGTGTATGCCCGGATGCCGATCCAGCAACCAACAAGGCCAAGTCCCGGTTTCGACAACCAGCTGTCGGGTCAAACTCTCTTTGCGATGCGAGCGAGCCAGGGCCCAGGGGCCACCCTTTCTCGTGAGATGAGCAATGGCGCACGCGTCATTTAGCCGGATGACGGTGGAGGCTGATGCTTTCGCTCGCAGGCGCAGGCGCAGGCGTCGGCGTAGGCGTAGGCGTAGGCGTAGGCGTAGGCGTAGGCGCAGGGAGGAGGTCGCAGGGAGGGAGGAGGAGACGCCCAGCTCAGGCAGGGGACTGACTGACCGGCTCGTGCTCAATACGCAGCACGCAGCACGTAGTACTCCTTACGCACAGTAGCAAACAGACTCGGCAGTTTTTCATGAGGGGGCACTTAATTTTAGTCGACGAGTTAAATGCCCATCGGAACTTGACTGACCTGTCTTTGGCTGAGCCTGGACGCCCTCTGCATACTTGTTGCATACTCACTACGTATCCCTGGCCGGTTTAGAGTTGGGCCGGCTTCTGCGAGGGTCCATGTGGCCAGCATTCGGACCAGCCCTTTGGACCACGATGGACCCAAAGACCCCAAAGGCCCCAACGCCTCACCGCACCAGTTGCGCCCATCAGCAAAAAAAGGATCAGCAAGGGTCAGGCGTACGTAGTGAGGTAACACAAGGGCGGCTCTTGCCCTCTCTGTTGCCCTCTTCCAGACTCGCTGGGACTTTGCTCCCGCTGCCGCTGCCGCCAGAGCTGCCGGGTCCCAGGGACTTGGGCTCGGGAGTTGAGGGAGCGGGCGGCTGGCGCTTCCCGTTGCGGCCGCGCCTTGGCGAGAGATGGCACACTTAGTGGCTCCAGAACCCTTGAAATCTTGATCGAGCAATGCGGCATGACGTCGCCCGTGTTGGTTTGTGTTGGCTTGTGTTGGTGCTTTGTTGGATGTTGGCTGTTGGCAAGGGCTGGGCCGGCTGGCTGAAGGGCTGGATCACTTGGCTGGCCTCATCATGTCTTGGAACTAGCCAGCCGGTTGCCTCCCGTCATCCATCCCTATCCTCATTGCCCCATTGTGCCCCCTCCTCATCGTCCTTCTCCCCTCCATGATGCTGTTCTGGTGGCCCCGTACATAGGTTGAGTCTGTCGTCGTGATGCCATCCCAATCCCCCGGGCCACTGTCGTCAGCTCCCCCAGCTGGTAGCTGAAGCGTTCAACTAACCTCTACCCTCAACCCACCAAGCTAGCCATCTGTCACCTGCATTCGCGTCAGCTTCCAGGGTGCTCCGTTTCAAGAGAGACAACAAGTGGACTCCCCGGCCTCTGTCTCCACTTCTCCCGCGCCCGTCCTTCGGCCTCGCCTGCCGTTAGACCAACCGCCCGGAGTAGATCCATTTCTCTCCGCCATGAGTTTCGCCGAAAATATCCATCCCAACCATCCCAATCGTCATCTAGACCTTTCTATCCCAAGCCACATGCCCCCCTAATTTGACCAGAGCCCCCCCGGGCCCGCCACTTCTGTCCGACTCCCCATAATCTCTCCTCTTTGAAAGAAGCGGTCACTACACGCAGCACTCAGAGGGGGAGAAGGGAGAAGGGAGGCAACATCTTTGCCCGCTAGTAGCTGTGCCGTATTCACCTCCCACAACCTGGGGCAGGATCGGATCGCGGTCCGAGTCCGAAGCCGTCAGTTATCGTAAAACTGCCGGCAGCAACCCATGCTCGCTTGTCCCGCTTGCAGGCATCGGCGAAGGTGAAATCGGCATCGGCGTTTGAAAGCCCCATGCAATTGGCATGATTGGCATCTTTTCTCCGATCGGGACACGCCACGACATAGCGTTCACGATTTGCAGACCCCTATCACACCAGAGGACATAGCACAGCCAGCCAGGTTTTATCAAACACCGTCGTTTGAATTACCCCGTCGTCTCTGAGGTTCGGACCGATGTGTCGAGTCGTTTCTCAATGCTCGGAGTCGGTATCAACCACATTCTGGAAATCTGTGTCCAGAAATACTTGCACCACAAGCGGTTTAGTCTGCGCTGGCGAAAAGCTGTCAAGCTCGTTAGTCAACATGCCGGTGCGACGCCAACATTGGACTTCGTCAGCCTTATTTCCTATGAGTAGTCTCCGATTCAACGACGCTAAACGCTGATCCCTTGATCATTTCCCTGGGCGTCAAGTAATATTCGCATCTACAAGACAGTGTGTGGCCAGAAACAGGGTGTGTTTGGTGAGCTGAGCGGCCGCGCCCCGGCCGAGAGGGAGAATGCACGTACACTTCACTCCTCCACGCCGCCTCGTGCATAACCATCACGAGGACCTTCTCCTGTTTGGACAACAGTGTGGAGCAATGATCAACCCTAGCCGCGGATCTGTCCCGACATGATGCAGTCGATCCTAGCTGCGTTCTCTCGTTCTTGGCTCTGAGGGAGGATTCGGCCGGCGAACTTTAATATTGCACGTAAGACGCCATGCAGGAATCACAAACGATGGAGCCGTCTCTGATGGTGTAGCGCGCGTCTGGCCTGACGTCCAGCCGTGTGTGACACAGAAAGCGGCTTTGGCAACGCGTCCGAGTGGCCGTCTCTGACGCCCAGCTGCACCCAGAACCGCATCCGGAAGGAAATAAATATTGGCGCGTGCCATCGGGAATCTAGTTGCCAACTAGCGATTTGTGGCAAGCCTCGTTGGAGCAATCACACGTAGTACACGGCCAGTATGTGACTAGGTGTTCGAGATGATCCGATGTACGCTCAGGGGGCTCAACCTAAGACATACAATCACGACAACAGCCACAACGCAGAGAGTCCACGACGCCAAAAAAGAAAAAAATAGGCCCATCTCATTGGCCGGGGCGGCTTCGGCTGCGGTCCTAGACGAACAAGCTGTGTAACGTGAACCACGGCAGGGCTAGTCCGAAGTTACTAGGTAGTACACAGCCATCTTCCGCCATCCAGAATGACTGGTCGTTCATGTAAGGATATGGAAACTCCATCCGACACGGACCGCAATGTTGTCAGGGATTTCAATGCCAAAGCGTTGACCAAACGCCAAGAGATGCCAAGCTTTTCTTTTTTTGGGGACGAGCCAATTTCGGTCCAAGTCAGAGAGAGACAGACCTTTCGGTGCAGCCAAACACACCTTTTCGGTGCAAGTCAGACACACACACCGAACATGTTCGGGCCGACAAGGGCTCAATCAATCGCTGGGAATTGCCTAGATTCGCTTGTGGGATCACTTAGGGCGCGCTGCACGCACGGCGACGGCGACAGCGAAAAAAAACGGTGACGCTGCTCGGTGAAGGGAACGGGCTTCGCGATGGCCTGGTCCTTGGAGAAGCGAGCAGATGGCCCATCTTGGCTGCGTCTGGGCCGCCGCGCACTCCGATGAGGTCAGTCGATGGCCGGGAAATCCACGGGCAATTGGGTTGCTCAGAGTCTCAGATGAAGCCACGATGTAACTGTGCTTGACCGTCTTTACACCGCATCGGACCACGATGGCTCAACCACGGCCGCAGCAGAGACAAACCGCCGTCCCAGTCACTCCGTACACAACGGTCAAGTGAAAAAACTCTCCCCATGTGTTGTGGCCGTCTGAAACTTGTCGGGTCCGTCCCCCTTGTCAAAATGTGACATGTGCTCAATGCGCTCGTCGCTATTGATAAGATCCCAGCCGGAATGCGACGGCGTACACCGGGGCCGGCCATACCGAAAGAGGCATGCGAAGAGCTCACGTTGCTCCAGCCGCTATCAAGATTGGCGCCGGCGGGCAACTCGACACCATGACTCGGTGATCCAAAGAGTGCGCGGTGCGCGCGTGTGTGTGTGTGTGGTTACCCCAGCTTGCTCAGGCACCGGGCGTGCCAAGCCGCCCGGCGACGCCCTCGACCTCCGCGCCTTTGTCCGTTTCGGGGATGTGGAGGCCGGAGAGAAGACATGGGGTGAGCGAGCCGAGCGAGTTTGTACTGTAGTCGGTACGCGCTGTTGTTGTCGGCTTGTGGTGGGATACCGGTACCTGCTTCGATGGAGTGTGTACTCCGGAGTCTGTACATCTCGGGAATGGTGTCGAGGAGAGGATAGCTACTCCGCGTATTCCGGCCGTAGGCTTACGCTTGTGTTTAAGTCTATTCGAGTGCCGCCTTTGAAGCTATCGTCGTGCGCCGCTATCCGTCATCTCTACCTCTCTATCTACCTCTATCTGCCTCTATCTACCTCTATCTCACTCCATCTCCATGCCTCCTATCACAGATAACAATCATCTTCCCTTAAACCCCTGCCACGCCACGTCCGACGCCAATGCCAACCCGTGAATGCCTTCCTGATCCGTCCATGTTGGACCGTCAGACTCCGGAGCTGCCTCTCTTTCTCGGCCGGACCAAGACCAACCCCCCCGCACGTTATCCCCAGATTGAAGCGTAGAGAGGCCAACGACTCCATAATCCCACCCATCAGGTTGAGCCTCGCGAGTCCTTTTGTTGGCCTTGTTGCGATAAGCCAGTCACGCTCCCCACGTGTGTCTTGGCACTCCCGTCGGATGTCGCCTCATGAGCTGCTGTGATCCTTAGCTCGACCAGATACCCAGAACGTGCAGGGACGATCACTTACCAAAGGTCGCACCTGGACATTACACCAGGACCAGCGAGCTGGGTTGCTGGGTTGTCGTAGGAATTAAATGCAGCGATGATCCCTTCTTTTTCTGTAGCTCTCTCCCCAGAGGTTTCCATTCTTACAAGTAGCTGGCCGAGCTGTGAGGACCAACCTTGCGACGGAAGCTTTGTAAATCCAAGACATCCTGCCATTGTCCGAAATCATGAAGACGTCTCACTCTCTGGTCGCGCTCGCATTGGCGGCCTCCGCCTGTGCCGAGGATGTCCTCTACAGCAAGCGCCTGACCAAGCGATTCATCGATGACGATGGCAACTACAACATGTGTAAGCCCCCGCATCTCACCCTCGCGCAACTCCTCAATTGGCACTGACGCGGGCCAATTCGCAGCCTTCTTCCACGTCAATGATGTCCACGCCCACCTGGACGAGTACCGCTCCTCTGGATCCGACTGCACTGATCCGACCAGGGGCTGCTACGGCGGCTACGCCCGCCTCAAGCACACCGTCGACGGACTGCGCAAGGAGCACCCAGACAACCTGTGGCTCAACGCCGGTGACGAGTTCCAAGGCACCCTCTTCTACTCTTATTACAAGGGCGAGAAGATTGCCGAGGTCCTCAACACCCTTGAGTTCGACGCCATGACTCTGGGCAACCATGAGTGGGACGGTGGCGATGAGCAGCTCGGCGAGTTCCTCCTGAACTTGACCTTCCCTGTTGTCTCGTGCAACGTCAAGAGCGAGTACGCCGGCCTTAACAAGACAATCAAGAACTACCACATCTTTGAGGAGCACAACTTGGCTGTCATTGGAGTCACCACCGATACCACTCCCGGCATCTCCAGCGTCGGCGAGAAGACTACCTTCCTCGACCCCATTGAGGAGGTCCAGAAGTCTATCTGGGAGATTCGAAACACCACCGAAATCAAGCGCATCGTTGCCCTCACCCACATTGGCTACGATGTTGACCAGGAGCTCGCTGCCCAGACCGAGGGTCTGTCTCTCATTATCGGTGGTCACAGCCACACTCTTCTAGGTGACATGGATGATGCCGAGGGAGACTACCCTACCATTGTCGAGGATGTCAACGGCGACGAGGTCTTCATCGTTACTGCTTACAGATGGGGCGAGTATTTCGGCTCCATCGACATCACCTTCGACGAGGATGGCAAGGCCCTGGCCTACCACGGCGCTCCCATCCACATGGACAACAGCACTGAGATGGACGCGGGCCTCAACAAGACCATCAAGGCCTGGAGAGGTCCCTTCGAGAAGTTTGCCGCGGTGGTGGTCGGCAACACCAAGGTTGAGCTTGACCAGACCACTTGCCAGGACGGCGACTGCCTCCTCGGCCAGGTCATGGCTGATGCCATGTACGATTACCGCTTCGCCGACGCCCCGGAGTCGTCAAAGCCTGATTTCGCCTTTATCAACGCCGGTGGTGTCCGTGCTACCATTGATGCGGGCAACATCACCCGAGGCGAGGTCCTTACCTCATTCCCCTTCGGCAATGCCATCGTCGAGCTCACATACACCGGTGCCGAGCTGAGCAAGATCTTCGAGGGCGCTGTTGCCGGCATCAACTTGTCCAACGACGAAGAGATCACCTCCTGGTTCCAGGTTTCCAAGACCCTGAACATTGCATACAACCCCGACAACAACAACGGCTCCAAGATCATCAACATGACCATTGACGGCGAGGCCGTCAAGGATGACCAGGAGTACCGAATGATCACTCTGGATTTCCTGGCTGGCGGCGGTGACAACTTCTTGGAGGTCACCACTGACTTTATCACCCTCGATACCCAGGATGAGGTCCTCATTGGGTATCTCGAGGACAACAACCCTCTCGATGTGAAGCTGGAGAAGCGTGTTGTGACAACCGACCAACAGGCCGCCGACAACAGCAGCAGCAGTAATAACAGCAGCAGCGACAGCAGTGACTCTGGCTCGAGCGGCAGCGGTGGTAGCGGTGGTAGTGCAGCAAGCATTACTCAGGCTTCGCTATATGCCGCCATGATTGGCACTACGATCGCGTTGGCCCTGATGTAAATATGAGTAATATGAAAGATGAAAATGAGGGAGGGTGCTTAGCATAAGGAGAGGCAATACCAACAACAATTACTTTCTGCAATAATTAAACAAAACAACCGATTTTATTACGCCATGTGTCCTGCCACCTCTGTGTCTGTCTAATGCTGTTCGCCATCAACGGCTATAGGGTAATCACAACTTTCTGTTGAACTGGAATAAGATCTAGGTGGTATATAATGTACCGTACAAGTGCAATATAGTGATGGTACTATCTCTTGTAAAATGCAGTGGTGACACTTCCACGCTTTCCGATCGCGAAGCCTGCCTTTGAGCCTTGTGGATTCAATGGCGACCGCTAATAGCAAGGTAATTGGGACTGCGAATCACGCGGTCAGTAAAGCACCATGATTCTTAGGTACACCGGAACTGCATACTCAGGGTGGCTCATGGTAACAGGATCCAAGAACTGCGTATCAATTGGAGCCATTTCAACTAATAAAAAAAACATGCGTTTGTGCCATTTCTAGGTGTGTCTAGCTTTCGTCCTCACTATACTTCTCTTTCTACGGTCAGAAACAAAGAGCCTAACAACAACCAGTATTTGTCTTTCTTTGAAGGGTGAAGAGATATGTTTCCTTACACACCATTTAAGATAAAAGTCAGACATTAGTGGACTTTGAATGGCCATCTGAACAGCCAATCGCGTTTCAACGTTTGCTCGGATTTTGACGAAAACGATGCTCACGTCACATCACCATCTGTGGCTTACCGGGTATGCAATCACTATAATTAGCAATTACGAAGCTAACCTCGATCTAACCTAGGCGAGCAGAAGAGGCGTGTGCCACATCAGATAATCATTATGACCTCTTATCAACTACATACATCACCAGGGGCAAGCCAAGCTTTGATTCCCCTCGCCATCCTGGGGTTCCAACGCTCCCAACGCTTAGTAGGTGTATCGGAAGTCCGAAGAAGCATCATCCTATCACTTGTCAGCAATAAATATCGTCACAATTTCAGGGACAACTCACATCGTAACACTCCAGCACCTTCTCTCCCCGGTCGGCCTTGCCATTCTGTCGCTTGAAATCAAAATCACACAGGCAAACCAGGCAGATGGTAAGTAGTGAACAAGCGATGCAAGCCCACATGCCGGGCTTGTACCCCGTCAACTTGTCCTGCTCACGGAACACCAGGCTGCCCGCGATGCCGCCAACGCCGCCAAAGCCCACGAGCGTAGCGCTGCAGAACGCTCGCTTCCACTGCCCTCGCACGTTGTTGGCCTGGAACGCCATGACGGCGGGGATGTTGCTGTTGGCACCGGCCGTGACGAGGAAGACGCCAAAGTATCGCACGTTGGCGCTCGAGGCCCAGCCCATGATGGGCAGGCCGATGAGGCAGAGCAGCATGTTGAAGATGATGATGGGGCCGCGGAGGTGGTACTTGTCGCCGACCCACGCGGTAGCGAACATGATGATACCAGCAAAGGCATACGGCGGCGCGACAAGGCATTGTGCCTCGCCAATGGTGAAGCCCATGTTGCCGACGAGAATAATTGGGAGAGTGTAGGCGAGCGCGTATGAGATGGTCGTGGTGTCGAAGAAGATGATTGCATACGCCCAGATCTTCCAGTCGGCGCCGCCGCGGAGGAACTTGCTGAGTTGGAACGGCGGGACGTGGCTGTCGCCTCGGTCGCGGTTGATGCGGTCGACGACCCAGTTGCACTCGCGCTGGCTGAGGAACGACCAGGACTTGCGCGTCGAGTCGGGAAAGTCAACCAGCAGCCAGTATCCGGCGATGCCGAGGCAGACGGTGAGAGTGCCCTCGATGATGAAGATCCAGCGCCAGCCAGTAAGGCCCTCGCGGCCATTCAGTTGCATGAGCTAGGATGTGTGAGTTTTAGTAGGGGAGCTGAAGGGCACGCTACTTACACCGTAGGCAAGGATTCCAGAGAATGCGGAGGCAACGCAGCCGAGGAGATAGAAGGAAGAGTATCGCTTTCCGACCTCATCTGGTCCCAGAATCAGCACTCAACTCTCAAGGCTCAGGGGTGGAGAACTCACATCGCGTGTACCATGTGCTCAGAAGATAGACACAGCTGGGGAAGAATCCCGCCTCGAACACACCCAGCACCGCTCGGAGAGCAACAAGCTGGTGGTACTTTTTGACAAAACCCATGCCAATCATGACGGCGCCCCACAGCATCGTGATGATGGCGAGGTGAAATCGTGGGCCAATCTTGCGGATCAAGATGGTAGACGGAGGCTGGAAGATGATGTAGGGGACGAAGAAGACCAAGTTGGCAATATTCTAGACAACCACGTCAGCATACTATCCACGGCGTCAATACGAACGAGTCCTGGAGCGCGTACATATCGAAAGTCGATCAAGACAAGCTCGACGCCCATGCCGGCAATGTTGGCAGCGCTCATGTTGGTGCGGTCCATGAGGGACACGCAATACATGGCGCCAACAGTAATGACAAGCCGGCGATCGATGCGGCGGATGATCTTGCGCTGCTCCTCCTTTGTAAAGCCGTGGTCGTGGTCTTGGTCCTGCTCCGAGCTGAGCTTGCTGGGAGCCACGTCGAGATGCTTGGTCTCGATCTGGCCCGCGGCCTCAAGGCCGGATGCATCTTTTTCAAGAGACGCTACCATAGTGGCAGTGGAGGATGCTAAGGTTGTAAGAGGTGGCAAGGCAGAGTGTGGTAGGGGATGAAGGGGTCTGTCGCCCGGGTTGGTTCGCTGCGGGTTGGTTCTGTGTCAATGGAGCGTGGGACGAGGGGGATGTGGGCAAAGTTATACAAAAAAGGTGACGAGAGGGGATGAGAGGGGACGAGAAGATCGACAGAGACAGGCCCGAATCGTATCACTGCATTCCCAGCAGTTGCACAACGGATCCCACTGTGCCACGAGACGTGTGCGGGTCGTGTCGGATTGTTGAGCCCAATTGGTGCTTGTCCCATCTCAGATGACTCTTGGCCGCGTCCAACCCTGGCCGGTTGTATATCGTTTTCTGTCTCCTCCTCCTCCTCATCACCATCATGCTTCCCCGCAAACAAGCCCCGGAGCAACCCCCCGGACAACTATTGAGATGCAGATGCCCCAACCAGGGCTGTCCTCCGCAGTCCAACAGCGCCAGCCCCCTTTGCCGACTGCCCAATCATGCCCACAAACATAGCGGAGGATGCCTCGGGTGGCGGCCGTCCTGCTACTCGGTGCTCCTGGGGCAAGTCCCTCTTGCCAAGCTCACCGTCACTCCTCGTCTCCATCCCCCCCTAGCAAGCAGAGAACGCAGGCCGCCAGGAGATGGCCACGGCGTCTTCGAACCCCCAGGACGGCATCGTAACTGGTCCCCGCCCCCGCAAGATCTGCCGGAGCGGGCCAAAGGCTGCTGCTCCACTGGGGATCCGGGGTCATCGTCCGACTTGCGGGGTAGCTGGAGAAAGGACTCCTTGGCAGCTCCGGGCCATTGCCCGTTTTGGGGCGAGTGGCGATGGAGGGAGGCGTGTTATTGGAGCTGGGAGTTGCAGCTTCTTTCAATGAATGGCGTTCGCAACATGTTTCTATTCGGGCAGAGACTACTCCGTGGGAGTGTGGATGGTGTTATGCTTAAGCAGCTAGCTAAAGAGAGAAGGCAAACTTCCGTCCACTTCATCACCAGATGGCCACTCAACGTCAGGTGGGTGTCCCATCTAGATTTTTCTTTTCACGCAGCGTGTCACGCTGGGCCTGCCCAGACAGGACCGACATCCGAAAGGGAGCATCGCGACGGGCCAAGGCGTGGACCCTCTGGGCGAGCAGCCCGAGCTGCTGGACAACCAGTCTGTGCCACATATCCAGACGCCCGGGTTACGCAGGCGGCCCCCCGGAAGCGAACAAGATGGGGATCTCAGCCCATGGGAAACTCGAGGGGCAGACCGCCTGCCAGATGAAAGCGTGGCGGGAGCCGTTGTGCGTCCTTGGCGTGTAAATCGATATTTGCATGCATCGGCGAGTGCAACAACACGGTTGATACCATGGTTGTTTTCCTGACAACAGACATTCCACCGCATGCAGGCTATAGGCCCGATGCTATAGAGCCTTTCCGCATGCTCGCCGTATTCCGTAACTCTCCTTCCACTGCCACAAACTTGACAGGTTTCCACCGGAGCCAAGACATCCACGCCGCACCACCTCATCAAGCCAGCCCATCTCCAAGCTCATTGCCAACCACGCATCAATCCTCGCAGCCCTTCGAACAAACACTCCACTTCCTTTCCCCGGACAAAACAATCCTTTCGACCAGACGCCCCTCCTCCGCACGACGACACCCTCTTCTAAAACGCCCGCCCACCCTTTCCCACCCCCGCACTCTAGGCTCATCTCCCGAGCGCCCTCCACCAATAACACGCCGTAGAGCGACCGTGGATGCCGAGGCTCACGGCTTTTGGTGGCAACAACCCTGCTCAATCAACCCTAAACCGAGTCTTCCTGTTGGATCAAGCCTGGTCTGATGCTGTCCCACCCCGGATCGTCACTGTGCGGCGCACGCTAAGAATAGGGTTGCGAAAGGTGCGGAGAGAGTCCAGACGAGAGTACACATGAAGTCTACCCCTTACGTGGCTAGAGCCGAACCTACCCCCCTTATCTCCACCCCCCTACTAAGGTCATCTCTACCTCCTTATTAAGGTTATCTCTACCCCCTTACTAAGGTTATCTCTACCTCCTTATTAAGGTTATAGCTACTATCTTTATAAGATTAATTTAACTCTTTATATTATCTAATATCTATATATATTATTATATAATTAAGATTTTTTTTTTATTAATAATAAGTAATTATTATATAATTATCTATATTATATAATTTATTTTTTTATTTAATAATATATATATTTATATTAAATTTTTTTTTTCTTTTTAAAATTAATTTTTAATATTATTTTATATAAAAATTAATAGCTATAAAACTTATTTAAAAAAAGCTTAATATAAAAAATATTTATTTTTATATAAATTTATAAAAGGTAAAGTTATATTTTATATAGGGGAAATATTTTACTAATTATAAATATTAAATAGAAATTTTTATTTCTTTTAAAAATTATTTAGCTTTTAAGTAAATTTATAATATTATTTTTATTATTATAATCTTTAAATTTAAAAAAGAAAGTTAGAAGTATTAAATTTTAGTTATTAACTTAAAATAATAAAATAATATTACTAATTTCTATTTTAAAATTTAAATAATAATTTTAATTTAAATTAGAATTTATTATTATAATTCTAACTTAATATATTAATATAATTAAATTTAATTAATATATATTATTCTTTTAAATACTATTTAATTTTATATTAAATTTAATTAGATTTTATTTAATAAAAATATTTTAAAAAGTATTTTATTTTTTTATATATTGTAATTTAAAAATAGTAAAATTAATTTCTTTAAATTATAAAGAATAAGTTAAATTAAAAAGAAATAGTATAAGAAATATATAAGAAAGAAATATTAATATCTACTTAAAATAGAATATAATTCTTAATATAATATTTAAAGGATATTTAAGAATCTATTTTAAGATAGCTAGATTTTATATATTTAGCCTCTATTTATACTCTTATAATTATAAAGCTTGCTTTTAATTATTTAATTTTATTTTATTATTTTTTAGTTACTAATATTATTATATTTCTATCTTATTTTTATTAGGAATTAATTAGGATTTAATTAAAATTAGACTATAAAAGGTATTTACCTCTATAATTTTTATCTTTAATTTTATTAAAGATATCTTTAAGAAATATTAAAAGATATTATTAAAGATATAATTAAAATCTTATTATATTCTTATATATATTTAATTAGCTAATATTTATTTATATATTAGAATAATACTTAGAAGAATAACTATAAAAGTAATAAAAATTATAATTTAAATAAAAACTATAATTTAAATAGAATCTATAATAAAAATTAAGATTGTAATTAAGATTATATTTTAAATTAAGATTATAAATATAAAAGAGATCTTAAATAATTAAAAAGTAATTCTTTTAATTATTACTAAATTTTCTATTAAATTTACTTTTTTTAAGTTTATTAAATAAAAAAATATTATTTTAAATAATATTAATAAGTTATATTTAAATATTATTAATAATAAATTAATATAGAATATAAAATATATATAATTTTAAGTAGTTACTTAATAGAAATAACCTTATATTAAAGTAAGATAGTATAATAATAATAATTTATACTTCTTAAAAGTTTTATTATAAGCTAAGAGTTTTTAATTTATATATATATAACTAGAATAAAATTAGAATTAATTTATTATAATTTATAAAGAAAATTTACCTTTTAATATAAAACTTTAAAGAAATATATTATTTATTCTATTAATATAATAATTTATAAAAAATCTTAATAGTATTAATATATAATAGTATTTTATTCTATTTATTAAGTAGAATACTACTATATATCTAATTAAACTTACTTTAAATAATAGGGTATTTTTTATAAATTGCCTATTTATATAATTATAGTAAAAGTTTTAATAATAAATATAATTAAAATTACTTTAAAATTAATTTAAATTAAAAATAAATATACCTATAATAAAATTATATAATTTTAAGTATTTACCTTTAGTCTTAATACTTAATATTCTAATTATTAATAAGAATCTTAAATCTAGGTTATTATTACCCTCTTAATAATATTTTTAAATACCTTACTTAAAATAAACTTAATATAATCTAACTAACTAATAAACTTACTAAATTTAAAATTACTACTTAATATTAATTAACTTAAAATAGTAATTAAAACCTAAAGAAGTAAGTAAAAATATTATATATAAAGAAGATTAATATACCTATTAAATATAATTAATTTTAATTTAAAGTTATTTTATTTAAGCCTTTTATATAAAAATATACCTATTTAATATTAATTTAATATTAAATTTATAAAAGAGAAAAAACTTTCTTAAATATAAATTAATATATACTTAGAAATAAACTATTAAAAAATACTTAAGTAAGTAGAAGTACTAATAAAATTAATTAGGATTTAAATATAACTTAATTTTAATAGATATTTAAAGAGGTTATATACCTTTTTAAAAAAGAGTACTATAATATTCCTAAATAACTTTAATATTATTATAACTAATAAGATATTTATAATTTATATTAACTTAAAATATCTTATAATCTATTTAGCTAAATAATTTTACCTAGTTAAAATAGAAATAAATAGCAATATACTTTTCTCTATTATTATCTATAAATTAAATATATTATAACTTAGAATTAAGCTACTTCTTTTAATATTAAAGATATATTGCTATTTAAGAAAATCCAGTTAGATTATAAAGTAAAAAATACTTTTTTAATAAATATCTTATAAAGTTTTTATTATTAAAAAACTTAAATACTTTAAAAAGAATTAAAAAGTTAAATTTAAGATAAAAGTTTCTAATTTTAAGTCTAGTAAAAAATAAAATTAAAATAAAGGGAATTTAATTAGAGATTAATTTAAAACTTAATAGAAATAACTTATAGAGTACTATACCTAGGCAATATATTAACTTAAAAAGATATTTAAAATTCTTAATAATTTATTCTATTAGCTTTAATACTATAAAAAAGGATAATTATAAATACTATAAAAAATAATAATAATAAAGCTAGTTAGTATCTTTTTAATTATTAAGTTATTAATAGAAGTAAAGTAAATAAAGGTAATTTTATAAGATTTATATTATAATTTTCTAGGGTATTAAAAATAAGAAATAACTATAATTAAATTAATTTAAAATTAATTTAAAGTAAATAAAAAAATAAAATATAAATATATAGTATTCTTCTCTCTTACTTATTATTTATATAGTATAATAATATTTTTTAGCTAAAATAATTCTATTCTCTTTATAAATATATAAATAAATAAAGTTATAATAAGTATAAAACTTTATTAATATAAATATATAATAATAAAACTCTCTAGTTATATTATAATATATATATTAAATAATTATTTATTTATTATTAATAATTTACTAATAAAATTAATTAAGATAAATAAGTATAAAAATAGAAAATTATACTTTATATTATAACTAAATAAATTCAAAATAGTATATATTATATTTTAGAATATAAATAGTACCCTATTAAAATATATATAATTATATAAATACCTAACTTTATAAAATATTAAAATATAAAGAAATAAAAAGTAAGATTTATATCTTACTACTATATATTCCAAACTAGAAAAATCTAATATTTTTTATAGAGTTTAATATTATTTCTAAAGAGTATTATTATTATTATAATACTACTAATTATTTTAAATAAATTTATATTATTAAAAGCTAATATAGAAATATAAATACCTTTAATATAATTTATTAAAAAGAATAAAAAAGCTTTACCTAGAATTTTATTTCTATTAAGAGTAGAATTATATCTTATTAGAAATTAGTATTAATATATAAGAAAATTAAAATACTACTTACTTTAATTTAAAACTTAGCTAATTAAATTAGCTATAAGATATTAATTAAAATAATATATACTACTCTTTTTATACTTATATATAGATATTTAGGGATATATAATATATAAATTAGAATTTTAATATAGATATTATAAGATAACGTACATAATAAGCAAGTGCACAATACAAGCGAGTGCACAATTTTTCTTCTAACCGCCCTCTTCCCTCTTTTAACTCCATTTTTTCAACCACGCATTATGTCGTCAATAAGCAATGAGGCAAATATCAATCTTGCCCTTCAAGCCCTTCAGAAAGACCCTCAATTAACTCCCTACCGCGCCTCAAAGATCTATAAGGTCTCTCGCCATACTCTACTACGCCGACGCGCCGGCATTACTTCGCGACGCGATACTATGCCCAATTCGCGTAAACTATCTGATCTAGAGGAACAGACTCTTCTTGAGTATATTCTTGACCTAGATTCGCGAGGGTTTCCCCCGCGACTGAGCGGTGTGGAAGAAATGGCCAACCGATTGCTCGCCGACCGCGACGCGTTACCTGTCGGCAAGCGCTGGGCTTCTAACTTCGTCAGGCGACAACCAGAGCTTAAGATGCGTTTTTTTCGTAAATACGACTATCAGAGGGCTAAATGCGAAGATCCAACCATTATTCGCAATTGGTTCCGGCTTGTGGAGAATACAATCGCGAAATATGGTATCGACCTAGCCGATATCTACAACTTTGATGAGACCGGCTTTATGATGGGCATAATCGCAAGCGGAATGGTTGTTACAGGCGCAGAAAGGCGTGGAAACCCGAAATCAGTTCAGCCTGGAAACCGGGAATGGGTCACGGTCATTCAGGCGATTAATGCAGAAGGCTGGGCGATCCAGCCATTTATCGTGGTTGCAGGCCAATATCACCTCGCTAACTGGTACCAAGAAAGCAACCTCCCGGGCGATTGGGCTATTGCAACGACTCAAAATGGCTGGACTGACAATAAGACGGGTCTTGAGTGGCTTAAGCATTTTGATCAGCATACAAAGGATCGATTGATCGGTCGCTATCGTCTTCTAATCCTCGATGGGCACGAAAGTCACCACTCCGTCGACTTTGAGAAATATTGTGAGGAGAATCAGATTATTACGCTTTGTATGCCGCCTCATTCGTCTCACCTACTTCAGCCTCTTGATGTCGGGTGCTTTGGGCCGCTTAAAACAGCCTATGGTCGAGCAATTGAGCAATTGATCAGATGCTCTATAACCCACGTTTCGAAGACCGAGTTCTTCCCAGCCTTCTACGCTGCCCACGCAGCCGCTATGACAAGGAGTAATATTGAAGGAGGTTTTCGAGGAGCTGGACTTGTTCCCCTAAACCCAGAAAATGTCATATCGAAGCTTGATGTGCAGCTACGGACTCCAACACCGGCTGCAGAGGAGGTCGGCCTCCCCGACCCTTGGGTCTCGAAGACCCCAAAGACAGTGCTTGAGGCCAGTTCGCAGTCTGAATATCTTGAAAGACGAATGAGAAGGCATCAGAGCAGCTCTCCAGCATCAATTCTCGAGGCGCTTAAGTCACTTTCAAAGGGAACAAAGGCAATAATGCATCAGAATGCTCTATTGAAAGCTGAGAACCAGATCCTTCGACAGGTAAATGAGACTCTTAGCAAGCGGCGCAGAGCAAAGAAAACCCGCCTATGTAAAGGAGGGAAGATGACTTTAGATGAGGGCAGGGGTGAGATAGATCAGAGAGACGTTGATGCACAGGTAGCAGCTGAATTGTTGAGAAGTAGTGGTCGAGGGAGGTCAGCGATACCGAGGGAAAGGCGCTGTGGAACTTGTGGAAAGGCCGGTCATAATGTAAGGACCTGTCAGACTATAATTAAGACCTCTGAGGAAGAGCATAGCGATTAGTTTTAATTGATTGATTGTATTGTTGTGGTTTTATTGAGGTTTGAATCTTAGAGGTTAGGAAAAATTGTGCACTTGCTTGTATTGTGCACTCGCTTATCATATACGTTATAATAATATAAGAGTTTATAAATTAAAAGAAATTAATAAAAATAAAAATCTATAGTAATAAATATCTTTTAAGGTTTTTAATTAGTTACTAAAGATATATAAGCTATAATAAAATAGAAATTAGCTAAAGTTTAATTTAGAATTAATTAAGATTTAATTTAAAGCTAATTTAAGATAAAATAAAATATAATATAATATTATATTAAAAGTAACTATAAATAAGCTATTAATATATACTAATTATTTAAAAAATTTTATCTTATTAAAATTAGCTAAATATTAGAAATTATAATAATTTTATATTATAAAATTATTATAAATAGAATTTATTTTTAATATATATATAATAGGAATTTTAATAGATATAATTTTATAATTTATTTATAATATTATAATATTATTTCTTATATAACTTAAAGTCTAAACTAGATATAAAATTATATTAATATATTAATAAAAAGAAGAAGAAATTTTTATTAAATAAGTTTATAATAATTTAAAAAGAATTTAAGAATAAATTATAATAATAAAAATTTTTTATTATAAACTTATTAAATTTATAACTAAAAAAAATTTAAAGTAATACTCTTAAAAAAATCTTTTTATACTTAATTTTAATTTAAAAAAAAAAAAAATTTAAAATAGCCTAATTATTAATTATATATTAATAATAATTAATTAAAATATAATAGTAATATACTTACTTAAGTTATTAGTTATTTATTAAAGCTAGAATTAAAATAGTAGGGGGAGGAAATTAAAAAGAAAGAGTAAAAAGTAAAAATAGCTAGCTTTTAATATAATTAATATTATATTCTTAATATCTTTTTTAATTTATAAGAATTAATTTTAATATTAATTAAAATTAAATTAAATACTTTTATATACTTTATTATTATAGGCTTTAATAGTATTTTAATATTATTATATAATATACTAAAAGTAATATAATATAGCTAACTAAACTAATTAAATATAAATAGTAATTAAAATAAAAGTAAATATAAAAATAAATATAATAAAAATACCTATTAATTTTATAAATTTATAAAAAAAAAAAGTAAGTTACTACCTATTAATAAAATTATAATATTAATTTAATATAAATATTAATAATAATTAAATATAAATTAATTCTTAATTAATTTATATTTAATTTTATTAGCTTTTTTTATATTTAATATATTAATTTAATATTTTTTAATAAAAATATTATAAGTCTTTTTATAATACTTTTAAAATATAAACTTAAATAAAAATTTAATAAATTAAAATTAATTAGAAAAATAATAATAATTAAAAAAGAAAATATATAAATTAATATATAAAGTTATTTCTATTATAATATTAATAAAAAACCTCTTTAAAATAAAAAATTATTTTATTAGCTTATATTTTATTAATAATAAAATTAAAATTAATTTTAATATATAATAAAAACTTATTAAATTTATTCTTAAAATTAAAAATATCTAATTAAAAAAATATAACTTATTATTTAAATACTAATAGTAAGTAGTATTTTTTTTATAAGATATTATATTTTTATTAAATTCTAAATTAATTATATAAAAAAAAAAAAATTAAAATAAAAATAAATTAAGAATTTATTTTAAATATATTTCTAAAAATTTTTAATAGACTTACTAATTAAATCCCTAATAGTAGCTAATTAAATCCTAATTAATTCCCTTTATTATATACCCCTTCTATATAACCTTATCTCTCTAGTATGGATAAGCTCTACTATAGGATAGAGATAATCTTAGCGGGGGGGTAGAGATAACTTTAGTAAGGGGGTAGAGATAACCTTAGCAAGGGGGTAGAGATAATCTTAATAATAGGGGGTCAACTAGGGGGGTAGTGATGACTCTAGCCACACAAGGGGTAGACTTCATCATCACACTCGAGTCCAGACCAAGCGCCGCCAGATGACAAGCATCTCGGGCAATCTTCCCTGTACGTTCTAGTCAGTGTACGTACGCCTGCACCGTTCGACCTGCAGCTCACGGAAGCCCACACAAGGCTGTGACTCTTGCGTCGAGTGGAAATGATCAATTAAACTCCTTGCTCGGGCTCCTTCCGATACCCTCCTCCACAATACGCCTCTTTTGTCTTCGGATACAGACCGAAATAACTGTCCTATTCTTCACTTAACGGATTCTTCGTGCCTCGGTGATTCTCATGTGATAAAACAAAACCAAAGTGAACACACAGGTTCGGCTCATGCCATCATACCCAATGCTGATCTATCGCTTCCCAGCATGCTCTACCTCGCGGTCCTCCCATTCCTGGTATCAAATCAAAAGCGAAAACAAACGTGAGTGCTTGGCAGGTATTCCTGGCCTCGGACAACTCCTCGTCTGACTCATGAATCGTCATCAAACACGATGCGCTCTCCTAGAATCATAGGCCAAACACACTTGTCACCGCGCCGAATGACTTCTTGACATTGTGCCACATCAAAGCAACGGTACCAGGGACACTGAAGACCTGAAGAATCTCCCAGGGGTGACGCGTCCGGACCTGAGTCTCAACAAAATCGACCTTACCAGCCATGGCAGGAAACCGTCCGGTGGTCATATACTCCTCCATCAGGGCGTCTTTCAGATACCACTGCTCCCGCAGCCACAGATCGAACGCCGTCTGGTCGTCAAGTGGCATCTCAGAGATACGGAGGCGACGCCAATAAAAGTTGACAGAGTTTGGGGGCCGACCTTCGAAGTAGGTGCTGTTGAGACCAAAGTATTCCTCGCCATACTTTCCTCGACTGCGATTACTTTGTTAGTCGAGCACGATTTACGACAAGAGCGGTTGGATACTTACGGTATTCCCTCGTACGCGACTGTGCAGTCATAGACGTACTCGACGGTATCCTTGAGCTCGTTCAGGCAGAAAAACATTCCGGTGCTGCGCGGCAGCATAACGTGCTCGGGGTCCTTGAGACCGTTCTTCTCCGCCCAGGCGGCCGACTTTCTACGGCCGTTTCCTGACAGGTTAGTGCCTTCAGGGAAGAGCAGCAGCCACATGGGATCAAGATAGGTTTTCCCCCTAGGGTCAACCTTCTTCTGACTGAGCTTGTTTAGACGGTATGCCAGTCGAGGCTGGTCCGTTGCCATCTTCCTTGACATGAAAATGAATCCAAAGAAGCGCATCGCCCAACCCATGAGAGGTACCCTAGCGAGGGATTCTTTTAGGATGATGTAAATGTGCCCATGGGTCCCTGGCGAGTTCGCATAGCCAACCCACCAGAGGTACAACCAGTCGGTGTAAATCTATGACAACGTCAGCACTTTGTCATACCAACCATGCATATATAAACTATGGTAGCCGCATACCTGGTGGTTGGCGATCAGCACCATGCGCTCCGGGAAGTTAAATTGTACCCCGCCACCAGGCGTGGGCTTAATCTGCCCCGCCACTGTCTCGTCGCCGCTGATTCGAATCGTCGTCGAGCCCCAGATGTGTGTCATGACAGCCGTCGTAATGGCAAAGGACCGCTTCGTCATGGCCATGTAGGCGTAGAACCACTCGCGGTTGACAAAGTACAGCGGGGATCCAATGATCTGGGTAAAATGGATGCTGTGAAGTGCAAGGGTCAGCTTCGCTGCTGCTAATGTATAGCCAAGCCCAGCTGTGGGGAGCAAAGGTACATGCGGCGGGTCGGGGAGACAAACATCAAGCAGAGGCTGGTGAAGTAGATACCAAAAGTGGCTCCTCGCACGATCTGCATAAACAAGCCATATCCCTGTCTTCCAGAGGGATGGTATTCTTGGGGTTTGCTCGTCGATGCTTTGGGCTTCTCGTCCGTGGCTGACAACCCGGCGGATATCTCCGGCCCGGGGATGGAGTTGGAGGCCATGGTAAGCAGTAGAGCTCGAAGTCTGAGGTTGGTATTCAAGCTGCAGCGACCACGGAAGCAAACGAAGAGTTCGGGAGCGGAAATTGTATGTTCGTTGACGACGGGGGATGTGGTTTGATGTACGACCTAAGCTTCCAGGCAACCACAGGATGCAAGTTGGCGAAACGAAGAGGTGGCCCACGTGGTCCAACGGATGAGGCTATGGCAACAGCCACCGGATCCGACCCCTCGTGGCAGGATTCAGTCGAGGGCAGGCCCTACAGAGTCAACTGCGGCCTAAAGTCGAAGCAAGACGTGGGACTGGAGATTGAGATGAAGAAGACAGAGCGAGCGAGACATGGCGCACATGACACGATTTAGACGTTGGCGAGTTGGGAGCTGACCAGGCACTGGAGTGCTTAGCTGGAGCTTGGAAGCCTTAGCTGACTTGTGACATCAGCGGATGACCCGGAGCGCCTATGACGCGACACAGGGACGGGGTTTGTGAGGTGCCGGTGCCGATGGGCCAATCAGCGCACGTCTAAATGACGGATTCTTCCATATGGCCATACTTACCCTGGAGCTGCCTCCACACATAGCTAGGGTCTGCTCAGCGGCTCGGCATGCACATGTCATCTCTGAATCGAAACATGATCGCACGGTAGATGCCCTTTAGACACGTTGCACAGTTGATATCTCTGTCCACTTTTGGACATGAACGTAAGAAACCTCGTCGCAGCAACCCACGCCCACCCGCTCTCTCAACTCCCCCACCTACCCCCCATGAACCAAAAGCAGAAGGCGGTCTGCGTCAGCCCACCTTCATCCGGCCATAACCGCCATTCTGCCACGCTCAAGCTCCCTTAGCTCCTTAGCTCTTCTGTGTCATCCAAAAATTCATCGACGAACTTCAGACTCGCACCGGCCTCAGAGCCTTTCCTGCGTGGCAACATGACCACGTCACTCAACGGCCACCATGTTTAAACACAATTTAACCAGAGGGCTGGCCCTCGCCGAGCCAGCCCTGATGCGACAGCCATCACCGCAGCTGATATCCCGAACGGCATCACCCCCATCACTAACCCGTTATCTCTCCACCACCCGTCCGCTGCGTTTGGCCGAGGTACGAAGTGTTGCAGAGCTTCCTGAGCGGACGAGTCCCCGGTACTTGCGAGGCTCCAAGCCTGGGTCTTCACTCCTGTCTTTGAACTGGCCACAGCCCCCTCGAAACCTTCTTATGATCCAGAAACTCTACTCGGCGCCCGTCGTCGAAGCCGTCGTCAAGTTTTCCAAGTACATCCGCAGCGAGTACCCCGAGGTCAACCTCGTCTTCGAGCCCCGAATTGCGGCGACTCTCAAGGACCGCCTCGACTTCCCCATCTTCGCATCCGACGACCGGACCAGCATTGCGGATAAAATTGACGTCATCACAACCTTTGGCGGCGACGGCACGGTCCTACGAGCCGCAAGCCTCTTTAAACTTCACGGATCGGTGCCTCCTATTCTGTCGTTTAGCATGGGAACTCTGGGGTTCTTGGGCGAATGGGACTTTGGGGAGCACAAGAAGGCATGGCGAGAGATGTACATGAGCGGGAGTGATGTGGCCATGCGGGAGGCTGCTTTCCCTCGAGGACTACGAGACGAGAGCACTACCGGGACTCACAAGGTCTGGGAGCGGATGGGTGGCAAGAGTCTTGGGGCTCAGAGGGCCTCCAAGGTGTTGCTTCGACACCGTATCAAGGCGGACGTTTTTGATCCGTCGGGAAAAAACATCAACAACTGGCTCTCGGACACGCTGTCTAGTGATTCGCAGTTAGAGGCGAGGCCGATTGCAGGGACCAAGGAACCCTCGCCATCGTTACGGGCCATCAACGAGATTTCTGTGCACCGAGGGTCTCATCCGCATCTTGCCATCATCGACATCTACCAGAACGGTCACTTCCTGACCGAGACGACCGCTGACGGCATCTTGATCAGCACGCCAACAGGCTCAACAGCATACAGCCTCAGCGCAGGGGGCCCGATTGTGCATCCGCTGGTCAAGTCATTACTCATCACCCCAATCAGTCCGTGTAGTCTGAGCTTCCGGTCACTGGTCCTGCCGCTGGACACCAAGGTCAGCCTGCGGATGAGCACTAAGAACCGGGGCCGGGAGCTGGACCTGAGCATCGACGGCAAGCGGTGCGCGGGAGTGTCGCCCGGGACGGAGATCCGGGTGGAGGGTGAGTTCGTGGGCCGAGTGGGTCCCGGAGAGGAGTGGCACGGGGGCGTGCCGTGCGTGATCCGCACCGAGGATGACGACCCGTGGGTGGGCGGGTTGACGGGGTTGCTCAAATTTAACCACCCGTTTGGACGGGAACCGGCGGGGGATGAGTTCTCTGATTAGTGGAAGAGTACGAGCCACCGCTTGTACGGATAGCTGTAGGCTTATTTGATACCCGTCCCCTTTTTGGTTTTTGGTCATTGTAGATAACAGCACAGTAACAGCAGTATAACGGCACACAGCAGCGGTAGACGAGGATGACCTTCAGGATAGCAATGACAGCGATGACGATGAAACCATGTGCCAGATCTTGAAGGCGCAGTCGGTGTCGAAAGCATCATTGTACATGCATTGCTCTTGAACGCCGGAGTTCCGGGGAGTTGAGAATACACCGACAGACGGAGCGCCCATCGGCACCCTCAAGACTGACGATCCGATGCTCCCGTGGCTGTGATCGGAGTTTTCGGCGTCCGGCGGTGGCAATGCCTTGAAGTCATTTATGCAGGCACTGGATGCGTAGCGATTAAGGTATGGATTGCATGGAGGTTGGTCCACGTACGTTACAGTAGCAATCAGAACCTTACTGTAAGCATGAACGGCGATTACTTTTTTTGTGGTTCACCCACGTCGTGGCACAGTGGAGCCCCAATCAACCGCCGGAGGCCTGAAAAGACGCTCCTGATGAGGCCATGGGGAGGGAGCGGAAGAGGCGGACAGACAGACATGTTGCATGCGAAACCGACGAGCGCCCGCTGATAGGAACGATCTCGTGAGCTGCGGGCTGGCGGCTGGGCAGTGCAAAAGGACGACTTTCCGCGGTCGTCGGTACGGTCGGTAGTTTGTGCTGGGCCATTTGCCAGTTGTCCAGCGAGAACGAGCGGGTGGAATCTTGCTCCCGTTGCCAAGGCCGAGAACTACGAGACTTTACGAGCCTGGAGCGAGGAAGAGACGGAAGGGCGGAACGCAGGCGTGTATGATCACCATCAAGGGTGCGCCCTTCTGGGATTACACTTTCGGCGGTTCTCTCATCGACAAGAAATGCCAAGTTCACCCGGACAGGAAGAATGTTGCGAATGCCTCACATCAGAGTCACAGGTGAAGTCTCGCCCAACCCCCCTCCAACGTGTAGCACAAGTGTAGCACATAAACATGGCACAGCGATGGGAAACCCACCAAATCGCCGTTTGAACAGGCGCGCTGGTTGGCCCCCATCATCACGCATCCATCGTCGAAACGGCCCCCGTCACATCCTCCCAACCGTAGCATCAGGCCGTCTTGCCGTCTTGGCGCGCTGGGCACAAACCTCGCCGGCTTTTGCCAAGAGGGGCCAAGGGCCAGGGATGGGGGGACCTAGGTCTTGGCCTCGGGTCCTTTTTGTTCTTACCTTTTTTACTTACTTTTTAATCTATCAAATTGTGCTCACTTGCTGCTTGGCACATGGTGAGCCGGTGAGTCGGTGAGCTGGCAAGTGCCTTGGCGATGTTTCTGGATTTCCTGTCTTCCGTGTCGTGCTGATGTGATGGTGGAGTTGTTGATGGAGCGGATAAGAAATAAGGAGGGTTTTTGGCAGGTGGCCTGTGTGCTGACGCTAATCAATCTGATTTCCAGCGCTTGAGCACCTAATATAAAGTGAGGTGTTGAGGTGAGATCATTTCCAGGTCTCCACGGGAGAGAGAAAGAGAGTGGAGTGGCAGAGGCGCCCGGGGAGATCCAAGTCAGCGGAGGATTACTCCAGGGGCCCTGCAGGGGGTCTCCAGGCCGTTTTACTGGCTGCCCAGGAGCCCGAGACGGATTCTGCGTTGGTTGTGCCCCCATCTCTATCCCAGCCCCCAGTAAGCTTCCCCCGTGCGGTCCAGTGACGGGCGGCGGTAAACGGCTTTGGATAGTGATCGTCCTCTGCCGTGTACAGCGGCTGGAGAGTCCTGCGCCTAGTTTAGTTACTGTGCCTTGTGCCTTGCGCCCTTGTGCCGTTGCGTCCAGTGTGTCTTTGCTGCTGTCATGTCTACCTCGTCCCTCGTCCCTCCTCCGGCGGACCCGGTGCTGCAACCGACCCCCGTATTCCGCCCTCGCTGAATGGATCTTCTGGAAGGACTAGAGCTGACGGGGCGACGAGTGACGGACGGCGGTACTTCGTAAAGAGTACGCGTATTGCAGTGGCAGGGGAGGCATGTGTTTCTGGGCTGACTTTGGACTTGGCGGTGCTGCCGCAGCAGCGCGCTGAGAAGAGCGACCAGCGAGCGATGGACGTTGATCATTTAACGCTGCCTGCTCTCGCTCGCTCGATGTTTCGTTCTCGCTGCCATCCTTCTCTTGGATCATCTCTACGGCTCGATCCCAGCTGCGGCTTTCTATACCTGTAGCCATTGGAGCCCTGTGATTCACCTCCGACCAACCATTTGCCATTGCCGACGCTCCCGAAGCCTCCCATCACCATATTACGAAGGAATTGCCTGATTCCAGCGAGGTAGCACCACTACTTCAGCCACAAGGACTGGCAGACCATCCTGCCGGGCTCGGGGCTGTATTGGAATTATTTTAGCTCCCCTCTTTCTTGTCTTAATATTATCATACCCCGGTCTCTCTCGTCTGAGAGCTCCCGACAAGAGCACGGGATCCATCTTATTTTCCCTTTCCGCATCTCTCCTCCGCCATCCCATAGCCTCCCGTCTCCTGCTTCTGGAGTCGCAGCCATGGCTTCGCTATCCAGCAGACTGACCGTCCTGCTGGCAGCCGCGGCCGCCCTCTCGCCCGCTGCGGCCAACTCCGAACCCGCAGGTACGTTGCCGATGGCTCCCAAGCTCCGCGCCGAAAGCACAGCGTCCGATTAGCGGTTCGTCCGTCCCGTGATCCGCTAGACGTCGCATGTCGGTGGGTTTGACGCGCGAGTCTATGCTGGTGTCTGTGTGTGCGGATGCATGTGCGCACGACCCAATGCAGTATTTTGACATGAGCCATAGCCGACCCTCTCTCCAACTCCGTCCCGTCCTCGCGCCGATCAGAATCGCAACTCTCCCAGCGAGGAACCCCCCAAGCGCCCTCCGGCTACGTCCCAAGCGATGTCTCGTGCCCCAGCACCCGTCCGACGATCCGCAATGGCTCTACGCTGTCCGACCAGGAGCTCGAATGGCTCCCGAAGCGCCGAAACGCAACCATCCCCTACATCCGCCAACTCCTCAAGCGGATAAACATCCCCAACTTCGACAGCGACGAGTACCTCAAGAATGCCGAGACGAACACCACCGCCCTGCCCAACATTGGCATCGCCGTGTCTGGTGGTGGCTACCGCGCCATGTTGTCTGGCGCCGGCGCATTGGCAGCCTGGGATATTCGATCCGACGGGAGCCAGAAGGAGGGCAACCTGGGCGGCCTGCTGCAGAGCGCGACCTATCTCTCCGGTCTGTCTGGCGGCGGCTGGCTCGTGGGCAGTCTGATGATGAACAACTGGACCTCCGTCCAGGAGAGCGTCAACTACCCCGGTATCTGGCAGCTGCAGAACTCCATCTTTGAGGGTATGTCTCTTGCGCCTGGAAGATAGCACCTAAGGAGATTGCGCTCCATAACCAAGCGACTCGCTAACTCTTCACAGGCCCTGAGCAGTACAGCCTGCTTGGCTACTACGACGACGTCTTCAATGCCGTGTCGGACAAGAAGGATGCCGGCTACGAGCGATCGCTCACCGATTACTGGGGTCGCATGCTCTCATACCAGCTCATCAACGCCACCGACGGCGGCCCTGCGTTCACCTGGTCCTCTATCGCCGACGACGAGGACTTCAAGGCCGGCAACGCTCCCATGCCCTTCGTCATCGCCGACGGCCGCAACCCCAACGAGACCATCGTGGCCCTCAACTCGACCGTCTTCGAATTTACCCCCTGGGAGCTCGGCTCCTTCGACCCCACCCTCAGGGGCTTTGTGCCGCTCAAGTACGTCGGCTCCGAGTTCGAGAACGGCACGCTGCCCAGGGACAAGAGCTGTGTTCGCGGCTTCGACAACGCCGGCTTCGTCATGGGCACCTCCAGCAGTCTGTTCAACCAGATCGTGCTCTACCTCGACGACCCCAACAGCATCTACGTCCCCGACAATGTCCCCGACTTTGCCATCAGCGCCCTCACGACTATCCTCGAGAACATTGGCGATGACAACAACGACATTGCGGACTGGACGCCTAACCCTTTCAAGGGCTATAACCCGGAGGAGAGCTACATCACCGACTTTGATCGTCTGACCCTTGTCGACGGTGGCGAGGATCTCCAGAACGTGCCCTACTACCCGCACATCCGCACCGAGCGCGAGGTCGACGTCGTCTTCTCGTTCGACTCATCCGCCGACACCGAGTCGCTGTGGCCCGACGGCGCCTCCGCCATCGCCACCTACGAGCGCTCCCTCGAGGACATCTCCGAGGGCTCCTCGTTCCCCGTGGTCCCTGGCAAGAACACATTCCGGAACCTCGGCCTCAACACCCGCCCGACCTTCTTCGGCTGCAACGCCACCAACACCACGGAGCCCTCGCCGCTCATCGTCTACATCCCCAACTACCCCTACGTCTACGCCGCCAACATCTCCACCTTCCAGTTGAGCATCAACGGCTCCGAGCTCTCTGCCATCATCGAGAATGGCTACTCCGTCGCCACCCAGCTCAACGGCACCCGCGACAGCGACTGGCCCGTCTGCGTCGCCTGCGCCATGCTCTCGCGCAGCTTCGACCGCACAAACACCACCGTCCCGGCCAAGTGCCAGGACTGCTTCGACAGCTACTGCTGGAACGGTACGCTCGACGAGAGCGAGCCCGAGCCCTACTACCCCGAGTTTATCGGCGCACCTCTCAGCATCGAGAGCTTTGCCCACAAGCTCTTGAGCAGCACCATTACCGCCGCGGCTGTGGCAGCCGCGGTTGGATTTTCTCTGATTATATAAACAGCAATCTAGCTTGCGTTGCGATGTGCATTATTATTTTTGGTTGATCTTGACTGATCTCATCTGAAAGGGGAAGCGATGACGACGGCAAAAAGCATAGGAGTTATTTTTGGTACATGTTGATTCCGGCTACTGGGGAGCCCCTTTCTATATCTGTATCTGTATCCGGACGTGTGCATCGGGGAATGGAGAGAAACGGCTGACAGGAGGGCATTTCGAGGCGCGTAGTCTACAGGTTTGTCATTTTTGGACTATGAATATCCTGGTTGGGTTGATTTTGGGGAGCTATTTTTGGATATCGAGATAGCTGAGCTAGCACACGAGGCAAAATCGCACCCAAATGTGACGTACCATATATGTGGATGTCACTTATACCTTTGATTCCTTCCATACTCCGCAGTGACCATTGAGCGAGTCGCGATCCTGCCTTTCAGCCAGAGCTGAAAATCCTCAAACACAAGCTGCATATACCATCTATATATATTAGACATTAGTCCCGCGAGTTGCTGGCCTCTCCTACCCCGCGGAAGCGTGATTGGTCTTGTCCAACAGGGAAGATATCGCTTCGCGCGGGTCATCATTGCACCCTCACGCCAAATTTGGGGGCGCCATTCTGGGGTTTAGGCTCAACTGCCGGAGCGAGAATCGCCAGTGTAAGCGCGGAGCAGGGTGGGACGGGATCGTTAGCGCGGCGCGGAGGAGAGACGAATGGGATTGGAAGTTGTGGTAGAGTGTGTGAGTGCAAGTGTAAGTGCAAGTGTAAGTGTGTCAATGCGGATTTGTTTCAACGAGCACGCCACGAGCAAACGAGGCTACGTTCCGTGACCCCCCGGTGATCATGACCATCATGCTTAAAGAAAACTGTGAAACACGGTCCATCCATGCATCTCGCCTCTGCACCCCCAACCATTGGCGAAGACACAAGCCGGGCTGGCCAAGCGTAAGCCAAGTCAGACGTCGGCCAAGGTCACACGGCGCGGGCTATTCGTGGCACGTTGGGCTGGACAATGCGAGGGATACGGAGAGGGGGGTTTGTTTGTGACGGCGAGAAATGGGTTACCGATGAGGGGATTGTAAGATCGGGGGAGAGTTTGGCCATGGGGGAGGAGGATATGGGGAGGTGGATGGGGTATAAAGGGACGGAATGGGAGCACAGAAGTGAAGTTGATGAAGCAACAAACCCACAAGCAACACAGCACATCTTCTCCTGAATCTACCCAACTCACAACAACACCTCGGCTGTTCACCTCCTGACCACTTCGTACGCCTTCCCCTCGTCCCATCACCCCCCACTAACACGCCAAACAGCCCAAGATGAAGTTCACCCTCCTCACAACCATCCTCCCCCTCGCCTCCGCCTGGACGCTCGACGTGTGGACGACAGACGACCGCTCGAGCGCCATGCACGGCACCGTCGACGTCGACTGCAACGACATCGAGTTCACGCCCCCGCTCGACATCAACCGCGTCAAGTTCAACCCGGACACTGACTGGTACCCCGACCCGGATACCTTTGAGTTCTATGTCAGCCCGGGCTGCCAGGGGCTGAGCTACCGCAATGGGGAAGGCGATTATACCATCACGCCGCGGGTGGTCCAGAGCTACAAGGTCTATTAGTGATTAGGGAAGAAGGAGTTACGAAATCACATCTTCTGGAGGGCGTCATGTCGTGTCCTAAGACTCACTCGCTATGTTTAGTGTTCCAATCGAGATTTCCTGATGTGCTAAATGAATAAAGCTATGGAATTTTAAAGAGACTTGTCCTCGTATCAGTTCTTAAACATAGAGAACCGTGGAATGTTGGGTCAGGACTGTCCTCAAAGACGTCACTTACACATATAACTCCATCACTTGTTAGCACGGATACTGTGTTATATCTTAAACCTCCCAATCACCACCAAAGATGTTGCACATCCGTCAGACACTCTGCACCCTTATGGGACGACTCCGATATTCCACCGGAGGCGGACTCGCGTCAGGTACGAAGACAGGTCGTATGTACGAGTGCACTCGGATCAGATACTTTTCATCGTCCTCAGCATACTCATTCAGCATGTCATCAATCTCCCTGGCGATACCAAGCGTCCATGAAAACGTGTTGATGCCCTTGCCGAACGGATCCCACATATTCCACAGCTCCTGTAAGAGTACGAGGATAATGGAGCTGATGGCCGAGATGCCCACCATGGCCAATAGGGTCATTGCGGTAGGAAACATCATCTCCCCGGCCGTGTTGCGCGGGCTGTTGGTGATGTAGTCGCAGTGTTGTGCTGGCAGAACAAGTGCAATGAGTCTCATTGAACTGTCGACGGCCCATAAGAAGGCAATGGGGGCGACGTCACGATAGGCAAACACGGAGCATTCTCGCCCGGCCAAAGCCATCATATCGATGTTTTCACCTGAGTTTGTCAGATATGCTCCTTTATTTGGGAATGGAGACTTACGGATGATAGGTGCTCTCCTCTCATCCAAATTTGCCCCGTCTATGAGATTCTCAAAGTGGTTTCGGATGCAGTAGATGATGTGCTGCGGTCCCATAGAGGGGACTTTTGTTCTCATGGGCTGTTTTCGAAACTCTTTTTCCAGCTGAAGGGAGAAGATCTCAAAGAAATGCTCAACTGGAACGAGTTTGGGCGGATCATCGGACCATGGTTTCGGTCGGCTATATGGTCTGTCGTCGGCATTCCCACCTAATCTTAAATGCCGTAAGGCTGCGGCCGCCTCGTGGCAGTACTTTGTAATGGCGGGTTCGCATGTATTGTCGCGCATCTGCTGGAGGAGCGCCACTGGATATGCAACAGTCAGGGCTAGACACTCGCTGCGATGTTTCAGCTCTGTGCAACTCAGAGGATGGGAGAAAGAAACCTACTAAACGACCAATTGTAATTCGCTGTTGTCATACCCAGTTGCATTGTTAGTCGTTGTGGTTTTGAGAAGAGAGTAGGTCATCGTGATGGCAGTCTGTTTAACTCGCTCCATTCTTTCTCTGGTGGCTCGCAAACTACTCGTGTCAGCTTCTCCTGACCGCAAGTGAACAGAGAGCTAGTTACCTAAAGTGTCCTTGAGCGAGTACGAAGCAACCCAGCGCGGCCACTAAACCCTCCGCAAAGACAACATATCGTGAATTCAATGCCCTTCTATTCGGCGGCTTTGCTTTATTTGGGACGCCGTCAAGGCCGGGGAGTTCGCCACCGCACTTGAGCCCAAGGCGCGTATGGAAGAGGGAAATGATGAGACACATGATGATAAATGGAATCAAACGCCACAAGAACGAAGTCGTCAGGGATCTGTTTTGGATTTTGTATCCAATTGAGCTGCAGTTGCCTGGATTCCGAATCTTGCGGTCGATTCTTGACCCGAACAGGAAATGAATGATGTTTTTGGAGCGTTTTGGCCTTGCGTGGAAGGCCCAAGAAGGCCCTCCCTCCTCCAGGTCAGTCTCCTCCTCGTGGGCGGACCACGGGGGGATTTCTTGTATTTGGCCGAGAAACGGTACCCGGAACCGGGCGCGAGGAGATATCGTGTTGATAATGGGGGTGAAAAAGTTGTCATTGCGCGGCGGGTGGACTGGGGAGGGGGCTCTGTTGTAAAGATCGAGGTTGATGGAGCTGTTGCGCGCGGGGCTATCGGTTGCGGCTCTGCGGTGTGTCACGGAAGACCATGGCAGATCATTGTAGGATGGGAATATGCCTGAGTAGGTTCTGAGAATGGCCTGCCTGTCTCGGCCGTTGAAGGACATTGTCAGGGCGGTTTCGGAGCAGTTGGGGAGACAAGTTGCGATGCGAGGGCGTAAGGGAAAGTGTGGTGGTGTTGTTGAGTGGTGATTGACGGGAACTTTCTTGGAGAAACGTACAATAAGAAGAAGCACTTGCCACTTGCTCTTTGACTGTGTTGTTGATTCCTTCCTCTGAAGCCGATCCCTTGCCTCTTATTTGACGTCGCATCTGGCCTCCTCCAACAGCACTGTCGACACTTCACAATTGTCATTCAACCAAGCCTTCGGAGCAGATGATTAACTTTTCGCTATCTCATTAAAATCTTCATTATACATGTATATTCATCCTCATGCAAAGGAAACATCCTTGCCAGTCTTGGCACTCTCCAACAGACCCTCCAGCAACTGCAGCACGTCGCGCGCCTGGCTGGCCTTGACGGGCACATCCTCCTCCTTGCCGCTCTCGATGGCCTTGGCGAGCTCGGCGTAGAAGGCCTTGTAGGTCTGGGGCTCGAAGAGAGGCGCAGCGGCCGCCTTGGGGACGCCATCGTCGCCGACCAGCGTCAGCTTCAAGTTCTTGGGGTCGTCCTTGCCGAAGCCAGCGTCGGTAGCCTTCCAGCCGGCCTGGAGCTGCTCCTCCTGGGGATCGAGGCCCCATTTCTGGAAGCTGCCCTTGGTGCCGCGCACCCAGAACCGCGGCTGGACGACCTCGGCGCTCATGATGCTGATGCGGACGTGGACCAGGAGGCCGGGATAGGTCAGCTCGGCGGTGACGCCGTCCGGGTTGACAAAGTCGTAGGTTCCCTCGCGCTGGTTGAGGGTACGGCCGTGGATCGACTGCGGCATGCCGAAGAGCGTGTAGACCTGGTCGATCAGGTGGGTGCCGAGATCGAAGAGCGCGCTGCCGCCCTGGGCAATGGTCAAGTCGTTCTTCCAGTTGGTCGAGGCCTGGGGCTTGTAGCGCTCAAAGTGGGTGTTGAACTCGACGACGCGGCCCAGCGCGCCGGTCGACACGAGGTGCTTCACGGTGAGGAAGTCGGAGTCCCATCGTCGGTTCTGGTAGACGCAGATGAGGCGGCTGTTCTCCTTGGCAATGGCGATGAGCTTGTCGGCCTCGGCGGACGTGGGCACAAACGGCTTCTCGGTCAAGACGTGCTTGCCAGACTCCAGAGCGGCCTTGGTCAACTCGAAGTGGTTGTCGGGAGGAGTGCCGATGACGACGAGGTCGACGCTGGGGTCGGCAAACAGAGCCTTGTAGTCGGTGTAGTGCTTGAGGTCGGGGTAATCATTGGGCGCCGAGTTGCCCTCCTTGGGAGATCGCTGGACGATGCTGTAGAGCTTGAATTGGGGCGTCTGGGTGATGAAGGGGATGTGGAAGATTTTGGCGGAAGCGCTGGGTTTTTAGGTTAGTGATGCGATTCGCGAGTCGAGGGTTACTTACCCATATCCGACAATTCCCACGTTGAAAGTCTTGCCGGCCATTTTGGTAGATTGCGCAGGTTGGAAGGTTAGGGATGAGATGAGATGAGATCCTGAGCGAGCTGGAATCACTTCCTCACACCTCCACGGCGCGGCGCGGAGTTATTATATAGGTAGTGCCCTCGCGCTGGGACAGCTTCACCACCCCTCCACGACCCCTCCACGCGACTATTCCGTCATGAGTGGGGGAACATCCCCACGGGCTTCTCGCCGGAAGACTGCCTATCGTGGCCGTTGGCGAATCAAGCCGTCACGCAGGCGCCACGATTGCTCGACTGCTCCATGATGGGGCTCTGCCGCGGACCCGAGAGGTGGATTCCGCCGAGAAAGAGACGACGGAGATGCCATTTTGGTCGCCGCCAATCTTGACCCTGTGCTAGAAGCTCATGAGGCTGCCAAGCTGCGTGCTTCGTCTCCGCACGCCATGCACGCTATTAAACGCGCCCTCGGTTTCAGCGGAAATACTTGCACCGTCTAGCGGATAGACTTGCCCTGCGCGAAGTCGAGCATCAGCTGAACGCATGGGAATTGCAATATGCGTCCCTCTTCTCCGCACCATCTCGTCACGCCGGCTGTGCGGGGCCGGTTCGCGCCCGCTCGGTTCCCGGCGAAAATCTCCGCATTCATAGCGTGCGAGTGGGCGGCCTTCCCCAGAATGAGTGTCCGAACCATCTCCGAAGGGGTTTGGGATGGCTTCGGTGTGAAGAGCACGGCGTGTGCTACGGTTTCGAAGAGGAATCGTCGGTTCGAAGCTCTGCTTGTGAATCATTCCACTTGTCTCGCGCTTCGCACTTTACCCCGCGACCCGAGATGTAGATCGGCCCTGTCTAAAAGTCCGGCTGTAATTCAAAAGCATCACAACAGACGGGGTTTTCAGTAGACTCTTATAGCAATATACCCCCTTTTACAGACTTGATAAATCACTTGAAATCATAAAGAATCACAGACTCTGACTTATACATCAAACCCACCGTAGCCATGGCATCAACAGACCCCACTCCACTCACCGTATACCGTGGCTCCGCAAAGACGGGCGTATACGTCTGGTCTCCCTTCGTCATCAAGCTCGAGGCTCGGCTGCGATTCGACGGCATCCCATACAAAGTCGGCCAAGGCTCTCCCATGTCGGCGCCGCGCGGCAAGATCCCGTACATCGAGCTCGGGGCCGCCGGCGAGCAACTGGGCGACTCGGCATTCATCATCCGCAGGCTCGTCGACGAGGGCGTCGTCGCCGACCTCAACGCCGGCGTCCCGCCCGTCCAGCGAGCCCGCGACTTGGCGATCCGCGCGCTGGTGGAGGACAAGGTGTACTTTTACGCCACGCGCGAGAAGTGGTGCGACAACTACGCCGTCATGCGCGCGGGCGCCCTGGCCGCAATCCCCTGGCCGCTCCAGTGGCTGGTCGGCCTGCTTGCGCAGCGCAGTATCGCGAGGACGCTCTACGGCCAGGGCGCCGGGCGGTTCGCCGACGACCAAGTCGCGACGCTGAACGAGGAGGTCTGGGAGAGCGTCGCCGCGCTGCTGACCGATGCCAACAGGGCTAGCTCCGGCGCGCCGGGTCCCTTTTGGGTGCTCGGCGGCGGAGGTCCCACGGAGGCGGACGCGTCGCTGTTTGGCTTCGTGGCCACGGCGTTGGTCTGCGATGCGTAAGTGCTTCCGCGAAGCCTTCTAGAATCCAAGATTGACGTGATATATATCCTAGAGCACCCACGACTGCCAAGATTGTGAGGTCGTATCCCGTGGTTATCGATTATGCGGACCGGATCCACCGCAAGTATTTCCCCGATTACGAGAAATGGGAATAAGGTCGGGTCGGTGCGTTCTTGCGTGCCTTTCTTGGCGTTCGGTTCAGCGGGATATAGATACGGGGAATCCTAAAATGCGAGCTGGGAATGAATGTGGGATATATGACCAGACATGTCACGAAGTTGTGAGTTGTCTTTGAGCATATTTGAGGATATCATGGTGGGTTAACGACGGAGACACACAACGTAGCGGGTAGTTTCGATCGAGGTTTCTGTTACCAAAAGATTAGCAAATACCCCAGTTTCGTGAATAGATCCAGTTCGAACCGACCAGTTGATTAGACATGTTGCGGTGGAAGCCTGTGCAAGTCGAGAACCTCACATGGTGGATTTGAGCCGGCCATGCACTCGTGTAACTCTGAACTTTCAAACTCAACAAACGCATAAACTTGTGGCGAGTAGGATCGCGAGATCCAGTTACATCCAGAGCTTGATATAGCAAATTCAAAAGCGAACCTGTGCAGAACTTGGCTGACGGGAGTGTTGGAAGCATACACTTCGCAAGCCGCCTCTCTGATCGATAAGTCGTGTCTCGCAGTTGTGGTATAATGGCTCTCGACTAAACCACTCACCTAAACGTCAAGCCAGTTCTCAAAATCATTAGCATACGAACACCCCAAACCCGAGTGTTTGAAAAAGAGAAGTTCAGAAACCGCGGCCGAAATTCCACCTTGGTGGGCGTCTCGGTCTCACATGGCTCGACCTTCAACCAGGCAGGCTACGACGCAGACACCTCCGCATTTCCCAGCCCCCTTCCGTCCGTGTGGCTCCCTTATGCTTGTCCTCCCCGAAGTAGCGCTTAGATGACAGGTTCAGATCGCCAAACCGAAGATGGACATGTGGTCCCCCACATGTCCGCAAGTCCATGTGTCCTAGCCCAACCTCGGCCGACATGGAACGCAGGAACGCCATGTATACGCTCAATCTCCGGGCGTGCATTGCAGATCTGTCGAATCAAGCCGCAAACCCAAGTGTAGGATAAAAGAGCTCACATCAATTTGCAGAAAAGGGGCGCAGAAACAGCGTACGAGAACGCGCATCGACATGGGGGGTGTGGTGGTGTCAACGGCGTAGCCGCCTGGGAACCGGTTGGGTTGCATGCAGCGCTACGATCGGATTGCATCAGGAGGGAAAATCTAGGCCGTGGCCCGGGAACAAATAGATCTGCTAATCAAGCCTTCTCTTAATTTCTCGTCGTCATCTCCTTTGGGCGTCGGGCGTATGCGTCGTCGGGAGAGCCAGCCAGCGCTCCGGCACTCTAAGGGACCCCCCCCTGAGAGGCTGCGATGCAACGTGCCCAATGGAGAGCTCGGTCTTTGCAAGCTCTGGATTTAGAATACCCGCCCGTGGTGACTCTTCTAGTTCCAGGGGTACTGGCTTGAGGTGGAATCCGTGTGCGTCGCATCCGCGTTGGCGCACTCCATCGCCACCGCACCACCCAGAACTGCACGCACACTCTCGCACAAACAGGTCGAAGGGGTGCCGCGATCCACTGCATTATGCATAAGGCATGCGCCGTTGCTCGATTGTTTTACGAAGCTCTGGAGATGCACAAAGTCGGCGGGCAACCACTTGCAGCTGCGTTGCCGTCACCACCACGGCCCGAGCTGATCGGGGCGAGACGCACAGCGGGCATTGGGCATTTGAGATCAGGCAATGGCTGGCTGGGATCGACGTAGGGTAGTTTTGTCTGCTTTTTCCCTGTGGCCAATACGAGCAGGGAGGCGAGGATGCTGCTCTTTTGTTAGTTACACAAAGGCCGCGTACTCGCCACAGTTACTGAAGCAATGGACGTCGACTGTTGGTGATGGATGCAACGTCGGCCGTCTCAACTCCAAACAACCTGTTTCCGCGATGAAAGGGACGAGTTAATCTCGCGTCCGGTTCTTCCACTGGACCTGATGGGTCGGTAATTAGCATCCATCTCCAGAAATCGTCAATCAGCCCACCCTCCACTCCGACAGCGTCCATTCGTGTATCCCCAACTCGGACACGGCCATCAAATCGCCCAGGCCGTCGCGCTGCAAAGAATCCCTGGGATCCAACCCCGCCGCACCCTAGCCTGCGATCAACCGGCAACGGGCGACCGGGGGGGGCGTCGGATTTTTCATGTGCGCGCCCTTCTTCACAAGCAACGGCCAGCAGAGAGCCTCGGCGTGGCGCACGGAGGAGGCGCTCGACGAGGAGAGCTAGGGCAAAACCGAGTCTCGGGCGTGTCGTCAGAGGCTCGATTCGCTCGATGGGCTACTCTCCAACAGCAAAAGAACGGCCTGGGGGCTGGGATCCGAACGAGGCTTGCTCCTCTCAACCCCCCGGCCACAACGCGCAGGGGGGGTCTCCGGATTGGAATCATTGGCTTCTAGGCCGTCCGCCTGCGGCACAGGGGACCACTGCGGGACAAGTACAAGTATCTGCGGGGGAAATGAACGCCATCGACCGACTAGGGCGCAGAGTTGGTTACCCCGGACGGACCGGACGCCCGATCTGGGGAGGTTGTGCCGGGCCTTGCAGAGTTGCGTCGTGTTAGTTGCAGGATTTTTTGTCATGGGAATTGGGGAACTGGAAACGGAACGGGGAGAACAGCCAAACCAAGGCAGGCGTGTGTATGTCCTGGCCGAGGGCGTGAATAGTAAGTAAGTAAGTAGCAGCGTCATTTCTCGCCCTGGCCGACACACCTGATGCTGATGGAACGCCATGACGACGATGCTTCTTCCGCTGTTCCCAGTAATTCCCCTCCCGCAACACCAACCCGCGATCAGCGCCCTCCGCCTCTCGTTCCTGCGTCGTGCGTCCCTGGCGCTCCCGTCGCCCGAGTTTCGAGATGGCTGCCATTCCGCCGCCTCAGCTCGACCCGTCAATCGTCAATTACGAAGTCGGCCCAGTCCCTGGACGGCCTGTTTCGATGCTATTCCTATTCTCGGCCGCTGCGGGTCATCGGCCTCGGGAACCTTGGCGGGCGACGAGCAAGCAAGGCCCGTCGCGCCCCTGTCGTTTGACATGTGACCGGTTTGTTGGCCCGTCGAAGGATTCTCTCTCTCGAGCGTTTACCAATCCAAAAATGCTTTCCCAACTGCTTCAATGCCCTGAGCAATGTGCCGCGTGAACTGCTTGGTATTGCAAAGCGGACTGTTGGAGGCTTGGCCCTCAACCCCAGGTTTCGGCACAGACTTGCAAGTCCTTACGGGGCAAATCGAGCCACTTTTCCTGGGCGGAAAATCGGTGGGTTCATCGGGGGGCAAGATCCGCAAGAAGGACATGGACGGGGAAGAGAGTGGATCAATCTCTCTCTCTCTCTCTCTTTGCTACGAATCTTGGTCTTTCGTCCTGGCTCCGGGCTCGTCATCGACAATACAATACGTCCTTTCAATGCAGCTCGCCCCAGGCCTAGTCGTGCAAATCTCCAGTCGCCGAGATTAACTCAGGCTTCATTTCTGGATCCAGCAGCTTCTGGATCCAGCAGCTTCTAAATCCAGCAAGCCGTCCTCTTCACATGTTCCCCGTTGGCTGCTTGCTGTCCCCCTCTCATCTCTACGATACCCCCCGGGGCGTTGGTGCGGTGTCGCCCCGTCGATCTGCTCGGCCGTGTGGTTCGAATGCGGAAGTCCAGCCGGCCGAGAACAGAAACCGACTGCTCGAATGGAGCAGCCTAGTTCTCCGCGAAATACGTCTTCCCCAGGTTGCATCCCCAGGCCGGAGTGGAGTGGGTTGTCCTCCGCCGCTTGTAACCACACCACCCCTGAATTGAACTCCCCCATCATCACCAGCCTGTACCATGTGGAGTTTTTTTTACGCTTCAGGGCTTGCGGTTCCTTTGTTAACACCCCCAGGCCGGGTTCCTTGCGACTAGCAACGTCCTTTCGGCCCTGTTGTCCCCATTCGCCTCCATCCCGGTGCCTCCTCCTCATGCAGGACCCGGCTCATCGCCTTGGAACCCGGCCATCCATACCATCACCACAGAGAGTGCATGCGGTGGCCCTCGCGTGGCATGGCAGGAAATGGTACGGCCAGACTCTGAATGGTAGAATCATGGCTGGTCCGGGCAGATCGTCCCGCCGTCAGTGTCCATAGTCGTCCTCCTAGTGCCATCACACATACAAAAGGGCACCCTCCATCCGCCTCATTCGACTTCTTTTCCCTCCCTCCTCATCCACTCGCTCACCGGACCAGCTTCACTCGTTGTCTACTTCAACCCTCAGCAACCTCAGCACTCCTCAATCACCAGCTTCATCTTAAGCCAAAAGCCTTTCAACCACCTTCAAAATGAAGTACGCTTTCGTTGCCCTTGCCCTCGCCGCCGCCGCGCGTGCCCAGTCCCGAAGTGACATTCCCTCGTGTGCCATCGACTGCCTGGACTCGGCCATCACCAGCGAGACCAGCTGCTCGACCACCGACTACACCTGCGTCTGCAAGAACTTCGACTCCATCCAGGGCAGTGCTACCGGCTGTGTCATCAAGGCTTGCGGTGCCGACGTCGCCGTCAGTAAGTTTTCACCTCACTCTCTGCTTCCATTGGGCCTCATATCCCGGTGGTGTTTTCACTTATACGATGCTAACTGAACTACCCAGACGAGGTCCTCCCCGCCGTCGAGGCTCTTTGCGCTGCTGTCGCAAGCGGCGGCAGCGAGACCACCGCCGCTGCTGAGACTACCGCCGCTGCCGCGACCACCTCTGCCGCTGCCGTGACCACCTCTGCTGCTGCCGTGACCACCTCTGCTGCTGCTGAGACCACTTCTGCCGCTGTCGAGACCACCTCTGCCGCTGCTGAGACCACCGCCGCTGCTGAGACCACCACCGTCGTCACCAAGCCCGCCACCTCCCCCAACGCCACCGTGAGCACCTCCCAGCCCTCGAACACCGCCACCGTTGTTACCGGCGGCGCTGCTGCCCTCGGCTCCATTGGCGGCCTGGCCATGCTTGTTCTCGGTGCCCTTGCTCTGTAAAGAGCTTGATCACTACTGAGCTCTCTTTGGGGGTTGTCCTCATCCAAGGCCTCACCCTGATGGAATGACAAAGTTACGGGTTTCTTTCCGTGGGCTGTGATACATGTCAAGATAGTTACGGTTCACGAGGCGGCTTTCGCTGTGCTGAATTGTTGGGTTGGATTGATGTCCTCTGGACGTGTAATTTAATACAACTAGGATCTGGGTAATATTAATGGTGTCTGCCGATCGGCAGCGATTGGATTACATACAAAAGTGAATTTGCCACTGCCGAAATGTGAAATGTGCCTTTCTCTCATCTCATTCGCTTGACAGGTTGTCGCAACCGCCGACGAAGCCGTGGCACACCGGGATTCGCACGTCGTCTTTCAGCTCACATGGAGATCAACGTGACACTAAAACTGACGCGGCGTGGCTGTCAAAACCAGCAAATAAACGCCTAGTGTCACAAGCTCAAGGCCGGCTTCTCCGACTGGTAGTGCCTCGGAATTGCTGGGAGGGCGCCAAGAACCGGATTAAGCATCTCACTAGCAGCTCGTGTTTGACTTACATTAGACTTCTGGGGGGATTTCTGTCAAGGTTTTCAGGTCGGCAGAAGATCGATTGGAGAACCATACAAATACCAGTATTGCCACTCTTGCCAAGGTCAGGTGGTGGCTTGTCTCGGATGATGGGCAATCGTTATGTGGTTGGCGAATTCACAAGGCCGAACAAGTTGGCCATTACGAGCATCGAAGTTTACTTTTGCCCATTCCCGCTACTGGTTATACCCGTTTTAGCCCCCAATTGCCTTGGATTTCACTTACTTTCCCTACCTCGGCTTAGTAAATATGGAACTATTGCCATCCCGCCCATCGACATGATGACGTTGAATCAGCCCGACGTGCGGGGTTTAGAAGCAGGGCACTCGGCCGATGTCACCCACAAGAGCGCAGCGACTAACCGATCACCTTGGATACGAGGGGTGTGGTACACCAAGACCGGTTACGACTGGGAGTGAATTAATCGTGTGTTCGTCGGATGGCTCAATTACGTATATTGGTTGGCTGTCCACGTATTCCAGCATCCAACATACGACAGTATGACCAAAGTAGTTCAATACAAGACTCTAAACTCGTATTCATGATATATATTAACAGTGATATTCTTCTGTGACGAGTTGATGTCCAAACTCATCTAATTGTGTATCCAAACCAGTCTGCCGATTACTTACCCTATAGCTCGGCAATGGGCGGAAGTAGCCAAACCAGCTGTTTCTTCACACCTTCTCCTGTCCTTCACTGAAGCCTTCGTCGATTTCCTTGATCCAATCATGCACACTCTCTGCCATCGAAAAACTCGAAGCTTCGACGTTGTCAGCGTACACTCACTCACGAATCGTCATCAACAAACTTACCAACTTTGGTGCAAAACGCGTGTGGGATATCTCCCTCGGCCACCAATATCTTAGTCCTGCCTCCCCTTTCCCCATGTTCCCTCCGCCGCTCAATCAACTCATCCCTCGCCCAGTTCGCAACCCAATGGTCCTCGCGCCCATAAAACAAGAAGAACTTGGGCGTCGTCTGGGCGTCGTCATCGTCGTCGTCCTGTTCCGCCACTTCCCACAGCTCCTCTCCCCAGCGCTCCTCGCGGATCATCTCCAACTCTGACAGGCCAAGATGAATGGCCTGATGCACACCGTCGCGGCTCTTGAGCCACCGCGCCGTGACTTCCGCGGTCAGTGGTGTGAAGCCCATGATCTTGTTGACTATCCACGTCAGAGTATCCTTCGTGAAGACACTGAGGATGAGCCGGGCACCAATGTGCGCGACATTGTCGAGGATAGGTAGGACCCGGCGCACCGACTCGACCCTCGTGCCGCTGGGGGACCGGCCGATGTGCGTGAGCGTTGGGAAGAGCAGGAAGCCGTACTTGAGATTGAGGTGCGGCGCTCGGTCTGGCGACTTCATGTGCCGATGGAAGATCTCGACTGAAATGAAGCTGCCAACGGAATGTCCCATCAAAGCCACAAAGTCGTAGGGCTTCCCGGCTGTCCCGTCACCCAGTCGCACTCGCTTCGCCGCGACGTCATCGTAAATGCCCTCAATCTGGCCGTCTAGATCCCACGGCTCATTGCCCTCCCCAAACGGCTCATGGTCATCGTCACTAAAACCTAGGAGATTCCTGCCATAAATGTCGTACGCAGTCTCGACCTCAGACTTTTGCAGAAATCCGCGGAGATTGGTGAGGAAATCTGTATAGTACTCCACGAGGCCGGGGTTACCGCACACAAAGTAGACGAGGGCATGCCGCTTGACGCCCTTTTCTGTATCCGATGGGAGCCATATTTCCGGATACATCGTCAAGCCTCCTATTGAGCACGACAATTCGGTTCCGAGGTAAGTAAGCTGTGCAGTTTGGAGTCTGATCGAAGACGCCAGCGTTGCGTTAAACTATGAATCTGCGATAAGATTACGTGGTACCAAGCACAGTGCGACATTACCAGATTATGGTCTCTTTGTGTAGAATGTCCGAATTTGGCAACAAATTCACGTCAATTGATTCACTTTTAGTGAGCAACATTTCAGTTTATCCAATTATTGATTAATACCGCCAATGCACATTAGAATCCTTCTTGTTTTGACAATCACTGCTACTGTGAATTGGTAAAGTGGAACGCTCTAGGTATCGTCGGATATTACTGTTCAGCACCCACACTGTGTTACCCTATTGACTTCAGATGCTGCGCAGACGCAGCTTATTGAACACCATTACCGTTAGATAGGGTGCATCTGCCGAGGACCTATTACCATAATTTGACACCTCAAACTCTTGATGCTTTGAGTGATAAAGTATGCGAGACTCATTGAATAGCCAAACACAACTGTTTATGCACCACCACTCATATCAAATCAATGTTAATTAAACTACTGCTTGGTCTCATCGTCTTCACTCTTCATCTCGCTCTGCCGTCGGCTACTGTCGGCTCCACCGACTTCCAGCCTTCAAACATCACAAGTAGGTTCATCTGCGGGCGAAAACTCACACGTTCCCAGCAACTGTCGCTGCTCATGACCTTTCCCACATCCTCACATTAAGCCCCCTAATGGAAGCCATACATCGAAGCGCATGCTAGACAACTTGCTCCGTGTCGTCATTCTAGACACGCATTCGAATGTTGTGCGTTGATGTGTCCATCACCCATTCATCCTTCATTCAGACTTGCAACGTAAACGTTTTGCGCACTTCAACAAGGCCAACGTTCTTCTTAGTAACAGTAGCCCACGTAGGCATGTACTTGGCCAATTCATCGAATGCTGGAATTGACCCTGGTGTATTGGCATCACTCCAGGCACACGAGACTCGAACACCCCACGGAGTAGCTCGCGGCACCAGCCCAGATGGCCCCGCCACTGATCGGGCCTTCAAATCTCCATCCCCGAGCACCTCCGAGTCTTGAACTTCCTCTGGAGCTTCTGAGTTGTCAGCGTCTGTCACGATTGAGTCGGCGCTGCCCCTTGTGTTTAAAGTTATGTTCCATGGCAGGGCTCGGTTTCGGCGCCACAGCTGAATGTCTTGAAGTCCATCTGTGGCGGGATTCCCGAACCGTGGATCTTTCGACGGTGCACCATCTACGGCAAAACCCTGGAAAGGTTCTGACGTTGTGATGTAGCAAATTCTCGTGTCAAGAGCGTCGACTTGAAACCGCGCAGTGCCAGGTGCAGTAGCTGGCAGGGGCTTGAAAGTGATCAGCTCCTCAATGCTCTTGCCCTCGACTAGGTTGGGGGGCAGAGCTGATGCATCATAACGGCAGTCCTGAAGCGCTCGGTCCGGGGTTGGCCCGCAGTCGATTTCTTGGCTGGATGCAACTGGAAGTGCCTTAATGACATCTCGGGAGAATTCCTCTAGCCCGCTGATCGTGACAATGTTGGTTCCGCTATCAAGATCTAAGACTTGTTGAAAATAGAACTTGAAACGGTGACTGTCTGAGAACGGGAAGGCAGCAAGGTTGTATATGAAGGTACCGATAAAAACACACAAGAGAAACATTGGAACATGATGTGTAATGCGGTGAATAAAGGGTGTGATTGGGAGTAGGAGGAGTATGCTCATTGAGCCCAAGGCAATCAAGGGCGTTGAAAGCGAACCGCCATCAGTGCCTGTCATTTGAAGAGCTGACATTGCAATGAGGCCCAAGTTCCCAAGAAGCATACAGGGAATTGGGGCCAGGAGAAGGAACTGGAGAATCCAGGTCCAAGAAGGAAGACGCCCAGACCACGACTGCTCATGGTCAAAAGGTTGGTATTGCCGCATTCTAGGCGGGGCAGGCGAGTTCTCGGCAACGGATCTTCTGTAGGTGTTCGCAAATGAGGTCTGAGTGTTGGACCCGTAACCCGGTTCACTAGCCCTAAGCGGCGTTCTCTCGGTTGGAGTCTCTGCTGAGCTGTCGGCGTCGTCGGTATTGGCGGTTTCGCTGTTCTCTCTAGCCCGGCCACGCTCGACAGCATGACTTGACACATCCCGTGCTTGGTGCGCATCGTGAAGTTGAAGGGCAAAGTCGTGTTTCCCGAGCAGGGCAAATTGCTCTAGTAAAGAAATGACCAGAGCAAGAAAGATGGAAGACTGAAGGAAGGCAAAACTGTAGAGGGCACCCATGTTCCAGCGGTCCTCTGCCACTGCTCCAAGCACCTGCACCGCCCAGCCGATGACGAAGAGCCAGAATATAACAAATCCGCGATGAAGAGCGCTGGGGCGAACGAAACTGGCCCCGCGCATGATCAACCAGAAGGAGAAATAGAAGAGAGACAGTGTCATAGAAAACCTGCAATGGATTAGCCGGTGGCAATGTATCTGTTCAGGGCTCAACTTACACTGCATATGAACTGCTGTAAATAATGAGGGGGTTGAACTTGGCTAGGAGGAAGACGGAGGCAATGGTTAGACCGGCAGCAAAGACAAATGCCAACGGAAAGCGGAAGAAGCCCTTCCAACCACCAAGTACAACCGGATCGTCGTTAATGTCGTGGTGCATCTTGATGTCTCTAGCAAAGAAATAATACTTGTCTTTCCGAATCAACAGGTAAGTGATGAGAACAAGGATCAGGGGTGTGGCAACGAGAAGGGTCAGTGACCAAGCAAACAACCCTCTAAGTGCGAATGCAGCCCAAGCACTGCCAAAGAGGTCAAACCAGACGCCCTGAACCTGCTTCCCGTTGTAGACCTTGTTGGGGTCATGGTCTGACCGAACGCCATTGAACTGGGTGCCGGTGATTTGGGAAAATTTCTCCGTTGAGGCGAGGGCGGCCGAAAGCATGTGCCAGATGCTGTTAACAGAGGTGTGTCGAGCGTCGTCTTGATCGGTATGGTACCGAGCCCGGGGGGAGTAGAACGCGATGTCTAATCCACGTTGCCCATACGAATCATCCCAAATCTCAAAGTCTGTTCCGCTTTTAATAACGCCCGCACTGAAGGCGTTAGCAGCGACAACAGAGCCGAAAGGGTGAGGGCTTCCCGAGTAAGCCTTGGCAGCCTCCAGGTCAGTGGTTCGGAAGAGAATGGCGCGACCACCAGCTCCAGCGCCCTCGAGATTGACGAATGTGTGAACAAACTGTAACAAGGGACTGTAGCCGAATGCCCGAGCTCCCAGAAGGCCATCCTCTTCAGCATTGTTGAACAGCAGGATGATGCCATTTGTTGGTTGATGGTCCTTGGAGGTAAAGTAGCTGAGAAGTTGAAGTAATGAGACACACCCCATGCCGTCATCGGTGGCTCCGTAGCCGGTGGAAACACTGGTGTTGTTGTGAGCGAGACAAATCATGACAGAGTCTAGTGACTTACGAATCAAAGTGGCAGTTCACAAGGACGCCGCCCGGACCGTGAAACGGCTTACTCGATGGGTTTTGCCACCAGTCACCCTCCGGATCGTTTTTTCCGTGGATGTAGATGTAAAAGTTGTTTCCTTCAAAGTACTGGCCTCCCCAAATCGGCTTGCCAAAGTTAGCACCTACTCTCTTGTAACTATTGTAGGTCCATGTGACGTTCGAAATTTGGTCGTCAAAGAGGGTAGCGCCAGGTGGCCGTGTTCCGGCGATGATCTCGTTCATGTCGCTGGGGTGGTTCAAACGAGTAGTCTCGAAACTAGCCATCCTTAAGAATCATCAGTCTTGGAATTGAGAGCTGCGAAGGCAGAAGGGAAACTAACTTCTCATGCCAAGCCACCCCACCGGATAGATCAGTCTTGTATGGCATGCCATTTCGATCAAGAATCTCCTTGGATCGCACCATGAGAAACTCGCGAACGTCGTCATTGTTGTGGCTGTTGTATGGGTGGAAGGCGTGGGTGATATTCTGCAGATCAAGGAAGGCCTCAGTCAAGTTGAGGCCGCGGTACAGGGAGCGATTCGTAGGAGCTGGAGGAACCGTTTCGTGGACGTAGATGAGCGGGATGGCAATTGCTAGGTAGATGGCGGTGGTCCAGAAAGACACCGGACCTGGCCGGAAAGCGAAGGGGTTTTGGCACCTCATGATGGGCCAAGGAAGGGTGAGAGCACACAATGTCAAGGCAGAAGAGGCAGAAAATATTGCCACGAGAGCAAAGAATGGAGGGGCGCAGCGTCGGGGCGGCGACGTGGAGTGTTGAGCTGCGGGAGAGAGGCTAATGTCTAACGGGTAATGGATGGAGCAGCAAGGCCATATCAGACTCCGTGGGAATGATGAGCAGCAAGAAGTAGCAAGATGAAGCTCCAGGTGGATGGAAATAAGCGAAGGCGATAATGGCGATGCCAATGCTGGTGGATGATGACGGATGACGGATGACGCACGAGAAGAGAGCGAGTAGGTCGGGTACGGAAGAAGAGAAGAGAGAGGTTGTCGCGAGTAGAAAGGGCAGACCGCAGCCAAGATGCGCTCCTCTAAGATGGCACCTTCTGTAGACTACTGCATGCTCTGGATCGTCTGGCACCTTCCTCACGACGGGCAGCGCAATGATGGAGGTTGGACGACGTCAACAGCGGAGGCACCCGCGACCCGCGTTTGACGGGTTGTGCATCCCCTCCCTTGTCACATGGCCCAAGCTCCCAGGTTCGGCCGAGAAAAGGCAGGCGCAAGCAGGCGCAGGCAAGAATGTGCGAAGTACGTATTCGCGCATTGGCGAGCCGTGCTGCAATTGCGAGGATCCAACATGAGCTGCATAGGTAACGTGCCGCATAATAAATCTCATGCATGCACATGGAATGGCGTGAGCCAGCAGGGGGCTATGCAGACAATTGGGAGGTCCAAATACTACGCGAGACATGATACATTACACATGGAAATAGACACGTAATTGACCAGATGCAAGTAAAAATCAGATAAATTTTCTTTCGCCTACGTGAGTAGTCTGCTGCTTTGCTTTCTCTCTCAGCCGAAATTGACTAGCTGTACATCAGTCGACTCCCTACCATTGACTCCGTCCGGATCGCTGTGCTGCGAGGTCAAGGCCTGAGTCAACTAAGGGTCAGTCGGCAAAGGTTAGGTGAACGTCCATTGTTATTTTCCTCCAAGAGGACTCCAGGAGGGAGTCTTGTATCTTCTTCTCAAAGGACAAAACCATTACCAAGGAAACCACTGCATTCGTGACGTATAACATGTTAGAGTTAGGTCAGAGTCCGGCCATCGTCTAGGCGCCGGGGGGAGGAGGAGGGGGAGGCTGGTCGCTCGGGGGAGGAGGAGGAGCCTCTCCAGAGGGCGGGGGCGGAGGCGGGACAGCGCCGGAATACTGCTGAATGAGAGCGTTGATGCCAAGACCCGGAGGAGGGGGAGCACCGCCAGGAGCCTGAGGGAGACCAGGAGGTGCACCCATTCCGGGAGCAGCACCGTAGCTGTTGTAGCCGGGATATCCAGGATACCCACCCTGAGTTCCGGGAGCCTGCTGCCAAGGAGCAGCACCGCCAGGAGCGCCGCCAGGAGCACCTCCGTAGGCCTGGCCGTAGTAGCTGTCGTCGCCACCACCACCGCCACCGTTGCTGTTATGGTGGTCCTGTCCACGGTTGCGGTCACGGGCCCAAGGCGCGGCGCCTGAGGATCCTCCTTCGTTAGATTCGTTACGAGAGCGCCAGGGCGCAGGTCCTCCAGTAGGGCCACGTTGCCAGGGCTTGGCATCTCCGTTGTTATAGGAGCCAGGTCCGGCCTCGATACGCGCGGGGGGTCCATCAGAACCACCGCCCAGTTCCTGCATGAGTTGCTGTTGGATTGTTAGCATCTTGAATCAATCATCATAGCAATGGGCATTCTTACCTCCATTTCACGGTCCACAGCATCACCGCCGCCGATACGACCAGCGGCGGGACGGCCGCCTGCGTCGTTGTTACGCCAGCTAGCACCCTTCTGGCGGTCGGGACAATCGCGGGCCATGTGGCCTGCGTTGCCACAGACGCGACAGATGATGCTGGCAGTGTAGTTCTGTCGCTCAGGGCAGTCGTACTTTCGGTGACCAATCTTACCACAGTTCTGACAAGCTTGGTTCTCGTCGTCTCGAAGGGTACCGTTGAGGGCGGCAAGTTCTCGAAGCTGGTTACGCTTGAGTTCGTTCTGGCCCTCGGGGATAGAAGCAGCCTGGGGATCGTTAGTGATTGTTGTGAGTGGAATTTGAGATGGAACTTACAGTCTCAATAATATTGTGAATGAGCTTCTTCGCCTTGTTGACCTTCTCCTCAGTGTCGGCCATGATCAAGCAGTGCAGATCCTCTTCCTGGTTGCTGGCATGAGCCGCGTCAGAACGACCCTTGCCCTCCTTGACGGAGCCCTTGCCACGAATGGCAATCTTGGCTCCTGAATCACCCTCCATCTTCTTCAAAGTATTGCCTCGGGGTCCGATAAGTAAACCAACTTTAGTAGGAGAGAGCTAAGTGTCAGTGTCTGATTCGCCAAGATTAGATGAACGGATGGAGGTCCATTTCGTTGAACGACCAGGTCTCTCAAAAACACCATGCGGCGCGGTAATGAGTCTGGCCAAACTTCAAAAAGGAAAGGAGTGGGGAGAGTTTGGTTATTAGGGTTAAAGGGTTAGCAATCATACTGAAGTTAATTTCCGGGTAGTCATTGACAGGTACGTAGACCTTCTCCTGCGTCTTGGTAGGTCTACGGTAGTCCTGGGGTGGGTGATAGTTAGGGATGGTCTTCATCGCCCTTTCGATTAGTTTGTGTCGTTCATCTTCGAGGCGCTTGCGGTATCGGTATTCGCGCGTGTTGATACGTCGACCGTGGTTGTCGTACTGGGGAGCGGGAGAAGGCGATCTGGACTTGGTCAGTGATGCGGGTTAGGGGTTGGGAGAGGACTGAAAACATACCGGTCGCCATCAGCGGGGACGACGTCGTCGATGCGGAGCTTCTGGCTGATCTCCTCGATACGCAAGTGCAGAGTGTATGCCTCCAGCTGCTCGCTAGTCATGTTGGACAAGATCGCGGTAGGCAGGCCCATTAGGCCGGCGGCCTTGTTCTCCGACGCGTCACCCCATCTGTTTCGCTTCTTTCGTCGTCGAGGACCATCGGCTTCACTTCGGGGCTCGGGGTCGCGCCCGCGCTTCAGATCACGGTCATCGACTTCGACGCGGCCGTCGTAATGATCACCATCATCTTGGTCGCCTCCAAAGCGGCGCTTGCCCAGGGGGATGTTGTTCGACCCCGTGGTGCCTTGGTTTCTCCACGACATCTTGGCTCTGAAGTGTGTTTTGGATAGCAACGAAAATGAATTAGATGCGATAGAAAGAAACGGAAAAAGCCTCTATGGAAAGAAGCCGGAGGAGATGTGGAAGTGATAGATGCGCAAGGTAGATTCTCAGGGTGGATTTCTCTGGTGTCTGCACGAAATCCAAAAATCGGCGGAATGTTATTCCGGCGCACTATTTGCCCCCTTCACCCCTCGCCCCATCATCAGGCAAAACTTGGTCATGATTGCTGACTGAACTGGAGAACCTTCGTCATGGGATGCAGTTGAATTCGAATTTTGCCTATACTGATTCCGGGTAATATGTGCAAATAGAACTGTCAATTTATGCGACATTGCCCATGAAGCCGAACAAACTAGACTTAAGCGCCATGGGGCAATTTCTCAGTGTCTCACAACCAACAAACATGGATGGCGAACCACGCAGAATCGCAAGACCATAAAAGCCCAGAATGTATATTCTATAATCTGTACCTGAAACCGGGTGTTTGCCAGTCCGTCGCGTCCTGGTCATGCAGCGATAAATGTACCCCTGCATCTGACGCAGTTCCAGGTCTTCCACCAATGTCACCATCAGCATGCTCTCGGCCAACCGCTCCTGCTGACCCTGCACTCCCTGAAAACCCCTCCTCTCGAGTCCTTTTCGCATTGAGAAGTTGGAGATGTACCCTCAAGATCAAAGCACAGGTGATTGCCAGGCTATAGCTTATCATTATCGTTTTGAAGGCAGTCTGGTACAGCGGGGCTTCATCCTTGCGGAAGAAGTGCGGTCCAGCCATGTTCCCGCTGCAATAAGCCAGGAACAGAATAGCTGTTATCGTCATTTTCTTGGTGACACCGCGGTAGTTGGACTGTACAAGTGCCATGTTGAGGGGCATCGCCGCAGATCCGCTCGAGAGGAGGAAGTAGGCAAAAAGGTGAACTCCATGAGGAACTTCGCTGCGGTTGTAAATGATGGCACTGCCAAGAAGACATGGCAAGATGACAGTGATGATCAAGAGACAATTTAGTGTGCGAAACCGGCCCGCGAGATAACCGCTCCCCGCAATGAAGGCCGCCGAGAGTAACGAGTACGGGATGTTGATGAGCGTGGACTGTAGGCTGGTGAATCCAAATGACTTGACGACAATGTTCGCAAAGCTCTGAGATCCGCCATTGGGTATCTGCGTCAACAGCTCAATGCCGAAGATGAGCCATGTCTTGGGATCTTTGAGGCACTCCTGGACTTGATCCCACTTCCAGTGAGCGTTCTCGGTGCTCCCGGTGCCAGCGGTAAGGGTCCGCTCAGTAGCAATCCGTCTCTCCTTGGGAGTCAGGAACTTGGCTTCCGAGATGGTATCTGGAAGGAAGAAGAACATCGGAATCGCCCAGAGGAAAGTTGCGATGCCCAGGATGAGGTACATCCACCGCCATGGACTAATGCTGCTATTGTCAAGGTGTCCAATCGCGAAGGCAAACAAACTCGCGACCAGTCCACCGACAGCGTTACCAGCGAACCAGATGCCAACTCGCGTGGGCATCTCGTCGCGGGTATACCAAGTCGAAGTTAGGAACATGAAGCCCGGCGTAATCGTCGCCTCCGCTATGCCTAACAGAAACCGCACCACCATGAGCCCTTCAAAGTTGTAACACGTGGCCGTGAGAGCGACAGCGGTGCCCCAGAACATGGTGTTGGCGGTCAGATACTTGCCAGTGGGAAGGCGGGCGATGAGGATGGTCGTAGGGTAAGTCCAAATCAGGTACCCGACGTAGAAGATGCTGCCGACCCAGCTGTATTGTTGGCCTTGGAGGTTCTGTCCCACGTGAGCTACATTGTGATGATTTGTTCATGCACGGAAAACCTACCGTGTCTTCGCGCAGCCCAAACACAGCAGCACTCGAGAGGATGATTTTATCCATGAAGTTGAACATGTATGTGACAAACAAGAGAGGGATGATGGTCCGGTCAATCTTCTTTAATACCAGCCGTCCTGCGAGGATGTCGGTTTTACTTCCCTGACGGTCGAGGCCTTGCCTGGTCGCGTCGTTGTGGCCACAGAGAAGCGGCTGGGACATGTCGTTTCCTTCTGCCTCTTCATTTCCCCTGAATATTTCATCTTCCATCACTATTCGACCATCCTGGTCATCGCCGCGAACCTGGGATGCGCCGCCGTTCATCTTGAATTCTCCAGAGCAACATGCTCCTTGAGGCCACGGTGAGCCTTCCCCGATAAGACCAAAGGTCTAGCAACAGGGGGTACTGGCAAGTGGTAGACAGGAATACGTGCCGCTCAACACAAAAGAATAAATGCTAGAAGACTGAAAGCCGCTCGCAAAGTGGAATGCCGATGAAGGGTTCAGATAAGTATGGCTGATGATGCTAGACTAAGATTACTGCTGAGGGCGCTAAATCCTAGCCGGGCGATTAGCTGCCCCTACTAACGGATCCACTAAATCTGCGTCAAGATCATCTCAATGAGACAGAACCCAACATCCGGCGATAAGAGTTTGACTCGAAAAATACCAACTAGACATCTACGAGCTCCTCTGTCGTAATCTAATATTATCTCCAACCATCTCCTCCAATTGATGGTCCTGGGAATTTGCAATCCCGCCCACGACGCCGTTCTCCGTCGGTGCGCTATCGTCTTTCTTGTCCAAACCGAGCCTCGCGGTTTCGTGCTCCTTGCTTAAATGATGCGCCCTGATGAAGAAACCAAGAAAAGCTCCGATTCCGGAAAATATGGTGTACTGCAAGGCATTAGTATAAGAATTTTCAAGGAAAGGGGGAAATTGGCAACTGACCATGATCCACATCCTGTCGAGAGACTGGAAGAATGCCTTCCTGACAATCAGTCGCGCGTCTGGTGGTAGTGTCTTAATAATATCGACGTGCGACGATGCACTTGCTCCGCTAAATAGACTCGCCATTTCGTGACCTAACCCATCAATGAGCATCTGCTTCTTGCCCTTGATCTCGTTCTGGAACAGAACTCCTCCAATGACGACGGAGATGGCAGTAGATAGAGTCCTGACGAAGCTCATGGCTGTGGTAGCAGCGGCAACGTCTTGTGTTGGTACCACCGTCTGGACCGCAAGAAGCGGACCCTCGAAGTTCATACCCACCCCAATACCACTGACGACCTGGAAAGCGATCAGCTTTGCCCAGTTCCTGTCCAAGTCGATGTCGATAAAAAGACCAATGCCGAGAGTCATAATGATCAAACCGCAGTGAACTGCAGGTAGATATTTGCCTGTTAGTTGGATGTAAACCCCAGTTATCGCAGCAGTAATTGTGATTGACAGAATAAAAGGCAGTAGGTAAGCCCCAGACCGAAGAGGGCTTGCCAAGAGGACGGCTTGGAAATATAGCGGCAGGTAGTACGCAACTCCCATGAAGACATATGCGTGAAAAAAGCAAACTGCATACGCTGCGGCTGAAGACCAAGAGTGGAAGAGGTGAACTGGAATCACAGGATACTCTGCCACCTTCCATTCATTGAGCACGAACAGGCCCCCGGTTATGATGCCGAACACGATCAGGCAGACGACGGTTGCTGAGTTCCACGGCTCGTAGACGCCACCCAAGTAGAGGCCGAGCAGTAGCATCAGAGTTCCACCAATGATAAGAAAGCCCCCAGGCCAGTCGATAGCCTTCAAACCTGCCCAGATAGGAGTTTGAGGCGATGGAAGCTTCAGTGTGAAAATGAGGACGAGAAAGACGGCCGCAGTAATCGGCACTAGAAGAAGCGGAGTTAGTGGTTTGAGCTGAGGTTGAAGAGAGTGGGACACACGGTTTATCCAAAAACACCATCTCCAGCTGTTTGAAAAATGAGCTTTTGTCTTCAAAGGTGAGGAGTTCACTAGAACTTACCTCGCTTGATCCGTCAACGCACCACCCAACACCGGCCCGACGCCCGACGCCACTGCCCAGACAATAGATGTCAATCCGTAGTAGAGTCCACGATCTCTCTGCGAGAACATATCACTAATACAGATGTTCACCATTGTCCCCATCCCGGCGGCACCAAGCCCTTGCACCGCCCTGCCAGCGATAAAGGCGCTAAGATCATTCACCAAGGCACAGATCAGGCTTCCAGCAAAGAATATGGCGTTTGCAATCAAGAGAATAGGTTTTCGGCCCCAGATGTCCGAAAACTTGCCCCAGGATGGTGTGCTGGCTGTGTGTGCCAAGACGTATGAGGTGCCGATCCAGGTGTAGCCAGAATCAGAAGCAAAGTGAGCGGCAATAGTTGGAAGAGCGGTGGATACAATGGTGATTTCGAGCGCAGAAAGAAAGACACAAGCGCATAGTGAGGCCATGACTGTGGCGATCTGTGCCTTTGATCTCTTTGATCTAGGTGGTGATGAAACGGAGTCATCGGGTGAGTCGGTGATGACATCGTTGCCACTGCCGTTGGAGTTTTGAATATCGGGATCTAGGGCTTGGGAGAGACTTGGGTCTCCTGCTTCATCCCTCGATGTGGTTTCAACTTTAGGTGCTTCTTGACTTGGCCTGTAGGCGACTTCGACGGTTGTATGTGACATGGCGGTATGATGAGCCGATGGGTTGCTACGGCTAGAGAACCGGAGTATTTGACGCAAACTGTGAAAACCTTTGACGAAGAATAATAAATAGAAGGGAAAAAAAAGCAGCTTGGGTTTTCTTGCTGTTGGAATCTTGGACACCGTATTATATATGCTGATGGTGTGCTCCTGATGACGGGACCCACCAGCTTGTTGGCTATGTGAATGCGATCGGATTCACCATCGGATCGGACCCATGTCGTAATGTGGCGTGCCCAATGCTCCGCGTGAGCGATGGATGAACCAAATCTCCGCAAAGCTCAGTCTTACAGGTCGCCTCGTAAGTCTTCCAGACCTTTTCCAAAATTCGGCATTTCCACTTTTGGGTGGAATTCCCTTGTTTTCTTGAGTTCGTGAAGGTTTGGACCGAAGCGCTCTAGACCGCACTCAACCGCAATACTACTACCATGAACAGAATCAAACATCCTCAACACTGCTGACTCGTGTATTGTATCGTATTTGCTACTGTGAATTACCTAGGATACAGATTTGTGCTTAAAAAAAGGTAAGTTTATGTATTGCATTGCACTCGTGGTAGAATCATGGAATGCTGAACGACGTAGAACTTCTGCCTCCCAGTGTTTGACTGTATTATCTTTAAATCTGCTCCCCCATAGCCTTGATACTAATCCTCAGCTCATAAAGTGTGCGGCCCAGTCCCTTAGTACGACTAATGTTAGCCGTCAAACCGAGCATGACACCGCAGTGGTTTATGACATTTGGTAGCCCATCTTTGACGTAGCGTTCGTCGCAAGATTCTGGAAATAACGTCTTTTGGGGGAATTTTTTCGAGTTTCTTTGGGAGATGAGAAATTGCCCAAAAGGTGGTTTGCAGAGTTGTTTGCGGAATGCCTCCATTTTGTGTTGAACCGTTCTAGGAGAAATGTCATCCTCTTCCACATGGCGTCTGGGAAAAAGCACTTTCTTTGTGGCGTAACCCATCTCCTTCATCAATGCGTGCATATAAAAAACACGGCACCAAAGCCGCTCCTCGTTTGTTGCGCGATCGTCACGATGTGTGCCCCAGATAATCACAGCGGAAACCTGGTGCGACGGTTGACCGTTCCATTCAGAATGAAAGTTGACAAAGTGAGCGCCGCCCAAAAATCTGTTCGAACCGTGTTCGCAACGCTCAAACCTCCATGGAGCCGAGAGTTCTGTTGTACGCGCTGAGTACTGGTTGAGGGGAGGGTGGCTCCTACCACTATCGGTCTCAAAGTGAACGCTTTCATCCAAATCAGTGATCAAATATAGTGGTCCAGTTGTAGGCTCTTCGTATGAATTGGATGGCATCTTCACAGCGTTGATAGGGCCATGCTTGAGGAGAATTTTGACATCCTTCCTAATTGCCTTGTCAAGGGAATAGATGACTAGACATGGCTTCAATAATTGAGTCATCAGAATTGAGGAACTCAGTACCTACAACCTAGGTCGAATAAAGGACCAGGATACGATCCTTCGTGAGATAAAATATGTTCCGATATGATGTCTCTTGGGTTGACACGGACGATGAGCTGGTTGTAGGCTCGACGATATAGACCAAACACCCCCATATCCTCAAGAATGATTGCAGGGCGAGCCAAATAGTCATCTTCATAAGCCAGGTCAAGGATACCGAGCCATAAAGACTGATTCAGACTTTCTACCAAGCCCGGAATGATCGACGTAACCGTGCCGGGACAAAGCCAAATATTCACCTTTAAGGCAGTGTCTGTGATCTCCATTGGGGCCATGTTTCCAAGAAAATCCTCTTCATATCGCTGATCGTTGTTGCCAAACCCCTGTCGTCCAATGATGGGTATTGGGTCCCTGAAGTTCGCGCTTGCAGGGGCCAAGCAGCCCATGGCACGTCCCTGTGGAATGTCTGACGGTTCAGCTCTCCAGAGAAAGATGGATTGATCTTTAGACCGCCTCAGGATGGCATCTTGGAGGCGCATAAACGCTTTGTCATCTTCGCCATAGAGCATTGGCATGTTAATATCGAATTGCCCGAGAAGGCAGTAAGCAGCATCTTCCTTTCGGGTGGTCATTCGACTGGATGCCCAGCTCATTTTTATGGACACGGCGAAACTGTCCAACGTTTGCAGGAGTTTGTCCAACGTGCGGCAATTCCTGCATACCCTGTTTCGAACCAGAGAGGAGAAGTCAACTTTCTGACATGAACATCGCCGTTCAGAGAAAACCTGGGGTGAAATGCCAGTACGATCGCAAAGCCGATCAAGTAAATTGTCATCTCTTGAACCGAACTTAGTCCAGTCCTGATCAAAGAAATCAACGATGCGCGGAGCGATTAACTCCTGAAGGGTCCACCCTCTGTCGAACCAACGGCAACTGAAGAAGGATGTGTCGTCCGGCTCAATACCAGTATTGAGACTGGGGTCAGTGACAGATGAGTCGGACAGGGAGGATGTTGACGGTACTTTGAAGTCGCTTAAAAAGACGTAACATATGGATGATTGCTGGTACCACTTGAACATCGAGTTGATGGCCTCAGATAGCTCTGCGCTGCTGCTTTTGTCAATACAGCAAGTGTCGATCCAGATGTATTCGAATCCATCTTGTTGCGCCTGCTTGCAACTCTGTTCCACCTTGGCGAAGGCGTGATGCCGCTTCAACTCAGCGACTGCTTTCTCTTTGACATCTTGAAAGACGATTTCGACATCTCTCCAAGTATGTGACAGGATGGCATATGGCGGGATCTTTTCCTCGCCAGCCAGGAAACTTTCAAGTTGGAAGGTGTAGACGTTGAGTAGGCGCATGGTGAAAAAATTGTCGACCTAATCTTGGAATTGGAAGTCTTTCAGGGCTGCGAGGAAGAGACGAAAACAGAGCCTGATTGAGGGATTGAGGCTGAGCGAGGCGTACCATAAGGCATTCTGCTGGATGTTACTGTGGAGTGCTGGCGTTGATGCTTAGCCACTTACGTCCTCCGTTCGTCTGGCAAGGATGACGGTTGGGTTGGACAGCCCTGCCAAAGCAGAGAGCTTCCCCATGCATGTCAGCTATTCTGATTTATATACCTCACAAGATGGCATGCCTAATGACAATGAACTTCCACTTTTCGCCCCCTCACGTCATACGAGAGGTGGGAGGTTGATATCGACATACATAAATAAAGCCCTCAGTGGGGGAACTTGGTGTTTGCATCTACTGTATTTTTCTTGTGCATATCGTAGTTGCCTGGGCCCACGTTTGGGCTTGAAGCTCATTGTTTCTTATCCGTCTGAATCCTATCTACCTTTTTCGCCTTGCCGCCATCCTTTGTTCTGGATTAGAAGTTGGCCTCTCGATTTAATGAGATATATCAGTCCCACTTATATTCTATAGCTTTATTGTCCACAGGCAGCAAGGTCATTGTCTATGGTTAACGAGGTTAGAGACAGAAGGGGCGGATTAAAAGCTTAATTGAGGCAAAGCTAACTGTGCAATAATATTGCTGTATAAGCTACATATCTTCCGGTACTGAGTGAAGTGCTAAAAGCGTATCTATATTGTTTACAACTCCTACATGGCTTTGATCAATCTGATAATATTGAGTAAAGCAAAAGAGTTACAAAACGAAAACACGCCGCCTCTGTTTATCTGGGTATTAAAAGTGGTTGCCCGCAGAGAACCCCAGCGGCATCCCTACGACCTGGGGGGTCGCCAGGCCAGGCGAAAGGCAAATGCACAACTGCGATCCTGGAAAAGGCTGGTGCTGATAACACTAGCTCAGGGTCGACGACGACAAGGTTGCCCTAGTGGTAGCAGAAGGAAACTGCAGACGGGGTTCATCCTGAGACTATTCTACAGTTGGAAGATTTTTCTTTTCTGGATTACTTATTAGAGGTTCCCATGGCCTAGAATTAGGTGGAATAGCGCACACTAAAACAGTAAAAGGTGGTTGCCTGCTGATCACACCGTGTTGGATACTGAAATCTCTAATTTGTTCATATTGACGGGCGTTAACGCCGTCCGAGCAGCTCATTTAAAAGGTTCGTAATGTAATTCCATGACCCTGAATTCTGGATCCATACAAGCAAGTTTGTTTCTCCTATCTTCCTCCTTGTTTAGCAAACTTTCATGGATTTTTCTTCAAACTGCGAGAATATTTTCTTCTAGTCCCCGTGCAAGAATAGGGAGGTACTCAGGGGTTCAGGAAAACAATCTCGCTCAATCCCACGTGCTCAACTGCGGCACTAGCACACTTGTCCTCCTCCTCCAAGCTGAACGTGCCCGAAATCTTGTACGCGTTCTCCTTACCCACCTTCATCTGTCCGCCCTTGAGCTGCCGAATAACTTGGGGGACGTCGTCACGCTCGTGCGCGGCTTAGGAGGAAGGGCCACGGGATGGGAATAGTGGCATCACGCGGGCACCCATCAAGACGATGCGGTCATAGGGCCTAATTGACAACGTGCACGCGGTGACGCCTCGGTGTCGGTGGCAGCAGGCGAGGAGAGGTCAAGGAAGACACTAGGAGGATGGGTGCCAGAAGCCGCTAGGAGGAAGAGCCATGGTGAACTTCTTTCTGGGATGGAGATGGGTAGGGAGATGATGGAGAACGAGTAAAAATGGTCTCTTTACAGCCTTGACACTTGGGACTTGAGTGGAGTATTTATTGAAGTTTGGTGTGGTCTAAATCGAGTTTGTTCATCAACACACCTTCAAGGGGCGCCCTTGCGACATGACGATCGATCGCTTCACCTCCACCCAGCAACAAGAAACGGAGTTAAAACGGCAGCTCCATATGAATGTATCAAACTCACTCTAGGCATGTATGGTGCCTGGGAAGTTGCAGTGAATATATCCATCGTCAAAAGTTGTTCCTTAGTCAGGTTGGAAAAGGCTAGGCAAGTTGACGGATGGAGTCCGAATCTGGAGTCGCCGGACAATTGCACTATTCCGAGCCTGGACATTCTCATAACACCACGTGCTGTGCTATGAAACGGAATTGACTTTGTCCTGTACGAAACACCCCCAGCAATACCCCGGCTTTTAATGCACAAAATCTGTAATTCAGACCGGGCCGCGTGGTTGAGACGCCGTGGTGTTCGGGATAGACGGGGAATGACGTCGACGTTTGGGGGTAGAGGGTGGCTTGGCCGCATCAGTTGACGACGACAAGCTTTAGCCACCAGACGGATTGATTGTTAATGGCAGGTTTTGGAGAGTAGCTTTAGTTATGCCTTGTGTGTTGCCTTGCGTACTGCCCGAGGTCGTCTGCCTGCTGGGATGGAATGCCTGGTGTATTGCCTCTTCTCTCGCCGAAGCAGCCTATCACTCCGGCTATCCAATCGTCCACGCAACCAAGCATATCCCTCCAGCTGCATGATCCGCGCCAAGCCAAATCCTTTCCGCGGACCGGCAAAGCCATCAGCAAACTCACCAGAGCACCGTGACTGGACGCTAGAACACCTCTTTCGGCTCCAAGATCCGTCTCCCCACCACCCGCCCCAGCACCATCCTTGCCCGCCCTCGCGAATGCGCCACTGCCCCTCGAATCCTCACCCAGCTGCCTCGGCGAGCATGCGAGCACTCGGCCAAACAGGCACCAGAGAGCTCTCCCGTGCGTCTGCGGGATAACGACCCCCGGCCCCTGGCAGCAAAATAAGCAGCCCGCGCGACGCACTATTGCTCAAGGTGCATGCCAGCCGTGGCCGTTCTTCTGCGATTCCGCGTGCCATTCGCCGCCTCGCACCGCATGGGCGCAACGGCCCACGGCGAATCAGCGCGCCGAAGGGCAGTGCTGACAGGGGCGGGCCAGGGCGGTTCGCCATTCAGCGCCGCTGCGACCCCGCTGCTGCAGGACGCTACAGCGGCACTGAGGGCGTTGGAGGACCGTGCAGCGCGCTAGAACCAGGGTGTCGGCTGGTGCAATTGGTGGTTTTGGCAGTGAACGCCCAGTGAACGCCCAGCGCAGTTGCTGATCGGCGGGGGGCAGAGCCAAAAATATCTCGTCTTAGTGCTGCAAAGCCCCATCCTGGTTAGCGAGAGACTCCATCGCCCATCTGATCCGAACGCATGCCATGATTGTCAGGGCTCGTCAGGTGTGCCATATCGCCCGCGCCTTTCTCCTTCAGAGCGAGTGTTTTCGTTCCTCGGATCCGTCCTTCATTCTTCTCTCCCCTTTCTCTTCCATCCGTCATTTACACACGTGGTTGTTTGTGACAGCCTCTGTGCGACAGCCGGGATACCAGAGCATGCTTCGTCCATCACTCAGCCCCGCCACTACCGAGCCCTGTCTGGATGTCACCAACTCCACCGCGACGCTCCTCGTGCAGCTGCCAATCCCACTGGCCGGGTTCACTGACTGATTGATTGACTTGCCTCGCCAGTCGACCATGGGCTGGTTCTCGCGGAAAAAGGTCAAGAAGTCCTCTTCTTCGTCCCAGGCCAAACCACAGAAACTACAGCAGGTCGCCCAGAAGCCATCCTTTGCTGCCCCTCCGAACGTGTACACGACCCGCCCCGCGCCGCCGCAACAGCTCCCACAGCAAAGACAACCGCAACAACAACATATACCACATCAACGGCCTCTACCACATCCCAATCTCCCCTACGCGCATCAATATGGAGCCCAGTCGCAGCCCCAGTTCCGGCCTGCTGGCTATCTCCCCGCACCTTCGGGATGGACGCCTCCGGTGCCAGCTTATCAACCGGTTATCGTGAACCACCAGCATTACTACCTGGGAGGACAACAGCAACCACAACTCCAACCCCAACACCACGCTCCTCCGCCGCCAATGCAGCCCCCCCAACCGAACCAGAGCCTCCAACCGTCGCAGCAGCATGTCTACCAGCAGCAGCACACCACGCTGGGCAGGTTCACCGGCTCCATGGTCAACCTCACCAAGGACATCGTCCCCGCCATCCCCCAGCTCTACGACGACGGCCTCGCCGCCTGGCATGGCTGCACCCAGATCGCCAACTCCACCGCCGCCGTGTACGACCAGGTCTACAGCCGCTTCAACAACGTCATGACGCTCATAGACCACGAAAAGTGCGTGGGCACCGAGAACGATCTCTTCCATTGCACCTCGAGTCCCATGCCCTCGCCGCAGTCCTCTCCGGACAGCATTTCTCCACCGACCCAAGACCGGGGCATCGATTTTCTATCCTCAAAGCCCAAGAAGTCTTTGAAGCCTAAAAAATCCCAGGCAACTTGCGCTGCTGCCGTCGTGTCTGGCAACTACTTCTCTAAAGTCGAGTACTACGCCAATTCCAAGCTTCCTCGGGACCTACCTCCGCTAGCTCTGTATGCTTCACTTCTCCTCCGGTTGCTCATTTTATAGGCAATTGCTGACTCCATGTTTCCCAGTTATATGCCAACCTGGCCAATACTCTGCCTCGCCGCTCAGTACTCCCAACGCGTCTACGACAAGCCCACCGGCGCCGAACTTGACGCCCACGTCTCGGGCGATTGGCTTACAGGCACAAAGGCAATGTGCATCAAATCGGTCCCCATGGACGACATGAACACCATCGTCTTCGCCATCCGCGGCACCGCCTCCTTCATGGACTGGGCTGTCAACCTCAACACTGCCCCCGTCAGCCCTCACAAGTTCCTCGACGACCCAGGCAACCTCTGCCACGCCGGCTTCCTGACCGTGGCTAAGAAGATGGTCCGCCCGGTCGCCGCACGTCTCAGGCAACTTCTGCGAGAGGACCCGTCCAGGTCCAGGTACAGCCTGTTGATCACGGGACACTCGGCCGGTGGTGCTGTGGCTGCGTTGCTGTACTCGCACATGCTGGCGGACACCAAGGAGGCTGAGAGCGAGCTCAACATTCTGACAAACTGTTTCAAGCGGATCCATTGCGTAACGTTTGGAACACCCCCCGTCAGCTTACTACCATTGACAAAGCCCGATCGGCCGAACCTGCGAAAGAGCCTGTTTCTGAGCTTTGTCAACGAGGGCGACCCTGTCGTCCGCGCCGACAAGGCTTACGTCAAGAGCCTCATCGACCTCCTCACCACCCCGGTCCCCACCCTGTCCTTCCCCAAGCAGAAGGACCAGCGGGGCAGGAAGAGCTCGTCCGACAACCGACGATCCCGGTCAAAGTCGACGTCCAAGGCCAACTCGCGCTCGGCATCCCCGTCGCGACCCCGGTGGAAGGTGCCTCCTTGCACCCTCAGCAACGCCGGCCGCCTCGTGGTCCTCCGCTCCGGCGACCCCAAGGCGCGGCCCAAGGACCGCAAGACGGTGCGCGAGCGCCTCAACGAGGGCGTCGTGGCCGCGACGTGCCAGGAGGAGCAGCTGCGCAGCGTCATCTGGGGCGATCCCGTGTGCCATCTGATGAGCCTCTACGCTGGCCGGATTGAGGTTCTTGCGGTGGGCTCGGTGACTGGAAAGGGGCGCTGAAGGCGATATTTGGTTGAAGAAATAACAAGTAAAGGAGTTTTACGACGGATTGGATACTACGAATCACGGTCAAATTGGGAAGAAACAAAACCGATGCGATATATACCTGTACTTTGGGGGTGTTTCACTATTTACGATACCATGGGGTTAAGGGATGCGCTGCTTGGCGTTGGTAAAATTGTCTTCATATGTGCCAAGGTCACGATCAAGAGGATAACAATCATCACTATCATGTTTTATTCTTACAAACTCTGTCCTGTGTCTAGCTTACATCTCTTCCAAGTCTCCTCCCAACACGAGACACCTTACTTCGATACTCTCGCGCAACCGCCCTTCCGAGGCCATTGGCGCACCATCCTCCTCGCCTAGATGAGGTTCGATCATCTCGAATGATGCGTGAGCGCACCGGCGGCGGCGGCCTTTCGAGTCACGTACTGAGTCGAAGCACTGAATCATCCATACATCCGTCGCCTCCATGGCGCTCAGATACCAGAACCGAAAGTCAGTCATGCCCCGATATCTACAATGGTATGTCTCCCCCTTGCGGTGCGGATAAATATGGTCAACTTTGATGAGATCCTCCTCCGTGACAGAAGGAGACTCGGCTAGACATAGGGGGTGATCAGTGATAGGTCCCCGGAGTGGCCTCCATACATTGATGATACGAAGTCGCAGTTTCCCCTGCTCGATTGCTTGAGCCTGTTCCGCTGGGAGAAACTGTTCGGCGCGAAGAATGGCTGCTCTCGCACTCTGGTCAACATGGACCTTTTTAACCGGGCGGTTCAGCTTTGCAGTTGCAGATGCTCGACGAATAGTGCGGTCGAAGACGATGACATGCTCGGCCCCGGGAATATGGGTTTCAATCAGCTCACGAGCGGTCTGAGAGTAGGCCATCCGGACCTGGTCATCGTCGGAAAGGTTGACGCCAGGTGGTTGAGGTTGTAACCTCAGCAAGGCAAAAGACTCGACGCCGAGGCGGAAGGCTGCACGATGCGGGTGTCCGCGAACATCTCGGATCAGTACGAGGTGGCTGGAGCAGGGGTAGTTCTTGACGCCGACACCGTTGCTCTCGGTGACGGTGAAGGTGGGCTTCTCATTGTCTGGAGGCGGCGAAAAGAAGTGCAATGGGCGAATGACGTCGCCGCCCTGGAGAAGAGCCTCAGGGACATGATGGCTTTGGTCGAGTGAGAGATGTCCACTGCTCTGGTCAAGGGGCTGATGGTCGCCCTCTGCGGCTCCGATGACATCTGCGCCAGCCGGGTCTGGGAATGAGGCTGAGACTTGCGTGGTACTAGACCCTCCACCCCATTCCGGGCCATGGTTGCGCATTGCTTTTATGGCTGAGGATGGTTCCATTTCTTCGGGTGAGTTGAGGAGTTGTTCGGCTGCAGGATGATTTGTCCTTTTCGTCCTTTTTCTAGGAAGCCGCCCACGAAGACTGATAGATTGGTAGACTTGTAGATCTTGACGTTTAGGCTGGGGCTCAACACCGCGTGATCGGGTTGTTAGCCGTATTTAACGACAACCCATCCATGATGCCAGCACAGCCCAACCCAGCCCGCCTTGTGGTCGTGGTTGCCTTCGATGACCTCAGGCGAAGCCTCGTTGCACAAGTGCGATTACCGCCCCCACGGAGAAACCTCAGGTCTGCGCATGCTGGTCAACGTCTCTCCATATCCCAGGCGGCCAAGCCTACGTCTGCATGTCGTGACGTCCGTCTGCGCATCCCAGCGTCCGTCTGCACATCCTCGTGGGACGCTGGAGGGTTGCTTCAAGTGCCGAGTCACATTCGAGTCGTATCGGGTGTGGGAGCGCAAGCAGGCTCTGCTCACAGGTTTCGGCCCTCGGACGGCGATTGGTGCGGTGAGTCGATACGCCCCGACGCTTCTCGCCGGTGCGTCTGCGTTGGCCGATAATGTGCGAGTCTGTCCTCAATGGATGGCATTGTCCTCGTGATTGAGGCCCCGTCGCCCAAGAGGCTGCTGCTCGTGCTCCCCTCCATCTTCTTCACCGCGTCGTCGTGTTGTCGCTGTCTCACTGGCCGCCGACGCAGCGATCGGCTATTGCTTTTGCTGCAGTAGTGCCAGTAAGGGAACTCGAGATTAGCTGGACACACCGGTCCATCACTGGTGTGTACAGATATGAGGTAATGCTTATCCTTTGCGTGCATCATGTGCATCATTTGCTACCACGGCGTACATCGCTGTCGGGGGCTTGTTGAATGTGACCCAGATGGTCGCCACAGCCCGTCCGACGGTATTGAGGTTATCCTCCCCAAAGTCAATTCGACCAAGCTCCCCAGCTTCTTGCATCAGATAGAGAACTTGTGCTCGAGTAAGGTAATTGCATGTACCCGCGGGAACAGGGTACCTTCCTCCTTAGGTGCATGCATAGAGGTACCTTATCGAGCCAAGTCGTCTCGGGACGTACCAATGCTCGCCCATACCTCCTTTGCGCCTTCCCCCCTTCCCCCCTTCCCCCATACCAGCCCGATCTCCCGAGCCCTCCTTCCTGCTTCGGAGTTTCCTCCTATGGCTTTCCGAGGTGGTCCTGCCTGTTTCCGTGAATAGCGTCTGGAAGCCGGGAAGTGATGAGAGGGTGGCATGGGGCACGCTCCTGCTTGATCGATGGTCGATGGTGGCATCATCCGACGGCTTTCGCTACCTACTAGGAAGGCACGCCTGCTGGGACGCGAAGCGCCCTGAGGTTAATCATCGTGCCCAGACCGGCGAGACAAAATCACCTTCACTCTTTCACACATCCTCGTGGCCTATTTGACTTATCTGACCCTCCCTTCTTCGTTCGTTGCCGTGCTTGTCTCTGTCTTTGTCTCTGCTGTTAGATTTCACCCATTCTCCATTCTCCATTCCCCAGTTCTCAGTTCTCAGTTCTCGGCCCTCCGCCCTCTATTCAACTGATGCCACACCGTAATCCTCACAGCCTTATCCGCCCTCTGCCGTGTACGTCTCCTGACGGCTATTCGACCACCCCGTCCGCCTCACCTTGATCTTTGGGTTCCAATACAGACGGCCCTCTCCCTCTGATTGCTCTGATTGCCCAGAAGGGTGGTCCTCCTATCCGATGACCCCCTCAGCCTACTCCCGAACGATGACCCCTTCAGGCACCGACGTCGAGATGAATTCAACCATTGAGGTTTCTGACACCACAAGGGCATTGCTTTTGGTTCGTTTCTTGCGACCTTCGGCTTTGTTTTTGACCCTTTGCTGACAATCATGGAGGCCGCCGGAGCTGGCATTGGCGTTCTTTCCTTGATCATCCAACTTGCCGAGCGTGTTGAGTCGCTCCGCGCATTTTGCAAGTCCTTCAAAGATGCGCCGAACGATGTTTCCGAAATGGGCCAGTGCCTCTCTGAGCTCCGCGCTTTACTCAAGGAGCGAGCCAGTACGCATCCCATGCCGAGTCCAGCCCTCAATGCCGTGCTTCGCCGCTGCGATCGACGCATCAAACCACTCGAGACCCTTGTGTCGAAGCTTGAGCCAGGTTTCAAGTCGCGTCACAAGAGGGTTCGAGTGTGGACTAGATTCACCACCACTCAGAACGCCGCAAACGTAAAGAAGCTCCGAGACGAGTTGGCCGATGCCAAACTTGACCTCATCATTGCAAGTCAGGCCATTTCCGGGTACGTTTCTATTAATAGTAGACACATCACCTCACCTCGTTAACGAGCCATAGGGGGTCCAACTCGGACATTTATCCAACCATCCATAACACCATTGACAGCTTCGAATTCAGTCAGGGGCATACTACCTCTACACCCTTGGCCGATACATCTCTGCCCAAAGAGCAGCTGGAACAAATCAATGACCACCTCGCCGAGATTAACGTGCAAGTCGCCGACCTACGGAATGCCTTTCCAGACTGGAGTCAGGGCTTGCAACTTCCTATGGTCAAAAATGGCATGAACATTCTCGTCCGGCAAGCCTTCCAGGAGGCCCTTGGGTCAGATGAGCTAAAGCAGGTCATGCATGGCATGCTGCAGTCATCTATGGGACCCAAAGATGAGAACTCTCTTGATCCGATGCCTGAAAAGAAGGCACAGCCCCCTGCCAATATGAATGAAACGGCACTCCAGTATCCTCGACCATCTCCTCTCCGAATCTGCGAGAAAGAGTATTCTTCAACTTGGGCCGGTTTCTTTGGCACCGTCTACTACCGTTCCCGAATCGTTCGATCTGGTGTTGACGGCGAAGATTACCGCCAGTACCCGCAGAGGGAGCTCGAGTCATCTTGGATCGTTGTACCATCGCGTTGGCTCCTCCGCACAGCATACTCGTACCAGATTATCAAGTCCACACGAGGTTGGAACCAGAACATCCAGACCTTCTCCGTTGTCCCACACAATGCCCAGATCTTCGAGTACGCTATCAGTGGCGATGTCGAAGGCCTTCGAGGCCTTCTAGTCTCCAAGGCCGCGAGCCCAAACGACTGCGATGCTCAGGGGTACACTGCGCTTCACCGTGCTGCTGCTCTTCGACACACTGAGTTCTGCCGTCTTCTCATCGACAATGGCGCCAACGTAAATGCAGCTGGCTTCCTTACTGGCGAGACACCTCTCCATCACTTGCCCGTCAATCGGTCTCGAACACAGGCTGATAAGCTATATGACACCCTCCATCTCTTGGTCAAATCAGGATCAGACCCGGGGATCCAGGACAGCCGCCGCCAGACTGCTTATGACGCCTTTGAAGCGTTCTTTAACTGGCCTGGTCGCATCAAGCTTCGCGAAGTCATGGCCGAGTGTCTTTCATGGCTCCAGGGAAACTCCTGGGATACAGATACTCAGTCGAAAGCACGTACCCAAGTCATCGGAAAACTGTACAATGGCATGGACATCGATTCCGCAGTGGAAAGTCTCGATGCCTGCCTCAAGCCAGATTCTAATCCTGGAACGGCCTTATCAACATGCCCACGCAGTTTCACTTCGCGTTGGACCCCCCTCCATGTGATGAATCACTTCCGAGTTGAGCCCGTCTGGCACCCCTGGTCGAAGAGTACGATCTTTCAGCAGAAGGGCATCTGGACTAAGGCTGTATCACGGGCTATCGAGTTGGGTGTTGATCCCCACGCTGTGGACTTGGAGGGCTGTACACCCACCATGCTGGCGCTTCGCAGCCTCTTCACGTTCCATGTTTGGCAAAACGCGCTTTTCACATTGGGCTACGACCTCGATGCGTTTGTCGCCAAGGAGTTTGAAGAAAACAAATCTCTCCGTCAAGATGGGTGGAGTCCTGATGCGCTGCGCTATCTCCTGGGTGTGCCAACAGAAAATCTCTACCTCCGCGGTGATGCTTGGCGCGAGGTTCCAGAGTTCATCTTCTTCCAAGACTGCGGCGGAGCAGATGGACTTTACGTCCGAAGCTGCTGGTTCCAGCTGCTCGACGTCCTCAAACACAAGCGGCTGCTCCCTGTCGGCTGGCAGACTCTGGCACTTCCGCGGAAGTTCTGTCGGGATCGAGAAGTCATGTACTGGAACAAAGAGCGAGGTTTGCTCGTTGATGACAGACCCGTGGGAGGTGCGACAATTGATCTCTCAAGGCTTCCAGGGAGAGATTTGGTTCAGGAGTTGGGCCAGCTGGGTCTTGTCTGGCAAGAGTGACGCCTTTCGCCTTTCCAAACTGAGAAGTTCCTATTACGAGGAGTTGTGTGGCTTTGGTCCTGTTTTCGGTTATTGGGAGGCTGCTGTTTGCAAAAAAAAAAGATTTACCATGGTTCGGGTGGATGAAGATACTGCGTAGCACACATCAGTTGCTTCGTTGCCTCTACAACACATCGATGAGTGCGGGGTCAATGAGTTCCTCTTAGTAGAGTATAGTTTGTCATGAGGATTCGATTTCCTATCTATTGGTAACGCCGGGTGCTATACCGTCGTGTTCTGTCCTTTGGGGTACTAGATGCCCCATCCATGGCTTTGCTTGCCTCCCATTCCATTCCATTTGTTAACCTTCCATCTCTTGATATCAAGGGTCCGAACCCCTTGTCCCATTCCCAAATGCACCAAATGCAGGCAGACGACACACTAGACTCCCATGAGATTTGAATACAGAAAGCCCCGAACTCCAACACGCCGGATGAATCCACTCGATTCTTCTCGAGAAACAGAACTCAAGGAGTGCAATACATGTAATTAAATCAGCGTAACCAAGGGAAAAGAGTCAAGAAAAATAAGAAGCCACGACGTCGCAATAATCTTGGTGTCGTGGAAGCAGTTCAGTCGGGTCGAACTCCCCTTTTAGATGACAGGTATGAGGGATGGTGACAAAGAAAATGTTGTAATGGCGACAGCTGGCCTTGATGCCAGTGGTGGGTGATTGGCGTTGTAGACGTTCTTCAGGGTTCCCCAGCTGTCGGTTCTTATTTATCGTATCGCTCCGAAATCCATGTCATTGGGAATTGGATTCATCCCGGTCATGGTAGTTCCAGTATCAGATCCGGCTCGTTGAAGCCCCTGGAAGTCGCCAACTGTCCTCATGGAGGGTTGGCCCTGGAGCTGGAAATTGCCCTGTCGTTGTTGTGCTTGGCGCATGTTGTACATCCCATTCATCGAATGTGATGCAGGCATAGCCGCAGTACTCATCCCCTGGTTGTGCATGCCTTGCGAAGGCATGTTGGCTATTTGAGGTTGACATATCCCTTCATGGCCCTGATTCCCCTGCTGGGCCAGATGCTGATTCTGAATTCCATTCATAGGATTCGACTGTCCAGCATTGCCCATTGGACTCATTACCATGTCGGTCATTGGAGTGCAAGCAAAGCCGTTCATGTTGTGAGGGTATTCTATCCCGGGTGACATGACACTAGGCGAACTGACGAAAGATCCATTCATGTCAGCAGCTTGTTGGGTGACAGGTGGTGTTCCATTTGAAGGATTTGAGTTTGACGACTCGGGTGTGCCGCCGGCCATGTCGATTGAGTACTTCTTCTCGTATTCGTCGACAGCGTACTTCTGGTTATACTCAGGCTCCATGGACATTTGCATCTGGGGTGGAGGCTGAGCCATGCCAGCGTTGCCGAAGCCATCAAAGATGTCAATGTTGGCGATGTTGGAGTTCTCAGGCGCGTTCTGAAGCATTGGGTTGGCCAGACGGGGAAGGATCTCAGTGACCTTGCTCAAGAGCAGGGGAAGGAATCGGTAGTCGCCATTTCGAGTAATCGCAACGATGCTCAGGAGCTGGTTCAGATACTCACGGGGTCCAACTGCGAATGGGTCGCGCGATGGGGGTTGGATGGCAAGTAGCTCCGTCATTGAGTAGCAAGTCTCAATCAACTTCTCAATCTAGATGTTGTTAGTATTGGATTCAATAGTTGGTAATTCTGAACGTACCAATCCAGAGCCGAGAAGTTCCATGCCTTGGCTGGGGAACTGTGAGGCCATGTTCATCAGGAGTTCTCGGGACATATCCATAGGATACTGGAAGGAAATGGAGTCCTCGCCATTGCCGTTGATGGTTCCGTTGTTGAGCTGCCAGGAGGTGTTCTTGAGCCACTGCTGGTTTGTACGTAGCTCTGTCAGGTTGGAATCCTGGCACATGTACGATTGGACAAGGTCGTTGAGCTGCTTCTGCAGGCCTGTGATGTGTTGGGCTGAGAGATGGCGGCGAGACTTGTTCCACGTGGCAGTAAAGGCATCATCGAATGGTCGGTAAAGGTTGACCAACATGATGAAGCCGTTGAGCTGATGGGCTAGAGGGTCCGTGGGATCATCACCGAGGGTAGGAGGATGGATGGTGGCCTGGAGAGTCAATGGTCGATGGCGTTGGATAGCATATGCTCTGTGGGAATCATGGTCAGCTCTAGCACATCTCAAGGGCTAGTCATATCAGTCTAAACATACCTCTCAATCACCAAGAACAGCCAAAAGAGGCGTCGTCGTCGCGTGGCCTCGGCAGCATCAAGCTGCATGTAGTGCTCTTCCTTGTTCATACCAGCCATGTGGATCATAGTGGTGGCCTCACGCAGAAAGTACCAGGCCTTCTCGTGCAGTTCCATGCCGTAGTAGCACCCAAAGATGAAGAAGTTGGTTGCCAGTACATTGAGGTTGATGGAATCCTGGTACTCATAGCCCTTACGAACACGGAGCGCTTCCTCGAGCAACAGTTGGCTGGAGATGAGGGTGGCACCCGGGTTCATGTCGAGGTTGTAGGGGTCGTTGGCGGGCATTGTCATGCCAGGCTGAAGCATGATGAAGGCACAGAGCGAGGTCATTAGGCAGTACGCGTCTCGATTTTGCTCCATGTACATCATCTGCTGCTCGATCTGGCGGCGATCAAGGATGGGAAGTTGTGGGTAGAGGTTGTCGAAGAAGAATGTGACGCAGTCCTTGACCAACTCAGTGGACAGGAGACCAGGCGTCGGGGTCAAGCCAGAACTCGCAGGTGAGCATGCGATGCCGTTAATTCGGTTCTGGACCTTGGCGGAGAGGCTCGTCTGTCGCTGGGTCTCGCGCAGTTCACTGATGACCTTGGCGCGGGAGCCCTTGGGGCCCTTCTTCTGAGGGATGGCATTGTAGGTGCATGAGAGTTGGGCGGCGGAGCAGTTTCGACACGGGTTGATGCCGTCACACTTGACCTTGCGACGATGACAGGCGTCGCAGGCCCTCTTGACGGCCTGGGTCATGGCGGGCAACGTTGGCAACAGTTGGGATCGTGAGATCGTCGAGGCTCGGGGCAACAGCGGATTGAGTTCGCGAGGGCGAGAGTCGCGTGGAGACGGCGTCGAGTCCCAGGAGGTCGGGACTGTTGTGGAGGACTGGATGGGATCGTAGAGTCGCAGTGTTTTGGATTTGAGGTGGTTGTCAAGCCAAAAACCAAAAGTCTGGGGATATTGCGGGGGGAAACGCTGTGGAAGGAGCCGTCGAGGAGTCGAGTCGGTTGATTCGGTGCAGTTGGCGGTCGAATGGGCGGGGGATGTGAGGGCTATTGCAGACGTGCAGGCGTTATTCGGCCCTTTCGACTTGGACCATAATGCGGGGATCCTGGCCAGGTGGTAGACGAGGCGTTGGCGTCTGGGGTGATGTGAGGTGTGGTGGTGGGTGTGCTGTAATTACCGAAGAAGGCGCCTAAAATGGCGAATCGAGGTGTCGTCGTGAAGTTTGTGAAGTTGGTGTTGTGCTGGGGACAGGAGAGAGTGCGTTGGTGGTGAGATGAAGGGGAGGAAGAAGATCGGTCAAGAGCCAGGCAAGAGCGAGAGCAGAGAGAGAGTGGGCGGCCCCAGAAGGAGACTCTGACGACGGGATGGGACGACCCAGAAAAGGCGAGAGCGAAGGGCCGGAGGTACCTTCCTTCCCTCATTCGGGCCAGACACTGTGCTGTGGCGGTACGTACTGTACGTACAGCGGACGAGACATCCCAAAAGGGAAAGGGCTGATGCGAAAATTAGCGGGCCATTTGGTGGAAGCCAGCCAGGAGCCGAGAGACAGAGAGCGCGAGGGAACGAAAGCAAGCGCTCCCCAGAGAGGACACTCGCAGCAACAGGGCAGGCAGGGGGAAGCGACCAGGGGCACCCGGGGGTGGGTCCAAGTCTTGAATCTTGGGACTCCGTTGGTCTGTGAGGCCCTTGTGGTAAGCACTGTGGGCACTGTACACACACTGTCCGCTCTCAGCGTAATGTGGCCGTGGTGTGTGTCTGTGTGTCGTTTCTGTGGACGGGGCCCGTGTCTGGGGGGTGGTGTGGGTGTGATGACACATTACACAGTGTGCGTGGGATGATCTCCTGAAGGAGCCAGGATGAAATATGGGCTGGGGCTGGGGCTGGCGAGCACAGACACGGGCGCGGGCTGTTTTGGTGCTGTTTTGGTGGTCGTCTGGGCGAAAGGGCGGTGCGGCAGGACGAGACAGTGGCGTTGCCAGCAGGCTCAACAGGGCAGAGCACAGGGCACAGGCTGCCTGCACTGTACGGGGGCCACAGCACTGTACGGGGGCCACAGCACTGTGCATTGCCACAGCTTACAGTGTTAATATCCGACCCAACGGGCATCCCCGGTGGCGGCCCCCTCGCCCCCCGTACTATGCTGCCTCGTGCTGCCCTCTCAAGTCGCACCGCGCGAAGAATGTGCTCTTTCGTGCAGATTACAGTGGGCAACTTTCGTCTGAACAAGGGGGAGAGGGCGTGACAGACCAGGGACGAATGCTGGCTGCTGGGCCACCACTGCGCTGTAACGTCGCACGCCACAGTGCAGCAGACAGTGTGCGCGACGCCCCAAGCGGCGGATGGAGGGCTGAGACACGGTGCAAACTCTAGGTAGTCAGGGCGACTGCATCAACGCTCAGCCGGGGGAGATGATTGATGGCTGAATGCGTGTTCTCAGCTGTGGTGGTAGATGCGTTCATGAAAACTCGACGAGGCGAGACCAAGCACCAATAAAGCCACTGACAACATCGTCCCTCGACGGCTTCCCCCATGGAACAAACTCTATGGATCAGTGTTTTTCTAGTGCATTGGCGGTCGCAGCGGATGGCCGGTCCGCGCGTGGGATAGGCCACTCATTGGACGGCTCCAACGTTGCGTTAGGGGAGGAGACGGACCCGCGTACAGTGCTTCGCGAGACACAGCGACAAGCTGACAGAAGCATCCACACTGTGCTGCACTGTCGCCGGTGTTGCCCGGGCTCTCCCCGAAATCTCGACTCTCGACTCTCGACTCTCGACGCTTGACTCTGGATTGTGGCTCTTCCTTCATTCTGTCGTGACTTTGACTTTGACACCCTTGTCTTGGTTTCCGCTCCCAATGTCTTGATTTGCTTTCCAACTGACCCTGCTCCGCCTTGCGCCTTGCCATGAGCCCTGCCAGCTAGCCATTTCAGGTCACGTCAGTGTCAGTCAGTTTATTTTGCGTCTCCCGTGCTCCATCCAGCCAAGGCTCGGTAGCCACTACCGGCCGTGCCATCATATCATCGGCCGAAATTCGTCGGCACCCGCCGACCCTGGCCCCGAGCGGTTTTAACAAAATTCTCGTTTGTTCAAAGAGCGGTGATATATTTTCTCTCGGTAGCTATCTGCCGTATATCCGCAGTCCTCTTGCCATACGGACAGCGGCCGGGCCCACTAGAGTGGCTCCCATTGACCGCACATCGTGATGTGTTCCGTGACGGCATGGCCTCATCACGTTCAGTCCCCAGTCAGAGACAAACACCACCTTTCGTCTAAGCGAGGCATTGCCTGATTCTCGAGTCAGGGTTTTGGCTCTCAGCCAAATCCACTCGTGGTATCTCACACTCGCATTGCTAGGACCGTGATAGTCCTCACTTGGGAATGCCTTGCCGCCTCACCGTCAGTGCTTTTGCTCCTATCTCTCTGCCATTCCCCCCCAACCTGCCCTGTCTAGTGGTCCATGGTTCCGAGGCAAATGCCGTTCTCTCGATGGTAGAGGCAATGATCGTCCGAAACATTGCTTGTTGTCAGTCAGTTTCTATTGACCTGTCACCCCACGGTAAGACATGCTTCTCAACTACCGTAAACTATGCACCTTAAAATGAACCCGAGCGAACTTGTCTCTCTTCAGCCAACACATTTACGGCTGGGGCGGTTCGGCATACCAGATGACCCAGTACCTAATCATCGGATCGTCGATACGCCCTGCTGGGACCGAGATCCTCCTCGACCCGACGCCGCGGATCGGGATCGCTCCCTTCTGAGGCACGGGAAGGTTTTCGGGTTCCTCCTCAGGCCTTGACTAACATTATTGCGATTCACCTTGAAACAATCCGGGCACAGCAAGGTAGTTAAGATTATGATAATCACAGAGTGCGTCTTGGCAAGCACGCTGCCGTCTATACTAGTCCCCAGGCCGTGCCTCTCCCTTCCAACAGGGCCCTGTTCCGCACTCTCTAGCGTTCTTTGACGCACTATCAGCAATCTATACAAGTCCCAAGGTCAGTGCTTCCCTGGATTCAGACACCCGACAAATGAAATTCCCATCTTCGACACAGTGGCTTTTGCCCTTCCAAAGCACATTGCCCAAACAAAGAAAAAGTACATGCCGCTATGCTCTGTTCGATTAGCTCCATCCGGCTTCACTTCCCGACCCGCAAGGAGGTCTAATTGCCATCCCAAGCCATGGTCATTTCAGCTGGCTTTGACCTTCTCCATTCCGCTCTCGTACTCTAGCGCAGCGCCGAGAAGTGCGTTCTCCTGGTCATCGTGTTATGCCGCCCTCGAGACTATCCCTTCACTTGTAGTCAGGTCGGGATTGGGAGTATCGCCTCGACTGCGAGTATCGTCTCGACTGCGAATGCCGCGAGTTGGAGTTGGAGGGACGTCTCGAGCGTGGGGTCTGGGTATCGTATGGTTGACTCTCCATCAAGTACCCGTCCATGCTCGCGATTCGTTTCGCATCCGCAGCGCGGTTAATCACGCGGCTTGGGTGGAACCAGTTGAACAGCAGGGCCACGAGCGCCATCAGGGCCGCATCAAAGATGTAGATCCAGTACTCCGTCGACTGCAGCTCTCCCTCCTTGCCTGTGATGTACTCGGCCACACGGAAGGCTGATCGCACCAGGATGAGGAGACTCGTCACGTACAGAACGTACAGCAGCTTACGCCACGGCACGGCGAGTTCATACGATTTTTGGGTGGGCTTCTCACGGATCCGCATGTGAAAGACGAGGGTGACGACCATGAAGAAACCGAAGAAGAGAATCTGGATGCCCAGACCGCCGATGATGATGTTCTCTCCCCTCTTGACGTCGTCCGAGTTCTTGGATGTCGCGAGCATGCCACCACCTGCAATTTAGTGTTAGTGGCAGTTGGGCAAAATAATCATCGTAGGGTAACCCACCTCCACTCTGAGCGAAGAATGACAAGACATCGCCGGCAACAAAAACCTTGGTCAACCAATTGGGTCGGATGAGGGATAACTTCTGAGCATCTAGAAGGACAATGATACGACCGAGGATCATATAGATCGAGGCCGCGTAGAGCGCTGGTCCGAGAAGCAACAAGATAGACTGAATGATGTATGGGTTCTTGGTGAAGTCAGGTGCCTCCTGCGCCGACATGGCACGTCCCACATAACCAACCGCCTCGACTGTGGATTCCCTGGTTAGGCCAATATTCGAGCAAGTTGATCCCGACATTGCAACTTACAGAGACAGCCGATCAGGAACGGGATGAAGTACCATGTCCGGTTGCGGAACATCTGCCATATGTGGAGCAGCGCCGAGATACCGAAAACAACCACGAAGATGGCTGCGGCCGGTAGTGACGGGTCATAGTTGTAAAACTTAAACGAGGACTCGGCCATCTTGGCGATCAGGGCCTATGCGAGATCCGAGGAAGCTTTGAGGTTGTCGTGTTGCCTTATACGACCCTGGTCCTTCAAGGCGGGTCGTATCGTGCAGCGGTCTGTCTATGGAGCTGTGCGGGGAGGTGATGGCGAGAGGATTGTTGACGATTGGGACGGACATATCTTTTCCACTCCATGGTATATATAATTCTCGTTCCGTGTAACCGTATTTGTGCTGTTGCCCCTTGATTTCTGCTTCAACGTATTCATAAGGCATTGAGCTCTGTACGCGGAACTGAGCTCGTGTTGGCAATTTTCACAATTGTACAGTGGCCAATCCTTCTACAGCGGACATGCCTTCGCAGTGGAGCCGCTACAGAACCGCCCAACTCCACCACAGCTCTGAATACGTATACGCGTATTCGCCAGCGCCGGACCGTGTTCTTTCGTTCCATAATCTGGAAACCAGCGAACCATTCGTGCTGAAACATGCCACGGCGGCTCGAAATAGACACTTGTCAATGGGCATTGGCTCCAAGCCCATCTCCCTATACGCGCGAGCACGGAGAAAGCCGCGCGCATGGAGCGAGCTATCTACGGTGACAAAGCCCCAAACACGATGGATGACGCAGCTGCCCTCCATCTTGGTGTTCCCCTAGCATAAATCGCCACGTCCGTGAGTCGGGCGGTCGCTATTTCCGGAGAAAATCATGCAGGAACGGCTTGGCTTCGCGGTTGTGAAGCGTGCTAGTGGTGATGGTTCGCGGCGGCATGCGGCTTCAAATACGGGGCGTCGCGACCTTCGCGGAAAGCCGGCAAGGAGCATCAATACAAGACGGCTGCAATCTTCTCAGTGTGCCTTATTTTATGGATCTTTGTCCTTTATTCTTCTCAAAATAACTACAGTCGTGAATCCATGGCTAACTCCAAGGGCACCCATGATGTTCCCCCACCGTCGCCTTACAGCGATCTCCCTGAGGTGGTCTCGGACGACATTCTCCCCTCTTATGACACTGTCGTCAACAACGATCTGCTTCAGCAAACAACCGCCGTCAGAGGTACTTTAATATTGGACTCCCAAGTCGTTTGGCCAACGCAACTTACACTGGAACAGACGATGGCCGCATCGATGTCGACTTAAACTCCCGATTCTGCAGAACACTCTCACGATTCATCCCCGACATCAAGACCCCTCTTCCAGAAGCCGAGGAATCTCCTCCCCAGTACTACGCGGAGCTCGGAGGGTCACCGGTGCCCCCCAGATTCCCCGTCAAGCTCAACATCGTCATCCAGGTTGTCGGCAGCCGCGGCGACGTCCAGCCATTTGTGGCTCTCGGTAGCGAACTCCAGAAACACGGCCACCGCGTCCGCCTAGCTACCCACAATGTCTTCGACTCGTTCGTGCGCGACGCTGGGCTCGAGTTCTACCCCATCGGCGGCAACCCCTCGGAGCTGATGGCGTACATGGTCCGCAACCCCGGACTGATCCCCAGCTTGAAGACCCTCCGAGGCGGCGAGATTCAGAGAAAACGGGAGATGGTTGCCGAGATGCTGAACGGGTGCTGGATGTCCTGTCTAGAGCCGGATCCGGTAACAGGAAAGCCCTTTGTTGCAGACGCCATCATTGCCAACCCTCCCAGTTTCGCCCATGTACACTGCGCGCAGGCGATGAAGATTCCCGTTCATCTCATGTTCACGATGCCCTGGACAAGCACAAAGGCGTTCTCTCACCCGCTGGCGAACCTCAAGTTTGGCGAAAAGGCGGGAATGGATACAGCAACAGCCAACTACGTATCTTACAGTGTCGTGGAATGGCTAACTTGGCAGGGGTAAGTCTTTTTTCCCCCTCGAGATCTATCAGTCTTTATACAGCTGCTAACGAGTGGCACAGACTTGGAGACGTCATCAATGACTGGCGGAAGACAATTGACCTGGAACCTGTACCCCTATCTGAAGGCCCTCTTCTAGCTGAGACGCTTAAAATCCCCTTCACATACTGCTGGTCTCCGGCGCTGGTCAGCAAGCCACGGGACTGGCCTTCGTATATCGGTACGTTCTGGTAACTTTGCACCTCAGAGTGCATCGAACTAACTTTCTTCAGATGTATGCGGTTTCTTCTTTCGCGAGCCGCCCAACTACACACCGCCAGCCGACCTTGCAGACTTCCTAGCCCAGGGACCACCGCCCATTTACATCGGATTCGGAAGTATCGTGATCGATGATCCAGAGACCATGACCAAGACCCTTGTCGAAGCTGTCCGTCGGACCGGCGTTCGCGCCATCATCTCCAAGGGCTGGAGCAACCTCGGGGGCGTGGAGGAGAAGAACGTTTTCTTCCTAGGAGACTGTCCTCACGAGTGGCTCTTTGCCCACGTTACCGCTGTCTTTCACCATGGCGGCGCAGGAACCACGGCATGCGGTCTCCTGAACGGCCGGCCAACGACAATTGTGCCCTTTTTTGGAGAGTGCGTGAACCCCATTCCATGTGACGAGAAAGTCTGCTAACAACCACCAGCCAGCCGTTCTGGGGAGAGATGGTTGCGGCATCAGGAGCAGGTCCACACCCAATCCATCACAAGAAGCTCAATGTGCAAAACCTCTCCGAGGCTATCCAGTTCTGCCTTACCCCGGAGGCTGCTCGCGCTGCTGCGGGCTTGGCTTCGAGGATGAAGACGGAGAGCGGTGTTGCGACTGCAGTGAGGTCGTTTCACGCCAACCTCCCGCTGGAAAACCTGCAGTGCGATATTATCAGCGGCCAGCCTGCGGTCTGGGTCTGTAAACGTGGCAAAAAAAATATCAGGCTATCAAAGATGGCGGCGGGCGTTCTTTTCCAACATCTAAAGGTTGACCCGAAGAAGATCTACCCGTGAGTTTCCTTCCCCAAATCTGTTTAGAGCATGTTATTGAAGGTCCATCTAGCAACGAAACGAAGTCTATCACAATCATCCACCGCCGATGGGACCCCGTGACCGGAACTACATCAGCACTGCTAGGAACCTCAACTGATATGGCGAAGGCCACCGCTGATGTCGTCATGAAGCCTATTCGAACCTACCAGCAACGCAAGACCGCCGACGCATTGGTCGAGGCAGGCCGATCGCCGGGACCTGGCCTACAACAAGGCACCATACCTCCAGGAGCTGGTTCACAAGGACGTGGGTGCATGAGCACGGCTGGTGCGCTCGCCTCAGCTTCAGCATCGGGAGTAGGCGGTTTCTTCAAGTCCTACGGCCGAGGTTTCTACCTCGATATCCCTCTCGCCGTCACCGAGGGTTTTCGCGCGGTGCCGAAGCTATATGGAGAGCGTGTCCCAGAGCATGAACATGTGCAGGACTGGCAATCTGGCGCACGAGTTGCGGGCAACAACTTTGTACGAGGCATGTCTGAAGGCATTTCGGACTTGGTTGTACAGCCGTACAAGGGAGGCAAAGAAGGCGGCGCCCTTGGAGCGGCCAAGGGCGTCGGCAAGGGCTTGCTCGGGATGGCAAGCAAGACGGCATCAGGTACGTATTCCTCTACGGTCTTCAGGTGAACCAAAACTAACATGTACAATGAAGCCGCTGTCGGAATCGTTGCGTATCCCAGTCACGGCATCTACCAGAGCGTCCGGACTCTGGTCAAATCAGGGACCCGGCAACAAATAATGAGTGCTCGGCGACAGGAAGGAGAATATCTCGTCCAGAACCCAAACAACGTGCCCATTGATGTACCTTTTATTTTGTCAGAGTTTGGACAATTGTGCCAGAAAGACTCTGGGCGCGAACGGCCCATTTCACGTGGCGACGTATAGAGAATGATCGTTTTTGCGAGCCACGAAATCACCACCTTATTCACGACACGACAGCTTCATTTTGGCGTTTGCTGCAAAGATACCACCAGTAATAGATTGAAATAAATAGATTTCCCGGTTCCAATTATACTATATCTTCTGCTCAGATTCCACGTCTCAACACAAGCTACCCGAGAGCCAGCCGGCAATGCTAGCCTACCTTCATACAGTAAGATCCTTCGCCCAGTGCGACAACCATCATCCTTCACCACAGTGCATCTCCTCGGCATGAAAATAGGTCCGTTGCCTGCGTGTTGCGGCGCACTGTGTACCTTGAAAATCCTGCCTGGGGTCTCGTTGGTGTGGACCAGACCAATCTCCTCCATTGCTTGCAGAGTGTCACTTCATCGTGCAGTAGCTGCCGGTCTGGCCGTGCTTAGTTCAGCTTCGAGAAGACACTGGTGTGTCTCCTGCGCTGGCCTCCGCTGTGCCTCGGGTCGTGACTCGTGAGGGAAAAAGTCGCTTCGACTCGCGGCGTGGCCCAGTTGGGATCGGCGGCAACATCATAGAGACACGAAAGCAAGTCTCGAACGTCTCACTCTCACCGACGCAGACGAAGACACCCCCCTCGGTAGCTTCTCGTTCAAATTGATTCCTCATCATCTCATCCCGTCCCATCTCGTCGTGGCACTGGCCGTCCTCCGCGTCACCACTGAAACCCTTGTCCGTCCCCCTTCATCAACGCGGAGAACTACTCCAGGCTAAAGCCAGCCACCCTGCTCGCTTCCCCACCACTAGACCAAACTTGACCTAATGCCTTCACGGTCGGTCCGAAAGGGCCCTGCCCATTCCTCATCTGCAAGGCTGAGGGCGGAAACGCCATCTGGGGAATGCCTCAACGTAGCACTCTCCGCAAGTGCCGCAGCTTTCAGCTGGGGAAGCGATCCCGCGTTTGCGGAGAGTTCGCTTGAGTGTCTTACGTTGCCGGCATGTGCATTCCATAGCATTGATAGCTAAGCGAGCTTCATCTAGGAGGTCTCGGTTCTATCCGAGGTTCTGTGTGCACACACTCTGTACATACCTTGCGGAGAGATAGGTGGCCGGAGCCTCGAAATGTTACCCCTACCCTCCGCCTAGGAATATTCCCACACATTGCTTTGTTCAAACAAAGGTCGTTGAGCTATTGTCGCTTATTGCAGCAAAGTACGATCCGCAGCCACAGCGACTCACGTCGTGCCTCCATGCTCTGAGTTTCCTTCCATCACTCTGCTAGACTCACATCGTGTGCGGCCATTCTGGCGAGTCAAAGCACATAATAACACATGGCTCCTCGGTTGCGACCGTAGCTCTGATTATAGATAGGTATTCCTTTTTATTAATAGTACATGCTGTATGTCTCGTCTAAGGATTGCCTTTGCATTATGCATGCATAGGTACCCAAAAAAAAAATATGTTGGTTGGGTCCAACATTTCACCTTACCCTAGAGCTTCTGAGAACCACCAACTTGGCAAATTCTGATTAGTCAACGTCGTGCTGTATCTTCCGCTGTAGTGACGTGAAGATAAGGATGATAATTGTTTAAAGTTGGTTGCTTCTCATCCATTGATCGAGGGTGGAGCATGGAAGACCAAAGCCACGACAGGGTGTGCTGTCAGTCCTCTCATGAGCAAGTGGTTCACAACATCTACCAACGTGATTATAGCTTAGTGCGAAGTGAATTGGAAAGCTTCAGGACTCAATCACGAAGTCAAACACACAAGAACTTCAAGTTTCCAGGTGTATTCATGTGCAGTTTGTGTAGAGAGCTCAAACCCGACAGGAGAATTGTGAGATCAATGGAATCATCTGAGCGGCAGCGATTGTTTCCAAACCACACTACGGGTAGTTATGAGTAAAGTTTGACTGAATGGATTGTTTTTCTGCTTCGAAGGCCTTGTCCGCAGTCCAGGGAGTCTCGATCTTGTATCCCAACAGGCCATTTATGGCACAGACATTGCCTCCCTTACCTGATACACTCTTATGCGCTTTTTGCTGACGAACGCCCAGGAGTCTTATCAGCCACTGCGCGTATTTAATTCGTGGAAGTAATATATGAGCCCCTTGAAAACCACTGCAGGACGAAACCCTGCGCTGGCAGTGTGATTGATGCAATCCAACCCTGGCACCTAGGCCCATTGATGTCTCCGACGACTTGGAGGGCGGAGCAGATGAGTTAATGGCCCACTCTGACGAACAATTACACCTATTAAACGAACCGGTCACATATTCGAGACTTTCTCTCGGGTAGTTCAACGTGGAGACTTTGGCTGGTCGCCGAAGTGCAAGGGATGGCCCGTTCCTGGCAAGTGGGGGTTCAACAGCTGCTATCTGAGGGCGACGGAAATACCAGACTCAAAATGTAGTTTAAATAAGCACGATCTGTCAAAATGTCAGTCCACATGCAGGCAATTCCTCCCAAGAATCATGGAGGTGAACGGAGCTCAATCCGGATCTCAGACGGATAGGTCCGACAGGAGAAGTCAAGTCTGCATAGGCCCGGACCCGCACCGCAGTTCCGATCAAACCTATAGACTTCAAACCTAGATCAACCTCAACAGCCTAGATCTTCGGCTTCCGATGGGATCCCTAGGGATAAACAACTAGCTTCTTCCCCTCCTAGACAACAGAAAAGAAGAAGAAAACATTCCATCGCAATCCCTCAGTGCCATCTGAATCCCTCTGCCTGATACCGGAGAAAGATCCACAATTATCCTCGGACCGCTCCGAAACCTGACCTCATTCCGATAGTCACCGGCTGACCATGCACGTTTGCCCAAACGGCAATGGTACTCACCAGATATACGTCTTTATTTTTCCGCCGGTCTCAGGGGAGGCGACCTATACCCTTGGCTACAGTAATAGCACTTGCGTTCTCAGGTGATATGGGTAAGCCTGCAGGGTCTGGTTGCATTGGACATCAAAGTCTGAGATTGTGAAAGTTCGACCCCAAATTCGAAAACAAAAGAACAGAACTCATTCATCATGGCTTTTTACTGGTGAGTTCGTTTCAAAGAACGACTAGGTGGCCCCTGGTCTGATCTCCCCTTGCTGTACTCAAAGGGCGATCGGCAACCCTCAATGCGCCGAACGATGGACCTGTTTAGATATCACGATGCTGTAATTTCTCGGTCCCAAGAAGAGGTAAGATATTGTAGCTAAAACGAGGCCTGCGCTCATCTCCTGCATTGCATGACGAATCCTGCTGGGCCCACTTGTAAGGAATGGAAGAAACGGTGTGCCGCTCCCGTCTCCCGTCGCCCAGTTTCGGGAAGGAAATGACTTGTCAATTATCGTCAGGCACCAGTGCCTTGGCTTCTAAGGGGGCATTTCGTAATGTACAGGGTATGAAGTGTACCACTAACTCCGAATTCCAGATACTCGTGGCCTGTCGTGTGGCTTTTGACCTTATGCTTGAACTAGGTCGGACTGATATAGAAGATTCGATCCACACACCAGCTTTGACATGAATTGTGGATAATGAGATCTAGTCTAGGCCCTGTAACTTAGTAGCCGTCCTAGTCCGAATCATGATTGATCTAGAACCTCTGTGGATAGCTGAGGTCTCCATGAAACATCCTGGGCGTTTTCACCGGTCTCGTCTACCCAATGACATTGGCTGCAGTAACGAAGCCTGCGACCCTGAAGCTACCCTGTCTGATCATACGCCAGGTGCAGCATACTCTCGAGCTTCCGAATTAGAACGACACATGAGAAACAGGGGGCCCCTACAAATCCTGGTCCGTACTTACCTCCAGGACTCAGCCCCGCGCAATGACTTGATCCGAGGTGTGCTCAGTATTGCATGCATCATATAGCCGACTCATCATCCTAGTCGTGTGATAGGGCTTGATCTCCTGACAGGGATGGATGCTCGTGCCGCGGAACCTTGCCAAGCCTCCGCCGTCAACGTAGCCTTCGCCGCGTCTTCGTCTTCGTCTGTAGGTCACTGCCACGCACGTCTCGATAAATCATGGTGGCGTCATTCTGCTTCAAAGTGGAAACTATCGAAAATGAGAAGTGAATTACTGGAATGCAAGAAGCTACCCCTGCCCTAGACCCAGCGAATCATGTGGGTTGACCTCCGATTGATTTACGACCGTGCAATCAGGACGAGGCTCGAGCCACAGGCAACTCGCATATGTAATGACAACCGCATCGGGCAACAAGGTAAGCTGAGGCTTGTGGGGGTACTGTTCAATGGTCGAATGATGCTGTCCACAAGGCTCCCCAAAGATGATCTAGGGGCAGTGCTAACCAAGAGCAAGTTATCTTCCAATCGATGAGTGAGGCCACCACACCCGTGGGGACACGTCAGACCTGTTCTTACAGTACTATTGAGGCTGAATTTGAGACAAAATGCCTTCTTGCCTCGGCCAAGGTGTTTCGGGCGGGGGGATCTGAGATCAGGCGCCGCACCCGGCGGGAATGATCGAGATGCCGACGGCATCATTGTCTTATTTGGCAGTGAAGATGTTAGCGAGGCCCTGATTACTATGCGGCTGAAAGCTTATCGAACAATGAACCGCCCTCGACGGGCCTACGGATAAAGGGAGTTCGTGTTCATATCAGTTGTTTAGCGTTGTGGTCTCCCGAGCTCCCTGATTCCTCTCTCTCCAGTTCCCACAGAAAGTTTGTACTGATTTTATCTTGTCATAGGCGAGTCCCATACTAGGAGTTCCATTGATAAGTTTGCACACACGAGACCTGTCTACCTACCTCTATTACATGTGGTGGAAGCTACTGACATTCTCGTGACACCTACCCCTCCTTCTCAGCGGTGGCCACCAGCCCCTTATTCCGAGTTTGGTTTTCTATCTTTTCTAATTCTAATCAATTGGCAGTGTCATATTACAACCGCAGCTCTCGAATAAATCGGGGTGTGCCGTCTAACTTGCTTACGAATATTGTGGCCAGCTAGACCGATCATTGATACTATCGTACACGAGCTTGAACAACCATACACCCCATCAATCATCCACGCAAATCGAATTCGTGCCGAACTCCTCGTCGTACCCGTCATGATTGACAACGAAGAATCTGTAGTCATCCAGACATCCAACGCTCGATCCGATCGCCCCCTCTGTCTATCATGAATGTTGGAAGTGCCGAGTCAACGTCAACAAGCCTGGCGTGACATGTTATCACAGGTTCCACAACCACAACACCAAAAGCCGTTTCCCGCCGTTGTGAATCAAAGATCCCCTGAGACGTCAGACAAATTACCTTTGGCCTCGCATTGAAGGTTCTACCTGCTCTGCCGTCGAGATACGGTCGACATGCACCTGCTCAGGGGGATCTGGACAAGAACAAACATCGTTTGTTCAACGTTCTGATAAACATCCACAAGTGGTCGGTGTCGTGCCAAAGAACGATCCGTCTACTCAAACATTAACCCACAATCATGATATAGAGGGGAAAGTTCCCGGCTTTGGAGGTGGATGGGACAACACCTCGTATAGCATCCCCTTGAACTCTGTTCGGTTGCAAAGATCATGCAGTTTGCACTTCTTCTCCTCCTGGCTACAGGCATTTCATGTGCCATAGATTTGGCAATTCGTGGAGGGGGATCCACGGCTAGCCAACAGCCTGGCATTGAAACTGCTATCCAGAAATCCATCTCACCAGTCGACTGTCTCCTCACAACCAGCAAGGAAGGCCATGTATCCCCAGCCTCGGTTGTGCCATTTCCAAAAACGACTATATGCACACAGCAGTGTGTGGTTCTGACATTTTCCACTTCAATCAAGTAAGGGTCCAGCATGTCTCACTTTCAGACAATTCTCTAATTGTGATTCCAGGCCAGCCGGCAGTTCGGTGTATCGCGGTAGCATACCGCCTATCTCTACGTCTTGTCTCACAACCTCTACCACCGCTACTGATTATTCTGAATCACCTACGCCTCTTCGCTCGTTGGTCTCGGGTCCAATTTCCGTTGCGACAAGGGTGCCGTCTTTCGCCTCTTCCTCGACCGGTTTGACTGCGATGAGCTCGAGCAGCACCTTGATTTCGGAGCCATGTTCAACTGATGTTACCATCACGAAAACAATCGTGGAGACGTGGTGGTCCAGGGCACCGGCGACAACAACGTTGGCGCGCACTCGGTCTGTCACGATAACGACGGTGATCGTGGAAACGTATTCGACATCGACGGGAGAGAGAACGCTGCTGGCTACTCGAACGGCAACTACGACCTTCGTAAGCTTAGATACGACGTGTTTGGGGGAAAAGAACTGCTGTGCTGCCTGTCCGACGCCTCCCGTGCCAGAACCAAGCGATCAAGGCTCTTTTACCCCTGAATCTTCGGTTACCAGCGACTTCGAGAGTCAGAGTATTGCGGTTGATTCGACAATGCCGACGACAGAGGGAGATATCACGTCAACTTCTGCTGCCGGAGCAGCTGCTGTCACTGCAGGGCTTGTCGGTGCTTTGGTTGGATTTCTGGCTGTGTTGGCATGATCATTCAAGGAGGTTGAGATAAGGCGCAGAGACTTGGGAAACTGAATCATGTCCCACGCCAACAGAGTTAGGCTTCTCGGCAGGGTCAGCGGGAAGAGAGTAGGCTAATTTCCCACACCAGAGGTTCCTTTACGTACCGTGACGTACTCGGTCCCAGAAGCCAGTGCACCAGAGCCGCAGTTGTCTCTTTCCTCACCACGGGGTCTGAACTATCGCGATCATCCTTGTAGAATGCTAGCGCAGGGAAGTACAGACGTAGTGACCACGGAGATCCCCTTCCGGAATTCCGTGTGTTAGACATGATCTTCCGTATCGAGTATGCCGTACCAATTAGTCTCGGCTAGACATTCTTTCACAAGGTTGGGCAGCCAGCTGCCGAGTCCAATCTCGTGTCCCAAAGATAGCAAAGCAATCGTTACCGGTCCAAAGGCGTCTAGACACGTGGACCTTGGCCTCCCGTTTCTATCTTGAGGTGCTACAGCTGACCTCAAGATGCTAGTGTACGTGGGAACCAACTGGTAGGCCACGAAAACAGCCCCTTGTGCTGATGGTCAGGAAGGATGCCTTCTGATTGCTCGTTCATTCGACCCACAGCACAGCAGCTTCAGTGTGTATCAGGCTCCGCGGCAAGAAAAGAAAGATCTCGCCCGGTCCGACGAGCCCCGAAACTGCGACATCCACAACAGATTCTTTCTCCATCCCTGAAGATACAACAAGGACCAGGTTGCCAATCTCAGGCTACCATCGGGGACCATGTCTCGCATGCCGAAGGCTCGTTTTGGCACTCAGCTCGGCCGCTCAGAAGGCAATCAAATGCATGGTGGCAGCTGACTTCAGGCTGGCAGAACCATATTGTTCCCACCGTCAAAGTCACTGTACGGGGAAGGAACTCGGTGTATTGATCTGCCACGCGATTGAGCCTCTAGCAAGGGATGGCCAAGCTAATGTTGCCTACTAAAGATGCCAAACACCGATACCCTGCATCCACCGTCAGCCTAATCCTTAGCCCTCCTGACTCGATGGCGTCAATTTGACAAGATGCTTTAGCCATCCATATCCTAGCCCGATATTGGAGTGGGTGGCACACCACAAGCAGCCACACCTTCCGCCTCCGCGATGTTTGTGCCAGAGCTTTGGCATCGGTACGGTTCCGCGTTTCTCTTCGTTTGAGTTCTACTGGCTTGCCCGGCCTTTGGGAAATGATGGACGCGACGATGGAGACAATGGAGACGGTGGAGCCCCGTTCAGGCCATGTGTTAGCACTGATCGTCACAGGAAGAGGACTCTTGCCGTGTTGAACTCCATCGCGGCTCGCGGATGACCCCCGGGCTCCCCGGGCTCGTGTAACAAATCCGAACAGGATATGAGATTAACTAGCTCTTTATGAGGCCACACACTCTCGGCACAGACGTGGGGTGACAACCTATAACTGACTCGGGCTGACCACCCTACGACAGCCCGGCAATGTAAAGTTGCGTCGACATCAGTAATCGCGCACAGGCTTGAGCCCTGGCGCCACTTACAATATCACAGAGTGACGAGGCGGTCCGAAGGAACCTGTGATGACGTGGTTTGTGTGATGCAACGGTCCCATGAATGTGCTAGCACTGCATCATGTGGACCAGGTGGAAAGGAGTGCGAGGTGCTGGCGGAAGCTGAAGTGTGCCTTCAGCGAGGCAACCGATGCACTTTCGGAAGCCCATTACATCAATGCATAAGTACAGCCCCGCTTTGTCAACGATTACATGCTGAGGCTTTGTGGTGGGTGGGCCAAGATTGTTGAGGCCCCCCGGAGAGTGAAACCTGGAGCCGAGCGGTGCTACACCTTGTGCTGCATTCCGAGGGGTGACGCAGTTTAAACGATCACTGGCAAACAGAACGGACACGGTAAACGAAGGGGCTGGTAGAGGATTTTAGGGGGAAGGATCAATTTTGCCAAACATCCCAACTAATTGTAACTAAGGAGCGAGGGGTACAGGATAGATCGTAACCATAGATTCGTTCGTGAAGGCGATGGACCTTGTTAAGTAAAAAACAGGTGCAAACTCAGCGAGTGCATAGTTTCAGGGAATCCCAAGCAGTTCAAAGTGCTGTCAAGGAGAATGAAACACAATTGTGTAGTGAACTGGATAAACGAATGTGCTTAGAAAGTTAAAGGAGGGTTAAGGAACACCAGGCTCATTCAGAGTCGGACAGATCCAGGTCATCCTCGATCAAAAACGCGGCAGAGCCAGTAGTGTAGCGCGGGACGGGGTAGTCGGCAACGGGAACCAGCGGGTAGATTCTGGTGGTAACCTTTCGGTTCTCCCCGTAGACCGCCTCCCAGGGAGGAAGCAGGGCGTCGGGAATAGCCCAGCCCAGTTTCTGGCTGCGGAGCCAGAGTCTGACCATGTGGCGGGACGAGTTATCGTGGTCCCGGTAGTGATCTCGCCGATGAAGCAAGGCCAAGTTGTTGAAGAAGAGGATGTCCCCCTTGTTCAGTGTCAGCTGCAACTCTGCTCGAGCAGCCGACTTCGAAACCTCCTGCAGAGCATAAGTCTGAGCCGGAGTCAGGGGAGGAATCTTGGAGTCGACTATTTTCGGGTGCGGTCCGAGTCGATGAGGGTCGAGGCTGACCAGCAGCTTTCCGTCGTGGAACGAGAACACGGAGGCAAGGTAGTACGTGGACTTTCGTCCAGGCCTGCGGCAAAAGCCATTAGAAAGGTCCTTGGCGTGGGTAATTTAGAGATTGGGATCACTTACAGCTGGACGGGCCAGTTGGGAGCCAGGAGGGTTTTGACAACCTCTGGCTCGCGGTTCAAGAGGTCGTTGAACACCCACCAAGCAGAGCTCAGATAGGTGTAGCCGCCTTTGTCAGCGATGTTGCGAACTTGGAGAGAGAGGATGTCGCATCCCATGTCGGTATGGAACGGCTACAGAGAAGATTAGCCAGGGGCAGGCTGTGCAAGGTAGTGCCGGCGTACCAGTGCCTCGTTAGTGTGGATTCCATGGCGACCACTTGCGGGACCAGTCCACTGCTTCGACTCAGTAATATGGGCTAGAGTTGTCAGATGGCTTCTATGACACGAGACAATGGAGGAGAGTATGGAGTGGCGCGAGGTTTGAGTTTGGGAGGCGTACATAGCATGTTACCCTTACGATCCTGGAGACCCCTTTTCTCAGCGATGTAGCTGGCGAGGCCCAAGAAGATGACTACACTGTCTTCGACAGTGTAACGGGTCGCATCTAAGCCTCGAATGACGCTGAACCCACGGCCGAGATGGAGAGTCTCGGTGCAGGCTCGGAGGCGGCGGGAGAGGCGGGGGAGTGGGAAGTTGTTTGGGGAAACCTCGTCTCCATCGAGCTCAAGTTCTGTGACAGTCAGCCTTCACCATTATCATTTAAGATAACGTGCTTTGGGCGCTAACTCTTGAACTCAGCGAGGGCATTGTCAATCTCAAGCACATCTTCGTGGCTCAGTCGAAGGGTGTAAGGATGGTCATCCTTGAAGTCAGCCCCTGACCAGATCAAAGGGCCGGCCAGAGTGCCGCCCGAAACCTTAACGAATCGGTCGGCTGCGATGCTAGTGTCAGCACCTTGAATCGTACCACTCTTAGGCTCGTACGGAAGAGCCATGGTTGAGTTGAGGATGGCGTTTGTCGAAGCCATGGTTGACTTCTACTTGACAATTGATGAAGAGAGTTGGGGAGAATGGAGGGTGGCAGATCAAGAAGTAAGGCAAGAGAAATGGGAAATGCAGACCGACTAGTATGGACTTTCAGAATGCCGTGGATCAGATCAACCTTCATCATTCAGGGGCGGGCAGCCTTCTGGTCGTTATATGCCATAAACTCCTGCCCCCATCCTCCCTCCCTCTCCCCCCCTTGGATCCAACAGCCTCACCTGCAGAGATCACTGATACGCATGTCCCCCGCTCCGCGAGGAGATTGGGCCCAGAGGCCGAACAGAGAGGGACCTCTGTTGGTTGTTAGCTTCAATATTGGCCCCATGATGCTAGCAGGTCGTCACAGTTCCAGATGGGGATGTCGGCGTCTGCTGAAGGATGCGCAGTGTCCGGGATGCCTCACCTGGCCGATGCGAGACGGTGGGATAGTCTCTCAAGGAGCCAACAGGAAGGCCTGCGGGAATCGTGGGGTGGCAGGAGTGATTCATGCTGATGTCGACCGGCGAGGTTCGCTGAAAGACACGCAGTAGGATGTCGTGAGAGCCGGATCGCAACCGGGCGACGAGGCTTGGCACTTCCCCGAGGAGGAGACTGTACCAAATATGGGACACCCGCTCGCTGCAGCATATTTGTAACTTACAGAGTCGAATCGAAGCATCATGGCCCTTGAACGGGCTACGTGATGATGTCCAGGAGTCTAGAGTCGCCGGACGTCTCTCTTGCACAACCTCTCCTCAGATGGCTTACAGACGTCAAGAGCAGTGCTGTACAGCATCAATAGCACACAGAGGGCGCGACAGCCAGGAGAGCCGCGAGTTACCAGGCTAGCAGGACGGCTCCCCCCTCGTACATCCCCGGAGCCCGGATCTTTCAACCCTCAGACACCCAGGCGCCATAACGACGAGCTAACGCGACTTGGAGACGGTCAAGAGTCACGATGCATGAGATTTCAAGTCTAGTCCTGTTAGCTCTCTACAATCTGAAGGAAGAATCTCAAAGGCATGGGGGTCAGCCGGTCGAGATGGCATGGCCGGTGCAAGAATAAGAATTACAGGCCAGCCAGCATGCCTTGGCCGAGGGAGGATGCGGCTGCAATGCACCCTCGACATCTCCTCCCTTCGCCCGCTGGCTTTTGGATTGGATTTCCCATGTCTTTTCCCTTCCTCCCTGCTCCCACCGTTTTTGGCTCGCTCCGCTGCCCCGTGTGCTCTTCGGCACGGATGGCAACGAGGAGCAGCAACCGATTCTCGCTTCTCAGACATTCCAAAGCTACCAAGCTACGGGGTACATGACTTGAGCCTCAAAAGGTGCGAACCAACAGCCGCACCAAAAGCATATCCTCGCCGAGACGAGACAATAGCCGCGGACTTCTGGCCGCTCGAGGTCTAATTCGTGTATTAGTGCACATGTCTCTTCTCTCAATGATTCCGCCAGCCCCACGTCTGGCGTGTCACCGGTGGGTTGCGTGGTGGGACGCTACGAGGCTCTGGCAGCGTCTGGTTTGCCTGACCGTTGCACCCAATGTCGTCGGCCAGACGTCTCCAGCGAATCAGAGCAAACCGGTCAAAGATCTGGGAGCTTTTACAGACCCATAATAGCCCAAGCGGGCCGTGATTGGTGGCTGTTTCGGCAGGGGTTGTCAATATATCCACAATCCTGACCAGGGCGATTCCGACCAAGACACACACCTCCACGCCCACCATGTGGCTCAACAATGGATTTACTACCGGTATGTACATATTGGTTTGGGGCACACACACGCATCACTCGCTGAAACAGGGAATGGCCCGTATCTTGAGGCCCCCGAGATCCACGGCAGTTGCTGGGCCTCATCTTACCAAGTCCTCCTTTGTTCCTTGTACTTCGTGTTCGGACGCTGGGACGCGTCGAGCAGGCTGCACAAAAGCAATGAGCACATTACTCCGTACACCTGTACACAACCCAATGTGCCAATGTGCTATATTATGTGCTGCACGACTGGGATTGTCCCCCTCCAGCTGACCGGGGGCTGGTACACCGAGCCTTGGGATTGGAGAGACTCGAACGCCACTATGTCTCCCTCGACTATCTCTACGAGAGACAAGTGGACAGGGCCCAGAGTCCCCAGACACGGGACGTAGGGTTACTCCGACACCTAGAGCCGCCCTTTGTCCTTGTGACTTTTTGATTTCCCGTGTTTTTGTGTGCATGTGTGCCCGAGCCTCGTCAGGCCCTTGCCCATTCCCTGGTTGCTCAACACACAATCCAGCGAGCACTGCCGACACTGACCAAATCCTTGGGCGACACGACTCGGCAGGTTTAACCGGGGCCCAGGCTTTGAATTTCGAACCGTCCTTCCGGAATGGAGGCGACTAATGACAGCCGGCGTGGGATCCGCGTAAGTCAAATCCCTCGTTGATTGATCCGGCGTCCTCGTCCCCTCTCCGCTGCGGAGCTCTGCTCCCAGGCGACCACCAACACTCCCCCGATCTACTCCGTAGATACTTGGGGATACCTACTCCGATCATGTAACTAGCTTCAACTTGGCAGAATGATGTACAGGAGGCTCCAAAGGTGGAGATTTCTAGGCTGCCTGGCTGATGGATCGAGGCCCATGGGGGTTTGAACGAGGCGTTTACGGTTTGACCGCCCGCCCCTTGTCTTGTGAGGGGTGAGCAGACGAAGAGGGCTCGAAGTCATGCCGGAACAGGGTGTCATCACTGGCATGAGGGTGCAGTGGAGGGTAACTATGATGGATGACGGATGGTTCGATGGAGAGACAGATGGAGAGACAGATGGAGATGGATGGCGGGAGTGGGAATCTACGCTTGTGGGAGTTGGTGGCATTTGGCCTCGGACCCTCGAGCACTGGACATTGGACACTGGACATTGGACCCTTAGACCACACGGCAGTCAGTCCTTGAACTAACAGGCTGAGTTATTAGGACACGACAAGGCACACGCCCGGATCGACGGCTGATGCAGCCTCCCGGCCTCCTCGGCTGGAGCCCAGTCCCGCGAACCAACAACAAACCGACCTTCGACATGGTGTTGAGGCACAGGCCACAGAGGAACAACACGTCGACTGTACACCAGAGATACACGGGATACATGGGATACACGAGACACAAGGGACGCACGGGACAGACGATGTGCATGCAGCCGCAGATAATGCAGCTGGATGGGCCATTCAACTGAGACCACCCTCTCTGCCACTGCCGCCCTCGTCCGACATCGAGGCTGTCACCACGGACATCCTCGCTAGTTCGACTCCGCCGTCACCGGTGCAGAGCCAGCAGCCACCGGTGAACTCTCTTGGTGACGCTGATACCAGGGAGTTCCCGTCATCAAGCCTGAGTGTAACCAGTCAGCACGACCATCTCACCGAAACCCCCTGTTGTGCTCCCCAGCCGCAGCAGGCCCCCCGTCCAAGTCACAGCCGAGACGATGGCGACAATAGGGGCAATACCGGCGGTCACAGACCTGCATCATCTGGACATCGAGACCGCGCCGGTAGCACGCCAGGCTCGCCACCTTTTGATTCGGGGCAGAACCCGCCTCGTCCCGTCCCGCCAGCCGATCTCTCTGCAGAGGAACTATTATCGCCTGCCAACTGCCGGGCCGCGGCCACTCTCCTCCCCGACTTTCCTGTGGCTGACATAGCCAGGCTAGTGGCCCTGGGCCGCAGTGAGATTATCCGCCTTGCCGCCCTTTCCCCCACTCCTAGCCCAGTACCACCACTTCCCAGAACACCTTCGCCTGTTCCAACCATCTGTTCTTCAGTTTCGACGAAGAAGGCCAAGGCGACGGAGAAGGCCAAGGCGACGACAGTCAAGACGACTACACAGTCTCCCAACAATCCTGTCATCAACACAGACCATTCGACCTCGACCTCGGCCTCAGCCTTCCGCTCTGCCTCGAGCCCGAACCGAGATCCATCATTTCAGAGCAGCACGCCCGCAAGCTCGACGTCGTCACCATCATCCATCGATGATGCTCAACAGAGGACATGCCCTGACCAAGACCATCGATCACAGAACGAACGTAACTTGAAGCAATGCTATACGCCAACAGGGAGTCGTCCCGGATCGCCGCTCAGTGATGGTGCCGCCTCGGCTCAGGTTACATCTCTAGGCTCTGCCTGGGAGGACACTACAGACGACGATGTGTCCGTGACAGAGGAGGAACTTATCGAACAGGGGGTGCCAGCTTTGACTCGAATATTTGGAGCACTTCAAATCGAGGCTGATTTGTCACAGTATCCAGAATCATTTGATTCTGATTGTAGCGAGGAGGACTTGGAACAGCTCTCCCTTTCACAGACTGTGGGTAACGATGACGCTAATCACTCATCAGAGACCAACTCGCGTGTGGTTATCGGTGATCAAGAATCTATTGGGGATGCTGAAGACAACCACGATATGGGTTCCGACGAAGTGCAACAACCTACCAAGCAGGAATTTATCGACAATTCTTACGATTGGCCTGACAAAGAATTGGACGTCAAACCCCAAAATCCTAACGCCACTAAAGACCGGAATCGAAAAAAAGCTGGAGACTCTGCTAAACGGAAACGGGGTGACCTTACCGACACTGACTCCGACGCCCCATGTTGTTCGCTAGATAAATTTCAACGAATAAAAGACTCAACGATGCAGGCCAGGGTCAAGTCGAACCGCATGGAAATCAATATGGTCAGAAAGGGGAAGGCTTGCCTGCGCTGCCGTAATCAAAGGTTGAAAGTTGGTCATTCTCGACTCGTTTTCTCTTTGATTTCTAACAAAGCACTAGTGTGCCTCCGACCCTGAAAATCCTACTAGAAGTTGCAAAAATTGCCAGAGCAACTCTTGGTCGACCTGGAAGAAGCGCCACAGAATTATTTGTCTTCAATCCAAGGTCTCCGAGGTCATCCTCTACCGTCGCGGTGGTCTCAACCTCACTCGTCGGTGGAAAGATGTCGGCATGCATGACATCGAAGACCGCGTTGGTAACGGATACCGTGTTATCCACGTCTCCCAAGGACTCTGCGAGGCACCGATCGTCTTGAACGTTGTCCAGTTCAAACCCAAGAAGGGGGATGTGATTGCCCGCCACTGGACCTGCTATGAGGAAGGGAAAGAGCCCGTCAGGAAGTCAAAAGAGCTTGCGTGTTACTGTTTACTCGACATCAACGCTACTGCGGCTGCTGTTGAAGAGTACACAGTTTCGAATGCGTTCAGTGCCATGTTGAAACGTATTTTGGAGCCTGTGTTGGAGGCTGCGGCGATGGATCCCACTCCCCCTGTTGGATTGATTGAGCTTACGTACTGGCGGGCCATGTGCGAGTTCGTACGGCTTTGCGTATGTCTTTGTTAGCATCTTCAGTTTTCTGTCACTAATCAAGCAGCAGAAGATACCGACCGGTGATCGCCTACCAGAAGACCAAATGGCGATACGCTTATTGGGCAATACCTTTATTCTGTGGTTGGCAATCCGTTCGTCGACTATTCTAATCCGACCCACTACTAGCTTTGGAACTAACTTTTGGCCTAGAACACACGACAGGTTCATCCTACATTACGGGCGATGACAAGCTAGGCATGGAGCTGGAAACTCATGACCCAACATATCCGTTGCAGGGCAAGATTTCTATCCCACGGATGATCGTCGCCCAGTTCGACAACTTGAACTACACCCAAGTGCTCGAGAAGTACAAGAAGAAAGTCATGACCGAGCTTAGGTATTTCATGAACCGCTCCAACACACAGTGGTTTGTCGTCTATTTGGTCCTCTTCATCCTCATGCAACAGGCGAGCTCGACTGCGGCGGATCGATCTCGACACGCAAGAGCAAATTTCGGAACATCGGTATTCCCAGCTGCCCTTCGTTTTGTGTCATCTCCGGGAACTAACTGTTGGCCCTGCAGATTCGATACTCTATCCCGGACTTCGTCGAAAACCTCCAGGAGGGATGCAACAGTCTCCTCGCCCACTGGCACTGGTACGCCAAAGGAGTCTGGAACAGGTCCACCCGGATTGATTCAAAAGGAGAGGCGCGAATCGGTGATATGACAGTGGCACAAACCAAAATCATACAGGCAGCAAAATCCGACCCCGAGATCATCAAGCAACATGAGTTTTGGAAGCGTTGGAGAAGGGAGAATGGCAACAGTACGGATACACCCCTACAATGTCCATGACCAACACGCTAACTCCATGTTCCCAGTTTCGATGATGGGCGACAGGAGGCCTGCCGAAGACGAATACCAGGGGAGCCAAAATCAGCTCGATTGGGAACACCCCTATTACTGGATCGCCCAGCTTCTCGAAACCAAGTGGTCGCCGCACCAGACGTACCAGCGCGAACCTGTTCCCACCGTCGCCACCTGACGGTTTATACCAGACACCCAAGAACGAAACCACATCTTTGTTTTTCCTTAACACGATCCTTAACACTATCACGGCATTTCCTCGATACTAACGACTCACAAACGGACGGAACACGCATTGTTAGACGCTCGTCGAGCACTGCTCATGGAAGGCACTGACAGGACCAACGGAAAAGGAAAAACATGCAAAAAAAAAAGCGGCATTTGATCGCAGATGATGAGTAAATTGACCCACGGCAACCAACGAGATTTTTTAGGAACACAGGACAACGACAGGACGCCTTTTAGGGTCAGGATGTGGGTTCACAGCCTTGCTAGAAAAGGCCACACACAGAGCTCGGATCGCCCGAGGACCCCTTTTATGGATGATGTTCGCGGTACTTTTCATATCAACAGTCGCTACAAACTCAACAACACAGATTGATGCTCTCCTTTTTTCTCATATATGTATCTTGTTTGCTTGATACGTTCTCTACTTGACGCCATCATTCCCTCTCCAAGCCGCACCGCACTATCTATCCCTTGCTGAATCCATAGCCAACTCGTTCCAACCCAAAGCAAGTGTCACAACCCCTGAGTAAACAACAACACCACTCTTCCCAAATCTGATCTAAGGGGCCGTCCCACACTAGGTACTCTATGTGATCATCCCTTGAGTCCCTCGTACCCATGCCTCCCAGTCGTCTATCCGGCCAGTCCTTAACCAGTCCATCGTAGCACCATCAGATCCCTGCAGCCGGCGGTCCCACGGGTCTTCTTGTGCCGTAGCAGATCTTCTTCCGTGGCGGCTTCCAGGTGGGTGCGTCCCACTCTGTGTCCGGCCACACCTCGTCAATGGCAATCACATTCACCAAGGGAGTTCCCAGCCCGCGACTCTTCATAAACCTGGTGAAATCACCGCCGGATGCTCTCAGTCGATGTCGGGCTTCACGACGATTCAGAGCGGCTTTGACGTCTCTGATACTGCGCAAGGCGGAGTCGTGGAGGTCTCCGATGAGCTCGATACAACTCTGTAGTCGTACGAGTTGCTCTGCCGAAATCGTATAGTAGTTGTGGGGTTCTGTTGAGTCGCACAGGCTCTGAAAGGGGGTCTTGTAATTCGCATTTGGGCTGTCTGAAGGCGAAGCTGAGGTTGGGTGGCACGGTTCCGAAACCCTTGTCGTGCAACAGTTCCCCGAACTCGAGCCATCGACGTTCTGGTTGTCGTCGGCTTCAACTCGGTCGAGGTGCGACTTTAAATCTTCCGGGAATGATTGACTCCAAGGTAGTAGAAGGGTGTGCTTGGCCTCATCACTCTGATTCGGACCGCGGGTTTCAGGATCGATATCCGAGCAATCGCTTTCGTGTTGAGGTGACGGTGATCGGGTTGGCGTTTCTCGGTTGGAGAACCAATCTTCGTAGCGAGTGTCTTGATCGTGTGCGCCGGCGTCGTCGTAGTCGTGATCGTCATCCGAATCGGATTCTGCATCGAACGCGATTTCGTCAACGGGAATGCCCTGACACTCTGCAGGATCCCCGAAAGCAAAGTCTATAGTATAATCTTCATCTGCACATGGGCTAGTCGGGCTCAAGGCCGTGTCTTTGACAGCAGAACAATCCGTGTTGAGAGAGTCAGTCTGGGACTGGAGGGTCGCACCAGTATCCTACACGATGGCGTCCTCTCCATACAACCACGGAAAGTCGGATCGAGACCAAAGGTCGTATAGCTCCTCTTCTTCGTGCTCCTCCGGCCTGGGCAGTGGCACCATTATAGCGAAGATCCCAATATCCGACGGGGACGCGCGCTGGATCGCTCGGACCCGTAGTCTCATGAGATCGTCAAGCATCGCCTGTATCCGGTCTGCGAGCATGTACCTCATTTCGATCGACACCTTGGTGGTGTCCGTCGTACCCACGCCCCATCGCGGCATTTCGAGGCGAAGTCGGTCCGAGTGTTACTCGTCGGATCTTTGTCCAGTCGTATGGGGTGGAAGACGTGCGATATTGTCCAGATGAAGTTGCGGTTCAGGGGCGCATTGAGACGTAACAGGACACGAAGTTCGGTAGATGAAGGCCCAAGGGAATAAAGAGTAGTTATGGATGCCTGCTTCGATAATCTGAGTCAGTCTGGAGCGTGACCGCCTGCGAGGAGTCACGGGTCACGGAAGATGTTCTCAATGGAAACTGGCACTGCTCACTTCTCACTGTTTGTTTGTCGGAGCAATCACGAGTGAATCACTCACGAACTCACCTCAGCGTGCATTTCGTGTAAATGATTCTCCACAATTGCTATTGTCGCCGTGTCTTTGTCATGAGTCAGTCGGTCAGGGTTTGTCCCATTTGATTGCTTGTTCGTTCCCTCCCTGGATGTTCTGTGCACACACCAGGGGAAGCAGGCACGCAGTCGTCCGAATGACTCGCACATCCCAGATACAATTGCGTCATATGCTCCAGATGACCCTTCATCAAATGAAAGGCAAGTCATCCCTACGGCGTGTCGTCGAGTTAGCCTCCATGGCCGTGGCTCCGCGGATGCGGGCTCACCTTCCGGATGCGCCACACGCGGGATCCAACACTCACACATGGACTCATGCGAGATGCTCATCTCAACTCGATGCTTGCATAACTAAAGCTTCTGTGACGATAAGTCCCCTAAGGCCCATATAATAATGATTGTCCAGTGTCTCTAGTTTACGTCGCCCGTCTGCCATGTTAGTCGTCGTTCCGTACAAATATTACAACCTGCTAATGAACATTATAGATTCCCGTACGTCCTGTACAAGGCTCGCACGCTCGCTCGCAGGGCCCTCGTCTTTGGGTGCCTACGCTTCTAGCTATCGTCTCTCCGAAGAAACATTTCCAGAACAGTCCTCGCCCTGTCGGTGGCTCCCTTTTCCTTCTTGTCCACTCGACATGCCATCGGGCCCACCAACTCCGCATACCTCCTCTCCCTGATCTTTCTATTCTTTGAACTCTCATCTTCCCCACCGAGCCGGAAACTCAGCCGGCGCGTGAGACCCATGGCTTTCGGATCTGCTGTGGCGGGGGTCAAATCCGAGGCAACGCGCGACAGCGTGGCCGTCAAGAAGACAAATGCAATGTTGTGGTTTGGTGCCGAGGACAGAATATCGAGGATTTGCGTCTTGGTGTCGGGCCAGGCGTTCACGGGCACAGAGGAAATATTGGGCAGCGCAATATAGATCTTTGCCCAAAGGTGCGTGGGAACGAGACCATCTGTCAGAGACTCTAGGAAGAGCAATAGAACAGAGCAGAGAACCTCCAACTTCCGAGACGCTGAAAGTTCAAGGGGCAATGACTCGATCAGTCGCGAATCCGTGTCGAGCGCGCCGATAAAAGCAATTTGATACTGCTGCATCTCAGCTTGCTCCAACTTCCAAGTCGCAGGGTCAATGGGCCATCCTAGATCTCGGGGCAAGGCCGCGTCTTGTAGCATCGTCGCATCGGCAATGCTCCTCTCCACGAGGGTCTGAGCTGCCTCCGTAAGCTTGAACAGTTCCTTCGGGGCCGAACAATGCACCGCTGAGTCGTATGGGATCGCTCCCTTGATCTCTTTGTCCAACAAGAACCTCCTGATGCCGCCGTCCGGGATCCGTATGAGCTCGGAGATGGACCGTCCAAGGCAAGTCGGATTCCATGTTCCGCGCACAGGGATGAAGTGATCCCGACCGTCTTCTACACGAAGGACCAAAACATCCTCAATCATAGTGCTGGCTTCGTTCAGCGCGCGGATGTGATGTATCGCTGATATCTGTATCTCCAACAAGACCAAGACCGTCTCTCCGGGATCCAATGTCACAGAGTGTCCAAGGGGTTCTGGGGAATCCTCGTCTGCCAGCACGAAAGTCGTCTTTAGCCAGTCCGGGATTGCTTCGTCTCCATCCTCCGTGGCCGGCTTCTCGACAAATGAGAACGTCGCCGGCACGCCGCTGGTGTTTGCCACCGTCAACGAACTTGTCTTTCTTTCTAATGGTCCAAGCAGTCCAAACTCCACCACGTTGTCGGCGTCTCCGCCTCCGCCCTCGACAACAACTGTAATTCCCGGCCGGCCCTCGTTCTCGGCTCTATCTAGCTCCCTGGCTACTTCGGCATGCACTATTGCTTTGAGCTCCGGGACCACAGCGTCGTAGTCCAGAGTGAAGATGGATGTGATGGGTTTGTGGTCAGAGGAGGAGATGCGTTGGTGCGAGGCGTAGATTTCCAGGCCTATGCGATCGTGGAATCCCTCTTTGGTTACCACTTCCTCGGTTCCAGGGTCTTCGTTCTCGTCGTACTCATCATACTCATCGTATGAGCCCATATCGGTCGCCTTGGGTGGTAAGTCCTCCCCGTCTGCATCTGGGTCATAGCTGAAAAGCACGTCGTCATCCTCCTCGAGACCCCTAGCCCTCATTTCGGCGTCCTTCACCCTTGCTTCCTCTTCCTCTCTAACCTTATTCTCATATTGCAACTTATCTGTCCGAGTTCGGAACAAGATTCGATCACACCAACTTGGGGCACGTTGTTTCTCGCTCGTGTCAAAGAGACCGACCGTCCCCACGTCATATTTATAAGTCGGTAGGAATGTGATAGGGCCTTCTCGCCAGCCGTCATGGAAGACTTTGCGCTGCTTGACCATCCTCCGCAGCTGGTCATGGGATAGAAGGGAGTCGATGGTGGCCTGCAACGAGGTAGGATCTTGGCTAGGGTCTTCGGGGAAATCGTCAGGATCAGGAAGCGAGCTTGTGGAGTCAAAGCTCTCTTCACGAGAGTGTAATGATGACATGATGGTGGCATCGTCGTCACTGTCGGAGCTCTTCATCACAATCACTCCTTGTCCGTCGGGTGGCAACTTGGTCGTTTCATCGCTCGCGCCGTACTCGCCGCGAGCGTGTAGTGTCAACAGCCGTCTGATATCATCGCCAGGTAATCCATCAAGTCGGAAATTCAGGTCGCCAAACCAAAAGGCGAGGTCCTCCTCGCCAATCTTTTCCTCGGGCACATCCTCGTCGACACCAGCAAGAACAATCGGGTCAAACTGCGTCTTGGAGAGGATTTGCCCTACATCCCAGCATCGTCGATCGAGATATGATGAACCTGCACCGCTAGCAAGGTGACAGTTCACGAAGACCATGCGAGTCGTTTCTCCCAAGAGCAGCCGCGTCGTTACGGCGCCCTTATTTCCAAAGTAACCTAGGAGTCCCGTGCCAACCTGCTTCGTGCTTACGTTGCTGATGGTGGCTGCGACTTCGGGGGAAGCGTAAACCAACAATAGCAGACCGGTCATTTGCTCAGTCGTGATCAGCTCATACCCGAGGGGCAGAGCAGCTTCCAAGGCAGCTTGCCACTTCTCCATGGCGCTCTTGTCCGTGTAGACTGCGCGGTTCATGTATTCTTTGGTGGTGCTCAGGTCCACAATCTCCTGTAGCCCCAGAACGTAGAGCCCAATGTTCTTTCCAGCGACCAAGCGGTACGGCCCTGAATCTCCATCTTGCTGTGTCGGATCTGTGTGCTCCACCGAGGGGTTTTGGGACAGGTCGAGCGTCGCAAAGTCTTGATCGATGCCCTCTCCGCTGGTGAACCAGGTCGCAAGGTCTTTGTCTGTGCCGGGGCACGCTGCCACGTTCCAGGTCCCGATCTTGACCTTTATCCGGTGCGGGCGCACGTATTCCGACCGTCTGGCGTGGACCGCTCGGGCGAGAGACTGCGGCGTTGTCGTTGGCTGGTCGGCTGGCTCCGGGGTTCCCGGCTGAGCCGAGGGCTCGTCGACTTGGGACGCCATCGTGGCAGCGCTGTAGGAGCGAAAACAGGAGATGCGACGCCTTCGACTCGCGGTATCGTGGGTGGTTCGGCAGATGGTCCGCTAGATCATGACGTCCTGCGGGGGGCTTGACGGGGAGACCTCAGAGACGGCGGGCTCGGCTTCAGGACACAATGGGTACCGAAATAAAGATGCCGTCTATACTCAACAAAAGAGCCCAGAAGAGAAAATAAGACAACGCACGACAGGGCCGCAGCCAGCTTGAACGCTTGATGGTATCCGGATGCGGGTTGGTGTTGGGTGATGATGTAGCAACGCTCCAGCGCAGCCCCGCGACCGTCATTGCGCCGTTATCGATAAGGCTGGACCAAGCTTAAACAAGGCGCCCAACATTGTCATGTGCATCGCCTCATGAACAACTTCCACTTCACTGATACGCACTTCCACTTCCACTCCCTCCGACGAGATCGCTCCCCAACCGACGCTGCGCCCGTACCGCAAGTCGCCTGATTCTTATCCGGTCTTCCTGCCGGCTCAGCCTCAAACCCGACTCCTCATCACAGGCCTGCCGACGCCGCGCTGCGTGCCACTGGGCATCACCACTCTCTCCGTTGCCATCGAAATCTATTCACAGCCCAGCCATGAGCCGGCCAACACCGCGTAAGGCGCGGCACAGTCGCCAGCCCTCGAACCGAATACCCGCCGTCTCAGACTACGAGTCCGATGCCGCTGCATACTCGTCGATGCACAACGCCTACGCCCCTCCCCCGCCGCGCACCAACACTGCCCTCAACCTCTCGGTCCTCCAGCGCTACTTGCCCTCGATCCACACCATCCTCAGCATAGCGGCCAATGCCGTCATATACACCTTCGGCAGCGAGTCGGGAAGCTGGGACAAGTCCGGCGTGGAGGGCACCATGTTCGTCTGCGCCCAGTCGCCGCTCCCTGAAGACCCAAACCACCGGCCACGGGCCTGTGTGTTTGTCTTGAATCGGAGGGGTCTGGACAACGTCATCGTTGATTTGGCGAGGGTTACCCATGTCGAGATCTCGGGGGAGCTGGTCATCATGCGAGTTGAGGGCGAGTGGGAGGAGGGAGAAAAGGTATTGGGCGTGTGGATTCACAACGACAAGGACGAGACAAGAGAGGTGAACGCGGCCATGATCCAGGAGAGCTGGAAGATTGCAAGATCTGCAGGCCCGGTTGAAGCACAGGGGCCCGAGGCTGGACCAGCGATGCAGGCTATGGGCCGCAGGCTGAGTTTGAGTGACTTGTTCGGAAAAGCTTCTGGTGGAAACTAGGTCCTCGTGGCTAGGCGGTGGCTGGATACAACAATGATGGTTGGAGACTCAATTCAACACCTCAATGGGTTTCTATGGTATCGGAGTGCGGCTCGGGCGCTTCTGAAGGGTGGTCCGATGAAATGCTCGGGACATGGTATCAATAATGTCGCACGCCGTGGGTTCAACTCCTAATTTTCAGTCGATAAATGAAGCATGGCACACGACCCCCAAGAATTAGTATCGTTGGTTCAACTCTAATCCGACTTTCCAAGATAGAAAGTCAAGCAAACAGGTTGTCTATTCGTGTATTCGTCAACGCGATACCAAATGTCTGCAAGAGCAGCTAGCACCCTTTCCGTACGCCATTCCCAAGTGTTTCAAATTAGACGCTCAAGCTTCCTCCAGTCTACACCGTGCCGCTGATACTCAACTCCCGAATCTCCTGCAGTACCTCCTCTACCCTGGCGTCCAGTTGTCCTTCGGCGTACTGATCTCTAGTGTCTGCATCCAGGTACTGCTGGACCTGCGCCATGCGCGAGTACGCTTCCGCGCAGAATCGCAACTGAATCTTGACGAGCGCCTCGAAGCTAGGGTCGAGGTACGGCACGCGGAGGTCAATGAGTTGCGGCAACTCAGTGCTGAGCTGCTCATTCAGCTGCTCGTACGCGGCCTTAGCCATCTCCATCTCCTTCTCGGTACGTGGGAGCTTCGTGGCATCCTTGTCGGGCTTGTCGACAAGGCGCTTGACCTTTGCGCGAAGGGCATCGTAGTCCAGGAGCTTGTGGGAGCGCTTCTTGACGCACTCGTTGACGTCGGGGAAGTAGGCGCAGAAACGACCGATTGGGTCGAGGACGGTCGTTCGGTAGGGGCCGTCCAGGGCTTTGATGGTCTCGGCATCCAGATCCTCCACCGCTTGTTTGTAGCTTCTGCTAACACCGTCCTTGGCGCCCGCGTCACCGTAAAATGCGTCTATTGTTTCCGCGATTCGCATTTGCGATGCCGTCATAGCTGAGAATGTTAGCTTCCAGCCACGACTATCGCAGTGCGCAATCACCAACCTCTTAGCGAGTCCAGGTAACCCTTCGACTCTTTCTGCAGTCGCAGCGATGCCGCTTCCATTGTCTTAAATCGTCTGGCCGCGTGTCAGCTGTCGTCCGGTGATCCCTCAACGTCGTGCTAACCTCTCCTCAACTTCATAATCTCGGTCGTTCGTCTTCTCCACGTGCCCTGTTGAAATTGTTTAGCCAAGCTCTTCCGGCTCCATGTCAGGACGCAACATACCCGTCTTCATCATCACCTGCGTCGTCGCGCGGTTCACATTCTTCTTGAACCCTGTACTCAAGTTAGACCCCTCCTGACTGCGGGGTGATAGCTTTGCCTACCCGCCCACGACATCTTGGCAGACTAATAATTGCAAACTTGGATTGTTCGGTATAAATGGTTCGGTATCCGGACGCCGAGGTCGTCAAACGCGCTGGAGGAGAATGCTTGGGAGGTGCAAAAGGTAACGGTGTTGGTTGGCACGAGCAAGTTGGACAATGAGTGACGACAAAACCGGGGCTCAGCCACGAACCCAGCCCAATCGGCTGATCGACGTCAGCGACGGGGCTGTGCTACGGTGGCGGCATTTTTATTCTTCCGCTGTGGCGTCTTCACGTGACACCGTGTCAAGCCTTCAAACTTGCAAGTGAAGCTACACGCTGTTGAATAGATCGTCGCGTCAGAATGTTCAGCCCTCGGTTTCTCGTTGTCAGTCTTGGCAATCCTCTGCCCAAATATGAGAGCCTCCATTCGGCCGGCCACTTTGCTCTCAATGGCCTGGCCAAGGTTCTACGACACCCCCCTTTTCACGAGGTGACTCTTGGGAAGCATACATATCTGGTGTCTCAGGGACCCAAGTACACATTGGTCCAGTCGCCCACGCTCATGAATGTGTCTGGAGGATTTGTTGCCCGAGCATGGCAGGAAATGACGAAACAACATGATCCGGCATCGCTCAGCCTCGTCATTGTTCATGATGAACTCGAAAAGGACTTGGGCATTGTGAGACTCACGGCATGGGATCGGAGTCACAAGGGACACAACGGCATCAAAAGCGTCAAGGGTTCGCTTTCACAGGGCAAATATCCCACTTCGCCATTTGTACGGATTGCTGTCGGTATTGGACGGCCGGTGGAGAGAGACGCTGAGACTGTGAGCCGGTATGTTCTTGATCGGATATCGAGAGAGCAGAGGAGGATCCTAGAGGAGGAGGCACCTTGGAAGGTTGCGGAGAAACTCGTCGAACTGGAAGATGAATGGAGGAGCGAGGTCAAGTCATGACTTGGGCCGGTCCCTTGTCGAGAGTCACGGCAACCAGATGGTGGGATGCGAGCCATACCTGTGCCTGCTGGGATGAAGATACATCTCAACACCTCACAATGATGAAATGCTGCAGAAGTCATTTTGAGAACATCAGGCCACAAAACTCGGTTGGGTTGTATCATCAACACCATTACGCAGCAAACCCCCACGCCGACGCAACAACTCTTGATCAGCCGCACTTTAAGACAAGCATCAATATTCTACGAAGTACATCAATTGGGTACATCCACGCCTCACGGTAGCATTGGCGACCCTCCATTACTCAAACGGGCTCAGGGGGGCAGCGCCGACCAATCCAATGTCAAGAGTTACGATCGACTGAGACGAAATGCAATGAAACACAACTACGATAGATGAAATGTACGATTCAAGAAGATACCCCAATCAGCGACAATCATAAGCACTTGCCCATATGTCGCTTACGCATGCACTCACTGACAAGGTGGACTGGTCATGAAGCCCGAAACTCTCTCCGAACCGGAATGGCTTCAAAATCCAACCGGCAACTCGGCTGCGCTACAAGCATTCAATGCATAGAGGCTGAGATTTGAGCCTGTTTCGCAAGCTTACAAATTCGGCCATCATCTTGCCCCCAATCGCTCGCACACATGTTGGTGCGTGTCGTTCTGGTGCTGGGGCTCTTATCTCTACGCTAAACGTGCCACAGGTGATGTGGAATAGGTTGCCAACCCTTCCAGCGTCCTTATCTGGCCAAGGAAAGACAACAATTTGGGGAGAGCATGCGGAGCCAATAATGTGATATCCGATCTAGACATGGGGTCGAGGTTTGATGATGGCCTGAGCCGACAGATCCGTTCATCTGGTGGAATCCATGGTCCAGCTGAGCCGCTACGTAAAGCCTGCATGAGGGTGTGGCAGTAAGATGAGTGTCTGATAAGGATGCGAAGATGTCGGTCTTGACGGGTATGCGTTTGAAGAAGTGCGTCGAGGAGCGTCGGGTGCGGTAGGCCAAGGCGGAGTAAGACTGCGTCGGTTGCAGTCAAGGACAGGCAAGGGCGACGGTGTCGTTCGAGAGAAAGGGGTCGGGAGTCATTGGTGCATCTCGAGCAAGTCACGGCGGCGCAAACACCTTTGCCAAAGGTGGTGATGGTTCGTCGTTGAGCAGAATTGAAGTTGGAGTAAAGTTAGACGCTGAGAAACGGTCTCGCAGTGGCGGGAACAACGTCAACTTAAATATTGCATGGCCGTCAGATTCCCCATCCCATCGAGCGGGAAGCTCGCATTCAGACGCCCGCAAGAGGTCCCTCGCAAGGCTGTGCGGGCGCAACATGGTCGATTTCGCACGATGATGGGCGGCGGGGGCGTATTCGAGACCATGTCGCAGCTATCACTTATTAGACTACGTTCTAAGAAGCACGGAGGACCCTTGGTTTAGCTCTACGACATGGCAGATCGAATTATCGTCAACAAGAGCTTCGAGACTGCTGCTTCGGCCGTGAAGCCGATCCTCGGATTGCAGCCGGGCAAACGCGGGAACATGACGAGTCGAGATGATAACGACTTCGCCCTATCCATCTCCCTGGACTTGGCGGTGAGTCCAGCCAAGCGTTTAAGCTTGCACATGCGCAAGACCACGGGTACGGCACTCGACACTCAGCAGCAATGCGTCACATGGCGTGTATTGGCATCAGCATTTCACGAGACGGATTCCACCTTGGCCGGCTTCAAGACACGGCACGACTTGGACTTGACTTGATTGGCGTTGCATGGAAGCCTGGGAACAATTGATTTGGCGCCCGGTAGGAGGAACTAGGATGCCGGGAGGGTGTGGTCTTCTGGTCCATGCCATCCCAGCCGTCCTAAACTAGCTGCTCCACCGACCCTGCCAAGAGATAAGAGCTCAGCCCAACGACCAATAAGGCGGGAGCCATTCGACCTCCTCCAGAGCGAAGACTATGTACCAGGCAGCCCGGTCATTCGAGAGATAAGGAGCGTGCGGCGTCGAGTTTGCTGACGCAGGGCCGCGAGAGGCTCGATGGTGAGGCTTGATGGCGCGGCGACGCATGGTCTGGGGAAGGCGGAACTGCACGCCCTCCTGCGGACGTGTTGGTGGTGTCCTGCCCGAGAGGCGCATACGCCGGACGCAGGGCGAAGTGACAGAGTTTACTGATAAGCTGCCAACGGATAAAGAAGCAGGAAATGGTTTCACGTAAACATGGGGATGAGGGCTTGCGGTTGGATGTCTGTCTGGCTAGAGTCTCAGTCCGTCGAGGAATCTCGGGTTGCGACCACCCACCAGGACTGTCGTTGGGATGCGTGCTATGTATGTCGCAAACAGCAGACGACGAGGTTATTTGAACCTCGTCCCTGTCTTTTGCGTGTCACAGTACCGATACTCTGTTTCGGAATATCGTCATGACACGGTACGACGTTGAGCGCATGCGACGAAACCATGTCTCCTGCTCCTCGGTATCAAGACCAACTACGAAGTACACTTTTGAGATGCAAGACCAATCGCCAACAAGCCGATCATCCACCGTGACGGGTTCACCTTGGCACTGGTCGCCGGGTTGTCTGTGTGGGGGTTCACAAGCGGGCCCGCCTTGGCGAGAACTACAGTCTACACTTCTGGGCAGACGGACGGCATGCGGATGCGGAAGAGAGTGAGATGACATACGAACAAGGCGTTCAAGTCGGCATTCCGCGCTGACGAGCGGGTGTCTTGCTCGGCTAGCTCGCCCATTTTCGCTTTCCGCGGTGGGCTGTCGGCTACGAGCGCCAGTGGTTTGACGGCGAGATATGGGTTGAAAGAGTCATGCGCCGACGGACGGGACGGGAATGCCTCACCAGCTCCAGAAACCGGAGCCGATGGTGGGGAATCCATGAAGTGTTGCTCGTCCCAGCAACACCGGGCATGTATTATCGTACCCATACATCGAGCCTCCACCATCGAGCCTCCACCATAGACTCTCCACATCGAGCATCGCATCGCGGTGGAGTTGCGGTGCTCTGGGCATCCTACGGCGGTGCGGCAGCGTCGGCACAGCGCGCGGATTGGCGTCGCAGCTCGCCTGAGCCTGAGCCTTGAGCATTCCAGGGGGTCACCCCAGCATGTACGACGTATCCCAGGCGCAGCAGTAGCCAGCTCATTTCTCCGAACACGTCGACTTGCAATGTGCCGGCGATGATGTACTTGATGCTGCTCGTACAACATCTCAGCTAGGGAAAATCCGGGGGTGGCACCGCCTCGCGACTCATGACTGCTCCCAATGCAGCAATGCGTCTCCCTCCGCCCTCCCGAGTACGTACAGGACTTGGCTCGACAAGCCAGAAGAAGAAGCACCCATTCCTCAACCGCAAGGAAAAACTCATTAAAGAACACGGCCAAGAAAAACTTAACAGCAGCAGATAAGACATGCCCTGCACCACACACCCCGGCAGACTGCCAAGCCAAGGCCCGAAAGCCGGGGGACCTCTTGGAGGATGGAAGCTTATCAGTGGGCGCCGTTAAGCCCACGGTGGCGTCAGCTCCGGCTCCTTCGTACGGATCCTTTCCAAAGCAAGGCGCCGGACCGGATTCAGACTGAAGCTGCGATAAGCTGCAGACAGCGAGGAGATGGGAGGGGCCTCTGAGGCGTGCGTGAGGCGCAGAGTAGGTGCGTGTTTGCGAGTGAGACGGCCGGGAAAAGGGAAATGGAAGACGGGGCATTCCCACAATCCCATTGTGTTTGTCAACGACCATCGACACGGTCTAGTCTGCTCGCGGAGCTTATCAGAAGAACAGACTCCGATGGCTCGTCTTGGCTGTTGTTGGTGTCCTTGGTATTCTTGAGCGCCTCTCGTCACCACGCCGAGATGGCTGCACGCATGGATGGACGGATGACCAGCTTTCCGACAGCAAAAACAACCTTACTGACAACAATACCAATACTCTATCTTGAGATCCCATCCATCCACCCTTCATCTTCGGCTGCACCTGCAACGAAGCAGCGCCAAGGGGGTGTGAATGGCCCAATCTTATTCGGGTACGCCTTAGCCCAAGCATTACACGACCGGCATCCAGCATCACCAGCATGCCACTCCTAATTACCCGCGGCCTCAACCCTTCTGGAAGTACGGCCTGCTCTGGCACACACGCTCACTGGCAACTTAATTAGTCGCTCGCCCGATCCATGAACCATGGGCGTCCTATCACGACGCTTCCCCCACACCTCTCCCGCACGCCTCCCCCCCTTGTCGCAACACCATCACAAAGTCCACCTCGTCTTCCCCTAGTCCGCTTCTGGGCTTGCCTTGAGTCTGTCTCTGGACCTTGTCCCGGGTGGCCTGCATCAGCGTCAGTCTCCGCGAGCCCGCGAGCTACCCTGAGTTGTTCGCCTTGGCCGTCCTCCGTCCCACCACGGCTTCATTAATTGCTGCCCCGGTCAATCCGTCGGTCCATATCTATTTAGACATCTGGATCCCCGGACCTGGTCTTTTTTCCCTCCTCTCCTTCCCTCGCCATCCTTCCTTTCATCTTCTTCTTCAAGCTCTCTTCCGTCTCGGGCAGAGGTTCGAGGGTCTTGGAATCGAATTCCCACCACAGGAAGCCTTCGACAACTCGCCGTCGCCCATCATGTCGCTCGAGTATAACGGCACGACCGACAAGGCCGATGATGGCTACTCATCCGGGGTCCACGACCTCAATGAGTTCTACGACGTACGTTGACTCCACTTACACACTGCCTTGAGAAAACTCCCAGCTAACACGATGCCTCCTGCAGACTGGTCACTTGACCTTCCTTACCATCAGCGCCGTTCTCGTGCTGCTGATGATTCCCGGTGTCGGTTTCTTCTACAGCGGTCTCGCCCGCCGCAAGTCCGCCCTCTCACTCATCCTCCTCTCCATGGTGTCGGTGGCCGTCATCAGTTTCCAGTGGTTCTTCTGGGGATACTCCCTGACCTTCTCCCGCACTGGCAATGCCTTCCTCGGTGACCTGACCCAGTTCGGTCTCATGAAGACCATTGGTCAGCCCAACGGCTCCTCTGCGCTCCCTGACATCCTGTTCTGCCTGTACCAGGGCATGTTCGCCGCCATTACGTGAGTCTTCTCCCGCTTCTTCACATCCACGACACCGGACTAACACCCGCTCAGTCCCGCCCTCGCCATTGGCGCAGTCGCGGACCGCGGCCGCATGCTCCCCGCCATTGTCTTCATGTTCCTGTGGTCGACCGTCGTCTACGACCCCATCGCCTACTGGACCTGGAACGCCAACGGCTGGCTGTTCAACCTCCCCAGCTACGACTTCGCCGGCGGAGGCCCCGTCCACATCTCGTCCGGCACCTGCGCCCTCGCCTACAGCTTGATGCTCGGAAAGCGCACCGGCTACAACAGCAACAACGGCCTCCCCTACCGCCCCCACAACGTCACCCACGTCGTCCTCGGAACCGTCTTCCTCTGGGTCGGCTGGTTCGGCTTCAACGGCGGTTCTGCCCTCGCCATGAACATCCGCGCCGTCATGGCCTGCTACGTCACCAACCTGGCTGCCTCGTGCGGTGGCATCGCCTGGATGCTCCTCGATTACCGCCTCGAGAAGAAGTGGAGCACCGTCGGCTTCTGCTCCGGTGCCATCTGCGGCCTCGTTGCCATTACTCCCGCTGCCGGTTTCGTCAAGCCCTGGGCTGCCGTCATCATCGGCGTCTGCGGTGGAATCATCTGCAACTTCGCCACCAAGCTCAAGTTCCTCATCGGTGTCGACGATGGTCTCGATATCTTTGCCGTCCACGGCATTGGCGGCATGGTTGGAAACATCCTGACCGGTATCTTTGGAACGTGAGTCTCACCACTACTACACATCTCTCCTTGACAATAATAGCTAACCCCTCTCCAGCTCCGTCATTGCCAACCTCGACGGTGGCACCTACGACCCCATCGGCTGGGTCGAGCACAACTGGATCCAGCTCGGTTACCAGATCGCCGGCTCCTGCGCCGCCTTCGCCTGGTCCTTCGTCCTGACCTGCCTCCTGCTCTTCATCATGAACCTCATCCCCGGCCTGTCCCTGCGCGTGTCCGCTGAGGAGGAGGAGCTCGGCCTCGACGACGGCCAGCTCGGCGAGTTCGCATACGACTACGTCGAGGTCACCCGCCAGATCGACAGCGCCGCTCACTCGTCTTCCGAGGCCAGCGCCCGCAACAGCCATGAGAAGGTCTAAGGCCTTGACCGGAGGCGTGTTTGTTGTTTGACGACGGGACGTTGACGTCTTCCTTACGAAGATGCGGAGAGATGTGATGCTTGATACCACCATACCGTTTTACCAGTTTTCTCTTGAGTGCACGCTCATTCACCAAACATCACCAACCAGTATAGATCAATCGTATACCCGTTTAATTTAAGTTGCTAAACGTTTCTCTTCTCCAACACTTGACCCATCATTCCTTGTAAAGACCCAAGCATAAATCGCAATCCTCCCATCCTATATATAGGTGACTTACGACGACTGCAACACCCAAGCTTCGTCCTGCACGACCAAAAATCCCCCTCCCAAATCTGACATGCCTTAGCCTACGCAGCACGCCCAAGTCGCATCATGCGTCTGGGGAAGAAGTGCCACCATCTGGAGACCCGGAGCGGTCGGAACACCCTGCTTCCGCGGCTTGGTGCTGACATGGCAAATGCCGTGCTGCACGCAGACCAAAGTTCCGGGTGGTATTGGTTGATCGAAGGGGAATTCGCCGGTCGTTGCGCGATGGCACGCCAGGTGTGGGGAGAGCGTCTGACATACAGCTGCGTGCATCGCCAAGAAGGATCCAAGGGGATGGATGGGTACATGTGTGTGTTTGTGCGCGTGTAGCTGACCAGTGAGTGCGACCATGCCACATAGACATCATCACTATAGCATATTCAACAAGTATTCACCCAGGAGTTGGTAGAAAGTCGAATTCCAGTGTCCGTAGGGAGAGTCCCTTTCCATCGAAGAGCAATATCGTGTACCATAATTCTATCGCATATTCATTCCCCTTTGTCCCAGTTCCGCAGCGTCCCTCGCGGGTGAGCCTGCCTGTTGCTACTTCAAACCAATGCTCATAAACAACACACAAACACCAGGGCGCCGTTGCAATGCGAAGCGTTCTCCGCTGCGTTGCATGCTGCCCGTTCCCCTTGTGTGATCCTGCGGTGGTATCCATGGTCTTTGCCGTCGAGTCGTTGCCGCCAATCGCGACATGCCAAACACAAAAACTCCTCCCGATACGCTATGTGTCTTCTAAGCATCCCGTGCGTCCGAGGCGCGCATATTCTAACTCCTTCCAGCTGTGTGAGCTTACATCAAGCTTGCCGGTATCAATAAGAATCATAGCATACCGTCAAAGAGGTGGTTCCCCAAAACCAGATGCTAATAGCATCGTCATGTCCGTTTCAACCCGAGTCGTAGAGCGGTAATCATGCCCATTCAATTCATTCCGTCTGGCTGCGAGCCATTCTCTTGCTGCCGATGGATTGTTGCAGTGCTGGCTCCCATGCCCATGATGACGTCGCCGTTGACTCCGAAAGTAGCGCTCGCTTGCCGGGAGCCTGAGCCGTTTCCGACCGTCGCAGCGCTTGCTTGACCGATACGAGGAGCATTCCCTGGTAAAATGGTGTCAAGAATTTCTTGGAGGTTTCGTGGTTCAGACATAAACTGCTGCGACCCGCCGCGGGCGACTTGTATCACAGAGGGATTCTGACCTGTGCCGGGTTGCGTAGGCGGCACCGGGATCGGTTGTGCAAAGCCCATGTTGACCGGTCCGTTGGCATCTCCGAGACCCATTGGGTTTTGGACTTGGGCATCCACTACCATGTCGGCACCGTCCAGTCCTTCAAAATCATTTTCCTCGTCGGCCATCTCGTCGTCGAAGCCCTCCCCGTCCACAGCAAGGAGAGCGCCCGTGGGTTGCCGTATGATCGGAAAGGGGTTTCTTCGATTGGGGTCGATGGGAAGACGGCCGTTTGGCCTCGATGGGAAGCTCTCTCGGAGCTCTTCAAACTGGGGCGAGGTGCCAAGGAAGTCGCGGAACTTGGGTACCATGGTACCGGAGAAAACGCAGAAAACGTCCCGCTGATGCTGTGTAAACTCTGCACAGAAAGTCAGTGCTGCTCTCGGCAAAATCTTCGGGGGCTTACCTGGGGGTGCTGTTCGGCAGAAGGGTTGGAAATCATCCCGCTGGAAGGCAGCAACGCCAGTCAAGCTGAGGTGAGTAAGTCTGGGGCATGAGTTGAGAAGCTTCATGATGCTCTGTGTGAATGTAAGTATATAGTCCAGAGAAACATGAAACACGGCATCACTGACCTTGAGTGTTAGGTTGATACAGTAGCTGAGATGGACACGTTCCAAGCTCGAGGCATAGTACTCGCCACCCACAAACATTCCACTTGCATCTCTTCGTACCCTAGGGCGGTAGGCCGCCTCGGCGAGGGCGAACACAGAGTCGTCCGTGATGGAGCTGCACTTGACCAAGCCTATCCTCTTCAGCTTCGGGAGCAGTGCCAACCGCTTGACAGACTCGTCGGTCAGGTTCGTGCAGCAGCCGAGGTCGATGTATCGGATGCGGTTGCAGTTTTGGACTAGCTTCTTGACGCCCTCGTCCGTGATCTGCCCACAGTGGCCCAGATGCACGTAGTGCAGGTTCTTACCGAGCTTCGAGATGGCATGGACAGCTGCATCGGTGATGTTGCGGCACTTGGCCAGGACGAGGTTTCGGAGGCGTGGGGCAACATCAATAAGCTTCTGGACCGCCGCGTCGGTCAGGCGAGTGCAGGATGTTAGGTCGAGGATGCGGAGGTGTTCAAAGATTCGGTTAGGGGGCAGAGACAGGAAGGCCTCGTCGTCGATGAGGTCGCAGCTCGCCAATCGTAGCTCGCGCAGGCAGTTGCCCCTAGCCAGCAGCGATGTCACCGGGCTGTTGCCAATCCAGGTACACTGATGAAGATCTATTTCAAGAATGTTGGGGCAGTGCTCCGCAAAGGCGAGAATGGCATCATCTCGGAGCTGATTACACTCGTTGAGTTTCAACTACAAGTTAACAAAAGGTTAGTAAACTGACGCGGGAGCCTGGAGGATTCATGACCATACCCGCTTGATGAACTTGCAACTGTGCGCTAGAGCAATCATGCTCTCGTTGGAGATGTTCTCGCAGCCCGAAATGTTTAGACCCTGGAGCCGCTTGCAGTGCTCGGCTATGGCGTTGATGGACTGCTCGGTGATGTTCTTGTCGTTGGAGATGTCCAGGGCCAGCAACGAGTTGCTGTTTTCAACCAGGGCAATCAAGCCCGAGTCGGTCAGACCGCGGCAGTTTGTGAGGGTCAAGCGTTCGACGCGGGTACAGACGGACAGAGGCATGACACTGCCATCGTTGACTTTATCGGCAAGGGCGGCCAAGTTCAGGCGCTTGATGAAGTCGCGGTAGCTGAAGAAGGGTTGCTCGAGGCCCAGGGTCTGGCAAATACTGCTGTGCTTCTTCCAGTCGGTGCAGGCAGGGCGGTGCCACAACAGGTCGACGGCATTCCTAGCCCATCGCTTGGAGACGAGCATGCAGTGGTAGAGGTCGGAGGTGGAGCTGAGCTTGGAAAAGACGCTGATCAGGATCTCGTTGGGCAGGCGGTTAACCGGCGGCCAGCAGGTATCGTCAACGGCCATGTCCTGGATGTTCGGGACGCCGAACGAGGACTGCGAGTCGTTGGCGCCGAGGAAAAAGTCGGACTCTTCGTTGTCGGCGGGCGCGGGGGAATTGGTTGATGACGACGATCGGGAGTCATCCTGCTCGTCAGCTGCGGCGGCAGCAGGGCCAGGGCGAGCAGCGGCCATGGCGTCGGGCGGAGGAAGCGAGATGGAGAACGGAGCAGGCCAAGGCGAGAAGGGATCGATCGCGGAGATGCTGTTTGCGGGCTGCAAGGGTGCGAGGCTCGACGGGGCCAAGGACTCGGTTGATGAGGAAGGGAGTGGGCGAGAGTGGGTTTGGCCAGCGGCAGCACTACGCACTCTCTATAGGCGGCCGTTCACGATGGCAGCAGCAGCAGCCGCCGAAGACGCAGCGTCTCTCGCCGTGCTCTGGTCGACACGCAGCGGAGGGCGTGCGGCGGGGTCTTCGGCCGGGTTTGTGTGTTCGCTGCAGCCCGGGGATCGCGGGGCGTGGTTTGCGGCGGCGGCGGCGACGTCGGGAGTTGGGTTGTGATGGTGGTAGAGGTGAAAGCGGTGGTGTTGGCGATGGTGGGTGGGTGATGGTTTGGAGGGACGGACACAAACGAAACGGCACCGTACTCGCTAGTTAGTGGTCGATTTGCCCATGGCGGCACCGCAGCCGAAATAGACATGGAACCTAAACAGGGCGGAGACTGGCTGGGGACCTTGGGGGACTTTGGGCTGCGCTAGGGTGGGCTTGGGCTTCCAGTCGCCTGCGTTTTGTGTCGCTCCAGGCCAGCATCCACTGGTTTCAGCCTCGTCGGAGGAACCCTTTAGCGGCCAGTGCCCTGGAGCCGCGCTGTGACGGCAGAGTGTTACAGGGCGTCGCAATGCTGTTTCCAGCGGGCCTGGCCGCCTCAGCGCTCTCGGGGCATTAATTTAGGGGGGTGCCAGCCCAAGCGTCAGGCCTGCGGGGGGAGGATTCAAGGGATCTGCCGCGGGCGGTGGGGACCAGTCCACCGAACCGTAGATTAACGATTAACGCGGGTCCTTGGTGCGCGAACCCGATGGGCATAAAACATAGCCCCGGACACCCCGGAGAAACAACAAGGCCCGTGACAATGGCATGCAATTGGGATGACGGGCGCAATGTCTCGCTGTTGGAGAGCCGCTTCCTCCAAGGCTGAACGGGCGGCCACACGAATCGCGGGGAGGGCTGTGTGTGGAATGGGACGAGAGCCAGCAGCACGTAACCTTCTGGCGCGGGGCATTGAAAACGAGGCCTGAGTCGCACAGAGGGACAGGAATAAACACTCAACCCGCTTCGCTCAAGCCAGGAGACGGTCTGTAGACTCGACTCGGTTCGCCCGGGCCACTTGCTTTTGCTGTTTTCTTGTTCCTGCGTATTCTAGATTCCAGTCTGTCCCGCCTCGTCGGCATCTCCAGGTACACTTGTGGCGGGAGGCTACACGCTACACTGCGCTGGCCGGAGCAAAACGTCAGCACAATCACCACCAACCACAACGGGACGAAGCCTCCAGAAGACCAGACAAATGGGCTGCAGGCGACCATGATTAACAATCACCTCCCAAGGGACTTTCCATCACCAGGCCGTTTTGTCTCTCTTCTGCCCTCTCTATCTATGTCTCCTGCGCAAAGTGATGTGCATGTGCAGAGTGCATCCTTAGTCTGTGTGATACAACCTGCATTCCCACGCCGCTTCCTCTTGTCACGTTCCATTGTGACCAACAGGTGATGCTCTCACATCACCAACCACATGACAGGGGCTATGTTCAAGACAACCACATCAAGTGATGGTGACTCAACCGGTCCAAGTGTAGCTCAGTACGACAGCCGACCGTCCTCGCACCAGCGTCAACAGCTCTTCTCGTCGTCCGTCCAACATCAACCTAAAAGTCCAGGGTAGCTCGCCGTGGGATGTGACGTCGATGCACCTAGATTAGATAACGTCACGTGGCGGGGTAACCCAATCGGATCGTACGTTTTCCCGTCAGATCTGACATAACGGAGCTGTGCTTCGCGGTCAAGCTGTAGAAGAACGACCCACGACACCTTTCGACACATCCCCACCTTCAATGGATTTCTCCTGATCCGTTGCCTCGACCTGGGACTTGATTCTGTAAATATACTGTCGCCAAGGCCACCGCCGCCATGCTCCGTCCCTCGACCCTCCGTCCCGTCCTCCGGGCCCAGCGGACTCAATGCGCCGCAGTCCTCCATGCGTCCCGCCGGACCATGTTCTCGCAGCGCCAATCCCGTCTGACCGATGACTACGACGTCAACCAGCTCAATTCGAAGCGCCGCGACTACGAGCAGAACCGCACTGCATTCCTTGCTGCCGGTGCCATTGCTGGCATCCTCTCATTCGGCTACACGGCATGGAAGCTCAAGCAGGCTCTCGACCTCCAGAGTGAGAAAGAGAAGCGGGCCGTCAAGTGCGACGCCACAATCCCCACGGAGACTTTCAAGACCGAGGGGGGGGAGAAGCGCAAAGTAGTGCTCCACGACGAAGAGGGGCATGAGGTTGTACCCACAGGGAACAAGACCATCAAGCTATTCCCTCGAACAATCAACGTTGAGGAGCTCACCTCGGCACAAAAACCAGCCAGCCCTATTGCGGCCGCCCTTTCCGACAAACAGGGCACGGAGTTTACCTTGGTTGGGCTGGGAACAAGGACGGTGACGTTTATTGGCATCGAGGTGTACGTCGTTGGCTTCTACGTTGCCACGCAAGACATCGCCAAGCTGCAAAACTACCTCGTCAAGAAGATCAACCCCTTGGCGACTACCTTGATCCCTTCGGAGAAGGATGCGCTTCGCAAAGCGCTACAGGACCCCATCGAGAGTGAGGAGACGTGGGATACAGCCTTCAAGGATTCTGGGTGCCGCACTGCGTTTCGCATCGCCCCAGTCAGGGACACCGACTTCCCTCACCTGCGTGACGGCTTGGTCAGAGCCATCACTGCCCGCTCGGGACACAACGAGGCTTACAAGGACGAGGCCTTTGGTACCGCCATGAAGACATTTAAGCACATGTTCCAACGAGGTCTAGTTCCTAGGTCCAAGGAGCTGCTCTTAGTCCGCAACGATGTGGGCAAACTGTCCATCATCTACGATGGGGGCGACAAGTACAAGCCCCAGAAGAGCCTTTTGGGTACGGTGGACGACGAGCGGTTGTCACGACTGCTTTGGCTCAACTATTTAGGCGGCAAGAAGGTGGCCTCGGAGGAGACTCGCCAGAGCATCATCAACGGAATCATGGAGTTTGTCGAGAGGCCCATTGGCACCGTGGCGACTCAGGTCGTTGCGGCGCAAGCCCTATAATCTCATGGCTTTTTATGAGTGGGGAGAAAATGTACATTATGGCAGCAGGGCATCGAGTGGCGGACATGTAATAATAGGCACGGACACAACTCAGCAACTCATGTCGAGACACAGCATCAATTGACTTGACCCCTTTCAGCAGGGAAGATATCACATTACTGTGGTAAGATCGTTATTCAGCTATTCTATGGCTTGGAACTAAACGCCTTCATCTAAGCGCCCTCGTCTATAGTCTGGAACTGAGCGCAATCAGCTCCCACCCCACATGTCATTCACGGAGATCACTCAGGATCCTTACGCGGACAGAGCACCAGCATCGGTGAGCAGAGCCTTGAGCTTGCCGGACGAGCGCAGGCCCTGGAGGTCGGAGTTTCCACCAATGGACTTCTGTAGGATGAAGGTGTTGGGGACGGTGCGCTGGCCGGTGAGCTCCTCGATGGCGTCCTGAAGGGCACCGCCGTCGGCTGCGGGACAGAGAGTTAGCTTGGACCTCACAGGCTGTTAGGGAGGGGGTGGGGGGTGTCATACAGGCCTGGTCGAGCTCAAAAGCCTCGAAGTTGGCGCCCATGCTCTGCAGAGCTCTCTTGGTCTCCTTGCAGTACGGGCAGTACGACTTGGAGAAGACGACTATTGTGAACGAGGGTCAGTCGAGACAAGAACGGGAAGAGGCCATGCGCCCCACCAGCCGTAGGGAGCGGAGGCGTGGAGAGGGGAAATAGAAACATACCAACGGGGTTGTCGTTGATGAGCTGCTGGACCTTCTTGGAAGCTTCGGCCATTGTGCTGGGACTGGTAGGTCTGGTGGAGAAGAAGGAACGGAAGAAGTTCATGGGGTTGGTTTCGGAATGGGGAGACGACGGGGCGAGCGGCAATTAATATCTGTTCCAGAAGGCGGCTGGGGCGCAAAACAGTGTTTGATAATGGGAGCGAGGGAGACGGGAGAGGCTTGCTTTGTCATGCAACCGAATGGGTCGTGGGTGGTGTAGGCGCGGCGTATGAGCGAGTTTGGTTGATAATCGAAGGGATTGGATGCCGAAGCAATGATGCAATCAATGCGCCGCCGAGGCTGTTTGGACTTTTTTTCCCTTCTGGGGCCATCAAACCCCGGCGGTGGCACCGAGAAGCGCCCTGATGCCGTGCAGCCCCTCCAAAAGATTCCAAAGATGGAGGGGCCCGTTTAGGACTAGCGGCGGCTATTTGGGGATGCTTGCTCCGGCTCTGTCGCATCGGTTGTTCGGGCTCCCGGGCTGAGTTCGGGGGAGGGAGCACGGCGACTCTACGCTGAGATTAGGTAATTCATCAAATTCATCATGAACTTCGCTCACCCCGCTCCGGGTCGCATCTGGGGCGCCAGGTCGCCTTACGCACAGTGGATGGAATCCAGGCGACGACTGTGGGACACACAGAGGTTGGCCTCTTGTTACGTAGTGCGAGATCCCTCGCGAGGTCCCCTAATTTTACCTCCACAGGGTTTCTCCCTCCTGCGCCCACTTGGCCGAGTAAGTTACGAGCTAGACCCCCTAACGCTCCAGGCCCCGAAGCGCTGGAACCTGCTAGCATCCTCCGTAGATGCCGCTGGAAACCTCCCTAATTCTGGCCTCCCCCCAGGATGCTGCCAGAACAGGCCACGCGCAAGGGGCCCAGCGTGTAATTACGTACGGACGCGTCCCATGTCAGATGGCATGCGGCTCAAATCTCACTTTCAAAAAAGTGTCCTCCAACTTTATTGCCAGTTTGCATCTCCATCCCCGTCTTCCATCTCCATCTTCCATCTCCGCCCTCCTCTCGTCGAGATCCCTTCAACAATCGTCCTGCCCACAGAGATCCTCGTCCTCTCTCCTTCTGCATGAGGCCATCGTCATCCCTCCAGTCCCTCTCCGTATCACACGCCGTCCCCTCCAACCCGGCATCCGACCAATCGCATCCTCCCGGCCCGCATCTCGCCTCTCGCCAGCGTCCCTAGCTGTCCAGACTTGCATCATCATCATCATCCCACACCACACCCAGTCCGACCGACGTGCTACGTACTTACGCAGCGCGACCCGACCAACCTGCGCCCACGCCTGAGCCCCTCACAGTGCCCTCCCGACTCGACGCAGACGCGCTCGCCGCACCAACGACCGCACAGCAAGCCTCCTTAGTCGAACCTGCTTTTCGCCGCTCCCCGCTGCCCACTGCCAACTCACACGCCGTCCACGCCCAGCCTCGACTTGTCGCTGGGAATCCCCTGGACCCTGGGTCGTGATCGTCGTCCACTGCCGCCACCCGCTCGTCAACCTTTCCACGCCTGTCCTCGCGCTCCACATCAGCCCACGGCCAGATCAAGGAACGGCTCGTTCGACCGACGCCGTCTCCCTTTCACGTCGCCCTATTCTTGCCTCACTCCCGCAACTGGGCTTGGGCAATCGCAATCGTTGCACCTGCACTGCATCTGCATCTGCATTTGCTACATCCCCCTCCCCCTCCTCTCTCCGCATCTGTCTCTAGGGTGTCCTCCGGGACCACCTTAGAACCAACGACAAGGTGGATTCCGCTCAGGAAATCGTGGCATCCCCCGGTGCCTTACAAAACGTCACGTCCTACCTCAACGGGGCGCTGGCGAATCTTTCCAACGTTCTCCAAGACTCAAACGGCTACATCCTAGACACTCTTGGTGTCCCTCCCACTCTTGTCTACAGCAGTCTAGCGGTCCTAGTTGCTGTTCCCCTGACAATGTCGAGATACGGCTGGTCCATCGGCCGCGAGCAACTCTCCCCTTACGGTGGCATGTCGAGCAGTGTGCCCAACGTTACCGACGAAGACTTTAGCTACATCACTTCGCAAGACCTCGACGATGCTTCCTACTACCCCAGATCGGCCTCGGCCGCCCCGCCGGCTCCCGAGGACGACGTGCTCTTGATCAAGAACAAGGGCATTACATACCCCGCACATTTCCCTGCTTACGCCATTGGTGACGGAAAGCTGCGCGTGTTGGACGTCAAAGATCGAGTCTCCGTGTTGATGGACATTTCGCCCCGGGCTGCCCGTCGTGTTAAGCTCCTCTACAAGGGCCGGCATCTCAAGGACCCCGTCGCTCCCGTTAGAGAGTATGGCGTCAAGAACAACAGCGAATTGATGGCTGTGCTTCCCGAGATCGACGAGCCCAGCAGCCCGTCAGAAGAAGAGATGGTCATCGTGGATGCACCCCGAGAAGACAGCAGGTCGCGCAACAAGAAGAAGAACAAGAAGCGCAACAACAAGAAGAAGGGTGACGCCGACGGAAGCTCTGCTGCTGCCAGCAGCCCTCGTGGTAGCAGCTCAACCTTGGCAACTCCCAAGTCCCCGCCGCCCACAGATCTCACTGGTCCAATGAAGCAGCTCCACGATCTGTCGACCGAGTTTGCTACCAAATGGCTGCCAATGTGCGACGAGTTCACGGCCGCGCCGCCCTCCGACCCTAAGAAGTGCGAGGACGAGCACCGAAAACTGTCGGAGACGATCATGCTGCATATCGTGCTGAAACTGGACGGTGTGGACAGTGAGGGAAAGCCCGAGGTCAGGGCCAAGAGAAAGGAGCTGGTCCAGCAAGTCCAGGCGGCGTTGAAGCGACTTGACGTTGCGAAGGATTCATCATAGCGCTGGAGCGTTTTACATTCTTGGGGATCAGGAGTCCCGTCCGGAAGCCAGCGAGACTTTGTCTAGCCTACAATTCGCTTAGTATCGTTTAATATTGTTTGACGTGGGTCGAGGTGCTGTGGATGGATATTCGACAATGGCGGCATTGGTCGTATGCATAGAAGAACAAGCTGTACAATAGATCAAAGGAGATTTCACGACCTTGACGACAATGACGAAGATAGAATTCACTGAACAAATTGAAGCAGTCGTTGTCGTTGATCAATTACTCCAAATGGTCATTCTACTCCACCCGGCATTTGGATGCTGCAGCGTGCCTTTCGTCTCATGTCTTGGGACAGAACCCGTGACATCCATCATCGATCGTCTCTGACGCTGACTCAGATGGCCGTATCTCTCATGAGGCCAGTCCATGAAAATCACGTGTGATTCCCTCGTGACTCGCGGCTCGTGGGGGGCCGGGTATTTGCGCGGCGGTTTGTGTGGTGTTGGTCAGCCCGTGCGGCAAATTATCGGGGCCAGGCTCTAGGTCTCTTAGCCCTAAGCACCTCTGGCAAACCAGCCCTCTTCGCGTGCACCAAATCCAGCCCTTGCCCCATTCAGCTAGCGGGGTTTCTTGCAAAGGCACAACGAGCCCTCAAGCGGTCCTTGGATTTTTCGCCCGTCAATCACTATCGCGACCACTTCCACCCAACACTTCGAGGGACGACTAACCCCAGCAGCACAGGAAACAGATCTTCGCCGGCCAGGTTCGAGGATCCCGTGTGTCGTCGTCTTAACAGCCTCTTTCCTTTCATACCCAGAAGTGACGGAAACGATGTCGACCTTCGAGCCGGTTGTGAGTACCACCCGAGTCCTCGGTTTAGCATCGTGATGCATGCGGGCGAGCCCTCAGGGGGCACGTTGTGGGCGCAGGCAGGAATTGGGAGGCTTGGGTGTCGGGAGCACTCAGTGCCTGCATCTGTCTGCGAGACCTGCCCGCTCTGCTCGCCTGCTCGCCGCTTCATCTCTGGAATTGGCAATGGACATTTCGCTGACCCTCTTCTCTCCACAGGTCGTCATCGATGGCAAGGGCCATCTCCTTGGCCGCCTTGCCTCCATTGTGGCCAAGCAGCTCCTTAGCGGTCAGAAGATCGTTATTGTCCGCTGCGAGGCGCTCAACATCTCTGGCGAGTTCTTCCGCGCGAAGCGTATGTCTACCCCACGAAACTCCGATTTGTGGCCGACCGCACAAACAACACCACATCGGATCCCAATGCGACAGGATGTATACTTACTATATAACAGTCAAGTACCACGCCTACCTCCGAAAGATGACCCGATACAACCCCACCCGCGGAGGTGAGTTCCGATGCCGTCCCATGATGCTCTTAGAGCATGCCCGTTGACCACAATATAGGTCCCTTCCACTTCCGTGCCCCCTCCCGAATCTTCTACAAGGCCGTCCGTGGCATGATCCCCCACAAGACTGCCCGTGGTGCCGCCGCTCTGGAGCGCCTTAAGGTCTTCGAGGGTGTTCCCCCTCCCTACGACAAGAAGAAGAAGATGGTCGTTCCCCAGGCTCTCCGAGTCCTCCGACTCCAGCCCGGTCGCAAGTACTGCACCGTTGGCCGTCTCAGCCACGAGGTCGGCTGGAAGTACCAGGACGTTGTTGCTCGGTACGTTTGGACTCTGGAAATTCCGTGTGCAAGGGAATCTGTACTGACTCGTATCACAGATTGGAGGAGCGAAGAAAGGCCAAGGGCGCCGCTTACTACGAGCGCAAGAAGGTCGCTGCCCGACAACTGTCCGACGCGAAGAAGAACGCTGGCACCAAGGAGGAGACTGCGAAGGCCCTTGCGGCCTTTGGCTACTAAAGTGGCCATTCCTCGACTCTAACCAAGTCTTGGTAACTTCGCATTGTCTATCATTTCTCGTGCGTTTCATTAGATTGGCGCGGCGGTTCACAGGGATTACTTGATTTGCTGAGTGATGGCAAGGGCGGCTCGAAGAGTGGATGGCTATTCCCAATGTTCTAAATGAAATCCCGTCGTCGGACCCCATCCAAAAATAAAGCACAGAAACACGAATCAACCTGATGATTATAATCACGGATTATGGATTTGAGGACTCGATTTGATGTGTGGCATTTGGCTGACTGCGACGACAATGGGAAAGATTTGATCATGGACATGGTTCTGGAATGGGCATTCATCACTTGGTTCCCCGTCCTAGGACGCCAGTCATGAGGCGAGAAAGAGTCAAGGGTGAGATGATGGGTGACGGAGGTTGATCTTGTTACGCTCCCGGAACGGGACAGGGTCCAGCATTTGCACACTAGGAGTAGAAAAGGAATGGTATTTTGTTTGATCTAGGTACCAGACTTGACACTTGATGATTGAACGTTGGAAAGGTTTTTGACATGTGCTTGTGTGTGCCCGTTTGTGCCTGTGCCTGTGGATGATAGAGTTCCGGTGGTTGACGTCACGGACCGAGAGGAACATGTGTGTTGTGTTGTTGTGGGTGTCCTTCAGGGTACAACCGATATTACACTGTGGCATATTGCCCTTCGTTAATGCTAGGTGAGTTCGTGATTACGGACTACAGAGAAGTGGTGTGCGATTTATTGTTTTAGAGTCATTATTTGTGTATGGCCGGCATCTAATCTTGATGTTGTATTGATAAGTGATTAGGGAAATGAGATGCACCCAAACGCCCGTGGTCATTTTCTCGATGGCAATTAACGAATTTATTTTAACATTCTGGAAGACATCAAAGATATGACGTGATTCATACCAAACAAAGAAAACCCCATTTACCACTTGGTTATCCCTACAATTCGTCGTCAATAGAAGCTTAAACCGTTCGTCATGTCAAGTATAGGGTAGCTCCGGCCGGTCGTGGTCATGACAAAGGGTGTCATGTGCAGATAAGATAAGATGGTGGAATTTCATGTGAGGTGTCCTTCCGGACTTACACGTACAACCACCACCCACCTGGAGAGCCGGAGCTGCACTTCACCACCAAACCATCCCACACGAGATCCTCTTCTTCCGCTCCCGGGACACATTCCGCCGTGGTCAATCCGAGAAAGCCGCCACGACACGAGGCCTGCGACACATCAAACACCCCAAAACACCATCTACGCACACTCTCGCCCGCCATGTCGGACCTCACCCACTTCGACCTCCTCCCCCTCCAGATGGACCCCCAGTCCAAGGCGCTCAGCACGCTCAAGCCGTCGCGCGCGCTCACGGCGGAGCTCGAGCAGCTCAACACGCTGCACCGCTCGCTGCTGGCCCTCGAGTCGCCGACGCCGCCGCCGCCCATCCCCGTCAACCCCAAGCGCAGCGCGGGCGTCACCAAGCTGCGCGACAGCGGCAACGCCGAGTACCGCAAGGGCAAGTTCGCCGACGCCATCAAGTTCTACTCGCTGGGCCTGCAGATGGCCACCACGCGCCCGCTGTGGGAGCCCGCCGCGCTCGTCCGCGAGGAGGTCTCGGGCCTGCTGGCCAACCGCGCCCAGGCGCACATGGCGCTGCAGAACTGGGCCGAGGGCGCCGTGGACGCCCAGGCCAGCGTCGAGGCCCGCTGGGTCGGCAACGCAAAGGCCTGGTGGCGTCGTGGCCGCTGCCTCATGGAGATGAGCCGCCTGGACGAGGCGCGGGACTGGGTTAAGCGCGGGCTGGAGGTTGAGGGCGAGGAGGCCGAGCTGGTTGGGCTGTTGAAGGAGATTGAAGCCAGGATCGAGAAGAGCCAGGCGGCGTGAGAGTCAACGGAGGAATAATCAACTGGGCAAACGCCAGCATGAAATCCATCTCGGCGAGGGGCGCAAGAGGACCCTTTGGTCCCAACTGGACGGACATAATGTGGAGGGTGTCTAAGAACGACCAAGGACTCGGGAGCCAAGGTGTGCGGCTCCGGATGGGAGGGAAGCCAAAAACCTCGTTGTGTTTGTTATACCCCGAGACAGTCACGACATGGGGAGCCACTGCATTTACATGATCGGCCATGGACTTTTGAGCGGCCGAGACAGAGCGAACGGATGCCAGAACGGACAGATTCCCCTGGGCCGCTGGGTGGCTTGGGAGGATGTCTCGGTCAACGCCATTGCGGCCAACACGGGCATGGCCAGGCTTGGGACGTTGGAAGACGAAGGGCAAAGCAGCAATGTATTTTTACGTATAATGTGCATGTTATATACACCAACTGGGAGTCTTTTTTCATCTTTCTAATCATTGCTTGACAACGTGTTGGAATCGGCGAGGGGTGTTTGGTATTGTTGATGTGATACAGATATGTGGCGTTTCACTCCCCGTTTACATAACATCATGACAACGTCTTTATTCCAATGAAGCGTTTGCGTTCTCAAAACGTTTTCCTCACATTGCAATGTCATTTCTTGCAACTGTTTGTTACTACACCGGAACTGCGTACTGCATATAAACACGGGCGTTATCCAACGCGAAAACGATGCTGTGTCTCTAAGGCGTAGTCTGCTGGGAAAAATCACCAGCACGTTATTGTACATTATACTCCTCCCTCCGCTTCCTTGTATGGTAGGTAGACAGAAAAACAACAAACGAGGAGTGCAAAGGAAATGCTAAAATGAAAAAAAGGGAAATAAAAAGTCTCTTTCTCCTGGACGGCACCCCCCGTTGCCTCGTCTGCTCTTCGTATCATAGGGAAATACCAAAACAAAGCCTCGCTCTTCCCTTCGCGTTCCCAGGTCATGGTTCTCGGGTCTTCGGGTCTTGGGTCCTGGGCCGTGGCAGGTCCCCTGTACTTTGAATAGAAATTCCCAATTGAAAATGCAACTTTCCCACCCCGCCATGAATTTATAAAAAAAAAAAAGAACTCCCTAGCAGTCCGGGTATCCTGAGCATGCACTGTCGGGGGTTTGTCGTCGTGATGTTAAATCGAGGCGCTCCGGTGTTGTGATGCAACGCGTGATCAACCCTTTCCGTTTTCTCCCCCTGGCATTGGGCATTTCCTGGCCAATGCGGCGTCTTCCCCTGACGACCAACAATCCCCTGATGTGGCTTGCCCCTTGGAAAAACTGGTTGTGGAGGAGTTGACGGGGGAGACGATGACGTTCAATAACCGTCATCCCCAGGTTTGCGCTGGCAAAGTTGGTGCATTTATTCGGCCTTCTCGCTGAGCTTCTCGTTGATAAAGCTCTTGCCGCGGGGTCGCATAACGGCGTCCTGACCACTCATCCTCCGGTCGAGAGCGCGCTCAAGCTTGGCGCCAAGGGCGAGCTTGCTCATGGTGTCGGTCTTCTCCTCGGTGAGGGCGACGCGCTGGGAGGTCAGGGCCTTGTTCTCCATGCGCTCAAGGCCGGTGGCGATGTCGCGGATCTCGGCGTGGGCGGAGTCGGAGGTCTGGACGGTAGGAGTGAAGGAGGGCGCCATGCTGTAGGTGCTGAAGCGGACAGAGGTACGGGTCTTTGCGGCAGACATGGTGTTAGCAGAGGGTTGGTGAGCTTCGCCGTTAGGCTTGCGATCAGGAGATGAGGAGTTGGGAGCGGAGGCGGCAAGTGGTGGGGCCATGTCAAGTGAGTCTGGGGGGAGGATGTGCCGCAGGTTGAAGGTGTAAGTGATTGTAAGGAGTGAGTATTGTATGTGTGAAACAAGTGGAGAGAAGAATCCAGAGGCAAGAAACAAGAGATGGAACCAGGAAACAGGAACGAGACAGAGGCAACGGGAGCGAGACAACGGACAAAAGTAGTAAACGCAGGTACAGTCAGAAACAAGCGGGCAAGGTGGAAGGAAGCTGGGGCCTGCCAGCTTCCAGGGGAGGGGGAGCAGTCGGCACCAATGTCCGGGTCGACAAAGAGACGGACAGGGGAGGAATCCAGGAAGAGGACGGACAAAGAGAGTGAGTGGATGGAGGGTATGACGATGATGAACAAGGGGTAATGGTGGGAGCAGTGGGAGCAGCGGGGAGCGCTGGGGGAGGCGGTGGCGATGTTGTTGCCAGACGTACCGAAGGGGCCATAATGGGCCGGGAAGAGTCGAGAGAGGCAGTCATTATGGTGGGTAAGGGTCGGATCGCGCGTCGAATGCGAATGATGCGGCGCACGAGAGTACGGAGCAAAGGGTGGAATCAGTGGATACGACTTGAAACTCGGTTGACCAGCAGAGGCCAGAGAGAGCAGGGTCGGCGGGTAGGCGATGGTAGGCAAGTCGGCGACTGAGTGAAGAAGTCGGGGGGGTAATCAGTCGGTTCGGAGCGGTCGAGCGATGAAGATGGATGCTGGTTGAGAAAGACGTTGGGTGAAGGCGGAGTGAAGAAGGAGAAAGAGAGCGAGACGGCGGGTGGATGGAGAAGAGACGTGGGGAGATTGGGGATAAAGCCGGGTCAAATCAAGAGGCGAGAGGGTGCCTCTAGGGAGTAACAGTAGGGGCTTTGGGGGCTCAGGGAGCCGGACGGTAGTGGAGGTGGGACGTGTGGCCCAGCACTGACAGGCGCTGTAATAGGGAGTACGAGGCGGTGGTCAGGGCGCAAAAACGGGCGGCGACGATCCTTCTGGGTTGGGGGAGGACGAGAGAGACGAGAGAGAAGTGATGTGATTCAAGGACCGAGGAGCTGACGATTGAGTCGAAAGCCTTGCACTGTTGCGACGGGGGATGCTGGTACGTAGTTCACGTTGGATTGCCGGCTCCGGGATGGGCGTGGTACGTACGTGTCCTAGGAGTTGGGGAAAGGGAAAAGGGAAGAGAATGAGCGAGGGCGAGATGATGAGGGCGGCCAGGACGCCAGGAGAGAGAGAGAGAGAGAGGGGCGCGATGAATGGGTTTGGTTTCAGATGTGACTGGGGGGAGGGGAGTAGAGCTGATGTTGGAGTCGAGACGAGTTGACGAGTTGAGATGAGAATCTAGTGAATACTTTGCACGAGCAATTGGTCCAGGTCTCTCTGGCTCTGTCTGGCTACTTGTAAATGAATTGGCAATAATGGCACGATAACTGCGGATGAAGCTTTGGTGCTCGTACATGCGAATCCAATAGCGGTCCGCCCTCCGTCAGTCTTCCGTCAGTGCAGTGTGAGTGGATTGACGAATTGTGGATGAGTGAATGGGTGCTAGATGGCTAGATTGGGCGCATGGCTGATGGGATGGATGGTGGATGGTCGGTGGTCGGTGGTTGAATAGTGGATGTGCGAATCATGGACGAGTGGAGGAGTTGGGTCTCGCGTGTGAGAGAGAGTGTGCCTGATGAGCCCCCCTTTTTTCCCCTTGCGTGCTGGTACCAACCCAACTTACAGCGCTGTCGCCCAGCGCTCAGGGCCTCCACCTACCTAGGTACCCGCAGGTCCCCAAGGTTCACGGAGGTCTCTAGTCGGATCCCCTGTGGCGGTTGCTTCCAGTGGGCGATTGGTGGACGGCGCTGGTGGGTGGTAGGTGGTGGGGGGCGGGTGCCCTGGGCGGTGCTGGTTGCTCGCCTTTTGCTTGTCGCAGGGGTGCAACCGAGAGGGTCACAGCGGAGGGGGCTGCTCTGTGTTGTGTTCCCCTGCCCTGTGCGCTGTGTGCCTTGCGCGCCCCTGGAGCACGAGCGTCTACAGTGGGCCCATGGGAGCAATTAGGTGGTTACCTGCAGACCTCGACATGTGATGGAGGCCGTTTGGGACCAGATAATCCGGGATTGTCCAGCGCTGTGTACATACATTTGAGCGGGTTGACATGCCTGGAAACAAAGCATAAAGCACCCGGCTGGAATGATGTGGTAAAGTAACGACATTATCCCCGAGTGATCGACACAATTTGGTCCCCTACTTCTGGGCTGCTGGGCTTCTGGGCTTCTGGGAGACTAACTTAGTTCGAAGTCAAGTCGGCTCTAGCGGGCTACCGCCTGTGAACCCGTGGGTACCTCTCGCAAACTCGAGAACTGTGGTCAGCCAGCCAGTCAAGCAGACAGCCAGTCAAGTCAATTCCCCTTTCTGCTCCTGGTCCTTGCATGAAGAACCTTTCCTCCCCAAGCCACCAGGCTGCGTGGCCGCGTGGGAGCCACGCTCGCGAATGCACCTGGCCGCACTTGGATCGACCGGCTGATCTGTCGTGCTGCGCAGATGCGGCAAGGGGCCGGATTTAGACTGTGATGGACTGATGAAGAGAGAAGAGGAGCAATTGTGACTGTTGGGAATCAACAACAGCTAACAAACAACATACAGATACTTACAGATTATGTACATCCATTCATTCGCCAAGCCCACGCAGGTAGCTCCAGACAGACACAAGACATGCCCCAAGACAGACCTACTACTACGTACCTCCAATGCAAGGCCGATCATTGCCCGCACGCCTCGGCCGTATTGACTTTCGGGCCACACACGTGGTCCAAGGCCGCCCCCGTTGCGGGTTTCAGAGGAAAAAGCAAGCAAAGGTAAAAAAAAAAAAGAGGACAAAAGGACGCCGCCAAGGAACCATAATAAGACATGAATGCCCCTCGGGAGTTGGCGGGATGTGCGGATCATCATCAGGCCACTCTGGCTGCTTCTTTTGCGCCTTGTCTCGCTCTGGCTTGATTGACGGCCCGTCAGAGCGTTGCCCTGAGGTTCTAGGCCCCGAAGCCCAGGTCTGAGGTACCTGCGCGTGGTGGAGTACAGTACCTGGTAGTCCTGGAGGTGTTGAGATATAGTACCTACCTTAGGTACATGGCTGTAACTGTGGTGCTTTTCAGACGACCAGCTTCAGCCTGGTGACCAACCTTAATAGGCCGGGAAAAATGGGGAGCGCTGCGTAAGTTAATTGCTTTTGTTCCTGTGCAACACGCTCCCTCCCCGCTATCCACCATCGTCAACGTTCGGAGGAAACATGATTACGGCACAGCAGCCCCTGACGACACGAGGGAAGGAAACACTCCGTAAGTATTACGCAGACGAACGAATTTGCATTCAAACAGTCCCGGAGTCGTTTGCTGGCGTCCTCTAAAGGAGGGGGGGGGGTCCCTCTCATCTTCCCAGCTGCTCAACCCACATGGTGGCGGCACTGGCGCTGTCACTGCGTGTCATGGGGCGGCCGCTAAAAGTATTGGGCCCAGACGAGCCGGGATGACTTCAGAGACGGAGAGAGAGTGCGAGAAAGAGAAAGAGAGGGGAACCCGGTGCGTGCCGATCGTCCATTGTCGTCCGATACAGGCGAAACAACCGATACAGAGCCAGACTCAGCTCGTTTCCGAGAGAGGCTTCCGGGGCCGGCAGTTGCTCCGCACTGAGCGACCGGGGAGATTGCGGCTGGCAGACAAGCCAGGCACAGGGGGATCGTATCTTCGCTAGAGCAGTTGTCTCTGACTGAAGGATCCCCTCCAATGCAACGCAATCAACGGCGTGGCGATCATGTCCGTTGCACACGACGGCCATGACGAAGAAGCAAACAACTTCCTCCTGCGCCATCGTAACCACTTTGTCGCACGAACTAGGTCGTCGAGTCTAACGGCTGGCATGGGCTGATGTTTCAGCCCGCTTGTGCGCCGTCTTGCAACACCACCACCACGGCCACCACGGCCACCACAACCACCACGGGCATCCATGTCTCTCCATCAACCAGCCCATCAATAATGAGACAGAAGAAGTCAGAGAGCGAGGAGAGCGAGAGAGCACAAGACTCAGCCTAGCCCAGTCCAGTCCAGTCCAGCCCAGCCCCAGCCCAGTCATCCTCTTCCCTGCATCATCCGCACGTGGCTCGATCAGGGGTCAGGCAGCCCAACCATCCAACCGTCCCACCATCCAACCGCCGCATGACACCCAAAAGCAAACATCTGCCTCCATTTTCCATGCCTTGGTGCCGATCCATGCTCGTCAAATCCCGGTCCCCTCCTACCCGCATGCCTTCATTCTTCAGCACCGAGCTCGAGCTGATCCTCCTCTTGTCCAGGTCCCTGATGACAGAGCCGAGACGGAGCCCGAGGCCGACCCATAGATAGAACCCATGTCAAAGCCAGGCGCCTCGGCCACTCACACGACCGCTCTTTGCTGAGACCAGGGCCGAATTCTGCTAGTCCCGTCGGCAATGGCCTCTCCACAGACCTTCCATGTGGTAGGCATGCACATGAACGTGTCTGCACTTACCTGACACGCTGGGGTTCGAGCTAGCGACAGATGATTCCATTCTTTGCGTGTCAAACACAGCTCGGGGGGGGGGGGGGGCTCGGACTATCCCGTAGGACCCCAACCCGATGCCCCGTAGTGAGCCATCAAGTCCCGGGTGGATTGTAAGGCTGGGTCACTTGGAAATCGGGCGTGATTGAGGGGTGTGCTCAAAGGGCTATGGATAGGATTTCCGCTTCGAAGATGATAAGTAAATACATTCGGCCCGCGTGGCCTAACGGGGGCGTACCATGTACTCTCGAGATTCAGCGTGCCAGCCCCTGTGTGAGTATGCTTTGTGTTTGCTCTTGTTTGAGACTGATCGCGCTTGAGCGGTTTGCTTCGGTTCAGAAAACTACAGGCCGAACAACCACCCTTGATGGCACAGTAATGGAGGCGTGCGAGTAGGTTGTTTAACATGTATTAGTGTCGTATGAGCACGAAGGGTGTTTCGGTCTGGGCCAATGCTGCCTCTGCCGTTTTCCGTCAAGGAGGTGATGTCGGCTGCGCAGGTGGATGAGCTATCGCCCTGCGTGGTGAATTGCATGCTTCTTAATAATTAACCGGTATGCATTTGACTTGTTTCATCTAGACCCAAGTTCTTATTGTGTTCCGTAAAGTGAGGAGGCCGGGTAATGTGGAGAAACATAGAAACTATGTAGAAGAAAGATACTCATCCGTATGAGCACCAGGCGTTTTTGCAATCACCTCGGTAGGGACTCCATTGTCGAGAACATCGGCAAAAGCATTCGAGCGACGAATAAGAGCATCATTCTTGTTCTGGTGGCGGTACATAACTTCTTCGCTATTTAAAGTCCAACACCTTGCTCGAAATGCAAGACGACTTGCAGAGTCCTCATCGCGTGCATGTTGGGGTGGGTTTCGCCAGCTGAAAGAATCCTAATTGTAACCCTAACTCGATCGCCTGTAGCTGCTAAGTTGGGTCTCGGGGAAAACGCATTGAACAGAGGTTGACTCGGATTCGGTGGTCCTTCACAGCAGCTTTTGGTAGAATGTAGCCGTACTCTTTATCTCGAAATGTTTCGGCTTCATTTCTCCTCAGATTCGTAGACTGGCCCTCCTACCATCCTTCTGGGATACTGTTTCTTTCGGAAGACAAGATTTCTTTTCGGATGTGGTGTCCCTCAGTAGCTGGTGCAGTTGCCGTCTCTCCATGTAGACTGGTGTTCTCGTCAGCCATGATTAGTTGTGCCAAATCCTGGATGTGTAAATCTACACCGGTTGGATCTAAGCTTGACGAGATGTGTCTTTGCAACTGCTGCAACCAGGTGGCAATTTGTTTGTCTTTTCTCTTTGCCAACTCAAAAATAAACTGACATAAATGTTGATGGAATTCTGGGTCAAATCGCTGGTAGGTGTAAATTTCTTGGTGTCTCGTTCGGGGGTCCTCAGGGACTTATTCTTTGGGGTTTTGAGCGCTGGGTTGCTAGGGCATGCAAGACAACAAGCAGGTCACGAGTAAGTGACACAGAAAGCTCCTCAAGTCTATATGTATCATTCTCTTCTCTGCACCCCTTTTGAGCTAACCACAATTCCATGCCGTTATCTACAGTATTACTTGTAAATCCCCGAGTCCTCATATTTTATTCCTTGCTTCTCCGAGGATGACTCCAATAACTCAACAAGAACCCACGAAATACGGTCGAATCCCACAACTATCGGTCATTTTGGTCGAGAACCGGAAAACCTCTGCCACTCTGCTGTTACGAATCTCTGCGGAGCATATATTTACTGAAAGTTCCAGACACCTAATATATGGACGTGTGAGAGAAGTACTGGATCGTTGGGTATACATCGAGTAGGGCAATTTTCTTAGCTTTGGGCAATATCTTGTCAAGCCTCCGACAAGTTTTCAAGCTGCTTCCTCTGAGCAAGGCCCATAAAAACCAACGATTCTTTGTTTACTTGCTTCATCTAACAATTTATGACACTGGTGAATATAGCCAGTCCAGTCTTTCGCGAACGTAACTACTTTGTAGTCGAGAAGAAACTCAAGAACGGGATATCTGGAACCGGATTACTGGGCTGAGTTGAAGGGTCGAGCAATGATGATTCTGACGCATCCTTGAACAGCTAGTCATGTATATCTCTTATTATATAGCTCTGAGGAAACTTGACGAGCCTGTGGTAGTTAGGGGCCAGTGTTCAGGAAGGACCAGGCAATACGGGGTCCCATGTTAGGGTCGAAATATTGTGTAATGTGTGGTTTGAAGGTCTGGGGACTGCTGTGCCGAAGCAAGAGCACTGCCTATGGTATAAGAAGCGAGAATTCTGGATTGGAATAAGGGTGTCATGACATTGGCTGTACAATGGCCATTTCATAGTCATGGAATGAAGTGATGCAAGCTTTCGACATAACCTTCAAAGATTTGCTGTTGATGCTGGGAAACGACCAGTAGTTGGGAATCCCCACCTGTGTGACGTAGAGTCGAATGAAGGCTGCATTGCGATCATCGGCGATTTAGTCTAGGTATCCCGCAGAAGCGGTCCAACAGTTAGACTTAGGGCAGCAGTTCCTCTCGCAATGCAGTCCACTTGGTCGTAGGATAGCATTGAACGTTGACAGTAGAACGAAGAACTCGAAGGAAGGGAAAATTGTATAGAGAGAAGTGGTTGACGAATTTGCCCATTTGGAGTCTTGAGCCTTGACTTCAGCTAGCACTTGCTATAGCTACCTCTAAGAACAAAGAAGCCATTTGCCGACGTTGATGATGTTGACTTAATGTTATGTTGGACTGGTCAATGGAGTATAGGCACATTATATCTGAAGGAGCGGTTATGGGGGATTCAGGGAGCCATAGGAGTATCCGGTGGGCTCAGTGCGAGATGTTACTTCTGCAACCATCCCCAATCGATGATGGGCCAGCCGAGACAAGGGTTGGGGGCGGCAACCACCGCGGCGCCTTGCAGGCCTTACGGTATACAGGCTGCTAGTAGTGGCAGGCAATTTGGCGTTGGGCATTTGTTGGGTTTGAACAGAACGTGGACTGTTGCATCGGCAATATGAGGGTAGTGTTCGAAGTGGCTCAATTGGATCGGGTGGTTGAGACAGCTTTTACTCGCTGGAGAGGCAGTACAACACAAACCGCACTAATCGGGCCGTGACACATGTCTCCGAGGGCAAAGATAAGATCATTATATTCGATATCTCCTGCCTATCATATGGGCACTGAAATGCCGAACGCTGTGATGACACCAGACCGGTTTGCAAATCCAACGGAACATCAGCACAACGCTCTCCCAACACCTCTCTCAAACACCCATCCACACTGGCGTACACGGAAGCAAAAGAACCCAAGTTATTCACCGCGACTTGCCCTTGTGTCGCTTCTTGCTCGACTTGGTCTTGCTGGCCGAGTGGCCCATCTCAAGACTGTACTCAGAACCCGTCGGGCTCGACTTTGACCTGGAAGGCGGCGAGGACGAGGACGACTCCTCTCTCGTCACGGGAGGAAACCCTCCCACGAGCGAAAACGCCGTCCCGCGTCGGTGCGACTTGGTGGCACTGCCATATCCAAACTTGCGGGAGGCTGAACCCCTCATCATCTCGGAGAATTTCATGTCTGGCGTTGAATCGCGGCTCGGTCCTGCGAGCACCCGTTAGCACTTATAACGGCGACCTCAATGGAATCTACCAGGCTTCAACTCACCGTAGCGAATACACTTGCTGCAGCAGCCATGATCACAAGTCGACTCCACGGCCTCAATGGTGAATGACTCTGGGTTCACCTGCAATCGGCTCGATGGCATGGTACACCACCCTCTGGTGTTGGGTCCCTGCTGACAAGAGCAGCACGTCCAGCTGCCGCCCTTGTCCTTGAACTGGCAGTTCTGCAGCGGACAGTCCGAACTGATGGGCTGAACCGGTGCAAAGGTGGTGTTCTGGCAAGGCGTCTCATAGCCTGTCTCCAAGTCTATGAGTGCTGAAGGGCAGTAGTGCCAATTGATGGATGTGTGGGCGCACGGGTGGTGTCGCGGGTGGCCGTGACACATTTTGGACACTACTATGGAGATTTACCGCCTTTGGCTGAGGAGGAGATTGCTAAAGAAAGAAGGGCTGCAAATACTGGAGGGGGAGGCAGGGTGGCTCTGAGTGATCCAGGCCTTGCTGTCTCTGGATGGCTTCAGCGGACTGGTATTTATACACCACCATCTTCAGCTAGTGAGTCAAGAGCAACTCGTCATCGAGATTCACAGCGACTCATCCATCATCGAAGATCGAGGCTCGACGGGTCACAGTGGGGAGCACTTCAGCGAAGCAACTCTCACCTCCAGACTGGCCTAGAATGCGCTCAACCCCATGCTTTGCCGGAGCGTCAATGGGTGTCCGTATATCCCCATCTGTCGAATCAGTGGCGAGTTAAACCCACTCCCCTCACAGGATCTGCACTAGGTTGTGCTAAAGCTGCATCATCACCATCGACAGAGCCTGCTCCGATACGGCACGGGAGCATACGAGCTACAGCGGCGTCCAATATCTCGGTTTCCGCCGCGAGGGGATATCGACTAAGTGATACGAGGGCGATGGCTTTGGCTGTGAGGGATGTCATAGGTCGCCACGAAGATAAGACCCTGAACCTGCGCAAAGTCCATTGGACTGACGACTGAGGGGCGGAGGACTCGAGGGCTGTGTTGGTTACACAAACCATAGCACATACGCCAGTCAGCAGGTATCACAGATTGCCCCGCGGTTTCCGATGGAAAGACAGACGGCCTTCGTGGTCGAGGGCTGAGATCAGATCAGATCAGATCAGATCCGGGAGCCCAGTCTCCGGGAATCTACGACATAGTGTGGAACGCGACCTTGGAGATTTCTAGCGGCGCCTTTGATGGGTTGATGGTGAGATTTGGGAGTCAATGGTTTAAGGCTCCCAAACAACTAGACCGGAAGGGTCTGAAGTGAGACATCATGGGCGCAAACTGCATTAATAGAATGACCCATGACAATGCCAAGCAGATTCCCCCGCTCCTCCAGCCAACCGTTCGACTCGCCTCAGAATTGGGCTGCCGATGCTATGCGGACTCGAGTGAGGCTGATGGGCCGGGTACGGCCCTGATCGAGGGCTCCTCTGTGTGATCTCGATTCAGACCCCCTGCAGATCTGCTGCAAGAAGACGGGATCTGGTACAACGAAAGCTGATCGTCAGCCTCGGGCATCACAAGACCAGCATTTGAGGGGGGATCGGAGGAGGGTTGATGTCGGCCGATGACCAGATCGGAGATTCACATCGTACCGCTTCCGTGGTCATGGGTTATCGTGAAACTTGCCAGGGAAAAAGCCTCGTATCCAACGGTGAATCTGGGATCGTGACTAATGATGTTCCTTACGTGCGGCGAAACTTGCCCAAGCACCGGGCCAGCAAACTTGTGCTGAGCGATGGTTTATGTGTGGGATGCGAACCATTGCTGTTTAGGTATAATTTCTGAACGCTCGTTTGAAGGTGGAAGTGGAATCTGGGTGTGCTTTCGCAGCTAACTAAAATGCGGTTGCCATAGGGCTTAGAGTAGACAAAAAGAAATAGACCAACTCAGTTCCATAACCAACATTTTCAATCTATAATTGACCTTTAGTCTTCATCAATACATGAATAAATCTGCGAATCGCATCGCCACATTTTCTCCTTATCTTAACACGACGCTTCCGCCTACTACAAATACTGCCTCGACTGCGTGCACGACTTGCAGCAGATATGCCCACACTGATACGTTTGGCCCTCACCGATCATGGTGCAGTTGCAGCGGCCCCCAACGTTCCACAATTTACCACACCAGCAGCAGTCCCAGGCCTGGTTCAGGGCCTCAAATGGGCAGTCGGGTAGCGGGCACTTGGGCAGCGTGTAGCCTGACGGTGGCGGGTACGGGATCGACTCCTTGGTGAGGTTTTTGCACGGCTTGTTGCCTTTGGCAGCGTCGCAGAAGTTTATGTGCGTCGAAACGTGCTCGCAGGCGAGACGGAAGGTGATCTGGTGGCACATGTTGCGTGGTGTTTTGAGGCTGGTGTGATATATCGGTAGTGGAAAGAGGTTGGTATTGCAGAAGAAAGGAACCAACCTGGCTTCTTTTATCGTAATCTACAAGGAGTGACGAACTTATAAGAAGTATTCAGAAAATATTGAATGCGAAAGTGATTCAAGCCTTAATCACGACTTGTTTTTGATGTGAATGACGTGGAAGTGCTGTGAAGGTTATATACGCTCCATCCATGATGGACGCCCGGCCAAACTCCATTGTCGCGAGAGAATGTGATGCTCGGGCCGGCAATTAATCGAAGCTGAAGAAATGATAGAAAGCCCATGAGATACATTCGTCCATCACGTTAGACCGACCGGACTTCCCAACGGAGTTAGGACTCGCGGACTTTCAACAGGTGCCGCAAACGTGACCGCCAGGGCATTTTGGGCATTTGACAATGGCAAGTCGAGACCACGATCTTCAAAAGGTGTTGCCGAAGGCGTGTTTTTGCAACGCTTCTTCAAACTCTATTGATCGATCCAGCGGGAGGAGATTGTGATAGTCACTTGGAGCCGAGGCTGGGAGATGGCGCTGGAGGATGGGCTTGTGCTGTGTAACGTGGATTTGCTTCATTTGGAGGTATTGGCTCGGGTGATCATGCCTTAGCTGATTGTGTTGGGATCCGGTAAGGGGGATCTTAGAAGGGTGAGTGAGGCGTTTGGAGGACAGAGCGCATTCTCTGAGCCGGCGTTGCTGAGAAGGCGGGGGGACCGAGTCTCACAGGGCACCACAATGAGGTTGGCTGTTGATGATCGCAATCTGTATTAGGAAGTACGCTTGAAAAGGACAGATCGAGGTATTGAGAGGCGCTGTCAAATCTCTGTGGCGCACTCCTGGTGACCCAGATCGCCCGCTGAGTGAGCTTCTGGATGTCCTCATTACGCTCGGATGGACATGCCCAACATGATGTCTCACCACCAGTATTACCATTAGATTGACGGATATCCTCCGACCCGGTCCGATGTGTCATAATGGTGCTTCCCCAGATTCTGGACGGCCCGATGCTTTTTGATCCATTGGTAGCTCCGATATGGTCCCACTGGATCTTGTATCTTCCCGGGAGACAGACATCCATCTACGATGTCTTGTATTTCGTGTATTCCTTACATGCCTTGTGATCAGAGAACATGCAGGCGAGGCTTGATTAGGTCGAGGAGGCACCAAGCCTCGAGTTCTTGCAGCGGCCCACTGGTGACACGCCTATCAACTGTCGAGGTTTTCTGGACGGCATGGGCCGATCATGCACTTGGAAGCGATGGTAGGAAGAGATCCATGACCTCCGGATCGGTGAATCTTCTGCCTCAGATGGCGCACTGAGTGACACGGCGGCGTTGACGGCGCAGAATGTGCGGTGGACGGCGTATGCGAGGGATCGGGGATATGGCAGGGCGTGGTGATAGTGGAGGGAGCTACAGGTTCACATGGCTTTCTGGGCTGTAGTGGTGCTGACGACGAGGATGACGAGGCAGACAATGAGTGGAGGATGTGGCTGAAGATATGGAAAGCCGCGATGGTTGGGGCGGAGAGGATTGTTGGGAAGAATGATTTTGTGGTCGCACGAGGTGTAGATGTCTCGGAAGAGGGTTCAGCTGGTGCGGCATACGACTCTGTCAGAGGCCGAAAGCGGGAGTTGTACGACAGATGGGATGGAGGAAGACGGAGCTGTTCAAGCGTCGGGATGGGTAGTTTGGTGGACGTGGCAATTATTGTCTGGATGGCTGAGTTTAGAGCAGAGGTCGAATCAATTTTGATGAATGGAAGAGGAACTAGGATAAAGATGGTGATGCTAAATGATGCGTGAGAGTCGATTGGCGTTGGGATGGAGAGCATCGAGCATCAAGCAAGTTGAGTCGACGGGCGATGCAATGGAGAGGGATTTAGAAAGAGTGAGTGACGGGATTCAATACCATGAGAAAAGAAACGCGTTACAAGGAGAAGATCTTGCTTGAAGATGTGACGAACGGCCAGTGAGTGGACGATGGCGGGACTGTACCTTGATGATGCATTTAGATGACTAAGAGGCTCTGGGTATTGGAAATGTGCGAGGGAAGAGTAGTGATAAACATGCCATCAGTCTTGCGATGGCGGTATCTACTGAAAAAGCCACATAAATACACTTAAAAGCAATGTAGCCGAAGTGGTGAATTGACGTTTGGCTGATGTCCCACTGGCGTGCAGTTCAACCACCTGGGGAAATGGCAAAAGTAATGAGAGTCTTTCCGTCCATCAAATTAGAACCACAGAGAAAGAAATGAATAGAGGATTTAAAAGACCAGAGAAGCAACGTAGAATGCATCCGTTTCTGCATCACGCTGGTTCGGCACCTGGGAGATTAGAAACCGTGGTAGGGCCCATCGCCTGGCACGCAAACAAGAGGAGAGAGCAGAAAGAAATCGGTGAAAAGATATGGGAGGATTTGCTTTTCCTACTGACTATACCGAACTACTGGGAAATATGTCAAGAAGTCATGTATTGGCGTCATTAGTAGTGGGCGTCTCGAAATGGAGATGGTCAGGATTATGAGCAGGTAAGACGCGAACCTGCAATAGAACTGGCATGAAATGTCCTGAAAAGCTCTGTAAATCTCCCTCAGGCTTGCATTCATCTTGGGCGTAAGCGTCATCGCAAAAATCCCATTTTCCCGCCATTGCGATGGTAGGAGGGAGCTTGGTCGCCGAGTTGTCCGGAGCTAACCAGCGGTCGCCCTTGGTGTGAGTGAGTGAGTGCATTAAAGGACTCCGGATCTATTGAATACGGTTGAAGCATCGCTAATAGTAATCCGGCGCATATATGATTCTGAATGTAGTCGCTGTGGTGATATGCGCGGTGTTGGCGGGGAGTTGGCTCGTGGATGCGACTACGGGGCACCTTGTCTCTGACCAAAACATGCCAAGAAATTCATCTAGTAAGCGCCTCGCATGGCCAATGACTTTTGAACAGATATCTGGCCATATCAACAGCTCCCAGAAGTCTGGACGGTCGGCCGCCATGTGGTAGGTCGTCCAGAGGGCACGATAGCAGAACGACTAAGACGCCAAGTAGGTGTGTGGGCGCTGACGCCGCGAGCTCGACACCGACCTAGCGCTGACTGTGCACCAAGCGGCTGCGTTGTCTTGTTAAGCTTGTGCGATGCTTAGTCCATTCAGGGGTTGATTATGCGACGAGGTCCAACGGTCAAAGGGCAACGGGGAGTGTTGTGTGGGTTGGTTGGTGATGGTTTGGGTGTCCACTCCACAAGCATGGCTTATACGTTTAGTTTGATGAGATTGCTGACTCCCAAGGGGGTTCTCTTTTCCTACATCTTGTGGTATACGTCTGATCTCATATTGCACTTGATAGAAGCTGGGATACTCTCCCGGTCTTCCGGTTCCCTTGCAAGTTGTGTCTGGCATGGCTGTGGATGCTTGGATAGTTCGGCCTGGTCTGGACGATAAGCCCCAAACTCCAAGAAACCGCAACAAAGATGCAATAGAACTATTCCACGCACATAACCCCGTCGACGTTCCGCACCGTCCCAAAACCGGCCATCACGGCCCAAAAGCGGACGTCACCCGGCATTTCACCCTTGGCGCAGATCTCGGCTTACCCGTTTGGCTCCGCGCTGGCCTCGACGCAGGTGGCATCTCCAACTCCAACACCAAAACCTCCGCCCAATCTCCTCCTACGACTCGGTGACCAATCCTACTCCGCACGACAAGCCCCTTCTCGTGACCCCGTCCATGACGACGCCTTGCTGCATTCTGGATAAAATGCGCCCCCCAGACAATTGCCGGGTTTAGCGCTGATGTGGCTTTGTCCTGGCGGATGGAACCCTCGCTCGGTATCATCTGGATGAGAGTCTGACGTGGGATTATCTTGATATATCAGACCTCTGTGAGTGGCCGGAAAGAAGCTCTGCTATTTCCCATCGTCCTTATATACTCGTCTCTACTCTACGGCCTCAACCCATCTCCCCTCTTTGTCCAGCCGTGCCTTGTCTCGCCTCGTCTGCTCAAGCACCCCCGCAGTCCAGCTCGGAGCAGCTTCACCACGACCGCCATGTCATTTCCTCGATTCTCCAATCTCCCCGTGGAGCTCCAGACTCAGGTCTGGGAAACGTGCACTGCCGGGCCTTGCATGCACGTTTTCGACGTGTGCTTCCCGTCCCGAAGCTCAGGGCGTGCCGAGAGGGCGTTTGGCCGTGTGAATGGAGCGGGTGACGTCAGGGACCAACAGCGCTTTGAGCGGTTCAAGGAGACGGTGTTTCTGGATCGTCTGGACAGTGGCAGCAAGAGAGGCAGCGCAATGGCAGCTCGCGACCCGTTCGATCCGAGCATGTATCATTACGCCAACACGCTGCGACACACGAGCCGCGGCGCAGCGTGGACGACGGACGCCATGTCGACCAAAGCCGGCGCAACGACGGTGAGCCTCCCGGGCCGCGGCGCAAAGCTCACGGTGCCCAACAGCGACGTGCTGATGCTGCAATTCCGCGACGCCGCGCACGCCGCTGAAGACGCCGAGCGCGAGGTGTTCCAGTCGTGCATCGGCCCCGTGCTGCGCTGCCAGTGGTCGGCCGAGCTGGCGGCGACGCTGCGAGACGCGCGCAAGGTGGCGCTGGACGCGGTCGAGGGCTGGGTCTTCTCGCCGCACGACACGCTGGGCTGGGACGAGATCACGCACCTGGCGTCGACGCTGCACCGCGACCTCGAGGTGCTGTATCTGGTCGACACCTGCGCGGGGCGCTGCGGCGAGTGCGGCCGCCACGACACGAAGGCGGGGGATCTGCAGACACGCGGCACGCTCTGGAGGCGGCTCGAGGGCGACGGCCAGGGATCGCCAGACGTGGAGAGGCCGGGGGACGTTATCCGCGCCGTGGGCATGCGCTACACTGAGGTGTTTGACCTGGAGACGCTGGGATGGCACGAGTGTCACCCGACCTACGGCTTTGCGTTTCTGATGAACAATGCGATCCGGCTTCACCAGCATCATGGAGGCCAAAACGTGTTTAAGGGGATCAGGGTATTGGTGGCAGAGGATGAAGAGGTGGACATGTAGCTGTGACCGTCAAGTCTTTGCGATTGGGATGAGCTCGGCAATTCGTGGGTGGGATTGGAGTTTTGGGAAATGACGCTGTTTTTACTGAACTTTGGATGGTAGTGTAGTTCTGGAGCATCTTTGTGTTGGCCGGAGTACATATGACACCGGGGAGGGATGGAGGACCAATATAATGCACCAGAAATGGACCAGAGGATGCACAAACACATGGCACCAGCGGGAATAACAAAGAATTCGTCAATGTTGGAGAAACACCAATGAACCATGCCCGCTCTTGACTTTTGCCGGGATATACCGAAACGCCATTACTTCGTACATGCTCTGCCGCCCATCGTGAACCACTAACCACTTGGTGTTAAAATCTGCCACATGTTAGCTCGAGTCTCGCAGTCAAAAACCACCGGGCTACTCACCGTATCTCATACGAGCCAGCTCTCGTCATGTACCGCACCCACTTGACGCTGGAATAATTACTCTTCTCAAACACCTTGAGATATCGCACCAGCAAGCCCGAGCTCGTAAACATGAGCAGGCTAAAGTTCAAGCTCAGGGGCGGCCGGCTCCACGCCCGTTGGTTGGTCATGCTGGTCAGGATGGCCTCTGCGCTGAGGACGTACTCGCTCTGGCCCGTGAATCGGCCAATCTTCCAGATGATGTTGTTCTCACTGGGCTCGTACTTGGCCTTGCCCTGGGTGCAGCGCTCGGTGATTTTGGCCGTGTTCAGGGGCGTCGGGATCTTGACGATGACGTTGGTCGCGAAGAGCTTGGAGCCAAAGTTGGCCTTGATGCCGATGCTGTACTCGACCTTGGAGCGGCCGACCTCGTTGACAATGGCGTGGACCTTGAAGGGCAGGTTGACGTTTTCCGTGGCGCGGTACCGCATCAGCTCAAACTCGCCGTCCGGGGGCACGAAGCTGATGATGCGGTCGCTGTCAAACTTGCCCAGCTTGACGCACTGGTGGAACTGGCAGTCCTCGAGGGTGACGCTGCCGGCGGCGGCCTTGGTGGCCTTGGTGCCCATGCGGTTCCCGCTAGGAAGGCTGAGCAGGCCGTCGTTGTCCAGGAGGAGGCGGTCGTTGAGGCCGAACTTGCACTCGGGGGTGCCGGAGAGGTAGGCGCGCATGACGATCTGGCCGGTGACGTCGGCGCGGAGGACGGCGCCCGTGGCCGACATGAGCAGGTTGACATCCTCGATGACGTCGACGAAAGCCTCGTTCTTACGGTACTTTACGTCTGCTTTGCGCCAGGAGAGGGCTCCGGTGGCCTGCATGGTGATCTTGGACGTGTCCTCGCGGCGGGATTCAGACTTGACGCCTTCGGTGGTGATGTACATTTTGAGGGTGTCGGTCTCTGTGTTTTGGGGGTATCCAAAGTCGATAATTTCTGGAGAGAAGAAGTTAGTACGGGAGGAAGGGTAAATCTAGAGTCGCCAACTGACCATCGAGCAGCTCGTACACAAGCACAAAGTTGTTCTTGACAGCCTCCTCGTCAAACTTGCCAAAGTACCCCCGACCCAGCTGGATCAGGCGGTACAGGAACTCAAAGACCAGGGCGGCATTGGCGTTGCTCTTGGTGATGGCCACCAGGTAGATGTTCTCGTGCTTGACATGGCTGAAGGTGGTACTCCCGAGGGTGAGGATGGGCGAGCGCACCTGCGAGTTGCTGATGACCTGGATGCGGAAGACGTCGGCGAGGCGGGGGCGGCAGTCGTTGCGGAAGGCGCGGAAGATGAGGTTCTCGCCCTTTTGGTTGAAGACGAGGACGCCGGACAGCATGGTCGCGGGCGGGAGGGGGTAGCGGCGGACAGGAGGAGGAGGCGGGCGCGTCGAGGCTGGTGATGCGATGGCGAGAGGGAAATTGTCGGGGGGTATGGCGAACCGAGTTCTTGGAGGTTAGTTGGGATAGGAGGCGCAATGAGCTACGGAGCACACTTACGGACCACGCTTAGTCTACCGTAGTGGGGGGATTCTGCCCGGGACAGCTTAAAGGCGGTGAGCCCGAGGCGTTGATAGGCTTACCTTATCTGTCCTCGACAGTCTTTCGTCTTGGCTGGGATGTCTTTTAATCAAGGGGAGAGAGGGAGAGATCTTAGAGGAGGAGATGCGTTTTATCAGTCTTTATTAGAGAGTGTGGTGTTGGCCACTTGATGTTAGATCTTCTGTCAAACGTGTTGTGCCATGTCATGTCAACCCGCACTGTCGTTACTCGTTAGTGGACAGACCCAGTGCACCCACCCACTGTAGACCTCACTGCAGCTTGGCCACTGTAATTTGACTACGAGTTGACCACGAGCGGCAGCTTGGCCACTGCATATTGACCAGCCTCAGCTCAAAGTCACCAATTGCCACATGTCCATACTCTCTCACACTCAATCCATCACCCACGCATTTATGCAACGTGTATTCCAGCCCCGAATCAGTTGTTATGACGCTATGCTGCGTGACTGCATACACTCTCAGTGGAGTACCGCGCCATGATGCGCCAGCACCGCCTCCCATTGGCCGCGTCAGCCTGGCTGCCAACTCTCTCGTCCAAGTTTCCAACCCCAACCTCCATCTCTCATCCTCCTCTATAACGCCCGTCAGCATGACTACCGATTCTCACTGAAGCCATCCTTACTTAAATCCCCCGAAGCTATGTCCGCGGCTAGCGAGTTCCCCTCGTCTTTCGTGCAGCCTTGGCGAGAGCTGCTCGAGGCTCACCACGACCAGCAACAACATGACTTCCCCAACCACCACGTCAACGACATCGACTCGCTCATCACCACGAGTCTCCCCAGGGCTCTGTATGTAGGGACCGGCCATTCCATCTACACTCGCGCTCTGCTGCCCGCAATCCTCACCGCCAAACACTCCGTCCAGTTCATCACCTGCTACTGGGCCGCGTCCCCATCCTTGGATTCCATCCGCGCGACGCTTCTGCAGCTTGCGGCGACGCGCGCCCAGGCCAACTCCGCGTCTCCCCTTCGCATCTCCATTGGGTTTTCGTCTCACGGTCTCTTTCAGAAGCTGTTCCACACGTCATCTCGGAATGGATACGTCTATCCTGCGTCGCGATGGTCTGAGCTGGGTCTCCCAGATGAAGACGTGCTGGTTAAAGCTGGCATTGAGCTAACAGTCAAGAGTATCTTCTTCACCCCGTTCAGTGTCATGCACCCCAAGTTCGTCATTGCCGATGGCGCCAAGGCCTGGGTTCCCAGCTGCAATGTGAGCTGGGAGAAGTGGTTCGAAGGATGCATCGCGGTCGAAGGCGACATTGTGAAGCAGCTGGTCGCCTTCCATGAGCGAGTCTGGGGCTCTGGAAACGATTCGGATTCGGCCCATGGCCTTCAAGCGACGGACAACTCGGAAATTTATGCTCTCGCTGAGGGCAATCACGCACTGCATCCTTCAACAAGTGAATCTCCCATCAACAATGGTGACGACACTTCAGCAACTCAGTCCATCACCTTCCACAGCGAGGAACCCGCCCCCACAATCTTTCTTCCATCTTCGCATCATCGCAACCCCAGATTCTCATTCTTCCCCTTCCTCTCGCAGACCAACCCACCCATGACACCTCTCAACGCAGCATTGCTTACCCTCTTCGCTAATGCGCGACAACAAATTACCATTCTCACTCCCAACGTGACCTCGTGGCCGGTAGTCGAGGCTCTCCTAGATGCGCTTGCTCGTGGCGTGGACGTCCAGATCCGAACAAGTAAAGGCATGATGCTCATCGAGCAGCTCGTCACTGCGGGCACCACCACGGCTTGGTGTCTGCGTCGGTTTGTTCAGAGATACCAGGCCCTCTTGCAACAGCCACGGCCGGCGGACCCAGAATCCCAACAGGTCCAACCTGGCAACCTCGAAATTCTCTACTACAAGCATTTGGACACCAGGTCCGACATGGAAGATGAACCCGTCGTGAGCCATTTCAAGATGACGTTGGTGGATGATGAGTATCTCGTACTGGGCTCCGGAAACATGGACAGAGCGAGTTGGTGGACAAGCCAGGAGCTTGGTTTATTGTTCTATCTGCCCGGGTTTCAAGGCCAGAGACTATGGGAAGGGGTGCTTGAGAAGCGCACCGAAGTGTACTTCCGATCAGCAGAAAAGCGCAGATGAAATGTCGAGTGACAGTTCACAGATGTGCGATAATTCCCGCCCCCGTTAGTTCGCCGCACCAGTCTGCGCTTCCTTCGCCTTAACCTTCTCGAACACCCGAATGAAGTTCATCGGATCGTTTGCGCCCTCCAGCCTGAACTGGCCCTGAACCACATAGTCCGGGACGCCGGATACGCCATCCATCCTCGCCTGCTTGGCAGCGTTGTCGACCTCCGCGCCACCCTCGTCGCTCTCAACAATGGCCTTCTGGAACTCCTCCTCGGGGATGCCCGCGTCGGCCGCGATGCCCTGGAGTGTGTCATAGGCCGTGATGTCGCGCTCCTTCTCGAAGTAGGCGGCGAAGAGCCCGTCGATGGTCTTGCCCTCGGCCTCGTGCCCATACTTCTTGGCCAAGCGGACCAGACGGTGCGAGTCTCTTGAGCTGCCGGTCTGCCCGCCAAACTTGAAGTTGATGCCCACTGCCTCTCCAATGCCCTTGAGGCGCTGGTGCATCATCTGCGCCCGCTCCGCGCCGAACCTCTCCGCATAGAATCGCTCCTTGGATATGCTGGACCCCGGGCCCCTCGGTCCATTCGGGTTCAGCTGGAACGGGCTGTAGCTCACAACAAAAGTGTCGTTGGAATCGGGGTATCGTTGCTTCCAGATCTGCTCGGCCAACTGGAGTTGCCGGCGGCCGACGAAGCACCAGGGACACACCGTGTCCGAGGTGACGTTGACGGTGAACTTGGTCATTGTGAGAGTCTTGAAGAGGCTAGATCTAGTGGAATAGTGGAAGCTGTAGAACGGCTTGGCGAGCATCTGGCGAATGCCAAGTTTATACTTACCAAGCAGGGGATCATTTTCCATCCCATCCGCGTGGATCTGGTTCCGCCGTTGCTAGCGTAATCCACCCCCAACCGGCTTATAAATGGAATCTCGGACCGGAGCAGATGGGATACCGACATGTGGGGTCGACGATACGGCATTCCGGCACCATTGAGCTACTCTAAAACTTGTTCCGATGCCGAGCCTGGAGATTTGACGCCATCTTGGTCGCATGGGACGACATGTCGTGAATCGAGTGGCTTCTGGATCCAGTGCCAGCAACCATATTGATGTCATTGGCGCTGTCCGATATCCGATGGATTGCCCTGGCTGTCGTAGGGCGATGCTGGCTTCCGCAGCTAGATCAACTCAACCTGGACGTAGTAACTGCAGTCCACTCAATTCAGGAAGTGTACCATACCCAAATTTGCACGATGTCATAACCTCCAACCCCCAACTACCACCCAGACACGATTCTCATCCCCAATACCGCATGTTAAAACCCAGCGTGTTGACAGCACATCTGCCCATCCGCAAGAGCTGCAAATGCCCGATGTCCTTTTAGTACATTTAGCCCTTACTTCTTAGCACATTGACCGCCTAACCTTTAGGACTACAGGCACTTTTTATAATTGCTTATGACCCTTGATAATTCTTTAGCATTTAGCATCTTAATTTTAGTGCAACCTCTCCCCTCCCCAACGTTCCCCGCGCCTGTCTCTCATCTCCGCCTCCCTGGAAGGTCCGACAAGTTGCTTTGACGATGCACCGGCAGCCAGGAACACGTCCCGCCCGAGTAGCATGAACTTGTGGACGTCGTCGGAACGGAACCAAATCGTATCGCATTAATTTAGGGTCGCCGCATGCGCCTGTGCATGGTTAGTTCTGGTCCCAGAGACCTCGGAGCAAGGGCCCATACCTCTGCAGCTGCTGCGATGGGAGCCTGGATATGGACTAGCGTCATTGGAATTGAATTCAATCTTGACGGTGTAGGGCATCGTCCTCCGTCGTCGTGTACTCCTGATAGATGTCAATATATACCCTTTCGTGATCTAGCTCGACCTACCTTGGCTCGACGACGCCAGGTCTTCACAGAGAACCTAGTTAGCGAGTCAATTCATAGAGATCTGGGAATGATTTCTATACCGCGGTATTGGTAGCCGCCTTCTGTGGGACGTCAGCCTGGCCTCTGTAGAATAGCAGCCAAGGAGCATACTTACGGCCTGGAGCACCTTCAGGCGCTACAAAATATCATGTGTTAGCGATTGATGATCATGGCGCCTCAGCTGTGGATTGTTGGCAGGAATTACCTTGATCTCCTTGACATGGCCCTATAATTTGCACATAATTAGTGACACTCAATAAAGCACATCGGCGAAGGGATAGTACGAACAAGGACCTCGGCTTCATGGAACTACACAAATTAAGTAACTAGTACAACACATGCGTATATTTTGAGCGCTACGTACCTTGACCTTTTCCATGGCGTGCTGGGCAAGGAAATTTTTAGTTGAATCGCACACTGACTGCGCTGTCCTCGCTCACTTACTTCGTAGGTGAAAGGCTAGCATTCCACATGTTAGCACGCCGGATTAAAAGAGGCAGTACAAGTACCGACCTTAGGCTTCGCCTAGCAATTTCTGTAATTAGCCAGAGTCCAAATGCAGAAGATTGTGTTGGGAGAGGCAAATCATGAGGAGTTGCAAATATGGAATCATGCCCTACCTTTGTTTCGACTGGAGCCGATGGCTCCACGGACTTCTGCGAATCGAGTAAGTATACAGTGCTAGTGGGTGCCATTGATATTTGCCTACAGTCCCCGAAACTGCCGACATCGCCGACGACATGGACGTCACTGACATGGCCGCATTGGTTGCGTGCACCAACGAGAATGGTTTCAAGATACAAAATTTCGCTTCTAAACCAGTCAATATTATGAAGACAAGCCCCCAACAAGTAGTGATGGGACAGGGTTGCATCCTTACCTCTCCCGCAAGGGTTCGAGCATCAGATCAGATGCATGAGAGATTCCGTTGCGTCTCTGCACTGGCTCTGGCCGCGTTCAAGCCAGGTTCCCAGGCGGCACCACGTGGAGGTTGCAGAGGCCGACTTCGCCGCCCGACCGGCTCCTCTTCCGTAGGATAGCAGGAGCCGGCCCCCGTTTATCTGGGAATTGATTGTGTGCTATGGGTCGAAACCCAGCCTACGCCGACGATCCATCGCTCAGCTTAATTCAGCCCGAACTCCGGTCACCACTCCGCGATTGCGGGTCAGACTGAACCCACAGTAAACTGCCGGGTCCATCGCACGTCCTCCACGACACAGCCGTAATCCGACGTTATGTGCTGGTCTCCAAATCATCCCACTTTCCCTCAACGTATGGGCTTGGTGGTGGGACGGGTGGTCTTGCTGGTGCTGCACCCTCCTTTCCCTTCTTCCCGAGCGTGGTCTTGAGTGTTGCAGCGAGTGGATCGCCTGCTTCCGTCGGTTTCAAGCCATCATCCTCCGACCAAGACACGCGCAATTCCAGCCACATGTCTATGGCTTGTAGAAAGAAATCCTTCTGGGCTTCGGTAAGCGTCCCATTTTCGAAGTCGTCCTCGACAGTCGTTTTCCGCTCCTTACAGGCGGCGGAAATGGCGTCCCAATCCACAACCCCACCAGTGTGATGGTCCTCGAAGCGTGGTGGTGGATAGTGAGCAGCTTCGTTTCGCTCGGACGAGGTCCTGATGGCATCCAAGTGGAGCTGCCTTGGAACTCCTGCAGTTGTGCACATGGAGCTGATGCGGTCGAGATGTGGTGTCTCCGGCCCTTCTCCCTTGGCAGTTGCGATGAGCGCCTAGGTGTGGATTAGCACAATTAGACTAAGATTTAGACACATTAAATTACCTCGGCTTCGAGGGCATCGTCCTCTGTCGTCGTGTGCTCCTGATAGATGTTAATATATGCTCTTTTGTTATCTAGGGCGGCCTACCTTCGCACGACGGCGCCAGATCTTCACAGAGAACCTAGTTAGCGAGTCAATTCGTAGAGATCTGGGAATGATTACCATACCGCGGTATTGTTCGCCGCTTTCTGTAGAGGGTCAGTCTTACTTCTGTACAATAGCAGCCAAGGAGCACACTTACGGCCTAGAGCGCTGTACCTGAACGTCAGTGACATGGCCGATTGTGGCGTGCACCAACGAGAATGGTTTCAAGATACAAAATTGCGTTTCTAAGTGAGTCAATATTAGCGACTGAAAAATGATCATCTCAGGCTCTCCTGTTCTCTAGCTGAAGGAGGAGAACGGACGATCGGAAATCAGTCACTCACCTTCGATGGATTCTGGAAGATGCAGTAGCACCTTCGATCTCATGACTGGTGACTCGTAGTTTCTGCCCTTCTGGTGAACCCAACGTCCACCGGGGACTCCACATGCTCGTGATCGAAATCTCGTCGGCTGCCTCAGATTAGCGACGTGGACTTTGTGATACGTGCAGGCTCGCTTTGCACCAGTCATTGTGTGCCATGTTGGCTCTTCCTTCGTGGGATCTGTCCCCGGGCTGCGAACCCTCGCGGGTGACGTTTCATGTCGTTGACGATGCCGCGCTCGATGCAGTCATGGTTCCGGTTCGGCGGAGGAACAGCGATGGGAGAGGTGCCGGCTTTGTTCAGGCTGGAGATGAGGTAAGGTTGAATTGAGGAGGTTAGCCCGAGCAACAAGAATGCTCTGAGCAGGTGTGGTTGTTTCTGAGGGAAGAAATTGAGTTGAACCTGGTGCCTAAGGTACCGAGGCGAGACCACACGTGACTCGGCATGGCTTCTTTTATTCGGCAGGCATTGTGAGGAGAGGGAGGGAGTTCGGGGGCATCCTCAGGCATCCGACTTGGACCTATCAAGTCCTTAGGTAGGTAGATGCCAGTTCCATTCCCTTAGGCAATAATTCCAACCTAAGATAAGGATATAAGTGAAATAAAATAAGAACATAATATCATAAACCTTTAGGTTAGTATAAGCCCCCAAACCTGGTGTATTACTTCTTTGGAAACGCGGGGCGACGAATTTACCTACAACTGGGGGACAACTTGACGACTATCTTGACTTCTGGTTGTAGAAGTCTAGTTTAACTATGCATAACCAATTTTCTGAACAGCTACTTGTATTTGGGACTGTTTCACACTCGTCCAAGACTACTTAATATTGCAATTATACCAAAACCCAGCTCGGATGTCTTAGTTGTACTCGCACGCTAGAACTCTAAACTCAGCAATCCTTTCAAGGGACTGGTCTGTACCGTTCAAGTTTTGTCTATATCCCCTGCTCTCAATCTCCAGTTCAATTTGACGAATAAACGAACGACAAGAAATGGAACATCCATCCAGCTCATAATACTCATTCCACGCAGGTGTTTCTGAATGTGATCTGGGACTTCGTACGTCGACAAAACGGCGATCACCTTGGTGAAACGTCGCATCTAGTCCCCGTTCCGCAGGCAGAGGCGCTTCGGGATTTCGTTTGATGCCGTAATCAATGAGCCAAATTGTGCAGATGTGGCCCTCATCAGCTCCTTCGATGGCCGCAGTGGCTAAAACGTCCACTATTTCGATTTCGCGGTCGTCAGGCCCAGCCTTTTCGACTTCAAGGACCCAATTCGGATCAAATTCCAGAGCGACGTTATCCATGCCTTCTCCTCCCAACCAGTATGGGCCCAATGAGAGGTCGAAGGCAATTTGGCTCCAGTCAAGAGTTCTAAGGTTGTGTGGCTGCAAGTAAAAGAGGTCATGGTTCGGGAAAATGGTGAAATAGTGATTTTCCAACGACTCCTCGCCCTTGTAATAGCTTGTTACCGAGATTGGCTTATCCCGGTTGTAGAAATCGCGCCATCCGGAGCAATGGGGTTTCCAGGCCGTTTTCCATTCCAGACTTTGGAACTCGCTTTTTATTATGAGTCTCGATTCCTCACAGGCCGTCCAGAGTCCTCCGTCAGTAAGGCATGTTGATGGGTTGTTGTGGGTCCATGAAGCAGTGACTTTTGGGTCACGGAATTTATCGCCAATGGATCTTGGCCCCCATTTCGGAGCTGAAAGGCGGATATAAGTGTTTCGTGTAGGATTGAGTCCAACATCGTTCATCGTATTGGTGTCATTCTTCTCCTCGTCATAGTTGTAAACGGAGAAGACTTGAACTCCTGGGCGGGCTGGACGGATCGCGTATTTCCAAATCATCTCTCTCAGCTCCCAAGGGAGGTCGAGAAAGCGGTGGAACGAATATGACATGATTATTTAGTCTTGTGAAAGACGTGGGAATGGTGTGGTAAGTAGATGGTGTGGTAGGTGGATGATATGGCAGGTGGATGGTGTGGTAGGTGGATGGTGTGGAGGCGGATGGTTCCTAGCCAATTTGCGTTCCTATGTAGATAGATGTGTGAGAGCATTGGGCTACGAATTGGACTACCGATGGAATATTTATATCGAAACCGTAACCTTGAGAGATTATTTTTCATTTATCAAGGTTAACCATCGTCAAGCTTGATGACCCACACCGACCTGGATGACTCGGAGATGTTGCAACACTTGCGGCGAGCCAACCGATCTCGAAGCCCTTCAATGTAAGATCTTGAGCGAAAGAGAGAGAAAGGGGGGGTTAGTCATGAAATTTGAACATTGATTGAATGCTTTCTGGTTGCCATGATAACCGCTGAGTCGCTCCAATACCGTATGAACTCGGTGAATTGGTACAAAATTTCTGGCCCACTTATGCAGCCCGACCCCGCAAATTCTGCAGCTTTACTCTCTAGTGGTTGGCTCTGGTCATCCCGATAACTCTTAGTGGACTGATAAGCTGCAGTAAGGTGGGGCGGAATTTTTGTACCAATTTACCGAGTACATACGGTACTCACGAACCGGCTGCATCAGTAGGGTTTCCTCGATGCGGCAAGATTACACCGATATCCTCAAGATCGCCAAGACCGCCGTCACTTTTCGGGGACCTCTAGTGCGAGCGATCGGCCGAAGATAAATTCCGACCACACCGCTTCATCTCGTTAATGGAGGGGTGAACGAAGGGGTGGTTGGTCCACGTGTGCAAGAGTAGACAGCACGGAAGATTTCCGTGCTGCGCTGGAGTCTGAGTTTCATTCCAGTGCCTGTGTATACAACATTGTTCATTGGTCATGTCAATTTTGACAGTGCAGATCACCTCCGACAGCAAATGGCGGGGAATATGCAGGGTCACAATAGCCTAAGCCTAGTGCTAATTTTGGATGCTCTAGTGGCGGCCGAGACCGACGGAGGGATAATCGACCCGTTGGCTTACCATGACTTGATAGTCAATGACGATATACCGTCTCAGAGAGGTGATTTAGCTTTGACCTGACCCTGTGGACGCCATCCCACAAGGCTATTGGCCCGATGTTGCTTTTTCTCGTATTCAAGGTCTCGAATTAACTTTAGCTTACCCGTGTTTGGGTGACCAATATCTTTAAGGCCATCAAGTTGGAATGATAAAATGTTGAGAATGCGACTGCCTGCTGCCAAGCATCGATTTCCCTTCTCTTATAAAACCGCCTCTATGCCAGACTCATCGTCCATCATCGACACACACTCCGTCTTCACCACGCTCAAACTACCAAACCCAACATGCTCCTCAAGAACTTTATTACGGCGACTGCCCTTGGCCTGATCAGCTTCGCAGCGGCCAAAGGAGGCGTTGGGCCAAGCACCGGACGCCCATGCGGCTTCAAGATTGCACCCTGTCCGCAAGACACAGTCTGCATCCCCAACGCAAAGTCGTGCAAAAACCTGAAACGCTGTGCTGGGACATGCCATTTCAAGAACAACTACCGCAGCTGCGGCGGCTTCACGCCCGCCCCCGCGCCGTCCTGCCCAAGGGGCACCGTCTGTAAAGATGACCCTCGATTCCCGGACAGCTGCGGCATGGCTTGCGACGCGCCAGGAATTTGTATCTCCAAAAGACAACGCACGTGCGGTGGATTCGCGGGATTTCAGTGTCCGTATGGGCTTTACTGCTACGATGTTCTTCACGATGGATGCGATCCGAAGAAGGGTGGTGCTGATTGCATGGGGATCTGCCTGTAACAATTTGGCGCAGTGCAGCTTGGGTCATCCGGGAAGATATCATGGCGGTGACTGATTTGAGCAGAGGAAAGTGTCACTGCAAGTTGGCAAAGAGCTTGAAAAGGGCTGGTTAATGTTGCCTACTTGGGGCATTCCATTCTTTTCCGTCTCTGGATTTTGAACCTAGAGGCCGTTTTGGTCCATTATCGGGATAAAATATACGAAATTACAGAATGAAGTGGAACGAGCTTTCTACTTTGGGCTTCGAAATTACGTAGATGTGATGATGCCCAAATCTCTGACGTAGCATTCAGGAGACGCCGCCAATAGAAGGTCTCAAACCACCACCATCATTCTTAGCCAGTAGTACTATTTTGGGTCATTCCAAGTAAGCTAGACCGTGCTCAAAGTTACAATTTAAGCCCTATTTATGCTTACTGCCATCCGAGCGTCCGTGACGCGCCAGCGGCACATGATGTTGGGCTAACTCCCACAGGCATCCCGCATTCCAACGACGAAGAAAAGACTAAGGACTCCATCGCTTAGACTAATGCTCAGTGCTAAAGTATATGCGCCTTAGATCTAAGGGTCCAAAAGGGCGCCAATTACGTGATTTTATCACAAATACTGTGTTGGTCTCCAGATCCGTCGATTGGTGCAGGGGCGAATACGACATGGCTTCCCGAGGGAGGAATGAGACACGGCCGAGTCGAGCCATCTCCCACCTACCCCAAACAGTGGTACCCTCGGCAATATGTGTTAGAGAGCCGCACTTCAGTGACAGAAACCTCCTGCGTGAAGAAGACTGTCAGCCAGTCATCCCGCTCAGCCAGTATTTGAGGTCAAAGATGCAAGGATCCGTAAGGACCGAATCAACACCCAATGGTTCCCGGTAGATTCAAGTAATAGGATAGTACCAAACCTCGCTCAGCTCGGTCATGATCTTGCTAGCCTTGGGCCATTCCTCGCCAGTGACCAGAAGAAAGATGGTCCCCATAAGCGTTCAGAACGGAAAATTCTCTTCCCATTTAGATATATCCTGGGGCAAAAAAAGACCTGAAGGTGACTTGGTCAAGTGAATACACTTTCGTAAATTTGATCAAATAAAAAAGAAATCGTCTACAATTTTAACAAGAATTTTGGAAACTAATTCAATTTACTGGGGGTTTGACCTTCCAAGAACCGCGCGAGAACCTTTCCACGAACTTAGTGATCGTATTTTTCACGACTCCTCACTCTCTCTTTCGTCCTCGACCACTGAAGCCCCATCCGATCTGGTTGGCCATCTTGACATCCACCCCTAATTCGTCTCCATAGGCATACACGAGCCCTGGGTTCTTCTGGAACCATCGTCCACACATGATGACATCAAGGCCCTGCTGCAAGAGCTCTTCTGCCAACTTCCCCGTGCTGATGCCTCCCACCGCTGAAACGACCATCTTGCCTCTGGCAGCCTCCAGGATCTCCAATGCGAAAGGGGCCTGGTATCCAGGGCCTGACTTGATGCTGGTCGACTGCTTGGGGTGGATGCCGCCCGAGCTGACGTCGAGGAAATCAACACCTCGTTCGGCGAGAAGTGGTGCCAATTTGCAGGAGTCCTTCACCGTCCAGCTTTCTGGAAACTCGTCCTTGAGGTTGTCAAACCAATCAGTCGCGCTGATCCTGACAAACAGAGGCATATCTTCGGGGATAGCTTCTCTCACGAGATCCGTGATCTCCAGAACCAATCTGGTGCGGTTCTCCCAGCTTCCGCCGTACTGATCCTTGCGCTGGTTGCTAATGGGGCTGAGAAACTGGTGAATGAGGTAACCGTGAGCCGCGTGGATTTCTACAACGTCGAAACCGGCTCTGACTGCCCTCTTGGCTGCCTCAACAAATGCAACCTTGAAGTCGTTGATGTTGTCGATGGTCATCTCTTTCGGTTGAGGGTACGCATCGTTGAAGGGAATCGCAGAGGGCGCGTAGACGCTGTTCGGCCAACCACCAACTTCCTCGGTTGCAGTTGCATTCATATGCAGAAACGGGGGAACGGTGCTTGATTTCCTCCCTGCATGGCTCAGCTGGATCCCAATTTTCTGGTTTTGGCTGTGAGCAAAGTCGATGATCCTTTTCAGAGGCTCAATCTGCCCGTCTTCCCATAAGCCAATATCGTGGGGAGTGATGCGACCCTCTTTTTGAACAGCAGTCGACTCCATGAGAGCCAGGCCAGGACCTCGCTGGATGATTCCGCCGAGATGCGTAAGGTGCCAGTCCGTAGCGTAACCGTCCTTGGCGGAATATTGGCAGAGAGGGGCCAAGAACAGTCGGTTTTGGAACGTCAGGCCACGAATGGTAAGCGGCGTGAACAACTTCGGCAACTCCCCGTCTTTCTTCATGCCTCTCGCCGTACCCGAAGCAGGTTCTTGCACAGGAGTGTAATAAGGCACACCCTTTGCTGAGACATTGTCGATTGTCCAAGTCGGAGGGGCCACATGGGCGTTGATACTTTCAACAGCCATTCTCAAGTCTCTGCAGGATTTCCGTTTAAGGGAAACAATTTTTAATGAGTAGAATGAAGTTGTTTATTGCGAAAAAGCAGAGATTCATGATTCTACTACTTAAATACACGGAAAAAAGTTCGGAGGTTTAAATTTTGGCCGATCTTCACCATGTCGCCGATTGAGAAAAAACGAGAAGGAGGAAACAGCCGACTTGATCGGCACATTATCTCAAAAATTCTGAGGCTGTATCTCGTAATGAAGGATCCAGGCTATTGGCCGGGTTGTGCTATTTGGGGCCCATTCTTACAATCTGTTTGCTCACAGGCCTCTCGGCAAACGAGTCATTTTGCCGAAAATGGGTCTTGATGGGTGTTAGCTCGGCGGCGGATGCCGACGCATCTCATATTCGACGGCGCGATGCTAGGAAAGGGTAGAATTCGGGGACCAACTACAACCTGCCGTCTTAAGAAAAAGCCTTTAACTGCCATAGAGAAGGGCATGGAACTTTGTATTACCGGGCCAGTAGCCGAAGTCGTTAGCACTATTCTCAGCGACAAGGACTTGGATTTGTGAGAACATGGGGATCGTTACGCCTCCATCAGAATCACGACGCGGCCCTACTAAGCACTTTTTTATTAGTCTCATTTAGAACATATTCCCTGAGTGATACATCATGCGCAGTGTTATTCGATCGAGACCAATGCTTGGCTCTAAAGTTGTCTCTCACTTAGCTGTACGTCCTACGCTGGGGTATAGTAAGAAACACAATTTGCCGCTAGAATTTGGCCTGAAACGGCATCTATATATTTATGGCATCCTTTACGAGCAAGGATCTATCTGATTATCCGAATTGAGTAGAAAGAGAATCCTCGGTTATTTCATCACATCCCTATTAGGGCAAATATCTGACAGGCTCATGGATCACGTGGTGACATTGCGAGACGCAGCAATTGCTGCATGGTTTATTCCCGTCAGCTGCACAGGGCTGACGGCAAGAAACCTCAACGTCTGGCTCTGATATCACCATTCTACCATCTCACCACTATCCCTCTTGTTCCAACCCCGTCAATGAAGTCTTCAGATACGCTCTGTCGTATCAGATCCTGGATTTGACCTACACTCAGCCATGTCCAACCCCAAAGATTACGCGATCGGCTGGATCTGCACCATTAGCACCGAACGCGTTGCGGCTGAAGCCTTCTTGGATGAAAGACATGATGGACCCGAATCTATCTCCCCGAACGATAACAACGACTACACATTGGGTCGAATTGGGAGACACAACGTTGTCATCGCTATCCTGCCCGATGGGGAATATGGTACATCCTCAGCAGCAGCAGTTGCAAGAGACATGCTCCATAGCTTCCCTAATGTGAGGATCGGGCTTATGGTAGGTATCGGTGGCGGCGCGCCAAGTCTAAGAAATGACATTCGCTTGGGTGATATTGTAGTCAATGCTTCGCCCAATGGCCAGAGCAGCGTTCTACAATATGACTTTGGCAAGACAATCCAAGACCAGGACTTTCGAATAACTGGGTCCCTCAACCAGTCCCCTGTAGTCCTGCGGACAGCTCTCAATGGGCTGAAGGCTCAGTATGAAGGGAATGGCCATACGATCGAAGAGGATATCACCAATGTGTTTGCCATAAAACCTCGCCTGCGAAAGAAATATAAGCGGCCAGAAAAGAGTAACGATAGACTCTACAAGAGTAACATCACGCATCCCATCGATAAGGGGGCTGTCTGTTCAGTGTCCTGTGGTGGGGATCAGTCTAACCTGATGGTACGACCTGAAAGAACTGACGAAGATGATGATCCGATGATTCATTATGGAAGGATCGCATCCGCAAATCAACTGATGAAGGATGCCACAATTCGCGATAAACTCACAGCTGAACATAATATCCTCTGTTTTGAAATGGAGGCATCAGGGCTGATGAATCATTTTCCCTGTCTGGTTATTCGAGGTATTTGCGACTACTCAGATTCACATAAGAATAAAGATTGGCAGGGTTATGCAGCAATGGCGGCAGCTGCATATGCGAAGGATCTACTACGTCGAATTGCTCCAAGTAGAATTGAGGCTGAGAAGAGAATTACGGACATTGTCTTTGGTCAGTTAAAGATGAACCAAGAACCGCACTGATTGGAAATACTAATTATGTATGGTAGAGGTGAAAGAAGGAGTTGAGGACGTCAAAAGACAAGTCCACAAACTTGTCTCTGGGCAACATGCTCAGCAGGATCAAAACATCTTAAAATGGCTTACGGAAACTGACTTCGGCGCTCAGCAGAACGACTTCATCCGCCAACGGCAACCAGGAACTGGCCAATGGTTTTTGGAGTCGGACGAGTTCCAAGCGTGGGTGAAAACAGAGAACCAGACCCTGTTTTGTCCCGGTATTCCTGGAGCGGGCAAGACAATCATGTCAGCAAGCGTGATTGACGATCTCTATTCGAGGTTTCAAGATGACCAAACCATTGGCATTGCGTATATCTATTTTAACCACCGACAACATGAGAGCCAGATTGCCGATGACTTACTAGCGAGCCTTTTGAAGCAGCTAGCTCGGAGAAAGCCTTCACTACCTGAAAGCGTGAAAGCTATTTACGACACATGCCAGAAAAGCCAAACAAGACCATCATTTGAGAAGATCTCATTGACTCTCGATTCTGTTGTTGCTATGTATTCGAGAGTCTTCATTGTCATTGACGCACTCGACGAATGTCGGACATCCGACAACACCCTCACAAGATTCCTCAAACACATTTTCAAACTTCGAGACGAAGCTCCAACAAATATATTTGCTACTTCCAGACCCAGCACAGAGATTTCAAGCTATTTTAGCAAAGGGCTTTCTCGGACGATCTCCGCGATTGATGAAGATATTACTAACTATCTGAATGCCAAAATCTCCCTCCAAAAATCCGAAACGATCGACAATGAGATGCAAGAGATGATCGTCAAGGGAGTTCTTGAAGCTAGTGACGGAATGTAAGTTATACGTGGTTGAATCTGAAAGTAGGACTATACTCACGTAGAACTCAGGTTTCTACTCGCGAGGCTGCACGCAGATACCCTTATGTCCAAATTCACGAAGGGGCATTTGAAACAAGCCTTACAGAAGCTCGGCAAGGGAATGGCAGGATTGGACAAAACCTACGATCAGGCCATGGGAAGAATTGCAGATCAAGAGCATGAGGTCGCACGCTTCGCCAAGCAAATTCTAGCATGGATTATCCACTCAAAAAGACCCCTTGGTACACTGGAGCTCCGACATGCTCTTGCTGTTCAGAAGGGCACAGCAGTCTTGGATCCAGATTTCCTTCCAGCTACTAAACTCCTGGTATCTCTTTGTGCTGGACTAGTCATCATCAACGAAGAAAGCAGCGTCGTTCAGCTGGTCCACTACACCACCCAGGAGTACTTTGAACGAACCAAGAGCAAGTGGTTTCGGGACGCAGAGTTGGAAATTACGACAACATGCGTTACATATCTCTCATTCAATGCCTTCGAAAGCGGAGTTTGCGCCGACATTGAGCAACGCCTGCAATCACACCCACTCTACGACTACGCAGCTCAAAATTGGGGTCACCATGCTTACGGAGCTTGGAAATTGAATAAAACATCTGCGAAGTCTTGCGAGGTCAAAGCAAAGTCTGAGGCGTTGAGCAGTCTGGTGGTGACCTTCCTGAAGAGCACAGCTAAGGTTGAGGCGTCGGGCCAAGCACTGTCCGCCTACGTCCCAGACCGAAATGGATTTTCCAGCAGTGAAAGAAACCCGAAGGGTATGACAGGTATCCATTTGGCGACGTATTTCAGACTGGAAGTTGAAGTATCATGTCTGTTAGGTGACGGCTGTAGCGCAGATCTCAAAGATTTCTCGGGAAGAACGCCGCTACTACTGGCTACAAGCGACGGAAATGAAGCTATAGTCAAGCTGCTCCTCGATTCCGGTAGAGTCGACATCGACATCAAGGATAGACTCGGTCAAACGCCACTATTGATAGCCGCAAGCAACGGGTACGAGACTGTAGTCAGGCTGCTCCTCGATACCGACAGAGTCAACATCGACGCAAGAAATGAACACAGGCGGACGCCGCTATGGGTAGCTTCAGAACGAGGACATGTGGCTGTAGTTGAGCTGCTCCTCAATACCAACAGGGTCAATATCGACGCAGAGGATGGACGCCGTCAGACGCCACTATTGATAGCTGCAAGCAACGGAAATGAGGCTATAGTCAAGCTGCTCCTCAATACCGGCAGCGTCAATATCGATGGAAAAAGTAGCTTTGACCAGACGCCGCTATGGGTAGCTTCAGAAAAAGGACATGAGGCAGTGGTCAAGCTGCTCCTCGATACTGGCAGAGTCAATATCGATGCAAGAAATGTATACAGGCGGACGCCGCTGTATATAGCTTCAGAAAAAGGACATGTGGGTGTAGTCGAGCTGCTGCTGAACACTGGCAGAGCCGAGATCGATGCAAAAGATGCATTTCATCGGACGCCGCTATCGATCGCTGTAAGCGAAGGACATGAGGCTATCGTCAAGCTGCTCCTCAATACCGGCAGAGCCAACATTGATGCAAAAGATGTCTTCAACCAGACGCCGCTATCGATCGCGACAAGCAAAGGAAATAAGGCCATAGCCAGGCTGCTCCGCAATGCCGGCAGAGTCCCTTCAATTGCAGAGACCTCTTTCAATTAAATAGTGCGGTGGTGGGGGGTTTAGAATGGGCATGGCTTCGTGTAAATAGACTTGTGTGTCAATGAAAGGGGATTGCTCCAGTGCATCCCTTGTCGAACAAAGGACCATAGACTGGTGATATTGAAAGATAAATCACAGCAGATAGCATAGGAATAGGTCATCTACTTGGAGAGGCCTTGACGTTTGAAGATCATTCTGTGCCCTATCTTGCCATCGATCGAGCGAAGCACAGGGCGGGACTTAATTAAATGGGGAAGCCCCGGCGATTCGAGCGATGCCAGCACTCCAATCTCTCGAGTAGCTCATTTTATTGGTTCATCCGCTGTCAGCATTTAGCCCGTTCAAATAACAGCGTTATAAAACCCGGCAATAGCACAAACGCCGGCGGCAATAAAGGTAAGCCAAGACCGCTACGCGAGAGCTACGCGAGAGACATCGACCCCTCCTCTGTCATCAAGACGCGTGGATTGTGAACAACCTCACGCCAGTTGCCACCATGTTAGAGGTAGGCGGACCCGCAGCGGACGCCACGGAGGGGAACGACGAGACGTGGATTGGCATCGCCGATCCCAACCTCCGACGCAGGCTGCAAAACCGATTGAACCAGAGAGAAAGCAGTGAGGCTTGCCCTTGTCATCATTCATGCACCCTGGTATTGGTCGACAGCTAACTGACGGACTTAAGGGCGGAGGAAAGCTGCAGAGCGGGCAGCGGCAGGAAAAGTCCAGGCACTAGAACAGGGTGTTGAGATCCATCTCCGCCAAGTTGCATCACGACCACTCGTGCCCCATCTTTGTAATGACACTGCATCCTCGAGAGACAGCTCGTCTTCGGGCAGCTCGGAGTCGGGGACCCTTGCTAGCGAAGTCAGTGGGGACATATGTCCAGCACTGCCGGATGATATGGTTGGAGTAGAATATGTGGGTAGCGGTACACAAGATGTTATGGCTCTCTCTCGGCACTCAGCCGATGTACCTCGGGCTCCCAACATCAATCATCTTCTTGAGCCTATATCATGTGTTGCCGATGCTCAGAGGATATGGCACTATGGTAAGATCCAAGACCATTAGAGACACAGCCTTAGCCTAACCCGGCTACAGCGTTGACTATCATACTGCCGACTCTGGGTGTCAAGACCCGAGAGGGGGAGCCACTGCACGAAGCTCTCTACCGGTCTGCCACCTTGGAACCCGCCGTCTTCTACGCCACTCTAGTTGGGGGTGCGACACAACGTCTTACCCTAACGCAGTCCCAAGAGGACGCCCGAGTCCTTCTGATTGCACAAAACAAGACAGCTGAAGCTGTACGCGAATCTTTGGCAAAGGGAACAATATCAGACGGCACCCTGTTTGCTATAATGTCCCTAGGGCTGAAAGGGAATGAGTCTACCACATCAATACCCGTGGCAAAAAGGTACCAAGGTGGCTTTTCGTCGCCAGTCCGAAATATTGGAGGACTCAACTGGCTAGGACAACTTCAGTTCGCCACTACCCATGCGTCCATGTGGATCCAGCTCCTCCGAGATCGAATGACGCAGGGAAGCAACATGCCAGGACTTCCTGACTACCTGAAGCTGTCAGATCTCTATCGCGCAAGCTTGAGCCTGGCACGCCCCGGGTTAGACCTGTATGATTACACAAGTCTTTCCCGAGATGGTGACGCCATTCAATTCTTTGGATCATGGGAAGCCGATAGCTTCGACGTACATGATGCTCTGAAGGAAGTCGTCACAGACATGTGGATCTGCTGCCAACTTATTAAACAAAAGTTTTACCAAAATGGAGACCTGAACTACTTCATCCGCCTACGCAATGATATACAGCACCGACTCCTGTGCCTTCCTCCCGACCAAGACAAGGTTGAGCTTCTTGCAATAATGATTTTTAGCTACGGCGTCATATTTCCAATCTCCGATCCATGGCCCCTCAGTAAACTCACAAAAAAGCTATATTTTGAGATTCTAGATGAGCTGGCTTTTACGGATGCGAGAAGACAATTTCTGCTTTGGGCGTCGGTCATGGGTGGCATTGCCGCCTGGGGAGGAGAATTCCAGGACGTTTACACTCTACTTGTGGCAAAGCATGCCAAATCACTTGGGATTGAGGGCTGGGATCAAGCCATCGAGATCCTTGATAAATTTCTCTGGTTACATACGGCATGTTACACTGGGGGGCAGTTGGTTTGGGGCAAGGCTTTGATGTATATTGAAACGACGACATGATTCAAACACTGGAGAAGATCTATCGGCACAAGAATCAGATCCCTAAAAGCGTGTACCTCTTTGTTTGCGGCTATTTATACCCGAAATAAAAAACTAAAGCTTTCCCAGCTCGCTCTCTGTGATCCAATGTGATCCTCCAGCGCAGCGATAGCCGCCGGCCTGCTTGATCCAGTCAAATCCTGCAGGACAACGGCCCGCCATCTTCAACTTTGCCTTTTGCGCCTCGATTTTCTTTCGCCGTGCCTCCTCGGCGAGAACTTCCCGTACAATCCTCTCACGATCTTCGTCACGCGCAGTCTGTTGTGCCTTGAGAAGATCACGATACTCTGCATCCTCGCGCGCCTCTTTCTCTCTATCAGCCTGTAGCTGATCCCACACCTCATCACTGACTCCGGCATCGCGGATTGCCAGGTGGCTCGGAACTGGTCCGTCATCTACCGGATCTTCTGCAGGCTCGTCCTTGATGTCTTCGGCCTGCTGGGATTTTGTCGATGTGTTTGTCTGAATCGTAGGCGGAGCTGAAAAGTGATCCGCTAGCTTCATCGAAAGGTCATCTCCCGCTGGATCTTTTGTGTTTGTCATTCTACCTCTCCGCTCATCGATCATGTGGTCCAACGTCTTGTCAATGACCTCTTCAGATAGGATCAGTGGCTCACACGACAGGTCTAGGTTGCGAAACATGGCCGAAGCTAGGCCAATGACGTCCCTCGCGTTGGCCCATCCATTTTGAGCTGACAAGGTCGCAAACTTCTTCTCCAGATCCACAATGAAAGATGCCTGGGGAGATTCCAAGCACGAAATATCGAATTTCTTCTTGTTTAACTCAAGCTTCTTCTTTTTCTTCCCAAGTTGGGCAATCATCAACTCAATACAGTCTCCAGGCTCAAATGAGGAAAATTGAACGGTTTCAGGAAACCGGCTCGACATGCCTGGGTTGATTGACAAGAGGTGGTTGATGTCCTTGTCGTATCCGGCCAATATGATAATGAGCTTTTTGTCGTACTTTGGTTTTGTGATGCAGTCCACAATCTCGTCGACGGCCTCCTTGGCAAAGGGTCCATCAGCAAGCCGGTAAGCCTCATCGATGAGCAGGATTCTTCCCAGGGCCTTGTCAAGAAGTGCTTGAACTTTTGGACCCGTCTGCCCGACATACGAGCCTATGAGATCTGTAGCTGAGCAGTCGATAACCTCTGTGCCGGCAAGAAACCCCATGTCGTAGTACACCTTGCCCATCTTTCTCGCTGTTGTCGATTTTCCAGTCCCTGGCGGTCCGCGGAAGAGGAAGTTGAAAGGGATCTCTGGGTCCATGTCAAGTATCTTGGCGGCTTTGACACGCCTTTGGTACCCCTCTAGCATGGCAATGAGTTTGCCTCGTCCGGCTTCCCCTTCGAAGAGCTTCTGGATGTCCGTACCACCTCTCTCAGCTCGGTCAAATTCCTCATCAAAATCGACGGCTTCCAGGGTGCCTCGCCTCTTCACCTTGCCCAAGGAAGACCGCTTTTGGTTACTTTCTTTTGCTCTCCCCAGAAGAATGTCGATTTCTCCTGCGTTTCCAAAATTGGGACGGTTTCGGGCTCGACTGAGGACTTCTAGGGCAACTCGTTTAGCCTCATCGGTAGCGCGGAAGGCCGATTGCTTCAGCTTCAGATCCAAAATCTGAGACAGAGCTTGATCGTCGAAGTCCTCAAACATGAACGCAGAGCTCAGAGGGAAACGGCGGCTGAGCCCAGGGTTGACGTTCTGGAACATGTTTTCCATCTGATCCTTATAGCCAAGGAGCAGGACACAACGATCTTCACCGGGGACACTCTGAACCTCGGCTACAATCGTGTCGACCACTGCTGTCTTGTATGGGTCGCTGGGTGAATTGACTCCTCCGCCACCATAGAGACCGTAGGCTTCATCAATGACCAGAACCTTTCCGACGGTCGCCGCCAGGATTCCCTTCGTCTGGGCCTCGGACTGTCCTAGCACTCCTCCGACAAAATCGGCTGGAGTCTTAACAACCACCTCTCCATTCGACAGAAGACCCAGATCAACGAGAATTCGTCCAAAAAGCTTGGCGACTGTTGTTTTTCCAGTTCCTGGAGATCCCAGAAACACTCGGTTCAGAGAAAACTCGACGAGACTTTCCTCGGCCAGTTCCCTCTCGTAGTTTGTCTTCACTGTATCTAGGAGGACTTTGAGAATATCTTTGACTTCCTTCAAGCCAAACAGTTGGAGTAGTTTCCGGTATGCCTCGCTCTTTATCAAGGCACCTGAAGGCTCGGGTCCAATGATGTCTTCTCGCGTCAACAGCAAGTCATCTGGCTGCGTACCGGCCCGCCTTTGGAGTCGCAATCGATCAGCCTGTCTATCCAACATTGACTGGACGTAGTTTTCGACGGCACGAGCATTGCCAAACCCTTCTTTTCCACGGCCGCAGCCAATCCGACGAGACGCAATGCGAAAGTAAAGACCGCCAGGTCCATCCTCAATCTGCATTCTGCCGTTGTACTTGCGATGAATCTGAAGTTGAAGCATGCTGAGAAGTTCTTCGTCGCTATAGTCTTCGAACTTCATCTCAATCGGAAAGCGACTTGGGAATCCAGGATTGTGAGCAAAGAAAGACTCCATCTGCTTGCTATACCCAGCAAGGACAAAGATGACCTTCCCTCGAAGGTTTTCAACCTCTGCAAGGAGATAGTCTAGAACTGCGGCGCCTCCTGAGTTGTTTCCAGAGGATAGTTGATACGCCTCGTCAATGAAGAGAACACCACCGCCGTCGTTTTTGATATCCTCCAACAGTTTTTCACAGCCTGGCACACCCTTGCTGGCCAGCTTTGACCCTGTGGTCTCTTCAAAGGAGCTGCCCGAGATGGCTCCCACTGTCGTGAGGAACTTGGCCCAGATGCGGGCAACAGTCGTTTTCCCTTAACCAGTTAGATTTGAGTGCATCGCATGGGACAAAACTTACCTGTGCCTGGATTTCCGAGTAGAGAACAGCTGAATCTCTCACCATCTAGCGACAAGCCCTGACGGATCTTCGTGTCCACGCTGCCTTTCACGGAAAGGAAACGACCCTTGACAGACCCGAGACCGACCATCTCCATCAGCGTATCCATGGCTTGATTACAAGAGCCGTCCATCTTTTTCATAGCCTCCCACTCATCCCGGGCCGTGCTAGGACTAGTGGCAAACGCTTTCGGGTTCTTGCTTGAGGTTGTTTCAGTGGAGTTGTTGCTTGACGAGGTCAAAGGCTGGCTGGATGCCCTCTTTTCCTGGTTTGCCTTGGCTTTGTCCATCCTTGCCTTGGTATCCTGTAGAGACCTCAGATGCTCGTTCTTCTTTCGAAGGGTTTCGCTTTGCTCCTTTTGCTCCGTTTCATATTTCATGATCCGTTGTTGGTGGTCAATCGCATCCTCAAGTTCTTGAAGTTCTTTGCGATACTTCTTCTGGTTCTCCAGTCTCTTTTCCTCAAGTGCAATATCTCTCAGCGCTCTTCGGCGAGTCTCCTCATCTTCCTTTTTGCAGCTGTAGCAAGCGGGATTGATCTTTCCGCAGGGGACTTTGCTCTTGTGTCCACGCTGACACGTAATCTTCAATTTCTCTCCGCAGGGAACTTTCGAGTGATCTGCAACCCAATGACAATGGCGAGTGCAAGAGTGCTTACCACAGCTCAACAGCGCGCCACTATTAAATGAGTTAGCAACTTCCATATCGCCTGAGCCGAGCACATACCATAGCTCTGTGCATCCTCCATCTGGACAATACTTGTCAAAATCCTCAGGATTCTTCAATTCCACCGATTTTTCCGGATGTCGCTCGCACCGGATAGGAATGCCGTCACGCAGGCAACCGTCTTCGTCCAAAGCCTTTAAGTATTGCGTCCACATCTCACCTCCCTTCTTACTTTTCATGAAAGTGTGCTCATTTCCAAAGAGCACCATGCCATTCCTCGCCCTTGACATGAGAACGACCAACCGCTCCCGGGCGTGCAGGAAACCAATGTCGCCCGAAGCATTGCTCCGTGTTAACGAAACAATGACAATGTCACATTCCTCTCCTTGGTAGTTATCTATACTGATTAGTATTAAATACTTGTTCTTGTTGATGAACTCACCAATGGTGGACAGGCGCAAAGGTTTCTTGTTGAGTTTGGCCGTTGCTTCAGCCATCAAGCCAGCACGAACCAAGTCATGCGAATCCAAATCGTTCAAGTATGGATTATTCTCATCGCGGAGCGTCTCCTTCAACAAGAACAATTGGCCGAGGTAGGGTGTCAAGACAACGATATTTTCGGATTTGTAGCCTTGCTGTACCAAGTATCTCACAAGTCTCAACACCATCAGTGCTTCGTGTTGGTTTCTCTTGCTGCCTTTGGTGCCGCTCACGTCCCAACGCTCCCCCACTCCGGCCTGCTCTTCTTCATGGTGCTCATGGTGTACGAATGTGACACGGCTTGCGAGGCCACGAATCTTTTCCCGATTGTGGGTATCCGGGGTGTCTTCAAGGTCTTTGTAGGCGAGCATTCGGACATGGCGTGAAATCTCGGGATGACTGCGGTGTTGCTCTCGAAGCGTGGTAAACCTGTGGCCCTGCAGTACTAGTCTCTCAAATAAAGAGACATTGAGATCATAGCCTTCGCCCTTTTCTTTGCTAAGTTTGTAGTTGTTGATCTTGGGTCTCAGCTGCTTGTGGTCTCCGATCAGAATGAGCTGTTTGACTGAGGGGCTCAACGCAGCGATGATGTGAGCTTCCAGGACTTCTCCTGCTTCTTCAACCAAAACGACATCAGGGTTGGCAGTGCTGATGATAGACTGATACATAGATGCCCGTGTTGTAGTGCAAGAAATTATCCTCTTACTTTTGAGAACTTTGCGGTCTTGTTCTGCAAGTAGGCTCTTTATGTCGGTTTGAAGCTCATTCTCGCATTCGCTCAACCGAACAAATTCTTCAATCCTTTCGTCGCGAACGTTTTGCGACCATTTAGTAACCAATTCTGCTCTAAATTGGAGCGGGATTTGCCAGATGGATGCAGCAGTAGGCGGTAGGGAGGAAATGAATCCACGAAGTCGCTGTGTTGGTAAGCCCTGAAGCCAGTGTGTGAACAAGTCTTCAGGTCGGAGGATCTTGTTCTTGACTCCGACAACCCGAAACCCATCACTCGACTCGGAAACCTGGAATGCATCCCAGAATAAAGGATATTCCTCTGAATACTCGAGGTATTCAAGGATTTCGGCGATACAAGGCTTGTTTTCTGAAAGCCTCTCCGCGATGTCCTGCAGCTCACAGCCATTCTCTTGAGCCTCTCTCTCCCGGGCTCTTTTGACAAGATTCTCTTGGGGCGTCAATCGAAACTCGCCTTTTCTGCTGTAGCTTCTGAGAAGAGTGGATTCGGTTTGTGGCGTTGATTTGGGACCAATCCGCACCATGTCATTTGTTGAGATGCCAATCTGAATCAAGTCCTCCGAAAACTGATCAAGGGCGTGGTTTGTGTAGGTTAAAATGAGAACCCGGTAGGTGGTAAGGCGGAAAATAGCCGAAATGATGAGGGCTCCGATGAAGGATTTGCCTGTGCCTGGTGGCCCTTGGATCAGGGCTAGCTCCTCGCCGAGCCCGTTGATGAATGACTCGAGTTGTGCACCTCGTAGTCGTACCTTCTTTGATGAGCATAGACTGGACGGAAGTTGTATCCCAAATCCCTTCTCGAACGCCTCTGTTGAAGCCTGAAGTAGAGCCTGTAACATGGGTGGTGGCACGTATTCCGCTGATGATTGTTTAGGGTTGACGATCTGGGACTCGAGTGGGAGCTCGCCCATATCCTTCAATCGTTGCAAAATTGGCTTGTATGCAAACATCGCCGTATCAACCACATAGAATTTCAGGTCGTCTGTGTTGGGGCCTAGAAGCGCCAAGAGGGCCTTTCTTACCCCTTCAGAGTTCATGAACTTGATCCCAACCACAGGTGGCATCAACTGTAGCATTTCGAGATCCCGGATAAGTGACCCGAAGGCGACAATATCTGACCCACGGCATAGAGCACCAATTGGGTTGTGATGCAAGGAAGCTTTTGACTTCTCAAGGTACTTCTTTCTCGCGGCTTGTGATGTCATCTGAGGTGGAAAGATGCCGCTGCCAAATGTGACGTTGAGAGTAAAGGTATTGATCCTGTGTTTAGGGTTAGGGTCAGCCTTGATAAACCTTAGCTGACCCAGAGATGTAGGCTTTCGTCTCCCCTGCTTCTGACCCATAGCAACTTGAAGATCTTCACGCAGTTCAGCAAGCATGTCTTCTCTCAGCTGGCGATAAAGCCAGTCGCGATACACTTGTGCCCGTGTTTCCATCGGCGAATCAAACACGTCATCGAGACGTTGAAGGAACGGCTCTTCAGAGGATAGAAGTTCATCAGTCGTGGGATAGATGGAAATCTCTCGGAAATCCTCAAAGTCGTTATCATGTCTCCCGCCAGGCCTGGTTGCAAAGCCGGGGACTGCGAGGGGAGAAAAGATTTTGATCATATGCTCGATTCGGTAGGCGATTTTTCGCACATTATGCGACCGAGACTCAAGAAGAACTTTATCCTTCATGAAACATTTGACATCTTGACTGTGTTCCTCTAGTTTCGGCTTTTGGCTGGAGACTATCTGAAGGGAAAGCCAGGCAAACGCCTCCAACCCCGAGTCGTTGAGCTTGCCGTTTTGGTAGGCATCCAACAGGGCGGCCCAGAATGACCGTGGCTCCAGGATAGACACAAGAATTTGCTGAAGAAATCTTCCATCATTGAGGGTCTCGACTTCAGGGCCCGAAAGGTGGTTGAGGAAAGGTACGACAGTCAGATTGATGAAGGCCGGGTCCAACTGCGCGCGAACAGCAGCCTCGAGAGCTTTGAGTCCGTTGGTGCTCGCAATGAGGGTCTCGACACATTTCATAGTAGTTTGCTGCTGACAAAAAGCGTCGCAGGCGTTGAGGAATTGCCTGGCATCGATGGGGTTCTTGACCTGTCGGCCTTTCGTGAAGGCAACGAACGACGATGTCAACTTGGCAAGTCGAGCGGCAGACATTGGCTGCGAATTCATGATGGGTATCAGGCGCTGAGAAAAATTGATAGTGATATTGAGAAATGATGGGTTGTCTTTAGGTGAATTGAGATTATTATTCTTTATGTAGCCGCTTCACCTCGCCGAATGCTCAAGCCCGATTACGGCTGTTGGCTCCAACGTCTTTGCGATGTGCGCCTTAGCATCGCCCCGAATGCCAGTCCGAGGCCATTCTGGGAGGCCCGCTCCATTGAAAGGAGGAGGCCGCAGCCGATAAGCCCGTCTGATGCAACCAACAAATGGCGATGATTCGTTGCAGGATCAGGCTGCGATAGTCGTGGTAGGCCTCCGACATGTTCGCCCACTCAAGCTCGACGACGTGTTGGTGCAGGCAATACCAGCATGTGAAATTGTAGAAAGTGTACAAACGTCATATTTACGGAATCTGATTGATTGCCTGGTTCTCGTGACGTCCTGGCCTGCATCGAGGGGGCCTCCCGGGCTCTCGTGAGGCGGATTGGGGTCTCTCGTGGGAGACTGAAGCATAAAGTAATAAAATAAGAAGGGTTAGTACCTAAGAGCCTGTTGGGTCTTATATTTCAACATAAAGACCCGACACCCCTCAGTCGAATACAATAACCAGCGCGACTCTTTCTAGCCTCCATCTTATCTCAAATATTTACTACTCATATTCGATTGTACCGTGACGACATTTCTTGATATGTTCTCCAAACGATCACCACCATGGGCGCCAACGCGGCTACGAGAGTCACGAGCGTCGACCGCGATGGCATGGACACCACCTCCGGTCGGAGATGTCATCGAGACTGTGACTATAGACGGCTTAACGAAGTGTGGTACAATTGATCGGGCCGAGATCTCCAATACAAAGCTCATTGCATCCTATAATTGGGTCGAAGATTCCGTGCCTAAGATCATGGTTCCAGGTATGCATGTCCCCAGCGACTACAGGAGCCATTCTAACATCAATAGGCAAACCTCCAAGATGGACACCCCTCACCCAGCCTCGAAAGCTTCCCCAAGATACGGGCGACTTTTACCGCGACATCAATGCGGCGGCCTATGCCAGCCACCCTTTGGAACCAGCCATCGTGTCCATCATGAGGATGAATCCGGAGCCGATGCCAGTGAACCTTGTTGCTTGCGGGAGCACAATCGGAGGCCTATTGCGGTTCTCCAGGGGTGAGGGTGACACCCGGCCATTCCGGATGTTCGTTGAGGTCGTTGGAGACACGGTGCACTTGATCCGCAGGGAGAACAATCCCAAGGAGCTAATCCCGGACGTGAAAGGCTTTGGGCACACGTTCCCCGATGAGTATACCACGTGGGATGGCGACGTCAGAAGATCAACCTCGCACCAGCGAATTATGATGTATCGATTCGCTGGTCTTGATATGATGGTTCGGTTCGAAGGAGATGGTTTCATTGAGTCACCGGGGCTGAAGCAGTCTAAAACACCGACGATTCCGAGACCCACCGACAACAATGACGTTCTACCGGATCTTTCGGCTATGGGGATTGGAAGACCGGTCCTGGGACCTAGAACTGAGAAATCCGGGCTCAAGGTCGTCGAAGGGGGTCAAACTGTGTCCCAGGCGGCAGTATTTGAGCTCAAGACACGATCAGTCAGGGCTCGGGACAAAGACACTCTCGGAGAGCAACTCCACCGTCTATGGGTTTCTCGGGTTGAACAATTTGTCCTCGCATACCATGAGAGAGGAGTCTTCAATGACATTCAGATCACGAATGTTAAAGGGCAAGTCAAAGAGTGGGAAGACACCAATCAGTCATCGTTGAGGCGTCTCGCAGCGCTTCTTCATCTCATCATGGACCACGCACGGGAGACTCCGGATGGAAAACTCGACATCGTTTACTCCAGTGGGGATTCACTGGAAATACGCAAGCAGGTTGGAGAAGACGCCATGCTATCAAGTTCTGTCCAGGCAGAATGGGCAACATGGCTGGGACAGGCGACACCGATGGAGCCGCACTCCAGTGCCGGCTCGTCCCCAGGAAGCAGCCCCAGCGCCCGATTTGACATGGATAACTACAATTTTTATGACACCTATGACGACACGTACGATAGCGACGAGTTTAAGGATTTCACGGCCTGTGACAAGGAGTGCGGTTATTGTGGGAAGTGTGAATATTGAGGGAGGGTTGCGCGAGCGGATTGTTGGTTCGTGGCTGTGAATTGATACGGATTTCGATGTATGCCAAGAGTTGATTATAAGATTGTCTACCGTTCTCAAGCGAAATGACCGCCTGTAACCAGCCCAAAGAGGTCGCACAATAGCGTATAGAGTCTCGGCTTAACGATCAGCATGTGCGAGGCAAAGCGAGACTCTTGGTATAATAAGATTCGACTCAATGCCATCACGTGCTAATTTGCGTCTCGAGAAATGGTAAGTACTGTACAGGCCGCCCACTGACGCTGATGACGATGACTTGGAGATTGGTAGGTGGCTGAGTCTTGTACGGGCTGCTCAAAAGCTTGTCTATCCGCGTATCCCTGATTCTGTGCCACGCAATGGCCTCAATTGGGCACCATGCTCTGGAACTCGGTAGTGGACGTGCACGAGAGCTGTTTCATGCGGTGCGGATCGTAATGACGAAGGGGAGAGTCCGCAGATCCCGATGTCTCTGGCCTCTGTGTCTCTGGGGCTGTGCAAGTGTGGGCGAGATGGAAAACTGGACCGACCCCAATTTACTGGCATCTAGGCGGCTCCTATTTTAGTCCGGCAGCCACTAATCGTCTGGCGTGAGCACCAGAGCGAGACGCCGGCAAGTCGTCTCGTCTCGTCTTCAGACTCATGTCAGAGTGCAGGGTTTTCACGGGCGATTGGCGATGCGGTTGCGAGGCTGAAACAAGAGCCGCCGATCAGCCAGATCGATGCCGAATGTATTACACACAGTGACGGCACCGTCGGAGTGTGCTACGTCGTGATTAGGACATGCCTTTGATTCACTCGCAGCCAAGCTAAAACTCCCTGCACTGACGAAGGCATTACGCAAGCCAGGTCCTCCCAGTCCCCGGTCGACGGTGGAGGAACGGTCTGGGTCCCAGTGGAGCGGAACGAGGGCTGCAGACGAACTGGCCAGCCTTTTCTAGCCGGCTGGGGCGTCGTCGCCATGCCGAACAAGGAGAATCTGAGAGAGACAGGCTCGTGGACTCACGCCTCCCCCGACATTCAACCCCGCTGCAGAGGGAGGGGCTCCCTGGATCTCGAGTCTATCGGTCTGGACGGTGGCAGCGGCGCGAGGGTTTGATGGATGTGTGAGTTTTGCCGACAAGGAGTTCGGCTGCGGCTTCAACGGGCCGAGAAGGTAGGTTACTGGTGGGCCTAGATGGAGGGCGTGAAGCCAGAACAGCCGGAAGAGCAGCAGATAACGTCTCACCGAACTGCAAAGATGGATGGATAAGCCGGTGAGGTGCTCCGGAGCAGGCAGTATCAGTGTCTACCGGCCATCCGACTTTGAGAGCCAAGACTTTCTCGTTGGGCGCGGGGATGGACCGATAGATCACCCCATGGTTGCCGGCTAGGGCGTCCCTTGGCGGGAGGGGGCAAAAGCTCCTCAGAGATGGCTTTTCGCCGCCATCGCGCCCTCGCCTGCCTCCCCACGCTCGGTCAAGGGGGTTGGGCCGGGCTGGGAACTGTCAGTGTGGTGGAGAGGGAAGGTTGGGGGGGGTTTGCATGGTGCCATTGAGCCCCCCAGAGCCATTGGAAACCTGGTGGAATGTGGAGAGAACCCTGGAGAGCCGCCCCCGACAGGACAGGGCGATGGCGAACCACCTAAAAGCGCTCGCTCAACCACTCAAAGGGTCACTGGATGCCCTGGGAGGAACGAGGAGGGTGTGGGGCGGCACTGTTGGAAGGGTGGCAGCGCTCTGGAGAAACTTGGCTTCTTTGTCACGGAGACAGCTCCCGTTCCTAGTGTAGCGGCTTGAAGCGGTAACCCGCTGTGGGCTGGTGGTGATTTACTGGCGCCGCCGTCTCAGGGGCATTTCTGGCCATCCAATATCCATCTCACAAGCCGTCTGATGGTCAAAGGGTGGGCATAAGATGGAGACACCCTGCGTCCGTACTCGTATCGGGAGCGACGTAATAGCCCAAAGGCACCAAAAGGCAAAGTAAGCAGCAGCACACTGTACTCGCACTTCGTACACGGTACTCGTTCGTAATCGCGACAGCTCGCACCCAGCGGGTACTTCGGACAGGTCACAGTTATCCTATATGGGGCGGGCAGTGTGAATAGCGGATAGCCGCCGCGTGTCAGAACCACGCCCGGCGCCACGCCATGGTGGTGTGGAATGGATACGAGTCTTCTCTTGAGAAGGTTTGCCCGTTGTTAAGTAGCGGTGTTGAGTGCATACTTTGTTCGCAGGAGGCGCTGATGAAAGAGCTGACTTCTACTAAGCCCCAGCCGACCCAAGGTCAGACCCATCGTCAGGCCAGAGTCAGACCCGGAGCCAGAACAGATTTAGACCGAACCAGATTCAGACTCCTCCTTCCATGGACCCAACAAACGGCTCAATACCAAGCTTTGCATGGTCTCACCGGTAGCATCATCTCCTCTGGATCTTGCCCCCTGCCGTGTGTGAGGACGAAGGGAGACGATGACGAAAGAAAAGCAAACAAACCCAAAGGCCAATACCAAAAAAGAAGCGGCTGGGTCGCGTGCCGCTCGGGCATTGTGCTATCCAGTGCTATGTATGTCGTGTACCCAATGTTTCGGTTTAGCCTCCGTCTCATGCACACGAGCTCTTCATTCTCTGGACTCGCCACATTCCCATTCCTGGGCTCCGGACTGGTTCTCGACGCTCTGCACTGCACGCTGCACGCTCCTGCAGCGCTGGATCATGGCCACGAAATATCCATGACCGCGTGGATGGGAAATGGCGGCTGCACCGCGATAAGATACAGAGGTGCGTTGCGCTACTGCACGTCTAGGCAGGACTGTAAAGTTCTCCGGACAAGTCCCTGGTCCTGCTGCAGTGCTCGGTGACAGGCAATGCTACATACCTACCTGATTAAGCCCAGCCACTGGAGCTGTTCCCGCCCGAGAAGTACTTGCCACCGAAAGGGATTGTCAGGGACGGGGTATTGAGGCAGAGAGAGGGAGAAGAAGGGTGGGCGGGTACAGGATACTTGTGCTCGCGTGTGGCTTCTGCGGACGAGCAAGTATCCTCTTAATAAACGTGTCTAATAATGTGCCTGGCTTGGCATCTCCCCCTGATAAAGACACTCCCGCCCCCAGGCGTGTCCTCCCGCTCCCCAATGTCGCATCCTGGATGCTCTACCCCCAACCAACTCTTTTGCCACAAAGGGACCCTGGACGTGTCTCCTGCCCCCTGGTTTTGCTGGATTTCATTCATTTATCCGTCGCTCGCTCCTCTTGTTCTCCTCAGTGTTGCGCCTGATGGTCTGTTTTCTGAACGAATCTCCTTTCATCGGCCATTGATACACCTAGAGCCGTTACGCCTGCGACCCCTTTGCTACTTAAATCAGCTTGCGAGACGACCACGACGACGCCGGCGACCCCCAACCGTGACACATTCCATACGGACTGGATCCGAATCTGAGCGAGATCGGCGACACGAAATAACTGCTTGAATTCGAGGGTGATGAGCCAGAAGACCGGAATCATGCATTTCACCAAGAAAATCGACAAGGCCTTCCAATGGGCCGGAGAGAAGGTGGGCGGACAGGCCCGAACGACGCACTCGGATGAGTTCAAGAACCTCGAGACCGAGATGGCTCTTCGACAGGATGGTTCGTGAACCCAGCCCCCATTCGAGATCCTGTGCATGCAGCAAACTAACTCGTTTCCCGCAGGTATGGAGCGCCTCCAGAAGTCAATGGGCGGCTACGTCCGGTGGATCTCGCGCCGCAGCGAGGTCCTCGAGGACAAGGAGAAGGGCTCTCCCGTGGCGCACCTGGGCCGCACGATGGCCACCCACGGCGAGGACTTTGAGCAAGACTCGGAGTTTGGAAACTGCCTGCTCTCCCTGGGCCGTGCCAACGAGCGCATTGCCGGCATTCAGGAGACGTATGTCGACTGTGCCACGGCGACGTGGTTCGACAGCTTGGACCGAAGCTTGGCCATGATGAAGGAGTACCAGGTATGCCCAGCACTGTCCTACCCCGTTATTAATGTGTACTAACTCCACCACAGGCTGCTCGCAAGAAGCTCGAGAACCGACGCCTGGCCTACGACGCCAGCACCGGCAAGCTGGGCAAGGCTCGACGAGACGACTTCCGAATCGAGGAGGAGGTCCGAATGAACAAGGCCAAGTTTGAGGAGTCCAGCGAGGACGTGATCCGCCGCATGCAGGACATCAAGGAGTCCGAGGTGGAGAGCATCTCGGCCCTGACGCAGTTCCTCGAAGCCGAGCTGGACTACCATGAGCGATGTGCCGATGAACTGCGCCGCGTCCGCCAGTCCTGGGCCGGAGCTGCTACACCCTCGCCAACCTACGGAGCACGACCCCCCCAGCCTCATGTCGCTCGAAGCCGGTCCAACACGGCTCGATCCTGGCAGGAGCCTCGCCAAAACTCCGTGTACGAGGAGCCGGAGCCGGAGCCGGAGCACGCCCCGGAGCCCGTTCGTATCCCCAACCGTTCTCCCAGCAGCCGCCGCCTCGCACCGCCGCCTCCTCAGCCTTCGCGTCCTTCTATGGCGAGAGCCTCTACCTTTGAGGGCAGAACCTCCAACTTTGAGCCGAGAACATCCACGCCCCAGGCCAGCCTCCGACCCGTTGGAGCGCCACTCGCGCGAGTTGCAACGATCGACAACAGCGCGTACAACGGTAGAGAACGAGACAGCAACGACGTCTTCTCCGACGACACCTCAACGCCCAGTCGAAGCGCCAGCCCCGACGGTTGGGGCCATCGCAGCGCCAGCCCTGCCACCAGCTACGGAAGCATAAGCAGGAGTACGAGTGCGCTGGGCAACAAGAAGGCTCCTCCGCCGCCTGTGAACCGCGCCAAGAAGCCGCCGCCTCCTCCCCCTGCGCGGAGAGAGAACTTGGGCTACTGATGAGATGTAAGAGATTCATATTGTGCACATGTCATACTAGATACTTTTCATGTCGGGTCTTGGGTTTATGGTGTTGAGGACGGCTCTGCTTTTGCAATGGGACACTGGAAATGGGACACGGGTCACGTTGAACGCGACTATAGGTTGCTTCGTCCGGAATGGGCTTTAATTGATCTTTTCGTTGAATTCTTGCTGATCCCGGGCCCAATTGATACGAAATGTGATTGCCATGGTGAATGCTGCTTAATGTTGAAACAGAGAAGAGTACGGCTCTGTGGCAATGTCACGTGACTGCGCGTTTGCCTGAAGCTGCCTTGAATAGTTACCAGCTTGACGAGCAGGACGCCTCTAACCAACAACCAGCTCCACCTGGTGCTACACCTCCTCTCTCCTCGTACTGTAGCCGGATACGTCTGTCCCAAAGTCGCCATGGCCAACGAAGACGAGCGGTACCGACAATCTAGCCAATTTCGGCTCTGGTCCTTCACCCCAGACAGCCTCCATGAGCTTCGCTCCAAGACCAACTCGCTCGCGAAGGAGCAGATTGCGCCGCGCCTCTCGGCCGATCCCGCGCCCGAATTCCTGACTCCCGACGAAGAGACCAGGCTCGTCAAGTTCTTCACCGTCGAGCTCATCCGCGCCGCCCAGTTCTGCGAAATGCCCACCGAAGTCCGCGCCACGGCTGCCATTTTCCTGCGGCGGTTCTACGTCACCAACTCGGTCATGACATACCCGGCCACCGACCTGCTCAAGACGTCGCTCTTCTTCGGGTGCAAGGCCGAGGGCTACTTCTACAAACTCGTCCAGTTCTCGGAGAAGTTCCCCAACACCACCGGCGAGCAGATCCTCGCTGGCGAGTTTCTCCTGTGCCAGGGCATCAGGTTCGCCTTTGATGTGCGACACCCCTTTCGTGCGCTGGAGGGCGCCATATTGGAGCTGCGGAGAAGGCTACCGGCGGAGGATTCGCGGGTGAAGAGAGCGCATGGTCGAGCTAGGGAAATCCTCAAGTTCAGTCCCCTGGTGACGGACGCCTACTTTCACTACACCCCAAGTCAGATCATGATGGCATCGCTGTCCATCGTCGACCACGGCCTAGTCGAAATTTTGGTGCCCGCGCCACCTCAGAACGGAGACCAGAGCAAGGCAAAGGTACACGCCGACATGCGACAGAAGATTATGGACACCATTGCAGACTGTCGGAGGATGCTCGAAGAGGAGCCCCCAGAGCGGATGATGGACTACTGGGGCACGGTATGTTGACACACCGCACTTTCTATGTACGCGGCCGCTAACACTCAACAGCCCGAGATCGTGAAAGCCATGAAGCCTCTCCGAAAGAAGCTCCAGAAATGCCGAGACCCCGATCGAGCGAACCTGGTCAACCTCCAGCGGGCGAGACGAGAACAGACTCTGAACAAGGAGAAGAAGGCAGTCAAGCTCGACGACGCTGGTGTTTTTGGCGATGAGCTTTCCAGAGACACAAAGAGGATCAAGTTGGAGAAGGCGGACGATGTGTTTGGCCCGCCGTTGTGAGCTCAGATCACATTCTTTGATCGCCGTGGCCAATACATCGCCTGCTCGATACCGTCTCCCCGAGGCACCATGAGGGCAGAGTCGCAGAGTCGTGCTTGGAAGCTCCTCGAAGCTCCTCGACAAGGGCACGGCGCAACAAGGAACACGGCATCTTGACGAGGCCCAAATTTGCGCTGCCATATGACGTGGAATGCCATGAGGAGAGGCCCCAGATGGTCGCTCCAGCGTCGCAACCATCACCACGCCTTGGAGGCTTAAAGGCCAATGTGCATCGTGCCGAATTTTCTACATCATTTCCTGGCTGAATTGCGCTGTCGTCTGCCCAAACTAGATAGCGGACACCACATACATCTAATAACACGAGGGCTGGATCCGCTTCTGGGAACCGAAGAACTGGGTTATCCGGACGCTAACGGATCTCGGAGGAAGTTACAAATATAGAGCCGGACTAATGACGTCCATGTCAGCGGTGGACTATAACTTAATCAAGTCTACGATGCCGGGCGATGCTGTTTTGGAAGTACCGCTTACAGCTGGACTGAAGTCAGTCTAGCACCGCGGAGGAGAGTTTGAAACCTCCAGTTTCCGTAACAAATTTATAGATGAGAAGGATACTTTTTCCAGTCTGGTTAGTGAAAAATCAGTCTCCATGTTTATCGGCTCTAGGAATCCGTTGTATTTAATTAAAACTAGATGGGTATCATTGTCATTTGGGGTGCGGAGCATGCTGTCACCTCCTTCTGAGTCTTATGCAGAGTATTCTGCTCGTTTCATCCAAACACCGCCCTTAGACCTGCGAGGCATGAATTTGCCGTCCAAGCATGCTGCAGCAATCTATCCACACATATGAGTTTCCGAACGATGTAAGTGCCGCCTCTTGAGTTATCCATGTTACATCCGCCTAAACCCTCCATGTGGTGACCTTTACCGAGGGGTGAAGGGTAGAATAACGGAGCTGGGATATTCAGCACCAAAGTGGATAGTATGTTGGCCGCGGTTTTGCTCCTCCTCGGGTCTTGGTCCGGAGAATGAGCTGTACTCGGCGATGCCTGGGAATTGGCCACCAATCTAATTGATGTTAGCATGGTTCATATTGGAGAGAGTTGTGACGTACTCTAATGCTGATACTCTCGCCCGCGTCAAAGTCAACACCCATAGCCCAAATGCCAATCTCAAGTTTGACAATGTTTCCGGGCTTAATCTTGTCTTGTTTGGCGTGGGGATGGAAGGGGAACTGGGGATGGATGCTTCGAGACTCGTCGACTGCTCGCTGGGATGCGCGCAGGATGCCAATCGAGCCGAGGTGAAGGTTCAAGCTGGCCTGGTCCTTGGTCGCAATCTCAGCGATGGACTTGATCGGGGTAGCCTTGAACGGGAAGTTCAAGTGCATCAGGTCCTTGCCGTCCTTGTCCTTCTTTCGCAGGATGACAAAGACGGTAAAGTCATCCTGAGCGTCGCAGGACATGTACAGAGTGGCCTTGGGCAAGCCGATCAGGCGAGCGGGCTCGGCGAAGGTATATGTAAACTCGGAGAAGCTCTTGAAGTCCTCGGAGTTGTGCGTGACGGTGCTGAGGGCGGCATTGCGGGTGGGCTGGAGCTTGTTGTCGGGGTTCAGAAAGAGCTCGCGGTATTCGGTGTTCGGGACGGGAAAGTCTTCGAGAACAATGTCGTCGATGGCCTCACGATCGCCAAACTGTAGAGCAGACCATCGAACCTTGGGCGTGTTCTTCTCCCAGCCGTTGTCAATATCCTTCAGATACCGGTCGAAGAAAACACCGAGCTCGTCCATGGACTCGGGGATGCTGTACAGCTCATACCACTCCTGCTTGCTGCCCCAGTGAATCCACTTGTTGTCGTGGGGAATCTCCATCCAGCCGCGCACGCTGCCCATGGTGTGGATGCTGCTCACGTCGGAGCCGCGGATGTAGGCCGGGCAGCGGATCTTGGTCATGTCGACGCGCTTGTCCTTCCAGTAGGCGTTCTGCGTGGGCGAGCGCCGGTACATGCTGTCGAAGTCCTCGAGGCCGGCGTTGGGCTGGCCGCGCACGATGGCGTCGGCGATGAGGTCGAAGTTGCTCATCGAGAACCAGCCGCCGCGGCAGAACTGCTCGCGGTACATGTCCGACATGCCCTCCCAGGGGGCGATGGCCTTGAGGGAGGGAGGCTGCTGGGCGGCGATGAACCACTGGGCAATGGCTAGAGCTGAGTTGCCCGCCATGCCAACGGAGCCGTTGCACCAGTCCATAGCGGCCACGGCTTCGACAACATCGTAGCCGTCTTCAGCATCCTGGCTGCCCATGACGCAGATCTGGCCGTCGCTGTTGCCCGCGCCGCGCGTGTCGACGCTGACAATGGCGTAGCCCTTGGGACACCAGTGCGCGGGATCCAGACCCTCGAACTTCTCCAGGCCGCTCAGGTCAGAGCGAGGAACGCAGCAGTTCCACACGCACATGGGCAGCATGTCCAGGGCGCTGTATTTCTTGCCGTAGAACGACCAGCTCAGCACGGCGGGGACCTTCTCGGTCGAGTCGGCCGGGCGGTAGACGTCGATGTACAGGCGGGCGCCATCGCGCACCTTGATCTCGACGTCGTGGTCGATGCGGATGTCGCTGGTGACGGGCTTTGCGTCGAAGGGGTTCGCGCCGGCTTTGAGGACCTCCGTCTTGCCTGGCTGGAAGCCCGCGTAGCCGTTCTCGCCCTCGACGGGGAGCTTGATGCGCTTGGTTGCGACTTGCACGGGGTTGGGCATGGCTGTAGGTGTGGGCTGGGTTGCCTCTTTTGGATAGGGGAATTGGGCGTGTAAGTGGTCTGAAGGGAGTCTTAGAAGGGAAGACGTAGAAAGGGAGTGATTGAGGATGGGAAGAAAGCAAAGAGAATCCTTGCTGTGAATCCGGGGTCATGGCATAAGTACTGGCATCTCCATCGCCATGTCGGATCAAATCCGCGGTCATCTGGGGCAGCTTCTCCAACTTCGAAGCTCTCCTCCGGGGAACAATCCAGCCAGCCGAACCGAGATTCGGCCCCGAGCCTCGGGGCGTTTGTCGTCACCACCACGAAATAGTGTGCTGCGTGCTACTTAAAGCGCGGAGATCGGCTCGGTTGAGAGATACACGCATTAGTCTTGCGGGGAACCCTGCTCTCGACGCAGCACGTTGGCCTCCACTGCGGGGATGAGGCATGGGGATGACCTTTTCATCGCGCCTTATTCGACCGAGCCGGAGGTGAAGGATCACCGCAGACGATCGCAGACTAAACGCGGGGATACGGTCGTCGACGTGGAGCCGACGGATCGAGAGGCGGCTCCGAAACGAACCGACCATGAGGCCCTGTATATCTAAGCCCGGCCGAGATGCCTTCAACAGTCTTCATTCGACCAAGCTTCAAGGCACAATACATCCAAGGCCCAAGAAGCACTCAACCACCTTTGCACCCTCCTATCTTCTATCAGCTACATTTCCCAATCCCCCCCATATCACACAATGGCTGCCACCGAAGGTCCCCTGGTGCACACCTTTGCCCCTCGCTTCGAGGCCAAGGACTTGGTCGAGTTCGACGAGAGCGCCATCTACGGAGACTGGCGCGACGAGTTCCACAAGAACGGCTGCGTCGTCATCAAGAATGTCATCAGCAAGCAGCGCGCTCAGTACTACTGCGACAAGCAGATCCAGTGGATGAAGAACTTTGAGCTGGGCTTCGACGAGAAGGATCCCAAGACCTGGACTGCCGAGCACCTCCCTGTGAGCTTCAAGGGCGGGTGAGTATCTTTCTGCAAAAATATAAAAGGAATAATGCTGACCAGGTGCAGCATGTACTTCGCCTATGGCTCTCCTCACGAGAAGATGGCCTGGGAGGCTCGCACTGAGCCCGCCGTCATCTCCGTCTTCGAGAAGCTCTGGGGAACCAAGGAGCTCATTAGTTCCTTTGACGGCATGAACATTTCCATGCCGAACCGAACGGACATTACCTGGAGCCCCTGGCCCCATACCGACCAGAATCCTCAACGCAAGGGGTAAGTCGCTCTCTCTATCTGCAGGTACCCCAGCTCACATGCAGCAGTATGCAAGCCGTGCAGGGCCTCCTCAACTACGCTCCCAACGGCCCCAAGGACGGCGGCCTCATGCTGATGAAGGGCTCCTCCAAGCTCTTCAATGAGTTCTTCGCGCACAAGCGCGAGTCGGCTGACCACGAGGATGCACCTCCGCCGGAGCTCGAGTTCATGGACCTCTTCCTCTTCAGCGAGAAGGACCTCAAGTGGTTCGAGGCCCGCGGGTGCGAGATGGTCAAGATCAACATGGAGCCCGGCGACTTTGTGCTCTGGGACTCGCGCACCATCCACTACGCGCGCTTCCCCGAGGGCGAGCAGATCCGCCACGTACAGTACATCTGCATGACGCCTCGCGTCTTCGCCGAGGAGGAGGCGCTCGAGGCCAAGAAGTACTGCTTCGAGAACTACATTGGCACCACCCACTGGCCGCACTGCAACATTCGCCCGGCGCAGGAGAAGCCAATGCGGAATGGCGAGGTCTGCCCCAAGTACAGGACCGAGCCATTTGAGAAGCCCGAGGTGACGGATACGGTACTCAAGCTTGCTGGTGTGAAGCCGTATTAGCGCATGATGGAGGCTCGGTAGCTTAGCATAGACATGAGAAATAAATTATTCCAATAATTCTTATCGCACGAATCAATGACTCTACGCGTGATGTCTTCCTAAAGTCTCTACAGTCTCTACACTTCTACAGTTCATGATGTGCGACGGCCATGCTAAGGGGTCGGTCAATTGCGATTTGGAGATGTTGGAGTCAGTCATGATAGCCAGCTAAGGCGAGGCCATCGTGACACTAACCAGTTCAGGCGTGCGTGATTCTCGGCCGGTAGACAGCATAAATCAAATCACATTACAAATTCCTGGACTCTACTGGACAATCCGAGAGCGATCCAGACGCATTCAGTGGAAAACACTGCTCAATTCCTCCAGTTTCGTCCCCGAGATGCCAAGTGCCGGCTCGCTGGTAGACCAGGGTCGACGCCACTTCGGCTCACCACAAGCCCAGATTCGGTTCGGCTCTCTCGAGACTAACTTACCCCACGGGGTTCGGTTGCTTCCCCGCGCAGGTAGATCCAGCTCCGAGGACGTGGCCGCCAGTAAACCACACAACCCCAGTATGCCACTGCAGACCCCCCGGCATGATTGACGCTCCGTCCCTCAGAGACGACTGCATCCCGAGATGAGACAGCTCGGCTCGGGGGTGGAAACATCTATAAGGACCCTGGAGCGTTTCCACGATCCGTCTCAATCATCACCACATCTCACTGCTTCGACAACTACTTCACTACCTGTTCCGCGATCCGACGCGCCAATTGAGGCGACTGAGGACAGTAGGACAGCAGACACGAACACAACACGACAAAACGACCAGCAAATACAACAGCAACATGGCTTCTGCAGACTTCAAGAAGGACGGCTCCGACCATGTCGAGAACGTCGACATTGAGATCCTCAAGGAAGATGGTATCAAGAACGAGGCCGTCGGCGTCATGGGCACGGTGAAGCTTACCGAGGGGGCTATTGTCTACATCCCAACACCAACGGCGGATCCCAGAGGTGAGACGGACACCCAATGGCCCATAAGATTTGCTAACGCCTTCCAGACCCGTTGAACATGAAGATGTGGCAGAAAATGACCGTTCTCGTCGTCATTTCCATCTGTATGACTCCCGCATTGCCTCCTGCTTGCCCTGCTAATCCGTCCAGTCTCGACCCTGGGACTCGCTCTTGTTTCTGGCTTCGGCGGTCTTTTGGGCTTCTACATTCCCAAATACGTAGCGGCCGGCAAGGGATACGCCGACATCACTCATCTCATGACCTATCCCTCACTCACTATGTATGCTCTGACCCTCATTCGATTCCTTGTAATTCCAGCGCTAACCGTAGCCGCAGGGGCATTGGAAACATTATTGGCATGCCCATTGCCATTGGTGTTGGTCGTCGAGTCGTTCTTCTCGTCTCCACCGTCGTCATGATCATGGGCGCTGTTCTCTGTGCCTATTCGAAGAGCTACGAATGGCAACTCGCGTGCCGGATGGTCATCGGTCTTGCAGCTGGCCAGAGCGAGGCCTTGGTGCCAATGATCACACAGGTGAGCACGAATGATCCCACCGCCATTAACAACCTTCTAATATGTACAGGAAATCTTCTTCTTGCACGAGCGCGGCCGAAGTCTCATGATCCAACAAACCATCCAAGTCGTCCTCACGTCCGTATGGGTTCTTTTCGCCAGCCCCATTGCCGGCGCCATCACCCCTGAATGGTGGTACGGCCTCGGTGCCATCCTCTCCGGCGTCCAGCTCGTCCTTGCCTTCTTCCTCGTGCCCGAGACCAAGTATGACCGAACCCTCAGCTCGTTCCAAGAAGACGGGCAGTCCGAAGGTGGCTCAGACTCGCCCGCTGAGCTTTGCACCGTACGACCGGAGCTGGACTTTGTCAACTACGCCCCCCGTACTTGGCGCTCGGATATGCAGCTCTGGGTTGGAACTCCGTCCTGGAAGACTTGCTGGTCTGTTTTAGTGCAGACCTTTGAGCTTCTCCTGTTCCCCAACGTCTTCTGGGCGCTGTGCCTGAACGGTCTCACACTCGGAGTCAACATTGCCATCGGAACCACTTACGGCTCCATTGTCACTGGTCCTCCGTACAACTGGCCCGATACCTCGGCAAGCTACGTGACCTGCGGCCAGATTGTCACAGCTCTTGTGGCCCTCCCTATTTTTGGACACGGATCGGACTGGATGATCAAGAAGTTCGCCAACCGACGAGGTGGGCTTCACGAGCCTGAGATCAGAATCATTCCACTCATCATCCCCACCATTGTCGGCACGTTCACCGCTGTTCTCTATGGCTTGGCCGCTTCCAACCCTGACAAATACCACTGGTTTGTATACGTTTGGGTTATTGCGGCTTACTACTTCTGCTTTGTTGGCGCAAACATTGTCGCAATCACATATCTGCTGGACAGCTATCCTGCCAGAGCTGGGCCACTGCTGGTCATCATCTGCGCCTTCCGAGGTATTATTTCGTTTGGCGTTAGCTATGGTATCTCTCCTTTCATCACCAAAAACGGCTATGACGGAGCATTTGGTGTCTTTGGCGGTCTCACGGCGGCAATGGGGCTTCTCGGTATCCCAATCTACTTCTGGGGGAAGAAGATCAGAATTTTTACTGGCAAATACTCCAAGTCAAAGAGCGACTAAACACCTAGGATCAATGCATGTTGGGACTCTTGATGGGCTTGAGGTATGCTATTATCTAGTTATGTCTGAGTTAGGATAGAGCTAGGCCAAATAGCAATCAGAAGATATAATCGCGAATGTCCCGTTAACGTGAACTGTCCTCTAGATACAAAATCAATAAGTTTTTTTAGTCGAGATATCAACCCATCCAATGGACCAGATAGCTTGTATCTAGATATGTGTGTGTCAAGTTTTGAAACATTGTTATCACCCCCATCCAGCCGGATCAGCGGTCCTCTAAGTTCCAGGTCAAGCATGCATTCTATTTCACTATTTACTGCAACCTGATTCCGTTGCCTGTAATAAATTCCATGCCGGCAAATAAGTGTTACTCTTATTTCTTGGCATATAGTCCTAGGTTGTACAGTCAAAGTCAATACGGTCTCGAGAGTCCTAGATCTCTGCCTTGGTTAATATTATTTGTCATTGTGCTGACATGGTCGAATTCCGAAGCGGAAATTCATGGGCGTGATGTCGTTAACCCCTTACTGTAAATGGTACCGCTTGAACCACTGATGGACAAGGGATTTCTAAGAACTTAGTTTATAGGTCTGACTAGTTGAGGTAGGCTCAGCTTTGTCTCAGACCAAGAGCTAACTTTCAGGCCGTCAGGTCAGGAGCGTGGCTGAAGGTGAAGGCAAATGAATCCAGCCACCTGGTAGAAATTGGTCTCAGCTGTGGTCTGTGCACAGCGTATTGAGGGGGCTATGCATATTAAATCAGTGGGCTTTCCAACTTAAAAGCTACCTATGTATCGTTACCTATCGTTATAGTTTCTCTTCGAGATGTAGCATCAATTGAATAAGCAAATCGACTCGGTACATTCCGAACTGTGTGTCAACGACGTAAAGTCTTCCAACTGAACTCAATCAGTACCCAGGCGCCAAAAACGTCGATGGTACTTTGTGGCTTAGGAACGTGCAGATCTTGCCGCTAACCCCCACGGAGGCAGTGAACCATCAATACATAGCCCCAGGTATTGAGAAGTCTTGGCGACTCACATCTGCATTGTGATATCGTTTAGTGCTTAGAAGATCTGATCAGCCAGCCACTTACTATCACCTACCCCAAGGTGTTTGTAAGGCAGACAGAGCACCATCAACCCGGTCTAGCCTATCTCACACATCAACCTTGCGAGTTGATATCACAAATATGGAATCTGCCATGCGATATGTCATATATCCGTAACTTGTTTGAGTTAAGAGTGACGTGTGCGGGGAATGAGGAATAGAGAGGCTAAGAGGCAGATTAAGGCAACGGTGGCAGTGCATCTTCAATAGCTCGGAAGACTACAATTGAAGATGGTGGAAATGGATCAATGAGACAAGATGATAGGGATACTACAACGGGTATGTTGATCAAAGATTCACAAAGAAATGCGGCATTAATAAGCGGAAAGATACTATCAATTGAGTATTCTGTAGATAGTAGCTGAAGATGATAACAGACGAATCCAGCAGCTATCCCAAAATCCTCCCTAGAAGACCACAAGACTGGCTTATCAGATTGAGCCAATAGCCCTGGCTAAGGCGGGACATGCCAAAGGAAACACCCGGCCGTAGGCTCCATCCTAAAAATAAAGAAAGCTTCAATTCCCCTGTTTTCCCCCAAAGACCTTAAATCCCTGACACAATGAATGAATGATGAGCATGGCAAAGCGTTCATAGGTCAATATAATCTAGGCTACGTCTGTAAATACCAACTAACTAGACACATCGAAGAGATATGCAGTCAAGAGCTAAATACATGTACATGGCATAGTTCATGTACTCGCACCTTTAGCGTGTACCCCCTCCAAAAGTAAAACCGTTCAATGTTCCCGTGTTCATTCCCAACTGAAATCCCGAATTGTTGGGACCCGAAAAGGTCGCGTTGGAAACGAATCTCGCCTGCTGGTCGTTGCCACTCGGCTTTGAGAGGTCTCTTGCCCATCTCACCAACTGCCTACAAACCCTTCGGAAGTTCGGATCTTCCTTGTTCGGGAATACTCCCAGGTTTTGATGGTTGGCTTCCAGTCTTTCGGGTGGTGGACATCGCGGGATGCTGACTGACAGTTCATCCGCAAGTGTCATAGAACCATTTCCACACGCTGTGCGTTGGCCTTCGTAGAAGCAGGCTACTTCAAGTCGGGTCTCGGCATTACGCGACCGAGCTTCGACCACAGCCGGGAACCTTTCGCCAAGTGCATCAAATTTAGCCAGTCTCCTTATCCAATCCTCGGTGATCGGCACATCGGGGCTCCTGCTCAGCATCAGGAATTTCCTTGCAGTCTCGCCCCACGATGCCGCATCGACTCCATGTGGCGTTCCCAGAAACGCTATACGTCGAATGCAACTAGCGAGTTCCTTGCGGTCATCTGTGCCATCCGTTGCTCTGATCAAGGCCTGTATCTTGGTGAGATTTGCGCCGATGGGAGAGGAGGATACATACATTTTCACAAATCAGGCCACCAATGCTATGAGCAACGAGGATGATGGGACGCTTTCTCTACTTGTTGTCAGATAGAGCGGAAGGACTGTTAGAACATCAAGAGACATACCGTTTCTGTACTGGATCGTACGATCTCCAGTTCCCAGAAAATATCATCCGAAAGAGTGTCCAGTGGAGTCTCTGCACTGACTGACCAGAACTTCTTAAGTTCTGTCTCGTACCTGATCTCTATTATGCGAGCGCCGGGGATTTCGGCAGCCAGAAGGGTCTTGGGCCAGAAAATAGACGACGTTGCAGAGCTGTACGTCCAGGGCTGTCGGCCATCGAGCCAGCCGTGAACCAGAACGATGCTACACAATACTTAGAGCGATGCGTAAAAAGCAAAGGATCAATTGCATACTCAACGGTCGCATTTGACGGGTTTGCGATGACTTCTAGGGTTGCCATGTCGTTGTGGTACTGCGTACAAGGAGGTGATTGCGGTCGAGCTGAGGATAACAGGGGGCGAAGCACGGGAGGCTTAAACACTTGGATGCGACCCATCGCGACCCTTCAAAGTGCAAATTGACTACAAGTTATAGTTAATCCCGCGTCGAGCAAGGTTGAAAATGTCGAGTGACGTGGCAAGGCGGAATCACCAGGCAACCAACAGCCAATTATCACCGAGCACCAGTGCCTGCCCCATCTGTATGTCTCAACGCCAAATTCTGTCTGCGCCGCGATAATCTGAGACATCTAGAGTCACCCATTGATGAGAAGTCATTGTTTTGATTTACAAAAAGCCCAGTCCGTCTCCAATTGAATTAGAATTAATATGACATTGCTGTACTCCGTTCACCTCGCGCGCCTCCAGCCTGCGGACGCAAAACACCAGCCCAGCTTTTTAATTGCACTCTCTACACAATCATTACCCAAATTCTTCATTTTCAGTATTCATCTCGATCAGAGTCATGGCCGAAGCTGCAGGACTCGTTGTCGGCGTCGTCGCCCTAGCCGGCCTCTTCAACAATGTCGTCGGCTGTTTTGAATACATTCAGCTTGGTAAAAATTACCGCAGAGACTTTCGGACCAACCAATTGAAACTCGAAGTTGCAAAACTCCAGCTCAGTCGTTGGGGGAGGTTCGTTGGGCTGTGTCATGCCCTCGATGATGTGCAGTCATTGAGTTTAACGACTCTGTCAGAAGAGAATATTCCTCTGGCAACAAATCTTCTCCGCCAGATTCTGGCACTACTCGCCGATGCTGAACGAGTAATGGAGATGTTCCAACCCGAACCTTCCTCGTGGGAATGCAAATTAGAGGCCCTAGCTACGTCGTTCTATCAGAAGATGCGCAAAATGTTCTTCAAACGCCAAAGCAAGGAGAGGTTTTTAAAGAGAGCCTCGTGGGCTGTGAAGCATGAAAAACAGCTTACGAAGGTCATCGAAGATATTCGCCAGCTAGTTGGCGATCTTGTGGCCCTCTTGTATCGGGGTGACGCAGGCCTCCAGCGTCAGCATTGCCAGAGGGAGGTCAAGGAGATAGGAAATGGGCCTGTCGTTGCACCGCTCCGAGATTCGGCTTCCAACCAAGACAAATTGCTTCCGGATGTCGTCACCAAAGCCATGGGATTACCTGTGGTAAGCTGCAATGTAGCATTTTCGGACAACAACAGTGGTTTTCAACTTGGGGTCAACACGGGTACAATTAGCGGGGCTCGGTTTTAGGGTGGTGGTGGGTTAGGATGATTGCATGTGGTATGGCACACGGCTTCTGTTTTTATCATTAGAGGTTCTTTCGGTGTTAGAAATTCGAAGAAAATCGGCTTAAATGAATAATGAACCCGGTATCAGTGAGGGTCTCCCAGTGAGGGTCTCCCAGTGAGGCTCTGAAATCCTTTGACTTGTGTACCAACCACTCCATGCTGTTTCTATGCTTGGGTGATGTATGAGTTTTGCCGCACCCTAGGAAGAGTCTGGGGAGCAGCATTTAGGTCCTATCGGAAGATTCGGGCCAGTCGAGTCCTCAGGATGTCACAGAACTACAAAGCTGTACTGGGTATCGCACATCCATTCCAGGGACAATAGTCGCGGCCCTAGGGTAGGGCAAGCGACAGATGGGTGGCGGGTTGCCTTGGCGTCCACCGATAGGACTGCCAACGTTGGAGGACATGGGTGCAGCAATATTACTGCCATGTACCGCTATTTGAATCCTTGGCACTTATAGTATTTCTGGAACGCTTCTCAGTAACATAAAGCATTACAGAACCAGTAAGTCTTGGAATGAAGAAACAAAGCTACAAGTTAAGAACAAATTCGCCTGGGGTTCGCGCAGACTTTAGATAAACTACCAAAGTCATTGGAAAGCTTCAAATGAGAATATACCCGAAAGCCCCAAGAAATCGATACTTTCAACCCCCGAGCATTATACCTCATGATGCACTGGCCGCTGGACTCAGTGCGAGCCACATGCCGAGGATAAAAGAGTTTACGTCTCTTGTTTAGGTCACGCGCGCATGGGCATTGCATTTGTTACCATTAGCCCCAGGCAGCGTTGTGTGGAGTTTTACGCAGCACCGGAGCCTAGCGAGGAGACTTTGAATGCGTGGAGCGAGGCGATCCACGTGCACGGCTTGGAGTGGAATAGACATCACAGATAACATTTGCCACGTATACCCCGTCTTTTAGATTAGATGGTGGCATCCTCATGGGGGCTAGGTGTTATGGGTCAGCAGAATTTGTATTTGCCTACCGATAATGGATCGAAATTAGAGCTTAGGGATAGCAGGATTTGTTTTGACCATGGAAAATTGCAACCGACTCCGCAGTCTATAGTTGACGGTGGTTAATCCGTGAGGAGGCACGAACAAACTTATTGAGTCATGATAGGGTTAGACTCGAGCGTCTTATCAGCTCCAGCGACACGGGTCAGACGGCTAACGGCACAGTTGGCCACGCGGAACCAGTTCATCGGGAATTGCACCGACAATATGGCCCAAATAGTTCGGCCGGCCGCCACTATTTAGCGAGTGTAACATGGCTTGCCTGCTGAGCCACTTCGCGAAGATGCCAATAGCGCTGTTGAATATCGAACCTAGCCTCCGTTCAGCACCAAACGGGTAAATATTTTCATCGATGGCGAAATTGCGGCTGCAGAAGCCGCGGCGAATGACATATCGAAACTTACTCGTTCGAGGGAAGTTTGATGAAGGCTTGCTTTAGTACTCCCCCTTCGCCCTGGCGTCTGGTGGAGACTGGAAAGCGCATCGAAAGATGGAAGGATGCGAAGCCGGGATGACTAGAAGTGATTAGGGCTGACATGTGCGTGCGTGCTGCATCTTCAAGGGGCAAACAACGGTCGTATCGATGGTGGTGGGCCATCATCTCCACTGGGTCCACAGCTGCGACTGCGACTCCGCGACTCGATGCAAAACCGAGACGCCGGTTTTCCTGAACAAATCTCTAGTCATGCTGTCGAATCTAGACGGGGAGACGGGGAGTCATGTCATGGGGGCCATTGGCCAACGACGACGCCTCGGTGGCGACGCAGACGACAGGGTGTCTCGTCTAGAGCGTTCCCTCCAGGGTTGTTTCGTCCAATATCGCCTCAAGACGCTCCAGGACGCCGCGGAAGGATCCCTGGGGGTTTCACGACCCTGGACGCCCAGGAGTTCCCGCATGGAACCCCATCTGCCAATGGATGGACGGATCAGCCAGGTCAAGGTCTTGGCCAGACGCCATGTGGCAGCAGTAGTCGGCCTGTCAGTGCCAAATCTTCCGAGCTCAAGGTTTGAATCTGCGCAAAGTGCTTTTTGTCGATCCGATCAGCGTTTGTCCGTTGGTTCGATGGCCCGCCTCCCGCCACACACGCATGGGCTGCTCGCTGCTCGCTGCTCGCCGCAGAATCCCACGGCCTTCGGAAATGAGAGAAGCGCCGACAGTCTGTCACTCCCCCTCAGCACCGCCTGTCGCAGCATCCGGACCTAGCCGGTGTTTGACTAGTGTCGAGGCTCGGTTACCGCATCTGCCACATCCCGGCCTGATGTGCCTTGGACGGCATCATCCCCGTGCCGTGTGGCCCCTCTCGCATCATGCCGGATCTGCTCCGCGTGCGTGCGCACTGGACCGGGTTGTTGGGATGCTGCTTCGAAGATGGGGCACGCTGCTTCGAAGATGGGGCACGCTGCTTCGAAGATGGGGCACGCTGCTTCCAAGACGGGGCACGCTGCATATCAGGGAATGAGCTGGAGTCGTCCATTACTCGCTTGGGGGCTCCAGACTCGCGGAGGATCAACCAAGTGGGACTGCGGGCTCACGTCGTCGCCTGCAGGGGCTTCGTATGCATAGGTATAACTATCTGAATCTTGTCCAGAGGAGCCGCCGAGCTGGTCTCCGGTCTCTGGTCTTTGGTTCTTTGGTCTCTGCTCATCCTGAAACTGACCCCGAAGCAGCACGCATCGCCATGAAGTGGACGTTTGTCCTGTTGGCACTGCTGCCGTGCTCCTGGTGCGCGTCGGCCGGCATCTCAACCCAGGAGATGCTGTCCGGCGTGCCAGAGTGTGCAGTACGCCCTCCGTCTTTCCCCGTGCCGTGAATAAGCTGACGTTCTAAATAGCGGGCTTGCCTTTCCGATGCCATTTCCAAGTCCAGCTGTAAATCGACCGACACCACATGCTTGTGTGCGGACGACGGCGCTGCCCTGGCGCCCGGTGCCGTCTGCTACTCCGGTAACTGCACCATCACAGACTCCCTCGGTATGCATCCCGTGGCCCATTGCCCATCCGAGTCTGCTAACGCGCCTCAGCGACGCTCAACGACACCAACACCTTCTGCAACGTCGAGATCCGCGACAAGTCGGGCATCTTCATCAACGTTACCATCGTCCTCGGCGTGCTCTCGGGTGTCGTCACCGCCATGCGCCTGGCCTCGAAATTCTTCATCACCAACTCCGACTTTGGCCTCGACGACCTCTTCATCGTCCTCGTCTTCCTGTGCGGCGTGCCGTCGAGCGCCATGAACGTCAACGGCACCGCTGGCCACGGCGAGGGACGAGACATTTGGACGCTCAAGCCCGACGACATCACCGCGTTCGGCTTCTGGTTCTACGTGCTCGAGCTCTTTTACTTCTGCCAGGTCTCGCTGCTGAAGATGTCACTGCTCTTCTTCTACCTGCGAATCTTCCCGGCCCAAGGGCCGCAGAAGCTGCTATGGGGCACCGTGGGCTTCAACGCCATATTTGGCGTCTTCTTCGTCTTTCTAGCCGCGTTCCAGTGCACGCCGGTGAGCTATTTTTGGACGAGCTGGGACGGGGAACATGAAGGGAAATGGTGCGTCTTGGCTCTTGGCTCTGTTCCACTCCCCCACAATAGCTAACAGATCCTTAGCCTCAACATCAATAGCATTGGCTGGGCCAACTCGGCTGTGAGCATTGCCTTGGACGTGTGGATGCTGGCCATTCCGCTGTGGCAGTTGCGGGGTTTGAAGCTGCATTGGAAGAAGAAGATTGGAGTCGCAGCCATGTTTATTGTCGGAACCTTGTGAGTACCCTAGATGGCATTATTGAGGACGCCAACTAACTTGTCTGCAGTGTTACCGTCGTCAGCATCATCCGTCTGCAGTACCTGGTTTCGCTGGGCTCTTCGCACAATCCCACCTACGACCAGATCGACATTTCGGTATGGTCTACGGTCGAAATCAACATCGGCATCATCTGCGCGTCGATGCCGTCGCTGCGCATCCTGCTCGTCCGGCTCTTCCCCGTCCTCGGAGGCTCGTCGTACGACAAGAGCAAGTACAATAACTACGGAGAAACGTACGGACGGAGATCGAAAATAATCAATCGGAGCCATGCGCTTGTAGAGCTGCCGTCCCGATCATCGTCTCCCACGAGGCCATCGCATGGAGGGATTGAGATGAAGCGAACGTTTAATGTGCAGTATAGCGAGGGGGATGAAGCAAGCCTGGTGAATCCTAATGATCCAGGGAACAAAATGCATAGAGGGATGAGTGCTACGAGTGGCACCAGTAGGAGCGAGGTGTCGCTGTAGATAATTAATTAATGAATATAGATGAGAACATAACTCCTCCTCGTGTGTTGGTTGTCTCGTGTAAGGTCTGACCTGGGCCAACTCTGGTGCAAGCCATGACGGCATATGCTGCTTTCACTTGATGAGATGTGGGGGAGGGGGTTGAGTTGTAGAAAGCGCGGGCTGTTCAGTACATTTGGCTATACGAGATTCTGGTATCAGGAATGTTTTGAGTCGATTGGTGACGTTGACAGTTTCGCGACAAGATGATGACCGGACGGAATGTTGCTGGGTCTAGGGTAGTTGGAGTTGCGTGGAGACGGTTGACAGCTAGACCCTACTCAGGGGACAGAATGACAGGGTTATCTTGCAGTAAACCGGCATGGAAGGGCGCTATCAAACTCTATTAGTCCCTGTGTTGCAAGCTGGCAGATTCCCGGTAACCTGGTCTGGGGCGCAGTTATCAGGGTTCGTGGAGTACTGGAAATAGCCTCACTCACGGTTAGACGAGAGTTTGTGTTGCAAATGAGGCAGTTAGCGCGTGGACAACTAAATAAAGAATAAACACTCTCATTAACACTGCCAAGAAGAGGCCTAAGACGATAATATAACGGTTTCCCATCTTTTACTCCCCCTGACAGGTCGCTCCATTGGGGAATGCGCTGCCAGATCAACCAACCACATCTCGGCCGCTGATAACGGCCGCTGATAGAGGCTCTGACAAAGGTGCGGGCGGCAAATAGCGCCAATCAGGCCCCGAGTCGAGCCGGCATTTCGCGTGCGGGTGCTCCGTCCCGACCCGTCACTCTCCTCGTTCCACCACCAGTCGACGTGCATCTCCGCCAACTCAGTGAGACCGAGCGGCTCTGCTTGGTGATATTTGACCGTTCCGTCATCGGGGTTCCGTCATTCCGGCGGCCGAGTGGAGATCCGGAGAACGGACATCTAGAAACATGGACGGCTCCTCTCCCCGCCCTAGACAAGCCGCGTGTCTCGTCTGTCGCCGCAGCAAGATTAAGTGCGACTGGCGACCGAACCAGGAGCGCTGCAGGCGATGCATCCAGCTCGACTGCGAATGCGTGCGCCCGGCGTATCACCCGGGCCGCCAGAAGGGCATTAAGAAGCAAGCCGTCCCCGTTGTGCTGTGCATGTTTTCGTTTCTCGGCCTTGAACTGACTGCGTGAAGCAAGCGGACGGGGCTCGACAAGGCCCTCTTCCAGATCGACCAGGCCGTCAAGCGCGCGCGGTCCGCAGCGCAGCAGAATCCAGATGACAACCGCGTGCTGGCCCATCTCCACGGGCTGCTGAGCGGAGCGGATGCCGACGAGGCGTCCACGGCCCGCGACGCCTACGCCTCGGGGTCTCTGGGCACCGACGACAACGACGATGCCTTCTCCGCCGAGGACGACGACGACGACGAGCAGGACCCCGTGGCCATGACCGACTTCATCCAGCGCACAGAGTCCAGCCTGGCCATCGACGATGCCGAGAACCCGCTGCAGCTGCTCGCCCGTGCGTCATATATCCAGCCGTCGCCGGAATCACGCCACGGCAGCTCGCCGGGGCAGCCGCTCATCGCCATCGCCAGTCCCGCCCAGCAGTCCGGGGATGAGATCTCGGCCTTTTTTGCCCCGGCCCGCGTGCATCTCGACGTTGGCGAAGACGTGGACCCTGTGTTGCTGGGTCTTGTCTCGGATGAGGAGGCTGAATCGCTCTTCACATTGTAAGCCCCCCTCCGTCGTGTCACTTCTAAAGCTCACCCCTATCCCAGTTTTCATCGAAATCTTGCACATACAAGATGGGGTCTCGATCCCAGGCTGTACACCGCCGAGTTCACTCGCTCGCGGTCTGCCTTTCTCTATACGTCCATCATGGCCATGTCGGCGCTTTTCATGCCGTCGGCTGCAGCCCTATCTAAAAGACTCTCTAACCACGCAAAAAAGCTGGCCCACCGGGTCATGATCGATCGGTACAAATCCGTCGAGATTGTTCTTGCATTCATGGTCAACATTCCGTGGATGTTCCCCGGCGAACAGAGCACCGATGACGAGACGTGTGCCTACATCTCAATGGCCAACACCGTTGCCACAGACCTGTCGTTGCACAAGTCTCTCGTCTCCACGGAGATGCTCGACCCGGGTTCCGGAATCGGCCTTGCTCGAGGTGATTGTCTCGACCCTCGGTCTGCTTTAGCAATGGATGGCTTTCCAGATCTGGATCCCTGGTCTGATCGAGGAAGACTGCTTCTTCGCAACAGAGAGCGGTGTTGGATTTCACTTTTCGTGCTAGAAAGGGGGTATGTTGCATTTCTTCTCTAGCCGAGTAACCGCTAATGAAGCAAATAGAATGTCACTGGCTCGAGGACGGCCGTTCTCAGTTCCGATGACTCGGTCTTTGAAAGATTGCGATAGTTGGCACAGATCTGATTTGGCAGATCCCCTTGATGGTCACCTTGTCTCTATGGCAGTTCTGAGGAGGGATTTGGTATGTACTCCAGTATGTAAGAAAGATATTGTGCTAACTGATGTAGGATGGACTTTTTGCTACTGTTCGTGCCTTGTGCGATGGGTCTCAGAATGCTGCAAGCGACGGGTCGCTAATTGCTCAATCGTAAGCCATCCACCTCGCACAAACGACGGACGAGAACTTACACCCGTTAGAATCGAAGGCTCAATAGAGCGGTTTTTTGACCAGTGGTATACAGAGTGGGGAATATCAATAGGCACTGGACTAGGTGAGCATCCGTGATATTGAGGGTCGCACGTTGGCTAACTCTCCAGACCGTCGCCTCCCGCCATACGTTGAGATTCTCGTCACTCACACTCGTCTGTCCATCTACGGCGGCGTAATAAACCACCCCACTGCCCCGTTAGAGGTCCGCGGATTCTTTCACACGGCTGGGCTTTCGTCAGCGCTCAACGTCATGCGTGCCGCGATCCAAGGAGAATCTCAACTGCAATCAATGCCCAACAATACGGCCATCATGATCTCCTTTGCGGCTTGCTTCGCTCTCACATTGAGTGCTTATGCGACAGGCGGCTCGGGCCTGGCTCCCAGCATCCGAAACCTCATCAAGGAGACTGCAACCGTTCTCGAGAGGATTGGACGGGTGACGAAGCACCGGAATGGCCTTTCGGTTCTGTACGGAAAATATCTGAAGCAAATTGTAAAACGAGCCGCCACTCAAGAAAACACTGGAGCCGCAGCGGCAACGTCGAACCTCTCGGCAGCACCCATCACAGAGAGCACGCCGCTGGCGACTCAGACGACCTTTTTGGACAATCAAGCCCTTTGGTCAGAGACATTGCAGTTCTCTACAATGTCGGACGATCAAATCGCACAGGTTCTCAACCAACCTGGAAATAATTTCGATCCGTCTTTCGGGGGATTGTCTTGGGACGACATGACCAATTTTGAATGGCTCTATTGGCCTGAAGTTGGCATCTAGCGTCCTTGATTTGAAGACTCTAGTTAATTACAAATGAGAGGCTCTAGCGTAACTCCACTTTCTGGACTGGGACCGTGTCGGCGTGCAGCCATGGGATCCCGATGGTAGTCAGTTGTCGTAGTTTCTCCATAAACACAAACGTCAAAACAGTATGCGGCCTGTGAACGAGTCAATACAAGGCCATCATGTTGGCTTGCGTACTCACGTCAGTCTCAGCCACGCAGGCGTCCATCCCCTCATCAGAAACCGAACTCCTTCCTCCCGAAGACCTGTCCGCAGGACCGTCAAGAGTCCCTGCCTCGCGTGAGTTGGGTTCCAGAATTGGCGGCATGGAACTGACCTCTTTTCCTGCACTTGCTTGCAGACGGCTCTTCAACACATCGGCTGGCGCGCAGAGTGTTGTTGCCATGGTCCCTGCCGCTAGAGAAGCGATGGCATGTGTCTTGATATCATCTCCGAGTCCTGCGGATCCCATGAGGTACTGCTTCGCTGAAGCATAGCTGGGAACGCAAGTTAGATGAGGGTTTTCAATACTAGGCTGGAATCCTTACGTGGCAATTTGTGACACATCTATACACTGTCAGTTGTGATTCTCGCGGCACAGATCTTGGACGTACTCATCAACACGCTCCTCGTGATATTTGCAGTGATTCCCTTCCCGAACGCCTGGAAGCCTTCTTCTCTGGAAACTCTGATCAACGCATCAACAGCGTTGGAGTACCCAAACCTCTGCGCCGGCGACTTCGCACCGTCGGCGCACATGCGCACGAGGGCGACTTCGGCTGGATTGCCTACGACGCCTGCAATGCCGCCGGCGAGGCCTGCGCACGCAATGTTCCACGAGACGGATATCTTGCTGTCGCCTGTGAACTTGAGGACCTTTTCGGAGAGGAGGCTGTGGATGCCGAAACGGGCTGTGGAGTATGATCCCTGGCGGAGGATGGAGGCCGAGAGCCCGGTCCAAAGTGAAGCGATTCCTGGCCAAGGTCAGTCGGGCCGTAGTTTGGGTGCCGTGGGAACTCACCGTCTTGCGCGGCAAAGCGGTACATGACGTTTAACATGGAGGTTTTGGACTTGAGCACCTGCATCCGGCTGTTGGCTGTGTGAGCTAGAGTCTTGGACGGAAGGGTGTAAGTCGCGGTACTCACTACTTGGTCTGGTCTAACGGGTGTGCTTCTCGAGTTCAGTTTCCACGACTATTGCCCGTTTTTGGAGAGTACCCACTGAAGCATACTGCCATGCAAGCTGCGGCGCCCCTTGGATTCATATGTTAGAGCAGATACTATACAGGCCGGGTCGGCGTTGGCTTACCCCAGCCAGAACGGCTCCTTGGTCTTGCGATTTGGTGCCATTTCTCCCGCTTTGTTTCTCGATATTGCTGCTTCTCGAATCTGGGGAATACCGACCTACCAAGAGTGCCCATAGCCCGCGGACTGTTATAACATCCCCCTCGGCACGCTGAGTCGGGCCCCAGAAGTGTCGACCGGGCTTCCGCCGGACATTCGGAAAGTGGGGTTGGTCTCTCGGGACCAAGTCTGAAGCCCGAGCATCGCGGCCGGCTTGCCATCTGGCGACGATCAAAAGCGCCAGGTTCCCACGTGCAAAATCGCGACTCATCATGTCGCAGCCGCAGAAACCACCAGAAGCCAACATGTCCAAGCTGTCCTCTTCGCTCAAGGCCCTCGTCAACGCGCCGTTTTCGCGCCCGGGGCCGCTGCCGGCGCCCGGCCAGGTGCAGGACCTCTTCCAGTCGATTGCGCGGGACGCTTCGAAGCGGAACCTCGGCGTCAACTCTTGGCTTGCCATTTCTGTACGAATGCCCTCACGGTTATGGGATGTCATATTGAAACTGGCATGTTTAGACTGACAATTTGTTCACAGACCGCGACCACCTTTACCCTCAATTCTCCCGACTCGCTCCCCGTGCTCCACCGCGTTGCCTCGGCCGAGCAGAATGGCGCGGGGGTCAAAACAGCCGAATACATGCGGGAAGTCGGCCTCAAGTGCATCAGCTTCAACGGGATCCCTCGATCAATCAACTGCCTCAACGCCTTCTACGCATCGCTCCCCAAAGACATCACGTCGCAGCTCTGCACCGCGCCCAGCCGCACGCCGACAACGCAGACTCTGGACGCTGGCCTCGCGCGGGGCCGAGGTCTGTGGGACTCCGTATACCGACCCTTCGAGGACAAGCTCTACGAGAAGCTTGCCCTCTCGCACCCGGATCTCCCGGCGTATATCCTGAGCCATCACTACGCGGGCCTGCTCAGCGATCCTCCCGCAGAGGAGCGAGCCGACCTGGCGAGTGTCGGACGAGTCCACACCTCGCTGGTGGCCATTTCGTGCTTGAGGGCTCAGACGGGCGTTGGGCCGCAGGTGCTCTCGCATGTCTTCGGCCTGAGGAAAGCCATCGAGGATGAGTCGTTCCGCGCGGACCGAGATGGCGAGAGCGAGGAGAATGTCAAGTGGTTGGCTAGTGACCAAGGCAGCGAGTGGATTTTAAACACGATCGATAAGATCATCGAGGTAATGGGTGGCTCGACCTTTGCCCCGGCTGGACGGGAGGCAAAGCTGTAGTGTAGTATAGCATACCTGGCATTCAAGCATTGTGAGAATTAGCGAAATACTTCCATTTATCAACACCTAAAGAAAGCTGGACTGTGACCCAGATTGTAGGCTGGTATATTGCAGTTTACTCAACGATATATGCATGCAGATGATACTCAAAGACGACAGTCCACAGTCCAAGAGGTGGTATCATCCCAAAAGAACATAATCGTTCACAGGCCCTCGATTCATGTACAAACTGCATTACTATGCCTTCCTTATAATACATCGCTTATTTAAATTTATATGTACTTGTTCAAGATCAACTTTGGCCTTCTATGGCTAATTGATGTCCATGAACATTTATTCAATCCTCTGCGAATGTAGACTTATTCGTATGATCGACTCTCATCCAGATCCACGGTAAACTCAGCCTCCGTCTTGCTCCGGACCTCCTCAACGGTAACACCAGGTGCCAGCTCAGTCAAGGTGAGAGTGGACTCTTGCCTGTTTACTTCAAATACACACTGCAATATCATTAGCCTCTGCAAACGTCTTTGAATCCAAGGGGGCTGCTTACCAAATCAGTAATAATGGTGCTGACCACTCGGGCTCCGGTCAAAGGCAGGGTGCATTGTTGCAGAATCTTCGACGAGCCATCCTTGGCGACGTGTTCCGTAGCCACGACAATCTTGGTGCTGTCGGGGTTGGCGACCAGATCCATGGCACCGCCCATACCCTTAAACACCTTGCCGGGAATCATGTAGTTTGCAAGGTCGCCGTTGGCGCCAACTTGAAGAGCCTAATGCGAACTGGTTAGTTATGAAAAGAGGAGGATGCAATGCTACTCACTCCGAGAATAGAGACATCTACATGGCCGCCCCGGATCATGCCAAATGACTCAGTAGAGTCAAAGCATGATGCTCCAGGAACGAGGGTAACAGTCTCTTTGCCGGCGTTCACAATATCACTAGCCATCGTTAGAGAAGTCACAAAGTCACGATCAGGGACACTCACGGGTCGACCTCATCAATGGTGGGATAAGGGCCCATGCCGAGAATACCATTCTCAGACTGGATCCAAACCTTTCTATCAGAAGGAAGCAAAGAAGCAGCCAGGGTAGGAATGCCTGAAAGCGTTAGATGCTGAACTAGATGAAAATGGATAGGGAACTTACCAACGCCGAGGTTAACGTAGAACCCCTCCTTGAGCTCCTTGGCCGCTCGCTTCGCAATGCGAACTCGCTTTTGCTGCGCCTCGCTCACAGGCTTGGACGAAGCAGAGCCCTTGTCGCTGTCGTCTCGGAGCTTCAACACCTCGATCTGCTTCTCCGCGGTCGACGGGACAATGCGGTCGACAAAGATTCCAGGCAAGTTGACGTCATTGGCATCAATCTCGCCCACCTCGACAATATTTTCGGCTTCGACGATGGTCAACTTGGCGGCTTTGGCCATGATCGGTCCAAAGGCCTTGGTGGCATATCTAACACCCATACGTCAGTTGTGGAAAGGAACGTACCCCCTCAAGGACTTACCTGAAAACGCAGTTTCCTTCCTTGTCGGCCTTCCACGCCCTGATAATTGCGACGTCTCCCGTCAAAGAGGTCTCCATGAGAAAGGTCCTGCCATCAAACTCGCGGGACTCTCTCACTCGGCCCTTTTCGACGACGGCCCCCGATTTATCCAGGCGAACGGGGATATCTCCGGTCTGAAGGAGGGTGTCTACTGAGGTCAGTAATCATCCAAGAATTGAAGCTGTACATGCTCTTACGGGCTGCCGTGGGCGTAAAAAAGGCCGCAATGCCGGCACCACCGGCTCGAATACGCTCCGCCAGGGTTCCTTGCGGGCACAGCTCAATCGCAAGCTCTCCCGTTAAATATTTCTTTTCCAACACCTTATTGTTGCCCAGATATGATAGAACCAGGCGGTCGACCTGTCCACTGCTGGTGAGGACTGCCAAGCCCCCCTTTCCTTCTATTCCGGCATTATTCGAGACGGCAGTGAGCGAATGAAGCGACTCGGGGCCTCTCCGGTGAAGCGCGGCGATGAGCGTGTCTGGGATTCCTGTTAGCAGCCATGCCACCCGCAGTGAGGCCAATCGCGCATACCTGCAACACCACATAGACCGAATCCCGAGCTCAGGACGGTAGATCCGCTCTTAACATCTGCAACCGCGGCATCTGCGTCTGGAAACAGCTTCGAGTGCCCCTTGGCCGAGAACCCCTTGGCCGAGAACCCCACCCTCGTCGACGAGAAGTTGCGGCGTCCTTGGAGGGTGAAGCTGCACATCCACGTCGCCGGTCTCGCCGCGAGACGTGACCGGACGCAAACTGCCATGACCATCGATTTCGACATGATGCGCTCTTGTGTTTGCAGAATAATTCTCAAGATTGGATGGAGAACGGCATCCTTATGACGGCTGGAAGGCGTCGGCATCATATCTGGTTCCGAGGACCTCTGGGGCAATCGGAGTTAAAACTGGCGCCGAAACACAACCCGACCCGTCTCCAATTCGGAGTGAAATAGTAGCCCCGGATTCTCACCCTCCTGCATGTCGTCACTTCCCCGCAAGCCGAAATCTGGGGAAGACTATTTCAGCAGCATTGGATGTTTCTATTGGATGTTTTAAAGTGCTGTCTAATGGTCTGCAGACTGGCCGGCTTTCTGTTCCGCTAGGCCGGCTGTGGCCCGCGGTATTGACGTCGATGGAGAAGACAGGGCAGTCCTGTATCATCTTCAAACATTCTTCATGTACGAGAGAACTCAACAAGCCAGGCTCCTACCGGAATATCGAAAATTGGCCGCGACAGATGGTGTTTTCGCTGCATCCCCTCCTATAACATATATCAGTACGGTTTTACAATTTGGTACATCATTGCAAATAAGTATTCGCCCCTTCTTGGAGAGTTCTGCAGATTCGCTGGATGCGATTGGATATAATGTGTCCAGAGCCACACGCAGATACAGTCCAGCTCCCGTCACGTAGTCAATAGCATAATACTTCGACGAAATTATTGCTGTTTATCGGGCTGAGAAGTCGCCGGAAAGACCTGCGGCTAGGGAGTGGCTAGAGATGTTTCCTCATGAAAAGAATGTTTCGTGACATCGAATGATGTGAAAAGGGCTACAGACAATATGCTTCTGAAGAGAAGGCTCCCAGGATGCGAGGTCAACACAACTTCCAGTGGTCTAGCTACCCCCAGAGACGGGATGGTCAACGAATTTCCCAAACGGTTCGTAATCCAAACGGAGGAAGGTCAATAACTATATATTTTCAACGCCAACCGTGACATTGGCGAACGACTCACGACGGAGCTTTTTTTGAATGAATTATTTGTTCATCCAGCGTTGAGGAAATCTGTCCGTGGTGTTTCTTGAAAGGGGTGTACTGCTTAGAACTTTGTCATTATTGATTTGAAAGGAGATCACTAACAGCACAGGAGGGGATGTTTTCGGATATCAAGAAGCATGGCAAGAGTGAGGTTGTGTTTCTGATAAAGTCATTTGCTTTTAAATTTAACAGACAAATATCCAAACTTATTTCTTGTCTTAATGTACTATAAATATAACCAAGGTAATAATGCAGACATCACTGTTTATAATTCCTATATTTTACCAACTAATCCTTCCCCGAGCTTCATCTATCCTTATATAAATACAAGCATGGCTTATTTAAGTACATCGTTACTCAAGCTCTATGCTCTCAGTATTTGCCACGATCATGAATGAGTACTGCCGGCTGAAACCAGAGGTTTATTACGGCTCTTTTTAGAATAGCCGGGTCTTGAGGCTAGGACTCATTCATTGAGCTGTTAAGAAATTAGTCTACGAGGAATACAAGTTCTTAATACTTGACAGATCATAGGAGCTAGAGTGATGTTTGGGTATAAGCTCAGTGCGGCGAAATACTAGACCATCATTAAAGGCAATGGACATACGATAAAGAAAACAAATAGGATAATGATTACAGTATAAAAAAGAGTTCTTTCACAGGCTGAGATCAGCTGGATTTATAACTTAGGTCTAAAAACCTGGTGGACCCAAACGTGGCTCGTCTGAGTAATACAGGCTAGCCCCGCTCTCTTATCATCTGTGACTCTTGGCTCTCTCGGCATCATCAACCACCACCTCCACACCTCACAATCAGCCATCCAGAATGACAGAATGCCTCATCAACTCCCAAGGCCAGATGGTCGGAGCCCTGGCATGTCAGAAAGACTCGTACCTCCGCACTCTTGAGGCCGAAGTTATCTCATGCGTCAAATTTTCACCGCCGAAAGATAAGAGCAGCCAGAAAAAGAAGAAATCGTCGTCTGATGCCTCATCTCTTAACAACACAGACTCATGGCTAGTTGAGTTTTCTGATTCTGTGTTATTCCCCGAGGGTGGGTTCACTACCAGCTTGCCTCTTCTTCCATCTAACATAACCATTAGGTGGCGGTCAGCCCTGCGACTATGGTTCTATCGTACCCTTGTCGTCGCCTTCTTCGGAACCAATCCCTATCACTCGTGTCGAGCGTCAAGGACTCAAATGTGTCTATCACGTGGGAACGGCCTTGGTTCCCGGTGCCATAGTTCGCCAAGATGTTGACTTCAACCGTCGGTGGGACCATATGCAGCAGCATACCGGTCAGCACTTGCTCTCTGCCGTCATGGACACTTACGAAAACCTCGGGACTCTCGGTTGGGGCATGGGAGCAGAAGGTGGTGTGAACTATGTCGACCTACCCCGAAAGCCATCGCAGTCAGAGATGCAAGCGATTCAGGACAGATGTAATGAGATCATTCGCGACAATGTATCCATCACAGTCAATACTCCCAGTACTGCCGAATCGAACAGCTCGCCGAGCGACTATGATCTTGAGAAGGGTCTTGTCCGAGTGATTAGTATTGGAGATTTTGATCACAACGCGTATGTCCCTCAAAATACCTTCATTTTAGTTACTAACCGCGTGCTCTTAGCTGCTGTGGCACCCATCTGGCTCAAACTTCCCACGTCTCTCTTATTCTACTACATTTCACACAACCCGTTCATGGCACGAACTGTCGCCTATACTTTTCAGTCGGCGACCGAGCTATCAAGGCATCCACAGAGTCCATCAGTGCTCTTCGTTCCATTGCCAAAACTATATCTTCATCAAACGTCCCTGCTGAATTAGTTACCAGCGTTAATAGGGTCAACGACACTGCGACAGATTTGAAGCGACGAGAGAGGAATTTGCTGTCAGAAATTGCAAAGTATGAAGGAGATCGGGTAAAGGCTATTCTTCAGAGTGGAAAGAATGCATGGGTCTATCGTCCTTCAGGCAATCTTGAGTTTCTGAACATGGTCGTTTTTGAGGTCAAAGACGTAGTGAAAGACGGTGTGGTTGTCTTGGCAGCCGGTGAAGGGCAAGCAGGTGGCCCCATTGTTGTCATTGGCGATAAAGATTCGGTATCAAAGATTTCCGCAAAGGTTCAAGAAGTTGTGCTGAGTGTCAAGGGTGGTGGCAAAGGGGAAAAATGGCAGGGCAAGGTGAAGGAGTGGAGAAAGGAAGATTTAGAAGCGATCAGAGAGTTAGTAGAGTAGTTCAACCTGATCAATGTCTTCTTGGTTAATGGCCAAAGCCTGAGGTATGCACGTGTGGGCACAGATTTGGGAACTTTGGTTGCAACTGTGACGGTGGACTGCCATCAGCCCTAGCGCATAATCTACTTCAAGTCTTCAATTACAGCCGTGGTATCATTCATTCATCTATCTGCTATTAATGTAGTCTTTTTAACTGTCGGTATCCCAACTTTCCTCTCACAAAACATCGCTAAACGTGGTATTCCCCCCCTCTAGAAGGTTTTCCTCATCCAAATAGTCTGGCGGACTTGACCACTCCTCCTGGTAGCACGGTAGATTCTCGACAACCCAGCCAGGAGCCATATCCGGATCATCAGCCAACGCGACCCGGTAGCTCAAGCGTAGGATCCGGCCAACGCCAGTTCGGATTGCCAAATGTGGCTTCCCCTCGGGGAAATGTTCCTTGACAAGGACAAGCTCGACAACCAACGTGTGAGTCACCTCAGTACCATCGACACTCTTTGTATCATAGCTGTAGGAAGTGTCAGGGCCACTGAAGTTTTGGCGAATATTAAAATTGAATTCCACTTCAGCTGTTCCATCGGCCCCGTTTTCTTCCCATCCACTGTATATGCCCTTTTCGCCGAGGAGTCGAGTTTTCTGGCGAACTAAGTCGTCTACATCTGCAGATATCGCAACGCCATGTCGCTTGCAAGGTGTCGAAACGGTCTGGATGTTCTCCTCGAGCCTCCAAGCCCCCTTCCATAGACGCCAGAGATGGTCATTTTGGCCATTCCCTGGGGAGCCAAGGAGGCCCTTGAGTGAGAGTGAAACTTTGTTGACTCCGGCTGGGCGAATCATAGAGTCGATGAGACTGTTTACTTCGATGCCTGCAGCCGTAAAAATGCGAGTCAATTGCAGAGGGCAGTTTGGGACGGATAAGCGACGTCTGACGGTCAGGTTGCGATCAAATATTGTACTTCGAGAGGTGCTCGTTGACGTTGCTTGTGGCTTGAAATGAACTTCGGCGTGGAATTCGTAGGATACGGAAAGGACAGGTGAATCCATGGAAGCCGGAAGGTGATCTGGTATCAGGGCAGAGAAGGGAAATGTGTGATTACCACCTCTCAGGGTGGTTGGTTGGTTCAGAAAACGCCAGCTCTGTATCTCGATGTATTTATCCTTGCAATTGTTGCACCGACTCTTGAAGGGTTTCTTTTGAACTGTGTGAACGTTGAGCACAGCCTTGAAGCCTTCAATCTCGACGGAGGGCTCTTTGACATCGAGAGACAGTTTACCGGACAAGAACGAGGGCAAACTGTCCGGGCCGGTTCCGAGGATGATGGTGGGCGAACTTTCGATCTCCCAGTCGATCAAGACTGACGAGTTTGATCGTTCCCGACCTGCCTTGGTGAATGGCAGGCCCCTAAGAGGTCTTACGAGACCCGCGAAATCCGGCATATTTTGTGATGAGTAACGTTGGCCCAACAATTAAGTATCGGGGATGGTAATATTCGTGAATCGTAATGACCAGGGCGTACGCGCTTTAGAAGTCGTCTAGGCGTCTATTGAAGCAATTATGGAGAGTTTTTCAGGAGATTCAAAGTGACGGGATTTGTTCCCCTGAGAAGATATGAGATGCAAAGAAACAGGAATCTCTCCCATGGGTCATTTCTTCTTTTATGTCGAGGCCACGCCTCATAACCAAGCACCTCAATCGGGCAATTGCGAGCAAGGCTTTGAGAAGACTGCATACCGGGAAGAGCTGCCAAAGTAGGTCTAGGCGATCGGATGCCATTCTTGATCGATGTCTCCTTGGTTTCAAGGCCCAGTTCTTTACATTAATCATTGGACACCATGGCAGGAACAGCTCCTGTGCTTGGCACTCCAGGTCCGTCGAGGAACGCGGTGGGCCGTTCCGCGGTGGACAAAGCTCCAAAGACCACCTTTCGAGCTTCTGACGCACTAGTCCTCTCTTAGAAGCTTCAACCGGTTGGATGAACCAGGTGATGAGCAATGGGGATGCCATGCACGTCAACAGCTTCTGTTACACTATGATGCTTTCGGTAGAGGCGTTTGTCAGCGAGGTTTGTGAGGCGCACTTCTTTTTGCACAGGCACTAACCGCAGTAACAGCTGCTTTGCCCATTGTGGCTCATTCCCGCATGGCTCAGAAGGAACCCGAACGGCAGCGATCTTCAGCTACCTACCAACGTGTAGATGTCCGTGTGGCTGTACTTGAAAGCTTCAAAGTATCGACACATCTTTCATGTCACGACGGATTGCGGAAAGTGAATAGCGGTCTTACGGTGAGGTCCAATGCCGTCTTCGATCGTAAATAAGGAGTATTTAGCTGGTAGCAGCACCAAGACCATGTGTCGTGATTTTATGACCTCATAGCATCTTGCTCATGTCTTGACGACGGAGCCAGCCATTCGTTCACCCTCGTAAGCGAGCGTCAAATGGCCGCCGAGTAAATCGTGCATAATCACTGTCGACTCATTGACCGCCAATAGAATTCAGTGATGATTTGGACATTCGCAACGTGTCGCGCAGAGTGGCCTCATCGGTGGTGGTCGCGGTCAACTTCCTATTCCGTTAATTTCCTATTTTGTCGATTGGTCAATCTCACATGTCACCGAGAGGGGAAGATCCCGCTCAATGTCGTAGTAAATGGGCGCCTCACCAGCTGCATACACTTAGAATATGGGATATAAGCAAGTGATCTAGACAAGTTTCATGAGCGTAGTTTGTGTCATGACGCCTTTAAGGCTTCTTTTTGCAAGCACACATTGCTGAGATGCTGACATAGGGTAAGTCAAGGAGCAGTTCAATCAACGTCAACGCTGAACCACATGGGCGTGCCTTTGTGATCCTAGAATGAATGAACTTGGAAAGATATGATCCCATTTGCTTATGGCAATGCTCTTGGACTCGGTGTCTTTTATACAATACTTTCTAAATTACAAACATCGGAAATGATCGATGTTTCCACAGAGGCCAGTTCCGAGCTAATCTTCCGGGATCCTTGCGTTGGGAGCAAGGGTAGCTCCGCCTGCCTGCCAAAACCGGTATTTAGATAACACGCATCGGACTATGATCCAGCAATGAATGGGAATCGATAAAGCTCCATGCAGCTTGGAACGTGCATCACCGATCGAGTGGATTCTGAGATAAATATGCCGGCCTCGAGGAGCTTGATGCCTTGGATCGGGCGGGGAAAACGGGGGGCCGGGGCCGGGGAGAATGAGTTAGTCCCAATTTGGGGCCAGATGTACAATTCCATAAATCCTGGCAGTCTTACTCGACGAATGGCTGGCGAGTGGAGCATGATAACGACATTTTCATCATGGTTCGTCAGCGGGAAATACGGAGGCACGAGGCTCCTCATTCCTAACTCCTTGTGGTGGCCATCACGTCCCTTCGCCCATGTCAGAACACGTCAATACAATGCAAGAGGGCTCTAATCCCGATGCTACCTCCAGCCAGGGACGAAAGGCCCGCACAAAGACGTTTTCTGGGTGCTGGACATGCAGAGCCAAACACGTCAAATGCGACGAGAGCCGACCAACCTGCAAGCGCTGCCAACGCTCAGGGCTCTCCTGTGAAGGCTACGGCGTAAGGCTGTCATGGACTTCAGTGCGCGGCCCGTCAAATTTCCGGAATGGCGCCTCGAGGAAAGGGAGGCGTCTGCCACCGGGCAGCTCCTTTGACTCTCGTGAAAACCTCATGGACCAGTCTGGACCGATGGAGGAGAGACAAGGTCTCGGCCTCAGAGAGTCCACAGAGCATTCGCCCGATTCAATAGCCCATGATACGACAGGTTCATCTGGGTTGAGCCCGAGCTCTGCTATGGACGAGGAGCCTGCCGATGGCGAATTGGGTCCCCGGCTATTTAATTCCTACAAAACATTAGGTCAAGGCCTCGGCGCGAGAACCTCAAACCCGCCTTTTCAGCCGCGACATGAACAATCGGATGGCCAGAATAGTGCTGCTGGCACACAGAGCAACAATGAATCACCTTGCGGCATCGCCACCAGCTGCGAGCCTCCCACCCCGATAACTTCCAACGAGATGGACGCCAGCTATCAAGACATTACATGGCTTCCCCCACGACGGTCTAATTCACCGCCGTCAGGTCATCTCCTCTACCAAGGCGATCATCCGATGGACATGACCAATGCTGAAGCACCCTTGCGACACTTGGATGCCCTGCCGAATCTCGTCCTCCAGTGCCAGCTGATGGAACACTGGACCCTACATCTCTGTGATGCTTTGAACCCGGTCCCGGGAATCCACAACCCCCTGCGGACTATCATGATGCCAATCGCCCTCGAAGGAGCCCGAGCAGACTTGAAAACGTCGACTGGCGCAACTGCCTTGTTCCACCTCATCTCTTCAGCATCTGCGTTTCATTTGTCACAGAGAAGGAGCTCGCCGGAAGAGAGGCGCACTCTGGAGAGTGTAGCCCTGGAACATCACAACCTCGGTATCACTCATCTTGGCCAAAATATCCAGTCCGATGACCTGAGCCAGTGCGTGTCTGTTCTTGCATCCCTGGTCATGTGCATCTTGAACGAGGCGATTTCAACGCCCGCCCCGTTCTGGCGCCTCCACTTCCGAGGCGCTGTAGAATGGGTAAACCACATCAACCCTCAGGTTTGGCACGAGACAGAATCAGCCTCGGTCATCTATCAGATGTTTTCTGGCATGGCGACGATTGTCCAGTCGCAGCTGCTCCTTGACGGCCTCGACTCGGCACTATGGGATCTTCCTTATGATCCGGCATCACAACCAGGCCCATACATTTTGGACATGGCATTTGGGTTGCCCCAGCCCATCATGCAATGTCTCAATGCCATGAAGTCGATCCAGAAGGAGGATAAACGATCGGACGGCCAACCTTCGGAGAATACGGCCCAAAAACTGGACCGACTCGAGCTCGAGCTGTATCTTTCCGCGCCAAAGAAGCCGGACTCGTCCTTTGGCCAAGAGTACGGCGACCTGGTGTATCACCACGGCTACACGTACTACTTTGCGGCACTGCTGTACATGAAGCGTACGGTAAAAGAGACGCCGATAGAGGACGTGCAGGCGTTGGTCGAGCAATCTCTGCATCACATTGAAGCCCTGAGCAAGTGCAGCGACCGGCCGTTTTCTCCGATGCTGTGGCCGATAGCGATGATCGCCTTCGAGATAAGCCACTCCATGGCGCAGACCCGCATGCTGAAGTGTCTCGACGTATTCCTGGATAGATCGGGGTTAATGCTCTGGAAACAGCTCTCGCGCTTGGTCAAGGATCTGTGGGCTTTGCGAAAAACAGAAGGGAATGCCAATGTGAAGTGGCACAAAAGTGTCCTCACGGCGGTCAACGACAGCTTCATGCTTCTGTGAAAAGCAAAAGCAAAAAGCAAAAACAACAACAAAAACAACATGGATTCAGCTAGTCAGTCTCAGCATGGACGAGAAACTAATTGGTGGCACAATTGGTGGTACAACTGGTGGTGTTGATTCGACATTCCCTTGCATGAGCTATGCCGCCTCTGTCCTCGCTCATATCTCAACCCAATGATACCGCGTCATTAGTAATATTAGTACCATGCAGCTTTCTACCATGCATGATCTGCGGATCGTCAGCCCGCCTCGTCTCGACGGCTGGCCCCGCGCCCAACCACCTGAGCCTAGTCGGCCTATGAGAAGACGTGGATAGTCTGCCGCGGCCATTTTGAGGCCTGGATTGAGTTGTACTTCTCCACTGCGGTGAGACATACACGCACACGGGATGTTCGCGGCCAATTACACGACGAGCTTGCTGCCGTGTCTCACAGTTACTCAGGACAGCGGCACTGAGTGGACAGCTTCTGATGTATCATGTAGCATTCCGGACAGCTCATAAGGCGGTCAATCCCGAGCTGCTGCCCGAGCTGTGCTCCCCAGTTCTCCCCTCTTTGTTCTTTTCGACACATGCAGTACTATGGCTTCACCAATCCCTCAGCCGCCGGGCCTGCCGCTGCTTGGAAACATCCGCGACATCGACCCCGGCAATACCTGGGCCTCGCTCAAGACACTGGCCGAGAAATACGGTGAGATCTTCCAGATCAAGGTGCTTGGCCACACCATCGTCTTCGTCGCTAGCGCAGCCCTTGCCGAGGAGATCTGCGACGAGAAGCGGTTCCGAAAGTACGTCGGCGGCCCCATCGTCGAGATCCGCTACGCTGTCCACGACGCCCTCTTCACTGCCTTCGACCATGAGTCGAGCTGGGGCATTGCCCATCGCATCATCGCGCCGAAGATCTCGCCAGCCTCAATTGGCGAGAGGTTCGAGGACTTGAACATCACGGTAGATGATCTCATCAAGAAGTGGAAGGGTCTCGGCACGAACAACAAGATCTTTCCGATCCAGGACCTCAACAGCCTCAACCTCGAGTCTACAACCTACACTTTGTTCGGGAAGAGGCTCAATTGCCTCGAAGGCCCTCCCCATCCCATGCTCAAGGCCATGGAAGACTCGACATCGGAAGCAATGAAACGACCGAACCGCCCTGGCTTGCTCAACTGGCTCTTCGGCAAAAAGTTCAAGTCCTCCACGGCCATCATGCGCTCGTGGGCTGAAGAGCTGGTGCAGTACCGCAAGGAGAACCCTACCGACCGCAACGATCTCCTCACCGCCATGCTCAACGCCAAAGACCCCGAGTCTGGCACGGCGTTGACCGACTCCCAGGTCATCGACGAGATTGTGACCATGCCGATTGGCAGCAGCACGGCGCCATGCCTCATGACCACGGCCATTTACTACCTGGCCAAGAACCCGCAGGTTGTTGCTGCTGCCCGCAAGGAGATTGATGCCGTGGTAGGGTCGGATGAGTTGACGTATGCACACATCTCCCAGCTCCCTTATGTCGAGGGTCTTGTCCGCGAGTCGCTCCGCCTCTCTTTTGCCGCGCCTGGATTCAACATCGAGCCTATCCCAACCGAAAGCAAGGCTCCAGTGCTCCTCGCAGGCGGCAAGTACCAAGTCGCCCACAACCAAGCTCTCATTCTTGTTCTCGCCGGCGTGAACCGTGATCCTGCCGTATTCGACGAGCCCCTCGCCTTTCGACCGGAGCGGATGGTCGGGGAGGCGTACGACAAGCTGCCATCTGGAGTCAAGAAGGGCTTTGGCAATGGAAAGAGAGAGTGCATTGGCAAGCATTACGCTTGGATATGGTTGATGATTGTGATGACGAGGATTGTCAAGGAGTTTGACTTTGAGCCCGCTGATCCAAAGTATGAACTCCACATGGACGGCTGGTTTAATGTGCGCCCCGTTAACTATGCCGTCAAAGTCAAGCCAAGAGGTGCTTGATGTTTCAAGTGATGGATTGAGTTGATCGGGAAGATTGCCGCATGTCCAATTTTGCAGGATTCGAAGTAGTACCGGAGAGGATAATTAGGTGGAGTGGGATTTAATATCAAGCAGCGATTCCCACTAGATTCTTCTGACCTCTTATGTCATCAAAACGCAAGTGAATGTCGGCCTTGTCCATGTCCTTAGTTCTTGTGAATGTACGCCGTACCGAGATGGTGCAGTTCTTCGATCACAGCTTCTTCTATTGGCCTTGGCCGTCTCTGCAGCCGCACATCTCCTGCCTCGATGGACCCCTGATGCAATTGCCGTAGTTGACCTCGCCGTCAACCGCGGTCAGCCCCAGCACTACGCACGCGGCGTCATCTACGGCATCCCAGACACCCTAGACTAGATTCCTGACCACTTCTACATAGACATTGGTCTCCACTGGTTCCGGGCTGGCAGTGCACCAATGGGCGCAGCCAACCGTGTATAGGTCTGGGGCGAGCTTGATGGGCGCTGGGACTCGGCGCTGAGCAACTACAAAACCGTCCGCAAGTACGGAGGCAAGTTCCAGCTGCTGTTACATGACCTCTGGGGCACCGACCACGCGACCGAATCTATGAACCAGCCCGGAGATAATGGAGATCGGTCCGACTTTGACAACTTTCTGGATGTCGTGATTAACAGAATCGTTGTGAACGACATGCTCCCTGGCCTGCACATTGATATCTGGAATGAGCCCGAGTGGGGCTTTTGGCTGAGATCTTAAACTCGATATCTGGATTTGTTTGGGAGAACCTTCAAGCGATTCCAGTAATATGAAGTTATTTACTCTTGCTGAAGTTTAGCTGACGTCCTAAGCAATAATCTGGTCCTCGGGAGTCTTCCTATCCCAGGGCCCTCGCTCTCTCTGCCACCAGCCGAAGACAACACCTGGAGCAACTTCTTGAGCTATGTTGCCGCCAATGACACAACACCGGACTACTACTCATGGCACCACATCGAAGCTCTTGACAACGAGGCCAACGACTTGCAAAACAGCCTCCCAACATTTGACACGATGCGTGTGGCCGCTGGTGCCCCAGAGAAGCCAATCAATATTAACGAGTACCTGAATCTTGGTGACGAGCTCAACCCAGCAGCAACTGTGTGACACCTATCCCGGTTCGAGAGATATAACGTCCCCGGGTTGCGAGCTAATTGGCGCGGTGGACCGAATGGCACATATCTCCGCGATTTCCTCGCAAGTCTTCTCTGGCGTGACAACACTGACCTCCCGTATCATCCCAACGGCGACTGGCAGGCCCTCAAGTACTACAACACGAACATGACAGGGTATCGTGCTGGAACAACTGGATCTGAGGATAGAATGTTTGATGCGTATGCCACTGTCGGTGACAAAGTCCGGATTCTAACTGGCGTTCGTGTGCAGACAGAACCTGGGCCCTCACTATCAAGAATCTTGGTGCAGCAGGCCTCCCGTCCTCTGGAAACCTCGCAATTCAGACTTGGGGATGTACGGATGTGATACCAGAGACTGAGCTCGACGCCCCAACAAATCGTGGCATTGCGACGCACCCTTACGCTAATGATGAAATCACAATTGCCATTTATCAAACTGAGGAAGATTGGAAGACTGCTTGGGCGTTTGGGTTTAGTAATGCATAATTTAGAGACTAAGAGTCGATTTCTTGATGGTACAAACCAAACATATTAACTGGTGTTTTGAGTCCTCTTTTCAATCGTGCACTTAAGGCGAGCCAAAACGGGACTTAGGACACTAGAGTATTACTATTCATGTAGCCCTAAATCTCTATTCGCACAGGCTAAATAATATAATTCTATTACTATATTAACTTTACAGACTAAAAAGAATAGTATTATTGTAGCTGCTGCTCCATGTCTTTTTTCTCTAGGTATTATTATCTCGTAGTTCTTCAGCCCCTTGGACTAAGGTGGCCTACAATCTCTGCAACAACCGCAGAGTTACTCAATATCTTTTTTTTTTCAATCTCCAATTACATCAGGGTCCATCTCACGCTATAATTGAAGCAGATAGGTGCAGTGTTGCTTGCAGCGGTTTGAACCGGGTTATCTATCAAAGTTGTGCAATTAGAGATTTGGAGTTGTGCGAATAGTAATACTCAAATAAAATTTCATTGCCATCTCTAGTTAACTATATAAATCGGTCTACTAGCGGATCGAAGATCAAGCTGTTGAGAACCATATTGTGAAGTGAATCTAGTACAGCCTTTAGACTTTGGCATCAACGTCGAGGACATGGCCAGCACCCAGCTTCCTCTGCTTGCGCCACTCCTCTGCATACCGGACACCAAATCCGTTCTCAAAGACGACTCTGATCTCCTCGAGAGTCATGCCTGCAGCCTCTGGGTAGCAGAAGTAGACGAAAATGTAGCCCAAGAGGCACATGCCCGCATAGAAGCCGAAAGCACCAGAGGGTGAAATGCCGCGCATCATGGACAAGAAGGTGGAGGAGACGATGATGTTGGGTCCCCAGTTGAAGATGTTGATCATCATGGTTCCCATGGCGCGGACTTCCATCGGGAGGAATTCGTTTGCCTGCCAGGGCACACATCCGAGGCCGGCGGCGTAGCAGGCGACGAACATGATCATGGAGACGAGCACAACGATTGCGGGCCATCCGATCTTGTCGTCGGTCAACTCTAGTGTGTTGCGGTCGATGGGGATCTGGGAAAAGACACCGGCGGCGACAGTCAGGAAAACCGGCATTCCCCACATGGTCCAGAGAAGGAGTCTTCGGCGTCCAACGCGGTCGATGAGGAAGATGGAAAGGAAGGTGAAGACCCAGTTGGTGGCTGTGACGATGGTTCCGACGGCGATGGGGTTGTTGAAGCCGACGATCTGGAACAGAGTGCTAGAGTAGTACATGAGAGTATTGAATCCACAGAGTTGCTGGAAAGCCATCAGTCCACAAGCAACAATGGCGGCTCGGCGGTTGGGTGCGACGGTGGCGAGGCTCTTGAGAGCTGTGCGGACAGAAACCTCCTCGTTGAGTGCCTTAGACTGCGTCACGCCGTGTTGGATATGCGCAACCATCTGCTGAATCTGCTGCTCAGTCGCAGTTGGATACATGCGGCGGATGACACTCATGCACTCCTCGGTGCGGTTATGGAAGAGCAGTTGGCGAGGGGATTCCGGGCACCAGAACAGCAGGACTCCCAGCATGATGGATGGAATACCTCCCAATCCAACCATGTATCGCCAGCCGTGGTCGATCTTGTAAAACGCCGCGTCGAAGCCGTAGGCGAGAAGAGAGCCGGTTCCGAGGAAGACCATGTCGATGGATATCATGCGGCCACGATACTTGGCCGGCGAGATTTCGGCAATGTACAGCGGGATAATCTTCAAGAACAATCACTTGTCAGTGGGGGTAGCAGCAAGAGTTCTCGTCATACAAAACGTACCATAGAGGCAGAGCCAACACCGAGGCCAACAAGAATACGGCCAACGCACATCTGGGCAATCGAGAAGGATGTGGCTTGGACGAGGGCACCGATGGTGAACAAAACAGAGGCGAACCAGATGGCGGGCTTTCGTCCGTACTTGTCGGCCGTGACTCCGGCGACGATGGCGCCGAGCAACGCACCAGCTGCACACAGAGCCGTGATCAACTCCTTTTCTCCGTGGCTCAGCTCTCTGCCGTTGAGGTCTGTGCCGAGCACAACCAGGACGCCAGAGATGACTCCAGTGTCGTAGCCGAAGAGCATGCCGCCAATAGCAGTTGCCACAACGCAGAGGTTGAGGAAGAGGCCGGGGGTCGAGTCTTCAATGAAGTCATCGCCGGCCTTGAGGTCGATGTGGTCTTCACTGTTCTCGACATGTCGAGACTCTGAGTTGACAGCAAGAGATTTGTCTTTGACGGCCATTTTGAATGGTTGATGATGGAAGAGAAGATGGGTGAAATGGTTGATTTGATTCCGCAAGTCCTTAGGGAAGTTATGAGACTTTATACTTCTCGGCCGGCCCGAAGGCGATAGCAGCCATACCCAAATGACTCGACCATCAGCACGGCCTCAGCTCACCAAAACACCGCGTTGGCTGATCAGAGACACTGAAGCCCATACTCGACGTCTGCTTGCAATCCCTGGAGCATCCAATCGGAACCAGCATAAAAAAACAGCTGTAACCCTCACGACCCACCGCATTCGCCATGACTCCGGGGTAGCGAAGTTGGAGAATGCGGGAGAGATCCCCGCGGCTCCCCCGTGGGGATGGCTGGTTTCCCGCATCCTGACACGAGATATCCGAGACGATGGGCGGGCGGCGTCCGTCTGGGGAAGTTCGTTCCGCGCGTGAGGAAGTTGTATCCGGACTCCGCTCGGAATGGCCGCATCATGAGCTAACGTGTGGAGTGGCAAGGAACGTGCTGATGCAAACCCCACCCCCGCAATAGCTATCGACAGGGGAGAAGCTCTGAGAGACGGTTGTCGAATTGGGGTAAGTCGTTCCAAGAGTGAAGAAGGTCTGTCCGGCGGAGCATCTCAGAGCGTGGCTAGTGGCAACGATCTAGAAACAACGAGGCGCAACCTCATCGCCCGAGGGAGGGGATAGAATACAACCCCCGCATCATAGCGTGCCGAATCCCCGTCTTTGGATGTTGATTCCCTTCTGGAAAGTCTTTCCGGAGACAGGGCAGGTTCTCCCGCCGGCCGATCAGTGGCATCGACACCGAAACCCGCCGAAGATGTCCATTGTGGCCAAACGGTCACGGAGAGAACAGAGGCGGAGAGCGTGGCTGGGGAAACATATTCCATCGTGACAAGATGCACGGCGCTCGAGGGAAACATAAAAGAAGCAGCATCTCGCAGTCTGCTTCACCTCCTCGCCATCCTCATCACACTCCTCCTCCTCCTCCACAGCAACACAGGACTCCCGTCTCAATCCCTGCAACATGTCCCCCCAGAAGCTCAAGATTGCCGCCGCTGGCCTCGGCCGCATGGGGAAGCGCCATGCCATCAACTTCCTCAACCGCACCCCCCGCGCTGAGCTTGTCGCGGCCTTCACCCCTGACCCTACGGAGATGGCATGGGCCAAGATCAACCTGGAGCCCCATGGCGTTACCCTCTACGACGACTACTCCAAGATGATTCAGCAGGACGGCCTCAATGCCGTTGTCATTGGCACCGCCACCTCGGTCCACGCTGAGGAGGCCATCCAGGCCATGCAGAAGAACCTCCACGTTCTGGTTGAGAAGCCTCTCTCCACCGACCTCGATATTGTTAGTACATTGTGAATATTAATTAATTTCCCACTCACACCTCCATAGTGCCGATCAGTCGTCGCCGAGGCCAAGAAGCATCCTCACCTCAAGGTCATGTGTGGCTTCTCCCGCCGCTTCGACGAGTCCTACCGCGATGCCCACTCCAAGATGGAGCAGGGTCTGATCGGCCGGCCCTCCATCATCCGCAGCCAAACCTGCGACAAGCACGACCCCTCGGGCTTCTTCGTCGCCTACGCTGCGTGGTCCGGCGGCGTCTTCGTCGACATGGCTGTGCACGACATCGACCTCACGCTGTGGTTCTTCGGCGACGACATCGTCCCCAAGAGCGTTTCCGCCCACGGCATCCGCGCCGTCCAGCCCGACCTTGCTCAGTACAACGACTACGACAACGCCGTTGGCATCGTCGAGTTCTGGGGCGGCAAGATCGCGCACTACTACTGCTCCCGCATGATGGCCCACGGCCAGGAGGACACCACCGAGATCATCGGCACCGAGGGCAAGCTGACGGTCAACGGCAACCCCCAGTCCAACCTCGTCAACTACTACCACGCCGGCGGCATCACCCGCGAGGTGCCCGCCCACTACTACGGCCGCTTCGAGATGGCCTTTGTCCAGGAGGCCAACGACTTCGCCGAGGCCTGCCTCGACAACAAGCCCCTCGCCCTGAAGCTCACCAATGCTGTCCGGGCTGTCGAGATCGGTGCTGCTCTGCAGGAGGCTCTGGTCAGCGGCAAGCAGATCCGCTTTGACGAGATCGGCCGACGCATCGAGGAGACCAAGTTGTAATTAGATTCGAGCGGGAGTTTAAGACTAGATTGTGCTAAAAAAGGAAATTCAAGTTTGTTAATGTCGCTCTCATGACTCTCAAAACCAATGTGATTCTGTTTATTCCATACTCTGCATTGTCAAACGGAGATATGGACCACAATAGCACTACCGGCAAGAGGAGTGATCATTCCCTTTTGCCGTAGCGGTTATTGCGACATGCATTAGCCGTTTGGCTCGCCATCCTGTGCCCATTGATCACTGAGCGACGAGCGAAGAAGCATAGTATTCCACCCGGTTTTTTGCTGTACATAGTCGAGGAAATCCTGAACCATCGCTTGATCTTCTTTGTCTCCAAAGACACCACCCCCTAGACAAGGTAAGTTTCGCCGATCCGAAACAAAGTTTAGAGAAGCGTAACTTACACACTGACAACGAGTGCCTCGCAGTGAACAGAGTGTTCTCTCCTCTGGAGTTGGAGGTAGCCAGAGCTATTACCTGGAGGAGGTGGTGTCGAACAATTTGCTGAGTTTAGTCAGTAACTTCCAGTCTTGTGTCGACATATTGACCTACCTCTACCTTTTTGCCCATTCTGATGTGGTCGTACACAGACGCCGCTAGAATAGGAGTTGACATGGCGAGGATGATTTTCGCAATATGATAGTACTGCAACCCGACCGCTTAAAGAAGTCAGCCGCGGGTTTTGTGGTTTTCGGAATCCAACAAACCATGAAATGGAGACAGAACCCAAATCTCAGGTAACAATCGTCCATCGGGTCGACTCCGTCGCTCTTCGTGGATCGGGTTAAACGCAGCAGGCTTCGAGTCAAACCAGGCGTCAACTTCAGCACTGATGCTCTCCAGGCTTTGCGTTGAGCATTGCTCATTAGCAGAAAATGCGCAGCCAAGTGCCTTGGCTAGCAAGAACACCATCCGGTTAGCATACGCGGCATCATCTCCTTTCCTGAATACATTCGATTGCAGGAACGTCTCTAGGTCGGTCTTTAGTGGCCGCTGCTTGGTCAACGAGATGTAGATGTCTTCTCTGAGGCACAGCCACGCAGCCGCCTCGCCCAAGCCTCCATTGAAGTCAAATACAGACATGGAATTGACAATTCGGGAGGTCCCAGTGAGATGGAGCTCCTTGTCGTCGGCTGTTTTCTCGTTAGTTCAGGTCAACCACGATAATCAGTCAGCCTCACCGTCCATTTCTTCATACTGTCGCAAGATTGCAATGGCTGCAAGGACTTCTTCCTCCACTTGCCCGTCCTGTCCAGAAACAGCCTCAATCAACAGCTCCAGGCATTTGTCATAGTACTCGAGTGATTCCGTAGTTGTATCCGGCATACTTCGATTTAGATGTCGAGATGAGAAGGCGCAAACTGCGTAACGAAGAACTGGAAAACAAAGAGCTCGGCGCGGCACTTCAATCTCAAAATGGCGCCTCATGTCGGTCGCGTCCGCCTTTGTAGATCAGTAAATACTTCTCGCCTGGACTAGGTGCATGTTAACGTACCCACGACGCCATGTTTTCGATGAAATTCCTCATCAAGACAGCTTCTTGTGAAGTAAACGGAACGACTGGAGGTGCTGAAGATGGGGAAAGTCCCTGGTGCGTAGTAGAATGGCTCATCGATGAGCCTTGGGAGGCGGGCCGAGCTCCGAGGATACTGGGGCTTCGTATCTCATACTCTCGGGATATCGGGCTGGGCTGTTCAGGAGGTTGAAGTGTCGGAGGGGAATTGAAGCTCTCTGGCTGGCTGGTCGAGTCAGCTAATGCTGCAGAACAGGTCTCGGCACACGTTACCGGAACTGCAAAGACGCAACGCGAGGTCTGAATTTCACATTAGCAGGATGCCCCTGAACGTCAGGTTGGAGAAGGTGTAGCGGCACTCCAGAGGATGAACTTACTCTTCCATTTCGGCGGGTGTACCCTCATATAGCTGAGACAGCTGAGCCGTCTCATCGCAGTACTCGACTACCAGGACACGCCAGGAATGGTGAGTCACACTCAACAGGATTGCCGATTTCACTCACGAATCTTCTCGTGCTGAACCCAAGTTTGGCTGTCGGAGAAGGAATAATCTTCGTCCACAGAGTCGAGTCCGTTCCGGAAACGGACTTGGAGAGAGCGGACACATTCGATGCCCGCTTTCAGACATGCCACGCATGATGGCAGGTTCTTGTCGCCTTGAGTTCAAATTAGTTGGGTGAGCTTGTTGGAGCAGCGCCATGAAGGCCTACATCGAACATGTCGGACTGTATCCTAGATTAGCCATGATCATCTGCTGAATTGGATCCTTGCAAGTACCTCGACAAGCATTACTATTCCCCAGTGCGATTAGCTATGCTCTCTCAACATGTCGCCTCAAAGGCTCACCATCCTATCGCCACGCGGCCAGTTCTTTTTGAGCCTTGCCTGCCACTCATCGTGGGTCTGTTGCAAGGTGAAGCAGCCACTGGTGAGCGAGCACAGACGAGGAGGAATTGCAGCTTCCCCAAACCCAGGCGCTATGATTAGGTCAATCACGTGCGGGCATTAGCACATTGATTACCCCACAGGAAGCGGGGAAGAGGAGAAGGCGAGAATCCCTTTTTGCCATGCTCCATGCTCCATGCTCCATGGCCAGGTTAGCTTCAGCGCTACGGGGTACGCGGTGTCTTTATTAGCGGCGTTGAATGCCTGGGTTAGGTCGAGGCGCCTCTGGAGTGGCAATTGTCGTATCAAAACAAGATTCATACGAGAGCGTATCGCCAACAACTAGGCTCAGCAAAAGAGCAGCCATGTGACATCCCCCAAAACAAGAAATACATGATCAAAAAATAGAATCGCGAATCCATCCTCAGAAATCGTCTCCTCAGCAATCTCCCAGCTGATATTCTTAGGCAATCTGATTTGCGTCCTTCGTCACCCTACACCCTACACCCTACACCCAATCGCCCTCAGCGCCACCCAATGTCACTCCAGTATTAGGCGACCCTCTACATTTGCGCACTCCATGCCCTACTCGCGATGAAGCGCCGTGTTTTCACTCTCCTTTGGCTTCGGGACAAACAGCCAGCTGATCGAGGTTGCCGTCAGGAGCCCACACAAAATAGGCTGCAGAACTGCCACACCCGCACGTGCCGCGATGAGACCGGTGATGATGGGGAAGAAGCAACCACCCATTTGTGCAAACACGAACACAAAAGCCAACGCTGTTGGCTGAATTCGAGGTGAAAATAGCTTTGAACTAATCGACATTCCCTGCGTAAATGTTAGCACGGCTAACTATACAGTAAGCAGACGACTCACCGTAGCGAAATATGGTCCCATGAAGAAGCCCAAAAGACTAATGGAGATGGAGGCTGCAATGATGCTAGGTACCCTAGAAAGGGTTAGCCACTTTCCTGAGAACGATCCAACAGAAGCACTCACAGCCAAAACAACACCTGAAGACCAATGCACAAAATGCTAAAGAGGAAAATAATCGGTCGGACGCCAAATCGATGGATGGGTTCCGCCAGAAGCAGTCTGCCGAGCAGTGAACCTCCGTTGAAGCCGGCTGGAACATAACCCATCTGAGACAATTCCCCATTACGAACGACAACCAGATATTCCACAACCCATCCACTGGCCGTAAGCACCGCACCCAAATAGCAGAAGTAGAAGAGGCTTAGGAGCCAAACGCTTCGGGTCTTGAGGGTTTCTTTGATAAGGGCAGAAGCAGTGTCATTCTTCAGCGTGTTTGCTGGAGAAGGGGTTTGCCCCGCGCCCACAGCAGTTTCTGCGTCGATGGCAGTCGTATGAATACTGGGAGATTTTGTTTGCTTGAACCCAACGCTATCCCGGAAGGCTGTGAAGACAAGAGCCACATTGACCAGGCCGATGCCAAGGGGAAAGCAGTAAAACAGATACCAGCGGGAGTGTTCTCCTGACGCAGCAGTCGCCGTCGCAACAAAGGGGCCGCAAAGACACCCAGCCATATACATGGCGTGGATAAGAGCGAGCCACCGGTGCGCTCCCTTTGTCCCAGCGACAAACGTATTCCCGTGCGTGTCTTGGTAGGCTTGACCAAGGCTAGCCAGCCAGAAAGTGACGGCAAATAGCCCAAACGGAGGTTTCCATGCGCGTAGAGCATGCGCAAGCACTTGTAGCACGGCGCCAAGTATGAGCATTGCGCCGAGGTCGAACTTTTGGGAGAGGTGGGTGTTCGTCAAGGCTCCTCCCAGCCATCCCATGAAGTTGGCTCCGTATCTGTTTGCCACCTTGTCAATAAATATTCTCGCTAGGGTAGCGCTGGTCATTTTTATTCACACTGATGAGACGATGGCTGTGTTGATTCCGTAGTCTCGGATGACATAAGGGACCAGGGCACCAAAACTACCATCATTGACACCTGCAACGAAGAAGGAGAAGGCAGCACTTGTGATTTTTAAGTAGGTCGCTCGGTCCATTTTCATGTCGGTTGAATACGATTGAGGCGCGGGCGGCTCTTCCCCATCTCTGGGTGAATTTTTGGGACGACTTTCAAGCTCATATGTCTCGGAGACATGAGCGGGCTCGAGCTGTGTGACAGTCGCCATTGCGAGGGTCGAATGACTTGGAAGCCAAGTCAACAGAATAATTCCAGTCTCAGAGCCTGGGTTTTGGTGGACAAGAGTTCAGAGAACGTCAGAACCGATGATCAGAGAAGTCATGCCAGGCGTTCATCAATTAAATACCTACGCAGCACCCAGCCATTGTAAGCAAACCCCACACGGAGAAATAGAAGGGGAAATACCTGGGGCTACTCTCTAAATGGACATACCCCCAACTTCGGCTTGCGGGTCGCCACGGCTAAGCATCGGGATGTGTCACCTGCCCCGGAAATACGCCGGTTGCTCTCTTACCGACATGGCTAAATGTCGGAGATATGTCGGCTGCTGGAAGTTAGCGGTTTGTCTGCCATCAACCGAATGCGTACGGAGGGCTCTTTCAAAAGTCTTGTCCAAGCGCTGGTAACATCATATCCATTTATCCCTGTCGGTTACCTGAGATACATAAAGCTGTCACAGTCTCGTTAAACGGCCGCTGTAACTTCAGGAGTAGTACGCTGCTAATCAGGATATAGCGGTTGCTGTGTGCTGTAACCTGCTATCCTTTAGGGCCTACAGAAATCAGGAAGTACTTAGTATACTTATTATCTAACCTAATAATTAGTACTTACTTCTTATGGACAAGACTTTTGAAAGGGCCCTCCGTAGGTACCCAAATGAACAAGTCAACAAGTAATGATGTGCGAAGCACTACGTAAGTATTTCCACTTGATTCCAGCTTTAGTCTCTACTTATCCACTGGTATCTTAAATACTATCTGTAGCTATTTTTGGTGTTCAAGAAAATTCACCGAGTTCGAAATTAGTCCCAACGATGGTCTCAATCTACTTCTATGACAACCTTCAAGGCACCGTGCTCTGCGGCCTTCCCGAATGTCTGATATGCCTTCTCCATCTCACTGAACTTGAAATCTAGAGCAAGGAGAATTGGTTAGCTTAATCTGAAACTCAAGTCCTCTAATTTAGGTGTAACCTTACTATGGGTAATTAGTTGGCTGGGCTGGAGCTTGCCGGCCTCTACCATCTTCAGCAGCATGGGTGTCGTAACTGCGTCGACAAGTCTGGTGGTGATGGCTATAGTGGGGTCTAATTAGCAAACGGAACGGCGCCTTCTCAAGCGACTTGAAACAAAAACGAGACTCACAGATGTTTCTATCCCAGAGGTTTTCCAGATGCAGATCCACCTTTGTTCCGTGGACACCAACATTCGCCAGTACACCACCGGGGGCGAGCAACTCTTGGCATAATCCAAATGTAGCTGGGATGCCCACAGCCTCGATGACGGAGTCGCAACCCTTACCGTCCGTCAAGGCCTTCACTCTTGCAACTGCATCCTCCTTGGCGCTGTTAACCGTATCGCTGGCGCCAAGATCCCTTGCGAATTCCAATCTGTTGGGATCGGTATCAATGGCAATGATCTTGGTCGGGGAGTACATCTGCGCCGTGATAATCGACGCCAGGCCAATTGGCCCAGTCCCGACGACGGCCACGGTGCCGCCGGGTTGGACCTTGCCATTGAGCACGCCACACTCGAGTCCCGTGGGAAAAATGTCGCTCAGCATGACAAGAGCGGCCTCGTCGGCGCCCTCTGGGATTGGGTAGAGGCTGGAGTCGGCATGTGGAATGCGAACGTACTCGGCCTGGGTGCCGTCGATGGTGTTGCCCAGGATCCAGCCGCCCGAAGTGCAGTGGCTGTGCATGCCTCTGCGGCAGTACTCGCAGGTCGCGCAGCTTGAGATGCACGAGATAAGAACGTGGTCGCCTTCTTTAAACCGAGTGACGGAGGCTCCTGTCGCTTGCACAATGCCAACGCCCTCGTGGCCCAAGATGCGACCGGGTTCGCACGTCGCCACGTCGCCCTTGGTGATGTGCAGGTCGGTACCGCAGATGGTAGTCTTGGTGACCTTTACAATGACATCTGTGGGGGAGGAGATGGCAGGGACCGGTCGGTCCTGCAGAGAGACGGCATTGACAGCGTTGTACACGAGCGCCTTCATCGTGGATAGGTATCGAGGAGTAAATGGGCGGATTGAATTGAAACTGCTACTGTTCAGAGATGCGCCGAATCGAGTCGCGCGAGCAGTGCAACTGAATGCGGGGATGGATGAGCGGGCAGCTCGGGAGAGCATGGCTCTCGCGGTTCTTGAAGTAGTCGCCATGGCGGCAATGATTGATAATTGTGGCAATAGACTTTTCTAGATCCGAATTGAGATGACCAAAAGCGAACCGTGCAAAGCAACCTGTTTTGAGGGGATTGGAAGTTGAAAAGAGGCGCGCAAGCTCGACCACTTTGGTGGTGTCATTGCGACCATGATCTGACATCCGAGACGCCAATGGGCCACTGGGATGCTTTTGCGGCCGCATGAGATGACAATGGCGAGACTCTGAACGGCATTGCGGAGTACGGTGGACACCGATAGTGCGCGAGGAGAGCATCATGTGCCGAGCAGGGGAACCTTGCCTCCGAATTTCGGTCAAGGGTTCGCAGTCTGCTGACCGTCCTGGCGATTCATGTCTTTGCATTTGTTCGTCTACGGCGTCGCATTCCACCGGAATTGGCTTCTCCGGAGGACTTAGGCGAGGAATGTGGCTTTGTCCTTTACTGTGTGCACATACTAAGTATGTATTCCCTTCGACCGGACTGCGCTAATGACAGAGTTATCAACGCCACTCACATTCTAGGTAAATAGAGGATGCATCTCCCCTGGCACTGAAAGAGGGGGAATTCATATGCTGGCGCACCTTAAGGAGGTGAATTTGAAGTTGGAGAATTCTGATACTTTTCGGGATCACGTTGCAAGGGCTCACCATGTTTCAATTTGACCCTCGTGGTCGTAATAGCCAGTTTGGCCGCAGTCTGCATTCCTGCTTTAGATCAATTTGTTCAGTAACATTTGGCATATTCGTTGCCCTTTTTGCTGTAACCACTTGAGATAATTTTCGCGAAGGAGCTCTGTGACAGGAGGTATTTGGAGGGAGTGCGCACGCGGAGATGGAATTGTGTGGTTATAAGGCGGTACCTCTTTTCACCTTTAAGGTGTAAAGGAGCAGGCGATTGCCTACAACTAGTAATGTTAGAGACAGAAGCTTTGGGCTGAGCCCCTAGGCAAATGGAAATTCCCAATACCTCGATTGTTCGAATTACTATATGTCCTGGTATTGGGTGTAGTGCTTAGAGTATGGATACTTGTTTGCAGCTACTATACCTTTGATCTATGGGATGATATTGCTTATAGGTAAAGAGAAATGATAGATAGTTCGAAGTAGTTATATTATAGACGTTTGAAGTGTCGTGGATAGAATTCTTCTATTTAAGGGTGCAAATTACATCCGCTCCTTATGATTGGTAACTTTGAATCGCCGATGAAACGAGAAGTCTTGTAGTACTCACTACGCACCACTAGGGGGCGATCTATTTCGCAATTTTCACAACAGTGTCCAGACTGGCTATGGGAAAAAGGCCCCCAATTAAATAGGATACGACCTCTATCGCCATCGCCATCGTTCTCACTCACTGGCGCCACCCATCTGTCGGGACGCTCTTCAGGAGAGTTAAGGTTGCCGTCGGGCATTGGGAAGCTATACATGTTAGCCTTGTTCATGGCGATCGGGACCTGTTGATCTCTATCCCGACGGTTCTATGGCCGAGGCTGCCTGTGCTTGGAGGGTGGAGTAATTTTGCATTGGCATGCACTTCTCAACGTACCTTGGTAATGTGAGACCGATATAGGAGGGCGTACTCTTTCTGCTTTCACCTTTTGATGTGGGTGTCGGGGAATTGTGCTGAGGGGACAGTAAAGGATCAATTGAAGCGGGGACGGTCAGTGTCGAACGAGATATCGGTTCAACGGTTGTCGGGCTGGTAGGACTGTGCGAGCCGGATTCTCTCTGACTGTTGGTCTTGCGCTTCTTACGGATGATTCTTACCCTCACGAGACCGCTCACATCGTCCTCATCAGATTCTGATTCAACATCTGTCGTCTTTTTGAAAGCGGCCCTGGTTTTTGTTGATGGCCTCCCCAATATGGAGACGGGCGCATCGTATTTTGCCCGCTTCTCGACTTTCATATCTTCAATCTCTGTCACTCTCCTGTAGAACATGTTGCAATTTTCGCTAATGCGAGTCAGAATCAAATCCATTCAAGTTGTGGCCGGTCGGGGGGTGGGGGAGGTATATACCATTTGATCTCCACACTCTCTTCTCCCGATGCAAGGTGGCGGCACCAGGGACAGCTACTCTTCGGCACTTCACCAGGTGTGTCGAGCGAGTCCTTGCAAAGTATACTCATATTGACCTTCTGATATGGGCGGAAGGCATGGTCCCATGGCATCGTTTGATTCAGTTCCTTGCGGCTTGCATGATCCTCAAGTGCGTATTGGTGCCTGGCAACACGACGTCCTCCTTTCATGCCCTCGAATCGCCTTTGTATGATGTAGCCTAGATCTTCCCAGGATGTTATGGTGCGGAGATGAATAGGGAGTGTTCGTCCAATGGCATCTTGGAGGGTAAAGTATTCTTCACTTATTGGGCTCTCTAGCCTGGTGAGGAGAGAATGAAGGCCACGTAACTCCGTATATATGGTAGAACCGATAGAAAGAATGAACAGAGAGGTCTGTTTTAGCTCGCCGCCGATATAGTAGGCCATCTGAAAGCCTAGGATGAACAAGGCCGCAAGGTCTGCCATCAAACGCCGCATATTCTGGCCTTGTTCCGTAATCGAGTTCACGGTCCGAGTTTCCATCAAACCGAGTCGCCGCTGCATATCCGTTCGACTGGATTTGATAAGGTGTCTAGACAATATAGTGAGCTGATCTGCCTTCGTTCTATCCAGAATTGCGCACCACGGGAACTTTTTACATTGTTGTAGCATGAAGTAAGATCCTAAGCGACTGCGTGTAGCACTCAATTTCGGTACGGAACTTGTGAATGTCCTTTTCGTCAAGTTTCCATTGAACCTTTCTCATGGCATCTTTGAAAAGATTTCCCGACCCCGCCCCAGAAAGACAACCAGCGTACTTTGCGATTTTCTGCTGGAAATCTGTCAGTGCCCGAGTGATCTGTCTCGCTGTGTCGGATGCGGCTGTTTTCAGTCCACACAGCTGTCCGGAAAGATCAGGATCCGAGTAAATTCCATCGATTTCCTTGAGAGCCCTCTCTAGCACATCCAAACTCTCGATGAGTTCTCGATAGTCCCGGGCAGAGCCTCTGTTGTCGTTGAGTGCAGTGACGATATCTTTTATGATGAGGCCAATGGAGATGAAGTCCCCCACCGCCCCGAAAGTCACCTCCATTTCGCAACTTGGCCTCTACGTGGGTTAGGTACTGTGGATTGGAGTGGACAATGCGAGGGTGGCAACCCGGGGTTGAGAGACTGGCAGCGATGGTACACAGTCGGGCAGCAATAAAATTGCCGCATTGCCTTTGTGACGTAAAGTCAGGCCGATTCAGCCTGACTGTAGCTGAGCCACATGTGCCGGATGGCTGTGCAAAGGCTTGGGGTATCACAACATTCGTCGACGTGTCCGCATGCTAGCCTTAGAAAATCATCCGCCGCCTGACTCTTACTCCATTACGGTTGCACTTTCATGCGGTTTCCCCCGGATGTGCAGGACTTGGTTGACTGCGAGGCGTTCTGGCTGTAATTGCGTCGGCATCACTTCGCCATGTTTCACAGGTAATCATGTCAGGTCTCCGGAATTCTGATGGCCATTTCTATAACCAGTATCTAAATTTGCTCACACTTTTTGGTAGATTTTAGATTGTTATAGCATATGGATCAAAAGACAATAACGTGGTAGGATGTCTTCCGTACTGTCAGGAGCGAAATCGGCTTCCTCTTCACCACGGCTAGACAATGATGATCGATTTTGCTTAATTTGTGAACCCGTAGCTCCCGACTGTTTTAAGCGGTAGTACGTATCTCTGAGGACATAGAGCCGTGTCTTGTGAAAAGTCATTATTTCAGTAGGGCAGACGAAAACTGGCGGGAAGAAGCACACAGACGATCATGGCAGAGCCGAAACGGAAAAGTTGTACAATGGACCGGTTGGACTGTGATGGACATGTGGCTGTGTTGGAGGCGGCGGTAAAAAATAACACCCGAGCCTTATGGCCTCGTTACCATTTTCCCTTCATGGTAAAAATCTAGTAGAGAGGGGTTTCATTGCTTGGCTCTGTGTCGTATCCCTTCTGCTCTTCCAACGTCTGCAGTTTTTTCCCGCAGATACAGCAGGACCGCGGCAGACACCGACTAGGCATTCAGCTCGAGGCTCAGGGAGACCTTCTGTCCAGCTTGTGCAAGCTTCTTTTCGATCTCGGCCAGTTCCGGCTAGAGACGATCCACTTGACACGGTGAGATGCAGACGACTTGTGGACGATACAGTACAATCTAGGAGTTTCGGCAAAGCAGTCACGCACTCATCGAGAGCAACGATGATCAGGGAGGGTCTTGCCCGCATGATCGTATTTTTCCGTACGTGCGAGAGGAGCGAAGGCTGCTGCCCAACAAGCAGGTATACAGGCCACAAGGATTAGAAATATTAATTGCACAATTAGTCCCGCAGGTACTCCATCAGCTAATGCACAGCCAAGTGGTACATCCACCAATTAACATTTCTAATCCTTGTGGCCTGTACCAGGCCCCGCAGGACGGCGGTGGCGCTGTTGATGCAGAAAGGACGCCAAGGCAGAAGCTGTTGATGCAACGTTATTAGCAGAGGCTGTATTAAGGCGGAAAGGACGTCAAGGCAGAACACAGTTTGAGCCCAAGGCGAAGTTAAGGCTGCGGCAGGGTGCGCTCACCGGTGTGGACGTCGCTAAGAAAACGCGCATTTATGTCTGTCTATATGAGGCGGAGCGCATGTATTGCAGATAGGCCGGACATCTTTACTGGTCATTCCTGGCACAGCCTCGGCGCCCGTCAGACCACTCATGCATCTCAGGCTGTTTATTTATGGCTGTGCTTTTCTTCGGCGGAATCTTATACACTATACAAGGGTGCCTTGTCGCTGATAAAATTTATAGATAAAGATCTCGACTTCATCTGACTTGTTCATAGCACGCTGCGGCTCGACTCTTACCACGCTGCCTAGCAGCATATATTTTATTCCTATTCCATCACTATCATGGATGTTGCTGGTCTTGCAATCGGCATCGCGGGCCTCTACACGGCATGTCGGGACTGTTACGATTTCTTCACCACTGTGAAAACAGCAGAGACAGAATCTTCAGCTCACCTGCGCGAATTAGAGATTCAGCAGTCAATTCTCAAAGCCTGGGGCTTCCATTGGCGGATTCAAAATGAAGACGACACCGAGCCGGAACCCTCCGATCGCACCAGACGAAAGCGGACCAAACTTCACGAGTACCTCTTGAGCAACCGATTCAAGGCCGAAGGCGTCTTCAACACTCTTTCTGCTCTTGCCGATACACTGTCCAACCAGGAGAAACTCGTCAAGCGCTATGGTATCCAGCTTAAACCAGCCCAGGCCATCCAGGATGGATCGCAGTTGACCAATAACGTCCAGTTGACCATCTCGAACACTACAATCGAGGATGTCAAACCGGTGATCGGTGAAGTCAGGAACCGTCTCTCGGTGCTTAATAAGCTTAAATGGGCTTTGAAAGACAGGGACAACTTCAAGAAACTTATCGCCGACTTGAGATCTCACAGCGAATCGCTCTATCGCCTTTGCCCCGAGAACGCATTCGAGTCAATGAACATCTATCTCACTATGGAATGTTTGGCCAAGCAGGAATCGCCAGCAGGTCTGAAGTGGACATCAAGACTCGCAACCCAGCATGCAGAAGTCGATGTCGAGTCTTCGGTGCGGGAAGGCTACGAATTGCTGGCTTCGACGGCCACTTTGAAAGCATCGGTGAATCAAAACAGAGGCAAGGAGCAAGCAGATGACACCACTCTCACCAGCGTTGACGAAATGCAACCTGAGATGTGGTATTTAGGAAAGGGCCTTGCCCTATTCGAAGAGCAAGTCGTTTACGTGGAAATGCGAGACTACCGCGGACCGCCGCTAGAGCTCACTCCAGAGCAGAAACAGCGAGTGAAGCGTCGTCGAAACAAGGAGCGCTTGTTGGCATCATTGCCAATGGAAGGCAGGGTGATGCACCGTTACAGCAAGGCTGGCATGAATCAGATCTACGAATACAGCGACAGCGACGAGGCCGAAGATGTCGAACCGATCGAGATTGTCAGACCAGCCGATCCCAAGCTTCGCGCTCTCATCAGGAACTTCTTCAATACCTTTCAAGGCGCCAACATGATGAAAAGCGTCTATGGTTTGGATATCGCCGGTACGATCGACCACACAGAAGGCGAGCACAAAGGTCATTGCAGCATTCTCTACAGGCTCCCCGGCACGATTGGCGTTCAGAGCCGTGACCGGCCTGCGGAAAACCTGAAGCTTCGCGCACCTGTGACGCTGCATTCACTCCTTGGAACCAAGCAGCAACAAGGCATCCGATCTATGCTCGGTGCGCGTTTCGAGCTGGCTAGAAAGCTTGTGCGTGCCGTTTGCCTACTTCACTCCAGTGGCTGGCTACACAAGAACATACGCGCAGAGTCAGTGATGTTCTTCCCCGAACATGTGAATGCACTCCAGGAGGATCGATACGAGGTCAAAATCGAGATCGATGTCTCAAAGCCTATTCTGATGGGTTACATCTTCTCACGGCCGGACGATATCATCATCCGAATGAATCCGCCATCTGCGCCACAAACAGAACAACACAGGAAATCTTACTATACCTCTAGACATGAATCCAATCATAGCATGATGTGGGATGACCCGATGGACGAGGAATCAACGTCGAAACGCAGAAAGGGAACTCCTCGAGCTAACAGCATATTCGGTCGCAATATGCTAGAGAAGGTAGCCGTGACCGAGGAAACGAAAGACACAAACATCAGTGGCTTCACGCTTGACTATTATCAGCATCCTGCGAAGCACGCAGATCCAAAGCGCCGGTATCGCCACGCATATGATGTATACTCTCTCGGTATTCTTCTACTTGAAGTCGGGCTATGGGAGAAATTGGACTATCCCGATCATGATGAAGAGGATCATTATGAGCGAAGACGAGGGATTTGTCGAGAGTATCTTGATCAGCTAAGATGGGCATGTGGAGACACTTATGCGGACGTTGTGCTCAGTTGTCTCATGATTGATAGCAGTGATGACGAAGTGGCGAAGGCGAGCGAGAGGGAGCTTTGTGCTAGAATTGTAGCCGACCTGGAGGGCTGTCAAGCTTAGTTCTAGTCTTCCAAAGTGTACGTTGCGGTACCTAGAGTGTGTCTGCATAACGTAGATCTCATACAAGCGTCTTGAACAGACTATTTGTTCCGAAACAAAAGGTACAGGTAAGTGCCGTGTAACTTATTTAGAGTGATTATCGATGTATCATTATGCGTCGGCCATTTCTTGATGATAACTATATATCGAGAGAAATGCCTTGAGGAACGAAGAGACGAAAGGCTCTACTAGGCCTGAACTTCCACGCCCAAATTTTGTCTGCCAAATCATATTCCTTGAGGAATGATGCCTTGAGGAACGAAAGGAGCTTAGTGCCCTACAAGAAACAGAAAAACGGCTTTCTACTGGGTAGCTCCTGCGCTGAGCAGCCTCTCGATAACCTCCAGGTGGCCGCCTTCCAATCCTGCTTGGAGCGCGGTCTTTCCATCGAATTTTACTGCTTCTGTATTGACGTTAGCTCCCGCGCTAAATAGCCTCTCAGCGACCTTATTAATGTATGGGATTCATGGCCTCTGGCCCTAAACCGGTACGTTCTAGCTATATACCTGGGTATCGTCTGTACTCAGTATGGGAAGAGCTGCTAGGATAGAGAAAGCCGAATCTGTATCTGAATATATGCTCTTATCCAAGCTTTTAGGTGTTATCGATCGTCCCTAAGAGCCGTTAAGTAGTCAACCGCAGGTCTCTGCAGTGATAATGTCGTGCCGTCGTAGCCGCGCCACAGGATCAACCCTCCACAGCACGTAGACAGTTTGTCGTTTTTCCTGTCTCACAATTCCGAATTCGATAACTGTTGCATCTAGTGGGTGGAAATAATCATATGTGTGAGAAGCTCTTGTTATTCTTCATATCTAACAGAGGGTCTGTGGATAAGTCTTATAGATGAAGATGACCTCGGATGACTTTGGCGGTGGAAAACGACGATAGCGAAGACCCAACTCAACAACCTCTCGTCGATGGATGCACAGAAAACCATCGCACAGGCGTCTTACAATGAATGTCCTCTTTGTGCGGCTTCCATTCCTGTTTATCCCTGTCACGTCCCTGCTAGAGAGCAGCTAGCCGAAAAGTCTCCGACCCCCTGCAGCCGGGACGCTCCGGATGCTTCGGAATCTTTGGCTTCAGCTAGCCATTGACCTAATCAAATGAAAAGCTAGACTGGTGACATGGAAGGTGGAGACGGACGCTTATGATGAAGGAAGAAATGCTTATATAGGTGACAATAACTCCTTACCCAAGAAGTCAATCTATTTTTTCTTTACACGTCCTTGAAGGCGCGCAAAGGGTTCGTTCTCAATCTATCAACCGATCTACCTGCCTCATCAGACGGCCGCTCAATCATGGCGACCCAACCACGCCTCAATATCCCGGTCGTCTACCGCGTACTGTTTCTCTACGTCGAGCCTTTCCTAGCCTTCGCTGGGTCCATAATGCTGCACTTCACCCCTTCGGAATTTCTCATCAAAATTGCTCCGAATGCGAGATACACGCCGAACAATCAAGTTGTTTACGACCAGGTTGCCGCATTCTATATCCTCACCGTATTCAATCTGGCCGTCATATTGCGCATCACAAACGACATTCGGATGTGGAGAGCTATCCTGATGGGCGTCTTACTCTGCGATACATTGCATCTGAGTGCGAACTGGAGAGCTCTTGGCAGTGCAATTTTCTGGGATCCTCGAGCCTGGAGTGGCGACGACTGGGGAAACCTTGGCTTTCTTTGGGGACACGCACTGGCACGTATTGCTTTCCTAGCAGGAGTTGGTATTGAACTCGACGGGGCTGCCAAGAAGAGTGATTAGGTGTTGATAGCCGGTCATTTTCAGAACTCGGTGTTCTGAGCCGATACCGCTAGGAAATCATATACCTCTACTTTCTGTATTATTCCCAACTTTGGGAGGCCAGGGAATCACGTCTGGCTTTAGAGATGCGATCTCGTTGGCTTGCAGACTTGTTATTGCCAGTCGACAATCTCCTTGGACCAGCAAAACTACCGATTACCGATCACTATTCGAGGAGGGGTGGTATACGGAGCGAAAACAGCAGCTGGACAAGTCTCTTAGTTCAACCATTGAGAATGGCACGTATTTGACCAAGTCGAACCCCATCAGAATTGTGATGCGCAACTAGTATCTCTAGGGACTTCAGCCAATACCCACCTGGAAGCGCTGGTTAGAGCAGAGGAATCGTAGAGAAGGGATGGTGAAGTATGAGTGGCAAACTGGGAAGGGAATGGCATTTCTGCCGGAGCTAGGAGGAGGCGGGAACTTTCTTCAAGCCTACTGCATGAGACTCAACTCTGCTAGTACGAGCAACAAGGTGGAATTCACGGATGATGTGATCCTTTTGAGCGAGAAGAAAGGCCTCCTTCAAGTCGTCACGTTTTTGGACTCGCCGAAGACCATCCAGGCAACTCGAGACGTCCTTTCTCTCCTTGACGAAGCATCTAGAGGGGCAGTGAAGGGAGAAGAAGCAACCTTTTTTTGTCAGCGACACAAAACCACCACAGGGAGCGGATACGATGGGACAAGACAGTGTGTACCGCTTGGCCACTGCGGAGGAATTCGCGTCGGATGCAGCCAACAGCAATGGACGACCAAGAACCGCTATTCTACGATGCCAAGAGAATCAATAGAGATTCTGGGTACAAGCCTTTTGTGATTCTAAGACCAGATCGATTTGTCTTCGCTGCGTGTGGAGATCGCGAGGATCTCTTGAAAGCAGCTCAATGTCTTGCACTTCTTAGGTATAAGTGGTAAGAACTAAGGGGTAACTAGCCGCGGGGGACATGACACATATGCAACGGGAGGGACGAGAAACTGGTATGTCCGGAGCAGCCCGATGGAGCTGAATCGATTAAGCGGGGACGATGGAAGTCTTCAGCAAGATACTTTACACAGTTACTCCATGTATTGGGGGTCGAGGTGCCATTTTCAGGCTCCCAGCTGCCATTCATGCCGCAGCTCTTGGCGACGCACATACATCAACAGGTTCGTCGGTATTGGGGTCTCTTCTATAAAAAAGTCACCATGCAGCAATGCCAGGTATGGTCCAATTGATTCTCAAAGATTGATGTTCATTGCTTTCCATTCAACTCTATTTAGAACAACCCAAACGGTGACAAATCTTTTTTCTCTTTTTACTCCCCTTCACCAGGGAGATCACAAAACGGCTCAATTTTAACCCACAATTCGTGATACAGGTGAGCCCTGAGCCACCGTGCATGTTCTGGATACTCCCTTAAAAAATCGATATTCTCCTTAAGAATAGGGGTACCAAGGTAGAGCTTTGACTTGATGATTTCTCGATAGTCCATTGGATCATATTTCCCATCTGGTCCTTTAGGCACCCGGTGGAACTTCCTTCCCTCCCACGTAAATGGCCATTTCTTGAGTTCTTTCTGTATCCTAGAAGGGAGGTCCTCGTAGATACGGACGCTGAAAATTTTGTTAGCTTGAGCCAGGGGTAAGATCAGATATAATTAAAAGGATTCGACCTACAGAGACTCTCCTGTCCATTTATACCATAATACTGGTACCTTCTCCTCTTGAATAGTGTGATCGTGACCATGATGATCAATCAGAAAAAAGCATTTACGGTTCTTCAAGCCGAAGTAGTCACGATATGGATACCAACGTTCTTGGGCAAAATCGTAATCCCGTTTCCAATGATGTTGGCAGACTGTGTTCTGAATGAACGCGAGTTTTTCTGGACGATCACTGCCAGGTACAAGGTGCGTAATTGTCTGTAGCAAAATCCGCACCTTGCCTGTTGAATTCGCCACGGGTGGCTGCGCTGCTGAGCTCTCCATGATTAGATTATGATAGCGATAGCGAGTGCTTGTGTTGTTGGCAATGAGTAGACGTAAGGCAGGGATTGACAAGCGAGCTGTGTGGTATGGGAAGAAGGAAAGGAACAGGCGGCAGTTTGGATTGCGGCTAGATATACTCATTGGAAAAACATCTTTAACCTTTTTGTTGCTATGTGACTCATGGAGTCATTAAGCGTACCTTAATGGATTTTGAACCCTCCTAGCTGGTTCGGGCTGTTCCGACATGGAAAACGTGGGATGACCTACAGTGAGAGACAGAAAGTTTGCACCCAATACTTGCACCGTAAACAACTTGACAAAGTATAAAAAATAGTGTCTCCTAATATTTTATAATAACGTATTATTTTTAATAAACTAGAAATAAAAATAAAAGCTTTACCTCAACCCTTACCTTAGATATTGTATCAATAACTAACCGTAATCTAATGTACATATTGCATCAGTGGCTTGGATCGGATGCAAAATTTATGATTCTGATTGTATGACCAAGTACGGCCGCACGAGCGCTCTCTCAATAGAAACCCAAGCAACTACAAACACGTAGCTCGATGGGAGTCAGTAGCTCCCTAAGTATGCTAGTCCCAAGCTGCTTTTTTTCTATCTGCCGGAATCCTGTCTAACTTTTCCGCCCCATTCTAACCTTCATAAACCAAGAGCCACAAATCACACGACCAAATCTAACCCCCCAAGGTCCCCACCGCCCATATTGACCCAAGTTACCCGAGTCCGGCTTCTAGCCAGTTCCATAGCTGGCTGTTCACTACACCACCTCCTTGCAACGCAGTAGCTTCTCGAACTGGGGCTTGAAAGTCTTTCTGCTAATATCGTCGATAAATTCCTCCCCCCTTGACGACCCGCCTCTATCCGAGGGGTATATGATAAGAAAGGGGGTGTTCGGTACTTCACAGGAGTGTGATCAGGACGTCGGCTGTGATCAATGTCGAACACGGGTCTGGTGATAGGTCAAATGGTAGTTAACGTAGCCGAATTGGATTGATAGGTAGGGAGCTTTTGTCCTAGCGACAGGTACTACCTAAGTTTAAAACATTATAGTGATTGATGGTGATTACTATATCGGTGACCGTCGGATCAACAATCATGTGTGCTCCGGAGGCTGGAAAAAGGTGGTCCCGTGCTGGTCTCGTGCGGCCCTTTCCCACATCATCCGAACTACCCCTTGTCGCTCTAGACAAGTAATACATAGTGAATCATAAATTAATTTGGGGTCCAATTATCAACATGCTAAAGTGAGGCCGAGGCGTACGTCACTTTGGTGGTTGAGATATGAGATGAACGTCCCAGTCCTCTCTACTGGTAACCGCGGAGACGCTCTTTTGAGATTTCTAGCCCCAACACCGATGCAGTGACCTGAAAATCGGCCATTTCCCGTGCCTGAAACTCGCTCACTCTCTGCTCACGGAACGAAGGGCTAGAGAAAGGCCAAAATAGTTTCCCATAGCCGCCGATCCTTGTTTGTCCTACCCTGGTCCTAGTAAGCTTATAAGCTTATTCGACAAGACGAAGAGATCGTATACGACCCAGTAATTAGGCTACGTCTAAGCTCAGGTGCAGGTTCTAGTCACCTTCCCTTTTGAGAAACAGTTGGGGCGTGATCGCCGTACCAAGCCATTTCGCGACGCCAGGGCTCGATGTCGACATCCCCTCGCCACACCTTATTGCTGCAAACGTCCTTTGCCAAGAATCATTCTGCAGGCTTCAGTGATTGAATCCAAGAAATAGGAAGGCCGAGTGTCAGCGCATGGGCATCCTAGTCGTCCTTGGATGGACAGAGAAAGGCTTGACGTTACATTCTCGGTTACATCGCCCGGCATGCGCATGCCACCGCATCCGAACATCCTTGCGAAGATGCAGATGTTGTAGACACCTGCCCTTATGGTTGGCTTGGCTTTGTCTAGAACTTGATCATGCTGACCTGTCTCACTGTACGTCGCATTAGACGTCAATTAGGAATACGATGGCGCGAGGTAAGCCCGTAGCCGGCCAGATTATTTAAACGTCGCGGGAGGTCTGTTCATTATTAGTTTACATCCATTGCAATTCTATCGTTTCAGTCGCCAAAATGGCAGCTGACACCAAGGATACGCAAATTGCCGACCTTGGGCACAAGGTCGGCAGCAGCGAAGAGGAACATCACACCGACAACGAAAGCACCATCGAGGCTCAGAGGTATTCTTACACCGAAGACCGAAAGATTGGAATTACTGGCTCCGTTTTCTTGATTTTGAACAAGATGATAGGGACTGGAAGTAAGTTAGATTGATATTTGATGCTTTCACGACTAACAATCGGTCAGTCTTCTCAACCCCGTCCAGCATTTTTGCAGCCACTGGTTCGGTTGGAATCAGCCTCATGCTGTGGGTTATTGGAGGCCTACTCACCTTCTTTGGTCTCAGTGTGTTTATGGAATTTGGCCTTGCCATTCCTCTTTCTGGTGGCGAAAAAAATTATCTCGAACGCGTGTATCGTCGACCCCGCTACTTGGCAACATGTGTTCTCGCTTCACAGATGATCCTTCTCGGCTTTTCTTCCGGAAACTCGCTTGCCTTTGGCAGATACGTGCTCTTCGCATCTGGGCGAGAGATCCCGGATGGCTGGGAGGCCCGCGGCATCGCCATCGCCTGCGTGACATTCTCCGTTGTCCTGCACAGCACCTTGCCGAAATGGGGAATCAGACTGTTCAATGTGCTTGGAACCTTCAAGGTCGTCATCCTCTTGTTCATCGTGTTTTCCGGGTTTGCGGCGCTTGCAGGTCACCGACGCGTGCCGAACCCACACAACTTTGACGGCGCCTTCAAAATCGAGAATGGAGATGGCTACGGAGGCGGAGGAGCGTATGCATACTCAAACGCCCTTCTGAACATCATTTACAGCTACAAGGGTTGGGAGAATGCCAACTATGTTCTGAGTGAGCTCAAGCATCCCCGGAAGACCCTGTCAATTGCAGCGCCCCTTGCCATCGGCGGCGTCACGATCCTCTACGTGCTCGCCAATGTCGCCTATTTTGCCGCAATTCCCAAGTCAGACCTTGCCAAGTCCGAGGTCATTGTGGCTGGTCTATTCTTTCGCAACATCTTCGGGCAAAGTGCCGCAGCTCGCAGCTTGCCGGCGTTTGTTGCGCTGAGCAATCTAGGAAACGTCCTCGCAGTCTCTTTTGCACACGCCCGCTTGAACCAAGAGTTGGCCAAGGAAGGGATGCTGCCATTCAGTCGTTTCTGGGCATCGAACCGACCTTTTAATGCTCCAGCGGCATCGGTATGTTTGATACCTATCGTTTTTTACTTCCACTAACTTGATTCAGCTCTTTATTCATTGGATCGTGACGGTAATTGTCCTTGTTGCGCCACCTGCAGGCCCTGCGTACAATTTCATTGTTAACTTGTATGTCAATCTGATGTCCTTGTGCTTAACAACGACTAACAATTGTCCTCTAGATATACGTACCCTGGTGCCTGGATCAACGGCTTCGTCACCGCTGGCCTTATCTATCTCCAATGGACGAAATCGGAGAATTGGAGTTCACCATGGCACACTTACCTTCCCATCTCTATCCTCTACCTTCTATCTAACATCTTCCTCGCGTTTGTTCCCTTTATCCCGCCCGAGGGTAGTTGGAATGCTGACGGCTATCCTTACTACGTATTCCCTGTTGTAGGAGTGGGTGTTTTGATACTGGGAGGAGTTTACTGGGCCCTTTGGACCAAGGTTCTTCCTCAAATTGGTGGATACAAGGTTGTGGCTGAGCGGACTTTTGATGAGAATGGCACGGAAGTCGTAAGATATCGCAAGGTTTCTGTCAAGGCGGATTAGGTGGCTAGGTGGATCAATCCCGATCGAAACAATTTGCATCTTACATGAGATATTGACATCGCGTACATGTATTTGCAGTTATATCTCTCATGATCTACTGAGGCTACACAATGTCATCACCGGGATCTAGGAGGCAGCCGAAACTCCGCGTTACGTACATTTGGTTAGACTTGCGGCAGCTCAGCAATTTTGTCGATGCTTTGAAGGAAGCGATTTAGGCACTTTAGTGGAGTTATACCAGGATCATTTGCCTGCGGGGCTCATTTTCGCCTTGAAGACCAAGAATGTGGATGACAAAGTCCAGATGAGGCCGCCTAGAACTTGCATTCATACACTTTCAGTTTGTCTCCACTGTGCCATATTCTCTTGGCCGTCAGTGGCGATGCTCTTGTGGCGCAGGCGTGCAGGGGACAAGGGGGTGGGGGGGTAGCTGCTTACATCCCAAGACCCTTCTCTTCGTCTGCGACATTTCCCATCCTCACATAACAGCAAGCCTCCGTGGGCGAGAGAGAGCAATCGCATCCTTCTCAATTCTCATGCTTCCTTAACCCTCTAACAGAGTCATATCAGATTCTCACTATGGCGGCCATTCCTTCAACCACTAGTCCTAAGGGTGGGACGATGACTGTCGAGGTATTAGTACTCCACTCACCAGGATTTCCCGTGGAACTATTCACTGATGAATATTTATTAGTATGAGTCTCTTGATCTAGAGAAGGGAGAAATCCGTTTGGCAACTATATTCCCTGGCTCATTTGACGATCCGATCCGGCTCTCATTCCGCCATGTCCATCTTCCAATCCCGGAACAGGATTTGATCCCACTGGCTGTAGGTTCGGAGAGCTTAGAGTCGTTGAGGGAGACCCTTCCAGCCGGGTGGAAAGCCGAACACACACTCGAGGGAAGACTCTTGTTCTGGAAGGAGGATGGTTCCGAGTCATCATGGACTCATCCGGACCCCACGTACTCCTTCGACCCAGCTCGCTTCTCCGCACAAGTACCGCTCGATCCCAGCCTACCTCCGTACGAGGCACTGTCTTATTGCTGGGGAGAGCGCTACCCTGAAGAAACCATCTTCATCGAGTCCAAGACGCCGCCGTTTGTCATGCCCGCGCAACCTAACCTCGTCAAGGCCCTGCGTCATCTCCGACATGCTGATGCGCCACGCACGCTGTGGATTGATGCCGTCTGCATCAACCAGTACGACAAGATCGAGCGCGGTCGCCACGTAGCTCGCATGGGTAGCATCTACGCCCTCGCGCCGCGGGTCGTTACCTGGCTTGGCCCTGCCACTGCCACCAGCGACGAGGCGCTCGATGAGCTGGAGAATATGGGGAGGCAAATCGAGATCACCGCCAGCGGCAGCTACCGGGCCCCTGGAGCAGACCATCCGGAGTGGGCTCAGCGTTACCCCTGTACCCCTGAGAAGTGGAACGCCCTGAGCCGTCTCTTCTGGGACCACGCCTGGTGGCAGCGGCTATGGATCTGGCAAGAGATCATGCTGGCACGCTCCAGCATCTCAGACGGCGCCATTTTGCAGTGTGGCAACAAGACCATCTCGTGGTATCTGGCACGCCGTGCTCTCCGGCTGCTGCGCGAGACTGTGCTTCCCGACGCCAGCATGAGGAAGGGACTCTATCCGTCACCCGTCATGTGGTTGCCACACACCTTTGCAGGAACGAGCATTCGGGACTGGGACAGCCTGTCTTATATAATGAGGTCGACAAGTCAGTCAGGATGCACGGATCCGCGAGATCGTGTGTACGCCCTGCTAGGTCTCATTCCCAAGAGGCTTGCGGACAAGATTGTCCCCGACTACGACGCGAGCGCGGCCCAGGTCTTCCAGGATGCTTTCCTGTCTTTTCTTGAGGTTAACAGCAACCTCATACTGCTCAAGTTCTGCGATGGCAAGCTGAGAACCGAGACTTGGGACGGGCCAAGTTGGGTTCCGGACTGGCAGGTTGGCGTTACCGTCACGCCGCAACAAGCGCGAGCCGCTGGAGGGACCAAGGCTAAGGCGAGCCTTGTCGCTCCTGGAGTTCTCGGGGTCGTCGGTGTTGCAGCTGCCCGTGTGGGTGCCATCAGCGAATCTCACTGGCTCAAGGACACGGCACAATCGTCGACTTTGGAAATCTGGGACATCATCAAGGCCTGGCATCATCTTTGGGAAACTAGCCCGGGAACATCCACCGGGATAGAGTTCTTCACCGCGCTTCGCTACGGCTGGGTCTGGGAACGCAGAAACATCGGTGTCTCGGCTCGCGAGTACGACCAGGAGTATCGGGCCCTAGTAAATCGCGAAGCTCAAGTCAATGACGATGACTTGGTTCGTGGGCATCTCCTGCAAGATATGGTCCGGGATGAGAAGAACTGCACCTTTTTCTGCACCCAGGACGGCCTGGCGGGAATGGGACCAGTTGGAATGGCCTCCGGTAAGTCACACAAGCATCGAGTCTTGCCACGCACACTAATAGGACTTAAGACGATATCGTAGCAGTTCTGCTCGGCTGCCCTCATCCGATTATCCTGCGAGCAATCATAGACTCCGACAAGAGCACCGACGCAGCCTATCAAGTCATCGGGCCTGCCTATGTCAGTGGTTTGATGGAGTCTCAAGCCATCCTAGGCCCACTGCCATCTCCATGGAAAATCAGGGTTGATCATTCCACGGGGAAAGAAAGGTGGATCTGGTACAACCCCGAGACCAAGGAACTCTCGCCTGATTTGCGATATGGAGATCTGCCAGCTGGCTGGACACAGGCCGGAGACGGAACCTTGAAAGATGAGCATGGCGATGTGCAGACTGAGGACCCCAGGGAATCCATTGATGCCTTGAAGGCGAGAGGGGTCCAGCTCGAGAAATTCCGGCTGTATTGAGCGTGCGACTCTGGCCGATGGGCTTGGTTTATGTCGGCACTGGAAAATTCAAATACATCTCTTCAGGTGGCTTGGGAATATCAAACCTAAAATCCGTTGAAGCATCAGATTGAGATGGCGTCACGCGTATGTATCGTGCTTTGTGGCAATCGAAGTGACAAGGATACATTCGCTCAACTTTCAATAAGTGCGCCGTCTCTAATTCTCGCCCGGTAGTCTTGAGAACCGGGATGAAAATGAAGGCTTGTGAAGCATCCAACTCTGCATGGAGACATATTCTGAAAATTATCTTAGAAGGCCTATCAGTGATATATCTTCAGTACTTGTTTATTGTTGAGCCAATGGCTCTGATACGAATCGACATGGTTACGAGCAAGTGGGAATATGCATCACTGCATCACAACTGCCTTCGTCCCTGAGCCATCCCTGAGCTCTCTTAATTAGGAATTAGACGCTAAATAAATCGAGAAAATTTTACCGCAAGTTTGGGAACGTAGAATAGGTAAACTCGGAGACGAACACAAGAGCAAACTAGCATCTATTTCCTGTTTCTAGAGCCGAGCTTCCTACCGCTCGAAAGCCTTCACCTCGCGCACCTCTCTACACCTAATCGTACTACATGTATCCCAGCTCTGTGAATCGCCTATGGGCCCACGCGTCGTACTCTTTATCCATTCCCTCTGTATCAGAGTTCCACTCCAGTGCCTGTTGCATCGATATACTGTCCCCAGCGAATTCGGGGCCCATGCAGAGCGGGCACAGCATCCTTATCGAGCAGTCCCCGAGCCGTGATGCAGAAGTCCACTCTTCAGCAACCTCTATGCCGTCTCTGCAACCAGCGCAGAAAATTCGCCCCCCATCGCAGAGGTAACACTGGCCCCGCTCCGGCCAAGCAATGACGTCCGGGACGGTGAGTTTTTCGAAGAGTATCTTCTTGTCTAGAGCCACTGTCGGGATTCTGAATACGGTGGGAGTTGCCTCATCACCGGGGAGGATGAAGGGGCGCTCGCCTCCATCTTGTAGGCAGCCGTGTGGCCTCGCGAGGTAGTATTCGTATTCATAGACAAGGTTGACTTCTGTCAGCGAGCCACATCGTTTCCACTTTGGAATCGCGGCGCATATGAGCGTAGTAAATTCGGCCTTGCTCTGCTCGAGAGATTGGGGTTGAACAAGGAAGTATTGGTGGGAATTATTGTCCCGGGCTGCGAGGTCAAGGATGTTGCGCCATATCTCAAGCGGTAGCTGCTTGTTGCCTTGCTTGGAAGAGATGCTGGCTGGAACTACACCTTCAATGTAGTTGAGATAGAGGAGAGTAGCGTCCAGCATCAGGATGCTCTTTTTCTCCACCCGCGAGTCTAGGCTGGAGCAGGTGACTGGCCTCATGATTGTTCCGGGATAAGCGTTGTAGAATGGCTTTTAAGATGAGAGTTGGAGAATGGTCGGGAAGAAGAATGTCAGAGAATTATCAGTGAGATGAGCGCCGGGAAATGGTCGTTTTTAAGCTTCGGTCGAACCAATCAAGGTGCGGGAAGCATTTGTAAAGTAGAGTCCAGGCAGACTCGCCAAACTCTGCCGCTAGCTTACATAAACCTCCAACTTTATTATCACTCAACGGAATAAAGGAAACTTACTTTACAATCCGAATCCGTTGAAAGGTTTAATCCATTTACAACAATATGGTTTGGCACGCTCTTCGCGGAACTGACGCAGGAAAGTAGCCCATGACTTCTTCATCTTTGGACTGAGGTTTATCAGAAGGCCAATAAAGGGCGCATTTGAGCTCTCGCTCTTGGCTCAGCAATACTCCGGTTTTTACAGCATCAAGATAGCCTTGATAAACAGTTCCTCGGCCAGGGAAGTCGAGGCATGGCAGCTGCCTAAAGCAGGTAGTTGCCTAACAGCCTGGCTTGAACCCAAATTCTACTATAAAGTCAAGAACAAGAAAGTTCATGCCGAAATGATGCCGATGACGGCCTCTTTGGCCTCAGGCACCCTGTTGAAGGGTTTTCCGTATCTCATGATCGGCAAGAAGACGTGTGTTCCTTATGACCTCGCTTTGGAAGGAAGAAAAGCAAAATGACCGCAAACAGCCCAACAAGCTATCTACGTACAAGCAAGCCTCTTACACGCATCAGACTAACAGTAACGGATTGATCGGATCGGATCGGGATGACGGCATGACGAAGACAGGGACTGTCGTAAATGCTACCTCTGCTGTAGACCAAGCTTGTGGCCACCGAGAAACTAGACAAAGCCATCCCGCGTTTAATCGGTATCCTTCGAGGGGAAGTGATGGAGGAGGTACCTCACAGGCGCAGAGGAGGAATCGGTGATGGCAGCCCCGATCCCGCTCAGGTATGGGAAAGAGACGACTGTTTCAATATCATGGTTGAGTGCCCCAGGCTTCTAGCAAAGAAGCAGAATGGATTTCGGCGTTTCGTGGGTCCGTCGCCCACTGGTGATGACAAAACATTCCAATCAGCTGCTCAGAGCTCCGGCAAGCTGTTCATGGTGGGTGTCTCGCCACTACAGTTCAAGCACATGGATGTCACGCACAACTGGTACCGCAGAGGAGAGGATAATCTCCAGTTCCGTCTTGGACAGGTGTTGGAACTTCAACCAGACATGATCGAACTACAGACCTGGAACGACGCTGGAGAGAGTCACTACATGGGGAACATTTGGTCTGAGGCAACTGGTGGAGATGCGATCCCGGCATATACCGACGGATACAACCACACGGGCTATTGGGAGATTCTTCCATCGTTTATTCAGGCGTAGAGGCGAGGCGACACAACTACGAAGAACATGGTTCCGACCAACGGTGCGACGGCTCAAGGTGCCTTTTGGCATCACACACTATTGACAACTGCGGATTGTTCCTCGGACACCATGGGCAAGCCTGCAGGCATCGAAAATGCCGACAACGTGGTAACAGTACGAAATGCGGCTTTGGCTCGACTTAGATGGATGCTGACTTGTTATAGGGTATCATTCTTGTCGCAGAGGGGCAGACCGGCCTCACTGTTTCTGTTTCGAGCGGTTCAACCGTTTCGGGAACGAATAATCTCGTCGAGGGATTCAATAAATTTGCATTCGCGGATATGACAACCGGCACAGTGATGGTCGAGGTTCACAACGGAGATGCTGTGGTTGTTAAAGGATCGGGACCTATCCCGGTAAGTCTTCCAGTGCGTGGTTCCGGCAGATACTAACGAGTCTAGGTCGCCGACTCGAGCTCTGTGTGCAACTATAATTTCCAAGTAGTTGCCCTGTTGAATTGAGACACTTTAGATTGGTTCCTTGTGGTAACTTGAACCTGTTGAGCACTGAAGCCAAATGAGTTTAGCGAAAATATCCCGAATGGCGAGGTGGCCAGTGAGGTGGAGTTGTGGCAGTGGTGGCTTCATGGTGATCCTTGGCTAGCGCTTATATGTGCGGTGCCCAAAGAGTCGACCCCGGCAAAAACGGCAGAAGGATGGTAGAAATGCAGCCCGATAGACTGCTTTAATGTGTGTTTTTTGACGTTTGAGGATGGATATTTCGTACGTACATAGATGGTCATACATAGAACTGAATGGCCAAATCTATACCTTAAAAAGCCCCCCCGTTCCTATTGTGATCGGTATGAAGCCTAGCGTGGCTAAACCTGGCAACGGCAAGCTGGAGGATTCCAGTGGATCGATGCTCATTTGGGGGCCAGGCCTGGCACTACTTAACAGAAGACGGGCAAAGCGAAAACAGGAATCCGGCGCCTAACAAGCGGATCGAGACGCTGCCGATCGCGCCTCTCCTCGTCTAAATGGCCATCTAAATGACATCAGGACGCCGTCCTGGCTTCAACCTGTGCTCCAGCGTCGTGGACGACGTCTCGATTCGGAGCATTCTGGCCCTACAAAGGTGGAGCAGTCCGTTGGTGCAGGGAATGCGGCGCCCTTGCGGCTGGAACCATGGCGGAGCTGAGCCTGGGCGGGCGTTATGATTGATCCAATGCTTCTCTCTCTGTGGTCGAGACGCGCCATGGGAACATGGGTCCCTAGTCCTGCTACGCTGGCTGACGCTCCTGGACATTTCCGGGGTTGTATCTGGACTCGCTTCCAATTTCCCTAGGGCTGTCGCAGGTCAGCTCTGCAAAAGCGCCAGAATCACGTTCGTTTTGTCTCTCTGCGGATTGCAATTAGTTCCAGCCGTTTGCTGTCCTGTCGAATTGCCCACCAACAAGAAGCTGCTTACACCGTCCGTTGTTCAACACCAAAGGATCATGTCGGCCCCATCGCCGCCGTCGCAGTCGCAGACCCCAGCACAGCCCGCCTCGGCCGCCGTCGCTGTCTCCCCGCCGTCGTACACGTCGACGCCAGCAACGGCGCCTGCCAACGCCGCCAGCTCGGACGAGAAGATTGCCTACCAGCCACCGGTTGCCGCTGAAGGGCTGGAAGTCCAGTGGGTGGCCTCGCGGGGCTGAGGCGGAGCGCGACACGCTGCTAATCGCACTTGATAGGAGACCCATCGACGACGAGAACCTCCCCGAGGTCGTGCCCCAGCCCGACAACACGCTGCCGGAAAAGGCCGTGACACCGGTCGAACCGTCCCTCATGTCGAACCCCATGACGCCGCCGCCGGCGTTCAGCAGCCACCAGAATGGCAGTCAAGGGCAGACGCAGACGGAGCCTCCCAGGCCGCAGCTCAACGGCGCCTACAGCTCGGGACAGAACATGAACATGATGCCGCAATCAGGAACCGTCACGCCTCTCCATCTGCTCGGCGACCAGAGCGACGCCGTCGACTGTCCGTTCTGCGAGCGACGAGCCATGACCCGCATCAAGAAAGACCCGTCATGGCTGACCCAGTACGGCCACTCCACGCCCTCTCCTTGTCCTTTGCTAACCCCCGTGCAGCACCGTCGCCGTCGTCCTCTTCTTCGTCACCTTCTGCGGCGTCGTCGCGCCCTACATGCTGCACTGGTCGAGCCACGTCAGCCACTACTGCGAGAACTGCGGTCGCAAGGTCGCTACTCGGAATTTCGGTCAAAAGGGCATGAAGGCATTAGGTACACCCGAGCACTTGCGGCAGCAGTCGAGATTCCAGCCCGCGGAGCCCCAGCCTGTGAACGACCAGCAGGTTTAACGTCGCGCGAAAGATACGGGCGAGAATAGCGGCGGCGATGGTAATGGGGTAATGGGGTACATAGGAGGGATAGCGGGTGGCAAGATGTTCTTGCGTGTAAATTTATCTTCAATTTGAAGCACAGAGCGCTATAATTATTGGCATAGGCTTTCTAATCTAAGCCACTGCACAGCTACGCAACAGGTATAATGAGGCCAGCATCACTCCATGGCTACCCAGCAAGCGGGTAGTAAAAAGAGATTGAGACATGCTCAAAAGAGCGACACACCACGACTTGTTGTTCAGAGATAGAAACAATATTCTCTAACAATCTATGACATTGATATCATGTACAAATTCTATTGCCGCTGCAACTGCCACTAGGGCTCTAATCATTAATGAATGCTATCCTAAATCCTCCCAGTAACTCTAACCCAGCGGGTAGGTCATCGACGGGACAAGGCGCCATCGTCTGTACCGTTTGCCAACTCCCCGTGGCCATTGGCCTCGGTATGGCCTGCGGCAGCATCCGGGGCAGCCAGGAGAGGCTCTCTTTCGGCGCTCTTCCGCTGCTTGCTACCCGTTCGCATTCCGTACGAGCCAACCACCCAGATTCCGATGATGCCCATCATGGAGCTGAAGAGAATGGCGACAATGCCTTGGAAAGTGAAGCTATTGCATGTTAGCCGTCAAGTCGGGAACTGGGGATCGCAGATACATACCCTGCCGGTAGGGGGGGAGGGGGCGCGTTCTCGCCTGAAAGGTCAAGGAAGTCATCGGAGTTGCCCGCGGCGTTACCCTTGGAAGGCACGTCTCCAGACAAACAAACATCCAAGTGGTTCTTGGGGAGCTCGATTGTGGCCTGGAGCGTCAACGGATCCTCAATAAAGGTGGCAATAAGACCAGAGGTGACGTGCCACTCAATGTGGCAGTGGAACAGCCAGACGCCTACAGCCTGTTAGCATTGGACTCGAACTGTCGGCGAACGTCACATACCTGGGTTATCCGCCTTGAACCGGAGCACGACGAATCCGTTGGGGTACACGACAATGGTGTCTCGCCTCATGGGTACCTGGGGATACTCAACACCAGATCCGGGCCACGTTCCATCCTCCTCGGCGCTGCGGTAGATTGCCTGGAAGTCATGTCCGTGAAGATGGAAGGGATGACGCCCGGAGTCGAGGTTGTTGAGGACGATCTGCACAACGTCGCCCTTCTCCAGCACGAAGCTGTTGGTGTACGATCCGTAGATGTGCGGGTTGGCGGCCTTGTCGCCGCTGGTTAGGGCTGTGTAGAGGGCGGGGACCTTGGGTGCCTTGTAGGTGATGTTGTTGAAGAAGGCGTAGTTGGCACCGTCGTGGAGGTTGTCCATGACGACATCGAGCTCAATAATACGATTGGGCTCGGGTAGAATCTCCATCTCATCGTAGGGGACGAGGTTGACATCGTCAAAAGGTGCAAACTCGTCGACGAGGGCGGGCTTGGGCAAATCTTTTGCCTCGTCGTAAACCAGCCAGCCAGTCACGTTCCAGTCAAGATCATCGGGCATGACGTCGAAAAGGGTCTAGACAGTCGCGTTAGCATGAGTGTAATTGATGGCGCGTTAGTCAAGCTTACAGTATCCATGCTGGCAACGATGGGGAAGTTGGCCGCGTCGCTGCCCTTGGTGGTGAGGAGGAAGCTGCATCGCTGGGCCGCGGACAGGTAAATCATGTCGGCCGCGGTGGGCTTGGTGTAGACACCGTCGACCTCGACGATGGTCATGTTGTGGCCCTCGATCCAGAAGTACTGGCCGGCGAAGCCACCGATGTTGATCAAGCGGACGAGGTACGTCTTCTCCTGCTCAACGGGTACCTTGAGGTTCTGGGTGTCGTTCATGAGGGCGGCCTGGGGCACTGGCTCGGCGCCGGTGGGGTTTCCCTTGCGCAGGAACTGGGGGATCAGGACGCGCATCTCATCGTGGTACCAGTCTGAGAGGGTCATGACAATTTCCTCGTCATACTTTCCGGCAAAAGGAGACTCCGGGTCATGGATAACGAGAGGTCCTCGAAGACCGTCGGGGTACTGGCCCTCGGAGTGTGAGTGGTACCAGTAGGTGCCCGGCTGAGTGATCTGGGAGACAGTTAACATGAGGTCTCAAACACGACACTCGAATGAGGCGCATCGGGAGCAACATGCCGTAAAGTTGTACAGGAATGAGTCTCCAGGCTGGATGGGACACTGGGTCACCATGGAGGGGCCGTCCATGTGGTTTGTGCCGTTCATGAATAGGCCGTGAAAGTGCAGCGAGGTGGTCTGGTTGCCGAGTCTGTTGTGAGCGTTGATGAGGATGGTGTCGCCGACATTGGCCTCGATGGTCTGTAGAGGGTGTCAGTCGTGATGGCATGGAACACGCTGGCGGGCAGTGATTTGTTGGAATCAATGGAGATCATGCTGTTGGAGTATTCGAGTATGCGGCCTCATACCTCAATGGGCCATTTGCCGTTGATACCAATGGTCGGACGCTCAAAGGCGCCATCTGGGTTCGCCCGGACCCATTCGATATTGAAGTCGTAGGAGACTGTGGCGGCGAGCGCAGGGCACAAGAGGCTCAAGGCCGGCAGTATTTGCGCAAGTCGGCCCATGGTTTCCCAGCAGTGCTCACGACGAGCTGCAATACCTTACACAATGATGGAAGGGAGCCTCTGGCTGCTGGATACTCGTCGACGGCGTGTTGCGGCGCTCGAGAGACGAGATTTGGTCATGGGGTTGGGGATGGATCTCGCACAGCTCCGAGTTTACCGCGCTACGTCGGGCGTACTGTATGGCGTACTGTATGGTAGGGTACCGTGGTTTCGGGTGACAAATCTTATCAGATTGATAATGCCGGTTTCGGAGCAGGGATTGTATTAAGCATGTGTGTTGTGCTGATCCTGGATCAGGCAGACAGTTACAAGATCAGATCAGGGCCAGACAAGATCTTTCAGGCGTTCGGTTCGCGCACGGGGGACTCTAAAGCGGTAGATGAACTCGATGGCATTCACAGATACAGTAGAGATAGGGCTTGCTCCATACCATACCCACCCGTTCGCAGGACACTCGCTGATGAGGGGTTATTTACATCATCGACTTAATTTTCCCTCATTTTCCGTTTCACACCCACTCACCTCCCACAGCCCGCTAAAGCTCTCCCACGCGATCAGCCCACGCGCCGAGCTGGACCCGCGCATGATTCGGCGCCCGCGCGCAAGCTCCGCCGCCCCAAGTGGGAATACAGTGGGATTGCAGTGGATAGCCTGGCCCAACACGGCTAACACGCCCGCGCAAATTCTGCCGCGCGGGGGGAGCTGTGGTGCTGTAAATTGCTACGTCGCAGCGCCCGTGGCCCCTGGAAGCCGGCACAGTGCGCGGTCTCGCGGGGGGAGATTTGCGGTTCCATGCCAGCCTCACACAGGTTCGGAGCTATTCGGCGACCGGCCGGTGGTGTATCCATGACACATTATCTGATCCTGAACCCTGGATTAATTCGATGGTGGCTTTTGTCTGGGTCTTGTCTTGTCTGGTCCGGTCTGATCTGATCTGGTCTGGTTCTGCATCATCGCGTCGTCCTCTATTCTGACGTCGCCTCGCACCCGAGGCTCTGAGGTCCATCGCACTCGCACGCTTCCGCCTCAACCACCCGCTCACCATGGGACTCGAGCTGTTTTCCGTCCCCGTCTTCGTCGTCGTCTTCCGCGAGACGCTCGAGACGGCCATCATCGTCTCCGTGCTGCTGGCCTTTCTCAAGCAGACGCTCGATGGCTCGCAGCGCGATCCCAAGCTCTACCGGGCGCTGCGCACGCAGGTACGTCTGGATGTTCGTCGCGATGCATGTTTGGCAGCTAACAAGACCAGGTCTGGTTGGGCACCGCCGTCGGATTCTCCCTTTGCCTCATCGGCTCCGGTGTAATCATCGGCATCTTCTACCTGCTCGGCACAGACGCCTGGGCGGATCATGAATACTACTATGAGGCCGTCTTCTCCATCATCTCATCCGTCATCATCACCATCATGGGCGGCGCCCTGCTGCGCATTGGCAACATGCAGGAAAAGTGGCAGGCCAAGCTGGCCAAGGCCATCGAGTCGCCCGTCCAAGCCAGCGGAAAGCGGGCCTGGTTCGTCAACATGTTTGAGAAGTACGCCATGTTTGTGCTGCCCTTCATCACCGTCCTCCGTGAGGGTATCGAGGGCATCGTCTTCGTCGCCGGCGTGTCCTTTTCAGCACCCGTCTCTGCCGTCCCGCTCCCTGTCGTCTTTGGCTTGTTTTTCGGTGCCCTCGTTGGTTATGGCCTGTACAAGTAAGTGTCTCATGGCTGCAAGATTCACGGCTCAGTGACTAACCTACATCATAGAGGTGGATCTATGGCCCGGCTTCAGCCCTTCCTTGTTGCATCTACCTGCCTCCTGTACATGGTCGCTGCCGGTCTCTTTTCCCGAGCCATCTGGCTCATTGAGCAGCAGCAGTGGAACAAGGTTGTCGGCGGCGATGCTGCTGAGCTCGGCGACGGCCCTGGTTCCTATGACATCGACCGAAGCATCTGGCACGTTAACGTGAGTTTATACCTACCTCCCGTCAATACTCCTCCAATACTAACATCCTGTAGTGCTGTAACCCTCAGCTGAACGGTGGAGGTCCCTGGGCCATCCTTAACGCCGTCGTTGGCTGGAACAACTCAGCTACCTACGGTTCCGTCCTTGCCTACAACATCTACTGGCTCATCGTCATTGCCCAGTTCAGCGCCATGCGGTTCCGCGAGGATCACGGCCGCTGGCCTCTCACGAAGGGCAAGGCCTTGGAGGATGACGAGCAGGACCTCATCCGGGACGACTAGACGCAGCGACTATTCAGAGAACGACTCACCATCCTGGCGATGCTTGGTAGGACCGTAAACCGATGTTAACATCACGAGTCTAAGGAACGACCCATCGTCCTCGTTCGGCCTCAAGGCCAAACATAATGAATAGCATGCAACTTGATAAAATGGGTTGGTCTGTACAGACCCGAATATCATCAAAGAGAGATAGTTGGAAAGAGATATATTAAGCAAAAAAAAAAAAAACGAACAAATTCATGCCTAGTACCGCGCGCCTATGCTTCAATCATCTACATTCTCCAGTGTAACCAACGCAACCCGTGTTACAATCGTGATTAAAAGGGGCAATGGTTCAACCCGAAGGATGTACCACAACTTCCGTCACTCCCCTATCCTCTGTGCTGTGGAACGTCCCAAGTGATGCTGACCATCAGCCACCCACTTGAGACACAAAGACCACAGCCCACATGTATCATCCCGTCGCGTACAACCATGGCCGACCTCATCTCAACTCATCTCATCATGCCAGAGTCCGTAGCAGGCGTCGTCAACTGCTCAGAACCCATACCAACTCCCAGTCGACGCTTAGTCCGAGTTCTGAGACGTCTTGGGCTTCTTCCTGGGGCGACCCGGGCCACGGCCGATAACACGCTTCTGCGGCGGAGCATCCGAAGAGGCACCGTTCTTGGCCTCAAACTTGATGAGCTCATCGGGCGCAATCTCCCTGATCTTGTCCTCGTGCTCCCACGTTGCTTCGGTGCGGCGGTAGCCAACCCACTGCACCTGGTACATGTAGCGGTTCTTCTTGGCCTTGGGGGGCGTGGCGCGCTTGAGGATGCGGAAGACGTGGTAGATGTCCAAGCCCGTGGCAGCCTCGCGTCCGTCGAGGCTGTCCCAGTACTTGAAGACGAGCGTGGGCACCTGGTTCTGGAGGCTCCATTCCGACTCCCACGACGTCTCGCCGTTTGCCCATACCACCGAGATATCTACGGTCGCGTTCGCCTCGTCGATGCGGTGAGAGTCGAATTTCTCAATCTCGAGCTCGGTGCCCGGTTCGGCCTTGGATGGGGTGGCCTTGGAGGTGCTGCTCTCGGCAGGAGCCTCGTCGGCGGGCTTGGCTTCTTCGGCCTTCTTCTTGGGGGTTTGCTTATCAGGTGTATCGGTCTTCTTAGCATTGGCGGATCCGTTCTGCAACTCCTTCTTCTCGGAGGCGCTGGAAGCAGCCGTCACGGTTGCGTCGCTGTCGCGCTTGTTGTCGCGTGCCGGAGCGGCGGACAGGCTGCGCCGGGTCATGGGAGAATCCGTAACGTCCTTCCGGTTGCTCCGCTGAGGTGACGCCGGCACGTCGTAGGGGTCTAGAGGCGGCACATTGGGTCAGCGGACGTCGTCTCGAGATGCGATTGCCCGTCGTAGCCTCGCGGAGAGTTGTCATGCGAGCTAGGGGAGCTGGGGGAGCTATACCTGCGGGAGGGCGTGGCGGAAGCATGGCGGAGGGTTTCACAGAAGCGATCAGGTTCCGTTTGAGCGAGGGCAATGGGCATACGAGACAGCCCTGTCGAGTGGAATTGCGTCACTGTGCGATGGTGATGATGGCGAAACGCGCTCTTGTTGGCCGTGCAACGCGTAGGTTCCTTAATTGCACCACGGCACCGCCACATCAGGCTGTAGCCACACTTGCCACCAGCCACCGGCCACATTGGGATGTTCGTCCGAGATGAGGTTGATAACCATGTTGACGACCAAGTTGCGATATGGACGTAGAAGGCTGTAATAGAAGTTGACAGAAGAGTGAAATTTTTAAAATCGTTGTGGAAGTATCGTCATTCAGCCAAACGGCCCAACTCTGTCCAGTTACTCTCCGTGCTCCACCTTCAAGCATAGCCTTTGTTCACACCCGACTTACATGAAGTCTACAGCAAGAAAAGACATGTCGTGATCTTACGTAAATCTGAAGAATCCCTAGAGGATGATTTAAAAATTCTTGAATTGTTACATACCCGAAGCTCACCCCCGTGGTATCAATAGAAAGAGTCGGGATCCTATGGGACTTTTGAGACGCCGCTATTCACATGTCGAATTCAACACCACACCGAGGACGAAAGATGCATCATGCTAGGCATCATTAAACTAGCCGACATGTCTCCTTCCTGAATGGGTTGCCGGCTGTGCAGAATTCGTCGCGTGTTAAAATAAACGACATTTTGGAGAGCCTGGGCGAGCACGCAATACCCACCATCACCAGTCGCCGTTAGTCTCGCCTGAACAGGGACCAATGGCTTCTATAAACGCCAACGGCCAAGAAAATAGTAGACGTCAATGTTTGGAACTTGTGATCTTGCAGGATCACTTGCCAGCGGTGGTGGTAGCGCACCGAGGCGAGATGATGGTTGCCACGGCGTGATGTGTGCAATTGTGTGGATGGCATCATTTCTTAGAGTTCGCATTGGACGCACCGGCTGATATGATTCTGCGTGGCGACAACATGCCGCTGGCAGGATACCGGAATATCTGCAAGAATTTTACTAGGCATACGGAAGCACAGATCTTCGTTATTCGGCAAGGCAATTCAAGTCCCAATGTCCGGGAGTCCGGGGCTGGACATTCCACACTCGCGGTATGCCGGCCACGTCGATCCCGGCGACACCGTCACGAACCACGGGGAACCCACCATCCAGGCAGCGGGCACCCCGTGGTCCAGACTTGCATGAAAAATTATCTCCAGGCCTCCTGCGGCATTTGGACCTCAGCGGCGATCACATCATCGTGTACTCCCCGTCTTGGCGCCCAACCACACCACGTCCTTTTGTCATTCGTGTCCATGCGGCGATGCAAAGACGAGAAGCGTGGGATGCAATGCCACCCACGAACCAAGCGACTGGATACGCTTGTTGCAGAGAACGCCCCCGAGTCCCGGCCCCATGTCCAGCTGCCGCACCAGGGCGGGAACCGGGGAGCTTCACCGTCTGCCGGACACACTGATGCGGAAGGTGAAGGGAAACCATTAGCAAATTTGTACTTGTCGAACAAGGTGCGACGGGCCCTAACGATGTTTATTGCAAGGTAACATGTCCAAGAAGCCGTGTTCGAGCCTGATCCTGGGAGCCGCATGTCAGATGCAGTCCCAAGGTGGAGAGAATTTGCAGCGGCGCCGCGCCTGATTGGCGACGTCGATGGGGCGGTTGCGATCACATCAGATCGCGTCATCGGCCTGGTCGTCCCAAGAGAGAAACCATGACACATTGGCTGCCCACTGCAAGAAGCAGTGACCAAAGAAGAGCTCCAAGGGGCCGCCAAAGCCTCTGGAAGCCGCAGCTTCCCGCGCTGGCATCGCCCAGCTGGCGTTCCTATTCGGCGCTTCTGCGCTCGAAGCTGTCGCGAGCCGCCCCAAGAATGGCACGATGGCTCTCGGTACCAGGGCCCGAGCCGTCCGCAGGGCTTCTGGCTCGTTTCTAGATGTCCTAGTCTGCCAAGGAGGCTCTGCTTCAGGGGTCCCCGAGGTACCACTCTGAGGGGCCGCTGCGTTTCTTGGGACCGGCTGTGCGAGTATTCATAAGGTCATCGAGACCCGTCTTTTGGAGTTGACCACACTCACTCTCCACTGACCTCCTCTGTCTCTCATTCTGCCTATAACCTCTCTATTTGGCCAATCAGCTTACACCATGAGCCACGAAGGCCTCCAGGAGCCGGTGGCCTACGAGGCCACCAAGCACGATGGCAACTCCAACACTGGATCCGATACCGAGTCTGGTATGTCGACTGCCCGAAAAGAAAGCCCAACGTTACTGACCCTAATTCTAGGCCGCTTGAGGATTGCAAGTGAAGCCAAGCGCAAGATCGGTGTGCTCAGCGCGTCCATGCTCATCTTCAACCGCATCATCGGCACCGGCATCTTCGCGACTCCCTCGTCCATTCTCGCCCTCACTGGCAGCACGGGTCTTTCGCTCTTCATGTGGGTCGCCGGCGCGCTCATTGCCGGCGCGGGCACGGCTGTCTATCTCGAGTTCGGCACCGGCATCCCCAAGAACGGCGGCGAGAAGAACTACCTCGAGTACGTCTACCGCAAGCCCAAGTTCCTCGTCACCGGCTTGTACGCTGGCTACGTGATTCTCCTAGGCTGGGCTTCTGGCAACTCGGTCGTCTTTGGTGAGTATATCCTCCACGCTGCCCAAGTCAATGTCGACCGCTGGAATCAGCGCGGCCTCGGTATTGCCTGCATCACCGTCGCCTTCATCATCCACGGCACAGCCCTTAAGTGGGGTATCCGTCTTCAGAATTTCCTGGGTATTATCAAGATCACCATCATTGTCATCATCATCCTCGGCGGATTCATTGCCCTTGGTGGCCACCTCAAGATCGACGAGAAGCCCCACAACTTCACCAACGCTTTCGAAGGAACGACTGGTAGCGCATACGGCGTCGTCACTGCTCTGTATAATGTCATCTGGAGTTTCGTCGGCTACAGCAACGCAAACTATGCCCTCAGCGAGACCAAGAACCCCACGCGCACTCTCAAGATTGCCGCCCCCATTGCCATCATCTCCGTCTCGATTCTCTACATGCTCGTCAACATTGCCTATTTTGCCGCCGTTCCCAAGGCGGAGATCCTTGCTTCCAAGCGTCTCGTCGCTGCATCTCTCTTCCGCAACGTCTTCGGTAACACCGCTGAGCGTGCTCTGTCTGTCTTTGTCGCCTTGTCCGCGTTCGGCAACGTTCTCAGTGTCATCTTCTCTCAGGGTCGCCTTGTGCAGGAGCTTGGTCGCGAGGGTATCCTTCCCTTCTCCCGCTTCTGGGCCAGCAATCGACCTTTCAACGCCCCACTCGCTGGTCTGTTTGAGCACTGGCTCATCTGTATCATTGTCATCCTTGCCCCTCCTCCTGGAGATGCTTACAACTTCATTCTCAAGTAAGTTCTTTCCTCCCAGTGTCTGCCGACATAATTCTAACCAGTGTAGTCTCATCTCTTACCCCCTTGCTATCGTCAACACCTTCGTCGCCGCTGGCCTCGTTCACCTGTACTTGAACCGCGCCGCCTGGAAATGGAACCCCCCGATCAGCGCCTCTCTGCCGGTCATCGTTTTCTTCATGCTCAGCAACATTTACCTTGTTGTCGCTCCCTTTGTACCACCCGAGGATGGCCAGAATGTCTACGAGAGCCTGCCCTACTGGATTCACTGTGTTGTTGGTTTCGCCGTCATCGCCGCAGGCGGTCTGTACTGGTTGGCTTGGGCTGTCATCTTACCGAAACTGGGCCACTACGAACTGGTTCGGGAGACCGTGGTGGATGATATTGATGGTTGGGAGTCGAATGTGTTCTTCAAGAGGCCGCTGGGCTCGACCTAGGCTTTCTCTTCTTTCGTACATGCTTTAGCATGAATAGTACTTTAAAATCTTTGTTGGGTTTAATACGATAACTCTATCAGCATTTATATACCCCTTATATCCTTCAGCGTGAATTAATGAAAGTGGAAACTCTCTATGAAAATGCGAGAGACGCTGAAAACATTCATTTCTCAACTTTCCTTGCCTTTTCCAACTCCAAATTTCAGTCGAGAGCCCTAAAGGCAGCTGTCCCGTGACAAAAAATAGCCATTTGTTTTATAACATCTTATGCTTGAAATTCAACCACCTCCTACAAACTCTAGCAACGTTGTAGGTAAAATTAAGTAGCAGTTACATATAATAATAAGAACACTTTTAGATATATTATTTCACATAGTTAATAAGGTCAGTGTGACGAGCGGTCAGGGACTCTCGGGCTAGCTGGTTGCTAGCAGGGAGGTCTCGTGGGTTTAAAGGATATGTCAGAGCAGTTACAGAAGAGGAGAATCACGTTGTCTTTCTATAGAGATTCTTTCAAGAAGTTAGAGAGACAGAGAGGGCTTAAGACAGATATAAAAGTCTATTGAGTTAATGCTTTTGTTTTTAAGGGATTGTTGGATTGTGACCCTGTATTACGAAACCTCTGATAGATCGATATCCTGACCTTAGTCAGAGGGGGTGTCAGATGACATAAAACCCCTCTTGAGAAAAGAGGGGGCCGGAGGCATCCTAGACAAGACAATCAACAGATTCAGGATCCACACTCTATTGAGCATTAATCCCTGGATCGAATGTGTCGTACGCTATCCAACAGGGATTTATTTAAATTAAACTTTAGCTAACGTTATAATGCTTATCTAACCTCTAACTTCCACCTCCCTCCGATATCGGCAAGGTGCAGACCCTATTGAAGCCTTGCCAGCAGAATTTCCTGCGATCGATCTGATATTTTATCTTACAAGATGCTTCCTGACTGGAAAATGTAAGCCTCAGATCAATCTGACCTTATACGTGTACGTAGTCTGGTGTAGCTTCGGGCTGACTATCCAAGATGGCTATACGATGATGTTCTGTATTCCACTTAGGATAAGTTAATGTCTTCGGTAGGTGTTATTTATGTCGCTTTCCGCTGCTCAATCATAAGATAATATAGTAATACGTTTATCCATAGAGGGACGTCAGGCTTTAGAAGTTTGGCCGTTTAGCATGCTTCTCAGCCGTCCTATAGTGTTGTCGCGACGACCTCGCCAAGGCATAAATGATTTGTCTCAAACGGCGATTGTTGATCATACCGAGAATGAGAGGGCCGTTATGAAACCCCTGGTTGATAAAGGGCCATTCGGGTTAAGTTGTCAATTCCGTCTTGGTGCCAGAGGCATTGTGCATCACAGCGAACGTCCTGGCGGGCCAGGGAAGAAGAAAACCGTGCAAGACACTTGCGGCTCTTGGCAGCGAAGCTCTCCCTAAGGAAGTAATAATTCAACCAGGGCACTGGAGAAAGCTTGGCGGTCGACTTCGAATCATCTGTTCCTGACATCTCTCGCTAGATGAGGAGAAGAACAGAAGGCTGCAAGGCTCGGCGTTCCATACCTGTCTTCCTTAGGCTTCTACATTTCCCACTCAAATATTACCTTGTGGTACGAGGCATTTCAGGGTGCGCTAGATATCGTGCATAAATTAAATAAGCTGCGAAATGCAACTGGTCGATCTTGAATAGTAGTCTGCATCTCAGGATCGTGGATCTGATATGGGTATGACACGGCTTTATCGACAATACAACATCAATACACATATAATCTTCTCAGGTTATGATTAATACTGTCAGAGGTGAAAGGGGGCCTTGAGGGAGCTCTGAATGCTAGGCCTCACCCAAAGTTCAAGTTCGTCAATATCTCACAGATGTCGCTCTCAGGAACAGTGGGTATTTGCAAGGTCCATGAAAAACATCTGGGCATATACCGGGGTCCATTTTTAGAAAACTAGGAGAAGCCGGCGTCCAAAAGACTCGTTCAGCAGCGGTGAGAGCCCCTTCCCATGAACGACGGAAAAGCTCTACATAGGCGGATATCAAGGACAGAGCGGTCAGTGACACACCCTCGTATCCGAAAAAATATTCTAACGGTTTGTAAGGATCGGAACTCGGCAACACAACGTGTTTCTCCTTTAAAGAACTAGCTTGGGAATTAAGGACCACTGTAGGGATGTTTTTGGTGAGAGCACTGGTGGAGAAATTGAGAATCCGGGGAAGCATCAGGACGCGCCAGTTGTGTAGCAGCCCCTCACCCAGACCTGCCATCTAAAACGCCGTAATGGTTGCTGGCATGGCTATATATAACGCCGAGTAATGGAACGAGTGCGGATGACACCTTCCGGCTTCACAGCTGATCGTCAGGGAAAATGGGTGCCACCTGGGGGTCGTGAGTAGACGGAGAATTGCGGCCACGAATCGGAGTCGCGGAGTAAGCATAAATGTAACCTTGACCGGAGCCTCGCATTGAGACCTCGATTGCCCCTTTCGGACGCTTGATCATATTAGCGTAGCCGAGTTCTTCGTCTAAATGAGAGAGGTGGAAATTTTGGACTAAATACTTCGTTGATAGACGCCCTGGACTGTCCGGGTCTATATTCATGGAGTCCTATATAAGAAGCAGTGTTTCTGGTGAGTCTGAATGATCTTTCCACCTCACTCCCAGTCTATCAACACTACATTACCAAAGCTCAATCAAATCACACTGTCATCATGAAGTATTCCGCTGCTCTTATCGCTGCTCTCATCAGTTCGGCTTCGGCCGCTGCCACAACCACCCTTCCTGCGTCCAAGGGTGCCACTGCTGTGTCCACCGCTATCCCCGTCAAGACTAGCTACGATGGTGGCATGAAGAAGTTTGACCGAGATCGTAAGGATATGAGACGATGCTATCATTAAAATGCTAACTCAGTACATAGCCAAGGTTTGCAAGGGACAAACTGAGACTGGTGAGAAGGACGCCATGTTCATCCTCGAGGACGGCGCCACCCTCTCCAACGTTATTATCGGCCCCAACCAGGCCGAGGGCGTCCACTGCAAGGGGACCTGCACTCTGAACAACGTCTGGTGGGCCGATGTCTGCGAAGATGCCCTCACCCTCAAGCAGACCAGCGGCACCTCATACGTCAACGGTGGCGGTGCCTTCAAGGCCTCTGATAAAATCATCCAATTCAACGGCCGTGGCACCGTCCGGATCAAGGACTTTTACGCCAACGACTACGGAAAGCTCGTCCGCAGCTGCGGCAACTGCAGCGGCAACGGCGGCCCTCGCAACGTTGTTATCGACGGCGTTATTGCCAAGGACGGTGGCGTTCTTTGCGGCATCAACACCAACTACGGCGACACCTGTAAAATCACCAACTCTTGCCAGGACAGCGGGAAGTACTGCGACCGCTATGAGGGTAACTCGAGCGGCGCGGAGCCTACCAAGCTTGGCTCTGGCCCTGATGGCACTTACTGCACTACCTCTGGTGTTACCAAGAGCTGCTAAGCGAAGAAATGGCTTAAAGGGAGTGCAGATGAACTAGAAGGAGTTGAGATGAGTGATGAAAGCGTGATAAATGATGCAATTAAAGTTTGATGGACAAAGTTCGTCATGTACATACTTAAACGATGAATTACACAGGATTTGATCTGCTGCAAGAATACTATCTCTCTGTCAAGGACAATCTAAAAGATGAAAAGAACAAATGCACCGATATTGCAACATGCTAAATAGCCCGGAAAACTTTATGCCCATGACGGAGCTGCTAATAGGCAAATGCATACTCAGCAAGCAACTAATCTAACTTCTGTCTGCTCCCTCAAGGTGAGCAAGTTGCCGGCACAAGGTAAAAAAAAACACAGTTTTATCCACAATTCAAGCATTTGTTACCCAATGCTACCACAATGACCAAAAAGCTTTTCAACTTGAAAAAGTTAAAACCTGTATGAATAAATAAGTAGTCGGCTCAAGAAGCTGAGCCCCTCAGCAAGCAACGAAGTTAAAATACGGTAGCCTAAGAAATCTATGAATATTGCAGGTCAGAAATTCGCAAGCACTTCAGACGCCCAACACGACACAGTCATAAGGACAGTCAACTTGATAAAATCCAAGAAGACTAGTTTGGCAGCAGGCTCTATTAGCCCCGGAATTTAAAACTAAGCGTTAAACATGTGCGGGCGAATACTGCACCTGGATTAAAAGCTGGACAAAATCCTCTACAACTCCATTTGCAAGATAAGCCTTTCGTCATTGATGCGCCACGACTTTAACTTTTGGGGGGTTTCAATGTCCGAGTGCATTCAGTCATATCGCATTTAACATCACGATCCATATCTATCTATCCCGTACCGCACCACGCCATACTCATTTTCACATTGAATCCCAACCCTAACAGTGGGACGGAATAGTGCGTCCATAAATTTCTCAGCCCCCAACATCAATTAGCGACTTACTCATTGTACGGATTCCTTGACAATTCATCTGCTCCTTATTTGATATGCCCAAACTACACTTACTTCAACTGAACATCATTAGCCCATGCACAAGAGCTTGGTCGACCTTGAATGTTTCTGCATTTTGCCGATTATAGGGTTGTGTAATACAACCATCGTCGACGCGTTAAGACGGCTGATGCGGAGGCGCAGGGATCTAATGTACTTGAGTCCAGTTGGAAAAGACCCGTTGCTGGCGGAAGGGGTCGGAGACAAAAGAGCGCAATCCACAAGTGAGATGGTGTTGGATGCCCCTCCTGCATGAACAGATGAATACGAAGTATGGAACGACATGTTGAGTTATATCACGATGTGATTGGTTAGAGCAGTCCCATAATAAGGGCTGCACTAACTTAAACAGGGCTGCTGACAGCCGCCCTTCATTCTTAGAAACAAGGGTCTTTTATTTTATCACGATGTTTTACGTCACAGATGCAGTGTGTAACGCTCTAACTGGACATCATTTTCAGGGCAATGGCGTTTTGTGAGGAGGTGAGATGAAGGGAAATATTTCAGCTAAGCCTATGACTGGTCTCCGGTCTACCCTCTTAGAGAGGTATGAAGAAGAAACATTGCTAAAGGTCTTGGATCCTTCCGCCCACCGCCACCACTCAACATGGGCCTGAACACGAAGTGAGGGTCCTGGAGTAACCCCTGGCGCATGAAGGATTCTCCCCCAATTATTTTTCAACACGTCAGCGAGTAGTTCCTGAACACAAGATCTCACGTAAGTTCATTGCAAGTGAGATACGTCCTATATATACCCATTGCTCAGCATATTTACAAGCGGACTAACCTTCTCACTCAAATCATGCCGTTGCTTTTCTTCTTCTTCTTGGCTGTAGCGCACGCCATAGTCGTCTCGGGACCTTCCGGGCCTTGGAGCGTCTCGCATCATGTCGTGGAACTCACTGATGAGTCTCGATGGGATCCCTACGCTCCGGAAAACAGTCCACACAAGCGACGTATTCTGACGTCCTTCTTCCTCCCCGTCCACGAGGGCCAGCAGGAATGCGAAGTCGACAGAATCGATTATATGCCACCGAGGAGCCTCGAGACTTACAACATCGTCGCTAAGGCGTTGGGACTACCCAACAACACCTTCCAAGGGCTCGAGCTCGACTTTTGCAAGGTCTCCCCGAAGAAACAGCTGGCACATCCCGTTGTCATATTTTCCCCCGGTTTCAGCGGTTCAAGGCTCTTCTCTAGTGCTCAGGCACAGTCACTCGCCAGTCAAGGCTACGTCGTCATCACAGTCGACCACCCTTATGAAGCTACCATCGTGGAATTTCCCGACGGCAGAGTCGTGTATGGAGTAACTTCAGCCGCGATAGATGATGAAACGGCGGAAAAGGCCGTCACAGTCAGTAAAACCGTGTCCCATCTCTATTGTCGCCGCTAACAGTCAGGCGATTTGACAGGTCCGAAGCCAAGATATATCTTTCCTCATCGATCAAATCTCAGAGCCTTCAAATTTCGGTGACAACTTCGACGGGAGATTCGACATGAGCAAAATCTTTGTTTACGGTCACTCTCTCGGCGGAGCTACCTCTGCTCAGGTTGCTTTAAACGATGACCGTGTTCTCGGCGGTCTTGACCTCGACGGTGCGCTGCGTGGGTCTGTTAGTGAAGACAGACTCGACGTACCATTCTTTGTCGTTAGCCAAGAGGGCACACCGGACACAACATCATACTTCAAGGGGTTCATGGACAAACTCCGTGGCCCAAAGATGCTCCTCGAAATTGATGGGACGGAGCACCTGTCCTTTGTGGACCTGCCACTGCTCCTCTCACTACGTGATGATGTGTCACCAGAATTGCAGCCCGGGATCGCGATGGTGCTTGGGACTATAGATGGCAAGAGGATAGCTGACATTGTGAACAATATCCTCAGCATGGTGACGAACTTCTTATTTGAGGGAAAGGCCGAATCCCTTTGCAAACTTGAGGATGAGGTTGCTGAGGTTACAGTCGTGGAACGGGATCTGAATGGGACCTGCTATGACTAAGTTATCCAAGCTTCAATCTCACTGCTTTCCATACACTGTACGGAAGGCCCTGACTAAACTATCCTTTAACCGACATAGCCATGCTTGCCTGTCTCGCTCTTACGATATAGGTTAACATTGAGATTAATAAACTTTGACGCTATTCGCATTACAGATAGCGTCGACTATTTGACCGTCCATTATATGAGTGAGAACGTGTTGTGCAACGAGACGAAACCGTCAAGTTCCCCCCCAATGTTGCAAACAAACCCAACGAAACATTGAAGAGGCATGGAGACTGTCGTCTGACGACCAAAGTTCCATCCAGGGTCGTTTGCAGCTGGAAACCCGAAGCCTTTCAGTCACCAACGCCATGCCCGCTTCCGCGGATCCCTCGGAATCTAGCTGATCCTATTGGCTCATTGCCGAAACTCGCCGACATTTCGGCCCCTCATCGGTGAATACGCGATGTAATTGGTCTCCGCTTCGAATCCCTGTAGTTATCCCCAAGCCAAGGCCGCGATACTTCACTCCTACTCCGCGTCATGTGAACAGGCGCGCAGGACAGGGCACATCCTGATTGTTGCAATACGTTGAACTGATGAAATCAAGCGGGGCTACCATATTGAATGCAAAGTACATAAGAGATGTAGATGGGAGATCAAATTCGGAATGTCCGCATCTTACGGCAGATGATAACCTCGTGGTTCACGATCATATCCTGTTTGCTTGTCCAATACAACCCACGATCATTATGAGTACCAAGGTCGATATTCCTGCCCTCCTCTCTGAGCTCTCGCTCGAGGAAAAGATTTCCTTGCTTGCTGGAGTGGATTGGTGGCGCACACCAGTCATTAAACGGGACAACGTGTTTGTGCCTCATATCAAGGTAAAATGGGCGAATTAACTTTCCTGTGGCCTGCTTTCATTAAAATGGCCAAATAATCGCTGTGGCTCTGTTGGAAGAGTTATATCTTCGCTACGAGAAGGCACGCGCTGACCTGACTCTTTTAGTTTACAGACGGCCCCAATGGAGCCCGTGGCGAAAGCTATGTGTCTGGCATCAAGGCTGCGTGCTTTCCATGTGGTACATCTCTAGGGTCGACATTCGACACCTCGCTTCTGGAAAGGATTGGAGCGGCGGTGGCAAAGGAGGCAGAGACTAAGTCTGCGAATGTCCTACTTGGACCGACTTTGAACGTCATTCGCTCCCCACTTGGTGGACGGAACTATGAAACTTACAGTGAAGACCCTCTAGTGTTGGGAACTCTGGCAGCTGCCTACGTGCGAGGCTGTCAGTCAGAGGGTCGAGTTGCCGCGACCCCTAAACACTTCGTTGCCAATGACGCTGAGAACCAGCGGACGACTCTGAGCGTTGAGGTTGATGAGCAGACTCTGAGGGAGATTTACCTGAAGCCTTTTCAACTGGTTGTCAAGTTGTCTGATCCTTGGTGTTTCATGTCAAGGTAAGCACTGAGCATATATTTATTCAGAAAATCGGGGATTCCTTCAAGAATCGCGTGAGCTAATATCGGAAATAGTTATAATCGAATCAAGGGCACATATGTCGCTGACAGCTCTCGTCTTATCAACGGAATTCTCAGAGAAGAATGGGGCTTCCAAGGCCCAGTAATCTCAGACTGGATGGGGACGTACTCTGCTGGTCCTGGTATCAACGCAGGAGTCAACGTCGAGATGCCCGGTCCACCCAAGTGGAGGACACCAGACGTCGTATCTAAGCTTGTTCAGGACGGCTCTATTTCCGAAGAAACAATCACGAACAGTGCCAGATGCCTACTGGAACTTTCTCACCGGCTCGGGCGGTTCGAAAACCCTGAAGAACCGCCGGAACGTGCTGTGGAGGACGCTGAACGGGATGCACTCATTCAGCGCTCTGGGGCCGAAGGCATTGTCTTACTCAAGAACAAGGCTGGCGTACTACCCATTCCCAAGAGTTCATCAGTCGCCCTCATTGGCCACCATGCGAGATCCGTTGTGCTTGGCGGAGGTGGAAGCGCTCGAGTTGATGCCTTGCATGCTGTGACGCCCATCGACGGCTTCAAAAAGCTGGGCTACCGCACAAACGTTGCACTTGGAGTACCAGTATTTGGTGCTGTACCCCACGCTGATCCATCTATTGTCTTTGGCTCTGGTCGTGAGGAGCACTCTGCAGAGCCAGTCAAATTGGAATGGTTCAATGGCGCCGTCATAGGGCAGAATCTTGTGCACAAGGAGTTTCGACCCCAGGCCGAGTATATGATCAAGGAGCAGTGGCCCGAATATCTCGACGAGGTGGAATATTGCACCCGCATCACCTTTGATCTCGTTGCACCATCAACAGGTGACGTCATCTTCTCCGTCATTAGCACTGGGCACGCCAAATGTTACATCAACGGTCAATTGGCGTTTGATCGGCCACAGGAGAAGAAACTGAGGCCCGAGTCGTTCTACTTCTTCAAGAAGCAACTTGAGAGGCGCTTCACCCATCACCTAGAACAAGGACAGCGGTATGCCATTAAACTGGAGTCTTGGGCTTGTGATCCAGAGATTCTCAACGCTGCGCCTCTCTTTGGCAAGATGTTTCAAGGCAGTGCAGTCCGTTTCCACGAGAAGATAGATCTTGAAGGACGCCTGGCTGAGGCTAAAAGAATCGCTGAAGAAAGCGACTATGCAGTCGTTTGCGTGGGCACGACTAACGAAATCGAATCTGAAGGGTTTGACCGGGACACCATGGATCTTACGCTGGACCAATATCACCTCATTGATGCTGTCGTTGCCTCCAACCCAAATACCGTGGTCGTTAACTTCTCTGGTGCTCCAGTGAGTTTGACCCAGTTCGTCGACACGGCGCCCGCTATTGTACAGGCATGGTTTCCAGGACAGGAGGCTGGCGATTCGCTGGCGGCGGTGTTGACGGGAATTGTTAATCCTAGTGGCAAGCTGCCACTGTCCTGGCCCAAGAAACTGGAAGATAACCCATCGTTTGGCAATTTTCCGGCGACCCATGATGACATTCTCAAGTATGCCGAGGGTCTTGATGTTGGGTATCGATGGTACGATCGAGAGTCTCGCCCGAAACCTCTATTCCCATTTGGATTTGGCCTCTCATACACGGAATTTTCAGTAACTGGTGCCAACATCAAAGACTCCAGTGCAGTTCTGCGTCCAGACGGACAGATCAGGGTTGCTGCGCGAGTCACAAACTCTGGCAGTCGCGCCGGTAAAACAGTTATCCAGTTCTACGTCGCCAGCCCAGATGATATCAAAGTTCCTGGTCATGCAAGGCCTGTCAAAGAACTCCGAGCCTTTTCAAAGGTCGAAGTCGGGTCGGGACAAAGCGAGGAGGTCACTGTGCAGCTGGATAAATACAGCGTCAGCGTTTACGATGCAGGCAATGAACGCTGGCACGTTGAGAAAGGGGAGTATCGCATATTGATTGGCTTATCCAGCGTGGACATTGCCCACACGGTTGTGTTTTCCGTAAGTGAGAGTTTTTCTTGGACGGGTGTCTGAAATTGGGATAAGGACTTTCCGTAAATGTTTCAATCTTGGTGTCCTCCATATAATTCTGATAGGGATGAATCTGAAAATATCCACGCAAAGTCATCCAAATAACTCAGGTTTACATCTTGCAGCTGTGAATCAGCCTGCTTAGTCCTCTCTCCTGCTAACTTGCTCGTCGAGTGCATCCCTTCAGATGCGGGAACCTCGGGCAGTAGAAGGGCTCCGATCCCTGGACGTCGACCTGGAAGTATCCGTCAGAGGCTCAAGACTTTTTACTGGCATACCAAGGTGCGTTTCCAGAATGCAAAGAGACTCACCTGCTGTTTGCGGCTCAACATTCTCATAGTGGCTGCCCAGGTATAGCATCTGGCCGAGAAGACGAGGGTTTTGATCGAACATTTTGGCCCATGAGGATGTGTTTTGGCTACAAATCTTTCTGAAAGCCTCTAAATGTTGAAGCTTAATACTTCTGTCAGCAATATGTCCTTGCTGATTCAGAATCCCTATCCTTAAGAGTAAGGACTTAGTTTAACATACCACCCAAATGAACATGCGTGTGTGGTGCTTGACTCGTTTAATACATGCCAATAACGTCGCCGCTTCAGCTCGCAGCCGATCGGTAGCCTCCGAAGATGACGCCGAGAGTAACGCATGAGTGTTGACCACCGTGGCAAGAGTTAGTATTTTGCCAATGGAGAAGTTGTGCAGATCGAAGCCCCCTTGTTCCCATATAAACCTGACAACGGTTACTATGGCCGAGGAGTGCTGATGACATTCTCGCGCGAGCTCCTCCACGGAAGATCCAATCTGGTCGTCTTCCGACGGGGGAAGGTCGCTCCGCCATGTAAACTTGAGGGCATGAAAATGAATGAGCTGGCCGACGTGGTGATACAGAAGATGCATGTATGCAAACTTTCGGAGTGTGTCATGATGTTTGTGGCGTTCCAAGTTGGCCGCGGTAGAAAGCAGGGATACGTCTCGAGTGGTGGAGTAATGATGGAAGCGGAGCCGGGTTTCTTCCAACGCGGTGCTCGAACCTGCGTTGAAGTATGCGTTGCAGACTTCAAACATAATTTCCGACAACTTGAGAATCTCTTGGCTCACACTGACACTACTGGGTCCATGAAGAACTCCATCCGCAAGGGTTCCAGTACCTCTCTTGAGAGCCCAAAATTCACCGTCACCAAGCATTGTAGGTATGTGATCTTGAGACGAAAATTGAGGTGGCAAACGCAAGGGAAATGTCATAAGCCGATCCATCAATGCCATTGTACACACAAGACGCCGGTTAGCCTCTGAAGTCACTGAATTCTCTCCTGGATGTGTATCTAGGAGACGAAGCGCGCGTAACATGTTGGTCGCGAAACCTGTTATTTGGTCAGTACATCGATAGCCTGGTAAATGTGACTTACCCAGGTACAGATATGACTGCCTTGACCCACCGAATGACATCTTGTATGTACTTAAAAGGATGTATGCTTGGATGACTGTGATTGATGGGCAGTCGAAATCCCGCTGAAGCAACATTCTGGCGTGCTCGAAAAGCAATTCACCGCGGTGAGATGGTGGCAGTTCCTCATTAAAGGGAGCGAGCGAAAATCTTGCAAGGGGTTGTGGTTAGATGGATGTTACGGCGACGCATAACTCAATGCTGCAGAACTGGACAAAACAAACCGAATGCTGAGCGCCATAATGGAGTATAAAATGAGCTTGGGGACTTGCCCAACAGCAAAGTCTTTCAAGAAAAGCTCTTCATCAAACATAAAATGGATGTCGCTAAAGTTGCTAAAGTATAGCAAAATCAGCGAGTGTGTAAACTCCCCTTCCCGGAGAACATCTTCGGGACGGCCTCTCCCAAAATCGAGACCTGGAGTCTCCTGGTTGAGTTGGTAGGCAGCTGGCGACTGGGTTTGGGGGCTATTCGCGATGGGAAAATTGGGACTGCCTTGCGAGAGTTGAGCTGGAGATGGTGATTGGAACGACCGGGAGATCTGTGGAAGGTATGAACAGCGGACGTTTCTGCTCAGACATCGTTCGCAGCTAATGTCAGGCTCTTTGACCTTGCATCTTAATTTACTAGAACTATTGCCCATCAGCGGAGTTACAGAGTCTAGGACGCAACATATTGCATTCAGCTGACTCACCGGCAGTGATTGCAGGCGATGCGACGCATTATTCCAAGGGAGGACAATTTCGCGCTGTTGAAGGTATGAGTAACCACAGAATAAGTGCCAAAGACACAAGATGAGAAGGGAATCTGAGCACGTGATGCGGTATTAGTATGTAGGGTTAGTCTCCATTCAGTAAGCTGTAAGTTACTGTTTACTCTTATTGTGTTAAGGATTTTACATCAACTTTCTCTATCCAATTGACTAACATTAAGTCATCCCAACCCGAGTTATCTGATGGGCTTTGGGGCCTCAAGTATAGTCTTACAACCACCATACAACAGTCCTGAGCATCCTGTCCACTTTCCCCTACCGTTGTTTAGCCAGTAAAGGGGTTGATGAGTAATATTTTCTTACCCCAAGCCCAGCATCCCTACCGCTTACCGCTTGTCGGTTTTCTCACCGCGACACATTTCTTTCTGCTGTCAGAACCCAGCACAATGAGCAAATTAAATAAGCATCAATCGTCATCTGGCAGCTACGTGCTGAAGACTTGCCAGACTTGTTTTCATGCCAAAATCCGCTGTGATAAGAGCCAGGATTCCGAGCTTTGCGACCGGTGCTTGCGGCTTGGCAAGGAGTGCGTGTTTAATCCAGCTCGCCGCCGCCCTAAAGTCAGCCGACAGAGGTATGAACTTCTTCATATGAATAAAGATTCCGACTTGACTTACTCACATTGGATTGCCAGACCAAACGAAACATTAGAAGTAAGAACGAGATCCAGTAGAGTCTCTAAGTCGCCAGTGAATTCGCATGCCTCATCTTCAGCCCCAACTCCTAAGCGGCTGGTTGATGTCATCAATAGAGATGCCTCACTTGACCCTTTCGAAAGAGGCATTCTATCCCTGGAAACTGCCAGCACACTCATCGACTGGTTTAGGAGGAAGATGACGCCATATTTTCCGTTTGTCGTGTTCTCCAAGGATCTTTCTGTCGACCAGTTGAATCGGGAAAGGCCATGTGCCTGTTTGGCTGCTCTGGCAGCGGCTTCGCACTCGGAACTACATACACAACAGGCACTAGGCAGTCTCTTCAATCAAGTAATAGCAGCAAGAATGATTGAAGGTAATATCGCCGATATAGATCTGCTGCAAGGTCTCCTAATCCACCTCGCTTGGTAGGCTCGTTACCGCTTTTGACGGCGAAGTCTGGTTACTAAAATATTGCAGGGCACACTACCAGACCCGACCTAAGAGATACACACAACATTTGCACCTTGCTACTAGTATTGTGTGCGATTTACGGCTAGACAGACCTAGGTATATATAACATCCTCCCTCCAGTTAGTTATACTAAAGTATTAACGTTGACATAGGAGGCCAGAAGTGTGGAGTGTTGACGGTAGCAAGGATAAGAATGAGCTAGACTGGAGCCCTGAGGAAATGAGAGCATTAGTTGGCGTGTACTATCTCTCCTCCAGGCAAGCAAGTCCACGATTTTTGTGTATCCTTCATTAACATCGTTCCAAGTTCTTCCCTGATCCTCCAAAAATCGCGCCACTTCTACTTTACGCCTTACATCTCAAGGTGTTGCGAGTATCTTGCCCATCAGAATCAACATCCAACCGATAAGCATCTTGCTTGCATTGTACACTTGCAAAAGCTTACCGAGAAAGTTGAAGAAATCACGGGTAGGACCTGCAACATCGGCGATGGTGCACAATTCGAGGCCGAAATTCAGCAGATTGCCCAAAAGTGTGCTGAAGTCAAGTCCACTTTACCCTTTTCTCTCAGCGAAAGTCGTAGGTTATTACACCTTCTTATAGTGGATAATAGTTTCTTATTAATTTCCCCACAGCTCCTCTTTTCTTGCAATTTCACATGCTAGAACTTTTTCTTAGCCAGTCATCACCACGAGGGACTCCATTTGGGCTTGACAAGTTTCAGGACAACCAAAACCGATCTGAACATCAGGCTTCTCTAATGAGCTGGCTGTCTGCTAGCATATCGGCGGCTCGCTCTCTGATCAGCGTCGTACTCGTCCTTCCACAAGGCGAAGAGGGTGCAATGTCAAACATAGGTTGGATAATCATCTATTGTGGTCTATCACTCGCGGTCCGACTTGATCTGATAGCTGCAAACCGTGGCATCTCGGGATTTACCCAGCATCTACGCCAATTTCTGGATATGCCCCATACACTTCGGCAAGTTGTTCTTCGGCTAGAGGCAGCGGCTGATTTGGACTCGGGTACTGTGGCTGGCGATCATGGGCCGTTCGATGGCTTTGCCAAGCGAGTGAGTCGGCTTGAGGAGTGGTACTTTGCTCGTATCGACCAACAGGTGGCTGAGCCAGCTACCACCACAACTTTACAAGTGACTGGACAATTGCCAATGTTCATGGGCACTGACTCTATTCCCGGTGGTGACTTGATGATATCCCAGGACGCCTGGGCTGGAAGCTCCGATTGGTACCATGGTTCAGAACTAGACATGGGCACATTTCTCTTTACGGACCCTGTTGATTTCTCAGGCATGTTTGCGCTCTAAAACTAGGTACAGGGCGCAGGGTGGATTTAGATACGGGATAAGAGATGGACGCGACTTGCACGGCTCATCAAACCAAGGGCCCACAGAATTAGTACGGACACGGAGTAAGACACGGAATAAGACGCGGATGACACGGATGAAGACGGATTAAGGCACGGAATAAGTAACAGAGCTGGATGTGCTTACACACTTGTAAGGATTTGCATGGTTCTCTTCGGAAGTAAATTACTTTGCAACCTCTGATGTGTTAGAAGGATGTGATCCCCAGTCTTGCAATTTCCATCTGAGCCTCCTTGAAGCCTCCGGATGATCCACAGAAGAACCGGGTTCGAATTGATGATTTTGGTTTGAGTTTCTACAAATATCGAGGAGAAGTCAGCATAACGAGCCGAGAATCATGTTCTGATCTTCTCATCTCCTGCATCTGCCTTTTCCCAAACCATTGACCTCGACCTTCGCCACAATGCGCTCATCACTCTCCTCGCTCGTCGCGATACTGCTCTTCGGCGCATTGCCTGTTTCAGTGTCGACGCAAGACACTGACAATGTTACTTTTTCAGCATGCCCTCTTATCGGCGCATATTACCCTCCGCCAACTATTTCCAAGTCATCGGGTGCATTCAGTCAACTCGCATCCACATTCACCGATGTCTTTGACGAACTCGTCAAGGATGGCGGCAGCGAGAAATACGGTTCCATCATGCCCAACACAACCTCCTTTTCCGTGGTCCTCTTTGGCGGCTCACATTCTCTTCGTGAAGATCCCATCTTCTTTGAATACCACTATACCTCTCCCGCGGACCAGTCTGTTACCGGCGCAAGTCTCACCTCAAGCACAAAGTTCCCCGTTGGCGATGTGACCATGGTATTCACTGTATACGCGTGGCTAGTCGATAAGGGCGAGCAGTGGGAGGAGTCCATTACTAAATACCTACCAGAGCTGGCTCGTATCGAGGGACCGCTCACGGTTCCTTGGGAAGATGTTACGATTGGGTCGTTGGCAGGCCAAATGTCTGGACTAAGTCGTCAATGTGAGCTCCCATCAACATTCCCTTCTTTCAGGCACATACTAACAGCACGTCCCAGCACAATCATGCGTCATCGGCGAGCCTTGCGACTGGAAATGTGAGCCTACTCAATGCGGATTTACTTCAGATGAAACGCTAACTTTCACGTCAGCCTTCGCGAGCGACTTTGCCGAAAAGTCCCCCATTTTCCTCCCCGACACCACCCCCATGGTTTCTTACGCGGCGTTCCAGCTCCTCGCGTTTGCAATGCAGAGGGAAAACGGTCACAAGAGAGGAAATCACTCCTGGGCTTCGGTTCTCGAAAAGACTCTACTACGATCTCTAAACATGACTTCCACGAGTCTTTTGTGCGATAATATGACCGATGTGTTCGCCATTGATGGGTTGAATATTTCACAAATCGGCGAACCTGGGTAAGTTTGCTATTCGTCAACATTCACTTACACTCTTTTAACTGAAGTTCTTGTAGCGCCCTATCCCTCGTCAGTTCGATTGAGGATCTGGCCCGCGCCGGCCACTCTATGCTATCGTCGACACTCCTTGCCCCTGCAATCACTCGGCGCTGGCTACATGCTAATGCAGACACATCTAATCTGCGCAATGGTGTCGGCCGTCCCTGGGAGGTATACCGTGCTGGGTCCTCCGCCATCTCGCCTGTTCTCGACGTGTTGACCAAGTCTGGCACTATCGGACAATATGCAAGCTACTTCGGTCTTGCACCAGATTTTGGAGCTGGTTTCGCCATTTTAGCGCACGATAGCACTGTCCAGGACCGCAAGCTCGATCTCAACGTTTATGCCGACATTGTCAGTGAGTCTCTTGGCTATATGCAGGTATTTGCAGCCAAGGAATTGGCCCTACGGTATGCCGGCAGATACGAGGGTGAAGACCATGCTGTAGCTGTTCTCAACCTTACTGATGATGGACCGGGCTTGGAGGTCCAAAGCTTGATTCTTGGCGAGGTGGACTTGAAGGCTGAAGTCGCCAAGAAACTCGATGTCAAGCTCGCAAACCTGGACTTCAGAATCTACCCGACAAATGTGCAGGATACGAGCAAGCACCAATTCGTCGCTGTTTTCCAGGATAAGAGTGCTCCAATCGATATGGGCACCCCAACGTGCATCACTTGGCAGGAAGTTGGTGCGACAACTGGCATCAAGTACAGCCTGGTCTTTCTTCTAGATACAGGTGGCAATGCTGTCGGCCTGGAACTCCTCAACGCACAAACGGTCTTTAAGCGGATGGAATAATTGAATTCTCACAGGAGCTACAATAGGTGGAAGCATGGTTAGATTAGTCCGACAACATTCATCAATTTTTTTCCTTCTCTTTTTAAATTAACTAAATACTTAAGCTAACCGCCAATTATCTGAGACCAATCCAGACGTTCTACATTTTTATTGTCGGCAGAATTCCTGAGCTGCCCTCTGTCGCAATGGCGCTAATGCAAAGGGGAATGCATCACTCTTCTTGCCGGTAGCGTTATTGTAGTCCATATCTCCGTCTGACACCCTGAGCCTGGTGATCTTTGATCTAGGCGCCCCGTCTGGAGTTGCCCTGCCCAACATATGAGCCCAGTTTTAGGAACCTTGTGCACAGCACACCAACTGCCGAAGCCAACATTTTGCGACGTCTTCTTAATCTTCAATCAAACGCCATTCCGTGAATTTGAGAGGTCCAGCGTCAAATATTGAAGCGTGCCCGATCTCGGTTTAATCGCCCGTGATATCAGGTGAAATCCCACGTAAGACGACCGGCCGGTTAAAATAATAGTATTTCCAGGTTTTTAAAGTACTGTTCGTAGAGGAGGTATCATAAATTCGTTATACATAAAAAATTGTATTCCCAACCTCGCCAATATTTTCCACTGCCAAGGCATTCTTCAACAACCATTCTCGATATACCGTCTGGATCCAAATGCCCAGATGCCTCAAGAAGGCAGCAATCTTGTAGCAGCCAACAAGCGTGTCGGTACTTCCAATGGAAAAAGTTGGAATTACGTCCATCCCGTCGACTTTGTCTCTCACGAAGTAAAGTTCCCATTTCCCCCCGCAGACGGATATCACAGGAATTGTCACATCAACTGCCAGCGTGGAGTTAGACGTACAAGCCAACGACCGTAGCCGCTTGAGATAGGCGATAGTCCACACCGATAGTTGGGCCTTTGCTTCCTCATTTGAGCTTGCGGGTGCCTTAGTTTCGATGTTCACGGCAATAGGCCGGTCTCGGATAGGCTTATAAGATGTGTGGTTGATAGAGCTGGAGTCGTTCGCCATCTCCTGCCGTCGTCGTGACGCACTCATAATATCATCTCCAGCCAAAGCGATACAGAAGTCGACCATCTTAGCCTGGGAGTCGACACCCGTTCTATGGCGTGGGAGATATGGCTTATTTATAGATGCGCGTGTAACATCATAATGCCGCACCTGGCCGGCGAAGCTCTTCAGGACAAACTCTAGCAATAGGTGGTGCACTCGAATGTTCCAGGCTGGTTCTGAAAATTCTTCGTCTTCGCATTGTTGGGTTGCGTCGACCACCTCCATGAAGAGCTCTAGCTCCCTCCCTTCATCCCACGGTCAAAGTCCTTGACTGATCGACCATTGTTGCGCGTCGTAGAAGCTTGCTTCCGAGAGTGGATCGTCCAACACTGTTGAAACCGATTGGATGTCCTTCTTCACCGGCAGCGGGATGATATCACGTCCGGCGCGAACCCCTTGCACATAACCAAAGAACTGTGCCACATCAGGAGGCACTGTATCCGTTTTTCGCAATCTAGAGATGTTGACGGGCTTTTCTGTAAGCCGCAAGTCTGATACACTTTTAACAGGACTCCTAGATCCTCTAGACTTGCTGCCGCCTGTGGTTGACCTCGTAACCGAACTCGTATTGTGGAGGGATGACGTGGCTTCGGTGACGGTGCGTTGGCGTAGGCTGAGGGAGCCCGAGGCGTCGATTCTTCGGCGTTTCGAAGGGCAATTATTTGTAGGTGTCCGTCGAAGGTGATTGATGACGTGCACATCGTTGTGAGGAGGAGAGGAGGGGCTCGAGAAATCATCGATGGGGAGCTTGCTGACGATAGCTGGCGGTCGACTGTGCGGCTCGTGTGTCTGAGCTATCCAGGCTTCGATGCACTCACCATTCATACTCGCCACGCATGAATGAATTATGTTTCGAAGAGGATTTTGTCATGTCGATGAAATGGGAGGTAAATGCATTGTTTGTGAGGAGCGTGCGTCATGTTGCGACCGGACTTATCATATCTTGGTTGACCTGACAACAGCTCCCCCAAACCGCATGCCCAAACCAACAAGAGCGACAGAATGATGCAAATAGAAATGTAATTTCTCATGTGAGCTGGGTTGAGTTGACCAGGCTAGCAACAAATAAGGAGTATTGCTATTCGCACACGAGAATATCGCCGTCCGCACACAGATATAAGCTTCTTTACTACGGCATCAGCCTGAGTAAGGTATCTATCTATCTGCCTGATTGGTGAGATAGTTAAAAGTAGTGCTCAATATATATCTTTCATATTCAACTAGACTTAATAAATAAAATAAATATTATTACTGTAAAAAATAAATACTCAATATTAGTCTTGAGAGAAAAAAAATACAAACTACTCTAGGAGGCCAATGATCATTAGTAGGATTGAGAATATAGGTACGTGTGCTGATAGCAATACTATAGTTAAGTAGGGCCTGAGCAAGCCTGAGCAAAAGCGCTGATGGGTCACATACGGGGTCTAGGATGCAGGCGTCGAGATCCGTCTCGTCTAAAATCAGATAGACCAAAGCCATAAAATGCTTGCAAACAATAGGAGCACGGATTTATCACTATACCTAGTGCCAGAAGATGCAATAGCCCGTACAGTGAGATAATATTCATCAGATATTCTGCTCAGGCAGACTGCCTAATTATATCCCAGGCCATCGCAGCTAGAGGGCCAAGAGGTAAAAGCCGGAGCTACTGTACATTAAACAAGGCCAGACCGTAAAAACAAACAATGCGAATCCCCTTCCATCCTGCAGGAAACCTGCCAATCTCCAGTAGAGCAGGACAGACGGAAAATTCTGTCTATGAGGCATAATCAGGACACGAGGGTTAGTATCCATCTAGTAAGCCACATCTTTCACTCTCATTGCATCAGAATGTTGCGTTGGCTTTGCCCGCTGGGGTTGCTAAGATCGGACGGTGTCGGGCAGCTTGACTAAATTTCCCCATGCAGTGGATATCGAATGACTAAACGATTTCAGGTCCAGAAAGCAGACTATTGCTGCAGCTAAGAACACAATCTCTATCAGCCCACTCTATACATGATGAGATCTGGGGTCGGTCCGGCCCATCCACGATTGCAAGGCCAAAGGCGAGAAACCTCGGTTCCAGCGGTAGTATCTCTATTTCCGTCTCCGCAATTCGTCAATTTGTAGGTTCGTGCGAATATCCCACCTCGGCGCTCATGAGACCATGATCACAGTATGCAATTTTGGCTTAGGGCCATCCAATGGCCATCAAGTGATCAAGCCTATTTCAGGCCTGATCACATTTGCACAGATAACATCTCGAGTCTAGACTATTCGAAATCACCTTTTGCCGAGACTGCGTTTGCCGTAATTCCGGGATACGATGCCACCGCCCGCCAAACCGGGTGGGAGCCGGTTGACGCCAATCACCAACAAATTGCATCATAGAGGCGCGTTAGTACTCGCCGCCTTACAGGGCACAGCAGCGCCTCATAAGCTCGCGATTGCCAGGCCCAAAGGCGTATCCATGTGGGATTGAGAGATTGATACGAAATCGGTTGGCTAATCCATTGCAAAATGCCTGTCTGCAGTCAAAGTTCAGCTCATATTCTCCACTCACCCTTGTTGTCCTGCACTCTTTCACTCCATGAGGTGGTACATCCACAAAGACCATACCTCCAAGTGGAGAAGGTCGGTCGATTATATCCACTGCATGGCACAAGTTGACGATTATATGCTCCAACCGACATAATTCGACTACAAACCTGGCCTTAGGCTATCTCAAAGATAAGCCCCATTTGGATTATTCGCCTGTTGAAATCTAGACCCTTGATGAACCGATCAGAAGTATAAAGTAAGCTTAGCTGCACGTCGATAGAGCTCCTTCTCTCCGTGAACTTGCAACTACGTTTTCTTCCAGTCAACACCAGTCAAGAACCATCTTCAGCCATGGCCTGGAGTGCTGCATTTGGCCGTCTGGCTATCGCTAAGAAGCATGACCGAACGCCAGAAGAGCGAGCCTTTGTTCGGAGGCTCGACTTGTTTCTCATGACCTTTGGCTGTATTTCTCAAGGTAAGTGGCGCCATGTTCAATTGCGACCGCCATGTTAACCAGGTGTCACCTAGTCATTAAATTCCTTGATCAAACGAACATCACGACTGCTTATGTGAGCGGTATGAAGGAGGATCTGGCCCTCATGGGAAACGAACTGAACTTGTTAGTCTACGAGATCAAGAATGGTACTTCACTTGAGCATATGCTAACACATGGAAGCTTCACGGTATATTTTAACATCGGGTACTGCATCATGCTTATCCCATCCCAAATCATCATGACCTACGTGCGTCCTAGCCTGTGGCTCCCAGGACTGGAGATTGCGTGGGGTGTCATTACCGGCTTGATCGCAATTGTCCATAACGCCAAACAAATATATGCCTTACGATTCTTCCTGGGCTTGTTGGAGAGCAGTGCCTGGCCAGGAATGATCACGCTACTGAGTAGCCCTTCCCAACCCTCGTCCTGGCGGAGAGAAATGTGCTAATTGCCGAGTAGTGTACTGGTACACGCCTTCGGAACTAGCAAAACGGTGAGATCCACATCCACATCGAAAATGAATGGAAAAAATTCCCTTTATCCAGACTAACATTGTGCTAGAATGGGCTTTTATCATTCTGCCCGGGCTGTGGGTGGTATGATGTCTGGCGCGCTGCAAGTGGCAATCCTAAAGACCCTAGATGGGAAGAACGGTCTTGAAGGGTGGCGGTAAGTCTTAAGCCGCTCTCTCCCAATACTATCAGTTCCTGACCTTTTGCTTCAGTTGGCTATTCATCATCAACTCTGTCATGACCGTTGTGCTGGGCTTCTTCGGCTTCGTCATGCTCCCTGACACGCCCAATCGTCCCAACCCCTGGGCGAAGTGGTGGTTCACCGCTGACCACGCTCGAATTTCAATGGACAGACTCGATCGACATGGTCGGGCTGAAGCAAGGAAGATAACTTGGGCCGCAACAAAGTGAGTAACTCCATACTGTTCGCGAACCACAACAAGAGATTGACCCAGATTCTTCCCAAATTTAGACGTGCTAGCCGCATGTGGATTACATATTACATTCCAGCCTACTGGGTTGTCAGCGGCATGAGTGCTGGAGGTTTGAGCTACTTTAGTCTTTTTCTCAAGACCTTGGTCGATGGCCAAGGCAATCGGCTCTGGTCCACCACCCAAGTCAATACTATTCCTATCGGAGGCGGTGCTGTCCAGGTCGTTTTCAGTCCGTTATTCCCTACTATCCGATTCATTATGGAAATGAACGCTAACATTGAGCACAGTCTGGGTTTGGTGCATTCTGTCTGACCTCCTACAAGTCCGCTGGCAGCTTATTATCGCCCAAAGTGAGTGCTTCACTCAGGATCCATCCATCGCCTACTTCTAACACCCAAACTCAGGTCTCATTGGCATTATTCCAGCCGTTATTATGACTATATGGACAAGGCACCCTGATCAAGTGCCACTTGCCGCCGCCTACGCCAGCTACTTCATCACCTACGCGGTCCAAGCATCAGGACTCATCCTACTTGCATGGTTCACTGACATGTGAGTTTCCACTACATAAATCACCACAGCTGCCATTACTGACCTCCATAAAAGGTACCCTCGAGATCCAGAGGTTCGATCTTTAGTTGTCGGTCTCGCAGTCGTCGCCATCTACGCTGTCGACGCGGGAAGCAACGTCCATATCTGGCCGGCTATCCGAGCCCCATACTGTGAGTCTCTCACTGCGCCCGTTTCTGTGTTATTTTAGTGACCATACTAATTACGACTGCTCGGTTCTTAGATACAACTGGTTGGGCTGTTATGCTCTCGATGTGGATTGCCGGTGTTGTTCTCATCTTGGGACTGTGGCAGCTCGACGTCCGTCTTCTCTTGTGAGTTCCTCCCCACATTTCTTTTGTCTTTTATCACTGTTGTCGTTTTCAATGTCTGTTGAATTCATCAGCTAATCTCCGGCTTAGGCCCAAAAAACATGCCTTTCGCGAAGTCCAAGCCGAAGGGGAAGTCGCTGCCAGTGTGAACTCTGACGAAGGTCAGGATAAACAGTTTGATGCGAGCGAGGGAAAGGGGGGTAAGACAGTCAAAGTTAATCAGATTGTCTAACATTCCAGTTGGCAGTCGAAAATGAACAGTCGTCCAATATTGCCAAGGCTCAAGGTCTCCACAGAACATCTGGAGCCAGTGAACCGGAATCAGGTGTTTCTGCGATGGAGATTGGTGCTGCGTTTCAGATATTGATGATATTTAGACTGAAGATGCAATTTAACAGAAACTGTGGTCAAATTCTCAACTCATGTTTTAAGGCAGAAATTTCCTTTGAGCTCGAGTGTAAAAATTCGCCTCATCATGCAGTTGTGTGTTGCTGAGCAGGCCTACGCGCAGCCCTTGTGCATCATCTAATCATTACTGAGGAATTCTCACAACAATTCTACCCGTAATGCTATCCTTCTTCAGCCTGTCAAAGATGTCTGGCATCTCAGAGAATTCCAAAACTTCAATGGTTGGTGCAATTTTTCCCGTCGCAGCATGTTCCAGTAGCTCATGCATCTGCTGCTCTGTTCCCGTCGCGACACCCGTAACAGTCAGTGCTGATCAGACAAGTCAGCTTATTGAACTAGTTTAGCAGTAGAAAAGTACTATACCTCGCGCTGAACAAAGAGATGCAGGTATCGGAAGGTCGAAATCGTTGGGTGGGAGGCCGACGGTGACAATCAGTCCCGTATTTTGAACCAATTTTGGGGCGAGTCGAAATGCCTCCTTGGAACCCGAGACTACCACGACTGCGTGTGCGCCATCGCCTGTCAACTCCTTCACCTTCTTTTCCACATCATCTTCGACAAAGTCAATGAAGTACTGAGCACCGCAGCTGATGCTCAACTCGCGTTTAGATTTCCCAGAGTCGACGGCAATCACGCGATATCCTCGCAATCTGCTGGCGATTTGGACACCCAGATGGCCGAGTCCGCCACCAGACCCGGATATCACAACCCAATCATTGTCTGCCAATTGAGCATCGAGCTTTGAAACTGCCCCTGCCATAGTGAGGCCGGCGCACAAAAGAGGAGACGCCACTTCGCTAAGGACCTCATCCGGGATCATCGTCACGTACCTAGCATCCGCTACAACGTATTGCTGGAATGTTCCCGATACCTGGCGGCCCGTGTTGATCTGGTTAGGGCAGTTGTTTGTGAAGCCCTTCAAACAGATAGAGCATTCTCCGCAAGCGCTGAAGACCCATTTCACGCCGACTCTCTGACCCAGCATGGATTCTGCAACTTGGTCACCTATTTTGACCACCGTCCCGACTCCTTCGTGGCCCACAATGGATTTGTATTGGCTCCATCCAAGAAAAGCTCGAACTTCCGACCCGCTGCGACGAGGGTCAGTAGTCTTATAATCGCTTTTCGCGGGATCAATTACCAAATACCACTAAAGGCAAGTTTAACGAGAATCTCATTAGGCCCAGGCTCTCCAACCGGTACATCGTGGCGGATACTGATGGCTGCAGTTGGTCCTGGGTTCTCAATGACCGCCGCCGTCTGGAACTGGGCTATTTGGACGTCCATTCTTAAAATCGAAATGCTGTTGTCGGTAACAATTATGCGAACGAGTCATTACGACTGCTACCAGTCTTGATAAACGAATAGATGCTTACGCCCTCCGAGGTTCCCCACTTCGGCTTGGAAAGCCGGCATTTGAACTGTGGGCTGGATACATTAGTGCGGAGCGCTACTTGACCTATCTACGTCATCTACAGTAGGTATGTAGCTCAGTCGCCATTACAGTAGCCACTTTCTAGGATGAATCATGGAGCAGTTAGGCCGACGTAAATGATTGATTCGACTTCCATTACCGCCCATTACTGCACGCAGCACATTGCTGGATAGATGTCGTTACGCCCAGGCTTAATATTCAACGACGATCGGATATTCATCCGGTCGAACACGAGCTATCACAATTCTCACGCCCTCTCAATTGCAGAGAGTGGCCACCGCCGTATGCTGGTCACTACCATAATCAAGTCAAGATCCACAGAGGACTCTTACGCAAGTAATATAGGAAACCAGATCAATGGCAATAGTGGATGCAATTCGTCAAACTACTAATATAGTTCATCCTCCGCTTACCAACAGCTATCTCAAATATAAGACTCACGATGCTGCACTCATGGCCTCCATCGGAAAGCGGGATGCTTCCAGTCGAGATCTTCAATCTGTTGCGGGGTCATTCCACTCAGCTCTTCATCAACATCCCCATCATCCTTCTTCTTATTATCCCTCTTCATCCACAGCAAGGTCAGTGTGCTAACGATGAGGACTGTTCCAGACGTCGCCAGGTTTAGCCCATTGCCAATGTGATAATTGGGCGCGTCCCAAGGAAGAAACGACCAGCCTGCGATCAATCCGCCAATGTTGCCCATCATGACGTTCATGCCAATTGCCGCACTGCGAGCTGTGTCGCTCACAACATTCGCCGAGACTTGGGCATTGGTGAGCGGTCCGAGAGCGAAACAAGATGAGGCGATCAGGAAGGTGGCACCGTAGCGAACAGAGTTGTTTTCTGATCCGAGGAACATACAGTAGCCGACCATGCACATCGGTGCACACATGATGAAGAATATTTGTCGTCTGTCGATACGCCAGCTGATTAGAGGCAGCAGCACGGTGAAGAATGCCCCTACGACGTAAGGAGGAACAGTGTATAGCTGCTGTTGAATTGTCGTCTTGTCCTGGTAGATGGTCTTGACAATGGTCGGGGCAAAAAAAGCAAGACCTTGAACCGTAACGTTGTTAAGCAGGAAGATAAATGCCGTGCTGAGAGTCATAGGAGAGAGTATGCCTCGGAGAAGCTTGGTCTTGTCAATCTTATCCAGCACCACCGTGGTGCCGACGCGTTCAGACTTGACGCGAGCAATAGCAAGATCCTTCTCTTCCTCGCTGAGCCAGCGAGCCGAAGCCGGCCGATCGGTAAGGGTCAGGAAGCCAACTAGAGCCAGGGCAATCGTAATGATTCCCTCCAGGGCAAAGATCATGCGCCACCGGTGCAGGCTACCAAAGTTGTCGAGTGTGAGGATGGCAGAAGCTAAAAGACCACCAAATGCTCCAGCGAGAGGCGCCATGACGATGTAGAGGGAGAGGCGGAAGACCAGTTCGGAGCGGCGATACCAGCGAGACAGATAATAGGCGATGCCGGGCATCATTCCAGCTTCGAAGATACCCAGAAGAAAGCGGACTCCGCATGCTTGCGGGATGGTCTTGACGAACCCGGTCCCCAAAGAGGTGACGCCGAAGAGCAGCGTGGTAAGCGGGAGAAACCAACCAGGGCCCATCCATTTGCACAGAAGATTAGCGGGGATTTCAAAGAGAATGTACGAAATGTAGAAGACAGAAATAACGACGTTGTAGTCGTAGCCTTCCATTCCGAGATCGACATCGAGGCCGGCAATCTTTGCGTTTCCTGGAGAGAATTAGCGGTCGCGAATATGTCGCCTCCGCGCGAAAACTTACCGATATTTGCGCGATCGATGAAACAGAAAAGGTAGAGCAGCGAGACGGTGGGGATGATGTACAGGTCGATCTTCAGACGCAGTCGACGCTCCGCGACCGGGTCGTACTGCACCAAGGACTGGCCATATCTGCGACAGGTTACTTTCTGGACAATTCGTAGTCGCCTTGATGGAAAAATGCATACTTGTCTGTGGCGGCCTGGCCTCTCTCGGCGGCGTGGTGGAGGGTGGAATCGTTCAAGGCCTCGACGTTGTCGTGGTGGTTGACGTGCTGTGTCTCGGATTTCACCATGTTGGTGGCTGCACAGTTGCCGATTTACAGACACTGCCGAGAATGCTCGGTGTTGGAATGCGAGGTAGTATTAGCAAAGGTATCCGTGCTATCAGGGCCATGAATGCAGCCTCATATTTATACATATGCCTTCATATCACACCCATCGCAGCTCCTTGATGTCTTGGCAACGTTGGCTCCCCAGGTTTTTGTCACATCTGTCTCCCCGCACATCCATCCCCAAGGTGACAAGCCACTGACACCCCGGATTTCGGAACGCCACTGCGAGATGGACAGGCCTAGACTCGAATGAATCATGCTCACGGCCTCGCGGTAGGTGCACGTCTCTTGGAGCCGCGCAGAGATACGGCAACAGCCCACCCATCGGAGGGAGGACTGCCGGATACACACTCAAGCAACAGTCAGGTAAAGGCAACATCTCCGGGGCCAGGAAGAGAGCCGAGATCAACGGCCAATCAGGGAGAGGTTAGCCGGCTCGCTCCCGTCACCACACTCAAAGAGGACTCGAGGGATCCTCGCGACAGCGTCAGGATCGGGATAGTTCCCCGGACACTAAGGTTGCTTGGATGCGGGGGCCTTGAAGCCACGAGTCACCCCCGCATCCCGGCGTCTTATTGATGAATGTGTGCCGGTTTGCCGTGAGAATGGGGTAATTCAGCTGTGTGCCATGCTAGAGCAGGATAACCTTTGTTGCTTTGGTCGATCAGGACGCCAATCCTCGACGTTGGGCTCTTGGCTATTCCGATCGATATATTAATCTTGGCAGCATCGTTGGGACAGAAATATCGGCGATGCGTATCGGGGACGCGTCTCGGCGAGTGAAAGGCTTCTCGGACAGACGGGTGTGATGCAATCGACAATGATTCAAGACATCCTCGTCGACGTGCCAATCAGGATGCGATGCTGCCCTTCTCCTTCTGACCAGACTGCAGCAGTTCTCCAAGTCACCCTGAACGATCACCCTCTCGCCTGGTAGCAAACGGGCCGAGAAGCACCAAAGCGTTCACTCGAAGCCACCTTGATTGGATCGTCGCCCCGCATTCCTGCGCTGGCGTCGCAGCCGATGAGACGCCAGGATAAACGTTTGAATTAACCATGTTACTCTAATCAGGCAGGACCGAGGAATAGGGGACAGATCCCGGCGTCTCGGCCACATGCTCCACGTCGTCACGTACTGGAGCCTTGAGTTTATCGGTTCCCCGAGGGGAGGTGGGCCTTTAATTGAAGAGTACGTAGACCCTGTACATGGCAGGGGGTGACAATCTTGTCTTGGAATTAGTGCCGCCGCGGCGGATAATGTCGATCCTACTGGTGGGATGCATAGCGTAGATGTTGGGGTACTGAAAAGCTCAACTCCAGTCGTGCTAGAATATGCCAACGTCTAACACACCATCTAGGGCCTAGGAATTGCAACGAGCGAATTCTCAATTTGGAAAGCCGTGCGGCGACCCTGCTCAATCGCGCCACCAAGATACCCAACCCAACCATCCGCAATGTGTGAGCTCGCAAGCGGGACACTATTGCTGACTCTTCGCCCTTTTATCAGACTCCCAAGATCCTTAGAGAGCGCCGCAGGCTCAAAGACAGCCCATGCACCTTCCGACAGCTCCTCATTGCGGCTATCGAGCCACACAAAATCATCGACCGATTCCACTTGAACACTCTTCGGGACCAGATTATCGATCGACTGGTTCAATATATCGAGTGCGGATCCATCCTTCGCATCCGCTCGGCTGGATGGGAAGAATAGCAAGTTGGTGCCTTGAGCAGTTGACCGAGACTCCGAGAAGCCAAAGGAGGAACCGGATTGTGGACTGGCCACGCCGAAGAACTCGTCAAAATTTTCGGTCGAGTAGGCATGGATCTTTCCACCAAGGTTTGTATGGATGACTGAGGCATAGAAAGGGGCGAGAGGAGGCGGGAACTAAACATCGGCGAGACAGCAGACTTCTCAACAAGCATTACTGATCGATAAGACCCTTACTGATAACTAATTGATTGATTAACCAGCCAGGCGAGACACGGAGAATTGCTCTCGTTTATGGAGTATCCTCTGGCAAAGATGGTGCCCTATCTCGGATGATTGAAACCGGCGATATAGATTATATAAGCTTGCAAACTTGCCACCCTCCGGTTATTTGGCTTACCGAGTCTGCTTTCTACCTGAACTTGACATATTGGCTTCATAAGAGTATTCGCAGCGACAAGATCTCGATTTCAACACCAGTCACGGACACAACTGCTTGTGTCCAGAGCCTACACAGGAGCGAGAAAGAACGCCAGCATGTCAAGACCAGATGTGTCCAGGACTGCTGCGAATGTTCCAATTAGCTCACAAAAGGCCAGTTTCACCGACCATCTCATACATACGACCATAGGCGCTAGACAATACGGGATCCCGTCCGCTCTCCCCTAGTCAACCTGGCGACCGCTGGAGTAGTAGTCGGGTCGGTGACGACCGGCGAATGCCCGGTGTTGTATGTAGCCATCTTTTCTTTTTGGATCAATTTTCTCGTTCTCTTCAATGAGGATGAGGATGAAGCCGGGTACTCTTAGATGGGTGGGTAAATACTGGAAGTGGTTGGTAGGTGTCAGACAGCCTGATAGGGAAAGTCAGCTTTGCATAGGACCGGATCCGTACCGTAGTTTCCTCCGAAGCAATTTACCACTCCATGTTCCGGTGCTTGTCTGAGACATTTTTAGAACCTGAAAGTCGCTGTTAACCGATCCAACTGTTTCATGTTCTGATGTTCGTTTGTCTCCCAGCCTTATTAGCCTACCGTCCTGCTTATGCTGACTGACGAAACCCTACGCTTGGGCATGATAAGTTAAATACGTCATTTATTTTTTCAGTGTGGAAATAAAAGAATAATAGTCACGACCAACCGACTAGCAAGGCGTAATAATAATGCCAGAATCGCCAAAGGGCATTACCGTAGGGAGGCCGCAGGGGGGAAAGAGCGTGACTGGTGGATGATACACTTCAACAAGCGATCGTATCATCTTGTCACGACAAGTGTATTGTGTATCTTCACTGCAATTTTAGCGTATCCAAAGCAAGCCACAGAACTGAATGGGGCCCGTGCCTCCTACCCTAGAAGATTGAAGCAAACGGAAAAGTCCCGACAGTCCGTGAGAACTGAAAACAAATAAAATTATTTAATAAGCTCAAATCACATACCAGAGAATTCTAACCCATCCTATTGACTTATTAACTGATTTTCTTTTATTGTTGTCATTATATTTGTATTGCAGGTTGTTGACCTCGTCGTTGACTTTGTATTTTACAACCCATCAGAATTGAGAGCATTCTGTTTGTTCCAACTACTATCCCCAAATACACCACCAATCTCCACGACGCACAAGCCTGTTTAGGTTACCGCCCTCCTCGCGGGCCTCTGGCTTCGTCGGCCGCAGCTATTGCCGACTCGGACATCGGGTCAACTGCAACACCGCCGCAGAGAAAATCGCCCAGACCAACCCATATTAGGGAAGTGCATAGATGGTAGAGGGAACTATCTTAGGGGTGGATAGGAACACATCTATCCGATAAATCCTCCCTTGACTGCTTACAGACCTCCTCAAGGCTTTGCTGAGGCTAATCTGAGACAGACTTTTCAATATTTTCAACACATAACTCCTGACATAATGTATCGTTGCTTTAGAATAACTCGCCCCACGCTCGAGTTCATAGGTGTCCGATTCTAGCGCTAGCAAAAAACCGTAATTGGCATCAAACATCGATCGATGATCAACCTAGTATGATCCATGTCAGGGTTCGTCGTTCCTAAGTGGCGGAAGGGCCGGTTTAACGATTATTGGTGGCATTATACAGATTATCGCGGAACAATTAGGCTTGACCACTTGTTGAAGCAAACACCACCACCTCCCGATGTCAGCACTGGGTATCTTTGGGATCGCTTGTCCCCCTGGCCTATCAAACCCTTCGAAGTTAAGCTGTTTTTATTTGCTTCGCACCATGTTTCCTACGAACCATCAGATCGCACGTGCAGTGAGTGTCCCAGTGGCTCCCACCTTGACACGGATCTCGTACCGCACGGCCAGTTCCGAAAAAGCCACCAATGAAGTGCCAAAACGGTGCAATATGTTTGGGAATATAGCAATGCTATCCAATCGGTATCTCCGTTGGCTTGGCACCCCGTCGATTCGACCTCACATGGGGCTGTTATAGGTTATTCGCGGATTTTGATGTTTAATTCCAACCTCGATCGATGGGGCATCACCAGATGTTAAGTTTGGTGGTTTAACATCACCGAGGTAATGCCTCATGCCCACTCCAGATTTCATGGGCTTTTGGTGTGATGTCTACGATAGCTTAATAGCGAAATCCTGTCAAAGTGATACTAGTATTGTCGCCGTCCGATTAGGCATCCGCGGAAGCTTGCTCCGAAACGCCAGCTTCAACTAAGCACCAAACCCGGCCATCCGGATAATAAGATCGGCCAAACAGGTGACATGAGTGACCAAGACCCATGCCAGGATCCATCATAGTTACTTTTAACCTTAACATCTCGGGTCCTCGGCCTTAACCGACCCCGGAGTCGTGCCGATTGGCAACGCATCGAAAACAACCTAGTGGTGCCTCCTGATTCATTTCACCGCCTACCAAACCAGAAATGTGGAATCGATTCCTCGTATGGCCCGACAAGGTGAGTGTCAATAGTTTATGTTGATTGGAGGGATAATTATGGTGGTATACTCTGTCCAAATAGTCCCTGAAACAACTGGGCCTCCCCCTTATGATGCTACCCTCCCTTTCTGTCCAAACCATTGTGGCGGGTCATGCTAGCTCGTACGGGCTATCGGACCTTTGAATACCGACTGCCGGAATGGGAAGTCGTCGCCAGCAATGTTCGAAGGACACCAGATGTTCTGGATACGAGATGTACATTTCCATGTGGTCTAGATGAGACGGTGAAATATGTGAATACGAGGCGGATATGTTCGGGATATCTCAAGCAGGTTGAAGAGAGGCTAGATGGTGTATATAAGACTCGAAAGGCCTCTCCGTTAAACGTTTGGAAGACTCCATCATCATTCCAAGTTACAACTCCAATCCAGTATTTCCCTGCCCACCAGATTACCAACCTTCAACCGCCATCATGCACTTCAACCTTGCTCTCGTGGCCGCAATCGCCGCTCTCGCTCCATCCACCATGGCGTGCGTGGGCAAGAGCAACATGCCCAAGGCCACCGACACCAAGTCCAAGAATACCTTTATCGAGGTCAAGGCCGGCGAAACCTACGACGGCAAATATGTCCGCTTCGACCGCGGCTCCGGTGCATGCAAGTCTGGCGAGGGTGGTAAGTCACTCGGCTCCGCGGGAGTGGAAGAAGACTAAATATCTGCTCTCTGTAGGCCAGGCTGATGCTGTCTTCGTTGTCCGCGCTGGCGGTACGCTGAAGAACGCCATCATCGGTAAGAACCAGAAGGAGGGCGTTCACTGTGATGGTGCCTGCACTCTCCAGAACGTCTGGTTTGAGGATGTCTGCGAGGATGCCATCAGCATCGTAAGTCCATTACTCTCTTCATCGACTCCTTATTTGGGCTCTTGAACTGCCATGGTTATGGATTCTGACACCCATCCTAGAAGAACGACAAGGCCGGCTCGGTGACCAACATCATCGGCGGTGGTGCCTTCCACGGCGAGGACAAGATTGTTCAGCACAACGGTTGCGGACAGGTCAACATCAAGAACTTCTACGTCGAGGATTACGGCAAGCTCTACCGATCTTGCGGCAACGTGAGTGACCCTAACCCTTAATTGAAGTCGCCTTACTCACCTTCCAAACAGTGCAAGACCCAGTGCAAGCGCTCCGTCCACGTCGAGGGCGTCACCGCCAAGAACGGCGGCGAGCTCATCGGCATCAACAGCAACCTGGGCGACAAGGCCACCTACTCCAACAACTGCTTCGACACCAAGAACCAGTGTGTCACCTACAACGGCTGCGCCGGTGGCTGCGAGCCCAAGAAGTCCGGCCTTTGCTAAATAGCCCACTGCTTGACGCGGTCGGCTTTTAATTCGTTGGATCTCCGGATCAGAAAAGGGATTTCTTGATCCCACTTATTCTTGTCACTCAGTTTCCCCTGTATTTAGTTTATGAGTTGCTGTCCTGTCTTTATCGATATACCGATATTTTTATCATATTGAGTTTGCGTCCCTTTGAAGTGACATGACTGTTTAGGGGTATAAACTGCCAGGCAGGTCCTCCAGCCAATCCTTGTTACATTGTAGAGATTGAAGTGTCACATACACTATCGGCGCGTATTCTCTTACGCACTAGTGGAGTGTCCATTCCATTCTGCCGTAGCCGGCAATGCTCAGAATCTCCTTCAGCGTCGTGAGATCCCAACCTCGAGGCCCATGGGTTTCCGCAAGAATCCCTCACGGGTCTCCATGACTTCCTGTCGCAAAACGACGCCATAGCGCTTAACCCACACCGCAGCAATCAATCTCATTTGCATCTCCGCAAGATTCCTCCCCACGCAAGATCGAGGACCGTGGCTGAAGGGAATAAAGGCAGTCTTCTGGTCGGGGGTCAAATCTTCCCATCTCTCGGGCCTGAAATCGTCGGCATCAGGGCCCCAGATTTCCTTCGAGTGATGAATGGTGTATGTAGGGACGCTCAGAACCGTTCCAGCGCTGAAATGTCGTCCGTGGAGAGTGATGCCTCGAGAGTTGGGTGGGATTTCGCGAGGCAGGCCAATTCCTGAAGGAGAGTGGTATCGTAGGGTCTCGTTGATGCAATGGCCGAGATACGGGAGATGCTTGACCTCCTCGTAAGCGGGAACGGCATCATCGCCAGGCGCAGCAGCATCAATCTCTGCCTGTAGTTTCTGAAGCACTCCAGGGGTTCGGACAACGTTGTACAGGAGAGCGCATGAAGAGTTGGAGGTAGTGTCGCTGCCAGCAATCAACTGAGTCAGAGCTTCTGCAGTCAGCTCAGATCGACCGAGAGGCTCTCCCTTCTCATCTCGCCCGTCCATCAAACGAGCCAGGAGATCTTTGCGGTTAACATCCGTTGCCCGCTCCAGTCGCTCGCTGACTCGGGCGATGGCAATTCCAGCCAGGTTTTCGACGGCTTGCAATCCTTGGCTGAAGAAGGGATCCGGAAGCCACTTCGCATACGGCTTCAACCAAGGGGCACATCCGAGTGTGGCGGAAACTTCGCCGCGACGGTTCATAATCTCACAGGCGGGGGCATAAATGGCAGGGCTCGTTGGGCTTGCCTTGACCTCGGCGATGTCGGCTCCGGCAGCAATCATTCCTATAATTATCAGCATAGTTACGGCTTGCGATTCGTGGGTACTTACCAAAGGGCTTTCCAAAGGCCAAATCGGCGATGATGTCAAAGGCCACAAAGTTGACTACAGAGATGTCAGAAAATATGGATCAATCGGCGCTGAGAAACATACACCAGTTGAGGCAGTCCAGATCAGCAGTGCCGTCCCGGTTGGGAGATTTCTGCACGATTGAATCCCACTGCTTCGCCCACAGTTCGAGGTTCTGGCGGATATAGGGCTCGAATTCGAGGACCGACTTGGGGGCAAATGTGTGCGACACAATCTTGCGTTTGCGAGTATGCTCAGCCCTGTTTCTGGTGTTGAAGACTCCGCGATGGATCGAGACGAAGGGGTCGTAGTAGTCGCTGGTTTTGGTATTAGCAATTGGATATGTGGACTTCATATGTTGATTCCGGTGTAACTCACGATTTGAGGAAGCCATTGCCATGGCCATAGATGGCGTTGATGGCCGACGCGTCGGCAATGCTAACATGGTTGGGCGCGATGCGCACCACAGGCCCCAACTTCTTGTGAACCTGGTCGACCAACTCGTATCGTTTTCCTCGTCTGCAGGCGGAAAGCAACCAAAAGTTGCTGAACTGTGCGCCAAAGGGTGCCGGGATGCCTCGAAGGGCGCCAAAGGTGACCAAGTAGGGGAACAGGTAGTAGGCGGCCACAGCAGCCAGCACGGCGGCTGGCGCCCAGGGAGAGATGAGGACGTTTATGAGAGCCATTTGAGTTGTCGAGTCGGAGATGGTCTAAGTCGAAGGTGGTCTAACTCGAAGATGGTCTAAAGTCCTGAGTAATTCCATCGTGGCGGGCTCGTTGCTACTTGTATCTCGGCCGTGGACCTGACGTCAGTAACGCGAGGCGAACAGAGCCACAGCAACATGCCTCAACCAAGACCAAAACCAATGAGAACAAGGCCAATTGCGCCAACTGCCGCAACTGATGGCCAGCACCTGCGCATCTCCGAAGCGCGAGGCTCTCCACGGAGCCACATGTCGCATTTCTTGGTGTTCGCCTCCACGGCACCCCGCAGTTAGCTCACCAGTCTAGCTTGCGGATACGACATTCGGCATCCGCTCCTCGGCCGGGAACCGTCACGGCAAATAGCCGAGCATGCTGCAGTGTGGTACAAGATGGCGACTTTTCTCCGTGACTCTTTGGTATCCGTATTCTCGATCCGTCTTCTCCACGTCTTCTCCATGTCTTCTCCATATCTCATATCTTCTCCATACACCTTCTCCATACACCTTCTCCACGGCCTCCTCCGTTAGATCCGGCGCGAGGCGTGCAGCGGGTCGCCGGCACTGCGCGTGTCCACAATCAGATCCAGATCAAATAGTATCAAATATTATACAATTGTGCATTTTGCTCCGCGTGCTTTATGAACTCCTCGGCGTGTCCATTCTCCACTATTAGTGGCTCCGTCCGCAGTCCGTGTTGAATTCCTGGCCTCCCTCTCCACCTCTCCGCATCGTGACCCGGCGCAATCCATTCCCTCCCGGATGCGTTTGCGATTTATCTCCTTGCTTAATCTCCTCCGAGGACTTGCGGCAGTGAGTCGAGGCTCATCTCTTCCTGCACTCCCGTTGCCAGTACCCAGTGTTCTCTTTTAATGCATGGCGGGCGAATGTCGGGCTTACCCTAGACCTGCAACACAAGAGAGCTCATTTTTGTCGGCATACCATTATTGCAGCACTAATGGCCATTTGATCGTAAATATTTGATCAAATGGAGCGAAAAGAATGAGAATCCGAAGGGCAAGGCCAGGGAGCCGGCATCAACAGACGGGTGAACGAATATTACAGCTACCTTACGCTCAATAAAACAGCTCGTATTCGTCATCGTGTTCTGACATCATCAATCCCTCACAGCAACATCAGGCCAGTCAGTCCCTCAGACCTCAACTTATCGTATTAGCATACTTTTCGTAGACAACAATTCATATCCCTAAATTACGACCATCATCATCAATAGAATCCAAGTCACGGGATAAAACTCGCTCGGATCTTCTTCATTCCCCATCCGGAAATAATCCACCTCGGCTTTCACCATCGGTATATTCGACCCCGCCACATCTTACCCCGGAGGCTCGGATGCAAGGTCATTAAGAGTGCCCCGATTGGCCACACCGTTGCACAAGAGAGCTCGGCTGAATCCTAAAGGTTCCAATTCCCATCGGCGATGCCCTGTCGTGCCATCCGTCTTCCACAACATGGCCTGACCAGCTCTTGTCGTCTGATCGCTTGATTCCGCAATAGGCATCATCAATACCATATCTCCCCCATCGCGGCCATCTCGACGTTGGAATGCTCTAGCAAACACACGACTGCTACAGACTCGACAATATTTACGAACTTGGCTCCGGACGGACCGCGCAAAACGAAATGGCTTCCGCGACCGAATTGACCTACAAGGATGTGGCCAAACACACCGCCAAGGACGACATCTACGTCGTGGTCCACGATAAGGTCTACAACCTTTCGCCCTTTATCGACGAGCACCCGTGAGTTTCTTCTCTTCAGATGTCGCCACTGGTCCACATTAGTACCCCACCAACCCCGGGCCGTGGGGGAGAAGCCGCAATTGGCGATGCTGACCAGCTACGATACTTAGCGGCGGCGAGGAGGTTATGCTAGACATCGCTGGCGCAGACGCGACCGAGGCTTTTGAAGACGTGGGACACAGCGACGAGGCGAGGGATATACTACCGAAGCTGTATGTCGGTGATTTGAAACGACTGGTGAGTTCAATCCAGGCAGCACGCTACACTTCACCACCAGTGGGAGAACTGCCTTTCCCCGCTATTCCTTGACAAAAATGACATACTAACGGATTCCCTTACTAGCCCGGTGACGAAAAGTCAACAATTCACCATTCAGATCCCACGCCCGAACCCTCTCGTGGGAGTGGTATCCCGTTCTACGTCCTCGTCATCATCGGTGGCATAATTGCCTCTGGTGCATATCAATATCTACAAGCAAAACAGGAGAAGGAAATTTTGTAAATATAGGGCCAAGTGCATCGGGATATCAAGCTCCGTAGCTAAGGAGGTGAGGGCTAGGAGATTATTTGACTGGAAATATTCTTGATATAGGGAGTATCAGAGTTACGTCTTGTTCACCGTCGTTCGTACACGGTTCAGTCATTGCTTCTATATATCCAGGATTGTTTATCTATCAATTACATCTCAATACCCAAATTAGTTCCATTTCAGAACGGCCTTCAACGTCTTTCCATCCTTTGTATCTTTGATGGCCTGTTCAAAGTCCTTGATGTCGTAGAAGCTGATAATATTCTCAATGGGATAGTTTCCCTTTGCATGCTGGTCCATTAAGAATGGGATTATCTAGATCCATATTAGTACAAACTCACTGTATGGTCTGCCACAAAACATACCTTGCTGGGGACAGAATCTCCTTCGCAGCAGCCCACATATTGACGGCCATTGACGAGGTGGGCAAAGACATCAATACCAGCCCTCTTTCCCGGCTGTAATACATTTGTCAGTGGGTGATTCAGGCGATAATAATAGTAAGACACTCTCTCGGACAACTTACAGTCGGTGCTCCCACGGTGGCGGCCTTGCCCCGCGTTCCAAGGCAATCAACCATAGTCTCGATGACGGCCGGTATACCCGAGCAGTCCACTGCGTAATGAACGCCATTCGGTGGCGACATCTTCTGTATTTTTGAAATGAGGTCCGGATCGTTGCCGAGAACAGTATTGGTGGCTCCGAGCTTCTTGGCTAGATCCAGTCGAGACTGTTGAAGATCAACGGCAATGATCTCTTTCGCCCCTCGCATTTTCGCCGCCATCACTGCACTCATGCCCACAGATCCAACACCAAATATTGCAACCGTCTTGCCAGGTTGGACATCCAACGTATTCAATATCGCACCTGCACCGGTTTGCAGACCGCAGCCCAGCGGGGCAAACAGGGCGAGATCAGTGTCATTACCGACCTTGACGAGACTCGACCTATGAGCAATTGTGTGACGAGCGAAGGAGCTTTGGCCAAAGAAGCCACTGTACATTTCTTTCTTCTCTCCGTTGTTCAAGATTGAGAGAGTGGAGGTGCCATCGGCTCGTTTTCCGCCAAAGTTGAGAGGGACGAAGGAATAACAGTACGCGGGATGGCCGGATGTGCATTGTTCGCACGTCCGACAGTGGGCGAAAGACAGCAGCACTTTATCGCCTACCGCAAGATCTGTAATTCCGGAACCAACTTCCATCACTATTCCAGCCCCTATACTTGTTAGGTGTGTCATCCGCCGGCACAGGTCTAGGAAAGTTACCTTCGTGTCCAAGGACAGCTGGAGCCGAGGCAGGGAGCGTGCCATCCGCACAAGATAAGTCGGTGTGACAGAGTCCAGTGGCGTGGATTTCGATCAAAGCTTCATCTTCTCGAACAGTGTCGACACTGACTTGCCCCAGGGAAAAAGGAGCCTTTATTTCTTTGAGGACTAGTGCCGTCGTTGTCTTCATGGTGAACTCGAGGTGCTGCAGATTCGGGGGGTGGTGGGCAAAGTGATACCAACAAAGAGGAAACAGGAAGATATATAGTCCTAAATTCAGAATAGAGTCAGATGTATCCCGCATTCAAGGAGCCAATAAACATGATTTATACTTCAGCATCGTATCTCAGGTCACGGTATCTAAGTAGTTGCCGTCCCATGGTCCCGAAGGTTGGCGCCAGCGCTTGACTATAGCAAAGAATCCTTAGACTCCTCGGAGCGCAAGATTATACCCACATCCCCACCCCCAGGTCTTATCCCCATGGGGTCATGCCGATAGAGAATGGTTCATCAGCTTGCGGCTCCACGTGGTTTGGACGTCACACCTCCACCTTCTCCGCATATTCCCAGCTGAGAGGCGGTGACGGGCAAGATGGCGCTTGTACGCGGTGGTCAAGCTTACCAGAAGCATGGACTAGCTCTGATACCGGCCAAGGAAGAGGAGATCTGCTAGGGTGTCTTCCGAGAAGCTCCAGAGGCTTTCGAGGTCAATCTAATGTCAAGTACACGTAGGAACATCAAGTCAGTTTCTACATCTGAGGAGGTACTTGGTGCTACAGTCTCCCATAGGGCCATTTATATCTCTTCAGGAGGCTCCCGGTACTGCTTCTAATCTCATATTTCTCCGCTTACACCCAAGTGCCTTGAATCTGCCTACGTGGTCCCGACCGTTATCTACTATCCTGGACTGAAGAACGATGAACAATAATCAGTCACGGGTTGGAATGCCGGCAGGGTTGCCAGGGGGAAGTGGTCGAATATAGTCTGCCAGATCAATGTTGCTGCAGTCTGGGGGAGGTGATTATTACTACGCCATCTAGTCCCTTGTCAATATTTCAACCAAATAGCAAAGTAAATTTTATAAGTGCCGGGATTTTTGGGAAACGAGCTGCTCGGAACAATGTGAAAAGCATTACTTCCCAGAGAAGGCTGCCCAGCTATTTGCTCCCCAATGCAGCTGCTGCATTCCCGCAGCACTGTACATCCATTTCATATAGCCATGCATCAAACCTGTGACCACAGCCTGCCACCGATCTGGATTCCAAATCACTGTGCAGGTTTCTCCGCTCTCCATGCGGGGTGTGCATGGAACACGGTTGGAACCAAAAGGGGAGGGTCTCGACTCACCAGACTTTCCCAGGTTCATGGGACCTCTCACTGCCGCTCCGCGGCGCCGAAGAAGCTCAAGAATGCGCCACTGGATGCCAAGAGCGGGGTATATCCCACCTATAAAGGTGTTCTAACCCGATGGGATCGTCGTTGTAAAGCTTTCTTAACCGTTTTGAGGTTAAGCAACCCTCGTAGCTTGGTCATCACGGCATCAGTCGTCGGGTCGCCACGAGTCGACTCCCAGTTTCCTCTCCCATATATCCGTATTCCCCGCCCCCTTTCCAGTATGCGGGGTAACATGGCTGGCTTGGACTAACCAGGCCTCAAAAGGAAATGCTTCACACTAGTCTGGTCCTCCGGGGGATATCCGGGCGGCTCATACCCGAGCGTGCTCAAGGATCCGGTGGAGCGCCTTACGTGTCGGAAGTCGGGATCAAATATTTAAGTTGATCAAGATTGTCTACGATTTCTTGGCGGGGTTGCTTTGAACTATAAACTTCCTTGCCTGCCGATTTTAGTCTGGTTTCATTGACGGGTTGAGAACGTAGTCACCCAACACCAGCGACCTTGTCTTGATCACACAGCACTATTTACTTGTACGTGGACGCTCCCTAATTGACTTGATCAAACGGTCAACTAATAAGCCACAGAAATAACCATGCCCGGGCCAACTGAATCCGGAGGCGCCTCTGTCCCTCTCGTCATTGGGGGACAGGATGTCTACTCAGATGATCTTTTTGATGTCATCAGTCCGAGCACCGGGAACTTCGTCCACAAAAGCTCCAACGCAAACACCAAGCACGCTCTCGCTGCGATCGATGCCGGAGCCGAGGCGTTCGAGGCCTGGAGCCAAACTACGCCTACGCAACGCCGAAACATCTTCCTGAAGGCGGCGGATATTGTCGAGAAGCGAACCGAGGAGTTGAAGGGGTATATGCTCACAGAGACTGGCAGCGACGAAGGATGGGCGGCCTTCAATGTCTTCCTCGCCAAGGAGTGTCTCCTGGATACCGCGAGCAGAATCACGGGCCTCGAGGGCAGGATCCCGACGCCCCAGGACCCGACCGTCGGAGCTCTTATCGTCAAAGAGCCTTACGGTGTCATCCTAGCAATCGCGCCCTGGTAAGCCGTCCCACTTACAAGCACGACGCAAGCTAACCATGGCCAGGAACGCGCCCTACGCATTGGGCTTCAGAGCCGTTACTTGGGCAATTGCCGCCGGAAACGCCGTCGTATTTAAGGGCTCCGAGCTGAGCCCTCGCACTCTCTGGGCTGTGTCCTCGGTGCTGCAAGAGGCCGGTCTTCCCGACGGTGTGCTCAACTACATTACGTGCAGCCCAAGCAATGCACCGAGCGTCACCAAGGCGTTGGTCGAGAGCCCTGAAATTAAAAAGATCAACTTTACCGGCAGCTCGGGCGTCGGCCGCATTATTGCCCAGATGGCGGGAGCGTGCCTCAAGCCGATCCTGTTGGAGCTGGGCGGCAAGGCTCCTGCGATTGTCTGCGAGGACGCGGACCTCGATGTCGCCGCCAAGCAGTGCGTGCTGGGAGCATTCATGTACTCTGGCCAGATCTGTATGAGCACTGAACGCATCCTCGTCCACAAGAACATCCGGGTTGCCCTCGAGGAGAAGCTGAAGGAATGGGTGGAGATTATCTTCTCCTCGAAGAACGACGCGCCCATCCTCATTGCCGACCGCTCGGTGGTCAAGAACAAGGAGCTTGTCAAGGACGCCCTGGCCAAGGGAGCGAACCTTGTCTGTGGCGACGTCGATCTTACTGAGTCGACCAAGAGCCGCCTGAGGCCCATCATCGTCAGCAACGTCAAGCCGCCCATGGACATTTACAAGACGGAGTCGTTCGGCCCCACGGTGTCGGTGATTGAGTTCGAGACGGAGGAGGAAGCGTTGAAGATTGCCAACGACACCGAGTACGGCCTCAGCTCCGCCATCTTCTCGACAGACTTGAGAAAGGCCCTGCGCCTGGCCAAGAAGATTGAGACGGGAGCCGTCCACATCAACCGGATGAGCGTCCACGACGAGGCTGTTCTACCGCACGGAGGCGCCAAGTCCAGCGGGTTCGGGCGATTTAATACTGGGATGGAGGAGTGGGTGAGGACGAAGAACATTACTTATGATCTTTGAGCCGGGGAGATAAATTGCTAGCTGCTGAATCTCAATAATGATATGATGATTTGTTACAAGCGGTCCGCGCCTCGTGTTTCATTGTGAACCCTGCGGATGATCTGTCCATCGTCGATTCCAAGGATCTCGATGCAAGGTATCTGCTGGAAGAGGATAATGTCGCGTCAAAGTCCACAATTAGCCGACTGCCTGCATACATATCCAGGCTGGTGCTCCTCATCCGGTCGCCGAGTCCCTTCACGATCCCAATAGAGCAACTGACATCAATCTAGTCGCCCCATCTCATCTACCCACGATATGCTTATTTGCAATCTCGACCATCTCCCGCCACAACCTCTTCGCACAAAGAAAGCCGCGGCATAGACGAATCGGCTGATTGGTGTTTGTAACCGAGCAGCCTGGCCCACCCACACCTCCACGTCCACGCCGCAATGGAGACGCTTCTTCCACGCCCACCAAGACACCGACTATTGGCAATTCCCGCCATTACGGAGTCCTTCCATGCCCCGAGCCAGAGCTAACCATGTCAGTCCCCCAGACCGTCATCGCGTACCCCGCGTCTCGCAACGCAGGGACGCCGCTAGATGACCTCATCTTGGTCTAGATGCATCGCAGATCGCGGGGGCAACACCACGGCAATTGAGACCGGCTGCAGAAACGACGCCCATGATTGGACGACAGCGGGCCATCTCCGTTTCTCCAGCCTATGCTGGCCTCGCCGCCTTTCATAAAGCAAACCTGCCAGATACTGCTGCTCCACTCGCGACACAACGGCCTGCGGAAATTCTCTCGCTCGCTCGCATCATGACAATTGCCTGTCACGTGTAGCAACTCGACGCCGTGAACCCTCCAAGACGGCCAGAATCGCTGGACGGCAATGGACGCGAAAAAGGCCAAGAAGCGGGCGTTTCGAGCCTGTCTGCCCTGCCGCGCTCGCAAGGTCAGATGCATCGTGACGGGGGCGTGCCAGCCGTGCATGAACTGCAAGCTGGATGAGAAGGACTGCAATTTCGCAAAGGCCGCCGGGACACAGCATGTTCAGCCCGAACTCCACTCGGAATTGCTTTTGCTAACTGAGGCCTTCAAGTCCCGGATTCCCTCGAAATCGTCGCGGCTCGGAAACTCCCGACTCGCACTCGTCCACCGACTGTTACCGCTCAACGCAGTCCCCAAGAGGCTCGGATGCTTCGGGGATCGACTGTACGGAGCAGCGTGCATCGAGTAATCAGATTAACAAACCGCCTGGGAAGCCACTGTCGCCAACGTCGAACCCGAACCATCCAGGTAGCCACCCTTGCTATTGATCATCAGCCCAGCAGCTAATCCCAGACATCAGAGACACTCGGCCTCCTCTACGACCCGACCGACCCTAGCTATTCCTTTCTTCAAGCGCCCAAGACTCAAACGATACTACCTCAAGACCTCGAATTCCTCAACAACCAAGGATGTTTTATCGTGCCGCAGCGCAGTGTTCTGGACGAGTTTATCCACCACTACTTCTCCTTCATCCACCCCATCCTCCCCATACTCAATGAGGCCGATTTCTGGGCCCTGTACGACTCGGGGTTAGACGGTAGGAGTCAAGATCGGATATCCATCATTGTTCTCCAAGGAATGCTGTTTACATCCTGCACTGTAAGCTCCATCGCATTGCATTCGAGAACACGACTAATAACAGCTCTAGTTTGTGTCCCAGGAAACTATCAAGGCCCTCGGATTCCGAACAACCCAGGATGCAAAGTATTCCTTCTACAGGCGAGCCAAGGTATGTGCCATCTTCCTGGCGACATGTCAAGCCGTTAATCTAGTTCAAGCTCCTCTACGACTTTGGGTATGAACGATCATCCATAGCCATCGCGCAGGCTGCAGTGCTGCTATCGCACTCACACTTAATCCCACTCCCTTACGGAGGATACAAGCAGCTCGGCTCTCTATGGCTAGGCATTGCAATCCACCACGCACGCGATGCAAGGGCTCACCAGTACTGTTCGGCGACACCAAACAACCCCATGTCCCCGGAGGAAGCAAAACGGCACAATGTCTTGAAGCGGCTCTGGATGTGCTGCATCATATGTGACCGAGTTATCCCCTTGACCTCCCGGCAGAGTATCAAGATCACCAAGTCCAACTTTGACTTTGAGGGCAGTCCTATACTCAACTGCGACGACCTCTCTGACGAATTCTATCACTCCAACATCTACGATTCGACAACAAAGATCCACCTGGCCCAGGTCAACGTAAAGCTCGTGGAGCTCTGCGTGATCCTCACAGATGTTCTAGCCTTGTCGTCTTCGATCCGCGACAATCCGGCCTGGGGTCTCTCTCAAAGAATGGCAGAAACGAACCAGGCTAGCCTCTGTAGGATCCAACTCCAGCGCTGGTACAACACTTTCCTGGAAATGAAGTCGGCAATGAACGGCAAGTTGATTCAGGATTCAGGGAGCGAAGGTCGTGGAAGCTCTGTGGTCTTGTTCACCAACCTAGCAGAGATGTACTACCAGTAAGTCACTCCACAGCCTGGTTGGGCTGTTCTAACCATGGTTCTCTAGCTCTGCAAGGCTGGCTCTGTGCCATTATGAGATGTTGTACCTTGGCTTAGCCATGTCGTCATCGAACCCAAACCTGAAGATTACGGACATGTTCGAGAAGAGCTATGAGCTTCAGAATGCAACTTCACAAATCACCGAGTGTCTGGCGGAACTGACTCGTCTGCGTCTAATACGATGGCTACCGATGAGCGCGTAAGTAATCCTTCCCAATAGCTGACCTATCCTAACTGTATCCCAGCGTCGGTTGCACTGCTTTTCCGCTAGCTCTTCAGATTCTTGACGTCGAACTCTTCCAACCAAAGCACCACAACGTGTCAGTGGCTACAAGGACACCATTCTTCGCCGATCACCAGCAACAGCGACTCAATATGCTCATTGACGCGATGAAAACGTATCGCCCGCGATACTACATCGTCGACTGGGTCGCAAGAACGATTCGGCACATCGTCAGCGTCGCGCAACAATGGCTGCCATCCACTCGCGTCAGGTCAGGCAACGGCATGTCGGTTGCGAGCTGGATCGAAATCCTTCAGCTACAACCCAGTTGCTACTTGCGTCTGGCGATGACGATGGACTTGAGCATCAGCCATGGCAAACTACCGGAAGAAAGCGACTTTCCGCCAGGCTTGCGCGACGTGGTTCGGAGTAGCGTTACAGCTACGTTATCGCCGACGATTATACCTATGGGCATCACTCATTTCCGTCATCTCCAGTCCGCGAGGGAGACATCTAAGGACACTACAGTCTCGAAGGATCTTGAGGCGAAATCTACGCCAGAGTTTCCCTCTGAGGATGTGCTGTTTGATGAAGGGCCAACTAGCCTCGTGGACAGCATCCCCGAGTTTGACAGCAGTGTTGGCGGCATTTCCAGTGGCGCCAATGTCATTTCGTCAATGAGTTCAAACGGGGTGGAAAGTACTGCGTTCGATAACCTCGGAGCATGGCCAGATGCTTTCTTCCCATTCAATTCAAGTAACCAGCTGCCCTTCCTCCAACCAGGGCCAATGGACTTTCAGTTGGGAAGCAATCTGGACCCGTGCAGCCTATTTGATCCATCTCAGTGGACAGACGGCCAGTCAAACAATGAGGCAGACGTACAACAATTCCAGCTGGATGAGTCCCTTCTCGAGGCATTGCGGGAGACTGCAAGTACAAGCTGCAGGAACAGCGATGAACGCCTACTTGAGCAGCTAGGCGAGGCCATCAACATGTCATGACAGATGAACTATTAGCTGTTGTAGTGTTTGAACAGATGGGTTGGTTCCAAGGGTGGACAGGTAACAAGGTGTCCAGTGAAAGAGAGCTGATCGCGGTGGATGTGGCATGATGTACGAATACATGAATAAGGCCGGTAGAGTAAACACCAGCGTTGGTTGGAAATAGTGTAAATTTTTATAAAATACCCCATTAGCGTACCAACTACATTAAGTCTGTAATTATTGCTAACATTCGTTTTGTGTCGTCCCGAAGGACAGATCTCTATTTAGAAAAGGAAAACTTTAACATGTAAGAGACCCCAGGGGTGGTCCCACCCTATACCCAAGAGAACTTTGACGAACCCTGACGGCGAAATGACCTCGATGACCCAACACCAATGCCGGCTTGTTGAGGGACTCGGTGATTGTTTTAAGTGATTAAGGAAATTGTCTCTTATTGTTTGAACAATCGAGGTGTACTCTCGATGAGATGTGTAGTTCGTAAAGTAGATCATTTAAACATAACGCCCTCTAACCATATCCAAGCATGCCTCCTCTTGGTTCACTGGTCCTTATGTTTCAACTTCTTGCGAACCTCCTTCACCCACTGCTGAATGTTTTTCCTGTTCTGCGCCATGATGTTGTCGGCCGCCGCCCTGGCCAACTTCCTCTTCTCGACGTACTCTTCTCGGTTGCCAATCATCCGCTTGATGGCATCCATGTCCTCCTCGCCGGGCATCGACACCCACGCCGCCTCGCGAGGGAGGTAGGAGTAGGCCTTGAGAATCTCCTCACTAGCCAGCAAGGGCGCTCCGGCGATTAATGAAGCGGGAACCGTCGATGACGCCTTGCGGTCCAAGTACTCGTCGGATGCGAAGCCGGGGATGATGGCAAAGGCACGCGACATGACGGCGTAGAAATCGGGGTATGAGAGACTCTTGTCGAAGATGACATTGTTCTTTGTGATGTCGGGCACCTCGGGAACCTTGCCGTGGCCGATGACGTGCAGCGAAACGGTCTCGTTCTGCTGGTTGCCAGGGGTGTTCTTGACCTTGTCAACAACTCGGGCTAGCTCGGTGAAGATGTGGCTGTAGTCTCGACGGCTAGAGGAGTAATCGCCCTGCATGGCGAGCGAGATGTCACCATCGGCATCAGCGTCGGGGCGCTCGACGGGGAAGACTGGAGGAAAGACTCGCGCCGTGGCGTTGTGGTCTTGTCCCCACTTGAGCTTGGTGTCCCTCATCAGGAAGTCGATGGTGTGCTGGCTGAGGCCGACAAAGTCCAGCTTGCCCTTGTCGACCCATTTGCGCGCCATCTCGGTGTGCTTTCCAGAGGCCCACTGGTCGGCGTGGTGGACGACGCAGAAGAGGTGGGTGTTGCCGTTGGCGAGCAGGTTGTTGAAGGCGTTCTGCTCGATCCTGAGATCGAACTCGCACGTCGTGGACACGACGACGTGCGGGTGCGGGTTACGGTTCATGGCGGCGCGGAAGTTGTGGACGTCCTTGACAGACGTCTTGGCCGCCAGCGTGAAGTTGCGCATGATGTCGCCCATCTTGTAGCGCTGGCCCTGGAGGAAGACGCTCAGCTTGGCGTTGGGATGGCCGCCAAAGGCGTGGACGAGGGCGGCCAGCACCTCGTCATGGACGCCAATCGAGTTCACGATGGCGATGCGCGCCGGCTCGGTGTCCACCTCCTGGCCAAAGTAGCCCATGACGGAGCCGAAGAGGCCCTCGTCAGTAGCAAAGGGCACGCTCCAGTTGCTGGAGTCGGAGAGGGACGACCAGTCGCCATCTTTGCCGCTGAGGAATACGAGGGCCACGACGACCAAGCCCAAGAGCCAGAGGATGGAATAGAATCGCCGTGGGACGATGCCCTTCAGTTTGCTAAGCATGATGAAAGAGCGGACGGGCAGCGGCGAGAAAAATCGAGCATTACAACTGCCTACCGGACGGAATGGAGAATGGAGGGGGACGGTGTCAATATATTAAAACAAAGTAGAGGAAGAATGCGGGCGCGATGCGTGGTGAAAAGGCTGGGCGAAAGGGGACGAGGGGGGGGGGGGGGTGTATAAAAGAATTGATAGGCGTTCCTTCAGTGACATACCTGCCGTGCCCCATACGTCGGCCGGGGCGCGGCAGAAAATACATAATACCTGGGATTAGCGCTTATCTCCTCCTTAATTTAAATGGTTTTTTAGGGCTTTTCATCCTTCTGTAGCGTCCTAAACGCGGAAAGTGCTAGGGTGATATCGGGACTTGGGTACGCTCTGGACGCCGCAGGATGACATCTGCCGGGAAGAGGGTGTTCAGCTTCTGTCTGAAGGCGTTCAACTACGGTCTGGATGCAGAAGCGGTGGCGAATAGCGCCGTGGGGGAGGGTGGCACGGTTGCGGCCCTTGGCCCTGCGCAACTCCACACGCCAAGGAACCCAACTAGATAGCACGTAGAGAGATTTGGGAAATTCACGCAGGGGCTCCAATCTTAGTACTTGGCCGTGGGAGCGGTTGTGGGCTGCCCTTTTGGTGCTGCAGAAACGCATTACGCGTCGGCCGATCCGGCCCCGTTGAAGAAACACTGTTCGCCTTGCCAGGAGAGCGAGGGGGACGCGGGCTGTAGGGCCTAAGGCCATTGTTTATTTCTACTTTGTACGGCTTTTAAGCTTAAGTTTCTAAGTCTATGCTCGCTCGTATTAATGCCTGCCCCGTGTGGGAGGAAGAAGACAAAGTGGTGCATAGGTATGCAGTCCAGCCGAGTGGATCGGCAAGGCAGTTCGTCTACGCGTATTTCCCCAGATCCCTTTAAACACAAAATGAAACCGGCGCCCATGTCGTCCAAGACTGGCTTAGTGATATGTGATGGTCGTCTACCGAGGCTCCTTCATCTCTAGCTCCGTGGCTGGCTCCTCGCGGGAAACCGGGAGGTAGTTGGCGGGCGCCTTCTTGCTCTGCATGTGCCGGTCCTTGGCCCATCCGTAGAGCGCGCTGCCGCTGAGGATGAGCAGCATGCTGCCGGCGCGGTCGACGGTGAGGGTCTCGCCGAGCAGCACAATGGCGAGCGAGCTCTGTGCCACGCCGCGCGCCGCCGTGACGATCATGTGCGTCGTGGGGCTGGTGACGGCGATCTGCATGAAGGTGGCAATGGTGAGCAGGAAGCCCGACAGTCCGGTGAGCATGGCCATGCCCAGGAACTTGTGGACGCTGGGCCCCTCGACGGTGGGCTCCATGAGGTTGGAGATGGTGGTGAGTTCGCCCGAGAGCGGCAGCAGAGGAATGTAGAAGAGCACCGCCATGGCGTTGGACATCCAGACCATCTGCCACATGCCCTCGTCGCCCTTGCCCAGGAAGCGCTTGACGACGACGGACTCGACGGCCGTGGTGAAGCTGGATCCGATGCCCAGCAGCACGCCCTTGCCGCTCGTGAGCATCTGGCTATAGTCGGCCGTCATGCCTGCGCCGAAGCCCGACATGACGACGGCGCAACCGGCGAGCGACAGCGGGGGGTAGTACGGGCGAGGGCGTAGCACCATGAGCGACAAGAGCAGCGTGAAGGGGAGCAGGAGGCCGCGCGCGATCTGGTACACGGACGCGTTGACGGAGGCGAGGCAGAATGTCTTTGCGAGGATGCCCACCAGGCGAGCCATGGTGAGGGGGAGGATGGCGATCCAGGCCTGTGCGATGAAAGCGTTAGCGAGCTGTCGTCCAGACTCTGACTTTGGGTTCCAATTCCGCGCAAGGGTGAACGTACCGCCGGCGGTCGCGAGAGCTGGATCCATCCCGTAAAGGTGCCGATGATGGTCAGGAGAAGCAGCTGCACCGTCGTCTGCAGCGCCAGCAGCGTCACGGGAGCCTCGACGCCGTTGAGGGCCGACTTGGACAAGATGGTGCTCCAGATGGCGCACGACGAGTGGAAGAGCACCGTCAGGGCGACCCGGGTCCGCGACGGCGGCGACGAGTCGGACGGCGACGAGTTCGTGGCAGCCATGATGGTGGTGCAGAGGAAACACAGGAACACACAGCAGGTTTAGACAGACGAAGTTGTATTCGCAGGATACGCGGAAGTGTCACTCAACGAAAGCAGCCTTGTGTGTCCAGCTGGGGAATTACATAATGAACATGGTGAACTGAACTGAACCATAGGGGGAGGGGGGGGGGCGTCTAAGACTCCCGTTGAATGGGCGTGCAGGTACCATAACAAAGACGGCATAAGCGGGAGACAGGGAGCGAGCTACTGGGACTCATTTCATTCGAGACGGGCTACAGGCCAAGCACTGAACTGGTAGCGCCACTCGCTATGATTAGGAATGGCCTGCTCAGCGCTTACTGTGTCGATCAGCCTAGGAAGCGCCCCTGTCTATCCCATCCCCCCCCATAGCGATCATCCTTTCGCCTTGTTATCGACTAGAGGATTTGCACCAAAGGTCCGAAGGAAGTGCTGCCCCGGACCAGGTTCCCAGGAGCCGTCGAACATGGTAACATCGCCATGGGAATTAATTAGCGCACGGTGACATGGCCGGGAAAGCAGCGTCCCGAATCTGTGCAAAACTCCGTCGAGACAGCGTTGTGCAGAAATGAAATCAGCTCCATGTGTTCTTGACAAAACAACACGTGGTCAGCCTTGGCAGCATCAGCCAAGTGTTTTGAGGGTTTAGAGTTGATCAATCAATTAATCAATTAGGTAGTTACCGTCAATGCCGTCATGGGCTTCGACGCGTTGTCGATTGCTAGTGTACAGGTTTTACATTAGACCCTTGTCTACACGAAACTATCCGAGACCGTTTCCGAGTCCCAGCCCCTCTATGCCAAGCCCTTTTGCTCGCTGGAGACGAAATGATCCAAGATGAAAAAGCAATCTAGAGAAAAAACGTGTCGTCATCGTCCTCGTTCTCGGCAAACCACATGCTCGCCACGTCCAGCGCCTGCTCGATGCTGGTCGCGACGCGCGTGCACTTGCAGTCGCGCGTCCACGTGTTGTGGAAGTTGAGGTTCTTGCCCAGCTTGCTGTCCATCAGGACGTGCGGCACGCCGATGACGGTCGACATGATGTGCCCGTGGAGCCGGTCGGTGATGACGAAGCGCGCCGAGCCGAGGAGCTCGAAGCCCGCGATCGACTTGGCCCACGCCCGCTGGTTGGTGCCGTTCTCGCGGGGCGGCTCCTCGGGCTTGTCCTTGCTGTCCTTCTTGTCGTCCTCGCTGGGCCCGTTGATGTGCGGCGTGTCGGTAAACTTCCAGTCGACCTTGTTGTACGTGACGTTGCCGACGGAGCCGAGATCCAGGAAGCCTTTGCCCCAGGGGATGCTGGACGAGTCGCCTTCTGCGATTTCCGCGTCCTTGCGAGCGAGGATGAGGACGTCCCACCTGAAAGCGGTGCGTTAGCAAGGGCGAACACGAGAAATACACGCGACACGACGGCCGCTTAACCGTGAAACTCACTTCTTCTGCGTGTTGACTCTAAAATCAGATCGGTTGCCCCACATGAAGGCAATGTCGGGAACGAGGTCGGTCTCGATGCCGTCGACCTTGCCGAAGTTTTCCACCAGCCAGTCGTGGCTGGGCTTGTCGCGCGCGGCGAGCTGCAGGTCGTGATGCTTGCCGAAGGCCTCGCGGGTCTGCTCGATCCGGTCCTTCTTGGTCATGTGGATGCTCTGGGGGAAGGCTCGTATCGGCACGTTCGTGTAGGTGGAGATCATCTCCATGCGCGACGGTTGGTCCTCCCAGTAGTAGTCGTTGAAGTTGCCGCCGCCGGCCATGATGATGCCGGAATGGGGGCGGTGCTCGTCGAGTCTGGCCGTGAACTCGGTCATGTTGCAGCCCTTGTGCATGAAGCCTATACGTGAGTTGCGTCAGTCATCAGTGTCCCACAGGACGGACGGTCGGGGCGGCGGGAGGAGGCGTACGGCAGGCTTCCATAGTTTCGATTCCCAAGGTAGCGAGCATCATCTGCTGCGCGGACCAGATGGCGGCGTCGCCCTTGTTCTCCGTCTCCAGGTAGCCCCAGATGTTGGCGTAGCGGATGCCCTTGAGGCGCTGCGTGTAGGCCTGGATGAGGCGCTGCTGGAGGTCGTTGACGACATCCTCGCAGCCGGTGCTGGGCGGCGAGTTGAGGTCGTACGAGACGTCCGTCAAGGGCTTCTGCTCCTCGGGGACGGCCTCCTCGGTCACGTTCTCGCTGAAGGTGGGATGCCACAGCGACTGCGGGATGGAAAAGGTTGGCACGCCCGTCGTGCCGCGGGCGACGAGCACGAGCGTGAAGGTGACGACGAGCCCGACGACGACGTACGCCAGACGGCCGAACGGGTTACTGGGCAGCATCGCGAAGGTGGCACGCGATGGGATCGTGTCGATTCGATGTGTGTCCGAAAAGAGAGGCGGAGGAGAGATCTCAGCTCAGAGACTAAAGAGACCATCCGACACAGACGCGACAGGGCTCCTTTTTTGCTCCGCGGCTGACCAGATCGTCTAGGGATGGATTCCGGCCGACTGACTGGGGGACATTTGCGCCACCCCCCCGAATGGCCCGCCACCACCAGGTCTTTAATTAGTGACTACGTAGGATGGCCTCCGGAGTAAGCATCCTAGTATGCATCTTGAGACCCCGTCTCGGCCGTGGCGCCTAGCTAGGCCCAGAGGCGTGGAAAGGGGATGACGGGCGTTGCACCGCTCACTGGTTGTGCTCTCCTCCAGCGAAGACCCCAGCACAACTCAAACCTTTCCCCGCTGCTCCTTGTAGTTAGTTACTGTGCAACTGCTTTGTACGCTAAGTTCAGGGCTGGAAAATGGGACGCCGGGTTGACAAGTTGGGCTGAACGCGCCACCCCCCCCTCTCTGCAGTAGTTTCATGAGGGATGCAGAACTAGAGAAGCCCATACTATGACAGAGTAGTACATTATTCTCGCAGAATAAATTAATGGCATGGCACACCCGTCATGTCTTTGGCCGCCTCCTTGTTTTGGCTGTTCCCCTTTTTTTTCTTTGTCTGCTCCCGCGACGCCAAGGCATTCTCAGCCCCCCCCCCTGATTACTCTCTCTGTGCTACGCCTCCACCGCGCTCATTTAGCGGCTGCATGTCTGGGACCAAATGTCCCCAAGTGCATAATCATACATGGTAAGCGACACCTACACGCCCCGGCTGCGCTGCGCTGAGTGGCTGCGTGGCCAAGGAACTTCAGCGCTGTCGACTCTGATAAGCCTGTCCAGATTGCCCGAGTCCACTTGGGGGTCCGCCGCGGGCCCTTCCAGGACGCTTCCAGGAGCGATCCTCCAAATGCTTGTCTGAAACGGCCGTCATTGTTATCTGGACCTAGTCATCTAGACCTGGTCATCCCCTAACTTAGTCGCTGCAGATATCCGTGTATGGACGGACTGCATGGACGGCACTCTCGCCGCCTCCCGCGTATGGACGGCAGTCAAACCATGTCACAATGTGTCCTTCAAATGAGGTCCACATTTCGGGACATTCCCAATGTGCTACTACGTAGTACGTATCAGCTAGATTGTTAGTCCGCTCTGATAAAGTGATTTCGATAAAGCGGGTGGCATTTCGTCACGCGAGGCCGCATATTGTGGTCCCCCTCCTTGCAAAGTGCATCCTGCGCCATCTCGACGTCAAGATCTGGTCCAGCGTCCGACAGTTGCTTGGCAGACTCCTCCCTCCCCCCATAATTTCAATTCAATTGCTGTAGCGCGCAGTGTTCTCTCATTCTCTCGCGATACCTTCACCTACTACAGTTCATTCATTCGTTTAGCCCGTCGCCATGGTCGCCAACAACAAGGATGAGGAGGCCGGTATCCCGATGCTCGAGAACTTCGACGGCGGCAACAGGGAAGATGCAGTCAACGCTCGCCCTCCGCCCGTGACGCTTCGGTCTCGCATGCCGCAGTCGCTCGCCGACGTCGTCGACAATGGCCCCGTCTCGGTGGTCGCGTACTGCGTCTCGTCCATTAGCATGACCGTCGTCAACAAATACGTCGTCTCCGGCAGTTCTTGGAACCTCACCTTCCTGTATCTCGCCATCCAGGTGCGTCGATGCCTGCCATTCCGCACCCGCGCGGTCTCGATCGAGCGCATCCAACTAACCACCCCCTTCTAGGCCGTCGTCTGTATCTTCGCAATCACCACGTGCAAGAAGTTTGGCTTGATTCAGGTCGCAACCTTCGACCCCGTCAAGGCTAAGAAATGTACGTCGCTCGCCTCGCCGAACGCCCCCCTCCACATAGAATGGCTGGCTGACTTGCGCGTGTCTCAGGGTTCCCCATCTCGCTCCTCCTCGTCGGCATGATCTACACCAGCACCAAGGCCCTCCAGTTCCTGTCGGTGCCCGTCTACACAATCTTCAAGAACTTGACCATCATTGCCATCGCCTATGGCGAGGTCCTGTGGTTTGGCGGCAAGGTCACCAAGCCTGCGCTGCTCTCTTTCTCGCTGATGGTTCTGAGCTCCATCATTGCTGCTTGGGCTGATATCCAAAGCGCCGTCGCCGGCGATGTATCCTCCACCGATAACAAGGCCATGGCCACTCTCAACCTTGGATACACGTGGATGGCATTGAACGTCTTTTGCACCGCCACGTATGTTTTGGGCATGCGCAAGGTGATTAAGGCCATGAACTTCAAGGACATGGACAGTAAGTATCTCCCGCCTTGTCAATCTTCGACTTAACACAGCCACGCTGCCAACCATTGCTAACAAATCTGCAGCCATGTACTACAACACCCTCCTGACGATCCCTGTGCTGTTCGCCTTCTCCATTCTCACCGAGGATTGGTCCAGCGCCAACTTCGCCGCCAACTTCCCTGTCGAATCGCGCAACCACATCTTCATCGGTATCATCTACTCGGGTCTGGCCGCCATCTTCATCTCGTATTGCTCTGCGTGGTGCATCAGAGTGACGTCATCGACTACGTACTCCATGGTCGGCGCTCTCAACAAACTGCCCATTGCCGTCAGCGGCTTGATTTTCTTCTCGGCGCCTGTGACGTTCGGTAGCGTGTCGGCTATTTTGCTCGGCTTCGTCAGCGGTATTGTTTATGCTTGGGCCAAGGCCAGGGAGGCTGCTTTGAAGGCTGCTGGAGTTCTCCCCTCAACAAAGGAGGACACTGAGATCAACCAGGAAGAGCGAAAATAGAGTCCAGTTGACACTGGCAATCATTTAGATGAGTAGATGAGTGTATTTTATTGTCTCAATAGAAAACGTAAAATCTTCGCATGGCATTTTCCTGGTGTACTCGATAAAACGACCTTGTCAAGACATGGAGGCTGACATGAGGTTCTTCGACTACATCGTAGCTCGATCTTACCCGGAGCGATGCTCAACAACACATGTTCTTCGTTATAGATAACAATTTGGCCCGTGCCTTGGCTCTGTTGGCCCCAAGATGGCTCCAAGATGGCCCCAAAATGGTTCAGCCTTGTTGGGCATTCAATAGTTCGCATTGGGGTCATCTTTAAAACGCCACCTCCGGGCCAAACCGATATCTCTGAATAGGCCCGTACGTATCCATGCTAGTAATCTTTCTAATCTGGGAATAATGAATATTCTGTCTATAACCTTGTGGTATTGAATTCCCCATGGCTAATTCATCGCTAGGAATCTAATCTCATTGAGAAATGGTATTTCGCATTCCGAACCCTGAATCATTTTGCGCAAGCTTGCCAATTGATTCCCTTGGTTGGTCGGTGAATTGACATCATCGCTCCAGAGGGGACTAGAGCGGCCGTATTTTGTCAGGAACTGTCGTGTCTGTGAGACACATGACTCGTGTAAGGATCCAAGGACATGGCGATGGACCCAGACAGATATGTCTGAGTCTCGGAAGGACCACGCCAAATGTCTCGAGACTTGGGAGACGAGGGGGTGTCCAGCTAATTAAATTGGGACCAATAATTATCGGACTAGATTATGTTTATGCATTCCGTAATAATTCATTAGGGCTAATTCAGGTTTAGAAAGTCTTTAGTTTGGCATCACAATCCAGTCAACAGCTTCCTATCTCCGATATGAGGGATCCTCAGTTCCCGGAGCATTATTATAATACCGATTATTTGGGTTCGTCGGTTTATCGCAACCAGCACCATGCACCTATATCCTTGTATCGGTTCGCTGGGGAACACGAGATGGGGACAACAATCGGCGCGAAAAAGGATTCCGAAATCACGCCAGCCGCAGCGCCACCATCGGTCGTCATCGCCAAGACCGTGGGCCCTGCCTTCACCCCTGGCTGCCGCGCGTCCTCTTGGCAATCGATCCACAGTAGCCGCCAGTTCGGGAAGCTCGGTGATAATGACGCTGTTCCGAGCGGCACGGTCGATTAGCTTTGTGAGCTTGAAAATGGTCCGATAGTGTCGGGCTATTGGATGACTGAGCTCCCCGACTACTGTCTTACACTATGAGGCTCTATCAGAGTCATGGTGACTTTCGGCGAATTGAATATGATGAAGGTAGCTCAACTGAGGATGATGTCACATCTCGTATTGGGAATTGCATCCATGTCGGTTAAATATTCGTATTCCAATTCGGTCGACATCTTGACCTGGCAGCCACTCAGACGAGTCGCCCCAATACCTACAGTAGACTAACCATAGATGGACATCTTCGTAATGACATGTATCAGGACGCCAGTTGCATCTAGGACACCAGTTGCATAACTCCTGTGGACAGAAATAGACACTGTCGTTGAACTCAACTGCAGTCAGGTCCTCCTGGAAACAGTCCACTACCGGATCGGCTCGATAAATTAGCCCTGTTTTTATGGACTAAAGCTCAACTATATAAGGCTTAGATTTCCTAAATTATTAGGTATAAAAAACCCCGAAGGCAATAAGTGGGAGCAGGATTCAGTGCCAATTCACTGAGTCGATACGGTAGGCTCCGAGGCAAACGCATCATTGGTGTGATAGTCCGTAGTTACTGATACATGAAATCCTTCAACTTAGCAACAACCACCTGAGTGCTCATGATCATGGTGATGGTCCTCGTAGGAATTCGGAGCTCCCTCGGCAGCTTGGCTAACGCAGCTGACATGGAAAGCGCTCAACTTTGTCAAACCCGGAATCTCCCTTAGCAAGCCAATATTCTCCTTGAAAGCCTCCGTCTCACGAAACTTCTGGTGAGCCTCAAGACTCGGCCAACCGATAAATGCCACTAGCAAGGCGCCGGAGTTGGACTCGTCGCCCTTCACTGGAACGTCATTCTCCACGCTCCAGCCGTAGCTGATGCCCCGCCAGTCGGGAGAGTTCTTGAGACTTCTGCCGGCAAACTCCTCTAGGCGTCTTTTCGCGACGGCCCGCGAATCGTCGCTGTAGTCTGAGGGGAAGTAGGCGAGAAGAACCTCAGTCACGGGTGACCGGGTCTTGTCCAGAACATCCTCAGTGGGGAAAGGGTTGACGGCGACATGCTTGTTGATGCTTTTGGCAAAGTCGCAATGGGGTTTGAGAGAGTCAATCACCGGTCCATGTAACCTGAAAATAAAGAAGCAAGAGGTCAGTACTTTATTGGTGTCGTGTGAGTGGCAAGAGTGCCAATTGCATCATCCAAACTACAACGAGGGAGGGGAAAAACACTCACTCGCTCTTGCGATAGTCCAAATGGTGATCAACGCTCTCCCAGTCCAGGAACAGCCACAACCTTGAGGGATCCTCAATCTCAAGACCGGTATAAACGCGCTGAGCACCAGGCTGCTTCATGACCGTGTCGAGGGCATTCGCTAGGGCCTTGCCGGCGTCGCTGGACTCGTCGAAAGCATCTGCGCCCTCGTTGAGAGTCACGTACGAGAACTCGGTGACGTTTTTTACGTTGGTTGCCATTGTGGAAGTCGAAGATTATGAAGGAAACAAAACGTCTTGGTGACAGCCGATGTTGAAGGCGGGGGCGGGGAATAAATATGAGGTTGTTTGATGGCGGCCCCGCTAAGGCGGCTTCCATTTGCCCGCATGGAGGAATGGAAACTTGATGATCTGAAGACGAGAGAGAGAGAGACATGGCGCCAATATGATTCGTATTTCTGTAAATTTGTAATTGCTAAACCCCATGATGTCTCACTTCAAACCGCCATCTTCAGCCATGTTTGAGGCAGAACGCCCATTTCGCTTTCGCAGCACATTAGCAGCTGCGTCTGCCAATGCAGGCCGCCTGGTTTGTTCACGAGTGATGCACGGCCGCATGTTTTGGCGTCCGATTTGGAAAATCTAGATCGGCACTCTTCCTTGATGTACTCAGGGATCACTGCTAGTGGATGCAAGCTGGTTGATTCTGCGTGTGTGTATCCAGCTCGCTAAAGGGCGAAAACGATGTCCGGGTACGACAAACTGGATGAGAGATGCGGAGTGGGACGAATGGGGGAAACAATAAAACTATCATAAAATATATACAGCTATAGCTTAGAATATAACAGGTATACCACTTCAAGGATCACACTTTCCAATCTCCTTTGTCCTAAACTGCAACCCGCTATTCGCAATTTGTCTCGATGGTGAGCATCAGGCAACCACCTGATCTACAAACAGAGGCCAAGATACCCTATTTCAGCCAAATGATCGCACAATCACTCGTTATCATCAAATTGAATCGCAATATTGAAGTTCAGACAGTAACTGCCTCCAGGCCCAAGGCATGGAAGAAGGTGATGAAGTCTTGGGCCATATGAACCTCCTTAACCAGCCCAGTGCAGTCATCCAAGATTAGGAAATCGGTTCCGTTGTAAGTGACTGGAGAGCCAGGATCAAGAGTGCTGTATACCAATTGCGTTAGTATGAATCAAGGAGAGGTGTAAATTTCGTTCCAGCGTCACTCACGTCGGTAGCGTCATGTTCGCAGTGGTGATACCGTTCATCTTCCACCGAATTGCCATCTGGTTTCCATTTCCAACCATGTGGATAACGTCGAAGTTGTACTCCTTCCAGCCGGCCCTTGACTTCTGCACGAATGCAACGTACTCTTCGATGTTGCCAACTTGGATGACGTCGCTGCCGACAGAGGATGGGAGACGATCAGCAATGAGTGATATTTTGGGGTGAATCACAGAGTCAACCAGAGACAGCTCGCCGCCCCAAAGGCTGAGGTAGTTATCTGCCAGGCCCTGGAAGTCTCTCTCACGTGGAGGGCTTCGTCTCCCTTCAACAGGTGAGGATGATACGATGAGAAAGCTCGGCAGAACAAGTGCTAGCTGCATGAAAGTCGACTTGAAACCCATTGTGAATGGTAAAAAGTTGCTGAGAAACCTAAGGTGAAATGGATGATGATGATTGAGAAGGTTGTTGTGCGATGTGTCGGTACGGAAGAGCACGGAATTGGGTTGGGCAGTGTAGGTTTTATCTTCAATATTGCTTCCTCGTTGGTGTTACCATAATCATGTTGGTTCATCTAAGTAGTTCATCGCATGAACAATTCACCTCGCATTCGGAACTTGTCTGGGCATTACGTCTCATGGACCATGCTTGTTGGTTGCTGGTTCATCCTATCTGCTCTGCCTTGTGGATCTAAGTGGACTGGTTCATTGTCATGGACTCTTTGGGCGGTGCAAGATCCCGGTATGCGAAGTGTGAGGACGACAATCCCTGTATGCGAGTACATATTGTGGACACAAGGCTCCAGCAAAGATCATGGTGTCGCTGCCTTTTGCTACATTGAGATTGCGCACAGCCCTTGGCATCGTTGCAGCATGGAAACCCGGTTAGAAACTTGACTTGTTGGTTAAGGGTGGGTTTGGCTGCTCCTCACTACCACTTTCCGTGCTCGCGTTTCGCGTTATGGCGTCGCGCCCGAATTCGGGACGCGAGCGCAATGCTGCGTCGTGCGACCAACACGATGACAACCAACAACATGATCGCGTCCAATGCCGTTTTCGGATCTTGGCAGATCTATTACGCCGCAGAAAGGTGAAGTCACATGCTCACACAGCGAGTCTGAAAACATGCACCGTCATCTGACATGATTGCATGCACTCGCTGCTTGCAGACCGTTGCTGTTGATAAGTAGTGGTACGTACACTCGATACCTACTGTACTGTATGTAAGGGAAATCTGAAACGGACAGCAGACATGGGCCGGTTTAGATGTAACTAGTAGATTACTCTGCACACTGAAGCAACTGAGCGGGACTCCAATGCTGATAGCTCAGACAGGTGGATAGAGAGGGGTCAGTGGGAAATCTATATGGCAAGGCCGCCACGGAGCTAAGAACCCTGCAATATGATGGGGTGATCTTGTAAATACGTCGCTTTTTGATAGATTGTGGATTACATATCACCTGGCAGGAGTATAAAGAGTGCTAGGATCATGGTGCTAAAGTTGAGATTCCGCGATGTTGGAATACATATATTGTTGCTATTCGTGATCTTTATATCAAACTCTGGAAAGAATGCCTCGAGCTTCATCCGCGCAGAAATTATTTGGATACATTTCCTCCCACATGGGCGGGATCCGTCGACGACTCTGAAACCCTCGCGTGGTAACCAATCCTACTTGGCTATATAGCATCAGTAGAGACGTATTGGTTCGAGGCCTAAGCACGTCTACTATCGTCGATATTGGGCGTGTATCCTTTTACCAGTCACTCTGCTGAAGCCGGATGGGTCAATGTGTCCATGAAGTTGCAGTTTGGTATTTACCCATTCACATCGAGATCCCGGAGAAATGGAACGGAGAAATGGAATTTGCGTAAATACCCCCTGCTAATAGTTCTGATTGAGGGAGTAAGTACCCTCCGGCGGCATTGGCTGAGGCGGAACAATTACAACAATGTGATCCTTGACCTCTCCAGGTAGTGCAGCTGGGCAAGGGATCTTGCATCTGTTTTACCCTTTTGCAAACCAAGCCGCAACCACGAGAACTATGATTTCGGACTCCTCTTCTATATTTCTTCCGCGGAATTGCATTTTGTTACCACTTCCATCATCCTGCTACCATGAATCATCCAGGAAGTCTATCCTGTAGAAACCGTAAACAGGGATGACAGCAAACATGCTAACAAGAACAATACAGAGATTCATTCTTCTAAGCGAGGATTATAGTCGTCAGAGGGCTTTTTCTGAAGGGGACCATAATAGCTAGGATACATGGTAAAAGACAGGACAGACAGCGCTTGCCGACAACTATTATGTCATATTTGAGGGAGCCTTTGTCGTAATAAATCAATAATCTCCATCCTCATTTACCCGTGTCTCGACATATGCTTTTTCAGCTCTCTCGATCGATAATTGCTTGCTTCATGTCTTGGAAGTCTAGCGCATAATCGTGGAGGTATGGCCATAACCTTTTACAACCTCAATCCGGGGCCAATCGGGTATAGTATTTAGTACATGAGTAGAAGTGGTCTTGATGCTGGATCGTATGACGCTGATGCTGGAAGCGAATGTTCAGTGGCTGAGATTGTGAGCTAGTTCCACTTTGAGCTCAAAAGACCCGTGGTTCCACAGAAGGCTATCCATCCAACCACTGAGCCAATTTCTTCACATCACATCAAACACCCACTCTACATGCCATATCCTACCAAACAATCACGCCATGGCTAGTCAAGAGGGAAATGGTTCAAACATGGAGCTGGTCTCGTGGCTGCAATCGCTGAATCGTCCAGCCTCGCGAGAGTCGCTCTATACGAACATCCTCCCAGCGCTTCTCAATGGCGTCGCTGAGATTGGCAAGGCGCTGAGGGGCTCTACTAACGTCTCCCTCGTTGGGTCTGCGAATGCGTTCGGTGACGAGCAGCTCAATGTAGACGTTTTGGCGGAAAATATTATCCGTGATACTATCGCCAAGTGCCCGACAATCTTCACGGCCAGCAGCGAGGAGGACCCGATCGAGCGACCTGCGCGAGCAGATGAGCAGACACCAGCACCAAGCACCAGTGCGGAACAATACACTGTCGCCTTCGACCCTCTCGATGGAAGCTCCATCATCGCACCCAACTGGACTGTCGGTACTATCATCGGCGTGTGGGATGGCGTCACTGCGCTCAACCAGGATCCGGCGGAGAAGCAAGTCGCTTCCATCCTTGGAGTCTACGGCCCGCGCACGACGGCAATCGTGGCACTGCGTGTTCCGGGTACGGAAGAGATCTGTTTCGAAGTCGGCTTGACTGGAGACGGCACGCCAAGAGTTGAGGTAGTCCGCCCCGAGGTTCAGCTTGCGAAACCGCCCTTCAAGACGCGCTACTTTGCTCCGGCAAACCTGCGTGCTGCGGCTGAGGACCCTCAGTATATGAGCCTCATCACGCGCTTTGTACAGGAGAAGTACACCTTGAGATACTCTGGCGGGCTCATTCCCGATGTGGTCCATGCCCTGGTCAAGGGACACGGCGTGTACGTCTCCCCGGTCACAGGGGTTAGCAAGGCGAAGCTCCGACGACTCTATGAGCTGTGTCCCGTAGCTCTTGTGCTCGAATGTGCAGGCGGCCAGGCTATTGATCCAGCTGATGGCGAGAGAATCCTCGGAAGGGTAGTGGAAGATTGTGATGAACGGGGTGGACTGGTTTGTGGCACCGCTAGCGAGGTTGAGAGCGTAAGGGATGCTCTGCGAAGGAAGTAAACATGAGACTCTTGGCAAAATAAATCACATGTTTGCTGCCATGGCTCGGTAATTCCAGCTCAGGGTTGTGTTGATGGAGTGTACTACATTTGCAGGGTCACTTTGATGTCATATAACGACGGAGCGCCACATTGAATACACGTATCCCTCGCCCTCGTCGTTCTCAATAAAGTAGAGCCCTAAACTCTACTGTGTTCCGGCGTTGCAAAACAAACGTGGCTAGCCGTTCTCAACCCCAGTCCCTGGCGGAACAACTGCCTCCACCAGTCAACGCCAGGTCCGGTGCCGAATAACCATTTGCCCAGGATACTACCCCATCTTCCCCGGCTTCTCCAGAAAACGTTTCCTATTTAGTCCCCTACCCCGGAAAACGAGGAGTCAATCGTTGCATTTACCTTGGGGTCACAAACTGTAGACCGCCGGTTTGGGAGCCCTCGTGGGCTCAAGGGCTTGTAGGGATCTCAAAATCGCGCGGGGGCCGCCTAGCCTAGTCGACTCATGAAATGTTCTAGGAGCATGTGGAACAAATTTAGGCCGAGGAAGTGGTTGAGGGGTTTGTGAAAGACCAAGTCCTTGGAACGTCGAAGTTTCGACGAGACACAGGGGATTCGACGCTTTAAATCCTTGAGCGGAAGCAATCTCAGGCAAGAATTGACTTTGCTGTTCAATGATTTCGAAACAAGAGTATCCACAAGTTCGTACGAAAATAAAGTAAACCGGCCCCTTCGGAGGTAAAAAATGATGGTTCCAGATTGAGTACTTGTTTGGAGTTGTGGCAGCCCTCTGTTGATTGGTGGAATGTTCCAACCTCACAGTCCGGGGGTACGTGATGATTCCAACCGCAATGACCTGCTTGGAAGTACTCGCAGGTAATAGTATGAGCTGGGAAACCGAAAATATTTCTCCATTGGTGGATCTGGTTTTGAAAAGGAGTCTAGAAAATTTAGGTCGCCGACATAAATATCCAGGGGATTCCTTTGAACGGGCTTGCTCTTTGTGCTGTTCTCCAGATTATATCCTGCCCTTCTGGTTCTTTATTGACAAGATGCTTGTGAATAAGCTTCTGGTGCTCGTGAGCGTTGTTTCTGGCTCCTTAGCCAAGAGCTGCAAAAGCCGGTATGCTCGGACTCAACCTGCTTCCGATGCCCTTGTGGTTGACGGCTCCGGTGCATACTCAGGTAGCTTTAGCACCATTGGTGAAGCTGTTGCTGCCCTGAAGAACGACACTCTGGAGGAGCAAGTTATCTTTGTGCTCCCCGGAACCTACAAGGAACAAGTTTATATCGCTCCTCTCTCTGGTCCTCTCAAAGTCCAAGGATACACCTGCGACACACGCTCTTACGTCGACAACCAAGTTACTCTGACCAACAACATTTCCAGACAGTCCCCCAACATTACTCGTAATGACGAGACGGCGACTCTCCGGCTCTGGTCCTCTGGAGTAAAGATGTACAACATGAATGTTGCCAACACATTTGGAGCTGCGGCCACCAGCGGTCAAGCCCTCGCTCTGAGTGCTCAACAAACAGACCTGGGCTTCTACGGATGCAGCTTTGAGGGTTGGCAGGACACCATCTATGCCAACGAAGGACGACAGATTTACGCCAACACCTTTATCAACGGTGCTGTCGACTTCATCTTTGGACTCAGAGCCGCTGCCTGGTTTGAGAACTGTGATATTGAAACCCTGGGAGACGGCTACATCACGGCCAACGGACGGGACGCAGAAAACAACACTTCTTTCTACGTCTTCAACAAATGCGACGTTTCAGGAACGAGTGGCGAAGCGTCGACCTACCTAGGGAGGCCATGGAGACCCTACTCGCGGGTCGTGTTCCAGAAAAGCTCCCTCGGAGACGTGGTTCACCCCGAGGGATGGTCGAGGTGGGATAGCACACAAAGCGTGGACAACATTGTCTACGGCGAGTATAAGAACAAGGGTGTTGGGTCTGAAGGCGTCAGGGCAAACTTCAGCAGCGAGCTAACTGCTCCAATTAAGATCACGGAGCTTATGGGGGCCAGCTTCACGAAGGAGTGGTGGGTTGATGCTACATATCTTTAGAAGGGTTGTAATGGCATTATGGAGCGGGAACTCGCCAGTGGAAGGATTCGTGGCTAATTTGGAAAATAATGGACGCAAATTCCCATAATTAGCAACGACTAGAATGTGATATGCAATATAACACGAGCTGACAACTTTCATTGTTCGAGTACATCTGCCTTTCCGAATACACATACGAGATATCTTTTCTCCAGAAACGTGAAGAGATCGTGTCAACATGATACATAGATGGACTTCAGTTGTTTGTGTAGAATCTAAGTCGAACATATTTACGGAAGTCGGTCATTTGCAAGCGGGCTCCACTGATGGATCCTCTCCGCGTGGCTCATATTCAGTATTGAAGCATGTCCTCATTTACATATATTTGATCCAATATTTCGACTCGATACAGGGTATAGATATCTTGAAAACTCCTCCAGTGTCCTTTCATTAACATGATCATAAGCCTGTCACCCTGCATTACCCAAAGACGGTCCATGACTTCGTGCCAGTCATAATATCTATCCAATGGCTCTGCTCCAGCGGCGTGTCCTTGTCAAATGCTGACCATATCGCAAGCAGCAACTGCTTCGCGACAGTCACTGAGTTTGACAGTATACCTTGCTCCAGCTCGCTCAACCGCGAGAGCAGGAATTCTCTTGCCTGAGACACTTCGAGGGATCTGCTATCGGATAAGGCTGTTGGGATTGTGTCTAGATCTTCGGACACGTCGCCCTGTTCCGAGCCGGAGACCAACAGGGTTTCATTGCATGAAACCTGCGGGACTTCGATCATCTCGTATCGCAAGCCACTGCCTGCACACACGCAAAGTAATGGCTGCAAGCAGCGCATGGGCGATGCGGATGGTATTTCCTCTATGATCTTGCTGATACGGACAGCGAGCCCTGTCACCCACTGGCTCTGGGTCATCTGGCCTTCTCCGGCTTCCTCGCCCGGGAGGCGCCTTGAGAGCAGGTCAGGAAAGCTTTGGTATAGTTGCAACAGCGATGACAGGCGAAAGGCTTCAGTGGCGTTGTATAGATCGACCCGAATAGCGTCTTCATCACATTCGGTATCGCGTTCTTCGGATTTCGTGGGGACCTCAATTGACAAGAGTCGTTCCTCAAGTTGTTGCCCTTGTTCGATATCGTGAAGCGCCTGAAGCATCCGATTGTAGGTCGCAATTGGTCGGTGACGCCAAAGATCGCGAGACTTGCGACACAAGGCCATTGATTTCCCAAGTAACATGACAATGCTAGTGGAAACACCCGTCCAAGAGTGTAGATCAAGAGGATCTGCCGCTGGGTCGACTGCATTCCACTCCAAGAGTGCACTGAGGTCTTCTTCACGGTTGCTAACGATACCACGGAGCATCTGTTCATAGACGAGACATCCTCTGAAGAAGCCCAACAGTTGGCGGTCCTCCTGATGCAAGGAATGAAGGTTTAGCTCGAGAAGATCCAGCACAACGCGAGCGTTTCCCAGGTACTGCAGCCCCAGCTCTCTAGAATCTGCCCAGCTGCAGGATGAGCTCATGCAGAATAGGGAAATGAGTAGACCGGCGGGAACTGAAGATACAGAGTTGGGCGCTTCGAATAGAGCTTGCAACTCTTGTATCAGTGCTTGGTTGGCTAGTCTTGGAGCTTGTGTTGCGATTTCTTTGACGCTAGGTGAATCAATGGCGAGTGACGCGCTGGCCATACTCTGAAGGGAATAGAACACAACCTCTGAGGAGCCCCATAGGGATGAGCAGAGGCGGCGGAATGGATTGGCTGGTGAATCGAATGCAGACCACACGCCACACACTGATTCGAACCAGAGCTCTACCAGTCTAGTGGACGGTTGGGTTAGGCTTTGACAGAGGCTGGGACTTTGTGGTATCAGGTTAGTGCCACCCGAGTGCTTGCCAATGGGCTGTGGCGATTTAAACAGTCTGTTGTCGTGCTGTGGGATCGTTCCTATTGCATCCTTATCGGCCGAATGCTCATCAGAATGGCTCATGTTGGAAGCCGTCAGAGTGTCCAACTGAACGAGGCTGTTGGCAGCGAGCTGGTTCGAGTCCGGTGGGACATGATCAAGAAGAAGGTCTCCATCTTGTGTACTGCTTGCGAGGGGTTCATTTGCGGCAGTCTGTCTTGTTTCCTGCTTCTGTCGCGCTGGTCCTTTCCGGTCAGGGCGTGCCCGAATCGACTTTGACACAGCGGAGACGAGCTGGTCAAACTCGACAGGCTCAGCGGCCAATGACACGCGGCGATTCTCGTACTTGGTCGACCATTTAAGGTCCTTCTGGTAGCCCGGACAAGCGACGCCCTTGGAGACGCAGTTCCGGCAGTGCGGGAGCTCCTCGCCGCATTTCAGCTACGCGTGTGTGAGCGTCTTCAGCGTCATCAACGCGCCACGATAAGACGGAGTGGATGTACCCGTTTGATCTTGCAGGTCCGACACCCCGCGCGGGACTTGGAGCGGCACTTCATCTGGCTGGGACGCTCTTGGCAGATCGGTTTGCTTGGCATCGACGGCCAAAAACCTGGGGTTGCGTGGAGAGAGAGGCCCGTCGTATGCACGCGTTACTAATGGAAAACAACTCGACGAGCGGAGACGATACATCGTTCCGCCAAGCTGCAGCCCGAGATAACGCGGGGTAATTGATTATCGATTATCCTAGAACGACAAGGGTCTCGAGAGTCTTGTGCTCCCTCATTATCAGTGACAAGTGACAAGCGTGCCGCACATCCGATCCAGGATTCCCGCCGTGACATTCACAGCAAGCCTATCACGCATACAGAAACGCGTCACGCTGGCAGCGATTGTCTGGCGCACCTCTAACCCCATTAAGTATCTTTTTAGGCCATAGATAAGGCCGCTGCCCCTTCACACGATGCCTGCCATGAACGGCCTGAGATTGCAGCGTGGTCCAATTCCAATTGAAGACACTCCTCCGGGAGCAGTAAGCCTCATATGCCCCTTGTCTTGATGTCTCGAAGCGACGCGCTTTTACTGCTCTCGTTTCAGGGGGATGGATGGTCATGCGCAATGTCCCGCACGCTGTAAGGCCGAGGAGCACCATTTATCGCGGGGGCTAACGCAGTGGAATGAAAGGCAATCCGATTGCCTGCAGTTGTGCCGCTATTGTCTCGGTCGAGTGTCACCTGGATGTCTCACGGCGAAGGTATTCAGTGAATTGCGGATGAGCCCGCTGTCTCGCTGAGATTAGCGAGGCCGAACACGCCTCGGCTGGCCTGTCGAGCTACCTTTGAGGCATGGTATCGTCGAGTTTATCACCAATCTAATCGCAAAGATAATCCCAATTCAACCCGCAAAGATAGTCCCAATTCGAAATCGTTCGCGGAGAAGCATAGGCATACATCTATAGCCACTGACCTCATGTCTGCTGATCCCCGCCGTGCGCAGTCATTATGGATATTTTTGCTCAATCTGGCGAAACCAGGCGGGCGACAGATCGACACCGTAAGGACATTTTACCCACTTCCAGCTTAGCTCGTCGGGAACCTGGTCAACCCGGCCTGTTCATGCATGCGACATGGTCTAGACCTGTGTCTCGATACTTCCTCACCTCGATGAATCAGCGGTCGCCCTTGTATCCTTTGACGGTATCGTTCGGGGCCAGCATCAGCCACAGACAGCGTCGGGCCTTATCGTTGGCCGAGGGCTCGCGCCGGCCAATGTCTAAAATCCAGCATATATAAGACGCCGTCTCTTTCGGTTGAGTAATGAGATGATCCTGCTCCCCGTTTTGCCAGGCCCTTCCCGTGTGGCGCCACATTGTTCCCTCAAGTCCCCGTAAACAATGGCTGATGTCAAGGAGTCCATGTTGGACACGTCCGGCAATGCCGACGTGGCCGTCGGCACCTCGCGTGATATCCACGACCTCGAGGTCCTGGGATATAAGGCTGAGATGCAGCGGAACCGCACCATGTTTACACTTCTTTTCCAGTCTCTAGCTATCGCTGCCGTTCGTCACCACAGCCTGACTCCCCGTTGCCTGGCCATGTAGCTAAAGAAGGACGCAGATACCCTATGGCTTTGGCTCACCCCTCATCACGGCCATTTACGGAGGAGGTTCGCCGGTTCCATTTCCAATTGGCACCATAGTATAATCATCGCTGATACGTATCCTAGGCCAGCTTCCCATGTTTGTTGGATGGGTTGTTGTATGCGTATTGGCCGAGTGCGTCGCCCTCTCTCTAGCAGAGCTTGCGTCCCGGTATCCCACATCAGCCGGGCCGTACTACTGGGCGTACCAACTAGCAAATCCCAAGACACGAACCGCCTTTTCCTTCCTCACCGGCTGGGTATGGCTGATCGGAAACTGGACCATTACTCTCTCCGTCAACTTCGGAATGGCCTCATTGATTGCCGCCACAGTGGCACTGTACCACCCGGAGTTTACCATGACATCGTGGCAGTTGTTGCTGATATTCTACGCCATGTGCGTGTTGACATTTTTCATCGTCGCGTATGGCAACTCGGTCCTACCAGTTGTGGACACGCTTTGCGCCGCATTCACTCTTTTGGCCATCATTGCCACGATGATCAGCATGTCAGTCAAGGCGGATGTTGGTCGCCACTCAGCCAAGGATACACTGGTAAGTTTGATGAATCGACATGAATAGCCCCTTCTCGAGATTCTTCGAACAAAGTTGAGCTCACTGCATCTTCCAGGGCTTCTACGACACGACCTTGTCCGGATGGGGCAGCTTTTCATTCTTCATTGGCATCTTGCCCGGTGCCTACACGTACGTATTCCGTTTGTTCCTCAGCAACCTCCACTCACAAGTCTGCAGATTCTCTGCCATTGGCATGATCTCGTCCATGGCCGAAGAATGCGGTGACGCAACCGTACGACTGCCAAAAGCACTATCCCTCTGCGTCCCCATCGGCGGCCTGGCCGGCCTATTCTTTGTATGAAGCAACGCCCTGAAAAAATCCCTATTCCCGAGCAGACACTAATCGTAGAAAGATTATTCCGATGTGCGCTACCCTTCCCGACTTGACCGAGATCATCGAGAACTCGCCCGTGAGCCAAGCTTTGCCATACATCTACGGACAAGTCATGGGCACACCCGGAGGCGGTCTAGCTCTTACATTCCTGGTCATCGTCATCACCGTATTCTGTTCCATCTCCATCACAGTCGCAGCTTCGCGATGCACGTGGGCTTTCGCCCGCGATCAGGCAATCCCATGGTCGAGCCTTTGGTCCAGAATCGACGAGCGTCACGGCGTGCCCATTTGGGCGTTAACCCTCACGACCATTGTCCAGATGCTTCTTGGACTTATCAACCTCGGCTCGTCGTCCGCCTTCCTCGCGTTCGTCTCTGTGGGTGTCATGGCGCTGGCTGCCTCATACGGTATCCCAATCGCCCTCTCGGTCTACTACAGTCGCCGCGAGGTCGCTAGTGCTCGGTGGAAAATGCCAAACGGACTAGGCTGGGTCGTGAATTTTATCGCACTCGCCTGGATTGTGTTTGAGATCATTCTCTTCAGTATGCCATCGGTGCTGCCGGTCACCGCCGTTGGTATGAACTACGCCAGTGTCGTTCTGGTTGGGTTTCTCTTCTTGAGCGGTGTATGGTACGTGATACACGCGAGAAAAGGTATGTTCAACAACCCCCCCGGTGAAAATTATGTTCAAGTGCTGACCCTAGTACAGTGTTCAAAGGGCCGCCAGAATCTGCCGGACTGCAAGTAGATGATTCGGCTTGAGTTCAACAATCCTTAGTTATGTTGTTCAACCAGAGACACCGGGCATTTGTTTCAATATAGCCTGGCCGCTGAGATCAATAGGTCACAACGATCAGCTGGGGCAGGGATTTCAGCTCGTAGCAAGTCGGCTGCCTCTAATTTATAGATAATAGGCCCCAACAGTACATTGTTATCAATTATTGTTTTAGAACTTGACCGTCTCTGTCATTTGGTAGTCCATTTCGTGTATCATCCAGGTTACATCGGTCCTCGTATTTAACCCCAGGCGCTGTCTGCCAGCGCTGCTTGTAACACAGTCCTTCTCCATTGTGGGATCATCGTGGATGGGGTGTACACTTCTCACCGACGTGAGACAGCTCAACGTCGACCGCACGAGACTCGCAGCTACCGGTTACCTGAGAGATGGGTTGACTTGACCGCATTGTTATCGTTGACATGCGACACTTCCAATACATATCCATTTGTCGTACCTCCTGTTCTTCTTGATGGACCTGATAATTTTTTTTGGACTTGCTGGCTTAATTATTCTATTTACCCGAGTATCCAATTCCTATTTACATGCATATCAGAGTTATTCACACACGTTCAAAATGCTAATCACATACAAGTATAACCTTTTACACCTAAACTTAGATAGTATAAGGTATACCTGGACTGTACGCCCACTTTAAGGTATCTTATTCTAAAGAGTCTTCAGTTTCTATCCTAAAATATATTAAAAGATAAAATTTAAATAGCAGAATTTAGTAAATAAATACTTAAAATAAAGCTTATTTAATTTTCTTAGGCTTAATATACTAAGAGGGTATATTATTAAGACTTCTTGGTGAAATTGGTCTATATACTTAAGTGTGCAAGTAGAATTTTAACTGTGTGCAAATAGCAATACTCATCATTTATTCTATAGTAATTAATCCCACGTGATAGTTATACCTTCCAGTCGATTCCTTCTATCTCGTAATCAACTCGCCCAGTAACCAACCAGTGTCCACACCCTTACTGGGGATGTAATAAACAGTGCGAGCGGTATGGATACCTCAGCCTTATTGTAATCGGTGCCACTACACGATGACAAAAGGTGACAGCTATTCTCAAGATTAAAGCTGCATTATCATATTCTCAACAGGCTCATTACTCTATGAAATGCATAGTACGAATTCTCATTACCCAGGTGAGTGAGCGCCAAAGAATGAAACCTAGCCGATTATATTAAACAAGGGATCCCAATATATTATCACGCATGGCTTTCGCCAAGTTTCCAGTTTACATAAGTACTTAAACTCGAAAAATACCCTAGTGCAACTCCTGAATCGACCCGTGATGGTGACTTGTTCTATCTCCGTCTAGTTCAAACGTATGCACTGCGCCTGGATGTGGCACCTGATGAAGAGGAGGAGAGTACATCGGTTGTTGTGGTGCATGAGGGGAGACGCTTGAGGGAGGCGGGAAACCTTGACCTTGAGATTTGACAGGGGAATTCAGGTTGGCTCCGTACTCGGGCTGTGTTGGAGAAGCGACGAAATTATGCGTGTTTTGCATGGTCGATTCCGGCTGGGCTTGAGGTGCCAATCCAGAATTAGGGGGAGGGGTGATCTCGTTGCGCTTTCGGCGACGTAGATGTAAGATGAGTAGAACGCCTATGACAATCAAACCGATAACGGCGAGGCCTCCAACTACTCCTCCTACTATTGCACCGACGTTGGTTCCACCACCGGAGCTGTGAGTCGACGTGGTCGTGCTGCTTATGGCGGTTGTGCCGCTGTCAATGGCGGTATCAGTGGATTTTGTTGTGCCGGATTCGGCCGTTGCGAGGCTACTAATATATGTCGTGATCGGAGTTCCATCAACCAGAATTAAAGTGCTAAACTCTCGGTCCTCAAGACTCTGCGTGGTGTCGAGAGAGTATGTAGTGAACGCAGTGTTGCACCCCCAAGTCGTGATATCGCCGCCGATCGCAATGTCCACGCACGAAGGGTACGCGCTCTGAGTGCTGGCAACGAAAACATTAGCAAAACGAAGGACGTGACAGACGGTTCATTTTACCAGAAGATATGACGTGTATTCGAGAAGCAGGCATCGTCGCACAAGTCTGTGTTATAAACGGACGTGCTGTCAATACAACTGGTCGCCAGAGCCTGCCAACCGCAGAAAATGAGGTTGAGTCGACCTGATTCCCACGAGCAGCGACGATTGTTTGGGCAGGTCCAGTAGGGGTTTCCACCCGCATCGAAACCGCAGGTCTCATCAGGTGCAATGGTGATGCTGATGGTACCCGAAGATATGTCGCCGTCGAGCTGTCGTCGTCGAAGTTCCCAGTCTGTAGGCGCCGGCTGAGCATTGTGGAATCCACCGCCCACGGTGCGTGTTGCCAACTGAGCGACTGCTTGACCGAGAAGCGTGTAAGCTGTTGCTATCCCAAATCCGTAACGATGCATTGCGAAGTCCGATGTGAATAATGAACCGCAGATGATTTTCTGCGCGATTTCCCGAGCAAGACACAGCCCACCTGGGGGTGTCAGCTTGACTAAATAACTCTCGTTCAGCAGCCTCGGCCAGTAGGACTATAACCAGTATGGCATGGATTTCTAGGTGGCTTGCATGACTGAAGGCCTCGACTCCTCACAATATGCGAATAAGGGCGTTCCTTTTGGGGTGGCGCTCTGCAGAGGGTTGTACAGCCTACTCGTCACACCTGGCTGTTCCTTAGCTCAACGCCAGAGCAAGGATTCACCATGTGAGAGGTCATCCAAGAAAGTGGCGTCTGAGCTGAAAGATTCTTGATTGCATGGATTCCATCAGACATCGGTGTTGAGCCAGCGACAACAGCTAAAGCAGCGGCACGACGAAGCACTGAACAGTAGACTCACCCAAGCGAAAATACGTTCAAGATCCTGTCGATTACGCTCTGCCTCGCAAATGTAGCAAGGATCAACATGAACAAAGTGCCAGAGGGGGGGCCTGTAAATATATCTAAACTAGCCCACATCAGTCAGTCATTGCTTATGGTTACACCGCCTAAACCCTCCTCCACGTAAATTAGTGACATTTCTTTTTCCATCCGGGCGACCAGTCACCTGGAGAGGCACCGGAACATCCCATCCTCCACCATCCAACAGGCGTTGGCCCATGGCGCGGCAGTTAGGCCGGGGCTGGTCTAAAAGAAGCGATATTCCCAACAAGTACCGCCACTAAGAGACAGTTGTGGCGCCCGCCGGGCATGCACTATTAGGTGCGGTAACGAATCAGCTCAAGAGCTACCAATTCAGCTGGGGCTGATTACTGTCTGTGATGGCTGTTGTGGGATAGAGTATGGCTTGGACCTCACAGCCTATTCTTAAGCTTCCTCTTATCCATCCATTTGGCACCACCTGACAAGCCACCTTGAGACCCAGTCTCTGTTGGCACCCCGACGCTAAGGGTGCCATCTCTAGATTGGGAATGAGGCACATTTCTCACAGTGTCTGTCAGAGCTTCCAGCTGAGTGGTGGATGATGCTGACAGCGGCTCCAGGCTCGGGTTGGGTCGCATTAGGAAGAAGGCTTGGGGCTGTGCGAAGGTAGAACCCAGAGCCAAAATTGGGCGGTTGCGGGGTCTTTTTCTTCCTCTGGCCGATGAGGTCGTTTTATTTGTAGCCAGTAATCCATCCTCTGTGGGATTCCTCAAGACCCTAGCGAAGGTGTCCGTAGTAATGTCTTCGCAGCTGGAGTGACGCATGTAGTTTTCATTGTGGCAAGGACCTGTCCAGAGCAGCAGGGCCCCACCGAGTGTGCACTATGTCAGCTTGCGATCGACATGGTGGATACATCATAGGTCAGGTCCTTATTACCGTATCGACTCGATAAATTGGCCCTGTTTTTATGGACTAAAGCTCAATTATATAAGGCTTAGATTTCCTAAATTATTAGGTATAAGAAAGCCCGAAGACCATAAGCGGGAGAAGGATTCGGGGCCAATTTACTGAGTCGACACGTCATCTAGCACTAAAGCCTCTAGGATGCTAATAACTTCTTGTATTGATAGCTACAGGCGCTCGTATGTGTTGGACGGCTTATTAGGATGTAGGGCTCAGTCGTGTGACGGCCGTGCCAAGTATATACAACAGGTATAGGGTTAGAGGGGGTCAGGGGGTTTAGGTCCCAGTACTCCGAAGGGATCAGGATAATATATATTTTAGCAAATCTATCTCAATACCTGGAGTTATACCAGCTGGCTTGCTTACGGAAAAACTGCCATACCTCCATAAAATGATGTGAATTTGGTTGTCGTGCATTAATTTGGCGGTCTAGTGGTGTTTTGGTCCGCTCTGCTTAGCTGGTGTGTAAGTGGGTTTCATGCCTGCAGAGAGCGAGATAGCACTTCTGCACTTGACCGGGTGAGGTAAAGAAGGCTGGATATTATAGTTTTATACTTTTAGTGTGCATCTGTAATTGAGTCAAGGGGCCGTTGGGAGCGAAGAGGGCGCACAGGGGGGCATCATGGCTAACCATATAGATAGTAGACTTCATTTTACAAGCGCTATGTGCAGTCGTCCAGCACAAGCGTTACCATCAATTGAACCCCATGCCCTTCTCTTTTAATTGCTTCTGGAACTCCTCCTGCTGGGAAATGATATGTGTTCCTGCAGCTAGGCCAACCAAACCTTCCATATTATAAAGTGCCTCCATCGGCACATCTCGAACGCACACTTGGTGGGCTTCCTTGGTTCCTCCGCAGAAAACTTCGATGATATTGCCATCTCCATACTGGGAGCCCTGAATAGCATTCATAGCGACATCAATCATCTCATCCACCGTCAACATTAGATCGTCAGACTGTACTCGTTCGCGGCTGTAGGCAGGGTGGAAAATCGGAGTCTGCGATTGTGAGAAAATTAGCCAGAGCCGCACTGAGGGTGAAAGGACACTTCTAGATTAAGACTTACATCGACGACACCGGGGCAAACAGCTGCATTTCGAATGCCCGCGATCTTATTCAACGAACCCAGAGATCTACACATACTGACGACTGCAGCCTTGCTAGAATAGTAGAAAGGTGTGAGAAGCCCGTGGATATATCCTGCCATGCTAGCAACCCAGAGAATGTTTCCTTTGTTGTTTCGGTTCTCAGGTCGTAGCCAGTACTCGACGGCAATCTGAGCGAGCCTAATGGGGGCGATGGTGTTCACGGCGTAGGTCTTGTACATGCCGACCTGAGCATCGGCAGGATCTTGGGCGAGTGGCGAGATACCAGGTGGGTTCCAAAAGTCACTGGAGGGAGGCTCATATAAGCCTGCTCCGTTCACGAGCAAGTTGACTCTTCCGAATGTCTTGATGGCGGTCTCCCATAGCACATTGATCTGAGACCAGTCGCAGAGGTCGGTCTGTTGAAAAATCGCCGACGCAGCACCAGCTTCCGCTTGCGGATGCTGATATTTCTTCAGAGTCTCCTCAGCCTCGGGGCGTAAGCGAAGATCTGCCATCACTACGGAGCATCCCGACTCTAGAAGCCTCTTGCTGAGTTCATAGTTGATGCCTGAGTATTGTCAATTGGCGTCAACTTGAACACAAAAGCCGCAGAAACGGTACCTACCAGATCCAGCGCCAGTCACGAGCGCAATCTTGCCCTTGACGTCCCAAGTAGCCATTTTGTTTAGCACGTAGAGTTGTAAAATTAATCGCTCAAATGGATGAGTAACCTTGAGTGATAAGTGTTAAGGATGTATACATGTTGGTCGAGCAAGCGGTTGCTTCTGATCTGCCGTCGAGGGATGTAATTAACGCAGCCTGGACAGTGTTTCCATACTCTTGCATATTGCCGACCCCCAATACTGCTATGAATGTCACTCTGCAATTACGGAAAGCCGGGGCGACTAGGGTAGGAATCCTTCCCCGCGACATTGACGAGCTGCCACTGAAGAACCCTGTAACTCCTGCAAACCCATGTGTCGTGTAGATCTCTCACGCCACTTTGCTATGGCCAACCGGCCGATTTTATAATATATCCGGAGCACCCTCTGACTTTGAAGGGAATAACACAAACCTCGAAGGTGTGAGATCTAATTTTTGCTCTATTCGTTTGACCACGAGCTTCCCGTTTGGCATGAATCTGATCCTTTATACTCATTTGCATACTAATTCTTAGTTATCGAAACTTATGTTGATGCAAACGAGTATACCATGTACTGATATCGAAGGGAAATAATTCTCGGAATTTGGTTTAATTAAGCAGACGCTTTGGGCGATATCCTTTGCGACGTTTTCTTCCTGCATATCTCAAATTAACATTTAACACTCGTGAAAACTGTACTACGCAGTAGCTGTTGCACGACTCACTACGTACGGATGTCAATCCCTGACAGTTCTTGAAGGTAAATGATGCCATTCGCCTTAAGCCATGTTTTGCCTGATTCTTTCTCGCATGGAGCCGGAGTTCTGACACATAGTTCTTGGCGCCAACCATCTGTGGAGGAGCTATGATTATGCCCACACGTTATTGTGGAGATGTTGGGGGCCGTACGCGTGTTTGTCATGGGCATCTAAGGCTCTCTTTTGAGGCGGTGAAGTGCAATCCTGGTCCACGTCAATGTCTCAGGCGGCTGCCACGACCCTTGCCTGGTCGTCGCTCTTAACTTTTTTTGTTCAGGTACGATATCTTCGCAAATAAGATTCTGATTCGGTTTCCGCGTTTCACGGCCCCCGGGTGCCACAGTTTCCAAGTTTCACGGCCTGCGGAGTTTACGGCTTCCGTGAGGTTCAGCATTTCCAATCGCAAGCGCCAGCTGAACGAAATGCAAAGGCATGAAGCTCAGAGCCGCCCAAGTAGTACTTTGACAAGCACTCACCACAGTTGGTCCATTGCTGGCGAGTCTAATCTAAAAGGTATTGGATGTGCAAAATGTTATCCATATTTCTTGCAACTCTATTTACAGCGGTCTGTAATTTCGGACGGTCGCATTGGTTCGGTATACTCCATGAGAGTTGGGAACCCCGGCCAGCCCCGTTACATACATAGGACATCTAACCCATTGTCCCCGGGAAGAATTCTAATATAATGGGATAGGATCTGCATGTAAACCGTTTTAAAAGGAGAACATGGCTACAAGCGCTCTCCAATACCGCGCGTAGAAAAACGACCACATCGTGTGAACCTGACTCGACTTGACTCATGACTAAAGCCCATCATGGCCGATTCAGAACAGGCATGACACTCAGCCCAGCCTACCGGGTTTGCAAAGGGGCTTTTGGCTACCACGATCAGGTTCACGATTACAATTGCGGTCATGATCGTGCTAAGAGGGTATATAAAAGAGCCGTCAATCAACTGAACGGCCCTGAGGACTACTTGATGTACATTGGGGGAGTGAGTTTCAGACCCGACAGCTGTTGCTGGACTTTTTGTTCGAAGTGAATACTCATATATGTGCTCATTTACAGGTACTTAATATAGGTCATAATGCTGCCGTCATGTATGGATGCTTCACAGGCATCGGCAGGCACAAAGCAGAACTCAATATACCAATCTCCATATAGGCAGCGAAGGTTTGTCATTCAATCTATTTCATCTCTAATAATGCGCTGAAAGATCTTGAAATAGCCGACGAGAAATATTCTTTTCGCTACCGCAGATGGTCACGATATGGCAACTCTTCTACGTCGTCGGATCCCCGTTTATCAAGATCAGAATTTGTATGACCTTGATCCGAGTCGCCACGCAACGGTGGTACACATACCCGCTATATGCTGTTTGTGGTTTGAGTGTGGCCATGACACTCATGGCATTCATCGCCGTATTCATCCAGTGCGCCCCTTTCGAAGCATCCTGGACCGGTCAGGGGAAGTGCATCTCGGTCGAGGGTTATCATCATTCCCACATACATCTTTTCAGCCGTCAATATTTTCGTGAATTGGACTGTGGCGATAATGCCGGGCTTCATTTTGTGGCATCTCCAGCTTCGCAGGAAGTTGAAGCTCCTGTGTTCGGGTATCTTAGGGCTGGGCGTCCTGTGAGTATTCCTCGAGTCTCCATCACTTGTTATCATCCAATGGTGCGAACGAAGACGAAAACCACCAGCCCTCCCATCGCCACCATTATTCGAATGCCCTACGTCCCAGGCTATGCTGCGAAGACTGGTAAGCTTCGTAAGTGCAGGCCATTACCTGTACCATCCTTGTGCTGTACGCCAACACGTGGTGTCATCGCATACAGACATGATCGGGTTCATCATCCTCTGGACAGTTGTTGAACTTGGTCTTGGAATTGTCGCTGGCTCTCTTCCATCGCTACGGAAATTTTTCACGAGTCTCGCGAAGGACAAGAGCTCCGGGGACAAGACCTCTTTTGGAACCGACCTTGTGACAATTGGGGCAAGCAGACAAACCAGGGCAGAACGTGGACCATTATACGACTGTGAACTAAATACAACGGTTGCAATTGGTAGGGACGGAAGTATTGACGATCTCCGGGACAAGGATGACGACAACACCTGCCGTATCATCCAGGTCACTCGGGATTTTACTCAAACGTCAACATAGAAGAGAACAAAAAAGATTCTGACGCGTGAACACTCAATACGAAGACCAGAACCCCCCAGCGGGTTCATTACGCGTTTCTACCCAATACAAGTAAAATAATGCCCATATCCATGCAAGTCTCCGTTGCCCAGTGTGACACCCTAACTACCCGGATTTCTCCTTAATTTGACGCTAATGTCATGCTATTCTGTGCACTTTTGATCATTTATTAAAGCAGATTATTATAAAATGTTCATCTAGCCTTCAAGCCGCCACGGCTTCTGTTGGACTCGCGTTGATTCTTTTCCAGCTGCTAAAAAGACTGACCAAAAGCCCGAGTCCTGAACCACCAAAGGGAGAGCAAGGGCTACCTTGATACCGGCCATATAAGATTGAACGATTCCCGGTACCACGTCTGCAGAGAAAGCGGTTCTTATTCCAGTCGCACCAGTCGCGATCACAGTAGCGGAGTCGATACCAGGGGCGTGGCTCGGAAGGGCGATGATGAGCTCGTTGACAAATGCAGATTGTCCCGCGGCGACGAAAAACGCACCACCAACGCACTGAAAGACTAAAGTATACATGTCAGCTAAACCCTCTGCCAATAAGAGATGGGAACTCACGTAGAATCATCGCAGTGACTGATGAGATGTCGCTGGGTGCTGTGCAAGCTTGACCTATGATGATGCCTACAATGTCCGCCGATTGGCACCAAAATGATGCTGCTCTTGGGACCTAGAAATCCAACAACGGAGCATCTGCCCTTTATAGACTGCATCCATGCCGGATATCTTTTTAACATGGATTCAATCTATAAAAGACGGCCCATCGCGGATGTTGTCGACTTGACGCCAACGTAATTAGACATGGTCTCAAGATGAGTCGAGCTCAGCATGCGGCCAATGATAGCCTTGGATTTGTTTACAGTCAGAATGACTCATAATGAAGCATCAAGGATTATTGGAATATCCGGACCCGATGTTCAGTAGCAGAACATTCTTTCGCTTTCGGGAATCAACGGCAGTATCGTTTAGAAATCCTCTGCCGACGAGCACTCGTTCGCTTGTGCTTGCATGCGTAACCCGCACTTGAAACCGGTTTTGGTAGTAGATGTGCGTACGTTGAGGTACCGATCTCCGTCGGGGGGAAGATACAGGTAAAGTCCCATCCTACAAAGCACTGCACTTTTAGCCTCTCCAGAGGATAAAATTGAGACAGCGGAGTTTTGCTAGTGAGAGGAGTGCGCGGAAAGGACGTGGTGGGGAGCGAGGTCGTGGTGGCTTTCGACGCCGTACAGTTCGCGATGCAGCACGACAGCTGGAAGACACTGCGAAGAGGACAAGGAAAAGCGCGCGAAATCTTCGTCCTTCAAGGAAGAAAAGAATCATATTACATATTATCACTATAACTGACAAAATATACCGAGGCTTCTCAAGGCTCCAATGTACCCCCCGAGCGCCACAAACTTCGACTCAGCACCTCTGTCATTTCCGAAGACGAAACCTGAGCCACAATCTCGGCATCAATAACCGCTCCATACTGCAAGAGAAGTCTGGCGATTAAAGTAAGGTCATTTTTCACTGCAAAGAAAAGAGGTGTCCGAAATAAGGGACCGACAAGGTGAGGGCTAGCACCATGCTCCAAGAGGGTTTGGGCACAGTTCATGTTATTGCGAAGAACGGCGACCATTAGTGGCGCTACAGCCCTCGCCTTCCTCCTGGGGAATCTTTCGGGTGTCGATGTGAGAAAGACACGCGTTACGTATTGATTTCGGAAGAGAAGCAGTCTCGAATTCATCATAGTCGTAGAATTCCGAATCCATCAGTATCATTTTGCATTGGACTCTGGGTGAGGAGGTGAAGGGCAGTATTTACTTGTCGGTCGAGTTGCAAAGTATGAGCGCCCTTCCCAATGAATTGTTGAGACTTACGTTATGGAGATGCTTGAGTAGGTCGAGAAGTTGCCACGTAAGCTGGAAGCCTTTAATAGGACAGACCTAACTCGGTGAGTGTGGAGGTTATGATACATTTTAGAGACGGCGCCGAACAAGTCTACGATTCGCAGATAACTTAGAGTATTGGCTAAACGTGGAAAAGGCTATGAAGGGAACGTGAAAATTCTTCTAATCTGATCCTCGCCCTTAAAATCAACTTCTCAAAGGAAATCTAACCATCAGTTTTCTCATCCTCGGTGGCAAACTATACCTACTCTTCGCTGCACGTATCTTCCGGCTCAACATCATCACCCGCTTCTAGTAGGAGCTTCGCAATATCATTATACCCGTACTTAAGCGCCTGGCTTATCAGTCGACCCCTTTGCTCCCAGTCAAAGTAGGCATCCTCTTCGAGCAGGAACTTCACAATATCTTCATTTCCGTGCTTAACCGCCCAGCTTAGCTGTAGACCCCTTTGCCTGAAGTCAACGTAGGCACGCCTTTCGAGTAGGAGCTTCACAATAGCCCAGTGTCCATACTCAGTCGCAAGGAATAGCGGGTCTCTGTGTTCTCCGCCCCACAAACTCTTCCTGTTGATATCGGCACCTCTCTTGAGTAGGAGCTTCACGATAGCCTTATATCCTTCCGCGGCCGCCCAGCATAGTAGCTCGCTCTCTGAGGCATCGTACTGGCTCTGTTTAAGGAGCAGCTTCACAACCCTCTCATGACCGTTTCCGGCCGCCCAGTCTGGCGGCGTCTTATATCCATCTTGAAAATTGATGTCGGCACCTCTTTTGAGCAACAGCTTCACAACACCCTCATGGCCGTTCTTGGCTGCCCAGCATATCGGTGTACCATGGCCATCTCGAGAGTTAACGTCGGCCTCGTTGTCGAGCAACAGCTCCACAACACCCTTGTCCCCTCCCGCCGCTGCCCACGATAGTGGCGTCTTACCCCAGATGTCTTTCACGTTCACATCGGCCTTGTAGTTGATCATCCGCTCGACAAACTTACGGGATCCTCTATAGCATGCGATATGAAGAGGCGATCGACCAAAAGCGTCAATGGTGAAAACGCAGTCGTCCAATCGCTCTGGATAGTTCTGCATGGCACACCAAAGGTTGGAATCAAGGGCCATATGCAATAGAGACCGATTGAGTATGTCTATCTCCTCGGTAGGCTGTGATAGACCTGAAATCAGCATATCTAACAGTTGGCTTGCACACTCCTTTCCTAGTTGTAGAAGGTTGTGCAACGGAGGTATTGGTAGGAATGTGGAACCTTGAATAGTCTTTAAGCGTTGTATGCTTTTATCATGTATCTCGCTATATTTCTTTATCTCAGGAAGTATGTTAGGGAAGTTCCACTTAAAGAAAAGCAGAGATCCTTGCATCGTCAGCGCCGCGCCATGATCGTCATTGTTTCGTGCCCGGTCGACGTCGTCACTCGAGACTACCGGTAGAGGTAGCCGACTCGACACCCCTGTGGCAAGCAACATGCTCAGGGAGGAAAGAGCGACAGAGTATCCGGAAGGAGGGGATTCGGTCAAATACGACTTGATATCGGAACCAACTGATTTTGCTAAGTCGTCGACCTTGTTGCTAATGAGCTTTACTTTATCTGGTATGAGATGGTATCCGAATAATTCCTCCACCTTGCGGATGGTGGCGTTGGCGGACTCGATGTGTAGCTTTAGTAGTCTAACCCAAGCGACTCTAAGCGACCTGGTGATTATCAGCGAGGAAAGCACATGACGCAAACACCGTTACAAGCATACAGGTCGTGGAGTTTCTGAATGCTTTCCGTACTTGCTGCGTCACTAGTAGGACCAGGCGGCACGCGGGATCCCGCAGCGCGCTTGTTTTCGGAACAGTCGAGGTTGGATTTGATGCATCGATCGCATTTCCGACCCGGCCATTTCCGGTCCTTGGGCGTACACTGGGAAGAAAAAGTGTGAGCCGGTGTCCATTGAGGGAGTTAATGCCACATACTGCTTTCTTATCTTGCCGACAGTCGTAACATTTCAGATAATTGAGCTTGCGCTTTTTCGGACCCTGGCTCATTTGGTCGATGTGGATGCTTGTGTGAAATTCTTTGGTGGTCGCAGTGTCGCAGTCGAACGCGGGGGACTAGGTCCATTTATGGCTTCCAAGGGGGCTTTGGATGAAGGCGGAGGCCAATAACGCACCGTCGCAATGATAATGCTGACTCCCTGAGATGAGATGAGAGATGGACCCGCTTCCAGCACATCACGAGGTCGAAGGCAGGCCAATAGCGCACTATCGCACTATTGCATGGTCGCACTGTCGCAAATGGCTGTGCTTTGCCACCATGATTGATAGGTAGTTGACCAACAGGCGTAGCTCTTAGAACTCGTCTCGTATTTCATGGGATTGCGTTTAGGCCTGTATTGTTGAGAGCGACATAAATATATAACCCAGAGGGTTTCCGCATATAGGTAGGCGAGGACTATTCAAGCGAAGGTGCAGCAAGTCCAACGTAGAAGGGAGGCGAAGCCGACCGACTAAACACCACGCACAGTGGAATCACGAAGGAGCGACGCGACTGAGATAGCATCACGCAGGCAAGTGGGAACCACGCATGCACAAGAATGAGCCCGAAGGGCGAATGGATATCAGGCCTGGCGCAGCCATCAACACTATAGAAACCGACCGCAGGGAGGGGAGGCGAGTTCACGAGCCTATATAACTCTGGTTTCTATAGTGTAATCGTGTAATCCGGAACCGGGTCCACATTACCAGTCATAAGGCGACCGAGCTTGCGAGGGAAGCACACGTGAGTAAACACGGGACCGACGGAGGAGGGGAAGTGTAGTCATTAAGAAGCGGGGGTGAGGGACGAACCAGAGCGCGTAACACTGTGGGGGACGGGGACCCACAAATGGACGTTCGCAGGAGAATGGCCACAATCCCTCCCCGGGGGATATATAAGGGCGTCGGGCGCCCACTTTCAGTCGACGGAGGAGATTCCTTCATCTTTCGGAGGACACATGCGCTGCGCGCACACGGTTACGCGAACGGGAGGTGAGCACTGACTTTTGCACGACGAGAGTCGCTGCGCTCCAATCAACAGCCGGGAGGCGAACACTACGAGTAGTAGCCAGGGGAGATGGATTCGACCGCACCAGAACAGCGTGATGCCGACCGAAGGGAGGGTTTGTCTGAGGGCATAAGCCCTATAAAGCTTTTGCTTTTATCCATATAGGGTATTAATATATCGGAGACAGTGGTCGAGTGGCTACGAGATATAATAGAGGGAGGCGGCGCCGACCTTTTGTCTTCTGCTTTATGCATAGGCGTGGAATTGTCTCTTTATCTAGAGATAGATATAGATTTATTAGAGAGGGTAGACTGATTCTTTATATTATTCTTCAAGGCCTTCGTTAAGAGATATAGCTGCGTATTTTTTGTCTATAAACCGCAATAAAATAAGGAGGATGAGGATGGTGCATCGTCTTTGTGTGAATTCTTATACTATATAACTTAGCTTAAGTATTTTATTCTACCCAGAGCGGGGGAGGGATCCTGTGATATTATACAATTGGAAAGTGAGATTATCTTATAATGCAGGGATGGTCCTTTATATAACCTCCTTCGCTACCCTTTATAGGAGGAAATGATTTAATGTGTAAGGATTATATTATATAGTTGGTATCTATATTTATTCTTGTAGTGCCTGAATCCCTAGAATATAACGGAATGGGAGGAGCATCCTTTTTAATATAAGTTGTGTATATTCTTGTATTAGTATTAGAGAATACGATACTTTATTATAGATAGATACGGGAGGGGGATATTGCAATGTTTTTAGTTAGTTGTAATATTATACTTAAGCCAGGGCGGAGTTTAATCCTAAAGCAGGTATTACAATAGCTTCTTTTTTTTAACCGTAGACTTTAACTTAACTCGCAACAATAAACAGGCGCGAGCACACAGCACCCAACCAGTAATCGTACAAGCAACTGGAACCCCATACAAGTCTAATAATTTTCATACTTTTTATCGTAATTTGCACCGTGAATATGTAAATGTAAATATATCGTAATCGTAGTCCAAGTGAGGCCGACCGAAGGGAGAGGCACCGGAATGAAGTGAAGGTTTATGACGAAGCGAAGTGCAGTCTGTGCCCGGGCTGAACGACCTTGAAGTGGGCATCACGAAAAGATCCAGACAACTCCAACCCAGCAAGCGGAGGGCACGATGTCGGGACAGTCCAAGACATGACCCAATAGGCCCAACGTAACACACCCAACCAAGGATGCATCACGCCAGACATTGGTGATTATGCTCAAGCGACAGCGACTAAGCCCCGCAGGGAGGGACAGAACTGTAATCAAGCAAGCGCAGGCTGTGAACGGTAGTGAACGCCGGAGTGCGGTAGGAAAGAGGAGCCAGTGGGCCCGAATGCCTTCAAGCACATCGAGTGAGCCGTAGGCGAACGACAGAAGAGGGAGTGTAACAACCGACACCAAGCACGAGGGAATCCGAGTGCACACAAACGGGCAACAACTTTTGTCCGAACAAGAGCGCGACCGTAGGGAGCAAGCGGGCCTCAGGCAATAACACTATAGAAACCGACCGCAGGGAGGGGAGGCGAGTTCACGAGCCTATATAACTTTGGTTTCTATAGTGTAATCGTGTAACTCGTAACTGCAGGTGTTATGGGCACGACACTTACTAAGGCGACCGAGCTGGCGAGGGAAGCACGTGCTAAAGAGGGTAGCGAGCATACGAGCGACCGAAGTGATAAGCCCGGGAAGGAATGATGACTGCGAGGGCCGTGATAACAGGCGGGGGAGCGGAGCGAATCAAAGCCGGGTAATGGGGAGCGTCAGCGACTCCACAAATGGACGTTCGTAGGTGAACGTCCACACATACGTAGGCGTATATAAAGAGCGTCGGGCGCCCACTTTCAGTCGACGGAGGAGATTCCTTCGAGTTTAGTGCTTGGGGATCCCACTCCCGACTTTTACCTGGCCTTTGATGACTTCACTCCCCCAAGAAACTGTTGACCCCCGCCATCCGCCGAGGCATCGCTGGCGCTTCGTCATGATCGACAAGCATGGCGACCACCTCCTCCACGAACTGCCACTCTTGCCGTCTGACCGGGGTTCCGATGTCGTCCGCAAACTCGTCAAGTACTTCGAAGAGACCCATCGGCTCACAAGTTGGCTCATAAAGATCGCTCCCTTTATGCGTTCGGCCTTCTACAGAGTAGCTCTCTCACCGGTACGTCTCTAGATGATTGCCCAAAGTGTCCTACACATCGAGCCGCTTCTAATCTTATCACAGGTGCCAATCGAGGACATCTCACGCAACTTTCCATGTGCTGTCAACGTCGAAGCCGTCTTGGGTCGCTGCAACATCCTCACAATAGCAGCTCGAGACACCGGGTGCTCCCTAAGCACCGACTTCCTTACACTCCACCGCCACGTCGCAGTCATGGATGAGATGTCAGGAAGCGTTTATACTAGAGAGGCATTACTACTTTGCTTAGAACCTAATAAGTTCACACTCATAGTGTTTATCATCACGTCTATTCTCCTGTCTATCGGCTTTGGAGTCCTGGCTGGTCTCTGTCAAGAGAGTCTGGACACCGGGTTAGGGGTGTTTGGTGCCATCTTGGGATTGATTGGTATTGTCGAGGGCTTTTTGACCTGGCTATTGAAATAGGCGGGAAGGGGCACGGGGGTTGTTATCCATAAGTGATCCTCTTTTGATTTTGTTGGAAGGGAGATGATAGAAGTTGAGGATTCTTCGTCGACGTCCTCGTTTGTTTCATGAAGAATGATTTTTGCGCGACGCACATTTTCGTCGGAGTAAATTTGAGTATACGCCCGCGGCTTCTAGGTTGCTTTTCTAGAGGATATCTGGGATCATTATAGACATAGAACGATCAGCGATGATGATAGAATGATTGAACTTACATTTTGAAAATTTTGCTTCGAATGACAGCCATGGTCGTGGTGTTGGCCATTGGAGCTCCCAGTTAACTGATGGCTGTGCAAACAACAAGTTCTGCTAGTTTTAACCGCTTACTAACTGTTAATTCTTATCTATTAAATCTACTATTATAGTAGAGCACTATTAAGCAGCTTGATATTTAGTTATTATAGTAGTATGTATTAGATATGAAAGACTTGAATTGTGGATAAAACTGTGTTTAACACTATTCGTTCGCTCTAGGGAATCCAGCGCAGTATTGTTTCGAAATCCTCTGCCCTCCTGTTGAGATTTGAGATTTGCCGTCGCCCGATGACTCTCGTCCTGCCCGTGTTCGACCCGTCCTCCCGGCCTCCCCTATACGTGTGGCCCGCCACCCGTCCCATTAGGAGAAACCGCTATTTCCACCATCCCGCTGCTTTTAAGAATGCTACAATAACCCCTCTTGCCCCCAATCTTATGATCTAGAGGAGTTGGTTGCAAAGTTCGCAAGGGAGAGATCTGGGAAGTGCCGGTCACCACAAGCAAATATGTAACGCATACAACCAACATCGGAAAAGAACGCTCGCTCACATCGTAGAAAAGAGAGGCCATCGTCGTGCAGATCTCCATCCATGTACCTTGGACCAATATCACAAGTTATAGTGACGACCGCCCTGCCCGGACCCGTTCCCTCACCAGCTGGATCGCAGCGACAACATTCAGACCCGTGGAAATACCGACCGATACTCCTCCTTCGCTAGGCGGCGGCACATGGCACGCGCCTCGGCCTCGTGGATCGAGTGGGCTTCGTCGTATAGCTCCCAGTCGAGAAGTGGCGGGACGAACCCGAGTCCTATACCCTCGACCGTGTATGTTCCGTAGCGGCCATCTGTAATAGTTGGTGCTGATGCAGGTTCAAGGATGAGAATTCGGACCTGCGGCAACCTCGATTCTATGACTTTGGCCACGCCTATGACTATGCCAGCTGCGCCTACAGCGCCACAGAAGCAGTTAATCACCCCTGCAAAAATGCTCTAACAGCTTATAGCCAAGCTGTGAATAGCCAGAGAATAAGTTATAGTTATTAAACTGGTCCGCTAAGTAGCAGTCCCCCTCTTGACTAATGTCCTTTGTATGCTCCGTCATTCTGGGCATGAGGTCCGCTGTAACCTGTCCGGAGGGGCTCTGGATTAAATCAACAGCGGCGCCGAAGGCGCTCATAGTGCCCTATTTTGGAACTAAGAGGCACCACAGGAAGCAACTCGTAGCTTGTAGCCTTTTACTGCGCAGACAAATGCCATCGATGAGCCGTTACTCCCACAGGTCGCCTCCATCACCTTCATACCCGGCCCAGGGCACCCCTGCACCCCGCCCCCCACGACCGATTGAGCCATCCGATCCTGGTAAGATCCCGTCGGGTTGAGGTGTTCGAGTTTCACGAAGGCGTCTGCATGTCATTCGGGGACTACGCTGTGGAGACAGACAGCCAGCGCGTTGCCGATAGCGTCGAGAGAGGCGGAGCTATTTTCTTACAGATATAAAGCTTATGTCTAAAGTTACCCGTATATGTTGATTACGCCGCTGAAATTTTGCGTTTCCACCGGTGCTGAACAACTCAGACGAGTTACCACGCCGATGTAAATCAGCGCCTGGACTACCACAGCTACTTGTCCGGGGATTCCTCTCAGTCTCTTTAAGTAGCAGCCGTGCTGTGTTCCAGAATGAACCCGACAAAGTACCCAGTACCACAATCATCAAGCGGGGTAGCCCACGCTAAAACCCTCTCACGATGCGGTTGGATCTAGGACATCGCTAGCCCCAGAACTGCTCAAGAGCCGCAGTAGTTGAAAGTTAACTGCGCTGACTCGGGGACAGCTACAAATCAGAAGCGCCCGCAATGGACTCAGATTGCGCTAATTAGAGGGTGTGATCCGTCATTGCGAGATATGCCTGCGAGCCCAGGCCTCATATTATAACGCCACAGCATCCCTTCCTTGGTTAGGAATGCACCCTTGGTGTCAGGGGTGGACGCCGTTTAATATAAATTTGCACCTCTTCCCTGCCCCAGTTTGTTTTGCATCTTCCGTCCCTGCCACGCTGCCGGATTCCAAAATGGCCATCGCATACAAGCGTCTCAGCCCCTCAACCCGCGAGATTCGCCTGCTCGAGATCCAGCCGTCGCACAACCTCGACGATCCCATCAAATGCCGCCTCGTCACCGTCCCCCACTCCAAGGAACTGGAGTACATCGCCCTCTCGTCCCTCTACGGCGACCCGGCTGAGACAGAAACCATCTTCGCTGGCGGCCGCCCGGTCACCATCACGGCGCATCTCGCATTGGCCCTGCGATACATGCGCGCCGTCTTCTATCCCGGAATCCTACAGCGCTGCCAGCGCATGCCGGCCAGTCGTTTGCACAGCGTCCCACGTTGGCTGAAGCATTTATTCGCGTCGAATAGCTCGCACTTGCGGGATGGCGAACTCAGCCGGCCAGGGGTTCTGCGTGTCTGGCTCGACTTTCTCTGCGTCAATCAGAACGATGAGTGGGAGACGACGAAACAGCCGAGCGACAGAAAGTACATTTACGGTTACGCTGATCTCGTCGTCGGCTGGTTAGGCGAGAAGACCGAGCACACTGACATCACGATATCAACCATGGAGGAGATCGAAGAGGCCATGCCGCCATACTGGGGTGAGCAAAGCCACCGGAAGAGCCATCCCGAAGACTACTCGCCAACGCATGCATGGACAAAATCAATACAGCACATGTGGGCCGTGGGACCGAACGGTGAGCCGCCGTTCTTGATGCCGCACTGGCTGGGGTGCGTGGAGTTAATGAATCGCCCGTACTTCCAACGGCACTGGATCGTCGAGGAGATTGCGACAGCTTCGTTTCCGACTTTCTTAGTGGGCGATACGCTGGTACCATGGAGGCAGGTGTTGTCGCTGTATAGATTGATGGAGGAGTTCAAGTTCTACTCTTCAGATGTCTTCCCAGGGGTAAGTCGCTTGCAGATTGGACCATTGAGATACCACTGTGTACGGAATTCGTTACTGACTTGTTTATGAATAGCATCTAAGGGCCGAAGTCGCCTCTGTGCCACTAGAAACAGCACAGAAACTTTTGGATGAGTACGCGAAAGAGAAACCGAGCCGGGATTCAAGCTCCTCCGAGAACTTGCCGCGGCCTCCTGGATAGTATATTGATGGGCGGTGCAACGTGCAACGTATGCATTATTCTGGCGTGATTGGAGTTTACAGCCGTATGGCGTTATGATATTTAAGGACGCATTAATAGTAATATTGACTTCTCAGAGTCGTGTTGATACGCATGCATACACCTTATGCCCAGCAAGGTTTAGACGCCGGGATCCGTGTTTGTGGCCCAAGACGTGGATGACCGCATTTTGAGATTGAGAGATTCACTCAGAGGGGATTCACGGCTCTCAACAGCATCAAATTCTGTCCAGCATATTGCAAATTGGCACTCAGCTCATGAATCTGAAAGAAAGACTTACCTGTTACTTCTTGGAGGTAAGACACCGGCTGGGGCCAAGGTTGCGAAGGAATTTGCCTGCTAAGTCCCTATTTTGCCCAGATCATTCACATTCCAAGCCACGAGAGCAGTGAGGCGCTAATGAATGTTCCTAAAGATAGCAGGCTGCCCATTCTATCTGTTATTGAGTGCGACCCCAGCGGCGCATTCTTCCGCAACATCGGCAAGACTCCGTGGCAATCTTGCGACGACCGTCCCTTGCTGGCTTCGCTTCTTGCGTTTCTTAATCCTGGTGGGGTCGAGGTTGCGAAAGACGAGCTCCTGCTCGGTGCGGTACCCAGGACACGGCACTCCATATTTGAAGCATCTCTCGACAGGCCGGCTTCGCAAGGTCGCACTGTGGCCATGCGTTAGATGTCGGGTGGGAAGAAATAGAGAGGGAGGAGTTCCTGATTAGAAGACATCCGCCAGGTACCGGGTAAAAGAAAGAAGGGCGTGTTATAGAGGGCTTTGTGATGAGAGCTGTTCAAGCTGGCATCCCAACACATCAACTGACCTTGACGCGCCGAGAACGACACGAATGGCAATCTTTGCTAGGTTTTCCCGTGTTCGGCATGGCGGATTTCCCACAGCCGAGATCCAGCAGCTCGTGAATATTTACTTAAAATTACACAATTGAGCGAGATTTGTCTAGGCATTATTAATACGTTTAAATTCTTTCAAATCTGAGCTGTAGCGTGAACATACATTGAGAGTAGTTAAAACTAATAGCGACCCTTTGAATTCTCCCTCTGTATTTGCCGCATAGATAGAGAATCAATTACAGACTGCAAACCCAAGTGATAGATAGCGTCTCCATGAGACCGAATCTCACAATCCAGCAGTTGAGTCTCAACTCGAAATTCATGTCGACCATACTCGTGTACTGCCCTTTTCCAAACTTTCAAAACAGTATGCTCTAGCTTGAACTCCCATGTCCCCCGCCAAGTAATTGAGCCATCCATTTTGCGATATATGAATGCGCAAGCTTCCCCCTCGATGCTATTCCACAAGGTCATGACCTCCAGTCTCGGCATGAAAAATGCCGCCTTGCCAGCATTTCGTAACATGCAGGTAATTTGTAGATGGAAGGACTCGGGGCTCATCAGCCGCGACGTTAGTGCAAGCGACTGGAGGTGATTCCATCGCCATTGCGGCTGGCGTGCCTCAAAGAAGTACTGGGCGTCAGCTATGAAGGAGACGGATAGTTGCTCGAGCTTGAGGCTTCTCGCTGCGAGTGCCACACAAACCGCTGGAGTCGTAATACGGACTCTATCTGGGTCAATCTCAGGGATGTCACTTGGTTGGGCCTGGAATAGAGCGAGATAGTTTTCGTTGAAATCTTCAAATACCGATAGTCTTTTGAGACGCTTTGGTAGGTGCTTATCGATCATCTCTTGGTAATCTGTATATAGTTAGCCACTAGAAATCCCTTGGACGTAAATGTGCCAACATACCTCGTTCCCATATAGCATCCTGGACATCTTTTTCGAATAGTTGCCATGGCTCATAAACAATATCTTCTAACCGAGGGAGTTTTGACCATAGATACCATAAGGTAGCGGGTGCCCATTGACGACGACATTGCCGGCGAAGAAGAAATTTTGTGACTGCTTTCACTTGGGGTAGCTCGTCCTGGAACTTTATCGAGATCTGCGCGTAAGGCCGTCGTATGGCGCCACTATTTGCAGAAACCTGCACACCGTCTCTCCAGCCATGTTCTGGATCGTGGATTCCGGCTGTATTATCCTGCGACGGGTATTCAGATCCGAGGATTTCATCTTCACCCGAGGCGCCGAAGTAACAATTCTTGAACCAGTGTTCTGGGTCACTGGGCGAGTATGCATTCAGTTCCAGCGTCAGACCTTCCTTTGCTGGCTTCCAGGTGCTTAAAATGGAAAAGAGCTTTGCAATAGCTGGGACGATGATTTTGTTATTTTGATGCGTCCATGTCATCGACTCCCACTGTCGGCAACAACGACAGGTATACCGTTTAAGCTCTATGTTTAGCCAAACATGCCTAACTAACCCGCGTTGTCGTTTTACCAGCCGCTCGAAGTCGTCCAGGCATGATTGTTTCAACTTCAGCCGGTGGAACGTTTTCTTTTCGATCATAATCTGCCATTCTTTGGAGACAGTGGCGTACATGCATAGACGCTGATGCTGGGTAAGCAGCTCCAGAATCATGATGCGAATCTCCGTCGGCAAGGAAGACCAGTTTGGCATAATTGCGGCTGAAGCTTTTGTAATTTTCAGATGTTGATTCGTTGACGAGAGGGATTGGTCTCGAGGTTATCAACAGGATGGATTAGATGGAACGGCGTGTTGATGATGGAACGGCGTGTTGACGATGGAATGGCGTGTTGACGATGGAACGGCGTGTTGACGATGGAACGGCTTGTTGATGATGGAATATCTTGTCTGGGATTATATTGGACTGAGTGGAAGGGGGAGGGAGCAGTTTTGATAGCTGCGACTTGACAAAGTTTACTCGCGAGATCATCAGGGTATTTCAAGATTTTCACGTCAAGGTTTTTATGCCGACATGCGACCTCAAGCTCCACCACGCTACAGTATGAGCTCACCGCTTCCAGCACGGCCAATGGTGAGCCAGCGAGAGTTCACAAAGCCGAGCGTGAGTGGCGGCGATATAGGCCGCGGCAGTAATACGGCGAGCAAGGTTAATATAGACCTCAGGCACTCCCTTATACCCCTGATTGTATGCCAACCGGTATTTTGAATACAACGCTTAGGACAACTGTGAAACGTCAACTAGTCGTGTGGTGATGAGTAATATCTATACACTAAATATCTCATGTTAAATTCTTCACCCTTTTGCTAGCTCATACAGTTACTACGAGGCGAGCCAAAAAAGATATTATGCCTGTCTTTTCTTTTTCTACAGCAAATTCGCCATCATGGTATTGATGGAAGATCCGAAAACGTGGTGAGCACATTACTGCCACTCCTATCTACCGAAGCTTAGAGAAGGAGTCATGGATGGACTTTGAGTAATGACGACGCCGCCCAAGCGTACGGATAGTGGCTTTTACTACCAGCGGCGTAGGCATAGAAAGCGGAAATCGGATTTAAAACTAGTCAACAATTTTACCCAGCAATTTCTAAACTAGACAGAAATAGCACTTTCCTATAGACAAAATATACAATAGCAGCTATTCAGATAAGTGGAATATATACAGAATAAGTATAATCAAGTGATAGTAAGTTAAAATAAATAGAGGACTTTAAGATAATACTGCTAATAACTTTACAAGTAAATAAATAGTTTAGAATTTTAACAAGCTGATAATTATAAATTAAAAAGAAAATAATTTAATAATTTATTAAGAATAATAAGAATAATAAGAATAATAAGAATAATAAGAATAATAAGAATAATAAGAATAATAAGAATAATAAGAATAATAAGAATAATAAGAATAATAAGAATAATAAGAATAATAAGAATAACAAGAATAATAAGAATTATTACTCAAACTGCAAACGGCACATAGCGGGTAGGTCGCGTCGAAGCTCTGGGCATTTAAATCCACGCGATCTCCGGATGATTTGCTGTTGGTGGCTAAGGGGCTCCCGCTAGACCCGCCTGGAGACCAGGCCCAGCAGGTAAAGGCGCAAGAAGGACCGCTGTTGGCGGCGGGCATGGAAGATGGTGATGCGTGCCCGAAACCGCCCAGCCCTGGGCGAGACTACGCGGCCAGAACGTAGAGTCGGCCCCCCAAAAAAGGTCCAGCTTCCACTTCGGGTCAAAGTCTATTGATTTATATTACGAGGGCTGGCAAGCAGTAAACCACAATAAGATAAATACCGTGCATGAGTGCAATACAAGACCAAATAAACAGAAGCAAGGTGAATTATACTTATTTTTTTTATTTGCTGCTGTTGCGGTTATTGTTGTTATGGAAAGAGAAGCAAGGGGGACCTCGTCTATATAAACTGCATTATTGTTGATACTATTGTTGGTGTTTTCTTTTTACTGTTGAGCTTCTAGTCCCCCCTCTGGGTATGTGTGTACTAGGGCACCCTAACCTCTTGATATAAAGTGCATAAGTAAAACACTCTCCTAGAATCATCCCGCTGCTTTTGAGGATGCTACAAGAACCCCTGTCCCAATCCCAGGATGAAGATTCGCAAGAGAGAATGCTAAATCTGCTTAAAGCATTTGCCGGTCTTGACTGCTTGGTATCAGACAAAGGATGGATTGGATAAGACAGCTTTAGTGACGATGGAATTGCTTGATTTCTCTATCTATCGAAGGGCTAGGGATCGGTCTTTATAGATGAGGATGAGGTCGGCCTCCGGGGGCCTCCGGGGGCCTCCGGGCCCGAGGTCCGGAGGTCTGAGGCCGGAAGACCTACCTGCCGGAGCCCTGGGACTTGGTCCAGACCGGATTCCTAGCAGCCGGCCTGGAAGCCGTTCCAGATATCGTAAGATCGTCAGTTATATAACAGGTCAGATTCCAACAGTCCCTATCAGGCTGTCTGACATTTGGTGACTGTTAATCCGTGCTTGTTAAACCTGTCATTGTGTTGGAGTCCTGTTAAGCTGAGCATATAACTGTTGGCTTGGACCACAGCCCATGTCCATAATGTCCATCAAAAACTCTCCATAATGACTTAATAGAGTGCTTCTGCAGACCGGGCCAAACAATCCGAGTTATTTCTTGCCTTTCCCAACTGGAATTCTCGGAGATATTTTCTTATCCCCATCAAACCGCCATATCAAGAGCTTATGGTTGGCGTCTGCCTTCTTCTGCGGCAGGGCGCCACTACGTCTTGGCCGCCTTTTTCTTTCTGCCAACCCAGCAATATCGAGCTTTTACATGCAGCTGTGGAGATGGCCCCGACTGGCTCAACGCAGTGGTGGCTGTCCAGTCAGAAATTAGTGCAGTTTCTCCGGACCTAGGGGTTGAGGAAAATACCGCTGATAAACAAGTCAGCTCCAGGAATAAAGTCCAGGTGCAAGTTACCATAGATTCTTAATGGCTCTACCATTTCCCATTCCGCAAACCTTTCGCGACCAGATGACGAAGCAGCGTCGCTTCTAGATTTAAGCTTAAAATAGAGCCACTACAACCTAGGTAGTTCGCAATTGATGTGCCAAGACACGGCATTCCGGTTAGACGGGAGAGATCAGCAGCCGGCTATGTTCTATGGTGAGAATCCCGGTCAAATAATTCTAGCGCGTAGTAAGATGTGGACGGAACGCCCCTGTGAGAGATGCCTCGTAGTAAGCACATACACATCAAGCCTAAGCTTAGCCCTATCAACTATTGCCATTAGCTAAACCTCACTGTTTATGTCTGTACTGTCGGCCAATGTCCTGACTACAGAACTGGGGTGGGATGCGTGCATTCTGCCGTCCAAGGGTCCCGTTTCTCACAACCGGATCATGTTCCCGGAAGCCAGGTGATCGCCATGGAAAAATCCCCGAACCATCGATTCTGTTTCACGCGATGTTACATTAGCGACCGGCCACCCCGCATCTCAACTTCTTCCCCCGCAAACCTCGACATGCTCTTTGGTCAGATCTTATTCGAACGTCGTCCCGGCTGGACGGCTAAATGGCTTTACGACGGAAGATTTCCCCGCGAACCGCGTCACGGGTCTTCGCACACCAGCTGTTATTTAAGTTTAAGCAGGGTGGATGCGTCAATTACTCGATAGCTTATAAGATGGGCATGGTTCCCCATGATTCTGGAATGTGAATGTGAATGGTACTCCTTCTCGTACCCTCTGAGCCAATATTGAAGAGACAGAATGGGCTTCATTTCTCGCCAAAAGGAGACTGGTGTTTCCGATGCTGTCCTCACCGACATTGTAGAGAAGGACTCCGTACCATGGTACAAGAAGCCTAATCTGCGCATTCTCTATCTTCTTCTTTTCCCAACATGCATGGGAGTTGAATTGACATCAGGATTCGATTCGCAGCTCATTAACGCCTTGCAGCTATCGGATTACTGGAAAGAGTACGGTTTTTCCTTGTCTTCCTGCGGAGTACCTAGCTAATCCCCGCGGACGCCCAGATTTTGGACACCCTCAGGGGAGCCTTCAGGGAATAATCGCAGCTGCGTACTCATTGGGAGCAATTCTGTCATTGCCTCTGGTCCCAATCGTAAACGACAAATTCGGACGAAGATGGAGCATTTTCCTTGGAAGTCTCGTCATGATACTCGGCGCTCTTATCCAGGGCTTCTCCCAACACGGTAAGTTGCACACAAAGCCTTAGGGGGCTAGGAAGTTTTGAATGCAAAAGCCATAAAAGCCTACGCCTAAGCCTTAGGGGGTCTTGGAAACCGAATACTCATTTTCTTAGTGGGCATGTACATTGTTGCCAGAATGATTTTGGGTTTCGGCATTCCCACATGTATTGTTGCAGGCAGCAGTCTGATCGGCGAGTTGGCATATCCCAAAGAACGCCCTATTATGACATCGCTATTTAACGTGTCCTACTTTTTCGGTACGTCCCTATGTTCCCAAGTTCGTTGATTTAATAGAATTGGCCTCTCCGCAAAATCTAAGGCATGCGCTGATAAACATCAGGGCAAATCACTGCTGCTGGCATCTGCTTCGGGACGAACACCATCTTAAGCGACTGGGGATGGCGCATCCCGTCCTTGCTGCAGATCTGTCCTTCACTCCTACAAATAACCTTCGTCTTGTATGTGAACGGCATTCGTTATTGGAGGACTAGGCCAGTGGGATTGAGTCTGAACTGACTTTGATAGTTTTCTCCCAGAGAGCCCACGTTGGCTGGTTTCTCGAGACATGAGCGAAGAAGCCCGTGAGATTCTCATCAAGTACCACGCGGAAGGTGATTCGAGCTCTGAGTTCGTAAGTGCAGAGATGGCGCAGATCGACGCGACTTTGAAGATTGAATTCGAGGCTTCAAGGCGATCCTGGATGGACCTCCTGGGCACCGCTGGCATGAGACGACGCGCGTTGATCACATCATTCCTGGGCCTTTTTACTCAGTGGTCAGGAAACACACTGATTTCGTATTATCTTGGTGACCTGCTTGAGATGATCGGCTGGTCTGATAGTGTTGTCAAGCAAAAGGTCAACCTCGTCAACGCTTGCTGGTCTTTGGTTGGTGCATTTTTGGTTGCTTTGGTTGTTCGACGTTTCAAGCGAAGAACCATGTACCTCACATGCGCTGCAGCACTCTTGACTGTCTATATCTGTTGGACAGTATCCATGGAACGCGCCGTTACAGCAAGAGATGCCGGTGGAGAGAACAAAGCTGCAGGCTGGGCAGTGATTGTCTTCATTTTCCTCTACAGCCCCGCTTATAACATCGGATACAATGCCCTGACATACAGTAAGCAGCCTGATACAATTGTATTTTGCCTCTTGCTAACGATGACTAGCCTATCTTGTCGAGTTATGGCCTTACGCAGAACGAAGTCGCGGAATCGCTCTGTTCCAGCTGTTCGGTCGCATGGCTGGCTTCTTCACCACCTTTGTCAACCCAATTGGCCTTGACGGTGCTTCCTGGAGGTACCTGATTAGCTATTGCTGCTGGCTCGGCTTTGAAATTGTATTTATCTTCATCTTTTTTCCTGAGACATCTGGGCGCACCCTGGAAGAATTGGCTTTCCGTAGGTACCCCCCGCTTCTGACCCGCACATAACTAACGTCATTATAGTATTCGAGAGCAAGGAACTTTCAGACCGTGCTGTTATTGCGGTCGAAAAGGTCGTCCATCACGAGGATATGCCAGGAACGTCAACGCACATTGACGATATTGCACCCGCCCACTCCAGCAAGGTTTAAGATATCATGTCAACCAGTCTTCAGCGTTTCTTCAAGTTTTTGCTTTGAGCTTCCCTTTTCTGATTTTACGTCGATTTAGTATTTATGGACAGTATTGCGCCTTTGAATCAAAAATATTCACTATCAATCGTGATTCACAATCGGCCTACATGGGCTACGCTTCAGAATCTCCTTTCCCTCATCATAGTCATCAACTCTGCTGCCTTGGTCCCACAGTGCCGCGAGAACCTGTCGCTCACCCTTCCAAGCAGACCGAGAATGCAGGACCGCATAGTTCTATTTCGTATTAGTGTTAGTTTATTCAGACTGGGGAATGTTTCCCGGTGTAGATGAAAGTATGTCTTACATCAAGTAAAACCAGATCACCCTGCTCCCATTTCACCAAAACCTGTGAAGACTCCGCGATGGAAAGTGCGAGGTCTAAGTAGTTCTTCTCAATGTCCTCGCCATCGCCATATTTGGGAGGAGGATGGTAAGAGTTGTCATCTCCCCTATAAGGAGGCTCTGTCGCTCCATGATGCGTGCTGCGGCCCCAAGCGCTCGTGACGTTTCCAAACCACGTTGCAAGGCCAGTAGCTTGATGAATTCTGATCACTAGTCGACATGTCAGTTGAGCGTGAGAGAAATGAATTGTTGTGAAAGAAATAAAGTGCCATAAAAGAAATAAAGGATTATAAATAAGATAAAGGATTATAAAAGAGATGAAGCATAAACACGCTTACATGGTGTAGTGTGGGTCACTGTCAAGCTTCCGTCCTCATTCCACTCGAACACATTGCTGTGTCGTCTCACCTCGTCCTCAATCTTCTGTCTTGCTGTCTTTTCATCATCTGTTGGCAGTACATGCTGTCCATATGCACCGAAGACGCTCGTGCCTGTCGTAGATACCACGTTCTCTGTGCCATACCTGTATACATAGCGGATCCCTTTCTTCAACAATTTGTCGTAAAACTCCGGCGCCTGTCGCTTTATCTCAGCGGCCAGTTGAATACCGGAGTTGATGGGAGTTTCACCACCTCAAAAATTGATCAGTTCAAACAGTCTGAGGCTAGCAAGATGCATCCACATCCACATCCACTTACCTGTTTGCGCTGGGATAAGGGCAGAGAAGGTCAGCCAAGCTGGATTGATTGTTGACCAGCCGTATTCATTGTGAGGCCAAATTGGCAGTTCAGGGGGCCTTAAGAGTTCGGTTAATCGGTTGCGTTTGTAAGAATAAAAAGACTCACCCCTCATTAGCTGTTTTTATATTTTTCGCCAACACAGTTCGCATTGGAGGTCTTCCAACCTCCTCATGTGCCCTGAATCCAAATGCATGGGCGATTTCGCTATAGTCCTGTGGGCTTTTGATGGGAAGCCCGCGAATTAAAACAGCCCCTCCATGTCGTTTGACGAGCTCAAAGAGTTTTCCAGAGGCCGAGAATTCCTTGATGGCACTGACGAAATCGCCAAGGGATGTCTGAGGTGAGGCTACTGTCTTCAGAGCCAGCGGGAACGGTGCACTCCAACCAAACCCAAAATCATCGGTGGTTTTCCGACCGGCAAAGGCGAATTCCTCGAAGGTGACGTGAGATACCATGGTATTGAAATGAAAGGGCATTGCTTTCTTGTACAAAAGAGACAGAGAATGTGAGAGCACCTATTATTGACAATCGGACCTCGAAATGGAATGAGGGGAGAAGACGTGATGTGGGTAATCAATGACGTGCCTTGTGGGATGCCTTTCCATGTAACGTAGATGGAGTGCACTAATCTCAATCCAAGAGACATCATCTACACTGATAAGAATATGTACAGATAGTGGATACAGCCTGAGTAAGTAGTACTATGATCTGCGCACTTTTTATGGATGTCGATACCACATAGTGGCTGGTTGGTAAGGGCTGCCAAGGCGGTGGCCTTGATTGCGTGATTCCCTCAATATTCACTTCATCGTGTAAGCGTGTGGAAATGGCGTGATAGAGGGGCATGCTGGGAGGGATGGGATTTAAACAAAATGGATATCATTATATATGACTCGCGTCCGGCCGTTGAAGACCTTATCCCTAAGAGGTTTTATTAAACCTGGTTAGTCGAAGAAGACATACCGGTATACTTCGTCATGGCGGAGCCCAGCCACAAACCGATGCACGCCGTGCCGTCTGCATTGACCGTCGGTGACAGCCCCGAGAGTGATTATGCACCTAAATACAATTGGTTCAGAGGTGTATTCTTCCAGGCCACTGTTGTAGGAATTTCTGCGTTTGCTGCTCCAGGGTTATGGAACGCTATGAACTCTGTAGGAGCCGGGGGCCAGCAAACCCCGTTCCTTGTCATGTGAGAACTCCCCTCAAGTTGAACCCAGACTTCCTAGTTGATAAGGCAGTTTCTGATTGAGATTTTACTTGCAGGGCTGGAAACGCGGTGCTGTTTTCGCTCATGACGATAACCTGTCTCACAGGCAGTATTGTGGCCAATAGATTTGGTCTCAGGAACACGCTGATTTTCGGGACTACGGGATATGTACTCTACTCAGCCGCGTTGTATACCAACAACAGATACGGAGTTGAGTGGTTCATTTATGTCGGCTCGGCGGCATGTGGTATCACTGCTGGCCTCTTCTGGGCCGCCGAGGGTGCCATCATGCTCAGCTATCCTGAACCAGAAAAGAGAGGAAAATATCTTGCTTACTGGCTTTGCTTTCGGAATAGCGGTGGAATCCTTGGCGGAATTATCAACCTGGCCTTTAATGCTAAAGGCAAAAGGACTGGGAAGTTGGATTGGCGAACATATATTGTGTTTGTGGTTCTTCGTGAGTACAAACCGGGCAGATATGAACATCAGCTAATATTGTCAACAGAGTGTCTCGGCCCTGCATTTTCGTTTCTGCTTTCACCCCCCGAGAAAGTTCGCCGTAGGAATGGAACCCGAGTACATCTATCCGAACGCATCTCGGATTTTGCGGAACTCAAGGCTTTGGGAAGAGTCATGATTCGGAAAGAGATCCTTCTCCTGTACGCCTACCGATAGTGGAAATATTTTAATGGGCTTATGCTAACACTCTCTTAGAACTCCTTACTTTCTCTACATTAACTGGTGCCTTCCTTACATCGGATCATACGTATCATTGTATTTTTCCGTTCGAGCTCGCGCTCTTGCCTCTCTCGTTGCGGCCTTGGCCCAGATTGTTGCCTCGCTTGTTCTAGGCACATTCTTAGATTGGGCAAAGTTCTCTACCAATACTAGAGCCGCGGGCTCTTTTATTGTCATGATGACACTGATTGGAGGCTTTTGGATTTGGGGGACTATAATCCAGCGCGAATATACGTCTAGTCCGCCCGGGCTCGATTGGGTGGATGATGGCTTCGGGCGTGGTTGGGCCCTCTATATCCTCTGGCAAGTAAACTGGGTTCTGACCTACAACCACGCCTACTGGCTCATTGGAAGTTTGGCCAAGGAACCAGCGGATATTCCCAGACTTACCAGCTACGTCAGAGCTCTTGAAAGTGCCGGCCAGTGCATTTCCTCTGGAATTAGCTCGACTTCAACACCCGTAAGTGTTCAAACAAATTTATCTTGTCGCTATCTAACGAATCGCAGCTCATCACGGCATTGGGAATAAACTTTGGAATCTGGGGCGTGGCTGTGGTCCCAGCTTATCTCGTTGTTCGGAAGATTGGTGTCGAGTATATCGGCGTTGTGAGGGAGGAGCATGAGACAGAAGATGACATCAATGTGGTGACAAAACAAGAAAGTGGTTGATATATTGCCTGTTTATTGAGAGGACAAGTGACAGTTTACCAGCATTTGAGTCAACCTTGCATGAATATTATGGCTTGCATCACTTATCCTCAGAATAATACTTGTTTTGTTTTTTTGCTGTTGAGCCTTTACTCCCCCCTCTGCGTATGTGTGTACTAGAGCACCCTAACCTCTTGACAAAATTCCCGCACATAATGTCCAGTATTTTTCACATATTACCTCAACGTGTATATGCGCTGTGGTCCGAAAAGAGGTTCAGTTCTTACGGCTTTCCTTCCCAGACCTTCGTGAGGTATTCCTCTGCGCTCGTGAAGCGATAACCCGGAAGCAGTCGGTTCCATTCATCCGAAACGCTCCAAGTACCCATAGCACCAGCTCGCACAAACTCAATAGTTGCTCCCTTGGACATTTGATGGCGAAGATCTTCCGGAACGCTGTGATGATCGATGAGTGGGTACCAGGAGCTCTTGAGCTCGCCTGCTTCGAGATCCTCAAGAGCCAGTTTGTCCACAGTAAAGTCGCCTACCATTTCCGTAAGAAACTAAACTCATGTAGCAGGTATGGGCCTTGAAGACATGGCACAACATGAAGATATGGGAAGTGGAGTAAACGTACCTCTAAGCTTCTCTCCAAGGCGAATCAATCCACCAACTGTTGTCTGGGTTCCCGATATGCCACCGATCACAGGCCACTCCCCAAGATAGTCGATGGCCTCTGTGACCACAGAAGCTATGTCGTTGACTGTCGTGAGCGTAATGGGGGAGTCTCCGTCACCCACCGCTATTGCTCGACGGTTGTTAAAGTCGACGTACATCTGAATCGGCTTCAGATGTCTGGTAGTCCCGTAGGGGTGGCCAAAATAGTCCGTGAAGAGACCTGTCTGGAATAGGGTATATTCGAGAACCTGAGCAGTGCGTTAGTACTGTATGATGACATCAAAGATACCAAGGACGGACTTTTTTCTCCGCATTCACTTTCTCCAGATAGGCTCGGACCTCGTCTTTGAATGCGTAGAATGCCACACCGCCATTGCTCTTGCTGCTCCCACGTAAGTACAACCGCTAGCGTCATGATTCTTCAAGCAGTCACTCACGTTCCCCATTCGGATGGTGCAAATCGGCGAACACCAGCCTTGATTGCCGCATCGATGATGTTCTTCTGCGTATCGGCCATCGAGGTACCCGAGAAGAAGCACAGGACAGTGTCCGCACCCTCCAGAACCTTGACAAGGGAGTCTTGGCTCTGGTAATCAACCTGTACCCACTTGATACCGTCGTCTCCAGACTCTGTGACCACCTGGCACGCGTTAAAAACAAGCCCACAAGGTAAATAGTGGATAAAGCCTTACATTGCGACTTAGGCCAACAACGTCATGTTTGTTCTTGGCGATGATTTTATCGATGACCTCCCGAGCCACGACTATAGAGTGTTAATAATGATATATGAGAAGGGGTTTGGGTGCACCACCTCCTGTGGCTCCAGCAACGACGACTTTGACCATTGCGTGATTCAGTCGATTCTGGTGCCGGTGGTGTTGTTTCGGTGATGTGAAATGTAAGTAGGTGTGAACGAGTGGTGGGTAGAGTCTCCATCCCCTGGATGAACTGATCCGTCTTATATAGAGCGAGGTTTGGGGCAGGAGGTACAGGCATAGTGGGCTGATTCTGGGCATAATTCGTATTCTTTAGCCTCGGAGGCTACAAAGAACCCGAGGCAGAGGAATACCAGGAAGTATTCAGATCTTGGGTACCGACATCATTCAATTGTCCTCACCTGGAATGATTGAGAGGAACCTAGGCCAATCAAGTTGAAGCACGCCAAGTTGTATACGGAAATATACCACATTGGGATTAGCACAGACAGAAGCCGGGAGGGCCGGGCATTGATTATTGTGAACATGATCGGCCCACACAGTATCTGACCCAAATGTCGGCGGAAGGAGGTTGCACTGTTAATCCCCAAGTCCAGTCAATCAGGGATGTCTTGTAGGTACTATTGTCTCGCACTCAGTAGCTAGAATTGCGGTACTGCAGCCGGCTAGACGGCGTGGTGAGAGTGTAGGGTCCTGTCGTTCGCATGGCTTCAAGATTGTGTGGCTGATCAGGAACATTTGCCAACCAGACGACAAAACAAGACGTAATTCGGTTCCAATTCCTCTTGTTCATCATCTCGAGGTTGTGCCAAGGTACATCAAGCACATTGCCGAGTACCAGACCTTTCCCCATATCGGAGCGTCCGCATTTGCTAGCCTCGACTAAATCGCGTTATTGTGGGGACTTTGCCGGCATTATTATTAAGGGAGCCCGAATGTCGATTTCACCCTCGTACCAATGGCCCAATGTAGAAGTTTTGCGTATTCTCTCACAATCACAGTCGCCATGAACGCGTCACTCATAGACAAAGCCTCTTCACCGCCACCTCAGGCCAAAGCGTCAAGGAGGCCGCATCGCAAGTCACGCAACGGCTGCGGGAATTGCAAGCTGCGGAGGGTCAAGGTGAGCAAACAGTCTCCAGTGGTCTAGGCCGAGTCATGTTGACCATGATGCTGCATCCAGTGCGATGAAGCCAAACCAGGGTGCGGGAACTGTCTTCAGTTCGAAATCGAGTGTCACTACTCCACAGTGCAGTCTGTTGGGCCACCAACATCGCCCGTTTTCCTCGTTAGCAATGGCCCCCGCGTCCAGAGACGACGTGGCCGGCCAAGGAGGATGTGGCCAGAAAGACCCTCGCACAGCGATGATGTAGCATCGGCACCTCCCCTCAGCCTTACTCGCATGCCGGATTCATACCTAAGCTACTCCGAAGACTCGCTCGAGACATACGAATGCCTTCATCACTATCTCAGCTGGACAGACGACCCAAAGAAAATAGGCTCCAATGCTGATATTGTCATGCGTGTTAAGGTTCCGCAGCTGGGTTTCGCATATCCTTTCCTCCTCGACTTTATTCACGGCTTTGGTGCGCTGCACCTGGCACATCTTGAACCACAAAAGAAAACCCACTATCATGCCCTGGCAGACCGGTTCTGTTCCATTGGGCTCAGGGCCCTTGCTGCTTTCTTGCCCCGTGTAGATATGAACAACTGCCAGGCCATATTTGCGGGCGCCACGTTTGTATGTTTCAACACCTTCGCCCGAGGACCTCTCCCCGGCGAATTTCTGCTCTTCAATACAACGGGACCTGCGATATGGTATCAGCTCCAAAAGGGAGTCAAGTCTATCCTTTCGACAGCTGGGAGCAGTGTTGTTTGTTCCGGACTACTCCAGGGTCTTTCAAGAGGGCCTGAACAGGCTGATGAACCAGCTGCCGTTACTCGTGGGCTTCCACGGCTTGACTGGATGGACCACTTTCAACAACTCCGCGATGCGATTGTCGCATCTAAAGATCCAGATTTCGCGTTGGACCTGGAAGCGCTCGATGTCCTGTGGACATGTTACGAGGCAACATGGGGTGGTACGGATGGTAACTATCAAGGCGACGTCAATAACCAGGTGATTTTCACCTGGATGTATTACCTCAAGGATGGATTTGTTGCCCGGCTGCAAACCCTTCGACCGCTTTCTTTAGTCATCTTCGCATATTTTGCACTTTTGATGAAAACCACGGAGGATGTTTGGTTCTTTTCGGGTTGGCCGCGCCACATCATCCACGGTATAGACGGTGAGCTAGATCAAGCTCATCGAGCTTGGCTACAATGGCCTTTGGAAGTGTTGGATTTGTACGACCAGCATTTGCTATAGAGCCATCTAGTAACTGGCTGGATATCAATTTGATCCTTGACACCGGGGCGGTCAGGCTCCCACATGCACCTTTCCATGTTTCTCAGAGAGACATTATAACCTTCATTTTCAAACAAAAATCATTTTGACAAAGTATTCGACTGAGATCTTTACGGATTTAATAATCAACATTGTTGCGTCAACACTGCTCTATCACCCATCGAACTCCCGTTACCGCGTTTTCCATGAAGTCTGCACCTTCTGGGATATCCGGAAAGATCCAGAAACAATGGGGCATCCCTTCATAATGGTCTGTTTTAACCCGAACTCCAGAATCTCGAAGAGATGTTGCTAAAACTTTCCCATCGTCCCTTAGTGGGTCGAGCTCGCAAGTCGCGATGTATGTTGGTGGAAACCGTGCATGATCTTGTCGACTTAGAGCAATGAAGTAATCCTCGTTCGTAGAATCAAGTCCAGAGAGCTTGTGGAAGCGCCTCATTGTACTTCCATTGATAATTGGAACATCCTCATCGTGCTCACTGTAGGACGAGTGTGTTTCTTGGTAGATTTGTGGAATAAAATCTGGATGTAGCGTCGGTGGGCAAAAGGATACAATGCCCTTTATGGCATCTCGCGGTGCATCGGACAGCCCCAGAAATATTTGTCGTGTTACAGCCAAAGCGAGTCCCGCTCCGGCCGAAGTACCGATAGTGTACATTCTCATACAATCACCGCCAAGTGTGGATGCGTTCTTGTGCATCTGGCAAGATATGTGGTTAGCAATGCAAATAAAGTGCCAAGTAATGATCCGTTAACGTACCCACTCGACTGCCCGAACTGAATCTTGAAGATGAATAGGCGCCTTGTATTCTGGGGAAAGTCTGTATTGTACACAAACCAGAATGGTTTTGGCCTTCTCCGCCAATGTACGGCATAGTACCTCGTCCGATATGGATCTCCCAATAACGAGGCCACCAGGTGGGAAGTACACACCAATCGGAAGGGGTCGCTTAGCATTCAAACTGACGGGTATGTAAACACGACCGATAATATTATCGAGCTTGATATCATCCGTCTTAACAGCACCAGAAGCAGGGGGGTAGCGAGGCTCCAGAGCGGCCATAAGTCCAGCAAATTGGGCTCGCATGCTCTCTGCACTGCCGGTCAGTTCCGGCCTAACACCACCCAAACCCTCCTCGACCTATATCATATCAGAGATAACTCTAGAATAAGATCATATATGAACGAACCTTCAGCCAAGAATCAGCGTACGCTGGCATGACTAAGTTTATATCCCGGAGAATTACAAGCTCGATTCGGCCGGTACGGAGGTAACGGGTTGCTTTGGGAAATGAACTTTTGGTAGGATTGTTAGAACTGTTTTTTTATTGATACAAAATTGGGATTGGAAGTCCTTGATATAATTGTCGTGAACCCAGGTTCCTAGCTGAACCCGTCGCCTCGGAACATCTGGATCGGAGACGGGCGTCGGAGAATTTGCCGAGAGTCAAGCCAGGCAATAGCATATCACCGTTTGATTAGACGTATCGGAAACCGGCGGCGGCGCGAAACTAGTATCGGAAATGCTATTGACTTCCGATGGGTAACCGATGTATCCGATCCGGTGCTAACAGCCACCGGGAACTAGTTCTGATGAGTCGATGGCCCTATTTGGCCACTCAAAGGTAGGTTTATACTGTCTTTGTGCCTTTATCGGCTGACGGGAATTTGGTCATCTAGATTACTCTTTGAGTTTATATTCATCAACCTCCCGAGAAAGACACCGTTTGCGTATTACCTCAAGACACGCTGAGGAAAGAATCAGCAACAATAATATCAAGGAGGCTGGAATCATTTCGCTACAAACTTTCATGATATAAAACACCAAGCCCTTCCGCTCCTGGAATCATCTGATACTCATACTCTTCTAGTCCTCCAAGCCCAGTTGAATTTTCATCAAGCTCTGGTAAAAGCGATAACCAGGATTCAGGATTGCAACTTGAACCAGGCAATCCCGGAAAAAGATCAACATCGTTGGAGCCATTTTCATTATTCTCTCTTTGTATCCCGAGGTCTGTCTCCTGCGATACTATGGGAGGAGGAACAACGTCCTCAGTTCCATCTAGTATGAACAAGACGCCCGAGTTTGCATCGCTAGCTATATTATGAAATATGAGGGGAAATGTTGCTTTAGCGGCCGGTTCATAACTCATCATGGTCCCTCCATGGTCTCGAGTGTCCATTTGGCTGTGTCTCCAAATGCCTCTAGGCGCCTCATTGTGAAGAGTGCCAAATAGACCGCCGATGACGTGAATTTGGCGTTCCATTCTGCGACGAGCCCGGAGCTCAATGTAGGTATCGCAAGCTTCCCGAAGACCATCAACGATCAAAACATGTTTCTTCGTTGCAGAATCATGACTGGCGAAATGCTGGAGCAGACTTTGAGCATTCTTTAGGCTGCGCTCCAGTGGGAATGACTGATCTAGGTCGCCAAAGAGTGCGAGGCATAGTACCAGGGCAGAGACGAACACAGAGTTGACAACAAAGGGTAGCCTTTTTAGCGGGTGCTTGCTAGAGAGAAAAATCTCAGTCAGGTCGATGGTTCGTATGGCGGAGTCCACACATGCTTGGGCGAGAATCTCTCTGGGCAAAGACAAGGTCGACGAGGTCCGCTCTCTGTTTGACGCGTCACAATAACTCTTCTCCTTGGCAGTGTGCGCGGACACCATCTCGACAAGAAATGGCTGAGATAGTAGCATAATAGTCCAGTAGTAAGCCTCTTTTAGGTGAATTAGACCAATATTGGGCATTTGCCCCATTTGCGTGTGGAGGTGTTCGTCGACTTGGATACCATCAGTCTCGAGCCCGCCGAGGAAACGACCAGTCCATCCACGATGGAGATCACTAATGCCGCTCAGAGCTTCCGGAGAGACGGTGCGATTTGCGTAAACCCTTGTCAGGATGTGTTCAAATATTAAACAAAGGTCATTCGATGCTGAGTAATTGTCTTTGGCCGCCGTATCGCGAGTTTCGGAAGTGGAGGGCGGCCGACCCAGCGACGCGCTTAGGAAGAGGTCGAGGACTCGCATAGTTTTCCAAAGACGCTCCCGGTGTCGGTATTCTGACGGGGAGTAGAGCGCTGATATGTCCCGTCTATGGAGGCCCAACGCATATGCCGCTCGGACTGCAAGTCCAAGATACATGAAAGCGGGATTCATGCGAGACCCAGCTAGGAGATACATGGTGATGAGAGAACAGCATGTGATAGTCGAGAGGCTCGGGTCTTCTGTAAGAGCCGTCAAAGTCACATATCGACCGTAGCCGAAATATCTCTCGGCAAGTTCGTCTCTGTCATCGGGGCATGACTGTGCACCAATAGCCAGAACAAGATAGTAAGATGCGGTTGCCGCGTCAAGCTGCTCTGGGGGGCTGTCCAACCACCGAATCAAACCCTCGCTCAGCTCTGTTGCGTCAAAGATATCGAGGACGCAACTCGCGACCAGTTGGTACCATCCGAGGAGATAGTTTGCATCTTCAAGCTTCGGTTTTGATGGCGGATTTGTCGCAAGCTCAATGAGATTTTGATCGCCAATGCAATGCGTTTCTGCCTCGTCGCTTTGTGGTGGGTTGTCGGCCAAAGCTCCATGTCCAAGATCGGCCTGGGCGATGCGCCATATCCGATCCAGAAACGCCATATTCGACGCATCTCCGGCAGATATGTACTTCTCTCGTGCATCTTTGACCGGTCTTGGTGACAAAAAACGGCGGGTTCTATTGCCCAAGTACGGTAATCTTCTCTCTTGCGCTGGGCGAACATTTTGTTCGACGGACTGCCTAGATTCCACTGGTTCGGGATCTGGGGCGCGATTTAATTGCGACTTGGACGCTGGCTGGGAGATGCTGCAGTCTTGGTGGACTTTTCTTTCCACGCAGCGTTGGCATGGCTGGAGACCATTGCATCGCTCTTTGCGCCGCTTGCAATTATCACAGGCTCTGGTGCATCGACGTCGACCATTGTTGCTCACTCTCGTTGTCGACATATCGCACAGAGGTGAAGATTCCAGGATGGATATTGAAACGAGTATACCCAGGCCAGAACCTGTGGGGGAAACCTGGGGTTGAGCTGGGATGAATATCCTCGGCCATCAAAGCGGGGAGAGTAAAGATCCAGATTGCGGGGAGGAGGCGGGGTACATGACTAGTCATTGCTTCGCTACAAAAATAATATTGCTACTGAACGGGACGGATTCCCTCCAAAGATGTGTCCCATTGAATACACTTCATACATGCGTGATATAACCAGTGGACATCTTGGAATCGACTACTCAGGTACTGGTATAGGACCGATGTCGATGCTTGAAGAGAATCATAGGCCAAATGATAATGAATCCATTTGACACTCCCGGTTTTCGTATTTCGGAACCAATATCGGGTGACGGGTGGCACATGTACCGCCCGAGACCCGACTTGTGACCACCACCAGTCCGAAAACGTTTCTAGTGCCGAAAGCTTCCGAAGTGGGTGGAATTTCGGGAGCAGCTGTCCTAAGTCGAAGGCGACTACACAACTCTCTCAGTGGTTGGACTCATCCAGTTACATAGCCCGATAGGCATTGAAGGTATTGCTTTTTCTTTGGCACACTAGGAATGATATGATGGGACAATTCCGGAGTGCTAGCTGCTGCTTGAGCCCCTACACCCCATTGAATCCAATCCATCGGTGAGTGACTTCGGATGTCAAGCAGCAGCTTCAGCCGATGGTATATACGCAGCTACAAGCATATTCTTCCAATTGCGCCCTTTGTCCGGCGGGACTTGCATGTCGGCTTAACATAGTTCATTCCGATAGGACCCCGGGTAAAAGAGAGGGAGCACCAAAAGCCCGCCGAGATTCCAGAACAGACATACCCGAGGATCGGGCAATGAACCCATAGTCCTTGTCTTCGGGACGCAGAGTGGAGAACTGAGACATCAGTACGAGTAAACAGAGATATAAAGAAGAGGTTTATTTTTCATGGCATATCGAAAATGCTCTACAGATTCCATCATCCAGTCCAGCATTTATTTCCAAAGCCTTACTCAGAAACTTCAAGACCACCAAAAAGGTTAAATTTCGCATACCTACAACTTTTCACCATGGGTGACTTTGTCAATGGCCAAAAGGTCAATGCTGATTCCGAGAACGGTGATCGACATGACGGATCCAATGGCCAGCCGAACTGGGTGCCAGTTGGTGATCAGCCCCTGTTCACAGAGAAAAAGCTCAGAGTGGTATGCGTCGGCGCGGGATTTGCGGGGTTGATGGTGGCGTACAAATGGAAACACCAATTCCAGATGGACAGTTTCATCGACTTGGCCATCTATGAAAAGAATGCAGATGTCGGAGGAACGTGGCTGGAAAATCAGTATCCAGGAGTGGCGTGCGATGTATGTATGACTTGGTGGTGACCTCCTACGTGGAAATTCTGGTGCTAACCTTGTGTCAATAGGTTCCAGCACATATCTACACGTTCTCGTTTGAACCAAACCCCGATTGGTCATCGTTTTATGCATCAGGTCCTGAGATCTGGCAATACATCAAAAGAACGACGAAGAAGTACAATCTCGACGAGCGGGTTCACCTCAATTCAAAGGTGCTCTCTACAATCTGGGATGATACCAAGGGAAAGTGGATCATCCAAGTGGAAAGCAACGGGGGAATCAAGCATGACGAGGCAGATATTCTGATCAACGGCGCGGGTATTCTCAACAAATGGCAGTGGCCAGATATCAAGGGACTGCATTCCTTCCGTGGAAATCTCATTCATAGCGCCTCATGGGACACAACAACGGACTGGATTGGGAAGCGAGTTGCAGTCATAGGCAACGGCTCGTCGGCGATTCAGATGGTACCCAAGATGCAGCCAGATGCAGCCAAAATCGTCAACTATGTTCGCAGCGCCACCTGGATATCGGCCAACTACGCAGCAGAGTTTACGCCAGAAGGTAAGAACTTTCAATATACGGAAGAACAGAAGAGGAACTTTCGAGAAAATCCCAAGGAGCTGTGGAAAATGCGAAAGGACATCGAGCACGGCTTCAACCAATTCTTCTATGCTTTGCTCAATGACAGCCCCCAGCAGGAGGCTGTTCAGAAAGCCTTCACGAGCAGCATGGAGGAGCGTCTCAACTATGATCCGAAACTGTGCGCCAGCCTGATACCATCTTGGAAGGTTGGATGCCGTCGCCTTAGCCCAGGAGAGGGATACCTCGAGGCACTCCAGGAATCAAACGCATCAGTCGAGTTCGGCAACATCGAGCAGATCACGGAAAAGGGTATTCAAGTTGGAGGTTCTGTTGAGGAATTTGACATCATAGTCTGCGCAACGGGCTTTGATGTGAGCTTCTCTCCATTCTGGGAGTTGCAGGGAAAGGATGGCGTTCGTCTGGCCGATCAATGGCGAGAGACGCCAGAAGCATATTTCGGCATCTGTGCTCCAAACATTCCCAACTATTTCATCTTCAACGGGCCGAATTGCCCAGTCGGGCATGGAAGTCTGCTGGCCGTCATGGAGTGGACGGCTGAATGGGTTTTGAAGTGGTGCAGAAAAATTGCCACCGAGGATATCAAGTACGCCCCTATTATCTCCTTCTGGGAATATCAAGACTGACCATTCTAGATCTGTGATGGTGGATTCTCAGGCTACTGATGACTATAACGTCTACTCGCAAGAGTTCTTAAAAACTACAGTTTGGTCCAGTGGTTGCCGCTCCTGGTATAAGAACGGCAAGACGGATGGAAAGGTAACGGCCATGTATGCTGGCAGTATCTTGCACTACAAGGAGATGTTGGAAAGCTTCAGGACTGAAGACTTCTCCTTCGAATACAAAGGGCCGAACAGGTTTAGGTTCATGGGAAATGGTTTGACAAATCGAGAGGCAAGGGGCGAGAACCTTTCCTTTTATCTCGAGAAATGAGGATATACCTAGGACGTTTATGTCAAGATGTGTACAGTTTCTGGAGGGATCCAATGAACCAGCGAACAAACATTTTGTTCTCACTATACGAGAACTCGAACCCGACACAAGTGTCATAGGTAATCTCTTGCACCAGATGACGTAACTTGTCAGACTGAGCAATGCGGATGAATCGTTCAGAATTTGGCTCGTCTTCAAGGGCCTCATCTTGCAGACGTCTGAAGGTCTGCGCCGTGGCGATGTTCCCAATATGGTGATTGAGACAAATTAGACCTGGTGGCGAATCTTGTGGGAGAAAGGGAAAGATGCTGTCGAGAATTTCCGGAGCAACTTAAGATATGGAGATACGGAACGTGCTTGAAATTTTTGTTGAGAGATTTAGAGGGATTAAAATTTGAAATCTAGAGGACAGGTTGGTTCGAGTTTATGAATCAAGGCTGCCTCGCGCCCTACGCTACACACCCACCGGTGCCGGTTGCCTGGGTTGTTCGTTGACTTGCTAGTTCTGCTGTTTATTACGTTTAATTAGCATAAACTTCCCACTGAGGTTAGTAAATCTCTCGTCTTGTTCTACGTTTACAATGATTAAATGCTGTTGTTATCGCGCAGTAGACAGAATAAGCGTGTGCTCAAGGAACCGGATCCGTTGGTGAGAACTCTGCCCCCTGACCCAAAACAGCGATTGAAGCAGGATCTGGTTATATAAGAATAGACCTATTAGAGATGAAATGAGTATACTGAAATTTAGGTCTTTATCATATGCTATGGATCATAATAGGTGATTCAAAGTCAATACTTGGTAAAAGTCTAGGGTAACTGGCTCTGGCCAAGTCATCAGGTATGAGGAAACACTACACACAGACTGGAATAGGTCAGGCGAAATTGGTTGAAATCGATTTGATGATAAGACTACGTGTAAATATTTGGCTTCTTTAGTATTCCATCACACTATTGGCAGGGCCATCATCTATCCATGTGCCCATCCTCAGAGGAAGTAGAAGAATTGCGGGGTTAATCCTCCAAGCCCACATCATTTGGATACATCTCCTCAAGAATTTGCCAAATTCGTCGACGGTTGTTTAGACCGTGAGGAACATCCAACCCCACCTGGTCATAGTTCCAAGGTTCGGGGTTGAATTGGCTCGTCCCACTAACAATGGTAACTGGAGTTATAAGCTGGCGGGTAATTTTTTCCCAGTCCCATTCTGTGCCCGCTGACTCTGCTTCTCGAATCTTTTCATTGAGAATCTCCTCGTTAAGATCCCATAGAAATGGGATATCTTCGAAGGCTTGCTTCCAATACCGTTGGGGTATCGAATAGCTGCAATCCAGCGCTAAAGGCTGATTGAGAAGTTCAGCCAGAATGTTGTCCTTGATCTCCTGGGGCAACTTTTCGAACTTTTCCCGCGATTGAAGACAAGCATCGTCCGCCGATTTGCACTGCTTCAGATTGGAAAGAAGTCGGGCAGTCAGATCTGGGATAAACAGTGGATCCTCTTCCCACTGTCACAATAATTAGCAATGAGAGGCAGTATAGGCATGTTTCCACATACCCATTGGTAAAGGTCGTCAAAATCCGCTTGGTCGCCTGGGATCGAATCTCTGGGGATATAGTAGCGACGTAATGATAGATTGATTGGTTCCCCTGGTCGATTTTCAGGGACGTTTGGAAGGAACGGAATGAAGAAACGGTGCTCAGAATCGGTTTTAGTGCATCGCTGATCGAGCGTCATCCAAAGGTCGCCAATTGATCGGATGAGCGCTTCACGAGATGTGCGCATAACCACATTGGCAATGTCCTCGCAGGCAGAGTGTATACCAAAGTACCAGTGACTTTCAGTGGTAGGGTTGAAGTCATCGTGGCTGCCAGGAGGGTAGGAAAACTGGGTGAAGACGGTGGGGCCACCAGGCTTGATGCTCACTGCGCCGGGATCCCAGGATGGCGAGGCGACATATCGCGTGACAGAATCATCTGCTACGGGTCCCTTGCTGTACGACGGCCAGCGAGGGCCGGAGATGACGATAGCCGACGTCTTCCAAATGTCAGGGTACCAAGGTGAGGGACCCTGGGCAAAGAGTGGCTCCTCCAGCTCAGAGGACTCATAGAGCCGTACGCCGCATATTGTGCAGAGGGGGTAGTCAACGGAGCAAGCCATGGTTGTTTGCTGGCAGAGGCCCGCGGAGGGAAGAAAGGATGGGACAAGGATGCAAGCGCGAGAATGGTGAACGAGATGTGCCGAGAAATGAGGGGACTAGACGTGTTGCGTGCCTGGCTTTGGGCCTTGCAGACTGAATGCGAAGGAGTCGGCGGCGATTTAGTGCATGTGAAGGATCGGGATTCAGTGCGTGTGAAGGATCCGGAGATGATTCAGGCTATCGGAGCCGAGAGTGCGAAAGTGCCGAGCCAGACGTTGCTTCGGTGAATCGTAATAAGGCTGCGCGTGATGTGGAGGAGGGACTTTGGGGCTTAGATGAAGCCGTGCCCGGAGCGAGTGCAAGGATGAATTGGCAAGGACAAAATGAAAAGTGGAGAAGGGATTGACAATTGGTTGAAGCTCTGTTGACTTTCATTTGAGAAGATTCTCACGGACGATCTCTACGGAGTACGGCCCGGAATGTTGCTTCCGCCTTGCACTCTATGGTGAGGTATTAGACCAGATGGTTACGGATAGGGACCTTTGATGCGTCTTTTGCGACTAGCAGCTTAAAATACAGAAGGATTCGCGCCACAGGGATACCAAATATTCGTGTATGCAGCTGCTTTTGGCCCCTTGCTCCGCCTGCTCCGCCTGCTCCGCCTAACTCGCCGGCTCCCCGCATCGCGATTGTGCAAAACGCGATTCAGCTTCCAGGGCTGAGCAGGCTTGTGCTTCCTTCGCGCTTCTCCGTGCAGCGTTGTATGGGACCTGCAGTTTCACTAAGCCTTAGGAGCCGACCCCTGCGCGGAACAATCCTAGGGGGTCGAATTGTAGCGGTCCGGGAGAGGCGGATGACGGCTCGGAGTGACCACGGCCTGATGCGCGAAAACTCCACAACGAAGCTGGGGATGGATATGGAGTGGAGCTAACCAGGGGACGAGTCGGCTGTAGAGCCTATTGTGGCACAAAGTTTCCGTGAGAGAATGAGGAGGCTATCCGGATAGGGGGCCAAGCTGCGAATAGGCCTCGGCTGAAGGTACATTCACAGTGAACGAACCATTCTGACAACTGGCACTGGCTGGAATAGTAACTGATCAGCATCACAATATGGACACTGTTACATTGCAATATCTATGCTTACTACCGTGAATCCTACGACCCCCCACAATCCCCATCCATACTGGTAGCTAGCATTTGATAGGCTGCACATACTCTGTCTGAAACAATTACCGCCCATGCTTCCACCAAAAAAACCTGGCATGTGTTCAGAGCCCGCCGAGCTGACAGCCACGGCGAGGGCTCACGGACTTGACCAGACAATTCGAAGGACGAGGTTTTGGATTAAATTACTACACCCTTTATTTATACCATTCACAAGTCCAACCATACAGCACGCGTCATCGGGGACTACGAAAATGTATGAAACCACCACAGCCCCCAAGCCTGCAGTCAGCGTGCGTGCACAAGGCAGAGCCTTCGAGCATCCCCAAGATGCCTTAATCTATTTATATGGGGCAAATGAGGCCCTTTGGCGATGGGCCGGGATTGTGCACGGCGCAGCAGCTGAAAACGGATGTGACATCGGAAACATGTTTGGGGGCTGGATGGGGCATCCACCGAGAAGCGTTCTACGAGTTGGTTTGCTGCCTCGCCATTTTGTTGGTTCACATGCAACTACATGGGTTGTTGATGTAATTAGATGCAGGCATCTGAGGCTCGGCCCAAAGTGTATGCGCTTTTATCACTTACTCCAGGGTCCCTCGTCCTCATCCATAGCCATCCGCGATCTACACCCACTTGCCGTCTCTTGCGTTGGTATACAAATACTACAAACATGGCTCTACCATCTAGTCGTCCTCGATTGGCTTGCAGTAAGAGTTTCTCTCTCTCTCTCTTTACAGAGAACTCTATAGCCACAGAGAAGATCTTGGTTCCGTTCTCTTTTCTCTCATACAGTCACTCATTCTATTTCAACACTCGTTATGAAACATATTGTGCTTCTCTCCCTATGGGGAGCAACTGCCCTAGGCAGTCGGTGTCGTCCCCCTCCATCTTCCCATCTCCCCGGATCAGGGGCCTCTGAGTCCTCTGGCGAGTATGGGACCTCTGTAGTGGAATCTGCCGAAGCCAGCTCAACCGCTGCCGGCAACTCGGGCTATTACCCACCGCCAGGTGGTTCAGCTCCCGGTTCGTCCGGCTCTGGGGGGGCTTTCACATCTTCAGACTCCACATGGCTTCCTGGCTCCGAGTCACACTCGAGCTACTGGACTGTGCCGGCCAACAGCACTTGGCTTCCTGGCCAGACGTCTCAGTCGTATACGACCTACTCAGGGCCGTCATCCCAGACCACATGGCTCCCTGGAAACACTCCGGGCTGGTCTGACTCTACTTGGCTTCCTGGCAACACCAATACTACCCCCGGACAGCCTGGTAACACTGACTCAACTTCGCTGCCTGGAAACACTGATACCACGCCAGGCCAGCCTGGCGGCACTACAGAGACTGGTGTTAATACTGCAACGGGTCTTCCTGGAAACACTGACACGACACCCGGTCAGCCTGGCAACACTGATACCACCCCAGGTCAGCCTGGCACTACCCAAACTACACCTGGACAGCCTGGTAACACCGACTCAACTGCCACTGCTCCTGGGGTCTCTACAGATACCGGTATCCCCGGAAACACCGACACTACTCCCGGCCAGCCTGGCAATACTGATACCACTGGAATTCCTGGCAACACCGATACCACGCCAGGTCAGCCTGGCAATACCCAAACTACGCCTGGACAACCTGGAAACACCGGCTCAACTGCGCCTGGAGATGGAGGTTCTACCGGGACTGGTCTTCCTGGAACCACAGAGACCACACCTGGCCAGCCTGGCAACACCGGTTCTACTGTCACTGGACCTGGTGATAGTACCGAGACTGGAATCAACACGGAGACTGGACTTCCTGGAAACACCCAAACAACCGGCCTACCTGGCAATACGGAAACTACACCTGGTCAACCAGGCAACACCGATTCCACTGCCACTGGACCCGGAGGTAGTACCGAGACTGGCATCAATACTGAGACCGGCGTTAACACCGAGACTGGCCTTCCCGGAAACACAGAGACTACGCCTGGTCAGCCTGGCAGCACAGACTCAACCGCCGCGGGACCTGGAGGCACTACGGAGACTGGGATCAACACAGAGACCGGTGTTAATACAGAGACTGGTCTTCCTGGCAACACCGACTCGACCGCCACGGGACCGGGAGCCACAACCGAGACTGGTATCAATACTGAGACAGGTGTCAACACTGAGACTGGTCTTCCAGGAAACACAGAAACAACCTCCGGTCAGCCTGGTAACACCGACTCAACTGCTACTGGGCCTGGAGCCACTACCGAGACTGGCATTAATACGGGAACCGGTGTGAACACGCAGACCGGTATTAATACTGAGACTGGTCTTCCTGGAAATACTGATTCGACTGCCACTGGACCTGCAGACACAACTCAGACTGGTGTTAACACAGAAACTGGTCTTCCAGGAAATACCGACTCAACTGCCACTGGACCAGCTGACACCACTGAGACCGGTATTAATACCGAGACTAATGTTCCTGGAAACACTGATACAACTGCTGCTGGACCAGGAGGCACTACCGAGACTGGTGTCAACACGGAAACAGGTGCAACAGAAACAGGTCCCACCGAAACGGCTACTGTGCCATCGACTACAGACTCGGGTGCATCTCAGACCACTGGAGCCGATGCCACCATCACCACCGCACCTGTTACGTCTACCCAGACGGGCGACGGTGGTGTTCTCATCACGTCCACCATGACGGAGCCCCCCGCGGACTTTTCTCCCACCACTGTTTCCGATCACCCTGAGTGGACGACCAACACTTGGATCACTACTACTTCCGAGGGATCAGATGAGCCCACCATTGTTCCCGTCCTTGTCGGCTGCCCAGCGTGCGGCGGTGCTGGCTCGGGCATCATCATCTTTGGCTTCCCCAAGTTTATCAACACCCTGTTCAACTTTCCCGGCTTCCCCAAGTTCTCGTTCCCCTGCATCCCACCGGGCTGTTCGACACCTCCAGACACCCCCGAGGATGGAGATGATGGGGATAACAATTCTACCAAGGATGATTCCAGCAAGACAACCGAGGAGGCTTCCAGCACCTGCACTGAAGAGGTTACTGCCAGCGACTGTCTTGTGGCCTGCACCACCTTCACTGCCCCAGGCGCTGAGCCTACTCCAGAATGCAGCACAACATGTACCAGGACACAAACCGGGTGCAGCGTTACCGGCATCACATCCACGACATCAGCCGAAGCTTGCAGCGCGACGGGTGATGGCGCATGTCTCAATTGTGCCGAGGAGAGGAATCTCATGACCAACCCAGACGACTCTGACAACCCTACCGACCCCGGTGGCGGTGATGATGATGATTCCACCAGCCTCAAAATCAGGGATATTTCTCTTTTAAAGAGAGGTTCGGCTGCGAGACAGACCAGATTAGGTTCCCAAACAGCTGGATGTCCCCTTGCAAAGACCGGCGTCCAGTTTCCCGCTTACCCCGGAGGCGAGTCTGTCTTGGACCGTGACAATGCCGGAACCCAGAAGCCAGCCTGGACTGCTATCAAGAGATGGTTCATCATGACCAGAGATGCACAGTGTATTCCCTCTATCTCCCAAGTCGCGTCGGGTGCCTATCACGTAAAGCCTGCCACTGGTCGACCCCAGCTGGAGGTTGCGACCATCGACCATGTCTATGAGAAGAGTTGGCTCAAGGACTTCTTCACGAATATCCTGGATAGCGCCGCTGGGAACTTGAAAGACCTCACTGGACCCCAAAACACGATTAACTGCGGTGATTTCGCCTACTATACAGATGACCTTGCCACTGTCACCGGCCCAAACCAACTTGTCGACGTCTTCAATTCTTATCCATCGAATTCCAAGTATCTTGACGACTTCATTGGCATGGACGACTACGTGAACGGTCAATGCAAGGTAAATACCCACTGTACTGTTTCAAAGGTGACTCGAGCTAACATGACGTTCCAGGGAGTCGTCGCCACACCAGAGATGGTCCGAGGTGGAACAACCACTCAAATGGTGGCAGGCAACAATGTCGAGGCAACCACTGTGTGGAACACTGCAAGCACGAAGATAGAAGACAAACTCCAGTGGCTTGAGCGTCTTGCCATCGGTGTGGAGATGATGAATGACGCCGATGCCATCAGTGCCATGAAACGCCAGAACCAGCGTATCTGGTCCAGGCTGTAAGTATCTTCCCATCGCATCAAGGCCTCTAGCACTAATTCTGGTACTCTCTTATAGGACGAATATTGATAACAACGCCAAAAATTGCAAAAAGGATCCTGAGGTTCTTGCCGGCAAATGGTCGTTTGCAGACCGATACAGAGCCTTTATGGAGGACAGATTCACTGGCACTCAAGACTGGTCCATCAACAAGGCGGTTGATGACGCCCAGACTCAACTGATCGCCCGACTCAAGCTGGATTTGGCCAATGTTCAGCTGCCTGTAACTCCACCGGCCACCGCCCCGAGCACGGTAGACCAGACCAAGCTTGACAACTTCAATGCCAGGTTAACCAAGCTTGAGGCCGCGACTTATGCCGTTACCATCACCTGGGACTGGACTTATACAGTTACAAAGCGTCAAGATAACGGCGCCGCCTGTAACATCGGGACGGTGTCTCAAACTCTTTCAACCTTTTCCACCTCCATCATTTCCCAGTCTCAGACGGACGACCCCCAGACCGAGACCATCGTTACTACGACTAGTGCGGTACCCATCCCTTCCACAGTGATTGAGGAAACTACCTCTTCGGCTGCACCACCTCCTGTGACAACAACGGAAGTGGTTGACCCGACCCCTACAACGCCACTGGCTAGAGGGGGCATTGTTTGTCACAACGAGGCCGATTTCCCAGGGCATGCGGACATCAGCAGCAGTGCTCAGGATGACTTTTCTACCGACTTTAGTGGTCTGAGCGGGCCCAACGGCGATGATAACCTCTTCGACGGTGCAGGAAGCGTGACATTGAACGATGAAGACGGCCATGGTGTCTCGTACTCGTATTCAGTTGAATGGGTATCTGGATGTGTGACAACACAAGACACCCAGAACTTCCGATTCCCCCTCGGCCAGGGTGGTATCATCACGGCGTACTTGATTGTACGAGAGGCGTATACGAAGTGTAAGTCTCTTCCATATAATGATTTTCGATTTGGAAAATATGTTCTAACATTGTAATTAGGTAACAACGGTGGTGTTGGTGGACAAGAACAAGTTGGCTGCTTGCTCTATGACTTCACCGGTGGAAGGTAAACTCCCACCACCGCTTGGAGCATGGAGTCCTACGAACGTCGCGATATAGCCCTGAATTGGGCCGAGGCTTTGACATGGAGAGTGAAGAATGAGGATGCAAGGCTCTAAGGTCGCCCTTCTCAAACCAGGTTTGAAGCGTGGGGGTGGTCAGGGAATTCTGGATAAATAAACCCTAGATCAAGAGCGTACTTAAGATAGAAACGTGATATATTCCAGGTCAAACAGTTCCTTTATTTATTCATTAGTAGTCGATGCACTTTCTTGCGCAGGCAGAGCGACGTCCTCGCCGCCATCGAGATCGTGACAAATACATTGGCCAAGTCATCCAAGAATTCTGCCTTGCCAAATGCCCGGTATAAGGGTCTCTTAGGTCAGTCCTCCCACCCTCTTAGGTTAGTCCTCCCACCCTCTTCCGTGCCGAAACATGGTAGGCGATGCATGATTCAGGCTAACTGTGGACCTTCGTTCGGCTTTAGCTTATGCTGCAATATCAAATCAGGAACGTCAAAGTTTGGCATAAGAACACGGGCCCTATCAAGCTGCGCTGTCAACCAATGTTGGTTGTTGTGGCCTTGGGTCTTGCACAGAGCGACCGAAAGTGACCACATAAAGCGGTAGATCTGACGAGGATCTTCTCCGAGAGCCTTAGATGCAATGGCTAAGATCTGTGACAATGCCGCGTCGAGCTGGAATCGAGATTCGTCTCTCGGGAACAGACAAGCAAACAGCACCTGCAAAGCGTGGTAGTCTAACGCCGCTGAGTAGACTGTCCATATGAGCCGCTTGCCACCAGAGTCGGGTATCGACTTGGCCAAGATCAGGATGTCAGCGAATTCCTAAGTATCATCAGCCATCTGCCTCGGAAATCTTGTGTTCTTCATACATCACCAAAATTCTGTGTATGTTTCCATAGCTTGTGCACCTCGGCGGCATCTAGATCAGGTATCGCTGACCTTGCTAGTCTCATGAGTTCCAGCTTCGCCGCCTGGCACAAGTGGAAGAGACGCAGTGGTCGGTAGTTTTCTAGATCATCAAGCAGTTCAGATACGGGATATGTCTCGCCCCAAATCTTGGGAAGAATGGACCTTGCGCTGAGGAATATGCGCTCATGAGAAATGTGATCGTCGGCATCTCGAGATAGAAGATCCATGCAAAGCCGCCCGCCGTTTATGTTACCAGTAGCGGAGTCTGCATCCAAGTACCTGGGACTCATTAATATTGGGCAATGCTTCCACTGCCAAGGAGAAACTTACAGCGTATATAACAGCATTGGTTGAGAGATGTATGGCAGCTTCTCTCCATTGGCGTACCCGCCCGTTTCCAAATAAGGCTTCAAGAAGGACCGAATACCATCTAGGTGTACTAAAGACGCTCCTTTACTTTCGGAGTCATATACCTCGTAGCGCAAAATAAGAAACCACATGGTAAAAAGCGCGTCAATATCATTGCTGCTCCCCTCCGAATGGCAAATGTGATTGAGAAGAGACGATAAGTCCTTCAAGGTCGCGGAGTAGTGCACCCCTGCAGCGGCCCCGATACGATGTGCGTTCTCCATAGACCGAGCAGGATCGTTCCCATCCCGGACCGCAAGTACCTCCCGAGCTCGCAGCTCCATGGACGCAACAGCGATGAAGCTCCTCATTACACCAGAGTATTGGCTTGCAATATGTGTGTATATGTAGGAGAAGCAACTCCATGTCCAAAGTTTGCCATAGGAGAGTACTAAAATCGACTCTGGAATATACAGGAAGGCTGCTTGGTCGTCGGCGCTCAGTTGGAGGGAGTTGGATAAAGGAATATGGCTTGTGGAAAGGGCTGGCCGCGGCGATGATAATTCTTGGACATTGATATGCGCATTATGAGGCAATGTGAGGTGTATCTCGGCCTCGGCGCTGTTGCACTCCTCTGGATCGTCACCATGCGACCCATCTGTCCCCGCAGTTGGCGATGGAGCGAGAGGACGCTGAGAGATGGAGCTAGGCGTCGAACTCTTGGAGCTTCGAGCCCCCTTTGAGCTCAGTGACTGTCCAGGCTCCAGCCATTCGCATTTCATAAGACCATTTGTACATCTTTGACATGCAGGCCGCCGCTCGTCACACTTGACCTTGCGGACACGACAGGTCAAGCAGCCTGCAGGCCCTCGTCAGCTCATGGTTCACGCCAAGCCACCGATGGACTTGTTTTGTGATGTGGCTGAGATGTACCATTTTTTGACCGTGCCTTGCGGCGGTTTGACGACTGGGGAATGTTCGACATGCCTGATTCCGAACACGGAGGGATACTGGGACAGTAGCAATCAGTTTGGACACTCACGAGCGTATCTAACAGGATGACTCGGCAATGGAGCGTCGATGAGAGAGTAAGCGATTCAGCTGTGATGCCGACTGGCCCGCTCGGCAGTTTCTGTGAAGGAGAGATAAGCTCATCCTGGCACCGTATGAGGAAAGGCATTCAGCCCGTCTAAGCTAGCTACTAAAACCCCGCAGATAAGTCTCGCGGCCTGTGAGTGGCCATCTCGGCAATTTCCTACGGTAGATCGTCTTTCATTAACTCAAAGTTCTCGCTGTTTATTGGTCTAATTAGCCGACCAGGTCCACAGCATCATGGTCCACGGACTTCGCCTTTGCTGCGCTTCCAGGCTGCCAGTTCAGGACGGCAGCTACACTTACAGATGGAACAAACAACCGAGGGAATAATGAGTGACGCCGAGTATTCTGTCTTGATCCACCAAACTTTAGACTGCATGCATATATAAGCCGAAACGCGGCCTAAATCGGATTGTTCACAATTTTCTACTTGAAGTAACCCCGTCCGCTGAACATCACTCACACCGTCAATCAACCACCCTAGACCAAGTTTCTGAATTATTTGCAATGCAGGTTTCTACGCAGAAATTATACCATGGAATATCCCAATCGATCAGCCGACATGAGCAGGATCTAGCTTCAATATGTGCAAAGGTAACAACCAACCGTTCAGAGTACTTGGCAATACTGACCGGAAGTTTTCAGATCCACGAAAACCCCGAGCTCAACTACGCCGAGTTCAAAGCTCACGACAATATCTGCCATCTCTTGGAGCGACTAGGATATAAGGTAAAAAGACATGCCTATGGTCTTGAGACATCATTTGTCGCCGAGTTTGGCAACGGCGGCAAATTGGTTGTGTTCAATGCTGAATACGACGCCCTCCCCGGTTTAGGCCATGCCTGTGGACACAATTTGATTGCAACGAGCTCCATTGCCGCATTCCTCGCAACGGCAGAAGCAATTCGCAACCATGGCTTCGAGGGCCGAGTCAGGTTGCTTGGAACGCCAGCCGAAGAAGGCGGCGGCGGCAAAATTCGCCTGATTCAAGCTGGGGCTTACGAGGGTGTTGATGCTTGTCTCATGGCTCACCCAACGGGTCGCATATCCCTCGAAGGAACGCAAGACGTCCACGGCATCTCTGCAGCCAAGTCGAGTGCTCGCAGACAGGTTCAAGTCATATTTCGCGGCCAAAATGCCCATGCGGGAATGAGTCCGTGGCATGGAAAGAATGCCTTGGACGCCATCGTGTCATCATACGTTAACATCTCTCTTCTTCGACAGCAGCTACCTCCCACGGCGCGGGTACATGGGGTTATTCGACAAGGAGGTGCAGAGCCGAACATTATTCCGGATTCTACGAGTCTTGAGTACTATCTAAGAGATGGCACTACCGAGACAATCCAAGACCTTTCTAATAAAGTGGAAGCATGTTTTGAAGCGGGAGCCATAGGAACAGGGTGCCAGGTTTCCTGTACTTGGAAGTCGTAAGTGCATAAGAGCAGTGCCTGGCATTGAATTTAGTCTGACTCGAGCTGCAGAGATGAGGACTACATGGAGCTCCGCCCCAACCAAGCTCTCGTGAGCGACTTCACAAGACACATGAAAGCATTCGGCAGAACATATCTCGACGACGCAGGGCAGCCGCCCATGGGAGCTTCGACAGACATGGGTAAGTGCGACACACCATACATAGCTAATAGTAGCTAACAATTACTAAGGAAATGTCACCTACTGTGTACCCGGTATCCATCCCATGTTTTCCGTCGGAACCAATGACCCTACCGTTCAACCCCATACGCCACAATTCGCTGCTGCTGCAGCTACAAAGGAGGCATTGGAAAGTGCGCTGGACTGCAGTAAAGGCTTGGCGGCAACAGCCTGCAGCGTGCTGTTGTCTGGGAGCTTGTCAGACGCCGCTTGGGATGAGTTCCGGAGGGATGTCCAGCCGATTACGGGGAGACTTTAGCAGGTGATGACATTGAATAGGAAATAAATTTGAATAGTAAAGGAATCACTGAATCAATCTAGTCTTCTGTAATAATTGCATCTCTGAATTCGCCATTATTCGGCTTTTTCGCGTTTATGCTTCAGCCTCACTAGGCCCGTATGCGAAGAAGATTACCGTTCCTACGGTTGTTATACGGAGGGCCCTTTCAAAAGTCTTATCCATAAGAAGTAAGTCCTAATTATTAGATTAGATAATAAGTACACTAAGTACTTCCTGATTCTTATAGGCCCTAAAGGATAGCAGGCTATACATATAGCAACCGCTATATCCTAATCAGGAGCGTACTACTCCTGAAGTTACAGCGGCCGTTTAATAAGACTGTAATAGCTTTATGTATCTCAGGTAACCGACAGGGATAAATGGATATGATATTACTAGCGCTTGGATAAGACTTTTGAAAGAGCCCTCCGTACTACTCCAACAATAGCCGAAGAGTGGTATCAACACGTCGTATCTTGGCCAACGAGTTCCACATGGAAGGTCAATGGCACCTTTGATCCACCCCCACAACTCCGTCTCGTATCTATCTTCACGATCCCACGGTCTACTTGGAACCGAGACTCATCTTCCCCGCTCTTCGGACAATGACTCGGACAAGGAGGGACCCGCCCAGCTTAGCCCAATTCACGTTTGCCGAGATGCCCAATCGGAAGCCCTGTATCATGGACACAATCTAAACTGACGCTAGCAAGGCTCCGGGGAGAGACCATATTTGCCGATACAGCCAATCAATACGCCTGTCTTGCCGAACCAGACACGGCTATCAAGCTCGGCACTGTGATGTGGCAAACTACCTGGTCTTGGTCCACCTAACGATAGATATCACTGAACATCTATCATTCCACCATCGGTGGCTTATCATCGTCAAGTTAGTGTGCTTCTCCTTCGTGTCTTGGGTCGGTTGACAATCTACTCATGCAATGTCGTCTACATAACCAGGACCGTATCCCTTCGTCTGCTTTCTCATTCTCCCAACATCACAATCTCGCGTCTGGATATCTAGCATCAATTTCTTCTTCGCAACTTACTTGCGTTCCAATTATGACGACTGAAAAGATGGAAAACACCCCATCTTCTCACGCCAAGGCTATACCTAAAGATGGCGAAATGGTCAGCCTTCGTGGTTTCGATTTCGCCGCCGAGGAGGGCTTAAGCGAGACTCACCGAGGTCAACAGGTGCTGAAGAGAATTGATCGTTGGTAAGCCTCAAGTACTTCCGAGCTCAACTCATTGGTTGTTAACGGATACATAACTAGCCTGATGCCATTGCTTCTCGTTTCGTATATGCTACAGTTTCTTGACAAGCAGTCCTTAAACTTTGCTTCGATCATGGGAATCATTGATGACCTGGTTAGTGAAAATTGTGTTGCTCCAAATGCCCTCCAATGGTCAATCAATTGACAATCCTCAGGATTTGGTCGGGTCCAGATACAGTTGGTGTAGCAGCGTATTTTACTTTGGCTACCTCGCTTTCAGCTACCCGGCCTCATTCTTGATGGTCCGCTTTCCGCTGGGCAAATACTTGGCCGGTACAAGGTGAGATCACCCAGATCATCACTACTCGGCGGAAGATGCTCATTCTAGTCCAAGCCTTGTATGGGCCGTCGTCCTCATCTGTCATGCCGCAGTACAAGACTTCAAAGGCCTTTTGATCGCGCGATTTTTTCTCGGTGCAGCAGAGGCATCCATATCGCCAGGGTTCTCTTTGATTACAGGAATGTGGTATAAGCGCGAGGAGCAGCCACTTCGACACGGCATCTGGTTCCTTGGCAACGCTATTGCTACCATGTTTGGAGGACTGCTTGCATTTGGGATATCACACATCGGAGGAGCTCTTAGTCCTTGGAGAGTATGGCGACGTCTCTTTCCGCAATTGGCCTTCTCGACTGACTTGAACGTGCAGTGGCTCTTTATCATTTTTGGCGTCATTACCCTTGTTTGGGCTGTCGTACTTATAATTTTCCTCCCAGACACCCCTGAGAAAGCACGATTTCTCAACGAAGAGCAACGCATCGAAGCCATAAACCGAATCCGAAGCAATCATACTGGCATGAAAAATAACACCTTCAAGTGGGAACATGTCCGCGAGGTCTTGACAGATCGCAACGTCTTGCTACTAATGTTGTTTCAATTTACGTTCAGCATTCCAAACGGAGCTTACACAACGGTAATATCCATTTTCACCGAATTGTATTCTTATTTCTAACACTTAGAGTAGTTCAGTAGCCTTGTCATGGCCGGTTTTGGATTCACAAGGTTTCAAGTCTATCTACTCAACATCCCGATGGGCGCGATACTCGCCGTTTTCCTCATTTCATCGAGTTATCTTTGTAGCCGATTCAATGGATACAGAACTATTATTGGGTCAGCTCTTAGTTTGATCAGGTAAGTAGTATTTGGTTCAACCTTTCCTTCTATGAAAGTTAACGGGCTGGTAGTTTGATGGGCTCGATATTGGTTCGTTACGGACCTAATCGAGGTAGCCAGTTGCTTGGGCTCTTGTTGTTCGTCGCTTTTGCTGCTGGATTTCCCATTTGCCTTTCAATGATCTCTTCGAATGTCGCTGGCTTTACCAAAAAGAGTGTCGCCTCGGCGATGATGTTCATGGCATACACTGCAGGAAACATTATTGGACCATTTCTCTTCTTCCCACGCGAAGCACCAGAATACGCGGTAAGTGCAAGCCGGAGCACACTGGTCACGTTTTGTACGTCTAATGAACTGCACTGACAATATGAACGATAGAGCGGCTTTTTGGCAACCACCATTTGCTTTGGAATTGCGTCGCTAACGATGTTGGTTCTACGTGTCTCCCTGATATTGGAGAACCGGCGTCGCGACAGGCTTCAAGAAAATAGCGCCTCACTACAGGATGGACCAGAGTGGAATGAGATCTCAGATGAGACTGATGGACGAAATCTGAATTTCCGATACGTCTATTAATATTCAAGGTGTCAGACGGAGATATGGACTACAATAACGCTACCAGCGAGAGGAGTGATCGTTCCATTTTGTTGCGGTGATATTGCGACACAGGGTGTGGTGTTTCGGGCAGTGCTTGACCAAGTTGCGGCTTGGTTACTGTGATTAATTAATATCACTGACGTAGGCTGAGAAGGACTCGAAACTACATGGATTAATCCTTAAGTTGACGCCATCTCGTCTTATAGGTAACCAAAGTTAGCTGCCTCACTTATTCATACTGCTTTGCATGTTGTTGTCAACGCTATGAGAATCATACTTTGAACCAAACAGCTTCGCTTGTAGGAAGGTCGATACTAGATGCCCCATTCATTGACCTGCTCCTCGGCCCGAGAAAAAGGGGTGAACAGTACCTGCCACGCCATTGGACGTATCAATGCGCCGATACGGTAGAGCTTTTGTATACTCCCCATGAAAGTAGTGTTGATTTGCCAGGTAGTTAGGAAGTGGGCATAGTGAAGGGCGTCACACACTGGGCCGGATAAACGGACAGGCGAGCATGCGATGAAATCTCTTCGCGGAGCAGGATTCAACGGGGACTCATTTTACTTTTTTCTCCCTTCGGAGCGACCGGGAGGCTCTTTCGTCCGTTTTCCGGAGTTAGATTGCTAGAATAGGACCAGAGGCTTTTTGTTGGCGCTACTCCTGCAATAGATGTAGATGGGCTGCAATTAACGAACAGGAGTGGGTTCTTTTGGTTCATCCGGATTGTAAATAGTCAGCCCATTCTTGTCGCATTGTTGATACTCACTATAGCTTCTGCATACCCAAACCCGGATGTGGACGATGATGTGGAATCACGATGTGGAATCATGATGTGGAATCATCAAAATCGTAGAAAATTGGACAAACCTGATTGTACCTTGAAGAGGGTCCTTGTGAGGAGTTGTTAGCTCCACAACTAGCCCGGATACGTCCATTACATTCTAGCCAGGCATTTAGTCGGACGATTCAAGGGCCGGGCTGGGTCATTTGCCACGGCCACAATAGAGAATATCCGACCGGGGCCGGATATAACATTGCGTACTTAGGAATCACAGGGTTATTCAATCAGCATTTAAGGGCTAACTAGACAAATAAATTGAATTTATCTAGAGCCTTCTAATATTTATTTCCAACTCATGAAATCAACATCGCCATTCATTATCTTGTCTAGACTCAGCATGGCAAGCCAACAGACCTCTACGATGTCCTTTACCACAACTACACATCTCATCGACCTCCAACGCGACGTGAAGTTGCACGTTAAACGCTCTTTTCCCACAAGGGAACCGCCTATACCAGCTGCCGAAATGACAGCAGTTATCTTTCTACATTTCTGGGGTGGATCAATATCGACTTGTGCCCAAGTCAATGCTCTGGTTGCAACGACTTGCCCAACTATCCGCATTGACTTTCGGGGATGGGGAAACTCTATTGGCCCTGACGATGAGATGGAATACTCGACGATTAAGCTCGCGCAAGACGTGGAGAATATCATTCGCCACCTTCATCTGAAATCATATATTATAGTCGGCCATTCAATGGGCGCCAAAGTTGCACAAGCGGTTGCAGGCCGAAAGGTTAATTACGGTCTGGTAGGCCTTGTTCTGGCCTGTCCAGCCCCTCCGACGCCTCTAAATCTGTCCCACGAGATGCGGGACCAGCAAATGCATGCCTACGACAACGCCCAAAATGCCGAGTTTGTCACGCAAAGAGTTCTTACTTCGAAGCAACTGCCAATCGATATAGTGCAGTCTACAGTAAATGACATGCTCAAAGCTAGCAGCCATGCTAAGCGTGCGTGGCCGGAATATGCTATGGGTGAAAACATCTTGGATTTAGCAAAGAGCATCCAGGTGCCTGTGCTTGTCATTGCGGCAGGGAAGGACGTTGTCGAACCTGTTGCTAGAGTTAAGGCGGAAGTATGTGCCAATATTCCAGGCGCCAGGCTTATTACAATTGATGATTCAGGGCATCTAATACCCCTAGAAGCTCCGGAAGAGATGGCTGAGATAATTATTGGCTTTTTGTCTAATCCTGAATAGACATGGAGCGTAGGGTGTCAATCCTTATGAATTAGTTAGATTATCGCTACGCATCTCCTCTCGTATAGGCGTATCATCTCATCTGCACGAAAAGAATTCCCCAATACTAGGTCCGTCTTGTTTAGTAATATTAACAGCTTCCCCAACCGCACGAAGCTAAGCACCTGAATGTAAACGTAGATTCAGTGATGGCCAGCACCAGCACCCCCAACAGAGTTGTGTCAAGTCTTGCGCAGCACTTTTCTATATCCGCATAGTGAGTCAAGGTAAAAAATGCATTTGAGAGACAGTTCTAAGGAAACTTTGAATCTTTGGAGGATGAAGGCTAACGGGTCACATCCTTTTGAGTAAGTGTCGTTCAAGAGGTCACCGAGCGATTTATCAGAGACATGGTGACAGAAGGGTTTGGTTGTAGGGTGAGAATAAATCGCCTCGAGAGCCTACATACCGCTAACCTTAGTCCCGCTTCAGTTCGTTAGTTTTTTGAGGGTCAGTTACCCTTACAATGCTATCTACTCAAAAGATGAGACGCAAGCTCACTCCACGCTCTTTAATACTTCATCAACAAATTCCAGGGCCTTTTCGTAGGCCTCAACTGAACCCTCCCACGGTCCAGAGCCAAATTTGTAAAGGCCGTGAGGCCCATCCTTCACGAGGTACAACTCTGTCTTCACACCCAGCTCCTTTAGTTGCTCGTAGTGATCCACACTTTCCTGCGGAAGCACCACCTCATCGGCGGTACCATGAACAAAAACAGACGGCGGGTAGTCTTTTGTCACAAAGAGTTGAACAAAAGCTGGTTTGAGGTCTTCGGGAAGTGCCGTGGCTCTTTGCGAATAGTCCAGAACGTCGAGCTGGGCACCCAAGCCAGGTCGGCCCAAGGAGCCATCAAGAAAGGTCCCGTCCAACTCCCAGCGAACGGTGAGTGCAAAACGACCTGTGCTCGCCTTTCCTTCCACAAAGTCATCACTAATTACCGTATTGTCCGCAAGGATCTTGGGAACCCTGTCAAGGTCGACAAACTTGGCGATCGTTGTCGGAGGTCGGGCTTGTGTCCAGTGATCCAGCAGCCAATTACCACCAGTGCCAAAGCCCGTTAGAAGAGCAGCTGGTTTCGGCTCTGAATATACGCAAGCTGCACGAGCAGAGTATGCGCCAGCAGAGAAGCCGGTCACGACTATGCGAGCAGTGTCGATTGAGACTGAGCCTGGGAGTGCCTTTGCGAAATCCTCGCCTGTGAGGAATTTGAAGAGACTCTTTGCATCGTCGATCTGGTCCAGCGCTGTGCATGGATGGCATAGCCGATAGTCCGCCGAGACGAAGATGTAGCCCTTCCCTTGGCAATGATCTTCATACGTTAGAGTGGGTTTTGTATCCCTGATGTTGAACTATTGATGGCTTACCGTATAACCAGCGTGGGAACTGGCCGTCCCGCCGAGAACCAGCCGTCATGCCGCCACCGTGATAGTAAATGACAATGGGCAAGGTCCCATTCGCTTTCGGGGGTAGGTAATAATCCAACTTAATTTCATGGTCTCCAACGGTGCTGTAGACCAGGGTCTGGCCTCCTTCCGGCATCACGATTGGTGAGAGCATATCGTCTTTTTTAATCAAGTGAAGTGGACTGATTTTGAGTTGGCTAAAGATCGTGGGGCGAGTATGCCAAGTTGAGGTGAGGGGAAGAAGGCAGGAAAGTGAATATGTCCAAGTGTGAGTGGGGTCAGATATCCTCCTCCCGGAAAATCCGAGGGGAATATCCGAGAGGAATATCCGAGACAGAGGGTTCTCCACGATACTCCGGTCTCCATCCAATTTTAGGTTGTAGCAAGAAGTGGTAGACGTATATCAATTCCGTCACTTTTTCCATCATTTTCCATACCTGCACATATCAATCACTTTCATCAAATGCGATGAAAGAACCAAATTAGGTAGTATTGGACGCTTCACCTTCTTAAAGAGCCCCAGATCAAAAATGATTGCAAGACTTTCGAACTAATAAAGAATAGACACCAGCGTCATGGAGATCCCAGGACTCCACTATATTAGCTGTCTATGCACACTGGGCCATCACCAGTGGCTCATTCATTTCTCCCCCCACTGTGTAATCTACCGCTGATACACCATCCCAAGCTGCATCGCATCTGTCATGATTTGCTCCACGAATTGGGTTCACGAGGTGATTGCCATCCCGCCCAGTAATCTCAAGGAGATGAAGGCATAGTCCTTCAATGTTCTGGGAAAGTATTCGTCAATAGAACTGGGGCCACATGCAGCATATGCTGTGTGACAGAGCGGGATTGGATTGAGGATCTACGCCCAACCAGCAAATGATATTCGCCCATGTGTCAAACGTAATCAAGTAAGACAACCCCCGCACTTTGTATGATTTCCTGAGAGGCAGATAATATCTTGATTCAACAACACCAATTCTGTCCCCAACGGTCTTCTTCATCATAATGGACAAGTACAAGTTTCCTCATGACCCAATTGCGGATCCCGCCTCGGTTGTGGCCGGGCCGCAATACCGCTTCACCATCCTCAACGACCTGGTCGCTCGATATGAATGGGCCGAAGACGGCGTGTTTGAAGATCGCGCCTCAACATTTGCCATCAATCGCAAATTCCCAACCCCGCAGTTCAACGTCTCAGACACGGACGACCAGCTCACCATCAGCACGCCGGCATTCGACCTGACATACGATAAGAAGAAGTTCAGCGCCAATGGGCTCCATGTCAGCTTCCGGGCCAAGACTACCCTCTGGGGCGCCAATTGGCGCTACGGCGATCCGCATGACCACGAGAACCTCGGAGGGACGGCGCGGACCCTCGACGGCGTCGACGGGCGCTGTGATATGGGTCTTGGAGTTCTGTCTCGCGCGGGCTATGCTTGCATTGACGACAGCGACTCGATGCTCTTTGACGGCCATGGCTTTGTCGCCCCTCGTCGGTCCGGGGATCGCATTGACGGATATCTCTTCGGCTACGGGTTCGACTTCCAAGGTGGCATGAAGGCGTACCATGCCATCTCAGGAATTCAGCCCTCGGTGCCCAGGTGGGCATTGGGGAATTGGTGGAGTCGATACCACTCCTATACCGACAAAGAGTATCTCGCCCTCATGGACAACTTCAAGGCTGAAGCCATTCCACTTTCCGTCGCCGTCATTGACATGGACTGGCACGTCGTCAAGGGAGATAACGTTCCCCATTCCGGCTGGACAGGCTATACCTGGAATAAAGAGTTATTCCCCGACCCAGATGCTTTTGGAAAAGCTTTGCGAGAAAGAAAATTGAGAATGACCCTCAACGACCACCCCCATGCAGGCATCGCCTCTCACGAAGATATATACGAGAAGGTGGCCAAGCACTTGGGTCACGACACCACCGATAAGGCGACTATCCTCTTCAACCCCACCTCGCCAAAGTTCATTGACGCATACCTGAATATCCTCCATCGAGATCTTGAGAAGAACTGCGACTTTTGGTGGATCGATTGGCAGCAGGGCTCCTCCTCCGCCATCCCTGGCATCGACCCTCTCTGGGTCCTTAACCATTTCCATTACCTCGACAATGAGAAACAGGTCGAGGAGGGCAACAAGCCGCTGATCTTCTCACGGTTTGCTGGGCCAGGTAGCCACAGGTACCCTGTGGGCTTCTCCGGCGACTCCATCAACACCTGGAACTCTCTCAGATTCCAACCCGAGTTCACAGCCACGGCGTCCAACATTGGTTACGGATGGTGGAGTCATGACATCGGCGGCCATATGTTTGGCTATCGCGATGATGAGCTGGCCACTCGGTGGGTCCAATTCGGGGCATTCTCTCCCATCTTGCGGCTTCACTCCTCGAACAGCCCTTGGACCTCCAAAGAGCCGTGGAACTTTCGTGCAGAATATCACGGGGCGATGAAGAAATTCATGCAACTAAGACACCGACTCATCCCGTACATTTACACTGTAAATGTCACCACGGTACCACATGGCATACCGCTGGTCCAGCCTTTGTATTGGAGATTCCCCGAGCGCGATGAAGCGTATCATAAGCCCAACCAGTACTTTTTCGGATGCTCCATGGTCGTTGCACCGATTGTTGACCCCAGGGATACCAGAACGAATCACGCCGCCGCAAATGTTTGGGTACCTCCCTCTAGGCATGTGGACTTGTTTACCGGGTCAGTCTACGATGGCGATCGTGAGATCGTCATGTACCGCACGATTGACCACATTCCGATAATTGCTCCTGAGGGATCAATAATTCCACTGGACAAGAACCTCCAGCCCACGAATGGCAGCTGTAACCCCGACGGCTTCGAAGTCCTCGTGGTGGTGGGCTGGAATGGCAGCTTCACCATTGTCGAAGACACATTTGACGACCCCGGTGGAGTGAGCACACCAACTGCTGCTGAGAACATGCGAAGCAGCAGGACTGTTGCGTATGATCAATCAATTGGCACCCTGTCAGTGAAAAGCGGCTGCAAAAGCTGGAGATTTAAATTTATCTCTCTTTTGCAAGACCCCGCATCAGTTTCAGTCCTTGTCGATGGTATCAAGATTGACGCCAAAATTACGAGGGACGAATTCCCCCTTGTCCCAGGTCTCAGCGTTGAGATTCCAGAGGTCTTCTCTCAGGATGCAATCATCAAAATTGCCCTTGGTCCAGATCCGCAATTGAGTATCATGGACCCGACCCAGCGCATCAAAGACTTGCTGCTTGACTACCAGGTGGACTTTTCGGTCAAGGACAAGCTCTGGGCCATATGCCAATCATCGCGGCCAGCTACAACCAAAATTGGGATGCTGACGGGATTGGGACTCGATGAAGTGTTGCTTGGGCCGATTTTAGAATTGCTCGTTTCCGACAGTCGGCCATCCAGCCATTAGCTTGAAGACATTTCGGATAAAGGCCCGGGTTCGGGACGATGTCGCCGCTCGGGAAGTGGAGAAGAGAGGCATTTTCGGGACCCTGCTGGCAACCAAGAAATGAGCGGTTAACTTAGGCCCTGATCCGCAGTTTTTATGGTCTAAGGTCTAAGGTCTAAGGAAACTGCGGATCAGGGCCTAAGAGATAGAAGCTGGATCAGCCAGTGCAATATAAATGAGTTTGGATACAATGATTTTAATTTTGGTTTGAGTTGACGTTATTTTTATGCCACGAGCAAGAAGTTGTGGACTACGAATAAATCTACCCTCCATCACAGTTGATGTAGGGTGAACCCATTGTTGACCGAGTTAAATTCACCAATTATGCTTCCCTCCATCTGCGAGATGCACGATAAAATAAAAACCGAACGGAGGCATATTTGCGATACCGGTAAAATAATCATAGCAGTATGAATAACATGGAATCCACGCTGTTTTCGACATCTCATGTAAAGAGTTTTAGCTGGATGGATACGTTATTTACAAGAGGAGTAGACTCAATACTATACACGGGATATCTCTCTGCGCATTTCTCAATGTTCAGCAAGTCATTTACATACGACATTACTGGTGTCAAATCGTTATGAACGCGTACACCGTCTGCTACCCATTTGGAGACTGGGAAACGCAACAGTGCCCTGATACGCGGTGAGTGCGATCAAAGCATCCAAAGATGCGCCGTGATTGCGGCAATAAAGGCCTCTGATAACCTATCCTGACCAGAATAAGCTTTAGGTGTAAATGGGCATCGTTTCAATGCCAAGGCCGGCAGTCGGCTCAGCGCATTAGACTGAAGGACGCATCCTTGTGGATCTCTCCAAATGGATGCCCAGCCCAGAAGCCAAGCGGCCAAGCAGCCAAGGACGGCAGAATCTCGATTCATGCTTGGCAGGCACCTATAGAGTATACCTGCATTATCCTGCAAACTTACCTGCCTCGGCGAAATCCACGGGTTATTCCTCAAAGCGTGGAAATTTACCAGCTGGGAAGGTGTTATTGGAGTGCCCACCGCCAGAGTAACCATAGATCATCCAAGTACGGGTTCACCAGAGACCATCTCGCCTATGAGCTCACACATCTCAAAAAAAGTGACCAAAATGCCTCCAACATGTCCCAGCCGCAGGAGCAAACAAGGACGGAAATCTGGTAGCTAACCAGTCTCTCGGCGACCTCGGCTGAAGCCAGTGCTCCGAGCGGCGGCTGCTTCGCCCGAGGGAAGTTTTTGTTCCATCTCGTCAATGAAAATGAGCGGGTAACGCGCAATGACCTTGAGAGAGTGATATCTTGTTGGGTGTGAAGGGAGTGGAGCCAGCGCCACCGGGAGCAAGTGGCGGCGCCGTTCGCTCAGAATTACCTGTGATAGTTGCAAGCCGAGACCGGGCATGAGGAAGTCTACCTGATAGCAGCAGGCCAGGCCGTCGAGAGCGAGGAAGAGATTTCCAAGGTGGTTGCGGTGTACATTGCAAGGGCGCGAGATGGGAAACGACGGGGACGGGTCAGCAGAAGCGAACCACAGAAACGTCTGGCGGTTCCCTGACGCACTAGGAATTCGGTTAGTCATGGAGTGTGACGGGGATCGGATGTTCGGCATCCAGATGGGACCACGCAAAAGCCACGGCCAGGTCGGGAGTTGGCTGGGCGCCGGCTCCGCTGACTACTGAGCTTAGGAGCTAGATGACCGCTGCTAAGATAATCTGGATTGAGATCGTTCCGACTAGAGGAGCCACGCGGGGGTTATTTGTTGACTACTAGGCGGTTTGGCTGTTGAGCGTGGCATGATGTTGGCTCTTATGACTGACCAGAGTCTGGATCTGCAGGCTGAGGAAGCGTGGGAGGGAACGGCTGGCATCGTGAAGACTAAGAGCAACGAGGAATGGGCGGAATGGGCGGAACCGGCGCGTGCAGATACATCATGCACTACCAAAAGCCATCACCCACGCTCGTGGGATTAGAGACAGAAATAACGTTAGTGTTTAAAGTTTTCTCCTGGCTCTTTTGTTGGCGTTCAGTCCATCACGAGGCCAAGTGATTATCTTATCAATCCGAGGCCCAGCATCTTATCGATCCGCATCTAATCAGCCAGGATCACCGGGCCCAAGGGTTCTAGACGCCCCGTGGACCCCCCAAAGGTCCCGACCAGCTAGGAAAAGCCAGCGGCCAACATGCCATTTTTAGTGGATCTTGCGGAGCCGTTTCAGAGGCCGTTCTTCAGCTGTCGGGCCATGTCTCTTCTGTGAGGCGCTGTGTGGACTGACCGAATGCGAAAGAGAGGGCCGGCATACACAGCGCGGCGAACGGCATGCGAGAAATACCCACGGGAGATGCGAGACTGGGGTTTGGGACGGATCATTGCCGAAGAGACCAGGGGCCATGGCTGAAGAATATCCCAGTCCAGAGTATTCCGTGTCCCAGCCCGGAGTCGGAGTCGGAGTCGGAGTCGTTTCTGCTGGCAGATGATGACCTCCACCTTACCCAGGTCCCGGCGAGTAGCATTTGTCTCGCCGTCGTTAATCAAGGGACCATCCTTTCCCTTTCCTCCCGCCCAAAGCAGCGTCCAGCAGCAGAGCGTAGACGTCCGATGGACGCCCAAGCACATCGCAAGTGGGTTCTTCGGTCACCCGGACACTCCGCCGTCCGAGATATCGGAGCCAGCCACAACTCGCCGGAGGCCATCGACGGTGGATTCCCCCGCCATCTTGGCGTGCCGTGATCCGAAAGATCAATGCTAGTTCGTGCCACGGCCCATCGCTCCCAGGGCTACGGGTTGGGAGGCGTTGGGAGGCGTTCAAGCCCGCCTACAAGGCGTCGACGGCGTTGGTCGCCCAGCCGGTTCGAGACCTCACTGTTGCTCATCCCGCGTGCGTAGAGACAGGATCGGTGGGGCTCCGAACCGTCGTCTCGCCGCGTGATGCGCAGGACCGTCGATATCTCGTGTGGCCCGACTTCCCACGGCCTCCCACGGGCTGCTCTCGAGCCCTGGGCCCTGCGTCGACGTCGACGCTAGCCGTGCCGTGCTATCCCGGGCTTGCGTCGTTCGTTGTTCTGTCCGCGTTCACTGCGAACGTCCTCGTGGCCAAGCGTTCGCCCGTCCGTGTATATCCCACATCCCGTCCTGGCGGGGCCGTGGCTGAAAGCTCGAGCACCCATCGGGATATCTGCCAGGGTTGTGGATGAGCTAGAAAGAACCTTTTCTGACGGGTGGAGAGATCGCCCAGCAGCCGAACCGAGTGGACAGTCGGCTGTCAAGGAACGCGCTGGAATATAGCTCAAACGTGTAGGGATAGCCGCTGTAAGCTAAGATGGAACCCGAGCATTGTGGCTCGAGGAGGCATGATACGAATTATGACCATGTCCTGCAGGCGCACAAATGGAGTCATGTCCTTCCAGCAATTCGACCCGATGTCCGCGTCTTGAAGCCCTAAGCACGATGCTCGTAAAGCCCGTGACGATCTTTCCGCCTCGGCTAGTGATGGGGATTGGGATATGGGATGGGGGGGATGGGAGTTGGTGACAAATGAGGCTTGCTCTGGCGTGGAGGGTTGTAACTTGTGGCCTGTGACTGGTGAAGGGTTTTTCTCTTAGTGATTTTGGTGTCTCTTTGAGTCCTTGTCGGAGCCATTGGTCCTTGATGTATCTAGTATAAAGCCCACTGTCTTCCGTTATGTTGCTCACTTTCAAGCGATCTGCATCCAAGCCCTTGGCTCTCGCCCTTCACCCCATCTCCTCACTGGGAGACATCAATCATTGTCGTCATACCAAGTATCCCTCGTCTGGCGTTGAGTCTTCAACACCAATATGCCACTTCACTCCTCTCTCGCAGCGGTGGTGGCAGCCCTCCTCATAGCGCCAGTCGCCCATGCCGAACCCCTCGTCGGCTATGGCACGAGTAATTACGAGATTCCATGCCTATACGCCTGCGGTTATGCTATCCCTACAACCCTCGACTGCCCAGAGTATGCGGGCATGACTGCAGAGGAGAGAGCCGCGGCGTATCCCTCCTCAATTTGCTTTGGCAATGATACTTCGTATCTGACCTCGATTGCGTGGTGCATTCACGGACATTGCGATGAGTCTGTCAAACTCTGGGAGATTGAGAAACACTGGGAAGAGGAGCTCTTCTATGGCTCCACTGACCCAGGAGTTGTTCTTCGGTATACCTACACCGAGGCACTTGATCAGATCGATACAAAGCATCCCCCGAAACCTATGGGCACCGATACGGTTTTGAACCGCACAATTACTCTCACTGCTGAGGAGTATCTTGGCTATATCAATGCTGTTACCGGATTTGCAATCATTGCCAAGAATGAAGCTACCTTCTCGTGAGTAGACCCTTTTCCCTTGTATGTCTTAGTTGCTCGGAGCTAACATCTATACCCTTACGCAGTCTCCTTGTATTCCTTGGCGGCGCTGTGGCTCCTGTCGGATTGTCCCTACTCCGTCTGCTTCCCTGGCCCGTTAAGCTCCGAAGCAAATTCTACGCATACCTCATCGATCCACCTGTGTTTGGCAAACGTCATAACGTACCCGTCCTTGGCCTAGCTATGGTCCCTACCCGCGGCCAGGCGATATTTATCATCTACATTATCGTCATCAATACCGTCGCTGCTTTTGTGGGATATCCCCGCTATACGCCAAATTCTTGGTATCCTGATCGTTCCTATGAGCTTACTCGTCATATTGCCAACCGTCTGGGAATGTTATCTTTCGCCAATATCCCGCTTACTATTATTTACGGCGGCAGAAACAACATGCTGATGTGGCTTACCAACTGGTCACACTCAACATTTCTGCTTCTCCACCGCTGGGTGGCTTTTGCTTGTACTATGCAAGCCTGTATCCATTCCGCCATGTGGCTACACCTTATGGTCGCGCAGGACTCATATTTCCAGGCTGCTGCCATGCCTTATTGGTACTGGGGGATTATCGGAACCTTGTCTTTGAGCCTTCTGATTCCTTTGTCTATGCTACCGATCCGGGTCAATTGGTACGAGGTCTTCCTCATTGGCCATATTGCTCTAGCCATCACATCGATTGCAGGTGCATGGTATCACATCCTTTACCTCTATGATGGCTCGGATGGCTTTGATGTCTGGTTATTCGTGGCAATGGCTGTCTGGGCCTTTGACAGATTGTTGCGCGTCGCCAGGATCAGCAAGCACGGGTTGAAGAGAGCATACGTCACTAAGGTTGATGATGAGTATATCCGCATCGATATCCCCGGTGTCGACTGCCGCGGGTACTGCTATGCCTATTTCCCAACCCTTTCATGGCGTATGTGGGAGAACCATCCTTTCTCAATTGCTGGTCTTAACGCCGGCGATCATGGTTTTTGTGCAGAGTCTTTGACTTCTACCTCGAACTCGAACTCTGACTGCGAAGGCTCAGCCGTGGTGGTTGACGCTGCTGCGAGAAAGGAGGCTGGCATTGTTACAACCAGAACTCGTTCCATTGCCACTCTGAACGAGAAGCAAGCCGGGATTACCATCTTCGTCCGTCCCCACAAGGGTCTCACCAAGCTTCTTGCTGGAAAAGCAGGTCTTGAAATCGGAATTCCTTGTCTCATCGAGGGCACTTACGGCCATGAGGGCAAGACTTATCTCCAGGGCACCGAAGGGAAATTTGCCCCTACCCCTGACTACCCGAATACGCTCTGTATTGCCGGCGGTGTTGGTGTCACAGCTCTTATTCCCGCTCTCCAAAGCTCACTCAGCCTGTATAAGCCCATCGGAAACACCAAGCTGTATTGGGGCATTCGCAATCGCGGCCTGGTTGATGCGATCGAGGGCATGATGTTAGGACAGGGTGATGGCACGAAGGCCAACTGGGGTCGCATTGAGCCTCATATTACGATCGGGTCGCGCATGAACGTACGACAAATCTTAGAAGAGGAGCTGGGAGAGGCTGGAGGCGCCGGGACTACGGTTATTGTTTGTGGACCCTTGGCTATGTGCGATGAGGTACGATATGCAGTCGCGGCGTTGGCTCGACATGGAGCCGTGGTGAGACTCATGGAGGAGTCTTTGGCGTGGTAGCGCATTAGACCTCGATAGCGAGCTAAAGAATTGAGCGTGAATTTGGTCAACATTGACAAGAATTTATGCAGGGGATGCAAACAGGTAGCAGCCAAACTCTGGCCGTAGGCGGACTCTAAGTATCGCGAGACTTGGAGCTGGCGGTGCGTCGAGTAATGCGGGCATTGCAAATGTATTCCCTCATTACATCCGACGGTCCGACCCAACAGGCAGGTAGAGCACGTTTTAACATTAACTTAATATCCCTGCTGAAATCAAGAGGCGCCCTCCCGCCATTGGTGGAAGTTTCTCAATCACTTCATCTCTACCCGAACCAATCCGACTGATCAAAGGAAAGATCGTCATCACGCCGTTAGATCGCATCGTTTTCGTGTAAATGGTAACATAGCAAGACTAGACTAGATTGAGTAGAAAATCCGCCTTTGCGATTGGCTTTGCGACCGAGAAGTTCCTGGCAGCATCCTGGTACTTTCGGCCAACAGCCCCGAAGCAGATGGACGCAATCGAGCAGGGGCCTTTGGGTTCCCTGGTATCTACTGTATATAATTACCAGCCCTGGAGAACAACATCTCGGTCAAACTCATTGCCCTTATCTGCTCTCAACTGCAATTTCTCACGTTTCTATAACGCCGGGTCATTCGAAAACAACATGAAGGGCCTCCTCTTTTACCCTCTTCTCCTGGCCTCATCAGCCATGGCAGAGAAGCTTCTTTATCAGAATACGTTCGACTCCAGCGATGCTGTTTCCGACTGGGTTCCCGAAGGTCCCGTCAACGCGACCATCAGCAACCACACTCTGGAGCTGAGCGGCGCGGGAGGAATCGACGACCATTTTGTTTTCTGGGTCCCAGAAGTCTTCCCCGATCGAATCCGGATCACGTGGGAATTTTCAGCCGTTAATGAACCTGGACTGGCCATGTTCTTTTTCGGCGCTGCATCAGTCGCAGGTGGCAGCATCTTCGACAAAGGCTTGGCACCGCGCAACGGCTCCTATCCTCAATACCACTCTGGCGACATTCGCACCTTGCATGCTTCCTACTTCCGTCGGCGATGGCCCGAGGAGCGAGCCTTTCATCTAGCCAATCTGCGCAAGTCTCCGGGTTTCCATCTCGTTTCGCAGGGTGCCGACCCGCTGCCTTCTGTCGTGGATGCCAACAGCGCTTTTTACAAGGTCGAGGTCGTCAAAGACAAGCGTGATGTTACCTTTTCAGTCAATGGCTTGCTTCTTTTCTCTTGGGAGGACGTTGACCGCTCAACTGGCCCTGTGGTTCGTGGAGGACGAATTGGTTTTCGACAAATGAACCCACTAGTTGCACGATACCGCAGCCTCCAGGTTTGGAAACTATAAACATTTTGCGGCTCTGTGTCAGGGAATGATTCAAAAGAAATGGCCATGAGTGACATTAGGAATAAATGATGGATATTTTGAGTAGCAGTAGGCTCGGTGAAGCTGTGCCTGTCCTGCGATGAAATCGAGTTTACCTTAGTTCTTGTACATAAATCAGGTCATGGAGATTCCTACGACTCAAAAATACGACCACTAAACTTGACATAGTGCAATCGAGATTTTCAATTGTGATGCAATGTCGAATGAATCTTGGCCAATGTGGCCGATCTACTATCTCGTCGTATCACCAGCCTTGTCACTCTCCCGGATACTATACGCGACCTCAAGGACATGCAGCGGCGTCCAATGACTTGAAAGTAGTGGAAGTAGAAGCCACAAGGAGGACACAGGTGAGCCCATCTCCGGCTGAGGACGGGCGATTGACCAGCTTGTTCAAATTTAACGGCAAAATGCCTTGATTTAGTTGAGGCTTCCAGCGTCCTCCCACCTGTCAAGTCAAGACATCCACCTTTCACGATGGAATCGGTATCGCCACCGCCCATTCCTAGGCTAGTCGACTCTTATTCTGATTCTGTTTCCATATCTCTAAACCAATCATAAGGTGAGATGGCCGAGCGGTCTAAGGCGCTGTGTTCAGGTTTGATTCAAACTAGCAACGATTCGCAGTCTCGAAAGGGGCCTGGGTTCGAATCCCAGTCTCATCAGGTTTATTTTTTTGCATCGTCAATGAATTAATTGGCGTATATATTTTTGCATGACGAAGAGAGGCAAGAATCAATAACTAATAATGACGCCGCGTAAATATACAATCTACCAAACCTCGGTACCGTCAGGCATACTTAGCTTAGCCAAGGTACTCGGCGCGGAAATGGTATGAATGGAGGTTTCCGCCCAACCTACAGCCCACACCAGCAGGCACTGGACTATGGATTTTTAATCCCTATTTTATGCTCGCTCTCTTTTTTTGCCCTTGTGAAATAAAATACTTCATTTCATCAGTTGTCGCAAGCCAGTCATTGACGGTCAGCACAGGCTAATCGCAGACACCTACTTACACCAAGACTCCGCGGTGTCCGAAACTCAGAACAAGGCGTCATTACAATTCCAGAAGCTACGCTAGGCGCTAAGGCTGTACCCGGGAGACTTTCCATCCCTGCTGAAACGTCATTTGCGCTCGGCAGTCTCGGTGCTTGGGCGTTGGTCAAATGCCGCAGGAAGTCCAACGTTTGAGGAAATGAGCCGCGGCTAGCTTGTCGCGTTCTGACTACCATACTTGGTACGGCTAATTGATGAGGTCAAAAGCAAAGTGCACGCTGCAGCCGAAGCCGCTGATATTACGCAGTAGCGTATAGAAATGCCTAAATGTGACATCGGCACTTACGGCGGGACAAGCGTTGTAGTAGCAAACTTCAACAAACGCCAGGGTGTATCCATGTCATTAATTAAACCTTCTTCCTGTCAACACCACAATTAGTTACCGCCAGCATGGGACACAACCTTTCGGGCGGAACTCAAAGGTCGGATGCTGCGGAGGGATTAAGGAATGTCCATCCGGCAGTCAAGGACGCCGTGGAACATATAGGGCAAAGCGCTCCCAGCTTCACTCCGCAGCTTCACCCTGCTCAGCAGCCAGCGTTCAGTTGCCTAACCCAAGTCACTCATTACCACATTCCTTTCTCTGCCCAGTTCTTACTATGAGGTTCTCCGACTTCACTCCCGCCCTTTGGGCCCTGTGGCTCTCGCAAGCCAGTGCCGGCTCCTGCAAGCCCAGCCCTGCCGCTCCTATCGACGTCGACGTGGCCGTCATTGGCGGCGGCTCCGGCGGTATCCATGCGGCAATCCAGCTCAAGGATGCCGGTGCCAAGGTTGTCGTTATCGAGAAGAAGTCCCAGATCGGAGGTCACGCCGAAACATACACCAACCCCGCGACTGGCATCCCGGCCAACATAGGCGTCGTCCTCTTCGAAAGCAGCGAGATTGTCAAGAAGTACTTTGCACGCCTGGGAGTTGCCACAGCCAACCAGAATCCTGCCACCCTCGTCTCGAATGCAAAGTCGTATGACTTCTCACTGGGCATTCCTATCCCGGCACAGAATGCCACTGCTGCGGCTGCCGCGCAGCAAGCTATTGGAGCTGCCATTCAGGCCTACTCTCAGAACGTCCTGTCCAAGTACGGGTGGGTGGACCAAGGATACTTCATCCCTGAGCCCGTACCTGAGGAGCTCACCATGCCTTTCGGGCAGTTTGCTCAAAAGTACGACTTCAGCGCCCTCCTGCCTGTCATCAGCCAGTTCAACTGGTACCCTGGCGACATCTCCACCATCCCCGCGATTTACGGCATCAAGGGTTTCGGTCCCGGTCTGCTGAGCAGCTTTACGAGCCAGTTCATCGTCTCTGCGTCTGGCGACACGCGAAGCCTGTACCATGCAGCCGCAGCCGAGTTGGGTGACAGTGTGCTCCTTGACTCAACCATTGTCTACGTCAAGCGTGACACGGGCAACTCGAAGACGTCTGGCGTCTCCCTGATTGTAAAGCAGCCCAACCAGCCGTCCAAGATCATCCGAGCTCGCAAGCTCCTCATTGCCATTCCCCCAACCTTGGAGAACGTCGGGTCCTTCGACCTGTCCAAGGCAGAGCGCAAGCTGTTCTCCAAGTTCTCTGCCCTCGGATACTGGGCCGGCGTTGCGGATATTCCTGGCATGGACGGGAGTCTCCAAAACGTTGGAGCCCTCACGCCGTACAACACGCCCGTCATTCCGGGAGATAACGGCTTCTTCACCACCGGATCTCCCAACCAGTTCCTGCTCGGCGTGGCCTTTGACAACACCCAATATACTGACGATGATGCTAAGGCCGTCGTGCGTAAGGAGCTGGCCACCCTCGCCGCTGTTGGTGCAGTGCCGGCGGACGCAGCGCAGAAGGTTACCTTCCCGTACACCTCGAACCACGCGCCTTACAACGTCCGTGTGTCGGGTAAGGATATTGGTGCGGGCTTCTATCGCGAGTTTCTGGGTCTGGAGGGCTCGCGCAACACTTACTGGACCGGCGCCGCGTTCGCTGGTCACAACAGTGGATTGATCTGGACGTGGAACGAGGGCACCGTGGTGCCCGCCTTGAAGAAGGGTCTCGGCCTTTGAGTCCCTCAATCTAATTTTTGATACATTTAGATGATGGTTGCCAATCGTCAGCGTCTTCTGTTACAGAGTAAAGATGTCACAATCGGCAGAACCGTCCCCCCTTTCGTTTCACCAACCCGTCTGGATCACACTGAACAAGAGCGTAACGACGCTGCTAGAGCATATCCCTTAGTATATAAGAAACGATTCATACCTCAGATGCTCAACGGTCCTCAATTATCAACACCCTTGTTACACTTAAACCAGACCTACTTAATCTGTTTAGAATGTTGAAGAATTCAATTAGCTGATGACCATAATACATAAAATGAATGCAATGTTTCCTTTCCCCTTAAATTAAATACAGACTCCACATACGCAATTTTATCCTTGGTGTAAGGTTTGGTAGACCCTGGAAGCCGAATCATCGGCGCCCGGTTAAGATGACATTCGGGGGTTTTGGAACTTTATATCTCGTATTCCATATCGTGAGGTCGAGGCATGACTCCATATGAAATAGCTAGAGACGTAGGGAATGTGTATTTAACCGCATTCCTCACCTTCCGTCTGTACTGATGTTCTTCACATTTATCCAGCCTATCAACTCTAGTCCTGACCGGATCCCCTCAGCTTATCAAATCTTTCAAAATGAAGTTCATCGCTCTCTTGGCCCTGTTCGCCAGTGCACGATGTGCAATCATTCCGGCTGGAAATACTGCACCCGAGTCCGGTTCCAATCTTGAGAAACGAGCCTCTTGCAATGTCTGTGTGTAAGTTGGCCAGAGCGATAGCTTCCAATCGAGAGCGTGGAGCACTAACTTGTCTCCGAAAGTACAACCGTACAGGGTTCATCAACAACAGTATGGGGCCGTGAAATTCCATATGACCAAGGTGGCCTCACCTCGCGAGGTATCTACGTTGGCTGTGACGCTCATATCGATCGCAAACGAACAACAAACTGTGCGCAGTGGAGTGTTTGGACGTCTGGAACTTGTGGGACGGTTACAAAGCACCAAACATGTTAATGGTGACGGCTGGTACAGGTCAACCTTTTCTTTCTCTCTTCCTGGATGCTACGGTAGATGTAGCTCATAATCACCACTTAATTCAATAGATATTAGATACAATAAAGACTGCCTACACTGCAAATCTTGCGTCCATCTCAATAACGGACAGTCCCGTAAATAGCCGAGCAAAATGCGGACCGGTGATTTGTGGCGTTCATCCGCGTCGAGTCCATCACCGGTTTCTGTCAGGTCCGTCTCATTGCGACCCCGAGAAAGACGCGTCGCTGATTGGTCGGGTGCGGGCATTCAAATATGTTTGGGGTGACGGTGGAGGACGTATGCATTTCTGTCAAGTCGCAGCTGCCAGATAGGGCAACTCTCTGATGCTGTGACAGGATCACAGTCCTAGTACTTGATCTCTGCCCTGACAATGGTTCAGTCTTCCTTCGATAACGATTTAGACTGTGCTGATGCTAGGTTTTGAGAAATGCACCAATTGCACCAATGGAATCTTCGTGTGTTAGAAAGTAGGCTCGCTTCTGCCCCTTGGAATAATAGTTCAGGGCAATGTTGAGCGTCTGTATCGTCTGATGATGGCCTCGAATGAACGGCCCTCCAAAGTAGACGTCTGTGATGTTATGGAGTTCAGAGTGGAGATTTGAGAGCTGGCCAATGTTGTTGAAGATGGCGAAAACCAACGAACGGCAGACATCTGCCTCTGGGATGTTATGGGCATCAGATAAAGACTGGTTGGGGTTGGTCTCTGACTCAACTCCTCCGCTCGGGTTGTGTTCAGGTTCCTCTACACGTCGCATGTTGAACACCTTTCCAAATGAAGATGCAATGGCCGTCTTTTTCATGCCAATTCCGTTGTAGTCTGTGCCGTATATGTCTCCGATGAGCTTGTCGACCTTTGCATTATCTCCCTGCTCAGCTCGGTCGAGCATTTCGTCGAAGCTAAGCGTGTTGGTAAGGATCGACAGCAGACCGGTAAGGGTCCCACCGCCGAGGGATGTTCCTCCGACTTGGTCGCATGTATTCTCATCGGATACTTTGAGAAAGGCCACTCCCGATCCAATGTTGACCAAAAGATAGGGATAGGGGGGAGGTCGAGATGGATCATACTTCCTAAAGGTGTCCTCGCAGTACCTGAACACTGTCTTCGGTACTTCGTTCATGAGGAATCCAACACCTGATTTCAGTTAGCATTTGAAAGAAAGGGCAGCTAGTAAAAACTAACCAGTTGCTTGGCAGTCGAACTCATCCTCGACGCGCAACGTGACACCTGGTATGCCGTGGAGTCTAGGTTGAAACTCCAATGCGCGCTTTCCAACCACTGCAATAGTGACGGCTGGGGACTGAGCATTTTTGTGAAGTCGCTGCTTCTCGACAAACTTCTTTATAAACTCAAGACACTCATCAACATGGGCCGCGTCGAAGCTTGCAAAGGTGAGATGGGCAGATGCATCGTTTGGAGTGGAGCCACACTCGAGCCAAGCTAGCTTGATAGACGATATACCAATCTGTTATGAGGCAAGTCAGGATATGCATTAAGTACTTAACGGATTAGGACATGGACCGGATTCATACATCAATGCCCAAGCGCACAACGTCGGGGGCTGATTTAGCCAGCTGGGTTTGGCTGACATCGAGGGGCGACCCGTCCATCGCGGCCGGCTTTCCGTGCATTGTTTCTTGTCGAATGCACATGCAACGGGAATCAATCTAATGAAAGTAACAATGTGAAGTCTTCTGCTGTTGGTTTGAAAAAGACGCAGGAGGTTGAAAAGGAAATGACTGAAAGGGGACGTTGGTGGAGAATTACAAAAGCGGTCTGGCTTTCAATTGACCAATTACTCGCCGATCCGATGTCGGGGACATTCTAAAATGTCCGACGATGAACCAACGCATCCTGCACAACTCCAGAACAGGCATAAATTAATCCTCTTTTGGTGATATAACAGGCAAAACGGTCTTGCTCGGAGCCTGGCTTCGCTCGGATCTGGTAGTAATTGGCGTGGCTCAGGGCCCGGCGGATTGTCTCAAATCCAACTACCCTAGAGCCGCATTCCATGTAATAGCGGGGTACGATTGCGGGGTAAGTAACAAAGAGCTCAAAGTGCTATTGTGTACGGATTGATGCTGGAAGATGCCTTCGTGCCCTTAATTCCCGAGACAGCTGATTATGTACTGGAGCCTGAGCCAAATATCGTGTGAGCTGCCGAATACAAATCATCATTCTGTGTTCGATTAGTTTCTCGATTGACTTGTTGGGTACCCACCTAGACCTGTTGCACGAGATATCTGCAACTTCATGCCCTCCATTTCCGCGCTTTTACGCATGTCGCAGAGCAAAATCCTCACAATAGCATCGTTGATTTAAGTCTATATAGTGAATCGAATCATAGACGCACCTTAGGTTTCGAACTGTAGTTTGACATCCTCCCAGCCTTGTCTCCTCCTGACAGTGACTCCTGGGTCCATACCATCCCACAGCAGTTTCTTCATTCCGAGCCCAGGCAACGGGTCCTCCATCTTTGGTACCTGCACGCCTTCGAATTCGAACCCCAGTACCAGTCCGCTGAGGAAGCCAAGGATCTCCGCCTCTGCAAGATGTCTCCCAGGACACAGGACTTTGCCGCCCCCAAATGGGATCATGCTCTTGCGATAAGCGATCTTTTTGGATGGATTGTTGATCCACCTGCTGGGATCAAACTGCTCAGACCCCGGGCCCCAGACCTTTTCGTCCAGCTGCGTAACAGAACAAGACCATTGGACGTTGGTTCCCTTTGTGAGGAGATACTCCTTTCCTTCCACAGGGTCCTGTAATATCGTATCCCGCACCACACGTCGGTTGCCAGTGATATCATTGCATAGGCGGTTCGTCTCGTGAAAGCATGCCAAAAGAGCTGGGCATTCCTTCCGCAGCGCAGGTACGTTGATCGTTGCTGTACGACCCGCAGCGTTGTCAGTAATGACGGCGATAGCTTCTATCTCTTGGCGAATGCGCTTCGCCCACTCCGGTCGGGACAATGTATGGACAAAGATCCAAAACGTTGTCGGAATCGTGTTGGTGGTGGCTGCCCACGGTACTATAAGCTCCAGCCTGGAAATGGCTTCATCAGTGATGTTTATCCGACGCTGCAAAGAAGCTCGATCTCGGATGAGGGCCGACACATCTTCTCCCTTATCGTGTTGCGCAGCATAAAATGGCATAACAATCTCCTTGAGCCGCTGCCGAGCTACAAGAGCCCGTGGAGCAAGAATCTTGGGTGCGAGATTGAGTGCGAGAATAGCGACCTTCTTTTCGTAGTCCCTAAGTCAGAGAGCATTAGTTGCTGCTAGATAGGGAGGAGCGTATTTATCAAACACTTACTGCAGCTTGTGCATCCCTTCGACAGTCATAGGGTTCATTTCGCCATAGAGGGACTTCATGAGTGACCCAAACATCATATCCCGTATCCAAATGGAAACGTCGGGAATTTCGGTGGCTGTGTTGGGTGGTATGTCGTTCAATTGAGAAGCGAAGCACCCAAGCCCACTGCCCACCATCTTGTTGAGATTTTCCCCTATTAATGCGTCGTGAATGATATCGAAGAACTCTTGCCAGGTATCCGGCTGAGTATATTTGCGAGCCTGGTCTCCGGGTATTCCAAGCTGTGTTGCCACGATCAGACGAAGGTTTCTCTCAATAGTTCAGAATGGGGGAACAAACGCCATTGACTATGAATTCTAGCACGAATGGGTCGAATGAAAGGTCCTTGCTTCGCATAGCGGACGATATCAGGTTAGGGGAGTTGATGACGTAGAGCTTCCCGTTCAGCATCGGCAGCGTACAGATGGGCAGGGAGTTGTCTCTGTACAGGCGGCGATAAAGGCCAGTTCTTTCTCTAGCCATTGAGATTAGGTGGCCGATGACGGGAATCTTGGGCCTCAGTACCGGAGGCTCCCGGGGGTCAAACTTTGGGAAGACGAGTCTTTGAAGGAGGAAAAGCAGCGGTATCACGGCAATGGCCAGCAGAGTGAACCCCCCTGGAGCATACTGCCAAGCATGATTGCTCCATTGAAGGATTGAGCTTCCCATTTTGCAGTCCGGCACGTCGTTGATCAAGCGAGCGTGGTGGGGAGGGAGTTTCTTCGATGGGACAGATACGTTGTTGATGTTGTTGCTGATCGTCAGCTCTCGCGACAGAGACATCAATTTGGTGGCGCAGTGGAGTGCGAGTGGGCACCAATAATGACGAGCGATTCTCTGATTACGCTTCGACTAGCCTGGCTCGGCGAAATTGGTATCACAAGTGCACATATTTTATGCACATTTCATAAGATGTGATGGGACGTGGGAGGGATGGTTTGTCTAACTATCGGGTCTAACTATCGGATCCCATTTTTGTTTGAGTGCCTAACGGATTCCTGCCGCCAAGTACTGCACCCAACGGCATAGCCGAGAGCGAAGATGCTTGCTCAGACAACTGACGTATTCCATTTGCCCAGTGTCAACCACCGCTGCAGATCTAAGTGAAAACGTCTGCACCACAAGCCTGAACAAGATAGCCAGTAGTATCTGTGGTGGTCACCCCACCAGGCGTCGTGATGGACAAATAGCTCTGTGCAACAGAGCCACCATATGCCCACAGCCACGTCAGAGGAATGGCGTCTCCCTTGCTCAGAGTCACAGAGTAGGAGCCACCAAAATTGCCTGCTCCCGTCCTGCTTGCTTTGAAAGCCGTGTTATCGTCATTCCAATCGCTATACGCGACGTCGCCTACCCAGAGGTAGCCCCAGTTGTCGATGGCGTCGGCCAAGCTTGTGAGTGTGTACGTCCCCGTTTCTTTGGCGATGAAAAAGCCATTAAAAAGAAGCGCAGATTGGCTCGATTCAAAACTTTTCCTTCTATCGGCTAGGGTGAGGAGGGTTGAGCCGGTAGGCCACGAAGGGGTGGAAAAGATTAGAGACTGCAATACTCCACGAAATTCTGGGTTTTTTTTCTTGAAGAAGGTTGTGGTGAACCCGCTATTTGCCAGATATGCGTTGAAAGAGCTAGTGTACTTGCGATAGCTGATTCCATTGGAGGCGATTTCCGTAGCCACGACGTAGGCTGTGACTGCCTTGGTGGATACGGTGGATACTATCGCTGTTCGAGTGTTTCGTACGGTAACGACGGCTGTCTTCGTGCTTTAAATATGTATTAGGATAGTTAAGCGGTGATCTCCTCCCTGGATTTACTCACATTTTCACACTGGGACGAGAACTAAACGACAAGCAACCACATGCCTGAGAGATTTGAGCCGCGCCCCAGCTCTCTGGGATGTCCGAGGGCCTCAGGATGTCATTGCGTTTGTCCACGGCAGCAGTCGGCGGCTTAGCAGTGTAAGCGCTACCGAGGCAGGTAAGTGTAGAGGTCGAAGCGGTCAATGTAATGGTGCTCGTCACTACCTGTAGATGTGGCGGAATTGGTAGTGTTCAGTGAACAGATTGTAGCTCCGTACCTTAACCTCCGTCTTTGTGACGTGGTCGACGTTTGTGAACTTTTCGGTCACAATAGCGGTCCTAAAATAAAATGATGAGCCGAAATCAAGTTGCGAGATGTTATTACGGGGCGCACCTGGTCTCCTCTGGGAGTAAGAGATAGGGTGCGCAAACAGAGCTGCACCAACATCTAGCCTCAGCTTGCCGATGACAACTGAATTGGTGATGCAGAATTCCCTGTCCGGGGCAGCGGAAATTGCCAAAGGCAGGAAGAAGAAAATCGAAAGTGGTAGATGCATTGTTGGTAACTGATGGTGAATCTTGCAATTGATGAAGTGATAGAAGTGTTCAAATTCTTCGCTCGGATCGAAGTAGATATTTATACTTCTCCCATGGGGTAGCGTTTCTACCATGCTATTAAAATAACGAATGGAAGTATCAAGGCCAGTGCACTATCACACGTCAGAGTTTGACGTGTTGGCTGCACAGGGAATAAGCAGCCACTTGTCTCAGCGGAATGTATAGGCCTTTTCATATTTAGGCGAGAACCATGCACTTCTAGACTCGCCTATTCAACGCATCAGTAAGAACTAGGCGATATCAAGAGTATATGGTCTCAGAAGATGCCGCAGAAGGAACTACCAGAGGGGAAATATGCAACCGCAATGGGATCACGGGATTTCTTGAAACACCCACAGTGGGACAAAGAGCCGACAACAATAGGGACGACTACCCTTAAGCAAGTGTGTAAGTTGAGAGTGAAAGCAAGTGAAACATAACTTGGTGTGGCTGCACTTGTATTATGAATTGAGGTATGGGATTTGCCTCGTAGCCGAGTCTCTCGAGTCGTCTTGAAACAGGGTACCAACAGCTCCCATGCTCCCCTGAGCTTTGAGACTGCGCTGAATGGATGCTGTCACAGAAGACCGACCTTGGGAGGGAGCCCGCCAGAAACTGTTCCACCCCTTGTTGTTGAGCTGTCACATGGATTGTTGAGTTCTTATCTTAACCTCCGTAATTTGTTGATCACCAACGGAGGGCATGTACTTTAGGACGATAGTGCGATACAAAGAAATGTTAAGCGACAGCCGACATATTTCAGCTTACACGGTGATGGCAGACCAAGACATGCCCAACAACCAACCAACGGCTGCTCCGCCAGTCTCAATATCTTCTAACGGTGTTGAAATATCTCGGTGCGGTCTTTGACATTAAATAGTCAGCAAATAATTGAAGCGGAAGCCACATCAAAAAGGGGGGACACCCATCTCGTATGTTAAAGCAATAGAGACAAACACTTAGTGTCACACCCAGCACGTTAAGAGACAGTAGCTGAAGAGTGAGATTGTTGCACACTGATCTTTGAAATTTGACTTAGGCTTCAATTCAACCGTTCTGACTTCAACCCTGCTGTCTGTAGTTAAAAATCTTGCTGTTTGTAGGTAATAACCGTGAGATAAAGGATGATTCTAAAAGTTATTCCTTAATATAATTACTTAGTAGAGGTAGAGTGATAGAAAACGCTATTAGTAAATTAATAAAAAGTTGAATACTAGCAGTCTTCTTTTAGTCCTTCATCAAAACTTATGTTTGATCAAATTACTTCGTTCACTGAGTCAAGGTGTGAGGTGGTCTTAATATATTCAACTTGTTCACCTAATTTGACACAAAAAAGCCCTAGATTCTTCCACGTTCCAAAAACCTGTTGGGGATATCTACCAACTTGCATCGCAGATACTCCGCCATATTTTTTCCAAGCACATCGTAAGTTGAACTGGACGCGACACCACGATCCAGGTGATCTTTGAGAAGGAAATGAACAGCTAAGAAGATGTTAGTACCGCCAATTAAATATATGTCTTCTTTGACAGTGTAAACATACCTGAGATGTTTGACAGTTCGAAGCGGAACACGGGTTTCCCGGTATCGTCTTCACCTAGCAACTCCCGTATCTTCTCGACGGTCAAGAGGCTTCGGAGCCAGTCCCATTCATCAGCATGGCGAACAAAGAAGCCGACGTTGCAATCCGAACCCTTGTCGCCTGATCGAGCGTGGACGATGTATCCTAGTGGTGCTCTTGTAGTAGGTCCTAGTGTCGATAAATCAATTGGATTTGACGTCTCGTATGTTTCTTGCTCGTATAGAAAGTCTTCTGTGTCCTTAGGAGCAGGAATAGAAACTTCTATGCCTTTGGCAGGAAGATAACAGACATGTTTTACCACACTCTGCGGCAAAAGAGCGACCCAGTATTCATAGTATGGTTTCGGGATAGATTGTCGAGCATCAACCGCAAACGTAGCCCCTGGATAGGTCTGCATGATCGTATCCGTCACGGGACGGAAGAACCTAGCTGTCGAAAGATCCGCTTCATTTTTCGCCTGAGCAAAGATTCGAAGATCAACAGTGGCCGCATCCTGGCTTTTCGGGTCCTCTGGACATCGGCCATTTGTGCGGAACTTCAGGCAGTGGAACGAAGATTCGTCAAGGCCTGCTCGTACCTGCAGCTCCAAGAACCGGGCTTTCTCTTCGATGTCAAGTCCACATAGGAAGTAGTGAGCTTCAGCTTGGAAGCCTCCCTTTGCCGTGATACCAACCTTGGTAGTTGGTGGAGGCCTCAAGTAACCGACATTGGTGATGAGCCTAGGCTTATTGTTAGTAACTAACTGACGAAATACAGCAGGGGTAACTTACACTCGATCTTTTCCTGCTGGCTCAATCTTGATGCGATCGAGTCGAGCCACCACGTCGGAGTGATAATATAGTGGCCCCTGAATTTCGTACAACAGCTGGGCTTTGCAAGTATCAACAGTGACCATTCCATCGCGGCCCTGCTGCATAGTGACATAGAAGTCGCCAGTAGACAGCATCTCGATGATTGGAAACCCCAGGTCTAGTGATTGACCCGGAAGGCTCTTGAAACCAGAAAAGTTGCCTCCAGTCACATATGTTGAGCATTCGATGAAGTGACCAGCCACAAAAGCAGATGCCAGTTGTTTCAAATCACTGCGGTTCCAGCCATAGTGATAAGCGGCACAGCCTATAATCGAGGATGCGTCTGCGACACGGCCACAAAGGACAATGTCGGCGCCTTGTTTGAAGGCTTCCACAATTCCCCAGCAACCGAGGTAACATTGGGCATAGATTGGATCAAACTCCCAATCAGACAATTGCTTCCCTTTTAAAGTCAATACATGTGCACACGAACTGGACTTATATAAAGCTTACCGTTAGTCAGGCTCTTGAATCCATCCCCCTGGGCCCTGGCTGTTTGGACCGCATCCATCACTTCATCCCCTCCGACCCACGCGACCTGGAGATTCAATCCAGCGGATTTGATTTTATCAACAACGATGTTATACAACTTCTGAGTGTCGCTCCCACCGGCATTGACGGCAACCTTGATCTTTCTTGACTCAAGATGTGGCAAAGCCGGCTCAAGAGCTTCTAGGAAAGAAGTCTCAAACTCATCGGATGCCCCCTCGCTGTTCACTTTTCCTCCCGCTCTCATCGTCATGTTGTATTCCGACATCCAGTCCCCAACAATGAATTGGACGTTTTCATTCTTGGCCAAATCTGCGAATCCATGACGCCGGTCAGTGACCGATCCGGAAGCAGACGCTATTCGAAGCGTAGTGTCGTGTAGTGAGCCCATCGTGGTGAATGGAGGCAGGACCCGGAATCAGTAGAATAGTAGAGAGTTGTGATGAAGCGATAGCGACCGGTTTAATTTCCAATAGAGCACAATGATCCATGATTTGGACGATATCCATACTTAAGATAGATGGCGACGTAGGGTCAATCTTGACTACGCAGCCAGCATGGCATCCGGTGTAGGAACTGGACAGCAACTTAGTCATGCATGGCGTCTTGCTTCAGCTGGCTCGTTGCCACAGCCGGACAATTAAACGCTAATACTTTCTGGCTCGAAGTGGGCGGCATCGTTCATGCTTGATGCAATGAGTCATGCCATGTCTCCAACAAGGTAGCGGGAGAGTGGATGCGACTTAGTCATTTACCTTTACCTTCCAGGTCGCGCGAACCCTGGATTGACTCATGTGTAAGTGGTTGGCGGCAATTGAGATGATGAGCATGATTACCAATAGAGTGAAGTTGTCATGAGCCCTGTTTGGTCTAGAATGCGACATTATTCTGCATAGAAGTGCACAATATATTTCATACACTTGCACGTAAACCTGGACACTACTCGTCGAGTTTCCATAATCGTCATTTGCTCTCTATATTCACGTTTCTGAAAGAAACATCAAATTGTTTGCCACCATGGGTTCCCTGACGTCCGAAACAATGCTGGCTGCTCAGTACAACAAAGTAAGCTTAATAAATAACTGCATGTGTCTTGAATGGTGATGAGGCAAACGCTTACACACTTGTTTAGCATACCAACGAAATCGAAGTCAATAAAATTCCGATTCCCGTGTGCGGAGATAATGAAATTCTTATCAAGACTAGATGTGCATCGCTCTGTCATTCTGATTTGGTACGCAATCCATCATCAATCACTTACCCTGCCATGTTATTATTAACCCTTGACGTATAGATGCTGTTCTGGGGCCACACTGCAGAGGTCCCTCCGACCGATCGAATAACCATTGGCCACGAAAACACCGGTCATGTGGTGGCCCACGGGAAAGATGTCAAGAACTTCAAGATTGGTGACCCAGTGGGCTGCCTTGGTTGCAGCTACGCTTGCTGTAAGGAATCTATTCGTTCTTATACTAGTCCTGTGGACCTCAAGCTGACTTGGATAGATGAGTGTGAAGGATGCCAAGTCCACAATCTGTTCTGTGAAAAAGGAACTGGCAGGATGCATGGTTTCTCCTGTCCAGGACATTTTGCAGAGTACTCGCTCGCCGATAGTCGGAACGCGATGGTCTTGCCAGACGGCATGGATATGGTGACAGCAGCACCACTATTCTGCGCCGGCATTACTGGTAAGCCAAACTGGACTGTGCCCGGAGCACGGCATCGCCAGATTCTCAAAGTTCCTGCTGGAACTTCAATTGACTGTTGTGCTGACCTATTTCAGCATACCATGCTGTCAGGGGTTGCGAGCTGCAGGAGGGCGAGTGGATTTCCATCATTGGATGTGGTGGCCTTGGACATCTTGGTAATTACGCCATCTGGCCATCTGCTCCTCAGCCATTCTCTTGCCTACTAACATTTTATCCGAAGCAATCCAGTACGCTAAAGCCATGGGGCTGAAAACTATTGGACTCGACATCTCAAATTCGCAGCTCGACGCAGTCAAGGCCCTCGGTGCAGACCTTGTTATCAACACGATGGAGAATCCGAATTACGAGAGCATCGTCAAGAAGGCCACTAATGGTGGCTGCCACGCTGCTGCTGTTTTCAGTGCATCTAACGCTGCTTACGAGAGTGCTCCAAAGACGCTGCGGTAAGTGCTCGAGAATATTCGGTCCACGCTATGTGTACACCGGCCAAGCTGACTTTGACAAATTCAGGACGAATGGCCTTCTGATGGTTGCGGGTATCCCCCAGAAGCCGCTGTCTATAAATGCGTTGGACATTTTGCTGGGAAAGTATCGCATTGCTGGTAGAAGCAGTGGCGTCCCCCAGAACATGGCAGAGGCAATTGCCTTCAGCCACGAGCATGGCATCAAGGCACACATCACTACGTTCAATGATATCCACGATATCCATAAACTAATAGAGTTGATGGACTCTGGGAAGACCGCAGGGCGATTTGGTATTGTTCTAGGAGAATAGAGACATGATTTGGTAGCATAATTCAGTCACATTACAGTCCTGTACAGCCCAATCTCTACAATCTGACAGATTATGGACGTCAACGTAACCTGCCGTCAGTGAAGTGAGTTAAGGTTGATTTGGGTATTAATATTTAGAGAAACCACGAAATCAACGGCGAGTAGACCATTCGGGCATGGAAAAGGCATCAGCTCTTTCCGCATTCTGACAGTCGGCTAACTGGCGAGACTAAAAGAGAAGTGCACATTCCAGCAGGGCGAGTTGAAATTAGAAGATGTAGAGATTTCTAAAAGTGACACACTCGTTGGAGTTGGCGCACAGTTCGTTCGTCCACGAAGCAATGAACTCGACTCGATTCCCTCCGATCCCCCGTGTTTCCCCACGGAGGACTTCCACCCAGAAAAACCGGCTAGCCTCCACAATGGCTCGGCCACGGAACTGTGGCATTCCCGAGGTCTGGGATTAGCCATGCCTAGAATCCGGAAAAGGCGGTGGAATGTTGGAGCTTGCGGGGGACAGGGAACCCAAGTTCAACGCAACCCTACCGTAGATGATGCTTTACTCCACTGTTATGTGCCATCCCTTGACCCAAGCCATTGGCGTTGCGTCATCACCAAGGGACTATCCCCGCCACATCCCAAGGCCAGCTCTAGGGGCTCATTACTCAGTCGATAGCGGTGGTAACTGCGGGGAAGCTTGGCAACGCAATGAGTCAGGTAGGAAGTCTGCTATCCAAGACGCGCTGAGACGAAGCTAAAGCTTAATGCTTACACGGGGTTAAACTTGAAAGAGCTAGGCTGGTGGCATGGGTGCGATCCAAATGCTGGGGTGCATGATTATTTCCGAGTATGCATTGATTGCACTGCATCGCAAAATATATTTAACTGTTTTGGAACGGAGATAGTCATCGTCTGTTTCTCAGATATCTGGCAACCAGTACCTCTCTTAACTGATCCTCTCTAGTGGCATTCTGACAACGTCAAGTCACGCTCACCATGGCCGACAAGCTCCGCGGCAAGCGGCTGAATTTTGCCATCACGTTCAGTGCTGGTAGTTCGTACCTTCTCTTTGGTTATGATCAGGTATGTTCTCGTGATTGTGAGTATGCGTTACTTTCACTAACTCAAGTCACTTGTAGGGTGTTCTTGGTGGGCTTGTAACCCAACCGAGTTTCCTCGATGCCATCGGAAATCCAAGCCCAAGCTTCCTCGGCCTTATTGTTGCCTTGTACAATATTGGTTGCTTAGCGGGTTGCTTTGTGGCCGCTGGTTTTGGTGGCAAACTTGGTCGAAAAAGAACCATTATCTGGGGCTGTTCAATCATGGTGGTTGGCGGAATAATTCAAGCTGCCACGTACGGATCTGCTCAGCTCATTGTTGGGAGGTTGATTTCCGGTGTTGGTAATGGTATTTTACCCAGATCTATTGACTAGTGGTCACTTGTGCGCCTACACGGTAACTGACAAGCCTCAGGTATGATCACATCTACCGTTCCAGTCTACGTGTCCGAGTGCTCCAAAGCGACCAGTCGAGGGAGATCTGTTGCAAAACAGCTTTCTATTGTCATTGTGAGTTCACGCATGATGTATGACAAGAACGGCTCTAATTATGTCGCAGTTCGGCACTGTCGTAGCTTATTGGCTAGATTACGGCACAATCAAGCACCTAACTGGAGAGGTAATAAATACGTCTGGCATCGGGAGATGGGACCCATGCTGATATCCTTTAGGTTGTTTGGAGATTCCCGATTGCGTTCCAGAATGTGTTTGCGCTGGTCACGCTGGTCACGCTTCCGTTCTTGCCAGAGACACCAAGGTGCGTTAGTACAAAGTTTTCGACAGTTGTTGTGTTGACAATAATTTCAGGTGGCTTTATTCCCACGGCTACAAAAAAGAAGCTATCAACGTGTTAGCGAGGCTGCAAGATTGCAGCGAAGACGACCCTGGTATTTGTCAGATCGAACGTGATATGGAAACCGCATTGAGGCTGGAGCAGGAGTCAAACAAGTTCTCTATCAGGGATCTGCTCAACGACAAGACTCCAGTCAAAAACACAAGGCGCCTGGTATTGTGTTTCCTCATCCAGTTCTGGCAACAGTTCACCGGCATCAACGTCATTGCTTTTTACGTCACGATCGTGCTCGAAGTAAACGTGGGACTGTCGAGAGAAACAAGCAGCTTGGTCGCAGGTTGCATTCAAATCGCCTTTTGGCTGGGCACGTTCCCTCCGATGTACTTGTTAGACAAGGTTGGCCGACGACCTATGCTTCTGCTCGGCTCTGTCGCACTCCTGGTTTCCATGGCCATGTTTACCGCAGGAATCGCTGTGGATACACCGGCAACGGCTAATATGGCCTTGGCGATGTTGTTTGTTTACGAGATTTCTTTCGGCATGTCCTGGAATAGTATTCCTTGGCTCTACGCGGCAGAAATCACACCCCTCGAACTGCGTCATATTGGATCTGCCGTTGCTACCTTTTCTGAATGGCTATGGACATTTGTTAGTCCCCTCACACTACCCAACACCTGTTTCACGCTGACAATCACCTTCTCTCCAAAAGGTCATAGCCCTGATCACACCCTACGCTATCAACACGGCGGGTTGGAAGTTTTATCTCCTATTCTGCATCATGATAGTCTTGAACATTCCATTCACTTATTTCTTCTTTCCAGAGGTAAGTTCTTGACTGGCACTTGATTGCGGAAGGACGCATCACTGACATAAAGTTTAAGACCAGCGGTAAAACCCTGGAAGAGATTGACTACATTTTTGTCAAGGCTGGGGCGCGATTCGATGCTGAGACTGGGCTTCCTAACCCACAGGCAGAGGCGAAGGAGCCTGCCACAGAGGATGAAAGAATGTCAACCAAGCACGTCGAAGCGGCTTCCTCTTGATCTTCAGAAAAACTACGAGCATCGGGTGCCCAAATCGCATTCGATAGATGCTGACAAGCCGTCAAAATATATTGAGGAGCAAATGTTCGTTCTGGACTTCTTGGTGTTATTATGTATCAGGGCAAGCACGACTGTGTGGCCTGTTGGGATTTTTTATAAACTGAGGTGCAGCTAAACTGCCTCAATTCACTAAGCTCCTTTTGCCCTGTGCATTATCAGAGACTATAATGTGTGACCATGACGACCCTGTCCCAATATCCAATAACTGCACGCCATAATTATAGATAATTCGGGGATGACTTCAATATCCTAAATACGTATGGGACAAGCTAGTGCATTGAAAAGGATTTCCACTGATGTTTCTCACTGAGAAAGATAGCTCGAACTCTGTCAGAGTCTGTAGGTGAAACTATGGTACAATTGGTAACACTACGAGGCCACACGTATGCTTACAATTGTTTAGGTTTTCTCTTTCAATTCGTGGTCAAAAATGCACAGGGGCATGTACATTAGCAACGCTCCGCGATACTCTGAAAAACCTTCCCCATCCGAAGCCCTTGAATCGTGACAGTTCGAGCGGTCTCTCTTCCTTCCTGATTTGGTTCTTATACATCCATTCATATTCCCGTCCCACGTTTAATCATCACAAAACTTGGCCTCCTCGTCACGGAAGCAGTTTCAACCATGTCCCCACCTAGATCAGTTTACTCCATACACTCTATCGCCGGTATCATTGAAGGAAATCGTGTCTGGAACTCGGAAGAGACAGTCCAGTTTTTGAGGTTTCGAACGTGTTTCTCGAAAATAGAATGCAATATTCTGTCGTTTCCAACGTCAGAGACGGCATCTAGACTGTCAAAATTCCAGTTCACCGTGACGTTCTGAGAGTAATACTCGGAGAAGAGCTCAAAGGGATATTCCTCGGGGTTTTCGATTAATATGTCCCGGACACCAGGCCTGGTTAATTGTCAATAATGAGCCTTTTTTCTTTTGTGGGACCTTCTTACCAGGGAATATTGTCAATCCACATGGCATGAGGCACCGTAACCTGTGTTAAAGTAGGCCGTAGCCACTTTGGCATGGCAAGATAATTTTCTTTGACGGGGTATATTTGCCACTGTCTCTGTTAGTCTTGAAAATACACATGAACTCGATGGGCCACATGTTGTTCCATTGGGGAATCAAGCCAGTAATCAAGGAAACAGGCAACGTACCCTCATAGTGTGGCACATTAGGAAAAAGAAGGCAAATTTCTCCGTCTGGTGGACGTATGGAAAAGTAGACAGCACTTCTGACATCATCCGGCTGAGTGGGTGAACTGAATCGGCCAGTGTGGTGTCGATAAGAGCTTTCACCGTTGGTTTCTGTGCCCCAAGGACGGTTTCATATGCCGTACCACCAGCAAGCATTTCTCTGCGGGTGGTGAGAAAATCCAGCAATATCCGGTCCAAGGGACACGTGCAGGGCGAGTGAGAGGGAAGAATGGTGTGAGCTGCAGTCGGAGTGGCATAATGGTGCGTGTCGACGACCATGGTACTGGATGGAGTTGGAACCGTGCCAAAGGGGTCGGCATGAGACATAGCAACAGTGCTGTGAGTAACCGGTGACGTGGTAATCGAGCAGTGGGTGGCTGGTGAAATGGTTTGGAGAGAGTAGCTTGCCAACGGACTGTCGTTGCTCATGTTTCCCGATGCGGCCTGCGCGACGCTGTACGAGGTGTGTTGGTCGAGCACTGCATGGTCATCGGACGGGTGATCTACATCCGAGAGCAAATGTTCGTCTGCAAGCGTTGGAGAAGGCTGGGTTAAGGGTTCATCCGTCGTATGCTGGTCCTCTTGATGCTGATCTAGCCGAGAGAGGGGTGGAGAGGGTATAACGTGCTGTTCAATCGGCGGTTGGGGTTCGTGTTCTTGTTGCGGGCCTCCGTCACTCTCTGCCAGAAGCTGTTAGCAGTTTAAACATGACAGGGGAGAATTCGCCTACCGGAGTCCTCAGATGGGCGAGCAACCTGACGGGAGTGACTCAATGCGGTCGAGACCAGTTCGAGGATGGTTTCCAGATAATTTGTGAGGCTTTTGTTCTGCTCGCGCGCCGCCAGCAGCTCCTGTTCCCGGTGGTTAGCCGTCTCCTGCAGCTGCGAAAACTGCTGCTCGAGATTGACGATGCAGTCCTTTGTGCGCTGGCGAAAGGCACGCTGCGCCCGTCGATCGACATTGCGCTTGTGTTGGATCTGCTCCTCGGTCAGGTTCGAGATGGTCCTGGAGCGCTTCTTGGAGGGCCCCGAATGCCCTGATCGAGCATGGTCAGAGCCTGAGCCAGAGCCGTCCATGATGATGATGATGGAGAAATGTCCCGGCCGGTCTCGATAATGCGGAGTCGAGGTCACACTCTATCTACCCCTCAACTGCGAACGGACGGAGTAGGCTAAACCGGGATGGGCGAGATTAGGGCGGCCATCATTTCCGGGGAGTTTGTGGAGAAGTGGAACCGAAGCGAGCGGGGAAGCAGAGTTGGGAATGCTCTTGGTGTGTTGGTTCTGGCTTCAAATAGCCAGTGGAGGCCTTGAATTACCATGACCTCGGTAAGTTGGATTTCAACATGGCAATGGAATATTTAAATGAGCGTGGCTTCGGCGGTGCGGATTGGAGAGAACTCCATGCATTGGATAACTGGACTACAGCATGGCAATGTAGGTCTTGATTAGCATGACCTCGGCAGTGTGACTTGCGCAGAAGATACGCTCCCAGGGCTTGAACATGCTGGATTGCAACATGACGCCAGTTCGTAGGAGGGGAAAAGATAATGGATTGACCGTCTCAATTGGGTTGAGGCAGGGATGAACCCTTATGCCCGCAGGTACAACACTGCATTCTGATCTAGACTAGAGCGAGCTATAAGAACAGGCGCAAGACACGAACCTTTGGCAAGCTAGACACCTATGTAACATGGCATTTGCAGTGTACGTTCTAATAATTCAGATTGATCAAAACCGTCTTGGGCTCAGTATACGCCCTAAGCGCATGCTCCCCCATCTCCCTCCCGAGCCCACTCTCCTTGGTGCCTCCAAACGGGCAAGAGAAACTGATGGTGCTGACACAGTTGATCCCTACGACTCCCGAGTCAAAGGCCGAACTCAGCCGGAGCGCGCGGCTGATGTCTTGGGTGAAGACACCTGCCATGAGACCGTATTTGCTGTCGTTAGAGCGGCGAGTGATTTCCTCCTCGGTATCAAATTTGTTGATGACCACCACGGGCCCGAATATCTCGTCCTTGTAGATTGTCGCACTGTCTTTTGTATCCGTAAAGATTGTCGGCTCGATGTAGTAACCCTGTCATGGCCGTTAGCTTGAACCTCGACAGTTGCTTCATTTCGGGCCCTACCTTGGATCCAATGGCCTTTCCTCCAGAAAGCAATGAGCCTTGCTGCTCATCCTTGGCAGTAGTGATAATCTTCATAATCCTCTCGAACTGGGCCTTGTCCACGACTGGTCCGATCTCGGTGCCTGGTTGTTCGGGATCGCCAATCACACTCTCCTTCTCCTTGAAGGCCTTTGCATAGGCTTCCACGAATGCATCGTAAATGCCCGCCTGGACATATACTCTTGTTGCTGCAAAACAAATCTGTCCGCTATTGGTGAGTAGGGCATTGGTCGTCCTTGAACCACATGTCAGATGCGCCTCGCTTGTGATATATAGGGTCCATCAGGTGAAATGAGGAGGGTTTGCGTACCAATCGACGGCGTTCTTCAGATTCGCGTCATCAAACACCACGGCGGGACTCTTTCCGCCAAGCTCCAACGTCACCCTTTTAAGGTTGCTCTTGGCCGCAAGAACTTGCACAGTCTTTCCCGTTTCGATGCTTCCCGTAAAGCTCACCTTGCCAATCCTCATGTGCGAAGCAAGCGCAGCCCCCGTTGTCCCATCTCCGGTCAGAACCTGGAACACGCCTGGTGGAAAGCCGGCTTCGATGACCAATTTTCCAAGTTCTGCCGCCATCAACGGTGTTTTCTCGCTCGGTTTCAGGATAAATACGTTTCCGGTCGCGAGTGCCGGCGCTGCTTTAAGGCCCACGGACGCCAGCGGGCCGTTCCATGGGATGATGCTTCACTTTCAGTTAGCAAGCTGCTTCAATTATGGCAACGGGGGTGCATTGTTACCCAGCCACGACACCTATCGGCTCGTTTCTAACTATCTTGTAATAGCCGTCATCGGCGGGGAAGGTTTGGCCTGCGTATTTGTCGATCCAACCGGCATAATCTGGGCCGTGTTAGCTTCTGAAGACGCATCAACACGGTCAGTGTATATACGTACACCGAAAACAACCAATGGCTGTTCCTATTTCTGACTTTCCAAAGGGGAGATACGGTGCCCCCAATGTTAGTCGCGTCAGATAGCCAAGACGTTCTTGGTTGGCCTCGAGCAAGTCTGCGAACTTAAGGAGAATCTTCTGCCTCGTGGCGTTCGTCATCTTACGCCAAGGGGAGTCGAGACTAAAGGCCTCGTTCGCACAATTGACAGCTTCATCGATGTCTTCATGGCCGGCAACGGGGATTTGGTCGCTAACCAGGTCGCCGCTTGCTGGATTAAAGACGGACACTCTATATCCAACAGATTAGATGATTGATCCTTGACGGTACTGTTTAACATACTTTTTACTGCTTCGGCAGTCAACAAACTATCAAAGTCAGTACTAGACCTTTGTCCCCCAGAAGTGTTTACATCGTCGCACCTTGTTGTTGATAAACAATTGTGTAAGATGAGGTTCGAGCTCCATATTGGCATGTGTCGTATAATTAATACAGTGTAGCCACCCGTGAATTGTCAGCGCTCTGATTGAAGAAGATTATCACTATTCAGAGACAGGCAAGATATCTCTGGGAACATGGCTTTTTTGCACAAAGCCTGATAAGAAGACGCATCGAGCTGTACATGACGACAGGCACATCTCAGGGCAATCAAGTTCTCCACCACAGAGCACCCCCTTGGAGTTCCGAGTCATGTCCTGCATGCCTGCCAAGCAAGCTAGTGGCTAGCCTCGAAATAGCTCAAAATGACAAAGCATGGCATGACTCAGGAGCTTTCATGACCAAGTACAAACTAGCCTCACATGACATTAGTTGAGTTAGTCCAAACCTTGGGTACTGACTCATTCCAGCCATGGGTGATCCTTTGTCAATAGAGAATGGAGGCTGGTCATAGCACTACGATTGCCAATGTGCCTTCTCCGTCCCAACTTCCATCAGCAATGGGGGGTATTGCTTGCTTTGCGATCGACGAATTATTCTTTAGAATGACCGCAAACGGGATTAATGCTCAATCAAGTAGTGAAGGTGCAGGGCGGAGGGTGTAGGCCCGGGTCAATCCTGCGGGACTTGACACTACCCTAGACCACCAGATTCGTTGCTGTGCTCAATTTTGACGAAGAGACAATAGCACGGTAATAAACCAACCTTGCTACTCGTCCCATTTCTCATAGTCTAAAATTCGATGTTGATTGCTTTGCTTGATACAACTACAGGCTCTACATCCATCGTACCTTGCCCTAAAGCCTCGGCTTAAACGAAGTTCCCCGTACAATGACATTCCCTTCGGAAGATGATACTCGCAGCTTTCGTCGAAGGATCTTCCCAGACGCACTTTTGGGAATCTCCTTGACAATTTCAACTTCGACGATCCACTTGTGTCTTGCCTTCTTAGACTTGGTGAAATTGATCAAAGCCAGTCCTGCTTCCTCGGGAGATACGCTTGAGGGTTTAAGAACGACGTACGCCTTTGGTCTTTCACCAGCGCGATCATCAGGAATTCCGCAGACGGCTGCATCGCTGACGGATGGGTGGCCGAGAAGGAGGTTTTCCAGCTCGGCTGGTGCAACGCCTATTCCCTTGACCTTGATCATTTCCTTCATTCTGTCGGTGATAGACAGCATGCCCTCATTGTCGAATTTCCCAATGTCCCCAGTATGCAAGAATCCATCCTTGTCGAAAGTCTCAGAGGTTGCCTTTGGGTTTTCCAGGTAGCCCATTGCGACCTGTGGCCCACGCGCCCAAATTTCACCCTCCTCCTCAATCCCGCAGCTTGCTCCCGTCTCAGGGTGAACAATCTTTACCTCAGTTGACCCGACAATCGTCCCAACCCTGTCGGCATACTTGTAGTCATACATCGTCGGCGGGTGGGATGTTATAGCTGAGCAAGACTCTGTCATTCCATATCCTTGTTTAAAGCCAGTCCCCGGAAACTTCTTTTCCAACAGTGTCAAGATCTCCCGAGGAAGCGGAGCAGCTCCAGAGGAGAAGCGCTTCACATGTGACAGGTCGTATTTTGATACAGTTTTGCCATCTTGCACCATCCGAATCAGAATAGGTGGTACTATCAAGACTTCCTTAAGCTTGTGATCTGCCACTGTTTTGAGTAACTTATCGAGGGTGAAGTTCCGCAGTACATATACGTGGGCATTGAGTAAGATTGGAAGGTGAAGCTGATGTACGATGCCAGTAATGTGGTAAAATGGTAAGGCGGCGAGAATCTTGTCGTGGTCCGGGGGCGTGATTTGCTGAATTTGAAGACATTGGGCGATGACGTTGGCGTGAGATATCATGACAGCCTTTGGAAGACCGGTTGTGCCACTGCTAAAGCAGAGGTAGGCACATACATCGGCATTTGATTGACCCTGAGGAATCTGGTATGGCTTTTCTTGTGCCAATTCTCCCTTGGATTCTCCGAGTCGCAGCAACGCTGGGACATTTGTCGTGCCAGACTTCTCAGCGTCGATAATGATCACGTTGCTCTCTGGGATTCCGCAGGTAGCCGCAGCTGCGTTCGCCTTATCAGCCACTGCGGCCATTGTCAGGACAAACTTGGCTTTGCTCAAGCGCAGACTGAAGGAAAGTTCTTCAACAGTGTAGTCCGGGGATACGCCGCTGGCAATGGCGCCGACGCGGACAAGGGAGAGCATGGCAACCGGGTACCAAACTGAGTTACTGCCATAGACGATGGCCACATCGCCTGGGCGCAAACCGTACGATGTTACCAAGGCAGTTGAGAGGTATGTGGTATATCGCTTCAGATCCTGAAAGCTCACGTGTTGTTTTGTGTCAACATCTGTAAATCCTTGAATCTTGCCCCGTGAAAGCTTGGAAACATTGTTGTCTGAATCGAAGAGCCAGGACCACAATGATACCTGAGGGGGTACTATGGAACCGAATCAGTAGACGTTGCATTATCCCAGAGGCGTTACTTACGATCAATGGGTGGATTCTGCGACTGGAATATCATGATGCCGGTTGCCTTCTGAGAATAAGGATACGTTTCGCCTTGTGAGAAGATGTGTTGTCTCTGCCTGGGCAACAATTGATTGAAGCGCTTGGGTTTGATGAGATGATAAGCACACAACTTAACGATGGGAGACCAAGGTATTTGGTGATGACTAGCTCCCCACCATCTCCCCTCGGCAAGGGTGGCAAGGGTGCAGTAGCTTCCCCGAGGTACATGAAATCAGATTTATGGGGTTCTCGGAAATACAAGTGGCAGTGTGGCATTTGGCCAGAAATAGAACATGGCTTGAACTACCCTATGCCTGTATGATCCGTCAGAATACTCCCTATGAACTTAAGTTCGGTCTTTAGGGAGGAGCACAGTTCGACAATCCGGAAACCACCACGTTTGAAGAAAGAGTCTCGTAGAAACATATCACAATGTAGTTACTAGGGAGCTAGCCACGCGAACATAATCCCCCCCATAAAGCAGACTGTTCACATTCGCGTTTGTGAGGAGACGGAAATCCGCGAGTGGATACTGCGGGGAGTGTTCAATCCATCAATCCCGGCCCGAGGCACATTTGAACGCATGCGCATACCGCTTAGAATGTAAGTGCATGATGGATTTGATAGGTGGAGGAACTCAGCTAGCTTACGCCTAGTGCATGAATAATGGAGGATCCCCTCAATTGGCTTTGGTAGATGCGCCATATCACCAACGTTCTGCGTTGTCCAGTTATCATGTTGCGCCCTACCTCATATTTGCATTCCTGACTTGAGATACAGCTTCATGACAGACACGTTTACTTTATTTAACCAATCCGTAGACGGATATGTGATACTTGACTACATGAAGGCTCACAAGGTTATCCTCGGCGCGGAAAAATAGAAGGATGAGATGGTCAATTTTATTGATAAGTATGCCGCGACTACTCGCAAGCTGTAACATCTACAAACTCCTGAACAACATGTGGTACACTTCTCTCATTTCTCAAATCTCATGAGTTCTCTCTACCTTGACTCCATTCAAGTCTTTCACAAGCATTCCATCCATATACGTACCATCAACGAGATATTTTGCCGGTCTTCCTCTAATGGGAAGCTCATTCAAAAACCTCCAGCGGAGCTTTTGTTTCCAACCAGATGTGTACCAGTTATTTAAGTCTCCGGTCGGGAAGATCGGCAAGGCGTTGATTATCGAGGGGTCGTGCGCAATCAAGACGAGAACTCGATCACTTGCGTCGAGATCCGCAAGCTTTTCAATGCTCTGGAGTGCCAGGGGCGGATCTACGTACCACGAGTCGGCGCGTGTACATGGTTTGTAGTAAGGCATTGTCCGCGCGTTATCGCGATCGGGATGGCAATCAGTGAAGGTAGAACAGATGTATGTTGGGATATGGTGACTCTGCTGCCCAATATCACTCGAGCTCAGTACTGGCGGCATAGGAACGTATTCGGTCGGCCTGAAAGCGCCACCGAAATGGCAGATGTCCCCTCCTAGGAACACAAATGTGTCCTTCGTTGTCCTCACCAGAGCCGATAGATGGCCGATTGCGTGGCCAGGTGAGTCTAAGATGTAAAGACTACCGTCGGAGAAATAATCATGTGCTCGAAATCCAGCGACAGTCAAGTCGTCCGAGAAGGTGATTTCAGAAATGCGTCGGCCCTGGAATGACTTTTCGAATAGGGGAGATGATTTTGTAGTTGGATAACCAGGCAAAAACTCATCCGAGAAACCAGGGCCGACTAGAAGCGCCATAGTTCGTGGGAAGGTGCTCGGATCTCCGATGTGGTCATAGTGGTGGTGGCTTATGATGGCAGCGTCAATGTTGTCCACGTCTATTCCACCATCTGTCAATATGTCGACCAGATTTTTGTCTACTCTGATTCCCGGGACTTTTGCGTCAATGACCTCGGATATTGGTGGGGGTAGGTTCCAAAAGTCCTTTCGACATCCCAGGTCGAAGAGGATCTGCTTGCCAAGAACCGAATGCGTAATTAAAAAGGCGAAAGTCGGGAAATTCATAAGCTCATGCCCGCGTATGACCGGCTCGACAAGTGTATCCGCGGGGACAGTGAGACTACACGTCGTATCGATGATAGAAAGTGAGCACGTGGTGCTTTGCTTGGGGATATCTAACGCCGGAGGCGCTACTGGTGTGATGTATTCGATCGACATTGTTTAAAAAGAAGTGGTTAGATTTGAAGCTTCCCGGGTCGATAGTTTCGTAAGGCGGCAACTGATTTCATATCTCCAAGCAACAGTTGTGAGATCATAGCCAGAGGAGACCTCATTACTCATGAAGAATGATACGTTATGGCCTGTCTAGTCTAGTGGCTATTTGGGGTTGTGGGCCATGCGGTGCTAGTAAGGCGGGCAAGGCATTGAGTGATGAGCATACCCCGGCGAACTCGGATTTAAATTCCGCGCCCATCGTTGTTCCACGACCCTACTGCCCTCATCGGGATTATTCTTTGGCCATGCGCAAACGAGTACAAACATCCTGTTCGAGCAAGAAATTATCACCTGTTGCCGCGGCTGAAGCTCGTCAGAGATTTCACATGGATGGGGAATGCGCAAAGCGGTGTACTCTAATTTGGTCAATACAAACAGTCACAGAAATATCGCCGTTCCACTTCATTGTCTTCAAAATGAATCCGAGAGTTTTTTACTCAGTTATATATGCCCCTGTATTGCTTCTACGGAAAGCACTCAGCACCTCTAAAACTCGTGATCCATATTTGGCCCGAGACCCATTTCCAGCGCAAAGTATAAAGACCGGTCATTCTCAATCCACCCAGTCAGGTTTTGAACTGACGTACACGATTTCCGTTCCTTTTTGAGAGCCATCCCGCTCTCTTGTCCAAACAATATAGGCATGAAACATCCAAGCCTGTTGAGTACCCCTCTGATCTCCAATGGAAAGTCTATCTCCTCCGGCAAACGATCCTGGCTCAGGCTTAGATCCATAGTTAGCGCTAACCTGAGGTAATAAGTTGGGTTGCTGGTAAGAACATCAGCCCGATCACCTTCAAAGTGTTGTCCCCATGAACGGCGGTTCGAATGAACGGGGTCCGAACTTGAGAACTGTGATTGATCAAGATAGGTGCATTCCATAAAATATCTGATCGTCTTGGAAACCCAGTCCGCACCTTCATATCTCGGATGGTACTCCTTCATGGCTTGGATAAGGAGATTCAATCTGCTCTGGCTTTCTGCTACTCGGAAAGTATGCCCAGATTTTGCGGAGGTGGAGCTCAACTTAACATCAAGCATGTACAACGCTAGCGGAAGCGCTGTGCAGCCAACAGCACTGCTGGGTAGCCAACAAGCTAGGCGGCGAGTGAGAAGTTGTTTGAGGCAACTAGTGATGCTCTTTGATGCGTCTAGTAGTTCATCGCGTGTCCTTTCAACAGACATGATGTGTTCCCAAGGGCTATGAAGCTTGGTGGTGTTGGATAGAACGGCAAAGTGAAATTCGTAGTTGCATAGTGCTATTCTGGCAGAACTGCATCGGACATTAATAACTGATTCCGCTTGGGTCAAATGGAAAGAGGGTCTTACTGATAATACATCCAGACAAGATTTGTATGGAGAACAACTGCATCTTTGTGAGAACTCGTCTCAGGATGAGACGCAGAATCGACGTCTGTGAAGCTGTCCAGCGTTTTCATGGTTGCAGTGAACCATTTTTTCAGGTTGGCCTTCTGCTCTTGAGTTCTCGCCAGCTTCTGCAATGATAAATTGTCATCAGAAAGGGGCAGATCCCTGATAGGGTACACCAGATCCAGTATATCCGTGAGACAGACACACAGCTCAGTCATCCGAGCCAATATGATCACAAGCGAGCGCTTAGTTTCGGCAGTGTAGACCCTTGACCTCCCAATCTCCCGTGAAAGATCCTCATAGCCAAGGGCGGGGTTGGACCTGAAATCGAAGTGGCTTTGCGTAATTTGGGTATTCCTTCGCACACAAAGAGGCATGATGCGATCACGAATGATACAGCACCACCAAATGCGCTTCAGTTGGTTCTGCCTCTGCTCATCTTGAGGTGACAAGGTGCCCAAGTCTTGAGCCATGGTTGCGTATTGATCGGCGTCGATGGCTTGGGCGTGTTTGATGGCGATGCTGAGCCATACGCTGTTGGGGCTCTTTGGACCACGGCTTGAAGCTGGGCACCAATATGTCAGAAGCAAAGCAGCTTGGGCTATAGACAAGGGGTCCGATTCGATTCCAAGATCATACAAAAGCTAAACGCGTACACTGTCAGTCACAATTTATTCATGCTTGTCGACCCTTAACAGGTCCCCGTAACCATAGTTTCCTTGTGAGGTGGTGTAGGCAAGGAGATACGTACCTTTGCCTTCCCGTAAAATGATTTTTTTACTTCTCGAATACTCGTGAAGCCCAACGAGCTGATACTCTCTTGGGATAAGAACTTTGCTTAGTGTCAGTTAAAGGGAAATATAAGTCCAAAGAAGTACATACAGTGCAGGAGGCGAAGAGCATTGCTCGAAGTAGAAGCAAAGAAAATTGAGGCTTTCCATCCAAATTACTTTCCACAGATTCTCCGTCGTAGCTTTCCCAAAATTCGCCTTCGTCCAGAAGCGGAAGCATTGGATGAATATGCAAGAAGTAGTGTTGAAGTAGTTCGTCGAGAATTGGCTTTATCGGAACCGATAGACAACCTTGCGACTCGAGCGAATTGAGGTCACTGCCCTTGATATTCTTCACTTCTAAATCCAGGTGGGCAATGAAGGAGAACGAAGAGAAAAGTGTTTCGGCTCCAGGAGATGTTGTTGATTTCGATGTCTCGGGTGTTTTGGAGCCTTGGTTCACGCAGTCCTCGGTCTGCGTTGGCCCCAGTGGACCCAAGTCTTGGCCAGGCGCATGTAACAGGTGAACGTCATCAAGGAATCCATTGTCCCAAGAAAGGTCTCGGAAATCGAGGTCGGGTTCGCGTAGGAAGCTCGATACATCCTGGGCGGTGTTGTTCTGGCTCAAATCCGGTTGTGCCAAGTCTGGAATGCATTTTGGAAGCTGGCATAAAATATGCTGTTGGTCGCCGTACGCGTTTTCATTCGTGACAGAACTCGTCGACACTTCACTCAGGCTCGCGTAGCTGCTGGTTTGTTAACTGAGTTCTATTCTCCTCTTCAGGGTAGTCTTACTACTCACGCGCCGTTTGGGGTAAGACACAGGGATGATCATCCAGACGACAATTTGTACAGGGTGGCGGTGTCCGGGTGACATCACATCGGACCTTTCTTTGACGACATTTGAGGCAAGCCTTCACAGCTCTTTTTCGAGATCCCACCTTCCGGATTTTCTTCGACGTGCCAGCTTCCATACTGTAACTGTTTGCTGGATTTTTCCCTTCATTTTCTGTTGTGTTTGACCGAGGCAGAGTTGATATTTTTCAACCATGCCGAGTTAAGTTTCGGAATTGCAATTCCGTCGTCATGCCTGAACTTTTAGGTAGTTATTGCCGACCCACACGACGGTAATAAAGCTTCCTTTGTAACAGGATTCAATGGCCTATCTTTGAATTTGGACATGGGGCAAGGGTGCGTAGCGGGAAAGCTTCCCGTCATGGCGGGATTGGTATGCCACGGAATTAGGAGTGGTCTTGAGTTAACCTGATCACAAACTCCCAGACAATCGACGAGTGAAGGAATTTGCATTTATGTGATAAAAAGCCGCTCCCCACCGTCAATACAGTGTATCTTTCAGATGTTCTTCCAATTCCGTCCACCTTTCACTGCTTAAAAATTGATGGAATAGTCTACGACGTGGAAGAAGACACTTAAAATCATCTAACAAATAGGCAATGCAAAGAAAGAACCCTCCTCAAAATGCATTTGCTTCTGCATTGCCCGATCACTAACCGGACAACAAAGTCTAACCCCCCTTCACGAGCATATAGGATCCTGAGGAGCCATGGGCAGTGTTAGGTGCGGCAAGGGAGGCGGGACTTCAGAGTATCCTTCAAGGTTTTGGGAAGGGGGGAGGAATGCCATGATTCATGACCTCCCTGCGGCTTTGACTGGCGAGGACATGACACAGTACCGGTTTGCCAAGCTTCATCTAAGTAGGTGTCACCTCACCGCCAGTTACTAGCGTTCAACTTCACTCAGAGAAAGATGATCGTCTACTTTGGAAGTGTACTTTTGATTTGTCACCAGAAATAGGAATCAGAAACGCCATAATCTCCCAAGGTGGTAGCAACCAAGTTCAATTCCGCTTCTGCTATGGTCTCTCTTCTTGTGATGTGTCTCCAAATGTCAGCATCACGCCAACTCCTGCTATAGCTCCAAGATAGATTACAGTTTTAACCATGGCCTGCCGTCACTGAGGCTAGTGATGACGAGGGTCATCTATCCCGGCCACCTTCATTAACTCCGAAACCCGTCGTATCGATCAGAAGCGATGCATTGAACACGTCATTCTCTCCTCCTAGACTGGCTGCATTGAGGGTACTTTGAATCGCATTTTCGCCTAGCATTTGAAAGTGTCTCAGTGAGGAATCCATCACGAACCCTGGCGTTTCCGGTAAATCCATAACGGACAGCGATGGGAATACCCCCCGCCGCTTCTGTCGATTGTCACTTTCATTCAAGTCGTAATGACCGCCACTGAAGCTGGGCCGTTTCTTGCCCAGTTTATAGCTGGATCTTACCGCAGCCAGCCGCTGCCATTCGCTTTTCACCAGGATGATAACCTCCAACGCTCTCGTTGCATTGCCGTACGATTGACCAATCTCGCCGAGGGTGTGACAGCAGAACTGCAAATCGCTGAGGGAGGTACGTGACTCGGAATAGCTTCGTGAACAAACATCGTAGATGAAAACCAACGATGCTGTAAAGATGATGTGCACGATCTGTATGTTCGACCGTCGAAGAGAGTGCTGTCTCTGATAACAGCGCAAGAGCTCGGTAATTCCGTGCGCTGCTGAGATACACCCACTGTCAGCCTCGAGAATGTGGGCTTGATCCTCTGTTGAGCTGAATATCTCATTGTAGCAAACCAGCTGACTGGATAAATACGGCCGGAAGAGAGAAATCAAGACTGCATAGTATTGCATGCTAGGGTATCGCTGTTAGAAATGCTGATCAAAAGTTTATTTGTGTAGGTCACGGCTCACTGGAGTTGTAAAACCGCCGGAACATAAATTATGTCTGCTCTCGACGGGTCCACTTGCAATGAAGTCGGAATGGTTTTGTGCCATGACATGAGTTCGTCTTTGGTGAGTTTCAGAAACTGTACAAGGCGGTCGATACTCATCACATGCCCCGAGTAGCTGTACAAAGTCCAATTAGTTAGGAAGGCCAATGAGTGATGACATGCCACATACAGATTCAAGTTGATCCGTCGCATAAACTCGCATAGAGTAATGTTCGCATCGGTGCAAGCTTCAAGAGGGAAAAAGATGCCATCCTCTGGTATTATTGATTGCCCCGCAGCTTTGGGGTACGGCCTCCACATCTTACTCTTCAACCCATCTAGATGGCTCATTGGACGCGGCGTGGTTATGTTTGGAACGCCGAAGCTCCAAGGCCGACCAACGTAAAGGCTCCACATACTAATATACGTCAGCATTTTGTCTTGATCCAAAGGAATTCCTGTGCGAACCTCTCATGAATGAACACACCCCAGAAGGTGGTTCGCCTGATGTTCAGATCGCGCTCGGTCAGAAGTGTGCTATTATTATGACTATGCGTGGTAGGATCTAGGTGAAGCCCGAGATCTGCACTGAGTCTTGCTGCCATTCCTAATCAAAGGAGTCAGTTGATGGCCGCAAATGCAAGATAGACAAATAGCTTACCACTGTAGAGCCAACCACGGGCATCACGGGTGAATGAAGCCTCCAAGGCACTCATTACCACAAGAGCCTGGACCGTGGCCACGGTTGGACTGTCCATTTCAATGTCAAGAAGGGTCTTGGCTCGTGCCGAAAAGAACTCGGGAGCAGGTTCTGGCACATTAAGTTGTTCACCAGCGCTCAGAATCGCCCCGATGGCGCAACTATTTTACGGTCAATATGGCTGATGACCTCCACCACTAGGCCCGAATCCAGTTGTAATACTCACATCGCGTTGTTCAACGTTTCTGAGTAGTATGGACTGTCCCTCTGTCCGGCGGTCCACTGGCGCTTCTCCATGAAAAATGTATCCTCGTCGATAACATGTATTGCCGGATCTTCCCAGGCGAAGTAGAGTCGAGCGAGTTGCTCTTCGAGCGAGGGTGGCACGTCATAGTCAAGACCTAGTCGCTTTAGAACCTCGCAGCCCTCCGTGGCAACATGACGAATTGTTGACTGTGACAGAGATCGGAAATCGCTTTGGTGGGCATGTAAATTGGACGTCGGCCCGTAGTAGCGAAGTTGTCCGTCCTCGGCTATTCGAAGGGAGCCCACACGAGCTGCTAGGAACTTTGTGATGTCGCTCTCGGCCTCCGAGTCGTCAATCTCGCTCTCAAAGTTGGGCGAAGGCTCTGAAAAGCGCGGGCTTTGGAATCTAGGTATGGGTGGTAGCATAAACTCGTGGAAGGATTGGTCCATGTCGAGGCTGAGAATAGCAGTGTCAAAAGTGTGGTGATGCAACCCGCAGATCGTGGACGAGTCCATATCAGGGAGTTCTAATCCAGGTGTGAGCCTCGTTGGAATAGTCGATTGCTCATGACTGGGCAAGATCCTTTCGGACATTGCAGTATCGGGTCGCGCCTCCACCACATTTTGGTCAGGTTGGTCGATATCGGCAAAGGTGCTCGAGCCTTCTGACATGCCACTGTCCACTTCTTGTTCCAACTCGGGAGATGTCGGATTGTGGGCTACCGGGCTCTTCCCCGAGGCAGCTGGAGGATCGGAAGGTAGTTGGATATTATGTTCTCGTAGGGTCTCTTGTAGCAGGGCAAGCTGCGCTCGTAGCTTTGAAGCGGCCTTCTTCGCGGAAGCCCTGTCCAGCCATCATTAGCAATTAATTACATCAACACCTGCGAACTTCTGACCACTTACTTTCGCAAATCAGCCTCGGCATTGTAGGTGCAAGTATGTTTCGACACGATGCAGTTGGAGCATGTCTCCTTTCCATCGCACTGCCAGGGGGACGGTCAGCTCTATTCGTACGGAAACAATACAATCATTAGTCGGACGGTGGGCCATATCACACCTTGATCTTACGCCGTCTACAATTCAGACAAGCGCTTGTGACATGTTTCTTCCCTCCCATGGTATCCGGGACTCAGTGGGTGCTCACTGAGTGATTGATACGCGTGGATTGAAAGAGTGGGTTTGGAGAAATAACGACTCGCAGGGTAAACGACGTTTCCGGGGTATTGACCATGTCATGTAACTATATCCACCCACATCTCCGCTATTAAAGGACATGACTAAGTTGTGGCGAACTTTGTGGGTCTCACTGGGGTTGGACCATCGTACATGACTGAGATATCTAGCGTGGAGTATTCACGCTTCCCCGCAGTTCCCCAGACGTTAGTCATGACATTAGACATGCTGTAGTTTCTATGACAGCGAGCATGGGGTCATCTCATTTTTGTTGCCTTTCCAACGATTCTAATTTAGTTTCATTACGTACATGCCTTGGAATCATCAGTCCTCAGCGTTCCGAGAATCAGACATGAGCTTTTGTGATTAAATTGACAGTAGAGTGTACTCATGAAGGCAACATAACAAACGTTTCATTGCTACGGGCAGGGCAATGAATCGTTTCTATCCTGGCCCGTGATTAGATAGTGTCTTGGGGCGGGGGTGCCCGTTCAGTCACAATTGTCGCTTAACGATGGCCGAGCCCAGATATTGGTCCTGTGGTACCTCTCATGGAATCGGATCCCAGGTTGGACACATCAGGAAGTTTCAATGTCCCTTATTTATACAAATAGTGACGGTTTTTTTTTTGGAGCATGGTGCATAGCTATGGGGGACATGAATGGAAAGATTTGCCACGTACGAAGTGTGCCTTATCTGCCGTACACATTTGACGCGGAATTACAATCCCGCTGGTCATTTGATCCTAGGCCCCGGTCTCCCGAGGTGCCAGGCAGGGACGGAAGTGAATTGCGTTGAATTGTTCCGATTTATGCTCATTAATGGGGAATTGTGATCTGATTCTTGAGCCAGTAGCATCTCATGTATTCCATACTCCCTGTATCGCTTCTTAAAGGCTTTACCATCTGAACGGATCATTTCTTGGGATAGGAAAAATTGACTTAGTTGCTCATCTTTTCTATTTTTCGGCAATCAATTAGCTCCTTTTAGCCCGATCCAACGCAATGACTAGTCCGAGTCTGATAATTATTGGAGGGGGTGTGGCTGGCATTGCCATGGCCCATACTCTCAAATGGAAGCTCGGCTGCACAGACTTTACGGTACGTGAACGGCAATCCTCGAATCAAACATCGGTCTTCGTTCAAAGCTTACTTTAAATTATTAGATTTACGAGAAGGAAGCAGGACTCGGAGGGACTTGGAGAGTGAACACCTACCCAGGATGGTGAGTAAGTTCAGATATTATTGTGGCCTGTGTGACTGACACCCAACCAGCGGCTCCGACGTACCTATCCACTTGTATTCATTCAGCTTTAACTTGAATCCAAATTGGTCACAGGAGTTGGTTGATCAGCAAGAGATTCTGGATTGTATGTGATGACTGATGAGCACACTTCACACCGTTTGATCTAACTCCCTTTGCAGATGTTGAATCAACCGTGGACAAGTTCCAATTGCGATCACATTTCCAGTTCAACTCGGAAATTCTGAGTGCGAAATGGATTAATGATCTATGGCATGTGACCTTTGTTGACATAGGCACTGGCAAGACGTCTACCAAGACGTGTAACATCTTGCTGTCGGCTGTGGGAGGCTTCTCGCAGGTCAGGGGTGTCAATTACCCAGGCATGGACCAGTATCAAGGGAAGGTGTTCCACACGGCTGAGTGGGATCACTCATTTGACTTGACTGGGAAACGAGTCGCCGTCATTGGGAATGGCTGCAGTGCTGCGCAGGCTGTCCCATCCATCGCACCACAGGTACAGAAGCTTACCCAATACGCTCGAAGCCCTCAATGGTACCACCCGCGGCCCAATAAGGTCTTTTCTGGATTTGACAAGTTCTTGTTCCGCTACGTGCCTCTATGGCAACGGTGGCATCGACTTGACACGTTCCTCAAGACTGACCAGCTTGCATCGGTCTACGGCTCAGATTCGAAGCAAGTTGAGCAGCGGCTGGCCATTGAAGAATCGGCACGCCAGTACATTTACAAAGAGGCTCCTGAGAAATACCACAGCTTCCTTGTCCCCGACTTCCCGCTTGGTTGTAAGAGGAGAATCTACGACCCCGGCTACCTTGCATCTCTGCACCGCGACAACATCGACTTGCTTCCGGAAGGCCCGAAGAAATTCACAAAGACTGGCATCATCAGCGAGAGCGGCAAGGAGGAGGAATTCGACGCTGTGATCTTGGCCACGGGCTTCAAGGTGCAATCATTTCTCGCACCAATGACAATCGTCGGTAAGAATGGCGAGAATATCCATGATCAATGGAATAAGAACAGAGGAGCACAAGCCTACATGGGCACTTTCGTACGAAACCAGCCCAACTTTGCGATCTTGTAAGTGGACCATGCCACCATTGAATCAGCTTTAATTCACATCTAACTTTAACTACCTAGGTTTGGACCCAACACGTTTCCAGCCTTCAATTCCGTCATCTATGCCATAGAAGTCCAAGTCGCTTACATCACGTCAACATTGGTGAAGCCACTGATGGATGGATACGCAAACGTTGTCGAAGTCAAGGTGGAAGCAGAGGAGAGATTCGTACAGAATTTGGACAAGGTCTTGGCCGAGACTGTGTTTGCCGCCGGCTGCAGCAACTGGTACATTAACAGTGCTGGTCGCAACTCTGCAGCATGGCCGGGGTTGGCCGCGACATTCTGGAGGGCCACTGCTTTTCCTAAGTGGAAAGACTTTGTGATGAATGGAGGATCAAACTGGTGGCTCTTGTACAAGGCCCGGAGAAACATTGCAAGCGCATCTTGGCCTATATGGTTCATGGCCCTCGGCATGGGTATGTGGGCAGCATACCGGAACCCTGCTCTGTTTTCAGAGTCCGTTCCCATTGCGTTTAGTCGGCTCAAGCTGTAGGGATAGCATCTTGTGTCACTTTAGCTCCTCAAGGATAGTAACTGTCGCTTTTAAGTTTATCTAGCCCGTATACTGCATATTAGGAGCGTCTGTTTTCTCAGTACTCGTACAGTGGATGTCTTTCGCAAAATCACGAGACTCATCACTTAGCACGTACTCCCCCGAAAATCAATATCCCACCTAGCCATGCTCAACAGCAACACGCAATGTGATCGCTTACATGATAACTGGTGAGCTGGATTATGTCCTTCGTCAATCCTACATGGAGAGCGGCTTTAATATTCCCGAGCACACTCCCACAGGCAAATACAAAGATGGACGCATGTTGGCTTACTTCAGCCTTGCAAAACCACTCAGTGATGTTGCTCTGTTCATGATCCGCTCCACTACTCCACCTAGCCAGTTGATTAGCTCCGGAATTCTTTCCCGTTTACTTAAGCTTGTGCGAATAAGGTCAGCTGATAGTCGTGATATTCCATTTTACCCCATCTTACCCCGCAGTCATGGGAAAGCCAACATCCATGCATCATGCAACTCGAGACCCTTCTCACCTTCGTCCCTTGTTGCCTTCATTTATCTCAGAACTTTTCTGCTTCAGGTACCAGCCAAGTCGTCAAATTTGAACATGGAATCCACTCGCGATGAGTCGAGAGGAGCGAAAGTATGGCTCGTCACTGGTTGTTCCAGTGGATTTGGTGAATGCCTTGTCCCTGCGATACTCGCCCGCGGGGACAAAGTGATTGCTACAGCTCGTCAGATATCGGACTTGGAATATCTAAGGGATGTCAAAAATGTCGAGGCTATTCAGCTTGATGTTACCGCGCCAAACGAGGTCCTTTGCAGCAAGGTGGAAGAAGCCATCGCCAAATTCGGAACCATCGATGTCCTTGTGAATAACGCGGGATACGTTTTGTCGGGTGTCTTGGAAGAGCTAAGGTAAAATCTCTTGAACTTCCTTTATTTGGCCGTACTTATTTATCAACACGATGCTAACAGTGACACAGCTGTGAAGATGTCAAGCGCCAGTTCGACACCAACTTTTTCGGTGCCCTAAACTTGACCAGGGCCGTTCTTCCTATTATGCGCGCCAAAAGAACCGGTACTGTCTTGTTTATGGGAAGCATAGCTGGATGGCACGCAGTGGCTGCGGGTGGTGCTTATAGTGCTTCGAAGTTTGCACTGGAAGGTTCGTCTGGCTCTCCGCCTCCAACAACACACGGCGAATGACTATGCCCGGTCTCTATACAGACCCTTGACATCTGTCAATCATTTAGTTTGCTAACTGAAGACTTTTCTCTCCAGGGGCAGTTGAGTCTCTTGCAAAGGAGGTGCAACCAATTGGTATCCGCGTCCACATCTTTGTGTTAGGCCAGTTCCGCACAAAAATCCTTGATGCGAAGAACAAGAAAGGGAAACTTAATGCCGATGTTGGCATTCAGGAGTACGCAGAGATTAAAAAACGGATAGATGATATTCATGCAGTTACACAAGCCGCGCAACCAGGAGACCCATTATTGGCAGTGGAGAGAATAGTGGATATCGCGAGGCTCGAGAATCTCGCAGAACAGCAAGCCACTAGCTTGCCATTGCGTATCGCTCTTGGGTCTGACGCGGTAGACACTATGAAACGGAAATGTCTGGAAACCCTGGAAACTCTTCAGAATTGGGACAGTTTCAGCTGCAGCACCGATTTCTCTGATGCAAAAGCTTTGCCTGGGTACTATAGATGATAGATACGTGGTAGTAATGAAAGGCTTGACTGAAGCATGAAATTTACGTGTTGTTGGGTGTGAATATACGAGACTATTGTTACTTGTAAAGTAGGAATCATAGTTCAAGTAGCAATTTGTCTCCATGTAACCACATCAGCCGTCTCTTCATGGAGTGCCACCTTGAGCATCCTAGTAAACATTTTGATGGGGAGTGACTGAACGTTATAATTTGATCGTATTGACTAAATTACTTTACAAATCCTGCAAAACTACAAGCTGCTGATATCGATACCGTCAGTTCCACCCATCTTTCTTGACCCCTCCCCAACGACCAAATTCTCGTACCCAACCATATATGTCATTGGCAAGGTCATAAAGCGGTCACAATCGTCGCTTAGTGCCGCAGCGTACTCTTTACTGTTGTAGAATGCCAACCAGTCGTCCCAGGATCTGACCCAGAGCTGAGCGCATCCGTCATAGTCTAGAACATTCTCACCTAGACTCTCAGCTCGCTGTTTCATCTCCACTGTTTGATGGTGCTATGGGACAGTCAGCATCAACACTATCAAGTCATTCCCATCTTCGTGATTTGGACGTGAAATTCAATTGAAAAGAATAAATGGCAGTAGCTAACCTGAGAGTACCGAACAATGTGCTTTCTAAATGCCTGAGTTGCGACTGCTAAATCTGCGTGGACTGTCTGCCAGTGTCCGAAAAAGGTATCATGGTCGATAGAATCAAGTTTCCTAAAGAAAACAGAGACCTTAATGCACGGCTGAAAGTTCGGAGTGGAATCGTAGTTTAATTCAGGGTGTGTGAACTTGTGATCGACTTTAGTGAAAGGCATAATGGCTATGTTGCTTGGACTCAAAAGGTTCAGATAAGCTCAAGGGTTAATGTCTTAATCTTCTCCAGAATTTCACACAAACCCCAGACTTACTTGCCATTATATGAATTCATCATGATTTCCCATCGTCTCAATCGAGTGAGGCTGGATGGACCCACCTTGACGGAATTCCAGTCTACCTAGGTAGGTACGGAATATATTTCCAGGTTCCGTGGGGAGGACTGACGGAATTGTGCTTCGCAAACTCAACGCATGCTTATCAATCCATGCGGTTGTCAATCCACATGACATGTAGCTGGGTATCTAGTGAAGCCGTCTTTTGGAATTACCCAGCTGAACAGCGCTATAGAAATCCGAGGCAAAAGCATCGTCACCAGTGACATACATGTGATCATAACAGCCCATGAGCAATTGCACTGATCATTAGTGGCTTTGCAAAAAAATGAAACGTTCCTATTGATCTCTTTCTAACATCACATGTTGTTTTGCTCGTGCATAGCTCCGGATTGTCCGGTGGCGAGTTTATACATTGGTCACCCTGGAGTAGCGCCGCTATGAAGGGAACGGCAATCCGTGCCTATCTTGAGCTAATCTATGGAGTACGGTTGATATCAAAATGTGTTTCGTGACGGTCCAAACTTGCCGCTTCGCATATTTTCCTCATGCCTTCATTGATGAACTCCATTTGATCTCTGAAATAGAAGCTTGTCTGGAATACTTCGACAGCCAGACCATAGTCAGAGCCCTTTTCAACGCGCTTCCCCTTCGCGTCCGTCATGGGCCCACCAGTGAGGAGAGTGTCCACCGTCGAGACGATGGTGTCGATTGGTGTTAGGTACTCTTCTGGAAAGGAATCCCAAACTTCCCCAGAGAGCAGATTTGTCCGCACGGTTCCTGGGCACATGGCGTATGCCCGGATACCATCTTTGTAAAAGGGCCTGCCAATCGAGCGTAGGAAGTTGACCACGCCAGCTTTGGACGCGGAATAAAGAGGGTTGAACTCTTGCTGGTACTAGTGACACTGTTAAAGACCGGCTTGCTAGTATTTCAGAGAAGTGCCTACAAAGCCTGCAATGCTTGCAGTCACAATCAGAACTGCGTCACAGTCTCGATACTTGTTTGATCTGAAGTAATGCTGCGCCAAATAGCTGGTGTTAATGACGGCCTTCAAATTGATGTCGATGCTGGTTTGCAGCAACTCAGGCGGTGGCAATGAGTCCACTGGCTCGTAGAAGTTGTGCATCTGTATTATCCCCGCATTTGCAAAGACAAAGTCCAGTCTGCCTTGTTCTTTGAAGACGGAGTCAAATGCGTTTGACAAGGAGGCCCATGACGTAACATCGACAGCTATAAACTTGGAATTCTCAACCTCACGCGTGACTGCGTCCCCAGCTGTTTTGTTGAAGTCCAAGATGTTGACCTGCCAGCCTGTTTCAGCAAGTCGTTTGGCGACGGCCAATCCCATTCCCGAAGCACCACCAGTAATAATTGCGACTTTGGAGGAAGACATTGTAATGAAATTGAAGACGTGCGGTGTTGCAATAATATGGAGATGTATGGTTCACGTTGTCCTGTTAGTTAAGGTGAAGGTTTAGCTTATGGGCATTGGATACAACAGCCTGCATATATGTCAACATGGCATTATGCGCTGGAACATTGTCGTCAGGATGCGTCTATGTCACCAGGTTGGACTCGGAATTATAATCCATACCCATAATTCCGAGGGTCAATTTGTCATAGTCAGCTCTCGATCTCGCATAGCCTATATGCACGACAGCAAGCATGTCTCACTTGGCACGCTGTCGGGTCTGTGATATTGAAGTTGTTCCAGGGATTGAGCAGAAGATTGTCCGGGATATAGATTATGTCGAAGTGCTTCGCGGATATTATCTATTCACCGGTGTAGATTCACCATGCCTCTACAAACGGTTTCATGTTAACCCAATGCCTTGAAATTCATGGTGTATTTAATGCAATCTAATTTCTAGTTCTTTAAAGGATACTCTTTGCTAAAAGGATAGTCTAAGTATCCAACAACCGACTTTGGCGTGTAAAACGTCTCACGTTTGTAGGAATTCAGCTCCAAACCCTTCTCAACCCGAAATGGCAGGTCTGGCGTCGACAGGAAATATCGCCCAAACATGGCAACTATGTTCTTCTCTGGATACTCCTGGTCCAAAAGTTCTCGTGCTGTGGAGGGTTTAAGCCCACCTGCAACTAGGATTGGACCATCCCAAAGGCCATACGCAAATTCAAGCTTGTCTGATGCCTCTACATCGGCAGCTCCTGCGATCCTAGACTCGACAAGGTGGAGATAGGCCATGTTAAGCGTAGAAAGCTGTCGAATGACGTCGGAGAATTGTGGAATTGGATCATCCATCCTCATTCCGTTGAAAATGCTCCAAGGGCTCAACCGAATCCCAGTCTTTTCTGGTCCAATTGCTTCACAGACCGCCTTTGTAACCTCGACAGCAAACCGGGATCGGTTCTCAATGCTACCGCCATAGATGTCTTGCCGCTTGTTGCATGTGTCTTGGATGAATTGATCAATCAGATAACCGTTGGCACCGTGGAGCTCGACGCCATCGAACCCCGCCTCAACAGCGTTCAAGGCGGCAGTGACATAGTTCTGAATCCGAGACTGGATTTGGGCAACACTGAGTCGTTCGGGTGTCGGGGAATTTGAGTCGATTGCCACAGCATCGGAACTAGAAATAGTTGTTCCTTCACGCTTGGTAACCTCGGCGTCGGCAGCGCGTCCGAGAGCCCAGAGCTGACAAAAAATGTAGGATCCGTTGGCATGAACAGCATCTGTGATCTTGCGCCACATGTCGATCTGCTCTTGATTGTAGATTCCAGGAGCATTGGCGTAGCCGCCATCTTCAACTGAGATAAATGTGCCCTCGGTTACGAGAAGTGTCCCCGGCGCAGAACTTCGCTGGGCGTAGTAATCCACCATCATGTCGAGGGGTACATGCTCATCAGATGCACGATACCGCGTCAAGGGACATAATCCGATTCGATGGGTGAGTTTCATGTTCCCAACTGTAAGAGGGCTGAATAAACGTGATTGGCCCATGTTGGCGGGTTTGATAGAAACAGGTAGGGTGGTGAGAGAGATGGTTGGCTGGGGATGGAGTGTAATCTCGGGCGTTGCGAGAGAAGTGGCTTAGGTGTAATCAGATATCTGGAACAGGGATTTTGAGCACCATATGGCATGACCACCATTTTCAAAGAATGTTAAGACCCCAGGGATTATATTTCCGGCGTAAAAATATCTCCTTGGCGATTACAAAGCAATGTCCAACAGGAACGGATTTACGGAGGGATTGAACGTCGATTCATGATTTAGCAGCGAGCCTTAGCTTGGCACGGATTCCATTGTCACTGACTAAGAAGCGCTAGTGAGTCATGTCACTTTGTGGCATGACGGGATTCAATTCCGTACGCTAGTACGGAGTCGGCGGTCACCGGGAAGATGGAGGGGGGACAGCTCTAATGGAGTTGACCATACCACAAATGAATCTTTGACATGCTAGACAGATAGGATTGGCCCGGTATCTCGTTGTCTCCGCAATGGGTTACCCCAGATTGAGGAACGCGGGGAAAATCTGGAGATATGGACGTGCGTGACGCGACCTGGAGATAATAGATTACCCCAGAGATGCGTGTATAAAGAAACCTAGCCCTCCACATTCTACATTCTTCCACACGCATCTGAGATATCCTCACACATTAGTTGATCAGTGAACAAGGCCGCGTATCGAACATTCTCTGTCTACACAGACCAAGTATCTCTCAGTTCTCCCAAAGCTTCATCATGGGCAAAATGGTGATTCGGGGGAAAACCCTGAAACGGGTGCTGTCGGCAAGTTGTGCCATCGTCAGTATCCCCCGATTATTCAGACCTCTGCGCAAATTTACTGATTGATGTCTCGGTTGTAGTCCTTTCTTATGTATGGATATGACGCAGGCGTACTGGGAGGAGTCCAGGAGACCAAACCGTTCTTACATGCCATGGGAGTACGTTTTTCGTGGTACCAAACAACGACAACCCGGCTAACAATCGCAGAATCCGACTGGAACATACGTGGTTCCTATGATCGCATCTTCCTACACACTCGCAGCTGCAATCTGCTCGCTCGCCGTAACCATGATCGGAATGCCTCTTGGCCGACGCATGTGCATTCTTCTCGGCAATGGCTTCGTAATCGTTGGTGGTTCTCTCCAGGCTTCTGCTTGGTCCGTCCCTCATATGATTGTGGGAAGGATCCTATGTGTAAGTACCATAAACCAATCATCTTTCCGTTGTTCTGATCCTAGCTAACTAAATACGACACGTAGGGTTTTGGAATTGGTGTATGCAAAGCATTTCTTTCCATATCTAACAACCCTAATGCTGACAAGGTACCAGTTCATCTCGTGTTCGATTCCAACCTTTCAAGCTGAAATGGCAATGGAAGACGATCAACGTGGGCCTGACGTGGCAGTCACCTGTGTCTTCCTTGTCTCTGGCGCAGCCATTGCATACTGGATCGATTTTGGCTTTACTCGATTGGGGAACCAGATATCTTGGGTACGTCAAGCTACTGAATCCTCACACATATCGGTTCGGCTACTAACTATCCCCAGAGACTCCCAATTGCAGTGCAGATATTATTTGCCGTTTGTGCTGGTAGCCTCACCCTTCTACTTCCAGATACTCCAAGATGGTACTATGCCAAAGGCTACGAATCACAGGGCGATGAGACCCTCGGTCGAATTTTCGATACCGAAATTACTGACGACAGAGTCATAAAAATGAAGGAATCTATTCTAGCGAGCATCAGGCTCGAGGAGTCTGACGAGCGTCAATTCAGAATTCTGGACCTCGTTTGGGACCGGACAAATCTCCGCGCGGGTCGTCGTATTCGAATAGCGTTTCTCGTTCTCGCCATTCAACAGATGATGGGTTAGTAGACTTGTATCAAGCTCAATTTATGAAAGATCTCCTAACACTCCAACTTGCAGGAATCAACCTATCTGTGTATTACAGCACCGTCATCTTCGCCCAGGTGGGCTTGTCCCCGTTCATATCACAGCTTTTGGCTGCCATCATGAACACTATCTTTGCTCTCGGAACCATCCCGACCATTTACACTATTGAAAGGGTGGGCCGTCGTAAGGTACTAATGTACTCAGCTATTGTTCTTACTATTTGTATGGTTATTTTTGTGGCAATGATTGGGCTGCCGCATCCCACTAAAGCAACTCAGTGGACCGCAGTTGCCGCCATTTTTGTTTACAATGCGGTCTTTGGTTATGGATGGATCGCTGTTCCATGGCTTTATGGCCCAGAGGTACCGCTTTACGGAACTTTTAGACCACGGAACTTGCTAATATCTTGTCTCAGATTGCTCCCCTCCGCCTTCGCCACGTGGGTGCCGCTGCTGGCGCATTCGGAGAGTGGATATTCTCATTCATTACCGTCTTTGCTGGAGGCATTGCGCTGCAGAATGTTGGCTGGAAGATATGGCTTTGGATGGCGCTATCTTGCTTTCTTGCCATTTTCTTTGTCTATTTCATGTGCCCCGAGGTAAGTCAAACTTCTAATCAGATCTCCAGCATCATCCAACTAACATCGTCAGACTACCGGAAAGTCCCTTGAGGAGATTGATTACATCTTCACGCAAGAAAAGAGTAGTAATGCTAGTTCAGAGGATGAGGTCTTCAAAGGTTCTCAAAAGGAAGAAAAAGGAATCTCTAGTGCTGTGTGCATTGAGCATAGACAATAACTACCTGATGGGAGGACTATGAACAGGAAGGTTTAGATGGCTGCCAAACACATTCAGCATAGTATAGCTTATATTCTCGCTGTATCGAGTCCAAATACTTCACCTCGAGACAGTGCCTCCGGATGCTCTTATCTCAGCTTGCCGAAGCTGATACTTGAGATTAACCATGTCGTTAAAGGTAGACCTCTCGATGGCACCCCGGAGCTTTTCTCCAGACTTAGTTCTCCAATCAAATAGTTGTATTTATTATTCAAGTATACAAGTAGCACTCAAAAGTCCCTCATTTCTCCACTAATAGCACTCATAACTTCGCCGCCTCAAGATTGGAGAACTGCGGCTGGCATCTTGTATATCAATATCGTAAATAGGGTCACGATCAGAGCGTGTCAAGGTGCAGCTACACATGTTGCACATCACGGAAATTCATCAACCAAAAATTCTTGGACGTGTAGAAGCACCGGTTGCGACCATGCTTCTCAGTTGCTTACCGCAATTGCCTCATGCTAAAGGTGTTCTTGGAGCGGTCGATTCTTTTGCATTCGCGCTGTGGTAGCTTATCCACAGATGACCGATTGATCCGGAATCAAATGGTGATGACGGCAAGCGTAACTTGACTTTCTACAGATGTTTTAAGGAATGAGCCTAACAAAAGCAATCTGGGCGCCAAATGCATTCTGTATTTGGAGGTCTCGCCGTTGTCTCTGTAATATATCTTTGAGTGTCTCATTGAGGTATTGGGAAAGGTAACCAGTTAGACTAGAAACCTTGGTCTGTCTAAGTATACCGTTGACCTTTGGATGGACTAGGTATATTGTCTATGTTCTTGATACCATTATTGGTGTTTTCTTTTACTGTTGAGCTTCTAGTCCCCCATCGGGTATTAGTGTACTAGGGCACCCTAATCCCTTGATATCTTTGAGTGTATCAACCGAAGGTTGCTGGAACGGCCTATGAAGATGTGGATGAGATATTCAAGAAAAAAGTCCTGGCATACACCTTCAAGATACTCAAGACAGAAACGAAGCCAAAAAGTCAGACGGTGACCTAGAATGAGGCGCAAGTGCCTGACCATGTCGCCTAACTAATCACGTCTATCGTGGTAATATTAATAGCTTTAGCTCTCGAAAGACAATGGTACAAGATCAAACTCAAGGAAACGGTTTATATAATTTAAAACCCGCCGTATTGTATCCTACACTCCACCACCAATCTTATTACCTGAGCAAATAAATGCTCTGGATCACATCGCTATCCCGACGCCTGAACAACAGTTTAGTTGCTAGGTATCATCCCTCTGCAAGCCCAGTCACAGATCTATCCCCCATTTCCATGTCAGTAAGAGGCTTGTGCGAGTCAGTCTGCACCACCCGACTTGGGTGCAAGATGTTGAACAAAACAGCGCAAATAAACATGAGGACGGCATCCAGACCGTATAAATATCCCTCGGCGGTCTGGAGCACGCTGGTCTGTCCAGCGGCAAACTCTGCGACCCGAAAAATGGATCGTACCATGATCAAGAGAGATGCAATATAGAGAACGATGATGTACTGCTTCCAAGGCAACGTAGTGTTGAGACTTTTAACAGTCGGGTTGTGAAGAATGCGATGATGGAAAACAGAGATGACGCCGATAAAACCCCCGAAAAATAAAATCTGGATTCCTAAACCGATCAAGATGATGTCTTGTCCGCGATTGACAACCTTTATTGTTTTGGCGCCGGAAAGCATTCCTCCGCCTGTATTGTTTTGTTAGCAGATTTCCAAGCCATCATCCAGAGAGTGCCTACCGATGCACTGGGCGGCAAAAGAGAGCACATCTCCAATGACGAATATCTTTGTCATCCATTTCGTTCTGACAATAGAGAGGTCTTCAGCGTCCAAGGCTCGAATGAGACGCCCCAGGATCATGTAGATAGATGCTGCGAATAGCGCGGGCGACAAAAGGATGAGAAGCGTCTGGATAATGAAAGGACCCTGGGACCAGTTGGGTGTCTCGTTGGCATTGACAGCGCGGGCTGCGTAGCCTATGACCTGGACTATTACAAGGCAAGTTAGACAATGTGTCCAGCAGAAGCCAGTTTGGAATTGGAGGGAGGACAAGGCAGAGATCTTGTAGGTGTTGGGTCTCGAAACTTACATATAACGCCAATGAAGAAGACAATAAAGTACCAAGTCTTGTGCTTCCGCAGCTGGAAAAAATGAACGATAGTGGAGATTCCAAAAAGGGCCGCAAATGTGGCTGCAGCGGCGAGTGAAGGATCATAATGATACTTGGGGGGCTGCGTGGTTTGGGTCATGGCGGGCAGGTGTCGAGGACTGAATGAAAAGATCAAGGAGAGTGGAAGGGCTGCCTTGGTTGGAATAGACATGTTGCTGGTGCTGGTATATATGTACTGGAATTATACAATTGACGGAGTCCATATGTGTGGGACGTTGATGCGAACTTACGAGGAGACCTGGGTGGTGGCGTCTAAGGATGCCTGTCAATACGGAAAGCTAGGGCTACTAACGGCGTGGAGTTTAAGGGAGGACCCCGATCCAATGGAATCAAGTCCTAAATCCCTGATGGGAACTAAAGTCGGTGGAATTGAACCACCGCCAGGTCAGTGTCGCAATCTTGGAATCTCCCGAGTGCCGATGGCGCGTGGTCGGCAGATGCCTACCCTAGACTCTTTCGGGTCCGGGATGGCATTGATCTCGAGATCATCTGTAAGACCCTTTATGCTTCTTTGCACCTGTCACCTATCTACTTGATAATTTGGCCGATAAATACCTAAGTCAGGGCATTATTAACGGCTTTTATCCAGCAGTAAGATTGCAAGCTAGCGAAGCCATAAACTACACAAACGCGAGGTCTCCAGTTTCATTGAGCAACAAATTTTCAAGCGGGCAGAAGCACCCTTGTCAAGTGCCGCATCTAAGCAAAGGAGCTGTGGGACTGCCACAAGCCCGCAATGGCCCGCTTGGAGAGACACGTCAAGGCCGTCGAGGCTGGGTAGATCGACAGCGGGGACCTGACTCTGGCCACGAAGATGACGACTCTTTGACAACACACTTCTAATTACAGATTACTTGGGCGTTCTCCGATAGGCTGCTTGGCTAATTGTGATACTGGATCTGTGCAAAAGTGGGCTGGTAAAAGCGCTGGCGTTAAGCGACGCTAACGTGAATCCGAGGAATGCGACGAGCGATGGATGAAGCCATATCATAAACCAACCGGGTGTCTGCGTTGTCCGCTGCGGGCGTCTCGGACGAACTCTACAAACCGCCTTCTCACCGTAGAGAGTCCTTTCGGTTGGGTATTCCTCCCGCCTCCATCCTTCTTGGTCTATTATGCTTCTTTTCTTCCCCGTCCCTCTTCCTCCCTGCCACTCTCCCATATGTCGTCCGTACCTTTCGAGGATGCAACCTAATCAAGCGATGGAAGACGTGCGAAACCTCGGACTACTTGAGGACCCCGTCGACACACCCATGAAATCCCTGCCACCACCCGAGCCTGCATCAGCGACGCCTCAGAGCACCCTTGGCGATTCCCCAAAGCCCTTCCGTCGCACACTCGCTTGCGTCCGGTGTCAACAGAGGAAGAAAAAGTGCAGCCGGGTGTTTCCATGCCCTCATTGTTTACGAGTATGTGCGTACGTTGATGTCGCGGCTTAGTCGCTCGCTCATACTGTCACAGGCAAAGGTCCAGTGTGTGGTTGCTACGCCAGCTCCCAGGCATCGAAGACGGCGGCCTAACCAAGCGTTGAAAGAACGTCTGGCGCGATGCGAGGAGCTTCTGGAAAAACACATGGATAAGGACGATGAATGTCCTTTGAACTTCCCTGCTGTGGTTGCTTCTTCCCACTCCCAAAGCGACCCGTCAACCTCGAAGTGGATATCGTCGGACGGCAAGTTGGTTGAGGAAGGTGGTAAGTTGGCTTTCATGGACAATCACTTGCTGGAACTTGTTCATGACGAGGTACGCAACTACTCACAAAATATCCAGTGTGGCTACATTGATTGACTCTTCCTAGATCCAGGCCATGCGCGAGCTCGTCAAGGCTCAAGGTGGCGACGACAGTCCGCTCGATACTGACACACCCGACGACGAATGCGATCTGGTCTTTGGCGGAGAGTCACCCCAGTCAAACATCGAATATTCATGGCCAAATCCTGCGCTTGTTTTCAGGCTGTGGCAACTATTTCTCGACCGCGTCAATCCTCTGACAAAAGTCATCCACGTTCCTAGCTTCCAACCCTACGTCGCCCAAGCGACAAGCGGGCCGCAACAACTCCCGGAGAACATTACGACATTGATGCTGGCTATATTTCTCATGGCCGCTGTTTCATTATCTGATGGTGAATGCGAGGGTATTCTCGGTGATTCTAGGGAACTAGTCATCAATAGATTTTCCTCTGCGGTCCGCCGGAGCTTACAGCGACTCGGAATTCTGCAGCGGATTGACCTAGTTGTGTTGCAAACCCTTGTTCTCTACATGGTATGACCCTAAACTGTGGACGATTGTATATCCAGAGGCTAATATGTCCCATAGATCTCACTACAAGGGCGTTATAATCGCCACTCCGCCTGGATTCTGAATGGTTTCGTGATACGGATAGCCCAGAAACTAGGCCTCCATCGAGATGGCGAGGCACTTGGATTGAAGCCATTTGAGTCAGAGATGAGGCGTCGAGTGTGGTGGCAAATTATTGCCATTGATTGCAAATTCGCTTTGTTCTCTGGTCTCGGCCACTCTCTGCTTCCCCGAGACTGGAACGTGAGAGAGCCTCAAAATCTCAACGACGCGGATATGTTCCCATCCGCAACGCACCCGTTCCCAGACCGCGACGGTCCCACAGACATGATTCTTTGCTTGACGCAATGTAAAATCACTAAATTCCTAGTCGAGACACCCGGCTTGGAGCCGTTGAAGATGATGAGCCAATTGGATGATTTAAAGGCCGAGGATTCCCAACCTGACGCCTTGAGGGACGAACAAATCAACCATTACCGAATGCACTTCGACACATTGGAAGAGAGCTTGCATCGCCTGCTAGAAACACGGTGCAATCCTTCCGCCGGGCAGGTTCACAATATAGCCCGAGGAGTGGTTACGACCATCCTCAATCAGAAGAGAGAGCTAATTAATGGATTCGGATATCAATCTGAGTCGAACACCATCATTCAAAGCAAAGACTACAACGCATTTGCATCAACGGTAGCCATAATGGAGCACGCTACCTCTCTCTATACATCTACCGAGAGTACTGGCTTTTTATGGTTCGTACTCCTTAATGTTCAACTCGACGTGTTCACCTACATGGTGGTGCAGCTGGGGCATCGCATTGAAGGCCGAACGGTCGAACGGGCCTGGACGCAGGTTGAAATACTCTATCAGTTTCACCAGGCACTGTTTGATCTCAACAACACAACATTCTGGAGGCTGGCGCATTTTGTTCTAAGGGCATGGGCCAAGAGGGGAGATAGACTGTCCTGCTTGGGGCAGTTTCGGGAAATACCTGCGTACATTGAAAGATTGCAGCGGAATCTTGTTTTAACCTCGGATTCTGAGACAATACGGCCAAATCCCAGCAGCCTCTCGTTTGACGATGCTGCTGAACCGATTCTTGGTATGGAAGCAGAAGATGGGAGGCCTGTGGGTATTCCCTGTAGACCCGGGGATGGTAGCATGGGTACAGGGGATACAGATTGGTCATTTTTGGACACAATCGCTACCGCGCAGTTCCAAGAGGCCACAGGTACAGCATTTATGGGATATGGTGCAGGGCCTTGGGTAGAATGGTAGATTGACTGATTGAAGTCAATAAGTGCTTGTATTCTAACTTATAAATTCATAGACCGCTTCTTGTCCTTTGTTCCTTCAACCTCGAATGTCTCCGAAAACGGGTCCCAGCTGGGATCCGTGTGGCGCTCATATTCCATTAAATTCGATATGTAAGTGGCAGTATCACTTCCATACACCTCCTCGATGAACGCTAATGTTGCGTCGATGCCGGCTGAGATACCGGATGATGTCCAGATATTGCCATCTACAACCCATCGCGCGTGGGGCACCCAATCTACCTTGGGACCGTTGGCGATGGTGCTCGACCATGAGGCCTTGTTCGTGGTGGCTCGTCGGCCATCGAGAACCCCCGACTTTGCGGCGATGACGGCGCCGGTACAGATGGAAATGAGGTACTTCAATTTCGGATAGGTACTGGCGACATACTCTATTGTTGTTGTGAGGTGAGGTGAACGAGAGCCAAGCCCCCCGGGAATGATAAGCACGTCAATATCGTCAGGGACGGTGTCAAAGGTGTGTGTGGGTTGTATTTGGGGGAACTATTCAGGTGGTTAGTGAGATCACGCGATTCCAATCGAATATGATATCCAATTCACTTACGAAGCTGGAATTCTTCGAGTTCATTGAAGCGGTCATAGGCTCAGTTGTCACCAAGTCCAGTGTGTCGGAGATGATGTACAGGTTAAGCTGGCGCATCTTTGCGAGCATGCTCAACGCGTTGAGTGGGCCGAACACATCGAGCATCTCGAAAGCTCTAAAGACGACGATGCCATAGCTTTTGGGCAGCTCGACTGCCGTATTGGTTTTGGGTGAGGTTGGGGCCACCATAGCTGCAGTCGCATTTACCCGCATCGTTGCGCAGGGTACAGTATTCTCTGAACGAATATCATTAGTACAGCAGTCCAGAGGGAGACGAGGGCGGAAAGGTGCATAATCATGGGGAATGGGCCAAGATCTGGCTGAAGATTGCTGCTACGGCAACGTGATGAAGGGAATGGTGTCTTTACCAAGTGGGGCTAAGTGTACTGGAAAAGCTGCAGAATGAAGCCTGGGCTCTGTCTCTTCACAGCGTCTTTACGGATCTGGTGCATGCGAAAACTAGGATGTTGCAAAGACACGAATGATGCGCCATCATTGACAAAACTGAGCGTAATCAAATAGGATCAACGATGTGGTCTGTGTCATTTACAGAGGTTAGTGATTGGCTGCCTCCAAGCGAGGCAATTAAGTGCGCAAGTTTGAGCAAATACGGCGCGTCAGCAACGGTTGTCGTCTTATGCTGAGCCATCAAGCGCCCTCGTCATAGTTTGCCACTACTTACGAGTCCTTTCAAGGCAACTAATGGACGAGAAAGAAAGAAGAAATCTGCCTGTAACCCCAGAATTAATTGTGCTAATGAGTTTACTGAGTAGCAACGGCGAGGACAGATTTCGGCGAAACATAAGACGCCGAGAAAATATCTCGGCCGCCCGACTGTTTACCGACATATCCGCTGACTCATCTCGGCCTGGAGGCCGGCCCCACCCGGAATAGGGTAGGTCTTCGGCATCTTTATCATTCTCCTTGGGCATTGTCGGTTTGCAGTTTTTCGGTAAGAGGGAATTAGATAACGCCAGTCCAATACGCCTCATCATAGCGATGAAGGTGAAATGCTCCAGATGAGACCTCTGCCAGAACTGTCAGCAAACAGACAAAAGCACGTCGGGATCGACAAAGTGAAGGTTACACTGACATAAGCCTAGGAAACCTGGCACTGGATGAAAAAGCTGAAGTCAGATTATAGTTTGATAACATAAACGGCTTTTACGCGCTAACTCTGATCGAAAAAGCTGCAGACACTGCCTTTATAATGCATTTTCGCCAGGCTATTTTTGACCATGATGCTACCTAACTTAAATTCTGATTTCATTAGAACCCTTCAACTCGATAACTGATCTGTTAAACTGAACTGTCAGAAACGCTGAACCAGGAATGCTTACGGGCTCCCTCGGCATCCAATCTACGTTCCTGCTCCTCACAGAGAAGACATTGCAAGAAATTGACATCCAGGTTAGTTACATCGTCCCGCCCATGCGTAATGGATCTAAGTGACTCAAGCTTCGAGTCGCACCTCTTCCTGACATCGTCCAGGTCAGTGAATAGTCGTCTGCCCATAAGCATTCTGTACACGATGCAGCCCAGAGACCAAATATCCACTTTTGGCGCGTAGGTCTGGAGTGGGGAAGCTCCGGCCTTGATGATTTCGGGGGCCGAGTATCCCCATATCTCGGGTGCGTCGCTCATCTTAGTCTTCAGACCATCGATGACGTGCTTCGAAATGCCGAAGTCTCCGATCTTGAGGGACCCCTTGCCATCAAGGAGAATATTCTAGCTTCCCCCATTGCATCAGTAAAAGTATGGCGATCATGTGGTCAGGCTACATGCCTTGGGCCGCAAGTCACGATGAGTGAACCCTGCCTTGTGAAGACCGCGCAGGCCCTCAATCAGCTGTCCTATCGGTCTTTGCAGCGGCACTCCTGGCTGGCGCTGGTTCCAGGTAATCTCCCTGGCGTAACACCCACTGCCTTGTTGTAGATAGGTCTCCAGATCGCACTGCAATAACTGCATAGCGATGAAGAAGTGGTCGTGCGAGAACGTCCACCCATAGAAGTGGACGAAGTTATCCTTGATTAACGGCAGCTGGGGCATGTGAGCTACCCGCTCCTCGGGTGTGTTATAAAGGGATGATCGGATGCCACTGACCTTTGCCAGTTGCGCCAGGGTGGTAAGTTCTCCAAGCATCTGCAGATAACGGAGACGGAAGTTCAGGCCGGATACGACCTTGACTGCAAATTCTGCAGGCAGCGGACGACGGGATCGCATTCTCCGGGCGGCAAAGACTGCCACGCTCTCGCCACCGTCCCCCAATCGCTTCTGCAACTTGAGCTGCATGGTGTTACTCGACAGCAGTCCCTCTATCGGCGAATTAGTCGATCCACGATACGATGCTTTGGGTCGCTAGCCAGTCGGATACCTTGCATATACTTAGAGGCGGCTACCGCGAAGGCCACCCTTTCGACGTCAAGAGCAGTGATTCGACGGCGGCGGGGCGACGAGCTCTGTACTCGCCTCCTAACAGCATCAACGCTCTCCACGAGTGTTTTGTACCCCGAGACAACTTTGTTAAGGTCGTTGAGCCCCAACCAATGGCAGAGAGCGTCGGAAAAGAATGGTACGTTGTTGGAGTATGCTGTTGAAAGAATCAATGTCGCGGTGGTCAAGCCCACCCCCCGCAGTGATTTGAGACAGTCGATAGCTTGTAGAATGTTGTTATTCTTGGCATAGATCTTAAAGGCTTCACACGTCACGGCCACCACCTTATCCGGCCTATTCCGCCTCAGTCTGGCAAGATTAGACGCTGCTGCCACCGGGATACGTCTGTGGGATCGCGTCACGAGCCTGTGGCCGGCAGAGCTACGAAAGCATGAGAACCGAAGCGACGCAAGTCCAGAAACATGACAGAAGTTGGATCACGCCAGACTTACTACACCCATTGGGCGAGGTGAATCAACTCGCGGCGATCGAGGTATTTGGGATCGCGCAAGGCGCATGCTGCGGGCATCTTCTCGAAGCGGAACGTGTCTAAGTCCCGCATCGGATTCGAAATATGTTGCCAGTATACTTCAAGAAATGCCTGGAAGTCATCACCGGTGATGTCGTCAAACCTAGGTCGCTTTCTCAATAGCGCGATATATCTACCAACTTCCGGCTCTGGCATCTTGAGTTTAATGCCGCAGATCTTCTGTCGAACACCCTAGACGCAGAGTAGTGAGTGTCTACACGGGACGGAGTGACATCGACCGAGCAAGCCTCAACTTGTCGGATGAAACACAAGTTCGATGGGAAGAGACTTCCAAGTGGACTGACAATCGTAGTTAAGTAGATAGCCTTTGGGGTGATACTGTTCCCGACGGCGTGATCTACTGCGGGAGAAAACCATGTGCGGGGCGAGAGCCTCGTTCGTGACTCTGGAGGAGGACTAGCGTTGGCCATTTACCAAATCACATGCGTACACTCGTGGTGAGACCCAACCGCCGAGCATGTATGTAATTGTAATTTCTCACAGTGTGGCGCACACCGGCCCAATCACTCCTCTTTGTCGATGTGTTCCGACTTCCCGCCTATATCCTACCTAGATGCTGGCTTCTTCCGCTGGGTGCCTCGCTAAGAATCTTGGTTACCTGACCCTTCTCATGAGCAGAATGAGCCATTGATTCTCCATTGAATCTCATCACTTCCTGATTTGCCCGCTGAAGCCCCTTTTCAGCTGTTAATCCATTATTTCATGCTCTCCTTGGCCCTCAAGGAAGCTTCTTGTGTACTTGATCAGTGATGAGTGAGGGGGTGAACAGAGGGCACTAAGAACTCGCAACTCGCCCAGAGGCAGAGCTGTAATGACCGCAATAGTGTTGTAACAGAAAGGTTGTAAAGGGTCCGGATCAGATTTTGGATAAATAGCTTGACTAATCAAAATATTTGACATTCTCAGCTGATACCAATTGATCAGATGGATCTCTGAGAGGTCTCAAAATAACGGGCCAAAAGACAGTCAATTGAATGAGATGCTAAAAGTGATGATACTAATATATCCTGTACGAAACCTTCCCAGTTTATGGTTCCAATAGGTCAGGCTACTGGTTCCTACCCGGTACGGTATTTCCTGTTGAAGGAATCCACCAATCCGAGCCCTAGTGGCTGCAAGCGTCTGATCAGATGACCTTTACCCCCAAAGACCGGAAAACCCCGACTCAGTGATCTGATCGATATCTCAAACACTCAGTCAATTCGTTGTTCCTCGCAGCTGGAACCACAGGTTTTATATCAGTTTTGGTAACTTTCCAATGCATCCCTGGCGGTTGGCCTCTTCTCCGGATCGATGCAAAGCAGCTTCTTCAACAAGTTTGCTTCTCTCTCAAATCCTTCCCACTTATCCTTGGCCAAGTCATCGACTTTGTGTTCAGCTTCTCTTTTCGTCTCATCATCGTGGGTGAGGAATTGACACCCCTTGATCATCCTATAAACGACACATCCGAGCGACCAGAGATCCGCCTTCGAGGTATAGCTGCCGTGGAACTTGCTCCCAACTTTGAGAACTTCGGGCGCCGTGTATCCAGTCGTGCCGGTCTTTGTAGCCATGGTGGTTTGCACGCGATCACGGGCCTGTTTGGAGACGCCAAAATCCGCGATCTTGACATTGTGATTTCCGTCAAGCAATATATTCTTACCGGTGATCCAGTCGGGCGTGTCAGCTCGTTCACTAAATAATGGAGTACTTCCTCATGGGAAGTAGGTATCCTACTCACACGTGGTTTGAGATCCCGGTGCGTGATTCCCTCGTCATGTAAGGCACGCAAGCCGTGCAGTAATTGACCCAGTGGGGACCGAATTGTGCTTTTGGTCACATCTTGCCAAGATTTGGCTGCTTTTTTCCAACTGATGGCTTTTTTGTTTCGTGTTAGTAGGTCTTCCAGATCTTGGCACATCAGCTGCATCGCGATGTGGAAATGGCCGTCCCAAAAAGACCACCCATAATATGCAACAAGATGGCTCTGGGGTACGCGGGGAGTCAGACCATGCGGTGTTGACAGCAGAATTTGGCGGACATTACCGTATCTAAGTTTTGGGTGGCATGAATTCGAATCTCACTCAGATAGTTGACGACAACCTGACTGAACTGCGAGATGCTTTTCACGGCAATAGTTTCGGGGGTCGAATTATCCCGGGATCTCAAACCCTTCCGAATAATCGTATTACCAGAACCGGCAAGCGATACTGGTTTGCCTCCGAGACTGGAAATGACCCCGCGGTCAATGTAGGTGTCTGCATGCGTTACTAAGACATTTCGAGATTGCTTCTCTGCTCCGCCTACCTTTCAGGGCACTCCAGCGGTCCAACACATACGCTACCTTCTCGACATCTTGAGCCGCAGATTCGGGTTCCAGCGTAGGAATCTTCTGCATCACTTGACCACAACGAGACTGGAACAGGGCGTACTCCTTGGCGTATATTTCGCTTCCCCAATCCTCAACCCCGGCCGTGGTGTCGTTCAAATTGTCTTTACCAGCGTCGATGCACTTCCGTAGTTCTGGTGAGCAGAACGGCACCTGGTTCGGGTACTTTGCGGAAAGTATCAAGATGGCAAACTCGAATTTCGTACGGTTGGGTCCCTTGCTCTCTTTGAGTAGCCTTTGGAGCCTGGATACGGCGCAGACATGTTTTTTCTTGTCGAAAGATTTGAAGGCTTTGTCAATAGCGGTCTCAATTTCTGCGGAGTGGGATTCGAGGCACTGGTGGTGGCTCTTGCAGCCATTTCGCTGGTCACCATCGCAGCGTTTACTACAGGCTTGTTAACGAGCCATTTGAGTGCAAGCATTCAACACAATGCGGCGAGAACTTCATACTAGAACCAGTGACCGAGATGGATGATGATTTCATGTCGTTTGACTTGAACTTTTTTGTCTTCTTCTTCTTCTTCTTCTTCTTCTTCTTCTTCTTCTTCTTCTTCTTCTTCTTCTTCTTCTTCTTCTTCTTCTTCTTCTTCTTCTTCTTCTTCTTCTTCGTCTTCGTGATCGTCTTCGTTCTGGTTTTGGGTTCCTTCAAGGATAGTTTTACCTTGGAAACGGTATTTGTCGAGGTCTTCCATTCCAGTCGCAAGGAATTGCGGATATAGATCGAGTAGATCCTGAAAGTCTTCAGACTTGAGTTGCCAGAGGAATGTACCCTCCTTTACAACTCGAAGCCAAGCCTCCATCGCGGACTCCTCCGGCATGGTCGGCGGCAAGGGGACGTGTGTTGATCACGTTTTGAGGTTTGCGAACACTGACGTCGAGTTGCATGCGAGCCTGGCTGCTTCGACAAGAGGAACTGCGAGACGAGTAAAGTGCGCCTTCCAGAGGCGTGGGGCTTCCCTTATGACCGCGCTGACGGTCGGCGGCGCAGACCGGGACGCATGAAGACCAGTAGGGTCTGCTGCCCGACAGTCTATGCCCGGCGGCCTCCCATGAACGGGATGCCGCGGAGGCTTGAGGAGGAAGCTGACTGCGTTTCTCTTTTGCGCCATCAATGTAACTTGGCTCTCTTCATGTACTTCTCCGCAAGGCTGATTGGGTCGCTGGGTGAGGAGAACCCTGGAGGTAGCAAGCAAGCACTGCCGCATAGGTAAGTGCAGCATAAACACCTCGCTTCCTGTGTGTGACAACGCTGCAGAGCAGCATATTGTGCTTGACGCAACGTTCCATCCTATGCGTGGTTGGCAAGTCAACCTTTCAAGGGCCGAGAGGGCTGCAAGACGGGCGCTGGGAGTCTGGGACCTTATGTATGCTTACTGTTGGTGGATAGAGGCCATAGCACATGACAAGACCCAACAAATGAATGGGATCCCATACATTTGACACTTACCTACATGGTGCCACTGCATGGGTGCCCAATGCTTCGTGAACGCGCCCAATCCGGTTCTCCATTGGACTTCCTGTTCCCTATACCCACCTACATGCCCGACAATGCATGGGTGGTCAAGGCCCGTGTGACCTTGGGTGCCGAGCGCGGCGTGCGCGGTATTTAATACTCAATCCGGTTATCCGTTCAACTCGAACCACCACGCACTTCGGCTGGTGGCTGTCTCTGCGTTCCAAACATCGACCAGAACTGCCCACGATACCCGAGTGCCCATCATGGAGGCCGCCGGTCTGGCCTTTTCGGTGTACAAAGACGTCTACTACCTGGCCAAAGGCATATATCAACTGGGAATGTCCGCACAGCACTACAAAGAGGAGAACCACCATTTGCTCGTCAAGTTCCGTACCCAATGTCTGTACTTGCGAATGTTCAAGCATTTCTTCATTTCAGTTTTGCGAGCGGAAAGTCCAGAGGCGTCGTCTGAAATCCAAGTACGTACCCTCCTTTGGACCACTTAGTTGCTGAGGCACGGGACACGCAGCTTTGGGTGCTTGTCTTGCCTATGTGGACGCGAATTTGACAATCTAAACATGAAAGATCCTGGTGAACCAGGTGAACGAAATCATCATATGCCTCGGACAAGCCCTCGCGCACTATCGTGACCTTGTCTACGCGGAAGATGAGGAGTACTCTAAGCAGAGTGATTCTTTGACCTGGGAAAAACCCACTTCCGAAGCGTTGCTCGCGACCAACCTGGGCGACATACTGCCCCCTCCACCGTTGCTTCAGCCTGACTCCTCACCAATGCCCCTGAAGGTCCAGCCTATCTTCAGCTTTAGGGCCTGGAAATGGGCCTTGTTCAAGCGGTCCACGCTGCAAAAGGCCATTAACAACTTCCGGGAGTGGAATGACCAGCTGAAAGTTTTCGAGCCAATGATCGTGGTGAGCCTGTTCGTCAGTGACGATGCGCGGCGAGCTTTGGAGGCTACGATCAAGAGCGATCCGCACTCGGATCAGGAAGCATTCGTGCCCCATGTCAGGATCTCGCGGCTGGCAGAGGATGCCACCTTGCCTGCCGTTCCCGCTAACCCCGATGTGCCGTCGGTGGGTACGCCGCCTACTGACGTGCCTCCCAGAACGCGACTGGAGAAGAAGAGTTATCCTCAGTCCGAGGAGGAGGATACTAAGGCCAAGGAGGCCCTGCGCCAACTAGCGGCTCTGTTGGGAGCGGCCGGTGCGCACGATTTCCATACGCTTGCTCTGAAGAGCTGTGTGGATAACCCAGACGGGCATCAATTTATCTTCTCATTCGGGTTTCCAGAAGGAGCGTCCGACCGAGCACCGGTTAGCCTACAGACGATCCTCTCGAAGAAGTTGGGCGCCCCGTCTCTGCCCCTGCGCTTCCACATCGCCCTTACCATCTCCCGCGCCATCGCGGCGTTCCATGCTGACGGCTGGCTGCACAAGGAGATCAGCAGCAGCTCGATCCTCTTCTTCTTCGACAAGGACGACCGCTGCATGTATCTCCAGCCGTACCTCGTCAACTTTGAGTACTCGCGGCCCGACTCGGCCGAGACCAACATGACGGCCGACGATGACCTCGGCCGGAACGTGTACCGCCATCCGGATCGCCAGGGATCGCGGCCAAACGTCCGTTTTAATAAGACGCACGATCTGTACTCCCTGGGGGTGGTTCTCCTGGAGATCGGCGTATGGCAGACCGCCATGTCGATGAGGAACGCAAAGTTAAAGCAGGAAGGGTTCCTCTCCAGTCGCAGTGTCGGGCCCACGCAGGAGATCTTTGAAACCAAGACCAAGGACCGGCTGGGACACACCATGGGGCCGGCGTACCAGAAAGCCGTGGAGTCTTGCTTGAACGGGACATTTGAAGCGTTCTTGCGCAGGGACAGCATCTTCGCCTTGCAGTTCCAGAGCCAGGTGGTCAAGAATGTAGACCCGGATCGGGTCAGACACTTGGAGTAGGAAGGGGACTAGGGGAGGGGAGGGGGTATTGGCATGGGCAATTGGAGCATTGCCTAGCCGGATGTTACAGTGACTACCAGATTGAGAACAGAGGAGCCTTCGTCCTGCTGAATAAGTACATTTTTACACTCTCTACGCTCTATCTTTCTTTCCTACATCATAGCGTAACACCGAATGAGTCGGGGACGTCATGTCACTTTATGCCCTTTCTCATTTTCTAGTACCTTCCGTATGATAGACCAATTTCGATCATTGCGTCACAGGGTTCGTAAGCCGCAATGCCAAGACGCTAGGATCAGATATAACACGCATGATGGCAGTCTGATCCGTGGCTTCTCTTCATCATCTGTTGGCCGCACAGTCGCTCCCAGCACATATAACACCAGATTCTGCACCAATTTCAAGGCCAGAAGCCAAATCAAAAGATAATGGGAGATTACACAAGAACCATGGAGTCAATACTCGCCTTGAATCTTCAAGGGGGAAGGCGATGTCTGGCTGTCTGAGACTCCGCCCTGAGCGGCAGACAACTTTTCACACTTTAATCGACCACATCTCGTACAGCATAACCGGCACGCGTCTAAAATTGAGTCTAAGAACGGGAGCGTTTTCGTCTCGCCCCCGAGAGTTATTGTAGATGATGGAGACCCAGCACGGAATGAAATACTCGAAATCAGGCTATATTTTTACAATACACATAGCTTTTACGCGCCAATTTTTATCGGAGAAGCCGCACATACTGCCTTTGCAATCTGTTTTTATTAGGCTATTTCTGAATTTTATACTCTATAGCTTGAAGATATCATATTTGCCAATTATATCACAGATCAAGAGTTACTGTCTTTGGCCGAGTTGCTGGTCACGTGGCCTAGCCTTTTCCGGTCGAAGTTTCTAGTCGAAGTGTCTCTCAAGTATGCAAGTCGGGGCTATCATATCGTTCGCCGAAGCTCAGTGTTAGAAAGCGTCAGGCGGAGTATTAATGAGCCTTCATGGGGCGATTCATTGCCGAGGTACAAGTTGTGGGTGCTTTCTGCTACTAGAGCCACCGGGTCTGTGGGGCCGGACAAGGACTTCCCTGGCATGGCATATTTCGCGAAGCCATCTAGAATGCTGAGTGTGCTGAATGAATGCCCTAGTGTTGACTCCATCGAGATTATGAATTTACTTGTGGGTAGATGTTTACACGGTGTCTCATTGCCACTAACGACCCCCAGTCCTGTTACTCTCTGGCCCTCAACCCGCGATACAATACATTCACTCTATTTGAGACAGTTGACTATCGAGATGGGTTTACATCTGAATACAGTCGGTTCACAACTGCGCGATCTCGAAGCTTGAGAATGTCGAAGACGTGTATCTTGGGCCACATACATATTCGACCGAATTTGGGCGTGGAAGCTAGGGCATCCATCCGCAATCCATGACGACGATATCGAGGTTGACCTCTCTCCCAATCTATCCGTTAGTGAAATAATTGCCAGTGACTTGCTGGACGCAGCATACTATATTGCTAATCTGCGACTGGTGAGTCTTATCAACAAAGTGGTTCGCTCCATCTACGAATAAAAGAACCAAGACACGCCTCTGTCTAGTAGTCTACGAGGTTGCAGAGTGCGTTGAAGGATTTGAGGGCCCGGGTCGAAGATTTGCCTGGTCAGATTCGTTTCACGAAGCAGCTGGCTTCCTCTCGCAGCTCAAGGATGCTGGAAAACATGCCGCCGAGGAGTACTACCATCATGTGGAAGCGATAGGAGCTGCCCTGGAGAAGGTATTCACAGAAAGAAAAGACGTGGTTGAGAATTTACGTGTGACAGACGAGGCGAGCTTTCCAAGAAAACTTGCCCCAGTCCGTCCCTACGTCAAATAAACTTTGGGTCAGATTTGTTTTCAGCCATGGAAGGTAAAGATACCTTACGTGTGATAGAGTATCTCTGAGAAGGCAGGACGACCCAAATAGCGTGCATTGATTAAATAGACATTAATGGCACGATGCTCAGTCTATAACTCAATCACGGGCCTGAGCCCCGTATCTTATAGATGATGGTAGTCATCGGCGAGAGGTCATACTCACTCGTCTAGGTAATCCTGCCAATCCTGACATGTGTCTGGCGCTGTCAATATATGCAGCTCCGGATCCCGCGGAATGCTGTTCCGTGGACTAGAAATCCGAACCCTCGGTCTCAGAGCCAATTCGGCTGTCCTGTGCCGCTGATCTTGACAGCCCGTCCTCAGAAGGAGATCGACAGTGGCCAATCATCCTGCAAGCTGTAACGCAAGGAGCTAATTAGGGAAAATACCCGAAATCTCGGATTGGGAATGAGCAGCAGTTGATTGACCGGATGGCTGAAGGCAGAGGACGCATTCAGCCGCCCGCATTCCCCCTCACGGTGAGCGGCCTCATAATTGGTTCGGCATGAGTACGGCAATGCGACCGCTATCCCGCAGTTGCACTACTGCAATAGAAAGCGGGTCGAGTCAGACAGTATGACACAAGTCGCATATTTCTTTGTTGTATCCTTCGACCAACTGGGCACAGAACGCCGAGTCAGGGCGGCGCAGTCAGGGCGACATAGTCAAGGCGGCATGGTCATGGGCGGCACGGAACCCACATTATCGCACAAGTTCCACCGCGTGTGGATGGGGATGGATCATCATGTTCCTACAAAAGCATGTCTCCGCTCGCCTTGCAGTTCCTTGTGCCATTTCCTTCTTCGTATAGCCTCCTCATCCGAAGTACATCATGACAGATCACCAAAGCTCGCTATTCAGGCCGGCAGCTTTTGCTGTCGGTGTCGCGTTGCATGTATGTCTCTTCCGGCTCGGAGAATGGGATCTTGCGACGACTAAGCTCATCATCGGAGCCTTTTTGTCCTGCGCGGCATCGGGCGTCGCGTTGTGGCAATTGTTTCCCGCCGACTATCCCTCACTCCTCGCTAGCTTCACCACTGCATCTCAACTAACAGGCATTCTCATTCTGGGGATTGTGTGCAGCATGATGGTCTACAGGGGCGCTTTTCATCGCTTGGGACACTTTCCAGGGCCTTTTTTGGCGCGTTTCTCAAACCTCTATGTCACGAGGCTTTCCGCAAAGAAGCTTCATTTGTACGAAGAAATCCAGAGCCTCCACCACAAATACGGCGACTATGTCAGAATTGGTAGGTCAATAAAGTCAATTGCGAAGCAATCACTGACCCATCAGGCCCATCGGAAATATCGATAAACGACCCAAGAGCCGTTTTACTCATCCATGGAGCTCAATCAAAATGTGGAAAGGGGCCATGGTACGAAATATTACGACCCAGGGTCTCGTTGCAGATGATTCGTAACAAGAGCGAGCATATCAAACGCAGAAAGACATGGGACCGTGGTTTCAGCGCCAAAGGTACGCGGGTGGCAGCTCAAACAAATAGGATACCAAGCTTACTGATCTCACCAGCTCTACGAGATTACGAGCCCAGGGTGATCAAGCACACGGACAACTTTATCGCTCAACTAGAAAAAATGGAAAACACGCCCGTTAACATTACAGATTGGTTCAACTTTTACAGCTTCGACGTTATGGGAGATTTAGCTTGGGGAAAGTCTTTCGGAATGGTGTCAGGTGGTATCAAACACTACTTCATGACATCTCTCCATGCCGACATGACAAACATTGGTCTATTTACACACATGCTATGGCTCTTCCCGCTATTCAAAGCAACGCCAATCATCAACAGTGAGCATATCAAATTCTGGAATTGGGTCAAAGCGCAGGTCGATGAAAGACGAAGGGTGCGTATTCCGTTAGTCTGAAGAAGATATCGAGAATTAACCAAGCGTAAATAGACCAAACCAGAATCTCCAGACGTATTCTCGTGGCTGCTCGAGAGCCACGAGAGTTTGGAGCATCCCACTGCCCAAGATGAAATGGACTTGATTGGCGATGCGTATCTTATTGCGGTGGCTGGCAGGTAAGATAGCACAGCATCAATCATCTCGAGGTGGGCTAACACAGCAGTAGTGATACAACGGCAGCAAGTCTAACATGTCTCTTCTATGAGTTGGCACTTCACCAAGAACAGCTCAAGGCGTTACAGACAGAAGTCGATACGTTCTCTGAAGGCCAAGAGCAGCTGGATATACGCGGTCTAGCAAAATTACCACATCTAGACGCCATCATCAACGAGGTTCTTCGTTTGCACCCGCCGGTGCCATCGGGTCTCCAGAGAATGACACCACCAGAGGGTCTGACCATTGGCGACACTTTTGTTCCTGGCAACACCATCGTTCAATGTCCCACCCATACGATGCACCGAGGTTAGTTTGGTATACCCCGTATAAATTGGCTGATATAGTTATTTAACTCGTTTGATCCATAGATGCGCGATATTTCGAGCGACCCGATGAATTCCTGCCTCAGCGGTGGAGTACTGAAAAGGAATTGACCAAGGACGCCTCAGTATTCGTTCCATTTTCTACTGGTATGATCGGTCCATTTGTATTGCCATATGATCAATAATGCTAATTATGACGGCTCTGCTATTTCAGGTCGATATTCGTGTATTGGAAAGCAATTGGGCTTGATGGAAGTCCGATACATGACTGCCCAGATCGTCCGCAAATACGACGTAGCCTTGGCAAAGGATCAAACCCCGAAAGATTTCGTGGACGGAAAGCGAGACACATTCACGCTAGCTCTGGCCTCGCTCAACCTGGTATTTACAAGAAGAAAGAATGTGGCCTAGAAACCGTCTTGGAGTGGTGGCCATCCCCAGTTAGTTCTCTCGCGTTGATGTTTCTTGGACCTATTCACAATACACACAATTGCTTCGGACTCTATGGCGTTACTCATATTTTGTACCTGCGCCTCTTTGGAGTATTTGAACTTGATGTCTGTTCTATTTTGTCATATTTTAGGCTATATATTGCAGAAAATACAGTTATCAACCTAGAGCGGCAGGATAATCCAAATGTCTCTTACTCACAACCCCTATCTGGGTAACAGAATAGGAACCCTCAAATAGGCCAGCCAAACTTTTGTTGGAAGCTTTGAATAATTGGGAGAGTTTTTAAGAGTTTCTCCACCTGACATTGCAAGAGGACGCAGGCTAGCAAACAGCAAGAGACGGAAGAAAAACGCATTGTATTGTACAAAGGCTTGGAAATTCATAGCCCGCCATAAAGTTATAATTAATACATCCATCGTTTACTTCATTCATCCGAGCGATATGATCCAACGACCCATCGTATCCACGACTCAATATTTGCGAAGAGTTCCTCGAATCTCAAGTCGTCAAGTTGACACAGCAGTCGATTTGGCAGGTTTTTGGTGGGTTTCAATTTCGACGTTCCGGCCATCTGTAGCTGGCTGATCGGTATTGTCATCGGCCGGAGGTAAGGGTTTGAAGCCCAAGGACATCGGGAGGCTATCAAAGGCGGGAATGTCGCAGTAGAACTCGGGCCACTGATCAAACATCTGGCTTTTCATAGCCCACACGTTAATGTCTTTGATCCGTTGTTTGAAGGCGTCGGACATGACGAATTGTCCAGTTTCAGTGTTCATAGAGTAGGTATCGCGGAACTCATATGGCCAACGCAGACGAAGTGATTGCGAAAATAGCTGCCAGAAGATATTCCCACAATAACTGTGTTGATAGAAGACAAAACGCTCTCGAATTCCCGGCCTTAGTCGTGTGTCAATATTTGTCTTTCGAATTCCGTGTTGTTATCGTTACTCACCAGGCAAAGAAGTTGATGGCATATGAGTGTGAAATCGCCTGTGATGGTCTTGGACTGTTAGCTTACAAAACTCAAACGTTGGCGGAGCAGAATAGTCTACCTCTCCAGATACCACGGAGGGATTGTCGCTCGCCGTTCTGTAGATGGGTCCAAGTGATATAATAAGAGATCGTGCATTATTCGAAGCATGGCTACTCTCTCCGCCTGGCCACAACCATGGAATAAAACCTCATCTATGGGACGAAGCTTGAGCCACAGCGCAGGGAGTCTGCCTAATTTCGCTTCTGCTGCGGACCAGCCTTCCACCACTGCGCGGACTGGCAAATCATCTTGCCATGTCTCGTCAAAGTCGGCGCTGTCTCTATTTAGCTGACTTGGTGCAGAAAGCACCTCGTTGGCAAACCTCCATAGATTCAGGCTGTCGGATGAGGCTCTTAGTTGATCCTGGGGGTAGCATCCGCATCCAGGCATCGATGCTGGCGAAATGGGATCATTTCCATCATCTGGGATGGTTTCGAGGATGTTGTCAACTGGGGGGAAGCCAGGTAAGAGATCGTCCAAAAGAGTAACAACAGCGTCGGTAGGTAGAGTTATGAATTCCGGAACGTCCGGATGTTGCAGTGAGCAGATTGGATTCCTTGGGCCCTGTTGCGCCTGTATGGCCCCATTGCCGGTAGTCCCATCATTAGGATGCGCATTGAAGTCATTCGTGACGCTGTGGATTGGTGCTGTTTCTGCATCGTCCATGGTCGTATCTGGTGACTTGCGATTGCAAGAGCTCGTCGTGGAGTCAAAGGTGACAGCATCCTGACTTTGGGACAAGTGTTGGTTAATCGAAGATCCTAGACTCCTCAACAAGCCAAGGGCAACATCTCGCTCCTTGGTGACGGCTTGGAGAGATTTAGTCAAGGCTCTAACCTGGTCGCTGGTGTCCTTATGTTGGAGGTCCGCTACTAGCTTCTCGAGACTAGTGATGCGAGTCTTGGTCCTCTCTCGAGCCAACCTCTGGGCCTTTCTGTCTAGCTCTCTTTTCTTTAACTGACGTGTTGTGACTGTGTCCGGATCACGCCGGGCCGTGGTAGATGGTGAGGCGTCATTGGCTGCGGTCGCCCTTCGACAGGTGGAGCTTTCTGGTGATGCCATTTGACACGACAGGGTTGCTCGGTATGGAGTCAAACAGCCAAGGCTCCAGTAAGGGACATCTATTACCGAGATAGCAAAGGACAAGTGACGGTTTGGTGGAGCCTCATACGTGACAACATCACCAAATCTGTAGGGGCACCTCCTTTTCTGTTCTTGATCGGGGCAAATGAACAAGGGAAGGTTGATGCCGAAGGGAGCGGGGTAATGGAGACTGGAAGAGGCGGGGTAATAAACCAAGCGAATCGGAACCCTGGACAGATACGCAGAGTCGTCCAATTATCTCTCCTCTTCCCCAGGTTGAGGCTTGAAGCTGGCTCATATAAGGGATAGCGTAACCCCGTTATTCATGCTAGGTGTTCCACTTTGCAGAATCTTGATGAGAGTAACCAGAAACGGTAAGCGAGGACTGCACTGTTACGTTGTGGTGTTCCTCCACATCCGGGGTAGGGGCCACAAGACAACCCGAATTGGGATTATTTCGACCGCGGCAATACCTCCGGCATAAAATACTTGGTTTGCATGAGAGAATATGTAGAACGATACCCGCAAAATAGTCAACCTCTACACCGTTCTGTCCATTCTAATACTTTAGGGTAGCTCCTCTCGTCTCGAGTGCCAGGTAAGAAGCTACTCGCATCTCCGACCGACAAGAAATATCCGCTGCTCAGGTGGCTATTCAGGCAGCCGGAATGGTAGTCAAGTCACGCATTGAGGGTCCGCCCAGTCGAAAACTTCAGGTTCAGGACAGATGATAATACTAAGAGCATTTCTAAGTCATCTTAATCAAGGTTGAAGCGAGGCGAGTCAGAAGGCGCGCGTTGGTGAGATTCAAGAACGAGGTACAGCAGTTACAGTCAAGGGGCGGGAGTTATACGCCAGGCTTTTGGACCGAGGGGCATGTCAAAGGCGGCTGGCGCAAGTCGTGAGCATGCGGGTAGTCTCATGGCAGAAACACTCAAGCAATATCCTGACAACTGGACTGCGCTTAAGAAAGGGTTGATCCACTGCGAGTCTCGGTGTGCTACAAAGCAAGCGCAAAGCTAGCAAAAGTAAAGGAGGGAATTTCGTTGGTTGGGCAGCTGATCGCTAAGGCAGCCGTAGTTTGCATCTCCAATCACTTATGAGGACTTTCTACCCTTTTCTGCAGGTGGCATATTCCAATCAAGTCTCCAGTGGAATGGGACGAGTGGTACATCATTGGCTTTCAGCAAGTCCGCATCAGATCCACAAGTGCTTGAGAGGTCGGTCAATCGGAGGCAAGCTCATAGGCGTTAATGAGTGGTACGAGCATGCTCAAACGCAAAGCTTGAGATCCGTTTGCTCCGTGTTAGGGTTAGCAATGGAGAATCTCATGTAGGACCGTAAGGTGAAATTTTTGCAGTTGCCCCAATTGGCTCTCCTTCTTCTCATGAATTGATCTCTCAAATGAGGAGTTAGATTTGATACCAAAACATACCGGCTTTTATTCCAAGTCTCCTCAACGCTCTCTTACAACATGTCCTTGCCAATTTCTCCTGTGGAACTATAGTTCTGCATCTTTAAGAAGATCCAACTTCAAAAACACAGTTTGGTTCACCGGAGTGTTGTAGTAAGCCTGAGTCCCGACAAATCCTGTTCGTCTATAAAGCCGTAAAGCGCCTTCCATGGAAGGCAACGTATCCAGCACCATTTCGGTATAGCCAAGTTCTCTCGCTTTGTGGATAATTGCCTTGAGCAGAATCTCACCAAGGCCCATACCTCTCGCTTTGGGTGACACATAGAGACGTTTCATTTCACAAGAGTTTGTTTGTTTTTCTGGGTTCTGTTCAATCTCTTGGTTCAAGTGCTGCTTGAGAGGACGCAGAGCGACACAGCCCAGTGCGGCGTCTCGCGGCCCCAGCCCGTAAGCTACGAGTAGTTCGCCTTGTGGAGGCCCGTAGTAGGTTGAAAGATTCTCCATCTCCGTAGAGAAACCTTGATAGCTGAGATCCATTTGGAGAGAGTTGGTGTAATCCCTGATCAGAGACGCGGCCATGTTCACCTCCAAATCGCTTCGTGCTGGACATATCCGAAAATGCGGTGTCTTGCTTTCCATGTCGTAGGTAAAGTAGTGAGCAAATCCAAGGCCACTAAGATTTGCGGTGATTTAAAAGATTGGAACAATATGGGTAGGACGCAGGGGCAATGGTGAGGGTGAGGGTGAGTCAAGGTGGACCTATCCGGGAAGACGCGAGCCTTTTATCTACGCGCGATATATGCTTCGGGATGTAGCGGGTATTCACGGCGTCTGAGAGCGATTACGTTGCTGATCAACCGAGGATAATGATACCAAGTCAGTTTGGGTGGCTTGCCTTCGTGACTCATACATCGCAAGGTACGTCAACAGCAATTTGGGGAGGGCCATCTGATGGAACATCTGTGGATATAGAGGAGCAGTGTTTGCGGTGTTTCTCATATCATTAATTGCACAGCGAGGAAAAAAATATGCCTCTCATCAAGCCTAATGTATTCGCTACCTCAAATCCCAATCCTGAGCTTTGCCAGCGGGACTTCAGAAAACCCATCCTGCATAAAGTCTTGCATCATTCTCAGTGCATATTCCATCTCTTGAGGATCAATTGCATCTCCAATGCGAACATAGCCCTTATAATCCCCGTCGACCCCAAAACAAACACTGGCCGGACAGAGAAGCACACCTGTCTTATTCAACAATTGCAAGCAAAATTGTTGTCATAGACAGGCTTTCCGTCTCGACAAAAATGAACTATAGCAGCTGTAACAGCGCGAGGCCTGACCCAGTTACATTCTTTATTATTGGACATAAACTTTTGAACAGCAGCTAGGTTTGTCTGTACATACCTAGGTTTCTTGTTTCTGGCCAAGAGCGGAATGTGACAGCTCCATGAGCTCCTCAAGAGAGATGCTAGTGCAGCATGTGGTTGCCAGATCATATTTACGACCATCTTCCAATTTCTCGATCCACTACGTTCTTCGTGTAAGTACCTTCACAAATGGACTTGAGGCTATAGAAATATGGGCCCACAATCGTAACCTCGAATGGGGGAATATGAACCACGGCGTATGCTGGCAGAGTTCCAGCGCAGCGAGGGGGTAACGGGGTTCAAGTTCAAGATAACAATATCATCGTAGCCAAGAGACTTTAGGGCGGATTACAATCCGTTTACTGTTGGCCAAGACTAAACTGGACGCAAGGTAATTGGAAAAGAAGCTGAGTCAAACGTCTGTTAGTTGCTTCAGCATCTAGCCCACTTGTTGACAGCATTTTACGAATGCTAAGATGCATCGAGTATTCTTTTAAATGACTCCATATGTACAATTCCACTCTACTATTCACAAGAAATACAGCCGGCCTTTTTCTAGTTCAGGCACTGCGAATAATATTGGTTCAGCGCTTTGCAGGTTCCCGCTGAACAGCATGTTGCGCCGGTCCATTGCTGGCCACCACACTGGCCCCATAGCGCAGAGCAAGTCGTGCCACTGCTACCACTGCTACTAGTTCCGGTCGTCGAAACCTGAGTGCTGGTATCCGCGCTGCTGGTCGCGGCATCGGTAGAAGTGTCGGTCGAGGTGGCGAGCTTGCTGTTGACGAAGGTCAAGGCCTTGTCGCCGTAGATGCTAACATATTGCTGGTGATGCGCGGCGTCGTTTCCGTTGCAGCAATATGGGTCTTCGGCATCGCAGTATAGTTGAACCTTGCTCGCGCTGGGGCATACAAAGCCAGAGGCTCGGGCATCGAACTTGAGATTGTGTCAGCATGTTCATTTTGAGTAGACATCGAAAGCATTTTCCAGATCAAACTTACCCCTCCGCTTGTGCAAGTTCCAACTCCATATGCCAACCCAGAGACATATCGGGGATCTCCCATGAGAATTGCGGCCTTAATCATCTTCACAGCACTGGCAGAAATGGGGACGGTTGTGTCGGTAATGCCAGCACCCGAGTCGCCACCACCACAAAGGGCGTTGTCCATAATCTGACCTCCCTTTTGTACGTGTCAGTATGGTATTCTTCCCTTTGGCGCTCAAGTGTAATAGTAGACTTACTTGCGAATAACCAACTAGCACAATATGCGTGTCTGGGCACTTTGTGTTGAAGTCATTGACGGCCGTCGCCACGGCACTCGTCCCCGCCTTGGCGGAGTCTCCGTAAGAGACGCTGCCGCAAGAAGATTGGCCGCCGCATGCTGGGTAGGTGATGGCTTCTGATGTCGCGTTGGGGTGATCGGCGATGATCTTGTCAATCATTGCGCCGGCAGATCCGAACCCAGCGGAAGCCGTCGTCTCGCGGGCGCCGAAGATGTAGATTTCAGGACATGACTGCCCACTGACGAGCAGCATGTGCGCCGAGAGGAGCAGAAACGCAGATCTAGGTGAGGGCCACATATTGTATAGTTATAATCGAAGGCGTTTAAGTCGCGTCGTGGATGTGTTGCGCTTGTCTAGGTGAAGTCTACAATTGTGTAGACTGAGAATGTACGGCGCGAAGACATCTTCTTTTAACCTTTCTTCATGCTAGCTAGGGATGGTTTCACTTTTCTCCCGAGACGGGAGTCATGCGACCCTTGAATGATCCATCGGAAGTTTTGCGAAACCAAACGGCTTGGTTTCTCTCACCTGAACCCGAAAGAACATTTTCCCACGGACGCCCAGCCGAGTCTCCACATAATATCGCTCTACGTTTCGTGGATAAATGGGACGTGGTGGATGTGAAACTCGGAGCATTAACCGAGACCGCATTTTGGTCGTCCCTCTTCATTTCTTCGCTCAACAAGCAAGGGTGTGGGTTACATTCGTTTCGTCATTGTTAGTAATACATGAGTAGTAGTAATAAAAGGCAGCTTAACCTTCCAAAAGAAGATTCTACGTTCGCTTGTATTTTTACCGGTGCCTTTTATTGGCGGCTTCGTTGGGAGTAAATCACGCCCGTTTGCGTAGCAGCGCGTTTCTGGGGGCGGAGGAAGGCCACAATGGGCAATTACCCAGTCGAGTCAATACTGGTACATTCATATAGCCTATATCCAACCAAATAGCGTTTGCCTCTTAGGCTATTTCATTTACAGGAGTTTGTTCGGCCCTTATTTCCAAGCGGCAGCACGCCAATATTAGCACCCATTCTCGCAATACCCTGACAGTGAAAAGAAACCGGTGTTTAAATATCTGGCCTTGTTAACAAGTCATTTTTGCAATAAGAGGTACTTGATACCTGGAATTGCATACTTCGAAGATTGGAGGGGAGACATTGTCTCCCGCTTCATCCCTCCATGAGGAAAAAAATGAGTGATCAACCAAAAGCAATTGCAAAAGGCGGAAATATTTACAGATTTTTATGCTACTCCTCGCTCTTTAAATCACGCCTAACAATAAAGTGAGACCATCTCTGTCGTATTGGCTGGCTTTGCCTTTACAAACTGATGACCCTGCCGCTGGGCAAAATTCTTTCCCTCAATGAGTAGGTTCAACACTTACACGAACAACAGCGAAATGGTAGTCTTAGTTTTGAATGGAATAATAAATTTCCCTCCGCCTTCACTAGTCCAACCCCTTGCTCTTCCGTCTAATTTACACGGTGGTCTCTGCCGAGACGAGATGATGGCTGACTAGTATTGCAAAGCGGCATAATGAGCATACCTGTCCGCATACTTGACGCGATAATCACGACCCCAGATAATCAGTGGTATGCATGTCAACGCGACAGCCGCAGCGATGCAACCGAGTAGAACAAACATATTGTATACACCCATGTTTGTCATCCACGGCGTCACGGCGAAGACAAGCGCCGTCGCAATGATGTTGCGGACGAACACGACACCCGTCAAGGCATTTCCGAGAATCTACCGATCGATAAGTTTAGGAATGGGAAAATAGAGCAAAAGAACTTACCAGCTGGTACGAGTCTTGAACATATGTCAGGGCCATATCGCCAGTACCGCCAATGGCGAAGCCGATGAAACCGGCACCCACTGCGTTGATAATCCAAGGCATCCCCTGAAACTCGAGTTAATCGGTGTTTTTCGCACAACCAATTGGAAGCACATACCTTGGCAATAGTCAGACCGTACATGAGACATCCAATGGTCATGGATAATCCCGGGACAAGGAACAACCACAAGCGAGTTTCCGGTTCGTAAATACCGCCTCTTCTCTTGGCGATCTGGACAATGAGATAGTCGACAAGCGGCCCGCCAAAGAGCGAACCGAGCAACGAGCCGATGGCTGGTGGTAGGTTCATATTTCCAATACCTGCGGTGCTGAAATTGTAAGGAGGAGCTGCGTAGAGTGCCGACTGTGTAACAGCAAGGATGGCCAGCATGGCTATGGCAAAGCCATATTGCAGGGCCGCAAACGCGACGCCTGGGAATGAGACAAGGAGCTGGAAAGGCTGGTATATCTGCTTCCACATAGAGAGCCGTTCAACCGCCTGACTGTCTACCGACCAAAGAGTGTGCCTCTCCCAGTAGGTCTTCATGGGAATCGTGGTATCAATGTCGACCAACCTCCGTGACTGGATGGGTACTGTATCTGCATCATCGCTGTTGGATTGGTTCAACGGCTGCTTGTTAATGCTGCTAACTTTGGTGAGGTGGTCGTCTTGGCCCATTCCAACCTCAAAACCCGTTAGTGGAGGTGCGATGTACTTGGATTCTTCCAGGAAGAAGATCATCAGGACGGAGAGTACCCCCATGAAGATACTGCACAGCCAAAACACCCAGCGCCAACCCATTGAAATGGCGACATAGCCAGCGGCGACTGGGCCTAGGTAGTTCTGGAGTCCGTATCGGTTAGACAGGGCACGGTATATTTGATGTTTATGGATGGAATGTACTCACCCCGATCATGACCGTGACTAGGTAGATACCGTTCATCGTGCCTCTTTGATGAACAAAGAAGAGATCTGAAACCTGATTGCAAACATGAGTTAGGCACGATATCGAGGTTAAAGCCGGCCGACATACCGTGACCTGGAAGAGCGCCTCATTGACGGCCCCTGCAAGACCCATGACGGCATTGGTACCAACCATATCCCCAACTGTTTGCATTTTAGCCTGCCATACAGCCGTGGCAAACATGATCAAGGCGGTGGCGATATATATAGGTCGGCGTCCAATGCGGAGGGCGATGGGGATGAAAATAATGCAACCAACAGCTAAGGTAGCCATATTAGTCGCGTAGCCGTTGTTGAGCATGTCGTAACTGATTCCGAGCTCCTCGTTGAAGTCCTGCCACAATGGGACGCTGACGCAGAGGCTGTTGGGAAGGCTGTTAGTGGGCAGATTCTCCGTAGCGCGTCGACAAACAGGGGCCATACATTGCAAACACCATCATCGCGTAGAGCGAGAGGAGTGTCATGTGGAGAGTTTTGCGCCATGGGCTCCAGTTCTGTCGACGTGCATCCAGTCAATCATGTGTTACACCAATCGCGTTCACGCGCCTCTATGGGCTTTGACTGACCAAGGGCTGGTTGGGATCAGAACTCGGCTGAGGCGCGAGCACGACTTGCGTCCCATCCGCGTCCTCGATCCGCTGGGTGCCAGGGGGCAATGTGGTCGTGTCCATCGCGGCGGTATTGTGGCAGGATGGTTCCTGATTCCCACGCTCGAAGATTCCCGCAAGACTGTGTTTATAGAGAAGAGAAACTGCGAGGATAGGAAGATAGGATAGCGGTGGGTCAATCAACGAGACTGGCTGCAGGGGATGGAAACGCCGCTATCTTATGGCTCTGGCTCTGTATCTTCGAATATCAATCTGCCGAGACCGATAAACCGCCCTCCCCGGCCGTGCTATACTCGAAGCGGGACATAGATAACACGTCACCCCACTCAAATCTCCACCCAGTGTTGGTCCAGACTGTCAGTCTGTCACCACCATTGCGAGCTTTCTTTGCGTTGCCGGGCCCTAACCGGCTTGACGCCTAGAATCTCCAGGCCGCGTTTAGGCGATCAACCAGCAGACTGCATCCTCCCAGCTCCTTTAGCCGAGCTATGCCAAGACCTTGAACCTCATAATGACAGTATCAATGCAAATTACCAGAGACATGGGCTGCGACGCGATGGAACAGTGGCGTTGCGGGGTAGACCTTATCGTCTCACCATGATTGCAGGGCGTCTAGGGCGTGTAGAGATCGATCCCATGACGGATTTCAGCTTCCATGGCCGATATTCTCGCCACTTATGGGGGCTTCGGCTTTTCCATATCAATGGCGGTCCAAATATGTTGCTAACGTCCTTTGTCCTAAGTCTGGTTTGCCTTTGTCTAGCATACACTCTCCCAACGCCACATTCCGTCGGAAAAGAGCGTACGATTCCTCCACATATGAATTCATATCAACCAGACGGATACGCCGTGGAGAGATATTTAAGCCTACTTCAAAGTCAAGGCCAGGGCATCAATGTTCTCCAACCATGATCCTACACTCTGAGCACATCGAGCTACGGTTGCGCCATCAAGAACTCGGTGATCTGCGCTCCAGCTTAGCGTCACCTGCTCCTTCTTGACGATTGTCTCCTGTCCGTGGATATCTGTCGCGAATGCAGGAACTTGGGTTGCCCGCCCAATAGCGAGAATTGCCGTCATCGGCGACAAAATAACCGGCGCAATTGCATCGCCGCCGATGCTCCCGATATTGCTGACCACCAGTGTAGCACCTGTCATGTCGTTCGGGCTGAGCCGTCCTGCCTTTGCCAATGTGCTGAGGCGGGAAATCTCTGCGGCAATGGAAATAATCGACCGGTCCTGCACGTTTCGAACCACAGGCACCAAAAGCCCGTTTGGCGTATCAACTGCCACGCCGAAGTTGTGAGCGGTCTTCAAAACAAGATGCGGTTTGGCCGGGTCGTTCTCAGTGTCGAGAATCGAGTTTACCGTAGGATACGCGGTGACTGCCTGTGACAGGGCCTTGAGGACGAATGGGAGAACGCTCAGCTTCGGTGCAGAATCCTCCGCTCCAAGGAGAGTTGATAAATTCCGATCGTTCACGGTCCGTTTTCTCATAGCCGTTAAATCTGTCAAATCCACAGTATGCGTGTAGAGGAGGTGCGGGATCGACAGCGAGCGGGTCATCGAGTGGAACATCTGCGTTTGGATTAATGACAGTGGTATCCGACGGTCTTGCCCAGGATCACGATCAATCTCCGAGGCTTTTTGTATTGGCTGAGAGCCCGGAGTAATGCCAATTGCAGCAGCGTGCCTCTGGACATCCTCTTTCAGAACCCTCCCACCTTTCCCAGTTCCTGTAATGGCAGAAATATTTAGCCCGAGGTCTTTGAGTATGTGTCTGACAGCAGGTGTTGCAATGGAGAGAGGGGTCTTGGCAGAGAGAATGGGCGTTGTAATGGGTTGTGATGGCGCATCCTGACTCAATGAACTTTCAACTTCGGATGCAGTAGGCGTGTCGGTTACAGAAGCCTCTTCCAGGAGCCTATCGCCCGATCCATTGGGGAGATCATGGTCATCTTCAACGTCCTCGGTTTCAATGTCGACGAGTGCCTGTTCAGTGTTAGGGTATTGGTGCATGAAGCTGGCCATATTTGCACCTACAGATCCGACAGGCGCCATATCGTCAACTTCATAATGAAGCGTTTTAATTGTACCCTCGAATCGAGATGTGATCTAGGCAAGCCAGCGTATTAGCTACTCTGCCAAGTAGTTGAACGTGCGAATAAAGTCTACCTCAACCGTCGCTTTGTCTGACTGCACTTCACAAATCGGATCAAATTGTTGGATATAATCTCCAGGCTTCACAGACCACGAGACAATTCGGCATTCGGTGATCCCTAGGAGGACGTTAGTCTTGGCGCTAATCTACGTCAAACTGGTCAGGTCTCACCCTCGCCGATATCTGCCAGTCGATAAGGCGTCAGGGCATCGAGGCGTCTGCTGTTGTGGAAAGAACATCGTTGCAGAATGCTGACATTATCGGGGCTCCTCCTGTTGTTGTGAACAATACGGTTGAAAGTTGCAATACTCGGGCGAGCTGACCGTCCCCGTGTGAATCTGTACATTGTTGAGGTATAGAAATGGACGGCGCTGGTTCTGATTCAAAAGCAGCTTCCCGGAGCACTGGTACTTCATAATCACAGGCACGGCATCAATTTACAGCCCGCAGACTAAAGCCGAGAGACCCGGGACTCTTACACCCGTGGTCCCGAGGTGGTGTCGGTATTTCCTAAACCGGTCCGGGTTTGAGGGGCATAACAATCACCATCGAAGCTGGACCGGAGCATGGCCGCTTGTAGCCGATCATGTTTAGAATGAGATGTCCCGGTATTTCACCAGGGTAGTGAAATAAAATTTCTTGGTTCTTCTGCCCCAAGTCTGCGCTTTGCCTCGTAACCCAGAATCTCCCGTCGAACTCGACATGATTAGACCCCGAAATCTCGGTAGCCGGCGCTCAACCATCCGAACCACTGCGCTCTCTTGTGGATCTTATTCACATCGTAGTTTTGTGCGATGGATTTCTGCCTCGAAAGCATCGCGCGACCTGGCTCGGTACAGGAAGGCTTTCCCCCATTTAAGATATCAAGCTAACTCTCCTGCACCAGTAGTGGCAGCCCGAGTTTTCCGGGCGCCATCAAGAGCCTCCTTAGTACAAAGATGGATTGGATCGTTCCGGCCGAAATTCCAACCATTCCGACATATCACATCATGAACTCGAAGAACATCATCGAGGACGAAAGTCAGCTTTCCGCCGAAATCCCGAATGACCATGTGCTCAAGTGGTACCATCACATGCTTACGGGTATGCCATCCGAATGCAGGGCAAATCTCACATTATCACTGACAAAATGCCAATTAAAGTCAACATTATGGATAGCATCATGTTCGAAGCGCAAAGACATGGCCGCCTAAGCTTTTACATGGTAAATAGCTCTCCCTCACAATGATTCTAGTGGAAGGCACTCACACAACAAGGTATCCGCCGGAGAAGAGGCCGTTATGGTTGGGTCAGCTGCGGCACTTGGTGCAGGGGATGTCATCACTTGCCAATACCGAGAACACGGCGTGTTCCTGCAGCGTGGCTTTGAGCTGAAAGACTTCATGAGCCAGCTGACTGCAAACTGCAATGACCCAGGAAAGGGACGCAACATGCCTGTTCATTACAGCGGGAAGGATAAAGTTGGCATTGTAAGTTGTTCTCTCACGGATCAGTCAATAGATCTTGCATTGACAGATAAGCACGCGGTTGCATCGACTCTCGGAACCCAGATTCCCCATGCCACTGGAGCTGCATATGCACTGAAGATGGAAGCGCTGGAAGACTCGACCAAGGAGCCCCGAGTGGCAGCCTGCTATTTCGGAGAGGGAGCTGCTAGCGAAGGCGACTTCCATGGCGCTCTCAACATGGCGGCAACTCAGCAATGCCCTGTGATTTTTATATGCCGCAACAATGGCTTTGCCATTTCAACCCCGGCCTCAGAACAGTACCGAGGTGATGGAATTGCTAGCCGTGGCAGTGGGTACGGAATTGAGACGCTGCGTGTTGACGGCACTGATATTTTTGCCGTGTACGAGGCCACGAAAGCTGCTCGTCGAAAAGCCCTCGAAGACGGCGGTCGACCGATTCTGCTAGAATTCATGAGCTACAGAATCTCCCACCATAGCACCAGCGACGACAGCTCTGCTTACCGTAGCAGCGAGGACGTGGCTCACTGGAAGTCTCCAACTCGCGACCCCATTGCGCGGCTTCGACAGTGGCTAGAAAGCAAAGACTTGTGGAGCGAAAGCAAGGACATCGAGACTAGAGCACAGATCCGGAAGGACATAATCCACGAGCTTAAACTTGCAGAAAGGGAGAAAAAGCCAGCTTTGAGTGCCATCTTCGCGGATGTTTACGCCGACTTGACCGAAGAGGCGCAGGCTCAAAGGCAGGAGCTGAAGAGGATCATGTTGAAGTATCCGCAGGAATATGACTGTAACCAGCATGTTGGGGGGATTGAGGGTCTGTGATAGGGTGGTGGATTAGATGAAGATAGGCTTTTACTGAGAAACATCCACATACTTTATACTTAACATTGTGTCTAATATCTGAGATAAATCCCGTGACAAGCCATGCGCGAAATGTGAACCACAAGTGCGCTGACAGTTTGATAACTTTGTCTTTCAAACTCGCATTTACTGACGCTGTGCTAAATTATGTATATAGAAGCTTCACTTTCTATACTACGCGCAGATATTTCTCTCCTCTCAGTACTCTAAGCTTTCCAAAATGGCATCATAGACTCCTAGTTCCTTTGTCAGTAATGAGGACACAATTCCCATAAGGACTTTTACTTACTTGCTACATCAGGGAAGATGTATTTCTCATACGAGAGGCCAGTATGGGTCGTCCAGCCGGCGATTCTCTTGATGGGTGACTTGAGATATGGGAAGGCAGCCTCCTGGATGGTTGCTGCTACTTCAGCGCCGACTCCAAAGTTGACCATGCTCTCATGAACAACAATGGCCCTACCCGTCTTCATCACACTTTTTATAACGGTCTCCCTATCCCAAGGGAAAATGGTTCTCAGGTCAATCATCTCAATGCTCACCCCAGGACAATCCTTTTCGACAAGCTCGATTGCGTTGGCGCAAGTGTAGAGGGGTCGACCGTATGAAATAATTGTCAAGTCTGCGCCGGACTTTACCACTTCTGCGCTTCTCAGTGGCAAGGTGTAGAGTCCGTCGGGAACTTCCTCGACGGCAGCACGGTACAGGATCTTGGGCTCCATAAATATGACAGGATCTTTCGACTCGAGGATGGCAGAAAGAAGCAGTCCTTTTGCTTGCGATGGAGAGCGCGGCACAACGACAACAAATCCTGGGACGTGGCAGAAAAGGGCCTCTGGCGACTGTGTATGGTACCTGTTTGAGATGAGTCCGTGTTCTTGTGGTCGCGATCGGTTGGGAATACGTACAGCGCACCGTGGCCAACTCCGCCAGTGGGCATTCGAATAACCATGCCCCCGAGGTTCCCTCCCGTCATTCCTTCGCGGTACCGGAACTTGCACGCCTCGTTGACTATTTGATCAAAGGCGGGGAAAACATAATCAGCGAATTGAATCTCGACCACGGGCTTCATGCCCTCGGCAGCAGCTCCAATTGCAGTCCCGACTATTCCTTGCTCCGTGAGAGGTGTGTTGAACACCCTTTTGCTGCCGAATTCCTCCTGCAGACCTGAAGTACAGCGAAAGACGCCACCGAAGGCGACATCCTCGCCGAAACAGAGCACGCGATTCGACGCTGCCAGTGCCGTTTGTAGCGCCGAGTTTACCGACTGGAAGAGGTTCAATCGCCTCGATGGGCCATCGCCAGGTAGCCCGGGTGCCTTCAAGAGAGATTCTCGGGTATGATGGAGCAGCGGGGTAGTACCGAAGTTGATGGGGAGGTTCAGTCGGCGGGTGGATGTCGCATCTATCTGTGAAAGATAGCGGCGGGTTTGCGCGCTCAGCAGCGTCTTGGGCCGTTGACCCCAAAGTCGACGATGAAGCATGGTGACGAAAGTTCAATGTTACTAGCTGAGCCAAGTGGAGTGAAGTGAATGAAGTGGTGTAGATGCAGATTGCACTGCTAACGCCCTGGAAACACGCTGCTGCAGTCTGTATCCTCGAACATTCTCGGTCGAGTTTCGCCATCAATCTGGACCAGGCTGATGCCGACACAGGCCGATGGGAGCCATCATCACCCGCCGCTAAACTGAGAGGATGCTTGGCCGAGGCAGCTGGTTGCGAGCGTCGCACTGCAAGCATCTACAGCTCATGGAGGTGTTGACCGCGGGATTGCCTAAATCAGAATCGGAGGGGTTCCATCGGTTTAGTGCCGGCAATTAGTTTACTGAGGTTTGGCGTAATCAGAAGAACGCAACGGCAATAGACAGATGCCTCATCTCTAGAACGCATGACAGGCTTCAGGTAGACTTGATAGTGCCGCGATTGGGCCGGGCTTCGGACCTCGTCCTCCGAGGCGTACTCGTATAGCTTCATTTCGGCTCCTGGTATCCCGCCGGAGGCAATAGATTCCGAGATATCCCACTTCCATGATGGCCCACAGCTTTCTATCCGGCCCGCTTCAATTATATATGATGAATCCTTTCTTATATTTATTTATTTTCGACAGAAACGAGCTTGAAGTGTGCATCTCAATTCTCATGCCTGCAGTTTGAGGCTATCGCTGTCTCTTCTTGCATCAACTTCTATTGAGGCTATCAATTATTTTGCTGTTATGCAATCAGTGTCGCTTTACGCACATCGGTCCTCGATCAACGTCAACAGAAATGCCAGTCCCAAGATAGCGCATGATACAACCATGCCGTTCTGGGAAGCTTTCGAGCATGATTGTTGCCAAGACACCCCAGTTCGGTTGGAACTTTCACCTCCGGTAGTTTTGGCTGGATTGAACCCGCAACTTGCGCACTTTCGCTGTGCAGGATGGCTGACATAAAGATGCCGAAGCTTCCGCCAAGTACTTTTTGCCTTCCTACAATTCCCCGTGCAGGTGCTGCGACGTCGTATCAACGAGGAACACCAAAAAAAGCTTGAACTATAATTCATACCATGCTACCGACCTGGTAAATCTGTAGCTGGAATCATTGGGGGTCCAGCACCCGAGCTTGCCGAGGTGAGATATCCCATTAACTGCGGCAGATTCGTTGGTGAAAAGACCACGTCCTAAAACTAACGATAATAGTCCCAAAGGTACTAGTTTGAAACGGAAATTCATCCTTGCATTCATTGCCACGATAAAACACAGCTTCCAGCCTTCCTACCCAACGTTGAGAGTAATATGGTTGTTGCCATTAATGCCAGCATCCTGCTTACCCTATACTAATCATCTAGTATAAATACGGTCGTTTGCAGTTTTAATTTATTTAGTATTACAAATAAACTCTACTGGAGTTATATGGATTTTGGGGTTAATTTTGTGAGTTTACCATGGTACTTAGAACCCATTCAACCTTTGCGATTTTTTGCGCTTATCAAGATTCTCGTGAGTAGCTCCAAGACGTCATTCTTGGACTCGCTCACTCCAGGACATCACCCACCATAGCTTCGCTTACTACGTCATGCTGTAATTTGAACAATTGGATCCACAGTGGAAATTTGTTAAGCACGAGACTCGCAACCCCGTGGGGATAGGGGCAAAGCTGATGGCCGAGATTCGCGGCCGAGTGGCGGTTGCCCCCCACTACATGTGGATCGCGAACCGAGGATGCCGAGGCACAGCGTGTCTTGGCCTCAATCACAACGCGTTCCGATGTCGGCTTAGCTGGACAACAGCCTTTCATGGCCGTATTTAGTGTACAAGGTTCCATCTTTCAATTCTCCCTGAACATTCACCACCTACGTTCCCCCTTATACCCTTATACACTCCTGTCAGCCGCGACATCGTCGAAATGCCTCCCCCGAATCCCGACTGGGTCAAGGCCCTCACGCCCTCGGGCCCCCAAGGATCAGAGCTCCTTGCCCAGGAGAGAGCTAAATCAGATCTCAATGTGGATCAGCTTGCCACCTTCTTGTTCACAAGCGAGGTTCTCAAGAGAGACGCGAAGCTTCTGGAGATTCTCTCATCTGACCCCGTCTTCGACAAGTCGCAAAACTATTTCCGTGGCAGGAAAGAGAGAATCAAGGCCGCTCTTGCAAGGGCAAAGACCTTGAGACAGCTATCCGTCAAGCACAATTGGAGCCAGGATGAGTACCAAGCCGCCAATGACCTCATCAGCGAGCCGACCCCGTACGGCCTGCACGCGTCCATGTTCTTGAAGACCTTGGAAGAACAGGGCACACCGGCGCAGCACAAGCTGTTCCTCGAGCCAGCCCAGCGTTACGAATACATCGGATGCTACGCGCAGACCGAGCTCGGCCACGGATCCAATGTCCGAGGCCTGGAGACGACTGCCACTTGGGATCCTAAGGACAAGACGTTCACGCTTCATTCGCCTCACCTGACCGCCTCCAAGTGGTGGATTGGCTCGCTGGGAAAAGCCGCAAACTACGCCGTGGTCGTCGCACAGCTCATCTTGAACGGCAAGCCGTGTGGCCCGCACCCATTTGTCGTCCCTATCCGAGACCTCAAAACCCACAAGCCTCTACCAAACATCCACGTCGGAGATATCGGCCCCAAGTTCGGTTATAACACCATGGACAACGGATTCCTGCTCTTCAACCACGTCAAGATCCCCCACATCAACATGCTTAGCCGATTCTCAGGCGTCGACCCAGAGACGTCAAAGTACATCCGGCCATCTAACCCAGCGCTCATGTACGGCACTCTGACCTACATCCGGTCTTCAATTGTCCTCCAGTCGGGATCCGTGCTTGCCCGCGGCGTGACCATCGCCACGCGCTACTGTGCGGTTCGACGCCAGTTCCAAGACCGCGACGCTGCCGAGGGCGAGTCTGGTGAGAACCAGGTTCTCAACTACACCATGGTGCAGCACCGCATTCTGCCGTTGCTGGCAGCTTCTTACGCCTTGCATTTCACTGGCCGCGCCATGATCAACCTCTACCAGGCAAACCAGAAACGGATGGCCCAGAAGCAGGCTGGAAACGATGCCAAGCGAGCACCTGGTCCGGAGGAGCTCAACCCCGGAAGCGACCTCTTGGCTGATCTTCACGCCATCTCGTGCTCGCTGAAGGCTTTCGCGTCCACTACAGCCGCCGAGGGACTGGAGGTGTGCCGCCGTGCCTGTGGCGGTCACGGTTACTCTGCCTTCTCCGGAATCGGTAGTTGGTACGCCGACTATCTGCCCACCGTCACATGGGAGGGCGACAACTACATGCTCACGCAGCAGGTCGCTCGGTATTTGCTCAAGTCTGCCCGTGCAGTCCTTGCAGGTAAAGCCGTCGACAACAGCATCACTCGCATCTTCAACGAGTTCCTCCGGAGGCAGGATGTCGGTGCTGCTTTTGACGTCCTCGACAACGACCAGCATCTTGTCGATGCCTTTGCCTGGCGGGTTGCTTTTCTGACCTTCGAGGCCCTCAAGCACAGAGATGAAGACAAGCAGTCTTGGAACAGCCTCCTTATTGACTTTTGGCGTCTCTCCACTGCCTACGCTCAGTACCAGGTAGTCAAGTACTTCTACGAGGCGCTCCAGGACGACAAGACAAAGGCCGAGCTTGATCCCAGCACACTGCCAGTGCTTCGCCAGCTGTTCCAGCTGTTCGCGCTGCACTACTTGACAAACCACGCTTCCGAGTTCTTCACCAGCGCCGCCACCAACGTGCGCCAGATCCAGCTTGCACGCACAAAGCGTACGCTGTCTCTCCTCGAACAGATCCGACCCCACGCTGTGAGACTGGTTGACGCATGGAAGTTCCCCGACTGGCAGCTTGATAGCTCGTTGGGTCGTTACGATGGTAAGGTGTATGAGGATATGTTCCACCGGGCTTCCGAGGTGAACCCCCTGAATGATGTTGTGTTTGACCCTTACCCGAATTCCGCTGTCTTGTTTAGAGAAGATGCAAGCGAAGATCTGAAGGCGAAATTGTAGTTATGTGTCCTATAGAAGTTCCCTTCAGGCTTTTAGACTTTGTATAGAAATTTGTTCTCTAAGATGAAATATAATTGTTTTTCTCAAGCGGTATCTGCTATAATAGAGTCAATACACCAGAACCCAGAACTACAGTGTACCCACCCTTCATAGATAACGCGTGCTTAGTCAAGCTCTAGATACACCCTGCACCCATGTCCTTATGTGGGCCTAGAACAATAATCAGGCCACTTTCAGGCTGCTTGCTGAAAAGTTTGCCAGAGGTTTCTTTTTTCTTTTTTTATCTGAACCCTCCAGGATCAAGATATCGAATAGACTTATACATTCGTCTGTGTTCGGCCAGTAAAGTCACCATGGCTCCTAAGAAGGTTGAAGCTGTCGCGAACAATGTCGTTGCTTTCGGAAGGGTTCGCAAGAACCTGAAGATGGGATGCGTTGGCCTGCCCAATGTGGGAAAGTCAAGTCTGTTCAATCTCTTGACCGACCAGAGCGCCGCCGCAGAGAACTACCCGTTTTGTACCATCGAGCCCAACGAGGCGAGATGTGCTGTTCCCGACGCTCGATATGTAAGTTAAAACACTCTACAGCCAGGTTCTACAACAGATGGCTGAAGTAAGCAATACATAGGACTTTCTCTGTGACCTCTGGAAGCCCCCGTCCATGTACCCGGCGTTTCTGCAGGTCACCGACATTGCTGGCCTGATCAAGGGTGCTTCTCAAGGAGAGGGACTTGGAAATGCCTTCCTGTCTCATATCCAGGCGGTTGATGGCATGTTCCACATTGTCAGGTACGACCTCCGTCGCAAAAATGCCGCGCTTTCACACTAAATCTAATTTGACGACAGAGCATTCGACAACGATGAAGTCTTGCATGTCGATGACTCGATCGATCCCGTCCGGGACTTGAGTCAGTGCATCCAAGTCCCCGAAGATGACGAAATTAATCGGTGCATCTTCTAGACACCATCCAAAGCGAGCTTTGCAAGAAAGATCTCGGTTCGTTTTGTCCTTTGACCTGGCTTGACACCAGCTAATCTAGTTCCCATTTAGATATCCTGCGGAAGCAAATCATTGCTGAGGAATTGATCGTCAAGAAGGCAGGTGGCAAATACAAGATGCTGCCTCTTTTCACAGAGACAACGACAAAGATCCAAGCAGTGAGTCCGAAATCTCCAGTCTTAAGGTCTATCCATTTAAATGTGCTCACAATCGTGAAATAGATGCTGGAGAAAGATCAGCCAGTCAGAGATGGAAGCTGGACACCGGCCGAGATTGCACTCATCAACGAGAAGATCCAGCTGATCACGACGAAGCCAACCATCTACCTTGTCAACTTGACCATGAAGGATTACCTCAGACAGAAGAGCAAGTACCTGCCGCTCATCGCCAAGTGGGTCACCGAGCACGGAGGTGTTCCCCGAGACATTGTTCCCTTCTCTATTGAGTTTGAAGAGAAGCTTTACAGCATGAAGGATGATCCGGCTGCACAAGCCGAGTTCCTCAAGGAGAGCAAAGTCAAGTCAAAACTGGACAAGATCATCACTGAGGGATTCACCAAGCTTGGCTTGCAATACTACTTCACCGGTTTGTTCATGATTGCTACCTCTGGGTGAATTGCGCGCTAATTTTACGTAGCTGGTGAGAAGGAAATCAGATGCTGGACTATCCCAAGGGGTTGCCTGGCACCACAAGCTGCTGGAGCTATCCACGGCGATTTTGAGAAGGGATTCATCAAGGCTGAAGTGGTGGCGTACCAAGACTTCCACGATCTTTGCGAAGGCGGCAAGTCCATGGGCCCGATCAAGGCTGCTGGAAAATACCGACAAGAAGGAAAGACTTATGTAAGTACTCGGATTCGTCCTGGTGCTGCAGCAGCTGACTTGATATTTTCCCAGGTTGTCCAAGATGGAGACATCATCCACTTCCAATTCAGTAAGTTGAAAATTGTCACGGATACCACCGTGTCCAGCTGTTTTACTTGTGGCTATTACAGGAAGGTGCTAATTTTCGTGTCTAGACGTTTCAAACAACAAGAAATAGACTTGTTGTGTCGAGACCGGCTGATATGGAAGTTCGGATAAGGTGTCGCCGTTCCTGTATTTCATTGACTAGAGACCACTTTCAACAATTGGTCCATTCAGTTCGGGATAAAGAGGGGATTGGGACCGATAAGATCAGTCAGGAAGTTAGAAACATCATGACCTTAGACAATGAATTTGAGAACTAAATCAGATCGCTTTTCAGTCAATCTTAAAGGTCTAAACACAACAACTCGGCTAGAACAATCAGCATTCAAGTTTTTGCGCATACGTTATAGCTTTTTTGGCGTTTTTTTTGGCTCCAGCCACAGCGCTCTAAGCCTCAAGCTGCTACAGCAGCTACAGCACTTTAAGATTCCAGCAGCTATAGTAATTAAATAAAAGAAAATAATAAATAAAATAAGAATTTTCTTATAGATAATTAGCTAACTAATTTTAAAGTTAAGAGTTTTTAACTGCCTGTTATAATATTAAAGCTTGCATCGCAGGCAGTTACAAGCTACCATAGTTACATTAAACACCAAACCCAATGTCCCTTTACCCGTCTGTGTAAGATCTAGCCATTAGGAGACACCTTCAGTTGTAGGTACCACATTATCTTTCTCAACAGCCATTCTCGTCTCTCCACGTCTAGTCAAAATCTCGCCGTACCAGTACCGCCCACCCATCTCCCTCACACAAAGCCTCCTTTGTTTGTTGTCCAGTCTCGCGATACCAGCAAACTCGTCCGCAATACTGCTGTCGCACACATAATACATGGCGCCAGCAATGGAGCGTGGATCCACTGGCATGTCGGGCCACTTGACGAAGAAGCTGCCGACGATAGTGAGAACCATCAGCAACAGAACTCCCATCGAGGTTCGGGCGCAAACGACGTGGGTTACGTATGTCTGTGTGATAGTGTATGGTATGTTGACCAGGAGGAGAGGCATAAAGTTGGAAAGCATCGTCATGAATGCAACAAGACCAAGGAATGGTTGGCCATGCTTGATGGAAGAGTAGAGTCCAGAGTAGCCATTGGTTGGTCTTGTGAGGAGGATCGAGTCCGAGGCAAGCTGCGGTTTTTGTGATAGACACTGATACGGGGCGATAATGGCCACACCTAGAGGTTGTCAGTAAACGGGTCCACGGTTGCTTCCACATGAAAACTTACTGATGAAAAGTGCTGTCCAGCCAAAAGACAAAACCACGCCCAAGGCGCAGAAGAAGAATCGGACACCAAACGTCTGGCTATCGATAAAAGTCTTAAACTCAGATTGCTTGGTTAGGTTGATATGATAGTAAAGAATCAGGACGATCAGGCCTAGGAGGAAGGTGATGAATGCAAGACGCCAAATAATGCCCAATGCAATAAATGGGTTTCCTTTGGGGATTCGTTGGAAGGGCGCATCAGCCGACCGGCCTTGTGTGACTTGCCCGCTCTCCTGGACATACTGTCCCTGGTTTGCATCATGTTCAACCAAGATGCCATACTCTTGATGGGAGCTCTGCGTCTGGAAATACCCCAACCTGTAGCGATTGTCTCTCATCTCCTTGTAAATCTTCTTCTCGGTGAGTTGCCGCGGGCGGATGAACCGATTTGCAGCAAGAGACGCCGTGCCAGCAATGCTCCAAGGGTTCGCATACAGACCCGTCTCGAAGTTCCGCAGAAAGTAGAGCAGCGCGCAGAGAAGTACAATGGTGAAGGCCAACAGGGCGAGCAGCGCACGCGTCGGAATCTGCGACAAGCCCAATGCAGCAGCGCAGCCGACGGCCGAGTTGGTCTGGCATGTTCCGTGTATCTTGACGCCGATGGCCTCTGTCGCAAGCGGCGTCATCAACGACGAGCACAACACGAGCATCATGGTGATGAAGGTGACCGGGTGGCCATCGGAAAGCGTAGTAAATGGCTTTAGGAAGCCTGTCCACCCGCTGTAATGCAGCACCATTGAATTCGACCCGTATGCTCCGGTGGGCCTGCTCAAGGCGTAGAAGGGCTGGAACAGTTGGGCATTCAGGTCGATGATTCGGAGAGGGATCGAGATGAGCACCGCCACCAAGGCCGGAACAAACTTGCCAAGAAAGTAGCCAGCCTCGGTGATCTCATACACGACCAAGTTCGCGGCTGCAGTCCCCGTAGGCGTCGACTCCATTGTCATTGTGGCGCCATCGACGGTTGACAGTATCGTCGTCTCCCCTCCGTCCGTAGTCAGCGTCACCAATTTGCCTCGGGTAGTCGTGAGCGTCTCCGGTGCAAAGGTGTTGACGATTGTCGTGGGAATCCCGTTGATCTCGGTGACAATCGTCTCCGCGGCCCGAGTGTTGACAAGGGTTTCCACCTCGTTAACTTGAGTGACGACGGTGGTCGGCGCAATCTTTTCGACTTTTGCAATGGTCGTGGCGGCCCGGGTGGTGACGACGGCAGTAGGTTGGATGATATTTGCGGGCAGGTCGGCGGGATCTGTCACCACGGTTGTGAGCGTGGACTTGCCGTATGTAAGATATCTTTCTTTCGCCAGAGTCACCGGCGTCGTGACCACGACTGTATTCTCAACTGTATAGACCACACTCTCCACACCCGGCCCGCTGCCGGCTTCCTTGGTTATGGTATCGACGTATGTAGTCCCTGCTCCGCCATCCTTGGTTATCTCGTATACTGTGGTGTGTACCACTTCGGTTGGACTGGAAACCATCTCCGTCCCGCTGCCCGGAACCAGGGCGTATTCGGTACTTGTTTCGAGCTCAGTCGTCGTCTCCACGACTGCGCTTTCGCCAGGGATGATGATGGTCGATTCGTATATGACGTCTGATGGAGAATCTCCGTTTGTCACGTACGAAGTTGATAAACTCGTTTCCACAATCGTGGTGGTGATCACGCCCGTTGTTCCTGGTACCGTGACCCAACTCTCGACTTCGCTGATGTAGGTGGCGGTGGTGAGGAACGAGGAGGTGTAGTCTTGCGGAGTATCGTCTTGCGGAGTGTCGTCTTGTCGGGGGCTGAGGTCTCCTGCCACGTTTCGTATGTCCTCAATCGACCTTTTGTCCTCAATCACGGCTGTGCTATCCGAGTTGGGCATGGTTTGCCTTGCCCACAGGACGACGCCCATGGCTCCCATGATGAAGATGATTTGCATCAAGACGAAGTACCATCTGAGCACGGTAGGTCTGTAGTTTGGCCGCTTCTGCGAGCCCTGTGGTAGGTCGACATGTCGGTCATGGACTGGCTGAGGTTCGTATGACGCCTTGTACTCGTAGGCCGAGGCCTCTGCGCCCGCTTTTGAGGCATTCATCGCTTCTGTGGGAGTCGACATGCGCCTTTTCAGATGCGATTTCTGTGCGAGTACTGATGATGCCAAAGAACCACTCATCAACATGGGAGGCGCGCTCTGATATGTCGCGTGGTCAAAGCCATCTCGGGAAAGTCGACCAGTAGCAGCATCACACCATGAGACAAGTCGGGCTTGGCATTATGGCACTGACACCGCTTCGAATCGCTCTATTGCGAGTGTGTTGGCTTGGAAGATTGGTGGCAACTCGATTGAAAGCAACACTAACCCAAGATGTGTAGACGTGACCGGCGAGGCCTCACCTAAGACCTGTTGGTGGAGCTGAATCAAGAGCTAGATCGTTCCAACGGAGCCTTGCCAAGACAAGGGGCTTTCAACTTGCTGTGCTGGAACGGAAAGGGAGGGCAGAGTCGTCCAGTAGGGCTGAAGGGCTGAGCTGGGGGAACCGAGACTGAAGAGGCTGAAGTATAGCGCCCTTCGCACCCAATTTTGACCATTCACGGGCTCTATCGTCCTGTTTAAGCGCTGATTTTTTAGAACATGGGCTTGACACTATTGAACATTAGCCTTCTGTGGCGCCGATCGCTTCGTGAGGCCTCAGCACCTTGTCCCTACTCTTATTGCGGATGATGCACTGTAGCGAGGAGGCAAAATTGCCAAGCAATAAGCTTAGCCACAAGCTTTCAGACTAAACGCGTAGTGTTGACTGTAGCATCACGATTCTGCCTCACCTTTCGATTACTAGTCCGACGAACTTGCGTGACCAGCGACGCTCAGCCGACACGGCCTTCGAACAGTCCGTTTCCAAGGATGGGGTACTTCAGGTCACTGGAGTGTGCCGTATCGTAATTCATAATACGTAGGGTCTTCTCGTTCCTCCGGTTCCTCGCATGACCCAGTTGGTAGCTGCACTCGACTCTGGGCGTAATCAGCACCACCCAAACGTGCGGTGATCCACCATTTGCCAAGACCACATGCGCAGCACTCTTTAATGAGTCAGGTACCTAGCACCTGATACTTTTGATATTATATTTGCTTTTTGTAGCCCTCATGAACTGTGTGCCCACCATGCGGGGGGAAACGTGCGGGGCATCTGGCCGATTGCCCTGCTCCTACCCTATAACAGAGGCGCAAACGACAGCCAAAGCCAGCCTTCACTGCCAGCCTGGCACGGTTCAGAACCCGTTAAGTAATGCATAAGAAGCTCAGCTGTGTCCAAAATATTTAGGCTCTATGCCTAAAACCACCAAAGGATTTGATGGGGAATTCTCAATTAAAGAGAGTCCAAACTGCCTCGAGCAGGACAAAGTTGGCCTTGCATTCCGTTCTGTGCATGAGGGGACGCCCAAGTGCTACCAAGGCAACACTTCAGCCAGCCAGGTGTTCAAGAAGGCCTTGTCATTGTTAGGGAAATCCTCTCCCTTATTTTGTCGCACTCTAATTAGCATGTCTCAGCTCATCTGTGAGATGAAGGCGGCGCCGCCCAACGCTGCCGGGCTCCATTCGCAACGCCACACACCTTAATGTCATCAAGCTTAAAGTCAGCTACGCCAGAAGGGGTTTGGTGATGCAAGAGGACCGATATTGGCCCATCGGAAGATAGAGGGTCCGGAGGATCACCTCGAGGTGGCTTCCTTGGCAGCATGAATGATTGGTAGGTATTGGGTGCGTTTTTCAGCTCCGGATTATGGTCAAACATACCTCTAGCCTCGATGATCAGGTCATCAACACATGTAGGAGGAATTGTTCCGTAAAAATAATGCCCAAGTTCACAGCGGAAGCCCGTGTCTCCGAGAATGCCACAGCACTTGGCTCCTCGATACAATTGTGTTTACCACACCGGTCGCCCCTCGACGCGAGCAAACTTCAGTGGATGGCTACAAGCGATACGCTGAGCACACGCTGAGCTTGCTACAAGACCTGTGTGTGTCAGCGCCATGAACCCTGCCGTTCTCTCTCTGCGCTACTGGCCGATCCCGCCATCGCCGATCCGGTCATCGCACTGATGTTTCTCGCGGCTGAGGTGCACCGCTGGGCTCGCGTAGGCGCAAGGGATGTGACCGCCGCGGCAACACGGGGTTTCACCGCCGCGGCAACCTGGCTGCCACAAGCGTGGTCGTGAGAGAGGGAGGTGTTAGTGAGGAGCTCAAAGGTCTTTGCAATTTAGCGTGTGGTCGTGGCATTGGTCGGCCAGGACACGCGGGTCTGGGAGGCGTTATTCGGGCCTTCTTGTTAATGTTATTCTCAATCCCCGTGAGACTTGTCGTGTCTGGTGAAATAGCACTCCTGACGGCCAAAGGCTGGTGAGAGTACCCGGTGAGCTGGGAGTTCGTTCTGCCAGCGGACAGCCGTAGATCAAAGTTGTAAAGGGGAGGTAGGTGATGGTGCCCGCCTCAATCTTGTAGGGAGACCATGTGAACTCTGAGTTGGGACCTTTGTGAATCCGATGGAGTCACAGAGAAGCGGTAAAATATACAGTAAATTGTGTTACCTGTTTAATTAAAAATTATAGATAGAAAGGGCCTTTCTAGCTCGACCAGATGGTTTCGCGAGCGATGGTGTCGCTCACAAGAAGCCGTCGACGGCGAATTCTCACCCTTGCTCAAGCTATCCACACTAGCGCAATAAGCCGGATAAGACAACCTCGGCTTGAAGGATTTGCGAATGAAACCTGCTGTAAATACATATCTCGCCCTCGCTCCCGCTAATCCATTCCCGGCAAGTCTATGCGAAGAGGCTTGACAGGGCTTGCACGTGCCGTTGCTGCGTGAATCCGTCATGAGGGGAGCAAGCATCCCCGCTCATCATCTACTTCTAGGGTCACTCACGTTGACCTGCCTGGAAGAACACTGCTAGACCTTGCAGTCACTGGTCTCTCGTTCCGTTAAATTATATTCCTCAACTCCCTCCAACATGGCAATCCAAGTTACCGACCTTACAGAAGCAGACATCCCTGGAGCCGTAAAAGCAGTCCAGTGAGTTGAACACAACTGAGTTCTTGAGTTTATGTATTCCTTAGAATGAGCAAAACTTTTTGGTATTTATTGAATGTCGTGGCTCTTCTTGAAGCACACGTTATTTTGCAAGGATGGTTGTAATTGACCTTCGTGCATCCCCGCTAACTCTCAACCCTTTAGGGATGCGTTTTCCAAAGATCCATATAACGAATGGGTTTACGACAAGGTAAAAGTAAGTTATATTCCAGGATAATACACATCAAATCTTTTGGTGCAACTTATTTATACACCAATCCCCTTGGATGTCGCCGCATGGCAGGCAAGATGCGTGTCAGTCTCCAACCCTTCAAGGCTGACCTACCACCCTTATCAGTTTAATGCTCAGCGTAACTCAGTCTCCCTGGGCATTCGAATGCGATGGGGAATGCGAAATGGTATCTTCCATGTTGCCAAAGAAGAGGGTAGCGACAAGGTGCTTGGTGTTGCCATGTGGCTACGTCCTCAGCCGGCAACTCAGGCTCCCACCTGGAACGATTGGCTCGAGGGCTGGCGTCTTTATTTCGGCCAAGTTGCCATGAATCTTTATTACGGCCGTGGAGGACTGATTGTCAAGGTAAGGTCACAAATTTTGGATTTCGGGTCTACAAGTAGAACTGTACCCCTGCTCATTCTCTCCCACGATCAATATGCCAACTGGGGAAACAAGATGCTGACCCGATATTATATAGCGATATTACATCTGGAAGGATGCGCAAGCTAAAGCCCAATCTGAACTCTGGACTGACCCACGAGGCTATTATTTCCTCAACATTATGGTCGTTCTTCCGGAGGCCCAGGGCAAGGGGGTTGGCGCAAAGATGATGAAGGTTGTCACAGACCAAGCCGATGCCGAAAACATGAAGTGCTACCTGGAGTCCAGCCGCGATGTTCCGAATATAGCTATTTACGGACGGTGGGGATTCAAGTTTGTAAAGGATATGATTTGCGATGATGATGGCGAGGCCATCAAGCTTTTCACTATGGTTAGGGAGCCTCAGAGTGAATCGGGTAGTACCAAATAAGCGACTCATTTGCAATTGGAAATGGAGGTTGGTTAGCTGTTAATTTGGCGTTGGAGAACAGCTTGCCCATTTATAATGTAATGAGCTTCTACTTGTTAGATTGTTACTTATGGGATCGCCTTGAGTCCTCCGGGTTCAACAAGCGACTCGATCCCATTCCAGTATTCGCAGATTCCGTTCGCCAAAGACAGCATTTGACCACAAGCAAACTTCAATAAAAAAAAGACCGTATGTTCCATTCCAGTGAATGTCCTAGTCCCACCACGTTCCAATCAAAGCCAAGTGCAGACTTTCGCACGGTCTTGCCCAATCTGGTAAGTGAAAACGAGCGATGATAAACCGCCGAGGTGCAGAAACCGGATCTTCCCCGCTTTCGCCCCTTGCCGGGAAGAGTTGTTAAGTCGTCAGACGCGAGGAATGGTATCACTCGTGGTTGGGACCGAACTACTCTAAATAGTCTGAGTAGATTAGCTGTGAATGACTTGCCTCCAACAATCATCAACACGACAGGGATCAAAGAATCTGCCTTTCCCGTACAGCCAACTACAGAGGTTTGCCAGGTGGTTGTAAATAAAGCGGAAATGACTCTCAAGGCAAAATATCTCCATACCGGCCAACTCCTGGGGGTGGGAGCTGGAGAGACGACTGCCATTCTGAGTACGCTGTCGGTCCCTTTGCGCGATGTCAGCTAATCTGATTACTCCTATGTAGACCCGGCGACATCGAGACTACTCTCGAGTATTCAAAGCGCCATTTTAACCGACCCAGGCTTGCCTCGGCCGGGTCCAACTGTGTCCGCCTGGCAGGTGCCGGTCCATCCCACCGTGGCCTCCATCCAGTCGCCGGCCCTTCCACAATGTACGGACTTTGCCGTCATTGGGTCTGGCATAACTGGCTGTAGCGTCACCAAGGCCCTGCTCGAGCATCCGGGCAGTAAAGATTCGCACATCACGGTACTAGAGGCCCGAACGCTCGTCAGCGGCGCTACTGGCCGTAACGGTGGCCACCTCGTTACGCCGTCCGGCCATACTTACGGTCCTCTGGCTAGGCAGCACGGCGTCGAAGCGGCAAAGCAGATTACACGCTTCAGCATCCTCAACATTAACCACATTATGAAGATGGTTCGGGAAATGGACCAAGAGCTTCAAACTGAATGCCAAATTCGCGACGTCATTAAAGTCATGGCTGTTGGCGACGATGAGACGTGGGGGCCAGCTAAAGCCTCCGTCCTGGACTTCCAGAAGGCTGTCCCTGAGCACAGCAGCTACCATCGCATCATTGAAAAGGACAAAGTACCAGAGGTGCGCAAAAAAATCCTTACCCTTTCCATTTCAACTACTAAATAATAGGATAGATGTGGAATATCAAGGATGCTTCTGGTGCTGTTGAGCACGAAGCCGGTGCAATCTGGCCGTATCGTCTCCTAACTGGCGTCTACGAACGTTTACTGAAGAAGTACCCAGCCCGTCTTGCCATTGAGGCAAATACTCCCGCCACCCAGGTCAAATATTTGCCAGCGGAGAACACCGACTACCCCTACGCCGTCACGACCCCCCGGGGCATCATACGGGCGAAACGAATCATTCACTGCACCAATGGCCATGCTTCACATCTACTTCCTGGTCTTGCTGGTGGTATCTATCCATTTCGGGGTACTATGTCGGTGCAAGATCCGGGCCCGTCCCTGAAGAATCTTGGCGCGTCGCGATCTTGGAGCCTATCGCACAAGTCAAGCTTGGACGTTCAGACAGGATTGTATATAACGGGTCTGTTCTACCTCCAGCAAAACCCGCTGACGGGACAAATCTGGATTGGAAACGAGACTGCGTATATGAAGGACATTCTCACGTCTGATGACACATATGTGCCCGAGGAGGCAAGACAAGCTCTGTCGACAGTCCTGCCCAGATTTTTCCTCGAGGGCTGGGGTACGAAAACAAAATCAGAGGTCAAGGCAATTTGGTCTGGCATACAGGGTCATACCACGGATGGATTACCTCTGGTGGGCCGCGTCCCTAAGTCCATCACAGGCAGCTCGGGCGGCGAAGAGCAGTGGATCGCTGCAGGGTTTAATGGATATGGCATGGACAAGTGCTGGTTGACAGGCGAGGCCTTGGCAAAGATGATGTTGGGGGAGGATGTGAGCGGGTGGTTTCCTGAATGCTACCTTCTTACGGAGAAGCGCTTGAGCGAAGAGTTGACAGTTGAAAAGACGCTGCTCAAGTTTGCTAACATCGCTCACCCCGAAGGTTTTAAATCCGCAAAGCTATAGCGGCCACGCCTTTCTAGCTGAGCTGAGTAGATTAAAGCATAAGATTCTAAATACAAATCTTCTACAGCTACTTCATCCCATCATGGTACCTAGATTCCTCTCATAAGCCACGTCCAGCCAATACACATCTTGATCGCCCGCATCCAAAGCCGCCCAGATGCAATTGATCAACTCAAAGATCATTCGGATCTTGCGGAGTGGCAGGATGTGCGTGTAGGCAGCTAGTCGGGAGCCCACAAACTTGCGTGCTCGAACTACTTCAATGGAGTGGTGGTCGAAGCTCAAAACCCTTTGGCTGGAGTCTGACGATGTCGTGTGAGAATCGCGCCGAAGTTCGCTTGATATCGCAACTAGAATGAATGGCTGCACACTGCGAGTCCGAGATTCGAAAGGAATTTGCCTTAATATCCCCAGGATGTGCATCGCGAGCTTCGTCAGCCAGATGTTTCTCTCCTCTGCCGTGGGCGTATTTGTTGCAGGCGGGGGTCGCAGTATGTCTTCCTTATTCCAAGGCGCATAACGCTCGTTGAGCAGATCCGGGAAGACACGATAGATCTGAAGTAGTCCAGTGCATCGGTAGGCTTCGTCGAGGTGCTGGAGGTGGATGAGGGGTGTCTTTGGATCACCTGGGTCTGTAATCTGCGTTACATCTGGTGCACGATGCGCGAGGAGCATTCTCTCAAGTCGACGAGCCTCTCGGAACGTCGCCCTGAACACGTCGAGATCCTTTTCTGTCATAAACTTGACCCCTAGCATGCACTTTCGGTACTGGAATATTAGAATACCCACGTCTGTAAGCATTCTGATCGTTTCGCGAGAAATGCCGGAGAATGGATGTGGCTCAATGCTTGTGGTACTAGGGCGTGTCGGTCCCGTCGAAAAGTCCCGACGATAATCACCGAGATGACTGCTGTCTGTAAGATAGACAAGAAGCATAGCCCAGTAGTCCATAGTGTCGCTGAAGAACGATAGGTCCCGACCGTCACCAATCTCTGCCATGGTGTCCTTTAACATCATGTAGCTCCCCCGGAACAAGTCTGTAGCCAGATTTTGCGGGTTGAGCCAGCTTGCCGTATGCCCGAGTAGCATATTTGCCAGCAGGTTATCTTCCTTCATGGTAGATTGTTGTGACCTGCCCTGGATGTACTCAAGAGCCTGACGGTGTTCGGCCGTTGCGATTGATGCGAGGTGGGGAAAGTCTTCAGACAAACATGCTGCAGCCATGCTCTGGGTAGTGTGGTACAGAGCGCCAGAGGACTGCCACATTTTCTCGACGATGTTGCGCATTGCATTGGAATCACTGTCCCAAGTGCAATAGAGGGTGATGACTTCGCGGAAGAAGTAATCTGACAGCGCCGACGGTAGGTTGAACAAATCGCGCGGCCGGTCTAAGAAGGGATTGTCGCAAGCTCCGACAAGCCCCTGGCGGCAGTGTTCTTGGAGCGGCTGATGCTGATATTGGCGAAGGCGTTGTTCTTTTGGGAGGTTACTTTGTTTTCTGGCGCATTGCATGACATCGGTGGATCGTTTCTGGCCTCCTGTCGTACCCTCGACATTCTGCAGTGCACTTGTAGTTCCATTTGGAAAGCTGCCGGAAACGCCTATGAATGAAGGGTCCCAGATCGGATCTGTCGTCGATACCGGCGCTTCCTCTGATAGCAGCTCGTTGACAGCATCGTCATCAAATCCATACAGCTCGTCCGGTGGTGCCAGAGGATCACAGAGCATGGAAAAGTCCCATTGTGTGGATGGACTCAGACCCAAGTCAAGTTGTTGGATGTAATTCCCCGTAGCAGTGACTTCGGAAGCTGCGGAAACTTCGGTGATGGAGCAAGCCGGCGTGTTCGCGACGTCTTTGCCACGTTCCGACCCTGGACTGCTACCTTGTGCTGGACTCTGAATTGGTTCAATCTGGACAGGCCGTTCCGCATACATCTGGTGTCTCTGCGACCATCGCACATTGAGCGCGTAGCCAGGGCATCGGAAACCACGATCTTCACAGCGAGCGCATGCAGGCCGCCGCTCATCGCATTTGGTCTATGGATTCAACCCCGGTCAGCTCAAACGAAGGAGATACGCACACCAGTAGACGAAGCTCACCTTCTTGGCCTTGCATCTTAGACATCCATTTCTTGACTTAAAATGCGCCGTTTTCGATGAAGGTTTCATTGGAATGAAGAAGCGTTTTCCCAATCACCGTCTCGTCTCAGGAAAGGAGGTAATAACACGTCTTGACGGCGACAGAAAGAGGGGCAGCCCGGAATGGAGATAAGGAAACTGGGGAAATGAAGCACGATGACTCCACCGTCGGAATCTGGATTTCTGATACGGTAATTCTCTGACAGGGATGTTATGCATGTAGACGGAACGTCGCGCTGTACGCTAAAAGGCTCTAATTCCGCGATTGCGATGGCAACTTTGATGAGAAATGCATCTCGTTCACCTACACAAACGGGTGGCAAGATGGATCTCTTAGAGCGATTAGGACCGAATAAAACATCAGAAAACCTTCCAAGGTATGTAAAGATCCATTATAATGACTAGTGATTTGTTGATAACTGGGGGCTTCAGGCCGTACCAAAAAATAAGCTCAAGTATCTAAATGCTCCTTCACTTCATAATTCTTATTTGCAAAACAAAACCAAAGAATGGAGATAAAAACAGCAACGCCCGTCAAAACTACGGAGGCGTAGTTCATTTGGTCTACCACGACCGGCAGGTAGTAAGGGAAGCAGTAGAAAACAATGGCCACCGCCGTCCACATCAGCATGACGATATTTGCAACAAGTCCGAGCCGAGGATACCAGAAGGGGCCGTGTTTAAAGGTGGATCGGCCTTGTGTGAGAACCAGAATAACGGGGATACTGTAGCTAATGTACTGGAGCAGGATACCGGTAGAGACGAGAGAGTTAAATGCCAGGTCAGAGCCGAGGTAGAGGCAGCCAAAAATGGCAGTACCCGTAGCTGACCAGACAAGAGACCATACCGGAGTGTGGAAAGGCGCGGGCGATATCTTGCTCAGGTATCGGTGCAGAGGGAAACCAGCCTCACGACTGATGGCCCAAGCCAGACGAGATTGCCAAGTCTGGATGGCCCAGACCGCACCAGCAGTAGTGATCATGACGGGGATCCAGAGACCCACGGCGGCGGCCTTGCTGCCAGTGATGTGATAGAAGATGGCAATGGCAGAATTATCGGCAGCGCCGTCAAGATCGGTCAAGTTGATCAGCACAGACAACACAACGAGAAGACCGGAGCCGAAACCGACGACAATAGTCCACATAAGTGCCCTGGGGATATTGGTGCTGGGAGAAGGGATCTCCTCGGCAAGATGAGTGGCGACGTCGAGGCACGAAAAGCTCCAGTTGGCGCCGTTGAGGCCAATGATGAATGCGACACCGTTCTGCCATCCAGAAATATTGACAGGTGTAACGAAGAAATCCTTCGCAGACACGTGTCCGTCGGACATGGCGAAGAGGGTGATGAAGATGACTCCGATGGTCAGGCAACTGAACAGCAGCATAATCTTGGAGATTCTTGGTAGCGCGTGTTCGAAGGTAGCGCAACCGAGAGTCAAGATGTTGAGGATCTGGAACCCGACAAAGCCCATCCATCGCTTGTAGACAAAGGTAGGGTCTAGCAGCGTGATGATGCTGCAGACTCCGACCGGGACAGAGAGACAGGCCGAAGCGCCAGTCGCCACGGCGGCCAACCAACTGATCATTGCAGTGACATAGGAGAGGAACCTGGCAGCGCGTTTCGGCGCCAGTCGGTTTACCCAGATGTACTGGCCGCCGGGGTGAGGCATGGCAGAAGTCAGCTCTGCAAGAGTCGTGGCTGTGGCAAGGCCAACTCCCGCCATGAGAAGGAAGCCCCAGAAGAAGAGAGGCGAGCCGCCCATTGGCAACGTGGTGCCGAGCACGATAAGTAGCCCGATGGCCGTGTTTGTGGTGCCATAGCCAATGCCCAGGGCAGACAAGGTGGTGAAAGGCTTCTGGGTCTGGATTGTCACGTCTCCGTGGCTTATAGAGCCCCCTTCCACACCCTCGTTGGCGACTTTCTCCGACTTGGACGACATTGTGTTGGGTTCTCCGGTCGACGAGGCGCGGTCAAGAGACCGTTGATCCATGATTTCAGATTTACTGGGGACAAGAATGGTGACGGACGAGAGCTCGCTACTCTGCTCTTAAGGCACTAGATGTTCTGCTGTGTAGCGTCAAGGGTCGAGACTCATGACATGTCTCCACACTTTTATCCCGGCCACCCCTGATCAATAGCCCGCGCCGCGCCAGCTCTAATCAGCGACTAAGCAGAATGCGGTAGTTGGGTGCGAAGAGGCGCTCCAATCCTCCCGGACCTTATCTGAGATGCTTCATTCCGAGCGGGGAGCTGGCATATCACATGGTCCCCCCGCCTTGTATTACCTCGCGTGCTACTCGCATGAGGCAATTACATGCGATTAAGGACGCGGCAATAGTGCGAGCCTATCTCAAAGGTAAATGCAACACACCTGGTTGCCTGCCGAGGAGGGGCTTGCTTCAACGCTGCATGTTCATGGAAAGACTGGCTCAACTCCCATGTTGCGAACACATCTAGCCCGGCTCTACCTTTGCGGGACTGCGAAAACTAATGGAGAATGTTCTCTTCAACCTGGATAGCATTAATGCTGACGTGGTCGATCCTGCGAGTGCAACACATATCAGCTCAACACCAATCACACCGCTCGGCACATCATGTTGTGACACTGTGACTGCTTATCGATGATGACGAAAACTATTGACATTATTGATTTCATACGAGTCTCTATTGGTCTACAAGAAAGACCGAGTCCAGCTGGATAATTCCTGTGAAACTTTGTGGGGTTATTGGTTTCAGCCCATGGTGTCAAGTAATATAAGCCTCAGTTACACTACACATGAGCGGAGTGTTCATCCCACCTTTTCCGTAGCCGTCAATGCGATACATGGACCTTCCAGGTGCCGACAGAAGGGAAAAAAGACACCAATAGACTCTCTCCTCTCTTTATTTGCACAGATATTACGAATAGTACAACTGGACTCCAGGAATTGTTTATCACGGAAAGTTGCTATAAACAGTCTGCGATATTGATCCGATACAGCCACATCCCCACCTCCATTCATTTAGTACTGAACCGACACACAGTTGGGCGGCGAGTCAAATTACAGCGATGCACCTTAAATTTCTCGAATATTTTCGGGGGGTCAAGGAAGCTTTATAAATTTGGCAAGTCCGTTCCTGTCATGGGCTGGTGTTGTCAAGACGATCGGTATGTAAATCCATGTCCCCAGGTATAACTTTGGCCGACTTTGCCCAAAGCTTGTAGAACACAAGATTGCCGACATATAAGATAACACCGATATAAGATGTGACGAAGGTGACTGGTTTAAAATGAGGAATGAATGCACCATAGCCTGCCAGGATGATTAGCACACGTAACAAAAAAGAAATGGGAGGACTTACCATTGAAAACGACCAACATGGCGGTTACAAAAAGAGCAAAGTATGCACCGTAAGGCTGAAGCGCCCCTCTATAAGGCATTGATGTTCTGGGGATTCCTTGCGCTTTCATCCCGTTGACAAAATGCAGATATGTGACCAGGACACTAATCCAGTTCAGAGCGCCAAAGACAGTTACTAGGCTGACCAAGTAGCCGAAAACTTTGGAAGAGCTCGTCGACGCATTCATGTAAGCGAGTGCCGCAAAAGCACTGGTGAATAGAACGCCAATAATGGGAACACCATTCTGAGTTGTCTTCCGAAAGATGGCTGGAGCTTGGCGATCGTGAGCGAGGCCAAATAGAGTCCGTGATCCAATATAAATGTCAGAGTTCGCCGCGCTCAGAACAAACACCAACAGACATGCGTTGATCACATCGGGGAAGACGGGAATGCCTGCGAGCTGGACGGCGATGACAAAGGGACTGGCACCTGCGCCCGTCTTTTGCTTGGTGCCTCCGATGAGTCTTTCGTTGGTGTATGGCACGGCCATGCCCAAAGCCAGAGCGCCGATGACGTAGAAGAAGGTAATACGCCAGAGTGTTTGTCGAATGGCCTTGCGGATTGTTTTCTTTGGGTTGGGAGCTTCGCCGAATGCAACGCCAACCACTTCAGTGCCGGTGTATGCGAAACAGGCTTGGACCATTGCTGCCCACCAGCCGAGGAATCGACCGGCCGACCCTTCAAGAAGATATTCTCCAAAGGCGCCAGGGTCATTCCAGTAGTTGAATCCGATCCTTTTGCCCGACGGCTGACCTCCCATGGAAATCACAAAGCAGGTTAAAATAACAGTAGCCATGACGAGGATTTTGACGGCAGACATCCAGAACTCTGCCTCGCCAAAGATGGAAACATGGAGTAGCTATGAGCTGTTAGTACAAGTGGAATTAACATGAGCGCGTCGTATATACGTTGACCAGGACGATAACAACCGCAAAGACTGTTACAAAAATGGCGACGTTGAGATCTGGGCGCCAGTATTGGATGATGATGCCAGCGGCTGTGAGATTGTTCGGCAGAACGACAGCATATTTGAAGAAGTAGTTCCAGCCAGTGGCATACCTAGCAAACCGTTAGTATTGATGCTTCCATTCTGATCGGGCTGGGAGCGTTACCCTAAAGCCGGGTCAACGAAACGAGTAGCATAACCTCCGAAGCCTTTATCCATTGGAAACATGGTGGCCATTTCGCCCATCGCGGTCATGATGAAGTAGACGACTAGTCCAACCGCGCAGTAAGCGATGAGGAGACTTGCAGGCCCACCCCGAACTAAACCTGTGCCAGTGCCGATGATGAGGCCAGTGCCAATGGCACCAGCGACTGCAATCATGGATACATGCCGCTCCTTGAATTCGCGTCGAAGAGTGTTCGTTTGCTCGATTGTTCCCTCTTCGACAGTCATGGTTTGTTGCGGATCAGATGAGTATTGGTCACCGCCATCGACGTGGATTTTATCTTCGGAAAGGCGGCCCATCTTGAGAGATTGACCAAAGTTTTCTAGTAGTGATACTGAGTGAGGGTGATTCTGCAAGCGGCCACGCCGTCTTTATACGAAGCAAGGACACTACTATGTACCGGCTGCACGAGATTGAAGCCTTCCCAGCATGTAGATAAAGCCGCCCTTATCAGAACAAAGATTAGGATGCCATGGTTCATGGATCAGTGTAACCGCTAACTCAGGCGCTATCTGGGCCTAGATACTTGTGTGATAGCAATTTGCGGGGAATTTATGGATCACGGCGAGAATCACGACGAACCAGCGTCGCGTACATGGCCTCGGACCAAAGTCCCAGCTCCACATGGAGGTCAAACTCCGTTTCTAGCTCCAAGTCTCGCCAGAGCTCCACTGGCCATGAGAACTGTCACTCGGTTTTCGGCATCCTCGTTGAGCCTGAGCAACTATTCAACTCGGGACTTGAGCCTCCACCCCCGCAGTTACAAGATGCTCAGGCGATTTTCCACGTGTAAGTCAGGAGTCAAATGTCCAGGATGGGGAGACGGACTTGGGCCTCCATCCCCGCAGTTACTAAGAGTACAGAGCCCATTTCCGCATCTGATCTGCCAGGAGTCAAGCCGATAGTCGCATGTAGAGACGGGTTTGGACCTCCATATTCGCCGTGGTGGGCTACTAAGAAAGAAGTGATCGTGCTGCATCCACAGGCAGCGAAAACCCAATGCATGACAGCTCAACACAATGGTCCGAAGTCGCTCAAGAATCGTCCTCGAATAGAGGATAAATTGCTCCTTCAGGCCCTCTTGACGTTGTCTTCTTCCGGTCTCCTCAACCGTCCCACCTTGGATTATCTTCACCAGAGCCAGTCATCGAGCCACAACAATGTCGCCTTCACATATCGAATCCAACGGGGCTCGCAAGACATCCAATTCCCCGGATGGTAGCTCCAAGTTTGACATGTTCCGCCAACTTGTCCCGATCGTCCGTGATGACAAAATCACCTACCTAAATGCATCATTCGCACCACCCTCCAATCTGATCATCCACGAGGCGCTTAACAAATACCTGTCTGAGTCCCTGTACAAGGAACTTCCCAAGCCAGCATGGCAAGCAGCTGTTGAAGAGACTCGAAAGCTGCTCGGCAGATACATCAACGCCGATCAATCAACCATTGCCTTCACTCGCGACACAACCGAGGGTCTCAACAACTTCATCCATGGCTTGCGCTTTCAGCCCGGCGACAATGTCGTAATTCTGGACAGTGAGCATCCCAACCATGCCTACGGGTGGATGTCGCTCCGTGAAGCCGGGCTCGAAGTTCGCCAGGTTCCCACCATTCCCGGGGCGGAGAAATCTGGACAAGTCACAGCTGCAAATGCGGCTACCTTTGCGCCATACGTTGACGATCGAACACGCGCGATTGGTATCAGCTCCGTCATGTTCCATAGTGGGCAATGGAATGATGTCGCTGACATCTGCGCCGCTTCTCGACCTCGAGGCATCCATGTGGTCGTAGATGCCACTCAACAAGTCGGGTTCGCACCCATTGACGTCAAAGCTATGGGCGTATCGGCGGCAGCATTTGGGATGCACAAAGGCCTCAACTGCCCCACGGGTCTCGCGGCTCTCTACGTGGATACAGATGTCATTGCGGACGCCAACCCAACTCCTCCGATTGTTGGCTATGGAGCTGTCAGTAATGTGCGCGCAGACCTTCTGGTCCCCGACGATCCCATCTTGTATCATCCTACTGCTCGGCGCTATGAGCATCTCAATGTGAGCTTGATCGCTATAGCCGCTGCCAAGGCGTACCTCACCTTTTATCTTGATACCATGGGGCCGCGCGAGGTCGAGGAACACTTGTTCAACTTGGGCGACGCACTCCGAAAAGAATGCAAACGCCTGGGTGTCACAGTGGTTGGGCCTGAAACCCGCAAGGAACATGCACCGCACCTCTACATTCTCGATTTGCATGGCTCGGGATGGATGGAACACCTTCGGGAAATGGATGTCATTGTTACGCCATACAGGTTAGGAATCCGGGTCTCCTTTGGCTTTTACAACAACGTTAAGGACGTTGAGAGGCTTTCATGGGCGATTGAAGCGGGTTTGAAGAAGAACCTGCCTCTTGGGAGATCTTGAGTCACTCATAGGAGGTTTCGTCATAATCAGATCTACTTATTATACATTCCATTGTCCAATTTTCCATGTTGTAGAGCACTCCGCAAGTGTCCGGGACAAATAGTGAGATTCCTCGACAGTGCCAAAAATGGTGACACAACGTGCCGCCTGGGCAAGAGCATAAACAAGAACAAACGGTGCGCATCGAAGGCCATATTGAGACCGGTATTTTCGTATGATGAAGATGATGTCGTGCGCTGAAGAGACACAATATTTGCGAGAGCTCTTCTGAACAGCGCTTTGATCATCCCATACAGTTGAGTCGAAGTTCAAAGCGATCCGCGCGCCGTGGAATAGAAGGCTGCAATCAGTAAGCCTCATCAGTACGCTAAAAAAAAAGAGATATGAGAGGGAAAAAGGCAAGAGACTAGAAAGGAATAGAGCTGGCGGGTTAGGGATTACTTACTGCAACGCTGCCACGCTTGGGATCAATGTGCTGCTCGGGGGTTCCCATTTATTCCACTTGGCACAGTCTGGCAATGATTCCTGCCAGCGGCTTAGTTCCAGGTTCAAATAATCAAGTTGCGCCTGGTGGGATCTGGAATCGTTCGTTCTGGAAGAAAATATAGTAGAGAGCATCCGCTCCATGATCCTTGACAGCTGTATTTGGTTCTTGAAACAGGGAACCAAAGGGTTTCCCTCACCAAAGTCCCCTTGTTGGCTGCTAAATCCAAGAGGAAGCAGAGCATCCATTTCTGGGAAATCACTGTGCTTGATGTCAGCTACTGAGTCCACGATTTGAAGCTCCAGGCTTACGGGAGGCGCTCGAGTGATTCGACTTCGCCACCATCGAAGGAAAAGTATACCGGTCTGCCCAATATAAGACAAATTAATTTATCAGAGGTATAGCAGCCCCAGTAGATGCGCCTGCGGATTTCAATATCCTCTGTTGTTGCAAGAGATGTGTCATGTGAGACCCAGTATTTAGGGTCCCGTTGGAATCCAAGATCTTGAGCCATGCGAAATGCAATGCCTATCAATAAGTTGAGAAATCATCCGGGAAAAGCAATGTAAATAGGCAAAGGGGTGGAGACGGGGTGCTAACCTGAAAATCCCCAGCCTTTTGAAAGATTTCCTCTGCCAATTTCGTAAAAGGCCAGGCACAAAAATGCTTGGACTGTGGCGATTGATGGCCTCGTGAAACCGAAAACTATGAGAATAGTCTCCGCAGCAACGAAAAATTGTTCACTGGCTTGTCTTTGGAGACTGTCGTTTGACATCAACAGTCCTAGTGCACACACGGAGAGCAATAATGCCGAGGACCAGTACTTGCAATCCTGGTGGTCGCCAAAGTGATCTCGCAGAAATGCTTCACGATAGATAAACATAAAATGGGGGTACTGCCACTTGAAGAATTGCATCAGGGCGCTCGTAATCTGTGCATCCTCCATGTTGATACCAAAGTGCTCCGCTACACTTTGGAAGTTTGAGTCATAATCGGTGACGCTGAGAGAACGGTGTTGCTGGTCTAGATTAGAACCGACAGACCTGTCTGAAATTCTACCCAACAGAGCGTAGTAAATACTTGTCGGGCCGTGGTATATTAGTGATCCTTCAGGGCCAGGCTCAAGAGTGGCCTGGGGACGAGGAGAGACATTTCTGCCGGTGCTCGTCTCCCCGTCGGTGAAGACAGCGCTGGGAGGAAAATGGTCGCCAAATTGTGCCTTGTCCAACATTGAATCCCTCTCTTCTGGAGTGGCGGCCTGGACACGCTTGATAAACGACTCGAGCGAGGCGATTCTGTTCTCAAGGCCCGCAACATATTCGGCTGACGCGGGTCGTCTCTTGCGATCCAGTTCGCGATACTCACACACTTGACTTGATTCAGTGCAGCTTGTGCAAGGTTCTGTTCGAGAACACCGTAACTGGGTCAATCGTGAGCTGTTATCCCATCAACGCAGAAGAATGGGTAGGATCAACGGGACTCCATGTAATATTACTTTTCGGTATTGGCATCTCTTACACCTAGGAGTACTTTAGCATGAGCTTTTTCAAGAAATTGACTCAGGGGGTACGCTACGAGATTCTTTTCAGCGTGGGTTGGGACATCGCGATAATAGGGAATACTGGAGACCCTCAAAGAAGACAGCAGGATTGAGTGTCAGGCGACTCGACTGAACAGGGACCTGTTAGTGCTCCTGAACAGTCACGTGATTGTATTCCCTGGTTGATGACGGGCTTGGGACGAAGTGCACTAAGTTTAGCGGAATTCTGGCTGGCTTGCCAGTTCCCCAGATGTACGAGAAGCTTTCAGGTAACTTCATTCCGTATTATTGAAACATAATGCGAATAGTGGTGCATTGAGCGTTGTAACGATTCGTTATACCGTATAACATGACCGTACTGGCGCTACACATAGCAAGGCTATATTCAACGGAATCTAATCCCACTCTTGAGCATCATCGACCCTTTACAATACCAAATTGACCCGATAACCTAAAGAAAATGGGCAGTCGGATACAACTTAAAGCTTCGACTTGTCGCTGCAGCAAGAATCCTCGTAGAGATTCGACTGATTGAATGACTGCGTGCTAGGAGGGACATCCAGAGCAGGGTTCTTGGTAAAAAAGCCATCAGGCTTCAGCATGAAGCTCACCCTCTCAGAAGGCATCACCGGGAAGTCCTCCGGGCGCGGATTGTGTGTAAGGCCAAAGGTGTGCCACACTACAATGTCGGTATTCTCCACGTTGTCGTCGCGAGCAGCCCACTCAGAAAGGCCAGTGTCTACCCTGCTCTGGTTTGTAAACTCTCCAGCTGCGTATAGCTCGTCGTCTTGGTACTTGGTCACCCACATGGCGTGCTCCGCAAAGGTTGCACGCTTGCGTGCGAAGGAGCCCTCGCTCATGATGAGCATCTGGCTGGGCACAGAGTGCAGCTTATAAGCAACTGGCTTCAGAGATACGTCGTTGATCTTGCTGTCATTGCGGATCTTGAAGACGCGATTCCTCTCGACGCTCAGATCTGCAAAACCGGCTTTACTGAGAACCGTCTGCGTAGAGACGTACCCCATGCCGAAGGGGTTGAGTTCCTTGTCAACAGGCATCGGAACACTGTCTTCATAGTAGAGAGTATTATCGTGCCCATCAATAGCAGGGTCAATGCGGACGGAGAACAAATGTTGGTGATACGCAGCCATCACGCCAGGCCCGACGTTGGTACCCCACGGAACCTTGGTACCGGTTTCGTTGTCGATGGGCATGGTGGAGAGAATTCCAGTCGCGCGAATTTCGTGCTCGATGTTCCCAGCCTGGTCGAAAATCCAAGCAAGAATGTACTCGTAGTTGGACACTGTGCAGATCATCTGCACAACGAGCTGTCGGTTGCGGACAATGGTGGCGGCGTTGTTGCGGTAGTTGGTGTGCTTGTGCTGAATGCCGTTGTCCTGCTCGTGCATGCAAATGACATTCTTAAGGTGGACAGGATTGCCCTTGGAGTCGGTCCTGTAGCCATCAAAGTACTTGATATGACCGAGGCAGTCGCAGCCAAGGGCAAGCTGGTTTGCGGTGATGCCAAAACCGACGTCTCCGGCATCGAAAGCCTGCTTTCGGTGGTACGGCGCTCGGGGATCTTTCGACCTGTTAGCATCAGGTTTTACTAGCAGTCATTTCCATACTCACCACCATACGGCACAGTCATCTCGGACATGGACAGGCGGTAGAAGGTCTGACGGCCAGCGTATGTGACGTTGTACAGAACCAAGCCGTCGCGGTTGGTGAATCCGACCCTGAAGCGCCACTTTTGCCACGACACCTCATGGCCGTTTACGGAGAACGAAGGCCCTTGAGGCTGCTTGACGATATAGGGCTTCAGATCCGTTCGCAGGGGCTCATCCAGCAATTCGTGAGCATAGTGAACGCACTTGACCGGCTTCCATGGCTGCGTTGGTTGAGTGGCGGAATCGGCTCCAGTGGGGAGTTGATCAATGCGGATCAACTCTTTGGTTACCTGGTCGAACACGGGAGAGAATGCACACGGAAGAGAGTAATGATTGGCCTCGGGGTGGTCCACCTCAATGATGTACATGTAGCATTGGGCAAGCCGTCGGGTTTCAGTGCTGCTGTCTGTCCCATAGATCCACGGGTCGTTGCAAACGGCGAACCCCTCAGGGAGCTGCATTTTCTCGATCTCGGCCAGAACTGCCGGGTGCTTCATGCAAACTTCTTCAATCTCAATAAGCTCATCTATATCGGCAGGACCCTTGTAACTTGGTGAGCGTTGTGAGGTTAAGCATGACGATGATGGCTCCTACCTGGATATCTTTGGGCAGCTCCTTAATATAAACTGGCTTCATAGCTCCGACGTCGACAACTGCTTTGAAGAATCCACCCGTATCCTTTCGGTGAAAGTAGCAAAACAGGAGGCGTGCCGGCTTCTTGGGAAGCGGAGACCCTTGTCGCTCAGCATCGAGATATGGGACTGCATCTTTCTTGATGGGCTCGAGCACGTCTATGCGCTTGTATCGAAGAGGAGCTCCGGGCAGGGCATTCTCCAGTATAGAAACGGCAAGTTTGATCTCGCCCGGAGTAAGAGGGTCGAAAGGATGAATGGTGGCCAGGCTCGCGGCCGCGGCGTTGGGACGGAGGGGAAGTGACATTGCAACAGTGGATGCAGATGAGTCTACAGACGCGTGAGTAATTGAAAAGGTAGGGATTTAAAGCAATAAAAGAGACATCAGCAAGAAGGGCCGCCTATTTATTGCCGTGATTCCTGGTCGTACTTATCTGCGGCTTCGCCTGTCGTGTCTCTGCGGGGTTTCCTGCACATCTCGCGATAAGGCGGCGATGCGCTGTGTCGAAGTGGAGATAAGCCAGCCTGATGACTTCTGCTTGGCACGCGCTAGAGCAACAATGCCCTATTTGGCCCTTAGCTCTGCTTTCCTCAGCTGCATTGCTTATCGCAGTTCGGGTAGCGGATGGCTTCTACGCGTTGGAATTACTTAGCCGACAAGCCGCTGCCTCGCCGGAACCGCTCCAAACCGCCCTCAATTGCTCTGAGACTGTGTGGTCGAGTCACAGGCACAACTGGCAACACAAGCCATGTGAGAACACATGGCAATCCTTGCTTGGATGCAGGTAGTAGCACGTCGTGAACCGATGAGTAAGCATGCGGAGATGTGAAGATGGAGTGAGCACTTGTAATGTTGAGAAAGAAGTTGTAGTAAAGTAGCGTAGACTACAGAAACCCCCAAAGCTTTTATTTCTGGTCCATGTTGCAGCGTACCGAGACCTCCGTAGCCAGTTGACACTTTCCTACTACAATAAGCTAGTAGCCGAAAGTTGAACGAGTTACGAGCAGAATCAAGTCCTTAGCATTGCGAGAAATTTTAAAGCCCTCGCTCACGAACAGGAAAACCCAGCGTGGGGCTGAACATGGGTGTGAATAAGGTATCGAGATCTTTCGATTGGTGATCGAGAGCAACATTTATTACCCAAGGAGAAATAATACACCAGAAAGGTGATTCTCCGATGCCAGGAGTGTCTCTGAGGCGGGGTATACATACACTGGCCGATGTCGCTTGTGTTCTCACTCCCGCTGTCATGAATTGATGCCATGGCTATCCTTTTCAACCGCGTCGCATTGACATTGTAGTAATTCACGAACTATATCAGAGACAGTATGCCGGGCTTCGATGTAGATACAGCGTAACAACATAAATGCCGGCTCATTTTCTCTTGTTTCTTTTGCACTCTGTTCATGGAACAGCTGAACCCAAGAGTGAACAGTGCTACGTCGAACAGGGCTTCCGTGAACACGATGAAGGCACTCCTCGTTCCCATCAAAAATCGGCTGTTGTACGACTCGTTGTAGAGATCAATCACTGTGGCAGGGTAGGAAAGAACATGGGGACCGTCGCCGGATGCATGGCCATCTATCCATGCTTCCAAGTCATCGCGACCTTCTGTATTAGCTCCCTTCTCTGCTTGAGGAACGTCGCCTACCCCGCTGTCAGCTCGAAGGATTTATTCTTCCTCGGCAAACACTTACACCAGGGGCTCATGTGGTGGGATCTCGGGTCACCTGAAGAGCCTGCCAACACGCCAAATCGCTGTTATAGGTCGGTCTCGTTACATGGGATGGCCTTAAGTGTCACTTTCCCGGGGGCACAGGCCTGACTTTGCCTTGGTGGTCGATTGGCAATTGGTGCCGGTTGGGGCGTTCCATGTTTCATGGCAGGATTCAGAAATGATACGGCATTCAACCCGTTACGTCTGACTGACTAGAGTCCCTTGCTGGAATTATTAGAGCGGCGAGGGGGACGGTTAATTCGTCATGTCCTCCGCTCTCGCATTTATGGCGCATCAGACATCAGTCAATTTTTCTCCCATCCAAAACAACGAAAGCCACTGTCGTTATGAGCGATCCTGATCCCACCGTCCACGCCTCGTCAGCGAAAACCAGGGAAGTCCGAAATGAGAATACCGCTAAGTCTCAGACGATGTTTTCTCAATCCCGTTGGGAAGTACTAACGCCCATCCCAAGAATAGCGCCGCCACCAATACGCCAGCGACACCGACGACACCGACTCTTCCCTAGGAGATGATGCCGCCAGTTCAACCGCGTCAATTAGCTCCAGCTTCCTCGAATACCGACTCTCCTCGAACGCGGAATAATTCCTGGACGAACCTACTATGCGGATCGCGACGACGCACGGCATTGGACGTCCAAGGACGACAAGACGGACGAGTCGCTCGATACCATCCACCACCCGTCCACCCATACCATCGATAAAAAACTATATCTCGCACCACTGGAAAATACGACTCTATACCAGGCGCTGGATTTTGAGACGGGTACGGGTATGTAGTCCTTGGATTTTGGCGACGAGTTCCCCGAAGCTGAAGTAGTGGGCACCGACATGTCACAATCCCGCGGTAGTGGGTGCCACCCAACGTCAAAATTGATCGAAGACTTTACTTAAAGCTGGACCTCTCTCGACAACGCTTTCGACCATTTAAATATGCGGTACTTGTATGAGAGCGTGCCTGACTGGTATGACCCATTCAGAATGCATATTAGGTATGCAAGTCGGGCGGTTGGATTGATACCTACGAGGGCGGGCCTGTGTGCCGTAGTGATGACGGCTCTCTGAGAGAAGACAAGGCAATTGGCGACTGGGGAAAGTTGTTCTTCGAGGGTGGCAAGAAAATGGGGCACGTCTTTACGCCAATTCTGGAAGGCTGCCTCCAGTAGAAGGGCATGAAGGCCGCTGGGTTTGTCGACGTGCAGTCCACCACGATCAAGGTGCCGGTGGGCGAATGGCCCAAAGATGGGAAGATGAAGGATATCGTCAAGTTTATCCCGCTGGTTGTCGTGACTGACGCAGAAGGGCATGTGTCGCTTATTAGGCCCTGATCCGCAGCGACGGTAGGCGGAAGACGTTAGAGGTACTTCCGGCGTGCATAATAACCGGATGTACCTCTCATCGCTACTCCGTACCAGTTATGGAGGTAAATCTAACCCCCTATAGCCCGCTGTAGCCGCTGTAGCTAGCGCCCTGTAGCTGCTGTAATAATCCCCCTGTAGCTGCTAGAATGAGCCCCCTGTGATAAAAAAGGCTTTCCTTTTAGAATAATATTAAAAAAATTGAAAGAAGACTTTTAAACGATCTCATATTATATTTCTATCTATTTAACTCCTTTCTTATTTTTTATATATTCATTTGGATTTATTATTCTATATTCTATAGCTAACGTCTACCGTCTACCGTGCTGCGGATCAGGGCTATAAGACTAACCTCCTCGAGGGCCGGTCGCAGAAGCAGGTCATGCTGTACTGCGCTCAGCTGCGACGCGAGGTGAAGGCTACGAAGACACACACGTACCAACATTAGCGTAATGTGTGGGATGGAAAGCCCAAAGCTTTATGACCGTCGTCTAATTAGGACTGGATTAAATGGTTGGTGTCTATTTGATGCTGGTCTGGAGTCATTTTTCTGGTAAACAGTTGAAGAGCTCTGCATGAATGCCGCAGCCGTCACTTTTCACAATAGGCACTAATAAAAGATCTGTTCCTTATCCCGAGCCCCTGCTGTGCACTGATGGCATTTATCCCAAGGTGAGTATATGATACGTGGGTTGGCTGTGGCCATCGACCACTGCAGTCCGTAGGTTGATTCGGTGTGCGGTGATGTAACAGCCTGCGACTGGATTGTGACAAGGAGTTTACCAACGTTAATAATGGAAGTACCCCTCCATTTGTTCAATTGTCACGTAGGAAGAAGACATCATGATATAACTCAGACAGAATAATACTAAATTAAGCTACTGATCTATTTGCCCTTCTTACCACTGGGTGGTGGAAAGGTCAGCCGGGTTAAAAAAATCCGAACTTGAAAGTCGCATTCTTGAAGAACTCAAAAGATTCCCACAGTGGATGATCAGTTGGAAGCGGTTCTGTGTTTGTTGGAGGTGCCTCGCCCGCTAGCCACTCAAGCCAGCCACCGCGAGTGTACTCAAATTCGATGATGGGTTCCGGCGGTCTCGGGGGTCTCTTATTTGCATCTGCAGGGACCTGTTTATCAACCACTGCATACTCCTCGGCAGCCTCGTCCATCTGATGCTTCAGCAAACGGGCAGCCTGCTCCAAACAGCTAACCAAGTGGGTTCCGTTGACGTATGGTCGCCACGAGATGGATCGTATCACTGTCGTGGTGTGGCGGTTCTGAAGATCAACATCGATCTGAGTACTCAAGATTTTTGACCACGAGTCTGCCGCAACAGCCATGTTGCCTAGATGGTCGAGGATAACGGCCGCGCTTGCCAGCTCATCTTCGGCACGCTGTAGACGATCTAGTATGAGTTGGCGCCTAGGAACCAAGACTTTCTGGTAGTAATGGAAGGCATCGGCAGCGATTAGCTTGTACGGACCGGTTGGTGTGGAGCGCATGGTACTGTGAAACATTGGGAGGATATCTTGTTGCTCAAGGCGGCGGGCTTCCTCGAGGGTGTAGCGGGCGTCTATTACAGTCTTTACGAATCGCTTGTGACACGCCAAGACATGTGAAAGATGGTTCTTCGTGGCGTGCATGACATGTTGAATTGTGGTTGCATCGTCATGGTTGGCGGTAGATTGATGAAAGAACACGGCCAAGTCCTCCAAATGGGCGAGCAACTCTTTCATCCATAGCGGATCCCAGCCCTGAAGCTTAGAAACGAGCTCGTGGTAGGCCTCCTCAGCTCGAGAAAGAAGATCGGAATATTCCTTGGATTTGCAGGGAGGGGGCCGATCATCATCTTGAAACACTACAATATAACTGCACATTGCGTTTATCTCATCTCTGATTTGGCATAAATCCTCGAACGGCTGTAGGATGAGTAATGGTTCTTTGAGAGAAGGGCTGACGAGAGGAAACAGCGCCCGTGGATAGATGGTGTAGAGTTCGGGTAATAGATGGTCGAAGGGAGCTTCTAGGGGGCCGAGGCGCTCCTCTTTCTGGCTGAAGGTCCATTGGGACGAAGATGTCGGTAGGCCAAGGCTACAGAGGAGAATGGGGAAGAGAAGGAGGAAGAAGAATGCAGCTGTGGCAAAGGCGACGTAGTGTGCGCGCAGCTTGTGCATCTGGTCCGCCAGCCAACGTTGAAGCAGCATCTGACAAATGCCGAAGAACGGGTTTCGAGTCTCTCCATACCCGATCACTTCGATGTCACACTCGCCTGCGGGAGCAAGACTGCAGTGGATCGCGTTGTCGGTGCCGAACTGGACCTGGAGTGGACCTGAGGCAGGCTGCCAGTCTTCGTGGAAGCACAATGCGAGACGCTGCCGCGGGACAGAAGCTGAGGAAGCCGGGAGCTCGTTGGGAAGATGAGGCAGTGCTACTGGAGAGGCCTGAAGTGGTGATGGTTCCTGGGGAGTGTCTTGGTAGGCAACGGCACATTTCTCATCGTGGGTGACGAAATGCAGCCTAACAGTGTCTCTGGTTGGACTCCAGTCCTGGCTGAAGCCGAGAGAAACAGGTTGTTGTAGTTGAAGGCCATCGTCGGTACGTGGGAGAGGAGCGGCGAGGGGGCGAACGAGCCGAGTTTGTTCATTCCAAGAAGCAGCCTCTGATGTCTCATCGAGGACTGGCAACAGACGCGGATCTGGATCGTCGACGTCTGCTTCGGGACTAGCTTCCGACCCTGCGCGAGGTTGTGTGTTGCATTTATCGTAAAGTGGTCGCGGTTTAGTTATCGTGTCGTCGGCGGTGTCGTCGGCGGTGTCGGTGGTGAGCCTAAGAGCGCGTGTAAGCAAAAGCAACGGCATGAGGTTTTGGGCAGTGATATCAGTGATGTCGGACGCCTATAAAGACATTGATGGTGCCGAGCAGGACAGTGATGAATCTAGTGTGCTGAAGAAAGGTGAGGCCGGGTTTGGTCTTGTCACGAGAGGGAGGAAAATGTGATGGCCAGAACAAGAACAAAGAATGCGAATGCCACGGCGTGACGCGCAGGACCGAACAACAGCGCTGTATCAGTACGCCACGGCAGCACGGCACAGTGGGTCACACCGATCCCAACGCGTTGGCCAGTGCAGATTATTTCCAGCTGTGTGTACGGAGGGCCCTTTCAAAAGTCTTATCCATAAGAAGTAAGTCCTAATCATTAGGTTAGATAATAAGTACACTAAGTACTTCCTGATTTCTATAGGCCCTAAAGGATAGCAGGCTACAGCACACAGCAACCGCTATATCCTGATCAGCAGCGTACTACTCCTGAAGTTACAGCGGTCGTTTAACGAGACTGTAACAGCTTTATGTATCTTAGGTAACCGACAGGGATAAATAGATATAATGTTACTAGCGCTTGGATAAGACTTTTGAAAGAGCCCTCCGTACGGGCAGAGAAGATTCTGTTGGCGACCGTTACACAGTGTCGTGAGGCACAAGCCGTTTTCAAGCAACACACGGATTAGCCACAAGGCAACCACAAGAGGCATCGACAATACGCCAGTGTCAAGGAAAATAAAGTATTTGCATCTATCCTCGATCTAATTCTGCATCTCTAGGCCATCTCTAGGCCATCTCTAGGCCATCTCTAGGCCATCTCTAGGCCATCTCTAGGCCATCTAGGCCATCTAGGCCATCTCTAGACCATCTCAACTAAGTCAGCCCACCCATTTACGGATCAGGGGCTTAGCTGACCGCCCCACTTACACACGCGTCAACCACAACGCGCCTCAAGCCACACGCGTTTCTTCCTTCCACAACACTCAATTGGTCAATTCAACCTTATTTTCTTTATTTTCATGCCTAAATATACAGAAAAAGACCTCCAAGCAGCCATTCAGGATGTTAAAAATGGCACAGCAATACGAAGAGCAGCCAATCAGCGCGTTGTTCCTTATTCAACCCTACGCAGCCGGATCAACGGCGTCACAAGCCGCAGCGAAGCTCACGAATGGCGTCAGCTGCTTTCCAAGACCCAGGAAGACCAGCTCTGCGATTGGCTCGTCTTACAAGATAAGCTCGGTATGGCTTTGACTCATAGCCAAATCCGGAAGTTGGCGATTTCCTTGTTGGGCGAAAGTGGCAGCAACCAACGACTCGGAAAACACTGGATAACCGGCTTCTTACACCGCAACCAACGAATAAAAACGCTCAAAGGAAAGGGAATTGACCGGAAAAGGATAAATGGAGCAAATCCGGATGCTATTCGCGGGTTCTTTGACCTATTGGACCAACCAGGAGTCAAATCGATCCCTCCACGCAACCGTTGGAATTTCGACGAAACTGGAGTCTTCCAAGGGCTCGGAACCAACGGGCTTGTAGTTGGCCAATCGCAGCTTCGATTGACGATTAAGAAACAGCCATATGACCTTAGTTGGATTACTATTCTTGAGGCTATTTCCGCAACGGGAAAGTGCCTTGACCTATTGGTTATCTTTAAAGGAAAATACGTCCAACACTAATGGTTTCCTGAGGAATTGGACTTTCTGACCAATTGGCAATTTATATCGTCTGATAAGGGCTGGACTAATAACGATATTGGCCTTGAATGGCTAAAGAAAGTCTTCCTTCCGGGCTCAAAGCCTGCCCGGGCCAATGAGAAGAGGCTCCTCATCCTAGATGGGCATGGATCACATGCAACGATCGAATTTATGCGTACTTGTGTGACCAATAGAGTTCATTTGCTCTATTTACCGCCTCACACTAGCCACGTTCTTCAGCCTCTTGATATATCAGTCTTTGGGCCACTTAAAGCTGCATACCGAGCTGCTTTAATACTAGCCAATCCCCTTACTGATGTTAGCCCAACTAGGAAGGAAGACTTCATTACTTGCTATTTTGAGGCAAGAAAGAAGGCTCTGACTACTAAAAATGCGTTATCTGGTTGGAAGGGAGCCGGGTTGTGGCCAATTAATATGTCAAAGCCAATGGGTAGCCAATTCGTTATTGACAACTCTAACAACACAATCACAGTCCAATCAGAAGCCCCCATTTCCCCAAAAAGAAATCAGAGGTCTGAAATTGCCCCTTTTACTACCCCTAGCAATTCAAGGGATATCACCTTATTGGTTCGTTCTCATAAGAAGGAAATCCTAGCTAGCCCAACCACGAGGCAGCTACTGAGAACTATTGGTAAGGGCTTAGATAAGCTCCACTTACAAATTGCCCAATTGCAAGACCAAATTGCAGTTCTACAACAAAATTCAAACCAATTAAAGGCTAGAAAGAAAGGACGAGTTTATAAAGACCTAAATAAGCTATTTTTAGGTATCCGGAATGTGAAGAGGGCAAGAAGGCGAATAAAAACGCCTGAGGTTGAAGATTCAGAATAGCTTGTTTTTCCTTTGTTTTTATTGGTTAATTTTTTGATATTTAGAAATTTTATCAGTTAGTTTATTAAAAATCAGTTGAAATGGACCAATTAGGTCTCTTGGTTGTTGTTTTATCTCTAAGTGAAGTTGAATTGCGATTTTGGTTATTGTGTAAGTGGGGCGGTCAGCTAAGCCCCTGATCCGTAAATGGGTGGGCTGACTTAAACGGAGCAATGCTCAAATGAACAGCCACCAGCTCTCTAGCTCCGCTCAGCTCGGGGTCGCTCGTAGTACCACGACTGCAAGTTTCCAAGGTACTCGTCGACCAAATGCTGGAGCAGTCGATCCGCATTAAGAGCAACTTCCATCGTGATCGGGTTCCCAAACTTGCTAACCCACCAGTTAATCCCGCGGTTGATGTCTTGGAGCCATGGGATATCCTTCTCCCGCAAGACCCCTTCCATCTCCAGCAGCTCCTGCCATGCCCGGTTCACAGTTCTGCACATCGTGTATCCGTGACGATAAGCGGTGCCCATCTCCTCGGAAGATCCTCGCAGGTCCCCGATCTCCTCATTGTCCACCAGTCTGTTCAGGTTGGTGGACCACGTACACACAGCCTTGTTGAGTGGCTCATAAACCTCGTCCGCATTATAGCTTCCTACCGAAAGGAGGCTCCAGAGGTCCTCACGCTTGCCCTGTATTGTTTTGAACGTGGAAGCAAGACGCTCGAGGCGCACGAGGGCAGCGGTGTGGTGGGTTCTGCCCCGAAGCCTCATGGCCCAAGACACCGGCGCAGAGGCACTCATAGATCGTTGCTCACGGAGCAGCGCCTTCAGTGTGAAGTGATCGTCTTCGATGGCCTCGAACAGAGACTCCTGCATGAAAAGCTCCAGGTCCTGGACCGGGCCGACCAGGTTGCTGTCCGGCGGTTTGGCCAGGCGTGCCGCGTTGGGGTTAAAGGCAACGATGTTGCCGATGCTCAAGGCGACGGTGTTGGCGATCATCATGAGCTTGGGCGGTTCTTGCGGGAGGCCAAACGCGGCCGAGACGGTAGTTGGCGGCACGGGCGTGTCTAGGCGAGTAGAAACGCCGAAAGCGAACTTCAAAGTGGCCATGAAAACCCAAGAAAGGCTTTTAAGGAACAGCAAGGTCGCGTTGAGCCACGCTTGGGGTACCGAGGCGCCGGCGTTGAGCTGGAACACAAACAAGACGCTGATGCCAAACAAGATCAGCAAACAAGACCAGGACGTGAAGAGCCAGCCAAGAAGGTACATGGGCAGGCGGATGACCCGCCATGGCCAGGCCGCGCTGGTCGATGTCTTGGACGAGGTTGTAGTCGCGGACGTGCGGTGGCCGTCGGTGGTTGATATGTTTTCAACGGCCGAGTCGCTGCTGTTGGACGTCGTGACGTGGTTGTCGGCCACCATGTGGGTGGCGATGGACACTGAATTGTCGTTGATTGTCGTGGTTCGCGCCAGTTCAGTACCCGCCTCACCGTCGTTGTGTGAGAGTGGGTGGTCCAAAGCAACAGAGTGGTTGAGGTGAGAGATCATCCCAACGTCAGGAGACTCTTGGTCGTCGGTGGGCGAGAGCTGGGTTTGGTTCTCAAGAGAGGGAGTGCCATGGCGAGTGGGCTGACGCTGCACATCGCCAGAGTTTTGATCGAACACGTTCTGCAGCATCTGCAGAAGGTCCGAAGAAAAGTCATCGGGCCAAGATCCAGGAATTTCGCCCAACATCTCAACGATGGAAGATGTCAAGTCTGTGGAAGGTGTGAGGGGAAAGAAAGTCGTGAGTGGGAAGAAATGAGAGGAAAGGAAGTTGTGAGAGGAAAGGAAGTTGTGAGAGGAAAGAAAGATTAAAGACATCGCCCGGACCGCCAAGGCTTAAACGAAAAAGCGCGGTCAGCTAGCCGTGGCTGTGCTTGAACACATCGAACGGTGTGCCTGAAGGCAACAGCTTTGTTCCATGACAGTGCAAACATCTCAAATACTATTCCTACGTTGACACCGGGAAGCGTAGAGTCCTGATATGTCACACAACAATCCGCAACACAACGGGAAGTCTGGGCAAACATCCAATCCATTCACGGCGATTAGGCACCGGGACCCTTCTTAATAATCAATCACGCTTGCTTTTTTTCTCCCAACACACACAGGACACCTGGTTCTAACCTTCATCTGCCCCTCTGGCCATCTGCTCATCTCCTCCGACACTGCACCACCGACCATGACTCCACGAACCATGACTCCGATTACCAAGACTCTGACAATCATCGGGGCTATCGTTGCCATGTTTACCATTCTTTGGTACACGATGTATACTCCAAGCCCGTCATCGGAAACCAGCCCCCCCAACATAGGACTGTCCCTCGCGCAGACCGAGACAGAGCCTGTGATGCCCTCCGAGCAGGGTACGTACACCGTTGTCTACCAGGGCGCTCCAAGCTGACAAGACTGCAGAAGCAACATTACACGTCTGCGAGGCCTACACGCTGGCCAAGAGGTACCGACCTGGCCTTACCGAACCGCCCAACTTCTACGACTGGTTGCAAGTCTCCACGGTCTTTGATGAGAAGGAAGTGATGCAGGTACTCGAAGACCGCAATACGCCACTCATGAATCTCCAGATGCAGATGCTGCGTGAACCGGACGATGACGAGGCCTACGGGATGGGGAGGACCTGGGGTAGGATGACTGGGGATATAACGAGCGACTCTATTCGCGAGAGGCAGCGCGAAATCAACCTCAATTCCGCCATCGCCTACGTTCTGTTGCGGGAGGAGGAGAAGAATATCTACGACCAGGTGTTTCTTCCGCTGCTGGACGACCGGCTGAAGGACGAGGCCTGCTTCAGGCCGAAGTGGGATCGTGTAGAGGAGAAATGCAAGGACCTCTAGTGGGTTCTATCAAGGGTCAGGCTGGTGATAGGGTGTTTCGTACTACTTTAGTGCAAGAGTGAACATTAAACCTCTGTCAACTCAAACCACGCTAAATTAGACAGAGTCGTACTCAGTTAGCATTCCGTCTAACCCGTGAGCAGCATTGCAGCTCTGTGTATCCTCGCCCACGCGTGTACTAACTATTGTAGACGTCAAATCTCCTCGATGCCATCCTCGTACGTTGTGGGGAGGCAATTAGATAATGTACTCACCATCCACGTCCATCGTCTACATTCACTGTCAATGCACCGCTGTATCGTGGCTCAATATTAATTAAAAGCAATACTCAATCTGTATCTCTAAGTCACATCAACTAAATAAACAACACTCAATCTAACAGACACTTGTCTCTAGGCTCTAGCCCCTCTCAGCAGCAGCATCAATAATCGTAGTAGTACCACAACTTCAGCTTCTCCATGTACTCCTGGACCAAATCCTTCATCATCTCATCTGCTTCAAGAGCATCCTCTCTTGTGATGGGATCCTCATGCTCCTCGACCCAATTGGTCATCCGACCCACGGCCGCCTTGAGCCATTCCGCATCGTCACGCTCCAAGTGCTGCGTCATGGCCAACAGGTCCCGCCACGCCCAGTCCACCATCGTGCACATCATCCATACCCGGTAGTACGCTTTGGTTATCTCCTCCTGGTGCGGGAATAGGTCCTGAGTCGCTGGGTCTTTGCTCACCAGCAGGTTCAGTCCGTCGGACCACCCACACACGTCTTCCTTAAGCGGCTTGAACACCCCGTCCGTTCCCTGCTTCTCCTCCGAGAGACGCTTCGCCAGGTTCATGCGGTTCTGCAACATTCTATCGAACTCAGAAGCAAGCCACGCAAGACGCTTGCCGGCGTTCTCATAGTGGGTGTTGGGCTGACGCTCCTTATCCCAGAACACGGGCTCAGAGGAAGGCAGCACGTGTAGCTCATAGAGCACCAGCCCCAGCGTCCAGGCTTCGACACGGAGAGGCTCGAAGTGAGACTTCTCCACGACAAGCTCCAACTCCTGGAGCGCGTCGGTCAGCTCAATGTTAGCCGGCGCACAGAGGCGTGTCGCGTTGGGGAAGACTTTCACGATGTTTGGGATACTCAAGGTGAGGAATTCGGTGAGAGGCAGGACCTTGGGCTTCTTGCCCCACATGTCATTGTCAAATGAGACCGAGGTGGCGGCTGGCGGCCAGATGATGTCTGGGGGAGTAGAACCACCCTCGCTGTCCCTTAACAGAAACGCCAGGACGATGCTGAGAGGGAGCACAAGCAAGATGCCCAGTACAAAGGCAATGGAAAAGCCGGGGTGCACCACGTCGGCCGCTCTATCAGGCGGGGTTGTTGTTCTCTCCGCGCTCTGGTTGTCAGTTGTCGATTCGTTGTTAGCAGTCGAGTTGCTGGTGTTTGGCGCCATGTTCACTTCGTTAGAGTCTTCCATCATAAAGGATCTCGTAGAGTGGTGGTGTGTGCTTGGTAGGTAGTGAGATGTCTCAATGATTGAATGTAAGTTGATGAGAGAAGAGAAAATCCACTTCCAAGAGAAATCAAGCTATCTATTTATCCTACTTCCCTTGTTGTTTGCTGACCAAGTGTTCTCCATCTATTTCATGCTATTCAGCGACACAAGCGTCACTGTTGTCCCATTTGGGTGAACACGCTCCGTTGTTCCTTAGTGCGAACAATTCTGCCCCAAGACATTATTGCATGTGTTAAGTAACCCTTTGTGTGTCAGTGAACACCACAATAAGATCCCCGGTCAATATTGTCACATTAAACGCTACGGCAAAAGTGCAATGAACACTCTGCTAAATGTATAGTGTAACTGAGGTCTACGCTTCATGTGGCAAGTATGACGACGATAGAAGCTCTTTATTTCCTATCTAACGAAGTACGAAGGATCGATTTGTAGATGAAGATAACGGTAGCCTCCAGCATCTGTGGGCCCAAGAGGCTGTTCAGTTCCCATCATTCCGAGCGCACACGTCGAATCTCCTCCATACCATCGTGCGTTAATTCGCCCCAGTCCAGATAGTTGGGCCCGGGTACGGATAGGTAGTGTAGGATGTATACAAATTGAACATGATTCCAGATTCTGACCTGGTGTAGAGGCTAGTTCCCACGGTTCCGCTCGACGGCGCCACGGTACCACTTCCGCCGACCTTGAGGTTGAGACACTGCGGGTAAGCTTGCGCGCCGTTGTCGTTCTGGGCGCCGTGCAACGCAATGATTTCGTGCCGAATGACGTAGTTTCCTGCTTTCAGATTGCGTGGGATCGTCGTCGACGTAGAGTAGTTGCTCGCGATCAGCGTATCCGTCACCCAGGTTGTGCCGCTGACGATGCTGCTTTGGCTTATTTTCGACCAAACAAGACTCCCACCTGTAGTCTGGCCTAAAACGCCAAATATTAGACCTATGTACTCACACCAAATACGAAGCATGGAGGACGGCATCATACCATTGTACGGAGCAATGTAATTCAGAATGGGACCCTTGTGGGAATCAGGCCATGTGTTCCAAAAGAACGTGATTGTTTCACCGGCGTTGACGTTGATCACGTTTTGTCCAGCGGTGGCGCTCTTGTGGCATGCGATGTCTGTCGTGCCAAAGTTGGCTGGCTCGACAAATCCCAGATCCTGGTTCAGAGAATTCCAACCTGCCGTAGCCGGAGACTGACCTGTTGGGTAATAGTACCAAACGGGGTCCGCCCCAGCAGTCCAAACTCCGTTGACTTTGACTCCAGATACGAATCCATGAGCCGAGACCAGCTGAATTGCGGACGCTGCAAGGCTGAGGAATGCCGTCAATGATCGCATGTTGAGGGCGAATGCTTTGTTTTTTGAACAAGTTGAATGTTTGTCTGAGAATAATTTGTAACAGCTTCTCGTGTGGCAAGTTGCTTTATTTATACTTCATCTCTGGGTAGGGTCATGTTCCAGCTGTTTGTGTTGCTGCATTGTGTATTTGACTGATTTGTGGAAGTTCGTGGACGCAATGCCCATTCATCCAAAGTCCAAGACCTTTCAGGAGGGGTCTATGCATACTTCCCTCAAGTCATGAGAGCAACTCTGCAAGTATTCGGTTGGTTGGGGATATTACCGATTGGACTGCTCGAATGCCGCACCGGACCCCGAGCATCCGTTCTCCCCATGAGTCCACCGAACCGCCTTGGCAAGTGCCTCTCTGGGTTCGATGGTAAATGTAAAATTTGCCAAGACCATAAAAATCTCTTAATTCTCAACTTCTTAGCCATCTATTGCCATAACCAGCGTGACCGGAGTGTGTCACTCCGTCTCTATATGCAGAACGGAGTGCGTCGACATTTTATTTTGCTAGCTACAGCAGTCATCTATTCGATCTTGTAGACGATTCTAAATGCCGAAGTATTGTTCTCAGTCCCAACAGGGCCTCGGGCAAGTGGTCGTAATTAAATGCAGTAAGAGAAATATCTTGTTCTTGTACCATGCCCACAAGGACCCGGTCCTCATAAAGTCTCATCAAACGATATATTGGCTCTATTTAAAGAATAAATACTGGGGCTTGAGAGCATGTCACATTGGCCATAAGCTATGCAGGTCACACACTGAAGCCTAATTTGGGTGGTCAAGTTCAACTCATCATGACCACAGCACAGCAGTAGATTATTGCGGTCAGAGAGGCCAAACGTATGCACCCACCTGATCGGGATAACTGTTCCGAAACACATTCCAAAACTGTATTAATAACTTTAAAGTAACCATATATCTCGGCTAAATCAACCACGGGGCCGTCTTGCCTCGATGAACAACGGACGTTGCTTTCCGTGTTCAGGGTTACGTTGAGGGTTCTCGGTCCGAACCCCGGATCCTTCAGTTATTGCGCTCCGGAAACTCGGCCCAGAATAGCAGAAAGGCAGTATGTGATATGAGGCTTAGGGTATCTTAGGTCTCGCACAAGGTCACAGTTACCGGGACCCTCGTTTGAGCTTACGGTACATTGGTTGAGATGTGCCCCAATTGCATCTGACTGATTCAGTAAGCCACAACCATCAGTGGGGACTCAAGATCGTCATCATTTGCATACAGTCAATAGGGGCACAGCGACTAAGTTACTTCTTGGAGCTCAGTTTATACTCAGTGGTGTTAATATCAGCATGTATCTTAGAACGTTTCTTGACGCAAATTCTGCTCGGTGAAAAAGGTAGTGTACGTGCTCCAACATTCTTGAGACTATGATGAAGGCGGTGAATATATATGTCGAGGACACGAACGCTCGACACGGGTCGAAACAGGATATGTGAGACTTGACAGTGGTCATAATCCTCAGGTGGGCTATCCTATCTGTATCTCTAGGCCGAAAGCCGGCTTAAAGGTCCGACGGTCCGAAATCCACCCTCATCACCGCACTATGGGTTTTCTTTGGTGTAGTGCCTCGCGGATCATCAAACCAATAGTCATGTACGCGCTTGAATCCGGACTTCTCGTACGACTTGGCGGCAGGCACGTTGTCAAAGTCCAGGATCAGCGCCATTGTGACCTTGCCATCGTTTGCCTCCACTGCCAGCTGTTTCGCATATTCGATAATCATGTTCGCGAGACCTTTGCGCCTCTCAGACGGTAGGACATACATCGCATTCAAGACATAAGTCGACTCGACGCCGGGTGCGGGTGGACCGAAATCGACAGTGTCGGGGTTCAAGTGCATGCTTTCCTCGTATGCTTTGGAAGCAGTCTTGGACTCAAGGGGACCGACCACAGTGAGACTTGCGAGCCAATCCGAGTTGAGAATGAGTGATAAGTCGTCAGTTGATCCAGGTTCGCGATCTGAAATGATGACGGTATTGAATGCGATCGGGTTGTTCAACCGCGACACCCATGTCTCTGGTGGAAAGGCGGCTTCGCGAGCGTAGCTTGAGCCGAAAGCTTCGGGAGATAGCTGCAGGGAAAGTAGACGAAAAGACTTGTAGCAGGCTACGAGCTTATCCCATTGCGCCGGATCGGGCAAGGACCTGGGTAGCTTGACGGCTTTATAGCTCATGGTGCGAGAGGTCTGTGGAGATAATGTAGATGGCGCTGTTGAGGGTTGAGGAATGATGTTTGGTAGAAACGACGGCACACAGTTGCGGGGAATGAATCGTGAGTCACGTTTATGGCCATGTTCAACAAGTAATATTAGTCAGACAAAGTTAGTGTCAAGTAAGCAGCTAATCTGCGTGGTAACCTTGGCAGCCTAGATCCCTGTTCTGGAATTTCAGTTGGGCTGAATTTAGGCGATAACTGAAGCCTGAAATATTTCAGTCTGTAACATCCTTTATATACCCTGGATGCAACTCGATATTGTTTAAATATCTATTTACTTTCCATAGATTATTTATTATTTGTAGAAATACCTACTAATTCAGTTTAAATATCTATAGATATTTATAGTGTAAGTAGTTTACAGTTAAATATTCACTGTGTTTTATATTATAAGATAAAAGTACTCAATAACACTAAGAGTAGTAGTATAAGTATTTAGTAAGTCTTTGGAGAGTATAACTAGATTAAGTGTAGAATTCTAAATGAAATTTCGTTCCTGTCAACTCTATTCCCAGTTGATATATCAACCAAATAGACATTCAGTTTTACTTTAGTGGTTGCCTTTAGCCAGAAGAATATCATCCAAATCCCAAAAAAAAAATCCGTTCTGCTCTTCAGGAGGATGAACCGACCAGCTACAAATACCAAGACGTTTCCAGTACTGACTACCTCCCAGAGAATCCAGCCGTAATATCATTGCCCAAAATCTGTCAACGCCGGTACTGCCTTCACCTTGGAGCTTGAAACCACCCCACCTTCTCTGGCCTAGCAGAAAGACTTGGAACTGGCTATTAGAATCCAACTGTGCCAGGCTCTCTGCGTTCTGGAGCATAGCATTGACTTGAGCTAGGATGTTGTCAGTTAAGCCTACAGTACCTAGATACCATGTGTCAGCATGCCGGGGGCTAGTAGATGCAGGATCATAATCTAGGTCGATTTCTAGGTCTCTAATAAAGCTCAGGTAATTCTCAATGTGACGCCGCCATGCTGCTAGGAGAAGGCAGAGAGGGCATGCACGTCCTTCAAGATAGCCGAATAACGTGTTATTATGCACTCGATCGGCAAGCTTACGCATTGCTATTCTCTTTCCCCTCTCGGAATTATCGATATCTGCATGGTTTATATCTCTGAGTCCGCGCTGGAGGTCATGTTTTGCCTCGAAAGCGTCCGCTATCGACTGAAGGGACAGCGGGACTCGAGAGCCGGATGACAATTGTGAGTGGTGAGAATGCAATGTGTAAATCGGAATAGTGCGTGTTATTGCAGATGAGCACAGGCTTCTCTGCAACTCGAGCAGACGAATATAGAACTACAGACGATATCTAAAGCCTGAAATATTCCAGTCCGTAACATCCTCGTAGTCCTCTGCACGCAGCTCGACATTGTCAACCATGGCAGCAAGGTCCGCCTGGTCAGGCCTAGCATCGCTAGGGACTACCTTGCCGCCACCGACGGCACCAGAACTACTAGCCGACCCTTCGAACCCCTCAGCACCAGCTCGTTTCTTGTTCATCCACTGCAGATACACGCGCAGAGTCATTGCCAGAACAGCAACCAGCACGTAGCAGATCATGATGGTCCGGAAGGCCGTGTTGTAGTGCGGCTCCTCGGACGCCTTGAAGAACTGCGGGCCGGCGATGTTGCCCGCGCAGTAGGCGATGAAGAGAAGCGCAGACATGGTCATCTTCTTGGTCACGCCGCGGCAGTTGGCCTGCACCAGCGACAGGGCCAGCGGCATGACGGCCGGGCCGGTGCAGAGCAGAAAGTAGGCGAACAGGTGCACGCCCTTTGCGGGGATCTGGTCGCGGGAGTAGATGACGGCCGAGCCGACGATGCAGGGGATGACGACGCACACGATGAGGATGCAGTTCATCTTGCGGAAGCGGCCCGCGAGCCAGCCCGTGCCGAAGATGACCAGCGCCGCCAGGATCGAGTATGGGATGTTGATCAGGGTCGACTGCAAGCTGGTGAAGCCGAAGGATTTGATGACCAGGTTTGCAAAGTTTTGGGTGCCGCTGTTGGGGATGCTCTGGACAAGCTCGATGCCGAAGACGAGCCAGGTTTTGGGATCAATAGGGGCTTCCTAAGAAATGTTCAGCCAACTTTGATGGTATGCGTGAGGGCAAGACATGGACAACGTACCTTGAACTGGTCCCATCGCCAATGCGACTCCTCGGTGCGACCAGTGCCGGCGATAACGACCCGATCGCCAGCATATTGCCTCTCTTCGGGAGAAAGAAAGCGCGCCGACGAGATGGTGTTGGGGAGGAAGTACCAAATCGCAAGGGCCCACAAGAAGGTCAGGACGCCGAGGATAATATACATCCAGTTCCATGCACCAACGCTGTCGTCGATGTGGCCGATCCCAAAGGCCAGCAGACTCGCGACCATGCCGCCGATGGAGTTCCCGGCGAACCATATGCCGGTCCGCGTGGGGATCTCGTCGCGCGTGTACCACGTCGACGTGAGGAACATGAAGGCGGGCGTGATGGTGGCCTCGCAGACACCCAGGAGGAAGCGCACCGTCAAGAGGCCGCCGTAGTTGGTGCAGGCCGCTGTGACGGCGACAATGGCGCCCCAGAAGAGCGTGTTGGCCGTCATGTACCAGGCCACCGGGAGGCTGGCGATGAGAAGAGAGGTTGGGTACGTCCAGGCGAAGTAGCCGAAGTAGAAGATGCTGGATACCCAGCTGTACTGCTGGCCAACGAGGTTCTATACCTGGTAAGCCGACGCGTGTTGTAGAGCAGAGGGGGAACTCACAGTGTCTTCTCGCAGGCCAAAGACTGACGCGCTGGATAAGATGGTCTTGTCCATGAAGTTGAACATGTAGGTGACGAATAGCACGGGGATGATGTTGTAGTCGATCTTCCTCAGCACCCGTTTGGCCATGTCGTTGTCGGCATGACGTGATTGAGTGTCTTCTTGTTGAGCCTCGGCGCCAGATTGAGGCCTTGGTTGGTCTTCGATGGAACCCATTTTGTTTCTCCTTGAGACGTGAATGAATTTATTGTCGTCTTCGTCGTCCTCGTCCTGGTGTGTCCTGGACCGTGGCCCGGTGCCCGTTTATGGAGGTGCGAGAAAATGCGGTGGGCCATAGTGCTTCCACTGCTCTCTTTTAAAGGGAATGCCTCATTACGACCCCACCAGCTATCGTCTATCTTCGCAGCGACACCTACATCCTTGTGCGGTTTCGGGGCGCATTGGGCTTGTATGGGAACTTTGCCTATCATTCAATTGCACCGCCTATCACTCAGTGCAACGTTGCGGACATGACTGCGGGGATAGAGCGGGGAAGAGAAAAGACTCGGACGAACCAAGGTGGCTTGAGTTGGTTCATCGCGCCACTTCTTATCTTGGGTAGTTGCGATGATCGGCGCGATGCTAGCGGATTTTGTAGTTATTGGAGGTGTTATTGGAGAGGGCGAAATGAAGATCCCTTCCCTTAAGTCATCCACTAATAAACACTCAGAGAAGGGAAATATGAAGCCCTCCATGACAGCGGGGCTCCAGCTTAGTAATCCCGTGGCTCTTGCTTGCACCTCGGAATTGTTTAGGACCTCGCAGTCACGGGATATTTTATATTTTGCAGGGATACCTAGGGAACTACGAACCCCGGTTGGTTGATGCTCCTTCCTGCATGCTCTATGCCGGTTAGACTGCTTTTGACCATTTCCCACTTCCCCTCTCTGGTCTCTCTCCCCCTCTTTGCGACTCTGTTCCATCTTTAAATCGCCGTGCTTGAGCCATCTTCCTTGCCCCTTGTCGATACGCCCAGAGCCAGCCAGTAACATGTCTGGAACTCAGCCCGAGTCGGAAACTCCTCCACCGGAAGCTCCTCAGCCGGAAGCTCCTCAACCCGTCGTGGTGCCCGCTTCGGACGCTGAGTCTCCTGCGCCGCCCGCAGCAGGCGAGGGAGAGCTCCAGCCGCCGCAGCACTGGACTCAGCAGCCTCTCGACGATGTAAGTACCGGTAGTGACATGCTGCGATATCTAAACCCATCCCATCCCAAAACTATGCAGTGTGTGCTTAATCGGAATACTGACCATCCATCCCTCCTCAATTAGGGCGATGCTGACTCAACGCTCGGCGACGACGCGGCTAGCTCGACGGCATCCATCTCGTCCAGTATCCTAGAGTACCGGACCATCAACGGCCGGACCTACCACAACGACCGTGGAAACAGCCAGTACTGGTAGGGATCATCCATCCTCCGTCGTGTTGAACTGACAGCTGAGGGTTGCAAAGGGGCGCAAACGACAATCTGCAGAATGAGACGCTGGACATCCAGTAAGGCCCAGCATGCGTGAGTCGTCGTATAATGCTCATATCGAGGTGCCAGAAACCACGTCTTTACCCTCGCCCAGGGTGGCAAGCTTCACTTCGCTCCCCTATCGGAACGGATCGAGGTACGTCGGATTGAATGGAAAGATGCTCCAACGGCCGCTGACGCTCAGTCCAGAAAGTCGTCGACATTGGAACGGGAACCGGAATATGGGCCATGTATGCTTCCCACTCGCCGTCGCGTACTCCTCCCAGCGCAACGCATCACATACTAATCTACAACTCGCAGCGACTTTGGCGACCAGTATCCCGATGCCGAGGTCACCGGCACCGATCTGTCACCCATCCAGCCGTCTTGGGTCCCGCCCAACGTGCATTTGTAAGGAGAACCATGCCGCCGGTCTTCCACATCCCATGCCGCAGCCGCTAATCTCTAATTCCCCCACAGCCAGATCGATGACTTTACGCAGGAATGGACCTTTGCCGAAAACTCGCTCGACTACGTGCACATGCGATGGCTCATCGGCTGCGTGACGGACTGGACCGCGCTGTTCCAGCAGGCATACAAGTGCCTCAAGCCCGGCGGTTGGATCGAGTCCTTCGAGTGCAACGGCTACTTCGAATCCGACGACGGCACCGTCACCGAGACGTCAGCCTCAGCCCAGTGGGGCATCATCTTCCGCGAGGGCGCCAAGAAGCTGGGCTCTACCGCATCCTTCGCCGTGGTCCGTGACGAGCTCCAGCGCAAGTGTATGGCCGAGGCGGGATTCCAGAACATCGAGGAAAAGCCCATCAGAGTGAGTTGTCCCCCTTACCTCGCCCCGATTCAGCTTGATCTGGCTGCGAGCTTTGAGCTGACACGAATACCAGCTCCCAACATCTGCCTGGCCCAAGGACCCGAAACTGCGCGAAATCGGCCAATTCACCAAAGCCGCCATTGAGAATGACATCGAGGGCACGATTGGCTTCATGGCTATCCAGTTGGGCTGGTCTCAGAAAGAAATCACGGTGTACGCCGCCCATCTACGCAAGGAGCTGCGAGGCGGTAAGGTGCACGCCTTCTATCGCGCAAATGTGGTTTGGGCCCAGAAGCCGTTTGAACAGTAAGGATTGACATCGGTTCCGTTTACAGCATCTTAGCATTTGCATTTCTTGACGAAGCACATCAATGGCGCTGGAAGTCTCACACGTTGCGTGGGTGGCAGAAATTACAGTCTGGAATTGGGAGCGAGTTTGAACGAGTGCATTAGCCTAGCTTTATTTTCTCATAGGTTCTGGTAACCTTCGGTTTGTGCTAGTATATATTTGCGAATGATATGCTGCCGCCGTACCAGTCACGAGGTTCTTTTCGCTGTCGTTGTCACTACCCGCTGTAGTCTTCATCTCGAAAGACTGCTCCACGTTGATTCCTCGAGTATCGGTGTCAACAACAGAGCCGTTCTTGCGGGTGTTGTGTGTAATATTGTCGTAGTTGTGCGAGCTACCGTGTGTGTAGCGACCACCGCTGGGATGCTTTGAGGAGTGGTTCAAAGAGCCAACGAGGCCGGGAAAGGTCCTAGACGAGAGTGGTTTAAGTGAAGGAACACAGGCGCAGATAATGGCAATGTTGCACTCGAGACCGGACCAGATGGCAATGTCGATTCCCTTCACTATGATACGTTAGCTCTATAGTGTGTCGTCTCGAGACCGCTTACCTGGTCGTTCAGAAACAGGAACTGAACTGTAAGCCCAGAGGGAGTACAGCCTGATGATGGCGATAATGCAAGCACTATGTGCCCTGTCAGCATCGAAATCTTCCAACAAGAGAAAGTGTGATACTTACACACCACCAGCGGCAAACACGCCCATCAAAACAAACTTGACCCTCCTCGCGATTTGCAAGCCCTTCAGGAATGGCATCGGCGCGATCAACAGCACAATATCGTTGGCGATATTAATCCCCGCAAACGCGTAACGCATAGCTCGATTGTCGAGACACTTCCCCGGGATCGAGTCGTCCCAGTACTTCGCCACCGGCCAGCAAGTAATGATGGTCAGCACCAGACACAGCGTCCCGTAGATTGAGAGGAAGATTATGAGGCCAATGAAGAGACGCCTCGCGGCCGGCGTGGCAAAGATGCGCAGGCATTGGATTGAGATGGAGAGTTTGACGGCGAGATGGCAGACTGTGTAGGAGATGACGCTCGCAACTGTCGCTTGGATGAATGGAGATAGGAGTTTGGGATCAGGAGCCTCGCCCAGGCCATAGCGAACCTCTAGCATGGTGTCAGATCGAAAACCTCTAAGTTATTTTGTGTCAGTACTTACGCTCCATGACTGCGATCAAGAACCCCAAGGTACCAAACTGAGAATGTCAGCAGCCACCATCAATCCAGAATGAGCTTTCAAGCCAATATCCATACCGTAGAGATTGCGATGAAGCCATCATCAGCGCCCACACTCCTCACCAGCCATACCCGGGTGAAGATTCTTAGCACCACAAAAATAATAGCGAGGACAGTGAACGTAAACCCTACTCCTACCAACGCATAATTTTGCTCCGGGATGAATATGTTTGAAACATACATTGTCAAGAAACCTGCAGCCCAGGAAGCAAAACCTAGAGCAAAAAGTGGCTGGTTTGATGTGTGAAGCCGAGCTTGGACTCGAGTTAGATACGTCTAGAGAAGACGGCGAGGCCTAAGAAAGAGGAGTCGATCTTCGACTGGGTGGAGTATGTGTCTTATATCCGCGAGACGAAATGCGTGTTTGAGTGGTCGACATGGTACCGGGCGAGTTCATGCAGGCCAGACTGTGTGATGACCCGTGCCTGGATGCAAATTCTTCGTCGACTTTCGATTGAGACGCCACCAAAGGATCCCGTACAGTGGTGCATAATATTCGCCGTAATAGTACATCCCGGTGTGCATTGCCAACTGTTACGCTGTCGGCCAGATTCACATAAGCCACAGAGAAGCCAACACCGACCGGTAGCCATCTCTCCAAAGAATGAAAAAAAACCGCGCAAGGTTTTTGATTCATCTTATTTTCTCGCCCCTTGCAGTCCGAATTCCGAATGGGATCCCTGGGACCCTTGTTCTCCAGTGGCGAGAGGTCGGACTTGAAACTCGATTGTTCCCGTGTGGTAGGGTCGGCTAAACGGATTGAGACTCGGTGGACAGTCTACAGTCACATTGAAGGCGCCTGGTGCCTGGTACCTGAAATCCCACTCTGCAGACACCTAACGGAAAAAGAAAGGCGGGAAACAGGGGTGCTCGTCACATTGCAGTGAGGCGCCCGCTTCGTGCCATCTCTGGCTGAAAGCAGTGCCTCAAACTGTAAGAAGATGCGAACATAAATTTAGAACGGGACCTGGGAGATGCCCGAAATCCATGGTATTAACTCTTGTGGGAGCAGCGTTGCTGTCAACGGGACCAGCTTAGTTACGAATGTGTCCCATGGTACCTCTGATGGAACTTGGAGTCTAATCCTAGATGGCAAACGACATGCGTTGCTGGCTTAAAAAGATCGAAGATCTCTTGGATAATTCGTGCCTTGTGTGGTGGATCCTCGTCTTGATCAATCATAGTAGAATAGTTTGGCAAACTTGGGCATCCGCATGTGTTCTGCAACGATGTTAGGTTGCGGCTTTGAGCTACAGGCCCAAAGCACAAGAAGTCGCACCACGTCTCGCAGTCCTCGTACTGTATGCATGGTCTGCTTGACTTGGCACCAAAGAGCATCCCAGAAGGAAAAGCAAATACTAAACAGCTGAGACCTGGGTCGTTGGCTCTAACTAGTTTAGTTACTTTACTGATCTAATCCGTTGGCGACCGCCATTGCTTCCTCTTCACTCTTGGCGTTCCTGCTTATAGTAAGTAGCCTTTATGAGTTAACAGTTAACAAAATGGACGTGCTGTCCCGACCCGTCGGCGTGGGAACCTCTCACGGACCTCGCATGGAGGGCTCGGCCATGATGGCATGCGGAGCCTCCGTACGATCAGAATCAATACCTGAAATAAAGCCAGGGTTATTCCAAAAGAAAATAAGCACTAGTAGATCAAGGATGATAAGCACTAAAGGGATCGACAAGGAGAACCCATGTCCCATCACCTGCATTGTTATTTGCACACAAACGAGTGTCCTTCACTTCAACGCTGTTACATGCAACAAATTAGTTTCCCCCACGCGGGGGAACAGCGCTATTTACTTACCCATGACCGACGAACAGGTAGGCATAGGTTGCATTCGAAGCTAGTGAATGAATCTCCTCAGGTTCGCCCGGGACATACCGTGAGCGGCTGTGGCGCTGGTATTTAAGGCGAATTCTTATTCCCGGTTTCACGACGCCAATACCGTGGACTAGGGTCGTTAACAACCTGGTCTCGGTACCTGTCCATCAGGCGGAGCGTGCAGTAGTCCAACGGTCGCCGGATCCTTCGATGGATCCTTCGCCGGCGGACCCGATCCATTGACAGGCTGGGCTGTAGAGTGGCTTGGACTGTTGGCTGCATGGCGTTTGTGGCACGCCAGCTTCCCGATCCTTTGAGAATTTTCACGAGGTGCGGGAATATCACAAGGTATTCTGTCCATGCCAGAAGTGACAGTACCGATTGTGAACCATTTGCCAGATTCCCGAGCGAGGGTTATCAAGTTCTCACAGTCGTGCCATCAGCCGTCCTGAACCAGCATTATGTCTGCCGTCTCATCGCTCCCATCACGTCAAAGTTGCTGCAGAAGGTAATCAATCGGTCGCTTATTAGCGCAATAGGGGGGGGGACCTAGTCATATGGGCACGGCATCCTCAACCCTTGCTTCACCCCTTGCGAAAGATGCCTCTTCTCGCATCCGCAGTACGACGGCTTTAAATTGGATACTACAACATACCCGCGAGGTGACCTGAATGCTGTGCTGCCAAGGGCCCTCGCCGTCGATGACAAATACATGCTGCATCCGACAGGTCACTGTGGCGGCCTCATAAATGCAACCATTCCTCCTGAGACATCACAGCCTGTTCCGGCAGCTTGTACGTCACCCCGCTTTGCTCCCACGGATCCTCCGACTGAGCACGCATCAGCCCATCATGAAGTCTTCCTCTCTTGTGAGCTGTTTCTTGGCGGCTTGGGCATTTGCGGGCGCGTTGGCCACGGGTTCAACCGCCAAAGTGGATGTTCATGCGCATTTTGTTCCCGATTTCTATGCGCAAGCGTTGAGAGACGCTGGCCATACGCCAGGTCCTGATGGCATGCCAGCTATCCCGGTTAGTCCCTGACCAACAATGAGAGTACTACTTTTTCTGACACAATTACCTAGGCTTGGACTCCTGAGACTCACCTGGCGTTCATGGAGGAGCAAAATATAGACAAGGCCTATTTGTCCATCTCGAGCCCTGGAGTGTATCTTACTGTGCCTTCTAAGGCCGCTACAACAAAGGCCATCAATTTGGCCCGACAGGTCAACAAGTACGCGTCGAAGCTGAAAGCTCAATACCCTGACAAGTTTGGGTTCTTTGCATCTCTTCCCCTCCCCGACGTCAAGGCGTCATTGGAAGAGATCAAGTTCTGCTTCACCAAGCTGCACCCGAAACCCGATGGTGTCGTGCTCATGTCCAACTTCTACGGAATGTACCTCGGCGACCCAGACCTTGATCCAGTCTACAAGGCGCTCAACAAACTCAACGTGACAATCTTCGAGCACCCTACTACGCCATGCACGGAATTCAACGAATTGAAGTATCACATCAACACAAAGGCTCCTGTCATTACCCAGAAGCAATGGCAAGCTCTCAACAGACCGGTTGCAACCCGGCAGTTTGCTGCCCCTACGCTTGACTTTCCCTTCGACACGGCTCGCACCTTTGCAGATCTATTCTACTCTGAGGTACCAACTAGGTTCTCACGTCTCAAGTGGATTATCCCTCATGGCGGCGGCGCCCTCGTGCCTACCTTGGATCGGATAGTTGGGTACAGTACGCTGTATCCGAACCTCAATTTGACGGAATCGTCCATGAAAGCGACCCTCGCCAAGAGCTTTTACTTCGACCTCGCCGGTCCTTGGCCAGTTACCTCGGCAATTCCTCCATTGCTTCGATGGGTCGATTATACGAAAATCGTCTGGGGAACTGATACGCCGTTCACTCCCTGGGCCTCAGCCGCAAAGGGAGTTGCTGCCTTTGACCAGGATATTGAAATAGTGTTTAACGACTCGGGTAAAGCTGAAGCTGTTCGACAAGACAATGCAAGGAACCTATTCGACTAGCTGTACATGGCCACCTTGGTTATGGCAATGCGCAACAAGGATAATTAATGTCACTTGCAATATCTTTTCGGAGAGGTGGGGGTTTCTATAGCGAATATTCTTCTGATCCGTTGCACTGAATGAATTAACTAATTCGCGGTCAACCTAGTCGTACTGCAATCACATAGACAATAATACTAATACTTTTAATCATGGTGGACATATTCATATCCAGACAAGACCTCTCCCAGCTTAAGTAGACAACTGATGGAGTGAGAAATTTCTCGGCAATCGTACCGGTCAGGAGTGGCGTTCTCGAAATTGAGTGTAGAGGATCGGCATAATGCTTCTGCCGGATCTTGGTCGCTTCGTTACAGGTTGGAGGTCGGGTGACAAAGTACTAGTTTAGTATCCCCGATGAGGCTATCGCCAAACAAAAAACCATGCCTGGGACTGCTGAGTTCACCAGCTCCCTCCCGGCACAATACTGGAGAATCGACATTTTTTTTCTCACGTCCTGATGGCTTGAACCGGGGGCGCGTCGATGTTGCTCTGCAAATATCCCACAGCAATGAGCAGCCTGGATGCAATTTGGGTGCAGCTACGCTGAAGACAGATGTCATCTGCTCCTGTCGGCGTGCCGGTGAACTCAGCGGATGAGGCACCTCACCACCACTATCCGCGAGGTCACTGACGACACGATGCTAGACGACAAGGCCTCCTCAAGCCTGAGAACTATGTGCAGGTACGGAGTCAGCCTAACCACACGAGCTTCTACGTCAGGTGCGACTCCATCGACGTGTTCGATTCGTATCGTCTCGCAGGGTGCTCATAGTCGACATGGAGCGGAGGTCGATTGTATCGGGGAACATCGTGGAACAGGTTGCAGCACCTCGTCGCTCTCCTAAGTGACTTATCGCTTCGATCGAACTCGTTGACGTCGTGACTCACCTTGCCATTAGGGGTGAGCTGACCTTTATGGCCACGCGTTAGTGGGATAAGGGTTAGGGAGTGTAGACACACAAGCGGATGAATATATGCAGCCGAAGAAAGATTTGCATCGATTTCAAGAAGCTTCGAAACTGACCAGAAAAAGGCTCCCGTATCTCTTGCGTCCCCTCAAAGACTCGAGGCATGAAAAACGAGATTTACTTTCCTGTTCTACCAAGTGTTGAGTGATTTCACGAGTTGGGGTGGGGCGACTTACAAAAGAAGCTAACAAGAATCTGGTGAGCCGTGTCATCATCTCGGTAGGAGCGGCTAGGTTTATATTTCCTACCCCAGTCTTGGCATGGAAATGTTAGGATCATTTAGCTTTATATAGAATAGCGTACTGAGTGGCGAAATTGACAAATCATTTCCATATTCTGGGGTATTCGTGACCTTCAAAGATGTTCTAGGGTAGCTTGCCAGAGTGATAAATATGCTGCCCACTCATGGGTTTTCTGCGCCATGGAACAACCTCAAACAGGAATCTCTGGATTGAATAAGAGGGTCAAAATAACAATGATGGTGGTAATGGACCTATGTAGCAATAATATACAGACTACCGCGGTCTGTGTTCAGCGCAGCCTCCAAATCCCAATCTCGCGCCCTTACGAAAACAAGTATGTGTCAATCATAGGAGTGAACTAACTTGCGGGCCTCTTCCCTCATGAACGGCTTGACTCATTTCAATACGATGAACGAAAAAGGAAATAAAAATGCCGAGAAATTCGTACAAGCGGGGTTGACCCCAATCGAGGCTCTTGATGCGATGCCGTCTTCGCTTGCGCAAGCGCTGGCGTGAAAACCTACGACCAGCTGAGGAAATTGCTTCATTAGCTCTGAATCTCGCCCCGCGCTTGATCTAGCCCAAGCATTTTGATTCTCTGTCTGCTCCGTGCGCTGTCAATTGATCATGTGGCTGGTCTAGTGCCGCTGCCAATGGTTTACTTGGAACTTGTTCGACACGCCGAGTGCGGCCTTGATCCCAGAGCCTCTGATGAATGATGTCATGCTACTATGCATGTTACGCCAAGCTATCTGTAACCACTTGTCGTAAGTTACGACACCATTGTGATACGGGGCACATGGAGAGTATGACCACTCAACCCCCTTGGCAATCATCACTTAGGTTACCCCAACGATTAACTAGATCGGGTGCCCCAGGATCATCTTGTGTTGGGCTCTGGGCCCTACGCCCTGCAATATCGGAGCCGCAAAGTCTAGACAATGCCGATAGTCGGCACTCGTCCTAGGATCCTGCTAGTGACCCGGGAATGGAGGCATGACTGACTGATACGAGACGGTCTCAGTCCGGGCCAGCTGGTCCGCGACACCCCGTCGTAACACCACGTGGCCCGGTGGTATCGAGTCTCAACACCACGCGACTCAGGGTACTCAACACAATGTATGCGTGAATATTATCTCGTCCCTAGCGAAAAACCACCAGGCCTGGTTGGCCTCTGCAGGTTCCAAAGCGCCCGCAAGGAGAGAAGTCCGTGTTTCCAGGTTGAGTCCGCGTTATATTCCTCCCTGCGAAAAAAATGCTGAGATGGCTGGACGGGCCGATTGTCAGGAGCCTTGGCCACATGGAATCATACCATCTATCGCTCGGCGCGGCGACTAGAGCAGCCACGGTGCTCTAAGGGAGCGGCATGTGGGTGAAACGAGATCCGGCCGGCCGCCACGCAGGAAATGGGTGACAGACCGGCCCTGTTTTTCGTTTAACCTGCTTGACCGATTGCGCAGAGGATGGCGAATGCCGCTTGCATCAAGCTATTTGCGGTCGTGTTCTCGGCGAGACTACCCCAACTCCCCACATGGTTGAGGAGCGGCCGTCTTGGTATCTAGCCTCTTTAGGGGAAGCCTGTCGGCATTGCCTTGCTGGTGTGGTTAAACCAGGCTTGTGATTGGGCATCGTGGTTGGGGGTCCCAATCTTTTCCCCGGAGGTCTGGCACTCTAACGAGGTCTCGATCGCCAGGAGAATCCGGTTCACCACTATACGTACTCCCATGCTAAACTAGGGAGCCATGGCGACGCCGAGAAGGGCAGGAAAGCTTGACACTTGTCCACGTGCTCAGCGTGTTATTGGGCACGCGGAGCTCAACGACGGGGCCGTTGGTTGGGGTAGCGTTACTCTCGGTCCGACAGCTCCAACCGGCCCCCAGCTTGAATCATGGAGAAGCTGGAGAACTCTGCGTCTGGGTCGTCTCGTGCGGAGAGGTCTGGGGATTAAGTTGAGGGGAGAGAGGGGGGAGAGGGGGAGAAGAGGAGAAGTGGAGTAGGAAGAGTTTGTAGATCGCAAAGACGAGAGAATATAAAGATTGGATTGATCGCAGTCAACTCTCTCGATATCACTCCTCACAGCACTTCAATCACTCCAATCCTCCTCCTCCTCCTCCTCCGCCTACACGCACACATCTTCACAATGGCTGGTGGCATTCCCACCGCTGCTCCCCAGCTTGCTGGCGGCTACCTGACTGGTCGGGCCCTCATCTTCCCCCTCTCCCTCATCATCTCTCTATTCTTCCTCTGGGGCTTCTCCTACGGCCTGCTCGATGTCCTCAACAAGCATTTCCAGACCGTGCTTGGCATCTCCCGCCTCGAGTCCACTGGCCTCCAGGTCATGTACTTTGGCGGCGGTTACCTGCTCTACTCCCCTATTGCCGCAGAGGTCCTCAAGCGCCGGGGCTACAAGCAAACCATCCTGATGGGCCTTTCTCTCTACTCGCTTGGTGCTATCCTCTTCTGGCCCGTGGCCAAGTCCGCCGACAGCAGCAGCAACGGCAGGGCTGTCTTTGGCGGCTTCTGCGCTTGTACCCTTGTCATCGCCTGCGGTCTCGCCACCCTTGAAACCGCTGCCAACTCGTACGCCGTCGTCATTGGCAAACCCGAGTCTGCTTCAGCCCGTCTGCAATTCTGCCAATCGTGGAACGGCGTTGCTTCCTTCATCGGCCCCCTGATCGCGTCCAAGTACTTCTTCAGCGGCGCGAACCAGAACAGCCTTACCAATGTTCAATACGTCTACCTCGCTGTCAGCTGCGCTGGCGCCGCCGTCGCGGTCCTCTTTTTCTTTGCCCGTCTTCCTGAGATTCCCGAGGCCGTCATCGAAGATGAGGCTCACGGCCAGACGACCCAGGGCTCGTTCTGGAAGCAGTACAACATGTGGTTTGCCTTTGGCGCCCAGCTCTGCTACGTCGGTGCCCAGGTCACCATCGCCACCTTCTTCATCAACTACGCCCACGAGAACGGCGGCATTTCCACCAGCAAGGCTAGCACCATGCTGAGCTACGCTCTGATCACCTTCACCGTTGGTCGCTTCTTTGCCACTGCTCTGGCTATGCTTCTCTCTTCCGGCTTCATCATGGTCGTCTACACCTGCTGCGCCATTGCCCTGACAGCCTACGTCAGCGCTGGTCACGGCGCTGCCAGCGTCGGCGTGCTCATCACCATCTTCTTCTTCGAGGCCCCCATGTATCCTACCATCTTCGCCATGGGTACCAAGAACCTTGGCCGCCACACCCGACGCGGAGCTGGTGTCCTTGTCATGGGTGTCTCCGGTGGTGCCATTTTCCCTCCCATCCAGGGTGCCATTGCCGACGCCAAGTCAACCCGTATCAGCTACCTCGTCCCCATGATTGGCTTTGTCTACGTTCTGGGATACGTCGCTGTTAACTGGGTTCGTGATGGCACGCCCATCCTGGCACCCAAGGCGTCTGAGACCACTGTTAGCGACTCAGCGAGTGTGAAGGAGAAGGACGGTGCCATCATTGAGCAGCACGAGAAGAAGGCCGATGACTGGGCATAGAACATACAAGATATACAAGATACACAAGATCCGAAATTAGAAGTAGACAGGGTTCTCTAGAGCGGATTCAATAATACTACTGAAAGAAACATTATCACTGGGCTTTTCCGTAAAGCTTCAATCCACTTCCGCCTGTAACCAACCACCACTCATCCAACTGATACCCTCCTATCTTCACTTTTATTGCCGACTAAAAAAGAAGGAGGCGCTATTTGTGATCAGCAAAATGGTCCCATTTCCAAATTGCGGTATCTTTCCCAGGCAATTTTCTTAGATCGAAACTTGTCGGGTTTCAACTAGGCTAATAAGGGGAGTTGGGCACCGCGATCGGCGGTGTTAATATCGCTCACCTTATAATTCTTGGAAATAGCATGAATTTAATAGATCTAGCTAATCACAATGCAGGCAGACTAGTGCCTAATTGAGCGACTTGAAGATGGCGGCGGACAAGCTCATCGCGCACTTATTTCGGACCCAACAGATTGTGGACGACGGTTAAACGGTGAAAAATATTGTGATTTCGCACGTGATGGCTGAAAAACGATCTGAGTGCTCACTCTATCTCATCAACGTAAATTAGAATGCTCGCCGGCTTTATAGTCCACCTGTCAAGCCGTTCAAGTGTGCCTCGAATAGCTGCCAGATTTGCTCCTCATTCGTCTCAAAGTTGGAAGGAATAATTGGGTCCTCAAACATGCCCAGTCCTTCTGCGCTCCGCATAAAGTCCTCGTCGTTCAGGCTTTCTTAAAGTCCAGGTTGGAGGTTTCCAGTAGCACTCAGTGCAGGCATTTGCTGCCCTAACACAGTTCTCTCTATATCATCGACCCAGGCATGCCTGGTCTCGTGATTTCTGGAGCTTACGAGGTGATATGGTCGGTACGGACGTGTGAGAAGATGGGAGTTGTGGATGCCGCAGATCTGTGTGATCTCGGTTTTGTTATGGTGTCGAAGCATAATTTGACCAGTCTCTTGCAAAAGTCTTCAATCCTGTAGACACTTGGTGCATCAGCTGATATGACACTGAACCCATCTGCGACACCTTTGAGAAGACGTAGGTGCCCGAGGTCTGCCGTGATGATGACGTTGCTAAACACAACGAAGAAGGCGGATAAAGGAAATATCAAGATTCTTCTTGGCAGATGTTAGCTCTCATCAAGTGGGACAAACAGAGAGAGTCAGTGTGATAAACCATGTCAGTGATGAAGCAAATGCCTTCGACCGTATAAAATGAGACCCTTTAGTTCACCATCGACATCATCGACCTTAAAGCTCGCATGACGTACTTCCCGCCTGGTATTTTGTCCAGCGGCGATAAAGAAGTTCTGCTTCGATTTAATTGTTTAGTCCAACACTTGGATCAAGGGCACATACATGGTGGTCAACATATTTTTCACCTTTGTTGAGGTGGATAAAGGTCATAATATCCTTTTGGGTCTGTGGGTCAGTGATGTAGTCCGTAGCAGCCAGAGTGAAGGTATCCAAATACCACTGTCGTACTGAGTCCGCTTGAGTGTGGTGAATTTCATAGCCATAATGCCCTAGCTTGTAAACATGGCTAGGTCCATCTTCGAACCGTTGGAATTCTCCTTGGCGGCTCTTTGTATCCCAAGTATTATACACCATTTTCTTCGGTTATTCAGCTGGGTCAATCTTACGTTCGTTGTGGCCCCAGTGAAGATAAATTGAGCCACCGGTAGGATCATCCACGGCCACTGTTTTTCCGCCAATAACATCGTCGGCGTCGGTAATAGGTGAAGCAACCCTTAGTTGCGTGGCCGCTTCGAGATCCTTGGAATCATCAACAGCCCATCCTGCACCAAGAAAATCGGGCTGATCCGTCCTAGACTAGTCTTCCTCATCACCACAGACAGTCGTTATGCTATCCTCTCACAGCCATAGATGAAATTACGCTTACATAACTGATCCATTTGCGCCACCAGTAGTGCGCGAGTCACGTGGACGGTTGTTTCCTGAGGCATGTTGAGATTCCCCAGCTTCCGAAACCACACATCCCTTGGCAAACGCAACTCGAATCCATATCTTTCGCACCATTCACGACCATCGCCCAAGATGCTACCCTCCTCTCTCAAGACTATTTACCAACAGTACAAAGCCGACACAGACTCTGTCGCCAACTGGCTCGCCACAACTGCCAAGGACAACGGTTACGCAGACAAGGCTCCAAGCTCCAACAATGTGCTGGTCCAGCCAGGCAGACCGAAGGGCCAACCTCGAAAACAAGCCAAAGGTGCAAATCGGCCTCGGCCAGGAAACTCGGCAAACAAAACTTCGCGGATCATCAGGATCAGGGACTTTGAACCCATGGCAAGCTTCATCGCCAAGATAGATTCCGTCAAGGTTCCCGATCACTTGGCTGTGGCCCTGGAGCGCGTTATCTGGGGTACTTAAAATTCACTCTCACAGCTCCTATTTGTACGCAGCAAACTAATATCTCTGTCGACAGTACGCAAGAGTTTTTCGCAACGGCTTGCTGACAGTGGAGCCAAAGTCGACCTCGCCTCAGACGAACGACATTCTTTCTTTGTCGGGGTACTTGAAAAAGTTCGCTAATGTCTGAAGCCATTCATGGGAACTGGCGGCTTCAATATTGACGAAGCGGCTAAGAAGGCTGGCGATAAATCTCAGAATCCTTTCAAGAACATGTTTGACGTTCTCAAAGTGTACACCCCATCCGAAGCATTCTTGAACGCTCCAGATGTTGCTGCCAAACCCGCAACCGATTTGAAGTATACTGCCGAACAGGACGAGTCCGCCGAGGATGCCTTCTTTGCTCTTTTCGCTCTTTTGGGTGACTATAGCCGCCTCCGGGAAGAGATTAAGTCACTGTGGGCGGATTATTAGGCAAATTGTCTCAATCTCGCTGCCGCTGCTATTGCAACGAACACAGCTTTCGAGCTCGCTTGCAGCATGGAAGACGAAGTTATGCCTATAGTAAATAAACACGGCGGCGCAGACAGCATTCTTACTTCGTCCTTCGTAGAGTTATGCGCATTATCCGGCATTGACGCACTGGGTAACAAGCAGCCAGGTGATTCTTACAACTTGAAAGCCTATAATCTGGCCCAGGCCTGTCTGATAAACACCACCAGTGTTCTTAATGGTTATGTAAAAGGCAATTCGGGCGACCTCATCGTTACCAACTACAACGGCAAGTTCGGCTGGTATGACGAAGTGCTTGGTGCCAAGGGGCAGACCAACCGCGCAAAGTGGGATCAGGATAAGACTGCAATGATGGAGGTCCTGCCAGACCTGCAATTCCTCTCGTCGAATCTGGGAACAGGAGCGGTTGAAGACGAACTGATCCGTGGCGTTGGTGCTCTAATGAACGGTCCCAGCAATAGTACGCCCCTGTAGTTATCCTGGGCTGCTCAAGTTTATCTTGATGTCCTACAGTCCCTCGGGTCAAACTGCGGCCGTGGCTTTGACGAGATGAAACAGGAAAGCCTCAAGATCAAGAAGGCAATGCTCGACGTCCCCAGCTCGCAGGAACGCAACTGGGTCATCAAAGCCGCTACAAAGTGGGACAAGGATCCTATTTGGACATGCCGCCAACAAATGACACAATTAGGGCTGTTACCCAACAACAGTCCCCCGGCATGGAGGTTTCTGCGTCGCAACCCGATTCACTGCGGCCTGCTCCTCCACAATATGCGTGTGAATCTACACCTCTCGGGCGCAGCATACGCAGCAACTCCAGGAGGAGTCATGTATACGACACAGCTATACCACGCTCTTCGCCAGGAGAAACTTCTTCCAGACCAACTCGTATGGGAAGATCTCGAAACTTTTTGGAAGATGCAGGGTGACTCGGCGATCTTTGTCGGCGATCCGCCTACGAACCGCGAGGACTACTTCAGGAATTACTGTCTTTGCCTCGGCGTGTCCGCCAGTAACTGGGCGCCAACCAAGCGGAAGGGCAAAGTCAATGTCAACACCGCAAACAGGCGCAACATGAAGCACAAGGGGTGGGTGTCGTTGGTGATCAACCGCCGTCTCGCGCCGACTGGAGAACGTCCCCCGTTGTCGTCTGACCTGATTGGAGGCATCTTGATTGAGGGTCGCCGCCATGAGGCTTTGGACGGCAAAGGGCATATCCGGCCAGAGGTCAAGGAAAGAGCGAAGAATGAGACTGTGAGTTTTAATAACCTAGAATTACTGTATCAGGAAGTTATTGCTGACACTTATCACTAGATCGACCCAGTGACGCTCTTACCTACTGTTCTTATTCGCAAGCTTGCCCTAAACATACACGCCGAGGTCCCCGACATCGTCTTCAACTACTTCACCATGCACAACTTGGCGTGGAAATTCCTCATGGAGTTGAAAGAAGAGTTTATCTGACTATGGGGGGCTGGATTCCTCCAATACGTACCCACAGAAGACAAGCTGCCTTACGTGGTGGGCTACGTCTTTTCCACCGCTGCAGGCCGTACAGGCTTGACAAGCGAGGATAAGGGCGAGGCTGTGGATGCCGGGATCGATGCCGCCGCAAAGCTTATGCGCAAATTCTTGGAAGACGGACGTGGACGAGTTGTTAAGGAGCAAGCTGAGACGGAGGTTCGGCCGGAGGAGCTGAAAGATGCGGACTTTGGTGACTTGGACCCGTGGAGGATGGATAGGATGATGACGAAGATCAAGAAAGAGAGTCAAACTGGTGGGGGTAGAGGAGGAGCCGGAGAGGAATGCCCCATGCAGTGAGAAGCCCCGACTAGTTCAGATTCAGGTTTTGATTGTCACTACAGCAGCCATGCCAATACCATTTGATGTTTGATCAGCTGTCTTCAAGATTCCAACTCCTTGTCCTTGCACTCTATCTACCTAGGCCACTTCTCAAGCTCTTAACTTGTTCCGAAAAAGCATGAGCGGAACCCTAGGGGATTTGTCGAAGAATGGTAGCCCAACTGGTAGCTTTGCAGCGTATAATAATACTGAACTGTTAAGTGAGATTAAACCGGGACACCTGGGCTGTTTGCTTTGGAGCAAGTGGGAAACTATTAATACACACACCAGAAATTCCGAGAGTCAGTCAATACTTCGTCAGCTTGGAAGTGACCGGCTACAAGATCGGGAATAAGTATCGGCATTGTCGGATCGGCATCGGTAATTGAACAAGGGCCGATGCCAAGCCGAGCCGAATCCAGCCTCTGATTGGTCCGGTTTTACCAGACGTCATTAACTGACGGCTCTCACTGATCAACACTGACTTCAAGTAGGGAGATATAAAGACTTCTAGTCCCAGTAAGATGATGACTTTTTCTACATTCCTCAGCTACTCATTTCTCGTTGAATACATCACACCAAAATGGAAGCCAAACAAAACCTCAAGTACGCCATCATCGGCGGCGGCATTGCCGGATTGACTCTGGCCATTGCCCTTCACCACCGCGGTGTATCTGTCAAAATCTACGAGCAAGCACCACAGTTTGGAGAGATCGGTGCGGGCGTCTCTTTTACCCCTAACGCGGTACAGGCAATGCGGATGTGTCACCCGGGCGTCGAAGCAGCCTTCGAGAAGGTCTGTACGCGCAACATGTGGCCTTCGAAGCAAAAGGTCTGGTTTGACTACTACGACGGCCAAGCAAAGGACGTCGAAGCCAAGGCGCAGAAGCCCGCGTTTTCCATTAGCAACAACCTCGGCCAGAACGGCGTTCATCGTGCGCGTTTCCTTGACGAGCTTGTCAAGCTGGCTCCCCCTGAGCTTGCATCCTTTGGGAAACGACTTGAAAAGTTCGAACAGGCCGAGGATGGACAATATACTCTGTTCTTCTGCGACGGATCGACCGCGCAGGCCGATGCTATTCTGGCTTGTGACGGCATCAAATCCCAAGTCCGCCGGTGTCTCTTTGGTGCGGACCACCCCTGCGCATTTCCTTCCTACACACACAAGTACGCCTATCGGGTACTGGTGCCGATGGAGGATGCGGAAAATGCCATCGGGAAAGAGAAAGCCCAAAACGCGGGCATGCATGTATGATTTCTCGATGCGAGCGTTGATGGTTGCCAATGGCGCTGACATACAGGCAGATGGGCAAAGGCGGCCATATTCTAACGTTTCCCGTGAACCATGGAAAGACGCTGAATGTTGTTGCCTTTCATACTACTTCAAGTGACTGGCCTGACAGCTCGAGGCTGGTGGCACAAGCTACGCGCGAAGATGCTCTCCGGGATTTTGCTGGGTTCGGAGATACCGTTACAAGTCTGCTGAAGTTGGCAACGCCAACCCTTGAAACTGTAAGTACTCTCTGACATTTTGATTTACAGAGCGGCACTGACACCATGTCCAATAATTAGTGGGCTATTTTCGACTTGGGAAAGAATCCTCCGCCTGCATTTGCCCGAGGCCGCGTTTGCCTGGTTGGCGACGCCGCGCACGCAACGTCGCCGCATCACGGCGCAGGTGCGGGAATGTGCATCGAAGATGCCGCTGTGCTCGCCCATCTCCTGTCAGACCCAATTGTGACGGGCCGCGGTGAAGTTGAGCGAGCGCTTGAAGTGTACGATAGCGTACGGCGAGAACGCGGATCATGGTTGGTTCAGAGCAGCAGCCATATTGGGAACACGTACGAGTGGCTGGCGGAAGGAATCGAGGATGATCTGGTCAAAATCGAGGCTGAGATTAATCTCCGCAATGGCCTTATTGCCAATGTCAATGTGGCAGAGATGTGCCAGGCGGCGCAGGCTGAGTTGGCAACGAGATGCAGGGCTGGGATGAGTGAACTAGCTAGGATTTGAACATGGCTGGAGGGGACACTTTACTGTATAAAAACCCCCGCTCTGCTCTACGCAATGATTTAATGTTACAATCCTCCCTTCTCTATAACGATATTTTTCCGCTACCCACATTCGTCATGATAAATTAGGTTGCAACTGGAACAACTCTAACCAAGTCATATCCGTCGACTGCGTGTTCAAGTACAGCTCGCTGAATCCATCCATACCAAATGCATCCGCCATATCTGGGCCATGATGTTCGCCAACTTCTGGCCCAGCCGCCGGGGTCAGGCTCCCACCTAATGTCGGAGTCAAATCAGATCCGACTAGGTCTCTCGAAGGCTCGTCTAAGTATGACGCGCGTTAGACGTGAGAATTGATGTTAGATGATATTGACTCGTACCTTGGACATGATCATTTTGGAAGATGCGCATCTGGACTGCCTTCAGCGAATTAATCGCATGAGAAGCTGATTGCACCCTATCTTGATAATGTTCCAGGATCGCCAAGCAGTGGTCCCACCGAGTTTGGAAGTCGACTTGGTTTGATTCAATACTAAGCATACTGCATTTCAACGAGGCCATCAGGACGATCGCTGAGGAGAACGTGACTTGGTAAGATGTTAGTCATTTCCAGCAACAATACAAGGGTTGACCAACAATATACAGCATGCCAGCATGAGCTGCGGTAGGGAGTTCTGAGGCTCGCATAAACGGTGTCGATGAGTCGAAACGCTGTCTGAACACAGAGTTCACAACACTGTTTGATCATGGCGTTGGTTAGCATTGACTGCCCGGTGGCGTCAGGAAACCGGGCTTTAGGCTCGTCCATGGTTATCGTTAAGAGCAATAAAGGTCGCAAGAGAAGCAACCTCGTGAGGAGAAACCTGATAAACAGGTTAGCTTGGTTGGCTGGCTGAGATTATCTCTAAATACCTGCAATCCAGCACGTGATTCTGCAGCATCACTCGATTTGCATCTGGACTGTCTGAGTCCTCTTGAACCGCAACCCTGAGGTATGACGGAATACTGATTGAGAAGTCATCAAGTTGGCGATTCAGATCCAAGACAGCCATTACCATCTCTGTTCTATACTTGGAAGCCTCAAGTTGACTCTCAAAGCTTGGGGTGTGCTCATTTTTGGAAAGAAACTCCAAGACCTTTTCTAGCAACTCCAGGAGTGTGCATGACGAGACGAAGAGTCCAAGGTACGACGGGGTCTCAGGGGGTTGTACACCCTCGGCGTGTTCGCTGAGGAATTCGTCATCGACCATGGCAGGCAGTGGAACCGCATTGCCTTTATTAATCATGGTGGGACGACCAAAAGTCATTGCGAGCAATCTGTGTAGTCAGCTTTTGAGAAATCTTGGTTAACTGAACGAGTGCAGCTCACCGATCGAGATTCACGCAAGTATGCCAGACCCGTCTTCTCACCTCGCGTTCCAACTGAGATGTTGCCTTGCGGACGTCCAGGTCAGCGTGCAATCCAAGTCCTTGGGCAACACGAATAGCCAGGCCTATCGAGTTCCAGCAACGGTTGGCATGCCGGGTGGATTGAAGGTAGATGCCGTTCAAGAGCCACATCTGAACTAATGGCAACGATGCCGAATCCAGAGCATCGAAATTGGACAGCTGCCGCGACTTTTGATAAAACCCATCAGCGGCGGATTCCTTTTGAGCGTCTGGGATGGCGTTGCTGAACTTGCACCCAAGAGCAAAGACCAGATTCATTGTCGATAGGAAGATGACATTCTCCCCTGCGGAATCTGAAGATACATCATCGGCACGGCTCTCGGTGGCCCAAAACTGCTCATACTGCTTGCCAAAGGTCGTCTTGTGCAGCACTGGAAACGTGGGGTGGATAAATTCCCAGTAGCAGAACAGAAACTCGTCCGCACTGCGTCGCCGCGGTAGTTGGGCCATGGCGTCGTTTTGTCGAGGAATGCGCTCCGGAATATGTGCTGATACGAGGCTATGGGTCGGTTGCGTTGTGGGATCGTGACTGGATTTGGTTAACAGCCGGCGAAGGAACGCTACAGTGGATGAAGGTCCGTAAATGGAGTTATCATGGCGGCCAGCTAGGATTGCAAGCCCGTCGCTGTGTGTCGAAGACCATGGTTGGCAAGACGCGTCGCTGGCGGTATTGTTGTCGACGACTCTCTGAAGACTCGGATGACTTTGTTCTGTTGGTAGATATTGCGACCTTCTCGATACCCATTCCGCGTTTCTTGACTCCCGATCTGATTCCGAAGGTATTGCCATTGGCCTACGTCGACGACGCCGGTTTATCTTGTATACACAACTCGAACCAACGCCTCGATCCTCACACGCCTGACACACGGGCTGACGTCCATCGCACCGCGTCTTCCGGTCTCGACACGCGCCACAAGCTTCAGCGACTCGCCGGCGTTTCCGCGCGGCACCTTCGCGTTCCGCATACGCTGGATCCATGATATCGGCGTCTGTTCCAACCGCATCGGGGGCCTGGCCAATTGATGTCCAAAGACGGTACATGTTCGGTCACTCGATGTATGGCGGCTCGGTGTAGCGCGCACGAATCGAGAATGCGGGGAACATGTTGAGTCAGCTCTGTTTCCGAGGTGAAGAAATTAGTCGAGCCGATCGAGCCGTTTTCGAGGCTAAGGCAGCGTAACTTATTAGCGTACGGAGTAGTCCGAATCGAATCAAGTCATTTTTTGTCATTCTGACCATCTGGTTGAGTGGCATTGAGAGTTAATTTCTCCGCAGAGTCGAATGGCGGCAAGGGCATTTATGCAATTGATGCTAGAAAACCCTGGGAATTCGCGAAACTACAAGCTTTGATTTGTATGGACAATCGTTGAACTGCTTTATGCAACAGAGAAAACCTACTACTGGTATTTGACACAAAGATCAACATTGCGGCGATTGTTTTCTTAGGTGGACAGACGATCGTTTGCTATTGCCATCATGTGCCTCGCATCGGCTTTTGACATCAGGCCTGCACCACGAGCAAAGTTTCCTATTAAGATGGAAGATTTTCCCTATTATATTCCAGGAATTTTAGGCGTAGAAATGCCCATCAATATTGTACCGCGCAACGCGAAAAGACTAGGACAGCTCGATGGGTACTTTGGAGAGGCTTTAGCCGCCCGTCCTCAATATGTGAGTCATGCTCTTGAAAATAATATTGCATAAATCTAACATTATGAAGAGGTCGTTGGATATGGATTCTTGAGCTATCATATCGGTGCCAGGCCCTTGCAAACGGGCTGGGATCTGGGACGCGCAGTCGTTATGCGACCAAAATCCGTTCCATCATGCATGAATCAATTCCCTGCAGGGGTCACCATGATCCCAAGGCAATCCGGCATTTGTATAAGCAATCGATATGTACCTTCAATATTAGTGCATTACTCTTGAGCTAGATGCAATTTGATGACCTCACTACCTAATATCCCATCTCGCAAACTGGTGAACATAGCATGCGATTGTGTTTCAGAAACATCAACACCTCCTTCAAGGCTAAAATGATGACGTTGATATTAGAAAGACTTCAAGTTTATGGCAAAGATCAGTGTGTAACAACCGTAGGGTTCAGCTACTGTCTTGTTTAGTGCTGAGTATAGCACTAAATGGATGTCTTTATTGTTTGCAAATACTGTCTGGCGTTAATCTACCCGATAATGTCGAGTAAAGAAAAACAAAAACAAAACAAATACTAGAAATATCGAAGCACTCTTGTTGCCGGCGAAGTTGAGAAAGATCTGGGTTAGGGACTAAGCCCGGACTTGTGGCCGTCGATATCTTTATCTTCTTCTCCATCCTCCTCCTTTCCATCCCCGTTGCCTCAGCCCTTTTTTCTCAGTTCTATCCCCATGGCGCTTTTGCACCGTTCTTTAGTTCCCTAACACCTGTTGTTCATCGCGTACGTGCTCAGTTCGCTCACTGAATCCCGAAGTGGGATAGACGTGCCTTGTTTGCTCTGGATAATGTTGGAAGGGTGGAAGACGTTGAAGGCGACAGAGGTGATGATCATGGGCAGTGCGTCAAAAATGTAGATGTAGATCTCCTTGGTCATGAGCTCCCCCTCCTTGCCTCCTGCGTACTCGGCAACTCGGAAGATCGATCGTAACATTATGAGAAAACTCGTCCCGTATAGGACCATCAGTAGCGTTTTCCAAGGCGCGGTGATTTTGCAGCTCCTGGCAGTGGGCTGGCGGTGAATCCGGCAGTGAAAGATTACAGTGGCAACCATAAACAGGCCGAAAAAGACAATTTGGACCCCAAGACCAAGGAGGATAATTGTCTGTCCCCGGTCTAAGGCCTCTTTAGTATCTGCATTTGAGAGCATTCCACCACCTACGTCACGAGTTAGCCAATTTATTTTTTTCTTATTACCAGCTTGGAGATGGTAATATAGCTCACCCGCTCCTTGCGCGACAATAGATATAATATCGCCGACAAGAAAGAATTTTGTCAACCATTTAAGCCTAATCAGAGAGTAATTTTCCGCATTCAAGAGACGGATGAGTCGTCCTAGCACCATGTAGATAGAGACGGCGTAAAAGGGGGGACCGAGGAGCAGTAAGAGCGACTGCAAAATAAACGGAAGAAGCGTCTGGTAGTTGGTGTCTTGAGTGGAGCTTATAGCTCGGCCAGCATATCCGCCCACCTCAACTGCAGAGCAATGATCAGCTATAACTTCGGAAACACTGATATGAGAGTGCAGGGAGCAGAATCTTACGAAGACAACCGACGAGAAATGGAATAAAGTACCATGATTTCAAGCGGTAAATCTGCCATGTGTGGTACCCAGAAGAGGCCAGAAAAAGCAGTACAAAGATGACGGCGGCCCCAAGAGAGGGGTCGTAAGCATAATAGTTCGTCTCCTCTTTGCCGGCTTTGTCGGACATCTTGTGCTGAAGTCACGGTCACTCGATGCTGGGTAGGGTGTTATTGGGCTCGGAGAGTATTGCGGTCGTAAACAACCCTCGGGCGATTGCTGCAGCGATCAAGGTCGTGGTATCTCTCTACAATGCTGAGAGGTAGTTGAAGTGTGATCTGTATCTTTAGGAAAACCTTTGGCGGCAACGGGTCCGTTATTTATATCATCTTCCCCTTCAGCTATACCGATTAGCCCACGACGGGAACCAGGTTCCCGAAATGAGAGGAACAAGTCTGCGTGCGTGGCTCGCACAGCCCCTATCGGTCACACGGCTCCCTGACGACAGCAAACTACGTAGGTATTGCTATTCGCGGCGATGCAACACTCGTTGTCACCCTCGTATCTCGGGAGGAATCTAGAGCCCACTGAAGAAGAAACACGACAGGTAAGTAGACGGAGCTTTAAGTTGCCAAGAGAAGTAAGTGTCTGGGACCAGGATCCCTGGTCATCGACGTCGTATCTCGTCGTCGTATCTCGCTTTCGTCGTCGTATCTCGCTTTCGTCGTCGCATCTCGCTTTCGTCGTCGCATCGTCCATCCTGTTGTTGAGGCTTAATTGAACTCCATCTCTAAGGTTCTCGGCTGCTCTTGATCATTGCTTCGGCTTGCCATAAGTCGCACTACACTCATGGTGCACATTGGACATTTCTCTGACATTTAAGGCTGCTGCACCAACTTCTAGAATCAGGGGAAGCGTAAAGGTACACAAGGTACACTATCGGATCTACATTATGGAGTGTTTCATTTTGCAGACTGACTCGACAGTAAGATTGGGATTATGGATTCTCCGTTTAACCTCTCCAGAGCTTATATACCTTACATGTTTAATTGTAATCAATCACCTGCACCAGTACCCTAGGCTCCTTCTGTACTGCATTACCTCTTACATCTCCCGTCTATTTCATCAGCATCAATCGTAGAAATGCAAACATGTCCCTGTTTGACAATGTGGTGATGGCCAACAGTAGGGGACTTTGTATCATGATAGGTGACCGTTACACTGCAGTTCCTCAATTCGAAACACCCTGAAGTAATCGGTATCGTGTTCAACCTAGGTAAAAAATGCAAGATCAGCATGATCGCAAAGCAGATGACGAAACCAGCAGGAGTTGTTACCCTCAAACATCCCCCTAACATTGTGATTTGCCTGTCCATTTTTCCAGAGCCTTGCATACAATTTCTCCATTGACTTGGAATCATAGCAGATAGGATTGATCCTTGAGGCCGAAAGTGCGTGGCACGCCATTCTTCTAGCGTGCGAGACGCGTAGCTTTCGCACCAATGCTTCTGCCCTTTTTTGGTCACTCTTGACGGCAGTACGACTTCACGTCCCTCGGCATTCTATCACACCCCCACCGGCCTGTCTCACATAATGTCATAGCTAACAACCGCCAGGGCACTGAAGTCGGGGTCAACAGCAAGGTCCCCTGCGAATAGGTTCTTAGTAGGGAGTGGACTAAGTGACCTCTCGGTACTAACCAACTCTGCACCCGCCTACCTCGCATTCGTGACGACGACGAATGCGAGCGAGGGACTCGGCAATGAAGACTCGGAATTCAGAACTAGGTACACAAGTGTGCACAGCTCACTTTTGTTGCTCGCGTTTGCAGCCCGGTTTCGTGCCGAGCTGGGCCAGTCTTCGGATCGCCCAGGTACTCGGCACTCAGGGAGGCGAACGTGTATTTGGCGAATGCGCAGCACGTTTTCTCGACGTACCCAATTCACAATGCTTTTATAAATACACCATCTTTTTACCTCACTGTGGGCTGCTGTTCTCATTCAGTTCCCATCCCCCTAACAAACACAAACAACCAACTTCCCCTCGACCGTGGCGCCTCGTTTGTCTCCTGAATTCCTCGCACATTGTAACAACTATTGTCCACCGCTTCTTCTTATCCGTCGAACATGGCCGACCAGAACCATCCGACCTACAGCAGCTGCGATAGCGTTAGTCCGCAATGCCCGGTCTCAGCAACACTCTACGGCGACTTCTTCGCCAAAGGCCCAACACTCTTTTTCTCAATCGCCTTCGGCACCGCTCTGCTGGTCCAGGTATACTTCGGGTGGAAGTCAAGGGCATGGTCATTCGTCTCATGGCTCGCCATCGGGACTATCCTCGAGCTCGCCGGATACATCTCTCGCGTCGCCATGAGCTCGAATCCGTGGAACTTTCCCGCATTCGCGACGCAGCTGCTAACGCTCATTCTGGCCCCGACCTTCGTGGCCGCCGCTATATCCATCACCTGCAAATACTTTGTCCTATACTACGGACCCGAGTTGTCCCCAATTAGACCGAAGCTCTACCCCTGGATCTTCGTCGGATCCGACTTTCTGTCCATCGTCATCCAGGGAGCCGGTGCCTTTGTCGCTGCCGCCGCCACTTCGAGCGACCCCCCTAATAAGTCTCTCAGCGACGTGAGCGCCGGCTTGTTGATCACCGGTGTCAGTTTTCAAGTTGCCAACATGCTTGGCTGCGCAGGTCTTATGGTGGTGTTCTGGCGTCGCTATAAGAATAGGCACTTGCAGCAGGGTACGCCCGAGGGCGGTTCTGGATGCGACATGGCGGTCGACATGAACTCCTCTAGGAGCCATGCCGATGTGCGGCTTAACGAACACAAGATCCGCATTTTCGTCTGGGTAGTCATTGTGGCCTTTATCGCCATCATCATCCGTTGTATCTATCGGTAAGTCCTCCTGTCGGAAGCTTTTTCCAGAGGTGTTTAACGAGTCGTGGCTAACGTGGGATTATGCAACATATAGTGTTCCGGAGATGGCCTCTGGCTGGGGCAGTAGCCTCATGAAGGACGAACTTGCCTTCCTAATTCTTGACGGTGCTATGATACTTATATCAGTAGTGCTACTCAGCGTCATTCATCCTTGTGTCTTCTTCCCCTTGGTCGGCAACGAGAAGATGGTCACGGAGTTGAACAAGAACACTATTCCTTTAAAAAAAAAGCGCTCCAGACGGTCCAGGCACAGGGCAGTGTAGACTTTTGCCGACCAGAATAATATCCATCCCTCTTACTTTTCTTCTTCTTTCTTATTATTTTTGGGGACGCTGAGTTTGCCACGGTATATAGAAGCATTTCCATTTCCTCAACTCTGCTTTCCTGTTTAAGACATCAATTCGGGCAGTCTCAATTGATACTTTTACGCATGCACTCATCGTTCGTTCCAATACCTGATGAATGAGTGAATGGGTGACTTGATCGAGTACGTACATGTAGGATGTTGGCGATCACCTCCACAAGACCGATAATGTCGCTGAAGTTGCCGTACCCACACGCTATTCCGCACAGGGGCTTTCCATGGGGATAAGGGACTACGGTGGCTCAAAAAGAAGAGGTGCAACAGTTGAATGGTGCTATGGCTCGCGAATGAGTGTCCCGTCAAATCGGCCAGTGCAGGGAGGACAAGGTCGCCGCTTTAAAGACCTCCCCGAAAGAATACATTGGTCAATTTATTTTATTACAATGAAAACATTTCAATCTCACCGGCAAACTTTAACTCCTTGTCTAGTTGGGCATGGGTTGGAGGTCTATCAAGCTTCCCTCTGCCTGCACTCTAGTGCTGCGTGTCAAGCGTTGAAACAACGGTAACCGCCGTACATAGTCCTTGCATATTCTCGTCGATCAAGTTCAACGGCCAGTCAAGCCATGCTGCCCAATGCGAATCACTCACCTGGTTCGCGATGGCGTGAGACAACGCTGGCGCCCAAGATTCAAAACACCAGGACCTTTCGGCAGCCCAGTGAATGAGAACACAATAATGCGCAAGTATGAGCAGAGCAATGGGGTCTCCTCTTTCAGCCAGGCCGACGAATTTTGGCGGGACAAGCATTGGCCAGAGGAATATGGCTCTTAGCTCGGCTGGTGACGCTGACGTTTGATGGTTGGCGACTCTTACAGTGGCAGCAACTAAACTGTCCACGGCCGAGACCAAGGTTGTCTTCGTCTCACATTCTTGGCTCTCCGACTCAATTGACAACTTGAGCTCCTCAAGTCGAGCCGACAACGACAACACCCTAGTGCTCTGAGCATGAGAGTCCTGGCTGAACAGACCTTCGAGCGGCCCGTCGCGTATGTCGTTTTCTGATGAGCGGAAAACGCTATCCATACCATGTAACATGGTGAAGATCTCTAAGAGGCTTTCGGTAGGCATCGAGCAGCTGTGATTCCGGTGTTGAGGGTCGACTGCCGTAAAAGCGGCAAATTTGCTGAGAATGAGGAAAATCGACGTAACGTAGAGGGTGTGGCAGTTTTGAGGAGTCAAATCCTTGGAAAGACTTTCCCTCAGACCTCTAATGGCAAGGTCTTGGTTCTTTGAGGCTACTAAGAGATAGGTCTGGCGTTTCTCGGGATGGAGATAGGCAAGGTGGAAGCCGGAGAAGGCCATAATCTCCCGCAGAAGAAATGGGTGAGACAGAGCCTCACGCGGCAAGTCAGACTGAAGGAACTTGGCAAGGGCGCCAGTGAAAGAGAAAGTACGGTAGGTGACGGTAGTGTAGTGAATCAGGAGTTCGGCATTGGACACCCAGCAATCCGAAGACTGTGAGGAATCTAAAGAATCTAGGAAAGCTGAGCGTGCCGTGCCAAACGTGGGCTGAGGGCTTGACGTGGAGCTGGTGGCGGGAGGAGGTATGTCACTCTGTGTCTTGGTCAGAAGGGATGCCACGATGTGTCGTCATTAGGATAGTAGACCTGCCTCGGCGCTTCTGTCTCGTGAGCCAGCGGCTGCTGTGTGCAGACTGGCAGAATTTTGAGGGACCTCAAGGCTGCATACTGTATTGTGTCGAATGCATGCTGTACACGGAATCGCTTCATCACACTGCAGACTGATGTCAGAGGAAAAGGCATTTATGCGGAAGCTTTGGGCAAACTTTGGAGCCGAGAGCCAACCGGTCGTCCATGCAGATCCAGCCTGCAAAACGAAGTTATGGGACTGAATTGGGTGAAGATTTTGGGAGGTGGAGGAGAGGCTGGGGCAAGAAATAAATGACTCGCTCACGGCGTACCTTGACACGTCTCTTCTTGCACCTGCGGCATCCGTTGCGGGACTTTGTAAAGCCGAGTCTCTTAGGTCTCGCATTCGAAGCAAAAATTTGACTGTTAGGCGGGGTTGCCATGGTCTTGATGATCGTCAGGGTGGTCGATTCCGACTCTGGCGGCATGCAGAACTCGACGGGCCAGGAGTGAGGCTACGGCTACAAGGGGGAGGGGTTGGATTTGGTAGATGTATCCGCAGGAGAAGAAAAGAGCCGTCGTCACGGAAGTAGACCAATCCCTTTTCTTAAGTTCGTTTGTGGTCGATCAAGGGGCACTTGAGAAAGGCTCAGATCAGCAATGGAGACGTGCTCTCAACAGATAGATTACGTGGGACTAGCAGCTCAGCCACAATTGCCGAGACAAGGCGACATAAACAGCCTGAGCAAGATTGGCTTAGCGTTTGACAAGTGTTACCCCCTGATCCCCGATAATTACACAATCGTGCACCGTTCTCGTCGGAGCCAAATCGAAGCACATTGTGGACCCGCCTAGCCATGCCTCATTGCCTTTATGTCTTTAGCCATCAGGATTGATGTCACGGTCCAGGCTCAGACCAGGCGGTCACAAATAGCAGTGAACGTGACGCCTCCCTTTTCACCTGACTAAAGACACACCCATATATAGGTGAGAGTTTTTATACAATAAACAGAGCACTATGCTCTTCGGCTTCAGCTATCAATTATAACTTGGGTACTTAGCTTACTGCACCTGCCAATGATTCCCAGATTTGACCAGTACAAGGCCCGCTACCGTACTGCTAACCGTCACAGCAGTAACAACTGGCCGCTTGCATCAAACACCTCGATCCGTATTTAGACCTGAACCCCCATGATCTGTACTTACCCTATACCTCATAAGTGGAAATGGATTACCCAAAGGGGCAAAAAGAGGTCATCACCGTCAGGGATGTAAAGTTGAATTACTTAACTTAAATTGAATTATCTAGAGTTCAAAAGGAAGCCCTAAAGGCTGCCTTCAAGGACCCTTGTGGTACAGTGTGATCCCACAGTGTGTGGGATGACAGCACTGTGCCACGTGATGAAAGTGGGCCCTGTCCTTCACATCATGTACAGCCTAAGCAGGGCCGTCAAGAATGTAGACGCTTGGGGCTTTGCAGGTAGAGAAGAGATATGGTCCAGTGGCCGCAAACTTGAGGTTTGACTTGCTTGTGCAGACCCAGATATGGAAAGAAAGTATTGGACGAGAAGACAGACATCGCTCAAGCTAAGGCTTGGCATATGAAGCGAATATTAGCCTTACCCATGTCCATCGTATTTTCAGTTCTCCATCACTTACGCGGGAGTCGGCAAGCGTCTTTAGTTCCTTTATTGGGGATCCGCCCGGACTGAAGTTTAACTCATTTTAGTATACTAGTCTGGAGGATGGTCTGCACTCGTGGGGACAGGGGGCATCTCGTTAATCTCGCATTTCTCGCATTCGCATAACCATGAATATGATTCGTCGTACATCGAACCAACGCCACCGCTTCACCCCGAACTTGCAGGCATTACGGCGCCTGGCGAAACCCTGCGGCTAGGACACGTCATCGGTGCCAGCGAAGACGTTGCGGTCGGCAAAGTCGAAGCAGAGTAAGTCTCTAGACGAGATGAACTGAACATGTGAGATAGGTTTATCCCCCCACCAAATGGAGGCTGAGGAAAAGTGGACGTATGTTAAGCCCCGGAAGGGACCTCTGAAATGGAGTCCAACTACCATTTTGTATTTCGATATCTCGCATCTGCCTCGTGGAGGCCTGCAGCCTCTCCCATGACGACCATCCTTACCCCCACAATCTCCAAGTAGCCTGATCGGAGGGCGACTGTACAAATCTCCTCTGGCCAGCGACCCGGCACGACTGGCCCGTTGTGATGGAGCAAGTTCAGCAGGTGGAGAGCAGCACTAATGCAGGAACAGTGAACTCGTTTCCTGTCGAGACTGCGATTGCTGCGAATAGATCACCGATGCTGCTGCCGATGCTGGCAGATAAAGGGCAAATCGAGGATGTCGACATGGGGGCCGATACGCTACATGCCGATCGATCTGGATGAAGACAGTAGTCACATCGTCCTTGGGCAAGACCCGGTTGCGCCGAAAGATGAGTCGCTGAATTTAACTGGGAGAATCGAGGCTCTGTTTTCAACCGGCGAGCTCCTCGTATCCGTACCTAACCAGAATAAGTCCGGGGTCAGGATGGGCCCATTGTCAATGGAAGTCAACACAGCCGCTGCGAGAGGGGGATATGTGCTAGTACGGAATCCCAAGCTCAAATCAAATCCGCGAGCGAGTCCGGAACCAAGATAATGGCGTTGGTAAACTTATACGACAGGAACTACCTGGAGCTGGTTTCTCGGTCGATGCTAAAGCAAATCTCCCCGCGCGCCAGAGTTGTAGATGAAATGATCCAAGGCCACAAAAGAATGGGCGAGGAGACACGAAACAATGGGAAGGATAGGTGAGGCCAGGAGCTCATTCAAGTTGCCGATGTAGAAGAGTGCTGAGATAACGCAGGGAATTGTCAACAAAGCGTTACCTCACAGCCCAAAACACTGTCCATGCATTATATTACACAGGGTTGGTGGCTGTTATTTAGAGTCGTACTGGCTCTCGAAATATCCAAGCGCAGACGCGCGGCCTCTTGGGCAAAGAAGGCTCCCACTCCACAGTCTTGGGTTTCAAAGACCTAGAGAACGTAGCTGTGTTTCATCACGTTACTATCCTCTCAAGGTTTCAGTATCATCATTGACATTATCCCAGTATTTACAAAATTAAACACCAACATCACCTTGGTGCTATTACCACAGGCTAAATACACCATTTGGCACATCCTGGTCTCGCTTCAGCAATGGGCTCGAAGTATCGTTCCTCGTGACATTTTGAACAGTGCACCCCTCAGTCTTGTAAGCCTCGGCATATGTACCGGTTAAAACTGCCGCCAACCACTCCAAAGCAGCTGAAAGTCCGTAGTAGGCCTCCTCAGAATGGGTACCAAGAGTATTTCTCTGGTACAAAATATTGGCACCAACATTGCAATACTTTTCAACGAGAGCATCCGTGTCGGCAACTTTGCTAATCTCGTCATGAATCGCCTTGTATGCAAAGATGGGCCATTGAGGCACGCCGTGGTAGCCCATAATTCCATCGCGGTTGACAATCTTTATAATCTTGGGGTCGCGGAAGGTAGCAGAGCCTTTTTTGAAGTAGTCGGCGATATTGACGCCCGCGTAAGCGACACCAGCCTCGGACAGAGTGAATTTCTTGGCAGCCAAGAAACCAGTCTTGTTATGAGGCCCTGTGGTCTTGAGCAGAGAGATCAGGTACTTTTGCACCTTGGGATACTGGCTCGTCAGACCCAGCATAGAGCTTGGGGCCAACCCGGCTGCGTTTGTGCCCGAGATGGACTCCAGGACGCTGGTGATATTCGGCGTCAAGCCTCCCAGTGCTGCACCGACGATGGTCTCGGACAGGTCTGGTGCATATTGAACTGCGAGCTCAGAGGCCCATTCGCTAGCCAGTGCGCCGCCAGAGTAGCCCCAAAGCGCGACACGGGGCGATGATGTGTTCAGACCCAGACCGAGCGAGAGCACGGCGCGGACCGAGTCAAGCGTTGCATGTCCAGAGACGACACCCGCAGTAAAGGAAGCCAATGGCCCTTCGTAGTCTGGCACAGAGACGAACAGCCCGAGTCCCAAGGCAGCACCGTACGGAGCAGCCGCATTGGTGGTGTACAAAGAGTAGCTGGGACTAGAATCGACATCGGCAGAGTCGTACGGCACCTGGTAAGACAGAAGAGCAGCCTGGTGAAAGAGGCGAGCCGCAGGGCTCTTGGGACCAAGCTCGGGAACGAGCAGAGTGGTGACGGCCCATGTGGGCTTATACTGGCTATCGGTGGTGCGGAAGAGGATGTTGTACGTGGCAGAGCTGTTTCCAGTGATCTCGGTCAAGTTTCCAGGCGCAGGTCGCACACGCAATACAGTTCCAGGTTCCGTGTCCTCATACCCGGGCGGAGCAGAGTACCAAGGATCCTGACTCGGCGGAAGAATTCCCAAAGGAGCAGCTCGCTTGTGGAATTGAGAAGCACCGGCAGCAGTCGCAAATGCCACGCAAAAGCACAGAAGAGCCAGGGCACGTTGAAAAGCCATTGTGACCAAAGCTGTGAGGTTGGAGAAACACAGGACCCGATCAGACCACGCTGGCGAGGGAGGGGGTTTATTCAAGTGTCCCATCGGAGACTTCCATTTGTCCCCTCGGAGACTTCCATCTCTGATCTGATGATGACGCTAATACTCCAAGGCTGAGCCGAGAATCCCGGCTATGTCGGCTTCGCTCCGCCGCTAACTCCTTCGTAGTATGACGAAGATGACGGCATTAGTCGTGAGGTGCAGAGGGGCGCAAGGAATTCGCGAATCATCACGAGAGTGGCTCAGACTATTGCCAAGAGTAGTGAAAGCCACCGCTTAGTGTGTCCATTTCTGTCAGAACCATTCAGCGTACCTAGATCGGGTCCAGATTCGTGGCACCGCCCGAGGCTTGCTCACCGCATGCGGAACCACATGCAGAGACATGCAGGTCTACGCCAATTATAGGAACCAGGACCGAAGCGATGACCATATTTCATTTGGTAAACAGGTGAAGGGAGTCTCCAGTTTTTTACATTCCACAACCAATTGGGCGCATCGATGTCAATTCATCCAGGGTTACCTTCAGGTCCTGTACAGAATCTTCCTAGTTCCATCAACTACCCTACACCGATCGGCTCTTCAGAAATCACTGTGCATACTTCTTCAGTAATTCCATCACCGATAGGCGCGAGAACTCTTGTACCACACGATCAAACCATCGGAAATGCACATTTGACGATGAGACAATGCTCTAGTGCACATAACTCAAAGTAGTCTCCACGATAGGATTGGGGAATTTACTACTGGTACAACATGCTGTTTGAACTGGCCTCGTACTGATCAAGTTATCTAACACAGAAAATCTTTGTACGACATGGCCTTGTGAACGACAGCGCACTTTAAACGCGGAAGACAAGAACTGCAGCACGTGAGACCGAGGCGCAGTCGCGGGACGATGAGAACAACCGCCAAGCCGATCCCCACCAACAAATGTGAATGACCCCCGAAGAGCATGTTGCACATTTTTTTTTATAAAAAAAAAGAAAGAGCGCCATTCGAAGACCAGAAAAAAAGGTGACAAAGGAAAATGGCTGTATGACGATGGCTTCATTAGATGAACTACCCGGGGAATGGTGATGCACTTCTCTACTTGGACATGTCTTCATCTGCCTGATGCAACACCGTTTTTTTCGCTCCACCCATGGCTAAAAGACGAGTTAGGCGATATGAATGAAGTAGAAGAATTGAGTGTCCTCATTCAACCATACATCTCCGTCTCGTTCAAATGTTTCGAGAGCCATGCAAGTTCACCATATGTGATTGAAGAATAACCCCGCACACTTGAGGTGACTATAACGCGGTCATCCAAGCTCCATACGAGGAGCGACTTTCTCTGCGGCTTGAGGGAAACAGAATGGAACAGAATCCAGGTGTTGTCCGGGGTAATACCTACAACGCACAGCACTGGCAGCGCGAATGCTAGATGAGTTAGAGGCGAGAGCTAGCTGGGGAGAATAGTTGGATGCCCTTGAGGCCTGGGCTTGGATACACAGCCAACTGTGCCTTTTCGGATCCACATTATCTCCGAGCCTAGTGAGGTTATGGGAACGATTGCTACTCTTCCCAGCTGGAGAGTGAGGACCTGGGGCATACCTCAGGGCATGTATGGGAGAATCGCGATAGCGCCGGCGACGACGGACATCGAGATCATGTCAAGGTCGATTTCAAGGGTATATTTTCCTGGTTCTACGATGCGGCGCACGTAGAAGTCGACCTCAAATCCATATGGTACCAGCCACGGAGCATGGGGGACTAGATATGGATGTGTTCAGAATAATTTGGAATCCATCTCAGGCAGGAGAGATGATGCAGCAGTTCTTGGGTTAGTAGCAGCAGGAGGATGCATTTTCTCTTTTTTGTTGCCGTTTCGGGATAAGTGATCCTAGATTAAGATATTGCCCCAGTCTTGTGGAGCTTCCCGTTCCCTGTTCATGCGGAGCCGAGTCTTCCGGGGCCGCTTTTCAGCTGCTACTCCTGGTTGTCATGGGACTATTGCGGGGGCAACGAGTCTACTCCGCGATCAAGAGGCCTGTGCAAGCCCCACAAGGCCGGCGATCCGGATCTTGCTCGTCATCGGTTAGATACATCTGGTGCAGCTCGTGATCTAGAAAGGTCGGATGCGATTAAAAGATAGAAAGATGGAAGGTCTGCAATTACCCCCCTAGAAGAGACAGCTTGAATATGACGACGCCACGTGGATAGTAGGGAAATTAGGGATATAGTGGCATGGGCCTGTCGATATGACTGGCTGATAGGTCAATTGCGAGCAATCGATACCCCAATGTGCAGGAAATCTGATGTGAAAAGGGATGTCCCGTCTAGTAGGGGCCTTACGCCACATCCAGCTTGAATACCGGGTGACTGGTAGAGACAGCAGCCCGTCCGAACGTCCCGACGAGCTGGACGGAGCCTCGGGCACTATATAGCACGTAAGCGTGGGAATTCGAAGCTGATAAGCCAATATTAAGGACCGAGTCTAGACCCATTTCCCCATGTGCGCCCGCCATGTGCAATATCCCTAGCTGAAGCTAAGACGGAGCTGTGCGGGGAGACGCGTCCAAGCCAATGGGCAGCGCGAACGAACAGGGGATCAAAGCTTAAACCAGTCCCATCGGCAGTTGGAGGCGTTTTGGAGAGTCATTTACCGATATGAAAGTCCTGCTGAGACTGGCCTTGTATTCCGCGGCCAAAGTTGTGTCTGCCGGCCTCGGGATCCTGGCCTTCCCCTCAGCCACCGGCCACTTAACGCGTTAGAGGTGCGTTTCCGGTAGTTGCAATAGTCAAGAGCAAGATCAATCTCGCCTGCTAATTGTCATTTATCTTCCCCACATGCCCCACACTCGTAATCCGGGGGCCCCACGAAGTGCAGACCTCGGGACGCGTAGGGACTCGATCGAGCATCTATAAACCTGACGCCCAGTTCGTCATCGACACAGATATATCGACTCCCAGTCTAGGGCCCGTTCAGCACCTAATCCGGTCATCACAACACATTAATCAATCCGAAACACAGTCACAGCGTTTGCGCAATGGCCAAGGACGATGCCGCGCGCCGGGCCGAAGCGGTCCAGGCCCATATCGAGTTTGAAGAAGATCCTCATCGCGCCGCCGTCGAGGACAATCCGGCCGAGATAGGCGTGGGCTACAGGACCTGGCTTGCCATCTTTGTAGGATCTCCCTCTCCTCGCAGCTGGCTTTGATCCAAATCGCTAACTCTCTCAGTCCATGGCAATGTCCTTCGGCCCTGCGGTCGGTCTCCCCTTTGTTTGCGCAGCCGCCGTCGTCGTCCAAATATCGCAAGACATCGGCGGCGCAGATAAAATCGCGTGGGTTGTGGGTGCGTGGTCGTTGTCCACGGCAGTCTCCTTCTCCCTCGGCGGCCCCCTGAGCGACGTCTTTGGTCGGCGGAGTCTTATCCTCGGCGGCCAGGCTGTCGTCACGATAGGCAACATCGTCGGCGGCACTGCGCAGAGCATGAACAGTTTGATTGCCGCTGAGACGCTCATTGGCGTCGGTACCGGCTTTGTCTTTGTGTCGTATGCCGGCGTCCCCGAGATGCTCCCGAATAAATGGCGGTCTCTGGGGTTGGGAATTCTCGAGGGTGGTATCTCTATTCCTTGGTAAGTGAGGACCCGTCCTTTCCTTCAAGGCTTTGGCTAACGTTACGGCGGCTAGGGGCGTGGTTTCTGTTCTCCTCGCAAACGCACTGTACCAGTACGCATCCTGGAGATGGATCTTCTATATGGGAATCATCGTCGAAGCCGTGGCTCTTGTCGGTACTGCCCTCTTCTACTGGCCCACGCCCCGACCCCGCGGCGACTTCGACAAGTCGCGATGGACGCAGTTTAGAGAAATCGACTGGATCGGCTTGTCTCTCTTCACAGGTGGCCTGACGACATGCCTCATCGGTCTGACCTGGGGAGGCACCGCTGCTTATCCGTGGAAGAGCGCCGGTTCCATCGTCCCTATTGTTGTTGGGTTTCTTGCACTTGCCGCTGCCTTTATTTACGACTTCTATTGGGCTGCGGCTCCAGTTTTCCCCCCAAAGCTGTTTAAAATGGTCCGCGGGTATCTGCTGATCTTGGTTGTTTTGTTTATCTCAGGCATGAACTTCAATGCCATGTCGGCCTTGTTACCTCAGGGTTCGCTTTATATGTTCACCACAGATGGTATCGAGATTGGTGTGCTTTCACTTCCGAACACCCTCTTTTCCGGAGTGACGGGAGTTCTTGTCCCGCTCTTTGCGCACAGAATTCGATATATCAAGTGGCAGCTCGTCGTCGGGACGGCGTTGCAGGCGATCTTTATTGCAGCCACCGCAGCCACCGTCAACCCTAACCACAAATTGGCATGGGCATTCGTACCAGCATTTGGCGTCCCTATGTTCGTCATGGTTACTATTCTCAGCTACGCCATCTCCAGTCTGCATGTACCGCACTCCCACCTGGGCGTTGCCATGGGTCTCCTAGGGACTTTCCGATCCGGAGGCGGTGCGGTGGGCAATGCAATCTTCAATACTATCTTCCAAGATAAGTTCCGGACCTATGCTGGAGAGGAGATCTCCCAGGCGGCCCTCAACAGCGGGCTCAATGCTACAGATTTGGGGGCCATTATCCCACAGACCATCGAATACAATTTGGGCGTGCCTGGAACCTTGGTTGACATTCAAGGAATGACGCCGGCTATTCAAGCTACCCTTCGAGCAGCGGTCCGCACTGCATATGGCCGAGCGTTTCAATTCGTCTTTTACATCACCATTCCATTCAGTGTGATTGCACTTATTTGCTCTCTGTTTGTGGAGGATCCCACGGCTTACATGACCAACCACGTCCAGTCCGCCATGGAAGCTAGAGGAATCACCGAGCCGCAAACGAACGCCAATTTGAGCGAGGATGAGAAAGGCACTTCGAGTCGAGATGAGGGAATCGATGTGGGCCATACGGGCACGGTGAGCACGACAGAAGACGTTAAGTCGGCTTGAGAGGATGGTTAGGCCAGATGGAGTGTTGGCACGTCGAAGGCTGAAATGTCAGGTAATTTACCGTGTACGAATTGGGCTGGTGTAGCCGATGTTGATGCCGACAAGCACAAAGTTTGCTTACCTTTCCTGGGTTCAGTGGCAGAATCCTGGGTATGGGCCTTATACTATCATTGTTTGTACAAAATGAAAGCTAGCTAGTTACATAACAACGTCGTTATTGAGAAAGCTAGTGTGAGAGCACTGCATCGCTTCTACGGAGAGGTTGATCAATTTACGCTGTTACCCTATATCTATACCTACGCGAGTGACTGTTCAGCTTTGCATACAGTTGATGTGAAGCCTCATGCGGAATACGGAAGGCCAGAGAATATAACACAGAAAAACAAAATTTATGTACATATTATTATTACTGGTATCGGTATTACATTATCGAAAGAATTGCCAAGTGTAACAGTAGAATCCATAGGCCCACCTTATAGCCACCTGAGGAAGAATTATGTGCTGGTGGAAATATGTACGGTTGCCAGCCACTCTCGTCGTCCTCGCCATCCAAGTTACAGACAGAGGCTCCAACATGTCCATTCTCTGCAGGACTTGTACCGCTGAGATTATAGACAACTTCAATCCACTGGACTTCCAGGAGGGCTGACTTTCCCAGCGTCATGTTTCCCGTCCACGTCCCACCGTTGCCTGAATATTACAAGTCAGCTGCTTTCGTTGAACGCGCCTAGGGATTTAAATGGAACTCACCCCACATCGCGATGGACAAACGGCTGGGCTCAACGGGCACATTGACCGAAGTGTTGGCCATGTGAACACCATTGACATACCATACCACCTGGTCCCCCACCCAATCCATACGGTAGTTCACCCAGCTGTCCCTCGTGACGTTATTAGGGAACGACATGTTCCAGTGTGAGTCGGGAACGAATTTGCCATGGATGTCTATCGTAGGCTGGGTATTGAAGCCGACGACATCCGGTTTATTGCGCGTCAAGAGCTCAATGTCGGCCTCTTGCGTGTCGTTCTCGTACGTAAAGAACGCAGTGCAAGCGCCTGGTGCGCCGGTAATACGTGCGTAGAGACGGAGCGATAGGTGTAGGATGGATTGGTCGTTGAAGTCGATGCCGCTGGACTGGTGCGCGCTTTCGGACTGGCGAGAGCTTACGAAGGCTAAGGCGGTTTTAGCACTGTCGTCCAAGCTGTTAGGTATATTCTCTGCATACCAAGATGAGTCAGTTAATATTCTCCCATCATGAAAGAGCTGCGTGAGTCGTGTTGATCATACCTATATGCACCTTGTCTGGCTGATAGTCTATCGGCAACAGGTTAGCCCCAACATCCGGGCCTGGATATCGCAAGCCATCTCTCCGTACCCAGTCAAGCTGCCACGACATTTCGTCTGTCGAAGCGCCTGCGGTAATATTGTTGGGGCTTTTGGGTTCCTCAACCGAGTCCCAGGTGTCTGCAGAAATGTTCCGGAAATCATAGAAGCGGTAGTAGGCAAACTGCGAAGCAGCGCTGCCGTTTGTGGCAAAGGAGGAGCAATTGGAATACCTGCCCTCTGCGGCGGCTGCGAAGGGGGTAGGAGAGACCAAATCCAGGTGAACAATAATGCAGAGGTGGTACGGTAGGGTTGGAACGCCGGTGGCTGCTTGCCCTGGCATCATGACAGCTACCCGGGCATTAGAGCGGAGTAGAGTTGTGGTAGATGTAGCAACTCGCTGGCGAACGAGGTTCAGCCCGGCTGCGAGTACATCAAAGACGCGGTACGACAACTCCGAAGCAAAGCCTCATGCGTGAAGAAAAGGGAGTGTTATGTGAGGGAGACCATGTTTACTTTGTTGGCCGCTCCGGAATAGCTAGCTTCCAGGTATGAGCAGGCTAGAATTGGATCATTGAGTGGGCTGTGGGGTCTAGATCGACCCACGCGCTTGAGTCTAGAATCCGCGCCAATATCGTAAGAAGGATCTGAATTAGTGTCAAAGCGGGAGATGCTAGTGCATCTTGGCAATGTCTTGCTTGGGCGAGCTATTGGAAGCTGAGCTGCATCCCTTACATGTGGCCCCACAGGAAGGCATCTTTTTATGCCTCTCAAATGATGTTGGAGGACGATTGCCCTAGGTGACCGCGCCGAGAAAGGGTAGAAATTAATACGATATGACACGTATTGATCGTGTCTTGCCTAACAAAAGCAATTGCTCCAGCATGTCTGACTGCGTAATCTTAAGCTTCTTCCGCTCATCGGACATGTGCTGATCCGTGTCGTGGACAGGAATACCGCATATGTTCCTGAATTCGACGACCAAAAGATGTTTGCCTTGGAGAATAGACTCATCCTATGGGCGGAGAGAGGACTAGTTGCAGAGTGCGGTGTTCCGGGATGTGTAGAGTGCTTGCTCACGATTGTCCAAGTCTTCCCGTGATAATCATATTACAACATGACAAAAACAAAAGTAAATAGCCCCTTGAATAGGCGGAGCTATAGCCAAGCCATTAGTTACCTCACAGCCCTGGCTCCTCGCATTACTAGCGGAGCGGCAGTCCCAACTTTCGCACCCCACGCGTCTAGACCATCCATCACAGCCGCCTGTCGATGCAAATCTCCGCATTCAGCTGGGATTACAACCAACCGCTGACACGGCGGCCCTGGGACTAAGGGAGAGGGGCTACCTTTTGGGTAGAATCTAGACTAAGATGGGTCGGAAGATGAATTGAGTTCTGGTACCTGCAGCCGGTCTCACCTGTTTGAGAGATGACCAACACGCAGCGCAGTTTATGGGCTCAAAGGTATTTCTACTGCCGCCATTCATTGACTCCAGGATTTCGGTATCGCTTCTCTTCTCACTGTTCTCTGCAGACCATAGCTTCACTCGTTCCCATGGCTTCTGCTTACACTCGTTGATCATCGTTATAGGCAACTTCCGTTGTCTTCTTCCTCGTTTTCTTCTTCTGATAGTCAAACCCTCATACATTTGTCACCCAGCCCATCATGAGCTCTGTCAATGTGTCCAGAGCGCCTGAGAGCGACCCCATCACTTGTACAGCTATGCCTCCACCACCCTTTCCACTCCCCGTTCACACAGCACCCTCTCGAAAGCCTCCAGCACCACCAGGGGTCTCCATCCAGACACCACGGCCGTCAACAACAGATTCTCCAACGTCGAGCATTTCGCCAACTTCTAGGCCGCGAGCTCCGCGCCCCGTGCAGAATAGTGGCTCCTTGTTTTCGTTTTTGAGCACGAGCAGCTGAGCACCTTCAACCCTCTTCGAGGACGGCGCTGCAGACCGCTCAGCATTCAGCTCAGCCCAAACACTTGGCTCGATCAAATCGTACCGCACAGCCTCGTCCAACTCGCCGCTGTACATGTTCAAAGATCCCATGACGGCCGGAAAGCAGCTTCCCTTTGAGGAGCCGACGCTCAGCAATGAGGATTTCGAAATCTTTTCGAAGCTCACGCACGATCAACAGGCGATCGATGCTCCCGGGTTCTGGTTCAAGTCGGCGGGTAGAATACTATATCTGGCGCTGCTCTTGAACATCCTGTACTTCGGTTTCATCGGCTGGCCGTTCTGGGAGGGCGGTGTGCACTGGTTCTGGCGTGTCTACCACGGCGACGCTGGCGAGCACCAGGTCTGGGGCCTCGTTGCCTTTCTCCTGGCTGGCTCGATTCGCAACTTCCTGCCACAGTTCTTCTGTACATTCGACCGCAAAGAGCCAGACTCGGACGCGGAGAAGCCCCGCGATGCGTCTGAGTGCTGTGTCATCATCCCGTGCTACAAGTCGGCCGAGACGCTTCGCTCGACGCTGCCAGCCTGCCTTGCCATCTTCAACCCCGAGCAGATATTTGTCGTCGCCAACGGCAACTCGCCCGTCCCACTAGACCACACTGCCGACGTGTGCGCCGAGTATGGCGTGAGGCACGTCTGGGTACCGGTTGGAAGCAAGATCACGGCCGAATTTGTCGGCGTAGCGCTGGCGGCGAAGTACAAGTACTGTATGCTGATCGACGATGATGTACTCCTCCCGGCCAACCTGCCTCTCCCTACGCACCTCTTTGGGGATCCTGATGGCAGTAAAAAGGTGGCCTGTGTGGGCTACACCATCAAGAGCGTCGGCGCAAACTCCTCACGCGGCACTCTCATGCAGCAGGTCCAGGACATTGAGTACAAGCTTGCTGGACTGGCCAAGGTCTTTCAGAGCTATTACGGGAGCGTCATCTTCCCTCATGGCGCCGTCGCGCTATGGCGTCGAGACGTGCTCGAGAAGATTTTCCACGCTCACCCTGGATATCACATCTCCGAAGATTGGTATCTCGGCCACACGGCGAGAGCTGCTGGTTACCGCATTGTCATGAACTCGCAGGTCTTTGTCGAGACCGAAACGCCGCCTCGTCTCTTCCCAGCCCTGTTCTCCAAGGGCGACTCGCGCGGCGGTTACGGCGAAATGTCCATCTACAAGCAGCGCTTCTTCCGCTGGAACTTCTTTTTCCTGTTCCGCATTTGGACCAACCTAGCATACCTCATATTCAGTTGGCGACTGGGCTGGCGGGAGCTCTTCACCAAGGTATGGGTGCTTGGCGAGTGTTACGATTCTCTCATCATGCTCTTCGCCCCCATTGTCCTTCCCATCTCTCTGGCGACGAGCTGGCGCTTCACCCTGATTGTTAGTGGCAGCGTTTTGGGTGCCAATTTCTTTCTTGCCTGTTGGTTCAATGTGGTTCACTTGGGACTTTTTCGAAGATCTCGCCCCGGTGAGGAGCGGGTAGCATGGATTGCCTTCCCAGCATACATGTTTCTCAAGTTTGTCATGCTATTTGTTAACGTTGCGAGTGTGTACTGGAGCATCTACGAGTATGCGCTTTTCTTCACTCAGCAGCATCTGAGGGTGACCGAGAGCGTTCCGGCGTGGAAGGTCATTAGGGAAAATACGCAACGTAGCACCCCGGAGTGAGGTGCATCTTGCTTCATCACATGTTCACATATTTCTACAAAGGCTTCTGGATAATGGTGATTAGATATATTGGGATCTGGGATTTGGGATTTCTTAATGGTATTGATCGGCTTAGTTTGAGTAATCACAGGTTCATGGAAATAAACGTTAATTACCTCCTATCCTTATGTGTATGTCCTCTGGTATTATAAATTAGTACTGTGCACATTCAACCAATCGGGCTAAGGGAACCAAAAGCCCTACGTAGCTAGCAGGAGCCTTCTTACAAAATGATACCTCAAGTAGCTATCCTATACATGAGTTAGCTTGTGGATTCTATTAAAGCAGACATCAATCCCTGGATTGCACACACACCAGTCCTAGCAAAGATATGCCTTGAAAATTTCTTGAGTAAATCTCGCATCATCGTCTCGAATCTAATATAACCCAACCTTCTGTGGATAAGTTGTAGGCAATAGCAGCCTACGATGCAATCTAGATACAATCTCGGCAAAGTCCCTATCGTTGTCGGCATTGATAATGCCATGCCGCACAAAGAAGTCTATCATCACACATGCGCAACTAGGCTTAAACTCGCGCCGGTCAAGAGCGGCCTTTACTTCACCGACACTGAGCAACCGCAGCCAATCGATTCCCGCCTCTGCAGGATGCAGCACAGTTGCGGTGTCCACTTCCAGGTCGTAAACATACTGGACACCAGACTCCACCGGGCCCGGATGAATGCCCGATCTTGTATCTTTGATGTTGAACCAAGATACAGTCCCACCGGACACGGCGGCCTTGGCGTCCATTCTTAGCTCCTCCTCCGCCTCGCGCACAAGGCTTTCGAACGGCATCTCACCATGTTTGACAGCCCCTCCCACGGCGTTGTCTAGCATACCAGCGTACATGGGTTTGTTGGCGTCACGCCGAGCGATCCAGATACTCGCAATCGACCCACTCTCACCCCGCGAGAAGACATTTAGTTGGACGCCGGTTGAAACAATTCCGAAGTACGGCGCAATTGCTCGGTCAATTGCAAATGGGAAAGGCGCACCAAGAATCGGAAATTTCTCGCCTGGCCAGTTAGAAAGTTTCGTGAATGAGCCTGCGTCTTGAGCTGCTCTCAAAAGCTTGGTCATCGCAACGGCGCTGGAGGTGACAAGATCAGTGCTGTCTTCCGGCACCAGACGGATGGTTCGAGAAGATTGGTCGAGTTGAAATTCAGACGTCCAGGGCATTTGTGACACAGTAGTTGGGATGAGAAATCCGAGAGTGCGATCATCTCCTGGCAGGTTGATGCGAGGAAATATTTCAGTCGTTTTCAACCTCCTCCGTCAGGTGTCTGGAAACTAAAAACTCGAATTTGGGGAGGCCTCCAAAGTATTATTTTAGTTCCATCGGGGGAGCCTCAATTTCTAGGCTCCTTGTCAACTAATGTCTCCAGACCTGTTGATTCCTAACTTCAGAGACTAGAGATTCGGCCCGAGTAGAATAAAAAATGCAGCTTACGTCTCACAATGGCGGTGCTTTAGCCAATGGAACTACCATGTGGTGTGAAACATGATTGACAACAATAAGTACACCGAAGCACGGCAAGCATTGTATGATGTGAAGACGGCTACGTGATGCTGTTTCTGTGACATGTTTGCGGCTCGCACCAGAGAAGGGCGGTCAGGCGGACCGTGGGTTACACAATTTAGGCATAACTGAAAGGCCACTTGGTTACGTCTCTTGCTATGAAGCCCTGATATTCTCCTTAGAGTTCCCCTCAAAGCCATTCTGCTAGTTTTCTGTTATTTCCTCTTTTATTAGCATCTACATGGAACTGTTATCCCGGGTATCTCCCTACCAAGCAGCTTTTGCCTCGCAATATACAACAATCGAAGCTCCTACGCAAAAAGGGCTGCACCAGGCGGAATCTACAACGGCATACTGAGAGAAGAAACATCACTTATTATCTGGCCGTGTCAACATGTCACCAGAAAACAGTGAGAAACGACTTAAATTCGCTATCGTAGGAGGCGGTCCCGGTGGTCTCGGCGCCGCGATCGAGCTGGCACAGATGCCTTACATTGACTGGAACTTGTATGAAAAGAGGCCGAAGCTTAGTGAGATCGGGAGAGGGTTCACGTTGCAGCCGCAAACATGGACGTTACTCGAGCGCAACGGTGCAGCTGACAACATCGGCATCGAAGACTATTACCGGTTTGCCGAAGGGTTGGTCGAGCAGAGACGGCAAGTACTCCATCATCTGAAGCGTTTGCTCCCAAATCACTATTAACCCGTTCTGACTAGCAACGGAAGGACTGCGGAGTTACTCAGTCAGAAACAGAATCCGCGGGACGTGCTGCCGAAACACCAGAGTTGTCGCCTTGCTCGAGCCAAGCTACAAAGCGCGCTGCTGAAAAAGGTAGACCTGACTCTCGCGTACATCTATCGAAGAGGCTCGTTGGCGTAGAACGTCTGCTAGACAACTGAATTAGAATCTCGTTTGAGGATGGTGCTATGGACGACGTCGACTTTCTGATCGCACGCATCAGAGCCTTGAATGTTTTACTACCAAATTGACAAAGTTGTGGACGAAGCGCTTCGTAAAGAAGATAGACGCATCTCAGAAGACCAGGGACGCAATACGCCGGCTTAGAAAACGGCGGCCAGTCAGACCGATAGCGTTGTTCGGGCGAAAGAAAACGAGAAGCCCACACTGGACCAAAAAGGAATCACGGAATGGGGAGGGGAGGAGGCCTAGAACATTCTGCAGTAGACTGATAGGAAGGAGAGCGGCATACGGATTTGTTGAGATGAAATGATCAAACTAGACGAACGAACGAAATTGCCCCAGAGGAATGTCCCATCACAATCGCATCGCCAAAGTAGCCACATCAGTAGCATGGTACTCATCAGGAAGCCAAGGCACGTTTTTCATATCCCTCTTTAGCCTGTTCTCAGTGACAATCAGGGCATGCGAACGAGTCAAGGAGCGATTGGGAGGAGGAGAATAGCCCGAAACAGAAATCATATCCAACGCCCCTCTTTCAGTCTCGATGAAACGACCACAGGGGGAAAATGACAGTCTGCGAATCACTGCACCTACATCAAGTGAGCTCCTGACTGATTTGGTCTTCCCATCCCAGAATTTGTCGTCCCATTGGTTGAACAGCATGCCAGCAACTGATCGTCTGGCGTGAACGCGACGAAATTGGCCGGCAGAAGCGAGCCGCTGTCAATCTTAACGCGCAGCATCCCATCTTTGCTCCAAACTCGGACGGTGGCGTCCTGTGAGCAAGATACAAGTAGTTCGCTGTCTGAAGAGAAAGCAACTGAGTTCACTGGGCCGAAGTGGCCTCTGAACGCTGCGGTTTTTGTTTGGGTTGACAAGTCCCAAAGGAGTGCGGTTGTATCCATCGACCAAGACACAATGGATCGATTATCCGGCGAGAATGCAATCCCAGTGACTGCACCCGAATGATTTTCCAGGTTGCCCAAGACTGCTCCTGATTCCGGGTACCATAGCCTCACAGTTTTATCGTTTAATGCCGATGCAACTAGGTGGCCGTTGGGCGAGAATGCGAGATGGTTGATGCCGCCAGAATGACCCCGGAGTTCGCAACGCTCTCTACCTTCGAACCATAGCTTGATGTGGTATCTTCCGAGCGAGAAGCGAGCCAGAAGCCATCTAGTCAGAAGACAACGCGAGTAACTCTGTTCGTATGACCTTTGAAGCCTAGTGTACTCTCTGTCCTCACCAGAAGCTGAGTCATAGGGTCGTTGGGTTACCAATGTGCCGGAATTGATTTCTGACGCCCTTGATACCCAAAGATCTAGGTGGTTGAGTTCAATCTAGATTCGAAGGGATCCATGGTATGGCTCCGGTCCTATGCAAAGCTGAGTTTTCCTATCGGGCTGTCTGACGACAGGCTGCGGACAAGCAGGGGCGTGTCTGGCCTGTTTTCTTGCATCGCATGATTTTTTAAATTAAAAAAAGGTGAAGATGTAGTTGACAACTGGTAGGGCTAAAAGGCATCATGATCGGGGTTGTATTGGGAACGACGACCACTCCTCGGGTCCGCCCTGATTGTTTGATCGCCTGGAGGACTACACGGGGTCTCCAAAGCGAAGAAACTTGTTCCAAAAGCCGATATAGGTATTCAATGAAGTCTCGGGACGCCAAACCTGAGAGAAATAAGCCATTTATGCGTGAATGGATCAATAGTTAAAACAGGTGATTCTTATCTAACGAGGCACGTTACGTGAACGGGCGAGACACGTTACATTTACTAAAGGTCTACTCGAGAAGTAGATACATATCCTCTCTCATCTCAGCCATCCGCTACCACACTCACTTAAGAGGCACTCTTCCGATAGTTTGCATCGCGCTAAGGCAGCGTGACTAGCTTGACCAAGCCCTAATTCAACAGTATAGAGTAGTATATCGATCGTTACACAATACTGGTGTGACCGGAAGATGCCAAATGCGGGCGGGAAAAAACTACGTCACGTGTTTTCTTGTGCGAATAGCAACAGTATTATTTTATATCCCTCAGTCCATCCCAGTAATGAACAAAGTTGTGTTGCTTGAACCAGTTATCACCATGTCGCCTTCCCAGCAGTTGCCCATTATCATAGTAGGAGCAGGCATTGTAGGGCTCACGCTCGCTCAAGCTCTGAAGAAAGAAGGTATACCGTTCCAGGTCTACGAGCGTGACCGATCCCTCGACGCAAGATCCGCTGGGTGGGGTCTGTCCATATATTGGGCTTTGTCCACCCTAGAGAATTGTTTACCGCCTGATCTGTTCAAGGAGCTGGATTCGATCCAGGTCGATCCTCAACAAAGTCTCAAAGGTATGGCAAGCGTGCTCGCCACTCATCTTTTTTTTTTTTGGGAAAGGGAACCTGCTAACTGGATGGAACGACCGACAGATACCGGAAGATACGTCTTTTTGGATCTCGAGACAGCAGAACCTCGATACGTAATCCCACCTAGCTTCCGCCGCCGCGTCAGTCGTCTGAAGTTGAGAAAACTGCTCGCCAAGGGGATTGATGTGCGTTGGGATAAATGCATCTCTGGCTTCAAGCACACCGAAAACGGCATCTCAGTATTTTTCACTGATGGCACCGAAGCCGAAGGCTCTGCACTAGTGGCAGCAGATGGCAGCGGAAGCAAGATCAGACAAATTCTCATGGGAGATGAGCTGGGATGTTTAAACAAACTACCAGCACACTACCTGTCTGCCACACTGCGTCTAACAGAGGAGGAGGTCAATCCGTTACGAAATATCGACCCTTTGATGTTTCAGGGTAGCCATCCTGACACAGGCTTCTACCTGTTCTATTCGCTCCTCTCAACACCAGAGGTGAATGGCAGCTCTGAAACAGATGGCCCTTACTATGAGGCTCAGTTCGACGTCAGCTGGGCTGTCAAAGGGCCAGAAGATCATGTGCCCGAGACAAATGCCGACCGGCTTGCTAAAATGAGATCTGCACCGGCAGCTGGCACTGGATTTGAGAAGACTTTACGGGAGATTATCGAAAATATCCCCGAGGGCACGTTCGTTTCAAATATCACCCTAGCGGATTGACCTACAGTCCCGTGGCCAGGCCTTGAAGGCAGGGTCACGCTGGTTGGTGATGCAGCGCATGCCATGACGATGTGTAAGTGTCTCACATATTCGAATCTGGCCACCAAGCTTACCAACCTCAACGCGCAGACCGAGGCCAAGCAGCAAATCATGGAATCACGGATGCCGCAAACCTCACGCAGCAAGTGAAGTTATGGCACCAGGGCAAAAAGACACGCCTTGAAGCGCTGGCGGACTATGAAACAGAAATGATCAAGAGGGGGTATGAAGCTGTGATCTTGAGTCGACAAGCTTGCTTAGATTCCTATAACATCCAAAATCTAAGACCAGATAGTCCTTTGGTTGGGCGAAGGTAGGGGATGGACCAATGTGTTTACACTTGGCTGGAGGGTGTGGCCGTTAAGTGACTCTAGGACCGTGTATCTACGAATGTCGGACACGCAATACCTGGATGGGGTCTTGGCGCGGGAATTTGTGAAGGCGACGATTTCTCTCACCGGACACACAGTGACCGGGTATGGATGCAGATTGGAGTTGTATGTAGGCAGACATCTTAGTATTATGCTAATTACGACACGCTGTTTACGATAAGTAGAATAGTTGAATATCCTCTAGGGCAAAGTAAAACGCACAAATCAAGTACACTATGATGATCATGTATCTAGAAATGGACAAAAGAAATGCTCCCGGCCGCGTGTCCTATGACTACTGTGTCCGCCAGGGTCACTACGCAAGTCGCCTGATACTCGTCCGGAAGCCAAAGAGCATTCTCCCCCGCCTTCCTGATCCAATCTTTCGATGCAAAGAGTGTTAATGATCGGTCTGATGAAGATGAAGAAGAATCAGGAGGAGCCGAGCCAACGGCCAGCGTCCCTCTGTCAGTTTCAATATACCGACCGCAGTTGGAGAAGGACACGGTGCGAATCGCCATCGTGAATTTGAGAATCCTTTGAGCCAAATTGTTTTTCGCATCCCAAATTCTGACCGTCAAATCATCCGAGCAAGATACCACAAGCGTGCCGTCTGAAGAAAACGCTGCCGAGTTGACGGTAAGCGTATGGCCGTTGAGGACACTGCACGCGGCTCCAGCTGTATCCCAGAGTCTTATTGTCTTATCCGCCGAGCAAGAGATCAACAGCTTGCCGTCCGACGAAAACGAGATCGAGTTCACCGTGTCCGAATGGCCCCGGAACGTGTGAGCGACCCCTTCTGTGGACACATCCCATAGTTTGACTGTCGTATCCGCTGAGCACGACGCGAGAAAGCGATTGTCTTCGGGTGAAAATTTGACGTCAGTCACTGTGTCTGCATGACCTGCAAGCCTGCTGATCATTATACCTGTTCCTACATCCCAAATTATAGCTGTCTTGTCCGTAGAGCATGAGGCGAGGAACCGGCCGTCGGAGGAAAATCGGATGAGGCGGATATGGCTAGAATGACCCTGAAGCGTATGCCATTCTGCTCCCGTTTCTGTATTCCAGATCTTTGTCGTCTTGTCTGCCGAGGCTGATGCAAGCAATTGCGTATCTGGCGAGAATGTGAGGCAGGTGATACTGTTAGAATGGCCTTCCAATCGCCAGCGCTGCACTCCGTCTCTAGTCCATAACTTGACCGTAGTATCGTTCGAGCCGGACGCGACTAATTGACCATCCGGTGAACAGACTAAGAGGCTGATCGTGCTTGAATGCCCTTTCACGCTTTCTGCCGCAGCGGCGCTAGCTTCCAGCCTCAGAGCCTTCAACCTTCCGCGCAAGAAGGGCAAGTCATCCTCTTCAAATTCATCGAACTTCCCGCATCCCTCTCCAGTACTGATATTCCAGAGTCGTACCTCGTCGTTAAACGAGCCCGAAACAAGAAGCTGGCTATCGGGAGAGAACGTGACAGCATTGATACCGCTCGTATGACCCCTGAGTGTACCCAGTTGAGATCCGGTACTTGCGTTCCAGAGAATGATCGTCATATCTTCGGAGCCCGAGGCAATGAAACGAGCATCCGGAGAAAATGAAACAGCCATAACCCTTCTACAATGGCCTTTGAGCGTTGTGTGCTCTGTCTCTCCGTTTATATCCCACAGCTTGAGTGTCATATCATCTGCCGCAGAAATGATCCTCTTTCCGTCCGGCGAGAAGCGAACAGAATTGACAGCACCTGCGTGGCCGTCCAATAATAGCGATGTCTCTCTCTGTCTAACATCCCAGACGCGAACCATTCCATCTGCTGAGCCCGAAGCAATCAATGACCCGTCGGGGGAGAAGGCAACAGAGTTGACACAACTTAAGTTGCCTTTCAACATGCAAAGTTCCTGTCCTGTCTCGGTATCCCAGATTCGGATCGTTTCGTCCATGGAGCCTGACGTAAGGAGTTTGCCATCTGGTGAGAAGGCCACAGAATTCACCCAACGTGAATGTCCTTGGAGGTTGTAAAGCACAATCCTTAATCTCAAATCCCAGACCATGACAGTACCATCATCCGAGCCTGAAGCGATCATCAATCCGTCTGCTGAAATCGCAACAGAGCTGACTTTTTCCGTTTGGCCCACGAGTGTGCCCAGTTTAGCTTTTGCCGTCACATCCCAGAGCCTCACCGCTTCAACCACCGACCCAGATGCGACCTGTCGGCCATCCGGGGTGAATGCTATGTCATTGGCAAAGAATGTTTTGCCCGTTATTGGCGTCTTGGCCTTGTCTCTGGATGACTCGGCGATTCGGACATCTTGGATCCAGTGTCGCATCTGACTCTTGAACCGCTGCCGGAGTCTGTTACTGGGTTGGGTGAACGCAAGGGCAGCACAATACGTCTGGAGAGGCGCCACTTCGATGATTGAATGGAAAGCAAAAACGAATCGTCTCGCATCCTGCACAAACACCAATTGACTTGGATTTTCTCTGGCCTAAACATAACGATGTTAGTAATTCGCTGGTGGTATTTACTCGTCTTGTACGCCTGGACACATACCCCAAGGAGAGCCTCGTACATCCTTATTGTTGCAGGTACTTCAGAGAAATGCCCAGTCAAGCTCATCAACTCAAGCCAGTACAGGAAATAGTCCTCGATAAAACGATGAGCTTGGTTGCCATCGCAGAGGCATATCCCGCTTTCTCGGTAATGCTGCACCCAGTAGCGACCTGCATACTCGAGCTCCGGAGGAATGCATTTCTTGATCAGATTCGGATCAAGGTCCTTAGTAAGGGTACCTGGTGATTGCAGGCCGCACATGTCTCTTTTGAGTATCTTCGACATGAGTTGTATGCAGTTGTCGGCCATAGCCTTGTGTACCTGCTTCTCGTCTACCCAAAAGTTCAAGTCATAGCAGCGATCCTTGTTGAGAAGGAAATCACGGAATGTCGGATGATGTAAGCGAATCGGGCGATGCATCTGGTTAGGGATGTTGAGAATCGTATGACAGTCCGCAAGTGTCTCATTGATGTCGCTCGAAGAGAGAGGGAGCAGATGTGATAAGGAATCCATCGAAAGAGGCGAGAAGAGAACAACAATGCTTCCAAGCACCTCTCGCAACATGTCGTACACCACTTGTTTCTCCTGGTCATTGTATTCCTGCTGAATGCAGCCCCTCAGAACTGTCGTATAAATATCGTCCAGTTTCTTCTCAGGGCCTACGCCCGAGCACTGACCAATGAGCAGATCGGATAGGCGGTTTACGGCAAGCCGTCTGCCCTCGCGAATGAAACGACACGCAGTCGAAGCCCAGATGAAGAGACCACCCGAAATCTCTATCAAGCGCCTGATACTTTGCATTCCGGGCCAGTTCTTGTCAAAGCCACGTTCTTCTCTGATCTTTGTGAGGTTGTGTTCAAAGAAAAGACCCAAGTCATGATCCACGATTTCCGGTAGTATGTCGTGAAGAAGGAAGATGTGTCGTTCGGCTTCCGGTATCTGATAGAAGCTGCAGCGGATGGGAATCTCTGGTCTGCTTGTAATGAATACCCGCAGGCGTATGCCTTTTAGCGACTTGGTTGAAGCCAAGAGCCTGAGAATAATTCGGACGTCTCTCTCGCTATTGCACTCATCTAGTGCGTCCATCACTATTACAATAGTTGATGGAGGAGTTTTGCTGCCGAGCTTCGAAAGAGGCTTGAAGATCAACTGGTCCCATTGATCCCGAAGAGATTGATCCGCAATATTCTCCTGGTCCGTGATCGCTTCTCCGATATACCCTCTTACTTGTGGTATCTTGGCAGCTAGCTGCCATGCAAGAGTCGTGAATAATCTGTCCGCACGAGATACATCTCCTCCACCTCTGGAGAAGAAGAAGCTTGCCCCCAGACACCCTCGGTCATGGAATGTCCTAGCTATCGTACGAGCAACAGTGGACTTGCCCGTGCCAGCTATCCCGTTGAGCCAGAAGATGCAACTCTTGTCTGGTCCATCGACCCATCCGATGATCTCTTGGAGCAGTTGGACTCGGGTGCCTGTAAGACACATGGATCCATGCTGATTCTCAAGTGAGTTGAAGGCTGCTTGAGGAATCACAGGAAGTTTCGACAGAAGAAACTTCTGTCTGGTGCCTTCTGCATCCTTCTTCTCGATCTCTTCCTGCAACCGCGTGAATGCGTTGTTTCCCTCTCCGTATATGAGCGGCATAAAGACACCAAAGAGTCCCAGTAAAGAGTATGCCCTGTCTTCCTTGCGCTGAGTTTGTCGGTTCTCTGCCCACGACAAACGCTCGGTCACGCTGAAACTGGTCATTTCAGCCCCACGCAGAGCCCGATGAGGAATCCCGGTGATCTCATGAATCAAATCCTCCAGTGAATTCTTGTCACCCAGTCGTACGCCCTGGATAGAAAAGAACTCAACAGACGTCGGTGCAATTAGTTCCTGAAGAGTCCAGCCTCGACTGAACCACCTGCTTTTTCGAAAAGCTGACTCCCATGGATGCAGAAGGCCTTGGTGTGTCGATTTGAATTCTGCCGCTGAAACATCCGACAGATAGACATAGCACTTAGCGGCGTTACGGTACCAGGAAAACATGGTCGTGATAGCCTCTTGGAGCTCTGCGCTACTTGATTTGTTGATGCAACAGGTATCGACCCAGGAATATTCGAGGCCATCTTTGGCAGCTTGCTCCACGCAGAACCGGATCTTGTCATAGCTAGCAGCTTTATGAAGAGGATGACCCCCGATCATGTCTTCGAAGGAAACCTCTTCGTCGTCGCCCAGCCATGTGTGTGACAGAATAGCGTACTTCGGTATCGTGTTCTCTCGACATTGAATCAGGCGAAGGCTGCCATCTACTTTGCGCTGAAGTAGTCGCATCGTTGCGGGTCTGTGTGGAGCTGGTCTAACGGTGCGTGGAGTCTAAAATCACAAGGGAACACCCTCAGCTTGTTAGCCCACTGTGCATACAGTCCAATACCAGACGGTGCTCATCATGGGTTACTGCTGGACTTACAATAACAAACTGGCTACGCTATACGGGCAAACTTTTGGCGAGTTCCCGCCCAGCGACGATGCCACCGAATTGTAAGGCTGCGACTTCCGAAGGGATCCGATCCAAAGAAAAGCGAAAGATTGCCAGACGGTCTGAGTAGGTATGAAGAGGTTGTTGAGGATGGGTGTCCGGTTCTGTGTATAGACAGATAAGAACCCACAGTAGGGGAGCAGGAGAATAGGAGGCTCTTCAGAGATGCTGGAGATCCCTTTGCTGGTTTTGAAACAAGGCACTTGATATCCTGCCAGCGACCAAAAGCGGGGAAATATAATCATCTGACGATATCCCCTGGTTAATTTGCTTGACTAAGCAAAAGTAGAGACCTCACCCTGCTTGGTATTGTGTTAACCAGCTGTTTAAGCCAACCAAAGGGGGTATGCGGTACCACAACGGACATTCGTCATTTTCTGACAGCCAAATTTCAAGCTTACTCCTAGTACTAAGGGGGCCTCAAAAGCGGCTCCGTGTGACTCGTTTGTCCTACACGAACGAGTCACACGGGGTGGCCGGTTTTGAGGCCCCCTCAGTGTTACGGTAGCCAGCATTATTCAGGTATATGATCCAACACTCGGCAATATTGGAGATACTGTACCTTATATTGCATATTCACTAATACTACCGCATCTCAACCCCACTTTTGCAAAGATCGCAGTATAGTCCAACAGTATTCATGATGGGTTAATCGAACCGGCGAGTCATATCTGAGCCCCTTCTGACTCATGTGAGGACATCAATCTATCAGAGGTTTTGTAATACAGGGTCATGTTTCAACATCGCGCCATTGTTGCATGAATTCCTAGTGTGAGGGCATAAGGCGCCGGATTGGCACAATCCTCTAATATATGAATATCTTGACCTTGGTCAGAGGACTAAAACCCCGTCTAACCAAAGAGCGGGTCGGGGGGGCCCAGATCAACGCAATGACCAGATTCAGGGTTCACACTTAATCTAACAAAAAATCCTTCATCGAATGTGTCGTACAGTCTACAAGGATTACAAATGTCAGCTTGAAACTTGCCCCGGTTTTGTAGATACCTTATCGTTGGCACTGATATACCCTTAAAGTAGGGTACCTCAACAGGTCAATTGTAGCAAATTGTAAAGTCTTGATCTACCAGGACCGACGAATAGGGGCATCTTCCGACGTTCGAGAGCCTCTCAGCATTCGCTGTTCTAGGTGGCGATATACTGTCAACCGGCTAACATTTGTAATCCTTATGGGCTGTACGCTATCTAACAAGTACCACATAGCAGATCACGATGCTTACTCTCTCTGAGGACCTGAAGCTGGGAAGCAATTGGACGTTTTACGGCTGCCTAGGTAACACAAGTACGCAATGCATAGGCAACACAAATACGCAATGCATAGGTAACACAAATACGCAATGCATTTCGTGGCAGCGCTCGATAGGGGTATATGACACCCTCTCGGTCAAGCGGGGCTGCAGGACATCCTGGATTAGCACAATCATCAGATTCCGAACGAAAACTTCAAAGCCGTATCCAACAGTGTCACAATCCAATAAAATCACATTGGAGCACCAATAAAATCCATACACGTCACTGTGTTTGTCGCTCAAATTGCCAGTCAGGTACTCTAGCGGGATATATCAGGGCCTACCGTCCGCCACGTAGTATGACATGGACTAATTACTCTTTCTACCGAGATAACGCCAAAATGTACAGTGGCACTCCCTTCGGACTTTCCATTCTGTTTAACCTCGTGGCCGTTGCCGTGTTCGGGCACATTCTGAGGTCACTATGGACGTACTGGAGGCGGCCCTACTCATCTGTTCTTGCGCGTGTCCGAGGACCCCCGACGAAACATTGGTTCTTCGGTTTCCTCACGCCTTCCGAGGCCAAGTCCTTGAGCATGTCGCCGAAGATGCTGCAACTCTGTGACGACTTCGACGATATATGGTATGCCACCTTCACAAATCGACGTCCGACGCTGTGAGTTTGACCAATCCTTCGCATCTGTGCATACCCGTCGCAGGGGCGTTTATGAAACTGCTTTCTTCAGGATGCAATACGGCTAACAGATACTGTTTTACTTAGTGTCATAAGAGACCCAGAAGCTATTAGCTATGTACTGAATGATAGCCAGACGTATGTGCGGACTAAAGCGCAGACAAATGTCACCCGACTGATATTTGGCGATGGCCTCGCAACCGTCGATGGCGAGCAGCACCGGATGCAGAGAAAGGTCATCGGGCCCGCTTTCACGGCTAGGGCAGTCGAGGGAATGGCCCCCGTCTTCTACGAAAAGGCGCAAGCTTTGGCTGATGGTTGGGCACATAAGCTGCGCAATATAGCTGGCCAGGAGACAAGAAGCATGGAGATCAATGCCTACCAGGAATTTGAGGCCTTGTCTTTGGATATCATCGGCACCGCGGGCTTCCAATATGACTTTCACTCGTTGAGCGGGCATCGGAGTGAGTTGGAGGATGCTTTTGTCAATGTCACAAAGAGCGCGGCGACGGGATCTTCATACTCGACTCTGCGATCTCACTTCCCTTGGGTCGGCATGCTGGGAAGCTTCTTGAGCCAGGAACAGAAGACTCTGGACAAACATAAACGGCAAATCTGGCGAGTTAGCAAGGACCTTTTCGAGAACGCTAAGAGAGAAATGCAAATACAAGGCAGCCAGCGGACAACCGAATCAGGTTGTAGAGATATCCTCAGCCTCCTCGTTGAGTCGAACACCAGGGCCACAGCAAAGGACCGTCTGGGTGACAAGGAGATTATCTCCATGGTCCCGACATTGCTCTCAGGAGGGTACGATAACAATGCGTCAGAGATGTCGTATGCCCTCTTCGCGCTTACAAACTTCCCTGAGACGCAACGCCGTCTCCGACAAGAACTGCTCAGCCCGCCCCCGAACGGCCGGGACTGGCACAAGGACCTCAGATCCCTCGAGCGTCTTCCCTATTTAGACGCCGTCGCCAAAGAAACCTTTCGGTTGTACAGTTCCGCGCACTCGATCCCCCGAACCGCCGCAAGAGACGATTGTATTCCTGTAAGTAAAAATATACAGCTCCGCGATGGAAGCTGGGTGAACAAGATCCGCATCGGCCGCGACGACGACGTGGTCATCGCACAGAAGTGGGTGAACGTGGCATCGCGGTTCTGGGGACCCACCGCCCATGTCTTCAGGCCGGAGCGGTGGATTGAGGATACCAAGCATGAGCATTACGAAGGTGGACTGCCATGCACTGTGACGGGGGGAAGGGAAGAAGGGAAGAAAGAGTTGCCCGGATGGAGTCATTTAATGACTTTCTCGATTGGGCCGCGGAATTGTCCTGGCTACAGAATGGCAGTTGCGGAGTTCAAGGTCGGTTTGGCGGTCCTAGTCTCAAGGTTTGATTTCGTAAGGCACGAAGCTATGGATGAGGTGTATGGAGAGGTGCAGATTGTAGATCGACCACGGGTAAAGGGGAGAGAAGGGTATTATATGCCGTGCTGGGTTAAATCTTTAGAGTAAAGTAATTGCTGCCGGGCTCGTAGCGTCAGTCGAGCCGACGATAGTTCTTGTGGATGAAGCAGGCATGATGACTTCGATATGTGAGATGAATGAGAAGATGATATGTGAAGGAGGGAAAGAATCAGGCCTCAGCTTCTTAAGCCGACTACAGCTTATATATTTATACAGGTTTTAACCTTTTTAAATTAAAAGGCTTTATACTTGGTTATTATAGTAGTATTAGGTAATAAACACTTGAATTGTAGATAAAACTGTATTTTTTTGACCTTGTGCCGGCAATTTGCTTATCTTGAGGGAGCAGACAGAAGTTAAATTAGTTTATAAAATCTATTATTATATTATTACTATTGTTCTTAAAATCCTTCAATCCGTTGTTAAAGTCGAATTCACCATCCAACTCATAGTATCCCAGAACCCCAAATTCAATGCCAGTGTCTTGTCACTTAACTTGATGCCCTTCTTGGAGAAGAAATCGACAGACTGTGGAGCAAGGAGCTCCTGGAGCGTCGAACCACGAGTAAACTATTTATTGTTGCGAAAAGCTGGTTCCCATGAAGTTGTGGGGGAGTGTTTATTTCTGTTATGCCCAGTTTCCTGGCTTACCGAAACATCCGTTAGGTATGCCTAACATCGAGATGCGTTACGGTACCAGGAGAAATTGCTTGTCCACGCTTTCGAGAGGATGGCGCTGCTCTCCTTATCGGCGCAACATGTATCTAGCTAGAAATATTCTAAGCCGTCCTTGGCCGCTTGATCACCACAGAATCGGATTTTGGCATAACCGGCTGGCTTGGTATGGATGTTTCCTCGTTGCAGGTCTTTGAAGGTGACCTCGCTGTCGTTGTCCAGTAGCCAGGTGTGTGACAATATGGCATACTTGGGCACCTCATCTCCCATCAAGTCTCTAGTGAGCTCAAGTGTGCCGTCTCCTTTGCGATGGAGAAGCCGCATATTGAGCTACAGGCCGCGGAAGATTCAAGCAGGAAGGGGTTTCGGTCAAACTGATATGTTGGAACAGCCAAACTGGTCTTGCCAAGGTGTGTAGAAGTTATACAGATAGCTCAAACGAGGAAGGTCATAAAAGGTTCGGTCTCTCGACCAAGGAATGTGAAGCTATTGTGGGCGCGAGACGAGTGGGAAGTGGGATTCTGGCCAGCTATGGGGGATGGGCATATATGTAGGCCAGAGACGGGAGGCAGGTAACAAAGCAACCTGCTGATACGATCCCTAGACGAAGGATTGACGCTGTGTAGCCGGGCCTCGTTTTGCACAAAAAGGAGGCCACAACTTGGTCTCACCTCGGTGGAGAAATGCAGAAGCCCGCAGCCGTCACCGGAAGCCCACATCGGGTTTCTAGACCCAATAGCCACGGCGGGGCTGCGGGGGCCGAATTCCCTGCAATCTTTGCACGTTAGAGCTAAAGTTCCGTTATTGGCGTAATAAAGGTCTGATGGGGGCTATGAGGACTGGAAGGTACTGCCTACGTACTGTATCACCCTGCACATCCGGTACATATCTGTCTGCCTTGGGAAGTTGTCAAATTCCCGGCCTTCGTAGAACGCGTGCTTGAGAAATTGCGGCATTTTGTAACGGTTATGTTTCATGTAACACTGCAGCCTCCTCCGAGTGTATGGAAATAATTGGTCGAGATTGGGGGTCGACACCCGCCTCACGTTCTTTGTTATCGTTGTTATCGCTTAACTTTCTTCCTGATGTTAGGTTAACGATGTCTATTCATCATGTGTATGACCAACCGGCTAGGCGAGTGCATCTAGGGGGAGTAGGGACCGGCTGGGTGTGGGCTTCCTTCAACACTTTCTCACTTCGTCACTCTCACAGGTGCTGTTGAATCTAGCAGATAGAAAAGCTATTACTATTAATCCTATCTAACAGAGGGTCTTTGGGTCAGTCTTATAGATGAATATGACTTCGCATGACCTCGGACTGCCAACAGGTTCCAGCTGACTAAATTAAAAAAATAAAAAGCTAGCCCTAGGCCTAGACCGATAATAAGACAGGTGGCAATGGAAGCCCGTGATAAAGGCGATATGTGCCTATGAAGGAAGAAAAACTTCGCCGCCGTCACAACCGGATTCCTCTTGAGATTCGGAATGAATGACAGTCCCCGGCGTCACAACCGAATTTCCTCTTGGGATTCGGAATGAATCACAGTCCCCGCCGTCACAACCGAATTTCCTCTTGGGATTGGGAATCACAGTCCTCGCCGTCACAACCGAATTTCCTCTTGGGATTGGGAATCACAGTCCCCGCCGTCACAACCGGATTCCTCTTGAGATTGGGAATCACAGTCCCCGCCTTCACAACCGGATTCCTCTTGGGATTGGGAATCACAGTCCCCGCCTTCACAACCGGATTCCTCTTGGGATTCGGAATCACGGTCCCCGCAGTGACAACCGTAGAAATCCCATTTTCCGACACATTTGACACGCGAAGACAACTGTTGATACCCAGCGAGCGTTAGCCGTTAGCCACGTCAGTGGGGAGGATCTGAGCAGTACCTGTACCTTCCAACCACCCTGGGCCATGAGTTTCTCGCCAAGTACTCTGCTAGTCCTCAGGAGCTGCTGGTCACGGAACCTGGGGGCTACAAGAGATATGCCGACAGGCATGCCGTTTGCCCCGACAAACGCGGGAACGTTGATGATGGGCATGTGAAACCCCTGTGTCAGGTTAGCAAGATCATTAATCACGCAAATAGATGCACTCGCCGTCCACATGGTATTGAAATGTGCGCGCCCCATGTCAGAAAGCCCGAGTGGAGCTTCGTCCACGGCGCTAGGTGTGAGTATGACAGAATAGTTGTCGGCGAGATCGTTGACGATTTCCCGCATGCTGGCGCAGGTCTCGGAGGCCCTCACCAGCCCTTCGCGTGTGCCGTTGGACGTGTTTTCGACTATGTCACAGATCTCTTGAGCCAGGCTTTCCTTGCCGATTTGATACTCCCTGAGAAGGCATGCCTGGGCTTCACCAAGAACGATGACCTTCAGTATTCGCCTCAGGCCGGGTCCATCGGCGACCTCGGGTGGAAACGCAACTTCTTGGACCTTTGCGCCACTGTTCTTGAGGATTTCCGCAGCCTCTTCCATGGCGGACACTGTACCGGGTCCTGCCAGGGACCACAACGGGGTTTTCATCAGGGCAACAGAGGTTTTCTCCAGCGGCATGTCCTGGAGGGGATTGTCGTCCTGGAGGGCAAAGACATCTGCAAGCAGCTGTAGATCTTCAACGCCGCGGGCAAAGAAGCCGAAGGTGTCAAAGCTCGGGGCAAATGGTTTGTGGCCCTCGACTGAGATTGCATTGAAGGTTGGTTTCATGGCAAAGACGCCCGTGAAGGATGCTGGGCGAATGATGCCCCCGCCGGTCTGGGCTCCAAGACTCAGCGGCACATGAAAGTCGGCTACGGCTGCGGCAGATCCGCACGAGGAGCCGCCTGGGGTGCGATCTGGGTCGTGAGGGTTCGTGGTGTTGGGTCCCGAGTTGGTGACGGCGAACTCTGTCGTGGTTGTTTTGCCTGCGAGTGAAATTAGGAAGGGAGAGAAGGGAAAGTTATGAGCCTACGAACCGAAGATGAGAGCTCCAGCCGCTCGTAGAATCGCCACTGCAGATGAATCAAAGCGTGGCTGGTGCCCCTTGTAAATGGGAGAGCCGAATTGCGTGGGCATGTCTAAGTTGCTTTAGCCAAGGGAGCGGACGTGGCATTGATAGTGCGTGGTACCTTCGGTGTTCATGATATCTTTTACGCCTATCGCCACTCCGTGCAGTGGCCCCCTCTGGGCGTCAGGGATCTGGTCCAGAGCTCGTGCCTGGCTGAGTACGAGCTCGGGATCTGATGCGAAATCAGCACACGTCTCGGCACGATTGACAGGTCAACGAGAATAACAAGCAAGGCGTAGGCTTACCGAGGTACGCCCAGGCTTTGACAGTGCTGTCGTGCGCCTGGATGCGGTCCAGGAGAGAACTAGCGTATGCCTCTACCGTGAGCGTGTTGTTCTTGAGTAACTCAAGCACTTGGGTCGCTGTCAATTTGTACGGCGATGGCATCATGGCTGGTGATAGTAGCAACTGAGAAGGAGGCGAGAAACAGAGATGAAGTGGACTGAAGGAGAGAGAGGGCGGGAAATCTGAGAATCCGCCGACTGCAGCTTGTGTGCAAGGCGGAGAAAGGGCGCGGAGAAGGTAAAGGAGCCAACGCCGCATGGTGTGAGGTGGAGATGCAAGACAGTGAAGTGAGGCGGACGTGAGGCAGATTGCTTGGAGCCTCAATTGTGCTGAGTCATCCGCGTGGAAAGGGAAAGTGAGAGTGAGAGTGGCATGGCGCATGCACGAAGGAAACAGTGAGGGGTGAGGCATACGGGATTTATTATTATTATTAATATTATTGAGTCGGGGTTTTTCGGTCTTTAGGGATCAAGGTCATCTGATTAGATGCTTGCAGCCACTGGGGCTAGGATTGGTGGATTCCTTCAACAGGAATCTGACCGATTGGGACCATAAATTAAAAAGTCTCTGACAGGATATATTAGACAGTATTGTCCCTTTTAGCATCTCATTCAATTGACAGTCTTTTAGCCTATTCTTTTGAGACCTCTCAGAGATCTATTTAATTAAATAGTATCAGCTGGGTGGGTTGTGTGTTCTTAGTGCCCTCTGCTCACTTCCTCACTTCTTATTCTTCTTCTTAGTATTAGTATTAGTATTAGTATTAATTATTATTATTCTTTTTAGTATTAGTATTAGTATTAATTATTATTATTCTTTTTAGTATTAGTATTAGTATTAGTATTAATTATTATTATTCTTTTTAATATTAGTATTACTATTAATTATTATTCTTCCTTTTAATATTAATATTGGTATTAATTATTATTATTAGTCTTAGTATTAGTATTGTTATTAACTATTATTCTTAGTCTTATTATTCTTAGTATTATTATTTATTATATAAAAGGCCGGTGAAGTTTTTCTTCCTTTATAGGCATATATCGCCTTTATTACAGGCTTCTATTGCCACCTGCCTTATTATCGGTCTAGGCCTAGGGCTGCTGTTGGCAAATATGACCCGCTGGCCTGGACCTACAGCTTTGCTTACCCTATGGCAGCTTACTGACATCGGACCTAGTTGTACATATCATCCTGAGCGAATAAATGTAACCATGATTATGCTATTGAGAACCGCGGAAGCCTTGTTTTAATCACTTTCAATCACCATGCACCAGGCTGAAAACTGTTGGGCTGTAACTGCGGGATAATGTCACCCAACACGCACGCTACTACGCCTTGAGCAAAGCACCAGAGCCTTAGAGCCTCATTAGGTAAATAGATCATGGGCTGACGCCCGGAATCTTTACTTCACAAGTGCACACAGCGTAGGTGCGGGCGCACACGTCAGGCCGGGAATTTGTGATCAAGCCGGCAGTGTGCATGTCTATTCTCGCATAGCTGCCCGTGTACACGTCAGGCCCAGCTGCAAGGCGTATCCATGAGGCTTACAATTTGGAATCAGGCTGGCAACTTGCATCATTGTTTTCGCCCAGCTGCAGGTGTACACTCAGGCAGCAATGTGATTATGCATCTTCGTTAACAGCAGTCCAATCACCCTCCTGCATGCCGGTGCCATATGTCTTGGTTGCCGTAGTACAAAGGCGACTCGGGAGCAAAATGTCCACCATGTCTCACAACTGTAGCTTACGGAAGAAGTTCCGACGGGTTCCGACGGAATTGCTCATGTGGCGGGCTGGACCAATAGAGATCCACTCGGTGAGCAGCTCAGACAACGCCTTGCAACGAGGCTAGTGAATATGCCTACGCTAAATGACTCTCCAAAGCCTCCCTGCATTGTCAGTGACACAATGCGTTCTGGATTGATTTTGCGTATGAGACAACACGGCCTGGATCCTCCTGGTGAGACAACTACGGCGCTTCCGTTTTGTGCTTGCAGGGACTGGCATCTCATACGAAAATTTATTCCCGCCACACCTTTTGGTACGTTTCGTACGACTACAAATTTCTTACAACTCATTTTCAAGGCGTTCGAGGAATAGCACGCTAAATTTGGTTTCTTTAAAAAACAAACTCAACAAGTTGGAACAATGAGTACATCTGGCTTGCGGGACACGTATGGCTCGGTGGGCTATCGCACCTGGAGAGCTACCCCATAGCAATGTTCTGGCTCTTAGAAAAGGAAAAAGAAAACCTAAAATTACTCCCATTTACGTATATCTTTCCGCGTCTGCTCCATGTCTGACTTCCATCCCCTTGAATAGACGGAAGCCACAGCTGAAAACTACATCTCAGCCTCCTTACCCCTTACACCTCGTGGCGGTGGCTATTTTTCAGCTAGGGTCTTATTAAGATCCGTGTCTGAAAAAAACATGCCACACGCTTTTTAAAATCAGGGCGGCAGGGCCAGCCACGCGCTTGTGGAGATTAATCAGGGCCAGATCTTGTTTATTTTTGTCGCAGATCCCTTGAGGTGGATCCGCTAGTATTCAATACAGTCAACAATATTGACGCCTGTCATTTTACAGCGACGAATCATGGATCGAATATGAACCCTTCAATTTAGATTTCCTCGGACTCGACATTGTCCTTTTGTTCGGGAGGTGACTTTATTACGTGTCAAGTACCGATGCTCCAGCACACAACGAACGACAATTATGTATTCTACCGTAGAGACTCGACAAATTCGCCCGCAATTTTGCACACTAATACACGCAAATCACTGTGTAGATGTTTGACAGGTCTGCTAACGACCAATAATTTTGGAGCCCTTGGCCTTAATGCCTGTAGATCCCTTCCTCATACAGTTAAATGAGAGGCATTTGGCGGGCACTATTGTGAAAAATTGCGGGCGAATTTGTTGAGTCTCTACGATAATTCTTTCCATAGCATTTGTCTCAAATTTAAAGATTCTTTTATGCTTGAAATCTAAATGCCAAGATGATCTAGATTGTAAAGCTGTAGCCCCCTTTTGTATGGTAGCCCCACTTAGAACACAATAGTTCATATCTTAATCTCGCAGTATTCGCTTGTATGTGTGACTTTGAGCGAATGAAGCTGCAGATCCGTCGCTACACCTTTCCGAAGCAGGCTTTTCAACAATGACCCGGGCGACCAACACCCGAGTCTTGACATAGGAACAAGTTCTGGAACCTGAAAGATAGACGAGTTAAGGGATTGGAAGGCTCCAAAGGAGGGAGGAGAAAAAGGAAAAAAAGGCAAGGGAAGGAACAGTTGGCTGGTTGTTTCTTCCCCCTCTCTCTCGGGGTATATATGAAGATCAAAAAGATACTCTCCAGTCATCATCACACACCTTCTTTCCCAAGCCTCGAGACACACATTTACTCCATCTTCAATTGGTGATTTTACTCTAAGTGACTAGCGGCCCTCCTCTTTCACATCGTCAACCCCAAGTGTGAGATATTCCTGTTCTTGACAAGAGGATGGCGCAAATCAACACTTTCACAGCCACTCTCCAGAAAGATTCGGCACTCTCACTTGACCTTCTGAGCAAGACTGCTCTTGAGGGGCAATCATGGCTGAGCCACGAGCACAAGCGCAAGAGTGGCCTTGAGACGCCACCGTCTGAAGCCTCAACTCCCGTGATCGAGAAGGACCTCGATCAGCTTCTGGAGCGAGCAGACACTTGTGTGGACGACACTCTCTCAGTCATTTCACCCGGTGATGCGCCTACGGTCGCTGTTCTGGGGGTTGGCTACGTCGGAACTCATCTCGTCAGCACCTTTGCCACGAAGTATCCCGTCATCGGCTTCGACGTCTCAAAGACCCGGATCAACGACCTGCTGGCTGCACAAATGCATGATCCCGTCGAGGAGCAGAAAGACATCAAGTATACCTCTGATACTGCCCTTCTTCGCCGAGCCACCCACTTTTTGATTTCGGTACCCACGCTCCTGCGCCCAGATCGCACCGTCGACGCGTCGTTTCTTTGCAGCGCCCTTCAGACGGTGGAGAAGCACGCCCATCGAGGTGCGACTGTTGTTATCGAGAGCTCTTGGGGCCACTGGCCATGCGAAGGGGGCTGTTTGCCGGCATGTCTCCAGAGGTGAGCACTTCCCCATGCCTTTTCCACGTTTAGATGTACTGACCAACTTTCAGCGTGTTGATCCCGGGCGTAAGGATCCGCCTCTTTCTTCGATCCCTAAGATTGTCTCTGCCCTGGACGTCATTCGACCCGGCTCTCTCAGTGCAATTGTCCAGCTCTACTCGACGGTATTTGACACTGTCGTGCCTGTTTCCTCGCCAGAGGTTGCCGAGATGACCAAACTGTACGAAAACTGCCAACAGATGATTTGAATTGCGTACGCCAACGAGATGGCCGATGCCTGCACCACACACCGCATCGACCCGTACGAGGTCTGTCGGGCCGCATCAACCAAGCCATTTGGCTACATGAACTACACACCTGGCCTGGGTGTTGGAGAACACTGTATCCCAGTCAACCCCTTCTACCTGCTGTCCAACTCGAGCTTCCCGCTACTGGAGGAGGCGACAAAGCGCATGCACGAGCGGCCAACGCGCATCGGGGCTCAGATTCTTGAGGGACTCCGCGCCAGGATGTCTTCTGGGACCTTTGGTCATAGGAAGCCACGTGTCTTGGTTGTCGGCATGGGTTTCAAGAAGGGCCAGTCGACCTTGAGCCATTCACCTGGTATCGAGCTTCTCAAGACACTTCATCTCGCTGCAGAGGCCGATGTAACATGGGCCGACAGTCTGGTGTCTCAGGATGCCATCTTCAGCGTGCCAAAGCTTCATGATGAGCATTGGAACAGCGACGATTTAGCCGCCTTTGACCTCATCCTTGTCGTCTTTCTACAGCCGGATATGAGCCAAAAGGTCCTCGAGACTTTACCTGCTCATGTAGAGCTCGACTGGCTGAGCATGCGGCCAAATTAGGCTGGATCTGAGTACATAGGACTTGCACGTTCAATCTTGTCAGTCTTTGTCGTTGCAAATATTGTTTATAGACGATACATGTACTATTGTGGATGGTGGATGGTGGATATTTAAAAACGTTTGTTGGACATATCAAGCCTCCACTACAATGGAAATCGGGGGTTCAATCCGGACGATTTCCCACCCCGTCCAAAGATTTCTTTCATCGTAATTAGCACTTTCAATAGTCAGCTTCAACCTTTCGTATTAATTTTAACAATATAAATTCGCCTTCATCTTAGAATCTAGAGCCTTCAGCTCAAGTCCTAGTAAAGAGAGGCATTTCGGTTCTTCCACCTCATCCCTTTATGTCCCAACCATCCGATCCTTGACCGCGTCTGCCCAGTATGCTGAATGATATTGGGAAGCCTGTCTGTTCCTCCATGTGTACCCTAATCTTACACCTGGCATGTCACGATCTCAACAAAACAATGAAGATTGTGACCATCAATATTTCTGTTTTAGGCGGAACATTACGTTCCTCAAGTTCATAATATACCTGAACACATATCATGGGGAGCACATAAATAAAGATTATCGTAGTAGGAAACGATCCTCGGCATAATCCCCCTCTATATATTCTGATATTTATCCCTTCGATCTGTTTTGCAATGTTCCCCGCGGAAGGCAACACATCTGCGTGCCTTCTAGTAGGATTGGTTATCCAACAACACATCTCGAATGCCGGTTTAGATGTGGGAGGGTCTACGCTGCCCATGTGATAAGATTCAATAGTTCCCGAACTCCCTTGTACGTGACCGCTCAGATTGGGTCGTAATGCGGATCTAGCTATACCAGGTTCGTCCAATACATTTAGATTGGCTCAAGATATCCTGCTCCGTATGTAGTGATGGCCGAAGACCATCCGAAAATCAAGGAGTTACTCCCGAAGGACTGCACAGCGCCGAAATGCCGGAACACCCCGCCGTCACAACCGGCTTTCCTGTTGGGATTGGGAATCACGGTCATCTGAAGTCATCGGCTTGGATGCAATACTTTGCGAAATGAATTTTTGGCCTCTCACCCGACAGCCGTATCCAATGTCTGTTGATTTACTACGGTAAAAGGTATATTTCGAATGCCAGGTCGTCTTACGTGCCGAAAACATCGGACATTCGGTTGGAATAATATAGCAACAGCCGAGGTCAAGAAGCTACCATGTACACACTACAATTTAGAATCACCCATTAAGCAGATCTCCCTCTCAATATTACCACTGCAAGAGCGGTAATAGTGCAACTTGGAAAAAAATTCGTATTTAAAGTAATCAGTAGGTGTAAAACTTTTCCTTCATCAATTTAAAAGATATTACAAATGTCTATAGATTTGAGTAGATCACTCCCACTGAATCCGCAGAGAAGCGCCAAACCATCCACGGAAATGTGAAACTAGGAATTGGCCCAGTTGTTACAATTTCCGGCATCCTTATGCGTCACCCTTTTGTTGCATGTTGCTCACAGCAGTCATCTTCCGTCTCTTTGAAGCATCCCAAAGCGCTACACTCGTCTCGAGCAGGTGGATAATAAAGAAGGGAATGAGGTTGTACTGCCAGCCACGCATAATGCGCAGGTGGCTATTGATGTCGCTCCTTTCGCTGGAATCAACCAGGTCAAGCTTGAGAAAGGCGGAAAACCAGTTTTGCGGCGTCCAGGAATCAATGTCGTACTTTTTGCCGTCGAGGCTTGCCGCGACGCTGGGGTCAATCGTTTGACCCTTGTGGTTGTTTGTGACGACGAAGGTGTAGATGAGGGCCGACAGGACGAGCAGAAGGCTGAGGACATTGGTGACCAGCCAGGCGTGGTAGAAGGCGATGGTGATTTTGCCAGGGTTTGGTCTCGAGGAGAGCCAGAGAATGAGGAAGCCGCCAATGCCGATGAGGATGAAAGCCGTCCCCGCCGCGCCATTGCTGGTGTGCCCTTGATCCACGATGAAGTTTTTGGGTTCGCCTTTCAAATCGTACGTCGAGCCGTCGAATGCGAATTTAAAGGTGCCGCTGGCAGTGGCATGCAGCCATCCAACCATTGCCGAGATGAAGGACAGCTCGATGATGGCCACGACCATCAACAGCGCCAGAGAGGCGTAGAGGGCGATGCGAGAATTCATTTTGACGTCGAAAAGAAGGATGGAAAGCCAAGGTCCAGTGCCGGGCGCGGGCTGGTCTGGGAGACTTGTTTTTAAAGCTGAGTTGATGATGGTCAGCGTAGTATAAAATCCGCTTCAGCATTAGTGCTGACCGCCAGTGACTAGAATCAAGACTCATTTCCACTCCCGTACGGAGCGTACCGTAAGCATGACCTTACATCATCCAATAATAGTGGCAAGATTAGCACACGTCATGGTGCTTACAAGCCACGGTGTACACACAGCCACTGATGCAATTTATACATTGTGCCGCCAGAACTGCGGTTGGATCAGCGGTGAACTAGCCCCATATAAGCCGCTCTTTGGGGGCCGCTGACTTCAACGATTTATAACTCAAAAGTCGCCCCAGGCTTACTCCGGGGGCAAGACTCCACAAGCGCTGAGCTACCAATGTACATCCCCTATTCCGATTCGATATTACCGTGGATATTCTTCCTGGTGGCTAATCAATGACCCTGGTACGGTGAGTGTTGATGTTTGACCAGGTGCACATTTTGACGGTCCCGGCGAGCGCATTCATATCGGATTCTATACCCGTGGCAAGATCTCTCGTCCGATGGAAATGAAAAGGACACTCATTCATAAATTTCCACGGTCCATTCGACCTGGCTGTTAAAGTTATGTGGCACTCAGGCTTGAACTAACGAGGTCAAAAAGGTACGTGACTTGGTTAGGGACTAGACTGAGCACATTCAAGCCCAAGCCAAAAAGTAGGTATATGGGTAGATGGTTCGGCAACCAAACAACCGCTGCGACTGCCATCATGCGTCCTCTGGCTTCTGCGCATACACCACGTAGCTGGAGAAAACATCAGTACACACCCCAAGACCAATGAACGCTACCATCGCTCGCGAGCCATGGATGGAGGAACATGTCTAGGGCTCACTCACTAGGGCCAATACCCGTGCATCCGCGGGTTCTTCACTTCCCTCCTCAGGAACGCCAAAAACACGACGACCTCCTCGTCTGACCAGCCAAGGCCCTTCTGGAACATCCTCGTGACCATGGCCTCTAATCCGCTGAGGAGGTTCTCCATCTCCCAGGCACCCAGAAGCTTCATGCGTGGGTCTTTGGGCCACGGGTTGAAGGGCAGCTTGAAGACCTTTTGGGTGACGTTCTGGTAGCCTCGTTCCTCAAACCAGCCCTTCCATTTTATGGGGTCGGTAAGGCTGGCGCCGTACTGGGAAGACGCCGTCTCCATCATGCCGGAGAACTTGCGCAAGTAGCTGTCCTCGGCGATTGAGTCGTCGTCGCACCCGAGGAGGCCGACTATGGCCTGGAACTCAACCCAGCCCCCAGGCTTCAGATGGCTGAGAAGAGGATATGTCAGCAATATTAATATTGGACTGTACCGGCAGTGCTGGTAAGACCCGCAATCCGGTCCAGGATTTGGACGGGGACTTAAACGCACGTGTAGGTTTGATCAATAAGGGCCGGCCAATTTCGAATAGCGAGCAATAGGTCCCGCGAGAAGATGAAGTCGAGGCTGTTCTCCTTCCACGTCCATTCCCTCTCGATGTCGTCGAGTTCAAAGCTGCAATTAGGCGGCACCCTACAGGTTGATATTCAGCCGTTATGTCGATCAGTGCCAAGATCCATGCTGATCTGTTCTTACCACTCGGGTTGTGTTGGGGCCACGTCGGTGCCGACGACCTATTTTCCAGTAAGCCGCCAAAGATGAGTAGAGGAATATACGCATGCAGTCAATGGCAGTCTTTCCCCTTCCCACATATCTTCTGCCACTGGTCGCAAGGCCATGGTCGGATGGACTTACCTCAGCGCCGGGGAACTCCTCGGCCATTTCAATCGCCCAAATTCCTAGGGTTTAATATCATCAGCGCGGTGTTCCCACATGGAAAACAGCACGACGAGCGCTAACAATTGAGGGAAAATACGGACCGGTGCCGCAACCAAGATCCAAGATCTTTTGAGGGTTGGAGATGGGCGCCAAGTAGCGGTTTTTATCGATGAGCGCACAGTACTTGACGTGGCACATGTCGATGCGGTCGAGTTCGGCCTCGTCCATGGGCAAGCCGTATTCTAACAAGGTGAAAAGTGTCGTTAGCATACTTCCAGGCAAGTTCGCCATCGGGGGCTTTGCGCTCGCACTATGAATGTCAAGAATGATGACCAGATACTTCAAGATGCGGCAGAGTTGAAGGGGTCGGCTATTCGAGCGATCCAAGGTTCAGTTCTCTCACCTTCTTTGCCATAGACAGCGTAAGTCCTCCCTCCTTCAACCATGCCACTCAAAACCGACGATGTCAAAGATGTCAAGGACGATCTATCGCTCTGATCATCGTGGACCTAATGCGGGAAAAAGGGCCACGGTTAGCGGGCCGATCCATTAGTCGGTGGAGTTTTCCACTCCTACACGAGTGGAGCGATGCAAGCGGTCGATCCCACGTGGTGGCCGTCGTGATGGCACACAAGGCATTTCAACTTGCCAGGCACTCATCCGACTAAGTAAAGTGGCAGGGCACATCCATTTGGGAGTGGGTTGAAGTCTAACCGACGTGAGCAAACCTGACGATATGAAACGATACCAACCTCATCTTCATCGACACTCGGTTGGTTCTGCGGAATACCCGAGGTCAGCCTAAGTTTTCCGGTCCTCGACAGATGCTAATACGTCACAGCTGCTCCAGGCAGATGGAAGGGACGTACACCATCGGGTTGAATGAATAGTTCCTCCTCCTGGCGGGTGTTGGGGGAAGACATGATCGGCCGACCCAGTGGAAGAGGATTCCGCCTGGTGTTTCGCGTGATGCTTCACGAGCTGTCAACGCAAGCTGGCTCCTTTGCGGTAAGTGGAAATCGTGTGCGGACTCGACTATGCTATACAAGAAGAAAATTTTAGATATAACGGCGCATATTCTTCGTGTGAATTTTCTGCATGGTCGTGACAGCGAGAGAGTCAGTCAGTGTCCAACGATTGTGGATGAAGAAGATGGGACGACCAGGAAAATGCAAATCCGGGGGACGAGGCCAGGTCAGGCCAGGGCTTCGACACACCGGTGTCGGGAAAAGCAAAACCAAGAACCGGCCTCGTTCTAGAGGAGGGCCGTACGCAATACTCTCCAGCCAACCCGTTTTCCGCGCGTGCTTCTTGGCGGGGAGATTCCTTCGGTCGGTCTCGGAGAGCCTCGGGCCACTGATTGGACTGTTGGTTGTACGGCAGGACGGTGTGATACGCTGTAATACGTGAGATACAGACGGAAGCATAGCTCCGGCGAGCATGTCCACACCTACTAACCCAGCTGGGGAGGCTCATGATGGCCCGCTGAGAGCCTGGGAGGGCTACGAGTCCCTTGCCTTGTTTGGTTACTTGGCCGGAGCATTTGGGTACCCGCTAATTCAAGAGCCGCAGAAAGAGTCTAAATACCTCAGTGAGAAAGCGCACAGTCCTGCAAAAACCTCCCAAACTATCTCCATGTCCATTACATCTCAGTATTCATCCCCATTCTCTCCTCCCACTATTCCAAGGGAGACTTAGTAACTCGCCGTCTCTACTCTAGAGGTCTCTTCTGCGTGAAAGCCGAGGCGACGTGGGTCATCTGCAGGTTAGTGGCGTGCATCTCCTACCGCCCTCACCTGATAATCGACGTCCGCCCCCTGTAGCCATCGACTGACTGACTGTCCCGCCTTTTTAAAACCCCGCCTGCCTCACCTATTACTGCATATACTCATTCAGTTACATACGTGCCGTCACAGCCCAAAGTCACACAAATCTGTCCACGGAACATTCGTGAGGTGTATCTACTGAACGAGCCATTACTGGGTTATCCGGATTGCCGGGTCGTCCACTTGTAGTTCGAGCTCACCACTCTTGCCATCCAATACACTACATATCATTTATCACACCCCCCTTTACTCCCCCTCCTTTACCTTAGTTTCCGTCTCCCCGCGTTTAAGCCCTGGAAACGCCCCAAAAACGCTCATCCGCAATGGTTCACCCCAAAGTCAGCAAGGCCCTTGAGGAGGCCAAGAAACTTGTCGCCGATCTCGAGGCGTACGAGGACAATCCCATCAGCCACCAGGCCGTCATTAAGCAAACCGAGCGCGTCCGCACCGCTCTGCAGGAGCCCATCGATTTGGTGACACGCATGTTCGAGTTCCTCAGTCTGGGAGGCGCATTCCACACTATCCTGGGTATCCGTGCCTACCATGCCATGCCCAAGGATGGCAGTTCTATCACCGCCGATGAGCTAGCCCGAATCACCAATGTCGACAGCACCGTCATCCACCGCATCTACCGCGTTGCTGTTAATCACGGCCTCTTCACAGAGACGGCCCAGGACACGTATGCCCACAACGACCTCTCCCGCACACTCGATCCGAAGGGTCTCGGCTCGTTCTTCATAATCACACTGGAGTTTACCCGCGCCTGGATCCATCTACCAGAATACCTCAAGTCGCACAAACCTGAGGATGTATTTGACCTGGTCAAGTCTCCCGCCGTGTACTCGGTGGGCAAGGAGCACCTGGGTAAGTCGTACTACGAGCTGCTCGACATCGACCCGGACCCAGAGCGCCGCGAGGTTTGGAACACCAACATGTTCATGGTCGACCAGCTGATGCCCGTCGTTGGCATGTTTCCATTTGCGTCCCTCAAGGAGGAGGTGGAGCAGGATCCCGACCGTCCATTCCTCGTTGACATAGGTGCCGGCCGCGGTCAGTCATGCTTCGCTATCCGGAACGATATCAACGGCGCTTTTAGCGGCAAGTTTATCCTGCAAGACCTACCCAGTGTCATCAACAGCATGAAACCAGAAGACTATCCGGGATTCGAGCTCATGAGTTACGACGCCTTTACGCCGCAGCCCGTCCAGAGTACGTACTTTGCTAAAGCTTGTCCCTGATTGCCGTAGGGACAGCAATGTCCTCAATCTGCTGTGAAGACCCTAAGCTAAAGCGTTCATTGTGTCTGTTACAGACGCTCACATCTATTTTATGCGCCGCTTCCTCCACGACTTCTATAGCCCGGTCTGCATCGAGTTTGTTAAAAACACCGCAGCAGCAATGGGACCGGACTCGCGGCTCCTCATCTGCGACATGCTAGTCCCAGACCTGGTCGAGGTTTACGAAAACATGGACCTCTATTGGCTTGACTTTGCCCTCCTATGCATGACCGGTCAGGAGAAGAAGAAGGCCGACTTTGTAAAAATATTTGATGCCGCCGGCCTGGAACTCGTTAAGATCTACCCCTCCGCTTATGGGCGGACAGCGATGCTCGAGGCTAAGCTAAAGAAGTAGTCAGTCCCAGGTCACTCATGACAAACGGTAGCAGTTTTATGCAAAGAACCATAGACAGGGTATGACCGCAATCAAGCTACAGCCTTTTATGGTTCTTCAATCATGCACTCTATTGCCGAATCTGCGACAACAGGACCCTTGAAGTGGTACTGCACCTCAGAAATCGCTATGAGCCTGGTTGACGTATCTCAAATCCCAGACACTACTCGTTTTAATTAATGGCGATCGCGGAGCGGTGCAAGGTGACTCGTCAGAGGTGAATCGCAGCCCTGTCAACCGACATACACAAGCCTCACCGCTTCCGAGCCGATGGTGTTGCTGCGCACCTGTACCCTTTTTTTCTCTGATAGAAGATAATTGCCTCCGAAGAATCGACTAAACCAGCTCTGGATATAAGTAATAGCCGTTAGTCTCGATTTGCGAACTACGAATAGCCGTAATTTGTCAAACACGACCATCCTTTTCACGTCCAACGGAGCAGAAAGTGGGTTAGTGTGCGAGATCACCGAGCAAATTAGCGGGTCATGTCCGAAGACGCGCGTCACCCTGCCCCGTAGATTGACGATATCAATCTCTCGACCTCGTAGACAGTGTTGTGATAATACCTCACGCATACTTTTCTGAATCTCGAGTTCCATTCAATCCTGAGAAGCCCGCTTCCATGAGCCTACGTTCTCTCCTGACTGCCTTCGTGGCGGTTTCGGCCGTCCCGCCAACGCTGGCTGAGCTCTCGACCCTTGAAGGGTTCGGGCCAAGCGCCGAAGTCGCTGCTCAGCGAGGTCCTCAAGTATTCAACTCGGTGTACGATGCACTAAGGAAATGGGGAGCCGTCGTTCACCCAAATGGCATGTCCCTCTTCCTGGCCACGGTCCCCGAGGGTGTCATGCTGCATCATGGCAATAACCGCAACCAGACTCCCACCCAGCTCGATTGGCTAGCCTACGAGATTGAGCATTCAGAGATGTTCGCTCGTCCTCGAGGTCCTCCAGGAGGTTCCCCAGGAGGTCCCCCAGATCACGAAGGAGCATCAAACCACCACCACAAACGGGAAAAGGATGATCAGGCGCCTCTATTCGACTACGGCGCCATGCCACTCAAAGACGAAAGCGCAAGCGGCTGGCTGCACACTTATCGAACCACGAGGCCGCTTCGCTTCCTCTACATCGACGGCATGAGTGGCAACAAGGGCAGTTCCGGTGTCAGCGATACCCAAGACTTCCTTCTGCGTGGCGTGAGAGACGTCGACTCAGACTGGCCCCCGAGTCCCAAAGACGGCAAATCGACGAGGGGACCTCCAGGCGAGCACCAACGCGCGCTGGATCTTTGCCAGCTCTGCGCCGAATGGGACCTACAGGGCGTTATCCGAACCGAGAGCCCTGGCTTCGAGATCATCAAGTGCAACTTCTTTGACGGGCTGGAGCAGATCCAGTCGCTGCAACGGTCGGGAACAAGCGGCAACCGTCCCCCAGGTCCGCCTCGAGGAGACAAGCCAGGAAAATACGGTGGTCCTGGGAAGCCGAGGGGGCCAGGAGGACCTGGAGGACCTGGAGGACCTGGAGGACCTGGAGGAGGTGGATGGCGCCGAGATGAGGCAGATCGGAATCGCGAGGTTGGTTCCAGCCGCACCCTCTTGGACTACTCGTCCATGGTCTCAGCCTATTTCTTCCCGGTCAACATCACAAATCCTGACAGCAGCACACCGGAGCTTCCGCGGCTTGTGAATACTACCCAGGCGGAGATGGCTGTCGTCAAGGCGTATCTGGCCAAGGTAGTCAAGGAGCGACACGATGTCCCCATCTCGTCCTTCAACTGGCGCGATATCGCAGACCTTGTCGTCCGCCGCTACGCCCCCAGACTTCCAGCCATGGCTAACAAGACCGAGTCGGTGGACGACATGGCTCAGCAGATTCGGTTCCTGCTCGAGGTTTTCATCGACTACTCTGTGGAAGATGCTGAAACTCGCGACGCAGAGGCCCAGGAGCGCTGTGCGACCTTTTATCTTCAAACGATGCCAATAGAGACGGACGCCGATCGGTTCATTTATGCTGCGTTCAAGGCCGTCAATGAGGAGATTTGTGCTGCCCTCTTCAAGGTTCGAAGCCTCGTCGTCCTTGACCCAGATGCCGGAGACGAGTTACTCGCAGAGGCCAAGTCTATCGTGAATTCACTGATCAGTTATTTGGCGTGGACAGTACTGGAATAGTATGTGTATAGTATCTGATGCAAAGTTGTAGATATAAATTCAAGGAAATTCAGTAGCTAGTTGTGTTCATAACTAAAGGTCTTCGAACTTCAAGATAAATCAAGACTGGTGCAGCTATTCCTACTCACACAGCTCCTTTCTAGGACGATCCACGAGTTTCCTTCGCGATCTTGTCGTCGTTGATAGTATCGCTGGATTCGCCAGAGCCGAACACACCGTCCTGATCATTGCACCCCGGAACTTCCAACCTCATACCAGTGCTCTGCATCAAAACCGTCGAAGCACTACTCGCGCCTTTTGTAGCACCCAGCGTATCAAAAACATCGCCAATCGCTACCATAGCTCTGCTCCAATTGCGGCACTCTCTTAATCTTAGAATATGGCCAACCATAAATGGGATCCGCCACTCAGATCGCAAATAGTTTGGCCCAAAGCTCTCTCGTAACAACGCGTCGCATTTCGTTTGAATTGTCTTCATCAACCCCCAGTTCGGTTGGTGCATCAGAAGGTACGGAAAGGCGAACTCCACGACTTCGGCTTGCATTGCCAATAAAAGAGAGCCCAGCAGTTCACCAGCCAAGAAGCGCTGTTTCGTAGCACCTGCGGCTCTTTTACTCCTAGGGTCTCCCCGTCCTGGCTCTTGGGCACCCCTGGTGCCTCCTGCGACCCTTACACCAGCGATTTCCTCTTCTTCCAATCGGCTTTTCAAAAGAAGCTCTTTGATAGACTCCGGACTACAGGTGCTAGGGCCAGTAGTATACCGGTATCTAGTCAGGAGACCGCGGGTAACAGTAGCACCGAGTTTGATGAATCGCCCACCGGCTTTAGAGTAGTGATACCTGTTCGGTACGGCCCCTGGCGTTAGACGCCTCCGGTTTGTGAAAAAAAGATGCAGAAACTCCAATTTGTAGCAGGAATCGCTTGATATAGTCCACGCGATTCGTTGGTCTTGTCCCCACGAAGAACTGGTCTTCCCCAAGCTCCTTGAACAGAAGCTCCATCTCGTACCACACACAACTAGTCAACCTCTCGTTCGAAACGGCGTTGTAAAGGTGTGCTGGCAGTATAATGGTGCGCCATACATTAGTAGCAGCAATTCCGATCTGATGCATCAAAGCTCGGCAATGATACAAGACCAATCCAGCCACAATCGGAGAGAGCCTCAAGAGTCGATGCTTCTTGATTGTTTTCGGTAATTCAAGCCTCTGGGGGCCTTCAAACTTTATATTCGATATATGCAGAGGATCCTGTATTATCTCGTCAATGAACTCTTGGCTATCCTTGAGGTAATCGTCGGTGGCAGTCGACTCAAAATGAGTCTTCAAATTCTCGTGGAATCTGATGTGCGATTTAAGAGTTTCACTCATGCTCGACAATCGGTCCAAAAGAATAGTGGCTGAGGTTTCACCGTGGCCTCTGAGTCTGTGGTGTATGTCGAGTGTCATTTCGGCCGCAAAGGTGAGATAGAACGGAACCTTCTGGGTTTCATGGAATTCCCGGACCCCGCGGATGAATTCATCCACAATGAGGTAATCGGGAACGTGATGAACAATCGTCAATGCCTCCATGAACAGCTCGGTGAGGATCATCTCATCTTCTTTGAACTTCTCGTGCCCGGTCTTGGCCTCCCAATCAGTTGCTGTGTCGTAAACCCCAAATGCGCCGTCTGGATGGATTGGGGCGTAGTCTTTGAATAAGAAGCGGGCAAGAGACTTGATGATGATACCGGTATTGAAGTAGCATCCCGAGGCGGCGTTGTAGAAGTCACGTTTGGTGTCTCCTTGCGTCCATGCCCGGATATCCTCCCCAGAGTACCCTCTTTTGACCAAAAGCCGCTCAAAATACTCTTTGCAGACGCTGTGAGTGCCACCATAATCCTCAAATGCAGGCGAGGCGTTTTCTATGAGGATTCTGGCGAAATCAATGCCGGTGTTTGTCGCCAAGGCCATAGCGGCCGGGTCGAGAAACTTGTCCGCTCTTTCAACAGAGTCTGACCATGTGTTGGAGATGAAGTCTCGAATTTTTGCCAAATCATCCAACATCATCCAGAAAACGACAAGAGCATCCTCAAGCGAATGTGGTGGCTCGGCTTCATAGATGATGTTCTCTGCCCCAGTCTTGCCAGGTCTCTCAATGTCAGGTGCATTGAGGAAGGCTTCAGACGGTTCGTAGACCTCGAGACCATCAAACCTGTTCAAAGATTCAATGGGGTCAGAGGAGTCAGAGGAGGTAGAAGCAGCTGTAGACACGAGCGGGCTGAGAAGGTCTCGGACTTTCTCTAGGACGCCAACAAAGTAGGAATGTTCGACGACAGACTGGGCATCGGCTTCCACTCCGTCCACGCTGAGTTTTTCGCCAAACCTAGACCTGACCGCAATGACTCGGTTGAGTGCCATGGAAAATGCGACTGGGATCGAAATGACAGGGTCTTTGGAAGCAGAGATGCATTCGGCCAGCGGAATGAAGTTCTTCATCGCAATGACGTATGTAGTCGCGGCTTGAGGCGCAGCTCTAGACCCTGCCTTCCCTTTCTTCTTGCCTCCCCTTCTGGGCTTTCCATTCGATCGACCACTCGTTTTCGGTTGTTTTGGAGGAGTTGGAATTGGAACCAGATCAGCGGGAAATCCGCAAACCTTGGCTGTCGAAGCGAGCCATGATGCCACCAAATTGGTGTCCTTCTTGTACTCTTGATACACACTGACCAGAGAGCTGGGCAACATGTTGACATGACCGGATTGTCTCAGGTGCGGGGAAGCCACGCATGCAGATGTTGTGATGTGTCTTGCAGCCTTTGCTGACAGGAGGCGGTTATCTCAGTGGTTGCTTTTCCGTGACTAAGCCAACGCCGAGACGCATCGCTGTTTCATTTCACTCAGAATCACATTGCGATAGATAATGAGACATTATACACAAGTATCAACTGGTCCTCAACAGGCTGCAACAGTAGTTTTGGGTTGGCAGCTAACTTAAGTTAAAATGTCAAGAAGTTTCCCGATGCGCTAGCGAACAACATCAGTGAGGTTACCCTATATCAACCAGGCAGTTTTGATCCGATTAAACATGTCCCAATCAAATAGCTTTTATGCTTGTAGTTGCAAGTTCGGACAGTAATATCCTGGATAAAATAAAGAAGCATTTTCTAGAATTTCTTATAGCTAATTTGCCCTAAAAAAGTAGAGCTTTTGTTAAAGTGAAAGGTGATACTCACATTCTGAGTGACACCTGTATCCGTCCAACTATCGAGTTAGCACATACAAGCCAGCCATACTCCCTCTCCCATCTTGGTTCTTCATTGACTAGTCCTTCTTTTGATCTAAGCCCGCCTGACGTCCGGTAGCACCCTGAACTTTGGCCGCCATAGCCGCGACCACAGCCTTTAAGGCAACAGGGTCCGCACCTCTGAGTCTGTCGACAAGTCCATCCTCCGTGAAGCTGACAGATTGACGGCCTTTGATTCCTTCAACAGCTACCGCCTTGGGTTTTCCATTCTCGAACAATACAAACGTAGGCATGGCAGAAACGGAATACCGCCCGGCCACGTCATTTACATGGTCGACGTTGACTTTGGCAAAAGCCAGTTGGCCCTTGGCCGAGTGAGTATCAGCTAGTTGAGAGAAGATGGGCGCAATGGCACGACAGGGAGGGCACCAGTCCGCGTAGAAGTCGACGATGACATGAGTGGTGGATGACAAAACAGCATCAAACTCGGGTGCTTTGGTGATCTTGAAAACCTCGCCGGATGTTTCGGGAATGGGGGAGCGGTCCGCGAAAATTGCCTTGCAGACGGTTAGATTCCGGTTCGAGCGATTGAAGTCAATGAAAGAGGGGTGGTCGAGGCATAGGGCGAGCGGTTCATATCGCAAGACTCAGTATGGCGAGAGACAGCAGTGAATGTCTTGAGAAGCCATGCCTCTAGACGACCTCGATATGACAAGATGCAAGTGATGTAAAAGTGACATACCGGTCCGATGATGAAAACGGCGATAACCGCCAGTATGATATAGTAGATGGTCTCCATTCTTTGGTCTGAGCAAGTCGCCGGTTTATCGTAAGGAGTGATGAATATGAGTGAGCCGAGGCGACGTGAGACTGAGGTGACAGCGGATTGTTTTGAATTTGATCACGTTACTCTCCTATACGGGTTAGCTCGTGTTCTAATGCCGACCGCCTTCCTCTCTGGGCTGCTGCAGTACAAACTTGCCAACAGGAATAATTCCTGGGAGTGCAGTGCTTTAAAGACTACTATTATTCCTTACTATAATAATCCTTTTGGTAAGTAATTTAGTAAGTCATTTAGTATTAGAGTGCTGAGAGTGAAGGCAGACTGGGTGGCAGAAAGTACTATGTCAAGAATACCACTCAGAATAGTGAACACCTCAAAACCGCTCCTATATCTAGTCGACTAGAAAAATAGCTGCAGAGGAATCTAAGAAATTATTGGACTACTTAATACGATAATTTGAACGTGGTAAGCTGGCCGGCTAGGATAACGGCACAACCGTTGCACATATGCCTGTGGAGCGTAAACTTGGACCCCAGCTCGGCAGCCATGTCGCGGACGCCGATGCAGACAAGCTCCACTTCGCGCAGGTAACACACGAAGGCTCAATGACAGTTGAATAGATTGGCGTGGGCGTTTGATCATTTTGGGACGGTCTGAAGTGTACTCACTGTTAAAATGGCAGAGAGATCTGTATCGGTAAAATAACGCACACAATTCTCTAAACCTTGTAACCTCCTCGACATGTCCTGCAACATGATGCGATGCTTCCTACAGAGCAGCTGTATGTCCGCCGTTCTCGTTAGACGATCTCAGCTTCGCCCATTTCAGGCTCAACACACAATGAGTCAAGATCAACACTATCTTGTTCATGAAGGACGAAGTGCCCCAGTCGACGATATTGAGGCAACCGGTTTGACCATGTTCCGAGTTGTTCTAGCATAATGCATACAATGCGACGTGTCGTTGTTTCGTCCTGGAAGTAGTTATAGCCGAGCTTCAAAGGCATATAAGAAATTTTCCTGCCTTGGATGACTTGCACATCTGAGGTGTCTAGAAAGATCTGTACACGGAACTCGCCGGCAGAAGTCTGAAAAGTGACAAACGGCAGATCGACAAGCTCGCAAATTGCCGGTATGACTCTGGCCCTGAGGACAGCCGAGGCACGTAGAACGGTGGACATCTTGTCTGGCGTGCTGGTTTCTACTGTCGTGCGCACTAGCTCTACAAGACATTCTGCCTTGGCTGACAGTCCCCATAGTTTGACAGGTCCATCAACAGATGCCCAAGACCAGGACGGAGCTCGGTAATCTTGTGTGAGACGTGGTTTAGGCTCATGTATTCTCCAGTCCAGCATGAGCTCAAATCGTGATTTCCACAAACCAGCCACGTATTCATCGCCGGTAACTTTCTCAAACCATTTAGCAACCCCAGCTATGGCGTGAAGTTTGTCGGAGGGATGCGTAAGCTCACAACGAGAGTACTCTGTTATCAGACGACCCCAAAGGCTCATTGACCTCACATTCTTTACGTTGTTCTGTGGGGAGGGCGCTTCCAGCTCTACCCTGGGGAGGTTCAATGTCTTATCAGAATGATGAAAGGGAACTCCTTTAGGAAATGCTTCGCATTTGTGCTCAGTCCAACATTCCCAGAGAATCTGATGTCGTCCAAAGAAGAGAGTGCGTGGCGAAAGATGTCGTTCTTGGAATACCCAACCACGATTGTGTAAGGGGCCCTCGTGGATCTGGCGGTCCCAATAATTGTAGTCCAAGATGTAGAAAGACTGGGGCTCATCAGAGCACAACGTGCTTTGAACCATACCGGGACGAATAAAGGCTGGGACTCCCTCGTGAAAGAGACTATCATCTGGGCTTGTAGACCCCGAGGCAGCAATTGTGCATACAGAGTTGGAGTAAACAAGATGCATGGTTGAGGCCTCTCTGGCCCAGTCGTCCTGCTGGTCTTGGATGATACATAGAGCATCTATCCAGACGTAGCGAATATAAAATTGCCGGGCAACTTCGAATACGTCTCGAAACAAGACGGGAAGTTCAGCGATTGGCCAACCTCTGCGAAAGGCTTCAACGTTGGAAGACAAGAGACGAATTGGATTCGAGCCCCAGCGGTAGCTGAGAGTAAGGTAACGTGCTGAAGACGGTACCGCACCTTCGGCTGTTACGCAGAGTCTCCAGCTTGTGGAATCCTGGCTGCCAATATCCAGCATCCGCGTAGGATGCCAGCTTTTGGGTGAGAGATGGCTTTCTCTACAAGCCGGGTGGGAAGCGCGGCAGTGCGTAAGCCATTGGAGTCCGGTCGCAGTCGCAGCGCTCGCCGATAAGACATTCTGAAGGACTGCTGTTTCAAGCCTCCCCTTGTATTCGGCGTCTGAAAAGGGGAACATCAGCTCGAGGTCCATTTGATTTGAGGTTAGAGCATACCGTCAATAGAAACGAGAGAAAAATGAGCTCCAGCACCATTGCTCGTCGAAGGGTTCGAATAAGAAACATACAGCTCAAAGGCCGCATTCGAATCTACAGTTGCATTGAACTGCATAGGCCTCCATAACTCAGGCGATTCAGACCATCGATGACGATATTGACGGCTCAGGTTCCATACGACGGAGCAGATGTAACACCTATTTCGTACAGCTTCCCTGAATACTTTGAAGGTCTGCTCCTCGATTATGACAGTCTTCTTAGAAGCGTCAGATGTCTTGACGAGAAGAACGCCCCGGCAATCTGAACAAAGGCCATCCTGAAGTTTGACATGGGCTGCCATAGAGAGCTTGGATGGTGTATTGGCGAAGGGAAGTAGTGGGCATTGTCCATCCTCTATGGAGGGAAATATGGGAGTCAATGGGTTCACGGGTATCTATTGGCTTCCGGCAGCGGCAGATCTTTCAGCCGGTGAGGGGCTTCGCGACTGGACGCGGGGTCCAAGATCTGTAGCAAAACACCTCTCGACATCTCTCAACACATGGGGAAACAAAAAAAGAAACGCGCCCAATCCCCCGCCAGCATAAAACCCAGCAAAGCTCAGGGTTGTTGTTACCTTGGGAAACCTAACCATCACTGGCGGCAAACCTTTACCGTTTAGAGAGGTCAAGAAGGCCCCTGGGTCAAAGTATGCTGGGAAGGAAAGGCTATAACAGCTCCTAGCTCCTTTATACATCTGATGCAACGCAACAGCGCTCCTCACATAACAACACTGTCTCGGAAACAACTTAAAACAAAGGTTCCAAGGAGAGCCCGATAATAATTCCGACATTCCACGTCTCTCACGCCTCGCGCTCCACCGAGAAAGCCTCACCAGAGGTTCTAGAAAGATACCACTTCACCCCAATACCACAACCTCTCTAGTCTGCAACAGGTTTGCGTCGATTTTTCTTTCGATAAGTTTGATAGTGGAACAATCTGAAGTAGGGCTCATGCACAGATCAATTTACGACACTGTTGCTAACTCGCAAACCTAGAAACGTCTTTCTGCTGCTTTCCCTTATTTCCATTGCTCCAGCATGTCAACTCCCCATAAGGTCATTCTGGTATCTTCCCAGAACCCAATCAAGATCAAGGCAGCCAAAGAAGGGTTTATGCAATTGATTCCTGGAAATTATGACATCAGAGGGGTCAGTGTCTCTTCAGGTGTGCCTGAACAACCCTTTTCAGACGAGGAAACACTCCGAGGCGCCGTGAACCGAGTACAAAATGCCAGACACCTTACTCCCGATGCAGACTATTGGGTAGGAATCGAGGGTGGAGTGGAAGATCGTGACGGATCGATCATCAACTTTGCCTGGATCGTGGTTGAGGGTCGGGAAGGCCGAACAGGCAAAGCACGAACAGCTTCCTACAACCTACCGGAAGAGACGGCCGAGCTTTTGCGCCAAGGAATGGAGCTAGGACATGCGGATGACAAGATATTCGGCAGGGTAGACTCGAAAAGAAGCAGTGGCTCAGTTGGATTACTTACGGATAATGTCGTAGATCGAGCGAGTTTTTACACTCAGGCCGTCATCTTGGCGTTGATTCCTTTCAAGAACACCAGCCTTACATTCAAATAGAAATACTGCGTTGACTGATTATAGACCTTATATCGCTCATAGCATCAAAGCCATGATCATATTTATCTACAGCATTGAGTCTTATAGTTGTACTGCTGAGTTGCCTTTGGACGATGGCGACAAAAAGGTTACGAGTCGTTCAAGAAGTGGGTTTACACGATCGAGCCAAAGCTGATACTAATAGTCATTTAATCTAGGAGTTTACGTACTCTAACCCATGTTCTTTTGTATTCACGCAGACAGCATGGGATTCGGCCACAGGTAGGGAGCCATTCACCTGACATGCGACAAGAATATTCCCAACGAAAAGGAAGCCGGGAAAGGAATTCGAAGTTAGAGAAATAGACAGAGAGGGCTTTTATACACCAGGCGCTCCGAGAGGTCAGAGGGACCAAGCACCTGTCCAGTCATAAGAGAGTGTTGCACAATAATTGTCACAAACTCTGCTAAATGAAACCTATCACGATCGGCTCTACCCCCAATAATGGGACATGCACGTACAGAGCCCCTCCAATAATGATATCAGGGCCACTCACGGCTATGCATCATTGTTAGTGCGACCAAAGGGATGAGAGTTTGGAACCGAGTGATGACAATTCATTTCGACTAGGATGTCAAACATGGGTCGGTCAAAGTCGGGGTCATTGCGCGCGTTCATTGCCGTTTTATGCAAATGTGAGCTAACTTTTACCTCAGAAAACGACATGTTGCATTTATGTGACTGAGTTCAACACTTCCTCTTAACCTCATGATACCAGGCCACGTCATCAGGATGCGCGGGGACAGTTACATCTCGGGTACACACAGATGTGGACACGGGCTCGCGTACATTAGAACCCGCCATTGGACAGGATCCGTCGCACATCATCCACAACGAGAATTCACGACATGGGGATCTCGTTCAAAAAGGTCGCAGTGCATTTTTACCGGGGAACCTAGTGAGAAATGCTGGCATGCTCATAAAATATAACAAAGAGAGTCCCCGAAATGACCGACAATGCGGACCTTGAATGAGCCAAATTAAGCCGACTGCCAAAAAGGATGACTGGAAGAACTCCGGAGGCTTCTGTTGGCCCTGATGACCTGGTTCGTGATTATGCTCGCCAGGATAGCATTTATGAACCGAAGCTTACTTTCTTAGCCGGCGTCTGATGCCGACTCGACCTTTGGCGACGTAAGTCGGTCTTCTTTAGCCAATCCACAAGGGGCAATATCCTGACACTACTTTTCTATTAAGGAGTTATCGTCGACCACTAGTGTCACCGACTCTATTCTCCAATACCGCAAAGAAAATGGGAGGACATACCATGCTTATAAGGATGGAAGTAAGAAACCCTTCTGATGTGATGATTGATGCGAATCTCGAGCCGATTTAACGTGTTGAAGAGTACACTTTGCCGAACGATGAGATGGAGAATGAGAGACTAGGTACCGTATCAATCATTCTATTCATTCAAGAGCGAATTCTCATATGGAAAGATCTCCAACATAATCTGCTTATCCTTACGCTTAACGACAAGCTCGGATTAGCACCACCAAATAGCCCCGACGCGAAAGTTAAACATGTCTTGGATGTCGGCACTGGTACTGGAATCTGGGCTCTTGACTTTGCGGATGAGCATCCAGAGGCCAAAGTGAGTGAGGACTTTGAAGTAGGGATACGATTTAGTGTCACTGATAAAAATGTTCAGGTCATTGGCGTTGACCTATCTCCGATTCAACCAAGCTTGTAAAGAAAACCGGGCTGTTATTCCATATTGTCAATTGCTGACGAAACAAAAGTGTTCCTCCAAACTTGACCTTCCAAATCGACGACATTGAAGACGACTGGACTTACTCGACGCCCTTCGATTATATCCATAGCAGCTTCATGACGGCCAGCATCGCAAACTGGACCGAATTCCTGAGAAAGTGTTTCAAGTACGTCCATTCCGTTATCTGATTTCACTACACTGGATCCGACTGTGTCGCTCAAACTCCATTTCTAACATTTCTCAGCCATCTCGAACCTGGGGGCTATGTTGAGATCCAAGAGCCAGACCTAGCGTGGAAGTCTGACGACGGGACGCTGCTTCCCAACAACGCGCTACTCCAATGCGCCCAGCTCCTTCAGGGGGCATCGGAGAAGTTTGGCCGTGCCTACCAGGACATACCATCGCTTGTCAATATTATGACTGAAATAGGGTTCGTGGATGTTGTCATCGAGGCGTTTAGGTGGCCGAATAACCCCTGGCCGAAAGACAAGAGGCTGAAAGAGCTGGGAGCGTGGGTTTACACTAACTTTTCAGGTGGCTTAGAGGGCATCACGATGGCGCCGCTCACCCGAGCGTATGGCTGGACACCTCAAGCTGTTGAAGTTTTTCTGGTGGATGTGAGGAAGGTTTTGGGTGACAGAAACACTCATGCCTATATGCCGATGTGAGTGTTTCCTGGGTATTTGTGACCGTCCACCTCTGACTTGATTTTAGTTACTCGATTTATGGCAAGAGACCAGAAGCTAAGCGCACAGCATAAAAGAATGAGAACCTTGCGTATGTCGGAACTCAAAGTGTCTCCCTTGAATAAATCTCATTCCAGTATCTCAATGCTAAATTGCGATATCCGAATGCCTTGAAAGTAATGTTGGGGTTCATAGCTAGCATAATACTTATTGGAATAAGTACGTCCTCCTCAACTGCCGTAGGTAGGCTGGCAGCGCCCTCGCCCGCCTCATGGAGACCCGCGTTACAATGGACACACGTATCTCAATAAGGCAGACAATTTCAATAGTGGTAGGTGTAGTGAGCTGGCTGATTGATCGAGTATGATCAACCAGCATTATTTATTGGCAAAATTCCATCACTAGACGACTATACAATAAAAGAGGCTATGATCAAAAGCGTGGCAGTGAAAACCGCACCGAAGGCGTATGGATTTGAGTTAGAGCCCGCGTTCGTAGAAGTCTCTGAAGCCTTTGCCGTGTTTGAGGCAGCTGTTGCCGTGTTCGATGCAGCAGTTGCCTTGTTCGAGGCAGCAGTGGCCGTAGCCGACTTGGTCGAAGCAGCTGAAGCAGAACCAGACTCCGTCGTGGAGGATTCAGAATCGGCGGTCTTGGTCTCCGCGGCAGTGGCCACTGTGCCGATGGGAGGAGGGTAGCCGGGCTTCTTAGTAACGGTGATGTCGTCGGATGACTGCTTGTAGAGGTCGTAATACTGTATTCCACCCATCAACGCTCCGCAGGTTCCAACATCCGGGTCATCGATGTAGCAGAAAGCTTTGCATCTGTCGTCGTCCGAAGTGACGACACTGATTCCCTCGAGGCTTTTGCTGGCACACCGACAAACGTCTCCAATGGCGGCGAAGTGGCTGCCCGTCTTGGAGGAACCGCACTGAGAGATGCAATCATCCTGAGAAAGAGGCTTGAACTCGGTGGGGAAATCCTGGCGATCGATCGAGACACAGCCAACGCGGACCCATCCGTCTGGCGGGTTGGGGCGAGAGACACCTGCAGCGGCAGCAGCAGACGCGAGAATGGAGAGGGTCCCGAGGAAGAATATTCCGGCCATGGCTTTAAATTGGCGTGGAAGCCGTGGCAAAAACCGAGGGAGAATGCGACGTTGTGAAGCTGGTTTAAATGCTGTCAAAGTTGGGATCTCGGGCAGATTCAAGAAACGCACCCCAGGGAGCAGAAGCGCGCCTTGAAAAGGAGCTGAGAACAATGAACAATAGCTTGGAAAAGCGCGGGGAAGCCATCACGTGGGAAGCTTGGTTAATCTCGGCTCCATCCAAGGGCAACAAAAAACGCCTCTCAGCTCGTGTCCCCAATCGCGACTAAACACGTTACATAATTTCCGCCAAGATACGGCTTTTTGATCTATATATAGGACTTGAATACGAGACGGCCCAAGATTCGGCACAGTCTGCCGAGATTCTGCCAATAGCGTTCCCCTTGGGAGCTCGCTAGGCTTAGGCTGTCCGAGCTGAAATTGAGCGGCACCATTAGTTCGCAATATACGGGATTCCGTTACTTCGTCTACATTTAAGACATATCCGCTTACCCGTAACATTATGCTATCGGGTTAGCTCCATATCGGGTTCTTGGGCATCATATTACGAGTTTCTGTTCCTCATTCTGGTTGTTGATAGATGACATTCTTCATTCCTCTCTCGGGGCGATTGATGAGTTCATCTTGCTAGCGCGTGTCCAATTTTATCACGTATTACAACATATCGCCTATAAAATGACCATTGGCTTTGTCGCATCTAAAAGGGCCACTGAAGGCGGGCAAATGTGCTGAGGTGGTATGGCAAGAAGCGATTGATGTCGTCACTGTGACCGTTCTCAGACTTGGAACGTCCAACTACAGCCTACCCATGTCGCATCCACTGGTGCGGCGACAGACGTGGCCGCACTTATCGCCAAATGGAAATGCGGTTGCATCAATAACTGACTGAAGCCGAAGTTCCTAGTCTGAGAACCACCGCCGCATCGGCATTCCGGCATCTGCTAAGCGAAACACATATAAAACTTGGTGGATTTCTCTCCAAGTAATTACCTCGCGGATCTTCTCCTCGGTTCTTTTAAGCACCTTGCACTGTTTTTCCCTTTCACATCCACCAGAAAAGACGTGCCAAATTATCAGGGTAAGGTAGTCGTTGATGCCCATAATAGCTTTCGCATCCTACTGATGACCTTGCGCGGAAACAAATAGTACTGCGGTGATGGGGCTGACCGGCATACTGGGGATTAATGGCAGCAGGTCTAGCTTGACCAGACTAGAGTCTAATTAAATGAACGGCTCTTCCCATAGTAGAGAGGCATGCTTTCCCCCCCTTTTTCAAATTTGAACTTTTCGAGAGTCCTTGTTATTAACTTGCCATTTGACCAGTCGCAGCAACCCTTATCCATTCTTTATCGTTCTTTTCCATCGTATTGTATGCAGAAGCATTTGATCAAGTTTTTATCTTTCTTTTCTGGCCAAATCCTTCCGCTGGTCTCTGCTGTTGGACCTTGTTCCCGCCCGAACTACAGGGTATTTCAGACTCTTGCTGTCGCCGGCCCGCTCTGCACTAAGTGCATCTCCCACCATCAAACTGCGCCATTTTAAAGCGCCAAAACAGTGTTTAGCGAAGAGAAATTACAATTGAGTGGTTAAAATGTTTATTTGAAAGCTCTACTTCACCGCTTTAGTTCCCTCTATTCATATAACATCATTTCATGACAGCCTTGGAAGGCTCATCATCGTGTCTCAATTCTAGTTGCTTCTGGTACGAACAAGACAGTACAAGGAGCTTTTAAGCGAAAATACCAGAGTCGCAAGCCTTGACAAAGTAATTGCTGGTGGTAGACAGGGTCTGGCCACTAGGAGTCCGGATCTGGAAGTGGCTGCGTCCAACACCACCACCATTGGCCCACAGCCAGGTCAAAGGGATGGCATCTCCCTGGTTCAGAGTCAAGGTGGTAGAGCCACCAATGTAGCCAGCCTGGGTTCGGCTGGCCTTGTAAGCGGTGTTGGAGTCAGACCAAGCGCTTTTACCACTCCTTACTGGTACCACTTAGGCTATTTCCCACGGTGACTACTCTACTCGGCCGCCTCCTCCGCTTCCATCTTGGCCCTGAGCAGCGTCTTCAGATCGGTGTGATTGCATCCGGGCTGGAAGCCGGGCATGGGGTAGCCGTCGTAGTAGATCATAGCCACGAGCGTGGGGTTCCAGTGCATGTAGCCCCAGCCCTGGCCGCGGTTCTGGCAAAAGTGGTACCAGAGGTCATCCGTCATGTCCAGGCCGTCGTCCCGGTGAAGTAGCCCCGAGGGCACTGGTCCTGGTTGCGGATCGTGAGCTTGATCGAGCCCCATCCCCAGTTGAACTGCTGCATGGATGTTGTATTCAGATAAACATCAGCTACTATGATTACTTGAATGCAAGTGATGCGGCAAAAACTTACGGCCGATGTAGTTCCAACTCCAGCGTTCGTAGCCCTTGAAGATGGCTTTGGCATACTGGAAGTCGCTGTGGTAGCCCTGGCGCGAGTTGGCGCTGAACCACGACGCCCACTCGAAGCAATTGCCGCGGACGTAGACGCGCTTAGCCAGCAGCGGGTTGTCTGCGCCAGCCGGCGACTGGCCGAAGACGTCGAGGACATGTCTGGAATGCCGTGAAGCTGGGGGATACAGGCATATTAAATATTCGCTCAAAACATGTGTTTGACTCCGTGAACCATATATTACTGGAGAATACTACACCCATCGACCGGAGATATTCCCAGTACTGGCTTCGGCTGTGGAGAGTTAAGGATCCCATGTGCTACCGCGGCAACCTGTCACCTATTTCTTACTGTCCCTTCTTAGGGCTCTAATTCGTCACTCTGTACTAATATGTAGTTCCACCCGTTCGCAGCGAGTGAGTTGACCATACACGTGCTCCTCATGCGAGTGGCATCGTTCAGCAGAATGTGATGCAAGTAGATCGCCGACAGAATTGAGCTTCTTCCATCTCCTCCAATGAGGTTGGCGAGGTAAATAACTTTCGACAGAGATGCACAACTTAACGTTACATCAACCTCATGAGTGGTGGAATAAGGAGAATTTTACTAGCAAAATTCCCCGACGCTACGACAAATTCAGATTCCTTTCCAGCTGATTCTTCGAAATCAATAGATGCGTGCTCGGAACCGGCAATGCGGAAAAGCTCTGTCATGTGGCTGCTCAGTTGCCCCATTTCCGGACAGAGTTGATGAATCCTCGGCCCAATCCGGCCGGATCCGTCCCAAGGGTCTTCCTTTTCCCACCACTCCCGGGCACCCCGACTATTACTTACAGGTCAATGACTTTCGATTTAGGAGCTAGCGGTGTTCTTGTGACCGAGGATAGAGAGCGGATCATGCAGGCCAGTACCTCTTTGAAGTTTGGCCACCGAACGAAAACTAAGTGCAGAGAAGAACAGGCGAAGGGAAAGGTGTCCCCGGAATACTGTTTTTGATACACATTAAGTGCTTGTAGAAATAGTGCAATATTCACTACGATCGAAGTAGTATGTGGTATTTGGTTTGACTATTATATCTGTGGCAGATAATCGATGAAAATAAGTAGGCTAACTAGACAACGCATATCCCCAGCCTCTATATCATAAGCGGCATCGATGGCAGTAAGACCTTAGTCTAAGAGGTGCTACAGACGTTCAATCCATTGGCCTTTTAGACAATACGAGTTCCAAGGGTAAGGAAGCAAGATCAAATCTGGATATATAGCCAGCATTTTCAATGCGATAGAACTCGTTAAGATGGGCATGTGGGTGAACGGCTTTTGAACATATTGGCTAGGATTCATTGGGAGTAAGCTGCTCTGGTTTCAATCAATTTAATGTACTTATGGACACTTGTCCCATACCCATAATACTTCAGCAGCACATTCTTGCCATCAGCATAGACGCTTCAGTACACAAGCTAGTATCGTCTCAAATGCCCGAGTCACCCTCAAAGAAATCCATTTCGTTTTTCTGCCACTTCTTCCACGCACGGCATACACGTTTTGCTTCAATCATATTCGGGGACTTTTTCGGGAAAAGTTTGTGAGCATCACTCTGACGTTCCAGAATCTGCAACGCAAGACCTTCGGACGCATGCCGAGCTATGTGGCAATGCATGAGCCAACTGCCAGGGTTATCCGCCTTGAAGGCGATGACGACGAAGCCACCAGTCGGTAACAGTACTACATCCCGTCGTGGAGGATTGTCAAGTTTGAGGTCAAGACTGCTTGGGTCGTACTCCTTACCCTCGACCTGCTGAAGGATGGCAAAATCGTGGCCGTGAAGGTGGATCTAATGAGATGTGATGAGCTTTCTTCCTCGTTTCTGACACCACAAAGGAAGTCATAACATACCGGGTGTGCCCCAGTAATAGAACTTCCATTTTCCATAGTCAACACAAGGTATACCTAAGAACAGTATTAAAACAGTAGCCTTAGTCAAGTACTGAAAGGTCGACCATACCCATTGCTTCTCAGTGTAGTCTTCAGGGATCACAACCCATTTTGAGGGAAAGTTGTGGCTAGATTCACCTAAATGCATCAAAGTTGGGTTCGAATAGTCAATTTGAAGCGGTGTGAAATCAGTAGGCGCGCTGCCAGATCGCTGCAACGAAAACGCGGCCAAGGGATAGTGGGCGAACAGCGGCGTGTTCTTTGCCGTCGTGTTCAAGGTGACATTGAACTGTTCACCAAAGTCGTCGAACTGGGCGTTTGCAGCTTTACCTACAGTCCAAGGGATCTTCGGCCTCAGCGAGGTGTATGTCTCATCGGAGCATGCCTTGCTTATTTTAGCCCAAGGCTGCGATGTTGGCAAGTCCGGGCTGTCATGGTCGTATCGCAGGATACCAGTCCTTTCATAGCCTGGGCCTCCAGGTTTTATCCCACATTTATCCGCAACCCAAGTTCTGATCCAGAAATTGCCATCGTCTGGGACGGGGTTTCTGTCTCCTCCGAGGGGGTTGGCTTCCACGATGACATTGTATCGCTGACCGATGCCTATCAAGACGGACGTGTTGAAATAAGGCTCAATAGGTACGAAGTCTGCCGTCACAATTTGAAGCCAATGGTTATCAATGGAAAAGACGAATGTCGAGTCAAATGACGTGTTGATCAAGCGAAGCAAGTATCTTATTGGCCGCCTGGGCTTGTCGGTTGGCGTCTTGTTGAAATACAACTCATAATTCGGTGGTACCGGGAGTGTGGGAGTACCTCCATAGTGGGACACGTTTCCGCGGCCATTCAGAAGGATGGTCATGTTCCCTGAATTGCGATTAAATAGAAGTTGGTAGGCACTAGTGTGAGCTTTTGTGGTTACTCGCTTTAGCACTCGAACATTCTCATATTCATACGGTAATCACTTACACCAGTCAGTCATTAGCAACGGGCGCTTCGATGCATCAAAGGGCGCCGAAGATGGACCGTGGATCGTCTGTGTATTTTTTCAGCTGATTTTCAAGGCGGAGCCGGAAAGCTGTAACAAATAGACGTGGGTAAATTGACTTACTAGTGGACCCTGCAAGCCATCTGCGTATTGCACAGAGTAGTGGCTATGATACCAAGAGGTTCCATACTGGGTAGCTTTGAAGGTATATGTAAATGAGTCGCCAGGTGCGATAGGGCACTGCGTGATGCCGTTGACACCGTCCATGTCCATCGTCTGCTTCTGTCGAATGCCGTGCCAGTGAATGCTAGTGCCATTCTTTTTCATTTTGTTGACTATCGTGATTTTCAGGGTCTATTCATGAGTAAGTGTGCGGGCATAGCATGACTGCCTCGCGTAGCACTTACATCTCCCCAGCACGCTTCGAGCCAGGGTCCGGGATATGTTTTATTAAACAGCTTGGCATCGACGAAGGGTAGGCCGTCTGCGTTGTAAGAACTCTCAGTAACATTCAAAGTGTAATATCGAGTAATACCCCGAGGGGCAAAGTTCTCGTAGTCTGTATGGATGTTATACTCGCGGCCATCTTTATGTCGAAGCCAGCATTCTCTGTTCTCGGGGATAGAGCAGGGATGCCATCCCTTCATTCGGCTGTAATCGCACTTGAAGTCATGATCGCTCGGGTTTCCTGCTGGGGGCCTGAAAACGGGAGGATCTCCAGGTAGTAGTCCAAGTGGATGCTGAGATGGATGAAGCCCGAATTCGGCCACAGGCGACATAGTCAGCCATGTGGTAAGGTCCACGACAGCATGCCAAAAGCGACCGATGAGAGTCATTGCGATACCGATGTATAGATTTGCCCGTTCAGATCTCCTCGAGTAATTGCTAAGATTCAAAGGGCTGACAAGAAAGGGAGGCCGATTGAATGCATCGGCGTTATTGGGTTCTTTTGTTAACGGAGAGCAGTCGACGCATTCTCGCCCTACGTAAGAGGCGCTGTCGTTCCGGACGCCATCGGCGGCATGAACTAACTACCAGATGATAGAATGAGACTGGGTTTCCAAGTTTGCACCTTGATTCCGGATCCGGCCAAAGCTGAAAAAAAATGAGGCCGGCTGAAGGACGCATCGAGTTTCGAGTTCTCGCAGCTTATCTAGACTAACCACTAATGTGACTCAGCCAGCCACACCGCATCTAGTCCGCTCAATAGTCACAACGATTGGGTATAGCTGGGGCGTGGACGGGACGGAACGGCAAGTCCTGCGGTTTGTCCTAGGCAAATGGCCCACGTGCCGCCGCCACATGGCATCCGGCAGTCCTTAATGGTAGCATTCGGGTCTTGTTGTTTACATATGTGACCATGACCGCAGAAGACTGTGATGGATTGGGTCACATGCCGGCGGAATTACAATAGTGTTGCTGTGGCGTAGTCTAGAACTCCGGCTTGTGGGGATGGTTCCGAGACAGTCGTACAGCATGGTCGCGAATACAGAATGAGTGCACTTCATAGGCAGACTCGATTTTGAGGCAGGATAGATAGGTGGTCATCAGCGAATCTCAGAACCAACCCAGTTAATCCCACCTCCAAGGTTGTTATATTCCGTTTTCAAATAAATTTGACCAGTAAGTGAGATATGTTAAACAGTGCATGTGCTGTACAACATGGTTTCTTATCTTACCAGCCTCGCTAAAAGAAAAAAGTAATTTCATTGCTCTTGGAGGTAAGATCAGTACCCAATGTTGGTTTGCCCCCTGCCAATCCGCCAACTAGTCACATATTGCGTGCCTTGACCGGTGTGGAGAATGCGCCACTGCATAATTTCGTCACATTCCCTTTCCCTGCTGACCGCTATTGCACAATTCCATGTCAGTAGCGTGTGGGAAGGAAGGCAACCACCCAAGCGAAGCAATAATGACAGGAAGAATGGCATTTCCGCTGGGAAGCAAATCAGTTAGATTGGATCTTCGCGGATAAAACAATATCTCTCCACTTAAATATAGTCGACCGACTTTTATCTCGCATCTAGTTCTCCTTAATGTCAACCCGTACATGTTGTGAAACGCCTTACCCTATACACATTAGGTTAGAATTGAAGTAAAAGTTGTGGTTTAAAATCGGGTGCAGAACATGATTAAAAACATGGAAGCGTAAATAAGTTATTTATTGAATGTGTGCAGTTGCGTGATCTCTTTTCTCTATCCCTGCCTTTTAGATGAATTCTAATAATCATTTGAGTTGCTTCCTTTTTTTTTTGGCTTTTCAGTCCGTAAGCGAGACGAGACGACTCGATCACTACACCATGAGTTATGCGAACTTAACCTTGATGAATTCTACTTGTACCCCCCTAAAATATTGAGCGATTTCTGGTTCGGTTTTTTTATAATTTTTTCATTTTGGAAATCATCCCCGTCGTCGTCATATTCACTCTCCCCAAACATTGCTGGGACACTCTCATATAGCTTGTGAGTTCGTCTACGATTTGGCTTTGAAAACGTGCATAAGCACTTCAAATGTCGCAGTGACAATGCGTGGGCAGTGTGAGCTGGTTAGAAACATCGAAATTCCTGCTTTACATCTCGAAGAGATGTTCTCTCACCCGGTAGGTGATGCTGCAGCACGACTGTAGTATAGTCGCCCTGGAAATCAAATTGCATGACACCGATTCTGTTGTGGCAAGGAGTAGACATAGCATATGTTTTAAATGAAAACCATTCAATGTCACAAACACAAGCAAATGGGAGAAGTGGTGCGGATTACAAATAAATATAATATTACGGATTAGTCTGGTGTGTGAGTAGAGAACGTAATATGAACCGGCTATCCGGTCATCTGTAATCTCAGGGGAAATATGTGCTTCGCTCTTCAACTATATGCGTCGTCTCTCTTCATCCACGACCCTTCATCGGCGACCCTAAACTCCAGGAGTAGTGAAGCCCGGCAAGTTGGGCCAGTTGCCCAGCGAAGCCGGGTCGCCACCAATGCGGACCCAGGTGGCGTGCGACGGCGTGGGACCGTCGAGGATGAACATCTGGTACCACGACGGGGGGCTTACGAAGCCATTGGGCGGCGCCGTGACGGTGCAGGTATTGCCAGAGCAAGAGAAGGCTGGGAACAGCGTGCGTTGGCCCATGGTGACGCCGTGGGTAGACCCAATAGAAGCCATGAGGGAGACGCGCATATTGGAAGCGCCCTCAGCCAGTGTCGAGGTCAACGTGAAGCTGTAGGTGCCGCCGTACGCCCAGTCACGATCAGTGATGGAAAACTCAGGCTGTGCGGCACCTGACAGCAGGTAGTCGGGCCAGAAGTACTCAAGGCGATGCTCCTGGGGGTGCTTGCCCTGGTCCTGTGGGTCAGAGCCCGAGATCAGCACCTTGCCATCGCTGAGGAGAACACCCTCGGAGTGGTACATGCGGGCAATGGTGGTGTTGGCCAAGACTGTCATGCGGTGGCCGAGGGGCTGCGAAGGGTCGTACATGACGGCGTTGAGGTTGGAGTTATCAGCCAGACCGAAGCCACCACGGCCAACCTTGGCACCGTTGACCATGAGGTAGCGGCCGTCAGGGAGAGCTACCATGGTGGGCATGACACGCTTTGAAGGCTGTTGAAAGTTAGCATATGCAAGGTAGAAGGTGACTAGAAACACCAGGGAGATTATCTTACCATTCTCTCAATGGTCCACTCGGCTCCAGGGACCTCAGGCTGCATGATGACACAGTTGTCGAGAGCGTTGTTTCCAGGCTCAGCAGTAGTACCACCGCATACCAGAACGGTCAGAGGATCTGTGAAGGGGGCCGTTTGGGGCATAATCATCATGGTGCCTTGCAGGGGATAGTTGCGGCCAGTCAAGGGATTGTCGACGGCGCCGGGCATGTCAGGCAACTTCCGGATGGACTGGAAGGTGGTCTGAGAGATGATGCGCGTCTCGTTGAACTGGGCAAAGAAGATATCGCCAGTCGGCAGGATGGCCATGAAGGGGTATGAGTTGCGGCGGTTGATGGTATCGGCATGGGCGAGGTAGTCGAGGTAAGTAGACTCAGTGACACCCGCAGGATGAGGAAGAACCTCACACGATGGCACCATGGGCGCGTCAGAGCCAGACTCGCCACCCATAGCGAGCAACGAGCCGTTGGACAGAATGATGGCCGTAGGATACCAGCGGGGATCAAAGAGGCGCAGGATTGTGTAGTCCTCCTCCCAGTTGTTGGTGCCGTTGTCCACACCCTGCGGGGAGTCGGGAGTGAAGAAACGGATACCGTAGACAGACTCGGCCGACCAGCCACCGATATTGATCATACGGCCGGCTTTGTCGGGCAGGGTGAAAGAGGCCGCGCAGAAAACATCAGTCTTGAGAGCGAGCTCACGGTATGTGTTGGTGGAGTAGTCGAACTCAAAGGAGCCTTCTGTGTTGTCCAGAGACGTTCCGTGCTTCTCAACGAAGACGACCTTGTTGTTGATGCCAACAGAGGAGATCAAGGGCACGATGGGTGACGTTGAGAAGAAGTCATACTCGCCCGCAGCATTGCCAGATGCGTAATGGAACGTGTTGAGCGAATCACCCGTCCATTCGTAGTAGCTGATGTGGTTGCCGGCACCGCACGTGTAGTTGCGGTCGCCAGGGCAGGGCATGCTGCAGAACGAGTCCGACTTGAAGACATCACCGCGAGCCTCGACGGCGAGAAGATCACCACAGACGCACTGGCGACCGTACTCGACGCCGCCGGCCGAGTAGCCGAACTTCTGGCAGCGCTTGAGACAGAGCTCGACCGTCATCTTGCTGCTGGCGTAGTTGGGGGCGTCCTCCCAGAGCCACTCGAGGACGTAGGGGTTGTTGTTGTCAAAGACGCAGCCCTTGTACTCCCAATCTCCAGGCAGGTCGGTGTCCTTGACCACGGGCACCGGGAAGATGGTGAAGTCGCCCTTGGAGTAGAGGGACAGACGGTTGCCGGCACCGCACATTTGGGTGTTGTCGCCGGAGCAGGCCATGTTGCAGTCCGACTCTTCAGCCTTTTTGGCGCCGTTGTTCAGCGCGTTGCCGCAGTAGCACTCCTCCGAGTACTCCATGCCGGCAATGTTGAAGCCGTTGGCGATGCATGTGGCGATGCACTTCTCGGGCGTGTTGCTGGACGAGGGAAATCCCGGAGCGCCGTCCATGGCACGGCCGGGAGGGTCAACATAGCAGCCCTTGTACGCCCAGCCGCTAGGCAGGCCGGAGACGCTGGCAGCTTCTGACGAGGTTGAGGACACGGCAGAGGTAGTAGACTCAGCAGTAGTAGACTCAGCAGTAGTAGACTCAGCAGTAGTAGACTCGGCAGTAGTAGACTCAGCAGTGGTAGTAGACTCAGCAGTGGTGGTCTCGCCAGCAGTGGTAGTAGACTCAGTCTCACTAGCAGTGGTAGTCTCGCCAGCAGTAGTAGTGGACTCAGCAGTGGTAGTATCACCAGCAGTAGTAGTAGACTCAGCAGTGGTAGACTCAGTCTCGCTAGCAGTGGTAGTCTCGCCAGCAGTAGTCGTAGACTCAGCAGTGGTGGTAGACTCAGCAGTAGTCGTAGACTCGGCAGTGGTAGTCTCGCCAGCAGTAGTAGTGGACTCAGCAGTGGTAGTATCACCAGCAGTAGTAGTAGACTCAGCAGTGGTAGACTCAGTCTCGCTAGCAGTGGTAGTCTCGCCAGCAGTAGTCGTAGACTCAGCAGTGGTGGTAGACTCAGCAGTAGTCGTAGACTCGGCAGTGGTAGTCTCGCCAGCAGTAGTAGTAGACTCGGCAGTGGTAGTAGACTCAGTAGTAGTAGTAGTCTCAGCCTCACTAGCAGTAGTGGTAGACTCAGCAGTGGTAGTAGACTTAGTCTCACTTGCAGTGGTGGTAGAATCAGTCTCACTAGCAGTGGTAGTCTCCCCAGCAGTAGTAGTAGACTCTGCAGTGGTGGTGGACTCAGCCTCGCTAGTAGTGGTAGTATCACCAGCAGTAGTGGTAGACTGAGTCTCGCTGGCAGTGGTAGTATCACCAACAGTGGTAGTGGACTCGGTCTCACCAGCACTGGTAGTGGACGTCTCATCTGAAGATGAAGTGACAGATCCCGTGACTATCGTCGTAAAGGACGAAGCCACAGAGCTCGAGATGGCGGTGGAGGAGTCCACCGCGGTGGAAGAGTCCACCGGGGAAGGGCTATCAGAGGACACAGGTGATTCTCCACCCAGACTCCAGGCATCGAGGCGGTTGGGGCCACCACAGGTCTGGGTCTTATTTCCATTGCACCCCATGGTGCAGCCGTCAGCTAGATCACCACCGCCATTCTCATACTCGTTGCCGCACCAGCACTCGCCAGCGTACTCAGTGCCGGCCAGGGTGAAGCCATTGTCGTCACAAGCGGCGACGCACCGCTGGTTGGTCATGGAACTGGCACCTCCTGATAACCAGACTTGGCTGGTCAGAACGCGGCCAGTAGATCCCTCCCTGCAGCCCAGGTTAGCTCATACACGGACATGACAGATGCTGCAATCAGAACGGAGATCACGTACTCGATGCAGCCGAGATAGGTCCAGCCCTTGATGGAGGGAGGCACCTCGGGAGCAGGTACAGCAGGCCCCTTGAAGACAGTCAACCTGTCCCCAGCGCCGCAGGGCTGATCGGCGTCGCCAGAACAAGGCATGCTGCAGTCCGAGTCGTCCACCTTGTTGGTGGGCGCCTTGTTTCCACACCCTGCAAGGCGCGATAGTCAGTCCTCGGGCTCATAAGCTTTGGGTCTGGTGGGTCGTCACTTACAGCACTCGGCCGTGTACTCCATGCCGGCGTAGGCGAAGCCAGACTCATCGCAGAAGTCGACACACGTCTCAGCCGTCAAGCCGTCGATATCATAGTGGACGGCACCACCAAGGACGCGTTTGTCAGCGCTATCAACGAAGCATCCGAGGTAGCTCCATGCAGTCTTGGGAGTCTGCGGCGGCGTCAAGTCCCTGCGGAGAATGACACTGGCCGAAGTCAAGTGAAGGAACGCTGCAGCGAGTGCAGCACACCGAGTGACGGCCATCTGAAACCAAGCGCCAAGAAATGTTGATGACCAGAACGAATGTACTGTGAGAGGCTAAAGGCCTTTGCGTGATTTCCTACAAGGAGTAGAGGAGGGAAACCCTGGTGGCTCGAAACCTGCACCTTATATCTCTTAGTTACACAGAGACGACCAGTCATCCCAACCTCCCCTTCCCCCGACCACGGCCCGCCTCTGTCCAATAGTTCCAGTCGACTCATCGCTGAACACCGACCAAGGCTGATGAGAGCAGGACTAAAGCCGAACCATGGTTGCCATCATGCGATCCGACGGGGGCCTTGGCCAAGCTGGGGTGAAGCTGAACAGCCCCGTGGGGATTGCAAAAACAATAGTCGTATTCCAAGCAAGCCTTGCAATCTCCACGGTGCTGCCGTACGGTGAGAGTCTGGCGCACGCTGCCGTCTGCCGGCCTTGGAGGGTAGCCAGGCGTCGGGGACGGCAGCAGAGCGTCTAGCTTGGCCATGCAGCTCTCCGAGATAACGAAGCAACCAACCATGAGGGCGTAACTCGGCGAGCGTTGGGTTAGCCCCTGAGCGCCATCCCGGGTGGCGCACAGCTCAGGACAGGGGTTCGAAGGATTGCCTGGCCACGCTCGTGGCTGTCAGCCTGCAGGTGTTTAGCTGAGGGTGCATCCAGACCGCTGCGGTACCGCGGGCACAAGTATAGCCGAATTGGGCTGGCGGTTCCAGGTCGAGACAGTGTTGGCTTGTGCCAAGGCTCACACTATCGACAGGTTGATGACGAAAAGGGACGCGAACAGCACGTGTGAATTTATGTTGGGAGCTGATTCTTGTAATTGTTTGACACGATTGCCCCTATGGGAAAGCGTCTACATCACAAGCGTGTATATCAGAAGCGTGTCCATCAGAAGCTTTGTGCAATTAGTCAACATGGTCGCCGAATACGAGAATGAGCAAACATCAGAAGCTTCTCGGCACAAACAGCATCTGCACGAACTTTTCAATATCAATTGCAGTGCCGATCCTTGCCAATCTCTCTTAGACTCTTACACATGCCACGCTTTCCCGCGGCTAGGGCATCAACAGCCTAGCGTCCTCGGGTAGATCAAAGCACCCACACAGAAATTGGCGTGGCATTTAGGGAGCAAATACTCGGCGGCTTCAGTGACGCGTTGAGCTCCCTAATCTTTAGCCTTAAAAATAGACGACAAGCCAAGGAAAGACGGAGAGCAATAGTGCAAGTAAGTACAGCACAGGGGGGCTAGATCCAGATGCGCCACGTCCATATCGGAAGGTGACACTAGAGACGCACTCGTCATTGGCATCCATACGCAGCTGTGCCAAGCGAAGGCGAGGTAGATAACAAGAGAGTGCATACTGCATAGTACAGGCATCTGCATAGTACAGGCATCTGCATAGTACAGGCATCTGCATAGTACAGGCATCTGCATAGTCCAGGCAACTGCACAGTCCAAGGCACATTGTGCATTGTGACGTGTTGGGGGTAACACTAGATCCGCGGCCTGGTGCATCGGCCATCACTCATCACATCTTATGCCGATGCAAGATTTCTCGTATGGGAATCTACGCCGTCCTTATCGGCATGCATGGATGCACTTGGACGGAGGAGGGACAAAAGATCCCGGACCGTTTGAGACGGAGGGAGCACGATACGGCATGTCAGACACGTTGAGCAAGGAGGGTCAGTGACGGCATTAGTATATCTTCTACAGGCTACTACAGAGTAAGCTCCCAGTATGAGAAATATAAAACAGAGCACTACCAAAGCGACCCGACGCCGTAGCCCGATTCCAGTCTAGAGAATGATCCCAGCTGCCAACCAACAGCAGCTCCACCGAAACACACACATTAGAGGATGTTAATCCCGGCAGGGTAGCATTGTTTCCCCTGTCGGTCCCCACTCGGTGTGCGTGATAACAGTTCCCCGGTACTAAGGTTCTGTTGGGGGGCGTTTCTAATTCGGCGCGATGCATTGGTGCGCGCGCACTCAAAAGTAAAAAAGAAGCAGAAGAAGAAGAAGCAGCAGCAGCAGAGAACGGGAGGCAACAGCACAAGCAGAGGCGGAAAAGAGCGCAGTCTAGGACCGTCGCTTAGCACTTTCCCTCCTGCCACATCTTGACCGACTTGATGACCATGCCACGCTCCTCCTTGGGACCCCAGCTCGGCAGCCAAGTCGAGTTGGACTTCCAAAAGTCCCGCATGGGCGTCTCGCTGTTGTCGGCCCAGGGTTTACCACCCACGGCGTCGCTGCGGTAGAAGATCAGCGTTAGCAACGGGCATCGACGGGACGAACGGTACTAAGAGAGGGACTAGGAGGAAACAACGGGGAATTAAGTGAAAATCGTGAGCTTGGGAGAGAACAAGGCTGGCCGGCCAGGGGAAACGGGCAAACGTGGGGGGGCGGACAAGCCCAGCTCATCTCGTCAGTGGGGGGGGGGGGGGGAGGGGGGGGAGTGGGTGTGCCCGAGACTTTGTGTGAGTGGGCCAACAAGCATCTATTTAGACTTACGGGAACCAGCCATTCGTGGAACCGACGGCGACGTTTAGGATGAGGAAAAAGGACTGGTCGAAGGGCGTGTTGGCGCGGCCGGTGCTGCTCCAGGGATCGACAGGCACGGAGCCGTTGACGGACGAGCCGGCGAACTCGCCGTACGTCCACAGGTTTTTGTTCTTGGTGAAGTCGAAGAAGATGACTTGCTGGAGATTGACGGCTGGGATTAGCGCAGTTCTCTTCAAATTACAGGGTGGAAAGGGGAGTGTTAGTTAGCTGGAAAACGAGGGTGGAACGCCCAGCCGCATCGTCGCCCGGAAGCGAGCCGCATCGTGACCCGGCTCCAAGCTAATCGCCACCAGCCCGCTCGTAGCGTAGCCTTATGGAACCAGGCGAAGCACAGACGCGGCTGGCGGGAAGTTGTCGTGGGGGGCAAAATGGAAGAGGTCTGGGGAAGAAAGAGGAGCTCGCGCTAGAAGCAGAGAGAGAGAGAGACATGGCCGCTCTCTACAACACCACGAGATATCGAGACTCACCCGAAGACGCCCATCCAGCGTGGTAAACAGATACTTCTCGCTCCACTCCAGCCCGTACGTGTGGAACTTCTCGCTGTAGCGCACCCGCTTGCCGCCCCATTCGCCGTAGCTCCTCCGCCAGCGATCGTTGACCGAGGCGGTGCCCCAGTGAAGGGCCGAGGAGACCAGGTTGTCGCCCATGTCGTAGCTGCGCGCATCGTTGCCGCGGCTCTCGGCGATGTCGATCTCGCCCGACTTGGGCCAGTCGCCGTAGACGTTGTCCTGCGGCATCATCCAGATGGCCGGCCACAGCCAGTCGCCCTTGGGCATGCGCGCCGTCACCTCGACGCGGCCGTAGCGGATCGTCTTCTTGCCCTTGGTGTTGAGCCGCGCCGACCGCACCGGGTTGATGATCTGGCCCTTGGTCGTGTTGCTGACGGCCGCGCAGGGGTATCGCGCGTCCAGGTCGTCCATCTGCGTCTCCGTCGCGGTGCATTTGCCGTCGGCGCGGCCATCCGTCGTCAGGTTGACTGTGTGGCCGTTGACCAGCTCGTCGTAGGTGATGTCGGTGCTCTCGAGCGTCATGGTCGGCACAATGTGCAGGCCCTCCGCATCGACGTACGAATTGGCCTTGTCCTTGGTGGTCCAGTCAAAGGAACCGGTGCTGCATCGTCATCGTCAGCCCTGCTACTCGCGACCAGGGGGATGGAGTACCCGAGATAAGTTCCAGGGAATAATCCCCGTCAATAACCGATCAAAGGGGGGCGATGCAACGTACCCGAATCCATTCATCTGCACCTCGTAGTTCCAGTTGTCCATGTTCTCGAAGCGATCGTCCATAATCAGGCAGTACTGCGACACTCGGTTAGCCAAGGTTTTGGGTGTAAGTGGCATTGCCTTGGATGGCACTCACATCAGGGTTGGGGATGTTGCGGGTGGCATTCCAACAAAGGTATCCGCCGATGCCTGGTTCGAGGTCAATGGTCAGCGTATGATTCGGATAGATTGGCAGGGAGAATGGCAAGGAAATGGGCAGAGAGGTGATAACAGAAGGGCCAAGCAGATGATGGGAACCCACCGAGACCGATGCCGATGGCCGTGTAGAAGATGATGCTGTCCCAGTTGACCTGCTTCTTCCCCGTGTTGAGCCACGGCTTCTCGAAATCGCCAACGAGTCGGCTGCTCTTGAAGCGCCGACGCGGCCCTGCGACTGGTTTGTGTCAGTTCAAAGTCAACACCAGCGAATCCTGCCTCGTGCGCATTCAACGTACCCTCATACGTGGAAGCATTCCGTATAAACGTCGCTCGCCGAGACGTCAGAGAGGGCGCAACTGGTGTCGCGGCGATGGGAGTTGCAAAGGGGTTCTCGGGCGACTCATTACCCGGTGTTCCCAAGGGATTCACCGATGTCGAGGCGGCTTCCTCGACCGTGTAGTTGGCCGTCCTTGAGGATTCCATTGTCCAAGCGGGTAGCAGTCAATGTGTGAAGCCTCGACGTGCCCAAGAGCCGGATGCCAAGCGAGAAGACTCTTGACTTGGTCCCAGGACGTCGTGATGATATGGAAACGCTGCTCCGCTCTGAACGGCCTTGTTCTCGGAATCCAAACAAAGCTGGAGCTAGGCTGGGTCTCGAAACATTCAAGGATGACAACACTAGCTAGGGTCGAGATATCAAGGTGGTCGAGACCTTGATATGGCGCCTGAGAAACCGGCTGAAATGCAGCCATGTATGACATGGCAATGGATCTATTGAATGCTATCTCCTCGATGCCGTGATTTGAATGCCGCCTGGAGTCATGGACCGAGATACCGCCTCGCCGAAACCCCGGTCGACTGGGAACAGGGATTCGGGCTGTGGGATGCCCAGCCACGAGGGATTGTGTACAAGACGACGAGGTACAAGCCGACAAGGTACCAGACTTCGGCAGTACTCCAACGGCCTCCAGGCATCCAGACCAGGTCCGGAAGGCCAGGATCATCTGTCATCGAGATACGGATACACCAATGCGTCCAGCCGAGGGCCAGCCTATCTGTGCATGCAAGTGGCGTGCATGCATTTGCAGGGGACCGTTGGACGCGCTGAGGCTCTGATAATGGAGTCAACGACTCCATCCCGGTCAGCGTAAGCATCTTTTTAGCGTACGCAGCAACTCAAAAGCCATTTGGGTGGATCCTGCAGCACGTTCAGAGCAGTACGACGTAGTATTCCGTTGTGGCTTTAGGCTGCGTGGGCTCCAGCCAAGACGACAGCTCGAAGTTGAGTGCGCATGGTTGCATTGCGCTCCCCTGGTTCATGCGCCGCTAAGCCGCAAGCCGTAAAGCACGCGGCGGCCACATCGCCACCATCTTTTTATAAACAGGCGCCACAACTGCGTTGCCGAGTTGTTGGTGGAAGTTGACCTGATAGTGCTCCGTTGTTGAGGCTCTTGGCAGCGCATCGCGAGATAGGCGACTACGACGCATACTCCCAGGTCTCGGTTTAGGACGCCCTCCGATTGGGCGTAGCGCTGCCAGGGTCCGTCCTGACGGGCGCGTTTCGCATGCGAGACTAGGGAAGCGCCCGTCATCGAGTGCCGGAGACGAGATATTGTGTCTTCCGAAGGCGAGATAGAGCAATCGTCCGGTGGCTGGTTGGTCGAGTCCCACGTTGAGCTCTCGCACACTCCCATTGTCTAAAGTCGCCGAGGCCAACGCAAGCTGCCCCTGGCTATCATGGATCCCCTAATGCACCGTCAGCTGTGCCAAGGTCAATAAAGCTTTTCTCCTAGACAGGGGACATATGGCGCGGATCTCGGCACAAACAGGCTCCATTGAGGAGCCCGGCAGTTGCCATTTTCCCTCTCAAGGCGGCCCTGGCCTTATCGATCTTGCGGACTGGGTCCAGGAGATTCCGCAGTCGTACACTGCCCGTGGGGTCTCGGGTAGATCCACTGCGGGCAGGGCAGCTTAAGCCTTGTCTCAACTCAGGAACAGGCTGCTATCAACATGGGATTCTTAATACCGATCGAAGCTGGGTCTGGTGTACAGTCAGCGGCCTAAACACCGCCAACGCGGCAGAAAAGAAACCGGGAAAACCCAACTCCCTATCCATCGTCTGGTTGGTGGCTGTTTCTCGAGCCGCCAAACACAACAGCAACACACCATGATTGGCCATGTCGTATACGGTATCGGATTGACGCTCTCTGCAACCTCCTCTGCAAACCCCTTGCTAGTTACCTGCACCAACGGCCGCACCAGCTGGCTTGACCATGTCCTCCTGGGCGGCCTAGCGTTGGGATTATCGACGCGGCCCTACGTATTGATAAAAACTGCAGCATGATTGTCTCCATCTGGCTGCTGACGGCAGGACCGCCACGGGGCCTCGATGGTCCCGAACCTTGGTTCAGCTGGCAACTAACCAGCTTCCCTATCTGGTGGCGGTTGCTGAGTTGTCAGGTCGAGGCGGCGTTTGCGTGCCAGCCTCGGCCGTGTCAGCTCTCCGACCTCACCGTAACCCCTGGGCAAATTTCCACACCTCCACCAGCCGCTCTGGGCAATCTAGAGCCTTGCCAGGTTGGCTGAGAGGAGGCCGGTCCATCACAATGCAGGCTGCCGACCCGGACACGAGCTCCTTCGAGGCCCGAACAAGGCGTAATCCCCCTCAGGCTCACCAAACTTGGACACGCATCTGGAACACGGTCCGACGAGTAACTTTCATAACATGGCCTAGGGTCGTTCGCCCTCTGCCTCCCCTCTTGGCCTGATTAACTTGACTTGATTTCCGTCTTCTTCCCAAGGCCTTCCCCCTTTCCTCCCCCGAGGCAGATCTTCAGGTTTGTGTGGAAAAGGATTCCTGCGTGCAAGCTTTCCCTGCGAGCAAGCCCCCATCCTCTCCAACAATGGCCTCCGAGAAGATGCGCTCTCGCTTCCGCGAGTCGATTACGTCTATGCCTGCCACGCCTTCTGCCGATGCGCAGACTCTGAAGAAGCTTGAGGGTGATTTTCCTTCAGTCCTTTCTCCTCAGTCCCCCGAGCGGCCTCTGAGAGGATACCCTCCATCACGGTCTGGTCACAGCTCCTTTTCAGGGACGCCTGTGATGAATCCTCCCGATGCAAAGGAGCCGGCACTGGTGAGTCCTTTGACACATGTCTATCTCGCTTCACTCACCCCATGCACTGCCCACGCAGAGTGACCACGTTGAGGGTTACCCTGCCACTCTTGTCTTCCTTCCTTACTGGGGCACCCCAATTGTTTCATGACTCTACCCTGACTTTATCTCCTTCACCCCTGCCCATGCATCTGTCTGCAACTGTGACGAGCTTGCAGCTCTCATGACGGAAAAATCTAACAGGGCTTAGGTTGCCAAATACCTCGCCCGTCGAGCAACCCTGCTCGGCTGGTTTGAGGAACCTGCCGCGGCCGCCATTACCAGTGGCTGGTCTTCTACCTGCGTTGCGCTGAAGAAGCCTGACGGCACTTATGCCTATGCACCAGATGACCCAAGCCCTGACCTGGTGGCTGCTGTCGCCCGCCTGGAAGAGAATGCCGTCGTGTCCATGGCCTCGGAGGTGACCAACACCGTCCTTGACACCATCACGCCTGACCAGGCGAGCCTGCTCGTGGAAAGTACCGGCGCCCGCATTCCCATTGTTCCCAGCTTGGCCGACGTCCGTCAGTCGCTTGTGCACTCGACCAGCTCATGCATCGTCGTCCAGGAGCGCTGCGTGCTCATCTGGTCCAACGTACCAAACACGGTTATCAATGTAGCACACAACGTTGAGAAGCAGCTACTCGGCTTTGTAAGTCGCGGTTGAACCCGTCCCTCCATCTCACTAGCAAGACAAACCAACCGCATTTGGCAACGTCTTGGGGGCCAATATTTTAAGAAAAAGCGTCATAAGGAAGGGGCTGACTCGTGATTGGACAGATTGTTGGCCCTTCAATGCCCCGCGGATTGCTTGCTCAAACCGAGGAGCAGTCAATTGACGGCCTTCCTACGCCTGTCCGTGGTGCTATTGACGAGAAGAATTCGGTCTACCAACTCGCCATCAAGGTCGAGGAGGGCGAGGACGCAGATGAGGACCTCGAGGGTAATCCGCCTGTGCGGCCTGCCCTGAGGGTGCACTCGTTCCGAATTGGTATCGTCATGATCTTGGTCATTCTCACGCAGAGCATGGGTGTTTCCAAAGTGAGTTGATTATGATTAAATCCAATCATAAAACCTGCCAGAAACAAGGCGCGCTAATCGACAATCACTACAGCTTCTGCATGAATTCACTTGGGACGGCGATTACAAGCGATTCATCTTGGTGAGTTGTATTGGTGCTGTGACGCTGTTTGAAAAAACTGACCCCAAAATAGGTTGTCGTTATCCCACCTCTCTGCCTCCTGTCACTGGTAAGTGTTTCTTCCTATCCAGACTAGAAATTCGCAATTGCTGACTGACTGATTAGTTCTTCTTCATTGTCGTTGTCAGCAGTGTCTTTCAGCTGCTTCTCCCGGCCGGCATGTGTTTGAGAAACTCGAGATACCATTCTGGTGAGTAGCGCAGGCTGTCGCCCTTTATAGCAGGAACTTGGAGCTGATCTTATGTGTGCCATAGCTGTCAAGCCCAATCGCAAGCGCTACGTCAACTATGAGCTGCCGCACATCACCGTGCAGATGCCCGTATACAAGGAGGGTCTTCGCGGGTAAGTGGATTTATAACACACACATGATTTGAAATTCTCTAACTCCAATCGAATAGTGTCGTTGTCCCAACTATGGTCTCTGTCATGGCTGCTATCCAGTACTACGAGAACCAGGGTGGCACTGCATCTGTCTTCATCAATGACGACGGCATGCAGTGCATCCAGCCTGAGCTGGCCGCAGCCCGTAAGCAATACTACCGCGAGAATGGCATTGGATATTGCGCACGCATGCCCACCATGAAGACCGCAAAGGGTGGCGGCTTCCTCTCGTGGTTCAAGCGATCTCCCCCCGTTGACCCCGAGGTGGACAACCAGGATGAGAGCGAGCTCAGCCCGCAAGGTCGCGCCAACAAGCTTGGCTTCGTGCGCAAGGGCAAGTTCAAGAAAGCCAGCAACATGAACTATTGCCTTGCCTTCTCCAACCGCGTCGAGGACGAGCTGCACCGCTTGACGGAGCTCGAGTGCACCAACCGCAACTGCACCTATGAGGAACTATCTGCCGAGGACGACGATGCACTCTATGAAGTGGCCCTGCAGAACATGCTCGACGCTGACGAGGGCAAGACTTGGGCTGAGGGCAACATCCGCATGGGCGAGATCATCCTCATTATCGACTGCGACACCCGCGTCCCCATTGATTGTCTTCTCTATGGCGCTCTCGAGATGCATGAAAGCCCCGAGGTCGCCATTCTGCAGCACGGCTCAGGTGTCATGCAAGTTGCCCACAACATCTTCGAGAACGGCATCACCTACTTCACAAACATTGTCTACACGGCCATCAAGTACGGTGTTGGCACCGGTGATGTCGCTCCCTTCGTCGGCCACAACGCCTTCTTGCGCTGGAAAGCCATCCAGAGCGTTGCCTTTGTCGATCCCTCCGACGGCATCACCAAATGGTGGTCTGACTCGCATGTGTCCGAAGACTTCGACATTAGTCTGCGCATCCAGGTAGCCGGCATGGATTGTCGTCTGGCTACCTACCATAACGGCGGCTTCGAAGAGGGTGTCTCGCTGACTGTCTACGACGAGCTGAACCGTTGGGAAAAGTACGCCTACGGGTGCAACGAGCTTGTCTTCCATCCCTTGTAAGTTCTTCGATATGCCAGAGCCCTGATACGTGACTAAATGCATTGTGCAGCTACCAATGGCCCTACAAGGGCCCCGTCACGAGGCTGTTCCTCCGCTTCCTCTGGAGCAGCATGCCAGTTTCCAGCAAGGTTTCCATCATTGCTTATATCTTTACCTGTAAGTGCAATTCTCCTATTCTAACTCCTCGGGGCTCACGAAGCTGACTATTGCAGATTACGCCATCGCTGCCGGTATGCTGCTTACCGTCGTCAACTATGTGCTTGTTGGCTTGTTCTTCATGGAGCTCGACCACTTCTATACTCCTTCATGGGGTATCTGGGTGTCTCTCCTGGTCGTCTTCAATGGTGTCGCCTCCATATCCTTCAGTATGACGCGTCACCGGCTCAAGGAGAGGTCGTTCTGGGTCACCATCCTCGAGACCGTCAAGTGGTTACCGTTCCTGCTCCTATTCTTTGGTGGCATTAGCATCAACTGTGCCAAGGCACTATTGTGTCACGCCTTCTCCGTCAACATTGAGTGGGCTTCCACCTCCAAGGAGCTTGGCCCCACGGGTATCTATATTGGTCTGAACAAGATGATGCACCGGTTCAAGTACACATTCTTGATCTGCTTCGTTATCGCTGGAGGCATGATCTACATGGCCGTCGGCGCGCCGTGGGGCTGGACCATTGCCCCTGGTCAGTTCTCGACCGGTACCTACGCCATCGTTCCGCTCGCTGTGCAGGTGGCCTGTTCGTTCACTCTCCCTCTGTTCCTCGGCCTGACTTGAGCGGGTGCCCTCAGGAAAAGTTAACGACTTAATAACCTCTGTGCTCTATATGAGCGAAGAGGAAACATGGATGTCGCCGTCCCTAATTCATTCCTTAATGTTCCGCTAGATTCACTTCTCTGCGGATGGCTTGACAGATATACTACGCTATTGGATCGGCGTTTAGAGTTATTGCGTTATTGAGTAGGACTTTTCATGTGGAAACATAAGATTGGATGGAAGTTTACGGTAAATAGTGGGTATTTATATAGACATGGGTATATTTAATAAGAAGCATGGGGGTAATAGACTTTGTGGTCCCAATAGTCAATCCGGATCCTGCCCATTTGGGGGATTAGCGATAGGTGCTAATTCGAATGATGATAGACTCTTCCCATGTGGCACAAATCGAAAACAATGTGAACGGTGACACTAAGGACCAATCTTTTGGCAATGCAAAACCATGTGTCTGTTAAATCCTTCCCCTATTTTATGTTTCTATTTGAAAAGCATTGGTAGACCCGGAGAGTGGGAGAATTCCGAAAGTCAGATTATGAAAGAATATGACAGCGCTCTTGGACATGTCTTGCCTGTAGTCCTGAAGTTGATACAGTAATCAGTGAGAATGAACTGACTTTCTCAAAGTACTAATAATCTATCTAAAGGACATTACAATAAATTTCACACAATGTCAATATCCTACCAAGTGGTAGGTTTGAGCTGCCCATCCTCAACTGAGTTATTTAGACAAATATCTATATAACTGTAGAGATAACAATCCCCGATGAACCTTGCTGTGGGGATTGAGATCTAAGAAGTGGTCCGTTGCTGTAGCCTGCATTAAATGACATCAATTTCACAAAACCCAGCAGAACTATTCAGATAACCACAAAATCTCCCACATCTCAGAAACTCTTCCAATTGTGCCTCTCATCCCTGCTTTTGCTCCCACTATTCATACAATCGCTTCCGATTCAAACCAGTTGAGACCGTGGGCTTGTCATCCTCCTCGTCACCTTCTTCCGAGTTAACCTGCACCACTGAAGGAACCGCCCTCAACGCGACATAGCCATTCTCATCGTCAGGCCGTACATCAGACAGCTCCAGTCGCACGTCTCGCAGCCGTCTTGACCTGTCTGTACCATCGAGGTGCGACCCTCCCGGTGGCAGAGGCACGTACGGGTTGTCCCTGGTCATGGAACTGGCGAAGCCCAAGATGTCTGGTCCCCGGATGAAGGCTTCGAGCACTAGTCCAGAGATGGCGAGTATCTGGAGAACCATCGTAGTGAAGAGCAGGATACCGATCCAAATGCTATTCGCCCGATATACCTCGGGAGATGTTATTCTTGTTCCAATTGTTGTATTCATGAATGGCTGGTCAGTTGTCTGGTTATTCATAAGACCAAGAACGTTGTGTTCAGGGATAGTATCGAATGTGACGTTGGTGTGACCATGAGGGTTGAGTGTAGAGGTCCAAAACGTGTTGAAAGCTGTAGTAATCCGGCTAGAAAAGACTGATGGGAACACTGAAAGGTCGCTTTCTGTCAAAGGCTTGACAACCTCGCCAGAATAAGGGTTGGAACCCTTCATGATGTAGAGGTCAGTGGGGCTCGCTATATATTCGGTCTTCTCATTAGATATAGCAGCCCAATCCGCCAACATAGACTGTGCATCCTCGGCTGAAACAGCTGTGGGCAGTCGGGCAGATGGGCTGTCCAAGCGACGCTGCCTTCTCGCCTCGCAACTTGTCGCCGGATCGCCGGGACCGCAACGAATGGCAGTTTCCAGCAAAATCTCGTGCATAGAACAATTGACAATGTAAAGGTCACCCCCACGCAGTTGCTTTACGTATTGAAACCAGTAGACCTCGGAGTTTTCCTCCCAGTCTTCATTAATAACGTAGAAAGATGCGAATGACGGGTCGATTGCCTGTATCAAAAGGCTCTGGTTTAGGTCAAATCGTCGCGTAACGGATTAAACGTGTCAACAAGGTCGCAGCTAATGTCAAAATATGAGGTTTGGACACTAAAATCGAAGTGGGTTCGGAAGTTTGTTCCCGCGAGTCCCTTGATGCTAATGCCGAGTAGTGACGAATAGAACTCCTTTCCAGATTTCAGATCTGGTTGGCTCACGTTATATAATCGATTGTTTGTTCTGGGTCGTGGCCATTGAGGAATCTTCGGAAGTCCCCAGAGGTCCCTTGGCGAGCCTTTTTGTTCTGGGGACGAAAACAGGCTTGTTGAGTACAATACCTCGGTACTGGGTCGAGACTCTGCGGTAATCCTCCTATCTGCCACTATTGAATAGTACGACATCTGATAAGCTGGATTGGCGTAATAGACAGTACCGTTTGATTCGAAAGAGGTGACACCGTTGTACAGTAACCTTGATGCACTTTGGCCTCCCAGAGGCGACATAGCCCATGTCAGGAGGATAACAGAACCAACAACGGCTTGAGTACGGATAAAAAAGACTCGTTCGAATGCTGCAACAAAGCTCTGACTGCCGAAGATCTGTTCCAGAACGGCCAGTCGGATTCCGCCAGGCTTTTCAAGATACCACCGAGCGAGGGCCTTGTAGAATCGACTGACAATAGCTGCAAAGAGGATAGGGTAGATGGTTGGACTCAGCCGGGTCAATTCGACAACTCTTTGTCCAAACTGGGAGTGCGGCTGGTTATCCAATCTAATAGCAACGAAGGCAAGAGCTGAGAAAAGAAATAGATTAGACCCCAGAATAATAACCAGTGCACGAGGGGGAAAGTATTACCAATGAAACAGAGCGGAAGAAAGGTAAGAACCAGGTCCCAAATCCGGTCCAGGAACCAAGTAATATCTGGGCTATGCAGTCGCTTCGGGCCTCCGTGCCAGTTGACCGGTAGATCAATATGACCAAGGGTATCATCTCGAATGCCGGACTGGGGTTTATCCTGGCTCGGTTCGTATGCCAAAAAGGGAGGGTACGTCGTCTGGCGTAGAGGATGACGTTTGCTCAGCGTTGAGGTAACCCTGCGTTGATATCAGTTCCATGACGTAAACAGTTAGTATCTTAAACGAAAACGTACCTGAATCTCCAAAAAGAAAACCAAGCAAAAGCAACACAATCACGAGAACACTAGCACATATTCCCGCTACCATACCTGGGCCTGGCGTAAATTCACTCGCCCAATCGCTGTCAGAGACATCCACAAATTTGAGTGATTGAGTAGATTCTGGAGCTGGATATGATGCCGAACCAGCCATGCTCTCATAATCAATATCCGGTTCAAGAAAACTTTTGCGGAGAGACTCGTTAACAGGGAGCGTCGCCGCAATAGTTTCGTTCATCGGACACCCAAACTCAAGTCCACACGCCGCAACACGGCAACATCCATAGAAAGACGGCTCAGTATAAATGCATGCGTACTACGCGTGACTGCGAGTGGGATCATCGCAACCCAGAGTGGGTATTTGTCCATAGAGGCTCTGAGAGAAAGCCATCTGCCTCAGCTTGCCTTTGGGACAGACACCTTTCCCACCAACGCAAGGGTCGCTGTTACAACAGCCGACGAATTCGGTTTTTGCATCTTTGCAGATGTAGAACTTGCCCCCTCCCAGGCACCTGAAGCCATAGAACCAGAGGATGTTGCTGTAGTTCACAGTCATTGCGGATGGGGCGGCGCGAAGGAAGTATGGAAATAGTTCGGTGGGCGAATATTCAAGACAGAAGAAGGGGAATTGAGGCGAAAACAAGAAGGGGGACGGAGGGGCTTATAATAAGGCAGGCGTTGGTCAGAGATTTCAAGGGCAGACGCCACCAATATATTAGCCAAACATATTAACCCGATTGTGAGGTCTTGCAGTTGCCTGAATACCATTCTGTTTGTTACATAATATGCATGTCTTACGCAGCTATCAGCGCCTTCTATTGGATTGTAATGCACTTTTAGTCTGATCAATCAGAGTAAGTAGGCGGTATAGGAGTAATTGCGGGTGCTCAGGCTTTAAAACCCACTTCTAGAATAATATATATATAGCTTAATAGATATTAAAAGCTTATTAACTCAAGCTCTATAGTTATATATAAAAGCCTCCCTCTAATTAAAAAACTCTTTACTTATAGTTAACTTTTAGCTTAAAAGCTTTTTATTTATAAATAACTTATAGCTTTTTTTAAGGTTTTTATAGTAATTTTAATAGCTTTAATAATTATATATTATTTTAGTTAATACTATTTAATTTATTTATTTTAGTAATTATATTATTAATTATTATATTTAAATAAAAAATTTTTTAAATTATTATTTATAATTTAATAGTAAAAAAAAAAAAAAAATTAACACCCAACATATTAACTTACCCTAGGGGAAAATACACAAAGAGTCATCGCACAGGCATCTTAGCTGGTTAGCCCGAAGCTGCACCAGATTACGTATATAAGGTCGGATCAATCTGAGGCTTATATCTCCTAATAGGGAAGCATCTTATAAGATAGAATATCGGGTCGGTCGCAGGAAAGTTCGCTGGCAAGGTATCAATGGGGCCTGCAGCAGCCCGATATCTAAGGGAGGTTGAAGACGGAGGTTGGACAGGGAACGGAGTAACAGCAAGAAGGTTCAAATAAATCTCTCAAAAATGAAGGCAATTAATTAATAGACTCCATAGCAGCCTTAAGCCCTTCTGGCCTCTCTAACTTCTAGGAAGAATCTCTAATAAAAGAAAAGATGATGATTTTCCCCAGTGATAGCACTGACCTCCCCTTTTAACCCCATCCGGGTCACCCTAGAGATACCCCAGCTAGCGACTAGCTAGCCCAGGCATCCCTAACTGTCTGTTATAATAATAAGTTTATTTTAAATTTAAATTTACTAACTAAATATAAAATTATATAATATTTTTATTTTAATTTCTATAATATTCTTAAGATATTAAATATATTCTAATATTAATAGGATAATATTATTTAAATTAAAAAGGAATTTAATATAATTAAAATTAAATATTAAATAATATATTAAATAATTATTAAATTTATTATATTAATACAATTAACGACAGTTCTCAACATAGAGACCTAGAAGCCAGGGAAAGGAATAATAGCTTGGATCTCTCGCTTAGATCGTCAATCTCGAGGACTGGAGCTAGGAACGTTCGGACCCCAATTGCTGTCCAGTGCATTCCGAGAGCAGTCTGTAAGCTAGGGAACCAGAACGGAGCAGTATCTTAGCACAATCATTCTGGCAATCCACCAATTCATTCGCAGGGCGCTGGAAGAGGTTTGCGCGGATGTCAGAGTTCGTGAAGAACTGATGTCTAGCATCAAGCCTGCACTCCTAGTTAGGTACCGGTACGGGATGAAAAACGCCATGTCCTTGTTAGAAGGAGGGAAAAGGAACCGTACACCCTCAACCATTACTTCAACAGCAAACTGCAAAAGTCTGGTAGTATCAGAATGAGAAATGCACTCGAAGCCAGTGCTCTCAAAGAAAAGAACCCGGCATTCGGAAACCTCGTCGTCGACCTCCAAATCATTCTATTTGCTGTGAGTAACAGGAGCAACGCGGAGCATACAGCGGAAGACCTTCACGACATCCTTCATGCCTACTGCAAAGTGGCCTGCAAGCGATTCATTGACAATGTCTATCACCAATCGGTAGACCACTTTCTTCTCTCGGGACCCCTGAGCCCTCTGGGAGTTTTCTCTGAACAATGGGTGTTTCGATTGGAGAGCGACAAGCTTATTGCGATCGCGGGAGAGTCCCGTCGGAGTGGGATAAGCGAGAGAGACTGATGAAGATGATTGAGGACTTCGAAGAGGCTGTCAAGATTCTGCGTGGGTGAGATGTGGTTATACGTGGTGCTTTGGGAGATAGACTTGTAAGTTTGTGAGACTAGCAGGTTGAATAGTGGTGTAGAGGAATATGCTCCATTCTTTCCAGTACCTGGTGAACTTCCCTCTTATATTGTGTTATATACCGTGAATATCCTATTGTTATTGACCTTTACGTCTGTTGCAAAAAGACCAACGTCTCCTGCGAGGCTGCATACCCCCTTATATCCTTTGCAACAACGTCACTAGGCCGGAAGAATATGTGGTTGTGAGTAAAGGAGTTATTTAGCTAAACACGACTACTTAATTTTAGGCAGGGCTTACATACAAATTGAAGGTACCTTTTTTCATTTGTTGAGTCAACGACTTTTTGCTTGGCCAGTGACCCGCCATGTCATTTTGCATATGCCTGCACTTCGCCACATCTAACCGACCGAGCGCTCTGGCTCGTGAGGCTGTGCCCAACCTAGCTGTGTGCATAATCAGTTTTCTTTGCTCTTTCCACTGCATGCGCGATTATTGTGCTAGACCCCACCGCTCGGCATATTCACACTCGACATCTTCTACGAGTGGCTGTGATGAGGTGGGGAGCATCTCACTTTCTGCCTTGGCACACTCAAGGGAGAGTGCCTTACCATCGTATTTTGCGTTGTCCCTTGCTCGGCACTCAGCCCGAGAACCATGGCATAGCCCAATGACGCCATCGGGCATCAGTCAGTACTTATTTATGTCCGCCATAGATAGCAGTTCAAGGAGTGCAAAAAGTCCTTACCAGGTTTGAACAGTCCAAATGCACAAAGAATTTCACGGAACCCTCCGAGCGCATTCTAGTGATTATCCCGCCTAACAAAGTTCGACTACTATCGTGATCATGTGGCTACTCGACGCGAAGTCCATGCGACTTGACCGTATCGATGACGAAGAAAAAGTCCCACCGTACGCGATTCTTTCACACACCTGGGCCAATGATGAAATATCATTCAAAGAGATGAGATCTGTTGATACCGGCACCAACATGACCACGAAGGCCGGATGGTTGAAGATAGAAAACACCTGTCGATTAGCCTTGGAACATGGACTCAGCCATGCCTGGGTTGACACTTGTTGCATCGACAAGTCTAGTAGCGCTGAATTACAAGAGGCAATCAACTCCATGTTCAAATGGTACGAGCATGCAACCATCTGCTTTGCTCACCTTGCAGACGTCGCTGCAGACGAAGATCCTGCTGATGAAGGATCGGCTTTTCAAGGCTGCCGCTGGTTCAAAAGAGGCTGGACGCTTCAGGAGCTACTTGCTCCATCTGAAGTCGAGTTTTACGATAAATGTTGGAAACAAATTTCTACCAAGTCGCGTCTTCAAGGCTTGATCGAGAAAGTCACGGGTATCAAGTCCTATTATGTCTGCCCGTCGGGTGGACTTGAAGGCGCATACGACAGACTATCAGGGGCAGGTATCGCGGAACGAATGTCTTGGGCAGCCGAAAGGGAAACAACACGGATAGAAGATCTTGCGTACAGTCTCCTCGGCCTTTTCGATATCAGCATGCCTATGCTCTATGGAGAAGGTCCCAAAGCCTTTCAAAGGTTGCAGGAAGAGATTATGAGAGTCAATGACGATAGCTCTTTGCTCGGTTGGGGATATCAAGAATCCTGCGACGATTGGCGCTGGGGGACGGATTCTATTCTTGCACCGCACCCGCTATGTTTTAGGAACTGTCGAACCATTGTCGCTTGCGCACTCAAGGGGTTCAGATCAGCTTCTTTTTCCATGAGCCAAAGGGGATTACAGATGAAAGCCCCTGTGCGGGCCGACCTAACACATAAGCAACTCGTATACATGATTTTGGGTTGCGGGCCACGCTCAGAGAGAGGGTGGTATCGGCAGGAAGACGACTCCTGCTCCTTTATGGCGATACCGCTGATTTGCACAAGCGCATGCGATACAATTCAGATCGGTGATGGACTGCAGGACGGAGAGTATCTGCGTCCAAAGTGGTGCAGGCCGGCTCTGGTCTCCGAAGAATTCTTGAGCCAGGCGGAATGGAAGGAGCTGGTTATCCGACGACCCTCCCGGCAATATTCCAGACTTCGAAAATTGCCAATATCCATCGCAATTGCTCCCATTCCGAACCAAATCCACAGAATAATCGGGACTTACCCACCTCAACCGATCGGGGCTCAATTTGTTTCTCTTTGCCAACATCCCGGGCATCAAATCGCCCCATGGGCAACGAATACCCAACACCTATCCGAGGTCCAACAAGCAGGCGGGAATACCAACAGGAACCTAACGCCTGGACACTCCGCAGAAGACCAGAGAATGATTCAAATTGAGATCCCGTTCCGCGGAGTCTTTCTCTTCGTCCTCGATTATACGGCAATAGTCTCACACATAGGTCACATACCTGTGTGGCAGTGTTCGGATTTCCGAAGCCGGGTTTTTGCCTTTCCCGACCAATTCAGCCTAGAAATCATGCACAGGCTGTCCGTCACTCAGGATTTCAGTCACCTTAAGGAATTAGACACCCAGTGCCAGGGAGAACGCTATATGTTTAAAATTGACGACAAACCTCATACATTTCTAGAAATTCAGTTGGAAAAATTCTCTCTCATTACAGATATTTACATTTCGATCCTTACGAAATCAACAAGTCCTCATTTGACCATGTTGCAGGAAAGGGCTGGAGAATCTTTGCTCAACTGGTTGGAAAGACGCAAGAGAAGAAGGGAAAGGATGCCTGGTAAAGGGAGAATAGCAGCCCGAATTGCTGGCCAGAACGGTGTGTTATGAGGCTAGTTACAGTACTATATCAGCAGCTGGCTGCTACATTTCGACGGCCAGGCCGATCTCCTTACGGACTATCGCAACTAGACTACACCTTCGCCTTGGACTAGGTTAACAGGTTAGACATCTATCCGATTTGGCCTCTGTCATTTTAACTTATACCGCTTTGACCTCTGTAGCTTTGGCCTCTAGACTTTCTTTTTATATCTATATGGCCTCATTTCTATCAAGTCGCTCACTTTCCTATCAGATCGGCCTATTTCCTATCTTTCCTAGTAATACCAGTCTGTTCCTATAAAACCAGCCCTCTCTCTACTATTCAATAATGACCTATATAAGACCATCTGTTAGGCATCTCATTAGCTAGGAATCAATAACTTCTCTACACTCCCTTCCCACCTAAAGTTGCGATAAGTACCACTGCTTTCCTTAAATACGATTACGTCAAGCATAGCTTCATTGACTCTTTATATCCAATTTTCAGCAGGGGCTGGTGTTTTCAAGAGCGAGTTCTGGGAAAAGGTATCTTATATTTCACAAGCGCGGGAATCATCTTCGAATGCAACGAAATTTGTTTTGAGAATGGAGTCATGGAGTCTGGGCCCCTATTCCACCCCAAAATCTGTATAAGCGATCTCTGAGCAGTATCTTGGCGCCCCCTACATCGGCAAATGACCAGCAATCGCAAACTCTGACCGCACATCGCTCGCGAAGGAAGGTCTTTCAGCGGGTTCTCTCGATAATATCCAAGACAGTTTCGCCACCCATGGCTTCGAATGTCAACAACGACAAAATACGAGACGCCAATAAACTCTGGCACAGACTTGTTGAGCAATACTCCGCCAAGCATCTGACTGTTGTACGGGACGTGCTCCCCGCGTTATCTGCGGCCGCTCAGCAGACCAAGAATTGGGTATTGGGTGAATACCTGACAGGGATGTAGAGCGGTTGCCTTCTGGAAAACATTCTATGGGAAGCAAAGCTCAGGCAGATGAGCACAAGGCCATCGGAGTACCGAGCACCCTCTTTCTCATGGGCTTCGACTATCGGGCCCATTACATATCGTGCCACCCCAGAAGGTGCGGAGTCTCGCATCACCATTCTCAGAGTACGATGCCACCCAAAGTCGAAAACGTATCCGTTCGGAGAGGTCAAGTCCGGATATTTGATCGCCACCGGCCAATTGATTACTGCGCAATTCCATCCGCGGACATGCACCTGTCGCGCAAGACAAGAATGGGAGGAGGCTTCTTGCCATGTATTTCGGCACGGCCATCGCGTACAGGACTTCCAAATTGACACCATTGACGATGCGATGGATGCAGTTGGTAAAGAATTCTTCTGCCTATTGATGATGGCAAGTTATGACTGGGAGCACCCTTCTTTGAGAGTCGGTTGGGAGAAACTCGCAACCGCAGTTTCTCAAACCATCACAGAATCAAGGAAGCGTTTGAGCGGATTGGGGTTTCACGGGAAGTCGAGGTGGCCTTTTTCGAAGGGTCTATTCAACAGAAAATTAAGATAATCTGACATAAGAGGAATATAGTGAGCGCATTAACGCGGTCCTTATTCAAAGCATGATATTTAAGAAAATAGAAAGCTTCCTCTCCCAGTCCTTCCTACAGCCCCCTGTTCTCTTAGAACTTGCACTGCTTTATCGTGGCCTCCGACCGCGGCGCTCTGAAGCGCAGTCTGTCCTCTTACTCTCCTAAAACTGCAAGCATTTACATCAGCACCAGCTGCCAATAATCTCTCGATGACATCTACGTGACCCCTCTCAGCTGCAGCATGTAGAGCCATTCCATCTCCGTACTCGCCTCCCAATGCGTGAACGTCGGCACCTTTGTCAAGGAGAAGGCCGACCACTTCGATATGACCTCGTAAACATGCTCCCTGGAGAGCAGTGTAGCCCTTGTACTTTGCTGCGGCCCCATTGATGTCAGCCCCGTGTTCAAGGAGAAGCTTCAGTATTTCCGTGTAGCCGCCGCCGGCAGCAGCCTGTAATGCCGTGAGGCCTGCTGATGGTGACGGAGGAGCATTTACATCTGCGCTCAGCTGCAACAGTCGTCTAACCAGATGCACATGTCCTCGCTCTGCTGCTGCCTGCAGTGCTGTTCTTCCGTTGTACCGCGTGACTGAAACTAATGAATTTGTTGACCCAGGTCTCCGAGTTGCGGGAGTTGAGGATACTTCGTTTATCTTGGCCCCCGCACTCAGCAGAATGTCGACGACCTTCTCGTTCCCATGTCCGCAGGCGATTTGCAAAGCATTCCTCTTGAAGTTGTTCCCGTTGCAGAAGTGGATATCGGCTCCGGCGTCGACCAACATCTGGACGGCCTGTTCGTGACCATGCATGCATGCAGCTTGGATGGCCGTCTGGCCGTAGTATCCGCACGGGGGTTCGTTGACGGCGGCTGGGTTGGCGGCAAGGATTTCCCTTATCTTGTCTATTTCTCCGCCTCTCGAGGCAAGCTGCAACGGCGTCCAGCAGTATTCCTCGCCGTCCTCAGTCTGCAGGGTCGGATCCCACGCCGCGTCCAATGGTGGCAAGGATGTCTGCATGGTATCGCTTGTGTAGGACAGCCGAGGTTCGAAACGGGTACTGCAGAATCAGGATGGAATCACTTGGCATGGAAACCGTTGGACGATGGGGCTTGTTGCGGAACTCTCAAAACAAGCAAAGGTGCCTAACGAAGCCAGTTAAATTTATGAGTCGAGGATGAGGGGCTTGGTGCTATGTTGTTAGATATGTGACTACCGGAAAAGCGCTGACATGGTTGAAAAGAGAGGTTGAAGCCAACAAAGAAAAATAACCCAAAAATTATGATTAGTTAAAAAATTGCAAATTAAATCCACTCGAAAGCTATTTCATCATATCTGAAATACATCTTCTGTACCTTCTCCTCCCCCCATTGTCTGAGGCATTTTAGGGTGTCCATTAAGTCCCGGACGTGGCCAAAATCGCCTGCCTAATTGGGATGTTTTGTCTGACATGTGGTAGTTAACCATGTCCACTTGATAGCTTACACTCGCTATCTTGTGGCCCGCATCCTTGTCATATTCGGCATTCGGCACGGATTGCGGGCGCGTGGACCGAGATCGACGAGGAAGATGCGGGGACAACAAGCCGTGGGTCTACTACGAGTTATTCTAAGAACTAGACTGCTGCCCTTTAGACCCCTTCGTATGTACTTCTCTTGAGGAGAAGTCAGGAAGCTGGCCCGAGATGTTTGCTATGAGATTGAAAAGGCTGAATTGAATCTAAGCTTTCTCGAGTCCTTCCGTCTGGCTTAGCGTAAATTGGGGTTGATGAGGAGATTGTTTAGACTAAATCACGTTCTCTCATGCCTCTTAATGAAGATAATGTAAAAATATGATCATAGCATAGTACCGGTGTATCAAAAGACATCTCACGTTAGTGCGTCTTCTGGGCCGACTATCTGTATATTTCGCCAGGCCAACTGCCGCTGGACTCCGCGCAAGGGGATGGTACCCTAGCAAATAGCCTTAAAGGAGAAGCTATCCAGCATGAGACATCATAGTACTCGTGGTCGGGCTGTTACAGGTGAGTGATGTTCTGTGCTGCCTTGGAGATGAGATTGGGGTTGATCTTGGACCGATCCGCGCGACCCGAGGCATTTGTAGTCACCTCTTTAAGCTGGATGTAGTGACGGGCTGATCATGAGCCTGTCAATCCCGAGTCTCAGCTGAGTGATTGGAGCATCGCATGCATATTCCCGAGAAGTCAGTCTTGGGGACAGTGTCTGTGACACCCCAGATGAAGGCGCTTACCTCTCCATGCACCTTCAGGGCTGTTCACTGGCGGATACAGCTACGCGCACCGTCAAAATGCACGACGAACTTGGCGTGAATGACCCTGACATCGATGTCTCGCGCAGGTCATTGCGGAAGAGACTATGGGAGGCCTGCGTTATGCTCGTCGTGACTTGTTGGGCTGGCGCCGCCTCCTCCTCCGTCAGGTGTTGCAGTCTAGCCTTTGAATTTTGTGTATTTAATGTCAACCTTTTTTCCATGCACTTTCTAGTTAAAGGACTACTACTTTCTTCCCTATTCTGAAATGTGTCAAGAACAGCATCGCTACAATAAGCTGCTCCTACATTACTCGCTATTTGTTGCATGCTGCACTCTGAGACCCATATCCTCTCGTTCACGTCAACGTGGAAATCCTCCACCAGCAACTCCACGACACTGAGGTTAGGAATATCGCTCTAGACTTCGTCTGTGATGGAAGATTTCGGGATACTTTCGACGTTGAATTGTGGGAATGACCCTTCCCTCCGATTGTGACTCCCCCGCCGGCCGGTTGGCGTACCACAACCCTGCTTTGGATCTATCCCCAAAAGCATGCCAATCCCCTTGCCCAAGTGCGCTTTTCGCCTCGCATACAAATTCCCTTGGCCAGCGAGGTAAAGCCGTGCTGCACTAAGAGGGCAAAGTGACTACGATGGTATTCGTCCCGCAGATTGAGGAGAAATCTGGCCCCGCCCTGTGGGAGGAGAAACACCACAGTCTCGGGTCTGCCGCTTCTAACAGCGTAATCAAGCGGACTGAGTCCATTTTCATCTGTCGTGTTAATGCCATCGATTTGGCGTCTGTGACCAACGCGGTTCGGGGGAAGGGTCTTTGGCTCTGCGGGTGACTTTCGGGGTGATGCTTTACGCAGCGAACGCACGAGTTTGCCGACAAGGTTACACTCTTCTGCGCGAGTTGCAAGATGCAGTGGCGTGAGACCTTCTTGTGTAGTGGAGAGGAAATGAGACCGGCTTGGGCGATAAACACGTTGCAGGCTGCAGATAGTTACTTAAGTGCCAGGACATATGTCAGCTGAACCAAACTGTATTTAACATGGCTGCATGCATCTCCCTTATTGGTATCGCTTCCCAGTTCGTCCGCTGCCTTGCGAACTTTTGCTAGAATTAGCTGCTCGTCGTCCGGGCTCGTGGTCAGCCGTAAAATGCCAAGGCTCTTTCGTGGTACTGATGATGTGCGCGTGACACCTCATGTACAAAGCCACTTGCGTCACAGCTGAGCGTGGATGCAATTTGTACACATTACCCCACAGAGAAAGAAGAGCTAGAGGGAAGAGGCTCAGCCAGCCTAGTAAAGATGTGTGGAAACTTAGTGTTCGCGTGGAAACTCTCAATACAGCGTGTCAGATTATAATGGATCGCAAACTCCTTTTAAATTGTTGGTGAAGACCAGTGGAATAAGTAGCAAATTTAATCAAAATAGCCCCTTGAGGCTGCTGGAGACAGACACCCTGTTGGCTACCGTCACACCTTTAGTTGAAAACATTTTTGAATGCTTTCAATCACCAAAGGAATGCACATTGATTTATCTCAACAGTGTTGTTGACACCTACATTTGTAAAATGAGCTGGTCAGTAGAGTCGTCTGATGTGACATCTACCTCACACCTGGACTGAGTCCGAGGGACACAGCATCGGGGGTAATGGGTGAGAAATACAACACGCAGTAAATAAATGTAGATGTGAGTTAGGTGATGAGACTTGGCAAGTTCAAGCGTCGTTGTGTAAAAATGTTTACCAGTTGAGAAAGTTCAATGTCAATTTTTTGTTCGAAAGTCAAACCGAAAACGGAAAACACATTGAGGGTTATTTAAGCAATCTTGGACAAGATTCACTTGATCATTTCTCTCACAGCCTCTTAAAAAATCCAATCGGTCTATAACAACAGTGCCCAGTACGCCACGTCTATTCCCAATTGCATTACCCTACACCTTGTATGCATAAATGAAACCTAAACTTAAAGTAGTAGTGCTCTCCTCTTGCAGATTAACTCTAAATGCTGTTGCGTGTGATAGTCGAAAGGCTATTAAAATCGCGAGCTCATCAAGAGGCGCGCGCGACGGATTTTAACAGTAAGCTTAGACCTTGGCATTGAGTAAACTCTCATTTAAGAATTAAGGACCGCCTAAAACGTCCGGAGAATTCACTATGATCATTGAGTTCAACCCTTAAATCTTGGCACTCCCGGAAAGGGAAAGGAAGAAGAAAGAGGAGGATGGCACCACCAACTCCCTTCCCCTGTCGGAGGGTTACAGCGCACTGCTCTGACTTGACTGCGGTAATAACCTGCCTATTCTTCGCTCAGGGGACCACCTCTGAGGCCGGCGTATTTGCATCTTGCTGGCATCGTTCATTCGCGGCCAGCTCGGGCTGTTACTGGAGGTCGACGTGCCGTGCTCGATGTCAGCTTGGGCGACTTGAGGCTACGCTTGCATCCCTGTGCAAGCAGCAGCCGTAACCGACACGGCTTCGGCTTCTTCACTTGATCGCGCTACCTCCTAAGCCATGTTAGTTTAGCAGGTCGGCGGCTTGCGCTGGCACCGCTGCGCACAGCGGAGCCTCTTCCCAGAAGCCTGGCACTGCCTCTCAGCAATTGGCTGCTGACGGATTATGCATTCCTCGCCTTCGCGAGGAATGCGCCACAACTTTGTCCAACATGTCTCCAACCTGCGGTCTGCCTTCTTTGTAGGCCATGCCCAGGGTAACCGAGTCACAGTATTGATTTTGAAATTAATTTGAACTTATCGTAAGGCGGAGCGCACATATATCAGGGGCTTCCGCCAATTGAACCAAACCTATCATTAAATCATTCGTTGACATCCATCTTTGCAGGCAACATAACTTCAATCTTCATTCACTTGAAAAACTTCACTGTCATGGCTCGATCCATTCTCCTCGCCGCACTCATTGTGCTATCCGCTGAGGCCGACAACGGTGTCCCTTCACCAGATCCAATCCAGGGCTGGGAGCACGTTGGCTGCGTTCAACTCAGTCGCAAAGAATTCACCTTCGGGTATCCTCTCGCGGCCGATCAGAATAGCTGTCTCAATTCGTGTGATTATTACGAGAGCAACTACGCCGCCATAGGAGAGTGGTGCTGGTGCGGCACGGAAAACATAACCCAAGTCTCTGTCACAGATGCCCCAGAGTCGAATTGCGAAAAGTTCTGCTATCCGGACGCGCCAGACACTGGAAGCTGTGGAGACTTCGTCAACAACATCCAATACTATGATCTTTTCAAGAAGTCCGATCCGGGAGTTGTGATCGTAAAGTTACCTGCCACCCCCAACACTCCAACGCCAAGCTCTTCTACTCCAAGCTCTCCGACACCCGGCTCTACTATTCCAAGCTCTTCAGCGCCTAGCTCCCCTACTACCAGCTCTCCGAGTCCTGGTTCTCCTACTACATCAAGCTCATCAACTTGCCCACCTGGGGGATGTGTTGCTCAAACCATCACATCTTCTATCCTCTCTACAGCCACGAGTCTCACAGATACTGTTTATCAGGGATCTGGGTCGAAGACTACGGCCCCCAATGGGTCGAGCGAGACAGTGATAGTGGATCCTGGATCTGGGTCAACAATTACAGTCCCCAATGGGTCGGGCGAGACAGTTGTGGTTGGTCCTGGCTCTGAATCAACGACCACAGTCCCTACTGGCTCAGTATCAACACTACCGGAAACCAGCAACGCTCACTCCGGTCACAAGCCGTACCCTGCTATTGTTTTGACACTTTCTGCATTTGCTGTACTGGCGTCGTACCTGGCATAGTCCATACTATTCATGTACTGAGTGATTATTAAATAAGCTAGGCTCGAAGCTTATTATTCCCAGATAGCTTGCTGACTCGTATTATTGACAGTTAGCTTGCGTAGACTAGCTACTCAAAGTCACTCTACTGCTTGAATACTGTATCAGCCAATATTTAATTTTCTTCTCCGACTTGTACCCAGCGTGGCTTCTGATAAGATCAATAAATAAGTACTCCATACGTGTGTAATCTAGAGTTGGCAGGGTTGGCATTGTTTGCAGGGGTACAGTAATAAATCGGCGCGTTTGAGAATGAGCGCGATGCGGGGTATTTAGTACAGACGGGTCAGGTCTATGTTTTGATGAGGCCAAGAAGCTTACGCGTCTTCTCATCTCAACATTTAAGAAATGACACAGGAAAGACTTGCCGAGACCCAACGAAGGTCACAATTATGGCATCTTAGGAGGATCCGCATCTCCAGCATTCTTTGAATCACCAGTACTGTCCACACCGCCTGGCTAGCAAGGGTTAGAATTCGAGACGTGTTGAGGGCTGTTGGTTGCTTCTCTGATCAGGGATAGACCTCCGAGCGGCTTTTAACCCTATTGGCTAGAGAAAAATACCTCGCTTTACTAGATCAAATATGATTGATTGTGCAGCTGCGGCGAACCATATGAGGATGTGACACATGTCTAGAACCCCCATGGTCTGATAACGCGTGGTGGATATGAGGTGATCGGGGAGACAAGAGCCAGGTTAAAAGAGGGGTTCGCGCCAGCTTAGCCTCCCATTCCTATTTCCAACTTGTGGTTTTGAGATGCTCTCACCGAGTATTTCCAGCAATCATGTGTCCAGAAACGGAAACGGATCCTCCGGCACAATTGCTGGGATCGCTAGCTGAGAACCCATTGCAAGCGGACGTGAGTAACCACTTCAAGCAATGCGGTGTATTTTCTTGCTGAGGTATGAACTCACACTGCTCTTTCTAGGAAAATCCCCTAGACGACGATTCCGCCCTTGGAAGCTCGTAAGTCTTGCTATTACTCATTCAGGAAAATCGTGCCTAAAGGTATGTCCAGCTATGGCTCGGCTAGTTACCAAACAACCCTAGCTTCCAGTGTAATGAATTACAAGTAAGCTAGCCCCAGATTGTTATAGATCTTTGATGAGTTTTATTAAGCTGATGTCTTTACTTGTTTTAGATATGAAGTTAGTTCCAGAGAACAGTCGGTTGCTTCATGAAACTGACGATTCTTTAGAATGGGCGACGTTATCATGCATTTCGCGAAGGCTCCTATCTACTTGTAATTCTTCATCAAACCCTTGCTGAAATGAGAAAGATATCTAATTTCATCACAATAGCCGAACGATGAGGAAGAACAAGATCGCATGGATCTAGTACACCACCTGTATTGTCTGGCTCTCGGAGGCAAGCTCTTCTTTGCTCCTATCCAGGACAAGCCCCAGCGAGTGCTTGATCTAGGCACTGGTACTGGGATCTGGGCAATGGACTTTGCAGAGTGAGGCCTCTCACAACATCAGTGTCCTTAGGGTTACATCTAACACTCAGAACTCTAGCCAATATCCATCGGCGCAAGTCATTGGGACTGATCTAAGCCCCATCCAACCCAAATGGTGCGTGATATATCGCGCTTTGAACTTCTTTCAACTTTATGTACTCGTCTCTGATCACCTTTTTATAGGACTCCACCGAATTGTACCTTTGAAGTTGAAGATTTTGAGGCAGAGTGGCTCTACGAAAAGCCGTTTGATTTCATCCACGGTCGGGAATTGGAAGGATGCATAAGCAATGACGACCAGCTATTCCATCGAGCGTTCAAACACCTGGCGCCTGGCGGATATATTGAATTCCAGGCGACTAACCCCGGGTTTCTTTCTGATGACGATACCGCTAAGGATGCAGTGAATGCCCAGCTGTGGCTGAAACATTTAGTCGAAGGAACAGCGAAGTTTGGTAAGCCCATGGATGGTGTGTTTATGTGGAAAGAGAAGTTAGAGAGTATCGGGTTTATTGATGTTCAGCAGCTAATCTACAAGGTGAGTGAAGCTTCCCATTAGACGCCTCTGGAGTGGAGATATGTCTATCGTTTATTTACTGACTAAGTAGGTTCCTGTTGGTGCTTGGGCTAAAGATCCAAAGCTCAAGGAGCTTGGCAGATTCCAGGGAATTCAGCAGGTGCAAGCGGTCGAGTCATATACACCGGCACTCTTCGCTCGCATTCTGGGTTGGACTGAAGAGGAAATCCAGGTCTTCATTGCCAAGGTTAAGAAGGACCTGACGAATCCAAAGATCCACCTTTACATTCCAGTGTTTTTCGTCTGGGGACGGAAGCCAACTGCCGGGAATAGCGAATGAATTATTACGGCGAGAAGACAATTTATCTCCATTACAGCGATCCGTGCAACTCTAATTTGTGATAACCTACTTGATCGTACTCATTTTTTACATCCGGGCTCTACTTCTCGATTTCTAACTCTAATAAGTTGAACACTCGATCCAGTCAGCAGTCGCTATACCCAGTCCTGCCAAACCGTAAAGAGAACATCTCTCCTAACTTTTTGTGAATTCAGCCCTGCAAATATTTCCCACGTATAATTGGTGGAGTCCTAATTCGACCGATCTTTGAGGCGCCATCACCACATTGGCTCGCGCGGAAGGACATGTTCCGTAGTCATGAATTCTGTATCTCCCCGAAGGCCGAACGCGACACTACCTGCACAAATCCACAAATAGGCAAAATATCCTTCTGAATTTCGTTTGCCATTGTGTGCCTCATTGGGACAATTTCATCATCGGGTCAGTGAGTGCCGAGCTCAAACATTCGACGCTACGTAACGGGAGTAGGATTGGGACGCGTCCCCATCTACATCCATTGATCGACAAGTGCTAGTGCTTGCTGGAACAATTGTTTTCCGCACTAATTAAGTGACCTTGGTCACAATGTTGCATTTTGAATATCTACAGTTCGGCATCCTGGGTTAATACTGGACGAATATACCTGCATTGCATATGAGTGGAAATTCGGAAGTGGCGGGGATAAAATAAATATAACTCGCCACGATGCCACTGCGATTGTCAGATGGGGCATCCGTAGACTCCAGCCACACTGTCGGTTCTATAGCAGAACAATCAAGATGATGTTGTCCGTTATTTTCACCTTCCTCTTGGCGTGGACTGTCTCAGTCCTCGGCATAACTGTCACCACGACCACTTCAGCCTACACCATTAACACGGAGAGCAGCTATGGGTTTGTTGTCGCCATTAGTCGTTCGACCTGCGACATCACGTCGATGAAGTTCTACGGGACTGAGTACCAGTACTCGAGCACCTATAGCCACATTGCATCTGGCCTGGGTTCTGCAACCGTTTCATATTCTACCTCCGGTGAGCGTCTTCTGAATTGACTAGTCTCGTGCCAAGGCCGTGCTGATGGACCACTCCAGGGGACTACGTGATCGTCAAGTGCGTCGCCGACAATGACTCGTTTGATCTGACACATTACATGGTCTTTGAGGATGCTAGCAACAGCATCTACATGGGCACATATACCGTCTCCGAGCCCACTGTTGGCGAATTGCGCTTCATTTTCCGCCTAACAGGCCTGACAACTGCGTATCCCTACGCCACCGTCTCCGACACCAGTGGCGGCACCGCAATTGAGGCTTCCGACGTCTACACCGTCAGCTCGCAGACGCGCAGCAAGTTCTACTCGTCGGAGAGATTCATTGACGACAGTGCCTATTGTGCTACCAACTCGGATGCTTCCATCCACGCTTGCTGGGTGCGTCCCAACCAGAAAGCTACCGAGAAGAGCAGTGGCGGACCCTTCTTCAGAGATATAAACCTCAACTGGGGGGGCAGCTACCATAGCGTCACGTACTATATGAACTCGGGCCATGTGCAGACCGAGAGCAATCGTCAGGGTTTCCACGGCCCATACGTGTTTAGTTTTAGCCGCAGCGGCATTCCCTCTGCATCGGGCTTTGACGTGTCTTTCTTTGACAATCTCGGCTTGACTGGCTACGTTGGCGCTTCTGGTCGCGGGTACGTCAAGGGCACGGCATCGGGCGTGTCGTCCAGCTTTCCCATCGTGGTCCACTGGTACAACACCAACTATCAAGGTTGGGCATACGCCTCTTCGTCAGGCGCATTCACCAGTCCAGCGCTCGTGGCGGGCACCTATACGATGAAGCTGTACCAAGATGAGTTCCTGGCTGCTACATCGACCGTTACTGTATCTGCAGGCGCCACGGCAACAGCAAATATTGCCGCAAGCAACACGATCCTCACAAGCAGCCACACGACGATTTTCAAGATGGGTGACTACGATGGCCAGCCGACCGGCTTCCTAAACGCCGCCAATCAGCTGCGAATGCATCCGTCCGATAGCCGCATGTCAAGTTGGAGCCCCGGCACGGTAGCCTCAACTTCCGCTTCGAGCTGGCCCATGGCTATGTTCAAGGACGTCAATAACGGTCAGAAGATCTCTTTCTCTCTCTCCTCCGCCATCAGCTCGACTGCTACTCTGAGAATCGCTACCACGCTGTCATTTGCCGGTGGGAGGCCACAGGCCACTGTGAACGGCTACACTTGCTCTGCCCCGGCGGCGCCCGCGACAATTGACAGCCGGGGCGTCACGAGGGGTGCTTACAGGGGCTGGGGAGATGTTTACGACTGCAGTATCCCAAGCGGGAATCTAGTCAGTGGTACGAACACGGTCACAATAAATGTCATCTCGGGAAGTAGCGGTACCGCTTACCTGAGCCCCAACGTAGTAAGTATTCCTATGTATTAACCTGCTAACAAGTTTCCTTCTCCCGCTAACCTCTTGCCAGATCTTTGATGCCATTGAACTGTTCTACTAGAGCTGAAAGGTACCGATTGGGTGGATGGTTGAAGAGATGCTACGATTGCTTGACAAGAGACGACGACCACCTCCAGAAGCAATCACTGTCAATGTGGAGGTTGGACGAACGTAGTATATAAGGGGACTTACTGACAGTACAGTTTGGACGATCCATACTCGGTTTCTACATAGGCTTCCAAGGCTTGATGAGAGGATTTAGATAACTTTATATCGTCAATGTACTCAGTTTGTTCTTGTTTCAGCAAATTTGAGCTGCCAAAAAGGTTCAATATGTAGGCACAAGTAGAGATAGTTACTGCCCGAAAACAAACAAGCTACATAAGAATTAAACTAAACAATGTAGTTAGGATAATTATTACGCTCTGGTACCACGGGGCACAGGATGTAGTTCGTCCGCCCACCTCCAATATGAATTGCGTTCTGGTCTTCTTCGCCATGAGTTTCGCCATACCAGAGTCGCATACCAGGGGATTTGTAGCCAGGGATGTTGGGCTGATCTTCAGAAGGGCAAACGTCCAGTCGCAACTTCCAACCCTTGCGGACTCTGGCAGCTGCTGGCAGAATCTCGATGGCGATTTCCACAACATCTTCCGCTCCACGGAGTGGTCCAAGATGCTCCTTCAGGTGGGTGTGCCAAGGCCTCCAGGGAAGTGATAGCTCTGGATCTGTATGGCGATGGCTGACACGCAAGAAACCTTTCGCAACCGGCTCGGGGTCATCGCTGGAAGCTCCGTAGCTGACAACAGTCCCTGTCTCATCAACAGCCCAGAGAAGGGCAGTAACGTCAGCATCGGCTGCGGTTGAAGAGACACTCAACACTGCAACGAAATGTCCCGCGAGATCAACGTCTTCCGTGAACGCAGGAGAGTGGAAGCTCACACCGGATCTGCCTACCGAAGGCGCCCTCGCTGAGTATGCGAGTCGAGTCTCTGGCGTTCCCTTTTCCAGGGGTGTAGACGACAAGCCACCATCAGGAGTAAGATGCCAGTTCGTGTATTTTGTTCCGGGAACCGGCCAACTTTGCTCAGTGCGCCAATACCAGTCTCGATTGCCAAGCCTCATCTGGATACCAACCCGTTCAGGCGCCAGGGTCTCTTCTCCTTTGAGATAACGGTCCAGAAACTGCATAATCTTGGTGGAAGATTCCCGGCTCGGCCACGAATAGTAGTTGGAATCAACCAGCTGGAGATGCGTGTTCTCAGGACGTCGGGCCATCCACGCTTCAAAAGCACCCCTTCCATGGATCATGAAGATCTGAGATGCTGCCAGGAAGCATGGGATGTCGATCGACGCTTCTGTACTGCTGTCGAGCATCTCCCAGAATTTGCTGTACGTCTCGTTGGCCTCCATCAGAGCTTCCACGTCCATGGAATCCTTCCACTTAGGTGACACCTCGCGAACTCGCGCGAACCAATTCTTCAGATACCGGATTGATGGAATGCCGCCAATATTTGCGGCCTCGCGGTACGAGTCGATGTCGGCTGTCAACATTCTGGTTAATAACCCTTGCCGCATGCATATAGAGGGACTTCCAAGCAACAGAACTTACTTGCATAGGGCACAAAGCATTTTAAACCCTTTGGCTTAGCTCCTGCTACTGCCCACTGGGTATTTGCTCCGTAAGAGCTTCCGACTAGGCCGGCATTGCCATTGCTCCACGGCTGCTTGACTGACCACTCCACCGCCGCCAAGAAGTCATCAGGCAGGTCTCCAGGAGCCCATCTTGTACCGGGTGTCTGGGAGACACCCTTGGGGTCGATCTTGACCATAGCGTAGCCGTGGGGTACATAGCTAAAGGTGTTAAAAGTGGCAATGTTCTCGAAGCCTCTTTGTGTCGGGAAAAAGCCCAACCAGGGGCCTGCATCATGCAAGTCGACCTCAACTCCTTCAGGAGTCGAGTGCCAGTGATCTTCCGCCCTCTCAAACCTCATGATATCCTGCTCATCCTCAATATCTGGACCACTCCAGGGAACTCGTCGTCCGTAGAGCGTACAGCTAAGAAGGACTGGAAACTTCTTCCTGGGTTGTAATGGGAGATATACATCGGCGAGGATGTATCCGCCATTGGGAGAAGGGATCTGAAGATCTCGCAGAACCTTAAACCCGGCTGTTTCCCGGCGCAGATGGTTCCGGGCATGAGGCACCGATTTTGGGCGGAGACCGAGCTCGTTACAGATCTTTCCCAGGGGACCATCAAGCGACGACAGGTCCTCGGAGTCCAAATTGATCTCCTGCGCGTATTTGCCGATGGTTTCCTCGACCTATATGAGGAGATTGAGTTAGCCCAGAAGGGTTTCGGCAATGGGGGGGGGGGGGGGGGGGGGGGGGGCGGTTAATTGCAAGGATGCTAGGTCATGAGCATTATGAGGGCTTCTTACCTTCTGGTCAATTTTGATGCCTTGTTCGAACCCTTGACCCGGCGTCAGGCTGAAGAGTAATCGAGCTCGATTAACCAGGCGGGGGTCAAAGGTTGGGATGTCAACGGAGACCAAGTCAGAGACAGTGACCAAGGACTTTCCCACACAGGAGCCCAGTACAACATTGCCAATAGAGAATGTCACCTCTTCGCCGGGGTTATACGAAAATTCCGAATGAACAGTCGTTTTCCCAATGACACCACCAGTCTTATAGGAAAGACCAACCACGTCAACAAAAACTCCAGTTAGAGTCATGATGAGTCAGAACGCCTGTATTTTTGGTGTTGGAAATGGAGAGTTTGGATTTTATCGAGAGAGAATAGAGCTCGTCAATGTTGATCTGAGGAGGCACTTAAATTCAGCGTGTATTAAGGCCATATATATATATATATGTATGCCATGAGAAGCTGCCTTTACGGCTTGTGAAAGTGCATGAACATGGGTCCGTTTGACGGGGGTGGAGTTGTTCCATTGCCGGGACACATGCCAAGTTCGGCATTATGCTGCTTCACTCCTTACCTCGGAGCTATTCCTATTTGTCATTATTGAGAGTTGCGGAGTAACCAGAGAGAGTCGTGGCTATTCCTCCCCAAGAATTATCCCGATAAGCTGTCGATGCCTCGCTTCTCAACCACCGGCAACTCGGTGGATTTCCTAATAAGGAAATCATCCAGAAGTTGGCGCTAACTGTAACCATATTAGCCCTTGAAGTCTCTTGGCACGTCACTCAGATATCACCGAGCCGAGTCCTCTTCGCCCGATGCGGTCTTTTAATAACCCGTCTTTGCTATAAAGCGATTCTAGTCGCGGCCCCCTGGCATGGCCCGATTCTGTCATGACCGCTGCTCCACCAACCAAAAGTTGATATGAATTTTGAATGACAGATCCGGCAACAGACATGACGCAAAAGGAAGAGAGCGATAACGCGCCAAATTCTGTGCGGATCGATCCCGGCGGCAATGGTACAACTCTCGACAATAATCCACCGCCGAATGAGGAGAACCGCACATTGTATACTGCCTCACATGAACCAGCTCGTGATGCGGAAGCAAATCACCTCGCTCAAGACGAAAAGGACCCCTTCGACGTCGATTGGGATGGTGGTGACGATGACCCGCTGTGTCCAAGAAGTTTTAACAAAACAAAAAAATGGTTGATTGTGGCTATTGTTTCGCATGTCAGCCTATGCCTGTGAGCTTATATATCTGTGAAACTTCACAAATACCAACTTGACCTTGAACTGATATCTCTTGATAGTACCTGCGCCAGCTCCATTTACACATCAACGTACAGTGGGATGCAGAAAGATTTCCACAACTCAAGGATCGTTTCTGTTCTGGGCCTATCGACTTTCGTATTAGGCGTCAGTTTTGGCCCGATGTTTCTTAGCCCACTCAGCGAGTTCTATGGCCGAAGGCCCATTTACCTGGTTTCATGGACAATGTACGTCGTCTTGCTCATACCCCAAGCCGTCGCCAAGAATATCGCCACTATTATTATCTTTCGTTTTTTCGGCGGCTTCGCAGGCAGTGCATTTCTAGCTGTATCTGGTGGGACAGTTGGAGACCTGTTCTCCAAGAATGAGCTACAAGCTCCTATGGCGTTGTTTTCTGTGGCACCATTCATCGGTCCTAGTTTGGGACCATTGCTCGGAGGCTTTATCAACTACAATGTTGGTTGGAGGTGGACATACTACGTTCTGATCATCTGGTCGTTTGCGGTTTGGATAGCCATCGTCTTTTTGGTTCCCGAGACATACCGTAACTCTCACCGTGGATATTTCTCAATGTCTGTAATCTGCTGACTTCAAATTAGACCCGATATTGCTGAGAAATAAAGCCCAAATGATGCGAAAGGAAACAGGAGATAGCCGATGGGTTGCCCCTATGGAAAAAGTTAGGAAGTCGCCTATCCGAGGTCTCGGTCTCTCGCTTCTGCGCCCCTTTCAGCTCCTCATCTTTGAGCCTATGTGCCTCAACCTGTGCATATTTTCCGCCCTCTTGCTGGGCATCATCTATCTTTTCTTCGGTGCATTTCCTCTAGTCTTTGGCGACATATACGGGTTCAACCTTTGGCAAAACGGCGTATCGTTCCTTGGAATTATGGTATCCATGCTGCTTGGCGTAGCAACTGACCCTATATGGCGTAGGGTCCGCGACAATCTCATTCGCAAACATGAACGTGAAACTGGGCTGAAGGGTAAAAGCGAGCCTGAATTCCGGCTCCCGCCCGCAATTCTCGGCTCAATTCTTGTTCCGTGTGGCTTATTCATTTTCGCATGGTCAACATATCCATGGGTTCATTGGATAGTTCCAATTGTTGGATCGGGCTTCTTTGGAATTGGGTGAGCATTATTCCTGCCCTTTCATTGCGCTTCACACCATACTGGACCAACTCAATTATCACAATTCAACCTATTGGTTGGAATGTGATACCTTCCTTGTTTGGGATAGATCCAGGTATTATGCTCCAGGATGCACTTGGGAGATGTTGCATTTAACTGCAATATATGATAGCTTAACCACCCTATATACCCACTATTAACACAGGCACTTCAAAGCTGACATAGCGGGTTGTGTAGGAGTGTGCTTGTGTTCACAGGTATCTTTACATTTTTGGTGAGTGACAGTGCTTAAAACAGCGCAACATAATGAGGAGTAAAGCACTAACAAGCTTCAATAGGTTGATGCGTATCCGTTGTATGCTGCAAGTGCTCTGGCCGCCAACTCATTCTTGCGCAATATTTTTGCTGGTAAGACAAAAAAGAATAAACTCTTTAGAGCATCTCAAACTCCTTCACTGTCCCGATCAGATACTTGTCACTGTTATTCAACGTTCATCTGAAGAGAATGCTTACTTAAGACTATAGCTGCATTCCCCCTTTTTGGAAATCAGATGTATGAGTCACTAGGTTATCAATGGGGCTCATCTCTCCTTGCATTCCTCACTCTTGCTATGCTGCCGTTTCCATACATTTTCTTTGTAACTGGGATGAAGATTCGACGCAAGAGTAGATTTGCCACATATTAGAACTATAGAGGTATCGGTTTAGGAAAATGACGCTGCATTAACAGTCCAGCCTAGTTAGACTATTTGATTTATTTTTGGCTTTACTCAATATCATCAGATCGATTAAAGCCATATAGTATTTACTTATAACAGACGCATTTGTCTTGCAATATGTCTGCTATCCGAAAATACAAAGATAAACAGCTAAGTGGTTGCACATTCATTTTTGTCTAATGCTTGTCATTCAACCCTACTGTCCTCAGCCTTGTTAACTATAGACAATGGCCTTGGACACTACAGATAATACCCTCATCCTGAGTCATAATATAATAAGGGCTGACGGTTTTCGCCGTGAAAAGGTCAACTTCTCATGGTGGAAAGTATCCAGCAACTATAACATAGGCGTTTGGGAGATTCTGCTATGGTATCTTTAAATCCGAGACTACAAGAGTTAGGATGGCTGTAGGCGGAAAGGTTAGATAGGCTTCCGAAAGGTCGACCAGAAAGAGTTTGAACCCAAACGTGGGCCCTGGAACATACGCAACGAAAACGCAGTATGTGCAAACGTCGGGTCCCATCATCGAATATTGGACTATTAGTCCGGACTACAATACAAAACTAAGAGTAAACTCCGCCAAAGTGCTCTACAAACTTTCCTCACTAATATCATACACAAGTGTCTTTTGTCCAAAACCAAAAGTCTGCAGGTTTAAAATGCGGTAGACAGTTAAAAACGCCACCATAACAAGCTCGTTAAACCAGAGACGCCAGGGACCCGTCTTTTTGCGCATTGCACCATTTTTCTTTGCTGTCTTGTATATCTCATCAACCCTTGGTCTGCGCTTCCCCTCATATCTGGTAAAAACATCGTTCAGTTCAAGCGAAGGTTCACCCAGTAGACGAGAAAGAAAAAGAACATCCTCGAGCGCCATAGAAACGCCTTGGCCAGCGTGAGGCGACATTGCATGGGCTGCATCTCCCAATAGCAGACATCGCCCCTTGTGCCATACTCCACCGAGAGGAAGGGTGCATATAGGGTGAAATTTCAAAACTTTGCTCTTGTCGATGAAGTCCGTCAGCACATTGCCCCACTCCCCCTTGACCTTACTCGCAGCATTGCGCATGACGGGCTTGAAATTGTGGACAGTCCCGTCTGGGTTTGTGCTTGAAGTTGAGGCAGGAAACTCAGAGGAAAAGAACCAGTAGTTGACATCCCTCGATTTTGTGCAACACATGAGTGCAAAGAATCCATCTGTTGTAAAAGTTGCATGGGTTGCTCTGGGAAGTCCGGTTGGTGTTGGGTGGTCAGATGTCGGAACAAGGGAATAGATGTCTGATATCCCAGAGTATTCGGGTTCAGTTTCAGGGTCCACATACAATGTTCGAACGCCTGACCGAAGGCCGTCACAACCGAGGAGAAAATCGGCTGTATCTGTCGTCCCGTCCGAAAAGTTCGCCATGACTTCCCGGTCTCGTTCCTTGATTTCCACAAGGGTCTTGTTATAGTGAATCTCAAGGTCTGCTTCTCGAGCCGCATCGCAAAGCACTTCCATGAGATCGACTCTCCGAATCTCCAACTGGCAACACCCGGTCTTCTTTTTGCTCCAAGAAACAAAATCGAGCTGGCCCATGACTGAGCCCCGAACAGAATGTAAGGTTACATTGGTTCCGGGTGACCCTCTGGCAATAAGCTCATCGTACACGCCCAACAGCTTGAAGATTCGCATGCCGTTCGGCTGGATTCCAATCGCGCCGCCGATTGTGGTTGGCTCGGGACAAGCTTCATAGACAACAGGTCTTAGGTGATTCCTCTGCTTCAAAAGTAATGCCGCCGCAAGTCCAGTCGGACCACCCCCGATGATGACCACCTTAGTGCAAAGTTAGACTCGCTCCACAGCTCAAACGCAGAGTCAAGGAAAGTGACTGTACCTTTTTTAATTCGCTCATTTCAAGAAGAAGTATGTCGAGTTATAGAACGCCGATTGAATACTTGATCGAGTCACTCACATGCAGCTTTGAACACTGCGAGTTGTGTATGGTCAGGCTTCGGTGGATGGACCTATACTGATAGAGTACCTGAAGTTGAGACGGGTGGAAACTTAAATGCGAGATGACTGTCCGGTACGGGTTCTTCAGACTCTCCGACTCCGACTTCCGTCACTATGCCCAGTCATACTTGCATGTGTGCTTGAATTCTCAGCTCACCTGTCTTTGCCATATCCCTGGTCGGAAAATGAATCAGGGGCACTGGGTTTAGGCCTAAGTTCTTTCTGGTAATGTTCCGGTTAAAGAGTTGGGTCGAGCTATTTCTTAGTGGAGATCTCCCCTGAATGCCTGAAAAGTCAGATTGACTCTAAATTCGGTAACCCGGAGGTTTTTATAATGTCCGTTCGCCACGACCAACTCGGATCCCTGTAAGTTCATAAATTTTGCGGACTGGTTGCACCAACCACCCCCGAACGGCGGCTTTGTTAAGGGTTCATTAGAAGAACCGTGATCCGAGACTCGGATGAACGCCGTGTTTCCCATTGTGTTTTCTATTGTTTACATGCTTGAGAAAAACAATAACTTTGATCATTTTTGTGACGTACGCGCCGTTACGAGATTACTACCTTTCTCAAAAGCTGAATTGCATTACTCCTTTTTTTTTTTTTTTTTAAAAAAAGAAAAGAAAAAGAAACCCAGGCCGACGCTTCTGCCGGCTTTCATCGCTTCCATTAGCTGGACTGTGATGTCAAATGTGCAATTTCCCCGAGAGTGAACAACAGGATACTAACTTCTTGTAATCCGAGCGCCCAATCTTCTCCGTCTCTTGCCGCAATTACTCTATGGGCCGTATTTTTCCTTGCTCTCTCTTTGCAACAGTGCTAAATCGAGTCCAGATAATCAGCTGTTAAGGATATATTGTTCTTGACCACGCCATGTTATCCAATAACTATCAGAGTCCAGGACTAGGATCTATTTCTAGTCTCTACTACTTCAACAGGCGACGAGCTTTGATTTCATCAAAATATCCTCCCACAATACATGGCGGAACGAGGTACGAGTGTTCTGGTAAAAGTGGGAACTTACCTCATGGGTCAAACAACCACACCAATACCACAGGACATTTAGGGTAGCTGAGATAACATCATCGCAATTCTGCCAAAAAAATACGATCTTGGAAGAGAATGGTCCCAAGGCCAGACTAGATATCATCAATCGGATATGAGAGAATGTGTGATGATATCATTTTCAACAGACAACATCAAAATTCGGGGAGAAAAGAGCAAAATTGCCACCTTATAGGCCCCTGTTTTGACAAGGATCCCCCTTCAAGCGTACACCTCGTCAATTTCTTCTCACAGTGAATTTCACTGCTTCTTATCTACAACATCGAAGTCTACCGGGTGGGAAATCGAGGAACTATTGTGTGTCTATCCTCTGTCTACTCTACCAATGCGCAACTTCAAAGCATAACTGGCCCTCTGTTGATTTCCATCCTCCTGCATCAAAGCGACTGCGGTGGGAACAATGGAATTTGGTCCGCTGAAAAACGTGTAGAACACGTCGTATCCGTGGATGGGGGGGAGGTTGCTGAATTTATACCGGTACGAAAGTGAATCGAGTTGGCGGAATGCTTTTTGCAGGTAATACGTGTTGCAAATGAAGCCAGCCTCGGCTAGCGACAGCTTGGCGTCGGCGAAGAAGTCGACCTAGGGCTGGCTGCCGTCGAAGGTGGAAGGGTAAAGATCCTTGGAGACGTACTCGACAACGGCCTCCTGCGCGCCTGGGAATGTCGTCCCGAGATTTTTGACGTTGGCGGTGTTAATGATGTTGTTCTCGCTGGTGAACGACAGGGTCTCGTTGTGGTTCCAAGCGGCCATGATCTTGACAGACTTGTCAAAGCCACCCTGCGCGAGAGGTGCTGGGCGATTGCGAAAAGCAATGGTATCGAGCTGGCCGACTTTTACGAGTGGAATCCGGCTGTGCAGACGGACTGCTCAGGACTGCAGGCCAATGTGTATGTGTGTATTGGGGTGTAGAGATGCGTTAGGGAAAAGAAAAGGGGGGGACATGGTACTGCTGAAGCCAGATTATAAGACCTCCAATCGGTCTTTTGGCTCAAGGATATATACCGATAATATGGGTTCAGAGCAATGACGCGACTGCCGACCGTCCCATCTACCATGTTTCTGGCTTACCATGTTTCTGGCTTGCCCTCGTGGTGCTTCATCCACCAGTCATCCTTTGCCCGGTATCCCATCACCGTCAGCTGAGTGTAGGACACATGGGGTCGTTCAAAATAGGGATCAAATACATCTACCGTGGTGCCTGTGCCCAGCTCGATATTGCAATCACGAAAAGGGTTCTCGCCCTCACCGTATAGAAAGTCTTCAGCCTCACGACTGACGCGGTTGTGCATATTGGGCAGTTGGTTTTGTTCCCGAGCGTGAATGATGACCCTGGGCCTCTTCCCAGGCGATCGTTCCCGCCAGTCCAAGGTGCTCCTCATGTCCTCCAACAAGCTTTCGTGGCTGCCCTGGTCAAGAAAGGCCAGGAAGCTCAGCTCCACCGTTTGAAGCGTGGGAGACAGCGCGAGGAGCAGGTCAATCAGATCTCCTTGCTTTATGATGACGCGAAAGAGACCAAAGTCGCGGAGATGGGACCAGGTATCGATGGGGAAGATGTCGCGCAGCGGGATAAAGTGTACGTCATTGTCGCCCATGTCCCACAGGTTAAAGTCTTTGTCATTGCCGAGGTTCGTCGCCAAACGTACACTCTTGAGGCCTGGCACCGCCTGGAGAGCTCTCCGAAGATGGCCACTGCGAAAGGTCTGCCAACGTGTTGCATCCTGGCCGTTGATGAAAAGGGCGAGGTCAATGCGAGAGAACCCGGGCCGGCTGAGGATGTCGACAAGATCCTTGTACACGACGCTATCGCCCTCTTCAAAGATACGACAGTCGATGCCCGTCAAGAGTTCATTGGTGTCAACGACAAACTCACACAGGCGCGCAGCGGGATGCTCACGGCCAAATCGAGCGACGACTCGTGTCACGAGATGGAAGCCTCGCCAATGGACCTCTCCGTTGCCCGCCCACGGCTTCGCTTCGGCCGTGTTGTCGTGATCTTTATTGACGGGCCAGCCTTGAGGCAGCGGATAGATGAAGCCACGTGGCAGCGAGCGGATCATGGGCGTCTCGTACAGAGGCCGCACAGGACTACCGTGGACGGCTGGCGTGATAGTGACTCTTCTGAGATTTGGGAAGCGCTCGAGGCCGTACTGGAGTGCCTCTTCGTCGCTGTTTGTGTCAATGACCTGGTCTTGCTCGCGGAGCAGCATTTGATAGAGCCGGTACGATTCTCTGACATTGGTCCGGGTCTTGTACCGCTTGATCACTTCGTAGTGGTGCAGCCGCTTGACATCCTCGCGCCCGTAATGGTCTATGGTGAAAGAGTTGTAGCGATAGATGCGCCGGTACCAGGCCGGGATTCCTGATGAGGATGGATCGCCTAAGTCTTGATACTCTTGTCTCTCGTAGTGAAGACGTGCGGCGCTGTTAGAAATGTTATAGCTTCTATCTGTGCCGTGCAACTCATGAGCGAAGCGTGCATCATCGTACACGATCTCGACAATGTTCTTTCTAAACTGCTCGTGGTCCGCAACGGCCCTGAATACCTTGACGTCACGGGGACTGGCGGAGAGAAACACGCGACTGAAACGCAGCTGAACAACGCGGCCGAGATGAATGCATGTTGCGCGGAGGCTCTTGAGGTCACAGTTGGGCAGCTCCGAGAGGACGATTTGCAGGATTTCCAGCGGGAGGTGGACGAGAGATGGCCGAGACATTTGCTCTCTTGCATCGGGAGGGTCCATGACAAAGCAATGATTGGTGCGCAGGCGGAGGATGAGAAGAGGATAACCCTGCAGGAGTTGGTTGTTGGTTTGAAGGTATTCAGACCCCGGCCATTCGGAACGAGAGGTTCTTCCGCGCCCTGATTGTGCTTCGCCACGCTAAGCCACAATTCAAGAACCCATAAGCCACGATTCTTCAGTTTGTCGGTCCTGGGTGTGTCCCTGGAAGAACATCATGGATGTGCAAAGGAGGGTGTTGTAGAGAATCAGAAGATAGAATGGAGAAGACAATTGTGAGGTCGACCCTCCACGGCTACAGTTGGTTGAAGTAAAAATAAAAATAAGTCTTGTAAATTCAGGCTCTTTAAGTAGACAGTATACCGAGTAAGATACTGGCTAATTTTTTCTGCCTCTAGAGACCAGTTAGTGTTTCTTATCCAGTAAATAAGCTTAATTACAAATTGCCCCTGTGTCTACCGGTGTTAGTCTGCGTCTTCGTATCCCTCGCTCTATGATTGGGTGGCCTATGCAATCCTGATGAGGCTCAGACAATAGCCACCGTATCGCGCTAAGTTCCATGACGCGAAGGGGGTTTTATTGGATTGTGGAGGGGGGCAAAAGCACATTAAAAATCGACGCTACTGATTTAAGATTTGACAATAAACTGCGATTCGATGAAGTGACATACAACAGGTGACAATTACGGGAGCCTCCGACATGCGGGCATTCCGCCAAGACAAAAACGCCTTGCGGAAGAGGCTGTGCGAGCGGCTAGCTGATGCCCTGTACGAATTACGGAGTATTTCCATAAAGTTAATTACAAGCTCGTTCTCGCATTACTACATGATTGGCTAGGGCATGAAGCGACGCTGGACACTTGGCGCACAGTCCGGTTAGATCAAACTGGACAGAGCCTATTCCACCTATTCCGCCTTGTCTCAACGCGCCTCAGCCATGCCTGATCGCGTCATGTTTATGGCTTGTCGTGGCGTACCAGAAGCCGTTGTTGGGTCGTCAGTGATGCACCGCCTCCGTACGATTCGAGGAGCTCCCCGTGAAGACGTATAAACAAAGGACTGCGGTTTTCAAGTACCAGGGCCACAAATACTCTCGTTTTCTCATTGTTCGAACACGTCACATACACCCTCGTCATTCTCACAACCACCCGAGATGAAGCGCCTCGGGTACACCAAGTCACGCAACGGCTGTTCGCGATGCAAGCAGAGACGGGTAAAAGTAAAGCCATGCCCCCCAGCCCGCCACTACACCCATTCCATAAGCAACTTGTCGCTGACGCTCAGCTTCTGGCACAGTGCGATGAACACGCGCCATGCCAGGCATGTTCAAGACATGGCGTGCGGTGTAGTCTTCAGTCAACCGGCTCGAAGCCCCGCCCAGATTCAACATCCTCGCAGTTGCCTGAGAAAGTTAGAAAGCCACTTGTTATAAGAAAAAAGGTGAGTAATCTTTCCGAGGGCCAATTCTACCCTGTATTAATTACTTCTCATCTCAGCGGCAGACAGCGTCACGCCCTGTGCCCTCCCTTATTTCCACCCGTGCCGGATCGTTTCTTGAGCAAACCCTGAAACAAGAATCCGCAGCGACGGCGCCGCCCCCGTTTACTTACTTCTCAAAGTTCTTATGTGAGATGAACACGGGTGCCCGCACTGGCTTGATCTTAGACCTCGAGCTTATGCATCACTACACTGGTGTTGCACACTGCACAATCTACTCGTCTTGCCCCCACGTGTACAAAGTCCTTCAGCAAGATGTCACAAAAGAGGCTTTCTCCTTCCCGTTTCTTCTTCAACAATTGCTTGCGTTCTCAGGCTTTCACATGGCGTTCCTGCACCCGGATCGCCGCCATCAGTATCTGTTTCAGGCCTCACAGCACCAGAGTTTGGCAATTGCCGGCATGAGCTCCATCCTCACGGCAGACTTGATTCCAAGCAACTGTCATGCTCTGTATGCAAGCTCGGTGTTTGTCATCATCAGCGCGTTCGGCGCGTACCCAAGCTGTGACAGATATAACAGCTCCTTCCAGCCAATCGATAGTTTAGTCGATATTTTCATCCTGATCCGAGGCATGAGTATGATTCTCGATTCTTCGGGTCCCCATCTTAGGAATGGGCCTTTGAAAGGGCTCTTTGGTTCGTGCTTGGGTCCCCAGGTGGACTTGACGAAACACCTCCAACCAATAGCCGACCAACTGCATCAAGTCAAGTTACACCTAGCAGAGCAAAACTCCAGTCTGGATGACAATGAAAGAGACGCCTTGCTAGACGCGGTCACTTCACTCACTGATCTCATCGCCGAGGTTACCAGTAGCCACAAGATGGCCGCAACGCCTGAGTTGAGGGCCGTTTTTGCTTGGCCCATGAGAATCTCGACCACGTACCTCGACTTAATGCGGCGTTGTCATCCCTTAGCCCTTGTGGTTCTTTCATATTACTGTGCCCTATTGCACTCAAGGGAAGGCAACTATTGGTTCTTCGAAGGATGGGCTAATGCATTAATTAATCTTATCAAGGAGCAACTTGTCGATTCACCCTGGGCGGAACGCATTCAATGGGCAGTTGAAACTATTCAAAAGTCAGAGGTTTAGAAATAGTGCAAAAGACTAAATGTTGATTTCATAAACCGTATTGTCAAACTGCAACTAGTCAGATTCGTGGTGAAAATAGGGGCTCATTCCCCAAAGAGAGACGGGCTCCAAATCTCCCAATTTATCGAAGACTAAGTATCTGATTTTAAAGGTTTCAGACCCTGCTAGCGAGGGTAACAGTGGCAGTTTACGTAGTCTCGCTAGGCGGAACCAATAATATCCTAAGTCAAGCTGAAATGTTCGCCCTAGTGATATTGCTCAAAATGCTAAGAGAATACAGGTCGATCTTGTAAAGACCAATGCGCTCCTGGCAGCCACTTAGTGCCACCTTGGCAGGCGTATCGACGTTATGACTTACCTACAGGACGAGGCGAGCATGTCGGTCAACCGGGTCGAGTACCATTGGGACAAAGAGAATCCCGATGCGTGCAAAATAATGGGTCATGACACGGCGCTGCACTGCGCGGTGTCGAATAAGCACCTTGAGAATGTCAAGTTCTTGCTTGACCGAAGAGCTGATCGAAGCATTAAGAATCCACACAGAAGGACGGCGGTTGAACCACCAGGGAGAGGGGTTTCAAAGAAGTAATTGACCTGCTGGATCTTGGAGAAGAGAAAATATCACGGGTTCATGAACAGAGGAAATATTTTGTCCTATCATCTGGCATAAGGCACTGTTTTTATCTGATTCAATAGTCACTGACCCCGTCTCCTACGGCCTCGTTCGTTTTCGCCTCCGTCTTTGCCCTTTCGATGATATCCTCCCAAGTCTGAGGCTTGCACCGTCGATCTAAAGCCGCCGCTTCTGCATCAAAGCCAAACTTGAGCAGCGCATCTTCACTGCACCATTCACCAGCCGCCATTAGACCAACAGGGACCATGCCCTCAGTCTCCTTACTAGCAACTTCGCCAGCTCCTCTGCTGCCCTCGGGAATGACATAGCCTGCCGGCACGCTCAAAGCCGGAAGGCCACAGAAGTTGGCCAGCCATACGTATTCCATGCTCTCCAAAGTGTAATCTCCGTTGTTGAGGCCGTAAGACAATTCTGTTTGGCCACCGCGAATCGGCCATCCCGCGCATGCTGTTGTGGGTGTGATGATGAGCATACCGGGATACGTTTGCCAAAGGTAGGCCAAGTGTTGCATCAGCAGGCCACGCAGCTTCTGCGCTAGGAGATAGTCGGTAGAGGGAGTTGTGCGACCGAGAGATATGAGGACTTTGTTGGCTGCCGTGATGCCTTCTGTGTCATCAAGGAGGGTCGCGGCATCGGTCAGAACAGTAAGCGCATGTGCCATTTGCCCTTCGGGAGCAAATGGAATTTCGATGGGGACGACATTATAGTCGTACTTGGCGACCAGAGTATCTACAAGGCTGCGAACTAGGGTCTGAACCCCGGGCTGTGCTCGGGAGAACCACGCTTCGTAGATTCCGAGGACTTTCGTCACTGGAGGCGCTGGCTGAAGGGCCAAGGGAGGGTATTTGGTTGATGGATGAGGTTCTGCGATGGCCTCGTACACAGATACTAGAGATTTCATATCAATCGCGAGAGGGCCTTGGACCGCGCAAGTTGAAGAGTGATTGACGCCAGGCCAGGTCGCAAGACGAGCATGCGTGGGCTTCAGACCAAAAACAGAGCAGAACGAGGACGGGATGCGAATGCTGCCACCTCCATCGCTGCCAAGGGCGATGGGGATAATGCCAGTGCCGACAGCGTAACCCGGACCGGAAGAACTCCCGCCAGTATAGTAACCTGGGTTGAACGGGTTGGGAGGCGTGCCTTGGATGGGGTTATTTCCAGTCGTATCTGCCAGAGTCAGTAGTAATACACAGCAAATGAGAGGCTATAAGGTAGACATGCCTAATCCAAATTCATGCATGTGCAGTTTACCAAGAATTATAACGCCTGCCTCCTCAAGCTTGCGGGCCAACCAGCTCGTCGACGATGTCTCATCAGATACTGCAACGGCGTAGTCTGTGGCGGAGCCGAGGGTAGTAGCGTAACCATCAAGGTCGTAATCGTCCTTGATACCTGAAGGAATCCCATCTAGAGGTCCAAGAGATTGCTTGTTCTTGTAGCGTTGAGTCGAAGCCTCGGCTGCTTTCATGATCTGATCTTGCTTAATCTCACTCCAAGCTATGGAATGCTTTCCAGGCTGGGCGCCATCGCGGCGTATGAGAAGTAGAATAGCTTTGACAACGTCCGTTGGGGTCAATTCTCCCGACAGGTACAGAGCACGGTAGTCAGCTACCGAGTATAACCCAAGATCGTGAGGCCGGTCATTTGCTTTCAACAAAGCCGAAAGCTGGTCCTTTCGCCCCCGGGCTTTTGCTTCTGACTCGTTAAGAGGAAGCGGGATAATGGTCGGTTCGTAATGAGGCTCGTAATCCTTAATGTAGGCCTTGATCTTGCGGAGTGAGTCAAAGCCCGCGTTGCGCCACGCCGCTTCTCGGATGATCCGGAACCATTCCATCCTAGGAGAGGTAAGTAAGCCAAGGACGGTAAAAGCGTCTGGAACGGCTCACAAGAAGGCAGCCACAACGAGAAAAAGCCCGGTCAAGACGGGGTTCGAGCTGCTTTTGATCGAATAGGGTACACTGGGCCTGGTAAACGTGTCAGCTTAAAGTCTGTCCTGGTGTGATACCATTCAACACGTTACCCTTTCTTCGGCACCGGATAGTTGAAGAAACTCGTTCTACTCCCTTCTTGACTCATGTTGGCGGCTGGCTGTTGTCTGGATAAATAATATTATGAAATGAATGATCAGTTGATTGAGGGAAAAAGTAATTTGTTGGTGTGTGAGATGAGATTTTGTAGGATTGAGAACGACGGCCGCCGCGGACACCGACCAACTTACACGTACCAGGTAGCCAGAGGGATCCGCCAGCCGTGATGACTAAGGAAGCGAGGGCCTCGGAGACGGTAGATGGAGGAATCCCTCGCCGGTCAAGATGATTAACAACACAGTCAATGAATCAATCATGGCCACTTTATCAAGGTCGTGAATATCGTTAATTCAGCCAGTCTATTTTGGCTTCATCTGATGGTACATTTCCCTGTGCCAGAGGTCGCGAGATCTAACACATGTACACAACGCATGATTTGCATGTGCATGGATCAATCAAAGCCTCGGCACTTGGATAAAAACAGCCCCATTTTGTTACCGTTCACGCTCAGCCATGATTAATTACGTACTGTGCAGGGATTATATCGGTTGACTTTGTCCATCTGTTCATCTTTGAACTCTTTGTCACCTAACTTACTGTGTATCGCGCACGCAATCGACTAGCGCGTAGACAGGGTGGGGATAATTTAGTGTGTTTTTTAGCTCCCAACGGTAAAAGTATGCCTGAGCAATGATGGCAAGCATAAGGCTTCTCCTTCGTATCGATAGATAGGTGAGCACTCATCAAGGCTCACTTTGGCTGTGGAGGGATCCGGACGTGTTCATTCATGCCTCACAAGGTGCTCTACACGTGCAAACTCGCGAAGACAATAATAGATTGTAGGGGTTATATCTGGGAATTGAAGAGTTCCTTATAGTGAAGTGTATTAGTTTTGCGGTCAAGGATTGACAAAACTACTTTGACACGTGTTCCATTAACACATATTTATTCTAGACATTCTTCTGCGTTGCAATATCCAGTGACAAAAATGAGGTTATGAATATACAGCCCGACTGGTCCTTCGAATCATTCTCTGCCTCTCGGAATAAAATGTTCTTCTTTCCACATCCTCGCTCCCCAACGCTCGGGCCGCATAGTGCCCTGTTCGAACTGCACAGCTTAGCTTGGCCTGACTCGTGTCTCCGATACTACTGTACCATGCTAATGAAACGTGGAAAACAGTGTCGGGGCCAGCATTTCTGGATTTCTAGATTTCTGGATTTCTGGCGCGGCGGCCGAACTAGATTCTTAAATCTGTCATCTTCTATTCTATGCCCGTATCGCAGACGCATGATGGAGGGTCTCCTTCCTTTGATACAGTTGGCTGGAACAAGAGCCCTGGTACGTTCAGACAATGAGACGAGCTACCCTGGAGCGAGACCTCCTCCGCCGGGCGTGACACCAGATTTGCAGCATCCAAGCGGCCCCGGACACAAGGCGAACCTCATCGGATTCATCGTCTGCATTTCCGTGGGCACGTTATTCTTCGCGTTGCGGTCATACGTCAAGATTCGCATCGTCCGCAATTCCTTCCTCGAGGATGGTATGACCCCTGGGCCCTTTGCAGACGCAGCGCTTCCGAGACTGATAGCTTGAATCAGTGACTTGCACGATAGCCTGGGTACGAATGGCATCGCTCAGGAGGTGAAACCGGACTGACCGAGGAACAGGCCCTCATCACCGTCTACTCCGCCACCGCCTTGCTAAGTACGTTGTACCCTTTGATCATCCCCCCCCCGGCTGATGACCCCAGTGAACCACCATGGCGGGGGATACCACGTATGGGACATCTCACCGGAGGCATACTCTCAGGTGCTCAAGGCAAGCTTGATTTTGACCTGCAGACGAGACCCGCTGACGTTGGCAGTGGCTATATGCAAGCTCCATCGCCTACTGTCCGGCAGCCTTCTTCACCAAGGCGACACTCCTGCTGCTCATCGCGCGCGTCTTTACGGTAGAGGAGCGCGTCTCCCGGGCTATATATGCCTTCATCATCTTCATCTTCATTCTGTACCTTCCCATCCAGGTGCTCAAAACGGTCATCTGCAACCCGATACGATCGTACTGGGACGAGCGCGTCATGGGGCACTGTCTGAACCAACGAAAGATCTTCCTCGTGGACCTCTCCGTCGCCATTCTCACTGACCTTGTCATCCTGCTCCTCCCGATCTCGTTGACCTGGCACCTGCGCTTTCCCTTCAAGACGAAGATGAAGGTCGTGGCTCTCCTGGGCGCGGGAGGTGTCGCCGTTGCCACGACCGTGTACCGCATGTGCAAGGCTGTCGAGTTCATGCACACGAATGATCCAAGCGCAGATATCATTGCCTTGGACCTGTCAACGTTGGTCATCAGCCTAGCTCCTCCCCCAGCATACATGATCTGAAGATACGCAGGATAGTGGAACTCACGATTGGGCTCATCTGTGCCTGTCTCCCGGCTCTCAACATGCTCTTCCAGCATCGCCCGAAACCACGCCCTGACCCCAACTCACCTCGTACTGGCAATCGAAAGTCGTGGCCCGGCTGGCGCGGCAAGCTGGCCTCGTCAAGCACGGGGACAAATATGACTCGGCATTCGAAATCACAAAGCACAGAGCCGTTCCGCGCTGGTGATTCAGAGGCAGCGTCCAAGGTGCCTGTCAACTTCGATATCGAGCTAGCGATGCTGTCGAAGGGGGTCAACAATGCGAATACCGACACACCCGCTCCAGCAGAAGGATGCCCGGAACAAGAGCACTGGTTTGTCGGCGAACGGGCGACGTCTCTGGATGGGCGACGCGAGGGGTGGCTGAGCCGTGACACTAAGCAGCAAAACCAGTGAAAACAGACTGGAACCGAATCTTTGATGGGATCTGTGATTCCTCCTCGGCGCTAGGGATTCTTACGAGATTGACGGCGTGGCAGAATACAGCCCAAACGACGAGCAATTGTAGACCATAATGCCTTATTATTTATTTGCCGCCATGTGAAGCAGAGGTTCACCCCCGAATAACTACACGTTGTCGTGAAGATTATGAACCTCAGGTGACGGGCTCACGCATGCCCTAGACCTCCTGTATAGACTAACCCCGGCCGTCACACATCCTCCGCGGCTGCGTCTCCGAAACCGTCCGTGGTCGTTTACCCTGGAGGATTTAGTCGATGTGGAATAGGGAGCGCTGGCTTTGCGATACCAGGTAGGCGCGGTGAAGCAGCATGCCTATGGTTAGCGTCGTACTGCCAGTATAGGTATGGTGAAACATACAGAAGCCGCGGTTGCTTATCCAGCCAGGTCTGTGAGGGTTGTCTTATCCTTAACTTCCTTAGCTGTCTCAATCTCCTTCAGGTTGAAGTTGACAAGCTCCTTGGCGCTGAACTTCTCTTTGGTAATAGAAGTATCAGCCAGGCGCTACCACACCACCTGGAACTGCAGCGCCTCAGCGTACGTGCAGGTCTTTTAAAGGCAGGATAAGACTGACTGTGGCAGCCCTCTAGATCTCGCCGTCCAGGCTTAACTACAGGTACGGCGACAGAAGGGTCGGGCTTACTCTAATAAAGGAAGATGGAGAAAAGTACTTCATTCGCCATGTTGGGACTACGAGTTGGGCGAGGTTCAACCGTCACCGCGGGGTCTGGGATGTGAGCCCGCGGTTAGATAAACTTAATACACGAGTCTGATAAGCTGGCATTCAATTGATATATCTAGGTACGCTTGGTTCGATTGTGGATACGTGGAGCAAGGCAAACTTGAACTCTCTATTCCTGGATTGAAATATCCCCTTCGGCTTCCCTCTGTCCTGTCTAACAGTCTGAGGGCCGAGGAAAGATGGCGAGTTGTGCTTACATGCTCTAAGTTTAAAGCTCCCTACCAGGTGTTCATCTTTTCATCCCCATGGCGCATCTTCTCATTTCTGGCACGCCTCATTCATCACATTGAACCGACTTGATACAGTGGATCTGGTGGAGACTGCTTTGGTGGTTTAGGTGATGATACAATATTCTAAGTAATCTAATTGCCGGTATGTTCTATATCCGGATTCCCATTCCCATCCCTGGGAGAAAGAGCAAGTTTCTAACAAATTTTGACCGACATATGAAAACAAATAAAACAGCTTGAGATGAAACCAATGTTATAAAATCACAAGGGCGCACATAAATGTTGCACCCGGTGCTGAAGCCAGGGTCAGGGATCAATTAGCCAAGAGCACAACAGCCAAAGCAATACCTACAGCGAGCGCATGCTTGCATCCACGCAAACTGGCGCCACTGCTTTCAGCCGAAAAGTCCTCTTTGATAATGAAACCAGGGTCGTAACTTTCGACACGAGTATCATTTGTCTTGCCGTCCCAACAATACCGGTCATAGCAAGTGCGGCACGCTTCAGGGGCAGCTTGTCCTGATTTCCACCAACTCCTGCTCAGGATCGCGCAAGCGACACACACAGGCCACTCTTGGTCTACGGTGGCGTTGCCTTGAGTGGCCGAGTTGAAGCCGTTTGTGATGATTGCATCCCGTTGCTCGATGGAATAGGATGACTTGAACGTGGAGACGTTGCTAAAGGTGGTGTAGGGGGCATTCGGGATGTAGACAACCAGAGGTGGCACAACCTGTCCCTTGGAGAGCGTGAAGTTGTTCGCATCGCAGCCGAACATGGTCGGACGTTGGTTCAGGCGGTTGTTGACAAAGGTCTCGGCAGATGGTACCGGGGGAAACAGGGTGCCGTTGCTAATATCTTCCAAGGAGCGTTCATACGAGGCACGCAGGGCAGTGCCATTGGGCCAGTTGTTGCCCGTGTCGGCAGAGGAGTCAACAGCAAAGATGACGTCGACGCGGCGCATCGGTTGGATCAAGGGATGGAGGGGAAGATTCTGCAAATCCTCGCCACCGTCTACCAGCGACAGCTGGAAATCCTTGTGGTTGGGGTTTGTCGAGGGATTCCAGCCTAAAAATGGATTGGGCGAATATTGAGCAATGTCGTTTTCTGCACCGTCGAGGGCTTCGAGGACGTGTTTTATGGTCTCTGTGACGAAGTCGGGAATATCGGAAGCCTCACCGACGGCGGTGACGTTCTGAAGCAAGAATTGGTTGAAGAGGGATGAAGAGGTACCCATCATGAAGCCGAATTGGTCAAAGCCTCGGACGCACACGCCGTCGTGGGGTATCGAGCCCTTGGTGAAGTTGGAGGCTAGCCAGCGCAAGGGAGCGAACCCATATGTTGTGGGATCCCAGGTGCCGAGTTCGTAAGGATTGAACTCGAAGACGGTGGCGTTGAACGAGATGATTTTGTCACCAGGGGCTCGACCATCGGTGACAAGGATGGGAAATGGCGTCTCGGCATCCTTGAAATTAGAGGAATCCTGGATTGACGAGAATGTGTAGGCCGGGCCACCTCGAGCATCGTTGATAAGTTGATATGAGAGAGCACGACCCCAGAAGTCGGTAAGGGACGTATCCCAGCCGTCCCCCTTGCTGGTGACGTCTGAGACGATTTCAGTCCAATACTCGACGGTATTCAGGGCTCCAATGCCTGACTCCTTCGGTCCCTTGAAGATGGAGCGGTCGAAGCGCCAAAGAGCAGATTCATCACTGCCGCGTTGCAGGTCGGGAATCGAAGAGAAGTTGTTGGCAAACATGGAGCCGACGAGCCAGCCTCCGCCCGAGAGGCCAGCGAGGTAAGTCGACGCCTGCAAGAGACCACTGACTGCGTTCTCATTGCCGTTGTGGGCATCAGCGGCCGACAAGAAGCCAGCGCCGTTCATGAGGGCGCGATAGCCTCCGCCAGAGACGGCGATGCCAATGTTGGGGAGCGCCGTCTTGTTATCACTAATGCCGTCGATGTACGATTTGGCGTCAAAGTCTGGGATAGCAGCCTTCTCGAGGAGCGCGCGCAGAGGACTGATGGTGTTGTTCCTGCGGATAGAAATCCACGAAGCTTCATCCTCTGATAGCGTGTCTGCCGCACGAATAACGGGTCGGTCTCGGGGGCAGTCTACAACCTTGGGGGAATACTCGCCGCTGGGAGAGTCTGGCAGAGCTCGTAATGAGAGGTCGGTCTCCGCTACAGAAATGCTATGGGAGGCTTCTCGGCGAGCCGCAGGTAATCCATGGGCATCAACATTGCCCGCACCAAGTAGATTTAAGGCTAGGATAGCCGAGACGCACCATGACCGAGCCATAGCGATGTAACGCACTGGGATGGGGAAGAAAAAAGAGCGTGATGATAGCAATGCCGAAAAGGGAAATACTGAAATGAGAGGATGAATAGTGACGAGACCAGGAGAGAATGCAGAAGGAAAGACTTAGATAAGATGATTTTATTGCAGTTTCGTTGACGCACTCACGACATAAATATAGCACCACAAGCATGAATGACAGGAGGCCTGTAGAGTGAGCAAAGATCCTTTGTAACACAGGATTGTCTGGTGGAGACTTGAAATCAGCGAAGAACCAATTAACAATTGACCGACTGATCCCTGTTTATACGCGACAACCAATCAAGTTTGAGAAGGGCCTCGATATCCGCGGATTCGAGTCTAGGCTGAAAATCCTCTCAAGTGGACCAGATCGAGCCGGCGTTGCCGGTTCTCCGAGACCCTTAGATGGGGCCACGGTAATTAGATAGTGTGGAGGTACATCGAGGTCTCTCCGTGTTCAACTCGAGCAGTGTAAAGCTGCGATTTTTGTCACGCTCCTATATCTTGCTTCTCAGCGGCTTGTTTCCAAACTAAGTGGTGACTGCCCTATTCCTCACTCACGAGACTATTCTGCGCTTCGGCCTCATTTACGCTTACGCCTTTGCCTTCGCTGGGCTATGATGCATTCCGTTCTCCATTTGTCATTCCAAGACGCCGAAACTATATCGTAACTCTAGTCCTAGCTTCCCACCGAAGATCCTCAACGCGCCGCGGCTTGGTCCCCACCTCGCTGCCGCATGTCAAGCATGGCATGTGCATTCGTCGATCCCGTAGGAGAGTTGCGTCGATATACAAGTAAGCGACTGTCGGCCTTGTGAGAAGCCTTGGTGCCCCTTTTCACTACCATGTAGTTGGCGTCGCCATGTCCGAGATGGTGTGGGTCAAAATAATTAATGACTGTGCGTGAATGTGGCTATGTGCAAAGGGACCCTACGAGAAGGGAGACATCGAGTCCAAGAGGCGAGGGACTGCGTTGTCCAAATTATCCTTGCTTTCCACGACACTAGAACACTCTGCCTAGTACTTAACTCATCCGCTCCCCTCTGTCGTCACTATCATTCTTCACCAGTCCATCTACAAAGTAGCTCTTACACTCTCTCAAACCATACAACAACAACAACAACAACAACAACAACAACAACAACCTCAATCTTCTCTATCCTCGCCACCCCAATTTGCCAAAGTCAAGATGGCGTTTACCGCAGGGTAATGTTCCCCGCTTCCTCCTAGATCATCTATCGTCGCCAATTTGGGGTCACTAACCTTCTTCAAGAGATATTTGCAAGATTTTCTTCGCCATTATCCTTCCTCCTCTCGGTGTGTTTATGGAGATAGGATGCGGAGGTAGTTTCTGGCTGAACGTTCTCCTGACCATTCTGGGTATGTCGATTTTAAACCCTCGAGCACTCAAATACTGACCGAAGAAGGGTTCATTCCGGGCATCATTCATGCTTTGTATATCATCATTAAGCATTAAGTGCCACCCGCCATTTGAAGACTGCCTCGCGCGGGCGTATCGGTTGTTTCGGCTTGTGCGCTGGGAATAATAACGGAGTTGGTTTAGATGGAGCTCGGAGACAGATCTTAGTGTACTGTACCTATTGGCGGGTTCGTATAGTCAATTGACGCTAGCGATTCCCACGGTGGTTTTTGAATCTAAAACGACGAAATCGTGAAATCACTGTTGTAGCTATTGCGAGGTCTAAGAGGTCATATCACGATCCCCCATCTCACGCTTGTAATTACCACTCATGGCCTCAATTTTCTCGTTCGTGCGTACCCTGGACCAGAAGATGCGATTCAGATATAAGGACACTGATTGGCTCCCGCGTATAAAATGACCATCTGTGACACCGCCCCTGTCGGACTAAATTAGCATCTCCCTGACTCGAGTGTCAGTTTACCGACGGGCCACCGATTTAGTGCTGTGGAGCCCCTGAAAACCTGATCCAGCTTGCCACTCTCCTCTGCATCCGGATTCTTGTTCCTTACACCGTGTTTCTATGGGCCGCGACCAAAACTTACGACAATGACTGCCAGTAATACGGTACCCTCCAAGCCCAAGTTCACGCGTGCCTCTGGCCCCAAGGTCCGTACAGGCTGTATCACCTGGTAAGTTTTAACATGACCCCTAACACGCTGTCACGCTCCCATTTCAGGGCTAACCCAGGCCTTGTTATCTTGCAGCAAGTAAGTCCGTTTATTCGTCCCCTCGTATATTTTTAGCTGTCGAGGCTCGCGTGGCTGACTGTGTTTAGAAATCGACACTTAAAATGCGACGAAGACCACCCGTTCTGTCGCCGTTGTCGCGATGACAAGGTCAAATGCGACGGCTACGCAATGCCTAAGCCCAAGAAGCCACGCAAACGACGGGAGCCAAAATCAAAAGCTGTACAGCCAGTTGCTCAGGCGACATTTATTTTAACCGTCAATGTGCTCTCCTCATTGACAGACTTCGAAACACACCACTTCCAGCATTTCTTGCAATGGACCACATCGCAACTTTCAGTTTCTCCAGCTTCAACAAACTTCTGGCTCCGCTATGCCTTCCCAATGTCACACTATTCTGAACCTATTAGGTACAGTATGGTCGCCGTGGGTGCCTGTCATCGCCTCTTTATGGCCAAGTCAATTGGTCATTCGAATCCTTGGGAACTCAAGCGGTTTGCCATTCATCAATACAACAAGGCCATTGCATCAATCGTGCCTACCATGGCTGTCAGAACGACATCGAATATGCACTGCATCTTAGTGTGCTGTCTGCTCTTCGTCTCATTCGAGAGCCTTTCCGGTCGGTACACCGAACTTTTCAAACATCTCCGCGCCGGCAACGAGATCTTCCACTCACCTCTACGCGCCTCTACCCCCGAGGAGCGTGCCGTGACTGAGAAGCTTGTCGAAATGTTCTGCCGACTTGGAGTGGAGTCGTCTAGCTTTATGGATGAACATTGCCTTTCAGGACTGTCGCAATGGTATTGTGACAATTCTACCACGAGCACGATATCCTGCCTTCCGTTCAAGAACCTCGACGAAGCTTCATATGAGCTACGGCAGCTGGACCTCCGACAGACAGACAAACCTTGGGATGTCGATAGGGAACTCGAATCGACAGACAACAATGGCGAAGGGGGGGCGCCATGTCTTGTCCTTGACGATGCCTTTCGTCGATGGAATTTGCGTTTTGAGGCATTGACTCAGTTCCAGGAAATATATGTATCGACCAAAGCGGGACCGCAACTTCGAAACTTGCGCCTACGCCAACAGTTCTGGCAGATGACCATGAACGCTTTCTCATCAGAAGATGCATTGTCAAATCCTCAAACATTTACCCCTCTCATGACTGTGGCCGAAAGCGTGGCAGCGCCGTTCATTGACATGAACCAACCGACCTTCTCTCTTGATGGCGATCTCATATTTAGTCTTTCTTTAGTTGCGTCGATTGCACAGAACGATGGAATCAAGTCACAAGCACTAGGTTTGCTACGCAAGCTAAACCGTCGTGAAGGCATCTGGGATAGCCACGACGTCGTTGAGATGCACGAGTTGATGATGTCTGTTAACCGTGGTGAAGGTGGGCTTGAGGAGCGGGATTGGTGTTACGAAAGGGAAGCACCGGCTGGGATACCTGGGATTATCAAACAGCTACGTACGAGATTAGGTAACTCAACCAGGACCAGCCTAGTCACGTAAGACATTTGTCGACAATACTTGCAAAAGCGCCCTTGTAAATACTTGATTAATTAACTACCTTTAATTCTTTCAATTATTTTCTCCAGTATCTCTTTGCAGTTTTCATCCCAAGTTATCTGAGAAATATCATTTACTTCCCTAGAATTTATATTCTCCATTCTTCCCAATACCGTCTTAAATGGCAACTCGAGGAACGTACCCACAAGAGGATACTTATTACCCCTCGTAAGGTTATCAAATGCGTTCGTCATGCCTCTACAGCCTGTCAAGTCCATATCATTCTCATCCAGTAGCCAGCTCGAAAAGATCAAGAGGGCGGCGAGCCCAGAAGCTGCAGCTGTAGCGATGCCGCTCCCCGATTCATGCGACACTATCTTTCCCTCGTTGTTAGAGAAGGGCACGTTCTCCCCCGGCAGGAGGAAATGGGCTGTGTCTTTATGTAGCCTGTTTGTTGGGTCACCCGCGTTAGTCGCACTGGCGATCTCGATAATGTCGTCGCTGAGGTATTCGTAACCGTCAGTCGGACTACTCTGATCGTTACTTGAGCAGAACATAATGATACGTTGCTCTTTTGCCATCACGACGGCACGTTCGAAGTCGCGTAGCTCGGTGCCGCCTTGACTAGGCATCTTGATTACCCAACTCATAGAAATAATATCAACGCCGCAATCTGTAGCCCATTCAATCGCCTAGAAATGCGTGAGGCTTAAATCCAATAGCGCCTCAAGGAAAATTGAGACGGTTCAGGGAGTAGAACCTACCTTGGCAGCTGATTTAGCAGTCATGTGTCCTTGATAGCTTTCTGCAGTCTGTTGTTCGTGGAGCCTTGCAACATATAGTTGAACCATAGGACACACCCTGCAGATGAGCATTGCCATATATGTCCCACGGTTGCTCGACGAAATAAACCACGGATTCATTAGGTTACCCGAGTTGGCATTCGAACTAAAAGACTTTCCAACGGCAATCTTGCCATCGAGACTAGTGATTGACGCGTCCACGCCATCATCAAGAATGGCAATCTTGACGGGGCGAATGCTTTGCGAATCGGGGGCGTTTTAGACCAGGCGAGCAACCTTCGTCAAGCTGCCGATCCATGCATGTTTTCTGTGACTTGTTAGCCAAACTTGGGATTGCATGGGTCGAATAACCTTGCAGCTACGGGGTTAGGAGGCAAAACACACCGATCTATTTCCCGTTCAAATTGGTCTGATTGTTCTGTCATGGCATGGCCGTCGAATGTTACCAATACCTCTCGTTTGGCTTTTTTGACAACATCGGAGAGTCTACCAACGGCCATTATGCCTTGGAATTTCTTGTAGAGATTCAATGTCAGTCCTCTCACGAGAAATCTGCATATGCGTACTTACCGCATCGCCTTTGATGGTTATTCGCCGCAGCTAGAGTGTTGAAGTCGCTTGGTTAGCATCGTTTCGAGAACTGTTCCTCAGAATCACCAAGGACATGGGCATACCTACCTCCGGAAAGAGGATCTCGTTTGCAAAGCCTCCACTTCCACACCAGTCTTCCAGAATGGTTTCGTTGCCCGAAAAGTATAATGTCAAGTCCTTGACGACGCTACTCGAGCTAGCAATCACGCTGCTTGTGATATCGCTTCTCCTCCAATCCCAGATCTCTACCTCGAATCCCTCAAGCGCATTTTGAATACTCTCGTCGCTATGGGAAGACTCCTCGGAGTCAATCACCACAATCTCAAGGATCTTCCGAACACCTCTCTTCCGCAGCCAGGAGAACATCCGGACTGCATCTCTTCGATTATTGTCACAGCGTTTAAGTACGCTAGAACGTGAACCACACTATTAGCTTGCTCTTTGCCCTTTCCCATCGGGTAGAGATTCACGAACCTGCCGACGTCATTACTGGCCTGCTGCAACGATTCGAACTTGAACTTCGGCAGAATGACGGATCTCAGTGTGGACTCGAATGCTAGATACCTCTCCAACTGCCCAAGGAAGCCCTCTGGGATTATTTCCGGTCCTCCTATCATCGTGAACTCGATTTGGCGCTCTGCCTCCTTGTTAAACTCACATTTCACCTCGGTGGTTTCGGGCTTGCGTTGGATCCTACCTTCACCGGGTAAGTACAGTACCCGGCTTATCTCATCGTGATTGAAATTCCTGATGACGTAGGTGCGGATATAGGAAAGCATAGGGTCGTCCATAGAGACTTCGCTCAAGTTATGAGGATGTTTCCTCCCCTTGTCGAGGTTGGATTGGTCACTAGATTTGTCTTGTGCCCCTTCAAGATCCTGAAGCAACAAGATTCGCTGTCTGTATGGTGTGTTGCCGTAGAGATTCTTTAATAAAAGAGTCTCCGGGCATCGGGCAATGAGGTGGCGAACCGTGTCGTAGGAAGAAAAGAAAGGCAGCCTTTGAGCCATATGAGAATCTTCGGACGATGTTGTTGCAGCAGCCGAACTAGCAGCAGATGACGGTGTGGCAATTCTCCCTGTGGAATCGTTTTGTTCATCCACCACCATGACAGCCACGTCGAGAGGTGTACGACCTGTGTCGTCTTGGGAAGAAAATATGGGATGCCCAGGTGAACAGACCCCAATGATTCGAGCGGTGAATGGGGACTGAAGTGAGATGGCCAGGTGGAGAAGGGAGTCCCGCACTAGGATGGTGTCTAAGATGTTGGGATCACATACCTTGAGAGATGTCTCAACCAGAAAATGGTTCTCATCTTCCAAAGCAATCTGAAGAAGAGTGTATGATCTGTGTTCTCTTACCCGCTGGGAAACCCTATCCGGATGAATGTCAAGCACCTGTTTAACAGGGAATTCCAGATGATCCTGCTGCCCATACTTCGGGTCCAACCTGAAGAGATCATCGAGTGTATGCGTTGGATACTTTAGAAAGGCATTGGCCAACTCCCCCTTCAAATCTTCGACTTTCGTCAGATCCGATAGGTCCAATCTCTTTACGTCGTCGAAAAGCAGTCCCCATTCCCGCCTGGTAAGACGTTTCCCCCCTGACTTCGGCTTTGTGCTGGTTTTTCGGTCCATCATGGGTTGAAAAGGCAGGGACTACGCTAGAGAGGAGTGAGTTGCCGATTCGTAAATAAATGATATCTAGCCGGCTGAAAGCCAGTATGCTCGGTAACGTTGTGGACGAAAGTGGAGCTGGTCGTGCAAGGCACCAGTCTACGTGGAATGGCCTCGTTGGGTATAGAGACCGCATGCCCTGCAGGATTGCTGATTAAACTTATTCGGCCCCCAAAATGTACAAGCCACCAGTTTACGTGGAATAACCTGGTTGGGTATAGAGACCGCATGCCCTGCAGGATTACTGATTGAGCCTGTCCGGCCCCCCAAACCGTACAAGATATCAGTCTACGTGTAATGGCCTGGTTGGGTATGGAGACCGCTTGCCCTGCGGGATTGCCGCTGATAGGTGAGCCAATAGATCAAGAAAGCTGTCGAGAAAAGGGCGGTGCGGAGGAGGGCAGGAAGTCAGGCACCGATAATCTCTGCCAGGTTCGCAGGACGTTAGGAACATCGGATCTCTCTTCCCAAGGGACTCGTTACGTCGCCCCCCGATCGAGAGAGGAGAGTATACTTGACCTGACAGATAGTGGCCCTCGAACCGCTGTCACTATGTATTCCTTGTTGCATTTGAGTTGCGTGGGCCCTCTCGCTCTCCTGAGCCTGGTCACCATCGCCTCAGCCAGTGGCTTGGACGACTTCTCCAACGACCTTGCGACCGACGTCGGCCCGCTCCTGGCACTCTTCGGTGAGAAGATCACCATACAATATTTCAGTGAAAGCACATCCTTCCTCGACTACTTCATCTTCGCCATGGCGCCCATAGGCATTGTTACTGCCATGACTTCCGCCATCCGAGTCTGCGGCGACCCGTCTTTACGGGCATTCATTGGTAGAGCTCAGGAGGGCGACGGCACCACTGAGGCTGAGCTGTGTACGTCGACTAGCCGGGATGTCTGCGAGCTCTTTCACGGAGGTGGTATTACACGCGTATTCGGAAAGCCAAAGATCTCGGAGATTGTGCACATTTACGGGGTTGATGAGGCTTCCAAGATGGAAAACAAGCATCATTTAATGGGAACGTATCTCTTTCGAGATTATCTACGGCGACAGGAAAAGAATCCCACGGCTGCGTGGACGCCCAAGGAAACCCAGACATGGATCCCCACAACCATTGCGAAATGGTTGTTCCGGCGTCGTCGTCCCAAATGCCCGGATATCGAGCATGCAGGCAAGAGCAAGAAGGCGGGAAGACGGGAAACGGCACCAGAGAACACCCCCTTGGGAACAGGCACTCCAGAGTCACCAGAGCCGCCTCAGCCATCCGATATATCGCACCCAGGTAAGACTTCGGAGTCCCCGTCAGAGATCCTGGCCCAGAACCCCAACATCTCGATCAACATCGGAATCATGAAGCTCCCTCGGTGGCTCTTTCGTATCGTCGCCCTTCTGGGTCTTGTTCTCCAAAGTGGCGTAATTGCCATGGCCGCTGTGATGTCGTGGAAGTTTCAGTGGACGAAGGATGGAGCCCCTGAAAGCCTCGTGGACGTCCCAGCTGCAGTTTCTAAAAATCGGTCACCAACGTCATTTATCATAGGTACCGTGTGCCTGTGCTGTGGTATGTTCGGGTGTGCTGCTTTGATCGGCGAGAGTACCAAAGAGCGGCGGTATCAGAGAAGAAAGAGAGAGACAGAATCAAAATCGTCGCAACTCTTCTGGGTCCAGCCGGGAAATCAAGTTATCGGAGACGAGACCTTTGATGCCTTCGCCTACGTCGAAGACGCAGACAAGAAGCCTCTGTTGGAGTATACGACATCGAGCAAACGGAATGTGGATCACTTCCACCCATTCACTTGGGCTGCGGTTATCCTAGCGCTCGGCGGATATATCGCACAGTTCATTGGACTGAGAGGCATGAATGCCTCGGTTTCGATCGCTCAGCTTGGGGTCACTCTGTTTATGAGCCTTCTGCGATCGTGTCTCCGCATTCGGCGTCTCAAGCGAACGGATAATCGGTTAGGTAGAATGCCCGACATTGTTCTTCAGCATGAACTTGACTGGCTCGTCTTCGAAGTCGCAGCGGACAATATGTCGAAGCAACGTACTTTGAAAGATGGGAATTCTGAGATCGATCTGACTGAGGGCAAGATATGCGGCTGGATTGTGATTGGACAACCTGACACTGGGATACACGAAATCGTGGAGAAAGGCCCGCAGCAAGATATGCAGGGGAGCATGAAGGGTAACCAGTCGGAGATACTCTTGAGGTACAGGACGAGATTAGCGGACCTGACAGGCCACTCACCGTCCACTTCCTTAAAGTCACAGAGCTGCCAAGTGTGGAGTATTGACCAGGTGCATGTTCGAGCCATGGCCCAAAAGTTAGCCACCGCGTTGTCCCGCACTGCTGAGGCACTGTTTGGAGCCGGAGATGGCCAAGACGCCGTGACGCTGGGGTTGCGCGTTGATGTGTGGAAGTGGCAGTTGGATCAGCAATCTGCCAGCCATACACAAGCCGGCGGCCAAACCAATGATGAATTTCTTGAGCGGACATGGCACAAGGTTTCAGAGCCGGAAGTAATCGAGGTGGTTATTCAACCTCCCCAGGACTTGTCCCCGACCAGCTGGAGCGTCGATTCTGCAATGCTTGAGGGCATTCTGGGCCTATGGCTGTGGTCGCTAAAGACTGCCGACGACTTTCATGAGAAAGGTCACGAAGAGAGGACACTTCCACCTGCCGAGAATCCCCAGATGGCTCGAATTGTTTGGTCTCCGGGGGAGGGTGAAGAGAGCCAGAACGCGGACGACTTCGGTGCCATAGAGGACGAGCTAGGCCTTTGGCTAGGCCAAGACCGTGTGAAGCTGCAGCGAGGCAAATTTAAGTATCAGCTGTCGTCGAAGGTGCCATATCCTTCCGGCCTGTGGGCGTCCTCAAGCCAGAAAAGCGAGTCTACAGACCCCCGTCTGTTGGCGCAAACCCAGACTCTAAAAACCGAGACGCTTCAAGGCCATTACACGCGGTTCTTTGGATGGCAATCTGTCCCACTCTCTATCAAGAAAGAGAAAGGGAGGGACGGTGGAGATGTGATTCATGTCCTCTATACGAATTCAACAAACAACCTTCTCACGGAATGCTGTCAGGACCTCTACTCTGCGCTTTTAGTTTCATTAGCGAAGAAGATCGACTGTAATTTCGATGGTGCCACCGTTTCGGGGACGGCCAGCCAGATCCGTCTTGAAGACCCAAAGATATCGGCCATGATCACGGCATTCACAGAGAACAGCTTGGGATCCCGCTCCGACGCCGTTCTATGTATTATTCCCGGTCTTCGGAAGCATATAAAACTTAGAAATAATGACTCCTTGCAGTCATCCCTCACGCGAGTCCTTGGGGATGGCGATGGAGAGAACGGCAACGCCGAGGTTCTGCTGAACTGGATTCATTCCCACTCTAAGGAGTCTGAAAGAGAAAGCAGTTCGATCACGAACCAACAGGTATTCGCGAGTAATCTCATCACCGTCTGCGAGTCCTATCGAATGATGTTTGCAGGGAACCAGCCCATGGAGGTCAGGCACTCTGGATATCGCAAACTGCAGCGTATAATAAAAAAATACCGTCCGAAGGCAGACCACGGTGGTGGCGAAGTCGGCAAGATATTGGAACGATATGGCGTTGTTGCTAGGCAAACGGCGATTGGTCACGAGGACACCCTTTTGGAGGAACTGCCCTACGAACAGCTTTCAGAAGTCCCGGAACCTGCAAACCTTGATCTGGTGATTGGGAACAAGAAACGAACCGAAACGCTGTATCTGCTCAGTAAGGTGTCCTCGGAACTCCTTAGGACAGAGCTCGAAGCTGCCTTGCCCCTGGCCTCGCGGAATGGATGGGATGAAATCACGAAGGCACTCTTGCGTCTTGGTGCCTTAGTGGATGGCCAGGACGAGGAGGGCAGAACAGCTCTTTCATATTACTGTGAGAGACCAGGATCTGTGTCGATGGTAAAAACACTCCTAGATAGTGGTGCACATCCTGACTTACCGGACCCGCACAAGTGCAGTCCACTCGGTTGGGCAGCTCGAATCGGAGACCGCGAAATTGTCAAAGCCCTCCGAGACACCGGGAAGGTCCTCCTGGACTCGGTGGATAACCAGGGTCGATCTCCCCTGTGTCATGCGGCACAGAACAACCAACGGGAAGTCGTGAGGATGCTCCGTGATTCTGGCCTAGTCGAGCTGGATCTCACCGACACTAGCGGACGGACACCGTTCTCCTACGCTGCTGAGAAAGGGTATGTGGCTATCGTCGGAGATCTAATGAATTACCCGAGAGTCGGTGTAGACACTAGAGATGTAGACGGTCGCACACCATGTTCATGGGCAGCAGGGAACGGTCAAGTGCAAGTGGTGGAGATCTTAAGCGCTATGCATACCGTCGTTGACGTCAACTCCAAAGACAGCCAGAAGAAGACGCCCCTGCGGTGGGCTGCCGAAAACGGTCATGTCGATGTAGTAAAGAAGCTCTACGAGAATAAGAGGGTGGATTCGAACGCAAGGGACATTTATGGGCAATCAGCCTTGGCTCGAGCTGCGCAGGTTGGCTCGGAGAGCATCGTCGAGGCACTGCTCTGTCCTGACTCCGGCGTAGACATATTGATTGCCGATGACATGGGACGTACGGCTCTCTGGTGGGCTCTCCGTGGTGGCCATCTCACGACTGCCGAAATACTACTCCGTCACACTACATTCGATGCAGGTCTTCGCGATGATACTGGGCGCACACCGCTCTGGTGGGCAGCGCACGACGGACACGAGCCTATCGCTGGCTTTCTCCTCAACAAGGGAGCCGACCCGGCAGCCCGCGACTTGGTCGGCCAGACGCCTCTTTGGTGCGCAGTGCGCAACGGTCACACAGATATCGTGCGGCTCCTGCTTGAAACGGGGCGCGCCGAGCCTGACGCAAGGGGTAGCGTGGGATGGACACCGTTGATGTGGGCTGCACGGCGTGGCGATCTTGAGGTCGTAAAGATGCTACTCGAGACTGGGAAGGTGAACGTAGCGGTGCGGGACGACGCAGGCAGATCTGCACTCTCCTGGGCCTTAGGGGCAGGGCACTCTCACGTCGTTGAGGCGTTGTATGTTGCGAGCGGACGGATAGAGAAGGAGAGTTGGGTAGAGGAAGTTGACTTTGAAGGGCGAGTATATAAATACGTATGGTAGAGCGTCATTGTTGAAATCGCTGTTCTGAGTACTGTTTCAAATTCTGTATCATGTGCTTGCACGAGTGTGATGAGGGACTTGATCTATTGATCGTGAACTTAATTACAGTCTTTTGCTTCTTCTAGCCCCCAAGCACATAACCTCCTCCGCAAAATCCCTCCATGGGTTCCCTTGGGTTCTTGTGGTCATCGATTGTGAGTCACTATATCGGTCTGGGGGGTAATACGGAAAGACATCTTCGGTTGGTTGAGTGGTTGGTTGAGATGTGTGTAAGGATGGAAGGATGGAAGGATGACTGGGATGGAAGAGGCGAGGCCTGCAGCGCTTTTATGTCCATCGGGATTTTGCCTTGTCCAAGATCTAGCCTTTCTAGCAGATCTAGTATTTTTAAATATTCAGCTATTACTGCAGCTTATTAAGGTGTTGGAAAAGGTAATTAGTTAGACTAGAAATCTTAGTCTATTTGAGTAAAATGTTGAACTTTGAATGGACTGGGTACCTATATGTTCTGTATTGTTGATACTATTGTTGGTGTTTTTTTTTACTGTTGAGCTTCTAGTATCTCCTCTGGGTATGTGTACTAGGGCACCCTAACCTCTTAATATTTATACTAAAGCTGCCTCCAACATCTATATCAAATAGCCACACCAGTTGCAACTAGCTAGTCCATAAAATCGGTGACTGAGGTAAACCGACCAATTCCAATAGCCAGAGCTATACCCGTAACGATTATCCCGACACAATCCATTCCTTGCACCATTCTTCAGCTTTGCTTCATAAGAGACAACCCCTGCCTCCCCACCAGGCTTCTTTCACGACACTGGCGATCTGCCTCAGAGCTTATCGTAGCATTGGCCCTGCTGGTAGTATCCGCATCGAACCGAGTAAGGAACGCTGGCACTCCCCTGCGTAATAGTGCGGTCGTAGTCCCGAGTCGAGCTCCGAGCGCCGCGGCAGACGGTGCATTTGTTGGTCTCACTGCCTCTATTTTTGATGCCGACTTCGTTGTTGGCGACGTTTCCACCAATGTCCTCGCACATAGAGACGGCTTTGAGATCCCGCCACACGTCCAAGTTGCTTGTACCAGACCACTTGTAGAAGACGGCGCAGTCCTTGGCGACAGCTAGAAGGGGGCCGGCGGCGAAGATGGCGAGGACTGAAAAGCGCATGCTATAAGCGTGTTAGCTAAGGTTTGTTGGCTTTGGGGAGTTGACAGTAGGTATTTACATGACGAATCTGTCAACCCGATGAATTAAGTAGACTGAGGGAACCAAGATGGACTGGTTGAACCAAGTTGGAGGTATAATGTAGAAGCCTTTATAGTAGCAAGAGGAAGTGCAAAATGATGAAGCGAACCAGCTGGGCTCCCAGAAGGTGGAGATGCCAATACGTGGATACGAGGATGCGAGTATTCCATGGCACTAACAGCTTAAGAGGGCGAAGAGAGTTCACACCAGCTTCTTAAATCCCCGCTTGTCATCTCAAACAGCGGGAACACACGGATTCTAATTTCGCATACTCCGTAGAAGCCGCGCAATCCGGTGGAGTGGATGACGTCGGTTTTGAGAAACGCAATCATATTCGTACTAGCTGCCTCTTGTCAGCAGGCGATATGTCGGTGTGTTGCTTGAAGTCTAAATTAAATGAGTGTCATTTTTCAAGGAGCGAGATGCAAGATTCTAACGTTGAGATCCCAGGGCAGAAATGGATTTGGGATGAAACACTGCGCATTTACTCTAGTTACTGGCCGACGGCACCGGTGTATTCAGATTTGAGCATACGAAGAAGCGTCCTCGCAGCAGGAAAAAGAGCATTATCAAGGAGTGGCTTACCGTAAAGCAGGACCCGTGGGAGCCGCGTTGTAATTACAGTGTCGAATCGCAAGTTGTTGTACGTAATTCACCAAGCCCTGGGCAAGGAACTGGCCACAATTCCGTACGCTTCGCCGGGGTGGTTCCTTGACAGACCTCATGACCAGCAGACGAAGCAAAAGGCCGGCTTCTTCTTAAACCCTGTCAATACATGAACATGTCGATAGGTGCAATTGGTCCTCAACGCGGTACCCATCTTCCTGCCACTTTGCCCTAACGTCTTGGCCGCCCATGTAACGCTCGAGTCCCAACCCTGTCGCCAACTCCTGGCAACTTTGAAAAAGTCCGCGGCAGTCCACATGGGGAAGAGATCGACGGTCTCGTTGGCAACGACGAGAAGATGGAGAAACTACATGAACTCCATCGCCGCTAGAATGCTTCCCTGTCGTGACAGGCCAAGTGATATCACGGCGTGCTAGAGTGCTAAAGTGGTCTAAATGAACTGTGAACGTGTACGCAAAAATTCCGCGAGATTGCCCAGTGCCATTGAACTTGCCAGCCTTGTGAGAATAAATGAGATCCAACGCCAGCAGTGCGAATGAGAATCTCAGTTGGTGCATCCAAATGCACAGAGGGACCTTTGTTGCTATCATTTATGAGGGGAGACCCTTCAAGTGCCGGTTTACTAAACCTCCCAGTACTGTACAACCAGCCATTTCCCAGAATCTGGGTCTATGGGTAATACGGCAAGACTATTCCCGCTGTCAGGGTCCAATTCTCCCTTGATCTTCTTGACCTGAGGGCTGCTATTGGCTCGCGTTATCTAATGCGCCACCGGACATGTCCGAAAACTCGTCAACTAAACTTTGACTAACGGTCCGGTTCAATCTCTGCTTCCTCATCCCTGCTTATGCTTAGAGCTCCCTGGCCTTCGTCACGGGAAGAACCTCTCATTCGCAATCGCAATCGTTGTAGAAGGGAATGCATCGAATCGTTGCCTGGAAAACGCACTCACGCTGCTCGACACCGACTTCTTCTTCTCTTCCCTATGGACGGTGCGCAATTGGCCTCCTGGTTACAGCATAAAAGTAGGGATCACAACCCGAGCTTCCATTTCATTTACTCCAGGTCCCTACTGCCAGCTCTATTGAACTGTGTATCCATGTTGATCTTGGGGGTCCAGTAAGTTGCCGACCAAGATGTGAACTCGTGGCCCAATCCGGAGAAACGCTCACAACGTTGGTATCGCTGCACCTGCCGGTAGAAAGAAGCGAAGAAGAAACAAACAACACTATACCCTTTGGAGCCCTTTTACGTCATCCGCATGTATGTATGAGAACGCATTAGGTTCCTCGGCAATTTATGCTGAATAATCGTTGAGAGGGGTAGGGTCAGCTTTCGGTGGTGTTATATAAAAGCTCCGTCCTACCCGGGACTACAGCCCGCATATAAATTGCCAGGCCTACCATGGAGATTTGGTTCTAAATTATTTAAGATTCCACTGCATGTTCATCTTCTATTCGTAAACCAAAACCAAAAAATAAACTCGCATTTATTCCCTCTGAAATGGAATCACTCAAGGATCAACAGCCACAGTCTGCAACCCAAGAACTGGACCAGAAACCACAGAGAGGATCTGAGGAGTCGTCATTGTTGAAATTCAACCCAAACAGTCATCCAAATTCAGACGGCATTTCTTCGAGAGGTACCTCAGTTCCAAAAGGAGTACCGGTCTGGGCATTTTGGCCTCCTCTATCTGCTTATTAGGTTAGTGCAATCATGATTTGAGATCATGAGGGTGTATTTTCATGTTTCTAGAGCGACCTCTTTCCCGCAATGACTACCTTCTGCTGCCGCCTAATGAAGTCAGTACATGCCGTTAGCCTTGACCAAGGATTAGTTAATTGAGATACTATAGCGTCACTGAGCACACGCCTGGGATGATTATGTAGTGTCGGGTCCTTTAAAGGTTTTCTTTGGTAGGGCAGATCGTGGAAAAGAGGAAGCATCTTAGAGATGATGGAAGCCACTCGAGAACAAGCCGGCGGATTTGATAAAAATATTATCTGTCTCCAAGCCACAATTTAATCCCGCGCTTCCAGCCAGATACTTTAAGTACTTGTAACTCCACAATCTCGTAACACGTTTCATGCCCACTTGCCAACCAAGGCCATAATTCCAGCGCCAAGAAACAAGCAAACAATCATGAAGGAAAGACGAGTTTTGTCATTTGTTCGTTCGGGGTTGAAGAGGAAATCTCGCGCAAGCATCTCGACGAAACCGGTGTAGATGAGAATGCCGGCCGAGATTGAGTCAAACAGCCCGTTGACAAGATTGGCCGTGTAGGATGAGTTGTCATACGTGGTCCGCAGCCCCAGACCGATGGCAATGGCAATAGGAGTCGTCAGACCATATGCGGCACATAGCAGCCAAGGCATGCTGGAGAGACGACTCGGAAATGGGATTGCGCTAAGCCTTGCTCCGATACCGAGACCTTCGAAAGACTGATGAAATACCAAGACAGGGAACAAGGAGTCGAAATCGGAGCGGCCGGCTACTCCCAGGTTCAATCCAATGAAGACGCTGTGAAAGAGGACTCCGAATTCTAAGATGAGAAAGGCCGCAATCTGCGTCATAAAGGCGAGTTCCGTTTCCGGGGAGTCACCTGAAAGATTCTTCAACTCCGTCATGTCGCCATATGCTTTCTGGCTCGTTGATGAGGCGCGCCCCTGTTCGAGAGAGTCGTCCACATCTCCGGAATGTAGTTGTTGGTGTGTGTTCCTCCCCTCTGTGCTGGTGATGGTGTCCTCAACGTCAACCACATTATGAGGCAAGCCATAGCGCATTTGAACGTAGTATTCTGCCATGAAATCCAGCAAGAAGGTGATCATGGCCGCGGAAAGAGCAATAGCTGGTGGCCATGAGTATCCGGCCCAGCCACCAGTCATGCCGACGCACGAGGCTGGACCGATTTCCGAGTACGCAGGGTCAAGCAGATGGACAAAGGCAGTGGCGATGATTACGCCTGAGCCAAAATATCGAGCGAAAAGATAGACGTAAAGAGGGATTTTGAGGCGGGGCACGCGGGTCGCCAGCACCGGGAAGAATGTCACGGCGGTTGAGATGGCGCCGATGACGAAGATGGACCCTATTCGTATGCCTAGATCGCCATCGTATTGGTTTCCAGCTTCGGCCAAATAACAGGTAATTCGAGTTTGTAGAGATCCATCCCCCAAAGCGTCGGTGAGGTTGACGCGCGTAGGGTCAAACGCAGAGTCAGCCATGACTGAAGCTTTCTCGACGTATGTTTAGATGGAAGCGAGTAGCTGGTGCTTCGTAGCTGTGGTAAACCTCGGGTGTAATGAAGAACGAGTGAGAAATTCGGTTAGTATGAGAATGAGGCAGACTTGCCATGCTGTAATTTATATCAGCAAATTTCTCAGGCCAAAATAAAGAACATGCCGATACTGCCGTCCAGGACGGAGACAGTACGGGTTTGTTTTCGACTCAAGCTGAAGAGTTTGCCGATTAAGCCGTTTGACTGGCTTGCTTATACGCCCACATTTAGCAAATGTGTACCTTGATGGCCGTTGGCGCCGCCTATCAGGCAAGCTAATAATCGTATCGTTGCCGGTTAGCCGAGAGGTGAAGACGATTCTTCTGCCTTGCCTTACGACTGTCAGATTCTGATTTTAGAAAAGAAGATAGATAAAACGAAGAAACGAAAGAGATCTGAATGCCATTTCTATATGAGAATTTGAGAAACGGACCTCGAAACTTTGCGCCATTTCATCCGTATTCAGCGAGTCTAGGCGTGATGAAGATGGAGAGAGAGAGACAAAGTGATCCGCAGCCGTTTCCCAGCCACCAAGGTTCACTGGCTCTTAATTCTATCATGTGATAGACGACAACCCCACGACTAATCGAGAGACCATTTCCATCGCGAATTATTAACCTTAAAGGGCTAGAATGGGCCGTAAGAAAGCGTACTGCCTTTGTCACAGTCCTTGAGTGGAGATGGGGTCCTACTGAGTACCTTAACTAAACTTTCAATTTTCGATATTCAACTACCCAATTTATTAGAATTAAGCATTCAATGCACTTCGGGTAGCGACTGGCGTCTGGAGACTGGCGGTTGGGTAATTGTGTCGTTTATATTATGACCCAACCTACCTATTTTTAACTCAAACAGATGCTCTATACCATTCCGTAATCTATCTTCAAAACATCGGTCCCAATTAAGTTTGTCAAGGCTTCACTTGCCTAGGCTGCTCCTTTAGCTGGGAGATAGGATGATTTTAGGTTTTACTAACTCAAGATCATTTGTCACCCTCTTTGGCATTGAGATGCCATTCGGATCTCTCATCATCAGACTCAGGTTCCAGTTCTCTTTCTCCTTATGAGAAGCGCGAGCGACTCAAGTTGCTTACCTTTAGATCTAGAAGAGTTGTGGCTCTCGTCATAGATCTCGTCGTAGATTTCGTTGTTGTCGCCGCCGTTGGCTTCGTCCTCCTTCTGTTCAGCATCGTCGGAATGATGTTTCCTTTTAGAAGGAGGGATAGCCATCTCTCGCCTGGAGGTTGAGCATATGAGCAGTCCGCCGGAGCCGGCTGCGATTGCAGTAGCGAAGGAGCTCCTAGTTTGGGCTTCCGAGGTGCTGTCGCTGTTGCGGATGAGGATGTTCTGGCCCGGGGGATCGAGGCTTTGGGGGGCAGCGAGAACCTCGAGGCAATCTAAGATGTTGCCTATGTAGGTGGAGGGTATGCATGATCCGAAATTCCCATCATTGGTCCTTTATATGTCTGTCTTCCTTGCTCAACCAGAACAGGGTGTTTTGCTCCAAGATCATGTCCCAGGCGTTTAGCCTTACTGATCTCGGCTAGACAGTGGCTGGTGCCGGCTGCCCGGACGTTTCCTTCTTGTTCGATGAGGGTTTCGTGAAGCAACGCATCGCCAAACTCCACGAAACAGGACGTGCGTAGATAGAAACTCAATATTACCACGTGCCTTAGGAAGTTGATTGCCGAGCGGCTTGGTCAACAGCAACATACACGACCCCCGTGGTCAATACATGCATCACTAATCTTTCGTGTCCCTAGGTCTCTTGGTAGCCTTTCTCGTTAATGAGGCAACGAAAATGTCACCTTTGCTTTTAATGATGATCAGTTATCTCCTCTGATAATTTGATACGGAGATGGAGAGTTGCTTCAAATGCGGTTGAAAACTCACCCTCGTAGATTTTGTCGAACAACAATCACACTCTTCGCTTGGAACCAACCAACGCCGGTATCGAGCTACAAGCGGGTATAGCACAAGCCTAAGGGTTCCCATTCTGCGTACCCGTGTTTTTATTCTGACCTGTGCACCTTCTCCCATAGTCTACGACAGAACCCTCGGAGTCTCAGCGGTCTTCAATCAAGCTACAGACCCCCTCTATCTTATCCATCCGTACGAGGTCCACAGCTTCTTCGGTCCCTCTACCCACGATCTGCTCTCTCAAGGGTACAAAACTGTCAACCAGGTCATGTTCCCTCGTCGGTTCAAGAATATCTACAATCGCGAGCACCCTTTGATAAATTTACTCGTCAGCGATGTGCTTGTCAACAAGGGGATCACCTCACAGCGCTTCGTCGGGCCTCCCGGGCGTCTCCCAATCCATGCACCGAAGCGTGACAGACTGGCTAGAAAAAGCTAACACGTGGCAATAGAGCTAACCTCACACGGATCATAGACGGAATTGGATATAGTTACCCCAACACGACGCCACGAGATTTAAGGGACCTGCAGTCAAGGTGATTGTGAGCATTGGGCGATATGCGTTCAAAGTATGAGGACTAAGATGCGATCACCTTCTTGCAAACAAATTGCATCCGGAAACAACCATTCAGTTGAGAGTCTACTGCGTTTATTCTCTCATAAGGCTCCCAGAGACCCGATTGAAGAAGTTGACAACCATTGCCTTGTCCGAGAGTTCGCTGCGCGGGAAGGCGTCCTTCGACCAATCTGGCGGCCTTCCACAAAGATGCCGACAACAACCAGGTCGACCACTACGCCTGGAAATATTGGTAGAGAGGAAGTTGACAGAACCAATATGCTTAGCGATCTGCAAGCGACGGGCTGCTCGCGACCCTCTGTAGGGAACTGGCACAGCGAATCGGCTCTTGCGAGCGGAAGTTGCGAAATCCGGGGAGCTTATAAAGAGCTGAATAGGGCTAGGATCAAAGATGATTCCCGTTTCATGGATGAGAATAAGTCTGGCGGTCTCGGCCTCTTTGCGTAATTGACTTGGAAGATATAACCATTATGGTGCGGTGCCAAAACAACCAACACCAACGAACTCTTGTTGGGACGGTAAACCGCAGAGTCCACTGCAACTTTTTCGTATGCCCTCGTAAAGGAAATTCTTTTCACTTCAATTGGGCGGTCGGTCGGATGAGCCGAGATGAGCTCGGAGATGGCTGAAGCCGCCGCAGCCTGATGCAGCTTCTCGATCTGGTCCAAGGCGATGAAGAAGAACTAATCATCACGCAGTGGTCGTATCACCGACACTCTTATTCCGAGAGGCTTGTCGTCATTGGCTCGAAGCGGCATTCCGGCACACGGGTACGAAGATGGCGTCGAGGCACAGCCACGAAATATCTCGCCGTGATTTGTTGGATCCGGGGCCGAAATGAGTGACTTCATTGTGGGGCAACGGATCGTGTGCCGAGCGTTGGGGAGGCGTTGAACGACAATTACATGTTTCATCGAGGGAAGAGTTCTGTCGTCTCGGGCTCTCAGCTAGCTACCCAGGTTCGCTAATAACATTCACATTTTCGTCTTTTTCGATGATATATTCAAGATAGTAATTACCTAGATGTCCAATTGTATTCACCGAGCACACCCCAGGGTCCAGAGGTGTATCTGCTCGGGCTTACACGAGAATACGGAGAAAGCACATTCACGTATTATAGAACTTACAACGCAGATTACGGGCTACTGACGCCAACGGAAGAAACGGCAAAGATGAGACCTAGAGTTGCTGAGGCATAAAAAATGAAAATTTGTCTACCTTCATCGCTCGATCCTCTTAAAGGTTCTAGACTCAGTCCAGGTGAATATTTAACAACCCGCGCGCCCGTCCACCTTGATTCTAGTGTTTTTTTATTCTCATCTCATTAGTTCTTGAGCATTTGTTGGAAAAAGCCCTTTGAAAACTCTACTGTCACTTGGCCTCTGAATCCGTCGTCGAAGCCATTGTCGCATCGGCACACAGCTCCCATCCACATCTGAATGAAAATGGGAAAAGCCCCAACCGCGCACACTGGCAGTATCCAAGCTTGGTACTTGACTTATCACCCCAGCACTCTACCTCTTCTCAAGTCGATGAAACCCATTCAGCCACCTTTGGATACCTATGGTTGCCCTGCCATAGATCACGAGTCGGGCGTCTGGGCTTGTCTTTCGCGGCAAAGACCTTGAAATTCCCTCCGTCAATCTCATCGAGCCTCGACTGATTTGCCGACCCTTTTTTTTTTTGGAAAAAGAAATTTTACCAAGAGTAAGTTGTGCCTTGGGAGTCGCGGAGATTTGATTCTGATATTGTCTGTCAAGTTGATTAAATTGAGATAACGGGAACAATGGCCCGCGTTTGGGATGCCATTCGAGTCCCTGGGGCGAAGGGAGAGATCGCTGAAGCTGCGCCCACGCAGAACGTATCTGTTACTATGAATCCTCCAGGTGAGAAACCGGAGAATATGTGCGCAGTCAGACCCGGGGATTCGCTTCCAGACAATATCACTGGCTTCGTCCCCAACACGAAAGCCAGGCTTCTCGACCGCTGGCTTGATGTCGTTGTCCGCTTTGCCGGCTCCGAGCCCGTATTCCTATCCCTTATGTCTGGGCTCCTCATTTGGGCATTCCTAGGCATCCGGTTCGGCCACTCTGTGCAATGGGCGGTCGTTATCTCGAATGTCCAGGCTATTGTCAGCTACATCTTCGACTCCTTCTTGATGCGTCAGCAACTGAACGACTATGATCGAGACATTCGAGCGGCAGCCATGCTCAGATCCCGAATCCACAGCCAGAAGCGTATGCTGCGCGAGATTGTCGCAAGCAACCGCTATAGACTGCTTACAGAGAATGAACTGAACCAGCTGAGCCAGACTATGGGTGACGCCAAACTCCCCACTGAGAACTGGCTAGGACGCGTCTCGACATTCCTCTCTGCCGTCCTAGGACACATCGTCACAGTTGGGCTTTTCTGGGTTTGCATCTTTGTCTGGATTGGTTTCGGCCACTCTCTGGGATGGAGCGACCAGTGGCAGCTGTATATCAACTCCGCTACATCGGCCTTGATGCTTCTGATCTTCGCCTTTCTTGCAAATATCCAAGAGCGACACGGCGCGCACATTGAAAAATGCCTGGACATCCTCTTTGAAATGGACTCTGCCGTCGAGTCTCAGCTTCGGACTATTACCGGGGACATTACACCAAACCCTGTTGTTACAGTTCCCGCACCCAACGTCGGCAGGCTCCAGAGGGCTATTTTCTATTACGCAGATGTGGTGGGTACTCTTGTGGGAATTGCCATTCTGATCACGGTGATGGCTGCCTGGCTAGCCGTCGGCCCTGTCATGTCCTTCAACTCAAACTGGTGGCTCCTGATCGGCACTTATGCTGGGTTGATTGGGATGAATGACGGATTCATACTGGATAACGTCCAGTCGAAACTCAATTCGTACGTGGAAGAGGCATTCAAGCAGGTGTATTACGATGACATGGGCCTCTTTGAAGATATTCATACTCAGGAACAAGCCGAAAAACAAGCGCAGAAGACAACAATCAGCCAACGTCTATCTGCCAGGATGAGTCGCATTTGCTCGCACCCAGCCACCATCGTTATCGGATTTTTGTCTATTGTCGGCCTACTCATTGGAGCTACGGCCATGAAATGGACAATGACTGGCCAGCTCCTCTGCAACGTCCCTCCGAGCATTATTGAGTCCTTCTTCATGATGGTTCTCATCACGAGCCACAACATGTCCGATGACAAGCGACGAGCTGATCTGCAAGCCATGTATCTGCACCGGCTTCAGTTGCTGTGCTGGGTAAAGGAAGTGAAGATTCTGGAGGTAGAGTAGAGAGTGGGGGAGAGAACACCAGCGCCATTGTGGTAGGTCTTTTGACTTCACTTAGCAGAGGTGCAGGTCGGGTTCGGGGTGCGAGGCGTGTCGGCAGGATGGCCACTGATATTGGCAATTGTAGACGGTGAAGAGAGCGCATAGCTTGAACTTATCACCATCGAACCGCTATTTTCGAGTCTACAGCGTGGCGCCAGTGTGATTCCAGCTTCCCTCACTCCATCTTCATTCAGGTCATTACAATAGAGAATCTTCAACGAGCTTATTTACTGCCGTGATCTCAACATCTCGGTCAACAGTTATAGGGAACAAGGATTATACAATTTAATTAGCTGCATGCTTGCAAATATCTACAAACAACTGCATTAATGCCTAAGTCCTAACAGAAATTCTAAGGTCTTACGACGAGCATCACTCACTACTAATCTAACGTCTGTCTGCTCCCTCAAGGTGACCAGGTTTTCATCACTCACTACGAATTGGAAATAAGGTACAAGGCAGTAGAACCTAAAACGAGTCCCTTGCGGGGTAATATGCATAGATACGCCGATTTAGTCGTTGTAATGCTTGTGGTCTGTTGCTCTGCAGACACATTTACGAGGGGGCCTGGGGCCGCGCGGTCAGCTTCGGGGATCATCTTGTCTTCTTCCTGTGTCTGATATTGTACTACTAACGCAGTGACCTAGAACTGCCCTGACAGTAGCAGCTGCGTAACTCCGGCCCATCCGAGAGGTCGTGGTAAGTTTCACACGTTGCGGATATCAATTCTTGATTCGTCATTCTAGGCGAGGGCCGACAGCTTGAAACAACGGCAGTTCTGAGTTTCAACAAAAGAGATGTCGTCATGTAAACTATATTTCAATTGCCGGCGTCACGAACCTGCCGAAACTAGCTAGCCCCATGGCTGAGAAAACTGCCGTCGGCGAATTCAGCCATGGCAGTGCCAATAGCTGGGGCCTATGCCAACATATAAATTAACAGATCCTGCCTCAAATATCTGAAAGCTTCCTGCCGTCCATCCACCTTTCCAGCTCCCTGTATTTTTCTCATCTGCGGCACAATGTCGAAATACAAAACTCATCTTACCGCCCTTGAACATTCTGCTGAGGTCCGTCCGTTGTCTCCAGCGTTGAAAATACCTCATTGGTCTTCAGATGGAGAGAAGTTCCTAGGCTGGAAAGATGTCACCTTTGCACAGTTTTTGGGAGACGTGGAGCAATCTGCACGGTACTGGTCCCATCAGCTCTCGGGAAAAGGGATTGCAGAAAGATCTGTTGTAGGATTATGGTACGCAGAAGACCAAGACAGCGGACTTGAGCCTCAGATGGTGCCACTAATCATTTTCTAGGATAAAAGGAACGTCGTATTTAGACGTGTTGCATATCTGGGGTGTGTCGAGGGCTGGGTTTACACCTCAAGTCATATCTCTCCGCCTCACAAGTTCCAGTGTCGTGAGGGAGCTCCTCGCTCGGGCTGGAGCAAAGGCGCTCATTTTTGAGCCAGCCATGCCTCCAGCTCTCGGAGACGACGTGATCAGCTTTCCGGCCATCGACTTTCAGTCATTGAATCTGGATGATACGTCTCCGTTACCGGAGTTGCGGACACCCTCAAAGGGAGATGAGATCATAATGATTATGCATTCATCTGGTTCCACTTCTGGGCAACCTAAGCTGGTACCGTTAGAAGCTAGGTGGCTAGACTGGAATATCGAAAAGGCCAGGCACTTCACTATCCGCACACCCGAGTTCCAAGATCAGGATATCATGACATTCACGTGAGCAAGTCACATCTTTCAGATATACTCGATCTAACATGGTCCCGAAGCGGGAGTTTTGCCCATATTGCAGCAATGCTAGCCCTGATGAGCTTTGTGGACCGAGGTGGCTGTATAGTGATGCCTACCAAAATTCCCTACTCGTCCCAAGAGCTTCAGCAGATGGCGAAAACATGTGGCATCAACATACTCAACATGTTCGCCTCGTTCCTTGGCGACTTCATTCGAGAATCCCGCAAGGATCCGGCGTTGCTGGCTACCCTTCAAGCCTTCCGAGCCTGTTCTCATGGGGGGCTCCCGTTAGCGACTGAAGAGGAATCTTGGGCCCGGGAGAAAGGCATCAACTTGCTCACTCTATTTGCGAGCACGGAGGTGGGTTGTATCATGCAGTCGGCCACGGGCCCGGGCCTCGAGGGACGATTCTTGCAGCCATTTCCAGGGACATCGTTCCGCTTCGTCCCCATATCCGATTCATCAAGCACCGTCGTTGGCTCAGACAACCAGTTGGTGGAACTTGTGATACCGAAAGAAGCGCCCGATTGCCCACATCATACCCTTCGAGACAAAGAAAGCGGTGACTTCAAAACGGGCGACCTCTTTTCAGAGGTGGCACCAGGCCAATTTCTATTCAAAGGACGCAACGACGATTGGATCAAAATGAAAACATCACTTCGTTGCGACACGCGAGCCATTGAAGACAACGCATTGGAGCTGTGTGGTGAAGATCTCATCAGCGCTGCTGTTGTTGTAGGCAGTGGGCGCCCGTCACCCGCTCTCTTCGTCGAGGCGCGACAAGAGAGCATGCAGGAGTCGTTGAGAGATGCCTTAGCCTTGAAAAATGAAATCCTCCGCCGAATTACCCCGTTCCACGAGCGCAGGTACATTCATGAACGTATTGAGGATGCGCGGCTCATTATTCTCGTCCCCAAGTCAACCTTGCCACGAACCGGTAAAGGCACTATACAGAGAAAGATGATTGAACGGGATTACAGAGAAGTGTTGGACAGGATGTATTCGAACGTGTGCTTGTGAAAGCCAGTCTGGCTACCCAAGTGTGGCTCGGTAGCGGCAGAGGTTATATCAGTGCCGTGAATGTTGGTAAAGACATCAGACCTTGCTCCCTACTTTCGCATTTGACTGGTAGAATACATGCTTGAATTGTGTTTTTTGACTTTGTGCCGGCAACTTGCTCACCTTGAGGGAGCAGACAGAAGTTAGATTACGCGGAAGTGGAGGCGATTATCGCACAACTTTCGGAGCTCTTGTTTAACCTATTCAAATCCTAAAAGTACAGGAGACATAACAAGGGAAATGGAGCCCGCTGTGGGAAGTACGGTGGAAGCATGTGTCTTCGTGATTGCTTTTCATGTTCGGAAACTGCTGGATGGCAGATGGTACAGTTGCTATTGCGTTGGCTAAGACGAAATGTTTTAGGTTCCCGATAAACGTCAACAGGTATGCAATCTGCATATTCCGAGGACACTGCATTATGAAGATGTTAGCATCACACCGCTCAGAGAGCTTCCCAAGGGGTACGAACCTTTTCTACTCCATGATATCCATGGAGCACCAGGGACTTCGTCACGGATGGCCCAAACATGTTCCAGACATTGCAATATCCTGGATCCGCGGTTGAACCAAGTGTCCGGAAGATAGCTTACTTGCTTGCGGATGGTTTCTCGCGTCGAGGAGCCGACAGCCTCGCAGCCGGCAAAGTAGTAGGGGAAAATGACTGCCCTGGAGATGGGCGATTGTAGGTCTAGGTGAGAAAGTTCGGAGCACGCGGTTTGGACATGGCTGCGAATAAGCGCAGAGGTCCAGGGCATATCTCGCATTCGGGTATAGAAAATGATGACTGCAGCAGAATACACCGCTTCGTTGAGATGGAGGAGGTTGCCGTCATCTTGATGGCTGGCCGACAGAGCCGCGATATCAGCATCTCGGGCCTGAAGAAGCTCAATCTCCAAGGCGTCGATTTCGGCCTCGAGACCAGGGTAACGGCCTGGCGAGACGTCCTCGTTCTGTCGTGCTCGTATGAGCCTTGCCACCTTCAAAAGTGGTTTGACCAGACGTCTGGAAAACCCATAGCGGATGGATGATCCAGTTTCGGAAAGCTCCCGAGGTGCCGATATCATCTTCTTCCACCGTGCACTCCATCAATCGATGTATCGGCTCCTCTGAGAGTTTCGCATCTAGCTTGGGGGAACACAAAACGCATACTTCGCACCACCTTATCAGCATCATGGCGACGGACCGCTGGTCTCGGTCAAGCCGGGCTCGTGATGTGTTGGTTATCAGGCAGGCTGCAGCACTGCGGGCTAGAGGGAGCAAGTCGGTGTACTCTCCAGGGCTAGATACGCAGAGCAGTGTTATGCAAGTTACCGTGTGAAGAAAGTGCTGTGGACCTGGTGGCGTGTACGAGGGAGGATTCGAGAGAGCTCGTATAGCTCTTTGCTCGAACATCTTCTGCAAGTTGCTCAAGGTATTGTCTCCGGTCGAACTGGACTAGTGGAACGCGGACAGCGCCAAAGCCGCATAATACAACGGGGGGCTGCTTGTAGCCATCGCTGGCAGGCCAACTGCGTAGGGATCCTTGATATCTTGGTCCCGGAAAACAGTTTGAGGATCCCAGACGAGGAAGCCCTTCGCTGTATGTTGGACGAAATGATGCCAGAGGAATTGTATGTCGACTGGAGATTGGAGGTCCGGCATTGCGACCGAGAAGGTTCGCAACGTGGTAGCCGCAGACGGACTCGCCGAGTAGGGAAGGGGGGAGTAAGTATCAAATGGAGCCTCGAAGACGCCATATCCTCCGTTATTGCAGTCTGACAGGTATGGCATTGTCCCGCCTGATTCGACAGGCGTGGGACTCGGACAGACGAGGTCGCCGGTATCTGCTTGTTGTGATTCGGGGGAGTCTTCGGCATCTCCTTCCTGCATTTCGACAGGATCTTCGGCTTCGGGCTGCGGTTGGGCAGATTCATGATTGGAAGAGGGACTGGATGTTTCTCGTCGGGGCGGCTCGGGACATTGTTTGCGCAGTAATCCATTGCGTGTGAGCGATGGGCGCCAAGTGTTTCGAATACCAGGATGGACTGTGAGCAGATGAGTTATCCGACGCCTGGAGTGTCACTCACTAGATTAGGCGGCTGAGCCAGCCTCTTCGACGGCCCGGCTGCATTTGCCAGAGGGAACTTCACGGACTTGAAGGTCTGCAAGACACAGACATGGCCGCGTCTGCTACACCGAGAGCACTTTGGCTGGATCTGGTCGCACTGCGAGGCGTGAGCGAACCCCTCAATCAGCGACAATGGTATGTTTGGCCTAGGAGAAGCCGCCCTGGACTGTAGATGGTCTGGGGGAAGTCATGCGGTGGAGGAAACGACGGGAGGGCGCCAACCTTTTGTTTCGCCTGAGCACAGGCGCTACAGGCTCCTTCGGCGCGGCGCGGCGCAGGGTTTTCCATATTGAACTGGAATTGGCTGCTGTACACTGCGTTCGCGGCTGGAGTACTCAGAGACAGCGCGTCAAAGATATCACGAAGAGTGAGATCGGTGAGCTCAGCGCGGGGAGAATGACCATCTAGTTTCCCAGGTCCAAGCGGCGCTCCCTACACGACCCTAGTCTCTCCAGATAACGAAGTGCCAGAGCTTCACTTAGAGCTCATTGGCAATTACCGGGCCTGTGATAGCGCGCCGCCACCCAAACTCTCCACTCCATCCGATATGGAGAAGTAGGCTGATGTTTACTGTGTGCAGAGATCTATAGATAGTGAACCTACCTACGTATACACATGATAGAGGCCTGCCGCCCTGTCAAGTGTCGTGGGGTCAAGAGAGGCCGACGCCCAGGGTGGTCCGGATCAATGAACACTCCAGGTACGGAGTCGTCTTTCAGGACCTATTCAGCCCTCGGCTCCGCGGCCAGTGACCAATCCAGGGCAATCTCCGCAGAAGCATGCTCCCAGGATTCCCCAGAAAGGAGGTTGGGGAGAATAGGAGAGTAAAGGCTTCAAAAGTGAATTCCCACCACGTTGCCAGTGCCATAATATACTGGTGATCGAAGTACCGGGCGAGCGGAACGCAGACTGAGGCTTTCTACAACCAAGCAGACCACCAAAAATCCCGGCCTACATAAGCGATTGACCGAGTGTACAGTCATGGGTCAGTCAACTCCACTCTCGGTAGCTTCGGACTTTCCGATCGTCCACGGCTCCGGCATGACGATTCGTCGAATGCATGTCCCTTGACTCTGTCCCAAAAAGGAAAATGTCCCGTCAAAGTACCTGCGAGACGAATCTCAACTCCCGAGTACGGCTCCAACCCAAATGACGCCTGAGTACAGCCCAACCAAACGAGGAAATATTCTCGGAGTCTTCAGATCCACCCACTCTGACACTGAGGTAACCTCTTAGGGAGTGACATATTTGAAGCAGTCTCGTCTCAAAGTTCGCAATTCGCAAAGACACCCCGCTTCCGTTATTACCCGAGTCGTATTCGCGACAACCACATATACTACTCCGTCGCTGCTGAGGAGGATACACTGTGGACATCTCGGAAATCCTTTCTAGGCCGCCATCCTTCCGTCGACTACACATACGTCTAAGCTCAAGTACTCTTATAACGATGGGCGCCGAGCATTCTCCCTGTATGTCCAAACCCCTGCTATGCCTATTATGCCACCCAACCCTCACACGTGAAAGGCACTGCTGGGATTCTTGAACCAGACCTTAGATCCTCCGCTGATGCCACCGTCGACGAACGGAGGCCATTACTCCCTGCAGCGCACCACCAAACAAGTGGTGACGTTGGTGAAGGGGAGGCGAATGGTGATGATGGCCAACTCAGCACCCTCCACCTTATGATTCGCGAAGCCAGATGTATTTCTACAATATCTCTTCCCGTGATCCTATCGTACGCTCTGCAGGCGTCGTTCCAGACAGTGTCGATTTTCATCGTCGGGCGAGCCGTTCCTCATCATCTCTCCACGGCCGCATTCTCTTACGGTTTCGCCACAGTAAGTGGTTGGCTAGTTGGAGTCGGAGGCTCGACCGCGTTGGATACCCTTGCTTCATCGACCTTTACGGGGGGCAAAAGCAAGCACGCCCTTGGTATTCTCCTCCAACGAGCCACAATTGTTCTGACCTTGATGTACATCCCAATCGCAGTCCTCTGGTTCTTTTCACGCCCCGTATTCGAGGCTCTTGGCTAGGACAAACAGCTCTCGCAGGACAGTTGTACGTTTTTGCGCCTTCTCATCCCGGGCGGGTTGGGCTACGTCTATTTCGAAACCATCAAGAAATACCTACAAGCACAAGGCATCTTTCGACCAGGAACATACGTTCTGCTATTTACGGCACCTCTGTCAGCGCTCCTAAACTATCTGCTCGTCAATACCGCAGGCTACGGCGTGTTTGCTGCTCCGATAGCTACCGGCATCGGTATCTGGCTGTCGTTCCTGGGATTGGTTGCCTACATCAAGTTTGTCGACGCCGCCGAGTGCTGGGGAGGATGGGACTCACGTTGTCTGCAGAGGATGGGTACCTTTGCCTACCTTGCAATCTTGGGAATCTTGCATGTTGGCACCGAGTGGTGGGCGTTTGAAATCGTCACCATCATCGCGGGCCAGCTTGGGACCAAGGACCTGGCGGCCCAAAGTGCCATAATGACTCTCGATGCGGCATTGGCTACGTTGCCGTTTGGCATCGGAGTCGCTACCAGCACCTGGGTCGGCAACCTGCTCGGCCTGCGAGATCCCAGATCAGCTGCAAGCTCAGCACATTCGGCCGCCATTTTCAGTGTCCTCGTTGGAGCTGTTGTTGGTCTTTTGATGATTCTTTTCAAGACCCAAACCGCACGTCTCTTCTCGCCTGACCCGGAAGTTATCCAACGTACCACCAAAGTCCTCCCGCTTCTTGCACTATATCAGATCGCTGATGGCCTCAATGCCAGTTGCGGCGGCGCACTCAGAGGTATAGGCAGGCAACACGTCGGCGCTGCGGTTAACGTAATTACCTATTACTGCCTGGCACTTCCGCTGGGAGCCTGGTTAGCTTGGCATGGCTGGGGAGTTCAGGGTCTATGGATCGGCCAGTGTGGCGCCTTGATCTTGATAGGTTTCGCTGAGTGGGTTATTGTTGGCATCACGAACTGGGACCTTCAAGTCGAACGTGCGTTTGTAAGAATGGACTGAAGAAATCTCGGGATGCCCAAGAGTGAGCACCACGAGCAGGAGCTGGGCACTTCCTGTTTTCGGAAAGCAGTCGATCCACGTAAAGTCTAGATCGGTATAATTGGCACTTTGGTCTGTTTGAAGCTTGTTGAAAATATGGACTGAGTGGTGGCAACTTTAAACAAACGAGACGGAGGGAATTAAGCTATGGGGGATTTTTTTCATTAGCCTTATATAATTGTAACAACAAGCATTTTTCAACCAGCATGCATTCGAGTGCTAATTCCTTTCTCGTGGATAGGTGACCACGCTGCTCTTCGCCACCCACAGCACCTGGACACTATATGGTTCACTGGCTTAACCGTGTTGCTTTGTGGACGCTCTGCTTTCACGGAAATTGATAATTACGAGTAAGAAGTCTTGGATTGGTTCACGGCTACTTCCGATACAGCATGCAGCTCAAATGCAAATCGCCCTTATTTGGAAACTCGCGGCTGACATCTATGCGTCTCGCATATTCTATACCCTTACCAAGGACACGGACTTCGTCATGCCTTCCGTAAGCGACTTGATTAAGGAATATGATTTCCTGGAAGAAGATGATGCATTATTGAAATGCCTAATCTGGCCGACCTTTATGGCAGGTGCAGAAAGTACTTGTCCAGAACACCGAGAGTGGGCTCCGAGGATGTTTGACCGTATTTGGCGTATCACGTTGAGCGCAAACTCCAAGAATGCAAAATGGGTCTTGATGAGTCTTTGGGAAAAGCAAGATGAACACAAACAGCGGCCAGAGACACAAGTGGCTGAAGATTGGGACTAGATAGCTGAGCTGTCTTCGCAAGAGAGTCCTTGGATTTTTTTCTGAGGATTCAAATCTAATTTTATAATAAATCGAACCACACCTGCGCTAGACAGTAATAATTTCAAGCCTAGCGGTTACAGTACGTCAGGGATCGGCCAGATTACCCCGGTGACCACTGTTGCGATGTGCATGATTGTCTAATAGCAACTAACTCCAAGTTTCCTTTTGCAGGTACAGCCACTCTGTCAGGATAACGAGAGGTGCGTCGGGGCAACTTTGACCTCCGGCAAATAATCAGGGTCAGATACGGGCTGCCACTTGATTCACTTTGCTTATCTCAAGTTCGCCAAAGATAAAATCTCGGAGACTTTTCGATGGAAGATGTAGTTATACAAAATCCCAAGTCACAGCCCGGCTATCATTGCAATTAATCTAGATCGTGCACGATCTGAAGAAGCCGCAAGAGAATGATGGCAGGCACGATACCAATTGCCACAACTGGCTGTTCTGATGGTAGAATCTGGTCCTACTCAATATGAAGGGCTGATCCACTTTATCATACCTAGGTACATCATCCACGTCTCGGGCCTACCCTGTACCATTAGGAAGTACCAAACGTCACAGTTCTATCATACTGGAGGCCAAGCAAGCTATGATGTTAATTGAATTGCGCATATATAATCTATCCTACTTTTTCTTGCATCAAGGCGCCTTTACTATCCTGCGGTGGCGCCACTCTAGTGCTTTTTCCCTCTTGAGGTCGGCTGAGATGAACCAATATTGCATCGATCCTCGTCCATTGCTACTGAATGCGTTTTTCTGCAAGTTCAAAGACGCGTCCTACTCGTGACCTATAACGGTTATATCACGTACTAAAGACCACTTTACCACATGGCAAATATGCAAGGACCTCGGACTTGTACCGGGTACAAGCAGGCTTTCTAAATCGTCCAAAAAGACGAGTCTTGTGATAGCTGGCTTCCGCTCGCAGTAACTATCGACATCCAGTCTTGACTTAAGGTCTTCCAGCCAACCTCCTTTCCCTTTTGCTATTGTGCTATTCCACGTCAAAATTTACTTCGAATCCACTTCTTCGGGTATTTTTAATGCTTTAGTAGGCTCTATGTTACATACGAGTGGAGACTTGGGCTGATGTGATCAAGTCCCGAATGGCGTATTCGAGTATCCACCAGCTAAATAGTCTCCTACGTTACAATATGACCTCTCAAAGTGGCGGGATCATTTCTCCAAGAGGAAGGTGCTTTTACTCCGGTGGACTTTGGGGATAATACTCCGTACTTTTGATCTAGGATTGACTACCAACTCAGAGATCGGCGGTACACGTTACACTTGAGGACGGTGGTTTCCACTGCGGCGACAGCTTGCAGAAATTTCTGCATCCATGTAGAAGTTCTCCATCATATTTGCTTGAAATGGCACCAGAGATTGTGAGATGGCGCGGCTGGGATATATAAGGCGCTTGTTACCTCGGTGCTCAGTCACGTCCCAGTTAGTTGATAGAGAATAATATAACATGGCCGAAACTGCCCCAGCCGTTCCCAAAGAGGGGACTGTCCTCGACATTTCCACGACGGAAGAGGGGCCCCGTGACCCTCACCCTTTCCCTCGCACGAAGCGATCCTGGCATCACACCACTCTCTTCAATGCCTTTGTCATAGGCGGCGTCGGCTTCCTGGCACCCGGCCTATGGAACGCCATGAACTCGCTCGGAGCAGGTGGAGCGCAGAAGCCGTACCTCATTAACGCGGCCAACGCGCTGGTATTTGGGCTGATGGGTTTCTTGTGCCTGTTTGGTGGCCCCATTGCCAACCGCATCGGCCTCTCGCGGACGCTGTTCCTGGGAGCAGTGGGATACCCCGTCTACTCGGCCGGGCTCTACTGCAACAACCGCTTCGGCAATGTGTGGCTCGTCCTTGTCGGCGCCGTGTGCTGTGGCGTCTCAGCCGGCCTCTTCTGGGTCTCCGAAGGCGCCGTTGCTCTGGGATATCCCGAGCCCGGCAAGCGTGGCAAGTACATGAACATCTGGCTCTGGTTCCGCACAGGCGGGCCGTTGGTCGGAGGCGCCATCGTGCTCGGACTCAACCACAGCGCCGGGGCCAAGAAGAAGGGCAAGATCGACTCCAAGACGTACCTGGTCTTTGTGGCCCTGCAGTGTGTGGCTGCTCCTCTGGCCCTCGCGCTGTCACCGCCAGAAAAGGTGCAGCGCTCAGACGGTACTCGTGTTATCGTCAAGGCCGAGCCCAGTCTTAAGGCCGAGTTCAAGGCGTTGTGGAAGGTCAGCACGCGCAAGCAGATTCTCCTCCTGCTACCGATATTCTGGGCCGCCTACTTCAACCAGTACAACGGCAACTTCCAGACGTACTACTTTGGTGTTCGCGCCCGTGCCTTGGCTGGATTCGTCACAAACATTGGCACGCTGCTTTCTTCTCAAATCATGAGCACGCTGCTGGACTATAAAGGCCTGGCCGTCAAGCGCCGCATCGAGATTGGCTTCTACTACGTTGTGACCCTCCACATCGCCGCGTGGGTGTACGGCTGGGTCATCCAAGAAAGATACACGGCCAACCCCCCCGTCTGGGACTGGGAGGATGCCGGCTTCGTCGAGGGTCTCTTTGTGCTGCTGCTCTGGGACTTTTCTCGCCAGGCGCTGCAGAACTGGCTGTACTACTTGTTGGCCACAATGACCGACAATATCTCCGAGCTGAGTCGCTTTGCGGGTATTCTGAGAGGTCAGGAGAGTTTTGGACAGGCTGTTAGCTATGGCTTGAACTCAACCGAGTGGCACGGTGGCAGAGTGCCCCTGGCTGTGAATACGATTCTGTTGGGTGAGTCTTGACAAGGGTTGCTGAAACTGGAGAAAGACAACGCTAATTTATATACAGTTCTATCTGCCTTTCCTGCATGGATAGTGATGAGGAACCATGTTCCGGTTGAGGCAGGAAAGGCTGCTGCTTTGGATCACGCGAGCGACGAGGAGAACGTGACTAGGAAGTAGGAGATTTACAGTTGTACGTGTACTGCATAGGTAGCGGCAGGTCTTTACGATTTCGGATGATATCTTTTGCCATGGTTCCTTTCCAATTCACTTCGCCATGCATAATTTAACGTGTCACTTGAATACGTATGGAACGCAATACTGCGACTGCCACCCCATCATCTGACTAAATTACCTGGTCTCGCTGGTCTCGCTGGTGAGTAGCGCCTCATCCTTGCATCGATTTTAGTTCTTCCACGCTCCCACTCCTGGAACCAAGTAGCCACCTGATCGTCCGCTACAACTATCTTAAATTTGTTATTTTCATTATTCTACCCGTGGATTACACGACTTGGAGATTTTGGGAGCAATGTTTGTGTCGGTGCCGTAGATTAATGACGTCTTGGATGTCCCCCAATGTATCTAGAGTTTGTAGGGCGGGGTATCCCTTTGACTGTCGTAAGGCAGCACTTGCGCTAGTGGCAGGGATGTAGACGAACAAATAATCACGAAAAAAGAGGTACGCGAGGTCACACCTGTTTTATATGGCGATAGAAGTCACAGTTCTTGGAGACGGAGTCGAGCAGCATGCCGTTGATCCCCGTGCTGGCTTACAAAGGGATAGCTGAGGCTTACCGCTCCTTGGGGCCAAAGCCCTTCCTAGGCAACGAATGTGATCGACCATCGTGCACTTCAATGAGCCTGTGCTATGTCTAGGCGATTGGGAAAGTATGGGTCCGGATCTGGGGATCTGAGTCAGGTCTTGGCGAATCGCGCGAGCACAAGCATGTAAGCGACCCAGACTCTGAGTCAATGACGGCAGCAGTTAGCTAGGCATAAGTCAACGTGTAATCATCCGGTCATGTTTGAAATGGTGACGCCGGGACTCGATCATTTGCGTCAACGAGCTTGAATAGTAGACGCTACTGAAGCACTGCGGGGGCCTTCTGATCTATATAAACAAGCACATTGACCCGTCCAAGAGCTGTTGTTCTTTTCATCACCAAAGCAAGTTCAACATCACCACCTGCGAATAATTTCACAACACAATTAAAACTATATTCCAATATGTCTGATACATACAAGCCCACTGGTATGCACACGATCGACAATCCCCCCGAATATAAATTCATGTCATCTAACAAGTCCATTAAATAGAGCACGGCGGTCTCCGCGAAGACGGCAAGCCCGACAAGCGCGTTGGCACCGGCGAGTTCGCCTATGGCAAGGTCGATCCTACTGAGGCTGGCCAGCAGGGTGGCAAGATGAGCGGCACCACCCAAGCCACGGATGAAGACGTCAGTAAGGACACTGGCAACAGTGGAGGTAGTGCCAAGGGCGAGTTCGCTCATGGCAAAGTCGATCCCCACGAGGCCGGCCGCAAGGGTGGAAAGGCGAGTGGCAGCAGCGACGAGTAGATGATTAAATATGTATCCAAAGTCACATCAAGGTAGCAACAGTGGAAAACCAATTGACTGGCTCATGAATATCTGTGATTCGGTTTCATTAGCCTGTGCAAACTCAGCGTGCCGCATTCGCTAAGGAAGGGATATATGGTCATTGTAGCTCAACTTTCTCTAAATAAGAGGCTTATAGTAGGCGCCTCATAGTTGAGAGACGAGAATGGGAAGAAGAAATTTTCGGCGTGCAAAACAACCTCCGAGAAGTTGTTGCAGAAATTGATTGGCGTGTAGCAACGATGTTACACATATCGCAGCTTGATATCAGTGACATTTCCTATCTGGTCATGGCGAACAAGAGCATACTCGTATTGAGAAACTGGCAGCACCTTGTTAGGAAAAGAAAATATGAGCTTTTCCACACATCACATCAAATACACCTGCATCGTCACATACGGCAAACAAGTGCCTTCTTCGGGGTCATAGAGAAGCCATAGAGACAATGAATTTGTAAGAATAGCGTAATCTGGTGAAGTTGAGCAATGCGCCATCTTGCTGAGATTGCTAGGTCAATCGCTGCTCCTGGATGAAGCCACTGGATGAGATTTCCATAGGTACCGAAAGACAGACCCAAAAAGCCCTGGGAGATGACTGTTGAAAAAATAAGAGAAAATAGACCAAGGCGAGACACCTGGTAGTAGATTATCTTATCACTCACTACTCACATAGCGGTAGCACACAGGGATTGTTAGGGTATGTACACCGCTTTGGTGCGGCTGAACGCTTGTCACGACACAGCCCTGCATCTCCGCAACCATGTTCAACAGTGCACAAGGACACGACACAGCGGCATCTGGATTTGTTAAAAGCTCCTACATATTCTCACAGAGAATACATTGCTTATTTCGCGTGAAGTGACTGTTTATGTTGTGTAGTGTATGCCATACCCCGTCATTCTTGGGGTCGTTCTCAAATCTGAATCCTTCAAAACCACCGCCTGTTTGCAAAAGCTAGTTCAATGACTGGTCCTGCAATTTTATATCCAAGCCTTGACTAGGTTAGCGTCGAACGAGATATTACACAGCCACAGTTTAGGAATCTGTCAGCAGTGCATATTTACCTATCTGCATTATTCCGACTCAGCCCCCCAAGGCAGATTTCTGAGCCGTGGCGGCTGATGCCTGCTGTGCCTGAAAGATGCGAATAACCCCGCAATTATATCAGAAGCCTGTCTTGAGATCCTCTTCTTTCCTTGATCAAGCATTCGCCATTTTGCCTCATCATGCCCAATCCTCAAGATTATACCGTTGGATGGGTATGCGCCACTATTTCAGAATATGTGGCTGCGCAAGAGTTTCTTGACGAGGAGCACCAAGACGAGGAGCAAGAGACTCCCGGCACCTTGCACCCAGACGACGCCAATCACTATACCTTGGGTAGGATTGGAAAGCATCATGTCGTCGTCGCATTCTCTTCGAACCGCCAGAGCGGAGCGGCATCCGATACTGCCATCGACATGGTGCGAAGCTTTCCCAACATTCGCATAGCTCTTCTTGTGGGGATTGGCTACTGCGCCCGGAACAATGCCCGTGATATTCGTTTAGGGGACGTCGTCGTTGGCGACGGCCGAGACAGTGTCTTTCAGTATGATTTCAAAACCACCGTCGAAAACCAATCGTTCAAAGACGTACGGTTCTTCAATCAGCCGCCATTGGCGCTCCAGACAACCATTGCGGGAATGCGGGCCCAGTACAAGAGAAGCGGCCATCAGCTTGAGCAAACCATCGATTGTGTTTTCGAGAACAACCCTAGATTACAAGACGAATACCAGCGACCGCAAGCTTCATGCGACTTGGAAGCCGATGGATCAAATACAGTACCAGTACCACGACAAGACAACCCAGCAATCCACTTTGGCACGGTCGCTTCATCAAATGAGGTGATGACGGATGCTATCGAACGGAATAGGCTTGCAGCGGGTAGGAATGTCCTATGCTTTGAGACGGAAGGGGCGGGATTGAACACAAACCTCCCTTGTCTGTTTATTCGGGGCATATGCGGCTACTCGAACTCGAACAAGAACAAAGAATGGCAAGGATATGCGGCCATGGCAGCGGCTGCATACGCCCACGACCTTCTCTCACGAACCTCGGCCGAGAAGCTACAAAATGAAGCAACAATTTTTCAAATTCTATCGTCGCTGCCAGTTCCAGAGGAACGGATGTCCGCTGGAAGACAGCCGATCCGCGAAGAGGAGCCCCTCGAGTACCCGAACGAATGGACACCTCTACACTTGTCTGCGTACTTTGGCTTTCAACCAGGATCACCCGTACCCCTAGGTAATCTGAAGCATGTCGATGCCAAAGACAGCCTTGGAAAGACACCTTTATCGTGGGCTGCTGAAAATGGCCATGGCGTCATGCTCAAGAAGCTGCTCGACACAGGAAAGGTCGATGTTGAGTCTCAGGATGCACAAGGCCTGACGCCCTTTCTTTGGGCTGCTCACGGGAGTCACATGGATGTGATGAAGATTTTGCTGGATACAGGAAGTGTCGATCTCGAGTCCAGAGACGTGTACGGCCGCACACCATTAGCTTGGGCCGCTCAGTTTGGCTACGAACCTGCAGTGACACTACTACTGGACATGCAGGTGGAAGTTAACACCAAGACCTACTCTGGCCAAACGCCATTATCATTGGCTGTTGGTGGAAGCTTTGATTCAATTGTTGCGAAACTACTCAATACGGGAAAAGTCGACGTCGATTGGAAAGATGTCCATGGCAGAACACCATTGTCATACGCCGCTGAGAGGGGCAACGGTGTATTGGTCAAGATGCTGCTGGATAGAGGACTGGCTGAGGTCGACCCAAAGGATATGCTCCATCGGACACCACTCTTATGGGCAGCAGCCAGAGGCTTCAAGCCCACCTTTAAGATGCTGCTGGATACTGGCCGGGTCAATGTGGAATCGAGAGACGAGCAAGGCCGAACACCGCTGTCCTTGGCTGCAGGCAACGGTAATACCCTTATTGTCAATCAACTTCTGGCGACGGGAGTGGTCGACGTCAACTCGGAGGACAGTACTGGACTATCACCGCTGGCGTTTGCGGCCATAGAAGGCCATTACGATGTGGTCAAGGCATTGCTAGCTATGGAGGATATCCAGGCTGATTTGCAAGACATGACGGCCCGAACCCCAATCTCCTGGGCTGCTCAAAACGGACATTTACATGTCGTGAAAGCGCTTTTAGACACAGGAATGGTCGACCCAAACTCCAGAGATCTCAACAACATGGCTCCACTATCATACGCTGCTGAATCCGGCCATGCCATTGTGGTTAGGATGCTGCTGGATATAGAACGGGTTGATGTCGACCCAAAGACTTTTCGATGGGGTCTAACGCCGTTGATGTTGGCTGCCGTCAACGGGCATAACACTGTGGTGAAGATGCTTCTGGACACAGGAAAGGTCGACGTGGAAACAAAAGAGCACTTCAACGGCAGGGCAGTGCTGTGCTTGGCCATCGAGCAGAAGCAACCCGCCGTCGTCAAAACGCTGCTAGATGAAGGGAGAGCCAACGTCGAAGCAAAGGACAACCACGGCATCACACCGTTGTTGATGGCGGGAGTGCTTGGCGCCAAGACCATTGCTACCATTGTGCTAGAACGGATCAAGGGTGGCATCAACTGCAAGGATCCATACGGCCGAACAGCATTGTCGTGGGCTGCTGGAGAGGGCCACAGTTCCGTCGTCAAGCTGCTAGTAGAAGCCGAAGACATTGAGATTGATTCAAGGGATGACAATGGCCGGACACCACTTTTCTTCGCGGCCAAAAATGGACATGAAATCATTGTCAAAACGCTTCTCGATACGGGCAAAGCCAACGTCAACTCCAAGGACACCAAGTATAGCTTAGCACCACTGTCAGCGGCTGCCCAGAAAGGTCATCACCTTGTGGTTCAAAGGCTGCTCCAGGAGGATAAGGTCGATGTTGACCTGAAAAACAACGAAGGTCGAACTGCGTTGTATTGGGCCGCTCGAAACGGACATGTTGTAGTGGTGAAGATGCTTTTGGAAACGCACAAGGTCGACGTCGAGGCAAAGGATGAGGTCGGCCGCACACCACTGTTCAAGGCTACCCAATCTGGATCTTTCGAGGTTGTCAAGCACTTGCTTCTGGTAGGAAAAGCTGATCCTGATCCGAGTGACTCTGAGTACAATGCAACACCACTGTCCTGGGCAGCCGAGGATGGTCACCTCGCCTTGGCCAAGTTGCTCATAGACACAGGCAAGGTTGACATCAACTCCAAAGACGTCAACAACCGGACACCGCTGTTTCTGGCAGCTAGCAATGGCCACGGCGATATTGTCAAGCTGCTACTGGAGACTGAGGCCGTGGATGTGAATGTGAGGGACAGTGATGGCCAAACACCGCTCTTTGCGGCGGCTCTAGGCGGGCGTCGTAGTGTCGTGAAGATGCTACTAGACACAGGCAAGGTCGACATCAACACAAAGGATATTCGTAGCAGAACAGCGTTATCCTGTGCTATCGGGAGGGGCTATGACGAGGTGGTAAAGATGATGTTTCACGACAAGCGGATCAACGATGGTGAGCCACCGTCGTCACAGACTGCCAAGACAGGGACTGAGCCAGTGGGTAGATCGCGGGATGTCGAATGGGTAGGAATTGACATGAAGAGTATGGAGCCTGGACGAGAAGGTGAGCCGCGTTAGGCAGAAGGTTACTTGGAGACCCAGATTATTTGGTTCAGCGACTGTCATTACGAATTCCATATATCAGCGTGATTGTTTAAATTAAGTGTAAAAATAAACATTTTCCAATGTGGACCCATGTGTGATAAGATTGTTCTTTTAATAGACATCATACCGGGGACTAGTTGTGGAGGAGCCTGGTGGCTAATACGAAGGCTCCGCCACTCGCGCAGGGCAATACGATGAGCAGAGAGGCGGATGCTGACGTCTGACAATCTCAATGGGGCAGGGTGGGATATCGTGCTGACAACTCTTGATTCAATAATTGGGTGCCTTTTGTTCATTCGTATGCATCATCCTCAGTTCCGTCAGCAAGGAGGCAGTCGCCCATCTGGTGTGAGTGAATACCACTCGAATCTGACTGTATATTCCACCCCACTCTGCCAGTTATTCTATACAACCGATTTTATGAGGGCTCTCACTTTAATTTTTATTTTGGTACAAGTCTGTAAGTTCTAACATTATTTTTAGACAGCCGCATCCTCCAACCGGGGACCTGGGCTGCCAAGTATATATAATTACCGCCAATGCCCTGGACATTCACATTATGAATCAACCAAATTCACTTGCAAACATGTCCAAGATGACTATTTTCTTGCAGGCTGCTGCCTCCATTCTATTTTATGGGCTCGTCGGTGCCCAGAACCACTCGGCACCTACCAACAGCTCCCTCACGTTTGTTAACCCGCCACGGAACCTTACTACCATTGAGATTTACGTTCAACCCAATCCACTGTCGTCCAACGGATCTGAGAACACGTTTGCTGTTCAAACTCAGCAAGTATCTTATTTTGTAAGAGATGGATACGCCGTGATTGACGGCGACGTTCTCTTTGGCACAGAGGCCGACATCGAGGCGGCAGCAGTTGACGCCCAAAGTACCAAGCGCGCTGCTTCTGTATTCAAGTTGGCCAACGGAAGCAAATGGCCAAAGGGCGAGATTAAATACAGATGGGAGACGGCACCGAATAACAAGGTCAGATCAGACTGGGAGGGGGCCATCAAGCTGTGGACGGACCGACTGCCCTTCCTCAAGTTCGAAGAGGTCGACAAAGGGATGCCCAACAACAAAATGGAGGTTGGCGTGGTCAACCTCCGAATCCAGACTGGTGGAAATGCTTGTTTCTCGCCAATCGGCATGTCCGCGACTGCCAAGGACAGTGTTATTATTCTAGACGACTGCGGCGTGCTCACGACGGCACACGAACTGGGACACACGCTGGGTCTATATCATGAACAGCAACGGCCCGACAGAGACGACTATATTGAAATCCACTGCGAAAACCTGATTCCAGACCAACTTGGAGTAAAGGCATTTTGTGGCGATGGCGTTTGCCGTGGCTGGGGCTGTGCCTTTCGCAAACTGGGCGAGACCGAAGTCGACTGGTCTGGTCCGTATGATACGGAGAGCATTATGCACTATGGCGAGTCCGACTTCAGCTACGACTGGTATAATGTCCCCGTTCTCGTGGGCAAGGGCAATGTGAAGCTGCACCGTGGATTCTCAGCCCATCCTTCCCTCTTGGACGTCGGCCGTCTTTGCGACATCTACGCGGAGGACTGTCGGGGCGTCTGCGGCGACGGTATCCTGGCCCCTGCCAACGGAGAGGAGTGCGATGACGGGAATAACATTGACGGCGACGGATGCAGTGCCAATTGCAAAAAGGAATCGACGGGAGAATACTGCGGAGACGGAATTGTACAGTCTGGCGAGGAGTGTGATGATGGAAATAATGCTGACGGCGACGGATGCAGTGCCACCTGCAAGATCGAAGCTCAGTCTGGACACTGTGGCGATGGCATCATTCAAGCGGACGAAGAGTGTGACGAAGGCGCCAATAATGGCAGTCCAACATGCTCCTTGACGTGCAAGCGGCCATCCAACTCCGCTTGCAGCACTTGCAATCCGTCACCAGGAAACAATCAATGCCATGTCACCACCAGTTGCATCGCCGTGGCTAGCTCGTCGAACCACTACTGCGCTTGTGCTCCTGGATACAGGGCTGGTGATGCTGGCGATCAGTTCAGACTGAACTGGCCAGGCCAGGAAGGGCGTGTGTTTGTGAGACCGGGCGTCGCTTGTAACCAGCTGTGCGATGAATGGACGTTGGGAAACGGTGGATGCAAGGAGGTAGCTGTAAAAGATGAGTGTTATTGATCGAAGAGCATCTGTCTTTGGGAATGGGTTAGGAGTTTGGTATATATTGCTGGCATAGGGCCTTTGGTATGAGCGAAAAGGCGGCGACTGGTATAGTATGGCAGTAGTAGAATTAGATTAGCATAATATCCGTTGATAGGTGAACGTGGATAATCTCAGGAAATGCTCGTTAGACGGCGATCCGACTGTTCAATTTCAAGAATTATCATTTGTGTCACGCCGGACAGCCGTCCTGGAGATGTTTCCATACGGTGGTCTAGAATGAAGCTAAACAACCTATAGTATGCTGTAAAGGCGTGATGCACCCACGAGCCATCTCATAATCCCGTTTTACCCTCTGTAAAGATTGATGCTAAAATAATAGGACTACCGTGGACTCACTTAAATTGGTTGCGCCTTTAACATGCTCCCCCCCATTTGGTACGTCACTATATCAGGAAACAAGATAAACCACCGTTTGCATCCTTAGCTCAGATTCTCAGGCTTCTGCGCACACAGAGAGTGGAAGTGCACATAGGAATGCACCGACGTATCCATCAAATCCTTCCGCACCTTGACAAGAAAGACTTCGACCTCCTCAGGCTTCCAACCAAGGCCACGCGTGAAGGGCCCCATCGTGATGGCTTGGAGACCGTCGTAGATTACACTCCTGTTATAAAGGCCAATTTTCTTGAGGTTGGAATCCTTAGGCCACGGTCCGACGGGAACCTTTTTAATTTCGTGGCGGACGTTTACAAAGCCTGCGTCTCTCAGCCTGTCTTCGTTTTTTTCGGAGGCGTGCATGTCGATGCCAAACGTAGCCAACCCATCCCGGATGTTGGCCACCATCTGTGGTGGCGTATAATCAGGGTGCATGGTTCCATCATCGCATCCGTACACCCAGCGGAACTCTGGGAGCTCAATCCAGCCACCTGGCTTGAGCGTCCTGGACAGATAATGGATTAGTTACAAGGTAGCATGTGGTTTTACACGCAAGGCTCGGATTTATCATGTACCTGTACGCTTGTGCAAACAGAGCCGGCCAGTCTTTGATGGCGGTGGACATGTTCCGCAAGTGGATAAGATCAAGGGAATCGGGTCGGTATAGCCACTCCGCCTCAGCATCGTCAACGAGAAACTTGACATTTGGAGGCACCCAAGGCGATTGGATAGGGCTCAGATCAATGCCAGTGACTTCGGCGGCCGGATATTCGTCGCCCGCTATTGAAGTGTATCAGCATGGCTGTACCAAAACAGTCGACTTCAGGTAAGGTAGTTTGGTGGCGAACCGTCATTAGCCCAACTTCCTGTTCCCGTGCCAATATCTAGAATCCTTTGCGGATTATCCAGCGGCGCATTGTGAAGCTTCCCTCCCAAGAGGTGGACTGCGACGGTATGCTTCATATCTTCTCGCTCTTGCTCGGGCGTGTCGTTGGGGAACTGGTAGAGACCCTCCTTGAACCTGTGATACCTGCGACTGTTCTCAAAGCGGTAGTCGCGCACGCTGGAAGACAATGAAGTCGATACAGAAGATCCTGATCCTGAATCGGATACGTAGCCATCGTCTGCTGGGGTATCGTCCACGTCGATCGACTGCTGTTGTGGCGTCGAAGCCTCCGGATCTGTCAGCGCATCTTGGCGAGGCGATTCTGACTCCCTAGAAATGGGCGGCGCTTCAGGTTCGGCTTCTGCCATTGGTGCATACGACCCTGGGAGATGCCAAGTTTGGCTGGGCAGGATTAACTTAGGCGAGCAGAGAGGACTCCGTTTGACGTGTTGCATCTAGATGAGTGAAGCAAAGATCGTCCCATTTTCAGTCCTCAAGTTACCCCGCATGCGAGCTGTCATTTTATTTGTCAGCAAATATCGGGGCCCAGTTGTGATGAACCTGAAGACCTGAAGCCAGATAGATTCCATCAACTACATTGATCTGAGGAACACCTCACTTTGCCAGGCAACCATAACCTAGTCTCTTTTTACACGAACCAGGGAATCACCATGGACAAATTCAAACTGACCCTCGCCGATATCACCATCCTGTCGAGGATCCACAATATTCCCACTTGGCCCATCCCTTGAGGCTCTAGCTTTCTTTGAGAATGGGGCTGTCACAAAAAGACGAACGTCCTTTGCGGGACTTCTTGTCATGTGCTATAGCCTCTATCCGCCAACAGATACTTTCTCCCACCGCTGTAGGCGGAATTTGGGGTGACGAGTATATGGTCTTGTTGCGGGTGCAATTGTCAATCTAGAGGTTAAGCACTATCTAGACTCCACTAACATCGTTATTGATAACAGTGACTGTTTTTTTTCCTCAGCAAAATCAAAAGTGGAATCCCAGTCTGAGGTATGTCGCAGAATGGAAAATTTAGGATAGAGAGCACTAGGGAGGCATCTTGTTATGTGTAAGAAACTTAATGGTTCAATACTTAGATTTGGCGCTATGCCTCCTCGCAGTCACTTCTACCCAAAACTAGAGCCTCAAATCACTCTAGATTGCAATCCTTCCCCTCTGCGTCACTATTCCGCTGATAATCGCCTGGTATGGCGCTTGTCCCCCAGAAGTAGGCGTTCTCCCAGTCATGCTGATTCTACCTGAAATACGCCCATTACTTCCAAAGACGAGGTTGAAACCTCCAGTGGCCGGGTTGTAGATGTTGGCTAGAAGACCACTTCTGGCGTTGAATACTGAAATCTGATTGGCGGCGGCAATGGAAGTATCGACAGAAACGGTCACCGTACTGCGTGTAGCGGATACCCGTGCAAAGTCGAGGCGTGTTGTATCCCTCCTGCCGCTAATGAAGGGGTTGAGATATCGGTTGGTAACGTATGAAATACTCCCAGCAACCGGGCTGCCGATTGGACTGCCGATTGAGATGACAACATCGACTGGGTTCAAGCCATTTTGGGTCGTAGGGAAAGGGATGCCGTCAATAACGAGTAGTCCGCCTCGTACTACAAAAGGCTGCCAGTTTCCTTGATTCCGTCCGTCGAAGGTAACGTCAATCAGGATATAAGCCAGGTCAGATGCGCGTTTCTCGCCGCTCAGGTCTCGTGGCCCAAGGGTGAAGTTGAGCAGACCGAGGTCAGGTTGATTTACGACGGGAATCGAGTCGTCATCAAATATTGAGGGGTGAGTCGGCCGTCCCGGGGTAGGCGAGGCCAAGACGCAGCCTAGGAGAGCAAGGAGGGGTAGATGCCGCATCATCGTCGAGATTAAGCGTTTGATGGCGGGAATGAAGGTATAGGTGCTGATATTCAAAAGGCAACAATAGCTGTTACGAGTTGGGAAGTTGAAGGACTGACCTCTGGGCGGTAGCAAGTGTATTTATTGCTCAAGACTCACTCGGACAGCACATCCTAGAGAACGGGCCTTTCCGTTGAAACTTTTTAACCTGGCATGCTCCTAAAGCTAGTGGCGCTTACATTTTTCAGCCGCAATAGCAGGTCTTCCTCTCACGAGCTGTGGCTTTCTGAACTCTCCTAAGCTGATAAGCTTATATTTGCGGTTGATTGGAAAGACTACAAGACATTTCGGTCTGGGCCCCGTCCATTGGAATGCAGCTGTTGTCACATTCCATAGCCCGTTCCAGAACAAGGCGGCGGCGCTTCACCTTCTAAGCCCCATATCGGATCCGTCGATAGCGCTCTTATTGCCACATGGACTTGGCTTGTCAATTTGCGGGGTTCCAACATTTCCGCTACGACGGCACTGCCATCGGATGACCCATCACACCTATGGAGAGGGGGGAGTAAGCCTGTTGCTAGCTTAAGCAGTCCCTACATAAGGCGTTCGGTCCGCTTGAAAGATAAGAAGGCACGGTTTTTCCGTTCTTTCATTAATATAACACCTTTAGTCCCAGTATGCTTATTCTATTATAGCTGTCGCAGCAGCTCATAAAGATATTTTCCTTTCTCTTCTTCTTAGAGAGATTTAGAAGCAAATAATCAACTGCTTTTAGTATCTTTTGCTCTCAGGAGTATAAAACTCTAACTTGTACTTTAAGGATTCTCCCTGAACCCCATGCGCTTATAGGCTTTCGGAGCTCCATATACTGCGTCAATTCACTTACGTAAATCGTTGAGAGTTTTCCCAGCATGGCACTAGCAAACACACGAGTTGTGTGTCCCGAGAATGGGATTTTCGTGTTCAATGCGCCAGCCAGGAGTGATTGTCGTGATTATTTGTCGGACTTTCTCAACGTAGCTAGATGATACCTCGTTGAAAGGAGTGGAAACAGCTCAAAATGCCACTATGTTCCATTAGTGCAAAGCAGGAAAAGTTTCTTCCTGAGGTGTCTATCTAGTCTTGGTGTAGACGTCTCAACACTGCTGAGCCGAGACTAGGTATGTCGTCTATAAACGAAAGCAAACCGTTGCTTCAATATTGAGTTTAGTGATACATTAAAAAAAAACAGAATGTTCGCAATATGTCCTGTGGATCATATTACATACATGAGTATCAGTTGTGAATTTGCCAATCGTTGACGTCCCAATTTGTTGATACAATGCCATCAAGCCAGCCTCCTTGCGGCACGCGTGAGATGTTCCAGGTTGTTACAGTGGTGAGGCGTTGTGGCCAGTATTTAATTCGTGCAAGTCTTACTGTCACGTGTGGACATGCATGCATGCCACAAGGCTCTGCGTCTTTATTACGCGCCGTGATTCTGCTGTTGACACCAACATGCCTCATTGCAGAATTTAAGGCTTAGTACCCTTTGAGCCTTTCCTCAATACGGAAAACCGCCTAATACCGAATATGCAGCCTGAATCTCTCGCCATGGATGACTTGCCAGCCACTACGGGAGCAGCAACAGCTGAAGCGGCATCCAGCCAGTATTCCAACGGAGAAGACTTCACATACACGCTCGACCCCCATACCACAGACTCCTGGTGGGCATCTGCAAGTCGAGGCGTAGCCAGAAGCGAGCGAGGGAGCGCAGTTGACGGCGCAGACGACTCTCAGCCATTGCTGTTTGTGCTTCGGAACAGTATATCTGACAGCTTGGTGGACGATGTGGTGTTATGGCTGAAGCGAAATGCTCCTCCTGATATTGCTCAAGTGAGCATTACCGAGCTCACAGACCAGACACGAGAGCTGCGGGACTTTATAGCTGAGCAGAGCGAGTCACGGTCCGCAAATGCACTTATCAATATGGATCAACTGCCAACAGAATCACAAGACCAGGTTAGAGACGCATGGCTCAGATTCACGGGGCGTCTCGTCCACTCCCTCAGGCACTTTGGCCTTCAGGATTATAAGGACATGAATTGGTTTATCCGAGACTTCGAAGCCAATAATAACTCTCTCCGCAGAACCGTCGAGCGCGAGATTCTCACCACACCTCAGCTCTACGAGGCAGAACATCTAGAAAGAGGCATCCAGCTACCGCGCTCCCAGATTCTCGGCCTAGCCGATGCCTTTCGTGTACGGCTCACAAACATACTCCCGGAGTCGAGTCTCAACCACCCTACCCTCGACATGTCAACCACTCAGCCCGGGTTCAGCGTCCTTTTGCATCCGACGGCTCCCAACAGCCTGAGCATCGAGAAACACAAACAGTGGGAAACCGAAGTTCTCGTCGAGTGGAAGTAGTCCGAGGACCTCGACTCCGCAAAACAGGACATCAAACGCTTGAATCGCCTGGCCGAAGCGCTGAAGGCTGCCAGCGCAGGGCACTTTCGTACACTTGCCTGCCTCGGCCATGTGGTTCTCCCGGTGGCGACCAGCGCAAAGTACGGACTGGTTTTCCAGAGGCCCCGAGGAGGATGCGAGCCAGTCACGCTCTACACGCTACTTCTAGAGCAGCAGAGTCAGGCGAGGAGGACCATCACCATCCCAACCCTCGGTGAGCGCATCCGGCTCGCCTTTGAGATCGCCCAGGCCTTGATGCGGTGGCATCTGGCCGGCTGGCTACATCAGGGTATCGCTAGCTTCCACATTATCTTCAAGACCAGCCCTACTACTGTCGACTACAGCAAGCCGTATCTCGTTGGCTTCAACTACACCCGTGAGAACGACTCTTCTTCGGCCACGAGAGCAGGCGGCCCGACCACGGCCGAGAAGATTCGTGACATGTATCGACATCCCGAGCGCCAAGGCTCCAGACCCCCAAAGAAGCACCTACGCAAGCACGACCTGTACGCGCTTGGCCTGCTTCTCATCGAGATCGGACGCTGGATCTCGCTAGGAGATGTATTCCATAGCGCCGTGTCTAATACCCTCGGCGATCTGTCGTCAGTTCCAAAGGCTGCTCGCAAGCTTACCGAGCGGGTGCTGGCGTTTAATATGGGTGCAGCCTATCGAGACGCAACAGCTGCAAGTCTTCAAGGCCATCTTGGTGTGGTTGAGGATGATGAACACGGAACGAGATTCATTGCCGACTTTGAGTCCCAGGTTGTTCGCAAGTTGGAAGCTGGATTGAAGATTGATGAATGACGACGAGTTTACTAGCGGTGTGGACCTCAGCGCATGGGTCAGAGTTGATGTGTCTGACCTACTCTAGCGGAGCAGGCAGCGGCTGTTAATAGTGGACTACAGCTAAGGCAGACAGTCCAGTTATTTTCCTGACAGGTAGAAAAGCACATAATAAGATACTATATACGTCTTTCCATGAAATGGTACAATCTCAATCCTTCAACGAAATCACGCCATGAAGTGCTTGTCGCTGGTCTAACGTTGTAGAAGAAAGCATCCGTAAAATACTTGATCTCTGCTTCGGGAACAGGGCCAGTGGCAACTTCTCGTGCGATATCCAGCATAGCGGTACAACGACGCCTTCGAATCCTCCGCAGAATCGCGAACAGACTCAAGAGCTTGCAGCTGCGGAGCTTGGTCGTATGCGCCAACAGCTGGAGGTGATATACCTAGGGGACGATTGGACGGGGGTCACACGCGCGAGAGAGAGAAGGAGGCGACAGAACAGACTCCATCAGAGGATTTATCGTAAGCCGCGAACCACCTCATCTATTAGCGAGTGAGTTCCATCTCTAACTTAGCTAGGATTTCCTGGCCATGAGCTGTTGAAGTCTGAGCATACGAAAATAGCGTTACCTTACAAGCTAATCATTACTTCTATTGACTTCCCGCAATCAAGTCGAACTAACAATATTTGGTTATATATAAGCACATCTTTAATTGGGGTTATTAATACAACGGATAGATTGCGTCGGGAAATGCCTATCCATGTCGGGCACGTCGCGTGAGAAGTAAATCGCCGAGCCTTTGCAATTAACCTTGCTACAGGATTGTTAGATGTGGCCCGCGATACATTATTTTATTGCTTACGTGTATGCGTAGCAAAACGACTTCTTGATATGATGTATACTTTTGATTTCGAATCCTCTATTTATATATTAGCAAATGAGAACCGAAGTAGTCAGCGATGAGATGGGTATCAGTCATACATCTTGTTGACATTCGAGCATCCATACCCGCGGACATCAGCGTGGGCGCCCTTGTAATTCCTCTCACTAAAGTGCCTGGACTGCCTCAAAGTCAGTCAGTTGTTTCACCACCCGAGGAGAGGGAAAATACCGTAATAACGTCCGTCGCCGCTATCGAAGTGGCGACAAGAAACGTCAGAAAGTTCAGAGGATGCATTGCTGGGAATTGTGATATGTCTCCGAATTGAGTGCGTTGCCGGCGAGATCCCAGACGTCTCTAAGCAAACCTCCCTCGTATGGTGAATGGAAACGGACGCAGAAGTCACAGTCCAACGAAAGCAGACACAAGCCGCGTCTTAAGACATTTTTCAGCTGGCAGGGGTGACGGAGCCTAGTTGGTGATCATGAGGGTTAGGCTGCAGGGTTCCCCAGCAAGCGCTTCCTCTTCACCAACTGGTCCTATCATAGGCCCCGATTAGCGAGTGGCTTGATCAGAGGACCCGTCATGTTGCAGCAGCTGAAGATGAAGTTCTGGTGAGCGCAGATAAGCTGAGTCAAGCTTAATAGCCATCCTACCCTAAACCCCGACCTTGCTGCCCTCGTATGTGGCCAGATGTATTGAGACGCCCACCTCGTTACGGCTTGCATATTCGCCCGGACCTTGGCGACATTCGTTGCCTTGCTCTGGTGTGAGGTTATAGCTATCTCTGCAAATTGTTTTTAGGTTCACCTAACAGTAGCAATATGTCCCATTGCCAGTATCAGCCTTCGCACACAGAGTGATTGATTTAACAAGGCTCAATTCAGCCAGGCGCTGGACCTTGTTCTCCGAGTTGACCTCGAGAATGTCCCGGTGTAGTTCACGACATAGGCTGGCAGCATTCTGGTTTTTATCCCTAAATATACTTCAATCGGTGGTTGGCTCCTACTCTCTTGCTGACTGTCGCGTATTGGTTGTCGTGAACAAATCCCGACCGACTTTTCATGTGACCAAGGACTGGTCGAGATAAGTGGGAGACCTATAGCTGAGGCCCTGTTGGAGCTTCTCAAGGCCAGTACTGTCTTTGATGGCTACTGCATTCTTGCCTTGCACGGTCTCCGAGCTTTACCACAGCTTAGAAGCCGGCATTATTAGATGGCGTTAGGGTTGCCGAGAAGACGTGGGTTGGGGTTATATCCGACTAGCTCAACACAAACGACATTATCCGGGAGAGACTAACAAAGTCTCGGATGGCTACACTTCTGTTCTTGCTAGATTTTCCACGACGGATTCCGCACCATCTGGGTCATGATTTTGTGGGAGTGAAAGCAATGGCGTGGACTCCAAGTGTCAGACGATATGACCCGGTATGTCTGTCTAACCCTCTGCGCGTGGACCCCCCCTGTTTCCACGGAACGCACGGCCGACGAGGTTCTGGTGCGAGTCTTGACGGCCGGCATTGCTGGCGTCGACAACATGCAGCGTGTGGGCGGCTACCCGGATCCTCGCTGCTCCAAGCCCGGCTTCACACCAGGCTATGAATTTGTCGGCGAAATTGTTCGTCTGGGTCCCTCCGTGACGTCCCAGGACAGCTTCGCCGTGGGGGACCGAGTCGCCTCCATGTGTACGCTCGGCGCCCATGCAACCCACGTCGTCATCTCGTCTGCCGAACTTATACACATCGACAACCAAGACGACCCCATCAAGATGATCGGAACCTGCTCGCCGCAAAAATTCGAATACGTCAAGTCGCTCGGTGTCATTCCCGTTGATCGCTTTGCCCCCGATCTCGTCGACCAGGTCTGCTCCTTGAGCGGCGGCAAGGGTGTAGATGTGGCCTACGACGCTGTCGGAAGCGAGGAGAGCCTGAAGCGAAGCCATCAGGCCACCAAGAAAGATGTTGGCCAAGTCATCTCTATCGGAGTGATGGAGGGGACCCAGGAAAACGGCAACGGGCTCCGTCACACTCCCGAAGAATTATTCCCACTTCTCTTCTCGCGGATGCAGGCCCGGACGAGCTTATTCACCGTCGTGCCGTCCAACGACAAAGAGTCGAAAGCTGTCGTTGTCGACGATTTCCGGGCAATTGTAGCCAAGGTTCGGATGGGGAAATTGAACCCCGAGATTGTGAAGCTGTATCGACTGGACCAAGCTGTGGAGGCGCAGGAGGCTATCATATCTGGCAATAATATCAGGGGCAAGATGGTATACGTTGTAGATGGAGAGTTGGCAGCGAGACAAGATCTCTGAAAAAAAGGGTATTTGATGAGACCGAATCGTAAGCGAATCGGAGGCGGGTCGCTTAGAAGAGCCGCAAGGAGCAGAGCTGGATGCTGTAAATCACAACAATAAATGGACGTAAACTAAGGCCCAATAAGTCCCAAGTAAATTATTGTTCTGCTCAATTACACCCCGTGAGCCGCCCTGAGAACTAGAGTGTAAAATAGGGCCCGCTCTTCAAAACACCATGCTCGTCACGAGGGGAATTGCCAGTTCCCGTCAATGAGGTCTTAGTTAGCCCAGTGAATCGTTGCACCATACACTCCATCCAACCGGATATTGTTTGAGCTGGGGACTCAGGGGCTCTGCAACTCGGATATATATTTGCTCCCTCATGTTCCGTTATATTATGCTAGGGAGCATCTATCTGGGAGGCCGAGATATCAGTTGTATGAGGCGTGCCTGTGGCTGATTGCTTGATTAGGCATAGTTGAGGTAGAATTCCCACTACGTAGATACTTTTCTAAAACGCCTACAGCCTAAGGCAGCAATATACTTCAAAGTCCAGCGCTATTCCAAAAGAGACTCAGCAAAAGCAATTACAGCGTCGCACTATCCTCGTCTCCGGACGCGTTGTTGAGATGCGTTTGGGCAACGCCTCCTTTTTCATTTCAGCCCAATTTCGTCTCTCGATCAGCCGTCTACTATGGCATCAGGAGACACAGCGTCTGGAGCTCCTGTGGTCAAGCTCGAGCAAGACCATGTTCAAACCCAGGTTGAGAGTGGCGACATGAGGATAGACCTCTTGCACGCGCTGCACAGCATCAATACGCCAGCATCTTTTGCATGCTTCGGAGCATTGAAACGAACACCGCCTGCTAGTCTCTTCGTTGAAGGCGTTGGAGACATCGAGATGCCACTGAGCGAGTCTCAGGCGCGTCAAATGATTGCGGCTGCTCGTCAAGCTCCCTACGGCAAAGGAAGCGAGACTCTGGTTGACACCTCAGTTAGGAACACCTGGGAGCTGGACGCGAGCCAGTTCACCTTCAAGAATCCCAGTTGGCCAGGTTATATCCAGAAGATAAGCGCTGCTGTTGGGCAAGATCTCGGTATTAATACCACCATCAAAGCCGAGGTGTACAAAATGCTTCTGTACGAAAAGGGTGCCATGTTCAAGTCGCACACCCAGTAAGAATCCCTTGTCATACACCATGAGCGGAATCTGACCAACTCCATGATAGTACTGAAAAAATCCCTGGCATGTTTGGCAGTCTCGTCATATGTTTTCCGTCGGCGCACCAAGGCGGAGAGGTATTACTCAAGCACAATGGCCAGCAGAAGCTCTTCAAGTCATCCGAGTACACGCAATCTTTCGCGTCCTGGTACTCGGACGTCCATCACGAGGTTCTTCCCGTCACTTCGGGCTATCGCTGGGTCGTCACCTACAACCTCGCCATTGATCCCCAAGAAGCCCGCCCATCGACAGCCCTACTCACACCCGAGACTCGAGTTCTCCGCGAGGTGATGAGCCGTTGGCTTTCCAAGGACGCGCGTTCACGTGAAAATGAGTTCCTCTACCACCGTCTCGACCACGACTACACCGAAGCCAACATTTCACTCAACGCGCTCAAGTCCCAAGATTTAGCTCGGGTCCAGGTGCTGAAAGCTTTGAGCAACGAGTTCCCCGTCGACATCTTCCTTGGACTTCTCGAGAAAGGAGAATCGGGGCCCTGCGAGCGCCACTTTGAATGGGGCAGTTATCGTGGCAGGAGCCGCTATGATCGCTACGACGAGGACGATGAGGACGACGAGGATGAAGGCGTCTTCCATCCTCTTGAGGAAGTCTTTGAATTGACCTATACAGTCAAGACTGTTGTCGACTTGGAAGGTCATCTAGTTATCGAGAATCTTGCCTTGAGTGAAGAGGACATCTTGGAAGAGAACTGTTTCGATGACATTGAAGCTGAAGAGGAATACGAAGGGTATATGGGAAACTCTGGGCCTTCAGCCACACACTGGTATCGTGTCGCGGTAAGAGCATCCACTTCTTTCCTTCATCTCAATCTTCAAGTCACTCACTCACCTACCAGGCCGTCGCCATCGTCCCTCACGACTCGATATCGTCCTTTTTCAATTCCATTGACCCCGATTCCAGCTTGATCAAGCCAAAGAATCACTCCCAGCAACAAGCCCGTTACTTCGCCAGACAGTACGTGCAAACGCAGGCCCCAGAGGTGTACTTTACCGAGTTGGTGAAGCTCTGCAAACAGGCGTGGGTTTATCCACCCCCGAGATCTAACTTCAAATATGACCCGGGGCCATCGATTGACGGCGAGAGCATGCGAGATATCCTCAAGATTGCTCTCCGGCGAGGGGATCATGCTCTTTTCGAAATGGTTGCCGTTCATCATGAGGGTCATTTGCCGCTCGACTTCTTCACCTGGTTGCGAGAGTCGCGAGGGACTAGTAATGGTCTTATCCAAGATCCCCCCGTTGCCGTCTGGAAAGGGTAGGTTCTGGCAGCTAAGAAGACTGAACTCGTCCTTCCGACTAACTGCAGTAGATTGACAGCTGCCATGTTATCCTACCCTCACCTTTCCGACCAGTATTGGGCCATTGTCAACCTGCTGCCCATTACTGGCATCTCGACTCTAGATGCTGCTAAAACGCCCGACTCGCTTTTGGTTTGGATTCGTGAAAGCATCCGCTCTTGCGTCGAGGCCTGCACATCCAAAACCCTTGGCCAAGCTGATGGACTGGCCATGGTTGGCCTCGCACGTTACTTAAAGGACCAAGTTGCCTTTCTCTCAGAAACGTGGGTCCAACTAGATTCTTCGATTGATACTCTTGATCTGATGCTGAAAACTACCAGTGCGTTGCCTATAGTTGAGAAGAAGATTGAGTGTTCATCATTTGTTCTCGCATTTCTCAATGAATTACGAAAGCAATGCAACAATGTAATTCTGCCTACGGATCGAGTAGTTCCGCTTTACCGTGCCGTGGCGAACTTGGTCTATACGTCGATGGATTTCGCCACCTTGAAGAGTGAAGCTGGATTCAAGCTCATCTCAACCAAAAGACCACGCCATTACAATTTAGCCCCACCATCTCGGGATGAGCTACGAACAGTGGTTTCCCATCAGTTACTGGCCGATCACTTTTCTGCGATGATCCAGATAAGCACCGACGCAGATGACCTTGTGCAACCTCTCACCTCCAAGATCATTGCTGCCGTTCCCCGATTCACACCGACCGAGTTGAATCTGCTATGGCTCCCTTTCCTACGCTCTCTTCTCTCCGTCCTCGGCTCCAATCGGGTACCCTTCAGTACTCCATACTACCAACAGCTTTTCCGAACCGTTTCAACCACATACATCACCAAGTATGTAGGCCGTGAACCGAGTCGAGATACAAACCTCGCTAGGCCTAGAGTAAACTGCGACTGTAGAGACTGTGGCCCGCTCAACACCTTTCTCGTCAGCGCCACAGAAAACGTCGCACGCTTCCGCGTCGGCAAGCAACGGCGTCAACACTTGCATCAGAAGCTAGACTCAGCTGACATCGACTGCACACACACGACCCTGAGAGAAGGTTCGCCCCAGACTTTGGTGGTGACCAAGTCATTCAAACACAACGCCGTGGCACGTAAACTTTGGACCTCGCGGCGGGCGGAAGCCTCGGCACTGTTTACCTCGTTTCCTCAGGTTCGGCTCGAGCTTTTGCTGGGCCAGGACTACTCCAAGATTGTCAACATGGAGGAAATCTCGGTGGTGCGACGGCCCCCTGTTTCAGCCGCTGCCTCGCGGTTGACCATGAACCAGGCAAATGCTTCGCTGCCACCAGCCAACATGAAGCGGAAGCTGCCTTCAGATGAGCTTGAAATCATTGATCTCACTAACGACTAGTCTCTAACTATGGGCCTCCTTTTGGAAATGAGTGAATTATGTTGACTTGGGTTCAACATTGGTAAAGTGTACTGTTCGTCATCGATTGTCCTGTACTTGAGTTTGGAGCCGACATAATATACGTGGGTGTTATGTAGAGATCCGCGTGAATGATCGATGGGTTTCATTTTCATGTACATCTGTGGAGTTCCATTATCTGTCGCTCAGTCTAATGGACGCCATTCAAACAATGTGGGTTCTAACGGTAATGGCACCGAAGTTAAGTACAGTGAGTGAAAGCCGATCCACGTGCCCATCATCGACAAGTCCTGGGCACATTGATATAGCTGTGCGAGACAGGTAACTTTCACCGGGCGTTGGATTCCTGGACATCACTAGACACCCAATGTAGCCGCTAGAAAGTTAGGGCTGTCAAGATTTCAGATCAGCTACCTCTTCAAAGCTGTTGATCGTTTTTCAGGAGGCTGTGAGGTCAGAGACACCTACGAGGCGTAGTTTCGGCGATTGAACCACTCTATAAGATATCTGTGCAAGACAAGCTTCGAATGGGATGGTGGGGGCGTGGGTAAACATGAAGCAAGATAGAGGCAATGAGAGGTAATTTTTTAATGAGCATGGGAGCCTTGGCGGAGTCTAAATGTCTCTAGTTGAGTCTTACGGTGACTGGTAGCAGCCATGCCAGTTAGAGTCGCATCAAACGATAACAGGCTCCGCTGTGTGATAGTTTGACAGCTATCCGCTTGTCTACTCATACATAGAATGGTTCACTCCAACATCACGACAGCGCAAGTATTTCCATCCTATACCTCGTCGCCACGGCTGTCTAAAACTGCCGAGCCCCCGCTCCACCTTCCATCTCATGGAATGGATCAGCCGAAAATCTTCGCTACGTCCGGCTGATCTTAACTAAGTCTGGGTATGGATACGGCCGGCTTGAAACTTGGATTACATTATGTGAAGGTCTATTGGCTCCATGGTTCAAGATCTTCAAAGCCTCGGCCATTTAACTTGGTTTGGAAGGTGTCTTTGCAGAATGGAACCAACTATCCCTGAGTCATTGGTTCTAGATTTGAGAAAGCTGGGGGAGTCTAGGAAAATCCACTCCGAGAGCAACCCTAGATTTCAACACGGACTTCACCTGCAACAGACCACGTCAGCGACTAGTCACGCTTGTTGAGGCTAGCACTATAAAACCATATACTTTCCAGGTTGTTCCATGCTGACTGTGAGATGTTCTATTCCACCGTTTCTAACTATGGCGCTTGCAATCACTCTGGCCAGTGTGGCCTCAGCATTGTTATTAGCCATCCTTATCAGAAAATGGATGACTGGAAGCAAAGGAACACAAGCCAATCTGCCACCTGGCCCCAAAGGACTTCCGCTGGTTGGAAATGTACTTGATCTACCGAAACCTGGTGAGCTGGAAGCTCATCATTGGCTCAAGCACAAGGATATTTATGGTGCGTCGCTTTTGAATCACCCGCCTAGATGGAAGTCAAAGGCATCGCTAATCATCCACTCTATTATAGGACCCATTAGTTCAATAACGGTATTTGGCCAACACTTAATCATTATTAATGACGTCAAGATCGCCACGGAACTTCTGGACAAAAGAGCGCTCAAGTACTCAGACAGGCCCACGCAAGTCTTTGCCGCTGACATGTAAGCAACCCTGTTGACGACAGATGAGACAAAATCTGATAATTCTTCAAGGATTGGCTGGGGCGATTCCCTCGCATTCTCCCAATATGGAGATCGTTTCCGAACGTATCGCAAGAACATGAGCCGCATCATTGGCTCCAAGTCGTCTGCAGGGCATTACAACAAACTTCAAGAAGCTGAAGTTGGACATTTCTTACTGCATGTTCTCGAAAACCCGGATGGTCTGGTAGATCACATCAAAAGGTCGGTGAAAACAAGTAAAAAGGTAACAAGTTGTTCCTTACTGATATATGGACCGTCTCAGAGAAACCGGTTCAATCATCTTGGATATAGCCTACGGCTATCGCTCAGAGCCCTTCAAGAATGATCCGCTTATCGACATGGTTGGAAATGTCATGGAGCAATTTGCCGTCGCTGCTGCACCAGGAACGTGGCTCGTGGACATTTTCCCGTTTCGTAAGTCTACCTTTATCTTGGATATTTATGTGTCAACCTCCTTCTAAGAAGCTCGCAGTCAGACATTTGCCAAGATGGCTTCCTGGTACATCGTTCAAGAGAACTGCTGAGACCATGCGCTCCGATCTGCAAAACGTCATCGATATACCCTACGCATTCGTTAAAGACCAACTGTCACAGGGAACACACAACACTTCATTTTTATCGAATCTGCTTGATGCTGGTGATGATTCGGCGGAGGAAAAACTCAGGAACAAGTGGTCAGCGACGGCGCTCTATACCGCAGGTGCTGATACAGTATGTTTTCCATGTTTGTTGCTGTTGATCTACCAGCTCACATTCCCAGACTGTTTCGGCGATTGCTTGTTTTTTCCTTGCGATGACATTGCATCCAGAAGCTCAGCACAAAGCCCAGGCGGAAATAGATCAGGTCGTGGGTAAAAACCGTCTTCCTAACCTATCTGATCGTGACAGCTTGCCATACGTCGATGCCTTGGTTAAAGAAACCCTACGTTGGCACCCCGTTGCTCCTATGGGATTGCCTCATACAAGCTCCCAGGACGATATGATAGACGGTTATGCAATTCCCAAGGGCGCCATGCTACTTCCTAACATTTGGTGGGTTTCAATTTTGAAACTATTGAAGAGTGTCAAAGTTAATGGCAATCAGGCATTTCACACACGATCCGGAGGTCTATCAAGATCCGATGACATTCCGACCCGAACGCTTCCTCGAGACCGAAGGTCTGAACCCAGAGACAGATCCGCACAAATTTGTCTTTGGCTTTGGTCGCCGAATCTGCCCAGGACGTGTTCTCGCGGATCAAGCATTATTCCTCAATGTCTCACAATCACTTGCTGTTTTCAATATTGAGGGGAGTGTGACCAAGAGAGGGAATGCGGTTTCCCAGTTACGGTTTACACCAGGTGTCATCAGCCGCCCGGAGCCGTTCGAGGCTTCCATCACACCGCGATCCTCGCATCACGAAGACCTCATACGCTCGATCGAAAAGACATTTCCGTGGAAGCAAGGAGATGGAGAGCTGTTGAAGACGTTGGAGCGCCGATAAGAAAGTGCTCATGCATAAAGCAACGCGATGATGGAATTTTACATGAGGGAAAATTATTTTCAATGCTTCCAAACCCTCCTAAACATCCTGGAAATTTGCTACGTAAGCCGATGATCCATTTCTTAGCATAAACTCGGTCTTCCGCTTGTCTATCTAGTTCTTATCAACCACGGCTTCCATCTTCATCAGCACTGAAATTCCGGATGCTTTGCCACTGTAGAGTGATGTAAAGGAATCGAGTCTATAAAGCCCGTTAGAATCCGAGTCCCGTTTACAAGGAAACTCTTGGTATATTACTAATAATCTGAAACTCGGGACGAGCTTTGATAACGCGTCATTTTATCTTCCTCCATCCTTTCATCAATTGGCAGTCCTCTTCTTGTTCTGCTGCTCACCTAATCCCCGCATACTCACCATGCTTGCTAACCGTTGGCTCGAGCATCTGATTAAAACACTAGGGAATTAGAAACAACGGCCCTGTTTAATGGTGTCGGAAGTTTTCGATTGTATCCACTGCCGGGAAAGATCCGCGGTTGGCTTCGGCTATTGTGCCTGTCAGGATCAGTCCACTTTCGATCTATCTGCCGAAACAGAAATCCGGGGCTCGTATGATTTAAGGTGATCGCAAGCATGCTTTCGCCTTATCTGGCAGGTACGGTGGACACATAACTTAAAACGCGGGGAAACAGCATCTCGAAATGGAACCGTGACATCAGATTCTTTGCTTTTGTGTACTGATCAGACCGGGGCTGAGCGAGGCGAGAATATCCCGGAAGCCGGCGATTCTGTCCAAGTGGCTATAGATAACACACTGAGATACGCCAGTCCAGACCCGTAAGTGGCGCAGGTGGTGCGGTTGGCACATTCCATCATCACGGGATGGGACTATGAGACACGAGGCATCCAGTTGGATAGCCAGATGGTGGCCAGGATTGACGTGATTAATGTCGGAGAGAGGCATCATGCGAGTAAGTGGCGACTGCAGCGCCTGATGGTCAGATCAGACCGGCTCTTCGGTTCAGGGAGGTCTGGCTGTGATGACGGCTACTGCATGGTGATCATCACGCCACTGGTCATCATAAACATGCGACATGACCAGCCAGGCTTGAAATCACGAGAATCATCAATTCAATGAGAATTATATAATATCTCATCCTCTCCCAGTAGCAAATTTTCATTATTTTCACTACAGCCACAATCACGATTACAATTACAATCACAATCATCGTCGCCGATAAAATCGCTGAGGGTCATCCCTGCATTCATCAAGATCCATACCAACGAGCTCCACACAACATCCAAATGATCCCTGCTACAAGCCCCATCTTAGTCGGCCCCAAGTAAGCATCAACATCACTTCAACCAGCTTCGCCCATGCTAATTAAGTATCAGGGTTCTTCCTGTCCTTCTGGCCGTCGGAGGCGCAACGGCTGCTGGCGGATATGTCCGCAACCAAGGGCGCAATCTCGATCGACGTTACCAATACACCACTGCACAAAGCGCGCCGTCGCGAGCAGCACCAATAGTGGAGAATACTCCTCAGCCTCGATCAAAATCACTCGACTTGGTTCTCGAGTCCATCTTTGTATAGAGAGGCTGGTTTGGGACGGGGAATGACATGTATGACGGAAGCAATGACGAAATGAACTGTACATAACAAGCGGATCCCGGTATGAATGGCTTGCAGCTATTCTTTTTTTTATAACAACTTTTCATAATTTTACCTTCTAATTCTACGTTGCCTGTACCGATACGCACTGTCAGCTACTCGACTTGAAGCGTCTACATGTACCCGCACTCCAGCGCGCGCGAAGTAGACGGTCGATGCTTCGTATTTCCGCCGTAGTCTGAAGTAAGACACAATTTCACTTAACAAACGAGGAGGTTCTCAAGAGGTGACTGGAACGCTCGGGTTGTTGCCGAGGGTATGTAGGGACATTGGTATCTGTACGGCGGCGGCACCAAGATGTGTCCCGGTCGGTCTTTGCTTTTAGAGGTCAAAAGCAGAAGAGCCCTTCCAGCACTCGAGACATGCTCAGATGGGCACCATCAGTCAACTGAGATATAAACCGGCGCTCCAACATCGCGAGTACGGTTGATTTCTTGGCTAGTTCTTACTTCTAACTAGACCCCTGCGCGTTCCACCGCCATCTTTGCCAGCCTAGGAACTGCTGCCCAGTCTCTTGTTCCAGATACGCTTAAGGGCGTTCAAGTTGCCCTTGTTCGCGTTGTACTGTTCCTGGGACAGCCAAATACCCTGGTACTTGAGCCCCTCCTCGGCCGTCGTCGTGTAGTGAGGTTCGAAATGTCGGTCGAAATAAGGTCGGCCAACACCTAGATCGCGAAGTTCCTGCACTCGACGGCGAATGGAGTCCTTGACAAAATTGACCAGCTGCGCACGCTCATGCACGAATGAAGAGCCAGGCAAGGAAAGCAAATCTTTCACCGAGGTTTGGTGTTGAACGAAGTAAGTCACTAGACCTCTGATGAGTCCATCGTGAACGACGTTGGTGCGAAATGCACGAGTTGCTTTCGCGATGCTATTCGGAGCGAAAAGAGAGTACACCGCCGATTCCTGCAGTGATGTTGTACCTAGTGGCGTGACGCCGTTGACCGTCTTGGCTCGTTGTTCAATGTATGTATTCCAGGTATAGAGCTGGCTTCTCCAGCCATACTGGGCGCCGGTGAAGTCAATCGCAAAAGTCTCGCCAGTTTGTAGAGTGATGCGTAGAACACAATGACCAAGGTGTGAGTCGTTAAAACCATGAGTTAGGACAACGACTATTGCTGGATCCTTGATGCAGACTTCTGCCTCTTTGATATCTTTTGTGATTGCTAAAGACCAGTCAGTGATGCAATTGCGCAAGTGTCAGGGAATATAACATACGCTTCAAGAGGATGTTGATGAATGGAATTCCCATAGAAACCACCTCAGAGCAAGTGTTGTCAAAAAGCACAGCTTTCTTGACTGCATCCGTGGCGTTTCCTGGAACGACGTCACCGGGAAACTGCCTCAGAAAAGAGTTCCCCGTCCATGCTCCCTCGCGAGAGTCCCTGTCTTTGAGTGTAAGAAGTACTTTGTCGTTTCTCTCATTGACGAAACAAACACTGGTCGCAAAGGTTTCTTCCTCAAACGTGGTCCAGAGCTCCCTGAAGATCAAAACGGCACGGGAGAGACGGCGACGCGTCTCACAGACGTCCTTGTGAGCCGCGGCATGCTGCGCTCGACAGGATTCGGTGCAATAGAAGACGCGCAGCTGGCCGACGTCGTTCTCAGCACACTGCTCGCACCAAAGAGCCGAGTGAGGCTTGGTGCAGTTGGCGCAGTTCTTGCGACCGAAAGCAGCTTCTTCGGACAGAATCGGGGATCCTGTTGGTTGAGGTGGCTCTCCCGACGCATTTGGTGACGATCCGCCCACCACGAATTCGAATTCCGTGAAGTCGGAGTTCATGGCAGCGGTGAAAGAGAGGCAGAGAAAAGGGGCCTAGTGTGACAAAGAGTATGAATGCAGTCGGTTTTGTGAAGGTGCAGATGTGAGAAAGATGAAGAGGTGAGGAAGATGAAGTGGTGAGGGAGATGAAGAGGCAAGGAAGATGAATATATAGGAAGACGAAGCAGGAAGGTAAGAGTAAGAAGCGAAGAGGCAAGTCATGGAATGTGCCATCCGCAACAATCAGTTTCCCTCTAAGCAACAATAAGTGACTGCAAGCATATTGTCATGTCATGTTTTACACTATGATTGCTGCTTGTTGTTTGTGACCAAACTCTGGCTGTGTTGTGAGCAAACGCCCGCGGGGCAAACAACACAAACGCGAGAAACGACCAATTACATTGATCCGCATTCACGCCAATACGTTTGCAAGCGTGTTTGCGAGCGTGAATACTCCCCTTGTTTGAATATGCGAATGCAAAAAGCAGGAGAGATTTCCGTTTGCTGACGTCCAGGTTTGATCCCGGTACCTAGTCGTTCTAAAAGACAAACGATGTTCAAAACGGACAAATGAGACCACAACGTGAAACAATCCACCAAATCCGAACTGATTGACGATGCTTTGTTGGTTTGGACATGCACCGACTCAGTTGTTTCTTGTTTGTCAATGAGAGATCGATACTTGTTCCAGGCAATCTTGATGCGGGTCAGCAATGATATTTCCCGGGGACGCTCTTTATTCAAGTGAGTAGATCTGTTACCTGACAAATAAAACGTCACTATCTCGTAAAATTTGACAAAGCAGCGATCCCACGGGACACTAGTCGATGGTGAAGCTACATAAAGTAGTCGGGAGAAGCCCGAGACCACTGGCAAGGTTCAAAGCGACGTCACTGGGAGGCAGATGCTCGTCGTGGCTCAAGTTGGTGGTCTGGCATGTCGCCGGTTTCACCATCACTACTCCATGGCCATAGCGGCTCCTTTCTTTCTCTGGCTCCTTTTTCCTCTCATTCAAATGAAATGGTGTATGGAGGAGCTCTTATTGGTTGGTGTCGCAGTGTATGTGAACAATCTAATCATCTCTTGCCTGCGTGGTCCTACTTCTCAGAACATAAGGTATGAAAGGCATCTGGCGTAGGTCTCTGGGCCTAGCCGGGCCACGGAAGATTCAAATAGCTTCAAGCTCTGATCAAAACCCGAAACCCTCCTATGCGGAAGTTATTCAGCCCCATGACTTCGCCCTTTCTATCTAACTCTCATTTAACAAGAACAAAGCTTGGAATGGCGTCCAAGCAACCTGTGGCTGTGGTGGCTTGGAACTACTCGAAGTCCGGAATTGCCCACAAGTCGGTGCCTCCGTAGGTCCAGCGCCTGGCAAACTTCTCATCGGTTGACGAACAGATATGTCAATGCATTTCTGTCCCAAGGTCTCTGTGATGATTGGTGGTGCTGGGTCTGTCTTGTTCTTGCCGCCCTTGTCTGATGATGCATTCCCTGGCTTGGTTGCCTTTGCACATTGGCCAGATCGAGTCTTGGTAGCCTCGACGATTTGCAACAGCTCATTAGATCCCATCGACTCAGCGCTGAACTTGCACATCTCCGATTCTCTATTGCATCGCTGCACAACCCATTGGGCGACAACCTTGTCGATAGAGGCAGCTAGCTCTTCACGCGCCTCCAGGCTACCGAGTGCTGGATTTTTTATTACTTCCGGAATCTGTGGAAGCAGTTCACATAAAACCCGAGTAATATTGGACGCCGGCCGGCAAGGGAAAACTTGATCGCTCTCACGTGTGGGTAAAGCGAATGTTAATGACGAGCCGAATTTAGGTCCACGCACTTGTTTGAACTTCTCCAGCACTGTCTTCCACGGTTTCTTGATAAAACGTTGACCGTATTCATTTCCGCCATCGACTGGCAGAAAGTTCAAAGTAGCCTTGATTGGCGGGGTCTTGAATGAAATCATTTCATCCAGCACTGCGTCGAGAATTCGTCTTTCCAGTTCTTTCGATATCTCCTCAACTCCAGTTTCCCACACTTCAGCCACTTTAGCAGCAGGAAGGGACGGAAAACAACACCCAACTCATTAACTTACCCTAGGGGGAATGCACAGAGAGTCGTTGCACAGGCGTCTTGGCCGGTCAGCCCGAAGCTGCACCAGATTACGCGTATGAGGTCGGATCAGTCTGAGGCTTATGTCTCCTGATAGGGAAGCATCTCATGAGATAGAATATCGGGTCGGTCGCAGGAAGGTTCGCTGGCAAGGCATCAATGGGGCCTGCGGCAGCCCGATATCTGAGGGAGGTCGAAGACGGAAGTTGGACAGGGAACGTAGTGACGGCAAGAAGGCTCAAATAAATCTCTCAAAAATGAAGGCAATCAATTAATAGACTCCCTAGCAGCCTCGAGCCCTTCCGGCCTCTCTGACTTCTAGGAAGAATCTCTGATGAGAATGAAAAGACGATTATTTTCCCCAGTGACGGCACTGACCTCCCCTTTTAACCCCATCTGGGTCACCCTAGAGACATCCCCGCTAGCGACCAGCTAGCCCAAGTGTCCCTAACCGCCTGTCACACCACCCTCTTTTTTGTCATGGCTTGCAGCGCTGGCTTTGGGTCCTCTCGGAGAAGTGGTTTGTTGTTCTCTCGTCTATCCATGACGATGGCATGGCTGGGATTTAACCAAGCTACGACATGGGTCATGACCTGCATCATGATCCGTCCTTCTTCTTTCGTTGTCTTGAGAAGCTTTTGGACATCTGAAATACAATTTCAGGATGCTCACAGATGTGATGATATACACTATGATAGTCATCGCCGTTCATTTCCTCGAGGAAGCCTCTGCGGCGTTGTAGGTCAGTTCCGTGCATATCTTGGACCAAAGAATCGGACTCTTCTAGTTGCCCAGGGTAGAAAAGTTTGGTCACTTCCTTGGCTGAATATCCGGCAGGCAATATGGCGACTAGTTTAGCCCAATCTGTTGCATGTATGCTGTTGGTGGAGTTTTCTGGCAAGTCCTTCAGTGTTTTCAGGACCTGCTCGAATGTTGAAAACCAGTACTAGAGGACACAGATGCGGTAGGTTACCTATACTTCTTGATTGATGGCAAAGGATAGACTCAACACTGTCAATGCCATAGCTAGCCATCCAATCCCAAGTCGAAATGTTGAACGTAGCTCTATCGATCTCTGTCTCACACCAACGTGTGATCATGCATCTCCATCGGTTATTCTTCCAGAGTGTCACGAGTCGATATCTCTCGGCCTGCTGTCGGGTAGAAGTGCCGTCCTGAAGCTCTCGTGGCTGGGTTTGCAGTGCTCGTGGACGCTGTCGTTTTGATGCCGCACCGGCATCTGCATGCTGTTTGTCATGGACTTTGCGCTTCATTCTTAACTATAAGGGATGGAGATGGCTGAGAGGGTCGACAGTGAGGCAAATAAGCTATATCATCGCCAGTTTTGTTATGAGCGGGACTCGAGAGATGGCTTAATTAATAAGCAATATTACACCTCGAACGGTCTATTTAGATCCCGTCCCGTCTTCAACCCCAGGGTCAGAGGTGGGGCTCGGAGTTTTAGCACCGCTAGATCAGGATAATGAATAATATCTACTACTTACCAATCAGTTTGTTATCCAGCACTGGTTGATCGATACGGAGGAATACTTGCACAAGCGAAAGAACAATTCATATAATGACATAACTAACGATGGACTTGACTACAGTGTATTTAATGCCCTCCCCGTGCGGTTCAATGTCATCTCCTACATCCATTGCTTTGCGTTAACGACATTGCACTCAACTGGACACGGAAAATCACAATGACTCCTCTACAGAACGTTGCCATAGCGGGAGTGAGTGAAACGAATGTCTCAATTCCAAACAGACCACCCCTAATACGGATTAAAGGCGTCTGGCAACATTGGCGAAGTGGTGGTCAAGGAGCTTCTAGCCTCTGGCTTCCATGTTACTGCCCTACAAAGGCCATCATCGACTGCGACCTTTCCGAAAGCTTCACGGTCAAAAAGGTCGTCCACGATTCCTTCGATTCTTGGAAGGCAGCTCTTGAGGGTCAAGACGCAATTATATCGTTTCTCACACCACCGGCAACGGAGTATCAAAACCTGGCCGCGGATGCTGCCGTCGCTGCCAACGTGAAACGTTTTATCCCCTCGGAATGGGGCATGAACACAACGATTCTCGACAATACAATCTTTGGCAAACTGCTGTCAGACAAAACAACCACACAAAGCCATTTGGCCAAGCTGTCCAAGGACAACGATTTCTTCTCGTGGACGGGGATTTCTACTGGATTGTGGTTTGACTGGGTAAATTGACATTTTGGAGCCTAGCGAAGGAGTCTTGCAATGTAATACTGACGATTACTGTAGGGTCTGGAAAACCTCTCGCTGGGCTTCGACAAGAAAACCCGCACGGTTGACATCGCCGACTCCGGCAGCGAACATTTCCAGACGACAAACCTCAATACCATCGCCGAAGTCGTAGCTAAGGTCTTGAGAAGCCCTGGCCAGACCGCTGACAGATACATCACCATCGCTTCATTCAATATCTCGCAGAGGGAGATTCTCGCGCTTGCAGAGGAGATATCGGGCCATAAGTGGACAGTTAAGCCCTACAACGTCTATGAGGCCCAGGGAACTGCCGAACAAGCCCTGAGGATCAGAGATTTTGAGAATGCATTTTACCCTTTGCTTCATGGCCGCCTCTTGACGGATGGTGCTAATCTAGCACTCAAGCCGGACCAGAACTTTGTCCAGGATGTTCTGGGCTTCCAGGAAGAAGACCCAACTGATGCTATCAAGGCTTGGCTTGGACATGGACAATAATGTGTTCAATGACGTGCGGCCATAAGTTACGAAAGATTCTACACATTAAATGTGAACGATCTCTTCGCAATAATGCATTTGATCTATCTTCCCGAGGCTAGGGATAGTCATACGTAAAATTTATCAGTCGGAACTCCAACCTCTCCTACATTTTGTAAGAAATGTGACAAGTTGAAAAGCTTGGTATTTGGTCATCGTGGCAGCATTGGGTAACAAATACTTGAATTGTGGATAAAACTGTGTTTTTTTGACCTTGTGCCGGCAACTTGCTCACCTTGAGGGAGCAGACAGAAGTTAGATTAGTAAGAAATGTGAATTATGTACAAAAAGCGATGGTTTCACCTTGGAGCTTGTCATGCGGAGATTCCAGAACCATTGCATGGCATGTTGAAATCGACTCTGTTATAGCAGTCAGTCCATCTTACCCTACATCCTCCAACGAAACTCTTTCAGCTTAGTTTTTGATGGCATTGCAATATATCCGAGAAGTGAATGTCTCGACTCGTTAATCTAGGTCTACTTCTACTGATGAAAAACAACCCAAAGATGTTTGCAGCTAGGTGCTCAAAGCTACCATGGCGATTACGAAGTAATCCAGCCATGCTGTTTTCCGCGACTTCAAACCCGGCTGAACCTGGTTTCATTTAGTCCCGGGTCCCAGCACTCCATCGGGATGCTTTTGAAGCATCCAATCTTGATGATCCATCATCCAACGATCCCCTGAGAGCCCTATTCTCCAATCTTCAGAATCTGGGCCGCCCGCAAAACGGCGTTTGCGCTCCTCTCAACCCACTCTTCAGCCTGTGTCAAGTTCCCTTGGTCCAAACTGTCCTGGATGGCGGGAAATACATCGGCCCCGTAGCCGCTCTCCAGCCCGGGCGCGCTCACCACGTTGTAGTACGAGAACCTCCCAGGTAGCAGGCCCTCGCTTGCAAACCCGCGGCTGAAGTCACGGTACGCAGAGTTGACTGCCGCCAGTAGAGCCGTGTCGTTGAATGTCAGGGCGTTTTCTGCGATGACGGCAATGCGTTCAGCCGCCGCTTCGAAGGCAGCGACTGCGTCATCGAGAGGACTCAGATCTACGCTGTACTCGGGGAACTTTTCCTCAAGCTGTTCTTCAAGATCCACAAAGATGTCGCGGAGCGCGGATCCCGCATTGGGTAAATCCCAGGGGATCAATGCATCATCGGCAATGTGGTACGTGAGAAGTGTTACGAACTGGCCCATGGCAGTATGGAGATGAAATCCTCGGTCCGCGTACTCGGTCATCCAGCGATGAGTGTCGTAAAGGCTGTTGCTGGGCGGTTAGAGTCTGGCACAAGTCTCTCCACACACGGGAAGTGTAAGCTCACCTATGATACATATAGACGGCGTCCTTGGGGCCAGGTCCTCCCGAAATGTCAATCTAGTAGACAATGTTAATCAACTCCCGTGATAACGAGACAAGCTGTTCCGAACACTTACAGAGCTGATGCCGTTGTGGTAAAATGCAGCAAAGTCGCTACCGCTACCAAGTGGGCCAATGACGCCCTCGGTAGCATTATACCACGCATCGTACAGCGTAGGACCAGCGCCATATCCTTCGGGGAAAATGACCTTTTTCATCATCTCAATGGCAATGGTTTGAATCTCTCCAGATCCCACGATTTCTGCTCGGGGCCCAGAAACAGCAGTGTCGACATTGATGTACGCAACCGTCTTGCCAATGAGCTCCGGCAAATGGTCTTCGACCCATTCTGTTGAGCCCATCAAGCCAAACTCTTCGGCATCCCACGAGCCCAGGATACTGCCCACTGTCAGACAAAAACTTGTGAGGGTGGCATGTTGGAATTGAGAGACTCACATGGTTCTCCTGGGTTTCCACCCCTGGTCGAGAAGCTTTCCAAAGGCCTTGGCCATCTCAATGAGGATAGAACCACCAGAAACAGCGTCTGCAGCGCCGCCTGCGGTCCAGCCATCACGGTGGTTTCCAATAATCACGTACTCGTCGGTGCTCGTACCGTTGATGGAAGCCAGGACATTATACGCTGGTTCCAGTCTGGCGTCCATAAAGTTGATGAGGTCCAGTGTGGCTCCCGCCGCAGGGCCGCTGCTATAACTGACGTTTGAGAAAGCTCCTTTGTAGTTGGTGCGATTAGCTTCCTCGGCCGAGATACCGTGCCCATCTAGAGCGTGGAGCAGCTGGAGCCCGTCCCTCGGACTGATGGGGATTGACGGGATCTTGGGGCCATAGGCACTGATGTCTGCTCGTGGAGCATCTTTGGTGGACGCATAGCCTATGGTCGATGGATCGCCAAATGAAAGGGACGCCCATCTCATGCTACCTCTCTGAATGGCAGATGGGTGCCTAGCGGGGCCGTCTAAGTGAGGCCAATGTCAGTGTCCTATGCGCAGACGCCAACAGTACGTTACGAACCTGGGTATGGTAAATAACCGTTTTCCTCCGTCATCTCGCCATCTTCCAGTGGGTCGGTGTACAAGATCGCACCGATCATACTGTTGGCCTGCGCACATGGTGAGCGAGAAAGGAATTACATGGGTCAATGTGCACCGTAGGTCTTGGAATGTGCTGCTCGTAATACTTGGGCGCATGTTTGAAAGTATGAGAGAAACTAACCTCGGCATTCTTGATCTTCACGCCACGGTTGGTGCCGCCATATTGAGCCAGAGCAATCTTTCCTTCTAAGATGACACCGAGATCCAGTAGGCGCTTGAAGTCATCTCGAGTCCCACGCCTAGAAACTCGTTAACCATCTGGAGTCCACGTGAAAAGATGATTCCATACGTACCCAACGTAGACATACTCGGCGGTGATATTTCCGCTACCACTGAGGGCGTGGTATGCCGGCTTTTCATTAGGATTGGACGTTTGGGGGTCGATCTCCAGCGAATCCTCCAACAACTGGGCCGAGTGAGATGAACCGTCAGGGCGATTCAGCGTAAGGGAGCTCTCAATCGGCTCTGTGTACCAGATCCAATACTCGGCAATCCAAGACTCCCAGCCGAGGTCGATCCATTTTTGCTGCGTCCACTCGGCCTGGGATCTGTTGTGACCAGCAAGGCGGTAGCCTGAGGTGTAGTAGAGTGACCAGTCTGAAATGGAGCTGTTGTCAAACGAATTGACGAGGATGGACTCGGTGTCGGTCAGAACAGGGGGAAACTCGACGACATCACGCTTTAGATGACGACTGCGAACTTCTCGACTGTAACGTCTAGCAAGAAGACGTTCCGTCTCTGCCTTGTCGGGCAAGCAAGCATAGGCGCAGGCAGCGGCAACGACACAAGCCGACAGAATCTTGGACATGATGGCCGATTCAGAAGACCCAAGCGCGAAGAATCCTTAGTCCAAGACACTTTCTTCAGGTGCCCTGGATCTGTACGTATTTGTAATCTTGTTTATGTACCACGGCCCTCGGGTTCGTCAAACAGCCCGTCATTCAAATACCTCATAGCGTGCGGGGGTACAGGATCCGCATCCTAGAGTCCTGGTCTCAACGCAGGCAGACGTACAAGGTCTTACACCGCTTGAAGGCAATCCTTAGACTGTATCCTAAAAGGGAATGTCAAATTAGAGTCCCGGCGTGCGGGGAAGATAAGGTGTGGCGTCATATCATCATGGTTTACTTGGCGTATTGTAACCATCTGGCCTCACCTTCCTACTTGGGCCTCCATTTGCGTAACGTTGTCACACTTTGACGTCAGAACAAGGTTTTAGTAAGCTTAAAAGACCATTTTTTTGCTTTCGGACTCCGCAAGTTGAATTCTCCCTCGGTCACTTGATTTACCTACCTGGTGTTCTGAATACTAACGTGTATTTGTAATAGGAAGGCCCGGAAATAGGTAGGTCAGACGACAGCGCAGAGGTGACTGTCAAGGGACGTGCCCAATCGGTCTTTATATGGACACTACTGGCCTGACGATTGAATTCACGACTATCCAGAAGGTGCCCGCAGCGTATAAGCGCTTAGTCTCGTTGGTGGAGGCTCGCGTTTCCCCTGTAGGATCAGGTTAGAGAAGCTGCGGCATTGTTTTCAACGAACTGATCTCTCCTCGGTGTTCCGTCCAGGCTCAACATATTGACCATGGCGTGGCGCCGCTCTCATTCTGTTCAGAATGAAGATGTGACTTCCCACGTCTGCTCTGGTCACTTCCAGTGGGCAGGGATAGTAAGCGATGCTCTGGGGCAATCAGTGACTGCCTCGCCACACTCACCTTGACCACCCACCTAAGATATCATAGGTAGCTTCATCCTCTTCTTCCCTTCTTTAATGGGAGGAAGGGTGAAAAAAGACTCGTTATGGTGTTTGAAGTTTGTGTTGTTGCATTTTGAAGCAACGCCAATACCCAACTCTAAATAACGCTCACCTAGATTCAGAGCATCTTCCTGCCTCTTATGGTCGAGATTACGTTTCGCTCATCAAATTTGCGAATCGTTTGCCTCAGAGGATCACTTTCGACGATGGCAACCGACCCTGGTGGAGATTGGATCGCGTGGAAGATACTATGGGTTTTTTGCTACAAAGGACAGTTGCAAATTTGTACCAACAAACATTATGCATATAAGTTTTTCTTGTGAATGCAATATCTCCTGCCGGATTCTGGTATTCTTACGATTGAAAGACCCCGAACTTTCCAAGTCGTTCCTTGGGCGTCTTAGCAAAGAAATCTCTGACAGTGACTAACTTGACAGCAGGGTAGCGGTCATTGTCCAAAGGTAACGGCAAAGTTGTTTGGCCGTTGATGGAATAGTACGTGTAGAACAGACCCAACCAGGCTGGGGCATTGTCTGGATTCTGGTCCCGTTTCTGATGCATAAGCTTGAACAGATCTTCCAAGCTTCCCAGTCGTTCCAGTCCCGGCTCTTCGCCATAGACGGTCTGGAATTCTGCAGCGATCTCTTTGATATTGACGTGATCGCCACGGACTATACAGTAAATCATTAGCAGGTGCTTTTTAGAGACTTGGGATATGATGTCTGGAAGAACTTACATGAGAACCATCCAACTGCATTATTGTCTACCGCCACCTCTGCGGTGAACTGGGCTGCGTTCCGATATGTTGTGAACTCCCATCGCTCATCTCCCGTGCCCCAGTACTTGAACAGGTTACGCTTGGGATCCCAAATTCCCACCCACGGTCGTTCTAAGAAGCATGCGTTCAACACGTGGACGGCTTTCAACAGTCCAGCGGCTTCCTTATCCTCTAGGTATGCTTGCACAAGCTTCATCGGATCCTTCGGAGGGTGTTGGCCAAGTTCCAGCTTCCGGAAATCCATCGACCAGTCACCGGCAATGTATCTAGGGACGCCCTCAGCGATACAGGCGTCAATGAGTAGTTTCTGGCCGTCAACCATCAGGGAGTTGGGACCGAGATAGCAACAGATGGCTACGTCGGAACCACGTAGGGCATCACGGAGCGCGGCGATGTCGGTAGAGGATGTGGCATAGACGGTGAGACGGGGTTCATCGCGGAGTGACTGGGGGAGCTTGGTAGGCGTTCGGCAGAGCCCATGGATGCGGACATTTGGCTTGGCCAGGAGGTATTCAGCGATGAGCTTGCCGAGACTGCCAGTGATGCCAGCAATGGCGACGGTGGTGACTGCATCGGTGGGCATGGTGTGAGTAGACATGATTAGATTTTACGTTGGAATCGAATACAATCTTTGGCTTTGATACCAGCAGTTGTTCAGGTAAACATAGTGTCTTAAATACGGGCTGGTTCTCTGCTTGAATGAGTTGCTGGACATTAGTAATCAACTAATCACTGGTACTGGCTGACAGGTAGTTATTCCCGCGCTTACTTTGCATAACAGATAGGTAGATTGTACCGGGATGGCGGCCGCGTAACGCCGGGTGACTCATACGCCGAGAGTCGCGTCCGGTTATATCCTGGCTCGGGCTGGGAGGCGCTGCCGCATGGAAGCTTTGCATACTTTCAACTGGTGCATGTGCTTAGCTGGGCTTGTTACTGTCGTTATCTAGCATCTCTTGCTCCCTAGCCTATCTGTCCCCTCTGCTCCTTGGTTCTCTGCAAGCTTGTAAACCCTGCAACTAATTCCCCTGTTGGAAGCCTTCTTCTTCTGGCTGAAAAGGGCTCGTTTACGGCATCTATGAACTTTCCAATGACGCAGGCGCCGCTGATGGTGGTGTTCTTTAAATGAAAGAGAAAGGTTGCCATGAGGACCTTCCCTTGTTGACAGAATCGACCATTTCGCCATCCATGATTCCATGTACAAAACTGACAACCCGACAATATTAGCCCACTGAAGTATATGGTAATGGAAATGAATGCTAAGAGCTTACCATTCTCCAACCATAGTGTAACGATTGTTTGTTGTTGGCCGGACCACGGTAGGGAAGAAAGCGCCTCGCAGGACACAGACTACGTCGCCAGCTTGCGTAGCGGCTGGCCCCAGCCCGAAATGGCCCGTTTTCGTGATGAAGAAGCGTCTGTCGCCAAGTTTCTCAAGAACCGTCTTGGGAGGAGGGGCGTCGACGATGCCTGCCCGCACTTCGGCTTCCTCCTCTGCGGTTGTGGGAGGCATTCCGGCAGCTCCTCGTGGGAGTCTCTTGTCTCTCCGGTCTGGGGCTCCGGCCAGATAGTCTCGATCGGTCAGCAGGAGATCAAAAGTCACGGTTCTCCAAAACGCCTCGAGAACGGAACCTTGGCCTCCGGCGTACTCGTCGTCCCCGTTCAAGACGAGCCTGCGCCATCCGTCGAAGACGGCTTGAAGCTGAGCTTCCCGCCGTTTCCATCCATCGGGAAAACGGGGACAGACGTCACCTAGCTGTTTGACCTCGTCCACTGACGCTCCTTCCATCAGCAAGACGTCGTCGTCGTCGGAGAACTTCGGCCGGGCCCAGCCAGCATCGCCGAACAACGCATTGTACAAAGACCCGAGAACCAAGGACATTCCAATGCCGCTTGTAGCCAGGTTGATGGTCTTGAAAGAGTGCAGGATACCAAAGTCTGGAACCCACGAGGGGAGAGTGGCATCTCGCTGCTGGTCGCAGTCCTGCAGGAGGTGGAGCGGATGCGCGTTACCATACCGCTCGAGCATGGCTTTCATGGCGCTCTTGTAGACGTGCTTCTTAGTCTTACCGTAGTCAATCTCGATGGTCGTTTTCTCCATCGACAGTCCCAGAAGAGCGTATATCACATCTCGAGGGTCCGTTGCCTGTCGAGTGAGCAACTGCGACCAGGCCATTTTCTCGAGATGTATGTCTACGTCGTAGGCCACTCTGTATGAGAGGTCATCGAGACCGCTGGCGGCGGCGTATAGCTTCGACACCCGGGCTGTCATCTCATCAAACACGGCCTCGTCCATAGGCCGTCCCCAGCTCAAGGTGTTGTAGTGAGAGACCTCGAGGGCAAACGCGGCCAATTTGCTGAGATGACTCCACGAGGCGAATTTCGCACCGCATCTCAGGGTTGCCGATTTGGCCAGCACAATCTCTTGGACTGTCCAGACCCTCGTCCACCAGACATTATTCATCAGCTTGACCAGGCCTCCAGCGACGGCGTCATAATTGTCCAACCCATGCCTCATTCCCAACGCTTGGAACACAAGCTTGCGTCGCTCCCACGTCAGACCGTTGTTCTCAACGATCAGCTTTGCCATATCGGGGTCGAGTTTTGACATGCCTTGGATGAAGTCGAGTGCCACGTTAGTGTCGTCATCCCCTTCGCCCAGCCAGACGACAACCTCTGTCGCAGAGGAGTAAATGGCTCCCATTTGCCTCACCTGGTGATTTCGCTCGGCGATGTCCGACTGGTTGATACAGATGGAATCGACCCAGAGCGTCCGCGGCTGATCCGTGAGGCGGAGCTCTTTGAGGGCGCCGTAGAGATTGGTTCGCACCAGCACTTGTTCTGCGTCGACGAGAATGCCGTGGGAGGCATCTTCCTGACCCCAGACGTAGGAGAGGGCCTCATAGGGTCGCTCGTTGATTCGTACCGGTAAAAGATGGCACTCAAGTTGGGCGTCGCGATCAGCGGATGGCTGAATGGACAGAAGCCGGATGCAGCCATCTGGTAGGGCGCTATATCGCTGCACAAGGGTTGCGGACTGGCCCATGGTTGTGATGGCGCTTAGCTCTACGGTAATTGGAATAGAGCTCTGTATTCGAATAGTGAAACGCAAGAGCCAGATCTGATGAATCAACGAGTTTGAGAAGATGGATTAACTGTCTGGGATGGTGGATTGACTGGCGGGTGTGGGGTTACTTAGCCACCTTTGTCTGCCTGCTGCACTGCCCCAGAATGAAGGCGGCTGATTGAACACATGCTGCTGATTGAATGCAAGCTGCACAGGGTGGATGCTCTCATGCGAGGACTCAAGAATCGTGTGATTTTCTTTGCAGTGGTCGTGCATTCTAGAGCTGGCAATGCCATACATAGTAAATTTTATTAAATAATTTGAAACGCTTAGATGACACTAGAGTAGGTACCTCGAGACTGAGCCTGGCGATGCACACGGTAGTCAGGTATACCAACTATATCTCCAGTCTGACCAAGACAACCCTTTGGACTGGCAACTAGCGGAATCTTGTTATCTAATACTTTCTATTGCGGCTGCCTCACTTCTAAACTTGACGCTTGCTTTCCCGCACTCATACCCATTCACTACCTAGTCAGCCCTACGCCTAAGTACAGCGACGCACTCAAGTCGCTTCTCGTCGGGGCAGACCCCAAGGCAGCCCCAAGGCAGATTCGCATCTTTCCATGCCACATTCTCTACCACCTCATCTGGAACAAGTTTCCTTTCGTCGGTACATCACTTCACTGCGCTGTTCTGGGTGATAGCAAGGTGACGGCTAAGTTGCCGGTGCAGCATGGTGTCAGAACTGACATGCTTGACGTGCTGAGACAATGTCCATGTTCTCTTGCAGCTGCACGTAGAAAAGCATCGGTTCCGAACTTCCGACATCCGCCAACTGCGTTCCAGGTCGCTTGTGGCCACGGATTCTGACACATTGTCAAAGAGCTCTGCAAAGAGTCCCCAACTCTGACTTCTTCCAAGAGCACCAATAGCACTACGGGCCTGCACTTGGCCTGCAGTTTTGGCCTCCACGAAACTGTCAAATTGTTCGTCGGCTTGGAATTGGCCGACCAGCATTTCGTGGCCGAAAACAAAAAAACATCTGCTCTTCATCACGCAGTAGAGACATCCAAAGACCAGTCTGTGGTGCAGTTGCTTCTCAAGACTACAGCTAAGAAATATCAACTTAAAATTGCCGTTCTTGACGGTGCCATGTCTATTCCCTGGTGCACCGAGGGTTTGGTGAGACTGCTTCTTAGCGGTCTAGAAAGTACGTATCGAAAGTGTCCAAGGAGGAACGGACCACGAGTCTCGCTCGTGCAGCAATCACATATCCCTCTACCAGCTCAGATGCGTTCACGGCAGTCTCAAAATACTCTACGCTCGATGTGATATTCCTCATTGCCGCAGCGGAATTGGGAGGCTCATTGGCAGGGCATCGTCACGTTTCAATGCGGCAACGGCAATACAGTTCGGACTTGGTCATATTTCCTCTTTTTCAAAGTCATGTATCAAAGACAGCAAAAATCACCAACTTGGACGACCTGTCAATGGTTTTAGGCGCCGATAGCTCATGTGACTAGCCGCCGATAAATCAGACAGAGTAAGGGAACGGTGCAGAAACATCATCCCCCTCCGTTTGCTTCCTGTCCCGAAGCTTGTACCAACAGATCGAAAATGTCGGTCGGCAGATCATTTTCAGCACAAGGTCTCTGGTCAAGGGCTCATCTGGATCATATTCCCCCATTGTGTGACCCATGAGCGGCCGGACATCGTGGCGACAGTACGTGCAGAGGGCTTCGACATGCATCGGCGCCAACGGCTTCTTATCACGGCGCACGACAATGACACTCCCTACGTTGTTTTGCCACTGCCAGCCTGCCCAGGACCAACCAGGACCTGATGGGTAGCTGTCCGCCTTGGAATCGCAGCACAAGTGCAGGAATGTGGCATCTTGGTTGTTGCACGGGCTCTGGTTGCCGAAATCAGGCAACCTCTTCTCTCTTGCCCATCGTAGACTGACGGGACAACGGCGTGTTAGAAGAGGAAGACCAATGCGGTCTGCAATGTCGGAGGTGTCATGCCAGAAGTCATTGAAGACGGAGTCTGTGGAGGGGACATCTACCGGCTCAAAGTGTGGTTTGCCGAGGACCTGGCGATCACCGAGGCAGTTGATTCTGATCCCCTTAACAACCTTCTCAGTAGAGCTCATTCCCGAGTCAGGAATATCCAGCGACCAGCGACCATATGAGATCAGGTAGTCAGCAATATACCGGAAGTCGTTCATATCGAGGTCTCGACATTGGAGAGGGTCGATGCCCTGCCCTTTCTTTCCGACAACGATGATGGGACCCCGCCAATCATGAGACTGGCCTGGCAACGTCGTAAGAACAGCTGCAGCGCTTCTGTTTGGCATTGAACCATCAACCAGGAAGCCGTCGCGATAGCAAATGTTGATGGTATCTGGAAGGATTCTTTGCAGGACAGCGTCCGTCTGTATTGGAACGCTCTCGGGCCAAGAATCAGGGCCAAGGAACAGCTCCATATCTGGATCCTGCCATTTGATACCGTCATCCTCGTCATCATGCCATGGACAGTCGAGCCAAACGGCCTGTGGCTTGGGTCGATCCTGGGGAAAGAAGATGCCTCGGAAGTGAGTCTCGGATGGGCGAGCCGACATGTCGAAGCTGGAGAACGATGCACAGAGGAGTTTGTGGACGGGCCAGTCATCGAGCTGGCATTCCTTGGAGCAATAGTGGGAAGATTTGCAGCGAGCGCAGGCACGGGCGCCTGGTGTCTCGCATATAGTGCAGTGACCTGTGCTGGAGCTGGCCATGGCGAAGGTTTGATACGAATAATGATCCGAGTGTGTGTAGAGAGAGAGAGAGAGAGAAAAAGACAGCAAGTGTGAAGGGTTGCAGATATGCCCAACGCCTGAGCCTTGGGCCCCGCGACGTTACTTTTTCTATTTGGAGGGCCTCCCGCAGTTGTTTTGCCCCGTTGATTGGAGCGCTAGAAGCTACGTCTCGCTCCGACCAAGTGACCAATTATAAGCCAAAGAATTCAACCATCACTTCGTCATTTCCACCATCTTGCATGGGAGCTCTACGGCTCTGTAATGAAGTCACCAAGCACCTGGCTCGGCAAGCTTTCAAGTAGGCCATCTACAAGAAAAAGAGTCACCAGCCGCTCTTCCATACCATAAGGTAGACACACTGTCCAAAGAATAATTCAGCCCCGAAGTCAGAAAGCGATAACAGAACACCAGCTGTATGAATCAAGCCGTGCATTGCAATTCCAGGACTGGTTGAGCCCAGGTTTGGTCAGCAAGATAGTTGGGGAAAGAATGACCCAGGAACGTTATAGTAATAAGCCATAACTTAGGTCAATAAAAGGAGCAGGCAGTCCTGCGGGCTCAATCTCATCTCCTGTCCAGCGAAGAGTGCAAAAGATCGCCGAGTGAGAGGGAGATGAAATGGGTAGAGCGTGTTTTGGCGCCACAGTCACGTGATGGATTTGATTACTTGTTCCAGCCCAGCCCAACTTCTCGCAAGTGTCCTTTCCTCTCGCATATCACGACCTATTTTCAATCCAACAATTGACCAAGTCGACGAACGATCCCATGGCCACACTTCTGAGGCTCCCACCCGAGGTGCTGCAACAGGTAAACGCCGTAACACCCAAGATTCTGACCCTATCGCTGACTGATCTAGATCCCGTTGCACGTCCACGATGGTGTTCCAATATACCCTTTTAGTGGACACCAACCGCGGCCGGGCCGGTACGAACTGAAAGCTATGAACCATCGGGCAAACTTGACTTGTTTGCGTTTAGTTAACCGGCGGTTTCATCAACTGGTCACGCCATTACTGTTCCAGCATGCCGTCATCAGTGCTAAAAGTGGCACAAAGCGTCTCCAACAATTATCAAGGGTTCCTTTACTCAGTCGACTGGTCCGTCGCCTAGAGATCTGCGTCGACGTCGAGTCTGTGGATGACTATGAGCGTATTCCAGACCGGGAGGGGGATGAACCCAAGAATCTAGCATATCTCGACCGACTAGCCATCGTCATTCATAGTACCTTGCCGAGGTTCTCTAACCTCGAAGTCTTGAAGCTCAACTTGGTGGAAATCCCGTATCGAATCGAATGGGACTATGAGGATCCGGAGAGCTTCAGCTGGAAGCAGGACACGGCAAATCTCTTCGAATCGCTCGCTACAGCTATGCGCACATCTCAGCTCGACAAGCTAAATGAGGTCGACCTTTCACTACCACTGGCATACGACTTTGGTCACTTTTTGAACCATGACACCAACAAAGATGGCGAAAACCACGACACAAAAGGGCACTCAATGGCGGCTCTGTTTCAACGACTCAAATATCTCAAACTTCGCTGCGGGCTAAGTACCGACGATGGCGGGGGCATAGAACTCCGCCATCTGCAACCAAATGAAGAGTACAATGAAAACATCCGACAAGTACTGGCGCTTGCACCGAATATACACTCTCTGAAGGTCACGGGCTCGGGCAGCCTAATACTCGATCAGCCAGAACTATCTCCCTTACATTTGCGATCCTTGACTCTAAAAAGCATGTCGATACCCGGGAATCCCCTCATTCCGCTTATCCAGCAATCCACGGCACTCAGCGACGTCGTTCTAGAGCGCGTACATCTCGAGTCTGGCAGATGGAAGGACGTCCTCTTGGCGATGAGCCAGTCATCGATTATTTCCTTCCACATTGAGTCGTGCGGCTATGAGGCGGAGGGAGAGAGCGGGGTCTTTCAACCAAAGGATCAACTCTTGCCCTCCACCGATGTATACATAGAGACCACCGAAGCGGACGATCTCGCTGCTTGCGAGGCGGTGTTTGCGCGCATGCTGGAGAATAGACGTCAGAAGTACGGGAGTGAATATGACGAGCAGGCGGACTGGGAGCGCATGAGAATCGAAGCAGAGGAGGCAAGAGTGAAAGGGAGAATGCTTCTTGAGCATTTGAGAACCATCTATGCTCACCAGGTGGCTGAGTATGGCTCTTCACATGATGAGATGACTGATGAGATGACTGATACCGAGGAATCTGACAGTGAGTAGATTGCCTCAGGTTAAGGTGTATATAATCAGAGCGTAGATGCCATTCATCCTCGCTTTGGGGGTAGGGCATAATAATCCGAGTCAACCCGCCAGGGCAGCACTTCTGGAACACTAAACATTCTATTATTATGCACTGCTATTAGTATTATACTGTTTTTCGGTGTCCTTACAGGCTTGCTGAACCCGATGCAGTTCAGGAGGCTGGAATTCAGCAGGATTCTCGTTGAGCACTACTATGAGATAGTCAAGTTTCGAGCAAGCAAAAAGCGGGCGAATGAGAAGAGACGCGAACCAGCAAATGGTAGCAGCGGCGGGATGGCGAAGATGAGAAGCTGAAGGTGGGCATCTTTTACTGCGGTGCGCCTGTCGTGGACAAGATACTAGCCGATAAGTGCAGGGAGTTGACGACTAGAGCCGACATGATGGAAGCAACATCGAGTATCACTTTAAGATGGTAGTTTGTAGTTAAAACGTCGAGAATGTTTAGTTAGGATTTGGGAACACGGCTTGTCGGGTATAATTAAAATCTGCTGTGTACCCCGTTGTTATTTACATCTTGACCCAGAGACACCAATTCTGTTGCGACAGGTCGGGTTTGCGATTGCATCAACTGGCTAGGATATGCGTTGCTTAATCAATTAGGATTAGTTTCATTGGTTGACATCAAGGTCAGGTCCAGTACCTCCAAAAGAGAACTGTCAGTGATAGCAACAAGGTAGATGGAGGAAATTTAGGTTGGAGGCATTGCCGGATCGAGTCCCAATGTGGCAAAAATCCCAAGTAAATCCCATGCCGCGCGGTTAATCGACGCTAGTTGGGATCCATTGCACCCCAGCCTAATATGAATACGCGCGCGCGGATCCGTCAGCATTTATCAGCTTCATTTCAAAGCGCCGATGATACTCAGCTACCAAGAGGGTCGGTTGTTGAATCAAATCGAATATATATAGAATAGATTCATCTGCTACCAGGACTTTGCGGCGAACCATCACGATCGCCTAAACATTGCATCCTGACCAACTTTCATCTTCAACGCATTCCAACTTGCGCTTTTCTTTCCCCAGCCTTTGCGACTAAACCAGCAACCCTTGTCCAACAAAGCAACCAGCCATGCCGCAGCTAAGAGCAATCAGAACCATCTTTGCTGCAGCAGAACAATCAGAGGGCGCTGGTGCCCGAGTTCGCCGTTCAATCGGCAGCAGAAGCATGCGCAACTTCTCGCCCTTTCTGATGCTCGACCACATGGGCGAAAATAACGGCGCAGGCTTCCCGGACCATCCGCACCGAGGCCAAGAAACGGTGACGTATATTCTGAAGGGATCCGCCGAGCACGAGGACTTTCTCGGAAACAAGGGCGTGCTGCATGCTGGCGATTTGCAGTTCATGACGGCAGGACGAGGCATCATGCATTCCGAGCAGCCCTTGGCAGATGCCGATGGAAGCCCCGGGGCCGGGTTCCAGTTATGGGTCGATCTCCCAAAGCATCTGAAAATGTGTGAGCCGAGATACCGAGATCTGAGAGCACACGAAATCCCCATTGTACGCCTCGACAATGATAGAGTACTAGTCAAGGTTATCTCGGGCAGATCTGGTGGTGTCGAAAGCGTCAAAGACTTGGCATACACCCCCGTGTGGTATCTGGATGTTGAGATCCAGCCGGGCGGCAAACTCGTCCAGCCTGTACCCAAAGACTGGAACGCCTTCTCCTACGTTTTTGAAGGCCACGTCGACTTTGTGACCCCAAACGACATCTCGACAAGGGCTGAGACGTACGACGCAGTCATATTCAAGCCCGGAGGGGACGCCGTAAGCGTCCAAGTTCCGGAAGACGCACAGGGTAGTGCGCGCTTGCTTCTCGTGGCGGGTCAAATATTGGACCAGCCGATTGTTCAACATGGACCGTTTGTAGTGACTAGCGCGGAGGAAGTACAGCAAGCATTTGAGGATTTTTACCGTAGTAAAAATGGATTCGAAAGGGCCAAGGGATGGCAAAGTGAGAATATGAGGCGGAGAATGAGTATTTAAAAGAATGTCGATAGAAATGCACACACTGTTTGCCAGGCACCAAGACAGCTGCGTGCTGAGAGGGATTCGCATTTTTTACACAGCGACTCACCGGTGCGGCTAATGGACTAAGTCATTAAATAAGAAATGAGGCATCTTCCGTTCCCTCAAACTGAGGCATAGCTGGCTATCAAACCCCCAACTTGTGCGAACCGCTATTTCCTCTGCAGAGTTACATACCTCCATATTCTCCCCATCACCGTCCGGCTATCCGACACAGCCTGTCCGTCTTCTACAATCCCTAGCTTTTCTCGCAACCACGGAATCTCCTCTAGTGAGTATCGATATGCCCGAAACAAGGCGTTGGACTCTCCCGGAAACAGCTTCCGCGTCGGTTCATCCGGATAAGCGGCGAAGTGGGGATTGACAAATTCCCAACAGATGTACCCGTCCTGCGTCACTTCAAACAGACGCCCGAAGCCGCTCTCGCAGACCAAGGTATTCCCGTTGGCGAGTCTCTGCGCGCTGCCCATGAAGGGCGTGAAAAAGTACAGCATCTGCGAGCGGTCTCGATACTCCCACACAATCTGCTTGGTCGCGCGGTCGACCTCGATGACACGCGAATACGTGATGGACTCGCCGCTGCGAAACGCACCGTTGTCGAAGATCAAGATGTTGCCGTTCTCCAGCTCCGTGGCGTTGTGCTGCTGCGCCAGCACCGTCGAGTCGAGCTTCCACACAATGTCGCCGGTGGCCTTCTCGATGATGATGACGGCTGACACAGACCGCATCGACGCGAGAATGTGCTTGCCGTCGCGCATGGGAAAGACGGCGTTGATGAGCGGATAGTGCTCCCGCGTGTAGTGTGGCTGCAGGGGGAATTCGTCGCGGGGGAGGCGATCCGATACTTTCCATTGCCAGAGCAGTTTGCCGTGCTCATCGACTTCATTTATCGTGTCCGCATAGGTTATTCCGTCGACATCCGTGTCGGGAACTCCGCCCAGGACCTTTGCTGAATCGGCAAGGGAGAGCGCCTCAAGGCTGGCGTACAAGATGCGACCATCACCATAATGATATTGGTCATGGTGACCCAGAGGATCGGTGAACTGGCGTACTACTTTGCCGCTGGGGTCCAGCTCACTCATGACGCCTCCGCCGTACTTGTGGAAGAACGGGAACGGGTACGAGCCCCCGTTGTTGGTATTGTCGTCGGATGCTGGACGGAGCGTGTTGACGGCAAGGTTCCCGTTCTTCAGGATTCTAGCGTGTCGGCCAATTCTTCCTGGGAGCTTCCACGAGTGCACTTCTCTTCCGTTGATATCTATCAAATGGGCCGTGTCGCTGGTCAGAGGACAGAAGAGGGTGTAGCCCCCGAAGGATCGCTCTTTGTCGACACCTGTCAGGCCAACGCCTCTTCTCTTCAGAGTGTTTTGCTCCATTTCGACACTGCAATGCGGGACTCTGGGAGTGTGATCCGGACTGCTATGGCTGTGAAGACCAAATTTGACAAGCTGAAGATATTTTGGTAATGGTGCGTAGTGGTGCATGGAAGGAAAAGGCTTCGTACGAACATTTTGTCTTTCTTATACACGACATCACATTTAGTATTGGAATTGTCTCTTATCCTTCTTGGGGAAAATCATGTCCACTAAATCCTATCCGCATCCACAACACCAGGCTTATCAACACGCTAGAGTTGGCCTCTCTTCGCATCCGTCGGCATGCCGGCGGCTTCCCGAAGAGACCCGCCGGCTTACCTACGGCATGGCGCTGCACTAATGACGTTCTGAGAAAGATACCCTATCGCCGACGGCGCCACTGGGAAGGCTATTCTTACTATAGGTCAATGGCTATCATCAAACCATTGTCGCTGATATGTTATCATCAATAGCTCAGATATCGAGCTATCACCTCATCCAACGCGATGCTCTCACCTTCGCTGCGATGGTATGTATAAATCCAGCGACAAGTCCGGTTGGAAGACGAGACCCAAGGTAGAACCAGTACAGAGGGTAGGCAGAAGACCTGGAAGCAACAAGCTGCAAAAATCATCCAGACATTCAACAACCCTCAGCTTGTTTACAATGGGATCCTTTTCCAAATCAACAGCTCGGGTCGAGCAGCGAAACGCCGATCTAACAAATAACGCTATCCCGGATGTAGCAATCGACGTCCCTGGCTACGACTCCAGCTTGCAGTTCACCCCTAATGAGGAGAGGAAAGCGTTGCTCAAAGTTGACTTGCTCATCTTGCCCTGCATCGTGCTTTGTTTCTGCTTCCTCCAATTCGACCGCACCAACATCAGCAATGCCCTGACCGACACCCTGAGACAGGACATCAACGTCGAAAACACCAACATCAACCTGGCGCAGACTCTCTTCACCGTCGGCTTCGTCATCACCGAGTTGCCCTTCAACGTCATCAGCAAGCGCATAGGTCCTGAACGGTTTCTGCCCATAACCATGTTTCTGTGGGGAACTGTGACCTGGTGCCAGATCTTCCTCAAGAATGCATCCGGACTTTGTGCCAGCAGATTCTTTCTGGGAGCTCTCGAAGGCGGTTACATCCCGGGATTCGCCCTCTACATCTCGCAGTACTACACCAACCAGGAGCTCGGACTGCGCTATGCTATATTCTGGGCTTCAAACAGCATCGCGGGCGCACTTGGTGGCCCTTTGGCCATTGGACTGCTGTCGCTTCGAGGACGAGGGGGGTTAGCTGGGTGGCAGTGGCTGTTCCTCGTTGGTATGTTCAAATTCTCTACTCCGTTCCTCCGCCTCACGACTAACAATATTCAGAGGGTATCTTGACGTGCGTCCTCGCCGTCGCCGCGTACTTGTACCTTCCCCACAACTCCGCGTCACCAAAACGCATCTTCGGAATGTCGTTCAACATGTTCAGCCAACGAGAGGCATCCATCATAGTCACGCGTGTCATCCGTAACGATCCCACCAAGGCCTCAAGATCCAGAGAGCCCGTTTCGATTTCTCACATACTCGAGACGTTCGCGGATTGGCGGTTATACGGCCATCTCATAGCCGGATTGCTGACCATGGTCATGATTGCACCGATGAACACGTATGCGCCCTCCATCATCAAGGCCCTCGGATTCACTTCCCTGCAGGCGAATGGCCTCAACTCGGTGGGCAGCGTCTGCGCCTTGATATGGTCTCTCTCTCTGGCCTTCAGCAGTGACAGGTTTCGCGAGCGTGGCTTCCACATCGCTCTAGGGTATTTATTTGCGGGAGCTGGTTTGCTTTGGCTGGCACTAGCACCAACCCACGTTGGGAAATGGGGTCTCTACGGTAGGTCACACCAATTTACATGACTTCCAATGTCTATTCACAAAGCTAACTCACTGCGAATAGGTGGTGTTGTTTGGACCCAAATGAGCATGGGATGTGCCCAGGCCATCAATGCAGCCTGGCTCACTGCCAAGATGGAAGACCACAAGCGCCCCATCGCTCTGGCGGCCTATGTCATGAGCATTCAGCTTGCTAATTTTCCAGGGAATCAGTTATTCCGAACACAAGGTACGCATTCAAGGCGCGTGGCATGTACTATTAGCTAACTCTTTTCGATTCAGATGCGCCTCGATACAAACGTGGGTTTTTAATTGCTGCTGCCTGCGTTATTTCTGGCGCAGTCGTGATTTTGATCTGGAAGCTGTTGTACCGCCTGTTTGATCATGGCGACGGTGGTGTTGAGGCCAGGAGATCGACAGTGGCCGAGGAGCAGGAAACAGTCGAGTCTAAAGCATAATGTGAAACTCCGACCGCTTATATTGGATTCAGATACCAAGTCTGATGAGGTAGAGCTCTTTGGATGAATTCGCTCCGTTTTCTATCCGACGGGACCACCGTCACGGTCTGAAAGTTGGCAGATGAAGGGCTACTAGGGAGTGTTAGAAAGATAAGCAGAGACGTGATAGCGTTTTTGTATTCTGAAAATTGCGTTCCTTCTTCTGTTCTTATCTAAGCTCAATTTGGTACATGCTCGTTTGTCGTCGGTGAAGAAATGTTCCCCTGTCTGTAATCGTAACCAGCCCGGCGATTACGTGCTGAATATGTTATCAGCGGTGCTATCAATGCAAATCACTTCAAATTAAACCAAATTAAATCATTTCAAATTTTAGAATTCCTACTAATTTAACTAAAATCATTCAGATTTAGAAATGAATTATTGGACTATTAATTAATTATCTACTATAGGGTAGGGAGGATAATAATCTGTAGTATTTCTTGGGAAATATCTAGTTAACTCCCACTATTTCTAATTTTCTTGCTGACCAGGAGCTTAGGATTAATACAGCTTAATTGTCCTTTAAAACACATCTTCAAAGATAAAAGTTATAAAGGAGACTACTAGATATGCTCTTGGATATGAGAACGGATATTTTTAGGTACGACCCATAGTAATATTGCCCGATTTGATCAAATCATCAAATCAATTCAAATCCCTCTCCTACAAGCTAAGTTTGGCATCTCGTAAGTTAAATAATGTGAAAAGTCTGCTTGATTTGAATTGATAGCAGTGTTGTTGTCATTGTTTGGCGCTTCTGGCCCACGTGACTCAAAGCACGACATTCCTTATCAAAACCTCACCATTGCGTAGATAAGTAAACAACACTAACAAATAAACGCGCTCAAAGCTTTAGATGGTAGCCACGTCATGCCTCCCTTACGATCTGGCAGAGCCTCAAAGGCGTGTGATCTGTGCCGCAAACAAAAAACTCGATGTTATGCCTCTAACGATGCAAACGGCATCTGTCTCCGATGCCAAACCTTGTCACAGCCCTGCTCTCTTATCTTTGCCGCTACCGAGAGCCGATCAGCTTCACCAGCAGGGACTCAACGACGACAGATTCTTTCGGCAGCCCCTGAAGATTCAACCCAATCAAAGTCGAGTGATGCAAGGTGTGACCAACCTCTTCCTCTGATTTAAACCGCAAGAAGAAATGACCAACCTGCCCCAACTAGGCTCGAACGACTGGAAAAAACTGTCGAGACTTTACTAGATAGACTTGACGCTCTCACTAGCATCTCGACCCGGAACGAACCGTCACCTAGACCTATCCAGTCCAGTCTTCCGTCAGAACCGAATTCAGCGCCCGTGTTCGTGATCCGAGATGCCGCCACCGATGCTGGTGTATACTCACCAGAGGTTCACGGAGTTCCAACTGCAGAACCAGATCTAATCGCTGCAGGATTCATTGCAACCTCAACTGCTCACTCTCTACTCAAATTGTCAGTTCCACCTCAGCAATGTTTGTGTAGCCGCAACTGACAGCACCTAGGTTCCGTACGCATTATGGGCGATGGGTGAGGTTCTCCGAAGAGATACCAATCGAAGATCTCGTGTCACAAGTCAGAAGGTCACCGCTGCTTCTTTGCAGTATATTTTTGATTGCGGTCAGACACACGACGCAAGAACTTGCAGACAGCCTAGCGCCCAGGCTCTTCCAGGAAGCGAAGCGCCTCGTTACCTCGTCCTTACTCGTGGTACCTCAGTCGATGGAATTTTTCCAGGCTACGCTTATACTCAGTCTTTGGTCTACGACAATTGGACAGGTGCCATTAAGCATTGACGGTTGGCTCTTGACGGGGTATGCCCTTCAACAAGGCCTGGCGAGTCCAGAATTTGCAGAGCTCCACCAGGCAAATTCGGTGTCATCACTTTCAAAGTCCACTGTCGATGCTTGTTACCTCTGGAATCATCTATGCATTGCTCATCTCCAGTCGGTATTTTGACAAAGTCTTGTCGGGAAATGGACCACTGATGCAGCTCGTAGATATTGTGTCGGCACCCGCAGACAAGCCCTGCTCAACGAAACGCAAATCAACCGCTGTCTTCGGTTTATCGATACCACAAAGGCCCCCAATTTCGAAGCTAGGATGGTGGCCGAGGTTAAGCTCTACTGGCTGATTTACGAAAAGTGTTCCGGCCCTCAGGTCAATCTTGCCGAAACGAAGCTTGCTCTGCAGTCCTGGTTGCAAGACTGGGCAGATTTATTCAGTGAGTCGATGGCAAAATAGTAATCACGATGAATCTGACTGGTTCTTGTAGATCAACCTCGCTCGCAGTTTCTCCAGATGGGTTTTCATTTTGCTCATCTTCTCGCCTACTGCCAGTCACTCAAGTCAGAAAAAGTCATGGTGGGAGACGGCTTTCTTGCGGAAATGGTGCGACTGTCTCAAACCATCATTAACCTTGCCATTGACACCACAGACGAACGTACTCGTCATCTAACCGACCATATCTATCACATTGTCACTTTCTCAACGCTGACGCTGTGCCGGCTTGTTCATACCTACGAGTCAACACTGCGTGCAGCTGATTATGATGTCGCTGGTTTGGACACTCTTATCCAGAAGCTCATCGCCTGGCTCAAATCCATCGGCCTGCCCTGTCATGCGACGCATATGCTGGGCGACATTGTCTCTGCACGTTTCAAAAAATTACGACCACACTTCAGTCCCGCCACTGGTGGCTCAACCAGTGATGACGGGGCAGTTTCTGACATTGATTATCAATTTCTGTCAGCTGACCTTGCGTTTCTAGACCCAGAGTATATCGGCGCAGACCTGTTCAATCTAGACTTCAGCTCAGGCTTATGATTTTATACGGCGACTTTGTTTGTATTGTCATTTTATGTTTCGTTACTACTTGATTTAAAGTCAAATTTGATTCGGCGCAGGCGAGATTCAGTCCCGGCCATCCATCGTCCCCTACCATTACCATCTAAGAGCTTATTTGTGACTATATTCCTCCTATCCAAGTTCTGGAGTTAATCCAGTGTCTCAAGTGTATTCACCTTAAGTATATATACCTCAAGTAGTAACTGGAGTTCAAGTAAAAAGAGAAAGAAATAGAATATATAATAGTATTGTAGACTAGAAACCTTAGTCTGTCTGAGTATACTGTTAATCTTTAAAACTGGTATGTATTGTTGGCACTATTATTGGTTTTCTTTTTACCGTTGAGCTTCTAGTCCCACCTCTGGGTATGTGTGTACTAGGGCACCCTAACCTCTTGATAATAAAATACTAACTTAATATATTTCTCCAGCTTTAATCTACTTTAAGCTTGCTGCTTTCTGTCTTTAAAAACGCTGCGTCTAAATCAGCGAAATCAAAAGGTTGGTAGTCTATATCACTGTCAGCTAGGAATAACTCGAAGTCGAAGTCGAGCACATCACTCGATTGCAACGGGGTAACATGTTCCATACTTCCAAAACCCTGTAACTATTTGTCAGTACTCGCGTATAAGAAGATATGTGGGAATGAATTGACATACCGTGTTTCTAGAACTGTGCATGGACAGGGCCTCTCTATCCTTCGCGTCGATCTCGGCCTTGCCCGTATCAAGTAGGAGATTGACGACGGCTTTGTGACTGTTCTCGGCGGCATATGATAGCGGCGTCCGGCCATTCTTATCTTTAATATTGATCTCGGCCTTGCCCGTATTAAGCAGCCGATTAACAATAGTTTCGCAGCCGCTCCCGGCAGCGTATAACAGCGGCGTCCGGCCATCCTTATCTTCTGCGTTAGCATCGGCCTTGTCCGTATCAAGCAACAGATTGACGATAGTTTCGTAGCCCATCCCGGCGGCATGTGACAGCGGCGTCCGGCCGTTATTATCTTTCGCGTCGATCTCGACCTTGCCCGTATCAAGCAGCAGATTGACGACTGCTTCATGGCCGCTCCTGGCGGCATATGACAGCGGTGTTCGGCCATCATTATCTTTTGCACTGGCATCGACAGTGTCACTCTCAAGAATCAGCCTCACGAAAGCTGTATCTCCTTTCTCGGAGGCATGCGACAGCAGCGTTCTTCCGCTTTCCTCTATGGCAGCGCGGTTATCAATGAGAGGAAGTAGTAACTTGACGACGGAGTCTCGCCTGTTTTTCAATGCGTAATAAAGGGCTTGTCGACCGGCGGGATCCACTTTGTTGACGTCGACACGCCCACTGGACAACAGCAATTTTGCAATGTCAACCAATCCTCTGCTGGAGGCTAAATGGAGAGGGAGAACAAGAGGAAGTCCGGAGTGAACCCCTTCCCGATAATCCTTATTGAGATCCAAGGAAGTGTCATTGATGAGCAACTCGACGGTTTTTAAGTTCCCGCAGTCAATTGCTATACTTAGACATGTCCTCTCAGCGAAGTCTTGACCCGGGAGGGAGGCGAGGCCCCTGGATATGAAGGCGGACAGAGCGTTGTTGCAGCCCTTCTTCGCAGCAGTGCCAGCAGCGGTGAGGTCATGCGTATCTTTCAGCTGCGGAGTTACCTTGGGTTGAGAAAGTAATAGATGAGTGAGCTCCGCGTCATCTTCCCAGGCGGCTATGTGCAAAGCTGTTCGTTTATGGCCCAAGGAACCCTGAAAGTTTACGTTTGCTCCTTGTTCCAGAAGATACTGGCAGATTTGTATGTGGCCTCCTTTCGCAGCGAGAAATAATGGAGTCTGCCCTCCCTTGTTGTTCGTTGTTGTGTCGATAGGGATCCCGGCAAGGAGACATGCCTTTACTTTCGCCAAGCTGCCCGTCGCTGCGGCTGAGCAGATTCCTCCTAGTTCACCTTTTGGGAGGCGAGGTGAAGCGAAGCGGATGGTGGGTTGTGTCAAGTGAAGTCTCTCGGTATGCCGACTCAAATCAGACTCCGAGGGGAATCCAACTTCTTTCCCATAGCAGCCTTCTATGGAACATCTGAATGGTCGATTGTGTTCAAGAAGGTGTTGGTCTCGGTCTTCACGTCTCTCGAAACCGGTGCAAAATGATTGACACCAAGGCTTAGGACACTTGTATCGGACTACGCCGTACAATGTGATAATAGCACAGTGCTTTTCGGAAGCGCCCTCTTCATTCAGTAATACCTCAATTCTGTTTCTGATCGCTCGCGTTCGAAACTCGATATTGAAGTTATTCTCCCATTCGCGTGAGTCTTCGCCCAATTCTTCGAGACGGCGTTTCACCACGTGGGCAGGGGACTCGTGCGGTTCAGGCAGACTGTTCCTGGTGTTGCCGTATGCCTCCATGGCTCTCGCTACCGCCTGCAGCGTTCTGTTGTAGAGGTCCTTGTCGATATCTGCTGCTATGTCTATCACCTGATAGGCATGTTTCCACCAGAAGGCCGCTGCATAGTCCTGGAATCCATAATAGCCAGTTATGGCGTGTTTCTCAATCTCGCTGTCACTGAGTCCGAGGGTGAAAGGAAAGGACGTGAGGTAACGTGCGCAGAGCAAAGCCATGTTAGCATTTTCCCTTGAAATGCACAACCTTCCACTTTGGACCAGGTATCTGGGAGCCGTTTAGTTTCCAAATACTCACTGCCCAGACTTGCAATTGAAGATGGTAAGAGAGAAGCAGAATAACTTACCCCCTCGCTGTGTGATGTACAAGCTCTACTACATCATCGGATTCTAATTCAGCGATGTGGCTACGTTCGAACTCTACCAGAGATCCGCACAGATGCTTGCATGAATCTGACAATTGACGGTCAACATCGGCCGTCTCAGTGTCGATATCTATGCAAAACGTGCTTTGAATCTCCTTCCACATTAGAGAGCGTTCAGCGCAGATGATCAAGCCGAGGATCTTTTTTGCCGCAAGCCTCTGTGGCTCGTTGGGGTTCTCAAAAGCTCGGACAACAACTCGCTCGTACCTGACGGAGTCAATAAAACATCTATGCAAATTTGGGAGTCTAAACACTCACGCTTCGTCGAGACCTTTGGGGAAGTTCTCTGCTTTCAGCTGTTGTTTGAACTGATATGTCGAAACTTGGTCGAGCAGGTTGCTAAGAACAATTTTCGCGTAGATGAACATGCCTGGATCTGACATCAGAAAGCGTCAATGATAGTACCGAACGATCCGGTGCTGACCTTTGGCTCTTGATGTTACTCTGTTCACTAAGTCTCTCTCTTCTTCTGTGCTGAATCGAAACCTCTTATGCATCTCCGCAGATCGCTGTTTTGCGTAGGACTCTATATCCCTGTTATGCGCTGCTTCCGTTTCCAGTTGAATAGATGGGTACGACCTGAGCCGTTCCTCCAGAATGCCATTCCGCTGACCAGAGATGAACAGTCTCATGCAGAATTCGCCGTTGCCCGACTCGTTGGAGTCTATGTCTGTCGTTAGATCTTCAAACCAGTCAATGACTTGCTTCTGTTCGTCGGCTGGATTGGCTGAAGGACCTCCAACACATTCGTCCAGGCCGTCGAGAATCACGAAGCATACTCTCTGTGACTTGAAAGCGACGGACGCTAGATCGCGAATTGTATCCAAAGAGCGAATTTTGTGCTGGTCGACTGCGAGGCATCGCTGGTAAGTTTGCTCCAGAAGGACATCATCTTGATGAATGAGCTGGGATAGAAGTGCCAACAACGATCCGGTCAAGGTCCGCTTATCCGGTTGCATATGGTTGAAATGGAAGTAGACAACAGAAAAATTATGACCATGAGCTGAGTTGGTTGATTTGAGTTGCTTTAGGTGCTCCACGACTTTGGAGGTGAGAATGGTTTTGCCTAGGAAGAAGTTAGACTAGTTAGCCATCCGATAATCACCGAGCTGGAGATAAATAAAATCGCGACGGACCTGCTCCAGGGATACCGCTCAGATAGAGCGTGCTGCTCTGTGAAATTTTCAAATCGGCCCATTCTTTGAGGAGAGGGTGGTGAAAAATCCAATCCCCCGAAGAATTGTGATTACGGCGTGCCCATAGGGCGTGCTCGAGGTCTCTGTGACAGTCTAGTACATCAAACTTGTTCAGAACAAATTGTAGTCGTCGACCACGTTGTTCCTGAAGTTTCAATGTTTCTTGTTCCTTTTCCTCTAACCGAAGCTCTGTCATCTGTCTTGACAAGGCTTCGAGCTTTTCCTCCACATGTTCGCGGAAGTCTCGAACCTCACGGATTGCGATTGTCAACTTTTCGTCCGAAATGAGTTCTCGATGCCGCTTGAGACTACTTAGAATTGGCCCGAATCTTGTCTTGAAAGTCTTCCATGCCGAATGGAATACGGTCTTCCATGCTTTGCGAAGTTAGATTGATGTTGGTTCAGACGATGAGGTGAGGGGAAAGTCAATTATGTGTACCTGGCCGTGAGAACACATCAAGAGCATTCCTGTGGAAACTAAGAACATCACAATAGTAATTTTCGAGATGCACCTTCAAGTATGGGTGCTGCCCGAGCATGTTTCGAAACTGTGTCAATCCTGGAAGGATCTCGCCAATTTCGGCGTAGGTATCGAGCAAAAGGTCCAATGTTTCAACCCAAGTACTAGCTGCCTATTGTACAAGTCAGCATCCATGTGTTCTGTCGATACCGGGCTTTCAATTCCAACTTACGACAAGAATGAATTTAATGGGCCCCTGATGTCTGTTTAGTACGAGGAAAAACTCTGTCAATACAGTTTAGTACTAACCCAGATGAGTGCGACTGTCCTCTCAACGTTCAGAAAGACGTCGACTACTTGACCTAATTGGGCCATCGCTTCGATGAACTTGGATATCCTCTTCATGTTTCTCAGTCGCCTTTGTGAGCCAAGACGGACCTGGATCTCTTCGATAGCTGTCTCAACGTCCTTCAGTGTGCACGGCGCAAAATCGCGTTTCTGTTTATCCGTGAGGCTGGCTCGGAATTTGACGAGCGCATCTTCAAAGCTGGTATCCATGGCTCCAGACCCAAAGAGCGGTGGGTGGTGCTGAGTACCTATCGTATCGAGATGCCAAACGAGGGGCTGGGACGCCTGTCAAAGGCGACCAAGCAGCGGATCAATCTAGGATAGGATGTAGACCATCGAAAGTCCTGATGGTGAAGAAGTGAAAGAATGGAGATGCAACCACTTTCATCAAATGGCCTGGAATCGACAAAACGATGACCAGAGCGGCTTAATGAGAAGCCTTTAGCATAGCCTCACAGTCGGGCAGCGACGCAGGCTAGAAAAGGTGGTTATGTATAGGTACTCTTAAAAAGTCACTACCACTCATACGGTTGGTGTGGTAGAACAAGGTGGGGCAGTAAAGTATGTAGGCCAGAGCCCAAGGTATTTGAGGATAATTTTTCAGCACAGCCCCCTAGTCGGGCAGTGGACCAGGTCAGAAAATCTAGTATTGCAGAGCCTCTAACTAGCAGACCCTCATTCATCTGGAGGCCCGGCCTGATCTGGTCTTTGAAGCAGCATGCATGGTAGAACAAGTTGTAGTTGCATTGTGGCGGGTCGCTTCTGTGAGTCTCTTTGTGTCACCTTGGAAGGGCGTAGGCAAGGCTCCATCACAGCACCATAATGTTGCAGGACCCGTCATTGCAGGTAGGTAGGCTACTTGACACTCCGTCCGGCATGCTTCTTCGTGATGAGTTGAGGCTCTGTCTTGGGCTCTGGCTTAGGTCATGATAGAGGTGATCACGCGATGGAGAGCTCGCCTCATTTCGGAGCTCGCATGGTGCATAGCCAGCGGTGAATTCTGCAGATCACAGGGCCTATTACCTACTGCACAGAATCCTCTCGGTCGAGGCCCTGGCTCAAGTGAAGCGGGCTGTGCGGGCTCTATGGGCTATCAACTAATCACATAGTTAGGCGTGGTAGTACAAGGTGGGGCAGTGAAATGGGCAACAGAAGCGACCTGCAGGTAGCCTGAATGCCTAATGGGAAGCCTGTAGCATAGCCTCACAGTCGGGGCGGTGAAGCGGGAAGAGGCGCATTCCTAGGCGGACTGCCATGGGGCTCCGGCGAGATATGCATGTTTTCGTCTCTACAAACTACTCAATCAGACCTCGAATTCTTGCGGTATGAATTAACCCCTCAAATCAAATTTCAACCGGTTAGGGGAGTTAGCCTCGGGATAACCGGCTTTCATCGCTGCTGTGTAGCGCGTGCTCCTAACCTGGCCCATTCGAGCCGCAAACTTGCCAAACTTTCAAACGCAACTAGGTGGTCGCTACAGGATTCCCAGCGGTTCATGGCTGAGTTCAACCCATCGGCAGATATGCGGCTGCCGAAACGCTTACAGGCTTTCCATCCTATAGCATGCTCCCAGAAACGGATCTGTGTGACCCCGGATCGAGGGAACATCCCAAGCCCTGATGATGATCTGGCAAATCTCCAGCCCAGATCGCGAGAGGATATCACAAGTGGGCCAAGCAGCAACACCGAGGCATTTTTGGGACAGTGTCAAGATGTCTACATGAGCGATGACAGCTTCAAAACTCTCCCTTTCGCCGACCCAAGTCCAAGCAACATAGGGGATAAAGTCGTTGAAGGAGTTGAGGCTAACATCCAGGAGATTTGCTACGGCGCAGTAAGATACTGAATCAACCCTGAAGCAGCAGTCTCATTCATTGAAACTAACGGAACAACAGCTCTGTGACGCCCATGCACTGCTCAGCGGTTCAACTAAGGGGAAGTCTATAGTACAAGACAACACACGCTTCCAGAAATTTCATATCATCCTCCACGAAGACTCCTTCTATCTCTTGTCAGGAGAGAATGAAGTCGTTGCAGTGCTTGACGTGGACACTTGCAAGGCTCTCCAACAGTTGCATGGTCACCAAGGGGTCAGGGCAACCGCCTTTGTGGAAACTTCAAGATTGACGCAAATGCGTGCTAAGGGGAGTTCTAAAGGCAGGTTCCTTCTCTCCATCAATATATTTGGCACACAAGCTGAGGCCAACGAAATTGGAGATAAACTCTCCGAGATGTCCGCATTCCTTCAGCACCCAATCTTCCTAGAACCTGGGTATGAGTACTTCAATCCCCAGTATTATCACAGTGGAGGCGGAATAAAGTACATGACGTACCTCGTAGGGTTGAATGAGACTGAGTATCGCCAAAAACGGATATCGGATGACGTCGAGGGTGTTTTCGATTCTCTCGACACCATGAGTTCGGATGACGTCGACACCATCCTGGATGCGCAGCCTGATACCATTATGACTCCCTTAAAGATGTACGATTTATCCTTGCCATCTATCTCAGTTCCTAACTTTGTCATAGCCACCAGAGAGCAGCCCTTGCCTTCGTCCGGCGGAGAGAAAACCACAATGCTTGCCAAAGAGCCAACGAAACCCTTCGTCGTTTTATTGGAATATCGTCAGTCACTCGCAAACTACAATTCTACATTGGTGCAATATGAGACTAACTGGGTGTGGTAGGCCCAAAGACTATACCCCTTCTTATTCCATGGGCGGAATTCTGGCTGATGTTATGGGATTGGGCAAGACTCTGTCTATGATTTCGGCCATTGTGTCCTCACTTCCACATGCGGTCAGGTATGCGACGGCAGAGTATCAAGATTTCGCTTCGCCGACATCCGGATGCCAAAGTAGAGCGACTTTAGTTGTTGTGACATCAATGCGTGAGCCCTCCGTCTTTTTGTCTCCCTCTCTCCCTCTCTCTTTTATGTTGATTCTGACCCTTTGGCCTTTCTAGAGGTCCTGGATGTTTGGAAGAGAGAAGTTTCAATGTAAGTATTTCGCGCTATGCATGATAGCATGCTTACGAATTCTCGCAGCCATGTTCAGCCTGGTACCTTAAATATCTGCACATTCCACGGCTCGAGTCGCCCGAAGTCGCCCGAAGTGGTCATCGATCACGATTTGGTCCTGACAACCTACGCAACTTTATCAGCCGACTTCAACAATCTTAGGGTACTACAGAAAGTCGAGTGGTACAGGGTTGTCTTGGACGAAGGTAAATCACTCCACCTCTATTGAGGCAAGTCACTATGAGTATACTGACTATTTCGAACAGCTCACTGGATTCGGAATCAGAATTCGAACCAATTTCGCGCTACTGAAAGCCTCACTGCCGAGAGAAAGTGGTGCCTTACTGGGAGTCCGATTCAAAATCGGTTGAATGATATGGAATCTCTTTTGAAGTTTCTTCACTTTGAGCCTTTCTCACGTACTTCCATCTTCTTGAAGCACATCCTTACACCGCTCAGCAGAGATACCCCTGACCGAGCTGTGAATCTTAGAGCACTGCTCCACGCAATTTGCTTGCGTCGGAATGAAAAATACCTCGATCTACCAGACCCTCTCTATGAACAGATTAATATCGAACTCGCCGATAAAGAGAGGCTGGTGTACAACAGCATCCTGAAAAAGTGCGCCCGGGACATCGACAATTTGGTCAGCACCAAGGGGAAAATCAAGAAATACCACATTCTGTTTGCCGCCATCATGAAACTACGAAGGCTTTGCAATCACGGGACTTTCTCCTCAGCTCAAATTTCGCACTCAACCACGTTTCAGAATAGTGCAGATGATGAGCGTGACTGCGACTTTTGCAGTGGCGATGATGAAGATGAACTAGCACTGCTCAGTAATAATGAGTTTTGCACAGAATGTGGCAGACGTCTGTCCAGCACGTCACGAGGACCTGAGTCAAAAAGCCTTGGCTTAGGTAGTGGCGCATCTGTCCCGTCATGGGATGGCGATCCGAATGTCTCCCAGCCCAGTTCTCAAGGCTTCTTGAGTCCCGGGCCTGCGCCTCAAGGGCTCTCGACAAAGCTTCTGGCAGTGGTGAAAAACCTGGAAAAGTCTCCGCCAGGCTCGAAAAGGTATGGAGGTCTGTCTTATGTGAAGCGAGGCGGCACTTACCACTTACTAGTCTCGTCTTTTCGTATTGGACATCAACTCTGGATTTGCTGGGGGGTTTTCTGCAAGAGAGACAAGTTCGCTTTCTGAGGATCGACGGGCGAGTCACGTACAGCGAGCGTCTAGGAGATCTTGCCCTTTTTTCGCAAAATCCGGAGATCGCAGTCTTGCTGATGTCAATAGGGACGGGTTCCGTCGGGTGAGTAATGGTGGTACCCAACGAGGCGCGTCGAAGCCAAACGCTAATCAGACGATAGTCTCAATTTGACGGTTGCGAACTACGTACACCTTGTTGAGCCGCAGTGGAATCCATCAGTTGAGGAACAGGCTGTTGCAAGAGCCGTCCGTATAGGTCAAACTCGCCCAGTTACGGTCATGAGATATATCACGAAGGGAACAGTTGAAGAGGTTCGTAAAAATTGAACTGAGTTTGATCAAGCTGTGTGCTGACTATCCCGTCAGAACATCCTCAGTTTGCAAAAGAAGAAAAGCAATCTAGCAAAGTTTACTTTGGACAGTGAACCGGAGGAAGGAGAATCAGGGAAACTAGAAGTTTGTGTCTCCTTTTGTCTCTTACTATCTCTCTTATTGCTTTATTCACTTTCAGTATATCTCTCTTATTATTCAGTATAGGCAACTTCCGCTAATAACTTATATAGGATCTTAAATTTATTCTCGATTTAAATTTAACTTAATAACGGAAATTCCCAGCTTAATACTAAGTTTAATATTATTCAAATCACTATTTTAACTACTATTTTAAACTTCATACATTTATATACTATTATTGATACTATTATTAGTGTTTCTTTTTTTTTACCGTTAAGCTTTTAGTCCCCCCTCTGGGTATATATACTAGAGCAACCTAACTTCTGAATTATAAAAAACCATTTTTAGCTTAATTTATTTTAACCATTATATTTAGCTATAATAGTAAATACAATTTAGCTATTTTAAAAGATTTCAATCTCTTAATATAACTTAATTCTCTCCTCTAAAATAAAGCAACCTTAGCACCTCCAGGTACTAGCTCAGTAAAAACTCGGTCAGGATCATACTTATCCCTGACGTCCTTAAGCTTCTGTAAGTTCTCTGCCCCGTAGGCCGGGAAGGTGTCAGGGATTTGAGACTTCTGTATGTCGCTGAGGTACATAAACGGAAGCGGTCCGAGACCGGCCGCAGAAAGGTTCTCTCTTATCTTGGCGTTGGCTTCGGCGTGTACCGCAAGCACGCGCTCGTCATCTTCGGGGTTCGACCATAGAGGGCTCTCAACGTACCAGATCGCTGGGCTGTCGTCACTTCCTAGACCCATTGCGTTTCCGGGTGGTGCCGCAGTCACAATAGACGTGATTGGGAGCATGCTGAAAGCGGTCGAGAAACCTTCGACGTCCGCCAAAGACGCGATGGACTCGTAGTATGTGTCGAACGCGATTCTCGCAGCTGTAGCGTTCGCAGCGCTAGTCAACCAGTGAAAGATAGCTCGCGTGCCAAGAGGAGGGGCATAGTTGAACTCATTTGACCAGTTACCCATAGTCGTGCGTGTGAGGTTTCCTCTTGTGATGGGTAAGATGGGTGCGGTAAAGTTCTCCAGTCCAAGAGGTACATCACCCTCGCCGCTGTACCAAAGGTATCCATCAAAAGAAATCTCGCTGCTGCGGGACGGCACCCAGCGGGTTTGGCCCTCGAAGGAAGCCTTGGGGTATTGTGCGCCGTGAAGCGCAAACTGCTCCACACTCTTGATATACTGCTCTGACACGCCGGTACCCCAAGAGACTGTTCCTATAAGGGCTGAAGAGATTGGAACAGTATTCAGAGTAGCCTCTGTGACAATACAGTAGTTGTTTCCGCCTCCAACCAGCGCCCAGAACAGGTCTGGATGTTCATCAGCACTGGCCGTCACCAGTGTTCCATCAGCAAGAACGCACTAAATTGCGGCAAGAACTTGTCAGCTGGCTGGATCTTCAATATGGACGGCTGCTGGACATCACTTACATCCAAAGATGAAGCAGTATTCGACATTCCGTATTCATAGGCCATGAAACCGAAGGGTCCGCCTCCTAGAATTGCACCAACGACTCCACCATCACCAGAGCGAATGCCGTTGGCTGTGACACTGAATTCATCCAGATACGCATACAACGGAGGCCATGTCACACCAGCCCCGATCGTGACGGTCTGGTGGTCGTCTGAGATAGCCATGCTGCTTAGATTCGTCATGGCCATCATGATACCCTCCGGACCGATGTTGGCAGCGTTGTCGATGGGCATGGCACCTCCGCAGCGAATGGCAAACTGGACTTGGTGCTCCTGAAATGTGTGAAGCGCGAATTGCACATCTTTGGTGCACTGCGGAGCGAAGATGCAAGATGGCCCTAGGTAGGTTGTTGAGGTCCAGGAGTCTACGCACCCTATGTCAGCGATATTGGATCGCGCTCAAGGCAAGGTAATCTTACATTCATTCTCAAACTTATATCGCTCTGAGCCGGGGAAAAAGGTCCTGTCAGGATAGCGAGAAGCCAACGCACTGCACCCGTCGTCGACGGCAGCGGATGACACAGCCGTCAAAAACGCGGCGAGTCCGAGTATGGAGGCTTTGAGAGACATTCCGATCTTAATTGAGCGAGGGCAAAACGAGTAACAGTTCTGAAGCGCAGTATCTTGTAGATATAAGGGAAAATACTTTTCTTGGGACAGACGCCTTCATATTTATATATTCACTGAGTCTAGGAGATCACACAGCAGATGTACTAACTAGTTAGCATGTCGATTCTCAGGCGGGTCGAGTTGTTCCTTGATTTCAAGTCCATAGGAACCGTAGTATAGTGAATAACGGCATCTGGTATTGCCAAGGCTGAGACCCCCGCCAGGGGCAAGCTGCGGCCGCAGGGTTTTTTTAGAGCGGGATGCAAAGAACGAAGCTATTCTCGGAGCCTACGGTAGAAGCAGAGGCCGCGCCGCTCTTGGATGCCGGCTTTACGGCGTATCCTGCCGGACTTAAGATTTCGGACGACTTTGACCACGATGCCAAGCCTGTCCAAGTCCCAGCCAGCGTTACGCTCGGCCATCAGGGCATGATTCTCTCAGTGGAGGACATTGGTAAATGCCTCGAGTCGCAATTTGCGGAGTACCCGGATCGTTTCGAAATTATCATCTGTGCGGGATGTGGGCATCGGTTTGCGGGGCGAGCAGACCCAAAGACGGTGACAAAGAATTAGCCGGCTGAGAGGGTTGCTTCGCAGGCGATCGATTGGTTCAAGAGATTCCTCCGGTGGGCTGGTGATCTTCTTTGGGAATCCTGCTTAGAGTTTCATTCTACACAAGCCATATCTAAAGGGGTGATTCTTTTACATGCTTTCACTGTTGTCTCGTCAGGAAGTGAAAGAGGCTGTACCCCGTTTGAGGTCAAAATTGGACCACAGGCTCAGGCCAAACGATGAACTTATTACAGGAAGCAAGGGGCAAACCAATTCAATACCATTATGTCTTCAGCATCGCATCCGGAAAAGCTGTAGAGTCCGAAGCTAGCATGCCGTTGCCGATCTCCGTTTATGCATACCCTATTAAGCTTAAACAGATCACGCTGACTTTCGAGTATTGTCCCATGTACATTTGATTCGTGCTGGAACCGGAACCGAAACCGAGACCGAGATCCAGATCGACCCGGCAGTTAGGGGAAGATCGGCTGCAACTTGGCAACTGCGCATTATCACTTTCCAATCTCGGTAATATCGCCGTCCAAACCCCGTATATAGCCTTGGACCGTAATGTAATCAACCCCACAGGTACCCGACACGAAACATCTGTGCTGTTTCGATGCCAGATCAAATCCAGCGATCTGATATGACCAATCTCTTGCATTCGCCCGCCTGAAAACGACTGGAAACAACCTTTGACTCATCTCCTCTGTCTTCATCTTCCATCAAAGACATTGACCGATTCATTACGAAACGAAACAACCCCGTCGTCGTTCGAAAAATGCTTTCTCTTCACTGCCTCGTTGCTATTTGCGGCTTTGCCTCTGCAGCACACATTTCGGAGTCAAATCTTGGCGACATCATCCAGCATGTAGGCGAACCTGTTGGAAGTGAGCAGGTTCACGATGGAGGTATATTCACAATCTTTCTTGTACAATACTTGTAGAAGCTAACTTTCAATCAGTCACTATGTATATCAGCCCAACACCTCAGGCCAATAACCCCAAGATGGGGGTCTTATACTTGACAGACGCATTTGGACTTCCACTTCTGCAGAATAAATTGTGAGTATCAAATCGAGATATTCGAACTGAAAGTTGGGGCCTCAAGGTTGACACAGCCATAGACTAGCCGACAGCTTCGCCAGAGCTGGATTCACAACCATCATGCCCGACATCTTTCGCGGCGATCCCGCGCCTCACGACATATACTTTGATGCCGACGAATTCCTTGCAAAACACACGACAAACGTGACTGATCCTGTTATCGAGACGACCATCCGCTACATGCGTGATACGCTCTGTTTCGACCGAATCGCCGTGACTGGTTACTGCTTTGGTGGTCGATATGCCTTTCGTTTCCTCCAGGAAGGCCGAGGAGCCGACATTGGTTTCGCCGCCCACCCTAGTTTCCTCCAGGATAGCGAGGTCCTTGCTATCAGCGGGCCCGCAAGCATTGCTGCAGCTGGTGAGTCGTGCAATTCCCGCTTCGAAATTGAGTCTTGAACGTCGCTTTTCTCGTCACTTTCTCTCTAGGCGCGGTCGCATACTAACGGGTTCTACTTGCGCAGAAATTGACACCCTTTTCGAGCCGGCACGGCGATTTGAGGTTGAGAGCATGTTGAATCAAACTGCTCATCCATACCAAGTTGCTATTTACTCCGGCACGTTTCATGGATTCGGGACCCGAGCCAATATCAGCATTCCGGAACAAAAGTTCGGCAAGGAAGAGGCCTTCTTTCAAGCAGTCCGTTGGTTCAAAGCCTGGTAGCAGCCGGGACAGGAAGTGCGGGTTAAAACAAATGACACTCGTAACGTGGAATCGAAAATGTCTAACTTTTCGTGTAATTGTTTCCTAGTCACATTCCAAGTGAAGAACAACTTGGTAGATTACAACACTAGAAGTTGGACCTTAGCTTATACCATAGTGTCTTATCTAAGTCTCCCCTTGTATTATCCCTCGTTTAAAGTGGCGCTGGCAACTGGCAAGGTTTTGAGGTCGCTCGATAGCAGCAGTATCTACGCCAATTTGAGAACACCGTATTCAATCCTATTCAAAGGAAAATTTGCGCATTCTTGTCATTTGAAAATATTTGAATGGAGTGAGTGTTTCAGCTCGACTCTAAGCTCGCAGCATCCTTGGTTCAAGACCTCTCGCAGTCCATATCTCTTTAGTCATATTTGGGCTCGTTTCGATAAGCCTGGGACCAGATTCGGCGGTGAGGGATAGTTTCGACTCGGGCCTTCGGAGAGATCGGCAGTGTCACTGTCAGGGGTTAACTGACGGAGTCCCGGGTGTTCAGATCTCCGGGAAATGGGGTCAATGCAAGTGCCTTACTGGTGAGCACGGAACAGGGCAACATTGTTCATTTCCCTCTAGTTCTTTTGTACAACTACCGAGGCTGTGATATACCGATTTGTCAGGATTTGAAATGAAATAACGTTATGTTACATCCTCTTTCGCCTTCACTCCCGAATACGGTTTCTAGATTGGATTCGGAACAAACAGCGCCTCGAATTCACCATGGAATGGCTGCTGCAGATCGTTCACATCGGATCTGAGCAGTATAAAATGGAGTCAATGACTTTGTTCAAGTAAGAAAGCGTCCTCACAACGAGTATACGACCAACCTGCAATCGTCGGATATTCTCGAGAAATATACTGCCCCTCCATCTTTGCGCTCATTCCAATGAAGCTATACACATTCCTGCCATGTATTGCCATTTCGGCTTGGGCTATCTCGCCAGGCAATGCCGCTACTAAGGCCTACAAGACATGCCGCAAGCTTCCAAAAGATCCCGATTGGCCAAGTCCTGAAATATGGGAGGCAGCACTAACAGGTGTGATCCCGATACAGGCCAATTCTACGACTGGTCCTCTCCCAAATTATCGATTCCGTGCACACTCTATTGAAGAGGTCCAGGATGCCGTACGGTTTGCCACAGAACACAACATCCGCCTGGCCGTTGTCACTACAGGGCATGACCAGCTTGGCCGGAGCGACGCTGGGTCAGGTCTTCTGCTTGATCTGTCTTTCCTGAGAGGCATCAAGGTTCACGAATCTTTCATTTCAACTGAGAGTGGTACAGACAGGCTAGACCACACGGAGGAGCCCAATGTCATCATTCCAGTTCCGGGGGTTCAAGCTGCTGCTACGTTTGGACCGGCGGCAGCTGGACTCTATCTCAACTACGCACTTGATCCCTCTGGCTTATTCAGCATGAGTGGAGCTGCAGGTAAGTTCAAGGACAAGAGAAGGCATGCAAAAATATGCCTTGTCTTACTGCCAGTAGAGGCAACGGCTAATTTGGTGAAGCCACCGTGGCTATAGCTGGAGGATGGGGCCAGAATGGCGGCTATGGGCCACTCACCTCTCAGTACGGGCTCGGAGTCGATCAGTGGCTGGAAGCCAAAGTAGTTACACCTGACGGGCAGCTTCGCATCGCAAACGACAAAATCAACAGGGACCTATTCTGGGCCATTCGTGGTGGAGGCGGCAGTACATTCGGCGTCGTAGTCGAAGCCACCTGGAAGGTTTATCCTACAGTCCCTATGACCGGCTTCAACTGGTGGATCAACTCAACTATTACAGGTCCAAATTCGACTGACTACGAAACTGGCCGAACACCGATGAGCGAGGCTATGGAGTACTTCTTGTCCGAGTTACCGGGCCTTCAAGAGAAGGGCATCACGGCTTATATTTATGCCTCACCGAGCAGCGTTCGATGTTACGCTATACATCCAGCAGATCGTTCTGGCGTAGCCAATGCAAACGCCGTATGGGGTCCGATTTTGTCTAAAATGCAGGCATTCCCAGGAATGACTCCTTTTCAGTCGCGGCCTTACGACTTTGTCGATTACAAGAACTTCTTCGACACAACTTACGGCCCGCTTCCAAATCCAGGGGATGAGCCCGCCCCGCCTTACAATCGCGGCATCGTCACCTTTGACAGTCGATTACTCGGCGCCGAGCACTTCCGCAGTCCCAACATAACCATTGCGTTACGGGAAACAAGAGGCAGCTATGGTATTCTGGTTTGCTCGCCCGGTGGGAGATTCGGAGATGGATCTGAGACCTCAAACAACCCGGGATGGCGGAAGGCTGTCGCGCTCGTCGTTGGCTACAAGACGAATACAACCAACGTAGACGGGCTACGGCGTCTCGCTCCCTATATGGGGACATATATCAACGAGGTTTGTTTGGCACCCCACAGAAAGGCTTCCTCGCAAGCGAAATCAAAATAAAATGCTGACATGTCACTCTCCAGGCGAGTACAGAACAGGAGCACTGGACTTCAGCATTCTGGGGCACGAATTACCCGCGCCTTTCTAAGATAAAATCTGAGATCGATCCAAATATGATGTTCTGGATTAGTCCTGGAATCAATGCCGACCACATGGAAGTGGTCGATGGGCGTGCTTGTCTCATCAAAGATCCGCCCGACGAGCCCTCTCTGATCCCTCCACCAACCGACAGACGTATTGTGGCGGATATGGCCAAAGATGGGCATTTTCTTTTTGGCAACAGAGAACTTATAGGCACCACGTACCCGGCTCCTGGAACGTGGGAAGGCTTACAGCTTCCCGAATAGGAATTAGCCTAGTTTATTTTATATTTAAAAGTTAAGATGATATGAATATGAAAATAAAACCCTAACAGCAGCTCTGGTATTAACTCTGCTATTGACCTGACAATTGAGCCCCGATTCTCTTCTTCCAATGCCACAGCCATAATGGAGCGTTTCACAGCCTGGAATTCCTTACCACATCAACTCTCTGAAGGATGTTAAGATGCCACTTGAGCTCCTTGATATTCCCGCTGAACCGAGCCAAGATCTCTTGACCCAAAGCGATACTAGCCTCTAACGAGGCTGGTAAGATATCTCGGAAGATTGAGCAGACAGAAGATACCATCAGTATCAACGTCATGGTGAAAACACTACATGGAATAGTTAGTCAGAGCATCTCGGAGGTGTGCTGATCGACATACGCCATCCCCGTTGCAAATAAGCTAGTTATGCTGTTTGCTGGCTGAGCCCCGAACAACTCAACGAACCCTTGACATCCATCCAGACACATTTTTGCCTTTTTCAAGACGTCGGCCTTGTATGGGTGTGAATCCAAATTGGCAATGTTGAGCAATGCGAATTCGACAAATGGCCGGTGAATTATGTACTGCCCAGCGTAGTACCGTCCTCTCAATCGGATGACATTCCACGGCCTGTTCTGCGAAGGTATTCCGTCGTCCATGTGAGTGAAAAAGCTGTTGATGGAAGGCAACTGGGGTTGGCTCCTAAGTAAGATATCGGGCAGGTTCTGATAAATTGCTTCATGATGCGACCACAAGTCGTCTGAAATTCTGAGTAGCCAGGAGGCGTAGTTGACTCGAGTGGTGCGAAACTGCTCCTTGTAATCGTAAACGACACTGTTAACTCGATTAAGAAATCTCCGGATTGCGGCATTAGTCGATATCTGGAATCCGAATAACTCTTCTTGCGATCGATAAGCGGGAGGTGATGTTGCTGCATGGTCCGGGCTTAACTGAGGATGCTGAATGCTAAAGTCTGGATATGGCACTGCATCCTCATATCTGGCAATACCAGATGGCAATGTGATTGATATCTCTGACACAAAATCCGCCTCATAAATGAAAGAAATCCAGTAAAGTCGACGGAATGAATCTGGAGCAGCCTCGCCTTTCCGTGAGATTGATCGTGCGATTGTTTCGACTTTGACGGCCGTTGAGTGAGCCCAGAAGAAGGATTCAGCAACATTCCCTGTTGCGCCCATGTAAATGCTAGAATCCGTTAGAACCTCTGTTTGATCCTCAAGAATACGATTACTCACGTAGCAAGCATTGCACATTGTGCTGCCGGAATTGATATATCTGAGCTGAGCCATCCAAGACATAACTTTGCTTTATTCCACAGCTGAGAGTGCATCTGGTCTTTCTGAGTGAGCGATGTTTCGCTGTGACTCGATTCTGTATCAACCGGAATGATGGTACGAATTTCTTCGTCTGTGACTAACATGGCCAAGCAAAGAATCATTAAGACCAATGCATATTGGGCAGTCGACACCTCAAGTTCCTCACCAGTCCTCAGCTCGGACGATAAAGTTCTATCAAGAAGTACGGCACATTCGTCCATTAATAGCAAAGGGAAGAACACGTTGACCTTGAGGAAATACTCTTGAAGCAATGCATGATATTGAGCTGCTGCCAAGGGAAGTTGCTGGTTTTGAGATAGCCTCCATGTCTCCGGAGGGTGGGAGATTGGTGAATCGTAGGAGCTGTGTTCAAAGAAGACGTCCGTTGCATCGCCTGATCTCCAATCCAGCGACTCAGACAGAAGCTCACGAACAATAGGCCATGAAAAGACATGATTTGCATTTGCAGTGTGTGAGATGGGAATCTGTAAGTCAAACGAAGCCGGTTCTCCTGACCCATCTTGCCGGTCCGCGGCCGACTCTGTGGGTGTATTTGACGGCAACGAGGAGAGAACTCGCTCCTCCAATATCTCAAGACGGTCTAACAAGACTTTGGTGTTGTGATCGATGCGCAGCTGCTGAGCATCTCGATAGACGCAGTCGACATTCTGTGTGGTGCAGAGGCTGCATTTCGGCTGAGCAGCGTCACAACGTGTCTTGCGCAATCGACAATTAACGCAGGCTTGGGTAACACGGCGACGCTGCGGAAAATGGCCAGACGGAGAGAAACTTGAGGCCATATTTGTTGTTGATAAATGCCGATGCGGTGAAAGATTGAGCAAGAGGTAAATATTTAGTCCGGTAAACATCGTCATTTTAGTCACAGCAAAAAGCACGTGAACTTGGGCCCACTGTAATTAGTTGGCACCTTGAGTAATGTTTTCAACCTCGGCCATTTTCACTAATAGCGAGCCGTCATGATTGAAAATCAGTTCAATTCAATTAGCCGGTCTAGCTCCCGTTGCTTGGCCTGCTCGCTTCAAGCTACGGAAATAGGAGTAGGCTGAGTATCTGGGCCCTTTTTCTCATCAGGGGCAAGTTCGAAAACGCCTACTCCCGACACAGATTGAGTCGTGCTAAGCCCCATCTTGTCCGACTTTCCCTCTTCGGCCAGGATGACTTTGCCTACGAGTCGCGTGTCGTCAGCCTTCATTGGAGCATATCGGCCCAGTACTTGGTTGAGTCGCTCTCGCTGCACGCAGTTCTCGTACTTCCAGCTGGCGGCCAGCTCATCCAGCTCCTCAAATGACTTGCCCCTGAAGTATTCAGCCCACTCTGGAATTAGGTACTCTGCCATTGTGATGCCTCGAATCCCCCTAAAGACATGCATGTGCATTCTCCACTGCCACGGGTACTTCTTGGAGTGCTTCGATGGGATGTTGTCCTCGAACCACTGATGGAGTGGACCAAAGAGCCCATCTTGGAGGTGTGCATCGTCGTACGCCCACGAGTCTACTGCGAGTTCCCGTTTCTTGTTGATCATCGGACCCAACAGCTTCAGCCATGCTGAGTCGGGGGAAACATACGTCATTCCCATGACGTTAATGTCCTTATACGCCCAGATTGACCAAGCTGACGGCACAGTTAGTGGGGCGTCAATTTATGTGTGCTGGAAGGGTCACTTACCGATGCTCTCGGATGTGTAAATAGAAAGTTGGCGGTCGAGCATATCATATCTCTCGTTGTTATGAACCTCCCAATCCTGGTTGTACTCCTCACGTTCATATATCGGACCAAACTCGCCTTGAGAGGTTTAAGAATTAGCTCCATTCGATCAACCACCCTACCCCCTCACGAACTTACCGTTCCAGATAGGGACATTGTGCTCTTTCATAAAAGCAACTTTGCGGTCGTACATTCTTCTAATGTACGCATCTTGCTCTTGAAGGCCATGGTATCGGCCGATCCGATTCGGAAAACCAAATCCGCAGTAATCATGAATAGCGTAAACAGAGTTACTGAAGACCTTATCAAATCCGGTAAAGTCCATGCTGAAGCTATGCCAGCAATCAAATTAGAATCCATCGCCTCTCTCAAGGTCTGTGAAATCGGTACATACGTGTTTCCCTCGAGGAAGAGGATATGATCCGGATCGATGTTTCTGATGGCAGGTACAATTCTGTCATAAAAAGCCAGCAACCTGGTCCATTCAGAGTCGGCGGGTTCGTTCATTGGATTATATCCCGCAACCCAAGGGTTCCCCTTGTAGCGCTTTGCAATGTGCTCCCAGAGACCGACAGCTCTGTCTTGGAAATGCTTGTGATCCCAGAATGCAGCATACCCGGTAGGATTGTCCGAGTGCCAATCTTGGTTCTGGCCCCCAGGAAGGGCATGCATGTCGATGATGGTATAAATATTATGCCTTGCACACTATGAATTACAGCCATCAGCATACGGTGGAGGCCATGCATTAGCAAACATCGGCGACTCACAATGTCGATGACCCTGTCAACGTGCTTGAACCCCTCCTCTTTGATGACAAAGGGATTCATGTCATCTTCGAAATGGTGATAGTTCAAGCTTAGCCGGAGGCAGTTGAATCCAATCGAGGCGAGAAATTGGGCATCCTTGTCCGTGAAGAAGTACTCCAGAAACTTGTCAAAGAAGAATTCACACTTGTCTTTGCCAAGCACATTGAGCAATGCGCCTCGAATTTGACATTCTCGACCTGGAAATCCATTCATGAAATTTTCCATAAGCATCCATCCTCCTAGGGCAGTCTTTTGGGGCGGATGTTAATCTGGTGTTGTGTGCAGATGGAGATGAGGGGGAACTAACACCTCGAAGCAGGACCTCATTGCCACTAGAATCAACGATTCGCGCACCGTTGGTTTTAAGAACTTGTGACATATTGAAAGAGAGACTTGGAGAAGCCAGAATCAAGTGTAGAAACGCAGGAGGTGTTGGGTGTGGGTGTGGTTTGGTCCATAAGAACAGTGTCTCCCTAAGTACTCTCCAGCTGACTTCGAAAACTTGCTCCGCTCTAGCATTCGAACGAGAAGAACAACACAACTGGGGTATTCTGGAGCACCAAGTGGATCCCTTCGTATTCAGGCTCAATTCTGGATGGAGAATTAAGACGCTTGCATACAGTCTCTCGATACTGATTTGACAATTCCCTTCGGGGCAGCATTGAATGAAGCCCCGAAAACGCTACCCTAGAACTGGGGCTTTCGGGGGAAGCTTTTAGCTCCCCCATAAGTGGATCTCAAGTGGATTCTCAAGTGGATTCTCAAGGGGGAACGATTTAGCTCCCCCGAAGCCTTCTTATTTGTCTGTTTGTGAACCGAAACCCCACACGACGTCGTCTTTTCGCCCCTTGTGACGAGCCGAGGTGGTGTTTCTTCCGGTCTCATTTCCCATTGAGTCAGTTGTATCACAGGAAGTGGTGTGAGAAATGCGGAGAGACCCCAGATCACCCTATTCCCCGCGATTATATCCCACTTCTCCATACCCGGGGTTGCATACTAACTGAGACCAGGTAGTCGATGAGTGTTACCCATCGCAAGGTAGTGTATTGCGAGTTGAGGGTCATCGTCGATACAAAAACAGCCATGTCTCCCACTTTATCATCAACTTATCCTCCTCAGATCGATAACATTCATCGCAACAACACCAATAAAAGATCAACTGTCGACACGAAATGAATCATCTCCGCCATCGTTTGCCTGCCCCTCGGCTGGATCGCATTGCCTCCAAAGCCCGTCGGGATCAAGAAACAGGGTCCGAATCCAACGCGTACCAACCCTCTCGCCTTACGGAATTGGCCCAGCAGGCTCCGCCGTGGTATCAATCTGCTGCGCGACGACATCTGTATTTGCTCTTGTTTCCGGCCTGTGTCATTTCCTACGCAACCAGTGGCTACGATGGATCGATGATGAATTCCTTGCAAACAGTCTCGTACTGGGATGAGTTCTTCGGCACCCCTCGTGGGTCGCAACTTGGGCTCATGAGCGCCATCATGTCTCTAGGCAGCATCTGCTCCACGCCTGTGGCTCCTTGGGTAGCCGATCGTTTTGGACGACGATGGGGAATCACCGTTGGCAGTATCATCATGATCATCGGCGCTATATTGCAGTGCGAGAGCACCACCTTTGCCATGTTCGTCGGTAGCCGGTTCGTCTTGGGCTTCGGTTTGTCATTTGCAACCACCGCGTCTCCGAGCATGGTGAGCGAGCTGGCACATCCCAAAGACCGCGTGACAATTACCGCCATCTGCAACACATGGTATGTATACGTAACCCTCCATGCCTGCTTCAGACTCGTGGTTGACAATAGAGGTAGCTGGTTCTTGGGTAGCATTACTGCTGCCTGGGTCACTTATGGAACACGAACGATTCCCAGCACCTGGTCCTGGCGTCTCCCATCTCTCCTCCAGATGGCACCGAGTGTTATTCAGCTCTCAACAGTGTGGTTTTTGCCCGAATCACCTAGGTGGCTCATTTCGAATGACCGCGACTCCGAAGCACTCGCAGCTCTTTCTCGGTATCATGGCGACGGAGCCGAAACCGAACTGGTTAAAATGGAATATAACGAGATTAGATCAGCCATCGAGCACGAAAAATGTACGTCTTAGTGTGCTTGAGCCTGAGTTTGCTGAAATCTGACTTGGCATTCATTAGCGTCGGGACAAACAACTTGGAAATCTATGATCAGTACCCCGGGCAACCGTTATCGAATGTTCTTGGTTGTTTGCATGGGCGTTTTCAGTCAATGGAGTGGCAATGGCCTCATTTCTTACTGTATGTTTACGTCTCTCCTCAATCTTGCCCAGTCCATCCTCTCACACTTGCAGATCTTTCTCGAATCATGGACTCGGTGGGCATCAAGGATAAAACCACCCAGGCCTTGGTGAATGGCCTTGTCAACATCTGGAATTGGGCTCTAGCCTTGACAACCGCCTTCTTCGTCGAGAGGATCGGCCGTCGCCCACTGTTCCGCGTCTCAACCATTGGCATGCTACTCGTTTTCGCTGGATGGACCGTGGCGTCTGCACGCTTTGCAGAGACCGAAGCCCGTTCAGCAGGTCTTGCTGTCATGGCACTGATTTTCATCTACGAGATCTTTTACTGCATAGCTTTCTCGCCGCTGCCAGTCGCATATTCGGTCGAAGTACTGCCATACTCTATCCGCGCAAAGGGTATGGCCACTTATGTGTTTTCCACCAAAGCCGCGGTTTTTGTCAACCAATTTGTCAATCCCATTGGCCTCGAGAGAATTGGCTGGAAGTTCTATATTGTTTATGTAGTTATTCTTGCCGTGGAGAGCTTTATAGCCTATGGGTGGTTTGTGGAGACGAAGGGTAAAACGCTCGAGGAGATTGCTGTGATTTTCGATGGCGCCGAGGGTGATTGTGTTGCCGGTGCTAAGACATCAAAGGTTATCCAGGTTGAGGAAACAGAAAATGCGGGTTTGGAAGCGGGAAAATAAAAGACTTAGGAGTGTTTATAGAATAAAATATATTCTAGGTAGTAATCTAGCTTTATTTATTTATTTTTTCTTCACTTGCTCTGACGATCGAAACGTAACTCTGTCAACTGACACGCTACAGCTGCAAAGTGTTCTCAACTGCGTTGAAGCTGAAACAAAACCCAGATTGGATGTTGACCACCAAGGCTGATCAGGTAGCCAAGGACACGCGGCGCCACGACATTGAGAGGAGGGATTAATAGGGCACATGTAGCACACGCCTCCCGGCTGGTCGACCCAACTCGGCCGCAGTAGTTGATGTTGGATCCGTTACAGTTAAATTATATTTGACTGGTCAAATACGCCATCAAAGATGGACCCCTGCCACATGAATTCGAGAGTTTGCAACATCGGGCTGTCAATACTGTTGCCCGAAACGCACCAAGCGCCACAGACCAACAGGCAGCGCACTGAGAACCATGGAGGCCCCAGTAAAGAAAACAATGCCCGTATATCTACCAAGCCCGTATGTCTCGGTAGACACAGTCTGAGCCAATAGATTACCGCTGATGGGTCCAGCAAGAACATTGCCTATTCCTTTACCAAAACAAAACAGGCTGAAAATGAATGGCGCTGTCGTGGGATCGCTGCTCACTGCCGTAACCATTCGTGCCCACATGGCCACGTAGCCAGCGCCGAAGAAGCCATAGAGCAGCACAAACATGACGAGAAGCGGCAGAGAGCGAGCAAATCCCCAGAGTGCAAGGACTGCGGCGGCTGAGATGGCTGTGGATGCCGTCGTGAGCACGTTGAGTGAGACTTTGCGGTCGGACAGCAGGCCGAATGTGAGTTGTCCTGCGACCTGGGAGACGCTCATCAACGCCAAGAGCAAAGCGCCCTCTACGCTGCTCAGGCCGAGAGATGCGGCGTATGAGGGCACGTACAACGACGGGAAGAAGTAACCCATGCCTTGCATGATATTGGAGGCAGAGTAGACCCAGAACAGAGGCGCCCGGACGAAGCTCCAGTCTGTACCTGGACTACTGCTATGCGAGGCGATTGGGAGGCGTCCCTTAAGCAAAGGTATTAAGGGGCCTGTTAAAACGAACAGCCCCACGGCGGTAGCCCGCAGTGTAGTCCTGTAGCCATAGCGGTCCAGCAGGGTCTGAATGAGAAAGGGCATGGCTGCTCCAGAAACGCCCGAGGCGCTACATAGAAGGCCGTAGGCCATTCCACGGCGGGCGATCCAGTACTCGTTCACCATGTTGAGGATAGGGTAGTAGAATATCAAGAATCCCAGACCGTAGGCTACGCCTTGAGTAAGAACGAGCGTCTCGACGCTGGAGCAGAAGGAGGCGAGCGCGATCCCAAGGATGCAGATTGGCCCTGTTTATTGGTGTCAGCCAGAATATGTCGAAACCAAAATGTCTGTACTCACAGCCAACCCAAATCATTTTTCTCTGCAACCGCGGGAAACGGTTGATAAATGGAGTGATTAGGGGAGCTCCTAGATAAGACATGCCCGAGGCGACAGTGCCTACGACTGAGATGTAACGGCTGCTGGCAAACTCGGGTTGTTTGGAGTAATAATTCTGAAAAACGCCGAAAGAGAGAGGAAACCCTGGATACCTGGCATCAGAATTCCATACAATTCGCAAGGGTGAATCTGGTACAAACCCCATAGTAGAGCCTCAAAGACAAATGCTGCACCCAACAGCTTCCACGCAGGTAGTCCTCGATCAGCAGGCGCAAGCTGAAATTCGGGGCCTCGAGCCTCCTCTTCCAGGGGCTCCGCAATGATCTCCCTCCTTTCATCGGCGTGCCCAAGCCTCTGCGAAGGCGTAGTCATCTCAAATGAACTCATAGTCGGCTTGTTGATGATGCAAAGGCTATGTTAAGAGTATAAAGGCTGCGTAATTTCTGTTCTCATCACACAGTGGGTTTTAGATGACAAGTGAAGGGCGTAGATTGCCGATAAGCCGAGGTTCACAAAAAGCTGGTGCTGGATACTGTCCCATGACGCTAAGGGCTGTCTGCCAGAATGTCCCGCACAGCCGGATGACGAAGTAAGGAGGGGGTCTAATAATTAGCAAAAATAACGAGTAAATTCCTTGTAAAATAAAATCTAGAGCCCCAGGCCAGTACTATGCCGAGAAGGTACGACAGTGAGTCGTCGAGGTCGATGAGCATGCTAGCTCCGATCAGCGAGGGCGACCATTGCCACAAGAGCCAGCCCCAGTTGACGGGACCGATGATGCTGCGGCCTCCCCATGCGTAGATCCACCAGAACGGGTTCCACCATTGTGGATGGATGCCCGGGGCGTACGAGGTAGCAATGGACGAGACGAGAGACGCCGAGAACGAGTAGCCAATCGTCTTGATCTGCCTTGTCTGCTTACATTGGACTTTTCGAGCGTCTTGCATTTTTTCACAGCCGAAGATGGCGAAGGAGAGGGTTGCATCGGCACCGAAGCCGGACTCGAGGCCTGAACCTGTCAGATATGCCGTCTTTTTGTCGAGCAGGATTGGATGTGTCTCACCGAGATACAGATTTGAGCAGGGAATCGAGGAACTGGGCACCGCCTGTCAAGAATACCAAAGAGCTCCTCGTACATATGATTGTTCCATCTGCTAGATACAACAATACATTGAATATCTTCTTTTGCCCGCATTTCTATTTCCACTAAGTCCCACAAACCCCTCCTCCAACACTGCTGATCACCAACACCCTCGGATTAAACTGCTGTCTTAACTTCGCCTACATAATGCCACTCCATTGGATCAGATGAGGTGAATTCCCATTCATGGATTGCCCCATTAGTGATTCCGTATACCCTCTTGTCAGCATGAATTGAAATACCAGTAAAATTGGAAGCTGCCGAGATCCCCTTTGGCGAATTTTTAAGTATTGGTGCATTAGAGTC